GATTCAGCAACTTGCATAACTATCACCTACCTGACTCGGCGAGTCAAGCCCGAATTCTCTATAGAGTGTATATATGGGGGCGAGTAACACCGGTGGCGATGATGGCATCAACTTTAGAACAGTTCAGTAGTCTTGGGCGAAGGGATCTTGACCCTTCTCGGATAAATTATAGTCCCCAAAGCCCTTTGTGGGATAATATAATCGCGCCACGCCAACAGAACGGAGTTTGGCATGATCCTTCAAAGAAATGATGAGGAACCCAGTGATATGGACCGTCTATGTAGACGACTTATCTCTATAACCCCGTATCTAGCAGTAAATATCCACGGGTGCTACCCGTTCAAGCCGTTCAATACGAACCGTCGTACATATGAAGAAGACCATAGCCTAGCTTCTAGCCCAAACACAGTAAGAAACTAGTTCGAGCCGGTGCCCGTATGGTGTTCGTCGTAGGGGTCTTTACTCCGTGGAGATTGCAACCACGGGCTGCTCCTACACTACCATCGTACTGGTATCCAGGCTAGTCCCGAGCCCTAACCCCTCTGGCAGTCGACCCTTCAAGACCGCCAAGTTGGTTGGTTGGGCGTGGAAAGTCTATCTATCTTCTCGACACGATTAGATGCTACTAGACCTCTCTGCAAAGGTTAGCATTCGTACGATTATGACGGCATCACTCACGAAGAGGCTCCCTACTGCCCCTTTCTACCCCCGTGCTGGAAAGAAGAGCGTCCATACCTAGCTACCGTTGTCGTTTATAGAGAACTGCTCTACACCGCTTCATGGCATCCGGGCCTTGTCATTCACTACTAGAATGGGGCCACATCATGGGATCTGCGAAAAAAGAAAAGGGGGAGAAAAGGTCTTATTGATGCCCATCGACGATTGATTAATTTACCGATACCTGCCCAAGCCACTCCTCTCTTTTATGTGTTTGGAGGCAAGATAGGTACAGTAGGCAGGCAGGTTATGTGAGCATTGCAACTTTACCTACGAGCAGAAGAACGTTCGACCAGACAAAATCGTCACGGAAGTTTTTTGCAACGTGGTCGAACGGGACTGGCGTCGTTCTCCTGTCAGGAACGGTTGATGCAATATTGGCATGGCATTAGCTCCCCATGAGACGATCACCGCCCCCCGGCCCCCGAGGGGCGAATAGGAGAATCCTGTGCAACCCTTCCGTCTACCACCACCACCACCTCCGCTTCTCTCCCAGCTACCAAGCTAAAGAACCCAGTGCCCCTGATTCGAGGCTGTGGGATCCTATAAACTTGATACAAAGCATACAACTCTTTATTTCCGTCTACCTCCCTCCCGTGTGTAACCGTGGAAAAGCGGCTCGGTGCCGTATCCTTCCCCTCCCCCCTTTTTTCTCTCCCGTTGGGCTTCGGCGCAGCGGTGCTTATCAGAAGAATAAAGTGGATGTTCTCGGGACACTTATCTCATATATGAAAAAGAAAAGAAAATCGTCGAATAAGAGTAATGTGCGTTAGTTAGGTCTTACGAACGGGCGGGGGAAAGGGGGGTGTGATTCGTGGATATTTCTGTGAAACTTGGGTTCTCGCTGGATTGGGCTGCAGTTGACTGACTTTTTGAGATGAAAATGACATGAATGAATCGCGTAGATGTTCTGGTATTATGGCTAACTTCTGTGTGTGGTGCTCAAAACAGAAAGAAACCCCTGTTTAAGAGCCACGAGTGAGAGAAAAGAAAACGCAAAACGAGTTGCAGGCCTCTATGCGTAGCACTCACTACTAACCTAGACGATATCAGCCCCTAAAGATACTTACTAGGTACCTAGGAGTCTTGGGTAGGCTCATAGTCACGGAGTTCTACCTAATACACCTATAGCTATATAAACTTGGCTTGGATAATAGCTATTCGAGTAGGCACTAGGCTTGACAAAGGCAAGCTTTGTAAGCTGCATATGTATATGCTACCTATATGAATCTCATCACAGTTAATCATACCTGAACAAGGGAAGCCATGTGGCCCAAAAACCTCACTGTGACCGAAAGCAGTTACTGCAGGGCTCTTTCTTACCCAAGTCTACCTAATCTACCATAAATATACCCAGGTAGTAACTCTCTGCATACGTATCTAAGCCGCAATATGTAAGTCGTTGCAAGTACTCCTCGGCATGGAACGATCCTTTCATGCAAGACTGCGCGCACCTCCGCAGAGCCTTAACTGCCCTTAGCTTTTAGCGATCTGCGTGCAATGCTTCATAACCTTTTGCTGCTCGCCCATCCCAAAACACGGGTTGAAAATGATTTTGACGATGATGATCGCTTCCCGTTTTTCTCCCGTGGGCGAAATGCATTTGGCCCAGTGGCAAGATTTGGAGACCGTCGCGGCATGCAGCGTTGCATCCCCGGTGCGTTCATGCATATATATGCATGTGTCAAGCTGTACATCTTCTCTAAGAAAGCCGTTGAGAGTATATTCAATGGCGGCCTTTGTATAACCATAAGCTCGCTGTACCCCCACCGGCTATTATTACAGCGAGAGTGAATCAAACCTTCGAGGCTGGGTGTGGAGGTGACAGTGAATACTATATATCTGACCGCTAGTTTGCCGTATATACCTGGCTGACCGAATAGCAGAGTGTCTAGGTAGCGTGTGCTTCAACGATGAAGCGTCGTTAGCCGAGTTTCCTTTGGGCGACAGGAGATCACACAGCACGAGAACTTGGCTCAGGGAACCATCATGATGAAGCTCCAGGAGGTGCAAGTCACCGAGGTGATACAACAAGCATATGTCCACGCTCTTATATGCAACCTTCGGGGCCCTCGGCATTTTGATATATGGTACAGAATGGTAACAGATCATGCATTGAGGTGCCTCGGTGACCATGTATCGTCTTGTACAAATAACAGTACCTACTTAGACTTGGCACCTGTAGGTAAAAGAATGGTAGAGTGTGGCTAGTCCTAGTACCTGGTAGATACAGTACTACCATATCTGCCTTGGATCGTAGGATTCGAAATAGTCAAGGAGTTCCAGAAAGGGGGATCGGTAGCTTAGAAACCTTGGAAGGCTCTAGGCCTGTATGAGATATCTTGCAGAAATGTATTTCTGCAAGTCTTTCTACATAGACAGTACCTACCTAGCCAGACTTAGCTCAATAGCCTCCCTTACCTGGAAACTTGATATTACACTGTCCTACCAACTTAGGTAGGCAATCTCCTCGCCATCAAAGTCACGATGATCTCGTGTTCATGTTGTACGAGGAACTATCAGAGCCATTATCCAGGTCTGGTTCTTATCGATACTAAAAAGCCTGTTCTGCTTCAGTTCGCATGTGCTATATAGAGGGCTTGCTATAGACATGCATGGTGACCGGCATCAGAATAACAAGGTTGCGCGCAAGTTATTCTTTGCGGAGACAATCACTTGCCTTTTCCCCGCCGCCAGCTGAATCCGGGGAACCTGATGTGAGATGAAACATAAAACCTGCTTTTATACATACATACATACATACCTATCTGGCTTACGGCAAGGCGGAGATAAGAAGCAAAACAATCAACCAACGATATCTATGAAACATCTGGCCTATAAGTTCCAAGTTATTAAGATAGATAGATTACCTACCTACCTAGTACCGAGCTCGATGGAAATGTGGTAGTGTATAGCAAGGCTTTGCATTACCCCAAAGAGGCAATAGGAAGGCGTGCTACCTGAAAACATTCACGATGAAGAGGTGTTGAACAACCACGCATAGGCCTCTTTAATTGGATATAATTGGATATAATTAAACTTATCTTCCTTAACACACAGCGAATTTGATGTATGTTACAATCGTTTGGGTTACCTCAGGGACTAAGCAGCAAGTACTTCGTATATGGCTCTGTGAATTATCGACTCAACAACAGTCAGCTTATGTCTTTCTAGATACCTAAGGATATTTATATTACACCTATGATGTCCATAGATGCCTTGTATCGAGGTCTTTGACACTAGTAAAGGAGTCACTTGCACAATACATTTGAGCTTTTTATAGTGAGCAAACGCTGACCCAAACCCATTCCTAGCGTCATAACCATTATTCCACAGACAGCGGCAAGTATATTACACCACGGCTTTCGCATCCGCACACCCTCTCCCCCCCCCTTGATTCATGAACCACAAGCGCCATCCGCAAGTCCCAGCGGCTATACAGACGAGACCATATGTACCTACCGAAAGAGGCACATACGAGCGTCGCGGTTAATGACGCCAATAGCAAGGTCCGTACCACCAGTCGAACGCGGCTAAATTACAGCGGCCCGCGTTACGGCCTCGGTTGGGTCGTAGGACCGACGAAGGATAGCCGCGGTCGTAGTACCTAAGACAAGTAGACGACTTGCTAGACGGGTAGCATGGGATGTTAATATACGTTGATGTTGAGTCCCTGTCTGCCTGTTGGCCTAGGTACTAAGGTAGGCCAGGTTGTACTGCATCGACAGTACACGCGTCCCTGGTCGTTGATCGTAGACGCGAGTGGGAATCGTTATAGAGTTCCTCAGGTACCTAATATGCATCTACCCACAAGTAAGGCTACCTATATATTAAGAATTGAGGAATAGTTTCCCGTACCGTGACAATATACCTAAACCTAGTTCCAAATGATTCCGGCTATATTGCAACTTACAAATGCCCTTGGATAGTGGTTAACAGACTCAGACTATGTGTTTGGCGCCTGGCGGTTGCCGCCAGTACGATGAATCAAAAGGCAATGGGCTGAATATCGAGTATCTACATAGGTGGCTGCCGAACACACATCTAACCATGGATGTGTTTGAGCGCAACAGCTCGCTATTATTTCTTCTATAGTCCATGATATCTGCTAGCCCCTGAATGCATTCGACCTAGGGGCTGTCCGTTCTTACTACGGCCAGCACATCCCAAACATAAAAATCCCAACCTGACTAATTAAATCAGAAACTTTCATTTGCGTCAGCAATATGGTGTTCAAGAATCAGTACAGAGTAATAACTTTGAATTCTTTAGATTTTTGCTACGAACAGAGTAAACTAGGGTACAGCGTAGTTCAACGTCCAATGGAGACACAAGCGACTAGGTACATCAACTTGCAACCAGACCCTCATATCAGTTCGAACGAGCCAGTGTCCAGCGATGTACGGTAGGTACCTGGGCTAGGCAAGTAGGTCCAGCATTCTGTCTTATAGGAAATAAAGCACGCAATCGAGTGGGCGACACCTAGTGAGCCTACATACTCCGTTACCACCGTCAGTCAACACCTGTACAAGAAAAAAAGGGGCAAACTTCCTAATTTCCACTCACCTCCTGCAGCGGCTTAACCTCCACCATCAGCTTGCCCACATTCTTCCCCGCGAACAGGTCATTGAACGTCGAGTCCACGACCCCGATGCCCCCTTTCACAATCGTCTCCTTCCTCTTGATCTTCCCCTCCACCAGCCACTTCCCCAGCGCCTGGCGGGCCTCGGGGTAGTCGTCGCGGTAGTCGAAGACGATGAAGCCCTCCATGCGGATGCGCTGCATGAGGACCTGGATCAGGTTGCGGATGCCCTTGTTCTCGGCGGCGCCGAGGCTGTTGTAGATGCTGATGCTGCCGCAGATGACGAAGCGGGAGTGCACGGCGGCGCGGGCCAGGCATTCGTCGAGGACTGGGGGGTTTGTTTTAGCGTTAATGATATTTTTTTTACGGGAGACATACAGAAAGGGGGGATCGTAGATATAAAAAAAAAAGGAAAAAGGAAAAAGAAACCCATAAAACTCACTCTCGCCCCCCACATTATCCCAATAAACATCGATGTACTTCGGCGTCGCCTTCGCCAACTCCTCTCTAAAAGCGGGCGACTTGTAGTTTAGCGCGACGTCGAAGCCGAGCTCGTCGACGAGGAGCCGACACTTGTCGTCGGACCCCGCGATGCCGACGACGCGGCACCCGTGGATCTTGGCGATCTGGCCCACGATGATCCCCGTGGCGCCCGCGGCCCCCGACACGACGACGGTCTCGCCGGCTTTGGGCTGCCCGATGTGCTTGAGGCCGATGTAGGCGGTTATGCCTGTGTTGCCTGTTTGTTGTGTTATTTTTGAGTAAGTAACGACGTCTTCAGGCATAGCTGTGTTGGATTTGTAAAGTAAAACTGCGTCAAGATGCCCACGTATGTAGGTTATCACAACTTCATGGGAATATTCTCACTCACCGGCAGCACCCAGCGCATCCGTGACATTCGCCCCCTCAGGCAAGTTAATGACCTGGAGCTCATTCTCGCCCACAATAGCCACCTCGGTCCAGCCGGTCAACGCGGTGACCAAGTCGCCCTCCTTCGCCTTGGCAGACTTGCTCGCGAGGACCCTGGCGATGCCGTTGCCCTTCATTTTCTCGCCTAAAGCGAGGGCGGGCACGTAGGATCGGCTATCTGCATCGACGAAGGTGAGTTAGGTAGTGCAATCGCAAGTAGATAAATATTAGGAACCTCCTGGGCAATGTAGTGTTTTAAGCCACGAGTGAACCTTTTTCTTCTTTATGGAAAATGGGAAAAGGTAGAAAAGCCTACCGTACAGCACACTGCGCATCCCAGGGTCTACCGACAGGTAAATAACCTCCACCAGCACCTGTCCATCCTCCAAGTCGTCAGCCGTAGGCGCATCCGACTCCACGAGCTTGAACGTTTTGCCTGGGACGATGAGGCCCTGGGGGCGTTCCGCGAAATAGAAGGTTGAATTCTTGCGAGTCATGATGTCAAGATGAGTCGGTGTTGTAAGTATTCAAGCTAGGAGGTGGACAAATGACTTTTTATTTGTTTCTTTGTTTAAAAAATATGGAAACCAGCAACTTGCTGTTCCTGGCCGAAGTATGTTCGAGGAGGGAGCTAATTGGTGCTAAGGTTAGACGTCTTGATGTCGCATTAGTTACCGAGGGGGTAAACGAGCGTTGTCACCTTGAAGGTGGGCCACCTTTTTTTATATACACCATAGGTGAACCTGCGTTTCTCATGACAAGTACTAGAGTTTTGAGTAACTTGTAGATAAATGCCTAGGTAGATACCTAATAAAACTACGTATATCTAATGGATGAGGAGGCAATGTAACGTCTACCTACCTGATAAGGATGCATATATCATTCACCCCCTAGGTATGTTTACAAGAGGTTCTGATATACCCCAATCACGACATCGCCAGATTAGTAAACCTATTGCTGCCTGGGTGTGCCCTGCATTTACAGGATTATAAATCTTTAAAAGTCCTAGCATGTATACACATACCTACCTCCCTTTCCAGTTCATCCGTGCCGAATATAATGCATTGCGGCTTATTCAAAATCCGTGGAACGGATAGTTTAATAGCTTCGTGCGAAGTAAAGCATTTCGGTGTAATACTACGATAGGTAGAACCGAGATAACTGTGCTGTTGACGGACATGAGGCAAAACTGCCGTGTCCGATTGCTGCATGGATGAAAATACTGTACCTCCAGGGTTACTCGAAACTTAAGTTCAACGTCAACAATCTAGTCCATCTATTCACAAAAAAGACACTCGGTCTTGTTCTTTCATTGCAACCTTGGAAGTCATTACAATCCCTTCACGATTCGTGGCCTGATCTGGGATAAGCTGCATATACAGAGAAGGCCATGGCGAGCTTAGCTACTGATGAGTAATCTTGTATTTAATCCTCAAAAAAGCCACATGGACAAACAAAGGGGTATCGCAACCTTTCGTTATTTCAACACTTATCCATCCTCAAAGTCCAGCATTAAACGCACCTAGGTGTCGCTCCGTAAACCTCACCCGTTCCACTTGGTGATGTGCCAAATGAACTATTGAGATGAATTGGCGAAGCTCAATGCTCACATTCCATGCGCATGACCGGGTGAATTGATCGGAGGAATGGCACAGGGTCAAAAAGTAGGGAAAGTAGGTATATACTAAGTTGTCTGGTGTAAAGGAGGCCCACCCATAGATTAAGACAAGTGAATGTCATTTCGGCTAGGTACCTATTCGGGTAGAAAACCAGAATGATATAGAGTTGTTCAGGCCTGGAATGATCAGTTTGCTGGAATGCTCTCCACCTCACTTGCGTTGGTGTCACTGCTTAATTCTTCCTCCTCAGATTCCTCGACGACTTTGTTGGCCTTCTTCGACTGTTTAGTAGAGTTCTTGCGTTCCACTGTAGCCCTGCTTGATGAACCATAGCTCTTCCGGCCTTTTTGACTCCTTTGAGGCTTAAAATTAGCGATAGAACCGGCGTCACTTGAATCCTCGGCTTGAAGACTTTCCTCCTTGTGACTTGTGCTGTCCTTCACTGAAACATCCTCCTCATTATCTTCAGGTTGACTAGGAGAGGCCTCATCATCCTTACTGCTATGTTGGTCATCTTCGTCTTCATCGTCGCTTTGATCAACGATTTCGTCGTTTTCATTGCTTTTGCTGGCATCTTCGTCATCTTCACTCTCATGCACATTACTCTCTGAGGCGTCCCTGCGACTTTTCGCCTGCTCCTGCTCCTGCTCCTCCTGCTCCTCCTCTTCTTCCTCTTCTTCCTCTTCTTCCTCTTCTTCCTCTTCTTCCCCCTCTTCCTCTTCACCACCTTCTTCATCGTCGTTAAGAGCCTCCTCATCCTCATCGTCGGTCTTATCGACAATTCGCGCTGATTTTGGCGCACGATTGACCTTTAGAATCTTTTTCACCTTTTGTTCCATCTCACGGTATTCTGCGTCCTCGTCGTAGTCCTCTCCGCTGGGATATTCCAACTTTGTAGTGTGTTGGTATCTCGTGGTTAACTGTTGAATGATTTCGGGGATTGAGAAGATCGAGGGTGGGTCTGGTAGGGAATGCTTCAAACGATACCAGACCAACATAAGAGTTACGCGTGTATACTTGTCGCCAAAGTTCTTTTCTCGGACCTTGACCCATGGAATCCGACTTTCGGCATTCACTTTAGTGATGCGAATAGCCTTAACAAGGGACATACGCTGCCGATAAGTCATCTCGTCGGCCTCATCTCGAGCAGTCTGAATGATCTCATCAACAGAGAGGGGTTCGCTCCCATCAATGCTCCCCTTGCCGTCTTGCCCTTGGATCGTCTTCCATTTTTTCCACTTTGCCATGCATTGCAGGCGACTACGGGTACGATCCATACACTCACTAACTCTTTGCCAGTCAATTAAATCTTCGTCTGAGTCTTTTGGAGAAAGATGACCTCCACGACGACGCTCCCTGATCGTTTCGAGAGCGTCAGATATGATTTGTTCGAGCTTATCCTCTTCCTCCTGGGTCCATGGGTTGACACGACGGCTCTCACCACATACAACGTAATTCCGAATGCGATCCCGCACATCTTCAGGGTGACGGTTGATCAGTTTTCCAATCAAAGAATACTTGTTTCCATGCAGATCCCACATTTCCTTTAATTCTCTCTGCTGTTCAGCATTCCAAGTGCCACGAGCGACAAAGTTGTGGAATTTGCGGCGGCACTGATTTATCACTTTCTGGCGACGTCGGTTCGGACAAGTTGCAATAATTCGAGCCCAAAACTCATGAGATCCTACCTCACGAGGGTTCGCCTGAATCAACTCGTTCACCTGGGCCTGAGTTAGGTTGTGGTCGTCTCTCCAGCGTTCGACTGCCTGGGAAATGTTGCGAAGTTCGAATTCACTGAATTGGCCAGTGATTAATTCGTGGGGCTGCGAACGCTTGGCAGGACTGGCACGGTGCTTTGGTGTATTTTTCTTGGGCTGTGGGCTATCCTCAGTATGACCCTTGAGCATGGACGAAATCTTTGGCTGCTTCCTTGCTACCGGGTTAGAGGGCCCAGCATTGGCAGAAGAAGAAGCATTAGAACTGTCTTCTGCTACACGGCTGTAGAAATTTGGCTTAGCCATACGCCTTCGTGATGTGCTTAAAGGAGTTTTGGGCCTGAAGGCAATGCTGCTTTCGTGATCAGCTTCTGATCCATCTGGAAACTCGAGGCCGACTGTCGCATGGTTTTCATCATTGGCAGTGGCAGCATGAGTGTCGGTGGATGCTGTTTGGGGACCAAGTCCACTATTGGAATCACTTTCGCTCTTTTCAAGTTTATCCTCGTCTTCATTATCATTGCTCTCCTCCCGATCCTCGCGATCCTCAGTTGCTTCGGCGCCTCGGTTATTTTGCTCCCATATCGTCTGATTTTGGTTTTCTGATTGGATATGATCAGCCGATGAGCTACGATCATGAGACTTAGTGTCAAGCTCGTCATGTGAGCTGTTGCCATTGTGTTCGTGATCGTATTGAGGCGGTTCATCTATCTCCATCTCGTTGTCTGAAACTGCGTCCGATTGTGAGACAGGCTTTGAGTCCATGTCACCGATGATGGCCTCCTTCGAATGACGACTAGTATTGTCTAGGGATAGGTGCTCTTCATCGGATTCATCGGATAACCGCGTCTGGATAGTGTCATATATAGAGCCATTGAAAGCATCCTCGAGACTTCGCATTTTCTTCTTGCGGCCGTCGTAGAGACTCTGAGCCAGTCCACTAAACGAAGGTGTGTCCGCTACACCATTTTCATCCCGGTTGTGCTTGTGCTTCTTCTTTTTCGGACTACTGGATTCTGTATTTTTGCGTTTCTTCGAGGGTGCGGGTTTGGACGGTGTTAACTCAAAGGCCATGTCGTTGGGAGAGAGCATGCTTGAAGTAAAGCCTCGTGGGGTATCAGTTGCTTCGTCGTCCTGAGCAAGCCCGCTAGGTGATTCATGGGTACCCAGTTCCGGGGATGCTTCATTATGAGACTTCTTTCGATGCTTGCGTCTCTTTTTCTTCTTACTGCGCTTCCCATCCTCCCTCCGCGCGGATTCCTCCCCTATAGTAGAAGTCCTATTCTCATCATCATCATCACTGCCCATTATGGCATTTGGGCTCGAAGGTTGCGGTATCGAGCTAGACCGATGCTTCATACGTCGCTTCTTGGATGTGGCCGACTTCTTGTCCGGTTCCGAAGCTTGTTGGTTGTATTCTGGAGACTCGGGAATTTCCGTTTTGACATTCTGTTTTGGGGTAGCCATGACTGGTCGCGAGAAAGGAGGCGGGGGCGGGACCGGAGACCTTTTAATCTGGAGTGAAGAGGATGCTGGTGGAACTTGGCTTGAAAATACAAAATCTGGCGAAGGTGGTCGCGACGAAGATCTGGGTTCCTCGGTCGGGTACGGATGATCTGCCGAAAACGTATTGCCTTCCGTTTCCTCCGTCTCGTCCTTTGCTAGACTACTTACTTGATTTCCCATTGTTAATACATTATATCCAGACGTCTATGCGATATGGGTTGGTGTCAGGGTGGAAAAGGTTGAGATGGACCACATAAATGGTCAAATAGAATTGTAATAGAAGTTGGTAACTATGGGTGGTACCAGGGTAGGTACCAGGCAGCCCTGAGCAAGTACCTAGTACCCAGACAATGCAACGTGAATGGGAGTGTGAATGTCAAACGTCGTGGATGGGCTCAATGTGAACATATGCAACAAAGGGCACAATTCATCAAGTGCTCGAGAATTGTTCTAATAGGCATTGAAACCCTCAAGGGAATGCATGTATGTTGAATGCAGAAAAAGCAGTTTGATAGAAAAGATAGGTTCTTGATCCAATCCGATTTGATCGAGGTGGATCTAGGGGTTGGGGAAGTTCGAGATTGGATGAATGGCATTAAAGCACGGCCGAAATGAGGATTCCGCGATTTCGTCGCGTCTTCACAGGATGGAAGAAATAAAAAAAAAGAAAAAGGTGGTACCAATTGGGGAAAGACGCGAGAGGCTAAGACCCATTAAACACTGAAATCTTGAACTGATAAGGATCATCTACCCTGTAGTTACCTGGGCAGTACCTAGTAGCGTGTTAATTGCCTTAGGTACCCTAGGTACTTCGTAGCCCGTTGTGAAGAAATCAACACTGCACCTGGGCAGTGATTGCACAGTGATATTGCGGGGTTTGGATATGCGCTTCCCCTAATTGGATATTTACAGGGTAGATGCCTAAGATATTAAACATCAATAATTCATGATGGTGGGGAGTACAGACATGCATGTTACTCCTACTATGTGACTACTATCACCATTCCATATGTACCTATCCAAGTACTTGCATCTCTCCCGACAGATCACATTATACCCTTTACACATACACTGTAACCTCATCGCCGATACCATCACCAACTGCTCTTACTCTCGCCCCGATCTCCAAGGGACTTCCCTCAAACACCACAAACTCCCTTGCAGCATAGCTCTCTTTCAGCCCTAGCAAGTCGTACACATTGCTTGAGACCAGGTCTAGCGCGTCCTTCTCACTAAGGGCGCCTCCGCTGTTCTTATATGCAATACCCGCTAATAAGCCAACATCGCGGACAAGCCAATCCTCTTCAATACTAATGGCTGCCTCAACCTGAGAAGCCGCTAGTTGGTTGATTGCCGTGCCGTTCGTGAGTGGCGCACCGGTCAATGCTCGCCGCTGGTCCCAGCTGGTCCCATACGAGAGTAGCGGATTGAGAACCACACCCACGCCAGCAGCAGCTAGCTCATCAGCGAGCAAGAAGGACTCAGCGCCACCGATGAGGATAAGGGAAATGCCCCCGCTACCTCGGGAAGAAATCAAAGCCTTCTCTACGGTCTCCTTTACTTTTAGTATTGTGGCAATGGTATCAGCGCTATGGACCGTGATAACAAGAGGTAGGGAGCCATCCAATACTTTGGACAAGAACACCGTCTCAGTGTAAGGATCTGTGGCCGTTGTGTTCACATCGATTGCTTCAAGAAGCTTGTGACGTAGCGTGTTAGCCGCGTTCGAGAGTGAAGTACTACCTCGCTTCGAGCCAAGGTCCAATGTATAGTGCACAGAAGCGTCTTCGGTGAATATAGCACCCTTTTCCAAAGTATGTTTCGCACCCGTGCGGAACCCAACACTGGTGCCCTGGTGGGTTGCCTGGCTAGAGTACTTGGGTGCTGAGATAGCTCTCGTGACGCCGTACTTCTTAGCGTAATGAAGTTTCTTGGTGTCAAGTGCGAGGCCATCCACACCTCGGCTGAAAATATCAGGGCCACCGCCATTTTCAGTGTCTGTCTCAGCATCAATAGCATTGAGACCAAGAGTAGAGCCAAATATCGTGAAAGGCTTGACAAGATAGCCATTTTGGAGAGCAATAATTTTCGTACCAGAATGGGCGGCCGTCTCAAGCTCGGCTTGACAAGATCCTATACAAGTAATTTCACCGCCTGTGACTGCTACGGTCAGGTTCGGACCGGAAATGTCCTGTTGCAGCTCAGGCAGCAAAAATGATTTGGATATCCCCGTAAATATCACATCCTTCAAATCCAGGCTTTCTTCAGTAGTAGCAGGTACCTCCTGCTTGATGTTTGATAGGTCGGAGGACTTGTTCAGCTCAACAGGGTTATCAAACTGCGCGGTTCCGTCAATCCACACTTGGACAGGTGCAGCTCCAACACTTAGCGGGTCACTATCCCATACGACGATATCAGCGTCAAACCCAGGCTTGACTTTTCCGAGTCGTTCTCCAAGGCCTAGTCTCTCAGCTGGCGCTGTCGTAACTGATGCCAAGGCGGCATGGTAGGGTAAGCCGTATCCAAATGCCTTTGCAGCCTCAAAGACGACGTGCTGGGCGTTTAGCACCGGGTTGTCACTAACATAGATAGGGGTCAACCCATTTTCGTACAACACTTTGCCCGCATATTCCGATCCGATGTATGCCTCAGCCTTGTACCACATGTTATCGGCGAATAAAGCTGAAGCAGGAGGAGAATCCCCATAAGCGCGCTTGAGGACTTCGGGGACGAGGAATGTCTGGTGTGCATGGTGAAAGGCACGGATGGGAAATTTAAATTCGTTGGTATGGTCGACAAAGGCCTCTAAATCAGGAACGGTGTAGCAATGCGTATTGACATGGACCTGTCCGCGTAGGATTGCAACTACTGTTTCCCATTCCAATTCCTGTGGCAAATAGCCATCCATCTGATCAACACCGGTAGATTCGGCTAGGGTACACCAGTCGTCTTGGGCCTGGCGCAGCTTAGCAGCTTGTTCAAAAGCATGTCTAAACTCCCACGACTCGCCTAATCGACTAGTAGGCCCACGTTCGCCAGCTTTGCCGTAGGTGCGCTTGGAGTTCTCACCGCAAGCCATTTTAATATATCGCCAATTGCGTTCTGGATCAGCCAATAGGTCTGCTATGGAGGTCTCATTCCGACCGTCTGGCTTCCCCACGGCATGCTTTATCACATAAGCCTCACCACCAATGTTATTACTGGAGCCCGGTAAGACCAAACTTGTCGTTACTCCGCCCGACTTGATTACCTGAATTTGGTGATCGAATATGTTTATTCCATCAATAGAACGCACATACGGAGTGATGTTAGAACCCATCTCATTCGTGTCTTGATTTCCAACCAGTTCGGGTAAGCTATCTACTCCAGCGTGCGAATGCATATCGATAATGCCACTGGTAAGTTGACGACCTTTGGCATCCCAAACAAGTGTATCGGATGGAAGTGTGCTGGCATCAATATCATTTCGGACTTCCTTGATGAGGCCGTATTCCAACAGCACATCAGCATTGATCCACGAGAAACCCTTCCCAGTGTGCGCGTCACTGTCGCTCGTCCCTTCAATAGGCTCGCCGATCCAAATGGTAGCATTCTTGATTAGAGTAGGCTTATGTCCATCGACGTAGCGTGCATTTCGCTCTCGGCCCAAGCCGATAGGATCTTGCGGCTTAGAACGTAGCTTTGAGCATGTCTGCAGATCTTGATTCAATTTCTCAATTGAAAGTCGAGATACGGAGGGGCCTTTGGTGTTTGATTTTATTTGTCGCCATTGTGCATAAACAATAAATACAAGGCATGTTACAGCAATGAACTTGAGAGCCCGCGAACGCCGTACAGATGTGCGCCTGCGCCAATCTGGAGCCACCACGGCGCTATACGGTGGTAGCTCGCCCTTTCCTGAATCCATACTCGTCTATGAACAATGAGTAATAGTTATGAGGAAAGATGAGTTAGGAACAGAAGAGGGGGGAAAGGGGGGAAAGAAAGAGAAAGAGGATACCTACCCTGATAAGGTATCAAGATATAGGAGAGGTTGGTGTTGAATGATTTAATGTCGTACAGTACATGTAAGTCACAGACCAGGGAGAGCTCCATCACATTGAATGTCACCAGATCAACCAATTGGAGAGGGTTTTAGCCAATCGTATTAACCTTAAACTTACGCGACCCCCCACTGAGATAACGCGAGTGCGGGTGATCCCAGGTACGTACTTCCTTGTGAAGGTGTGAAGCCGGTTTGCTGCTTTAACGAACATATAAATCTGAATACATGCAGCTGTTAATTTATACCAATGTAGTATTTGATATATCAGATACATCTAGTTATTTTATTATTATTTTTATTATTTTTCTTCAATTTCCATCAAGAACTGTATTCAATCTACGGAACAATAGAAATGCATTACTACTACCTAATAGTATGTGACATTTAGCTTACTAGGCTGCTAGCCCGTTACTGGGTAACAACCAGGAACAATGGACAAAAGTAAAATCTTATTGAAATTATTGAAACAAGGAAGGGTGAACTTCTTCAAATCAACTACAACTTTGAACTGACTCACAAAGAGTACTCCAAAAAGAAAACCAAAAGAAGCCTAACCTTAGAGAACATGTCTGTTGAAAGTCCCACGGATTCAAAATAGGCGAGGACATAGGCAGGTAAGCAATGTAGCAAAGTGGTATCAAGGTGGTATCTTTTCAATTTATAAAATACACGTGAAATATTACATTACATACAGCTTCACATACAGGTTATAGACAAGCGGCCCAGAGCGCAGCTGGAACACACATGACAAAATTCCAAACAGCGTGTTCCTCAAATCCCAGAATCGCCAGCCCTTGCATCAGGAGCCAGCTCGCTATCGCCGCCACGATCTGCGGTGCCGTGATAGCCATCATGTGCACCGCCAATAAACCCGGCGTAGCGTCTTCGTGGTCGACGGGGTCGCCCTCGACTGTCAGCATGGCCCGCGCCCTCGCCTGAGCCGACGCCTCATCGGCTATCAGCGCGTACGGCACCCAGTTCGACAGCGCGAACAGCATTCCGTTCGCGCCGAGAAGTATGGATATGGTGGTCGCGACGGCCGAAGATGGCTTGGCACAGACCAACAACAGGCAGGTTGCGGCTAAGGAAAGGGCCAAGATCACGAGACACGGCTTCCAGACCCAGCGCATGAGGACGTGGCGCGTCCGGGCTAGGCCTCCGTTTTCGTTATGAGGGCCCATCCGCCGATCGTCAGCGATGGAATCAGCTCGTGTTCGCTTCCCGGACCGCCGCCATACTAAGGAGACGATTATGAGAGTGATTAGGGCAGTGATGTGGAAGAGCAGCGCCACGCGGGACACGGCACTGGCAGATGCGGCCGATGGCGTCGCCGGCTTCTTATCCCGAGTACTGGAAACATCGTGGTTTTCATCTAATTAAAAGCATGTCAGTTTTATGACATTTCAAGCTTAAGGGGGGTCAGAATATTACTAACAGGCATGAGAAATGAGTCTAGGACGTAGAAAAAACATCGAGTCAGCATGATAGAACATCACCAAAGACTTGGCACGGGGTTTTTGCTTACGCGCTCGTATAGTTCAGAACAAAAAACCAAGCAAACCACGATACCAGTTGTACCTGACACGTCCGTCTGGTAACGGGCGGCAGATTGCTGGTCTTCCTAAGCAGCCGGTAGATATGAGAGCGAAGGGAGGTCGGGGCGATCTCCCTCGGAACCTCAGACCACTGGGACTCTGGTTTTGCGGTGTTCGTCAAGGCTGCGAAGAGCAACAGCATCGCCAATACCGACGTCACAACGACAGTTAGATTCCAAAAATTGGGACTGTAGCCGAATCCGACGAGGGCGAGGCACACGGATCCTAGGGCGGAAAAACGACCTATCCACAGATTTGCGGTGGGCTGCTGATGCGGTGGGAAGTGGTCAATAACTGACGCCCGAAGGCCTAGCTGCAGTGGCTGGATAGAGAAGTTGAGGGTGTAAATGCTGAAAGCGGCGATGATCTGGGCCCCTGCCATGGCGGCATCGGGATTTGACAGGCCAAGCAGACCGTAAGTAAAAGTGTCCGCGATGGGTTGGGCTGCGGCTAGAAGTAGAAAGGAGAGTATGGTTCCGAGTCCGCCAAGGTAAATGAATGGTTTGCGGTTTCCCCAGGGACTCTGGCATGCGTCGCTAAGCGCCGCCACGACCGGCGGAGCTATGAGACCGGCAAGAGGTCCAGAAAGCACGAACAGCGGCATCCGGGTGTCCGGTATGCCGAGCGTGGAGAGGTAAGGAACGCCATAGACCTGCTGAACTGTCCATGTCAACTGTAAACTGGCGCAAATGGTCAGTTGACAAAAGTATTATATCTATTATCGAGGATCAGGCTACCACTCACCCGAAGAATGGAATCGTGAGGATTAGGAGTTCCCATTTGCTTGCCGCCTCAGGCCCCGACTCATCCTCTGGCGTCGTGTTCTTTTCCACAAGGGGAAAACTATCCAAATCATTGTCGACATCCATGACTGGTTATCCTTGAGGAAATCGGTCTCGGTTCAGTAGATCTAAGCAAGGAACGAATGAACAAGCCACGCGATATCGTCGCTAAGCAAAGCTGTAATTTTTTGCTGTTCTACCGGGCCGGTCCGATCGCCTCTTATTTCTGGAGCCCGAGTCCTAGCTAAGTAACACTGCCGGTCCGGGGGTGGGCCGGTCAGTTAATAACTAAACACTGGTATCCGAGAATACAGAGATCGAATCGAACAAGAAAACGACCGTACTATACCTACTAGACTCGAGTCGATTCCTATCAAACAAGCAACGTTCCCGGCTTGTCTGACGATATTTAAGGCTTGGTCTGATGAATAAGTTCTTTGCAGCCCCTAAACCATAACACGGAACACCCCACTACCTGTCACCGCAGGATCCATGGTTCGATCCCCAGAGGATCTGCTATATAAAGTGGAACAAACCACCAGCTAACAAGGCAACATGGATGGATAGCATGGGTTCGAATACCCTCAAAAGATTTGGGACCCATTTAATCGGGGAACTTCTTGATGATGATTGGCCCAAGGGTATGTCAAATCTAATAATATTAGATTTGCTGAATACGCTTCCCCCAGACCAAGTCCTCATATTTGATCCCATACCCATACTATGATTCCGCACAAATCTCCCCGTTCTTGGCTTATCACTAGAAGCCGTTAGCCGTGTATGATGTACAACGTTTGACGAAAGACAAGATATCCACGAGCCGGGTCTGCTCTCCTCTCGCCACCACGGTCTAGCCTACCAGCCTACTTGGGTTAGACACAACCACGATCCGGCGTTAAGGCGTATTATGTATGGTACCTGTTTCGAACCTTACTTATACTTGGCATGCTGACACAATGGTTTTCTTCCTTTGGAAAAAACTTTGGATCGGCGAAACCATAGCCGGAGATACTCGGGGTGATCACCAACTGGCTCGCACCGCCATGGTAAGAAGGTTAGAATTTGTGCTAATCTTTATTCGGGCCAGAAGTGAATAGGTACCAAGTGTTGGTGTTGTTCAAACCGGCAATGTTTCAGGGAAAGGAGCCAAATTGCAGCCCTTCCCCTATATCTCACGAAACATAAATATGTCTGTGGGATATCCGTTCATAAATAGACTCCTATTTCTCGGTTTCATTCCGCGCACCAAGCAATGGTAGAGAACGTCCACATGGCTGTGTTGTTTTATCAATCGCACTGCCCAACACAGCTTCGAGAGTCCACCACCTGTTCGTTCCGCTAGACGCAACAACTGTTCCGTCGTCATGTGCATCGAAACCCCTCAAGGGGTGCGTTACTTTGAATATCTTCAACCATCTCTGCGATGCAGCGAAGACATGGTGCAGCCAAATGAAATTAAAACGGCATCGTTGCCTCTAGGGCTACCGGTAATAGGGTAAGGAGTCGGCCGAAGTGGCGATATCTCGAAAGCGTCTCGAACCAGCGATCAAGTAACTACATCCCGACACGAAGCGCCCCCGTATTATAAGAAGCAATTCTCAGTTCACTCAGTCCCCAACCTGCGCCCCAAGCTTCATTCTTTTGATTGAGAAAATTTCACTTTTCACTTCACAATAACCTCCCCCCTTCCGCCTGCCCAGGTGTGCCTTTTCCGCGTTTCCTTCATCACGGAAGATCGGGTCCCGTAGCGCCTAACCCAAATAACCTCAAAGTCTGGTAAAGCAGATCGTTACGTTACGTTTGGGCGATCGCACATACGTAGTGAATTTACTTGCATATGAATAGTGTAACTAGTGTGTATTACTCAATTGTTTACCGTGTTTTTCTTCTTTCTTTTCTTTTCCCCCCCTTCAGAATCAGGATCAACTGTCGGCACGAGCTCTACGTAATTGAATTGCTGCCCACCAGGTGGTTTACGCGTTGGGCCCGCCGCGGTGTGGGAATTGAGCGTGCCTGAGGCATGTAGTTACCTACTGCTAGTAGTAGTTACATATTAAATCAATGAATAAATAGTTAGGTAGGTACCAAAAAAAGACCAATGCAGAAGGATGTGATGTGATGGAAGCTCGTATTATTGAATTAGGGAGGTAGATAGGTACCTAGTAGGGTAGGTCACTGACTTTTTTTTTTCTTCCCCCTTCCCCCCCTTCCCCCCCCTTCCCCTGTAATTAGACGCTGCTGCTACAAATAGCCAGCCCACTGTAGGGCACAGGCACAGCTATGCAGGTACCTACGTGATGCACCCACCACCATCATCCATCATCCATCATTCATCGTCTAGAATCCATCGTCTAGAACCTATTAACTATGTATTATGTATTCCTCCTCACGCCCGGGTCCTTGGGTCCCGAGGATACAGATGATTAAGTAACTAACTACATAGTAAGTTAGTTATCTACAATAGTAATAGGTATTTAACTATCTTACCCGAGGTCTTAGGTCTTATATAAGCCAATTCAGTGCCTAGGTACCTAATGACCACTAACTAACTAATAAACACCACTACGTAATTATCTCAACCCCCCCCCCTCCCCTGACCAAAATCAAATAGGTAGGTACAGAAGCAACCTTAGCCTACCTACGATTGTTATCACTCAGCATTCAGCAGCCCCCTTACGAAGTTATAAGATATAGTTAACTATAGGTATGTGTGTATTTTCATCATTGTTCAATTAGCTACCTAAGGTGGTAAGAAAAGCGAGTACCGAGTAAGTAGGTTAGGTTAGGTAGTTATGCGTATGGTGTAAGTAGGTACCTAACTTGCCTGCCAAAGCAAGCGTAGAACGCAGCGCCTATGCTATCCTGATCATTAAGAGCATACCATACCTGGGTACCATAGCTACCACTCATTCCCATAAACGGCGTATTTGCACGCATGTGTCCGTGTGTGTCGGTATATACACCTAGGTATATATACCGGTGTCATTAATATACATGCCCATGCATCGCGTATCGTTTCGCCGTCGACTATATTAACTAGGCACCATCCATCCATTCTTCGAAGTTCGAAGCAAAGTAGAGCAACGTAGTTACTAAGCCTTGCACAAGTTCGTAGTTCCTCCTCTTCCTCCACCTCGGTATTCTGTATCCTGTTCTGAAAAAGAAATCAGAGCAGAATCAGATTACCTTAGAGGCCATCCAATCCTTCAATCTTTTCTTTCTTTCGTACGTTCATCAATCCATCCGAGAGTGATAGTAGCATGGGTAACCTACCTACCTACCTACCTAAGTAGGCAGATAGATAGGTACCTCGGAAGGTAGCGTAAACGCAAACGTATATATCGAGTTTGCTTTCTCTGAGTCTTTCTGTCTTCCTCCCCATATCGTATCTCTCTCTCTCTCTCTCTCTCTTTACTGTCCCTGAGAGCGATCATTCGGGCCACGAGCCTGACGGCGTCGCTTCTCCTCCTCCTCCTCCTCTTCTTTCTCCTCCTTCTCCTGCTGTTCCTTCTGCTGTCGCTCTTGCTCTTCCTGCTTGATCTCATCCTCCTCGGCCGGCGACGGCGTCGGGACAGCCGAGGACGGCTTCTTGAAAGCCTGGAAGGCTCGGCGGAGGGATCCCGAGAAGCTCGACGCGGTCTTGAGAACGGCAGCGCCGCCGACTCCGAGGTGGTGGCCGTGGTGGTGGGAGCCGATGTTCTGGTGTGACTGCATGCGGCGCAGTTCCTTCTGGGCGTGCTCGGTGGCCTTGAGCTTGGCCTTCTCCTCGCGTTTCTGGGCGCGCTCGCATTCGCGTTGGCGGCGGCGCTCGCGGCGTTCTTCGTCGCGGCGCTTGAGCTCCTCTGGGTCGGCGGATTCGTATAAAAAGGGGCCTGGGGCCGGTCGAACGACCATAGAGTGGTCGACGGGAGCCCAGAGGGGAGCTGCCTGGGGCGCTGTGGTATGTTGGATAGTCGCGTTAGGGTGCTGAGGTGGCGCGGGTGCGCGAAGGGCCGGTGGTATAGGACGGCTACCTTCCATGCCGACACGCGGGGATGGGGTACTTGCGTGAGCGTCGAGACGATAACGGTTCGCAGCATTATGAGCTGGACCTCCAATAGCGGGAGAGAAATTGTTATTATGTTCGTAGAAAGGGTCTTCTCCCATGAGACCTCCGAACTGGCCAACGCGGTCGTTCTGGGCGATGGCTTCGAGTGCTGCGACGAAAACTCTGTCTTGAGCGGCGGTGTTGCGCGCGAGAACCTCGGCATTGCTCTAGAATGCCGAGATCTGGGGCGCGTGGGCAGCCACTTGATGTCGGATAAACAGTCGTAAGCCTCCTTCGCTTCGCAACGATACACCTTCTAAAGCACGAGATAAGCCCGCAAGTGTGCCTGGACGAGAAACTCGGTAATTGTCAAGGTCGTTCTGAAAACTCGCCATTTCATCGCGAATCATGGCACGCAGGGACTCGTGAGTAAGACCCCGGTTAGGGGTACTGGCCGCAGTCACTGCCTCTGGATTGAAATCGTTAGATTGGTGAGGTTGAGGAAGGTGGGCTCGCGTACGACGGATGATTATAGAACCGTCGTTGGAATCGTCATATGAATCCACGGACTCTTCCTCGTATCGGCGGCTCGTGGCAGCTTGCACGCCTTGCTGAATTCCATGTCGGACACCCTGCTGGAAGATATGCTCGATATCTCTGTGAAAACTAGGAGGAATGCCTTGGTCGGCATTTTGCTGTAAGGTTTGCAGGATATCTACCTGCTGGTCCCTTCGAGCGGAATGCTGAATTGCATGCGGACGAGGACGGAGACGGGTTGTATGTACGCCTTGATGACTATTCTCATTGGTGAAGGGAGTCATTTCTTCTGCTAGTTGTTGAAGCGCCTCGGTCGCATTAAATACGCTTCGTGGGGTCACTTTAGACACGAAAATAGTTAGAATCATTCCCTGCGGCGCGTTACGTATCGCGAGGGGAGGCTTACCAATAATTTCGGGGGCGGCAGCTTCGCCCTCGTTTGCATCATCTCGCTGTAGAGATCCATCTGAAGAAAAGGTAAGTTGAAGGCCTAATGAACATGAAAATATTCAAGAGAATATAACCAAGTGCTTACCGGGTGGAGTGTGAATTATGACAGTATCCTCCTGACCAATGGAGAGCTGCTCTTCGTCATAGCTAGGCTCTCCAGCTAGATATAGTCAGCTAGCTGTCTTGTGTAGATTTTTGCGTGTAGATTACCACGCGCAGAGGCTAATCATGTGGACTTACTTCGTAGAACTGGTGCTCTCGATGATTCCGCCATCTCAGATGCTTCAAGTATGGTTACCTGTTGTTCCATGTGTATAATACTAGAATGAACTAAACCAGGTGCTCTGGGACCAGCCTGTGTAGTCAATAGAGGTTCATCCAATCTGCGTGGCGAAGCATGCAAACTGAGGCGGGTGTCTGAAGATTCAAATGAGCTACTACACTCAAGAATTGGGGATAAACCTCTACAAGGTGACTGGTAATCTGTGGGGAAACTAGAAGGTGTTGTGTAAACATTGGGCTGGGGTTCTTCTGGTTGTTGGTAAGTGTTTGTCCACAGTGCAGGTTGCTGGCTGGAAAGCTCTGGGGCCTCACCACTAGAAGTACCAGTAGTATATGACCTAGGCGTGGGGCTTTGTACTTCAGCTTGTCGAGGGGAAGATCGATTTGAGTGAGAGGTGGGTGGGGAATGTTGTCGGAATAGTTGGAATCGATCTGCTAGTTCTTCCGTTGGCGACTGTGAAGACTGCCTCAATGGTATAGAGGGGTTGGGGTTAGATAGAAGAGTGGGGGATGAGCGAGGATCTGTTAAAGTCAAGGCACTAGTAGGTCGAATATTGCTCATTTGTAGGGAGGCTGTTGCCTCAGAGACATTTTCTCTGTAATCGATCCGTCGGGGTCCAATGACGCGATCAACACGTCGAAGGTGGCCTCTAGCCCTTCTGCTATAAGAAGTCTGATAGTCTCCTTCGTCCTCACTATCATCACTGTCATCAAATACGGTCTGTCTTGTCATGCCTGTAAAGCCATGAACTTGTTAAGGAATATACTTGGGATGATAAAAAGAATTTGTAAAGGAAAGGAGGCGTTAAAGTCGTACCTGGATAACCCAGCCGGTTATTGTGAGTGTTATCTTCACGCATAGTTTCTGGTAGACGTCCAGAACTAGTAGCGGTAGGTAGCGGCCCCTGGATTCTTGAGCCCGGGAAACCTACGCTTATTTGCTCCGGTGAATCATCGACATCAAACCGCACGTTGCGTCCTGGAAGAGCAGGAGCTGAAGAAGTTGCGAGACAAGATCTTAGCTCTCGCCCCAACGGAGGGGCATTGACCAAGGGAATACCGGCTAAAGCAATGCCGGCTGATGAAATATCATCTGGGATAGCACGCGCTGGAGGAGTGGCGGGTGCAACGGCGCTTATGGTGCTGGGGATTTGGCTTATTTGCACATTCCCTTGTCGTAGCTGAGCACGCGCCCGGTGGCGTCGCAGTGTCCCATGCGACTGAGAGCTATAGAGACATTTTATTAGTTTAAGAGCACATTGTGGTATAAGGTGAGCATCAATAAGACTTTTAAGACTGACCTTCTTGACGACATTGCATCTGTAGAGGATGCTTCATCATCTTCCTCGTTTCTTGTCGGCTCTCTGGCCGACGGACCTGGTGCCAACTCCCGACTTCCTTCGGGAGAATCCTCCGGGAAAGGAGGATGCCAGTTGTATCTTGCACGTTGGCTAGGCATGATTTCAATGTGGTGCAATTAGAAAAGAACTGTCTAAACCTGAATGCGCAGTTGGCAAATGGTTAGTAATGTCACAGAGGAATGGGAACTGCCGAGGGTAGCGTCGGGGATTTGACGGATAAGTGTTAAGTGAATCGCGGAAAGGACAGAATAAAAAGTATTTACACAATCTAGAGGTCAATTCAATCGTTCTTATCACTCTGGTATGCGTGATAGGAGGATGAAAATGGTAACAAAAGCTTTCACTTGGATGCGCGGTAGACGAAAGATGAGCAAGAAACGTGTGTTCACAGAATGGGGTGCGGTTGAGAAAAAAAAAGAAAAAAAAGAAAAGGTGCGTAAAGAAAGGCGGCATTTAGAAAGTGTGTAAAGGCTGAGGTGATGGAAAACAGGTCGGCGGCAGAAAGTAGGCGCCTGAGGGTGGTGTGGTGCGCAAGAAGATGTCCAGTTTTGTGGGTGTTGTGCTAATAACTAAACCTAGCCCTACAAATTCATACAAAGTAATAGGAAATACCCGTTCCTCTTATTACTTTCATAACCGCTATAGTTGACTGTCATATTCTGAGGGTATCTAGACTAAGGAGACAGAAGGACTAGGAGCAAGCAAGACATAAGCCTATATACAGGAAGCCGCATAGTCACAACAGAGATAACTCACTATTGGATCATATTTATAAGATTTTTGACGTTATTATATACAATTATACTATTTCAAGAAATAAACATGAGATAAGTCGGCTTGTGAATGGGAATGGGCTTCATGATCATGACAGGATGTTGTAAGTCTTTGCGCATCAACGTTGAAGTTTTCAATGCAGGTACGGTTTATATGGTTTATATGTCGTACATGCCTACATGAAAAATTAGGTAAGCAATCAAGCAATCAAGCAATCAATCGCAATTGACGTTGAAGCACATGCCAGCCCCAGACCAGCTAGGTTAGTCGGGTCTTGGTATGTACTTGTACCTAGGTACTCAGGACCACACCGTCGGGAGGGAGCCAACTTAATTCTAATTTAACTTGGAACAAAGCGTTTCAAGGTTTCATCTTTATTTGATGTGGCTAGTTAATTATCTACCTAGGTATAACTACATAGTAGTATTTACCGCCTACATCATACCTGCAATAGCTACTCGTATGCATAGTCCATAGTATTCTTTCTACAATTCATTGCACTGCCTTGCGTATTCTTCGGACTATTCGGAAGATTTCCTTCATCTTTATGATCAGCAAATTAGACACATAATGCTGCCGAGATCAGCTGGCCGGATTTCCTCTTGGAGGTTGTCAGCATCTAATAAACGCCTCAATGCTACCCTCAATGCTACCCTCAAACGCGTATTTTGGCCCCCACCCCAACGATCATTCTCCATAACGCCGGCGAGGAGATATCAACTAGGTCAAGATGACTATCACAGTGACGATCCGAAGCAGTCTCTGTTATCCAAAATGGGTGAGACAGCAGGCACCACTCTTGCTTCGGTCTTGGTACTGGGCATTGGCTTCGCAGCCGCTGGTTATGTTTATCACAAGTCATACAAGTACCTGCAATTAAGTAAAATCGCAAACGCATTCGAACCGGGCGATCCGGTTTTGATACTGGCGGCTATGGGAAAGGAAATTCCGCCACCTAATGCCCAACATTGGGTCATGAGGGAAGAGCAAGCCAAGATTGACGGAATTATCAACGGCTCCGATAAGGGCCATTATTATCTCCTCATGGGCGAAAAGGGTGTTGGTAAAAGCAGCATGGTGTTAGAAGCCATGCGCAAAATTGATGGAGCTGGTTGCGCCATGGTCGAAGCTCATGCCGATCCCGAGATATTTCGACTTCGATTAGGTAAGGCAATTGACTATGAATTCCATGAGGATTATATCGGTGGCTATTTCAGCGAGCGCGGCCCTAGGGAATCGAATGCTTTACTCGACATTGAGAGAGCAATGAACAAGTTGGAAAAGGTAGCACTATTGCACCGCACAAAGGAGAACAAACCCTTGATCGTCATCATTAACCAAACCCATCTGATCCGAGACGACGAGGACGGTAGAAATTTGTTAGAACTTCTCCAGCAAAAGGCCGAATCGTGGGCGGCAGCAAACCTAATCAGCATGATCTTCAATAGCGATGATTACTGGGTGTATGAACGACTGAAGCAGTTGGCCACTTCTCGATTGGAGGTCATTTCTATTGGAGACCTACCGAAGGGACAGGCACTTCTAGCCTTGCATAGGTACCGCCAACGGTATTTTGCCGAGAACGTCGACAAGTCCATACTAGAAGAGGTCTATGATCGAGTTGGTGGCCGGCTTTCGTTCCTGAACCGGGTAGCTAAGTCGCGTGACATGCTTGCAACGTGCGATCTAATTAAGGACATTGAGAAGACGTGGTTCTTGAACCAGTGCTGGATTCTCGGTTCTGAGATGGATGATGATGTGATGGATCAAGTAAGAGATACACTGAAATGAAAATATTCAAGTATGAAAGCTAAATGGATAACAGCAAAAATGGGCCGTGAGTTGCCTGCCATAAAGATGGCCGATAAAGACTTACTAACAGATCATAGTCAGCTTCGATGGTCCTTGCCTTAGCCCTTATTGACAAGGAAGAGGAAGAGGGGCCAACCGAGTCTGAAAAGGGACACATCCTTCCGTGGTATCCTATGCATAAAGCGCAGGAGATCATGACTCGATCGGATTTCATCCGTGAGCTCGATCGACTGAACCTATTCACAATAACATGTACAGCCCAGGTTCGCGCCAGTTCCGTTCCGATGCACCGGGCTTTCAAGGAGATTTGTACCGAGCCCGGATTTCGGCAGTTCTTGGAAGATACTCTGGAACGCATTGCTGCGATCGAGAGTTTGGGTCGTACAAGAGAATTAGTAGCGAAGGACCTAGTACTTGGCGGGAAGTACCACATCACCAAACCGATAAGTTTGGATGGTAGAGTAGAAGTCAAGCTTGAGCAGAAGGAGGACAAGAGTTGACGAAGCCTATTGAGGGAGACTCAACATGCTTACCTAAGATAGGTACCCTGGTGGGAGGTATCAGTGAGGAAAACGCCAGCTGCTGGGGCAGTTATTTCTCTTCCTTTACCTTTTTTTATGGGAGGCCAAGTATAGATATGTAAAAACATTGTACCATAGTAGAGAGTATCGTTGATACCGATAGAATGCATCGAGCCGTTGCGATCAGTGGGTGACTCATGAGCGTCAGGGTCTACCTAGGTGGAAGCTTAGAAGGCTACGATCTAACCTAGGATAGTTGTTGTCTCTAGCAGAGTACTTCGATCGAAGTAGTATGATTTATTTATGAGGATGACTCTGACATAATGGTGTGTTTCTGTTGAGTAAGGGAAGAAAGCATGAGATGAGCCATGGCACCAAAAATGATGCGAGAGTGAGAGAGAGTGAGAGTTCAAGGAAAAAGAATGGAAAAGGATTCAAGGTTGGGTGGAGATGGGTATTTCAATGTTGGGAAGGCAGGCACGCTATAGGCAGCGCCCTGAAGGTGTTACATAATACCTCCGGGGCTACCTTCCAGGCTTCCTCAGAGTGCCTGTTCAGGTACCTACTAGGTACTAGCCTAGCCTAGGACTACCTACAATTACGTGCCGCGATTCCCGAACTCCAATACAACTTCAATTAATAGGTCCGAGTTCTCGACCATTATTCTGCACTTTTCCTACACCCCAACTCTTCGATAACCTATCATATGAAGTTCCCTATAGTATCAAGTGGCGAATTATAGGAGCTAAAGAAAAGGCACAACATTCCTACCTATACCTCGCTCGAATATATCACTATTGTCCAACGCAGTAAGGCATGATGTAGCCAACATGATCGCTTTGTATATCAAAAGCTCTCGATCTGGAACCTTCTGCGCTTTCATGACCTCAATCGGAGATTGTGCGTTGTCGTAAGTGCCTGTCGCACTCCGCAGTCCCTCCCACGATTCTGCTGGCCCCAACTTAGAGAGTGACTTCCTCAACACATCGATTTCAACAGCCCATGATTCATCAAACAGGTTCAGAAAGAGACGATAAAGCTGCGTGAGCGTTTCTCCTCCTTCGTTTTGGAGACTGCTCAATAGCCTCAATATTTTCCTGTCCCGCATGCCAATCTTGGGCTCTATGGGGGTGTCTGGAAGATGTACCGTCGCCTTTCCCTTCAACTCCTTTAAGAAGTCTTCGTACGGTTCGAGCCTTATTAACGCCGCTGATATCATGTATAACTCGACTTGAGTACAGCGTACGCTCTGGTTGAAATCTTTGAGTGCTTTGTCTACTTCCTCTATTTCTTGAGTGATGGCGTTGCGAAACCGAAACCTTTGACTAAATGGGAGACGAAGGAATGACCTCTTTCCGGCATCGCTATCAACAGCGAAGTGAAGACACAAGGCAAAAACGTTCCACGACTTGTTCTTGTCAAATTTATCCCGAAAGTTCGAAGAGCTCCAGAATCTCTTCCAGTCTGCCGTCTTTATATCGAGTTTAGACAAAACCCATTTCTCCGGTAGATGGTTTCTCGACCAAAAGGATCCTTGCACCACCAGCGATCCCAAAATCTTCTTCACGTTGGCACTTCTTGCTGGGAATACCTCTCCTGGATCAAATTTCTCGGCATACAGAAGCCAGGAAATGTTATGCCGGCTCGCCAAATCGACAAGGAGAGTCCAGCATTGGCATAAGGCCTTTCCGCCGTCGGGTGCCACATGCGAACATTCATTCCCAAAGTCTATGTTCAAGGCTGGGCCGGTGATACAAGGTCCAAACCCAGAGCCCATGCTGGCCCTGATTTTGTAAGTCTCCGATCCCGATTCGAGAACGTTTACCTGGTTGCTTTCTGTCGTCTGGTCACTTTCCTTTGTCTGGAAACCCCCATGACTCTTGCGAAGGGTAGATGCAAACCAGTGAAGCCAGCCTTGAGACTGTTCCGGCGGCGTTAGCTCACTTTTGGCGAAAGGGGACATGAATCGATCGATGCGGCTTTTCGAGGATCTCATGCTTTGCGCTGATCGCTCGTAGAATTCAAAAGATGCCACAACTCCAAGAAACGGTTCCCGCCGAAATCGTATCTGAGCATTGGCTCCAGTCAATCGGGGCAAATCCGAGTCCGGTTCCATTGTCAATGTATCGCACCCAGCCGCGGCAGCCAAGACCACAATTGTATCTATATCCATATAGGCTGGGACTGCCTGAATTTCAGACGGAAGATAGTCCGCAGGGGTCAGTCTGGTTTCCATTCCGAAATCTTCCCAAACAAATTGGTTCATTCCATTATGTATCAAGAGATGTAGCCAAGTGGCGGGTCGGTATTGGTCTTCGCAATTGTTTTTGTCATATTCGTTAACCTGATCATGAGCAGGATGTGATTTAGGCACGAGTTCGGAAAGTTTCTTCGTGATCGTCTTGATGCCCTTCTCCCCCTCCTCCTCTTCCTCCTGCTTCTGCAGAATCTTGCCAGCAGTAAGAAGAGGCGTATGTGCGACGGATTCCCTACGAAACTGCGAATAATTCAAACGATATTTGGTCTTCTGGCTCCAATTACCAATGGCATTTCTGGAGCATCTCCGGCGTCCAGGACCGGCTAGTCCCTGAATCACCGTCATGGCTGCGAATATCAGTGCCACAATGCCGATAACCACGGTCAGGCTGAAGGTCGGCGCGTCCCATACATTTGGCTCTTGGACTGCGTCCAATATAGACAACAACAGACAGTCGGTCAAGTTATAAGCATTGGTGCAATTGTCCATAGAGGGGAAAACTTAAACGGTAAGACTCGTCACGGTAGTTCCAGTTGCAATGTGATTTGGGGATAAGGCCTCTTCTAACACAAGACGCAACTCGATCTTGATATTTTTATGTGAATTCTGTCTCATGAGAAAGAAGAAGAAAAAAAGGCTCAAAGTGAAAGCGAGTGCATGTGGGACACCAAACTGCAATTTGGACCCCACGTTACGGATTCGGACATTCAGCTCTCATCTGTCCTGCTGTAGGTACAGCAAGAAAATTGACGAATAATCAAAAGGGGATCGCGTGGGTATCATTGACAAAAGTTATGCAGATTCAAAGGCTTCAAAATGCAGTCTGAAGTGCCAGCGCGTGGGAGATTGCACGAGAATACTTAGTGTTCAAACAAAGCGACAGATTTTGCGGACAAAACTCTGTTAGGAATCCCGTGGGCTTGCTTGTTTCAACATCGTAACCAAGGAGAGAGGCAACGGTATTATCTATCTAGCAGTTTAGAAAAAGGTAATGATTTCTCGATAAAAAGTCCCGTATCCCCACCATAAACGGGTGTCATTATCCCACCCCCCTTTCCAAGCAAGTACGAATTTATCCCCCCACTCGACCAGTGCCGGGGTACTATCTGTTAGCGAGACATCTAGTCGCTGCGGAAGGTCGAAATGGGCAGTTTTCTCGCTACGATCCAGGGAGGTGAGCCATATACCAAAATCATTACCTTTCCCCCTCCACCCCACGTAGACCTTGTCCTTGTATCTGGCTAAGGATGGCGCCGCGTTGCTGTGGCAATGCCGCTGGACTGACAACGGCGCTTCGGAGACATCAGAGCCTGGGTTGCGGAGTGACACAAATATCTCTCCTTTGGTCTCGGCAGCGCAGCTTCTCCATGCCAGATAGCGCCGCTCACGACAGGATACTAGCGCAGGACGCGATTCGGTATCAATATCGATATAATCAGGATACTGTGAAGTCCAGCGCCCATGTTCCTCGGGCGAACTACTATCATACTCAGCACGCCACAGGAGCTCATCGCCCCGAGTACAACTCCACACCGCAGCGACCTTATCTTTACCCAACGACGTTACCGCGGGTCCGGTTCTGCTTCCAAACTTGGTGTGTACAGGCGGATCCCATGCAGGCCTTTCGGCGCTGCAGTCCAGTATTGAGTATACCAGCTTTTCTCCGCTCGAATCTTTCCACAGTGCAAAAAGCTTGTTGCCCATAGGAGCAATAGACGGCCGCGCATCGGTTTTAGCACCTCCGATTTGCTCGGGCTTCGACCATTCTCCATTCAACTTGTCTATGCGGGCCCACCACAGAGAAACGCGATCGTCGTGGGCGCGCCACACGGCGTAGAGCTTGTTCCCGACGACAGCCAACGTCGGCCCGTCCACACTCACAGCATGTTTTGATATTTCTCTCTGTGCTCCGTCTGGGTGCCAGCGAAACCTCAGTTCTGAGCCAAAAAAGCTGTTTTAGTCATTCAATTTACTTTTCTAGGTTCTCGGCTACCACTTCGAAGGAGGATACACGTACTCGGTGACTCAACCCCCAGGAGGGTCTGCAGGTGTTCGAGGAGCAATTTCCTCACAGTCTCATATAAGGGATGCTCGTGACCCTTTAACTGCGGCGTGTGCAGCCCGTTTCCTGCGAAAGGCTTCAGCATTTTCTTATAGATTGTGTAATGTTCTTTGGATGAAGCAATTCTACGCCCCCACCCCATGGCCTCGAAGTTGCTCCCGTGCAGCTCGCCGAGAACGTCGAAGACAACGTTAGCCCACAGGTAGGGGCTTTCGGTGGTCCCGTCAAGCTGGAGATCTTGCTGAATCTGGTCGAGATGGCCGTGGATGCCGAGACGCTCGATTCGGTCACCGACGACCATGCTGAAGTCGTTCGCGAATTCCATCCGGACAACTTCTGGTGGGATCTGCTCGTTATCCGGTAGACGGGGAATCATATCGCAGTTTGAATTATACCAGCGATTATACCAGTCATCCCTAGCTATCGCTATGACCTTGAGACATATGCGATTCGGTGACTGGTGGGCCGATTTAATTACCTCTAGTCTTTTGATATCGACACGCTTGTCTTTACATTCATCCAAAGCATCGAGTATGCAGATAACTTCTCCCCGAGGCTTGACAGCCTCGTCTGCTCGCTGCTTGAGCTCGCGTTCTATCTGCTGTATGACATTCAAGAACCTGTCGTCATCGTCGTTTCCGAAAAAATGGTGGTAGATCTTCGATTCCGCCGCAATTCTGTTAGGCAGAGTTTTAACAAGGAAGCGCGCCAGCACCGTTTTCCCACACCAGGGCTCCGCGGTTATGACGAAAAGCGGGAGATAGTTGTCGGGGAATGTGTTGACGAGGAAATTCCTGAATATGGGCTGTGAGTATATCCATTCGCACGTCCCGTCTGCTGCATTTGGGATTTGCTTTGCTGCCCGCTTGCTTGGGTTCATGAGGACGGATGTGTTGTAAGTTGTGATGGCAGACACCGACAGATCGAGGCTCACTTGCTTCTAATTCCTGTTCTACAGCTTGAAGTCATACCTACCTCTACAGTTGGGTTATAAATACCTACCTATGTAGGTACCTAGGTATTATTGTTCCTCTTCTGCCTTGAGAGCCGCTAGCGCGGTCAAGCTTTCCCCTTGCGGTTGAACGCGCTGCACCGGTTGACCTGTCATATCTACCGTAGCATGGCTTTTTCAGCTCCAATGTCAAATTTTCCTTCTTCAGTAACATAGCCGTAGATCAGGGCCGGCCGAAAGTGCACAAATAGAACCACATCTGCAGAAAATCTCGTTAAAATCAATAATCATAAGCGGCCAAGCAACATTGCATAGGTACCTACCTAAAGCAAGAGCCTCAAATATGATAGATACAGCTACGAGTGGGTGGGGGAGAACCCTCACCCCGCCATCTTATATTGGTCCGAGGTTTAATGGTAAGCTGATGCTCGAAAGAGAAGAATGTGATGCAACGTATACGACGGAAGCTTGAAGGTCGAGCGTCTTCGGACTTTACAATTTGCTCGGCAATGTTGCTAACTACATACCTTATAGAGGAAAGGCTACTAGGTAGTGAGGTAGGTACGCCTCTAAGCTAGATGTTAGGCGTGCCAATTACTGTATTTTACATTGGTAAATATAAGAAGCATGTATTGTACGATATATCTGAAAGAGGCTATTGCAAACTTTCCCTTTTTTGCTACTTATAGCATAATTTTAGTGATTGCCTAGGTGCCTAGGTAGGCAACGCCGTCAAGCCTATCAGTAAAGTCACGAAAGAAGAGTTCAAAGTCTTGGTCAATAATACCGACTTACCCGATACGCACCTCGTATTCATAGACCTTGGCCCTTCTTCCCACCCCCGTCAACCAAATTCGTATTATATATAGTATCTATAGAATCCCCTACACTTAACTATTCCAATAACTAATTATTATCTCCAGTCTTCCAATTTACCGCGGTCTTCATTCAATTTGTTTGCCCAGTTTGCGCACTAGTGAACGATGTCCAGGGAGTGTGAAGGGGCTGATCACCGGATAACTATGTCATTGAACCAAGAAATGAATTACATTTCTTGATTTCCAATGCTAGACTATTCGCCTTCTCCCTTTTTTCATTTACTTTTTGCATAAGAAACAAAAACAAACGACATGCCAGTGATGCCACGTGCCTACATATGTAGGTTAGGTATCTTGTTAAGCTAAGGCCAATATCGGAGTTTAAATGCTTATAGTCCGTCTTTGACGTCACAGTGCAAATAGGGAATTTGATTATTAACAATTAACATGGCATTTTAAATGTTCAAGCGTTTCTAATATTGAAGAGAGAAAAGCCGGGTGTATCGATAAAGCAAGTTGGTAAGGTAGCTGTACACGCAATGCGCAATGCAACACTACAACTTTGCAAGTACAGATACAGCTGCAAGTGCGAGTGCAAATGCAGGCGCAAGCGCAAGGTCAAGGTCTAGTGTAAGGACAAGTGCAAGTGCAAGTGCACCTCCAGCATTTCCAGCATTACCAGCATTTCCAGGTTCAGCGAATTTAGAAGCTGCAAGGGCTACAAGGGCTTCAAACGCTGCAAGGGGCACCGACAAACCACTCGAACCATCTCAAATTCTTCAACATCGTCACTCGTTATCACACTTTTCCAATCACAACTTCGATACACAAAACAATTGGCTTCAAATCCAATTACGCCGATATACCATTCGAACCGCATCTGCGCGACGACAACAAACACGAGCTCGCCGTACATACACTTCCTCCTCCTCTTCGACAGACCAAGATAATACTTTTTGCAAGAAGAGTCGGAATATTGGCCACTTCGAAGCAGTATCGCAACATCTTCTCCACTTGATTTATTTAAGCAGCCTAATAAATACCCTTCCGGACACCCTCCCCGTTCATCGCCAACGTAAACCATCCGGAAAGAAGAGGAAAAAGAAAGAAATCCAAACCCTAGGAAATGCGACCCCAAAGACGACAATAGCTACCGGCGTCTACATGCACCCCTTTTCTGTACTCACTCTTGCGATATTCGTAGCTGGCTACATCACTGCTCGATGGGACCTTGTTACTCGGCTCTACGAATTGGCCATTTTTGCTTGGGATAAAGGCGTCATAGTGAGCAAGAACCTTCCTCTCCCCCCTCTCCATTCACACTTGTATAGTACATATGTAGTAGACGCTTGCTATATAGGCTAGCTATTAAGCAACAAGATGGAGCTTTGGTAGAATACTGATAAGTTGATCTAACACGTGGCATATTTCCGTCTAGATTCGTGCCGCTCAGGGATTCGCCGCCTTGAGTGTAGCTTTTGTCCTAATCTTGATACCCGTACAGCACCTCGCTCGAGTAGAGGCAGATCTGGTATTGTTTGCGGAAGTCCCATTCATCCCAGCCGGTGTCACTAATAAATTAACCACAGCATCCGCGATCGCCTAGCCTTGGAATATCAGCTCGAGAACAACTCCGGCGCAGAGGCTCCTTCTAGTTGGAGTACTCTGACGCTCCCACTCGGTCATGCCCGAGCATGAAGGATTAATGAGGGTATTTTGGCCGACCGATATTGCCACATCTACTGCTCCTGGTGTCGTGGTTGGATGGAGAAATTCGAGCTTGGACGTTGTCGTAATAGCAGTTTTGGATCATGTTGAAGTGAGCACCTCAACAACATATCGGAACTCCATTGAAATTATTGACAGCATCATGTAGCCAAAAAGTGTGGAGAATGCCCTGAAGACGGGCATCTTGTTACGAAATGCGCCTCACCCCATACCTCGAATCTTCGAAATCTGTGGACAGTCTTCTATGCATGTCCTCGGCATCACGAATCGCGAACCCGATTTTGACACAGATCCATCGTGGGTACGAGCCGTGGTTGGACCATCTCAACGAACCCCCAAGATCACCTGTCCGAAAGCATCCAGTATTCAGATCATCTTATTCGAAAGACCAACCCCCCAACGCATGCAATATATATCCTTGAACCCCATTGCTCTATCACTCGCCGATAAAGGGGAAAATGCGTATCATGCCTCCGACAGTTCCGAGGCCGAGGATGAGAAACAGGAGCGAAAGAATAAACAGAAGACACGGTTCCTAGTCGAAAAGTTAAAACAACATTCGGTTGTGAAGCGCGCGCCATCCCAGAAAGACAAGGCCCTCGCGAGAATCGTCAATCAGATCAACTGGACCTGGGAACTGGAACATCTGCTACAGAGGAACGTGCCGCTCATTGGTACCCGACCAAAACGGGCGCTGAGCGTCTCGGAACGAGTGGTAGAGCATGCTACAAACATGAGGGACTATGTGATCCTGTGGGTTTGGGATATGACAATTCTCTATGCATTTCCTATAATTCGCACGGCCTTCATAATGCTCCTCCTCGGTCACCGAATCGCAGCGGAAGCTTTGCTTCGTGTATTAGAATGGAGGGCTCGGCCGACTTCGCCTGCGCTGAAAGATGTGTCTGCGACAGCCCAACAAGTAGAGATACGTCTCCAGCAGTTTTGCTATTGGCCGATGCAGTATGTGAAACTTCGGCTGCGGAAGAACGATTGGGATAGTGTCACCACAAGTCATCCAGATTATATACGATTTTATAACAGTCTCTGGCTCGTGGCTAACGATGTCATCATCGGTATCGCTCTGGGGTCGTATATCATCGACAATGCCGATTGGGTGGCGGATACGATTAGCATGCTGCTAGGGAGTTATACGATCAATGCATTACAGAGTAGCATATCTTGGCTCATGGGTTGGCCTGCTGGTCTCAAGCTGAATAGTGAATTGGCACTCTTCTTGGGAGACCTTTTCCTCTGGGTTATTGACTACTGGTCTAGTTGCATCGACACTTTGCGACCCCTATTACCACATATGGTTTGGTTTATTGGCTTCTCTAGCTTTGCTGGTGCCAGCATGCCGATCGCCCTTTTTTCGGACCTGCTCTCCGTTCTCACCGTGCACATCTACTCTTTCTACTTGGCCTCAGCACGGATCTACCATTGGCAACTTACCATCCTGCTCTCCCTATTCCAATTATTTCAAGGTAAAAAGTATAATGTATTACGAAATCGTGTCGACTCGTGCGATTACGACCTTGATCAACTTCTCGTCGGCACCATATTATTCACCCTCCTATTCTTTTTATTACCTACCGTCGTTGTATTTTATCTTAATTTCGCCCTTGCGCGCATGGTCATCATATCGTTCAAGGCGATTTTCGATACATTACTTTCTTGCTTGAACCATTTCCCACTGTTTGCACTGATGCTGAGGGCAAAAGATCCTCGGCGTCTTCCAGGTCAGTTCCACCTATTGGCCCATCACATTTTCGATCTTGATATAGACACTGACATTTTCGGGATTTAGGTGGTATTCATTTTGAGCTTCGTGATACCCCGAATAGAATTGGTAATAATTCCACATTAATTTCATCATCCTCCCAGCCCACTTCCGTCATCTATGTTAAGGTATGTCTCATTTCCCAATATCTACAAATCTACAAGATTAAGAGGTTGACACGAGACGCAGCCAATACCTCTCTCATTCACAGCCATGTTTCATCAGTACTTCCAGATGGGCAGCCGTATCCGCAAGCATTACCTATCACCTCGGGTGCTTTTTTGCCTCATCACCGGCCGCTTCGTGCCGCCGATCCACCGAAAAGCACTCTACTCCCTACAATACAGCATGCTCCCCGCGCACAGGGCCGGCATTGTAGAAATGTGGGAGGCACTCAACTCGCTGCCAGCAAAGAAGAGACCATTCAAAGTCCACCCGTTTGCGCTGCAGGCAAGCCCGGCAGTGCTCAACGGGAGGCGGCATATGAACGGACGTGCCTCGAGAGGATTATGACGAGTACGAGAGATGTTTGTGAAAGGCGTTGGAAAGGGAAGGGTATCAACTTGCTAGACATCATTAGTTTCGGGGATAAGGATGGAGTATGGGACTACTAAGTGTATCACGACACGACTAATGAAGATAGGCTTTTCTGTATATATGTGTAGAGGGATACCAAAGAGAGCTTGTCTCCTGGAAGCCTCCTGGATGTACTTGATGGCTTGGGAGAGGAGATGAGATGAAGTTCAATAGAATAATCGTATGCCTGAATTGTGTGGTCAAGTCAGTCAGTCAGTCAGTCAGTCTTAAAGGTGTTCAATGTTGGCCCTAGGTTAGGTTACTAGGTAGGTACTTGAGATGCCCAACCCGGTCCACTCCTTCTGTAAGAATCTCATGAACATTCAGGAATATCACGTAGGTATCACGAAATACCATAAATGCATAGGTACCTTATGTAGGTAAATGTTGGGTTTTGCATTTGAAACCTACCTACATAGGTATAACTGATCTTACCTACCCACATTGTCCATGGAGAAAAAGCAAGCCACCCGAATATCAAACGCCCACATAACCCCACAGTTCTTGTGATATCTCGGGCTCGTGTGCTATTATGTATGTATAAGCACGGCAAAGCTACCTACATATGTTGTTCCCGATTTACCTGCCCAGCCCGTCCCCAGGTATGTACCTACCGTCAGAGATCCCTCCCGAAGAATTCCAAGCCAACGCCTTCAGACAAGCCAACTGTCTGATTTCGATACCTTTTCTGCATAGCAGGTAAGGTACCTGCCTAGCCCCTTATTCAAAACACACAAACACAGAAAAAAAAAACACCCGTTAACTAACTAATGTTTCGCACAAAGGTCACCAATATTCGCTATAAGCTCGTTGATATGGTATGGTTTCGTCGTCACGCCATCCTGCCGTAGGTAGAGCTTAATATTAGCAATCGTCGGACAACAACAAGCAAGCGACTAACGTCTAGTTTAAGGTCTTTGGTACTTACCATGCCAACCTCGATAGCATCGCTAACCTGCTTACTCCTCACGTTGGCCGTAACGCCCAAGATAGGAATATGGCCAACAAGTTCGCCTTTCGCCTCGAGCCGGCGGATCTCGCGAGTAAACTCGATGCCGTCCATGACGGGCATCTCGATGTCGCAGAGGATGACGTCGAAGGGACTCCAGGATATGCCCCTTTTCTTGCTGTCGATCATCACGTCCAGGGCATCCCTTCCGTGGTTCGCGGCCTTGACGCCAAAGTTGTGGTTGCGCAGCTGCTTGCACAGGACCTTCTGGTTGACCAGGTTGTCCTCGACGACAAGGATCCTGAGCGGCAAAGGTTCGATCCCGGCGCTTTCTAGATTGGGTGGCGTCTCGGGACTCGTGGTCTGGTCTTCCTCCTCGTTTGATGTCACGGCGGTCCCGTCCGCCTTCAAGCTAAGGGACCGAGTTAGCCGGATGAGGGGGGGTTCCACGACCTTGGGCGAGCCCTGGGGGAATTCGCATTCCTGGGTCTTGACGTAGAATGCGAAGGTGCAGCCCGAGCCGGGGCTGCTGGCCATGCCTATCTCGCCGTCAAGCATCTCCGTGATCTGACGAGAGATGAACAGTCCGAGGCCTGACCCGCCGTACTCCACATGGGTTCTTGGGGAGGCCTGCGCGAAGCGATCGAAGACCTGGGCTTTCTCGTTATTCGTCAGTCCCTTGCCGGTGTCTTGGACAGTGAAAGATAGGAATATGTCTGACGATTGCTGCGCTGCGCCTTCGAAATCCAAAGGTTGGCCTGTAGCGGATACGGGGGTGGCAGGTGAATATCGCTTCGGTACATATTCTACACCCAATTCTTCTTCCAACGGTCGATGGTTATGGGCAGATATCGTCACAACTATTTCCCTCACTTTCGACTGCTTGGTGAACTTTATAGCGTTAGTGACGAGATTGATCACGATTTGAAGAAATCGAGTTGGGTCTAGTAGAACCCATTCGATACCTAATGTCGAAAGTGAACTGTCTTCGACGATGGTAAGATTGATGTTTGTCATTTTCAGCTCGACTTTAAAGATCTTGAGAGACAGGCGAACCAGCGCCATAGGCTGCATCGGAATAGGGGATACCATGAGCAAGTCCGAGTCGAGTTTGGAGATGGTCAGTACGTCGTCAACGATTTGCTTTTGATGCTGTACACAGTAAACAATGGTGTTGGCGGCATCCAGCACATTGCTGATTTGCGACTTCAAATATTTCTTCATCGGATCGCTGATGTCAGGGGTGCGTGGCTCCTCCAACACGAGATTGAGCTTCTCGGAGCCTTTTCGAACGGACTCGATGATTTCTTCGCTGCAATGCAGGACTGCTGACAAAGGATTGCGAATCTCGTGGCTGATCATATCCATGAAATGCTCTTGCTGCGTTCTCGATCGTATAGCTTCCTCCATTTTGTCCGTTAATACCTTAACTGCCATCTTCTGCCCACTAATGTCGACGATCCAAAAGTCGATATAGTCAACCTCACCATTTTCTTTAAACCGAGTGAAGCCTGTGGAGAGAACATAAGCACCGTTGGGGGCAGTGGCATCGTCCCCTAAGATGGTCTCAGTGTTATCCACCAGCTGGAACTCGATAGTCTCGGGGCCAGGGTATGTCTGCAACCGACCAAAGAAGTCCGTTACCTCCTGCGCGTAGTCCTCGTGGATCCAAGGGATCCATGGCTTGCACTCGGTAACAGGTTCTTGTCCAACCCCGAAAAAGGAGCGCCATGCATCGTTCCCGAACAAAATGAAGCCATCGCCATCTGTACGGCAAATACCGAAGGGGCAATGTTCCGCATAATTTCGCCATTTATCCTCCGACTCCTCGAGGTCTTTGGAGCGGGAGATGAGCTGCTGCTCAGTCCACTTCAGCTCGCTAATGTCCATCGTGAGAATCATAACGCTCTCGACCTCGCCCAGCTCGTTCAGATCAGAATAGCAAGCACATATACCGGTTCTGTACTCGGAATACACATGGCCGCGACGGAAAGGTTCCTTGGAGTGGATCTGGAATGTTCCCCCTTTTTTCTCTGTCACCACTCTTTTCTGCCACTGCAAAAGCAGACCAACATCCTCTGGTATCACGCTGTCAGACCAGCTCAAGTTCGCCTGGTCAGCAGGGCTGAGCCCAGAGAATTTGTACCAGGCATCGTTCGCGTAGAGTATCTAGTAGCTGTCAGTAAACCTATATACGCAGCATTATTTTAGATCCGTGCGCCAATACTTTACCCTCGGTGTCCGTGATGGCGAGGCCAGCAATGGACCGATCCGCGAAACGAGAAAATCTCATTTCGCTCCTTCTGCGATCTAGCTGTGCCCTTTGCGCCAACTCATTATGACGGGCCACCTCCTCCGATAACCGTGTCCTCATGATTTGCGGCGAGGCAAAGGCGGTTATGAGATGCAGGAATCCCCGGAACTGCTCGTCGTATCTCCTGTATGGATTCAATCCAACCACCATGAATGCGGCGATGCTGTCGTCGGCCAGGAACGGCACGATGGCAAACTGCTTACAAGGTAAGTCACTGTCGCTACACCCGATAGCACAGAGAAATTGCCGCATCGATGGATCGTTGACTTCTAAGACCAATGTTTTGTCGTTTTTCAATGCCGCCAACATGCTCGGCGTAAATCCATCGACGTCAGATACCAGATCCATATACTCCTGTTCAATGCAATGGTCATCGTCGAGGCCAATGGCACCTTCGAAATGGCATGGGTGGTTAGGCTTGCTGGGGGGAGCATTAATGCTAAGCTCCTCATCGAGTGAATACAATAGTGCAAAGGGGATATCTTTTTGGTCGTAACTTAATCCGTCTAACATGGCAAGCCAGAGCTCTTGCATGTTCTTCGTTTTCCCGGTAAGACGGGATAACTGGTGGATACAAACGTTCTGTCGCGATATTATGACCTCTCCGGTCCGGTCTGAGGGTATGCCGTAGGCGCCCATGACGTCCCCTTGGTCGTTGGTGATGGGGATCACTTTCCAGTCAAAGTACCGTTCTTGCATGTAGTCCTCCTGCTCGATAAGCAGCACGGTACCGAGACATGATTCCGTTTGCTTCGTTCGGCGTTGTTCCGATATCTTCTCAGCTAGCTGTTGCCAGATAGAGGTGAAGATGCGATTAGCATCCATCCCCATCACGTCTGGGTTCCTTTGTCCCAGTAATGGAAGGTATGCTTCGTTGTAGAGTATAGCGGAAGATGGCCCCCAAAATAGCACAGCGGGAGTGGTATCGACCAGGAGGAAGCGTGCCGCATGTTGTAGTTCCGAAGTCCAGCTCTCGACTGGCCCGATAGCGGAGTGGCTCCAGTCGACGTGGCCAAAGAAATTCTGGATAGGTGAGATCACAGGGTTGGAAGGTGTCTTGTGCGGCTGATTGAATTCTTCGGCTGGCGATCTACTGGGTTGGAGACCATGTAAATCGCGAGACGAGTGTCCTTCGAGGGGAAAAGGGACCGGGCCATGGTTGGAAATCATCACGGCACCATAGGTGTCACAGAACCCGACCATTGTCCAGCAATCATCTAGTCAAAGACTTGCCGAAAGGAAAAGCAGAAACCCCCTAAAAAGGAAGAAGAAAACTGCCAAGACAGTTGTAGGAGATGGGAGGTCTCGGACAACAACGTATGGTAATAGATTGGTGGATGGATATGGAGTGTGTTGAAGCTTTAGGTGATATCCAAAAATTGTCAGGTTAGAAGAAGTCAAATTCGCCTCACAGGTTGGGCTGAGGTGGGATAGCGGCGGCACTTGAACCTGACCATTTGCACTTCGCGACGTCGAGATCCCTCCAGTGTATGCATGACCATTACTCGTCGACTGCATTAGTTTGAAGCTATCCATGGATATCTAACAACTAAGTTTGGTACCTAAGTAGGTCCTGACAACGTCTCTATTTCTGTTAGTAATATCCCAAAGAGAGTTTATCTGCGTGACAAGTTGATGGTAACTGATGGGATGGGAACTGAGTTCAACAAGGTTGTAGGATCTATGCTAGACTGGTCACGGATTCGTCATGTCCTTTTTAAGCCACCCAGTAGGCATATAGTCAGCATGTGTGTAGGTAGGTAGGCACTACTAGATATGAAAACGTTTCATTATTCCACAATGAACTGTCATCAGGGATGAAGTAGCTAACTTACTTTACTTTACCAAACTAGTGTATTGGAAGCCAGTCAGTAAAAAGGGGGAAGATGGGGAAAGGGGGGACGGGAAGTCAATGTCAACTTGTCTACCTAAACAAACACAAGAAACCGTTTGATATCCCCTCACCCCGTTCCAATCAACCTTTTTCCTTTGCTGATTCATATATTTTGTTTTGTTGATATTACTACCGAGGGATGACTTGGATTGATTGTTTGAAACTGAGGATTACATACCTGGGTAAATTTCGACGTCGTTTGCTATATCATCTTCTACTATGTAGTTAGCCTAAAATGCATATGCACCTATCTGTAGGTGCTTACATATTGTAGGTAGGTAAGTCCGGAGATGAATCTGGGGCCTATCGGGAATATGTCCGGATTTCAAATGCCGATTTTAAAAAGGTTATCTTAACATCTTTACCACCTATATCCCACCTGCATAGGCGTGTGGGTCACCGGTACAGATAGATAGTTTCGGTGGTGAGTCAGGCTTGATAGATTAATAATTTCCTATGTAATCCAGCTACCCCCCCCCCCCCCCCCTCCCCCCTCTCCCCATCCGCAAAATTCTTATCCTCAACCAGACAGGTTAGTAGCACAGTTGCCTAAGAAAGAAGCAATGGGGTCCCTAGCGTCCGAAAGCGACCTCTTCCTAGCGCCGGTCCCGCCCAAGGACACCGTCCTGAATTTGCGGACGGGGAAGATCCGATCCCTAGGGGGCGTCAAGGGCCTCTTCTCCGCCATCAACAAGCAGCCGCGACAGGGCCGCCTTCGTCTGGTGACCAACGGCTTTGTCGGCGACGAGCGGCAGTACGTCCCGCACCAGAGCGACGACAACGCGATCCACCAGTACGACGCGCGGCACTACGAGGCGTGGAAGAAGATCCTGCCGGACCGCGAGCACAAGTTCAAGGTCGGCGCCTTCGGCGAGAACCTGTCCACGGCGCACCTCTCGGAGTACAACGTCTGCGTCGGCGACAAGTTCCGGCTGGGCGAGGAAGCCGTCGTCCAGGTCACCATGCCGCGGCAGCCGTGCTACAAGCTGAACCACAGGTTCGAGTACAAGAAGATGTCCAGCCTGATCCAGAGCAACGGGCGCACCGGGTGGTACTACCGCGTTTTGAGGGGCGGGGAGGTGCAGGTGGGCGATGAGATGGAATTGCTGGAGCGCATCAATCCCACCTGGTCGCTTTCCAGGGTGCAGCGCATTCTCTACAAGGACACGGGCGACCTGGAGGCGGTGGCGGAGATAAGTAGGCTGGAGGGTCTCAGTAGAGAATTCATCAACCTCCTCCAGAACCGCCTCTCGAAGGGCACCGAGAACATGAATCTTCGTCTATTGGGCGATTTCACAGTTCCTTGGCGGCCATATAAGTTAGTTGACAAGGCTCGACTGACGCCCCGAGTGCAGAAATTCGTATTCCAGTCGGACGATGCGAATATCGAGCCACAGGATTTACAATTTAGGCGGTTTCCTCACGTGCGCCTTCGATTTGGTCCCGATGCCATGTTTACGAGGGCTTACTCGGTAGTTTCAGGAGACATGAGGAGTTTCGAGCTAGGAATCGCCAAAGATGACAATTCACGCGGCGGCTCTGCATATCTACACGACAAACTTGAGGTTGGCGATGTTCTAGAAGTAGCCAAGGGGCACAACGCAACCATAGACATAATGAACGGGAATCAAGGAGTTGGTCGGATTAGACATGTGTTTATTTTGGGCGGTATAGGCGTCACGGCTTACATCAGTGAAATCAAGGCCCTGAGCAAGAAGTCTGCGGACCTCGAAATACATTACGCGGTCCGCAGTGGGGAAGAAGCTGCATACGTCGAGCGTTTACCACCGGATAGGACAACTATCTACGCAAAGGATGAGGGTCGACGATTGGACGTCGCAGCTCTTGTCCCACCCCCAGACGACTGTAGGGATGGAGGTAAGACCATGGTGTATTGCTGTGGTCCAACCACACTACTTACTAGCTGCCGTGACATGACGACGAGGCTTGGCTACCCCCGGTCCCAGATCCATTTTGAAGAGTTCGGTAGCACCGCGACGGGTACGGGCGATCCATTTGAGGCGGAGATCAAAGCTACTGGAGAGGTATTCCAAGTACCTCGAGAGAAGTCTCTGTTGGATGTCCTCAACGAGGCCGGCTTCGGCATAGATTCCTCCTGCCTGGTGGGGAACTGTGGGATGTGTACAGTGGACGTGTGTAAGGGGAAGGTTGAACATCAGGGGGTAGCTCTTGAAGAGGAACAGAAGGAGAGCAGCATGCTGACATGTGTCAGTCGTGGAAAGGGCAGAATTGTGATTGATTGTTGATTGGACCCAATGTTGTATTCATATGTTAGCGTAGCGTATTTTGTTTATACCGTTTTCGCTCGAGTTCATGTAGAAGGAGATGTAATGTATGGACTCTGGAGAGGTGCAGTAGTATACTTACAGCCAGTAACCTACTAACCTACATGTAGGTTATATGTATGTAGGGTACCTAGTACAATGTGGAATGACACATACATACCGGAACCGAAGCTAAGAAAGAACAAGTGATGAAAAAACTCAAAATCAACTAGGTTAGGTTAGTGGTATGGGTTACCCCGCATAACCTGGATGGGACTGATGGGTAAGATCCAGTGGATAAGTGACTTGCCCCTCCAGGGTTCTTGCTCTTATCGAATTAAGGCAGGATCCAGTTGAATGCCGATGCTCCTAACCTCTCTCTTTACGCCACTAATACCCAAGTACATATTGTATCTCCAACTAACGACGACATAGTGCAGTGAAGGGGTCCTGCGATGTATGCATAGACGAGAGAGGTATCGTGATCCATGCTCATTTTCTAATTGTACCACTCACCACCCTCACCACCCTCACCACCCACATACCCCCTCTACGAATCCTACATGCCTACCTAGTACCCTACGTGGTACCTACCTACTAAACCCCAAGGTATATATAATATCCTCTTGTCGTCTCATCTACCATCTTATAGTACCTTTCGATCATCCCCTTATTACACATACCTGAACTATCACTTTGCAATCCTCAACTTAAATATGGATACTCAAGTGTTTATTCCCTTCAGACCTAGCCTAATAACCGACCTCAACGGAGGAATCCCAACTCATAAGATGTCCGACTCCAAAGAGCGATTCTTTCGCTACTTTCAAGCAGAAATAACGGGTAAGATATGCATTCTATCTTGTTGTAAATATTAAGAGTAATGAACATTTAACTGACCCCGACGAAGCTATCCAGGACCAGATCGATGACTTAGCAACAATGGCCGCGGTGGGAGGAGAACGACAAGATTGTATTGACAACGTATTATCTGGAATCTCTCGCCTGTCAAACGAAGTGATGGACGCAGGTGACTATATCCCGGCGTATGACCAACGAACGTACTCCCAGGTACGCATCAGCATAGACAGTCAAGATGCGCCTCCTCTATTCTCACACATAGATAGGCTATCAAGGCCCTAACCGACAAACTCAACGAGACCACCGCCAAGTTTGCCCCAAAATCACGCTTCCAGTTCAAGTCCAAGTCGTCCAAGCCAGCATCTGCTGCATCAGCTCCGATAGTGGACCCGCGAGTACGCACGGCGTTTAGTAATGTTGGATCCAAGCAATCGCCGGTCCTGGACGCGGCAAAGCGCGACGCCATGAGTGATCTGAAATCTGCCAAAGACTACAATGAAGAGCTGGAACACCAGTCAGGTGTGAGGAAGCCGAGTTTCTCGAACGCGAAGAGTATTTCCATATACGACCACACCGGATTACACATCATGCTCCCTTCCACGGCCTCGAGAGCCACGTCGTCGGGCAGCCTAGCAAACCTGGAACGCTGTGTCGTCGATATGACTATCCCTACAAGTACTGGAGCGCCGTTTGCAGGATTGGTCTTGAAAAATATAAAGAACAGCCTGATAATTGCGGGACACGTAGCGGGACCGGTACACATGACTGGGCTGGAGAATAGTATTGTCGTGGTCGCTTCGCGGCAAGTCCGCATCCACGAGTGCAAGAACGTCGACATCTACCTCCACTGTAGGAGCCACCCCATCATCGAAGATTGCTCAGGCATGCGATTTGCACCGCTACCCGAGCTTTACGTAAGTTCTCCAAGCAAGCCAGCCTCGTGTGTATGTGGCTAATCTTGGTACAGACGAGCGATTTGGAGATAAAGGGAGAGGATCAATGGGACAAGGTAGACGACTTCAAATGGTTGAAGACCGAGCCGTCCCCGAACTGGAGCATCCTGCCGGAAGAGAAGCGGATTCGGGAGGATATATGGAAGAACTCGGTGCCTGGAGGGCCAAACCTGAGTACGGACGACATATTACGGAAAGTAGGGGTCCTTAGTTCGTGAACATCCGATTAGGAAGAGTTGCAAGGTGGGTGCTTAATTCGTTATGGCGAGCGTGATGACACTTGGGGATTACACACCCAAATATTGATGATTTAGAGCAGCGTCAGTAGACCCTTTTATTTCTTGTACTCCGTATCACAAATGTTAGTTTTGTAATATACGCCGAAATTGATGCCCTTTCCTGCATGACTGCTCGTGAGCCATCGTCGGTGGTATCATGTCCTGAATACCGAAACTCCATGTAAATGCAACTGTATGACAGATGCCTGATGCCGCGTGGGTGCTCATATTCTCATATCGGCCGCGCTCCTGCCCCTTTCCTACATATTTCATTCCTTCACCACCCCCACCTAATCCACAACCATCCTATCCCTCTCCCCCCCTTCATCCTGCCCCGCAGCCGCCAACCGCGCGCCCATCTCGCACAAGCGAGCCAACATGTCGCGCTGCCTCCCCAGCCGGGCCTCCAGCTCCGCGATCTCGGCCTCCTGCTCGGGGATGTCGCGCCCCACGTCCGGCAGGCTCTTCACCTGCGCGTGGGCGCGCTGGAACCGGTGCTTGAGGACGTCGGCGGCGGGCGCGATTTCCTTGAGCGAGAGCTCGCCCGCGGCGTTGCTGGCGTGGATGGTGGTTTGGGAGTGGGAGTGGGAGTGGGATTGGAATTGCCGCTGCGGGTGCGCGTGCGAGTAGGACTGCGAGGAGGTGGCTGTTGCTGGCGGTGGTGGGGGGGGAGGTGGTTGGGAGGGTGTGGGAGCGGCGGCGGGAGTCGCGCCGCTGGTGCTGGCTGTGGAGGTGGTGGGGATGCGCAGGCGGTTGAGGAGTACGGCGAGCTCGGTGAGGGTGTCCAGCGTGTCGGGGTTCAGGCCGTCGGGCATGGCGAGGATGGAGGGTTGGGGTTGGGCTGGTTGGTTGGAGGTCATCGTAGGCTTTTATTTTATTTTTTTGGTGTTGGTTGGTATTTGTAGAGTTGATGAGGGAGGTGAGGGAGGACAGATGGGCGAAGAGAGTTGAAGTGCGACTGTGCAGGTTTCCTTACGTAAAGGCGAACCTTGATGGCGAGAGGTACTACAAATGTACAGTAAGTATGTATGTAGCTGTTGCTGCAGTGCAGCCTTAAAGTTAAAACGATGGCTAACAATGGGGCTAGAAGTCAATGTCGATAATCGCGTCGACGTTGATTCGATCGTGGATGCTGTAACAATGTACGAATGCTTGCAAAGGTTCCACTCTGTCGGTGCTTTCCAATAGATCCCTCCCGGTATCCCCTTAAGTGGCATAAAGCAGCAGCAGACACACCGTTACTAAAAATAACACCAAGTACATCATTTTCAATCCACTATTTCCACCTTTATCCACAACCCCATATATTGATCCATTTTTCATTCAAATACAACGCGGTACAACGCTGGCCGGCGCTAGGTTATTCCGGCATTTAATGCAATTGTAATTGAGTACGCCAGCGCCACCCAGGCTGACGATACCGATCCAGCTACGCGTCGTTTGAACGCTTCTTCTAATCTTGAAACCGGTACGCTACGCGACCTGGATAAGCCGTATTTTAGATGAGGCTATTCCCTTTTACGGCTTGTCCGTACCTGCAAGCAAACGCGGCTCTCAAACGACCTGTAGGGGGGGCAAGTTTGTTAAAGAAACCATATTTAGGGACGTTCTCGTCGAGGATTAAAGTTGATGCTAAAAAGTATGGTAAACATTAAGCCACGATCTCGATGTGGCACTTGTATTGTGGCTTAATGTAATTCTAAGTACTGTTGGTACAAGTGCCATACGCAAAAATAAGTGGTAAACTAAGTACCTACAGAATTTGTTGATTTTATTGGATAATAGATTTATGGGGCGGTGGGTAAATTGGCTTGGTTGTATCTGCTACTAATTTTAGTAACGGTGTGTCTGCTGCTGCTTTATGCCACTTAAGGGGATAAGAGGGAGGTGCACTGACGTCAAAAACAGAACTCCCTCTAAATTCCTACCTGGGATGAGGTGGGGTTACTAGGGTCCTTGTATACTCCTCTCTTTCACCTAATTCTTTAAAGCTATTTCTTTCACGAACATTATTTTTGTAGATCCTCCAGAGTTATTGGAAATTGAAATTGACGTAGTTACAAGATAAATCAATCACATGGATTTGCACCTAGACTCGACAAATTATCTCATGGTAAAGGGGATTAATAATTAGCGGTATACCGTAGTGCATGAGAAAAAAAAAGATTATGGGACCCCACCATAGACCATATCGATAGCTCATAGGCCCTTTAGGCCCATAAGTCTGTGGGGAGTTGATAGCATCCCACCATCATGCGAAACATCTCAACATTTCAAACGCAAGGCCGTTGCGTCCTCTTCTCTCTATAAAAAAATCACTCAATATATCTCACCTACTTTTCCTTTCCCTTTCTTCCCTAAGACTCTCACATACTATTCTATACTCATAACACCCTAGACTATAGAAATTCATAAGCAATAAATCCAAAAATGACTACCCCAAGCCAGAAGGCCTGTTTGAGTGCGTCTGATTCTCCTGTTTTGTCTCCCTCTCTTGCCCCTCCTCCTCAGATATCTAGATCCAGACAACCTGATTACTTCACTTTTGCTTGCTATGTTCTCATTTACCTCGAGATCGGTTGGCTAATTTTGTACGTCTTGCGGACTTACAGTCGTGATTGACGGCTGGGGAATTCCCTCTGCCGAGTCTCCCAAAAATGGCGACGCCATTGCCGCCGCAAAGACCCCCGTCATGGACGAGCTGTCCAAGAGTTCGACCGGATTCACCGAGCTAGAAGCATCCTCCCTTGCTGTTGGCCTTCCCGAAGGACTGATGGGCAATTCGGAGGTCGGACATTTAAATATTGGAGCTGGAAGAGTTGTATGGCAAGATGTCGTCCGTATCGACCTCACTATCAAGAAGGGGGAGCTTGCCGACAACGAGGTTATTAAGAACGTTCTGAGCCGGGCTAAGAGTGGCACTGGAAGACTTCACCTATGTGGTCTTGTCTCTCACGGTGGTGTGGTAAGCTGGATTAATTAACGCAACCCTAGTCGCTTGTGGCTGACCCAACTTGTCTAGCACTCCAAACAAACGCACCTGTACGCTCTTCTTAAGGCTGCCAAGGCCGCAGGCGTTCCCAAGGTCTACATCCACTTTTTCGGTGATGGCCGTGATACCGACCCCAAGTCCGGCGTTGGCTATATGCAGGAGCTCCTCGAAACCGCCAAGGAAATTGGTATTGGTGAGATCGCCACCGTCGTCGGCCGATACTACGCTATGGACCGAGATAAGCGATGGGAGAGAGTCGAGCTTGCCTTGAAGGGCATGATTCTTGGCGAGGGAGAAGAGAGTTCAGACCCTGTCAAGACTGTCAAGGAACGATACGAGAAGGGCGAGAATGATGAGTTCCTCAAGCCCATTGTCGTTGGCGGCAAAGAAGCTCGTATCCAGGATGGAGATGAGGTCTTCTTTTTCAACTACCGATCAGACCGTGCTCGACAGATCACCCAGCTACTAGGTGATGTCGATCGTTCGCCCAGACCCGATTTCCCCTACCCTAAGATCAACCTCGTTACCATGACGCAATATAAGGTTGACTACCCCTTCGAGATTGCCTTTGAGCCCCAGCGAATGGGCAACGTTTTGGCCGAGTGGCTAGGCAAACAGAGTGTCAAGCAGGTTCACGTGGCTGAGACTGAGAAATATGCTCACGTCACCTTCTTCTTCAACGGTGGTGTGGAGAAGGCCTTTGCTCTAGAGACTCGAGATGAGTCGCAGGACCTGGTGCCATCTAACAAGAGCGTCGCAACATACGACAAGGCCCCTGAGATGAGCGCCGATGGCGTCGCTAAGCAGGTCTGCAAGCGACTTGCGGAGCAGGAGTTCCCGTTCGTCATGAACAACTTTGCCCCTCCTGATATGGTTGGCCACACTGGTGTATACGAGGCAGCCATCGTTGGGTGCGAAGCCACTGACAAGGCCATCGGTTTGATTCGTGATGCTTGTAAGAAGGAAGGCTACATCCTCTTCATCACTGCTGACCACGGCAATGCCGAGGAGATGAAGTTCCCCGATGGAAAGCCCAAGACTTCTCACACGACTAACAAGGTCCCCTTAATTATGGACAACGCTCCTAAGGGTTGGTCTTTGAAGAAGACTGATGGTGTGTTGGGAGATGTTGCACCCACCATCCTAACTGCTATGGGTCTACCGGTACCGGAGGAAATGACTGGCCACAGTCTCCTGGTGGTTGAATAAATAAAGGCATTGCTTACCTACTAGATACCTGGGCAAGTTTATCACGCTGGGTTAGATGAGGGATGAGGAATGAGGATTGGGTTAAAATAGAGGCGACATGGGCGGCGTAGAGATACCAGAAGTATTATAAATAAGAGCTCATAAATATATGTGGCTATTCATAATGGATTTGAAATGTTTTTTTTTTTTTTTTTTTTTTTTGCTGTTTGCGTTTAATATTGCGATAAATGTTTTGTTCTGCTCTTCAATGTTGTAATAGAAGTTTGACTCCTTTATCGTTGACCTACCTACCCTAGGTAGGGTACCTAGTAGTATAAGCAAGCATAAGAGCATAAAACTTACTAAGATATCATGCATAAATTGTAGGTATTAGGCATAACTATAATCAGGCTATGCCTCTTAGGGATTAGTGCGCACACGCACAATTCCCACCTGTCCAAAACTTCTACAACTTTCATCGCCGCCCCACCATGTTCAACTTTTTCCCTCTTTTGAATTTTGACCATCGTGAAAGGACTCGATTCGATTTCCTCGCGACCAATAACTTCCAAGATGGATTCCGAAGACCCCCAAGAGAGACCTGAGGATATTACCAGCATCATCAATGGTTTAGAGAGATATAACCCCGAGGCTGTAGGCCACCTTGAGGACTACCTGCGCCTTCAATGCGAGAGCCGATACACAGACTCCAACGCAAACCGGACATTACTGAAGCTGTGAGTATTACCTCAAATTACAATATTCTCTAATTTCCGCCTTGGCTTAAATGATGATCAAATTAACCACGTTTCCTATTACCTGATATGCGGCGACGAGGTTAAATAACCATCGCCCTTTTGATGTTGTTTCTTTGCACCTGACTGCCAACTATTATTGCGTTCTGCACTGCTCAAAATATTAGTCCAAGTTGAAAAATGCATGAATATGATAAACCAGAAAAAGCTAACCACTGGACTCCAGATACCAACTCAACCCTGACCGCGTCAAGGATGAGGTCATCACGAATGTTCTAGTGAAAGCCTTGACATGCTTTCCTTCGCCACAATTCGCTTTGGCGCTACACCTCATCCCTCCATCCCTCTTGGCACCTAACTCGCGAGCCGAACTACCTGAGGCCATCACCAAGCTGCGAGAACTGAGCAACCAACTTCAAGGAGCACAATACGCGCGTTTCTGGGCGACGTTGGACTCGGACGACCTATATGCCGATCTTACTACCGATATCGATGGATTTGAGGAGCTCATCCGTGTACGCATCGCCACACTCGTCAGCCACGCCTACCGTGAGATCGAGTTGTCTGTTCTAGAGCAGTGGCTAGGTCTAGAAGGCCAAGCCGCTCTCAAGTTCGTTACCGAGACAGCTGGCTGGAAGGTTGACGACAACAACCTAGTCCAGATCCCCAAGAACCCTGAGAATGAGGCCAAAAAGACCGAGGTCCGTGAGGATGTCAACGTGGACATGTTCTCGAGAGTCATCAGAAGGGCTTGGGAAGAAACCATATAAGTAATGCGTTTGACGATTCTGGCGATGACAAAAGGGCGAAGGTGACGGTACAAACCAGCATTGGGAAAAAAGGCTTTATAGTCAAAGTCTTTGGCGTTACGGGCGACAGTTCAGGGATCCTGAACCTTGATGTGTACTGCTTATTCCGCCGTTTATGAATAGGCGGCTACGAGTATCAGAAATGAATAAACACTACGAACTGACAAATTTCATGGTTTTTCGTAATTATTTGTGATCTGGTCTTTCCATCTCCATCTTCTGCTAACTCCTCCAACTTGCGACGTAGGTATAATTGTCATGATATGAAGACTAATGGTGTCAGAGTTCATCTAGAGGAATGGATCATATTTACTAGATGCTTTGTATGGAAGGAATGTCGCCAGGTCTTTGCGCATAACAATCTTGATGTATAGCATACCTAAGACGCATGTATATTATATTCACTCGTAGGTATCGTAAATTTCATTTTTAACTCGGTACACACACACCTCCATAGTTCACCCTCCAGCCTCGCCCCCCCCCCCCACTCTTTCCTTTTCCGTATCCTTTTTTTTTTCACGCACACTACCGTCTCCCAGCCCCAGAAGAGCCTGTCAACTCCTCCCACTGCACACCCGCCCACTCCTCCAGATAGCCAACCCTCCCTTCTCCCTCCTTCTCTTTCTCTTCTTCCGATGATGATAGGGCAACAACGTGCCGCGCCTGACAATCCCGCTCGCACACCCCGACAATGACGGTGCCCCAGTCCATGCCCTCGAGCGACAGCTCCTCGGCCTCGAGCTCCGTGATGGCGTGGGGGGTCAGCTGGACTTCGAAGGTGCGGGGGGACCCGCAGTTCGGGCAGCGGGGGATGCGGTTGCTGTTACCGTTGCCGTTGGCGGTGGTTGTGGCTGTGGAGATTTTGCTGTCGATGCCGGGGCTAGGGGAAGGGGAGAACAAGCGCCCGACGGAGTCGGTCTTGCTGTAGAGCAAGGGCTGACCCGAGAACTCGTACCGGATCGCCTGCTCGGGGTTCTGCGAGAGCCGGTCGGCGAAGCGCTGGAAGGCGGCGTCCATGCTGGATTCGAAGACGTCGCGGTCTTCTTTGCCGTTCTTGCCGACGGTTTTGGTGTTGGGGTCTTCGGAGGGGTCGACGTCCATACGTGTGGATTGCGGGATCGTGGTAGGTGTGGGGTCCAGGGTCTCGAATTCGGCGTCTGCGAGGTACGAGATGGGGTAGGCGGGTGGCTGGGAGGAGACCGGGGGCCAGGGCTCGGGTGCAGTGGGAGGGGTTTGTGGTTGAGTGTTGTTGAGGGAGAGGGTTTGTGCGAAGGTTTTGGGGAGGGACTTTAGGTCTTCTTCGGTTGAAGTTGCGGTTGCGGGGGGTGTAGGGCTTCCATTCTTGGGCTTGGGGCTTGATTCTGCCTGTGGTGCTGCTGCTGAGGATGGGCTGCTAAATGGATTTCCTGGACTGGAGAAGGGGTTGCTACTCGTCGAAGCGGCAATGTTGGTCGTTGAGAAGGGATTCGCGGAGCCTAATGGTGACCCTATCGTCTTGGCGCCAAAGAGCGTCTCTCCTAAATTAGACGGCGGTTTTGGTATCTCTTCTTTTGGCTTCACCTCTTCTTGTTGCTCTTTCTTCTTGTTCTCTGTTACTGCTGTGGCACCGAGAGATATCCTTACGCTACGTAGGGCGCGGATGCTGCCCTCCTTCCGCCGGCAGGTTTTGCGCCGGCATGCGAAGACATATAACCGTCGCTCGTGGCCGGGGAAACGGTCTGGCAACTCTCCGTTTAGTTGTAGTAGCAATACCATCAAGTCTTTGCAGACCTTGCAGCGCGCGAGTGCGGCTGATGGTGGATTGCTTGGGTCTAGCCATTCCTGTATATAAGTATTCGTATTAGTTTATGAAACAGGTGGAAATAGCTTCACGAAAAAAAGGAAGCACCACTTACAGGATGGCCACCTAAACGACTTATAGTCTCGTCGCCAGGGTCTTTTGAGGCGTACCCGAGGAGCACATTTGTCTCGGTGAAATTGTCATTTTCGTTTTCATCAGCAGATGAGTCGCTATCGTATGGCGCCATCCTGAATTATTTTCTACTTGTAGTATCTAGTATTTAGTAGATGGATGGGGGTTGATCGCATCGCAAATAACTTTAATCTTTTTTTTTCCCTTTTGTCGCATTCGGAGGGGTTGATTTGATGGAGGGGCTTATCGCTTATCGAGGTGCAAGGATAACTTGGGCTACGTAATGGATTTAGGTGGTCTGTGCCCTTCCCCTTTTCAGGCCTTCAAAGAAATGAAGATTCAACCATCTCAAACATGACAACCACAACGCTGTTCAACTACTATGTAGCTACATTAATCATAGTATCATGCAAATACTTTCCATTGATAGCCCTATCCCATCAATAATGCCTAGTACTATATACATAGTAAATACCTGGTATATATGTAGTATCACGTGCGTACCTATGCACGTATAGGCATCCATGGATATCGGATATATCTACCTATAGCAGCCATCCTCTTCCCGCCCCAGCCAAACCCCTGAGACGATCTGTACTTGTCATACGACGGAGTGATAGGTATAATTGATATTTTCAATCCGATTACCAATGTACCTAGTCAATCTACCCGACTCCGGCCCCTTTCGGGAATAGTTACCAATCCTCGGATGTCCGATTCGCGTGTATCTAATCACGACTCGTGATTTCTCCGAAAGTTGAAGTAAAAAAAGCAAGTATACGTTGATGTCATTCGTTTCAAAATCTTATTTAGGTACCTATATATAATACTATGGAGATACTCACATACCGCACTACAAGTACATACGTACCCTCAGTACTTTTACCTAGTACTCTCCTTACTTTCCAATAGCTCATTCAAAATGTCGCCCAGTCTTCTAATAAAAGATGTCCGCATCTTTGATGGCGAAAATGAGATACCAAACGGGAGCGTGCTTGTAGAGAATGGTCTCATCAAGTATGTTTCCCCTGGATCTTTGGAGGCAACCGATGAATCAACCATCGTCCTCTCAAAACCGGGATATACGCTCATTCCAGGAATCATCGATGGTCACGTACACACGCACCTCGACAAGGAAAACACGGGACTTGCACAATCTTTGAAGTTCGGTGTAACTACCGCTTGCGATATGCACCAAGAGGCGGAAGATGTAGCTGCCGTGAGAGAGGAAGCCGCACGAAACCCCGATATATCGGATTTCAAGACTTCAAGTTCGGCTGCTACCGTACTAGGTGGATGGCCTGCAGCAGTTGTCACCGCCTTTGACACATCTGAAGAGGTTGGTGACAGTTTAGAGACTCCCAACGATGCCATATTCCATTGAGACTTACACCAATCTAGACCCTAGCCAAGGTTGCCACTTGGCCGAACTTGCAAACCTTGGATGATGTCGAGGCTTATATTCAAGACCGTATCAAGGACAAAGCTGATTATATCAAATTGATGCACGAAGATGGAAGCAGTCTATCCGTCAAGCCGACAGTACCCCCTTTGGAACTTCAGAAGGCCATTGTGGACGCTGCTCACCGACATGGCTTTGTAGCCGTCGCCCATTCTTTGAGCCTACAAGGGACCCTAGATATTCTTCGTGCCGGAGTCGATGGATTGACACACACCTTCTGCGATAAGCCGCCGACGAAGGAGCTGATTGACGCATATTTAGCTAACAATGCGTATGTCTTGTTGGAAAATCCATCATCGTGGGTAAGAACCTGAACTAACTACGATACTAGCCATTGTAATCCGACCTTGGCAACAATTGGCAGTCTCACCACCGAAGGAAAAAAGGAGCAAGAAGCTTATGCTCACGATCCTCGAGTCGAGAAACTGCTAAGTGCCCACGGTAAAGCAGCACTCTGCGAATGCATGGCTTTTAGCAGCGATAGTGCGAGGGTGGAATACGCTTATCAAAGCGTCAGGGAGATGAGAGCGGCGGGCATTGACATCATTCTGTGAGTACCTACCAAGTACCTGTTAGCTTTGAAGTGACCAGCCCACCGAATAGACTCACACTTATCTTTTCTTCAGCGGCTCCGATTCGGCTGGACCCGCGCGCGGAACGGGCTTTGGTATTACGGCACATCACGAACTAGCTCTGCTGGTCAAGAAATGTGGCTTCACGCCCAAGGAGGCGTTGCGATCTGCCACTTCCTTGGTAGCCAAAAGACTGCGCTTCCATGATAGGGGTAGGATTGCGGAAGGGTTGAGGGCAGACTTGGTGCTGGTGGAGGGGAACCCTCTCGAGGATATCGACCATACGCTTGACCTCCGGGGTGTATGGAAGCAAGGAATTCTTTGCTCGACGTATAAAGACCTGGTTGCTTGAGGGATAACTCTGAGATAGGTACATGAGCCGTTGGCCCCTGGGTTTAGGGTGCATAAGGCATATAACTCCAATACCTAGAGATTCCATAGTGTTCCCACCTGTCCCTCCAATCTATCACTCACTTTGAATGGACTTACCTGTCACAAGCCTTTGGAATTTCTCCAACCAAGCATATCAATAACCCATTCGGCCGTTATGTGTACATGTGTACATGTGCTAGTCACTAAGGTTACAGGAATTTAAATCCTGTACGTACTCTCACGTCAGTATCTTGATGATATTTCTGTAATCACTCATACCAAGTCCCCGACAGCCAATCATTTGATCCGAAGGCACCCAAGCTTCAAACCGGAACGGTTCGCTCCGCTGCCGAGAATATAAACACTTACTCGCCCCTTTTCGGCTTGTGCTTACATGAGGCTGCCATCCTAGACCTTAAATCGACTACAGCCCCTTACCCAACCGCGCTCCCGCCACAGCCTGACTGCTTGTTATCTCAATAAAGCAGGCTGAATTCCTTATAGCATCCTACGTAATCACTCTACATTTTGACACAGTTAGCCATTTCTTTCCTATGTGCAACAAGAAAAAGAGCCCCTATCATGCCCAGTCATGCATTTTGCCTTTGACCCGATGTTGGTGCGACTCAGGTCTCCGCCATACAACTGTGCACTGGTTGGCGATAGTGACACGCGTCAAAGAGAGGTTTTCCCGGTATAGCAAGGTTCTTTTGGATTAAAATGGTAGTCTTCGTTTCTTGGCGATTTCGTACGCTGAACATATGAGAGCCATGAAGTAGTAGCTTTGAAACTCTATCGAGTAGAGTCATGAAATTATAACAGGATGATAGTAACTAAAATGATGCGGTTTGCTACTATAAGCCTACCTACGTTAATATAGCAAGTGTGCATTATCTGCTACACTGATTGGTGTGTATCAGCTCATAGGAATCTGTTAATCCTCTCCTCGAATTTCTTAAGTGCATATGACTCTATTTGCCCTCTTCCCAAGTCCCTAAATCACATACGTAACTATGAGAATTTCGATATGTGAGTATCAGTCTGTGATCATCGCCGCTTTGAAATAGTTATCGAGATGCAAATATCACACTCACAAAAGAATGAATCTTCATATTTTCCAAGGAGCTGTCTCTTGAATGCTAATACCTGGAACCCGAGAACCGACATCAGAAGTAGCGGCAAGAGAAATAACGACGAACTCACCCTCTCGCTTTTATAACATGCCTGGGTACATAATCACTTTGTTTTTGCCCTTGCAGAACGGCCCTTGATACACTTGTTCATTCGTGTATACTACACTTAGTAGATAATCTCCTCTTTATGGTCCGCACATTGATCTGTTGTTCCATTCTTACCTGCCCAGTACCTAGTATTTATCTAGCTACAGTACTAGTACGTATCGCCAGTCCACTCCTCTATTCTACGCCCCAAAAATTCCCAGAAAAGCTAATCCTGACGATCTCTAATATCACCAACCAAGATATCACCAACCAAGATATCACCAACCAAGATATCACCAATCAGAAATTCAACTTCTCAACCAACGCTCACCAATGGCATCCCAATCAATCCCCGGGCTTCCCTACCCCCTAACATCCATCATCATCCCCGGCGCCTCCTTCACCATCGCCCTCTCCCCCAACCCCAACCCCACCACGATCCCCTCCCCACCAACGCCCCCGCCACCAGACACCTCCCTACCCCTCCACTCGACCAGCCCGCGCACCATCGGCGCCGTCGTCGGCGCCATCGCGGGCGCGTTCCTCCTTTTCACCATCATCGTGTGCACCTGCGCGTACCGCAAGCGCGAGTTCTTCCGCGCCGGGCTCGAGGACGCGATCGAGTCGCAACAGCATCGCACTGGCCGGAGCCGTAGACTTGCGGCGGACGGCGCGGGGGGGCTGGGTGTCGGCGGTGGTGCTGGTGCGGGGATGCGGGGGTCGCTGTCGATGACGAGCTCGGCGGCGTCGGCGGGGTCGCATGTTGGTGGGGGTGGGGGTGGGCATTGATAGTGTATTGGTGAAGGGGAGGGGGGGGTGTGGTGCATATGATAATGAATGATAGGGGGTAGGGGAGGGAGTTACTGTTGGAGAATACCTACCCGTGGAAAGGGGGGCAAGGGGAGAGAAGGGGGGGTGGTTGTTGGTGGGCTAATTAGGAGTAATGATTCATTGAAGCGGCTTAAGAGAACTAGAGAACAGATACAATACCGTCGGTGTATAAAAATGCGTGAAGGAGTATTGAATCATATCATTGTACAGGAGGTACGACTAGTACCTAGTACTACCTAGTAGGTAGTATATGTACACTGTACAGTGCATGATAGGTACGTACCGTATGTAGTCTTCTCCACTAAGATCCACATTGTACTGCTTCACGCCACGCTAAGCCCTAAATAGGTGGGGCCTGGTGGGCTATCTACACGTGTGTGTTGTGTAACTACGATAACTACTACGACCTTGAACATTGATAAAATGATATGATCCATGGAGGATGTAATACTATTGAATTGCAAAAGGAGATCAGTTTTGATCTAAACCTTTAATAAGAATCAAGCATTGCCTTTCCCCGGGTCTTATCAAGTAATGATGGATCAAAATTGCTTAATAACTAACTATGCTGTTTCTCCCCTCCACCATCCACAGCAGTAGACTCATGGGACTCGCATTGATCTAAGTAATGGTATACATGTATACTACCTATTATGGTAGTTGAAGACTTAAGTGTCCTTAAATTCTAATCTGATGGGTCTATCTCTAGCCATTCATCGATTCGCATTTCTTATGGCCTAACCTAATGATTGGATCCCGGTGTACGTACGTAGCTGTCCGGGGTTACGTGCTCTTTGGCATGTACTAACTAGTGGGTAATAGTGCATACCCGGGACTTGTACCCGATCTAGATTTCTCGGCCCGCCCCATCCAGATCTTACACAGCCATAAACCTTGGCAGTGCTCCAATTACCAGTGTAATACCGTCCATAGCTATTGTGGTTGATTTCCTATGCTGCTCTCATTATTTGATTTATTACAGTAAAAGTCCTGGGAGTTAAAAAAAAAGTAAGATTATTCACGATCGTAACATCATATTAGATTTATACCACCTGGAGGGGTCGTGATAGGGAGTGGGATTGAAGCTGAGGCTGAGGTTGAGGCTGGATAGGAAATTGCGGCATATCATCAGAACGAGACGGGGGTCATAGGTAGGCAAAGCTACCTACCTAATGACGGCTTTTAGTGACAAGTATTTTGAACATAAGCGTTGATATTAAATTCAGGTGCGATGTAGTTAAGTAGGTAGAAAATTTGGAAGGCGTAGAACAGTATTTATGTTGTGTGGTTCTAAACCCCTCAGGAGGTAATGAAGGCTCCAAGGCTATATACATGATGGCCCCTTGGTTCTAGCTAGCCCTCGCATAAACCTTTGACAGAGAAGGTGACCCTAGTGTCATAATATCTCCTGACGTCCTCGGAATAGATCTCGGTAGTATTGGTAGACCCGTAGGACTACTGTCGGGATCGGTACAAGGTATCGATAGTAGTGATCTGGTCTGGGTGGCGTCTCGCTATGTGGCTCATAGGAATGTATTAGGAATTGTATGCTTCCAGTTTTCAGGCATCGAAGATTTAGAGGGTAATGTATACCTACCTAGTAGCGACTCACCCATTATAACAAGCCTTATTAGAGTTGTTGAACATAATTTGAGATTGAAAACCTCGAATCTTGCTGAGCTTCAAAGTTGACCAGTTTCTTGAAAGCTGATCCGTTTGATGGGAATGACGAGGTATATATTGCTCCGTAGGGACTCATACCGACTTTTCACTTCCTGACATTCCTATATCTTGCATACTTAAGTACATGGTGTGGGAAGTGCCATTGGCTACTCTATAAATCCATCAAAAGGAACACCTCCATTGAGGCATCAAAACGATAACATGGGTGGAACGAATTACATACCAACCTGATAACCACCCGACTGTCTAGCCCTTGATATCGCCAACCAAGAAACGTCTGGAAAACTGGACCTAATGTCGGTGTCTTTCTAAAGCTAGATCTATCAGTTTTTTCTTATTCATGTACAGCTACAATGACACATATGAGGGGATGCATAAAGGCGCCTACCTCATACACGTATGTAAATGGCAATTCAGCATCCCGAGATACTACCGACTAGTTTCCGTGTAGGAAACTTGCCTTGGTTTAGGATGAATATTCCTTCTCCATAAACAGGGACCTCAGTTATCAGACATCGAGATTGTTCACAGGGGGAGACTAGCTGACAGAAACTATACGATAAATTCATAGGTTCATAGACATAGTTACTGAAAGATGATAACAGTGCAGGTACAACAGACTTGCTGGTAAATTAGTTCGGCTGTAAGTACTTAGAAGATTGAATTTGAGTGAATGGAAAGATATTTGTACCTACCAATGTCATTGCAGAAGGCACTTGATTATAACAGATAGGAATTGCAAATAGGAGCACTCGGCATAATTCAATATCCTTAAATGGAAAAAGGAACCAGCCTTAAGCCACAACACTTACTTATAATCGTGTAGAAGTAAGAGAAAATGTGATTTCTAACAGAAGCTGATGAGGGGTTTCATCGATACTATTTGCTGTGCGAACGGATGATTGACTAGATTCATGTACCTAAGTGTTGAGGATCCTAGTCCATCTAAAGTAGATATTCCGAGGATCGACCCAGTTGTTAATGATCGAACCGGGCCTTGTACAAGTACCTGGGGTTTGTGCCCATCTTTGAGTTCTCAGAAGTGGTAGATGGGAAGTCGGCACGACCTCCGTGGTGATAGGTGGTGGTAAAAGTAACAACGTATCGTATCCCCACTTCAGAGTCAATACTCGAAAAACGACTAAAGGCTTTTGAGGTGATGTGAATAACTGATAGCTTATCAAACGAGCATGGAATAATCCGACAAGCGAACGTCCTTCAGGACGTTATGGCGGGACAGTTTGAAATCGACGTATTTCGACCAACATACGGAACGTGATATCCAGTTAGGCTGCCATACAGACCTGTGCCTAGCCATATTTCGAGGATACAAATAATCAGAGATCATCGACGCTAGTTAGGTGAGTCTCTACAGGTATATTGGTCGAGTGATAGCGGTAGCAGCGACAAGCCACATCCATGCTATCTGCATAAAACTTCTCGAGTTAGCAGAGAGTACTGCCGTGAGGTATCTGCTATAGGCTCAGGCCGCTCGGCTTAAGGAAAGGGAGGGAAACAACAGCACTGACCACGGTCTACGGCAGCATCATCCGGGGGATGACGTGGCTTTGGCAACATTGCCTTACTCTAGTAGCCGCCTACAGCTTGGCAGATTTTGGAGTCTGCAACCTGAAGAAGCACCGTCGGTCTCAGATCTCCTGGTCTCGACTGAGATTTGCTCCAAACTGATGAGACGGAGTTTTTCGAGCTCCGAGTCGCATACGAGAAGTCGTGAGAATCAAGGGATCGGTCAACTAGATCGATGTATACCTACAAAGTGCAGCTCCCCTTCGTAGGAGGGTTGATGGGTTAGCTCAAGAAAGGGTCACGCGGAGGCACTTTCTTTGAGCTCACATTTTGGTTTGAAAAGAAACGAAACGAAACGAAAAAAATGGAAAAAGAAAGAAAATAACAAGATAAGATAGAAGAAGGGGTTGTGAACATACCTACTCTAGCAGTTCTATGTCTTTTGAATCCATCGTCACATCGTCACGACTGGCTTGGTGAATCGAAAATTTTAGGAGAAAAGCCAAAGTTTTCCACAAAGAATATTGTGGGAAGAAGAAAAATATATAGTGAGCACATCATAGCAGTGACACCGTCTCAATTTACTACAACACATAAGATTTAGTGATAGGTACAGTGAAAAGGAGTAAAAGGGGCTCATGAATGTGGGGTACGGAGTAACTACTAGGTTACCTGATAATAGACCCACTTATAATAACACACTAAAACTTTAGTAAGCGACTGACGTTGTTGCGTTGTTGTGGACAGTTTCGAGTTTCGCGACGAAGAATAAATAAATATTAAACATATTAATGAATAAATCGTATTAATCAATCTGGCCAACCTTCACATTCCTACACCCACCAAAGACAAATCATGTACGAGGATTCTTGGTACAACTTCGTACCAGACCATACGCATAAGAAGACACCTTCTATACAACAGACCTCAGGCCACAGAAGGAGGGATTCCCTTTTGCAACAACCCAATGTTCGTCTTGCCATCCACGCATTCCCTTTCCTTCATTTCCGCATAGACTACGTTAACACGATAATGGATTATAGGGAAGCAAACAGCCCGATGATGTCGAACCCCTCGAACTGTTCAAAGAAGTTGAGAATTCAATTGACCCTCCCGAAGCAACGCTGAGTAAAAGGGCAAAGTCCTACTCTGATTTCTATCATGTGGTTCGCGCCCAGCTCTCCAAAGACGCTGCCCTGTCAAAAAAGAAGCGGATAAAAGCCAAGGACAGGACCTTGGATGCGCTGATGGTCGAGAAGGTCGAGACTTTTGAGAAGAAAGCTCGATATAAAGCACCACCGACGCTGGTACTTGTCGATGATGAATTAATAAAGGCTAGCCAGCAGGACCAACTGTATGGCACCCGCTGTTGGAATGAGTGGCAATGCCGTCGCTGACAGGGATACAGACTTTACAGGGATCAACTGGAAATAACAGAGCGTCATTTAGAAGCCCTCATTAGCGGCGTAGACGACGCTCTAGGCTTGCTTACGTCGTTGGCTGATTCATTCCATGCCGTTGAATCTCAGACATCCTCCTTTCAGGCTCAGTGCGATGACCTCTTATCCGAGCAGAGAAGGCTACAGAAACTGGCAGACGAAGTCGGAACTGATTTGCATTACTATGCCTATCTCGATGGGGTCACTAGGAGATTGAACGCTCCCGGCGCCAGTCGTTTGGTGAACCACGAGAACTTTGGCGAGATCTTAACAAACTTGGACGCTTGCATAGATTTCATGGTGAAGCACGTGAGTTTCAGGCCATCCTCCTCATCTCTGCACCTATGCTAAAGTGCAATAGCCCGACTACCGTGATGCCGAATCGTATCTGGCAAGATATCAGTCACTGCTTACCAAAGCTCTCCATTTGCTTGAGGTTGGCTTTACAGGCCATCTCGATCGCATCTCTTCAGATATATCGAAACAAATCGCAGCCACCCAGTCCGAATCTGCCAGACATGCCCTTGCCTACGGAAGATTCGAAGAGATGGTACTGGAGGTGGATGGCCTGGTGGCAAATGCCCAGCGTGTCATCCGTAGTTGCTATGATCAGCTAGGGAACCCTATCGCTGGGCAGAACTTTGACTACTACTCTAACACTGCAGTCAACGTTTTCTCATCTTACTCAGATGTTAGAGACCGAGATTTGCGCCCCATCACTCAACATGACCTCGAAACATTCAAGAAAGATGTCAAGGAAGCTAATGTAGAGACTGCCTGTCGCAATTTTCTCAAACAATGCTATGAGCGGTCGTACGATGAAGCGTGCTTATTTGCCAAAATATTCTCAATCGAACCGCAGTACAATGCAGACCCACAATCTGCGTATGCGGCATTGAAGACTCATCAGAAAGCATTGGTCAGTGTCGCAAATATTTCTCCGATTGCTTCGACATTGCACCCTGTTTTGCAATCAAGCGAGCTTCAAACCGTCTGTAACATTCTTGGATGGATCACCAATGAATATCTTCTACTAGAGTATGATGAAGAAGAGACTCGATACTCTGCTCACTGCCATGACCTCACTGCCCGGCTACTCATCGAACACCTCTGGCCCTTTACCGACACTGCGTTTGACGCCGAAGTGACTAAATCAATATCTAAAGCTACTATCTCGCCAGATTCTCTCAAGTTTACTCCAGTTGTGAACGGTGTTGCCTCGTCCAATGCTCATCCCATAACAAAGCGTGCCCTTGAGCTTTTGGCCATGTATGATCAGGCTATGCCAAAGGAACGAAGTGTGAGTAAAGTTCTTCTTTTTTCGTTAATAGAATGCAGAGCTAACACCCCTACTTGCAAAGTCCAGCCCGGTCGTCTTCCGAATTATTGACGAAACAATTATGGCCCTGCAACGCGCCGAAAGTCGACTTAGATCTAGCAAAGCAGCGAATCCTGACCCTGATCCCGACTTATTGATGATCAAGAATTTACTGATCCTTAAAAATGGGCTTGTATCGCTCGAGATTGGTGATGTTAAATCTCATCCAGCAGCTATGCAGCACTTTGGCCAAATCTGGGATGCTCTCAGTCCTCAAAATTGGTTGGGCATGTTCCGAGACATCCTTGGTGGCTCACTATCTCTGGGCTTATGGTCGTCAGCTGCTCCTACTATTAATGGTACTACAGCATCTGCTAGAAGCCAAGCCCCGAATGAACAAGACGCAAATGAAAAACTGGACGAGTTATTACGACAAAGCATTTATGCATTTACGCAGCGATGGGGCACGTTAATCAATTCGGCCAGAAGTGGTAAACGTGGATCGAATAGTCTAAATGCCACCGAGAAGGAGCTTGATGAGAAGTTGTTGACTGCGTTTGGGGGTCAACCTGAGGTTGTAGCTAAGTTGAAGGAGGCAATCCAGATAAATGCCCAAGCTCAAAAAGAGATGAAGGCTGAGAAAGGCACGAGATAGTATGAATCCCATATTCTCGATGCTCTAGTCTTGCTCTAGAACATCCCAATTAAACTAGTCCATATGCCACGAATGCCAGTCAACTAGAATGGCAACATTTATAATTTCAATTTCCCTGTCTGGGGTTTGCTGATTTGGGTCCAATTTTAGATGGCAATACCCAAGTATCACATCACAACAGTATCCCACTTGCATTCAACCAACACTTGTAACACCTAAGGTTAGGGATGTTGCGAGGGTAGGTATTTCTCCCTTGCCGCGGCATTAAATATACCAACCACCCAACACTTATAATTCCACTCAATAGTCGCGTAATGTATAGTATCAATCCGGAATTCCCCCACGGTTTAAATTACCGAGACACTGTGTGGTGTTTGCTTCAAGACTTTAGAATGTGTGATGAAAGAGACCCCATGCTCGTGGGATAAAGCATGAGCTGTTGGGTCGTCAAAGCACTTTGGCTGCATACGGCATTTAGGGTCAAAGGGACCTGTCCCTTGGGAAATCTCAAATCGTACTTATCCAAGTGGCTTGTAACGAGTCTATCTCTCTCATACTCTCTCCCCAAGTCAAACTCAATTTCTATCATTGTCTCTTAAGCTTATCTATTAGGGCCAGTCCTTTTTTTTTCTCCCAAACAGAAAAAGACATTACACTTTCTAAAACATTTCGCCTAGATACCTAGACAAACGAGACACCATGACAGCAGTAGCAGCAGCAGCATCAGCCCAGGCCATCGCCGTCCCGCACCTGGCCGCGCGGGTCGGGTACGCGATAGCGGGCGGCCAGCAGCAGCTGGACGCGACGAAGCCGACGCTCGCGCTCATGGTCCCGTTCTGCTCGACGGTCGACTTCTACGGCGCGCAGCTCGCCAGCGAGAAGCTGCAGCAGGCCGCCAACCTCGTGGCCATAGAGCCCCTCGGCCACGGCGCCACCACCTGCGACTCGGAGCACTTCACGTACTGGGACTCGGCGCTTGCTGCGCTGCAGGCGCTGCGCGCGCTCGGGGTGGAGAAGGCGTATGTGTTGGGCGCGAGCCAGGGGGGCTGGATCGCGGTTAGGATGGCGCTGCTGAGGCCGGATGTGGTGAGTTGAGTGACCTAGGTGCATAGATGTCTGAGACACTTGGTGCCGATTGATAGGTGTGGTTGCGTGAGGAAAGATAGAGGCTTACCGGTGTGCTTTGGTTGACAGGTCCTTGGTCTTATCACGCTCGGGACATCGATGGACGCTGAGACTGCGGATTCCCGCTCGAAGGGTTGCTGGTAAGTGATTTTTTTTTATCGAGCCCGAGGAAATTTCAGCGTTGGTTTTGGCCCTTAAGGATGATAAATGTTGTTGGATGCCCTGGGTGCTAATTGCTTTGGATTTGCGCACTTCCACAGGGACCCAGCTCCGTTTGTGACTCCATTTCTGGAGAAGTGGAGAAGCATCGCGACGACCCCCGACTTCGTGGTTGGCGATGACTGGATCCAGCCCGTGCTCGGGCTAGGGCTTGGCGCGGCGAACACCCCCGACATCAACGAGCCCTGGACCAAGATTTTCCGGCGCGTATACTCGGGTGCCGAAGGTCTTCGAAAGCTAAGGATGGCCACGATCTGCATCGCGGAGAGGGATGGGCTGCTGTATAGACTGGGGGATGTGAAGTGCCCCATTCACTGGCTGCACGTGAGTATATTTCATTTGCTTCCTTTACCAACTTTTGAACTATGTACTGCTAGGTTTTGTGAGACGGCTGTACTAATGTTTGTCTTCTTCAGGGAACGGATGACCCCGTTTTCGGGACTGTTGTCCCGGCGGAGCACATCAAGCTCTTCACGGGCTCCAAAGATGCCAAGCTGGAATTTCTCGAGGGCGGTTGTCACTTCTTGAACATATCGCACCCCAAGGAAGCTGAGGCTGCGATCTTGGCAATGGTCACAAAATCTTAAATACTAACCTAACCTAGGAAGAAGTATTGACAGGATGTCAAATTTTTGTGATGTAAACATAGGAGGTCACCAGCTAGTAAATCACATGACAGTTGCCCCTTTCGCATGCTAGCAAGAACATCTGCTGAGTGTGTCAAGAATTTCAGCGTCGTGTTTATTGAGAGTTCATACTACAGAATTCTAAATGTTTAGTTGGGTAGGTACCTATGGTACGGAATTTAACGAATCTTCAGCGTGTACCTAATCGTTTCTCACAAAACTACCTACAGTTTCTTTGATCAAGATACCATGATCAGCGCAGCCTTTGTTTGGCCGTAACAAACTAGCAACACATCCCTGAAATAAGACTAGAGAAATCTGTAAAGTAAACTTATATTCTTTCATATTCTTTCATTGGGTATACGAGTAACCATATATTCGCAAAATTCCTAACTATTATTACCAAATCCTGCTCTAAAAACACCATGGAATGTTATAAAATAATAACCATCTGGCCCTTGCATTACTCTTATGTCAAGGGCTCAGCAACCCTAGAAACCCATCCTAATGCCACCAAAAGAAGAGGATTCTGTTAATCTTTAATGCCAGATCAACAACCCTCTTCCATTGCTTCTCAGCCTTTCCAGCCCATGTTTTCTCCCATCTCGCTCGTTCCTTTCTATCCATCTCTTCCTGCAGCTGACGTCTAAACTCCCTCCTCCGGGCCATGTAATCCTCGTCATCCTTCTTCCTCTGCTCACTTTTCCTCTCGAATTCCTCCGAAGCCTCTTTTTGCTTCGACTTTCGGCACTCAGCCAAGTGCGCATCGGAGCAGCCCAAAGACCTATCGTACGAGCAGCGGTTCTTGCTGAGCAGGAAGTCCCGGGCTTCCGTCAAAAGCTGCATCATCTTGCTTGCCGCATCCTGCTCCGACGGACCGACTTTGTCAGGGTGGAACTTTACGGCCTGTCTTCGGAAGCCTCTCCTGACTTGGCTGTCGGGCACACAGGCGGGGATGCCTAAGACGTCGTAGTAGCTTAACCTCGGGCGGTCAGGGCTTGCCTTCGTCGCTTCCTCAGAACTTTCGTTAAAGTTGTCGTACATTCTTTTCTTGAACTGAGCGTAATTGGCACCATGCTGCACGTAAATGTGCCGGGCTAGTCCTGATATTAAGAGCATAAGAAAAACTACCAATCCGATGAATGCCGGCGATGTTCCTGCCCCGGACTTTCGTCGCTTAGGCGCCATGATAAGAGGAAGAAGTTGTTGTTGTTGGGTATTGGGATAGATTCAAGATGCGTGAAGAGCTGTGGATCGTATAAGGCTTTGTTCTGAGACGAAGCTGATGGGTTTGTTGTCGAGTGGCATTGAAGAAAGTGATGGAGACACCGTGCGAGAGCAGATTCGTAGGTAAATATAGAATAGTGGAACTATGGCACAGTACTGTGGTTTAATAGCAACCACTTTGTTCCTGGACAAACGAGACAGTTCACTGGCAAGTTCAACAGTGTCCTTTCACCTTAGTTGCCTAGGCACCAAGGTAGGTGTCTGAGATCTTTTGATCATGAAGCCTAAGGAGGACACTGGAACCTATTGAACAGCCAGTTTGTAACCACACTATATCTGTCGAATGTCATAAATTCTTAGCTGCTTGGTGGCAGCAAATACTTAAAACCTCTTCCCAAGTCTGATTCTGTAGCTTCCTAAACCATTCGCTGTTCATAAATTCGGTTTGTCTGCCCGACTATTAGCAAGTAGCAATTTAGGGGTATAAGTGGAATATCGGGAGAACCTACGGAACCAGAATATCGTTTGCCCATAATCTCCCTGAGCTTTCCAGTTCCAGACCAGTGGCGCCGACGAGAGTGCGAGTTCCCTGTTCTGCGGTCCGCCGAAATAAAAAGTAGAATACCTATGACCATCAATATCCTCCCAACCAAAGGGCAATGCCTCGGCAGGTCTGCCTTGCACAAGCCGGGGTCTGCGGCATTGACTACGATCTTCGTTTGGCCCCCTCTTCAGCCTTGGACCTCTCCGCGAGACCAAGCATTGCGAAGAAGGAGGCGAGGTTAACGAAATCATACTGGCGGCGACCAACAAACTGGAAAGGAACATTTATGCGCTCGATCAAGGTCTGGTCGGTTGGCATGTCATATTCCACGAGGCCAAGGAAGGCCCTGCCATTGGTCAAACAGAGGTGTGGTGTGAAGGAGTCATCAGCCGCGGGCGCCTGGCGAAGCATCGGGAGGGTTTGCAATGCCAGGATAACCGTTGATAAAACGGTTACCTGCAGACTGATCTCGTAGCCATCTGGTCCCGTCCTGAAGTCCGGCATACAAACGCCAACATTGAGGAGGGCAACATGCAGTACTGGCACGCGCCTCCCAAGTTCCTTGGCGAAGCGAAAAGTGCCTGCGAAGGTTGAGAAGTCCACACCCATGGGGATGATCTCCCCTGAGTAGTAGGTTGTGGCTCGGAGGATGGCAGCTTTGGCCCCCTCGCTCTTTTCTTGGGTTCGGCAGGCTGGGTGGCATACTTGAGAGCGGCTTGGTAGCCTCGCCCGGCGTTGGTGTCAGTGACAAGGACTGCTTTCTCCTGGAATGATACCCTAGGTAGGCTAGTGGGATCCTCGGGAGGATTTCGCTTAGCCCACCAGCGCTTAGACAAGTTTCCCGCCTCGTGAGGAGGTGGCTTACGAGTGGGAGGTTCATATTGTTGGTGGCATTGAAAGAGGGCAAATAGCTACCCACCCTAGGTAGGTAGGTACTGGATGGATTCGACAAGTGGTGCGGCGTGAAGTCTTATGTACATACATATGTAGGACGTAGAATAACAATCACGTGATACCGTATCTGTTACCTTCCTAGGTACCTAGGTACATTTAAAAGGTACATTTAAATTTTAGATGTATCCGTCGTTTGCTCAGACAATTCTTCTTTCTACATAAACTTCTGTCTCAATGGACGGCCAGTCAATTACTAGGTAATCATATGCCAACACCTTCACTCATTTTCGAGCATTTACCCACTAAATCGCCCAGACCTTTCACCGTCCTCCCCCCCATGATATCGAAGACTGCTATATCTGCTGCGAATTCCTTCGCTAGCCAGTTGCGCAGCTCGACCGCCATCAGTGAGTCCACCCCGAATGCGTGCAACGGCTTCTCCATGTCCACATCGTCGGGCTCAATCGCGAGTGCATGCGCCAGCTTCCTAGCTAGTGCCTCCGCCACTATGCTCGATCGCCTTTCGGTAGTCATCGCTTGCCGGAACAGCCGAGCTAGGTCGTAGTTCACGAATCTTGCATCGTTCTCATGGTGTAGTGATCGTAGTTGTCTAAAATGCCCATACAGCGGTTGCTTCATGATCTCTGACGGCTCGAGGGAACGTTCAAGAAAGTCCATAGGGGTCTCTAGACCCATTACGATCTGGCTCGGGAGAGTGGTAGAGTCCGCTCCTGGGTCGCAGCACATATCTAGGAGCGCCAGGAATTCGTTCTCTTCTATCTTTCCAAGGCCTTGCATACCAGCACCGAAGCGATTCCGCAGCGCCTCCGTCTCAGCGACAATCCCAACCGTGCGCATAATGCCGAGATCGATTGATATAGTTTTGCGGCCGCTGTGCGTCCGAAAATGTGCCAGTGCATCCTGAAACGTGCACCCGGCGGCGTAATTGGCCTGCCCAGGGTTGCCGACGACACCGGAAACGGAGGAGAGTAGGACCATGAAATCTAGATCGGTTAAGAGATAGTGAAGGTTCCAAGAGGTCGCGACTTTGGATTGGATGGTGAGATCCCACTTTGGGTAAGACATGAGCTCGAACACGGAATCCTAAAAGGGCACTATCAGAATCTTGGACGAAGCAAAGAGGCGTGGAACTTACATTCAAAACCATCGCCGCATTGATGCAGCCCCGAATATGGGGCATCGTTTTCTTCCATTCCTCAATTGCCGCATAAACCGAGTGGAGGTTAGCAATATCACATTTTGGGGTTATGATTCGGATGTTCTTATCGCTAAGTTCTTTCACGACCTTGACTGCTGCATCGGATGTCGGGCCTGACCTTGATGGAACAATCAAATTCTGGACACCTCTTGAAGCCATCCATCTAAGTATTGATCTCCCAATTCCGCCTAGACCACCTACAACAAGATAGGATGCATCTTTCTCAAATTTCCATGTTTTTCTGGTGAGTAGGCGTTTCTACGATTCATCAGCCTGATAACGTGATGGAGAGAGGAGAGTCAAGAAAAGTATCCTAGGTACACATACCCGGACTATGGTAGAGGGGTCGATTCGAACGATAGTACGCCCCGAATTCTTCCCGCTCTGTATATACCGAAATGCGTCCTCCACGGCGCTAATGTCGTAAAGATGCAACGGTTGGGGGCAATGGATAGTACCATCATAATTCAAAGCCATTGTTTTATGGAACAGGTTCTTCCCTAACTGCTTCCTATGGAGCATTATATGACGGATGTCGACAGCGGCGAAGGTCACGTTGTTCGCAAAGCCGGTCATTGGTAAAGGCGAATTCGAGTCGATGTCCTTTTTGCCGATCTCGATGAATCGTCCATAAGGTGCAATGCATTCCCATGACGCCCGTAAGCCGTTACCGGAAAGAGAATTTAAAACTACATCCACACCATGGCCGTCAGTCATCCTCATAATGCCTTTGGCAAAGGTAATGTTGTTACTCCGGCTGTAGAAGAAATGGTCAGCGGGAATACCATATTGGTTGACAAGCAGCTCCTTTTTACGATTGTCACCAACTGTTACAAATATCTCCGCGCCGGCCTTCTGTGCGATCTGGATAGCTAGCTGGCCCGTTGCTCCTGACGCTGCGTGGATCAGGATCCTCTCTCCTCGGCTTAACTTTGCTATATCCATTAGGGAATACCACGCTGTCATCCCTGGGTTGATGACTGCGCAGGCCTCTTCAAATGATACCGAAGGTGGAATCTTCATTACGGCATCTTCACTGCTGCGGGGATACATACGCATGCAACCCGTTGCACACATGCAGACGCGATCTCCAGGTTGTACGGACTCACACTGTGCCCCAACTCGAGTGACGATTCCGGCACAGTCAGAACCGAACTCAGGGTCCGGAAGCTGACCTAGCGCGGTAAGAATATCGCGGAAGTTTATTGCCCAGGCCCTAGCCTCGATCTCGACGTCTATAGGACCGAGCTCTTCATGGTAGTCGCTATCCTCACTGAAGTGAAGCGTGTCTAGCTGTCCACGACTCTCGATATCAACCTTCAAGGGAGGGCCTGGAAGCCAAGGCGAGCTTTTATCCAGAGGGCGGATTGATGAAGACAACTCATAATTGAGTTTAGTATCCTCAATAAGCCGGCGAGTTAGGATTTGGCCTTCTCGCACAACATAATCGGGCTCTGGGAATTGGGCCCCAAAAGCCGACACACAGACTTTCGAGATATTCGAAACACAGGTGGGCGTGTGGATTATGTCTTCTACGGAAAGACTAATGATGTGCTTATTACCAAACTCTGTCCGCAGCGTACGCAAGAGGCCATCTTTGATGTGAGCATAGGGATAGCACCCGACATCTGAGCTTTGGTCTATACAACTGGAGGTTAACCATAATATTTTTCTTGGCCGTTGCATAACGTTTTTGATCACGCCGAAGATTGATTCAGAGACATCAGTCAACAGATAATCGCCCAGGTCAGTCAGGAGTATCACGTAGTCGTCGTGGCTTATATGACTCTCCGATAGCTGGGTTAGATGGGTAATAATGGTTTGAAGCCCCAGCGACTCGAAGCTTTCTGCTACCGTCATGGCTAGGTCTCTCGCAGAGAAGCTCACTTCATGCACTACAAACCAGACCCTCGCACCTTCGCCTGCTATGTGCGAGATATAGGGAATACTTGAGACAATAATGCTGGTATGATGCGCAACATTGTCCGCATAATCTCTTATAACCAGATCATTGCCAGAGAAACCATTCTCCCTGAGCACAGTTTCCCACTCGGGCTCTGTCATTATTGGTCTTCGAGCAACGTGCCTGTCTTCGCCGCACCACCAGTCTGGGAGAACGCCAAAGCCAAAGTCCAATGTGAAGCAGTCCGGGGCCGTATTCTCACAGAATATCAGGTGACCGCCCGGCTTTAACACGCACCGGATACCCTGGAGCAGGCCTGGCATGTTTCCAGTGGCATGAAAAGCACCTCCGGTCAAAACCACATCAAAACTCGCGGGTAGGAACCCTTGATCCACGATACCTTGCCCGGGGTCTAAAAGCATGAACGTCATGCGGCTTCGGTATTTCGAAAATCGCTCTCGAGCTCTCTCGAGGTACGAACTGGATGGGTCCGTGTAAACGTATTCACAGAACGCAACACCACCGGTGCTCTCTTCCACCAGTTCAAGGATCGACAGCACAAGACTAGCCATGGCGCCTGAACCGGCACCGACCTCAAGGATCCTCATGCTACTGGTTTCGTGGGCCATAAGCTGGAAGTAGGATATGAGTCTGTCGTCAAAGAAGTTCTTGAAGATATCTTCATAGAAATCTTGCAAGAGCGATTTCGATAAGAGAAACTCGGACGCATTAAAGTCTTCCCGTATGATGGAGGGTAGGTTCTGGGCTACTTCGACGAACATTCTCCATGACGGTCTTCTGTGGCTCAACTGTTCTAGCTTCCTGGTTAGGTCCTCTTGACTAATAATCTCCAATGGTTCGCCTTGCACCTTTTGCAACTGGTATTTCATAAAAGAGACATAGTTTTCCATGTGTGAAGGTGCTTTGGTCCACTTAGTTTCCATCATCGGACCGAAGTCTTGCTGAAAAGCCGACCGCAACATGCTCTCAAGTTCACGAGAATAGTCCACCACTGAGCTTTCGTCGACTTCAGAGTGGTTTGCATCGCAATAGCGATGAAGCTGGCTCGGGCTAAGGAGGGACAATTGTGGTCTCCAATCGATGCGATGTAACATATTCTTTTCGCTGTCACCACTGTGTTTATTGCTCATAATGGGAAGCATATCAAACTTGTTCAAACGGCAAAGTAGTGACCCGTCATCTGACAAAGCTTGTATGGAGCATTCGATACCGGTGCCGATAGACTTGATTTTGGACTTAGTTAGCACTCGTATTAGACGGGTGCATGGGTATTTCCATCCTCTTGCAGATATCCAAGCATCACGAACTCTGTACGGAACGTTTGTGGGGAGCTCTTTGGACATCCCACCCGACGGCGCTACATAGCACACTTGGCAAGCTGCGTCTAATATAGCGGGATGGACAACACCTTCGTATGGTCCAACGGGGCTGCCTATGTCGATATGCGCTATGGCGACTTGATCACCGTCCCAGCGGATGTCCTCGGCTAGGGAGAAGGAATTGCCATACTTCACACCCTGGTTATGATGCCAGTTGTAGAAATCGCGCTTACTAATTTCGATCGTGGAAGTTTGCTGAGCAGATACATAGTCAGAGGAAACTATTTGCGTTGCCATGACATCCTCCGGATAGGCCTCTACCTCATTCGCGGATTCTGCATATTCGATATGAATCGTAGATCTGAAACACTCGTTCCAGTGTTTGTCCGCCACCATGAATATGCGGACCTCGAAGCGGATAGGTATCTTATTAGATGCCATATCGAGAGGGCGCGTTTGTGTGATCACTTCTGTGCCATTTTCGGCTCGGATCACAATAGGGGTCATGAATACTGCTTCCTTTATGGTATATCCTGAGATGGTTTGGTTTGAGGTGGTCATCTGTGTCTGTCTCACTGCCTCGAGAGCCATGATTATTGACCCAGTGGCCGGGAACAAAATACTCTCGCCAATAACGTGATCCGCAAGCCAGGGGATATCGGCGGCTCGTAGAACTTTCCTCCAACGTGGTTCCAGCGGGTTCCAATCCGCTACAGATACGCCTAGTAAGGACCGTGAGACGGCTTTGCGAAGTCGCCAATCCCGACTCAATCTGGTCTCGTGCCAATGTACTTGCGAATGATTGAAGGGGTACCCAGGCGCGTCGACAAGAAATGGTCTCGTGTTAATGCCGGTATGTTGTTGATTGGCAGCAGTGACGGATACCGGGTAACCATTAGCAAATAACTGTCCGACTACTTCCAAGGTAGTTTTCACAGGCGATTCGAACCGTGATAGAATGGATAGATATGTAGGGCCTTTATCATGGCCTATGGCGCTGAGTGTATCCTTCACAGAACGTCGGAGAGCCCCATGCGGTCCAATTTCAATGTAAGTCGATATTGGCTTCAAATTATCGACCTTGGGTGCTGCGGAGGCGAGGTACTGGACTGCGGAGGCGAACTGCACGGGGGACACCAGGTTATCAACCCAGTACTGGGCCTCTGAAATGGCAGGGACTGGAACCTTTTGGCCAGTTACAGATGATATCATGAGAATGTTGCCATCATTCGGCTGGCGCATTTCCAATCGACTTAAACATGAATGGTACTCTTCGGAAATTTGCTGCATAGCAGGCGAATGATAAGCTACACCTGTCTTTAATTCTCGGGCAAAAATTCCGTCTTTTGTTAAATGCTTGGCCAATTCACGAATAGCGGCGTCGTTTCCGGAAAGCGTCACATTTAACGGGCTATTCACACAAGCTACGCAGATATTCTCGCTAAGGGAGATTCTGTCCAAGTAGGCGTCCACGTCTGCTTCCGGAATATTCACAGAAACCATGCTACCAGGCTCTGGCATCTGAGAAAGCCGTTGGGCTAGCCTTCCTCTGTGATAGGCGACTTGACATGCGGATTCGAGAGAGAGACCGCCGATAGTGTACGCTGCCGCAATTTCTCCAGACGAGTGGCCGACAACCGCATCTGGGATAACACCCATTTCCCGCAGGAGCTCAACAAGAGCTATCTGGAGAGCGGTACATAGCGGCTGACTCATTTGTGGCGAGTGGATTCTTTCCGGATCCTTGAGTGCATCTGTTCAACTTCATATTAGTACATGCGTACCGAAGTATGACTTTGCAGTCAGCAGACAATGAAAAGAACAGCCTATTTTGTATTACCAAATAAGCACCAATCAGCTCCCAATTCTCGAAAAACATTGCTCGCGCGGGATAGTACGGCGTGAAAAATGGGGTACACGAGTAAGTCCCAACCCATTCTTGCGTATTGGGCACCTTGACCGGTGAAGACGAAAGCTAGACTACCAGGTTTCTGGAAAGATCGTATGGACTTGGATGGGGAGAGCCTGTTAAGTTCGGAGGGAGGGGCTTGACTGCTCACAACCGCAAAGGTCCTCCATAACATCAGACTTCGCCGAGCAGAAAGCGTGTAGGCGAGAGATCCTATGAAACTGCCCTTCATGCTTTCTGCATGTTTCTCACAGTATGTACTATAAGCCTGCGTCATTCGTTGTATGGCGCTTTCGTCTCTCGCAGACCATACGAGGAGTGTGAACTCTGGTATGGCCTTGTAGTCTTCGCCTACAACATCCGAGCCCTTGATATCGTGAATCTCGTCGTGTCCCACATCCGAGCCATCAACTGAGCCATTCTTCCGGCGGAGCATCTCAGTCTCATTCTCATACTTGAGTTCTCCACCAGGGGCCTCTTTATTGGCGCGTTTCATGTTGATAGCCTTACCCTTCATTTGGCTTCCATTTGCTACACTATATACATCGTGCTGGCTACGTATTGAGGCTGGCGTATGAACCAAAACGCTAATGCTTTGGAGTTCGAGCGTATGGAACGCGTCATCCAGAATAATATGACCATTCGACCCACCGAAGCCAAACGAGTTGACTGAAATCCGGCGCAGGCCAGCGGTTGGCCATGGAGTGCATGAAGTTGGAACCTTGGAACCTTTTAGATATATCCCCAAAGAGAGCTGAGCGATTGAACCGTACCTGTAGATTGTTGAACTTTGCGTCAATCTTTGGGTTCCATTTCTCGAAAAGCGCGTTAGGTGGGATTATGCCCTTTTCGAGGATCATGATGGACTTCAGAATGCCCGCAAGTCCACTGGCACCCTCCAGGTGACCTATATTGGCTTTCACAGAGCCGCTATTATAATTGTAAGAGGCGGATCTATTAAACCATACCTTGATTTGGTAACTCACATGTATAGCGGTTCGCTGGGAGAGCGAGCAGTTCTGAAAACTCGACCAAGAGCCCTCGCCTCGGCTGAATCCCCCAGCTGAGTACCCGTGCCTAGGGAGTTATTCGTCAGAAAGCCCCAACTACCAATTATACTGATGATACTTTGTGCGTATACCTACCGTGAGCTTCTATATATCTGGTGGATTTGAAGTCGAGCTTAGCGCTCTTGTATACTCTTCGAATTAAATCTTCCTGAGCAGCTGCACTCGGCTGCGTAAGTCCGAAAGTGTAGCCATTATGGTTCGAATCGGAAGCTCGGATGACGGCACGAATCATATCACCATCTCGAACAGCGTCGCCAAGCCTCTTTAGCACGAGTACTGCCACCCCTTCTCCTCTGGCATATCCGTTTGCACGATGGCCAAAGCTGTAACACTGGCTATCTGGGGATAGGAAATTCATCTTCTCCAAGTTCAGAGATTCTTCAGGAGTCAGAAGGGTGTTGGCTCCCGCAACTAGCGCCTAACCACCGCCAGCCATGTTAGCGCATGTTTCGCTAGTAACTAACACGCACTCGATTACGTTTTTCATACCATAGAGCTCCGTCCACTGCGTAGGCACTGACACGCAAGGTCTGCGGCAATCATACCTGAGGAACAAGCTGTGTTAAGGTGCATGCTTGGGCCCTTGAGATCGAAATACCAGCTCAGCCTATTGGCCAAGATTGAAGGCGAAGCACCGCTGGCGGAATACACCGGTGCTTCATCTGGATCTTTGGAGAGGATCCTCGTGTACTCTTCCCAAAGCGACCCAGAAAATACTGCAGTGTCTGTCCCTGTCATCCTTTCTACCGGCACGCCAGCTGTCGTATATGTAAGTAAGCCTTAGGTTCTATGGTAGACATACAGACGATAAGTGAGTGGTCCAAGAGTGCAGTGCAGGGCTTACCATTTTCAAACGCGCGGTATGAAGCCTCCAGTAGCCAGCGCTGTTGCGGATCCATTGACGCTGCCTCTGTTATTCCGCTTAGTATATTGTGTTCTGGATAACGGTAGGGGAGTCCTTCTATACATACCATTGGACGTAATTAAGAAAAAAGGAGCATCGAAAGCCCCCACTTCTCCATCGATGAAGTGTCCTCCTCTCGAAGACAGCTAACCCATCTCATCATATTAGCCCTCACCCCCTTTCTTTGCACTAAATGATTGTGTACTAAGGTTAGGTATGCAGGAGGAACGCACCGTATTGTTTATCGTGCCAGGGCCGTTGTGATGGAACGCGTCTATGTTGGCTCGTGACGCTGGCCATTCCGATATCGTATTCCTGCCGTTTGAGAGCATGTCCCAGAAACTGGCTTCATCCTCAACTCCTTGTGGGAACCTGAAGGAGAAGCCGATAACGGCTATTGGCTCCATGGTGATGATCTTGGTAGGTAGACGGCGACAAGTGATGTAGTGAAAGTGGTCAGGGGCAAGCTTGGGTTGTTACTCTGAGTTGGAAGACAACGAAATATACAGGTAACTAGATCTACGATGTTTTAAACAGGCAGTGCTAAGCAGCGTAGGAAGTACATCTCCGCAATATCTGATACTTACGTGAAGGCACCTATGTAGGTACCCCTATACATACATAGGGTATCCATGTGCATGATGTGACCGTGCCCATGTACCTACATACTGTGCGAACAACATACGGATCAGCAGGGAAGCTCTGTAAGTATGCACATTGAGCGCTAAAGGCTTACGTGCATGAATATATGCCTACCTATTTACCTACTACACATCATAGATATTAAGTTGTGCTACAACACAACTGCAACTGTTTGTACTATATATGCCACTACTATGCAGTACACGATAGTTGTCTGGATCACTATTCCAACGTTACGCAACCTCTACAGAATCACTCCGGATGACCTGATTCAAAGCTAGTATATATGTTGTGTTTATTGATGCCCCCAACGCCACAGGGTCATATCTGAAGGGTCGTTTTATATCAGATATTACCAACGAAAGAGGGGAACGGCGTATGCAAATCGCTGCTGGTAAGCACATGAGGCATCTATCTATCACTATACCATCCCGTATCCCGTCAGACCCTCCCCCCTCATCCATGCATACACTCGCCTTGCAGCGATCGGCACCTTCTCCGTCGTCTCCACGTCCTCGATCTTGATCATCTCCTCCACCCAGAGAAACACCGCCTCCACAAACCTGCGTAACTGGTCCTCCGTGTTGGAGGAGTGGATTATGACGCGCAGCCTGCCTTGGCCGGAAGGCACGATGGGGTGCTCTACCGGGAAGACGCAGAAGGACGAGGCTAGCAGGTGGAAGTATAGCCACCAGGTACAGTTCTGGCGCGTGGAGATCGGTATTATGTGAGTGAGAAAGGGCCGCTCTTCCCAGTCGTTTGCAAGAGCCACGCTGAGGAGGCCCCTCTCCCGAGATACTGGCCAGAGAGGATGTGATGTGAGGAGTGAAAAGAATAGTTTCGCGAGATCTTGTATGCGTTCTTGTGCCTAGGGAGGTAGGTAGTTTTAGCATTTGTTCTGTTTCCTAGGTACCTAGTGAAAGGGTTTGGGAAACGTAGGTATCCGGCGGCTGAGCGAGCTGCTTACCTTTTCTGTGTGCCCAGCGGCAAGCAACGTGTACCCGGATTTGATGGCAGCGATAAACGGAAAGGAAGGCGAGGTCGTGTATATCACAGAGCGTGCAAAGTTTTGCAAAGCACCTCTAATTACCTCATTTCCAAGTATTATCGCTATAAGTGATTTGAAACAGTCAACATCAAAATCACAAGTAGGTAGGTACCCCTATGTGTGTAGGCAAGCATAGAGATTAGTATAGACATACCTCCAGTAGCCCCTATTGCTTTCCCATACGAGTGTACCACCACCGCGATACTCTTCTGCAAGCCCAGCGCGCAGACAAGTCCCGCACCCTTATCCCCAACGACCCCAACACTATGCGCCTCATCCACAACGAACTGTATGTTTCCCATCCCACCCGCGACCTCGTGCGCGACATCCACGAGCTCTCGCAGCGGGCACACATCGCCGTCCATGCTATAAATCGACTCCACCGCGACGAGAATCGACCGCTTCCCCTGGCGCACCAGCCTCTGGGACGCGAGCACGTCGAGCAACACGCCCCGAAAGCTCTCCACGCTATTATGCGCAAACTCGAACTTCTCCATCGCGAGGCCGTGTCTGATGCCCTCGTGCGTGCTCGCGTGCACCAGCGCATCGTGCACGACGACGTCCCCCGGTCGCGGCACCGCCGTCCACACCGCGACGTTCGCCTCGAACGCCGAGCCCACGAGCAGGCCGCCCTCGGCGCCGTGGAAGCCCGCGATGTCCCGCTCCGCCTGCTCCAGGTACCCGTAGTTGCCGTCCATGAGGCGCACGCCGCCGGACCCGGTGCTGAAGCCCGGGTGCCGCGCCGCGCGTCGCTGCGCCCGAGGGCGAGGATGTCCCCCGAGCACAGGTCCACGGCGCCGCCGGCTTGCCAGGCGTTGTCGACGATCGACCAGTAGAGGCCGGCCGAGCGCCGCTGGTTGAGCACTTCTTCGAGGTTGTGGTAGAAGGTTGATGGGGGTGGGGTTCCGGTGGCAGCAGGCGGCTGTAGAGGCCGTGGTTGGGTGTCCCGTAGGCGCGTTATGAAAGTGCTCACGGGGGGCACCGCCGCCGAGTCCGGATCCGCGTTGGCTCTTTCCATGGCGTGGATAGGGGGAGTCAATGTTTGTTTGGGCGCTGTCACAGTCAGTTGTAAAGTCGAAAGCCTTCAGGATCGAGGGGCCGTAATTAGCGCCCAGTTACCTCAGTTGGTCTTGGTCTTGGTAAGTAGGCTCTCGAGGTCTTTGAAAGACGAGTTAAGCAACATGAATGACTCCAGAGCGAGCCTGCATTCTGCATGATGGCTAACTCAAATAGCAGTAGATACCGAAGCCTCATCCAATATTTCATTTGGCTTTGCATAAATCGCCCTATCTGCTTGCCATCGTTTACTCATGATATTTCTCGCTAGGTTGCACGCCACCACTTTTGCTTTTTACTACAACGTTACTCTCTTTGCGCGCTTTATTTTGGTTAATCGCCAGAGCCCACAAGCAAACCGCGAAGGATTCAATCGCCGGGTTTTACAGCATATGGGCGTTAGCTGCATTATGCGCTGCGGTGTGTTATTTTTCTTGTGGCCCAGTGCCCATTGACTCGTTAGACTTCCTGTGCCTGTTTCGGTAGTTATTCTTCAATGCCACCCCTTTATCCAACGAATCGCGTTGTTTCATCGATCGCTCGATTACTATGTATGTATGCGTCAATATTTTGTACAACTAGAGTAGACAGTTACACAGCGCTTCCATCTTGTGAGTTGGTGAGATTTTAATACGCAAAGCCTTGCGGTTTTCTAATGTGGGTCTTGGAGAAGTGGGGACGGTGTAAGCGCGGATCAAAAAGGGGGGAAGGATAGGGGTTGCAGATACATAGTATAGTAGATGGCTGAAAGTTACTAGCTGATAAAAATTACAAGAGGACTATGGAGCTATTTTGCGACTTTACTGCAGGCTCTTTCTTCCCGCATGATAACTCCTCATAGGTGCCCTAGGTACATCGATGATATGTACGGGTACTGTGCCTAGTACATACATATGCGGATAGATAGGTACATAATACCTACCACCTGGGCAGTTACTACTAGGTGTGTACTAATAACAACGAAAAGCCAAAGTCTTCAACTTGTCCAACACTCTGTGAAACTCGATGTCGATCTGGATGAGTCTAGCCCATAACCCTCATGTCAGACGATAGAGTGCTCGTGGCTGTTTTCGGACCAAGTCATGTCTCGTCTCACCACTACGCCATCTAATTGATAACTTTCTGGATTTTGGGGTTCTGAGTCGCTTTTGAGCTGACTGTTGCTGTAGGCGGTCGCAGTGAAGGCATTATCGCTTTGACTGAGCTGCACTAGCGTATCCTCGTCGTTGGCAAACTGCTTCCGTTGCGGAGTCTTGCTGGTCCGAGCAGAGCGCTTGGAGTCGACTGAAGGTCCTTCGTGTGTGGCGCTATTCTGCCTCTTATAAGGGACACCGTATCGTAACCTGCGGTAGACGGGCACCAGAGTTGGAAGACACGAGCCGATGATGGCTACGTAGATCTCGATTACGGTCGCCACCCCCGAAACGAAGAATTGTTCTGTACTAGTTAGTGGATATCTTTGGTGGCGCTTTCTATTGGCGTTATTTACTTGTAAAGTTACTGATGCCCTGCTTCCAAATTATACCGGTGGATACTGTACGGACCAGACTGGCTGCCAACGCCCTAGGTAAGACGGCTCGGGTTAGAAACGAAACTGCCAAGACGGAATGATAACTGGAAGACTTACATACCACCCATGAGGAACACACCGGAAATCTGGATTTTCTTCCACGTCGTGATCTGCAGCTTGAAAACTTCGCGAATGGGCAGTGTCAAGGTAAAGAAGTCAATGATGGAGTTGGCTATTGAGTTGGCTAGGAAGCACAGGATCGGGTCTAGACATTTGGTTGTCGGGAGCGCCTGAAGCTCCACGAACCAGAAAGCCTTCAATGGCCGACATTCAACGAAATCCAGTATAGTTATGGCGATACACCACGCTATACACGCCGAAGCAAGGATATTAGTGCCTAATTTCATAGCCGGGGTAGGAAAGATGCGTCTGTAAAAGGCTAGCACGGAGAGCTTTATCAGAGGAGAGCAATACGTGTAGGCAAGTTCAGAGACATAGATGGCCTATAGGGATGACGACTATCAGTAGCTTCCATGGAGTAGAGGATAACGGGTGATCAAACCTGGTAAAGTACGACAACAGAATGAGGGTTCTCAGTTGCCGTTATCCTCATATCTCGACCAAGTCCTCCTTGCAATATGCAAACAAAAGAGCCAGCCAAGAGTATATGATGAACGATGAGAGCGGCTAAGCATAGATATGAGTCTAGCCCAAAAGACTGACGAATAAGTCTCTTTGCCCAGAATCGTAAAGCAACAATGACGCTGGCGATGAATGCAAGTATAGCGAGACATACAACGGCTGCATGGCCTCCATCATCAGAATAGTCCAGTGGTGGCTCTATCGTAGAAGAGTTCGTTGACATTGTCAATGTTTCTAAGTTTGTAACTAGTAGGCTTTAAGGCTGTATGGCGAGTTTCTACATCCCAAGTGGAAAAGCAAAAGAGAGTTTACCTAAGTAGAACATCGCGAGATGAGGAATTTCATATTTGAATTTTTGGGGGTAGCGTAAGCCCTCAATCTCAGCGTCGAGATATCGAAGTCCTACGGCGCCACGGCTTGTACCTCGTAGATACCTAGGTAAGCACATATACCTTGACCTACATACCTACATATACGTATGTATGGAGGATGCTCAGAGGATTACATTGTGTAACGTATACATATGTAGGTAGTAGCGGTCTATTAGATACCACCAGGGCTATGTAAGTACCTACCTAGGTTACATATGTACTAGGTAGTAGGTATATGTAGTATGTTGTGTACCTCTAACATTGAAGTATCTATGTAGGTACATAGGTACTAGGTAGTGCCATGTATACCCCTCGTTCCATTTTCTTTCACTTCCCTTCACTCAAGCTCCCCCCTTCTTTCTCTTTCATCACCTTAATCGTCCCTTCGATGTTCGTTGTTTGTATATATATTTTCCCTTTTTATTAAATTCGTAAATATCTGCTTAAACTTGGCTACTTGTCTCCTTCTGCAAAAGTAGTACATCATTCTTTCTATTCCAACACATTACCACTTCAGGCAACATGTCACTACGGGAGAGGCATCCTTTACTATCGTACCAACCTTTGAGACTCATATTTCAGCTCTCATATTCTGCTCTAATAATCACACGCCTACCCTATGATGCCGCCGTCGCTCTCATCCCCTCTTGGAGACCAGATCCAAGTTGGACCGCGAAGCAGACCTTCATGACCCGTGTTTTGTATTCGCTGCTCGATATGACCTCTCGTGTGGGGATCACAGAGACACTCACCTTGCGGAAGGGTAAGGAAGGAGATAGATTTCAGCTCGTAACGCCGTCTAGCTTGGACGTTTACAGAGGACCATTAGCATCCAAAAGCACCCAACCCACAACCATTGGAGGGACCTGGTTCCCGCGGGTTCCGGGCCCAGACGTGATCTCAAAAACGGTCATGCTTTATTTTCACGGTGGGGCTTTCATCGCAGGGGATGGGCGGGACGCGCAATGTGGGTCTATTGCCGCGAAGTTGCTCGAGAAGGGAGGGGCAGATGCCGTCTTCTCCCTGCAGTACCGTCTCTCCGGGTACGGCGGGCAGAACCCGTTCCCAGCCGCGCTACAAGACGCGCTATCCAGCTATCTTTTCCTTCTAAACGAGCTCCATATCCCAGCGAGCCAGATAATCCTAGCTGGCGATAGTTCCGGCGGAAACCTCGCCACTGCTCTGCTGCGGTACCTTCACCAGTTTGAGGCTGAGATCGGCGTTCCTTTGCCTAGATGCGCCGTGCTGCTTTCGCCCTGGGTCGCGCCCTTCCACTACAACATGGACGACAACCCGCACCGCAGCACAGACTTCATCCCCTCGACGTACCCGTCCTGGGGTGCGCATGCCTACGCGGATGGCTGGCCGGGCGGCGCGTCCGATCCGTACGTCACCCCCTTGGGCAATCCCTTCCGGATATCTGTGCCCATATTCGCCAACGCGGGCACCGCCGAGCTGCTCTTGGAGGACATCACGCAGTGGGTGGAGGAGATGCGGAAAGTAGACGGGAATGTCGTGGAGCTGAACCTCGAACAGGCTGCCGTGCACGACACGTTCTTGTCTGGTGATGTAATTGGATTCTCGGAGAGCGCTGGGACAGTGGCAACGCGAATCGGAGAGTTCGTGCGTAGGTTCTAGTTAGGTACCTAGCAGTATATGGCTTCCGAGATCGTATCAGTATCTTGAGGAGAGAGCTCTTACAAATGAAAGTCAACTAGCCGAGCTTGTAGGTGTAGTTGTGTGTCTGACAGGCAGGTCATTTCTGGACTTAAATATGTACGCGAGATATGTGTCTACGAATAGGTACCTAACCTAGGCACCTCTGTAAGCTGCCTTTCACAACTCCATAGAAAAATAGTTTATGTATTTCTTGGTGATGATAAGATCTGATGAGCATGCATAGATACATACATACTACCAGTGGCGTATATATGATACTTTGTGGGTAAGTACTGGATACCTACACAGGTTGCATACTGGGAACATATGGAGGTACTTCCCTGGTATTCTTATGTACTACGTATGTATGTAAGTGATTCTCCAACCGTGTAACACTTTGCTTACCCATTATAAATATGCCGGGTATGTTGCATATGAGGAGGATGTGACCTACATACTTAGGTTCACCTAACGAATAGAAGAGCAGGCTGTGGAAGTGCGAACACCACCAAGGACCTAGAAATTCCCCTCCAACCCCTGACTCTAAATCTCCCACTTCTCATCCTGATCAAATAGTAACAATGGCCTTCGAGCTCCAAGACATCAGACCCGAGTTTGACTTCCTAGAACTGACTGAGTGTTTATTGAAGGCCTATGAGGACCCGCCCCAAAGGTTCCTACACATCTTCATTCCAATCCACCGACCCGGGGCCGAGGCCCGCAAAGCAGCCCTTGAGGTGAGTATCGGTGAATCCATAACTTCCGACCTATTCTAGAACACTTCAATGCTTTGATTATGAAGCCTGGCCGTATACATGTGTCTAAAGCGTGACGCAAGCAAAGGGTACATACAAGCTAACTTCCCATCTATCGCGATAAAGGAGGCGGCGACCCGGCTCCAGCAGTGGCATTTGCACGAACCCTCGAGCCATTGGCAGAAAGTCGTCGATGTGCAGACCGGCAAGATAGTAGGAGGCGCGGCATGGCACATCTACGAAACAAACCCATTTGCAGAGCCGTATACTTTGGTTGCCGATTGGTTCCCAGATGACAGTTCGCGTGTATTTGCCGAGCGTGCGTTGCAGAGTCTAGTTCGGCCGAGACATGAGGCAGCTCAGAAACCTCATATATGTACATACCTAGGGCTTGTCATCATCACCATCTCACCTCCTTTTTTTGATCTCATTCCCTTGCTTTCTTTCCAGGTTGCTTACCATTAGTAGCTATTAACTACCTACCAACGCTAACATCGAAAACAGTCCTCTTGAACGTCTTCACGCATCCAGACTATCGTCGGCGAGGCATCGGACAGCAGATCATGGACCGGGTCATGGAGAAAGCAGATGAATTGGCGCTCGAGATCTTCTTAGATGCGACTCCGCCAGGCAAGCCGCTGTACGAGGCAAACGGGTTCGTTTGCGTTGAGGAGAATGTTACTGCGCCGACGACGGACCACCCAGATGATAAGTGGAGGGAAATAGAGCAGAAAGTGTCGCCGTTTACGTTTTGGCTTATGCGGCGACCCGTCAAATAGGGGTTTATGTCTGGGGGGGCTAGCATAGATGCCTAGTAGCTAGCTACCTCAACACATCTGCGAGCAGATATAAAACTCCCATCCCACCTTCGTACCCGTAATTGTGCATGCCAACCCTACATCATTTCATATTAGGTGATTTAGTAGCTCTCGTGCATGTGTTAAATGCTTAGTAATACCCCAGGATGTAGGCTGAATCGTGATCGTGGCGGTATGTTACTGGAAGTTCTACCGGAATGGGGAGGCATATTCCGCGCAGATACTCAAGCGTAGGCCCGATGTCAGCATTGCAGAGGCGAGGGAAGCGATGCGAAGAATCCCGGACGCGGAGATTTACCTAGAGATACCGGAAGGAGTTAGCCTCAAGGAAATGGAGGCAACAGCTGAAAAGTCGGATAGCGAGTTATACATTAAGAGACCTTCCGTTCGCTCATACGAGACCGATGAACCCCGCGAATGGATTTGTGATATTTTCTGTAAGTAGGTATCTGGTATGCAGATTGTCTCCCGAGGTCACTACTCTTTCTCCCTTGTTAACTCTGCTGGTGCAACCCTGAGAAACTGGTGATCTATTCCGAAATGGAGGATGGTCTTTTCGGTTTGGTTAAGATGCGAGAGTGGCTGGATGACCCTGATCGAACATTAGCTGGCTAGCTAGGTATTTATTACAAGAAAGATGTAATTAGGTAGGTATGCATCAAGTTAATCACATCCGTAACTTTAGGTGGTATTTTAACAACTGTACCCTATGCTCCCGTAACTCCAGGCTCCCTTTTGCCCCCCTATTTCCCCCTTTCCCCTTTCCCCTTTCCCCTTTCCCAGTGTCCGAACCCCACCGCACCATCCATTAGGTATCATACCCCTACCGGGGTAACTGGTTTCTGTGACCCCTCAAACCGTTCCTCTTCTATCCTATCATCACTCATTTGCGTATCGCCTTCGCGAATCTTATGATGTTTCGCCACTACCGCCGCATCCATATGCGTAACACCCGCGTCCGTAGTAAGCATGCGCTCCATGCTCCCTCCATGCGTAACCCCGATTATATCCTCCTCGTGGCCGCCCCTCAGCGCGCGCGACCCGGTCCCCCACGTGCGCAGGGCGTACGGCGGCTCGGGCTGCTTGGACCCGGACCCCGTTCCCGAGCGGCTCTTCTCGGAGAAGTACTTGACGAGCGGGGCGAGGGGCGGGATGCAGGTGATGATGATGCCGATGTTGGCCTCCATGATGGACCACATGATGGAGTGCGCCGAGTCGAGGTAGTTGGTCAGGTTCGTGATCGTCTGGATCCGGATGATCTGGATGATGGTCACGAAGATGCCCAGCGCGAATAGGACTAGGAGCGCGACTTTGCGCCGCAGCGGGATCTTCGATTTTACTAGAACCGGGAAGGGTAGCGCGAATCTGTTGGTAGGTTAACACCGTAGGCCCTTTTCTTCGTTCACAGGCAAACGGCAGAGACTTACACTGTGAGATCAAAAATGATCGTTAGCGAGGAGAAGCTGAGGTAGAAGGGAACAGCCTTGGCGCAGTGGCCCCACGTGATGCTGCTATCCCATGATTTCTCAACCTGTTATTAGATATTAGATACGGTCTCCTTTTGTATGTGTTGTGACTGGCACTTTACCGGCGTGCAGGTGAATATGAATACGAAGAGAAATGCTATATGCGCCATGGTGCAGAGAACCGCAATGATAACTGCAGCTTTATAATATCTCCCCTGGAAGAAGCGTAGGTACGATAGCAGTAAGCTCATTTTGAATCCCCATATTCCGACGACGTAGCTGGTGAAAGTTGAGTGGATTAGATCACAAGTCTTTCCCGGGGGGCATTATTATTATTGTTTCACTCACAACGGAGCCCCGATATATTGAACCTATGATGTGTGTAAATAAGTAATTCTATTGAATTGTAGATGGCGGTAGTATTACCAGTCCAAAATTATATACGTTCTCATCCGGCATGTCGTCGAGACTTATGAGACCTAGACCATATTTGGTCTCTAATAGAGTTGTCAGTTAACTCATACTATGCACCTAAAATATTGAAAATAGAGAGGCAAAATGGTATAGGCACTTACGGACTACTGTGCACATCGAGTAAACACATGTTCCCAACTTTTGCAGGTCATTCGAATAGTTAGCGTTATGCAGATTAAAGGTTGTAAGGTTAATGATGGGATAAATAGGATGTAGGTACCCAAGCTATCATTATCATCCAATCATCTGTGTGAAAGGGTTATTATATAAGAATCTCACAATAAGGGGGCCATGAGTGGAGTTGAAGAGTTGAGTGAAGTTGAAATCGTGTAACTCGTGACTTACCGTTACCAAACGCCCTTACTATCCATACTCTCACATATGTCCTTAGAGATACTAAGAAAAACGAAACCGCAGTAAAGGCTATTGCAATCGCGGTAATTCCGGGCCCTCCCGTTGGTGTGCCCTCTGGGGTACCATAAGTCCAACTCATATCGTCGGACGCAATCCGATATGAGGAAACGGGAAGAAAGTGTGGAAGCTTTCCAACGGTCCGGCACTTTTAACGTAGAGGGTCCGGCCGTTTGATATATCGGGATATGTGCGCCATATATGGATGTGGATGATGGGAAGGGGAGGGAAAGGGAAAGGGAAGGAGGCTGGTGGGTTACACTCCTAAGATGACTACAGGGTGTGATATTCTTACTTAAGTAAGTAACCTGCCCTAGATAGGTAGTTGACTACTTACATATCCATGTTTTTACTCTACTCCAATGCCTTATATCGCTTCCACGCTGCATCCACACGTATTACTAGGTGGAGTAAAAAATGTAGTTATTATTCTTTCACCGGTAGATTGTTGTGTTGAGAGCCCATCTCACATCCACGACTTGATGAGTAGTTCCCGCCGTGATCTATGAGAAGTAGTTATATATGGGAAAGGGAAAAAGATCAAAAGGGCTTTAGGCTCTCATACACCAATCGCACATATTCCTGCAGGTAAGACGTGTAATTCTGCGGAACGATCTGCCTTTGCTAGTGTGTCTGTGGGGTCGGCATAAACAATAGTGAGCATGTGAACTTCATGCGACGGCCCTCCAAGCTCAATCGAGCATGGCCGCTAATGCCTAGGCAATGAGTAGATACCCTGAAACATAATACGATATACAGCTTTAACTGACCAGAATTCTTTCACGTGGGATTCGTGGATAAAATCCCTCTATACTTCCGTTCACAATCAAGCTTTGACGGGATCAGATCAGGATTATAATTATTACTTAGTCGGAACCGAGGCCCATAACAGTGAATAATTCCCTGTATGTCTCCCTGTATGTCAGTAGGATCGTGTACCTTGCTGAAAGAGCTGTGTTTTCCAAGCGTAGCATAGCGTTACAATGGGCTTCTTTTGGGTTGCAATTTACCATCCCAAGGTATCGATACTAGATAATTTTACCAAGACGTGTCCGGTACGCCGAATACGTCTTGGCTCCAACAAGGCAAGGATCTTCATCCATTCGGGCGCTAGCTATGTGCGTTACGAACCGCTTCCCATTCTAACGGATCGCGGTCCTTTTAAGAACCCAGGGATCCGAGAAAGGTTACATTTCCCGCAGTTTACAGATGACTAAAAAGGGCGCAATTGAGCTTCTCTTGCGACAATGGGGGTGAGGGGAGGGGGGGTGCATGGCGAAATCCTAACGGTTAGATCCTCGCATCAGCCGGCATCAACCAGCGTCAACACATGTTTTCATGCTTTTTCTAGACCAATCCCGTCGGCTTCGACAGCACCATAAAGTAAATGCCATGATCTAGTTCTTCAATATTCCTTTGCAGGAGGTCATACGTCTGAGATCATACAGGCCGTATATTAGGAAAAAGGGGTCAAGCAGCAAGCATTTTATTGTCACCATGCTGTCAATTCTTTTTCCCTTATTAGAGTTAATCTCGCTTGGAGCGCTTGCCACTGCTGCTGATGTCGGATTACGTGCAGCGCCCGCCAAGTGCAAATACCTGCCTGGCGATGCCAATTGGCCCTCGCAGGATGAATGGGCGACACTCAATAATACTATCAACGGTCGTTTAGTTGCTACCGTTCCCTTAGGATCACCAGTGAGTATAGTCGTCCAGAGAGTCATTCATTCACCCTCCTTCTCCTTTCTTTCTAGCTGTGTCGGCGATCACCTTTCACCAGCCTTTCCATATTGAGCTAGGTGGTTTGGGATTTTCCTGATCTGCTTCCCTAGATATTCATGCCTCAGTGTGGCAGAGTTTTTACGGGAAAGGGGAAAAGAAATTATTATTGACTTGTCGTTTGCGCAGTGTCACGACCCGAATTATGATGAGGAGCTCTGTGCTTCCTTACAGGACCAATGGCTCTACCCTCCTGTCCAGTAAGTGAATTTCTCGCCTAACCCTCCCTCCCTAGCTACCCAACCCCGTGGCGCACAGGCCGAACTCGTATGTACGATGACATTGAATGAAAAAAAAATGAGATGAGATGAAATGAAATGAAATTAGCTAATCGCGGAACACCAGCCTCGAGTCATCCTCCTCCATCATGGCGCCTCTATTCGCCAATGAGAGCTGTGATCCATTCCAGCCACGGGACAAGCCATGCACTCTTGGCAACTATGTCAACTATGCCGTGAACGCCACTGGGCCTGATGATATTATCGCCGGTCTCAAGTTTGCCGGGGACAAGAACATCCGCTTTGTCATCCGCAATACCGGCCACGACTATCTTGGCCGATCCACGGGCAAAGGAGCGCTTTCCGTCTGGACTCACTACCTCAAGGGTACGGAGATCCTGGATTGGAATGACCCTTATTACCAGGGTAAAGCCTTGAAACTGGGTGCGGGAATCGAAGGCTACGAGGCGCTGGCTGCAGCACACGAGGCCGGGCTTGTCGTGGTGACCGGCGAATGCCCCTCGGTCGGGCTGGCGGGAGGTTACACCCAAGGTGGAGGACACTCTGCACTCAGCACCACTTTCGGCCTGGCTGCTGACAACACGCTGTCCTTCGAAGTTGTCACTCCCACTGGCCAGCTCGTCACTGCATCGCGAACTGAGAACCAAGACCTCTACTGGGCTCTAAGCGGCGGCGGTGGAGGGAATTACGGCGTGGTAATCTCCATGACCGTCCAGGCGCACCCAGATGCCACGATCGGCGGCGCAAGCTTTACTATCACCAATTCGAGCGATAATCCGGAGCAGATATACGCCGTGATCGATGCCTTCCACGCTGCTCTGCCCGCGATCGTCGACTCCGGCGTCATGGTCATCTACTTCTTCACCAACACCTTCCTCCAGATCCCGGCCCTCACCGCATACAACAAGACGCAGGCAGACGTCGAGAAAATCCTGCAACCCTTTTCCGACTCCCTCGCGGCGCTAGGAGTTTCGTTTGCGCCCACGTTGACCGAGTACTCGAGCTATGCCGACCACTACAACCACTACTGGGGCCCCCCTCCGGCCGGCAACATCCAAGTCGGCGTGCAAGTCTTCGGCGGCCGCCTGATCCCCCGCTCCACCCTCCCGAACTACTCCTCCACGGCGCGCAAGCTCGCCGACCTCGGCACGATCTTCATCGGCGTCGGCCTCAACGTGTCCAGCTTCGGGGCCAACAACGCCAACGCCGTGCTGCCTCAGTGGCGCGACTCGATCGTGTCCGCATCGCTAACGCTAACGTGGGACCCGCTGGCCCCGTTCGCGGACGGCGTGGCGGCGCAGGCCAAGATCACGAACGAGATCCAGCCCGTCGCCGACGCGGCGGCCCCCGACGCCGGCGCCTACATCAACGAGGCGGACTTCCAGCAGAAGGATTGGCAGACCACGTTCTTCGGCGTCAATTATCCGGAGCTGCTGAGGATCAAGCAGAAGTACGACCCGGCGCACTTGCTGTACGCGACGGTGGCGGTGGGCAGCGAGGCGTACGCGGTTGGTGATGATGGGAGGATGTGCAGTGCGCTGAAGCAGGATGTTAGGGAGATATGAGGGCGTTTGTAAAAAGGAAAAGGGGGTTTTTTTTAAAATTTTATTAGATGTACTATTAGAAAAATGTATCTTCGTAAGAGGACATACTGACCTTGGTATACTTCGATGTATTATAGTTACCTAAATTGCTGTATTGGTTGGGCATCTAAAAAAAAATCTTACCTTGGAAGTGTGCTTGGTAGTTACTCCATCATGGTGTCATCCCCTATTGTGGAGCTGCGCTGTGCTTCAATCCAGCTACACCACATACCCAGCGGTAACCTATCACATCAACGACATTATATGGACAGTTCAAGTATAAATTCATTTCCGACACAATTTGCTATATATTTAGGTAGTAATGCCATATACGATGTCCCCAGTCCATCGACGGTGCCTGCCTAGAAATCCCCGTCTAATAAACAGTTATTATTTAGGTCACCCAAGATGTAGCTAAAGCGGCTATCCGTCTCGAGCCAGTCCCGAAACTCGTTTTTCAGCACCCCATACAATACGTTATCGTGCCATTGACCATTGAACCAAATGGAGCTGCGTTGTCTGCCTTCCTCCGCGAACCCCAGACCCTCGAACAGCTTCGTGGCAGGCGTGTTGAAAGAAGGAATGCTAACTTGGATGCGGTGCATCCCCGCCATCTGGAAGGCGTACCATGTTGCCCATGTGGTGGCCTCGGCCCCGTAGCCCAGGCCGCGATATTTGTTGCCAATGTAGATGTGGACTTCGGTGCATCGATGATGTGCGAGTTCCGGCGGGATGGCCTTGAGAGACACGATGCCGATGTTTTTGCATTCGTCATTGTCGATGACAGCACGGAGGAGGCACTTATCGACGACACATTTTTCAGATGTGGTGTGCACATCCACGAGCCTAGGCTGTAGAAGTTTGGGGCTCGATCCGGACAATGATGCTACATCTTGATGCATTTCTTCTATCAGGTATTTGTAGTCGCCATCGTCCGTTGCGTTGTAGTAGTCAAGCCGGGCTGATTTGAAATGGTAGAATGGTGCCTTGGAAGTCATTGTTAGAATGGAGAAAATGATGATGAAGCATGAATTAGGGAAGTTTGTTGAGATCAACGTAGACTTGGAAGTACCTAGACAAGATATATGTAAGTACGCATTTGAGCTGCTTTTGCTTTCCATGCTTGCAAACGATCCCGCGGATGACTACATACCTACCACACAAGTCATAAATTTCTTTTTCATATCCTCCAATCAATATTGAAGGCATTCGTTTGTTATATCCACTCTGTATATACAAAATCTCTCTAGTACCGGCCAAAATAGGATCAAAGTGTATTCTACATATGAAATGCTGATTCTGCACAGGAGTATTCCAAGAATATAGGGGTTAATTCTCGAACACGCTAGGTAACGAGTACATAGTACCTAGCATCGCATCATACACACATGAGTACATAAGTGAAACTAACAATACGTTTTGGTCATCCAATGAGCTTTCATAAGAGATGCAGCAAATTTCTTAGGCACTTTGGCGGAGTGGGTAGAACCAAAACCATTAATAAGTCAAGTCATGCAGCTAACCTGTTTAGGTGGTTAACGCGATGCCCTGCTATAACGCGCAGAGATAGTCCAGGCATTCCCTTCGGGGGCGTGTGTTCGAATCACACAGGTGTCGATTTTTTTTGTTCTTTTTTTCTTTTTCCGTTTTTATAGGTAGGTACCTAGGTGGGCATGAAAAAGGGGGTGGTTGATTATTGTGGGACCTCGCTGGCGCTGGCTGACGTAGGAGCCTATTTAAATTCGAATAGGTACTAACTCTCGTCAGAATATAATAGTGAACAGAGATAGAATAGCTCACAACTGACCTTATTCTTCTTAACAGGCACGAACGAAATCTCAGATGTATCTTCGTAGCTTGTAGGGTCATCTCCTAGGAGCTCCAGGTCTTCCTTATCCAGCAATTCCATACTCATCTTCACTTGCTTGAAGTCTTTCCCATCGCGTGCCTGTATCTCGAACGGCTTGCCCGGCTGGATGATAACCTGTGGGATATTTACCTCGCAGCGTGCGTCAAAATGCTTTGTGGGGGTCACTTTGTTCTTGCTAGGATCCCATCTAGCCCACGTGGGACTGGTGTTCTTAGCAGTTGGACCGCTCCTTTTAGCGTCCGCTGATTTTAGAATAAAACCGTAGTAGGCATCTTTTTCTTTGCAGCCAGGTACCATCGCTACTGGGAAGATATCGAATAGCGAGTCTATCTGGCCTGGCTTGCCCACACGAACTCGACCTTCGTCCTCGTTTCTGTTCAACGAGGATGTAGGTGGTAGGTTAGGTGGTAGGTATAGATGCATAGAGTAGGTCTTAGAACCGCGATAATGGAGCGATTTCCCATACCAGCCAACACCAACCCAATCAAAGATGGTACGCCATACTTTGAGGTTTAACCGTGTACCTTGGTTTCCTTCGCCGTCTTTCGCTGCTCCATAGTTACTTAAGGATAAAACGGTTAGCTTAAAGCCAGCCATAACCCATTAAAAATGGTTAACTTACTGGATTGCCACTACCGTTTCCTTTCCACGATAGCCTACCCATACCGGTCCACCACTCATGCCCTGCACGGTTTGTGCGTTGTATTGTAGCTGAGAGTCCCCGGCCCTAACGCACCTCCCTTCTGACCGTTTCGGCAGCTCCTGTGGCGGCGAGTCTTCCGGTCTATAGCCACTCACGTTTACCGCCTTATCGTGCATCACGTCTTTATCGTCATCGCCCGGGGACTTCACGTCTAGTCCTCGGGGAGGTACAAGACCAAGCATTATGTGGAAGCCGAATCCGCGTATACGTTTTAATCTGTCCCGTTTCAAGAGGATGGCTCCGTAATCATATATGGCGTTATCCTCGTTGGGTTCGTCGAAATATCTAGTGCAGACTCTGAGCATGTCTGGTGTCACCTCAATATCCTCCCCCTCCTTTTCCTCCTCTTCCTCTGTGTTTTTCTTTTCTTTGTAGCGGTCGTGGATGATTTTGATGTTGGAACAGTAATGCTGCGGCCCGTCGACGAGGTTATGCGCCGCCGTGAGAACGACATCGTTGGTGGCGTTGGGAACGTTGACATAAAATCCGTTGCCGTGCTTTACATCTAATGAGCGAATCCGCCAAATATTACAGTCAGCCTTTGTCTCTCTTGAGAAGCCAAGAGCAGAGACTTGGTCTAGGTACTCACTCCCTTGTTTCTCAAACGTTAACTTCACGATCCAATTCTCCCACCGATGCACATCTGCTGTCAAATCTATCCCAAAGTCGTCGGTCCTTTGTGGCCTGTCATATTTCTGGCTCATATGCCAGTATCTTCTGGGAAGCTCACCCAGGGGGTTTCCAGAGTCTTGCACCCCGTTACCCATGGCTGGATAGATAGAGAACAGGCCTCTCTAAATGATCACATATCCATGCGTAGCCCTTGGGGTTGTAAGAGAAGAGGAGCTATGGATCTTTAAAGTGATTTATATTCGTGAAAATATGGATATTATACTACTACATTCTCTTACTGACGTGTCTCCCTTCGACAGCAGTGCGATTGGCGCTGCATGCAAGACGGCCTAGGAGACAACTTGCATAATTGATTTCATATTCTCACGCCTGTGCAGTGTGGGAATCGGTCCTATCACTAGGAAGCATGCACGCTCAAGATTTCATTCATTGGAAGCCACTAGGTAGGTACCAATCTTCTTTAACTCTCAACCTCTAAAAGCTCAACCCCCTTTCCGATGATGTGGGGCTAGAGACCTATGTAACCTAGGTAGGTACCTAATGGAATCAGTCTCGTAAAAGTCAAATGCTCTTACGAATGAATACACACAGTCCCTCCACCATGTTATAGATCAGTAATAGATTACGATCTTTCTCTTCTTCACCACCACCTTTCTAGCCCCTTTCCATTTGACCTTCCACCCTGCCTGGGCCCTGTCCGAAGGTATCAACTTCCCATCGCTATCAACCTTGCCCAAGCATATCTTCTCCTTGACCCCGTCGACGCACCACAAGGAGCCACCGGTGAGGAAGTAACTCTGAAAAGAGCCCGTCTCGGAGTCTTTGGCCACGACAAATTTCTCGATAGCGGTATCGAACTTGGTGTTCTCGATCACATCGGCTAATACGGCAAAAAGAAAATAGTTTCAGGTTAGCCCGTACGCTTGACAACGTAAACACATGCTGATGAAAACAAGATAGGGCTCTCACCTGTCCAGTTGCCTGTCTTGGGGTCGTGGACCAGATAGCTGACCCCGCTGTCTATCTCGACATAGAAAAGGTGCAACTTGTCGTCAATGACCTCAAGACACTGTGGTGTCCCGGGTACGGGGTCGCCCTCAAGGGGGCCAAAGGCGTTCCATGTTTTGCTACTCGCGCTCATGATACCGGCAAGGCGTCCGGTTTGGTCTTGGTATGAGACCACGATGTCGCCTTCGGGGCCGAGGATCGCACTGAGCTTGCTCTCCGAGCTCGTGGTGATGTTCCATTTGCTGCCGAGTGGTGTCTCTTCCCACTCTTCGATGTCTTCGTTGTATGAATAGCATTGAATGGCATTGTCCTGGTCGATAAACACAACAAGACGCTGTCGATGAGGATGAAACCTCGAGTCAGTATACACAGGTAGGTGGTACCTATGACCCATTATCAACATCTACTACTCATGGGAAGTTTGTACGTACAAGCCCTGGCTCAACACCAAGCAAATATGATGCCGAGGTGTCGTCCCTCACGTCGGAGGCAATTACATTCTCGCTCTGGAGGTTATCGCCAACCCAGTGCTTCTCGACAAGGTCGCCGTCTCTCACCGTTAGGAGGTAAATGCCATCGTCTCCGTCACCCGGGGGCTTTACTGAGCCGACGGCAGCAAGCGATCGAGCAAGATCCTGAACACTCATGATTAGATTAGGTACCTAGGTAAGTATAGAAAATAGGTAGGGTGTGATAACGGCCACGTAGATATGCTATGAGTTGGAATCTACCCGGGTTTCATCAGTCTCCTATCTATCTACATATTCCGCCAATTTAATAGCCCCTGAGATATTGGAGTTGAGGACATTGCAACATCTTGCCTACCCAGTGCACCTCCTATACCTACCTACTATGCCCTTACAACCCAATACCACATCATAGCTCTGCGACAAGAGTCATTATGTTGTAATGTCGAGGCTCCGTGTGGGGTTCCAGCTATTCACACGCCACATTGGGGTGATTAGTGAGGCGATCTCCACCCTCGACGATCCGATTTGGGCAGAATATTCAGCTTCGAGAAAGCTGAAAGGTGGATGTTGTATGCAGCTCCAACTCCCTGTCGCATACATTCTCCGCAATAGGAAGCTCGTTAAGCCTCTTGGGCACGGATTTCTATATCTATCGCATAGAAGGAAATCTTGGGCATTCACCGTCCGTGTACCAAAGGAGCGCCGATCTTGGGACTATAGTCGGTCACGCCCATACCCAGCCTATCACATCGGAGGCGCAAATGTTAGTACCGACTACGTGGACATCGTTAGGTACCGCGACTGTCCTTTTTTGCGACGTGCGTCACCCCGAGCAAATCGCGTCCACTCCAGGATTTTTTTTTTTCAAATACCGAAGGGAAAAAAAGGAAAAGGGAAAACGATAATTATTCTTACGCGATGGTGATGACGGTCGCGTTTGTCGGTTATCGGGCTCCATGCGACATTCAGCGCCAAGATACCCAAAGCCCCGAGAATATCACGGCCACGTCTGTAACCAATGATGACAATTGAATATGGAAATTCCTTTTTGTGCAGTATTCTGCTACACATCTCTCACCAAGATCGTCGTCCAGCCTTGTGGTATAGGTTGCATCATCACCGTCTCACCTCGACAGCGCGCGCAACCAAGATGGTATGGTAAGCGAGCCTTATGATTTTGCATCAGACTCCTTGGGCACGATAGCGAGCCTTCTTCCTGTCCATTCTTAGACAGTACAGATTTCATGTGGTAATGGTTTTGGTCGGGGAGAAAAGAAAAGCGCAAGGAGAAATTTTCTGTTATCCTGCTGATTTGTCGTGCGGCTCAAAATATGACGTGAATATTTATAGGGGGCGCCGTGGAGGACTCTAGATAGCTGTGTAGACCAAACCAGACCATCAATTAGCTTTCCAGCCCACTTTTTAGCAATTCCAACAGGATCTACTTCACAATGTCTTTCTTCAGCGATATCAAGACTGGCGCTCTAACAAGCGCATCTCTAGATGAGTATCTTGTAACTCATAATATCGACGACCCAAGCATGGACAATGACAATGGCACCTTTGGCCTGACACCTCTTGCCCTAGCTGTGCGCAACGGACATGCCGAAGCAGTCCGGCTTCTTCTCGACAAAGGCGCCAAGGTAGATGCACTCTCGTCCGGGTACCGTACTCCTTTATGGATCGTGACTTCTCGCGGCAAAGGCGATAATCGAGCCGAAATAGTGGATCTCCTATTGAGGCGTGGAGCGAATTCAAAATATTCGAACCCTGACCTCCAATGTGGATCAACACCACTCGAGAATGAGCTAAAGCAGCGAAAAGACCCCGAGGTGATTCAACTCCTAGTCAAGAGCGACGGCAAGACGGACGCGGCCGAGAAATTGGCTAGCAAGCTGGACCAACAAGAGATTGACGAGGCCATGGACCCAGCCGGACAGATGGGCAAGCTTGGCGGGACCTTCGTTAATATCATCATAACAGTTATCATGTTCATTCTTGCTTGGGCGAACACCGCTCTCGCGGGGATTGCCAACCAAGTCTTCGAGAGGTTTCAGATAAGCGGCAGAAAGAATGCTCGGCTGGCTCAACAGGTCTTTGCAGTGCGTTGTCCGAGCCCCTAACCCCTATTTCCCACCCATCAAAACCTAATTGCTGGCCACTAATTGCGACAATAGGGACGGCCAGAACCAAAGACCAAGGAAGAGTTCCAGGAGAGTATCAATAGCTTCGTGGAAAAGAACAAGCTAGGCAAGTTCTTCAGGGATGATAGTAGCAAGTCGCTGTTCGATAAAATCACCACCAAAGCCTTCGATCTGCAAAACAGTGACGGCTCCATCCTGGGTCAACCCGAAAATGCCGAAAGTCTAGTCAAGTTTGCGCTTTACCAGCCTGTCATTTATTGTGGTAACCTCTCCAAGCTTTGTGTGCGCAAGCGCTTTCAGGTAGAGCTAACGTGGCGTGCAGATGATAGTGGCTCGATGCACCCGAAGAAGAATCGCCAGGGAGAGGACCGCATGGCAGACCAGCAGGAGCTAGTGAATCGCATTTCCTCTATTTGTACCACCATAGTACCTGATGATCTCGGTGTTCACCTGCGGTTCATCAACAGTGAGCCAGCTAATGCCGATGACCTCGGGATGTCGGATATCAAGAATATCCTGGCGCAAGTACAACCATCAGGATACACGGAAATTGGGATTCATCTCCGCGAGCGTATCCTGGAACCATTCTTGTATAGTCAATACAACGACACTGTGAAAGCGATGAAGAGACCCTTATTTATCTCCATCATCACCGACGGAATTCCATCCGGGCCAAATGGAACGCTAGAGAGAGAAGACACGCTCAGAAACGAGATAAAGGACTGCCAAGAGTACTTGAGGGAGAATGGCCTCCCACTGCGATGTAATCGAATTATACCCAACCCAACCCTTTTATTCGTTTTACGAGGAGTCATGCTGACCAGCCCCATAGCCGTGGTCTTCCAGATCAGCCAGATAGGTAGCGACCCAAAGTCCAAAAGCTTCTTGCAGAACCTCAAAAATCAAAACCTTGAGAATGTGTACATCACCGCAAGTGAGTTGTGCGAGTTCCCGGCAAACTCTAGAGTCAACAGCTAACATAATCCCTAGAATCACTGGACTCGAAGTTCCGCGAGCTCAGAGACAACGAGAAAGATCTCGAAGCCTGGGTAAGTAGTTGTCTTATATACCTCGATATTATCCAATAGACTGACCATCGTCATTGTGTGGTTGTTAGCTCTTCGAAACTCTTCTGGAGCCTATCCTAGACACAAAGTCAGACTCCTAGGTACCCAGTAGAGATTGAATCTCCGACTTGGCTTCCGTTGAAAAATACCTGAATTGCACGAAATTAGTCGCAGCACCTAAGATTAGGAGGGAGTGCACAAAGGTGGTAGTATGTGTTGAAGGATTTATTTTACCTGTTGGGTTATCCATATAGAAAATTGTGGTGGCGATATGGGATTGGTGTCCGGTTTCTTTTGTTGAGGTTCTCCTTTCCACATGTGAAAATCTCGATATCTATAGCTTCAAGTGTATTCTCTCGTTTAATAATTCTAGATCTGTCACGGCCGACTCCCGTCACTGAGAAGTAAGGAGATTGTGACGCTATATCCTTCGTTGTAGTCCATGAAGTGCTCACTACTAGGTAGGCTTTTAGGTAGGTACCTTACGTAGATACGTACGGTGCGATTAATTTTAGACCGTGGTTCGAATGTAATGACACCTCCAGGGCTATCTACCTAGGTACCAACGTACTCTGTATGTAATCTTAGTAAATGAAAGTGCGCCATAGGCTTCGTCCACCTTGAATCATCTTTTCGGGTAAATCGTCCTCGAAACCCCATACAGAATAGAGGGTTTCATTTATCAAAATCAAAAAGTCGTCATCTCCTACCACTTTTAGAGATCTATGTTGAAAGTCATTGCTGATTGCAGCCATCTTAGTATGCTGATATGGATCAAATGCAAAGTCTGCATTGTGGAATTCCAACTCAAGACCTAGTGCACCCGGATCTTCTCTCTTTCGTCGTGAAAGGCCATTATGCCTACTAGTTACTGTCGAATAAAAAGGGGTAGGGTTCGTCTTGTCGTATGAGCGTAGTAGGTTACAAGAGGGTAGAGATAAGAGGGAGCCTTGCAAAGTAAACCTATGAGTGGTGACCAGTCGGCTATTCCATATTTTACAGGTGCTCTCCTGATGTTTGAGTCCAGTATGATGATAGTAAGAGATTGAAAGGGATTTGGTATAGATGTTAAAGCATACAGCTATAAGACAAGGACGACGATGAATCGCGAGACTGTGAAACCCATCGCAGGGGAGTGAAGTTGATTCGGAGGGTATAGTGGGATCCCATGGAGGTACATGTGTGATTTGAGTCAGACAATAACCGCCGTAGGAATCAACCTTCTCCCATCGCAAGTTTATGAAGCCACTAACTATCTCGCGAAGGATGGGCCATTTGTTTCTATCCAAGGATAAGCAATAAGTTTCAGCCAGTTGGCCATGGCGAATTTCATACACCCGCACCTCTTGCGAAGCCGGGCCCCTACTTAATGTGATGACAAACACTATATTATCATCCGTGGGGTGAAGGATGAAGTCCACTAGAGTTCCATTATTCACTAGCTTTGAGCCGGCGTTGGAATAAGAAAAGTCCGTGGAAAAGAAATCATATACGTCGGCGGTTTCGAGTGGGCCTTTCTCATAGCAACCGCTCGTGTCAATAAGCTGGGGTTCGTGTCCAAAGCTCCACTGGAAAAGTTCCGCATTTTTAGAGATGATGAGGACCGTTTCCCCTTCAGCTACACAACGAACAATATTTCCTGGAACCTCGGTAGAGCAAAGCCTATCCAGCTCGAGATGCCAGGCGTGTAGTATTCTTTTATGCCCTAAGAGGAGGAGCTTATCACTCATTGACGTCTTGAAACCTCGTAATTCTCCATCAGGGCGAGGGAACATATATCCCCGTCGTCTTCTCGTACGTATATCATCCACGATAGCAAAGTACGGGAGGAAATTATCAGGCCACCATGCTATTCGGCCATTGTTGTATAACATGAAACGAGAGTTTTCATTGCCAGGACGATTGTATGAAGGATTCAAGAGGGCATGTGGATGGACGCCTCCTTCCAGTACAGGAACGTGTTTGCTCGAGGTGAAGAAATGCTCGGGGTCTAGCCGGATTTCATGGTGTAGGGCAAAAGTGAAACGGCCGCTTTGTCTTGCCTGGATTTTGTGTAAAACGCGTCGGAATGCATCACCTGTGTCTTCACTATCAGTAGCAGATCTACGGATGTGATGTTCCAAGCCTGGGAACAACCGATGGGCGAGTCTTGGCCATATCTCATCGCTTAGCCAGGCGTTGCGCCAGCTGCGGCACGTATTGATGGCGGCCTCTATATCATCTGATTCGAGATAGTCGAGTATGGATAATTGCAGTTCAATGGGAAGGCGACCGACGATGTCAAGTGTGACACTTTCCGGACCTGAAGGCAACGTAGGTACATTTGCCGGACGACGAAGTATTGCCAAAAATGATTTCATGATGGTCTAAATTGTATAACTTGTAAGTTCCAAGGTTACAATACTTATTCCCTGCGATCTCATCGAAAACGATCTACACCCCACACCAAAGAGGAGGAGGGAGTGGGCACAGCGGGCACGGCGGGTAGCTAACCTACCTAAGCTTAGTTGATACCGAGACCATCAATTGATCCATGGAATCAGAATCATGGATCCAACTAAAATCCCTAACCTAATAGGATATATTTAGGTTACCTAGGTAGGTATCTAGTGTAGGTAGGAGGTTGGAACTTGGAAGTAAGGATAATGAGGTAGAGGTACACCCAGGCAGGTAGTTACCTCTTAGTAAATTTCAAGGTTCACAACGACAACAACGATGATCTGGGACAGATGATTATTGATAGTTACGCGTTACCCCGAAAATTAGCCTCAAGATAATCTTACAAGGGGGTTACTAGGGCTACTACTAGGGCTACTGGGGCTAAGGCTTTCGGTGTGGTCTGTGCTAGCCCTGGAGGTGCTAGGTAGGTCCCTACATTCAGCCATTGAAACTTCATTCCTACTGCTAGTTATCCCGTTCCTTTTCTTTCCTTTCCTTTCCTCTTTCCCCAGATAGCAACCACAAACAGATCCTTGGTATGACATTCGGTGCCGAAATAACAAAATAAAAAATTATGTTTTCCAAGTAATACGAGCCCTATATCTATAACCATGGATTCAGATCACATGCAAGACTTATCGTGGATATTATGTAGGAGATCTGAGCCGACCCGACCGAACGGATCAGAACCACTAGCTTATAGACCACTCAGACTAGCTAGGTTCTCAGGGCTGTTCAGCTCGCAATACCTATCTCCTTAGTATCCACTGTGTATGTATAACGAGTCAACAGCATTCATTCCATGATTCTTAGGTCGATGCCTACCGTACTAGGTACTAGGTTCCTAGGTATGCGTTGAGTTCACTCATACACTACTAGATCAAGCATTCCGGTAGGTAAACACGCAGACGCCCCAAGGACCATCCAGTATTGAGTACCTAGGGTATATCGTGACGTGGATGGTATTGCAACCCAAGATTTTGTTCTATCTATCTTGTGCCTCGGTTTCTGCTGCATAGTACATGTTATCAAGGTCTAGATCAATCTTGGACTTAGTACCTAACCTTGATTCGACGGTGCCTCTCAGTATGTCTAGCCCCTTTTGACGAAATCGATTAACCTAGTCCCCAGCTGAATCGAAATCTAAGACCTTTTCGGCAAGCATAAACGCGGTCCGGACACAATCCAAGTTGATCAATTGACTCGTTTCTTAGTCTCGAGCGCTCTGGATGCCCAAGCTATTAATTATGACCTCCCATCATACGGTCGTTGTACCTTAGTAAGGACCTCATAAGGTCCGCCAAAACACCGACTATGGACTTATAAATCCAGCATCCAGCATCCCAAACTATCCTCGATCTCTAATACTTGGCTTCTATCAGCACTGTCCAAGTCGATATGCGTCTCTTGGTCGCCATCTTATTGCTCCCAACCATAGCAGGGCAGGGGCTGGTGATTCCAGAGGTGAAAAGGGCCGTGAGCGCTCAACTAAATGAGTTCATCAAGTATATGAATGAACATAGTTCAACGACCACCAATAGTATTCCATCGGTCCCCCTGAACCCAGAGCAGAAGAAGGTAGAAGAGCGACAGGTTGCTGGGAGTTACTGGTATGAGAGCATCGCACATCAAGGCATATCAGCCTTCAACATTAACCGGGCAACTTACAAGGTCTATCGCAACGTGAAGGATTATGGCGCCAAAGGGTATGAACAGCCCACCATTCCACGGGTAGTACTAATGAATGAGATAGAGATGGGAAAACTGACGATACAGCTGCCATCAACAAGGCAATTAGTGATGGCAACAGATGTGCACCGGGGGGCTGCTTATCATCTAGCACGACGAACGCTGTCGTCTACTTCCCTACTGGAACCTATCTAGTCTCTTCGTCAATTATTAGCTACTATGCAACCACTTTAATTGGTAACCCTAATAGCATGCCTATCCTCAAAGCGACATCTGGCTTCACTGGTCTCGGAATCATAGATGGTGCTCAATACCAAGCCGGCGGTTCCCTGCCGTATGGATCGACGAACATATTTTGGCGCCAGGTCAGAAATATTGTCATTGACACTACCGCCATTCCTGCCTCAACCGAAGCCACCGGGATCCATTGGCCAACGGCTCAAGCTACGAGTTTACAGAACCTCGTATTCAAAATGTCAAGTAATGCCGGCACCAAACACCAAGGTATATTCATCGAGTCTGGATCTGGTGGTATCTTAAATGATCTTGTTTTCTACGGTGGTTTATATGGAGCCGTGTTCGGAAACCAACAGTTTACCGTTCGAAATCTCACATTCAACAACGCGGCCACTGCCATCTATCAGCTTTGGGACTGGGGGTGGACTTACAAGAGTATTTCAGTAAGGTATGTTTGAATCACTCTCCTTGAATTCGTTCCTTCGATGGACTAACGAGGAGACAGTAAGTGATTACAATTTCCATTGTCCTATACCCTAACCTTCTCGAGTCATTATAACACAAAGGGGCTATGAACTCGCCATCTCCTCACCAGCCACCTCAACCCAAGCAATCCTTTCCCCGTACATCTTTTTTTCATCAATAGAGATTGACTTGAAGCAGACAATTGTACTGTTGGCCTGGATATGGCCACCCGTGATGCAAGTAGTGAAACAGTTGGATCGGTCACCTTCTTTGATAGCTCCTTCACAAACACAAAGATCGCGTTCAATATTTCGCGAAATGCGAAATCACAGCCGGCAACTGGAGGTAGTCTTGCTATTGAGAATGTATCTCTGAAGAACGTACCAACCGCAATTCAATATGGTCCAACTAAAAGTGTTCTCCTTGTCGGTACCACGGGCTCGACGACTATTACTAGCTGGGTGAGCGGTAATGTTTATAACACCGCCGGACTGAAGACTACATCTAGTGCAATCACTCCACCCACCCGCCCAGCTGCTTTAGTGGCGAACGGCAAATTTTATGAGCGGTCAAAACCATCTTATAGCAACTTAGCCGCGTCGTCATTTGCTTCCGTCAGAACCGGTGGCGCAAAAGGAGATGGCACAACCGATGATACCGCGGCTTTACAGAAGGTTATCACCGCAGCTGCCGCAGCCGGACTTGTGGTTTACTTTGATGCCGGGACATATAAAGTAACAAAGACCTTGCTCATACCGGCGGGCAGCAAAATTGTCGGAGAGGGATACCCCGTCATCATGTCTAGTGGGTCCTTTTTCACCAACATAAATTTGCCACAGGTCGTAGTGCAGATTGGCAATGCTGGAGACTCGGGTACTGTGGAATGGAGCGACATGATTGTGTCAACACAGGGTGCTCAAGCCGGTGCCATCCTCATCAGATGGAACCTTGCGTCCCCAGCAGGCTCACCCAGTGGTATGTGGGATGTCCATACCCGCATCGGAGGTACCACAGGGTCTAATCTATCCCTTGCCAACTGCCCATCAACTCCATCATCCACGAGTATCAACAGTAACTGCATCTCAGGGTACATGTCCATGCACGTGTCAAAGTCAGCCGCCCGCCTATACATGGAAAATGTGTGGTTGTGGGTGGCAGACCACGACGTAGACGACAAGTCCTTGACACAGATCAAAGTTTATGCCGGTCGGGGACTTTTAGTCGAGTCAACAGTCGGTACTCTATGGCTTGTTGGTACCAGTATCGAACATCACGTTCGATACCAATACCAATTCAGCAAAACGCAGAATATCTTCGCCGGCCAAATCCAAACTGAGACACCCTACCACCAACCAAACCCTGGTGCGCGTCAGCCTTTCCCGTTAAATACTACCATAGACGACCCAAACTTCGACATCCCGTGCCCGCAAGGTTCGTCGCCAAGTACCTGTTCCGAAGCCTGGGGACTCAGACTTAGCGGGAGCCAGAACGTTCTTATATACGGAGCTGGGTAAGTGATTTCGCCCGCATCCGAACCCAAAGATCCTACATACCTAGGTACCAAGCATTACCAACTAATCCTCTACAGGTTATACTCATTCTTCAACAATTTCAGCACAGCCTGTTCTGCCAAGGGAGCGAGCTCGCTGTGTCAGACAGGCATCGTGCAGTATGATGCGGCCAGCACCAAAAACTTTTGGATCTATGGACTGAACACGGTAGGTGCGTACGGCATGGTCTACCGAGACACAACGAAGCTTGTAGACTATTCGCAGAATGTCAACGTATTCCCGAGCTCGATCATCGTGTTCAGCAGTAGTACATAGTAATATATGTGCTGCATATAATGTAAAGTGTTTGACGCTTACCTAGCATCGCCTACCAATTTGAAACAATATATTACACATGTCATGTCTCATTCCATCCTCTTGATTCTCACTTCACTCATATTAGTAAACTGGTAATGGTCGCAATATGTAAGGGGTTTTCAATGGCTAATCAGACAGGAAAGCTAGTGAAAGAGCCATAATGCCTAACAAGTACATAAGAACGTGAGTCTTTATGGCTACGAAATATGTATGAAGTTGATAAAAATGTCTCGGGAGCGAATACATCATATCGCTGCCTACCTAGGTAGGTAACAAGCAGTCATATTTACTTCGATGAGTACCTGCCATCTTATTATCATGTTCCCCAACAATGTCATCAGTACCTATCTAGTCACTTATTGATGGGCTATCACACACGGCTCACACCCAGCTGTTTGTTAGGGAACAAAGAAGATGGGGGTCAAACCACGAGATAGGGGGACTGTATCAAACTATGTTATAGCCACCCCCTTTGTCTTCTCTACTGACGAACTATAGCTCCAAACCAACCTCACACAAGCTTATCTCATCAGCAATAGTGTCATATCCAAAAGGAAGTGGCAATAGTTTTTCATACAGCCTGACAAACGTCAAGCAACGTACGGTGAGTAAGTATCACCCCCCCGCAAGACAAGCCGACGCATCAGTCACCAAGTGCCAGGTACCTACCAGCCAAGTTTAGGCTTTTTATACACAAATACACAAGTACCACAGCACAGAGCTCTCTCGCATCTGCCATCCGACTTACTTCTGTACCTACATCACTAACCTAGGTAAATCCAACAAGATGGATAAGTCAACCCAGACCAAGTCCAACACGCAGGTCAAGTATGTGTCGCTCGCGGACGCGGAGGTGATGCTTGGTCAGAGCAGCGAGCAGCGGGGGCTCAGTGGGTCTGTTGCCGAAACACCCAACACCACCCCCAATGCTCGTCGTAGTGCTACTAACGCGTCGCAGGAATCGGGAGCAGCACCGCCAGCACCACCACCACCATCTTCATCGCAGCAAGTCCCTACGGCAACGCCGAGCCAGCAGCAGGAGGGCAAGAAGAAGAAGAAGACAGAGGAAGTGGAAGTGGAAGAAGAGGACGAGGGAGAAGTATCCGGCTGCTCGCTCGACGAGTTCTGGAACGAGGCCTGCCACGACTGGGGTAACGTGCAGCCGACTAAGGCGGAGCGGACGGGGCTGGGCCGCCGCAAGGGCCTGGCGTGCTGTAAGACGGCGCCCGACTGCTTCACCTGCGGGGCCAAGCTCAATGCCGGGATGTTGAGCGGGGTACCTTGTATGGTGTGCGGGTGCTTTAACTAGGTAATTACTTACCTGGTAGCATTGTTAGGTACCTACATACGTAGGTAGCTTAGGTAGTTCTTTGAGGAAAGGGGGGGAGTTGATTTTTAAGGTACCAAGATAAACCAACCCCCTTTTTTTGCTTTCTCTCCGCTCTTTCTTCAAAGAGGGGGGAGGGGGTTTCAGACGTAATAAAGAGAACATTGTCTGAAGTGTTTCACAACCCGCTATATGAGAGATTTGATATATGTGAATCGACTAGATGTAATTATATATGCCACGTAATAAATATCAGATCCACCGCTTTTCCCTATCCTATACTCCTCTATCCTACCCGCTATATGTAAATACCGCCCTAACGCAGTTCTACGTAAGTTTTAATCCGGCCAACGCCATCGCTTTATATGTAGTACGATAAATCCAGACCGCTATGCTATAAAAGAGATGAAAGAAGCTGTCCAGTGAAGGGATTAGGCTGGACCTGAAAGGACTCGGTCGCAATTGTATTTTTTTCGTATTTCTACCGGCATGGCGACGAGGAGGATCAAAGGGCTTTTTGACATCGTGTGAGCGTCGATACCCTAATCCATATGCGGTGTCGACACCTAAGACAGAAACATCGCCAACTTTTCGATACCACGAGCTGCCGGTTCCGGTCCGTCCCGTTCCAATTCGTCTCACGGTCAGTCAACAAGGTTCGCAGCAGTCTGCCACTCCAAGTACAGGACGTTAATCCACCTCTTCCCATCGAAGTAGATGCTCCGCCACCCACCATCCGACTCCATGAGCAGCAGCACGCCGCGCACTGGTTCCTTGCACTCCTTGGCAAAGGCCTCGAAGGAAGCGAGGAGCGCTTCGGTAGCGTCCGCAGATCTGGACCCAAACTCGGACACGTAGACCTCAGACTCGTCCTGCTCGCGGTCGTAGAGCACGGCCTGGCAGAGCAGGAAGGTGGACCCGGGGAAGTCTGGGTCCGGGGTGCTCATGAGTCGCGCGTCGAGCTCATCGTCGCTCCACCCGGACTCGGCCGCCGGCCGCAGACGCCCGTGGTGCGTGACTGCGGCGCCGGAGTACAGGCGCAGCAGCCAGTCGCCCGTGCTCCAGTAGCGCAGCAGCATCACCTGCAGGTCCTCCTCCATGATGATGCCGTAGACGGCTTTCATCGCGAGTCGCTTTCGCTCGGAGAAGTCGAGACTAGTGTCCGTCACTAGCATCCCAATGGACATGAAGATAGTGCCGTAGATTTCCGGCGAGGCGTGTAAGGTCCTGCGTGGTCGAGGTCGTTGTTTTAGTGCTTCTTTGGTGATAAATGGGTGTGGTTGGCGCGGCCAGAATAGGGATGAGAAGAGGCGGGTGGTAGGGCCTTTTGGCCCGGCCCAGAGCCGTCGAAACATCTAAAACGGAAAATTTGAAAAAATAAAAATAAAAAAATTCAACGATTTGTGAGATGCTGCAACGTATATCTGTAAAGGCAGTGGAAGCGTATTGGAGCTATATATGGAGTTGAAGGAAGCGCATTATAACTGAGGAATTGATTGCTGGTCATGATGAAGCCGAGAAAATTTTCTTGAATAAATAATTTTGGCCATGAACCAATGGTCTGTGCACTTTTCTAGAATTCTACACAGTAGAATCGGACCTGGAACTTTCTGATTTTCTAGTTTTCTAGTTTGCCTTGTAGGCTGCTTTTCTGGTGCTGTTTAAGCCACCAGAAGCAGCACTTACTTACATGGCTCTAAAGGTATACCTAGCATCGTATGTATTAGGTACCTAGTCAGGAAATAGAATAAATAGGTAGTGATTGATTTAACGGTAGGCATCCTAGTTAAGACATGAACATTTTCTACGCTTATTTTTAGAAAAGTCAGTAGAGCTTAGAGGAACAAAGGGGGAAACTGGACATGAAATAAGTTATATTTGGATTTGAGGTTTTTTTTTTCGATACATCGTGAACATTACTATGGACCGGACAACGTAAGTACTATGTACCCAAGTTAGGCAGGTAAATACTAGGTAACTACATATAGTTCAAACTTCAAACGTTCAATAATTCAAGCAGTAAGTAGTACCAACGTAACATAAGCGTCAGGTAGATGACGTCACAGGGGTTTCACAGAATCAAATGAAATGCTCTTCCCTTCAAGTTTTGATATTGTACATTTGTACATAACTATCACCATATCTCCTTCAATCATTTCTACCTAATCTAGGGTACTAGATATTTTACTTCTCCAACTTCAAACAAATCCAGTACCTATATTACGTACCTACCTTACTCAATCAACCTCATCTATGTACCTGCATGTGGTTCTTAAACAGCTTTAGCATCTCTCTTTTCTTTTTTCTTTTTCCAATTATCACAATATCTCTCATATTGGTAAATAAGAATATCACCATGGCCGACAAGTCATCTCAAAACAGCGCTGTCAAGGCGTCCGTATCCGAAGAGGCAACGAAGAAAGCGGGTGTTTCGGAAAACACAACTCAGACCAAAACAGACTCGGCCGACGAAAATACCAAGAAAACGGAGGATGCCGCCGCCGATGCGGGCTCCACCGCTTCCCAGTCTCGGCCGACTAAGCATCTACCTACGCACTTCAGAGGCATGCCGCGACAATGGGAGAAGAACCAAGGTGAGTACAAGTTGTAAACATCGTTTGCCCTCTTGGCTTAAACACATCGGGCTGATGAGTTCGCAGTTGAAAAGAAGGATACCTAAAGTAAACGGTGCAAACAAAGTATTCAAGTATTCGTACAGCTATTGTACAATACTAAATTGCTTATGGAATTTGAGGGCCCCATTTTATCAGGGTGCAGATTCTCAAGTCATGCCTTGAAAGCTTCTTGTCAGTATTGATTCAATAAAAACCATACAGTCAAGCAAATAAGGCTTACTACTTCGATAAATAGTTCCTCTTTTTCTCATGTGCATATATTCTCTTGCTTTACGATTCTATTCAGCTGACCAAGGACGATAACTTTTCAAGAATTAAGCGAGTAAGAGCCACGTCGCCGCGTAATCAACGACATCCGCCAGTGGGTTACCAAAAGCCCGCAAGTTGAAATCGTAGAAGGAACAGCCCTTACCTATCCACTTAGACGACATAAGCCTCAGTTTAAAATCATGTAAAAATCCCAAGTTATTCATGTGTTTTTAGGGGACCGGAGAATGCCCCCTCAGATGATAACCCCACCCGTACGTGAGTCGACCAACTGCCGAGTTCAGTAACATGATCCACAGGGAGTCCGGTCACCCCCGCTCCTTGCCGCTATTCAGCTTAGCTACCCCCTATAGAAGAATGCATTTATACTAGGTACACATTCGTTGATGGTTTCACTTTCCAATATCATATCTTCCCAGATTCAAACACATATATACATATTTCCAACTATTTAAAAGAAATACACCATTAAGAAATCTACAATTGCCATTAGGCTTACACAACTTCAAAATGAGCGACAACGCAGCTAGCAACCCCAAGCGCTTGAGCGTCATCATCACCGGCGGGGCGAGCGGCCTCGGTCTGGTCATGACGCGGCATTTTGCGTCCCAAGGGCACATCATCACCATATTAGACGTCAACACCGCAGCAGGCCATAAAGTAGTAACAGACCTAGCCTCGGAACACCCGCATGCGACGGTAAACTTCAAGCGCTGCGACGTGACGTCGTGGGACAGCCAAGCTACCGCCTTCCGGGAGGTATATGAGAAGTACGGTGCTGTCCACATCGTCATGGCCAACGCCGGCATCTCAGAGCAGGGCGCAAGTAGCCTGACGCTGGTCGACGAGGAGGAGCCCTCACAGCCTAGGTTACGGACACTGGAAGTAAACCTCACGGGAGTAATTTACAGTAAGTTTGCTACATTTTTCCTTTTCCTTTCACTCCTAGAAAGCCATTTAGAACACAATGAAAACGAGGAACGAAGAAATTAATATTAACTCATTTGTGATAGCCGTCAAACTTGCAACCCACTACATCAAGAGGAACACGCCGGACCCCACAACGGGGTCGCGGGGTTCCATAATATGCACGGCATCCAACGCAGGTCTTTATCCATTCCCCGTAGCACCATTATACGCTGCTTCAAAAGCTGGTATGATCGGGCTAGTGAGGTCTTTGGGCAAGCCTCTCGAACACGTCCACATCCAGATCAATGCGCTGGCACCAGCTGTACTCGGTACGTCTCACTACTCTGAAGAGCCTTTTCTCTCCCCAAACATGCAAACAAGAAAATAGAAACTCTTGATTATGAAAACCAAACCATCTAACCAACCGCAGAATCCGGAATCTCTCCATCCAAAGCTCTATTCGAGGAGATGGTGGTCACGCCAAAGGAAACCCTGATCAAGGGCATTGCGCAACTGATCGCGGACCCTAGCATCCACGGCACTGTCGCCGAGATTCACGGGGACCAGGTGACGCTACGGTCTCACCACGAGTATGTCGACAAGGACACAGAACACAACCTCGAGACCTTCTGGAAACTCGGATATGCCTAAAGCGTAGTTTCCCTTTCTCGATGTCTCGTGGCAAGGTCTGTAGTCAAGGAATGGAAAGGGTCGGAAGCCGAAGTAGAAGTTAGTAACAGGGGCTGTATTTAGAAACAGGACGGATCTCTAGACACACGCAACGCCGTGTGGGAAGTGCGGCATAGCATCCGGGGTGTATATAAGATAGAGTACTGTACCTACCTAGGTTAGGTAGGTATTTGGCACTTAGATCAGAACTAGAGAACTTGATTTGGATCATTCTAACCTAGTAAAGTATAGGATTTATGAGGTGATTATTATATACCTAGTACCTACCTAGGTGCTTATTTAAACAGTTTGGCTTCTTCACTTTCGATACTGGCAACCCTGGAAGGTATTCAGCGATAGAAGAGCGAACATATTAAGGAGGCACCCATCTGCATCAGGGGCTACCTCAGATGAATCGGGCATGTTCATATTCTACTACCGTCGAAGCACACAGATAACATTAGCTAACCGCCATGCAACGAACGCCAAGTTGGTATTATATTTATCACAATACCTACTAATTTCGAAGTTATATTCGCAAAGCTGTGATTGACTTATCATAGTTTCCCCATTCATCCATAACTACACCTCCGCCCCTTTACCTACCCCTTCAATTGAATAAAGAAGAAACTTGGACAATGAAGTTACGCTAGGCAACACTGAATAACCCCTGAGATGTATAAATGTAGAATTCATGCTACTATTCTTCCCTAGCCAAGTATCTACAATAATATTCTTTCTTGAAGCATTCTCAAACTCAACGCCCCTTTTTATTATTTCATCTCTACATCCATAGGTAGGTAATCAGCATCAAACATCCAAGGCCAGAGTAACCAGCACAGCTCCTTTGGTATTACAGAACGAGAGACAAATTCCATCTGATTAATGATCATGTGCCTCCTACTTTATGTAATCACCCATTCACTTGTATCCCATACACTAACGACCAGTGAATCACCAAAACCATCATCACAAAAGTTCCTTTTGTGCATTCTGAGGACTCAACCACGCCCCTTAAAATGCCTACCGACCTAGTCAAAGGCGCGACTATTGCAACCACACCACCGAATTACTCGTGAATCGTGCCACCCATTTATATATAGCTTCCCTCCCGTGTATATCTTCATATTCACAGATCATCGTTCCCCGTCAAAATAGCCAAGACAATACGAATCCCAAATTCGAAGATTAAATATCGGCCAATATGGATACTTGGATGGTGACTGGGAAAGATGCCATAGTCACAACCTCATTCCCTAGAAATGGGAAGAGAAAAGGAATATAACGAACGTAAATTCGAGCTACGATTCAATTTATTCCCCTTTCTCGCAGCGTCCACAGGACAATGGGCAACACACGACATAACGAAATCTCAAAGACGGGCTACCTGAAAAGCCCGACCCCCATAGGAATTTGCAGCACCTGCCTACCTACCTGCCTTGGTGGCTAGCTGTCTCGTCTCTGAACGACACCTACCTACCACGAGACAAATATCAAAGTTTAGTCAAAAGAGTCCTCCTGAGACAAGGTGAGTAAACAAGCGGGCCCATAAGGGGGGACGAAGGCACTAAGGAGAAAAGTCGAATCGACCTCTCGGCAGGACAGTACACGAACTAGCATACTGTCTATCTGCCGCATGGTTACTCGAAAACTAGCGACGGCTCAACTGACGATACCTCAGGCAGGTCAACAGACAGGGCAGAGTGAAAATTTTTATTTAACCTGGTGGTGGGATCAAGAACTTCCTTCTTCTTCCTCCTCCTCTTCCTCCTCCCTTCCACGAAAATAATTGGCATCCCAAAGAAAGGGACAGCCAACCACCACATCATCCTTCATATACCTTCATTGCATCATTGTCAATAAGAATAAAAATCAAAATCAATTGATGGAACCAGAGTTTAGTTTTGGTGACTAGACTCTGGTCGCCTCTCTTCAATTATACCTGGGGATATCATCACCACTATTACCACTTCCACCACTTCCACCACTTCCACCACTACCACCGCTTACCACCACCACGACCGCAACCATGCCGGTATACCAGCGCCAGCGCTCCCACGACTGGCTCGGCCCGCGCCCCCTGCGCATCCTGCCGGCGCCCCCGGGCTACACCACCACCTGGCCGCTGCTCCCGCACCTCGAGTTCTATACCCCACCCCCCCTGACCATCGACCCCACGATCTTCTGCCCCCTGCAGCCAGACTCGTTCTCCCCCCCGGGCCTGCGCACCGCGAAGCGCGTGCACGAGCACGGCCTGCACACTGCCCTGAAGCCCGAGACCTCGCAGCTCGTCGCCGCGTCCGCGTACCCGTGGTGGTACGCCTTGTGGGCCAGCGCCGTGCGTGCGGCGGCGGTACCGAAGAAGTTCCGCTGGGCCCGCGTCTGGGAGGAGCGAGAGAAGCGGCGGGTGGAGATTGCGAGCGCCGTCTACTACTACGGAGGCGGTGGCGATGAGGAGGGAGAGGGAGAGGGAGCGGGGGCGGCTAAGTCTTCGCTAGCGATGCTCGACCGCGAGAAGATCCCCAACTTGATCGACTGGCCTCCCGGCGGCCCGCACACCGTCTTCAGCATGCACCCCACAGACCCGTGGTGGCCGCTGGATTATTAAGGTATTGCCTAAGAGCTTAGTTGATTACGGGGCCGTGTGCGTCTAAAGGTACGTAACCCATATTTATCTATTTATTTATATCCTCCCTCCCCCTCAAGAATCGTTGAGGAGCTGCAAGGTATTATTATCAGAACAAGTTTGCTAACGACATTTACACGTGCAGAACAGCAGTACGCATGGACGATGTGTCAGAAGGAAGTCGGTCTCGGTGGTCAGGGTGTTATAGTTTACGTAGCCAGAACCAGAATGGATCGATCGACGAAGAAAACCCCACGAATAATAATAAGCTGACGAAATCTGAAAAAAAAGAAAAAAAAAAAAAAAAGCGCATTGGTACAAACGTGTTATTATGTATAATTCAAGGAACAGTGACACGCACAAGCAAACAAAACACGTTGTATTAACCTAGTATGCAGCGACCTGGGAGTGAGCTGAAGCAGGGTGGGTAAGAATGACTATTATGGATGTACTGGGTAATTCCGTGGCCCTTGCTGCTTTGCATGTAAGGTGAAGTTGGTGGTTGAACGTGAACTATTTTTATGTGCCAGCCCTGGAGACAAGTACGATTAATATTAAATATCCGTATTCCCTGTATCAGTCAGGTTTAATGCTTGAAATGTAACTAGTTGCTCTGGTAAGAGCAATCAATACCTTTGAAGTAATAAGTAGATGGTTATTACCTTGGTCGCTGCCTTGAGCAACTGTGTTCTCATATTGATATTATGCTGACGAATCCTCCACAACTCGAATGCATCTGGCCCCAAAAAGAACCACAAACAAATCAATGAAACATGGATGTTGTATGGTTGTTGTATGGTAATGGGATGGATCTGGTATGATCGTGGGAAGAAAACGGGCGAATAGGAAACGCGGGGAAGGTCATAAGTCCGGGGTTGGTCTTGGTCTGGGGCAGGAAATCTGGGGTAACATTGGCTGGGATTGAACAGGAAGGTTGTCATGTGATTTATGAGGGGAAAAAGGAGCAAGACAAAAGGGAAAAAGGAAAAAGGGAAGGGAAAGGACGAGTCTGGACGCAGTATCGTTTTCCCTTGCATGCTTCACTTTTATTTTGACTTCATTCGAATCATCACTTTTCCCTCCTTCTCCTCATTCTCATCATTGTCATCCTTCTTTCATCCCACTTTCCTCCCTCCTCTTCATAGTAATCTTGCCATCCAAAGACTTGAGGGAGAATCAAGTGTCGTCCACTCAGTACGCGTTGTTTTTCTAAGCTTACGTACCTAGTTAGTATCCTCTTTAGTTAATATACCATCTGGACAAACATATGTCTCTTCCCGAACGCCATTCCCACTCCTTGTTTTTCTTTTCGGCCTGTGCGTATCTCTCCTTGGCTTGAATACCTACCCATTCTGTATTCGTATTATTGCTTCATCAAGCACATCGAAAAATTGGTCGCTTAGCGTTTTCGAGAATTCCCACAAAACGCCAAGGCCAAGCGACCTTTTCGTGGGAATGAAGTGTCGCCAAACCACAAGTAATTCTTCTAGGGGTTTCAGCTCACGAATGCCGATAAACCAAAGCCACCAAAACCCAGAGAATGACCTGAAAATTCGCTGGTGGTAGATGTGTTCGGACTTCCACGACAACACTACTAGATCATTCTAGCAAATTTGCATATTCACAGCGAAATCTGTGAATTCAAGGCAACGAGGAATGTCCGTCCTTGAGCCTGACTACCTACCACTGTCCAGAGGGATTCGAAATCGATTAACGTCCTACAACGACATATATCGAGATCGGAAAACAAGCGTGTAGGGAGTGGGCCGTCTTAGATACTAGGATGCTACACTAGTACCATCCCGAGATCAATCCCGAGATCAAGAAGTTGCAACATTTTATATGCTGGTCCAGACAAGATGATTTCGACATCAGGGCATCCAACGATGGGACTAGCATTGCAGGCGTTGTAGGTGCTGACTAGTTGTCGGCTATCAATCCTCTCTTAGCATGTCATATCCTAGCCTAGCCGAAAAGCGATGTTCGAGTTTATCCCTTGGATATCGTCGTCACAGCAGACACGTCTTCATTACTTTGGCAAGGTTGTGGTAGCCTAGTCTGGGCCTCCCATTTCCTTGAAACATGGAAGTCCTGTCAAAGTTCGTAAAATGACCGTCATCGACTCCAAGGATATTCTCTGACCTCGTGGCCAAGTTGGTTTGGGCCAATCTCTATTCCTAGCCCGGTTTGAAGTCATTCCAGATGTCGTCGTGTCGAAGAAACGTCGGGTAGAGACGTGCGGGCAACCAGGCTCATTCTTGAAAATCCGACCCTTTTTTGGTGGATTTTGAGTTATCTAGCGAAAGAGCAGGGCCATTGCGCTCCTCGTCGTTAGCATTTTTAAAAAAAAAAACGAAGTCTGTCGTTATTATCGTCGTCAAATCGTCGATATGTCAATGATATGGTCGATATAAAGGAGAGCGAGCGAATACCTAGTTGTCGACTGGTGTATCATTTATCATTGGATTTAAAGTCGACATTTCCAGCAGATAGAGAGACCCAAGAAAAGGAACGACGTTGAAAGGGATACGACCAGCATCATATACCTCCGAAGGGTATTATTGATTATCAGTTGCGGGTACATACATCGGGACGCATCGGGCCACTAATCAAAACACGTCCAAACTCTAAGCCTACTAGCCGCGATAAGCTTCGTCGTTTCCCATCAAATCGTCAAACTGACTTCATCCGCCGACCCGATCACCTACCCAAAGCAGCTAGCTAGAGCAAGATCGATTATATCTTTCCCCCTCAATCTACCGCAGGTAATTGCAATTACCCCAGCCTCCGGACCGGACAAGCGAAAGCATTTGGCGTTCTTTCTACCCCCCTACCTAACCAAAGAATCCATACGAAGCCCCAATTGCTTACTCTAATTGGGAGGTTACGAAAGAGAGACGGGGATGAGGGTGGAGACAGTATAAAAGAAGAATGCCATTTGGACGCTTGCAAGAAGCACAAACGATCTAAGTGGGACTGGAGACTAACCTTGTGCCGCAAAGATGCACAAAAGTTGCACCAGTGTCATTGTGCTATGCTGTGTCCAGCTAGTTGGCCAGGTAGGTGCATCTCTCCACTGTACCGATGCAATGTAAACGGGGTTTAGGTTAAAGCGGTGTCAACTTCCTAAGCGGGAAAACCGCGCAAAAAGTCACGGGGTTCATTGATTGATTGATTAAGCGATCAATCCGATGAGAGCTCTACACCGGCTTAGGCCGGATCATTAATTCACGATAGCACGGAAAGAGCAAATTGTCAAGTAGGATTTGCATCAGTTAGCTAACGTCGGGCTTATTTTATTTCATTTTATTTTTGGTTTGGAGGGCTTGGTTCAACGTATCGATGAATCATCGAGCATAGGAATAAGTGGAAGAGAAAAAGAGTCGAGTTTGGTGAAGATGGAGTTGTATTTTTACAAGTGTGCCATCCGAGGGCGTTTTTTTGGGGTTCTCTCATCTTTACATGTCTCAATGCAATGCAATGCCTTCCCCTCCTGGGTTTCCCCTATATTCCACGGGTGTCTAATGACCTCTATTACTCTCTAATGCTGGTTCTCCTATTGAACACGGCAAAGGCCGGCATCATTGTGATGCTTTCCTTCGCACTTCGGTTTGGCTCTTCACACTTTCAAACCGTAGTGTGGGCCCCAGCCTCCGTAAGTATGGAGGTTAAGTTGCTTAAGTCTATGATGAGGGTTCAGGTTAGTATTGATTGGGGTATGAGACATTTGAGGGATTTTCGGGTCAGCACGTACGAACTTGGCCATGAGGGCAACCATAAGATCGAAGAGACCGATGGCCTCGACGAAGGCGAAACCCAAAATGGCGTAGGAGAAAAGTTGTCCTCGGAGGGCGGGGTTGCGGGCAACACCGTTGAGAAGGGCGGCGAAGACGAGACCGATACCGATACCAGCACCGGTAAGACCGATGGCAGCGGCACCCATACCCAAGTTCTTCGATACCTCAACCATGGCCTGGGCGATCTCAGAAGAGTATGCTCGGCGGGGAGTCTGCTGGAAAGCCTGGCGGGTGGTGGCGCTCAGGATCTTGGAGGCTTGCTGGCGCTTCATGGCCTGGAAGGGGGTAGCATTGCCTGAAGCGAGGCCACGTTAGTGGGTGGGCGCACCAAAAAAAAATTATTTTTGAAAATTTTTCGATGTCAACAAGTTCAACAGCAATTGATGCCATTAAAGGTTTACAGACAAGGCGCCAATGGGTTGAGTTGATGGTGAGGACATACTGATGGTTCGCTTAGCAGCGACACTGGTCAATTGGACTCGCATGGCAGGTCGAGCGACCTTGGTGCCCATGGAGGAGGCGAGTCGAGAGGCAACAACGCGTGCGGAGGCCATTGTGATTGATGTGGATGTGATGGAGGGGAGAGGTGTCGATGAAAAAAAGACGAAAAATGGCTTAGAGGGAAGAAGATGAGGAAGTTTTGGAAAGTAGGCGAGAAAAAAAAAATTGAGCTTGCTGACTGGTGTGTGTGGGAAGGAGAAAAAAGAAGGGAGAGCTTCGGGAGAACAACGAGGGAAAGTTGGTCAAGCTGGTCGCCGGTTGGCACTGATCCAAGTTGACAGTGGTTGTTAGTTAGCCGGGAGTACAACAGGCATGTACCTTTTTACTGATCGGTGTCGGACATTGGAAAGCTGGAAGGAAGACGTTCACTGTTTCTAACGATTAACCACCTAGTAAGGCACTAATGAACCCACGACTCGAATTCTACAGGATGAGTGGTGGATGAGGTATGAGTGTGGACCGCTTGGCCGAGGAGCGATCAAAGCTTCATGAGAATTTTTTCTAGTGGAGGCTACCTAAATAGGACAAGGCTGATGATAATTCACCACTGCTGGGTACAATAAATCGCGGGATTCGGGGGATACCGGGTCTTCCTATACTAGAATCCCGAACTTAAGCCTTTTTCTAGTAAGGATGAGGGTTTTATTCTTTTATTACCTATTACTTACTACCTTGTTAAGCTTCATGGTCCATGAACATCATGGAACATTTGCTTGACTTGTATATTTTTGAGAAAGCTAAAGTTCATCAATTTTGGTTCGGAAAAGAAGGAATATTTTATTCATCTTCTTTTCAGCTTCAAGCACAATGTATGTACTACACACCATGTGTATTATCTACATAGATTAGGTAGTACGTAGCAAGGGGAGAAAAAAAAAGGAAAAAATCGATGGCCCCCACTAATAGCTCCCACACAAGCTTAACTGGGCAGCTGCCGGGTATCATAAATGAGCAGTTGAGACACGTGGGTGGAGCTTCTGATAAGAAGGGCACAAACAAGCGAGCTGAGAAGAGTCAGATAGGAAAATAATAAAAAGCGCAAGACATCCTCCCTTTTTTTCAGTTTTCCTATCAAGGGGAATGGCCTTTGATTTTGAAATCTCTTGCTATTAACTACCTACCAGCCTTGCCATAAGATCATCTCGATGAGGGCTTTCGAATAACTATGCGTAACTATTGTTAGCTCATAGCTAACGAGCTCAAGGAGCTTCCGGCCAAATTTAACAAGCTCGCCTGCTAAAGCTGCAGGTGTCCCTCCCTACAACCCCCCCTAATCCTCCCACGTACCAACCTGCAGCAACCTTCCCTCACTTCCCTACCGGCCTACATACGTCTCTACCGTCTGTCCGGTAATCTGGTCATCCCCCCCCCACGAGAAACACGCACATCTCAGCGATTTGATAATTTTTCTTTTTTGGTCGTTTGCAAGTGCAGATAAAAAGAAAGGCGGCCGGCACATGAGCTTTATGTACGATGTCGCTGAAGATTAGTTGCCAGACTTCTCACTGTCCTCTTCGTCTTCCAAGTCAAGCCAAGTCAATCGATTGGTGCAGCGTACAGCGCATGATGCCTGCAGCTTAATCCAATTTGTGTTGGGAATTTCCCAGGTATCCGGGAAATGAAGACGTGGGATAATCCTAGGGCGGTGGGCAATGAATGAATGGATGACGCCGTGAAAGGGTAAAGAAAAACTTTTTTTCCCCAACCAATAAGACTTCGAGTTTGCGATTTTTGGGGGTCAACCACCGCGGAGGTCTGATATTTTAAGCCTCAATTGCCTTGGGATGACTTGTTGGAGAAAATGGAAGAAAGAAATACTTCTTTTCCTATGGCTTGGTGATGATGTTCATTGTTCGTATGCTCACAAATTACAAAAAAGAAAGCCCCCGAAATTCGAAGAATATGACCACAATGATCACAATGATCACAACCTAATCTTAGTGTATCCTTCACAAATACGGTCTTGACGTGCGTTTCGAGGACAACATTGCTTCGGGAAGAGACCTTTTTCATGTATGCAACCCTACTTATGTATGGCCATTGAGGTCATTTGCACCTGCAGAAACTTCAAACCCTTGGTGTGGGATTGGAACATTGAAAATGCCGACTGGGCTTCGGTCATGGCTTTATCATTAGATAAGATAACGTAGGTATGCACCTAAGTCAGATATGTATGAAAATGCACATATGTATCACTCGCATACCCGGGCCACTTGGTTTGAAAAAAATGCAAGATGCTTCCTTGACCAAACGCTCAGAACTTAAAAAGAGATGAAATTGACTTTCTTTTCAAGATCTACAAAATCTCGCTAATATTTCTTTATTTTCTTTTTTATCATACTATCATACTGTCTATCAGCTACCAAGCAATTTTTAATTCGTGCGGTTCCTAAAATACCAGAATTCTATTATTTGGGATAACAACCATGCAGATCGGCCAGTTGTCAAAAGACCCAAAACTTGGCCCAGAGCAGAGTCTGATTACATAAGACACAATCGTCATGTATTTAGGTACTAGGTACCTATGTACATATGAGGTAAGTTTGCGTTAAAATCGCGGTCACATGAGAGGAGAAACGGGGAAACAAGGGAAACGAGGGAGCTACGTCGGAAACAGAAGAAACGGTGAGAAAACTCCCCCTAAAGCTTGGACCAGTTCCTATCTAGGCTACGTTACGTAGCTACCGACTCGTTACACGTGTAGCTGCGGGCGCTGATGCCCTATCAGCCCTATTTCCTACGCTTCTCACCCCCTTGACCTTGACCTCACGATCCTCACGATCCTCAATATCCTAAAAGCATACAAGTACACATTCCAGATGTCCATACATTGAACTTTATACAAACCCCCAAAACTGTCGTACCATCGTATTGTCGTATTATCCTTCCGTCATTTTCGTATGTTTTTTGTGTTTCTTTCAGCGAGCCCTATTATTCCCCTGCCTTAGGTATCCTATCCTATCATTATATTCTATTCGTAGCATTATTCCCATTGTACAGGCACCTCCTCAGTTATGCAGCAGGTTCTGCCTTTTGTTCAGGTCAGAGATCTACCCTCGGCCGCCTCGTTCTACTCTGCCATCACCCAACCACTTAAATTAAGGTATATCTCGGCCAATGCTTCCTCTGTTGTGTTCGGTGACACCACTTCACCCAATCCAGACCCTGTGTTGGAAATCAAGAAAGCCGGTGCCGGTTTACGGGTGAAACCATCACGCGTGGTCCTTTCGGCCTCTTCACCATCAGTTCTCGCTGCTTTCCGCGCAGCCGCCCTGAGAGCCGACCCTGAGATACCCATCGAAGTGTATGGCGGGAACCGCGTAGAAATCACCGACTTCGATGGAAACAAAGTCGAAGTCGTGTGTAACTCTTCTTCTGGACAACTTACCGAGTATGAGGGATCTATTTCCGGTACTACCGTGGCTTCACGAGGACCTCCATCCTTACGGCGAAGCCTCACCACTTCCAACGTGGAGGCTTCAAGACGGGAAGGTTCAAGGGGCGTCAGTAATGGTGCCGAACCTGGCTCTGGGCCCGGCTTCGGCGCTGTGTTAGGCGCTGCCGCTTTTGGTGTCGCCGTAGGTGGTGCCTTAACCTACGCGCTGATGAGTGGCGACCGCCAGCGTCCTACTCGACAGGAATATAATGTGCAGGCGGGCACATACCCACGGCGTGCATCAAACCCAGACCCGCCTCCCAATATTCGGTCTCGTTACGGTGAGATCGAAAATGGGTCTCGAAAGTACCCACCGTCCAGCTACGGTGCGAGATATGCTCAACTCGAGGCTCCGGCGAGAAGCCGGGTCCTGGAGGATGTTGATGACCGTGCCAGTAGGCACTCGAGCCAATACACCTCGGATAGTCGGGTCCGTCGCCGCAGTGAGGTGGGGGAGAACAGGCGTCCACTCATGATCACTGAGGGGGAACGCATGAGCAGTGCCCCCTCCCAGTATGATACCCCCTCAGTGTATGACACACCACCACAACGTCTCCTCATGGACACCGAGTACCGAAGCCAGGTAGGTGATGATCGCCGTAGTCACGCGCCATCCAAACCGTCATCTAGAGCTCCATCTAGAGCATCATCCAAGGCGCCATCCAGAGCGCCATCCAGGGCATCGTCGAAACACGCCGATTCGCCCTCTAAGCACCGCGACGACTTTGACACCCGTAGCCGTGCCAGCACAGTCCGCCAACCACCCCCGAGCATAGTCGATAGGGCACCTCCGTCACGCTCGCAGTCGCAGGCCCCAAGCCGTTACTCGACGGCTCCCTCCAAATCCCAAAAGGTTGGGCGCAGCCGCGCCACCAGCTACGTCTCGGCCCGGGACGTTGATCTTCCTCCGAGCCGCGTCGACTGGGACGGGGAGGACGACGATGACATGGAAAGCGTGGCGCCAAGCGATAGTATCAGCTGCGTTGGTGACGATACCCGGCACAGCCGGCGTTCCCGGACAAACTCAGTTGCCGGTGGATCGTTGATCGGCCGGTACCGCAAGGTTGTCAATGAGTTTGACAAGAAGCGCAGGCCTTTGTACGGATCTGAGTATGACTACTAGGGATACCTACCTACATACCCAGGTACCTGCCTAAGGTACTATATCATTAGGGATATGACGAAGGGGAGAGCCCAGTGTGGGAAGACTGGGGGCAAAGCTTAGTATGAACGACAGACAGACAGGAATAACGACTATAATGACAGTAATGAATGACACCGAAAAAGAACAAGAAATTTATGAAAAATATAGGGATAGGGGGAGGGAGGAGAGCAAACATTTACGCTGGTACACATACACGCATGGCACACGACTTCCTTTTTCCTATCGGGATATTTACTTGAGTATCCATCAAATCATACGCATCATCGAACACAGCAAAAAAGGCAAAGCGCATATATGCATTGGGATGGTTTTTCTCTTTGTCTTTTTCTTTTTCTTTTCCTTGGCCAAGCTTTTTTCTTCTTTTCTTCTTTCTCTACTAGGTTAGGCGGTTTTTTTTTTTTTATTCTTATCGAAGCGAGCGAACACGCATGGGCAACAAAACAAAAATGTGGCGGAGGAAGGGTAGAATGAACGAATTGAACTGGCTTGGATATAGTTATGGAGGATTATGTTATGGGGGTTAGGTATTGATGTGATGATATATGATCATGTAGGTAGCTGGTAACCATGTATGTCTGCTTAGGTAGATAAGTATGTAGGTATGCTAGTGCTTTATACCATGTGGAATACCTACCATACAATAGGCGCCCTACATGCATTACTTCATATTACTCTCCGTCGATATCACTCTTTAATTTTCGGTTTTTGGTTTGATTGGGTGGGAGAATTCACAGTGTTGGGGATCTCGACTATTTACCACCTAAGTATGCCAGTTATGAATTATGTATCGGCATAGAGGTAGTGAAACTGTCCCCATTTGTGTTTTGCACATCCAAGGTCTAGGATGTAGGCCACCGACGATGATGCCTTTGTACCTACCCTACCCGTTTTCTCCAAGAAGGGGGGGGGGAGGTTAAGCTAAGCGCCTAGGTAGGCATACATAGATTGTGTACCTAGATGAAGGGTTTGCAAAGGGTTGGGAGACGCGGAGAGAGAAAAAAAAAAAACAAAAAAAGAAAGCAAAAGCCGGTAGGTAGACTATAACTATAACTATAACTATAACTACAACCCAAGTCTCTATCTCTAGGTATGTAGGCTAATGGTATATAAGTAAGTAGTAATACATACATACCTAGGCTTCAGCTGGCAATATGTAGCTTCTAGGTACCCTACCAAGCATAAATAATTCAAAATAAATATACCGTAGGTGCCTAGGTTAGTTAGATATATATCAGTTTCAAGATTTAAAAAAAAAAAAGTCAGGTAGTGAGGATTCAAGTACCTATTCCATTGGATGGCCCCCCTTTCTCCACGACGTTTGATATATATATATATATCGTACCCATCAATAGTCCAAGGTAGCGAGTAACACGCATTCAAGATCACCAAGGAAAATTACCAAGTAAAAAAAAAAATATCAGATCAAAAGTAAAGGGGGTATCTCGATCTATCATTCTCTTTCTCTTCACCATATATCTCCTCTTCTCAGTAACTTTAGCTACCTACCTATTTATTTACCTAACCTAGAACCTAGGCACACATAGGCACACCTCCCTTACCATACCCAGCTCGCCAGGGCAAACAGAAATCTAATCCTCATCCATATCCGCCCCCTCCACATCCTTAACCGCGTACCCCTCCACAAACCCCTCGGGATCACACGCCCTCCTAAGATCGATCTTGTTGGCCGCCACCCAGCGCCTAACAGCCTCTTTGTCGAGGCGGACGCGGGGGACCATAACCTTCGTCTTCGCATCCTCCCCTTCCATCTCCTCGTCAACGACTACCTCGCTCTTCCCACCAGTGCCGTGACCGTGTTTGTGATTGTCTGCGGCGCCAGTAGTAGCAAGAGGCTCGCTAGCAGGACCGAGCCCCGCGTCCTCGACGAGCCCCATCTCCCGGAGCACGGCGAGGCAGTCCTCGGGGACGATCCAGGTAGCTTTGGAGCACTGCTCGATAGTAACGAGCGTTTCCTTCTCTTTCTCCTCTTTTTCTTCATTAGCTCCCCCGATCTCCAGTCCCAGAAGCCACCGCGCGATCTCGCCTGCCCAGTACCTCTTGTACCCCTTACGGCCGAGCTCCGAAATCGGTTTCTCAGGCCCACCGAGTATGCCCTCGCGCCGCGAGATGTCGTACGAAACGCCCATCAGCAAAGCGCCAAGACCTTTACGTTGCCAGGGCGGGAACACCAGAATACAGGCCAGGTTGTTGTTATCCCAGGACAGCTTCTCTTTTGAGAAGAAGCCTACTACCTGTGCCTGACTCTTTGTTCCTTCTGATACAGATGGTGACAGCAGTTGCTGTGGAGAGGGTTGATCATTGGTTGAGCTTGCGAGCGGAGGGGAAGGAGGGGTTTGCGTGGTATGTTTTGGTCGGGGCGGAGGCGTGTAGACGAGGAGAAAATAGTTGAACCCCGTAACGTCGAAGAACACCGATTTGTTATCTAGGAAGAGCTTCGCGAACAGGGACAAGTTCTGGCAGAATAGCTGCGAAAGTTAGCATCATCTTACTTGTAGTAACTCTAAGAGCATATGTATGTGCTAGAGGAAATAAGATACTCACTTTATCCTTCTCCCCATCAACTTCCCACACACTCCACTCACCCTCGTCATGAACCACTTGCTCTGTGGCCAACGAGACAGTGTCACCACCATGAACATCCCCCCTCTTCTTCCCCTTACTCTTGCCAGCAGTCTCTGCAGCCACAGCGCCCGGGGCCTTCACGACCTTCGTATGCACCCCTTTAGGATGAGTATAAACCTTTCGTCCCGGTAACTCAAAGCTGGTCTCGCAAACCTTGACATGCGTCCACCAAGGCGTCAAGTCCTTTGCATACTTGAAGCAGTACGGGCACACGTACAGTCGCTCCAGCATGTACGGTGCCTTTTTACCACCGCCCACTTTGCCTCCTACCTTGGCCCCATTCTTCCCGCCGCCCTCCACATTATTGCCGGATGGATCGCCCAGCACATCTTTGCCGTAGTACGACGGGTACCAAGACTTAAAGGATATGTTCCCCAACACGACTTTATCGATGTTGCGGTCTGACCGTGGTGTTGGCGGTGGCTTGAGGTGTCGGTCTGAGGAGGAGGCAGGACGCTTGGGAGTTGAAATCTGGGCTGTGTGTGCTGAGCGTGCCGAAGTTTCTTGTTTGGGTTGGTGAGAGGAAGATTTGGGTGGTATGAGTCGAGTCTGGGGAGGTGGGGACCTCGTCATTGATGGCGCTATCGATGTCTGGGCATTTTGTTGAGTGTGTCTGCTGTGCCTTTGTCTTATCGGCTCGTTCCTTTCCTCGTTTGCCTCTCTTTCCTCATCTTCTTCGTCATCCTCTATTTCAATTACTTCCACTACATCGCCATCATTTGGTTGTATGTTCTCCTTCAAAGGCTTATCTGATGTACTAGTGTGTCTCGTTGTCCTGGACGCATCCTTCCTTCTACCTCGTGAAGCTGCAGTTGTGGTTTCTATCGGCGCATGCCCATTGATGGTGACATTCTCCTTCTCCTTCTCGGCTGTGTGAGCGCGCATGCGACCGCTTCTTAGGATATGACCCGATTCTTGTTCATCTGGGGATGGATGTTGTCTTGTTGGACGTCGTGGTTGTACGACAATCACCTCGGGGGGCACGTCGTGTGGTTTCTTGCGCTTCTGTGGTGCCATTCTTCTTTTTATAAAATTGCCAAAAATGCTCTTTTGAGTGGCGAAAAAGTTTACGTCATCATATTGGAATGGTGGTTGTAACTGAAAATAAATAATTGGGAACTTGAAATATCTTTATTTTTTTCTTGTTCGCAATTGAATAAAATAGCATGGTAACAATTGATGTCCGTAAGGTTCATGGCAGTCGCGGTTGAGCAGTCCCGCTTACGTAATAACAAGAGTTGGAGAACTAGAGTAATTAAGGGGATACTGACAGGTAACCTACAGTAGCTCCATGATAATCTACATATGTACCTCAAGCATATTTCCCAACTTTAAGTTACTATATAAGTTACTACTACAACCATGGGAAATCTACTTAGGAACTCAAACCACATAAACACAATATTGATCACGCCATATTGGGAACTGTAGTAGGAGAGCAATGGCAGCATTAACAGCAACGGCAGTAGCAGCAGGAATCTCAATTGCGTGTAGAAAACGGTAACTCCTAGCCAGTGTTGCATGATGGATGTTTAGAAATGTCAAGGGCTTTGCCAAAAATAAACCCACCACGCTCCGTCCCGCCGACTGCGACCGGGAAAGAGTCTCTCCCTCTGCCGTTATCTATTACAATGGGCCAGAATTCATGTCGTTTATAGTCGGCTACACGCTGGTAGTGCGGCCTCCCCAACTTTATCTGTCACCGGGCTACAAACTCTCACTAATGCAAGCATCCTCCCCAACCTCGCCTACGACCATTAAGAGACCGCTACGGGCGGAAAGTAGAAAGCGTAAAGCGTAAAGCAGCGCCGACGGAAATCCCTCCTCCAATTTCAGAATACACGGTTCGGATTATGTTACATACCCTCGAAATCACCGCCGAGGTCGTCTTCGTCTAGGTCCCCTTCTTGTATCTCCTTCGCCATCTCGCGTTCTCGGTCCCGTGCTTCTTGTGCGTTCTTTAGTTCCAGTCGGTGCTGGTTCATTGGGAAGCGCATGGCCTAATAATCACACACGTTAGTCACATCTACTTCCTTAAGCTCGTAGATAAGGAAGATAAGAACATACCTTAACACTCTCGTCGTGGAGCGCGAGACAAGCTCGGATTCGGTCATGGAACGCCTCTCCCGGCTCCCGAGTGGCATATACATCACCCACCTCCTTACTCTTCATGAATCCTCGTTCTCGGTCGAGCGTCGCCTCGATGACTCCGTCCCGGATTGCCTTGGCAACAATGTACTCGGCACTTTCCTCGCTACCAAGATGTAGGCGGATACAGATGTCACGCAGCGAGATACGGCTGTAACTCAAGCTCATCATGCGGATACCCGTCTTGATGACATTCTGTCGGAGACGTAGGATGAGCGAGTATGTTCCGTCGCGGCGGAAGGTGTCGGCATGGTCGGCAATCGTCACTTCGAAATCCTCCAAGTTGCCTACTCGTACGGCTTGGACGAGTAAGAAATAAGGGTGCAACGCTTGCTCCATGTTAGGCACACGGAAAGTTGCTCGCTCCGGAATGTCACCCATCAGTAATTCCACGACAAGCAGAAGCTTAGTCGCAGTTTGGGCGAATCCGAGGGCGCAAGAACTTGCCGGCGCCTTTCTCGTAGCCGCTGTTAGGTGCTCTTGAGCCTCAGTGTACCGTAGTTGAATAGCACGGATTCGGCCGAGGTAGTACAGGAAACGGGCGACCTGGTTATTGGCAGCATTCTCGGGAAACTGGGTGTGAGAGACGAGGAGGTCTGCTTGAGAAATGTGCGAAGTTAAGAGGTAGCTTCGGAGAAGTAGTACGATAACCGAGGCTTGTATGTCAATATCCTTTCGCAGCACGGCAGTACGGAGGGCAGTCAACAAGATTGGGCGGATCGCGACAACGGGAGACTGGGGAGAAGGAGGCAGGGGAGCAAGCTGCTCGCAAAACAAGGAATAGTAGAAGTAGACCTTCGCAGAGAGCGAGTCCAAAGTCCGACGATTTAGGGAATGGATGCGCTCTGACAGGTACTTGGAGAACTCGGCACCTCGTTGGAACTGCTTCGAGTCAAAAAGATAAACTTGGACTAAGATGCTCAAGAATATATCGATTTCGGGAATAACTTCTTTGGTCTCCTTCTTGTTGCCGTTCTTGGCTGGCGCCTTCGGCTCACTGTCGATTTCCATCTCGGAACCTGACTGGCGACCCAGAGACACATCTTCCTTTCCGATAGCAGCTAGAAGCTGTTTAGCAACGTTGGCGGTTGCGCTTGTGGGAGAGAAAGTCTCGGCGATGACCGAAGCAAGGATATCTGGGGTGAGGCGTTTCCGAAGCGAAGAGATGGATCTTAAGGCCCTTAATGTGAATCTGGCATCGAACAGGGTTACCGCGCGGTCAAGCAAGGCAAAATTGCTCTTGATATCTAAATTGTACAGAAATGACGTTAGAGCTTGTTAATTACCAGAATGTGATGGGGGATGATGTTATATGGGTATACACATACCTGTGATAGCCTGCGTAACTGGGTCTACCTTCACCTCGAGATCTTCTGGCTTATCTACATCCATAGCAATATCTCCATCAGCATCAGGTGGTGGTGGTTGAGAAGATTGCTTTGTGGTCTTGGATGGGGGCACGACAACAGTCATATCCTCACCCTCCTTAGCGCCCTTCTTGCCCTTTCCCTTAAGTGCGGACTTCTCGTCGGTCATTTCAACATCCTGGTTATTCCTAATACCATTCTCGACCGGCTCGTTGCCATTTGAATGAGGCGTTTTCCCCGGCATATCGTCTGACGGAAGATGACGGAGAATGGGGAAAACGGAGGGGTGTTTGATGGGGTTTGTTGATTCTGAATGGTCGGCTGAGTCGACGTCACGTCAGGTGGATGGATTTCGAATTTAGACCGGATAGAACCAGGTATTGATGATGATGATGCTTGGTGATGAGGGCGATGACGGAAGTAATTCCTAAATGAAATCGACCAGGTGATTTTTCGCGAAGCGCGCTCGGGATGGGACCCTGCAGCAGAAAGAAATCTTGGTACTGATTTGTAGTTCGGTTGGGCAAGTAACCGGATAAAAACACAAACCGGGTGTCCTAAATAAAACAAAGGAGAAAAGAGAATTGCGAGTCAATACGAGTACACGCAATAAAATGTAGGGGTTCAAGATATGGGGGAGGTAGATTGTAGAGTTGGTTGAACTGATGTGATTATGGGAATGATGGGAGGAGCGTATGTATGTATGTATGTGTAGAAGGGAGGAAATTGATGTCGTTTGCTCATCAGCAAAAGCAGTCCACCAGTTTCCAGTTACAAGTCGCTAACCTTAAAGTTGCCAGTTCAAAACGGGTCAGAGTGATGCAAGCATAGGTAGGGTACTGTACCTACTACCTAGTAGGGTAGAAAAAAGCAACCCGGTGGGACGGGGCTGAACTTGAACCGTTTTAGATAACGCTAGAGGGGAAACTGTTGTATCTAATATTAACTATCTATCGATTTAAACCGCCCTGGAAAAGTACACATAGTAATAATAATAATCTATATGTAGCTCTGAAGGTTAGGCAGTTTTCTTAGCGTTATTTTACCGTCATTACAACAGTTGCTATGTAACTTACCACCTGTAGAATTTTAAACCTTGAGGGAAGCTCGAAGATGCAGTGCGAAAAAGAGCCCAAGGAGCCAAGAAAAGGTACGAAGCTCGGACCACATAGGTACCAATGTCTTAGCTCTGGGAACCTGCAAGATTCATGTATCTTCGATACTGCTTTTTTTTGATGGAACCCATTGCTAATGCCGGTATCCACCATTTCCCCCATCCATCGAGGGATCCATCCAAAGTGACGTTTGCGAATTGGTGCCTGCCTGACTGACCTGCCTTGCACTCTCTGACTCTCCAGAGCTCCTACCGAAATCGATACGGCGGCCTTATGTAAAAATGTAAGCTTAGCTGAGTAACTTTATGTACCTAACCAAACCGTTTAGCCACATTCAATAGTTATCTACCGTAATTATTTGGAGAACCTCGAAGCATTGAAGTCACGATAGCAAGTTATGTACATTTTGGTTTTCCTACAACACATCTTTCAATCTTCATGATCTACTAATTTTTATATTGCTACTGGATTTACATACCACCAAAACTGCCTCTCAACCCTTTATTATTATTATCTACCTCTCCATATTTCTACTTACATAACTAGACACATAAGTTAGATTAGATCAATACGCAGTATCACTGTATAAATACCTTCACACTTCAAGTTAACCGAACATCACAATATACATATATCTGAGCTTCATAGAAATTACCTCCCTACTTACCTAAGACACCAATGCTCGAACACGTCGAAATGTCCCATTGCGTATGCGGTCGACCAACCATTGGCCTAGGTCTGGTGCCACATGTCCACGCTTGAGAGGCGACTTCCCGCTTCCCGTTTTCCACTTCCCCCGCGGCCATACATAGGTACCTACTCTAGATATGCAATAGCAACAGTGAAGAGAAACAAATGTGGCCATTCATATATCGCGTATGGAGTTACTGTAAGCACACTCACATCATGATACTAAATCCCTCCTCTCTTAAGATCGTAATCTTTTTAGTCCACAGAATATTAGACCTTATAACGTCCAGAGCATCTAGACGTACTACCCTACGTGATTCAAGCTTAAATATAATATAAAGCCATACAATCGTAATGCAATGCATGATTCTCATTGTTGCGCAACTACATATATAGTAGTCGTGTCATTGGCAAAAGTGCCTAAGAACAAATAACCTAGCCTAGGTGGATGGGCAACAGAGGCCACTACAGGAGACCATTGAGAACGCCGAGCTAATATGATAGCGGACCTGTCCTTTCCTTTTCTTCCATGCCCCTCCTCTTCCTTGCAAGACATTAAATCATATCCGTTCCGTGGGAAGCACCAAACGCCGCCACTCGATCATGAGGGAAATCCGCATCGCCGGCTTGCGCTCTGTCCTTCGTCGTCTTCAGTAGGCCTCTTCCGTTTGTCACCAGCCCTAGACGCTCCACCGGTGGCATTCGTCGTAACGCCCCCAGGCTTCTGCGCCGGACCAACACCCGGTGACTTACGGCGCTTATTAGCTCTGCTCGTAGAAGGCGATACATCCTACTTATCATCCTTGCCGGGCATAACTTTGGCGGCCTGAACAGCGTGCACCTTGGAAATCCAATTGGCCGATGGCTGTACCTTGCGCACCGTTCGCAACTCGTCCGACGTGTAACCAGGAGTGCGGATGTTGTAGACACGCTCAAGCACGAGCTGGATGTCGCGGATTTCGAGCACCTTGCTGCCGCGTTCTTTTGCCAAGCGACAGGCAGTGTGGATGACGCTGTCCACAAAGTTGTCGGCAACGCTCAAGACGGACTATGACGCTAATGTTAGCAACCCAATCGCCTGGAACTCGAGGAAACTCGAAACTTGAAAGAATTGGAGAAAAAGTGATCGCCGATTGTTTGAACTTACCTCCTCAACATCTGGGGTCAAATAGTTGCCGTCGGCACCAGGAGAACCACCACCACAGACCTGGCGGACAAGTTCGTCGAGCTTCTTCTTGGACAACACATGTTCACCCTCGGTATCGAACTGAACAGGCGGCATCTTGTTGATCACAGGTTGGCCCATGACTCCACCGCCAGTTCCACCGCCTCCACCGTACGAGGGACGGCCGGGGTTGTTGCCGCCACCAGTAGCAACCGCTTGCGGGGTCTCCATGGCCTTCTGAGGTAACGTCTTACTAATCGGCATCTTGGGGTTCAAAGCAGACGTGTTGGGCTGCGGGTGAGCGTGGGAATGGGCTGAGTGGTTTGCGTTATTTGCAAGACCGTTTGATCCGGGAGTGGAAGCGACACCACTGGATGTGTTGTTGGATTGACCAGCGTTGACGTTGGTTGATGAGTTGGCACGATTCACGGCGGCAGCGTGAGACAATGGTCGAACTTGGGCTCCTGCGGCTTGTTGGCCTGCAGATTGGGGGGTTTGCACGCGCGCTGAGGCTTGCGTTGGTGTTCCTGCGGAAGGCAAATGTGCTGAAGCGACAGCAGTTGCAAGCGCCGTATTGACCGGAGGTGGGTGTGCTATTTGGCTCGTCGGTTCGCTCTTGACTTGAACGGGTTGCGTGCTGGCTGTAGCATGGGATTGAGATGGCTGTTGTGGGTGTTGAGTACCCAAAGAAGGTGGGGCAGGGGTGGCAGGAGTCCCAGGGTTATGCTGCTGTTGCAACGACTGCTGCGGCTGCATTTGGGCCTGAGGTTGCGTTTGAGCCTGAGGTTGCGGTTGCGGCTGCGGCTGCGGCTGCGGCTGCGATGGTTGAGCCTGAGATTGTGGCGGTTGCGGTTGTGATTGCCTAGGAGGTCCCACTGCTTGGGCGGTAGCAATTTGCTGATTTTTCGCTGCGTCCATTGCCGCGTTCACTGATGCAGTCGCTGCCTGCATGGGGTGTGCTGCTGCTTGCATAGGGTGATTTGCTGCTGCTGAGACAACGGGTGTACCTTGGCCTGGCATGGATTGAATTTGACCTTGTTGTTGAGTGTTGACTCTCTGGGCCTGGGGGTTAACACCTTGGGCCTTCATCTGATTCCGCACACTGTCAACGAACCTTGACGCTTCTTGATACTGTTTTTGATCTAACGTCTTTTGGTCCTGGTATTTTTTCAGGTCCTCGGCCGACAACTGGCCCTGCCGTTCTTTAAAAAGGCTATCCAGCTTTGCTGTCCTCACTTTTATAGTTTCCATTTGTGTCAAAAACCGCATATATCGTTGACGTATCTCGGTCAGCCACTTCTGCGCCTGCTCCTGTGGCACTTGTGCCGGTGGCCTAAGCATATTCCAGGGGAGTTTGTTGGTATGTTCGATGATGACTTTGGGCACCGATTGTGCTTGATTACCGGCCGGGGCAGCATTGGGATTCGTGGGACCAGGAGTTTGAGCACTGCTATTAGCGCCCATCGGTTGTGGTCTATTCTGCTGTATTCCAGGCTTGTGGGCCATCACCATAGTATTCTGGTTTTGCTCCCCTTGGGAATTATGCTCTATACTTTGGTGTCCCTGCTGAGATTGCTGGCTTGACGGGCCTGACTGGGCTTGGGAGGCCTGCTGGTTTCTAGCTTGGATGTTCTTAACTTTGTTATATACCATTCGCGAGAATTCAATAAGTCTTTGCTTTGCAGTATGATTCTCTTGAGTGTCAGGAACACTCTGCTCTAGCTTGACGTAGAGCAGTCGGAGACCCTCTTCATATTTAGTGCGATCTTCCTGGCTAAGGCAAGCGATGTTGCGCATCTGCTCCGGTCGGAAAATAGTAAGCCTCTGTCCCTGGGCAGGCTGACCCTGAGGTTGTTGATTCATTGCGGTTAATTAGCGCGCGACGCCACGTCGACGGGGAATCGTGCTGTCAATATGTTGTGGATGTGTTATGGATGTGTCGTTGATGTATTATTGATGCCTGGCGGCGATAGCAGGTAAGGATTTCAGTCAACCGATGGATAATAGAAGACCAAATGACTCGAACGATTGACTCATAGATCAAACTATCACTCACGGGTTAATTCGTCGAGTGCAATCATGAATAGATCATAAATGATTGATTAATAAATTGAGTAAATGATTGAAGACGGAATAGAGGAGTAGAAGAGTGGAAGAGTGGAAGGGTGGAAGGTTGGAAGGTTGGAAGGTTGGAAAAGTGAAAAGAAAAGGTTTTGGCGAGAGAAAATGTATGGAAGCATTGAAGTTGTCGGAGCTATGTATCTTTAACCCACACGTGCACCGCGCCGGCCTCAAGCTTGGAACTCTAAGTGGAACCTTTGACTCCGATAAGACAAGCAATTAAACATTTGCGCTAATCGATGTTACTATGTACAATGTACATACATATATCTAGTCTGGATGTCAATGTGGCTTGCCAAAGTATTACATCAGAGTTCATGTGGCTACAATGGTAGTTATTACGTAAGTTCGAAGTACTATGTATTTTCAAATGTTCAAATGTTCAGATGATTTTCCTGTTCACCATTGAAGTTGCTTCCATCAAAGGGTAGGTAGTAGGTATTCAAATGTGACCAACTACTAGATACTATTTACTACTAGGTAGGTATATATGTCAGGTATAGGAGGTACACCGAAGCGGTGAAAATAAAATCAAGGCTATTGGTTTAATTTATATACTTCTTCTTCTAGTTAAGGAGAAGCTCATAATAACTACTCAATAGTCAACGTGTGTCGTATCAGGTCAAGCCAACCAGCCGTCTATATCAACATTCTTTGCATACGTGTAATATATCTACCTCAGTTACCTGGGTATGTAGGGGGGAAATATTCATGAAATTAAGAAAAGCGTGGCATATTTCTCATTATGAGTAGCCACCTCTATGCAAATGTTGTCTTCATCGTCGTTATCTCGTCCACATCATCCACATCATCTACGTCGTTCAACATATTTCGTCATCTTCGTCGTCAGGTTAAATCGCGCCTATGCCAACCGCTAAAATCCAGATCTAAGAGGTATCTAAAAGCAAGATGAGAAATGAACACCATGAAAATCTTCCTCCTTGAGTATTCAACACAAGTCGGGCCCTCCCTAATAATTTACCAGGCCATGTAGCCAATGTTCTATGCAAGCAATTCCAACACATATTGCTGCCGCAAACCCTCCCTCCGCCCCCGTATATCTTCAAGTGGTTTTGCCATTACCTAATAGGAGTCGACTTTTCTAATTTATGATAACCCTTTCGCCATGACTAAATTCCCTTAGAGACAGGTGGGAGAACGAGATCGATCCCAGCCACCCAGTCATATTCGTGAAGTGTCGTGTAATCGTAACTTGTGTGCCGCGAGTTGCTGCCGGTATAAGGGGGCTAATCGCGAAGTAATTGGCTGGGTGTTTCCCTTATTTTAATTATGTAACGTATTGCGGTTGAATGGTCTCATTCCGAATCAACATCCATCAAAGTCCAATATGGCAATTCTCTTGCAAATACCTCGGCAGAGCCTATAATGATTTCATCGTCGCTATTCGGTTCTTTTAGCTCCTCGATCCTCTCTGGAAGTGCGCCGGTAAATTGAATGCTGATCCTATCGCCAACCTTTCGCCGCATTCGACGAGCTGCGCCCGTCTCACTCCCTTCATAGTAAGGTAGGATGTCCTCTCTGTCGGAATCGCTGCCTCGCTCGCTTACTGTTCGCTTGCTAAGGCTTCCCGACTTCATCCTCCTGAGGCGGCGTTCCTCGCGTCTCTTCTGCAATTGTTGGCGAAATTCTTCGTCATTGTGATCAATGTCAACGTCCGAGTCTTCAAACGTGTTTAGGTTTTCTATGCCCGTCATGACAGCAGGATCCATATCCGGCGGGGGTCGAGATTTTGACCGACTGCGCTCCGAATTGGCATACTCAACTTCGTCTGGCTGACGGAAGTTAACTTCGTCGCAATCGAGCGAACAATCATCACTCAATTCCTCAATGGAGAATGCGGCATCCTCCTGAGCTGAAACAATCTGTTCTACATGATGGTGGTGCACTTTCGGTATATCCGAGCAGATTGATTGCGGAGCGGTGACGGACGAGTCGGATTCCTCATCAGATGAATTTGAGGAACGAGGTGATATTTCCTCAGGTCGAGGCCCGCGGGTGTAACTAAATTTAGTGCCACCCAATGGCCGAATATTGGATGAGTGGTCTTGTTGGCCATGTACTTTTGAATGACGCATGGTGTGACCGTTTAGCGCCGCTTTGCGACTCATCTTGGGAGATCCGGTGGTGGGTGTCTCGGGTGGTGAAGATGGCGAAGTAGGTACCGTCGCTGTCGGTATTAGGAGGGTGGTATCCAAAGAAGGGGTATGTGGCCGCATGGTTGTCGGCGTTATGGGTAACGGGAAATACTCCCACCCGAGAATTGAGTCTTCCCTAATTTTTTTTATCGATTCAAATTGGCTATGAATATGAGAATGTGGGGTAGAATTCGCGGGGGGAGAAGATAAAGGCGAACGAGGGACTTTTAAGGCGTCAGCACCCAGAGCAAAAACCTCCAACGCGGAGAAGTTATTGGACTCCGGTAACTTGTCATGTTAATCTCTTGGGGAAGCTTGGTAGGTCGGGACCGGACACCGCTACAATTCCTCCACAAAGGCGATAGGGGTAGAACCGTCTCGTAGAGGTGTGATATAAGTCTATACTGCGATCTTGTCTTTTCACTCTCTAAGACTCAGAGAAAGTGAATGTATCAGAGACCATTCGGTGTTGAATTTCTGTCTCAAGTGTCCCTGCAGAGAGAGGACGGGGGGTGAAAGTTGGCTTTGCACCACTGACACAGTAAAAAAAAGAGAAGGAAGGGAGGGAAAAAAAGAAAAAAAAAAGAAATATGATGCTCTAGATAGAATTACTTGAAATAGATGTGTAGTGCAGAAAAAAAAACCCTCCTGCACTTGTGGATCTCCAAGAAGTGGCCTGGATCGGAGGGCACAGCAAACCCAAGTCGAAAAGAAATCCGCAACACTTTCAAGTTGGGAAACTTCTAGACAGAAGAATAACGGGGTGGTATATCTGCTGTTGGAGCTCACTTGCGTAGGTCGCGTACTAGGTATGAGAAAGAAGTCCCATGTGTGCGAAAACTACCCAGTAAGAGGGGAAAGTGTATTTGGAGAACAGGCTATCCAAAAGCTCTTATACATAGTAAAGGTCTTACGAGTGCCTACCAGGTAGGTATGTAGGATTGTAGGTAGATAAATATACCATGGTTATTTATGGATGGCAAAATAGAGGTCTGTCACCTAGAAATCCTAGAAATACCCATGTAATTATAAGGTTGTGACTGGTGAAAGCATACACATACTACATATGTACTAGCAGGTAAATAGTATCAATCTGATGGATCTAATGGTAAGGGAAAAGGGTACACGGTATACCTAGGCGAAGCTAAAGTTGCGGACTCCCGGGCAGAGAGCGAAGGAAACGGGCCTAGTTGCTCGCCCACCAGCCTATAGCGGAGCACCTCGCAGAGATTGCGGCTTGGGCACCAATGCTCCCAGGACTCCCTGGTTACTTTTCGTGGGAGGCATAGCGTATCCAGGCAAAATGCGACATGTAGTCAATGGGGCCAGCGGCATGAGGCATATATCTCTACTTTGTAGGTGAGAAGCGACTACGGCTCTTGAAGAGGTAGGTACTATGTAGGAGGTAGGTAGGTATGTAGGTAGCAAACTGAATGTTGTGACATGTTGTCAGATATTGGCCAACTTAACTCTCTTTCAGCCGGCCCTCTTAGAACCTCGACGCTGACCGAAAAAAAGGGAATTTGCCATCCGTAGTACTACTACTCAACCACTAACATTCGTTGATAGTGTTAACAGTGTTAATAGTGTTTAACAGGCTTTGGTGAGAAGCCAGACGTATCAGGGCTAATTTTGAGAGCCACGGCATGGTTATACAAGGACGGTTCAAAAATACCACCTACAGCTGTACATTGTAGGTAGGTAGGTCAACTAAGTATGTAGGCTGGCAGGTAGACAAGCCAGTAGGTAGGCAGAATCTGGCAGACAAGGGGTCAGGTAGCAGCATTCACCCACTCATGCCCAATGATTTGAGGAGGTGTGCTGCAAGTGGAAGACGAAGAGATAGACCGCAGGCGTAGTGGAGATGGGAAAAGTTCACTGCTTGGCTGCTGAGAAGGTCAGGGATTACTCCGGAGCCTGCAGCAGATACTGCAAGTAATATAACAACAACATTGAAAATATGAAGTATCGTAACCTTTTGTATTTTTATGTATGCGTATTATGTTCGTCTCTACAGTGCAATGCGTAATGCTGCTGTCAGGTGGCGATCCGGTGCTGCGGTGACTTTGCTGCGTGGGAAGTTTTCGATGGCAGAGCATTGATGCTTTCACCCTTGGCTAGCAACTACCGCGCCTCTCTTCCTGTCTGTCTCTCTCTCTTTATGTATCACTCAGCATTAAGAGATAATGTCAGTATTCAATGGCTGCATGTTTCACGGACTTGCCTACTTGGGCGGATAGAACATAGTCCATAGAGACACTATACGAAGTACATCAGAATTGGATGAGGTCAATGCATCCATGGATGTATGTAGCAATCTCAATCTTGGGTGTATAAAAGAAAAGAAAGAAAAAAGAAGAAAACGAGGCTGGCGAGACATTGGTAAAAGGGAAATTCGGTTTAGTCGATGTAGGTTAAGACCCCGAGATAATGACGCGCAGCATGGAACAAGCCGTCCGCCCTGTTTTTAGACTGCAGGTCGTATTGTAATTTCGATATTGACAAAAGTCGGAAATAGAGAATGGGAAAATGGAATTTGAGGTTGATAGGACCGTCACCTCGGTATATTTGAGTACCTACTACCTAGAACCAGCCACATGGTGGGGGTATTTGTGGCTTTCAAGTTTGTGTGTGTACATGGTACTTACAGTCAACAAGGCACCAGACCCCGTCGCGATCAACATTGGAGCTCTTTGCCAACATTGGACATCGAACATTTGAACTTACCAGCTCCATACAAAATACTTCCCTTCCTATCGTGACATCACATTTGCCCATCATGTCACTCCTCTCAGCGCACTTTGAACAAATATCCATATCCTGTCAAGGAATTGACAGTTTACCGTACGTATAACATATATACATGAGTTATTACAAAGATTATGAATATTTACATTACTATACGATAGCTTTCCACCTTCTAAGATATTCACTAATGCCCTCCTTGGTAACGACGACATTACCTCATTAATCCGCGATACCGAAGCTCATGAACGGGCGCTCTTCTCCGTCCCTCCACCACCACCACCATCCACAACTCATAACATAGACCCACCCAAACAAAGTGGGCGTCGTCAAACCGTGTTTAATGTTGCCTCTGGCGAGGTCACTACGTCCGGTAGCAACACGGGGCGCAATGCTGGTGCACAACGACGACACACGGCTGTGGCAGCTGTGCTAGGTGGCGACCTACACGACCAGATCCGTCGCAGTGAACGACGTGGTGGCAAGGACGACATAGATGTCGAAATACTCCTGACCGGCGCGGAGAAATTATGTAGTGTTTATCCCTTACCTGGAGCACTGGAGAGAATACCGGCGCTGCGCTCCAAGTACGCGCATGCTCGAAACACGTTGGCGTATTACGAGGCGAAAGTAGCCGAGCAGGCCGAGGCCCTAGGGCGCATGAACAAGGATCACTGGATGGATGAAGACGAAGAGGAAGAGGATCTACAGCCCCAGGAAGATGTTCTAACGGAGGAGGACCTAAGAAGAGAAGAGGAGGAGGTACGAGAGCTCGACAAGAAGAAGAAGGAATTGCAAGAGAGATTAAAGGCGATGGAGAAGGACCTAGGTGGCTTGCTAAATATGTAATGAGCCTACGCCTTTGAAGCTACCTAACTTATGATACCCCCCGGAGCCAATACGGCTTAACGCCAGACATCCGACTCACACGACAATATATGTATGAACGAACATATCATCTAGGTACTGGGTACCGTCTTATCTCTCTTCCCTAGCCTTTGCGAACGCCTCTAAGAAGGCCTGGCTGTCTTGTGCGCCGTCAATCTCGTACTTGCCCTGTATCGTAAAGTGCGGTACACCGTGTATGTCCTTGGCATACGCCTCTTGGACCTCACTATCGACCTCCTTACCACCCTTATCCGACGCGAGCCAGTCCTTCGCTTCGGCCTTGTCTAAGCCCGCCTTCTCCGCAGCAGCAATAAGCGTGTCGTGCGAGGTGATGTCGCCGTCGCCTTCAAAGTAGCTCTTGAACAGCTCCAGAACCACACGGTTCTCGATCTCGTTGCCCTTGGTCTTGCCCAGCTGGATCAGCCGGTGCGAGTCCCGCGTGTTGCCGGTCTTGCTCTCGAAGCTGAAGTTGATGCCTTCCTGGTGGCCCATCAGCGCGAGCCGCTGCAGTAGAGCTACGTGTCGCTCCGCTCCGAACCGCTGCGCCATGCGCTCCCTCAGCGGGACGCCGACTTTGGGCGACGTGGGGTCCAGGTAAAACGGTGCCCAGCTTATGGTGAAGGAGTCATTTTTACCGTCTGGGTGCACCCTGCGGTATAGATCGATGGCTTTTTCTAGCCGTTTCTTGCCTATGTAGCACTAGGTTTGAGTTGAGATCTTAGCGATAAGCTCTTTGTAAAGGGGCCGTGTACCCCGTAAAAGCTTACCCAGGGGCAGACGGTGTCTGACACTATCTTAATGCTAATGTTCGTCATCTTCTTGCTTTTTTCTAAATTCTTTCAGTAAGGAAACGTGAAATTGGAGTAAACACTGTTAGAGGAAATTCGATGCGACGCAACTCAAGATGAACTATCCTATCCAGTGAGAAGGTGGGAAATATAATAGCATTTTATATCATTGGCCTAGATGGGGCGACGGGACGGTCCGTCGTAGAACGAGACGGTGTTGGATTGATGCTGACAAATACATCACGAACCAATCCTCCGCACTCCTCCAAGAAGCCAGGCATGGATGTCGTCATGGCTAGTATGCTAGGTGATATAGTGTGTTGCATTACTAAATATCTCAAAGCTGGGTTGCCAACGTAGGTACGTAGTAATCAGTACCTACATACCTAGTTACAGACACCTAGAAGTTATATATACGATTATCATCGGTGAATTTAGAGGTTCAGGGGGCATCGCGCATTTACTACTAACATTAGTAGTATACAGATCCAGGTCGCAAACCCCTAAACTCCTATCTTGGGACGGTGTAAGTAGCTGTACTGATTTCGGAGTTGGATTACTATGTACAGAGATCATTGGATTTCTTTGAATATTTTATCATGGCAGTCACTTCCTTCATAGTCCAGTTTTTAGAGTATCTAAATAGGATAAGGTGATATTAGTTGTGAACGAAAAGGAAACCAATATATGCAACAAAAATGAATAGCAAAAAGAATGTAACCTTAATAACTACGGACCAAAAATGTGATCGAACCCAGGCTCGAACTGGGGACCTTCAGTGTGTTAGACTGACGTGATAACCAACTACACCATCCGACCGATTGATGGTAGGACACTCGAATTGAGTTTGTTCCTGTGTTGTGATGGACGGTGGTTAATGCTAGTCTATCAAGTCTACTACGCACAGAATTCAGATAAATTGGGTGTGGGGATTTGAAAATTTTCCAAATTCGATTCTAGTTCATCATTGGATTGTTGCTGCCAATAGCGGCCCGGCTCTTACGGAGGTTGGTGGGCCTGGGTAGTTACGGCGTATTGCTACTTACGTAGGCAATACATAGGGCTTCGGCCTCTCATTAACATACTACAGTAAACCTTGGCCATAACGATATGGAAAAAACACCACTCTTAATTCGTTATAGAGAGGTATCGTTATGTAGAGATGGACCCACTGTCATGGTCCGTGTACTTCCGTTGTACCTTTACTGCCATTTTATTAGAAAAGGTACTTACCTAATATTGTTCTTTTAAATTCCTTTCATATTTAAAAGATATTATGCAGTAAGCCAATTTTTCGGCGATTAGATATCGTGGCGGTGATTAGATTTACCTGAAAAAAGGACAGTCCAATTGGCTACCAAACGCAAAATTCCACTTATTCCACCAAAAATTTATCAAAATAAACGGTTTTTTACACATGGTCCATAACGATCTTGGTGGTGGCGGTCAAAAAATTAACGATATATCGCTAAGGTTAAAATATCGTTATTTCCCATACAAAATTGCAATGTTCCCAAAATTATATCGTTATACAAAAATATCGTTGTCTACCGAATCGTTATGGCCAAGGTTTACTGTACTATTGAATGAAGTATAGCGTACTGTACCTAAGCGAGAAGACTACAGAGATGAGCCAATCATATTTGACCTCCGGGCATCGACCTATGATATGATCGTGGTCATTGAAGGAGCTGGATGCGTATGAGGCAGTGTTTGTCTGGGCAAAGACTAAACCACGATGGCTGAGTCCCATTGTTCACATGACAAGCCTTGCTGGCAATGGCATCGCGTGTGGCGATGACCTACAGTTTAGGCCTAGGGACGCAGAGACGGTCAGCTGTGAATGCCGACTAAGTAGTATATCATGAAGTAGTGTATAACGTCAAGTGTAAACACTTGCTCCCGTAATTAAACCCCGAATGTATAGTAGTATACCTAGTATACACTCAACCTTCGTGCCATTGACTCAAGGTAAATATGTCATATACCTACCACCTCGACTACAACCGGCACGCCCTCCGCAGCGACGACCTCTCCATCCGGCCCTACCCGTCTTCCAAACTCTCCAGCACCCCCCCGGCCGTCCTCCACGCCAGCGTGCACCACAAGCACCTCACCCTCCGTACCGCCAAGGGCCAAGGCCAGAAGAAGAAGAAGCAGACCGTCGTCGCGACCGCCAAGTACCCGGCCGACAAACCCACGATCCAGATCACCGCCGCGGCCGCAGGGCGCAATGTCGTGACGCTGAACCACTCGTACGCGCAGTTCGACGCGCGCGGCCACTCGCGCGAGAACCCGCGCCCCCAGCGCAGCTTCTGGCGCCGCCGCATCAAGGACGGGTCGCGCGGGTGCTACGTCACGACGCTCGGCGACGGCACGCGCTTGCGGTGGGAGCCGGCCGAGGAAGGGGATGGGGATGGGGATGGGGATCTCGGCAGGAACAAGAAGAAGAAGAAGATGAAGTCGAGGGCGGATCGGATGAGGCCGAGGATGCGGTGCGTGCTGGTGGATGGGCGGGGTGTCGGCGTGGCGGTGCTGGGCGAGATGATGCCGACGAATGATGTGGTGAGGTTGGCGGGGAGGGGGGAGCTGGCGGGGGAGGGGGGGTTGTTGGGGGTGTATGTGCTGTTGGGGTTTGTGAGCTTGTACGAGAGGGCGAGGGCGAGGGATAAGAAGAGGGCGGAGGAGTATGAGATGGATGTGAGTATTGCTTTTTTCCTTCTTCTCCTTTTTTTTTCTTTTTTTCTTCCCAATGTTCCCGGGGTTTTCGGCGGGTTTCATCTACCTACCCATCCCCGTGGTCTGCTTATGAGCTTCGATCGAATCTACTGAAGTTGTGATCTCTGCTGACTCTGGTTTTAAAAGCTTGGCTTTTTCTTTGATGCTATTGCAAGTGGTGGAGACGGAGGAGGTGGAGGAGGCGATGGGGGTGGAGGAGGAGGAGATGGTGGAGGCGGCGGTGGTTCAACGTGAGACTGGGAAGACTTAAGTATTGACGGTATGAGCCTGGTTATGAGCCTAACAATAGCTCGGTAGATATGATATTTAACTAGATATATATTACATATATATTACAATTATATAGGTATCTCGTCTAACTCTCGTCTCGTGATATATCGCCAGCGGACTATTTAGATATGTATAGATAAACCAGGCAACTTCCAAGATTGCAGTACTCTCTCTGCACCTTTCTCCGCCGCAACCATCACACCAAACTGCGGGTTTACTGTCAAAGGCGCTACGATAGACGCGTCGATGATATGTATGTTCTCGGTGCCGACCACCTTCGTGTCGACATCAACACATTTCCCTATTCGGCATGAGCTAGACCAGTGCTGGACGGAGCCAACGGCGTAGTCAGACCAAGTGGTGATGTAAGTGCGTATTTCTTCAACCGTCGAATTTTGGGCGATGTTGAGCGGAGTAAGACCATCAGCTGCCGGTGACTCGGGGGTGGAGGATGGCAGAGCTTGGAAGATCGTGTGGATGAACTCTGCGATGGCCTGGGCGTCCGCGTCCCGAGGGTCGGAGTAGTAAACGTCGGAGCTGGGACCAGGGATGAACTGGCCGTCGTCCGACAGGATAACACGTCCCGCCGAGGCTAGCCCAGAGGTTCCGTAGATGTTGAGCGTGATGGTGTTGTTGTCTACGAAGTCTGCATGCCCTGACGAATCAATGGTGCCTTGCACTCCGGTCCTGGTGCCGTCGGCGTTAGGCATGTAGCCCCAGAATGCGGAAGACTGTGAGGCTGAAGCATATGGGCCACTGCGAGAAGATAGATAAAGATCTCTATCCGCTGGAATAGGGTCGTTGTAGTTGTGAACGTATGACTCTATCGTTGGTGCGGATAATTCGATGAATGTATTGGGATTATCGAAGAGGCCTGCACCAACTTCTGCGTTGATTACCCAAGTCGAAGAGTTATAAGACGAGGCTCCGGCCGTAGACAGACTGTTAAGCGTCTCTTCAGATCCAATGCCAGAATGCATGAGAAGACCTGGCGAAGCGATGGCACCGGCGCTCAGAATAACTCGGCCACTGGTAGAAAGGGGGATCTGCACTATTGAACCGCTGATGTTGGCGGTGATGCCGGAAGCCACACCATTGACATGATCGATATGCTGAACACGAACGCCTGTCTGGAGACGGAAGTTGGTTCTCTTTAGGGCGTTCTGGAGGTAAGTTCTCGTTGGCCCACCTCGCTGGCCACCGATGTAGTTGTAGACGGGCCGTCCAAAGACCTTGTCCTTATTATCCGGAACCTCGTTGAATTCAACATCTGTGAAGCCAGCTGCGTCCACAATCCATTTCCTCGCCTCGTCGTAGCCGGACTGCATATAGAATTGGCCGTCTACCGAGTAGCTGGTCACCGAGGGCTGCATGTCGAGCAGTCTCTGTGTCGCATCCGCCACATCTGCACTCTTCCATCCGTCCGGGTGGTAGTCATCCCAGTCGGAAGCGGGAGGTTGAAAGTACAGGCCGGCATTGATTGCGCTATTCCCGCCAATGGTGCACGCTTGAAAGGAGTTGACGATTCCGGCAGGGCACAACAGATCCGAACCTCCGTTGAAGATGCTCTTATCTATTCAGCTTGTCAGCCTAACGATCAGGGGGATCACTGGAACATCGTTACTCACATAAACCAGGTACGTCGACCCGGCTCATGTCTGTCCCATCGAGCCATTGAGGCTTCTCCGTACCACCCACGACTCCGTATGAGCGACCGCCGACTTCTAGTAGCAGGGTTTTCTTGCCCGCCTCACTCAACCTGTCCGCTACTATGATCCCGGCAGTTCCGGCACCGACGACGATCGCGTCCCATGCTTCCGCAGTCCAGTCCGTTACGTTTTGTCGTCTTTGGAACGGTGGCGCGCCGAGCGTAGTTTGGCTGAGAAAGCCAGCGATGACCGTTAGGGTTGCGAATGACCTCATCTTGACGTACTCTGGCTCAGTGAACGACGGGATGAGGAGGGGATAGAGACAAGCATGGCGGGCCAAGCCGGTTTATATTCAAGGGCCCTGTCCCAACAAAGACACCCATTTTGCTAGGTTCACAGCCTATTTGAGACCTGTTTACTTAGCACCTGGGTAGGTGGTATAGGCATTAGTAAAATGAGCCCTTCATGCAGGCAGTGACAGTGACAGTGGAGCAGGCTATTATTATCGCGACTCGGTAGTAAGAGTTAGACCCTGGCTCGTATAAGGTCCACTAAGCTAATTCTCGTATTTGCCCATGAAATTCTTTGTAAAAGGGACCTATCCTAACTGAAAGAAACCCTATCTGACGTGGGTTGTCAGCTCCTCAATTTCTCTGATGGCTTTGGTCTCGTTCCACCGTTTCCACGTTACAAGCTTACCGTACTTTAACACCGAGAATAAATTTCGTTATTTTTTCATGTTTCCGGGATTGGGACTCGGAATCGACAGGGAGAATATCCAATAGGTAAGGCCGTGGCTGCACGGCCTTTGCATTCAGCCGGGGCATACGGCACGATAGGCTTGCGACAGGGGGCTCGACGACAGCTATCTATAGTCCACTAGGGTACCTACTAAGTAAACATCCTCAACACATGTTTACTGACTACCGTAGAGTGTTTGGATTAGCTCAAATAGCTAATGAATTAATCCGGCATTTCGAAGTCGATGACCTCAACGTGCCTTAATTGTATATTTAATCTAGTTTACGACTAGCCAACTGAAAAAAAAAACCCCCCGGCATAGATAAAACGCGGGATATAGTGAGGTCATCAGCTCGAATATAATACATGAGACGGCTTTAAACGAGCCTGTAAATGCTCGGGCTACCCGCCACTTTTCAGCTTTGGATATGATAGGAGCTTTGTGGCGCGCTGCACTCCCTTCCTCTGAGGTGCGTTTCCGTCATTCAGCTAGGGCCGTCCTCTCTTCCTAAATCAATTCATCAGCGCATTGGCTACGCTTCATGTTCGTGATGCGAGTGTCTTTGGGCTATCTGTCGAGTGGCGGTGTAATCATAGGTACTTGTATAGGCCGGATGTCGTTCTTTGCCTATCGTATTTGAATCCGGGGCTGACATGTTCGGAAATGCCGACGCGGGGCTTCCGTGAAGTAGAGCTCATGCATTTCGGTCAAGTCAAGTTTGACAAAACATCATGAATTGAATTGAGATTCACAGTTACATAGGTATCCTACACCTGAGGCAGTACCTAGGCACATCAATCAATGGAGAAGCAACCCAAGCTCCCGAGCAATGATATCCGCCGCTTTCTCTCCAATAACCATGGCCGTGTTGCACGTATTCCCGCCGATATTCTCCGGCGCAATACTCAAATCCACCAACTTAAGCCCCTTGACTCCGTAGACATTGAGATCCTTATCCACCACGCCCTTCTCCTCGCGCGGCGCCATCTTAGCTGTGCCCAGCGAGTGCCAAGTGGTTTGAATTTTCTCACGGAGATGCTTCTCGATCGCCTCATCGTCTTCGCGCGAGTATTCGAGGTCTTGTACTTCGGCGCCTTCCGCGACCGGGGTCCACTCTTCAATGCAGGCTGCCTTGGAGCCCTTCGGGAATACGGGATGGTGAATTGCGGCCTCCCCGCGATATATGGTTGTGCGGCGCATGATCTCGCGCCCCTTCTTGTACGCCCAAACCTGCTTTTTGAGGTCCAAGTCGCCCGGGTCGCTGAAAAACCCCACGTCGAAGTCTAAGGGGTCGCTTACGTCGGGGCCCGTGATGTGCAGGTGCCCGCGCGAATAGGGGTATGCTGTGTAAGGCCCAACCGACAGGAACTGCTCTAGAGGAAGACCCTCGGTGCTACCCAGGACCCTGATGATCTGTGTTAGTATTATTCAATGTCTGAACGCAAGACTCTCAAGATCGATATTGCGCCATGGTGTGGGCTGAGAGCGATTTGCTTGTAACACTTACCCGCACAAGACCGCCATACACATGATAGGTCTGTTAGGCCGATCCCTAAAGTCTCGATCCCACGCCTCCTGGAACTCCTTCCCCAGCGCAGCAACCTCGGCGTCCGTCGGTCTAATCTTGGCCGAGAGATCGACATAATTCCACGTCCACATCGGATGCTTTTGGGCGATAACGTCTTCGAAGCTAGTCCGCCGCCCCAACGCATCGCCAGTTTCTTCCGGTGATAGGGAGGTCCGGTACGTATATCCTATCAAGTTATGGTCTTGATAGTCAGACCCAACACCGGGAAGCTCCTCCACTAGAGGAACCCCGGCTCTTTCCAGGACGTCTTTGGCCCCAATTCCGGAACGCTCTAATACGGATGGCGTGCCACACGCACCGCATGACACGACGACAAGTTTGCGGGCCTTGATAATTTGTTTAGGGCGAGGTTTCGAGGAATCCGGCAGGGGGTGGAATCGCGGGTTAGGTGTAAACTCTACACCACACGCTCGCTTGTTCTCATCAAACAGCACGCGTACGACACTTGACTCGACTAGGACGTGCAAGTTAGGGTGCTTGCCATCCCGTAGCCGAGGGTGTAAGTACGCGTGAGCAGTGTTAGATCTTGCGCCTTCGGGTGAGGTGTAACGGAGCCAACGCTGGAAGCCATTGTTGGTATCCAAGTTTTGGAGATCAATGATCTCTGGATACCCGACCTTGGCTGCTGCATTAAGCCACTCATCCTCTGCGCGTTTACCGCGGAATGGCCCGTCAGATACTTGGATCGGACCGCTGTAGCCGTGATGCTCCGGGTTACCTGGACCATGGTATGTCTCAAGCTAAAGTTACATCCGAGTTAGTGGTGCCATGAGGTTTGGGTATACTCAGAAGATCGGCAGCTTACCTTCTTTAGGTACGGCCATAATTCGTCTGCCGACCACCCCGGAGTCTTCCATGAGTCGAAGTCATCTCGTTGAGCTCGTGTATACCTAGATTTAGAGGAACGTTGATAAGCTTTTAGTGATAGCTCTTCCCTTTAACACTGAATCAATTGGGAGTTCACATCGACTTTACGTACATCATAAAGTTGATAGAGGAACCCCCGCCTAGGGTGCCTCCGGAGGGGACTATCACCTCCCTATCGGCAAGTTGCTTAGACTTGATTGCTTGATAGAAAATTGCAGTCTCGGAATTTGGAAGAAGGTTTGCCGTGTATAAACAAGGGGTTAATACTAGGGGATTGTCGTAATTATCGCGGCCACCTTCGATCACTAGGATGGAGAGGTTTGGATCGGCCTCTGCCAATCGCCCAGCCACGATACATCCTGCAGTTCCTCCTTTTTGAAGGAAGCCATTCTCAGTACACACTCGGTAAGACATAACATTAGATAGTGAGCTTACTTACCGCCTGCAATGATGATATCCACCTCCTCTAGGCCAGCAGGCAGATTCTTGTCTAAACCCATATTCTGGAAGTGAGCAAACCCTAAGGTAAGATGTTTTGTGTTTTGTATGATTCGTTGTTGTTGGATTCGTTGCTGTTGTTGACTAAGAAGAAGAAAAAGACACGGAAGGAGGAGATATTCACGGAAGGGTTAAAAAGATAAAACGACAGCGTGGTAGCATCAAGAACTTGGGGTAGCACAAGAGTAGGCGGGGGGAGTGGGCTCGATACGAGTTGCCATTGATACTAGGCAACGATTTACGTAAGGTCGAACATGCTACATACTAGGTATGCAATGCGATGCGCCTTGTCTTGGAGATGTACTGACTCATCGCCGATATCATGGAATAGAGGAGGGTAATTGTGGTGCCTAGGCGATTACTAAGTGCCCAAGATATAGCATTGACATAATTGATTGATAGTGCCGCATGGGATGCTATTGATTAGAACTGGTTGTCCATTCCGTATAGATATCTCTTCTATAAAGTATGAACTGCGAATAGCTTCAACTATAACCCTATGTATTAGATGAAGCCTTATAACATGATATTGGACTGAATATTATAACGACGATGACAATCCGATATATGAGGGGATTTGATAAGTACCTCACAACAATGCCAATCCATATTTGCCATCATTTAAACCTAATGGATCTGCTATAAGGATCGGTAGTGTGTGGGGAATGGATCTTGACCCCCCTTTTCTCCAGATTTAGTGGTGGGGTAATATGTAGTTCGTCCCGAAGGATTGGGTAAGGGGAGGTATAAAAGGGGCTAATATTTGTATAGGCAGGTAGGTAATAAAGATGGATATAGAAAAATGAAACAATATGTGCTCCTCTTCGTTGTGATTATGCTAACCTAGGTATATGGGTATACCACAAGTAGAGCTTCAATACTTGGTGCGTAGGTACACATGCAGTGACATGCTACTTACGTATGCGTCGGCTCAATCAATCAATGGCATCACTCTGAAAACGCCACTGGAAAAAATAAAGCTTGGCAACCTCGACGAAAAAGGAACCTTCTTGGAGTTGGAAGACTACGTCCAGCTAACGCTTCCAAAACTTTTGGTAACCTTCGCGTCGCCTAAGCTCCACGACCTACGGCCCCCGAATTCCTCGGCACCCGAATCCTCCTTCTGCACTGACCGTCCAATCACCCACCCGATGGGTTGAAGGACAGTCTCAGGGGCTAATGCATTCTTCTTCTTCCCAGCAGGTAAGTCTTTCGGAAGCGTACCCCGAAACCTAGCCATTTCCTTGCCTACCTAGGTAGGTAACTGCATACTAACGCAAATTTGCGGCAAGGGGGCGACACAACAGCAACCGCGCTCAGCGCACTCTTCTTCTACCTCTCCCGGAACCGCAGCGCCTACGACAAGCTAGCGTCCGAGATCCGCGGTGCTTTCAGCAGCAACTCAGAAATCCGCGGGGGCTAGCTTGGTGGTGGCGAAGACGTTTTGGTGGTTTGACTTTGAGGTGGCGCCGGGGAGGGCGGGGGATGTGGGTGCGGGTGTGGTGGGAGGGAGGAAAGGGTGGGAGGGGGAGGACGGGGGAGTTTCAGCTTTATGATGTCTTTGGGTCGATTCATGACGGGCCGAATCCGATATTTCGCCGTCGTGAATAGGGGTTGTTGTTGTTGTTGTTGTTGTTGTTTTATTGAGAGGCTGTACCTAATGCTATCATTTTCGTAGGACGGGCAATTAGAGAGTCTCATGCAACTAGAATAGATAGGTACCTACTGGATATCTACTTCGCTCGTAAACCTATGTTTTGGGATACTTGGAAAATTCCCTAATTGTAAATATATACTTATATATACGTAGAGGGCCAAAAGGCTGCATGGCTTCCAAGAAGTTCAACATACCAAGCCCACCGAAGTCACGTGTAACTTTACCCCTGAATCCCCTCGTTGACTAGACATCACATGATCTAAATTTAACGACATATTGCATTCGGGGGGCCGTCATGATCCTATTCAAACAACAGCTTCGATGGACTTCATTTGAGGAATGTGCCAGATATTTCGGATATAACAAGTGTTATGTCGTAGAAGCCATTCGTGTCCCAAATAAGAGTGCTCCCTAGGTACCTAGGTAGCAAAAGGAATCTCCGTATTCAATATTTCGATTATCAGTCATTGTTCCGTAACTACCAAAGCTGAGAGTCTGTTGTCAGATGTGTCAACTATGTCTGAAACAGGTCATATGTTTCTATGTTTTCTGTGCCCATATAATCTCTAGCCTGCCTCCAATGGATGCCTGATGAAATATCTCAATCATACCAACCTACCAATTACAACTTACTCCTATTCAATAATTAACAACCGTTAACTACGAAAAACACACACTACAATGGATTCATACGCTCTCGTTAAGCTACCATATTGTGCTCCTGATGCACCAACCCTTCCTACGTACGAGGAGATCGATGGCCTGAGAAAGAAACTTTCAGACTCTGGATATACACTGGCGTCAAGACCAGGCCGTCGCATTGTTCAGTTTCGGAAAGAACTTTTCATCAAATACGGTAAGGATGTTGACCTGACTGAAGGGCAAAACATGCTCATTGTTAATAAGCACACTCACCTACCTATTCCGAAGCTTTATTCGATGTATGTGCACGAGCCTACGGGCGACAAGGTCATCATCATGGAGTACATTAAAGGCAGACCGCTAAACACCTGCTATGCCAGCTTCGACGACGAGAAAATGGCATCCATTGGGGTTCAGCTGAGACAGCAGTTGAGCGAACTGCGCGCGATGCCATCTCCAGGATATTATGGGTCGGTGGGACGCCAGCCTTACTTGCCCTACTCCTGGATTCTCAAGGAGCAAGCAGGGCCATTTGAATCCGCCGATGAGTTCCTCAATGCATATTTTAAAGCTCAGTTCTCAGAAGGGAGCCCAGAAACCCTCGCCCAAGTCGAGGAGATGAAGTCCCAGTTTCTTGAGTTATCTAAAAACCATAACGCATCGGTATTCACCCATGGAGACCTTCAATCTCAGAATATAATGCTGCGCGAGGACGGCACGATTTCCATCATCGACTGGGAAAGTGCCAGCTTCTGTCCCCAGTACTTTGAGTACTTTATCAACGCTATTTATCCCATGGCGTCTGCGGGATGGTCTGAGGAAGAGAAAGAAAGGGTATTTGAGTATGATCCAATGGTGAAGCTTATTACCAAGGTATGGTACGAGTATCTAGACTACCCTGGTTTTTAATTACAACATACAAAGGGGTTGTTAAGTACCTAGTTACCTAGTAAGTTCCAATGATAAATACATAAGAAAGGTTGTGTTATATTATTTCACATCGTACTTACTGACATGAAAGGCTTTGTGCGGCGGTACATGTATAGATAGATCTGTATGTACATACCTAGGGTAGCGTAAATCGAGGCACTTCAATGCACGAAATTCTTACCTTTTTCTTCTTTCTGTACATACTGTGACGCTTTAGCTTGCTTATTGTATCCACACTCCTGTCAACAATTGCTACGCTTCCCTTGCACATTCTCAGTAGAGAGACCAAATTCAATTCGACTGCGACCCTCTTGGCCGCCCTGGGAATGGCATATACTCTAACCCTGAGCTTAGATCGATGTTTGGACTAACGGCGAACTGAGAGATAATTATGAAGAAGATTTTTCCAACAACAGTCCTTGACCGGAAGTGCCGACTCACCGATTGTACTCAGGCTCAGATCGACGGTAAGTCTCTGATGCACCAGCCTATTCCTCATGGACAGCAGACAGCACTGACAGAAGCGTGGGCTTCAATGAGTGAATGCTTGATGCTTTATGAGCATCTCAATCTCATACTACAGCACCCAGTGGCATGGATGAATACCAAGCATCTGCTGGCTTTTTCATATATGCACTACACTGAACAGAGGTGTCCGTGCAATCGATTTTCGCCCCCGAATCATACAGTGGGTGGGTATCGTGCACTGCAGGGAACAGTTGCCCACCCTCTCATTCTCCTATTCCGCAACCTTAACCACCAATTTCCCCCTGACCCGTCCCGAGATAAGCCTTTCAAACGCCTCTCTAACCTGGCCAAACTCGTACACCGTGTCGATGACGATCTTGTCCTTGGGAAGACTCAGCACCTCGCGCAAAAACGCATCGCTGAACTCGAGATTGATACACGTATACGAGCAACGACTCAGCCCAATTCTTCCCAGGACGGCGCGTAGCAGCATCTGCGGGTTCCACAGGTAGAGGTACCTGCCGCCCGGGGAGGCGCGGTCGGTCTTGTCGCCGACGACGGTGACGTATCGCGGCGCGAGACCCAGACACCCCGTGCCGCCGACGAAATCGATGATGGCGTCGGGCACGAAGGCGGCGACTTTCTCGGGAACACTGGTGGTGGTATCAGTGTAATCGACGATGTCGTCGGCGCCCATGGAGCGGACGAACTCGGCGTTGCGCCCCGAACACGACGCCAGCACCGTCCACCCGCGCTGCCTGGCGAGGTGCACCGCGTACATCCCGCACGCGGAGCTGCCACCCAGCACCATCACGCGGCCGTTCTTCGTCTGGACGTGCGACTCCACGCGGGCGATCGTCGTCTGCGCCGTTAACCAGACGAGCGGCACCGCCGCGGCCTGCTCCCAGGACCAGTCGGCCGGCTTGGGGAGTACGACTGCGCCGGAACTACGACTAGTGTCGATCCTGATCGTCTCCTGCAGCGTGCCCCCCGGCAGGTACGGGACGATACCGAAAACCTCGTCGCCGGGCTTAAATGCGGAACCCGCCCCGCCGGCTCCGACAACGATGCCGGAGAAGTCCTCGCCTACGCCCTTGTGCAGCGGGAGGATGCAGGTGGGGAGGTGCGGGAGTATGGGGTACGACATTATTTGCACGTCGACGGGGTTGAGGGAGGCGGCTTTGGTGCGGATGAGGATTTCGGTGGGTTTGAGGGGGGTTGTTGGGTTGGGGAGGGAGGTTTGCGGGTGTAGGGCGGAGGGGAAGCCGCCGTGCGTCCAGGTCCATGCTTTTGTGGTTTGGGTCATTTTTCTTTTAAAAAAAGGAAAGAGAAAAAAAGGGGGTGGGGACGTAGGTATAGGCGGTTGACCGATTCAGGGGAATGAGGAATGGATTCGATATGAGATCCTCCGGAATGAAGAAGAGGTTGGGAGTTGAACAGCTGAACTAGTTAAGTGTAGATATGACGACATGCGCAATTGACGCGAAAGAATCCGGTTCAATGTACATTCCGTGGAGCTTTGATTTCCAATCTTATACCGTAGAGCGTGGGCATACTATATTGGAATAGGCCTGTATGGCGGACGAAATAGTAGACCGGAGGGAAACGGACCAAATGATTGTGGTTCTATCTGCGACCCTAGGCTACCGCTCCCGCGCCGGAACCTGCTGATAAAAATCGCCATTGTCAGCATTCTCGAACGACGCCAAGAATAAGACGAACACATTTAAAGCACGGGATATTCAGCACTAGTGAGAACAACTAGGTAAATTTGGTTTTGAAAAATATTTCCGATGGCTTTTAATGCTATAGAGGGATCGCTTACCTCTGCCCCTTATAGCAACTCTACGACGGCTGCACTCGCGGAAGCCGGGCCTGTCAAGCCTGAGAATAATACCGACGGCAAAAGCACTGGAAATAAGGATAGGATATTTTACTCGTATGGACTTGAGCTTGCTTTGATAATGGGCGCGTCATACTTGGCCATTTTTTGGTAGCTCTGGTAAGGCTTCCTCTCAGTTTCCCCTGACTAGTTTGACATCTCCCACCTACTTAGGAGGGTCCTCATTCTACAGGCTTACTAACTGGTATAATATACCTAGGCACAGTAAAGACCCTAAATTTCTTTATGTTGGGTTATACTTTGATAGTCCATAGGTATTCACTATGAGTGTTTGACATCTTAAAGGGGCTTTGGCGTGGTTTTGGAATTGGGCGTTTGATGGGCCATAAAGGGGGAAACTAGGTAATCTATATCACGATACTCCTATTGGAGGCAAGTTCAATACTTTAGGCTTATGGTACATGGTAAATAACAAACGTACGGAAATATGACTTAACTGTCGATTTTATCCTCATTTCATGACTCAACATACAGCTTCTACCCACAAACAGATTTCCAAAATTTTGTTAGAGGAGTTTGAGAAAATTATCAGTCACTATACTACTTAAGAAGTGAAATGAAGTATGAAACGCATCCCATCGATGGTTCATATAGCCATACCTATCTATATACCTACCAGGTACCTAGATATATCATCAACTATTCGTAATTCCCTACACCTATGCCGTGGCAACCCCCCTCCCCAGCAACCACCACCGTCACCGTGAGCTTTGACCTGCAGAGAAACATATATAAATCACAAAAGCAACACAATTCTCAGCCGGATTGGTATGGCCTAGTGGTAAATCGAAGTGTTCGAAGATTTAAAAAAAGTTTACTCTCAAATCACCTCTACAACCACCACTAGACCCTAGGGTTCGATTCCCTAGCTGGCTAACCTTTCTTCTATTTTTTCTTTTCACTCCTCCTGCTTATTTTTGACTTGTGCCAGTTCTTCAGCAAGGCCGCTTTGCTTCTTAGGAAGCCATCACCGGTTCCAACTGTCCTACCTAAGTCTTCGCGCGCAGGGGGGCTTGAGTTTCAGCCAGCTCGAGCCCAGCAGCCATCTAATCTTTCATTTCTTTTCCATCTATGTACCGCAAACATAGCGGGTATCAACCCGGGTTCCGCAGATTTCTTCCACCATCATCCCGAAACCCGGGGCCACCTCCACGTGTCATAGCGACATCGTCATCGATTTGACAACAAGCTTCATGTTGTTGATTTCCTGATCCACGGATCTAAGGAATGCAAAAGGCGGCATGTGAGATACACCCAGTACTCGCTGCTACAGGAAGCCGGGGGTGAACCTCCGCCCAACTACGCCTACGGTGACAGACCAAGCCCATCATTCACGGCCCACGTCGCCGGCATAGGCCTGTAGTACGCGAAAATCTCCACGCGTAGGAAGCCGATCAACATGCTCCTATTACGCGGGGGCCTTTCGTCCCGAGACCTCGGCCAAGAAATTGCCCTGGTCCTCCAGTGCAAGGGCGAGTACATGCACTCTTTCGTGCTACCTCACTCGCCTCCCGCTTATACATCAGCGGCACCGTCACAGCCCAGCCGCTTGTTTTCCTCGCTCATTTACCTCCGCGCCTTAAGGAGAGACAGGGGGAGGGCTCCTTTTGTGGGCCGGAGTTGGACTTGTGTTTATATGGGCAGAGCCTCATCGAACATACAAATAAACACTGTTGCCTTTGCGTGGAGCACGACACCACTATTTCCCGTGCCGAGACAGAGAGTGGTGGCAGGATGTGTGCGGTACCATGTGTGGACACATTGACTGCCTTATGATGCCAGTGCAAAAATTAATTCACCACCACCAAGGTATAGCCCCCCCCTTTCAAAGCTACCTACTACTTAATGGCCGGCCAATCGACCAATTGACTAACCATATATATATGACAGGCCATGCAGAGCCTACTCTCGCCACGGCCATCGCTACAACAGATCCCAAGCCTCAACGCTCCAACAACACTCCAGAGCAAATAGGGGCTTATCCAAAACGTCCCGCTACAGCAACGCGCCAAATTCTGTCACGACGCCGAAAAAAGGAGGGGGGGTTGATCCCCCTAGCCTAGCTCAGCATTACGGGATATATACACACTTCAGGCACGTTTCTTTACTTGGCTTTGTCCAATTCCTGCGAATAATCTTTTCCCATGTTCTGTTCACAATGCATGCGATGCACACAAGGCTTCTGGCGTTGTTCTGGCGTTGGATACTTAGGTAGATGGGATGACTGAATTTGAAATAAAATATCATGCTGTGTGCCATTTGCTTAGAACCATTGATTCACTGTTGAGGTACTAGTGTGCACCTACAAGACCTAACCTATTTAGCAAAGTGGCTGAAATAGTTAGAAGAAGTTCACAATTAACAAAGATTATTAGTTGAGATACCTGCTATGTGAAAGCAATCGAACTTTTTTTTTTCATGGTATCAACCGATGTAAGAAGCAACCCTGTGTGCATACCTACTAAGCTATCAGGAAAACAGGACCCATGATCTACCTATTGTCTCTTCGTAGCAACTCAGAAATTGTGAGATTACCACCATTACTTCACGTGTCTAACAAACGTGCCGTTCTCTTCAATGTTCCCTATTTTACAAATTTTGCGCGTGAATGGGTGGATACACAGCTGTCTGCAACCAAGGGGGATGAAACTCATCTTTCAAGGTATGGTTGTGAGGATGACTTGACTGCATTTCAATTAAGTACATTGCGTTTTAGCCGAGAATTTGAGAGTCCATATTAAAGCTGAGAGGATTTATCAACTCTTTCACTCCTTATATGGAAACTAGACGAGTAGTACCAGGGGCAACAAAAAATGAAGCCAGCCCTAGATAACGTCGCCAATTCATCGTTTCATACTAGGGACGGTAGGCGGCGGAATCGGGGTCTGTTTCGTCGTTGCTGGGAGCTTGTATTCCTTTTTCGGCTTCTCCTTCGACTTCCCCTTGGTCGATGTATTCGCCTTCGAAGGAGTTTCAACAGGTGTTGAAGCCGGAAGCGCCCTACTTGGGACCTGTACAGGAGTCTCCTTGACAGGAGCAGACTTTGTAGTCTTTGGCTTCTTGGCAGCCTTCTTCTCGGTCGACTTGGTTTCCTGCGCTAGGGTAGACTGATCGTCGCCAGAATGCTTTCGCTTGAGCTGTCCATTCGCACCTTTAGGTTTATTCGCCTTCTTGGAGGACGAGGCGGTTGGTTGTGGTTTAGACGACTCTTCATCCGAAGAGCCTTCAGACGCACTCTCTGATTCTGACGAATCGGCAGTCTTTTTAGCTGCAGCTGATTGAGATTTCGAAGATTGGGCCTTGGATGAAGGTGGTGGTGGTGTAGGATTTCGGACACCAAAGGGGGTGAACCGAGGTCTTAGACCATGTGGCTGCTCTCGAATCGGTTTTGGAACCGGTGTGTAATCATCGGTGGCAGTAGCCTTGACCGTGCCACCGGGACCGAATTTAGCAATCCGTCGGAGATGCACAGTGGAATCAATCCCGCGATTCACTTTTGCTTGTTAGCCATAGTTAAGACAAGCGAAAGATAGAACGATTTAACGTACGAGATGTATAGTTGTCGCCACCCTGAGATGGGATAAGCAGCTGGATCTGAGTATTAGTGGCATGCGCTTCGAGCTCTACACTGTAGTCATCACCCTTGTAGCTTAGCAAAGTATCACCCATTGCTGCCTTGGTCAGATCAATCTCCATGTCCTTTAGCACGGTTATGGGCAGAGAAGCTGGTGCCGTGAAATACCACACCTGCTTGCCCTCTAGGTTGGTCTTGTTAAAAAATTCTGTGACTTCCTTGGCAGGGTTGTCGGATGAAGCCTTGCGAAGCACAAAATTGGAATTGTTAAGCCAACCAGGGCGAGAGCTACCAAGTGATGTTAAAATATTATAATCTAGAAGGGTGATGAAGCCAAGACACTTACACTTGAGAGCTTGAGCTCTGAACAGTAGTGTCACCATTCACCTTCGAGACCGCAGTCTCTTCATCGTCAATGTCCATGCTATCGACGTTATTTCGGCTAGATTTATCGTTTTCGTCTGGAGATTCACTGTCGCTAGTCTCCTCACTTGATGACTCGGCTTTAGCGGCCAGTTGTGCACTGGGCTTCTCAGCCTCATCCTCATCCTCGCTAGAGCTTGCGCTATCGGAATCGCTATCTGATGAGCTATCGTCGTCATCTTTGGGTCTGTTCCTAAAATACGCGATATCCTTTGGCAATGAGACATCACTGAAGTCTGAGCTGTCAGATTCGGAGTCGGAATCGGAGTCGGAGTCGGAGTCGGAGTCGGATTTGGTAGCTGCGACTTTAGAGGAGGTAGAGGTCTTCGCGTTGGAGGTAGATTTATTGGGCTGTGACTTCGCGCCGTTTACTTTGGGTTCAGGTGCCTTGCGTTTGCTTGCTTGCTTGGCGGCTAACTTCTTTCTAGCAGCTTCAACATCCACGTCACTTCCACTACTGCTTCCGTCGCTATCATCCGAGCTGGTGTCATCACTTCCACTGTCGCTACTGGCGTCCTTGGCGAACTTCTGGGCCTTGGTGCCATTTTGGACGATACTAGAACGCGTAGTAGAGGCAGCTTTCTGATCGCGAACGCGCGACGCCATGGAGCCTAGCGAGCCCACCGGGGGGCGGGGGCGGTTCTTCACCATTCTGAAATTTTAGACGTGGTAAATCAGGATGGGATGAAAAGGATTGATGCGATAGCAGTGCAAACGTTGAAAAGGTGTAGAGATCAGAAGATTAGAAGAGCTAAGTGATGTTGGATCTGTTGTGAGTATATAAGAGTTTTGGATTCTAGAGATTGTGGGGGTTGTGAGGGAAAGTGATTAGGTTGTTCAAATTGCAAAGATGGGTACAAAAAAAAGTGAAGAAGTTCACGGTCGAGCTGAATTGACTATCACGCCTCGCGAAACTTTCAATTTTTTTTTTGGAGACTTGTTGAAGAGCTTCAAGGTACCTAGGTACAATACTAACTACCTAACCTAGTAAGTTGCGGGTCTTTCATGGGACCGGGGTAGGGGATCAAAGTGGGGCAGCTAAAGATTCTCGGAACATCATAATTCCGATACTGTCAGCAAGAGTGGGAATTGAACCCGATGCTTGCCCATGCAAGTTAGAGTGGGCCATTGACCCATAAATGATAATCTAGTATCCAATTAAAAAATTTAGAATTCATCTAGGAAATCTCGTAGCTCGATCTCTCGATTTCGATTAAACCATTTAAAGAAATTCAACAACTTTGAAGCTTCATTGGGATTTTTTGATGCTCACCTCAGGCTATGTATTATGTGTGAGATAAAATGGCCACAAATAAAAAACGAAAATTAAACATACAGGAGAACATACAGGAACCTCCACAAAGTAAGTTCACTTGCCTTCATAGCTTTAAACAGGTGCCTATAAATACTAATATCTGACCAGCTATGAGTGCCTTCGCCCTACGTAAAAAGCTGCTTAGCCAGCAAAGTATTGCTGCTACTCCTGCGTTGCCCAATGCAGATATAACGAATGAGGATAACCCTACCTCATCTCCTCAAGATGCTTTAGATGATGCATTAGACACCAAAGGGACGCGAAGTCCCAAAAAGGTAAAGAAGGGGTCAAATATTCAACCCTCAAATCATAAGAGTGAATACCGTACTCGTTTAAGGAACTCAACTCTGGATCTTCCACCGGCGTTCAGAAATAATACCTCCAAGGCTATTGCCAGTCCAGTAACAAGAAGCCCTTCACCTCCTCTTATCGAAGACCAAGAGGAGGTCCCAATCCAGCTATTCAAGGCTCCGCCCATTCAACTCTCTAACTTCAAACCAACCAAAAACAATTATAAAGAGCGAAAGGATGGGAGGATAATATTGAAACTTTCTGCTGGAGATGTATGTTCGTCTGACCCGCTACTCAGAGTCCTTACTTACATCCACAGCGTCTAGTTATTCTCGGCAATTATGGCATGCATACGACAGCTGGTGAGATTACTATCAATGGCGCAACGCTGAGGGGTTCGGAGGAAGTGCATTGGGTAGACGCACCATATTGTCATGCCCTTCCTGTCATCAGATGCCCGGAAAATGCTACTCTAGAACTGCTCCCTCACCCTAATGCCGAGGGGTTACGAAGTCTGGGAAGACTTTCCCCCCAATTTAGAAAACTCTGGAACGAGGCAAGCTCTTCAGAAGATAAATCTACGTCGTCAGATTCCAGCTTTCAAATAGTAACTATATCCCTGTATAACGTCATGAGATATGTAGCTGATAATTGCAATGTCTAGCTGTATTCGACAGCAGATGGCCCCAAGCGGGCTGTGATACAAAATTTGATCTCTCCTCCTGAGTGGAACAGGGATATCACCAAGCTGATCAATATAACTAGCTCGAAGCCCAGCTCAATTATGATTACAGGGCCGAAATCTTCTGGAAAGTCTACCTTTGGCAAGATACTTGCTAATCGATTCATCACCGATCGGACAAGCGGCTCCAAGAAACGAGCTTACCGCGAGGTGGCTGTACTCGACTTAGACCCTGGACAGCCTGAGTATTGTGTCGCTGGCCAGATCGCCTTGGTACACCTGACAAAGCCGGTGCTTGGTCCATCTTTTAGTCGTCCACTATCTAGCTCCGGGATTCGACAAATTCGATCTCATGCTTTAGCTTCCGTATCCCCAGCTTCAAACCCCGAGCTATATCTAGAGGCCGCCGTGGACCTTATGGCGCATTATCGAAATTCTCTGGGGCGGTGCCCCCTTATAATCAACACGCCAGGATGGATACAAGGCACAGGACTCGACTTACTGACCTCTCTCATTGCGAGTTTGCGGCCCGCTGAGGTTGTGTACATGTCCGAGTCTGGCCCTGCCGAAGCAGTAGAGGCTCTACAAGAGTCTTGCAATGCCAGTAGCTTTTCTATGCTTCCGTCCCAAACCTCTCAGCTCACTTCGAGGACACCGGCGCATCTTCGTTCAATGCAGACCATGTCATACTTTCACGCAGAATATCGGAAGGTGGGCGCAAATGATTCCCCGGTTTCGTGGAACCCAAAGCCCCTGACCGCCATGCCCCCTTGGCAAGTCAGTTACAAGGGTCCGAACCATGGCATATTTGGAATCATGTGTTATGATTATCAGGTACCTTTGGACTTATTAGCCGATGCGATCAATGGCACAATCCTCGCGGTCGTGGGAGTCGAGAATATTAAGGCGTTTAAATATTCTGCGAACGATGGGAAACCATCTGATGATTCAGTTGCGAATATGATGGATATCGATTCTATTGATGGGGAGCCACAGAATATAACTGCATCGTCATTCTCACGGCTTGCGGAGAACACCATCGCTTCGTCACCCGAGGGAATCCCATTTATCGACACTGCGAACGGAACGACCCTCGATCCAAAATATTCTCATTCTCTCGGCTTAGCCCTCGTCCGCGGCATCGACACCGAAAACGGCACTCTCCAGCTCCTAACTCCCATACCATCCGAAACCATCGAAACCATCCTTTCCATGGGAGGACAAATTGTCCTAATCAGCGGCAAATTCGATGCTCCAGCTTGGGCCTACACCGAAGATTTATATTACCGAGCCAGTGGCGAGGCAGCAGCAGACAACGACAATGCGGCTGATAACGTGGACGAATCGATGGAACTAGTCGAGGATGGTCCGGAACATGTCTCGGATGCAGATGCAGATGCAGAGAGCGGGAACTTGCCGTACGCAGGTGCCACGGATGCGACGCCGGTTCCCTGGATCGAGGTGTTACATGGGAATCAGAAACGTGGGGCCGGGTCCAAAGTGTGGAGGGTAAGGCGAGATTTAGGCCGTGGGGTAAACGGTACGTAGTACATGTGTACTTTGGGTACAGGGACGGTCGTGCCCCACATACATTTAACCTTAGATCCCGCAGGTGTTATTCAAGTTCTCATTGGTTGGGCCAAATATGTACATATGCATATGCAGGAACATGGTTGTTACGCAGACGTCCCTGCCTTACAGCACATGCGTCGTTGATTTAATGTCGCGCTAGTACCTATGTATACAAGGTACATGCACCCAAACCGGGCCAGACACCATATCCAACCAATTTTCAAATACCATAGTTATATCTTACAAAATACACACTATGTAGTACGATAACACTCAATGGAATATACATAGATATACCTGGTAGTATTAGATAAACTTACTCACTCATCCACCACTCCCCCAATCAACCAAATAGCTAATCAATCCACCACCCCCGCCGGCAACACCGCCAAATAATCCAACGGCGCCGTCTCCCTCCCATCCGGCCTCGAATCAATCCTCACAACATCGCCCTCACCAATCTGCACGCCCTTAAACGTGATCCGCGTAGCCGAGTGTCCATCAATGCCCCTCGTCAGCGTGAAACCCAACTTATCCTCGTTATCTCCTTTCCACGCGCCGACGCTCGCGTTGTTCAGGAAAAGCTCGTACTGTGCCTGCCCCTCGTAGAGATCGTAGTACGCGACGGCGAGGTCGTAGACGCCGGCGGGGAAGCGCAGGGTGGTGGTGACGCTGGCGGGGGTTGAGTTGGAGGTGGTCTGGATGACGTGCAGGCCGGAGGCTACTTCGAAGGGCGTCACCTCTGTCACGCGGTACCCGCCGTTTAGCAGTGTCATGGCCTCGGCCTCGATGCGCCAGGGGTGGTGGCCTACGCGGCCAGCGGCGTCGGGGATGCCCGATATGTTGTGGTAGAACTGCGCGATCGAGTCGCGCCAGACGATTGCGTGCCCGGCTTGGTAGGTGAGTCGGAACAGCATCTCCTCGTACCGCTGCTGGTCGATCAGCCCTTGCAGCTGGGCCCATTGCTGTGGGAAGGTGGCGGCTGTTTCGGCGCCGGCGTAGTCTGTAGACGTGAGTGTTAGACAGGGGTGATCGGTAGATAATTTAGGCTGGGGGTTAGAGGGTAGGGAGGCAGAATTTCAAAGGAATGGCACATACGCGCGTCGTAGAAATGCTGAATGACTGTCTTCCCGTTCTTCAGCACATGCGTATACGGCACGTGGTGGAACCACAACAACAGATCATCAGGCGTCGTCTCGATCTCCTCGAACGCGGAGGCCACCTCCTCCGGGTACTGCCCCGCGAACCCCGTGCCATTCCCAACTGTGCGGTCCATGCCGATGCTATCTGCGTCGGCCCGTGTCCACTGGCCCCACGGGTTGTTGTCCATGCTCTGCGGGTTAGGCCCGTAGTGCGGGCCCGTGATATCCGTCAACGTCTGGATCCCCAGGTTCCCCGTGTAGTTCTCGTACGCGGGCCACGACTCCATCGACATGCGGGTGATGACCTCGCGCACCGTGTCGTCCAGGCCAAAGGTCAGCCGCGTCCAGTCCTCCAACAGCGACACTTCGTTGTCCGTGGGGTCCCACGCCAGCCGCCCGTACGCGTACAGATTCGACATGGCAAGGTGCGTGCCCAGCCACGTCGTGTTCAAGCCAACATTTACAACCCCCGCATACCCCGTAAGCCCCTTCTTGTTGAGCCGCTTGCCCGACAGGATGTCCGTCCCGATCACGGACTTCTCGCCGTCGACGCGCAGGTCGAAGTCCAGCACCGTCTTCCACAGGGGCGGTAGGTACACCAGATGGCACTGCTGGCCGAGGTACTCCTGCGCGATCTGCAGCTCGATGGCAGACGGTGTCTCCTTGAGGTGCGCGAAGAGTGGCGAGGCGGGCTCGCGCACCTGGAAGTCGATGGGCCCGTACTTGACCTGGACGATGACGTTGTCGTCGAAGGCGCCGTCGAGGTCGCGGAAGTAGTCGGCGGCAGCGTTGGCGCGGTCGTCCTTCCAGTTGGCCTCGTCGAGGTTCTGGTAGTCGTAGACGAAGGCGCGGAACATGACGATGCCGCCGTGTGGCTTGGCCGCCTTGGCGAATAGGTTAGCGCCGTCTGCCAGCGTCCGGTTGTACGTGATCGGCCCCGGTTGCCCTTCCGAGTTGGCCTTGACGAGGAACCCGGCGAGGTCTGGCACATGCTCGTAGACCTTATCCACGGTGTCCGTCCACCACGCGATGACTTCCTCGGCGAGGGGGTCGAAGCTGGCTAGTCCGCCGAACGTCTGGGGCGAGGCGAAGTTGAGCGAGATCCCGAGCTTCACACCCCATGGTCTCATAGCGTCGGCGATTCTTCCTAATCCTTTCATGTTTTCGTCGCTGAGGATGATGGGGTTCGCGTTCACGTTATTGATAACGATACCATTGACGCGGATCGAGGATAAGAGACGGGCGTACTCTGTGATCCGAGTCATGTTAGAGACCGTGGTGTTGTCCTTGAAAAATATGGATAGGCCGGCATAACCACGTTCGATGGTGCCGTCCATATTATCCCACTGGTTCACCCATCGTATCGCGGCGCTGGGGTTGGTAGCATAGGCGACTTCGTTGAAGTTGGCTTGCGCCAGCATAGACAAGTACTCGAATGCACCGTAGAGTGCTCCGCGTTCATTCTGGCCGACAATCTCGACCGTATCACCAGTGGTGCTAAGCCAGAAGCCATCCTCCTCGAGTTCGGGAATCTCGATTGTGATACCGGACTCGTTGAAGGCAGCGGCGGTGCCCACTATCACGGAAGGACTGTCGCTGGCCTCGTGCGTTACCGTCAGGGCCTTTCCTAGAATTCCCTTGATGCCCCTTTGCAACTCTTGGCCAGCGGTAAAAATAGGGCTTGTCTCGGTTGTGTTGAGGGCGATGATGGCAGAAGGAATATGTGCTTGTTTGACAATATCACAAGGCAATCGTGCATATCGCAGCCACCCATGTAGGCCATCCTCTGCAGCCGCAAGGCCGAGGGTAGCTAAAATCCAAAAGCCACGCATTCTGCTTTACCCGTTCGAACGCGTCCCAGATACACGCATAAGGGTGGGAACCTAGCGATGTAGAAAAGTTGGGATCGCCTTGTTTATACATGGCAGCTTCCCCCATCAGGGGAAATTGGAGGTCTTTTTCTCCAAGAGCCAGGTTAATTAACAAGACATTGTATTTAGGCTAAAGTCGTGACGGTGAAGCTTGTGGCCCTTGGCTATGCGGCATTAGCGTGGCATTTCAAGGCACGGTGTATTTCGGTCTATCTGCCCACGAGTGTTGTGGGGTAGCGACCCCGTTCTACCCCATGTGTTCGGAAATGATGACGATCCTCATGGTTTACTACCCTATCCTAGGTAGACTTGTATGCTACTGGACCCAGTCAGAGACGAGATCAAAGTTGGGGTAGATAGCCGAATCCCGGGGGGGTGGTAAGGCGGTCCTTTGCTCTTCCAAGTTTCTGAGGAGTAGCCCTAAATAGGATTCTATGCTTTTTACAACATTTTAAAATTTACTTGGATAGCTTGGAAACACCATCAAGTTCAACGCTTTTGGGTACCGGCAAAAATGTAGCACTCTTAAACAATTTCAAGGAAACATGTATTGATCTGGCGTGGGGTGGATTGCCAGGTGGTCACGTGACTTTGAAGGACAATGGATATATGTACCCAAAACACAGACTGGACTTAGAAACTCACCACTTACTTTGAATATACAATTACGCCCTTTTGGATCTTTTTCTTTGCGTCTGATCATGGTGACCTAGTTAGGCTGGAAGTGATAAGGAGCTTATGGGAGATCAGCATCTCCTATAGTGACCTTGTCCTCCTCCAACCCTGAAATACATCATTTCAACTCAGTATATGGCTTACGAAAAGATTTTTTGGAATACATCATATATCAATGCTTGATATAAACCATAAGTCACAGCAAGTATGCTTATCTTAATGCCTATCTTCTCCTCTACCAACTTGTTTGGCCTTTGTTTGTCATTAGTTGTTGTCTTGTTATATGAGCAATTTAGGGGTAGGACAAGCCCGCCGTTGCTAACGATGGCCTTGTACACTTTCTATATATAAGGAGATATATTTTGATATTCGTCTTAAAGGGCGATATCTGCATATAAAGATACGTACCTACACAGTATATACATAAATAGATATGTGTGTGTGTGCCTATATCAATACACCTACCTCAGGGCCCATCAGAGGGGAGTCGGTCTTGCCAGGTGAAAAGCTGCCCATTTCTGGTCCAATAAAGTGATAACTAGATAGGTACCTAGATACATAACAAGCCCAAACATTGGAGATGATATCCAAGGAAGGCACGCTAGTGGAGAAGAAGAAGGTACGCTGTGGATAACTGACTTATAGGTATCTCAAGACGGCAACGCTGGAGGCATTTCGAGGGGTTTTGCACACTTTTTTTTTTTTTTTTTTTTTTACCCTCAAAAATAAATCATGCCTGATATTCAAGGCATGATCAGTTCGCCGCCCTGTTTATGCAATGGAGGGCTTTGTGGTTTCTATTTAAACCCCGTGGAAAGTTCCTGTTGACTTAACTTGCTATTTTCTTCTCATCCCGCACCATTCTCTTTCCACACACTCATTTCTTTATATATCCTCTCCTTCACACACATAATCTTTCTTTCTTTTTCCATACTTCTAATCATTCACGAAAAAAAAACCCCCAATATTCAAAAATGGCATCCCCCGCAGCAGCTCCTGATAACGCAGTATCGTTTACCAAGCAATGGGCTCACAAGTCGTCGCTTGAGAAACACACTGACTGGGTAGTAACAACGGTGCGAGAATTGCTCGCCTTTGACAATGAGCAGCAGGTTGAAGAGCTGCATATCATCTACCAGTCGGTGGGGATGGACATTGGCCGCGCACCAGTCGAGAGAGAGCTCCCATCGATGGTGAAGCGCTGGCAATTGTTCGTGTCGTTGAGCTACGCCGACCAGGTCCTGTACATCGACGACCACATCAGTTACGCCTTCGACCATACTCAAGTGGCGTTCTTGGGACCGCGAGACCGCGACATACAGCTTAACATTCACAAGCAGACCAACCCGAACCTAATTCTCATCTTCCCTCACCTTCCCGAGTTTGTCAAGAACCTGGGCACGCACAGAGCCGGCCGCAGTCTAGCGGGCATCTTTCTGGGCTCCGCGACCTCGCCCCGAGCGATGAAGTGGAAGGACTGGATTTGGTTCGAGCTGATCAACCTGACGGGCCCTCAAAACAGCCTCCCCAGCTGGTCCGACGAGGTCTTGCTCGACCGTGTCCTTCAATACGAGAATGTTCGTGCACCAGGTCCCCTTCGCAACCCGCGTGATGACCCCAACAACCTTCCACGCGCTAACGAGATCCTTCGACGCAGAGACTAGAATGATTAATCTAGTCCACGATATTGAAATCTTCTTCTTTCGTCGATTGCCAGAAAGACACTGAGAGTTCGCACGATACAAGAATGGTATTTTCGGAGTCTTTTCCTTGGTCTTTTCTCCTTTTTGTTACGTCAAGGCCAAATGTTGGGTTCATACACCCTAAATCAGTACGTTAACTTCTTACACCTCCTTACATCATTCCAAGCTCGTGTTCCTTTGCTAATATCAGAGTTTCGAACAGAATTTCCAATAATATATAATCTCACTCTTCTATCTTAAAGAGAGAAACAATCGAAGATCGTTTTGGTGAAGTTTTAATGGGAGTTGGGAGTTAGGAGTACGCGGAGGAAAAGGAATAGGAAAGGGAACGAGTGAGATGATAATGAAATGATGATCATGATTGATGCTTACCGCATTCTCCCGATGTTCACGAGTTGACCAGTCTGTGATCCTGTAATTGGTACTGTAAATTGATATGGCAAAAGCCCTTACCCCAACAACTACCTAATATCACATAGTGGTAAATGACGGCTTTGGCCTCTCCTTTTCAACCAACTGCCTCTTATTGTCTTGTAATCGCTACAACTATGGACTCCCCTTCATCTTAAACCCTGTTAAAACTGCTCGAGAGATGAAGTTTTTGTAAACATGTATATCCCCCCTTGCCACAAAAAAGAACACGCACAACGTACACTGTATACTCGCTACATTGGACACTTATCGTCCATAATAAACGGTATAGCAACTCAACTATAGTTCCACCTTACACCAGCTACTCGCTACAAGCCACCTAATAACGTAGCCTCCAAGAGCTGTCATTACCGACTCACTTACCTCCCTACCTAGGTACCTAGCCACCATCTAACCCCATCAATCACCTAGGTATCTAGGTTAGGGACCTACCTACCTACACAGGCTCTTGACCACTCCTCTGCTACCAACTCTCCCCATTAGTACTACCCAAAACTCGCAGTGTCGATCATAGATTAACAAACCGATTTAACGTACCCTTAAATCCCCTAATCCTCTATTCGTGTCTACGGCCACGGATATATCACAGGACTACTAACGGGCATCCAGGTATACAAGATTCGTACCTAGATATTATGTAGATATCACCGAGGTAGCTAGATGACCGATATTTATGTTTATGCTTATGTTTATGGTTGTTCGTTATTCAGTTTTGTATCATTTCTCCAAGCCACTGACTCTAGTTTACATCCAACACAGCCACACCACACCCCTATCTACCTGGTAATTGCCTTAACCCAGCTCCTCATCCGACGATACCTTCATCTCCCAAGCCAGCGGACTAGGCATATAAGCCGGGCCAGCCTTATTAATCTCCACCCCATTGTCAAGGACCCCCGGTAATGATAGCTCGTGCCCCTGACCAACATCAACCCGTGGTCTCTTGGCCACCGCCTCCTCCTCCCCTTCCCCAGAAAACGTCGCCAAAGGCCGTTTGCGGAAATTCTCAAAGTCCGAGATATGGTTCGACTCGCTCGTGGCCGGGGTAAGAGACTGCGACTTCCCGAGAGGGGTGGGTATCAAGGCCGGGTATTCCTCCGACGGTGGTGCTGTATCAGAGCCTGACTCTACGTCATTTTCGACGGCGGCTGCTGCTTCGGCAGCCGCAGCAGCAAAGCTCTTGCCGATGTCGTAGTAGTCGCTCCTATCTCTAGGGTTCTCCGTAACGATCGTGTGGTTTGGGGACACGGTACCACTATTACCACACTCGGCCAATTTGTCCTTCGCAGATGCACCCAAGCCGAGCTGGAGCGAGTGCGGTTCGTCGAAGAGGGTTCCAAACCAGGCCTCGCGGATGGAGAGTCCGAGGGCTAGCGAGACCTGTCTTGCGACGCTGTTGCCCACGAGGCGCCATTGATGGACAGGTTTGCCAATGAGCACTTCGTGTTTACGAAATCCCTGCACACGTCGGATCTCCAGGACGGTAAGTGGGCGATGTTGGTACCAGTGATTCGTCGTACCTACACGGCTGTCGGTTGGCCCGCATTTCGTGGAAATGGTGCTCATCAAGCGATTTGGGTCAACCCGGCCCCACCCCTTAGAACTCTTAGTCACCCTTTCCTTCTCCCGTTTTCCGGGAAAGCTCATTCGGTCTAGTTCACTGAGCACTGGCTCAAGCCCGGGTCGACCAAAGTAAGCTTTACTGAAGCTCATGCCCCATGGCTGGGTTGGGATAAAGAATAATTGATTCCGCACTGTTGGAGTTATGCCGATGGAAAGTCGGTGATCTGGGAAGCCGACAGAATAGTCAGGCTTTGCATCCTGTATATCCGGCAAGTCTTTGATAGCCTCCCGGATGCTAACGTATTTGAAAGGCGTCGGTACCAACTTCCGGCTATCAAAGGGCCGTCCACAAGACATCTCACCAAGTTTGGTTAGCATGGTGCCAGGTGGATGGGAGTGCGATGGTGCCGGGACCTTGGGCATCCGGAAACCGGGGGCGCTAAAGCAGAGAAAAATACGACTCCGAGTCTGTGGTGCGCCAAATGACCATGCGTCGAGGAACATGACCTGAACCTGGTATCCCAGTCCCACGAGAGCACAAACCAGTTGAGAGAAGACACATGCGTGGCGGAAGGTTTTGGAATTTACCATGGTCGGTACGTTCTCGAGCACGCCGTAGTAAGGGCGATATAGATCGATATAGGAAGCGAAGGATGCTATAAGGGATTGATTCTTTCGTTGATCGTTGGTGGTTCGATCGGAAGTGAGCAGGGAAAATCCGGGACATGGCGATCCAGCAGAAATAATTTGCACGTCGCCAGGTTGAGGTACCTTGCTATTATTACCTTGCATCGCTCGAAGCAAGAGATCGTCAACGGAGCCTAAAAAGGGCGTACAAGTGCCCGGCTTCGAATTCGCCATGTACGTGTGGATGGCATGACTCCATATATCGTTGGCCCAACGCATCTCCACGGCACCGGCGTCTTCTAGACCGCGACCGAGATTCCCAGCGCCACAGAACAAATCAAGCCCCTGAAGCTTTTGCGGTTGGCGCTCAAATGGATTGAACCCTTGGCGTAGTTGATGTAACAGACTTGTATCAAGAGGTGTATAAATTAATTCCCCTGTCCCCGTCTCAGTCTCTTGGTGGGTGATAAAGAATAGATTTCCGGCTCCATCATAATCGTAAGGGGTAGGTATGGTTTCGCCAGGTTGGAAAGCTCTGACGAGACAATGACGAAAGATTCTCCGAGAGGCAACCTCGACGAGTTGATTTGTATAAACTAATTCGTTTGGAGGCGAGCTGGAAGCATTCCTATCCACACTTCTCCTCCTAGAAAGTCTCCGGACCCTAGCATATGTCTTTTCACCTTCTTCAAAGAATGACTCTACAATGAAGGGTTCTAGCTGAAGAGCATTATGGTTAGTTTCAACGAGAACGGTATCGCCCACGTTGTAAGAGCCTTCCTTTTCAAGCACCTCCATCGAACAGGTCAGGTGTTCTTTTCTTAGAGTAGTCCATCGACAATCGTCGGAAAGATAAGTCTGGCGTACAAAGAATTCGGCAGACGTGGAAGGATTTCCAAACCACTCGACACTGTGTGTAGAGAGTATCTCGGCTCCGCGTAGTTTGGCAGTATCGTTATGGCACGTACAATTGTTCGATAAAAATAGTTCGTTCTTCCAAGGATACTTCATAATACCGCACGGGGTGTCAATTGACTGGTATAGCCATATTACGTCAAAAGATCGTTTTCCCTTTGGTAATTCATGAACCTTTTGTATCAGACCAAACCATAGATGTTCACCATCATAATGTTTTGACTTGTGTTGTTTCCATTCAGTGCCGCTGCTGTCATCGTCTGGTTTGGTCGAGACAACGTCTCCCACTTTGATGGCATTGACGAATGTATCGCGATCACGCTGATCACGCTTCGATGTGCGTACACTATGTTGAGCATTTGGCTGACTAGCAAGTACAAAAGTTGCTTGTTTTTTCTTAACGGCAGTGGAAAGTATCCTGGGTTCGAGTATATTGCCAAATATCAAATGAGAGAATAAATCGTAGACGTACGCAGTAACTATGGTAGGCGTGACCTGATCGAGCTGTGTGGACCTCCATGATTTCTTGACATCGAACGCCGGCAATTCCTCGTTCGGGGATATCCCTAAGTTTGGCTTGTATTCGGTCAGCGTCTTGACTTCTCCCCAGATCACATGCCACAAAATGGACTTTGGATTCAGCCCATAGCTTTCTTTCCAAATGAAGTCCACGTTAGCAATAAAGGCCCCTCGAAAATCACTGCCACGATTGGCAGAGTACCACCGTTTGAACACGGCCGATTCTTGGTGATTTTGCAGAAGCCAGACACTAAATCGCGACTTCAAGTCGAGCAATATGGCTCGACGACCATTTTCTTTCAGGTAATCAAAGTAGTCAAAAATGTGCTTGGCTAAATCCGCAATCCAGGAAAATGGCTCATAAAACCGTACGTACTCGAACGAAGGCGATTTAAGCTTATAATAAATTTCGCGTTCTCGGATCTCATTCATTTCTGATCGAATCCATATCTGGTCCCCAACTGTGTGTTCCTTAACACCATAGTTGCCGATAGGGAGTTGTTGAAACGGTATTCTCTTGAGAAAAAAACGGGTTGTACCATAACTTAGCACGCCATCAAAATAAAAGCGGCCGGAGGATTGGCGGGTGGCAAGTTGCTGGAGAGATCTTAGCTCATTTGGGTATAAATACGCGCTCCAATAAACAGAAAATTGATCAAGGTCGAATTCAAAGAAATCTTCATCTGAGGAATGTTGTGGTTTGATCAGTTTTAGAAGCGTAGCTATAGCATCTTCTTCCCTAGTTTCTGTGGCAGGTGGAATGAACCCTGTAAAAAGTGATTTTGGTTGTCTTAGAGTAGAGCGAGGTATATCAACGACGATAGACTTCTTGGTGGTCGTATCTGTTGCTTGTGTATCGGGGGCTATATCTTGATCGTCGAATCGGTGTTCCTCCGATTCTGACCAACGTAAAAAATCCTGACGGGAATTCGCAACAGACTTTCCCACTTTGCAATTGAATTCCTGTACTGTTTGCAAGTCATCTGCGGTGTCATCTGTAGCATCCTCAATGCTAGGGATAATTTGGTTATTGCAATCCAAAGGCGTCTTCTCAAGTAGTATCCCGCCGCTATGCAAACCGAAGGTTGACGGCGGACTGACTTCTGAGTCGCTCAAGCCGGGAAGACGTTGCCAATTAAAAATATCCTTACTGTTTACATCCATTTTTAACATTTCCCGATACGAAAAGCTGTATGGCAGGGTTAGCAGTTGAATTTCAAGAAGAATCCATGGAAGAAAATGGAAGTACTTTGTACTTACTTTGTTGACAACTATTTACTATAAAGATACCGTGCAATTATGTGTTTGAAAAAGAAAAGGACGTGTGCCATCTTCAGAGTATGCGAATGCATCAAAAAGCAGTCTACTGGCCAGTACATAATTTTTTATTGGTGTAAGTGGAACATCATAAAGATGGTTCATATGATCGTGAAGAGTGTATATATCTTTAAACCGTACTCTTTTTGTAAACTGCTATTTGCTCTGTATTAACCTAACCTAGGTAAGTATTTGAAGAGTTCAAAGACTTTAGTACTGCATAAAATCAATGAATATTAGTACTTACTATTAACTAACAAGAGACATAAGTAGTATTGGAATGAAGACTACTGTATCATTGACCCCGCCGTTTTCGAATTGGACGTGTCGTGACCGCGACGGATTGCGGGAAGAAAGGAAAGGGTGGAAAAGTAACTAATTTAGCCCTGGGCATGTACAGAAGGTATTGTACACAAGGAATTGGCCAATTGCAAGGCCACATTTTCGTACAAGGAAGCTGAGCTAGGGCACTAAAATAGTGCCCTTGCTGTTTGCATCAGTCAACCGTTCAATGTTGCTCTGCCACGGGAATCCACCTAAACTGCTTGGGTTACATCTTCATGTACAGTATTACATGTACATCTCCATTGATGCACATACATATGTATCATATGTATGGTACCTAGATATATTCCAATTCTTCTATTATGAGAACATCTGCTGGGCCGCTGGCGTTTCTTGACTCCCCAACGGAGACTCCTCTGCCACGGATGATCGGAGCCATGACATGGCCAAAATTCTCCTTTGTAGTAGCTCGGAGCCCCTACTCCGATCGGACTGCACATATGCGTCAACTTCTTCTAACGTAGGCCATCTCCAGGAACATCCATTGTCTAGGCTGGCTTCCATTTGGAACCTCATGTCCTCTCTCTCTTCTTCGCTCAGACTTGGCCCGGCGAATGCTTGAAAGGCACACAAGGTCTTGGCAATCAATGCGTGGCCACGATATTCTATCCGATCCGCTTCTTCGTTAATATATGCTTTATGCTTGATCATCCATCGCAATAATGCTTTCATTGCTTCCGTGTCTTCTAGAAATGCTAGAGTACGAATATATGTGTGCAAGTGAGCAGGTCCGATATATTGCTGAAATGTCGGTGCCGATAATGAACCAGAGTTGTTCTCGGAATTGTCAACCTGGGAGGTAAAGCTAGCAAAGCTTTCCTTGAGAATGTCCTGGATCGTTTCAGGATAAGGCACCAACGGCCCGTTCTTTGTGGCTTCATCCATGAAGCCCCTATCCCTTATACTACTCCAATAGTGGATTCGTGATACAGCGGCTTTTTGAACTGCGCGGCAGAGATAGAAAAAAAAGTCGAGATCAATGCCTGATGCCTTTTGTGCGATCCTGAAAATGTCCAAAGACATTTGCAAAGCCTCGGTGTCATTTTCAAGACGTGTGCCATTCAGGACACATATATTGGGCCGCGCCAGTGCCCTACAAATTATTAGCCAAGGAGGTCGAAAAGTATGACCTTCGCTAGTGCCCAGTCTCAATCGAAGGGTAGAGAGCTTTATAGCATGGCGAATGCGATAAAGTTCAACGGAAGAATATCTAATTCCTCCTTGACGGTCAGGTTGCAAGTTACAAAGAAGTTGAATGTAACTCTTGAACACCAAGAGAGGGATTTTGTGCAGCGCTTGGTAAGATGGTTCTTTGAAAAGAGCTATAGAGGAGATGCTGACGGGATCAATGCCAGCATCGTGAAGATAGCGAGCACCTTCCTCAAGAGATTCTGCATTAGATAACAGCACGTGGAGACAGTAGCCCTCCGGTTTCACTCCATAGCTGATCATCTGATCATACAACTCTCGGATCGTGGGAGGCGATAGCCTAGCCAGCTCATACTCGCTATAGTTAGCATCGTGGATGGGAAAGTTTTCCTTAGCGTCGCCAGGCAGTAGTGATTTTGAGTTCGGGTGAAGAGGACGGCTGTGTAGTTTGATGAACATCTCAGCATAAACTTGGCCATTAGGAGCTTTATCCGTCTCTGCGGCAAAGTCCATGAATATTTTCCATGCTTCCTGGGGATTCCGAGTTGCTCGGACTAACATGGCCCAGTGAACATGCAAGTTGCGATCTTCCGAGTTGCCTTTCCATGCTTGTGGCACAAGACTACGGGTCTGTATGGTAGGAGAGTTGGCGCCTTTGCCACCCAAAGCCCCCAATGCCCGGTCGTAGTGATCCTCGGGATATCCAGCCTCTTTCATAAGCTGGCCAGCTTTTACGGTTCGCGAGTAATCATCCTCGGCAGTTCTTTTCGCATCCAGCCCATCGAAATCTTGACGGTAAGGGGGCCAGGATTTGGCATATCTCATGGCAACCGCTTTCTCCGTTTTGGACTTTTTCATTCCAAGCATGACTTCCATAACGGATTCGTAACTAAATTTATTGATAATGAGAGGGGTGTCCAAGTTATCCGACATGACTAGTAGAGTTTTTTGGGCGCGCCAATTGAATTGCATATTAATCATAGGCTGTATAACTGCCGGTCGTTTAAACAGAAGTAGGGCCGTGTTGAAAACTCGACACTGTAAGTGATAATAGTTGGTATGTGAATCCGGTGATAAACTTCGAACGTAATCTACCGTGAATCGCGCAACAGTGACAATTGACCTAGGGCACAGTCGCATTGTATGATGAACAAGACGGCGAAGTAGGAGTAGAAACTGATAAACATTTATAGGGTTTGGGGAATTAAAGTAATGCTTGGACGTATATGCCATTATAGACAATGGAGAAGAAGCATTGCGAAACCTCTCATCGCAACGCGATAAGATATTCACGAGGAATAAGGGGTTTGGGGATTCGGTCGAGACCAACCGTTGAACACGGGTATCTCCGTCCTCTCCAGATAGTATCCATATCCAATGGTCTACATCTTGGGCAGACCAACCTCGAGATGCTAAGCCATCAAAGCGTTCAGTCCACTCGTATGGAGTGATTGAGTGAAGATATGGAGAAACAAGAGGCTCGTTTTGCTCGTTTTGAGTATTCTCTTTGGCTAGCCAAGCTTGTAGCATTATCAGGGGAAGCCTATCAGCCCGCTTTTGAGCAGCAAATCTGAAAGCATGACCGTATGAATGTTTTTTGCTGTCAGTCTGGCATCGCAAACGAAGAGATATTATACGACTAGGAGACAGTCGAAGGGATGGATGGCGACACCTTCTAGACCTGGTCAATCGCGACAGTATTTTGCTCCAGGCTTGAGCGGATGGCCACAGAGAACCGGGCCCAACCCGAAACTTGGATAATGCTACCTTGTGTAGAGTAGACATGGCAAGAAAGGCGAAGGAAACATGATCAATGATGTAAGTTTCATCTAAAATGAGTTAGTAACGTTGCTGGATTTGTTCGAGTTGTTGCGAAAAGGTTCATAGTGCGTATTGTCTACCAAGGTAGATAGAGGTAGGTAGTGAGTGAGCTTTGTAATATAATGAAGTTATGATACCCTAGTAGGTAGGACCTGGTAGGTACGCAATAATGTACCTATGCAGTCCCCATGTCCATATCAATGTCTTATCTAATCGATTAAATTCAACATTAGAAAAAAAATATAACTTCAAGTTGGTGGCGTTGATTGGCTAATCTAACATTAGTATGGAAGGCGGGGTACGATGTACATAGGCAGGGGATCTAATTACAGGGCTACGTTAGCTAAGAGTAACGCTTGACGTAGGTTGGTAGGTACTAAGGTAGGTACTACAAACACTAAAAGCAAAAACATTTTAAAGTAGAAAAAAAAAAAAAAAAAAAAAAAAAAAAGGAAGACTCACCAACTTGACACACCAATAACCAATTACAGAAATAACACATACAAATATTGATCAAACATCAACAATCTTAAAATTGTTGATCGTTGAGTAATACATACATACGTATAGAACCATCTGCCTTCTTGGCTACCAGTCATTTCCAATGGCCAATGGCTGAATTAATTTCACCATGCGCATCTCACTGCAAAAAGTAATAGCTCCCACATTTCGTGGGCTACAAACGAAAGCGAAAGCCTCAACCTCAGCCTCAGCTTTAGCCTATACCTCCTCTAATCCGAGACCACGGCTCTGTTTCCACCAAAGTATCCTCTTATCCTTTCCCTGGAACCGGAACTGGTTTACCTCTAGCCAACGATTGTCAGCCGAAGACAGGAGCGATAGACCCACGCCTTCCGAAAATGTCGTCACCCAGTCAGAGAGTAAAGCATCAGGCTCGAACTCAAGCTCTAATTCCAACTCCAATTCCAACTCGTCTAAACGAAAGCCTGTTCGAACTTCGGCTGCCAAGACTCTGCGCCTGGGTCTCACTACTAAACAACCAAAACGCATTACCAGTATAAAGAAAGAGGTTAAAGATAGTACTTCTGACACCGATTATCGTCGAACTATCTCCTCCATATGTGTTGCTCAGTCTTTCGACATGGAAGCCGTACAAGATATCTTGCGCTTCCATGCTTTCGAACTAGACCCAGATCACACCGAGTTCGACCCAACAGGTGTGGTGCATGCGAGGGGTATCAACGACGGCGATATCTTTGTCTTTCCATCCGGGACCGTAGTGGCTTGGTCTGTGCCTGCCGATGCACTCATGACTCTTGCGACCAAGCAACTGATTCGAGCTGCCGAGCTTCCTCATGTGAATCGCCTAGAGATGGAAGAACTAGAGTTCTTGCCCGATGAGACTCGCGACACCAGTTACATGAGAGGAGAGGTTGTCGTGCTAGGCACACGAGCACAGGAGCTAGAGAACGACAGGTTGGACACGACGCTCGCTAAAATCGCCTTCTCGAGTGGGCTAGCCAGGAGTCCGAAATTGGCAGTCCTAGAGAACCAGGCAATTGACTATTTCGAAAATTCAAAAAACAGCCTTAATTTCCTAGAAGGGGGATTGGAGCATAAGCTGAAGCGTAGCTCCGTTCTCAAGATGACGGGCCAGCTCTTAAGCCTAAGATCACAGCTCAACCACTATTCCGATATTACCGACCAGCTCCCCGACATGTTCTGGGACTCGGAGTCAAACCTGGAGAACTATTACAGCCAGATTAGCACTGTTCTAGATATACGGCAGCGGATTGGTATTCTGAACAGAAAGATTGACTATGCGTTTGAGAATGTAAGTGTGTTACGAGAGATGGTCAGTGAAAAGTACGGCCATCGGTTGGAGTGGATCATCATATACCTCATCGCTGTGGAGGTCATGTTCGAGCTGAGAAGGGTGTATCGTGAGTACATAAGTGAGAATACCCCAGAAGGGGTGCAGCCTCACGTCTCTTGATATATCCTTATGAAATAGGTCTACTCACCTACCTACCTACCTACCTATTTAGTAGGTATATATTGAAAACCGATATTTCCTCGATCCACGATCCAGTCCCCCCTCTGTATTATTTTTCTATGCTTTCAATCATCGTCATTATCAGACGATTCTGGAAAGGACATATGCTCCAGCCCAAAATGTAGGGTAACCCTTTATTATCAAAAGATGGCTACTTGTTACGTCTCGGTGGACTAGATGCTCACACTTAGTAGTAGGTATCCTTCAAGTTCGTTGCAGGGCTGTTGGTTGGGCGGGCGAGTAGTTACCTATGTTAGTACCTGAGGTCATTCCTTATAATTCAGGGTCATAAGGCAACCAGACATCAATCGTTATCGTAACCGTCGCCGTCTGATTCTAGTTAAACTTGACAGCTGTTGACCTTTAGTATAAATTCCTTCACTACTGGATCTGTACGCACCTTCTTCAGCTTCCACAGTATCTTTCTTGTCGCATACATTTCACTCGCATCTCTCTCTAACCTTCTCAATTTCACTTCCAATCACTCATTAAATATCACACAAAAAAAATATTTTCTTTGCCTAAGGTATGTTAAATACATGGCACATTTCCTATTTTGTATTCCCATAAAGAAACCCAGCTTTCACAAGCTTCAGCACTTGAACCTTTCAACTGATTCAACGAGCGAAACTAATCAGATTAAAGCAACACTCACAACGATCGCAGTCGTTGATCATCTACGATGTCTAATGGCGAGTCCTCCGTCAATGATTCCTCCGTCAACAATGCGGTCGGCGGCATGATACAAGCTGTATCGCCTATGTTTCGCCCTGAGTTAGTCCCAATCCATCACCAGCCCGCATACTCAATTTCCTCTAACCCTCCTTTCAGAGACGTCAATGAACCCTACCCCACCGTCAAGATCCTGATCGGTCCCACCATGAGCCAGTGGACAGTCCCGAGGATCTGCTTCCACATCCTGTCGCCCGAGTACGCTACTTTCGTCCTCGGCCAGCTACCACAGGAGAACGGCTGGATCCTCTACGAGGACATGGACGACCACGTCTTCACGCTCCTCGGCGACTTCCAGTACACAGGCGACTATAACATAATCGAAGACCCCGCCGCCAGCTACGACGGCACCCACTACAACCCGATCACATTTCCCGGCATCGGCCCCGTGGAAACGATGTCCACCGCCCTTCAGATGCTATACTTCCTCGACGTAGCGGGCGTGCATCCCAACGTCGGTGTCGGCAGCTGCTTCGACCTGATCGAGGACGCCGACTGCGGCTTCGCACCCATCGCCCACCCCGTCCCCATACTCATCGAGCACCTCCTCGCGCACGCGAAGCTGTACCACATCAGCCGCGCGCACAACATCCCGCGCCTCGCCGACCTCGCGCAGCGAAAGCTGCTCTTCGCCCTCATGACGGCGAGGCTGACGCCCGAGTACGCGCGCGGCCTGGCGGAGACGGCGCGCTACCTATTCACCGTTCTGAGCCCCGCGGATCCCCTGCGGGAGGCGTTCTCGCGCCTCTTCACGCGCGTGTACGCTCTGTTCAGCGAGGAGCCCGCGTATGTCGCCGTCGTCGACCAGTTCTTCGTCTGGACCTATAACTATCAGTGGGTCATGAACTGGCGCTGAGCCGAGCCGAGCTGAGCTGCGCAGCTCCCCCAATCACCCCACCCCAGCCGGTGGCCGCTATAATGGGGGGAGGGGGCTACGAATAACAATGACGATGATGGGAGTGGGATGAGGAGGGAGGGGGAGGGGGAGGGGGAGGGGGAGGGCCATGATTCTTTTTATCTAGTTTGGTCTCGGGAAAGAGAAATGGGGGGAAGGCATGGGGATACCACGGTTCGGCTTGTTCTGCGTTTTGAGATACCCTTTGACATTTTGTAGACCAGATAGATAGAAGCATCGCGGCATAGGCTGCAGGAGTTGTTGGTAATGACAACTCGTTCGGTATACCCGAGTACCAAGTAGTCTTGCACAACATGCCTTGTGTACCGTCGATATATACCTATGTAACACAACCCGTGACTCCAAGTCATTCTGTAAACGTAATAATTGATAATGTGTAATTCATAATTTTCTCTACACACCTACGTACCTAAGTACCTAACCGCAACCGCCTCCCCAGCGGCTTTCCCCCATGCTCATAAACCGCCATGACCTCCCCCGCCCCCAGACTCACCAGCCCAGGCCAATACGACGGCGCCCGATGTACCATCAACGGCCTGCTGCTAAACGTAACCTTCCCACCAAACAAGCCCTCCGCAAACACAGCTTTAATCGCCGCCTTCCCCGGCCACACCGACGGGCCCCCTGCATCCTCGTCCGTCATGAAGACAACGACGATGCCGTTGGCGCCGTAGCGCTCGATCTGGGGGGCGCCGGCGTTGCGGCCGGGACGGGGCTGGTAGACAACACCGCGGTGACCCCAGGTCTCGCCTTCGTCGTAGGAGACGGCGTACTCGACGCTGAAGGTGCGGTGGCGGGTTGTCTCGAAGACGATGACGAGGGCCTCGCCGCTGCCGGGGATACTTAGGTCACGGATGGAGACGATGCCTTGCATGCCGTCGCGGAGGTTCGCCCAGGGCGCGTGGCAGCGCAGACAGCGGGCGGGCGAGGTCCAGGTGGTGCCGGCGTCGTGGGAGTCGACGCGGAAGGTCTCCTGGTTGTCGGGGGCGAGCTCGCGCGAGAAGGTCAGTTGGACGTGCGTTGGGTTGTGTGAGGACAGCCGCATGAAGGGTTCCCATAGCCCGAGCCCTGAGCTACTGGCTGCGCTTTGCTCGGCGGCTTGCGAGGCGAAGTGCCAGGAGCGCCCGCCGTCTTCGCTACGGCATACGGTCTTGGGTGTCAAGGGTTAGCCAATTTTCTCTTTATACGTGAAGGCATAGCTCTTTTTGACAAGAAAGAGGAAATAACAAGGGGAAGGTAGGGTGGATAGGTAGGCAGGCAACTCACGATCCGAAAGTGGGTAGGCTGGCCGCCAAGAGGGCGATCATGATTCCGAAAGGCAGCAAGCACAACAGGATGATTCCTCGGGGTCGAGGGCGAAGGAGGTACCTCGATCAAAAACCCATTATCGATATCGCCGACGCCACGCGCGATTTCGCCGTGCGGTAGGAAAGTCCGCCCACCGTCAACACTGCGCGAAACTTGCAGGACGTGCTGGCCGGGGCCGGGGAATGCGGTGGAGACGGCTAAAAGAGCACCGTCGGTTAGGCGGCACAGGCGCGGGTACGTCCCACCCCAGGGGTGCAGCACGGTTTCATTGGTGTCGACCTTCCAGAGGCCGATATCCGTGCCGAGCGGGGGATGTGGATGTGGCGATGGCACGGGTGAGGTTGAAATTAGCGCCGTTTGTTGGCCATCGCCGCCGCCGCCGCTAAGGAGTGGGCCGATATGGCCAAGGATCTTTTGGGTGAGCCTTCCGGCCATGAAAAAAAACGTTGGAAGAGGGCCGGGGGTTCTTTTTTTTAGATAGTACTTGTTTGTACTAATACCCCTGAGCAATGAGGTTTAGCTAAGGAGGAGAGGGGAGGGGTGAGAAAAGATGAGGAGGGATGAGAAGGAAGTGAAACAAGAACAGCACTATGGCTTTGAGTTGTCCTAATAATATAATATAATATCGTATCGTATCGTATCGTTCTCTGTGAGTTTTGCGCTCGGGATTGTACACGCAATCATCTCCACATAATTGCTTTGGAATCTAAATAATATCAATAATCATCATCATCATTTTTTCTCCCCTGTTTTTATTCCCTCTCTTCTTTTCCCGGCACGGCATATTACCTGCGGGTTGATCGTCTACGCAGGAACTCTAAGGATTGCCAGGATCTTCGAGTTCAACTACCGAGCAACGTATATTAGTCGTTACGCTGTGATATGTACGGAGGGTCTTTTGTTCTAAATGAATGGGTCAACGGGCCCCTGATGTTGTTTGGGGGGTAGATCAGTTGGGATCAGATAGTCGCGAGTTGCTAATTGTGAGTTGTTAGTTTCAAGTTGCTACTTGTCTTGTTAGTTAGGACGATGAAATGTCATGGATGTGTTTAAGGGTAAAAAGGGGTTGTTCGGATATCAAAGTTATGCATAATACTGGGCATATTATGCTATCTATTGGTACATAAAGTGCATAAAGTGCATAAATCACGACACATGTTGCAATTAACCGTTTCTAGTCGGGATTATCCCTCTCCTCCAATTGTCTCATCGTCTTCTTCCCTTTCCTCCGACTTCTAAACCTTCTTTTTACCTACCTACCTACCTACATACCTAGAACCCTTCTTTATGGACAACCCAAATTGCAGTTGCCGGCATTTCAAAAAAATGATTTCTATACTTTCCATAACACGTTACATACCCAACATATTCAAATAAGACCACGTTGAGCAGATATTAGAAGACTACCTAGGAGGCCTGTAGGCACTAGTAACAGATCACGCAATCAGGCCAAGTCCAGGTACCTAGGTTAGTGAAGTTATTCAGCACCCATATGAACTATTTACATACTATGTATACACGTCCATAATAATGCATGAAGAAAAATGGGCATGCTGAACTTCATAAGCATCTGAAAAAACTCTGTTGGGTTCATCCTAAACTCTCTGCAGCAGTCATCTTCGGCAATGGTGTATCTACTATCCCTATATGGCGTGGCAGGGACTACATGATTAAACTGATATAAGCATGAGGCACCAGACACATGCTAAACTTTCACCATCGAAGCTCTAACACACAGATTAGTATGTTGGGCGTCTAATAGTCCCCTGAACTTTGATCGGCTTGGTCGTCTTGGTCGCCATGATACGCACTCAACACCTACAAGTAACAAAATCAGCACTATTGTCTTACATCGTGAAAATAACTCGGCGCCTTTCCGCGCCATTATGGTATATGCTCACCCATCAATGTGGTAGGAAAGGATGAAGCAGGGTCCTAGAGCGCCTGTGTGAGGCAGGCGTCTCTATGCGGTATCTACACACTTACAAAGTTCAATACTGCACCCATCGACCCTACCTCACCTACTCGACACTTAGTAGTGTAAGGGAAGCTGCATGATACTTAGCATAGTATGTTTCTAGGTCTGCCCTAACATCTATCATCATAGAATGCGCTTCATCTCATCGAGACCATCTTTTCAACCTCCAACTTGCGCAATACAGCTTTGATTATTGAGTACTTTTTCATACACAAAAGTAATCGGACTTCGCATTCTTTGTGTATCATTTTCTTCATACAAGTTGAACTATTACCCCTGACTCTTATCACATAGCCATCTGCCTCCTCTAAAGGAAGCGCACCAAAATCGGCCGTCGAGATTTCAAGTACCGACAGTCGCCAGTCGCCAGTCGTGATGTCTTACAAATTCACGTCGGAATCTATCCGCAAGAGGATAAAGAATGTGAAAGCTATATTCCGCAGCGACGACCGTTCGGCTAGCCGAGTGGATGGATCAAGCGACGGCACCTTGGATGGTCTCGTGACGAACTTGGATAGTGATGCTAGTTCCTTGGACTTGACTAGCCCCCGACGTGCTTCTACGTCTACTGCCTCCAAGACCAACGGTCATAATGGGCATATCAATGTGTATCACTTAGAAGACAGAAATGGTGCCGGTGATTATTTGGAGAGAGATGAATCCCCCGGCCGTAGTCCCGATAATCATGAATCTCAAGAAGATGTGCCAAGAGGTAGGAGCCGGGAGCCTAAGGGAAAAGAGCCCGTGCAGGAGGAAGAAGAGATCACCATCACCAATGGACATGCTTCGCCCGCGGAATCTGTTACGACCTCCACGGTCAGCACCTTCGTCGACCCAAGCACCGTTTTCAGAGCGTGGCAAGATGACGAACTCCAACTTCAACGCGAAGTCATCGAGAAGTATCAAACCGGGGCCAAACTCTGGACCAAAGAGGAACTAGTCAACATCGAGAAGAAGATCAACACTGTGAATCCCATACTACTACAGTCCTATGTCGGACCAAACCAAAAATTCGAAAGACAAGTTGGGTGCGCAACCTCGCCCACCTTTTATCTGACTAAGTACCTAAAGACTAACACGATAAAAAAAAAACAGGCTCACGTATAGAGTTGAATTCCACGGGTACCGGGACCTCGCCTTCCCGCCTCCCTTCCGTCCTAACGGGATGCCGTACTGTCCCATGACGCTCAAGACGATGCCCTACGACTACTCGTTCTCTCGGGACCTGGAGATCGAACTGGACGCTTTCCACAAGTGTACGGCAATTTGGCTAGCGAATCCGATCGGCCAACAGTTCTACTCGATGTTCATGCGGCTCCCCTTGCCCCCCGACATCAACAAGGTCGTGTGCTTCAACCTCGGCAGCATCACGGCCAAGCCCGCCGACGACCACCCAAAGATTCGCCAGGCCATGTACAAGCACGCGGCGGCCATGACCATCATCGAGGCGCTGCACCGCCGCTTCGGCACCGTCATCCAGCTCTTTGCCCAGGATACCACCTACTGCGCCGAGTGCACGCAGGTGCTTTTCCAAAAGGGCTTCTCCGTCGTCGGCCTCCACGGCGCCGGCGGCTTTGCCGAGATCGACGACAAGACCTTGGTCTTCGCCCCCAACCCGGGCTTCTGCCTCAAGGAGATCGTCGCCGACACCGCGGAGCCCGCCGCCATGTTCTGGGATACCGTGCTCAGCCCCGAGGAAGCCGAGAAGGCGAACCGGTCGCACCGCAGCATCACGCTCGAGGACGGGTTGACCTCGCATTGGGAGTATGTCTTGACCCCACCTACCTAATCTGGCTCATCGTGTTTCTTTCTTTTTTCCTTTTTTCTTTTTTTCAGAACGAGTATAGTATAGTATGCTAACCACGTCAACACAGGTACTACGAAACCGACCCCGACACCCCCCGCGTCCGCTCCCTCGTCGAGAACTACGAGCGCCACCCCTTCCCGACCACCAACCTCCTCGGCAACGTGTCGCTGTACACGCGCAAGCAGCAGGTCAAAAGCGAAACCCCGAGCGCAAGCGAAAGCAACAGCACAAGCGGGAGCGATAGCAAGAGCACGACCATCCCCAACGCTGCCGCCACCACCGAAGACGTAGAGGGAACCGAGAAATAGTCTTCGAATTCTACGCTCGGCGAGTAGGCTAGTTGGGGCTGGATTTGAGAGGGGTTTTGACTGCTTGTTCAAGAGTGCTATTATTAGTATGCTGGTGAACCCTTTGGTATGTACCTATGCATGCATGCATGCATCGCATGTATACGGGTCACAGCTTCTTGCTCTTTTTTTTTTGCGTTTGGGTCCTCTTGTTTTTTTTTTCGAGTAGGATCGATCGGGATTCCTTTGTCCGCGTCTCTCACAAGCTGTATACCTCTGGTTTATCCTATTCTGTTGTTGGTGTATTATCATGGGCTGGGCTGGTTGGACTAGATTAGGTTAGAAGGAGCACTCGATGGGCTTTAGGGACATACACATGATACACACTTACACTTTTGGGTACTACTACTACTGCTGCTATAGAATAGGTTGATAGGTTAGGTAGACAAAAGGTGTACATTCTGTTAGTCTTAATAGTTAAATGCACTCACTCTTTTAGTCTCATAAGTGCCAAGTAAGGTTGGTTGCGCCCTTTCTCTTTCTCTTTTTGGATGATTTAACTTTGCTTACATCTATCTAGGTATGTCATCTATGTCATCTGTTCAGTTTCTTCGGAATATATTGTGCAACATTATACCATTCCACCGTCGCAGGTGGTAGGTACCTACATGTAGTGCCCAATACCTACCTACATGTAAGCATCACTCACCCCTCCCCAAGCCTCTTAAATCTTCTGTCAAAACCGCCATAAAACTTTTTGATCATCATCATCGACGACTTCAACATTGGCATTATTTTAACACTTAACCTAACCTAACCTAACCTAACCTAACCTATCGTAGTAGTGTAGTAATGTAGTGTAATATAGTGTAATGTAGTTAGTTGTTACCTTACTAAAAAAGGGATGTGAGTGACGAACACGCACATACACATACACACACACACACACTTAGGTACAAGCGAACAACAAAATTTTGTGTGAACATTAATAAAAATAAAAAAGGACTTCGACGATGAAAGCGGAAAACAAAAAACAAGATAGAACTCCTACAGCGGCTTAGGTTTTGGGTAGTTAGGAAGATGTAAACTACCCCTAGCCTAAGGACTCCAAGCGCATTCTCCGTCCTTGTTCTCGTTCTTAATTATCTAACGAGGAGCCTCCCCCCCCCCCCCCCCCCCATTTCATTCCTTGCTAGCTTCCTTGCTTCCGTGACCCTTATAAACTATCGATCGCGTTTGCCTTCTCTGCCTTATACCAAGCAGCTACTCAGATACACATCTAAGCAAGTAATGGTTTCCTAACCCAGACACGCGCAATCCTCAACAATCCATAACCATCATGGAACCAACTATTGGCTCGCCAGATCCGAACTCCTTCCATTCTGGAACCAGTTTCTCAAAGCTGTATATCAGCGAGACGGGAAACCGGAATGCGCATTCGTATATGGAATCGGGCCCTGTCCTGGTGCATAAGGCGTTGCTGCCGGTAATTGATGTGCATGCGATACGGGGACCGCCTAAGACTCTCTACCATAAGAGGGCTGGCCACCATTTGCTGCTGGTCCTGGAGGCGACATGGCGGGGGTTCCATTCATTGACGGCTGTGCGCCCGTGACAGCCGGCGAGTTCATCTGAGCCTTTGGGGTCTGACCAGGCCCTTGGTAGTTAGGCACGCCCGCACGGGAAGCTACTAGCCTCGATGGATCACCTCCTAACCCAATACCGCCTAGGCCAACCGGAGCGCCCACTTGTCCCTGCCCTTGGCCCGACATCGAATTCCTAATGCCCTCCGTTGTCCTTTGAGCACTCTTGGTCGCATCAAAACGCGCCTTGGCTTGGTCCATTGCTTGCTGGACCTGATGAGGATTGAGAGATGTTTGGAATGATGATGAGCTAGGAGTTTGGGGGTTCGGATTAGGTTGGCCGTGCTGGACCAGCTGATTATTGGGCACTGCAGGCGAACCGGTGTTCGCATAATAGCGTCTCGGGTCGTTACCCATGTTCGGTTGATTTCCGTAAGACGGTTGTCTGGTCGGAGTCGCGGCCGGATTGTAACCCAAGTGATGCGGGATGGGCTGATGTGGGTGTGGGTGTGGGTGCTGATGTTGGGGCTGTTGGTGGGAAACATGGGGGGATGCTGTCCTTTGTGGTATGGCCCCGGTGCCATTGGCGTATTGGGGATACGGCGCGTGTGAGGGAGTACCGTGTGGCGGGGGTGCATGTTGAGGTGGGTATTGAGGGTGATGATACTTAGACTGGGGCGGCGGTTGAGTGTTTGGTGGATAAGACGGCGGGAAGTGAGCTGGCGGTGTTGAGGTCGCCATGTTAGGGTAGCCCGGCATGGGCTGGTACGGCGGACGGGGTTGTGCAGGTGTCCCGTAAGGCCCAGGCTGTGAGTACTGTTGAGCTTTGGGAGTAAATTGCTGGGAATATCCGGCGTTCGGGTAATGAGGAGGAGGTCGGTAGCCCGTATTGGAAGGAGGCCGTGGGGGATAGTTAGCTGGCATCGTCTGAGGGGGCCTCGCCATTGTAGGCGGTGGTGGTCGGATTGGTGTTTGCGGATAGAATTGTGGATTCGGCATAGGGCCGCGACTCGTGTGGTAAGGCTGACCATACTGTAAAGCGTTTGATGAACTTGATGCGCGATGTGTCGGTGGTCGAGCATTAGTCGGGGGAGCTTGGGCGGCTCTAGCACGAATAGCTGCCTCTTCTTCCTCCATTGAGCCTTGATATTCATCTGTACGAACTTCAATCTTCGTAGATATGTTGAGTTCATCCAATTTGTCCGAGTTAAGACGAGCGACGGCATAAGGTGGCAGCATTTGGATAACAAGGCATAGTTGCGCCTTGAGAGCCTGGTAGGTCGCCATCTCCTCTTCACCAGGCTGTACCGGAGTCCCATTGGTGAGCATGTCACTGTGAGCCGGATCCGCCGCATATCGACTCTGACTGGATGCGGACGGTAGGGTCAAGTTACGATTCTTCTGATATGAGACTAATGTCTGGATCATGTCAGACACGTCTTGAAGAAGATCGTCGACATCCTTCTGATCTTCCGGTTTTTTCGGGCAGCAGGCCTCCTCTAAACTGGGATCTATCATGGTCTCATCCCATTTATCCAACGTCTCTTGGATGATATCTTCATCCACCTCCTCAACAACTGCCTCCTCGCCCTTGTCAACTTCCTCGAGCAAGTCTTCTGGTAATTCAGCTTCGATTAAACGATCAAAGTTGCGTTTTCCAACCTTTTGCCACCACATGGTATGGCTAATTAATCCTGAAGAAATCATGGCAGCGGTATCATCCTTGGAAGGGGCGAAACTGGAGAATGCACCACGAAAAAGGGCTTCCATTTCTGACATTTCGAGGTCGGACGATGAGGGTTTATTCCCTGCAAGACTCAAGGCCCGCTCGCGTTGTTTGGTCATGATCTGCGACGGGGGTGCGGCATTACTATAATCAAGCCAGCGTCCGGCTGAGATATTCTGGCTGAAGTATGACCCAGCTCTGTACTTGGACTTCTCGGTCAACTCAGGGCGATGCCATCCCACTTGAACACCCTTGGTAGTACTCTTCGGCGCCTTAGGCGGTTGGAGTGAAGGAAGGTTGCGTGGAGGTGGGAAAAGCTCGCCCAGTGTCTTAGACTTCTTGTCTTTATCGACAGCAGAAGGGAAGAAATATGGAATGGCTTTAGCAACCTTAACGCCGCTAGGCAAGCCGCTCTCCTTTAGGGGTTGAATAACAGCTTCTGTGCCGTCAGGCTTAATGACAGCTTGCTGCAGGCTCGAGTAATACTGTTTTCCTCTCATAGCCTCGCCATTTACAGTCAGCACAACATTCCCACTAGCATTCGATTGCAAATCGTTGATCTGCTCGAGGCCCTGGAGCGCCTCGGAGACACGGGGATTGCTAGGATATGACATCTCGCGTTTGAATAGATTGAAGGCTTGCCGCTTGAAGTCGATAAGCTTGGCACAAGCCTCGTCGTTCGCCTTCGTATCCTGTTCGGGCTTAATATCTCGTAGCTCTGCTAACTGGTGCGAAATGGAGGATTTGATGTCGACGATGATGCTGACGAGGTCTTCATACTGTTCTGTTGCCACTTTGTCGGCGATGGAAGGGAGTGATGATCCATCGTCTGACTTTTTCCGTTTTGCTTGGGGGGCATCTGGGGAATCTTCAGGGTCGGGAAGGGGACGTTTGAGGACTGAAGGTATCGGATCTAACCTATAAACGTGGGCCAACCATATTAGTTTCCAAATAGTGTCGATCAATGATGAATGAGTAAGAATGATGGAGAGATTGTATATGTGAGGTAGAGTGATGTACATGATATACATGGTGCGGAGTGCATAGTAATATACCTTTGAAGAACCTCATAGTAATTCCGAATGGTTGGCAGATCATCCTTGTTCGCGCCGGAGGTAGAAGGGGACGAAGCAGAGGCTGCGTTGCTTATAGAAGCAGCGGTAATAATGGTGGGAGTAATGCGACTATTGTCGATGCCATTTGGTGGCTTGTCGCCAACATCGGAGGGTTCGCGTTTGCGCTTGATAGCAGTGGTATTATTGATGGAGGAGTTGTTTGGCGCAGCATTAACATCGTCGTCTAGGTTGGCGTTAGATGCTGCATCAGTACTATTATTATTCGCATTGACATTGGCAATGTCATCAGGACTCGGATTGGAATTGGCGTTGTTGTTGTTGAGCTGCAAGGATGCAGCGACGCCGTTAGAAAGTGCAATGGCTGGCGATGCCATTTTGGATAATATTTTATTTTCCCACCAAGGCTATCTTTTTATTTTTCCTAGTTCATTCGTTGCTGTCAACGTTGGATGTATGGCTGGTGATTGTTGCAGCTAAGAAAATTGGCGGCTCCCGTCGCGCTGCACGCCCATAGCCTGTCGGTCGCGATTGAAGGGGAAAACGGGACTTGTGATTTTGTGGTTGCTAGTTGGTGCGACCGCGACCCTCTTTCTTCTCTCAATCTCCTTCCACTTTATTTCTTCAATGTTTCCAACTTGTCTCCTTAGGGGGGAAATCTTAGGTTAGGGAATTCGGAGCTACCTGAGGGACTTGAGAGAGCACTGAGCACCTAGGGTAGGGTAGCCTGGGTAAGGTAGTGGCAGTTGTAGGTTGTAGGTATGTATGTATGTATGTATGTAGGTAGCCAAATGTAGGTAAGCCAAGGGTACCTGGGTATGTGGTATGTGGTATGTATGTAGCCCGCGTAGTGCTAGAACCAGAAGAGGTCCAGTCGGAGAGAGCCACAGTAAACTTGGACAGTTAGAGGAAAGAGCCCTCCCTAGCACAGACAATGAAATAGGTAAGGTAGGAAAGTACGCACTGAACTTTAACCACTTCTGCAGCTGATGCCACTCAGTCTTAGGTGCTGTATACTCCGTAGCCTCGATGGTAAACCACCTCCTTCCTCACCTGCACTCCAAGTATTCAACTGGACCACAAAACTTTGCAAGGGCCGTGGGCCGTGGACACTGGACAGTACTTGAAGGAATGTATACTAGGTATCGAGGTGCAACCATTTACCTAGTAATAGTACGAAGAGGGAATAAAATAAAAAGTAAAAGAACCTTGAAGAAAAGAAAGAAAAAAAAATAAGTTTGTTATCTAACACGAGCCAGTCCACCACGAAAAAAACACCATAAGATGATGATCTTAAACCGCCCAGGAATGATTCGTATTATTAGATGCACGCGATAATTTTCTATTCTTTTCTTTTCTTATTGCTAAGAGAGAAAAAGGAATAAAAATCAATAATAAGTTGCATTTAATAATAAGAATCAAAGTCACTCGTACTTCGTTAATGTAGGAGAGGGAGAGGGTGGAAGGCTACCAATCCCGAATGGGCCCAAGCAATGAAATGAGTCCGTCTGTTCAAGAACTGGGACCAGTCCTAACTTTTCGCCTGCAAATCATGGCTGACACTAGTTCCGAAGCTAGCCTTATCTCGGACTGGTATACTTACGCACAAGCCACCCTCTACTACTTCGACACGTGATTCCCAATTCATTTCAAATGTTGTTCAATGTTGGTTCAAGTTTACAGTACGTATGTATATGTACAAGTACATATCGAAGTACGCGTCAAAATACCAACATTGATGAGCATTGATGAGCATTGATGAGCATTCATCAATGTTTGGTTTGTTGATGTTGCCAACTCGAACTACATCATAGTACATATCCACCATACTGGTAACATTTGAAGTACTCAAAATCAACCCGACAGTTGACTGTAAACCAATTTATTAAGTAACTTCAACGTTCCAACTCAGTTCCAACTTAACTAGCTCTTTGAGTTTCGCCTCGTTTAAACACCATAAATTGTTTAGTGGATATCCCTACGTGATACAATTGGTAACGTAAAGTTGCATATCAGTCCTACTTCCACCCATCAAAATGATATAGCACGTTTGTATGATGCAAATTGACTACGTGTTGCTGGGTGTAATGTTACAACGGAGACTCTGTGTCTCATCATGCTTGACAGTAAAGTAGGCGTAAAGGAAATACTCCAAAACAGAAAAAGTCTCCCTTGCTCAGGACAAATCAAAGACGTACTCAAACCCGCTGTTGCCTTTGAATTATGATTTGACCAGCTTGAAAATCCATCTTGTCATCGCAATCTCGCGAACAGCATCACAAATTATTTACAAATCCTCAGTCAAGTTCTCGTCGCCCTTAACCTATTTAGCCTGAGCCAGGCCGACGGTACCCTTGCCAAGGTCGTAAATGGAGTACCACTTTCGAAGGAATGCATCACCAAGGATGGCAAGAGGACCAACAGGAGCCGGGAAGTCCATGCCCATGAAGGTCGAGATACAGCTGCCCTGCACCTCTAGAATGTAATCATAGGCGCTGATAGCAAAGTCGTGACCGGCTAGCTTGAATGAGACATCAGGAAGCGAGTCTCGGACAGAGCAGTCAACTGTGTACTGTCCATTGAAGCTCTTCTTGGCGCCGATTTCCTTGTTTAGCAGCTCAGCGAGATCGGTAGGCAGAGCGATCAAAGAAGTACCAGTGTCTAGGATGACTCCAGTGTTCTCTAGCTCAGCAGTCTCGTCGCCAAAAGAAATGGCATCGAAGTCGACCTCCCAGTAGGCCTTGCGGCGCAGCGGGAGTTCTGTGATCTTGCCAGTGTAGTGGTCCTTGTCGACACCACCGAAAACCACCTCCGAGTCCTCGCCCCCGTTCTCACCACTGAGGTAAAAGGCGAAGACAGAGTCATCAATCAACTGTTGGTTGACCATCTGGTAGAAGGGGGGTACGATGCCGTTCACGGAAAGACGGTCAAAACCCAAACCGAGGATGCCGTCGAATCTACCGAAAGCGAAAGCCAAACCGGGCTCACTAGTTGCCTCAGCGAAGTCTTGGTTCTTAACCGTAAGGTCGCCGATAGTCATAGTATCTTGCGACACGAAGCCGCTCAAGCTACCAGACCCATATCGAATTTCGAACTCGGTGCCGTTCTTCTTGTAGGATGAGGAAGAAGACGAGTCATACTTCGAGTGTAGGTAGCAAGCAATGCTACCACACGACGAAGAAGGAACCCAGAGGTTAGAGCTGCCGGTATCAAGGATAACCTTGAAGTCCTGGGGAGGTGTGCCGATGCTGATGTCAGAAAAGTCTACATTGGCCAATCATTAGCTACCGAGCTTGGTCGAATTTGGTCTCCTAAAATTTGGAAATACATACACTGAGCGTTCATAAAGTTCGAGATAGGAACGGGATGGTCCTTGTCGACGTGAACGGAGGTGTCTTGGAAGACAGCCTGGCTATGCGTCTCCGGTCGGGGACCCATGTACTTCTGGCCGAGGCCTCGGATTTGGCTATCAATCGGAATGCTCTCCTGTAATAAATCATCAGTATGTCATTACTCAAATCGAATAGGACCAATGCTAACCAGTTGCTCTGATAGAGGAATCTTCTTAAGCTTCATCTTGTGGACTCCGGCCTGGGCGGAGCCTAGCAGCACAGCTGCGGTAAGGAGAGCTCCCTTCATGATGGATGATGCGATGCGCGACGAACAAATTAACTGACGCCTTGATAAAATGATTCAAAGTTACAAGTTACACGTATTAACCCAACAGCTTCTTTAAGTTCTCTGAACTTAGAGATGGAGGGAAAAGGAGATGGGAAATTGATGGGATGATGGATGTAGGGAAATAGGTTGGAAGGTTGGAAGAAGAGGAATGGCCGATGATGTAGGCGTATGTTGAGGGAGATAACGGCCGAGCTTCTTGATCAGTCATTCAGTCAATCAGTCAATCAAATCCATGACAGTGTCTGGGGGCAGGCGGAAACGGTGTAATGCAGGGCACTCAACTATGGGTGGAGTGGGGATCAGGTCTCGTGCTAGGTAGATACACTCCTGATAGTACAGTACATTACTCCTTTGCCGTTCCATGTGACGAGTTGGCCTTACCTAAAGCAGCCTTAGAGTACGCGATGGCCCCAGATTAGTGGAGACAGGCCAAGCTATAGTGGGTCTCATTAGACCCAAACAACTAAATGTTCGAGGCAGCCACTGCTGATGACACAAGCAGGTACAGGGTCAACGCCACCTACACACCAGAACCTGCCCAATGGAGTTTCGTATCGGCAGATTAATCCGTTCCGATATGTTGATAAGATACTTTGAGTTATAGAGACGGGCTTGTACTGTACATAACCTCCCCATATTGCAAGTTTGAAATGCTGTTGTTACAGAAACGGCACCTTCAATATGTAAGCCTCATTCCATGCTGTTCACCATTTCAAGGCTTCAAGGTGCTTCTCCTTCAGCCTGGCTTTTTTGAAATACAAATAACTATTAATTTACGAGATACGCATGTAGTCAGGCACCGCCCATGGCAGCCCATGGTTACATTCAAAAAAGCAACGAGCCTCAAAACCACATGGTACCCCCTTATGGTATTTTATCATGATTCATGAATGAGAGGCCTTGTTAACTTAGTAAATGTCAAGTATGCAAAACATTGCCTTTTTCTACCACCACTCTTGCATTTCAGAACTCGGCTTTCAAAACTCGGCCATCGTCGAGTACGCCATGTAAACGAGACTCGTTACCATCTAAACTGCTAACGAGTGTGCACGAAGGATCATCAAAACAAGTTGGGATTACTTCCATATTTACCCAAGGCAAACCAGCATTCTTCGATGACTAAATTCTGTTTTCATCAGCCCAGTGTCGCATTCGTCTTGCAAACATGTCAGCTTGTCGGTGAAGTCTATGTGGATAAAAAAGAACCTCGGAAACTTTACCCAACTCTACCCAGGTAGCTATGTCCTACGCTCCGGGTACAATTTCGATGAAAGCTCAAACCACAAACCCCGAATAGCTTCCCAAATGCCGACGTTTTGTTGCAGCACCATCGAGTGTCTACTAGTTAGTTACTGGATATTATGAGTTTTGAAAGACACCAAATGGCAGAAGGAGAATGTACGAATAATAGTAACTAGTGGTTCACTATACGGCATTGGACAAGAGATCAAATTGTCAGGATGATCATTCACCATAGCTGCAAAGCTAATGTCCCTCTAGTGCGCGGGCTCTCTCCGTGATCCCACGGATATGGTACTGCGGATCACAGATAGATATTACCCTTGTCCGACCGAATCGGATCGCTGTTACTCTCCGATCTATCGCCCGGGGGGTAAGCAATCTTCCGAGCTCATCCGGGCAGCCAAACGCATTAGCAGAGCAGTCAAAATATTGCGAGCATCTAGTTATCTAACCTAGAGGTGTTGCAGGTGCTTACGTTAGATATAATACTAAACCAGGTCGAAACCTAGGCACGGCAGTTGACCAATGAATTAGCCAGATACCTACATATGTAGCTAACCAAGGAGGAAGAGGATAGAAGAACAGATTATCTGGGTAGGCTCTCAACTGAACTGGTACGATATTGTAGTTATAACCTTGATGGATCATGGATGGGCTGATTCGCCGACTTCGGGGCGAATCCTTCAACACCGAGTTCACACTCCGTCACCTGGTAGTTTAGTTACTCCGGGTCCTAGCGTCTTTAAATACATCCATCCATGGCATGTGTAACTTGTAAGGAGGTACTTTTTATTCTTGTAGACAAGAAAGATTTGAAGTGGGAGAAGGGAACTTCCCCGTTGTCACCCCGCTATTAGCTTAGAAGTACAGAAAACCCCACCAACCCCAATTGGCGCTTACATAGTAAGAAGAGAGAAAAAAAAATATTACTTCCCTTTTTTTCTTCTCGCCCTCTTTTATCCTTCCTCCGTAAAACTCCTCTTCAACGTATAAAAAAGTTTTCGTTTCTTCATTGAAACGATTCTCCTGACTGTTTTTCTTCTCAACACACTATCCATTGATTCTCGTCTCATCTTTACACAATGGCTGCGACCAGTTCCACCTATGCTCTCTCCCAAGAGCACAAGGACGTGAGTAATATAGCCTTGTCTGTAATGTTTCAATGCTATTACTCCTGCTAACCCTTTACTAGCTGCTCGAGAGGTCTCTCCTCGACTCTGACCCGGAAGTGGCAGAGATTATGGTAAGTGGAATTTCATGGTCCCATCAATCTGGATCCAGTACTAATTCACTGTCACTATAGAAAAAAGAGATTAAGCGACAGCGAGAGTCTATCATTCTGATTGCTTCCGAGAATGTTACCTCGCGCGCTGTCTTTGATGCCCTGGGATCTCCCATGTCCAACAAGTACTCCGAAGGTTACCCTGGTGCTCGTTACTACGGTGGAAACCAGCACATTGACGAGATCGAACTCCTATGCCAGAAGCGAGCTCTTGAGACCTTCCACGTCGATTCGGAGCATTGGGGTGTCAATGTTCAGTGCCTCAGTGGTAGCCCTGCCAACTTGCAGGTCTACCAGGCTCTCATGGCACCGGGAGGTCGACTAATGGGTTTGGATCTCCCTCACGGTGGCCATTTGAGTCATGGTTACCAGACTCCCTCCAGAAAGTAAGTTTATGCTTCACTAATGACACCGGACATCCGATAATTAACTTGGCCACCTGTAGGATCTCGGCCGTCTCAACTTATTTTGAGACCATGCCCTACCGAGTGAACACCGATACTGGAATTATCGACTATGACAGACTGGAAGAGAACGCTCAGCTGTTCCGTCCCAAGATCCTTGTTGCTGGTACTTCCGCTTATTGCCGCGAGATCGACTATGCGCGCATGAGGAAGATTGCCGATTCTGTCGGAGCTTACCTTGTTGTTGACATGGCTCATATCTCTGGCCTAATTGCTGCCGAAGTCATCAAGTCTCCTTTCCCCTATGCCGACATCGTCACCACCACCACGCACAAGTCACTCCGTGGCCCCCGTGGCGCCATGATCTTCTTCCGCAAGGGTGTCCGTAGCACCGATCCCAAGACTGGCAAGCAGACTCTCTACGAGCTTGAGCCTGCTATTAACTTCTCTGTCTTCCCTGGCCACCAGGGCGGTCCTCACAACCACACCATCACCGCTCTCACCGTCGCCTTGAAGCAAGCTCAGACCCCTGAATTCAAAGCGTATCAAGAGAAGGTTGTCTCTAACGCTAAGACCCTTGAACACAAACTGAAGGAGCTCGGCTACAAGCTAGTATCCGACGGCACGGACTCTCACATGGTTCTGCTTGACTTACGGCCCCAGGCTGTGGATGGCGCCCGTATCGAGGCTGTCCTTGAGCAAATCAACATTGCTTGCAACAAAAATGCCACTCCGGGCGACAAGTCTGCTTTAACGCCTTACGGTATCCGCATTGGCACTCCTGCCATGACCTCGCGTGGCTTCGGCGAAGAGGACTTCGTGCGTGTTGCCGGTTATATCGACGACAGCATCAAGATTGCCAAGGAACTCCAGGCTAGTCTTCCCAAGGAGGCTAACAAGCTGAAGGACTTTAGGGCTAAGGTGACTGCTGGTGACATCTCTAAGATCAACGAACTCAAAAAGGAGATTGCCACCTGGTCCGAGACCTTCCCTCTCCCTGTTGAGGGTTGGAGAATGGATGCTGGCATCTAAACACTACAGGTACGAATGAATTATGAGACGAGAGAGGGTTTAGTGTTCAACAGATAGACACGAAGGCGATAAAGGGGCAACTCAACTTTCTCTGGTTTGTGGAAATGGGCTGGGTATGATTCAAAAAAGATAGAGATGGCAAAAGTCAACAATTGCATGCATTCATCAGGCGTTGCAAATATCATGAGAGCTCCGGAGTTTGGTAATAGCTCTTCGGGGTTTGGGCTATTCGACGGTACTGCTTCAACGCGGTAAATTATAGGGGACTGATTATTTAAATGACCATGTTTCCGTGTAATAAATTCGAGGTAGCAAAATACTCTCAGCTGGGTAGTTTTCAATAGAAGAAGACAAGCTACGATTCAATTAAAAGTGTCTCGAGAAGTGAGTCTGTATCCTAGAAACCCGGGGCTCCTACGCGCCAACCAACCCCCGGAGTTTCTTGCCGAACCCTTGAGGACCACCATCCTAGATATGGTCCTAGGAGTAGGTATGTAAGTGGTAGGTTAGGTAGTATTTCAAAGTCTACGATTTGGGATCTAACATTCTCACAATCTAAAAGCATAAGAATCTAGCAAAAAAGCATTCTCTTAGGTACCTAGTAGTCATTTCATTTTATTACTCTATCACAACTTACTCTGTTTACTATCCAGATGTAGACTAATTACCTACCTATAGGTAGGTATTTCAGTAGTAATTACCTAGCGTTGATTCTTCATCGACCACGTCAATTTATTGAAACGTACAGGTCGACTGCGCATCTACTGCACTGGGCGACGACGTCTCGCCTAGGGCCTTAGCACCGACGATGCTTTTCCACAAGACGTTCCGATTGAGGCGAGCGACCAGTTCTTCGAAAGCCTTGTCGAAAGCCATAGAGCCGTCATTGGTTGACCGAACCAGCCTGGAGGGCTCCAAGACGGGGATAAGGTCCCCCAGGTCCTTCCTCTGGCCTTCCAGCTTCTTGCCAAAGGCAGCCGCGTCCTCGTTGTCGGAGGTGCGGTTGATGAAGCGGGTCATGGCCACGTCCACGGGGCACTCGATGAGGATGGCGAGCTTGGGGAAGACGTGGAACTCGGCGAAGTGGTTCCGCATGTAGTGGAAGTCCTGGAGCGCCTGGGAGAAGCCGTGCAGCAGGATGGCGTTGTAGGCGCGGCCGCCGCGGTCCTTGTCCCCGCTCACCTCCTCCACGGTCTCCAGCAGGGCCTGTAGGATCACGTAGACGGGCACGGGCTCGCCGCGCAGCCGGCAGTTGAAGATCTGGACCTCGGCGACGGACACGTACCCGATCTTCTGCTCGCGGATGACCTCGTTGGGCACCGGCTCGCCCTTCTCTGCCCACTTGGTGCAGTCGATCCCGGCTCGCTTGAACGGCAGCTCGCACTTCTTGCGCAGCATCTCCTCGAGGTCGAGGTAGTAGAGGTTGTAGACCCCGGAGAGTTGGCGCCCGAGTGCGGCCTTGCCGCTGTGGGAAATGCCTAGGAGACTGATGATGGGGAGCATGTTTGCTAGTTTTAGAGTGAGTGTTTGAGGAACCTGGATGTTTGAGAGTGATTGTTGCTTGAACCTGGAAGTTTTAGAGTAATGGTTTTGACTTGACCCTGCTTTCTCAAATTTTACGAACATTAAAGGGGTTGGAGGGGAGTCTAATATATTAAGAATCAAAGACACACAATTTCGTCGTTACGACAATCAGTTATTGTTAAGATAATGGGCTCATTGTTAACCTTGGAAGATGGTTCGTAAACAAAGACATTCTTTGGGAAACGTACTATACCTATGTCCCTCCCTTACGAGAGACAATTAGAGTCTAAATAGGTATATTTAGTACCTACAAAGGGAGGAGCATAGCCCTGATACATTTAGAACCATCCTTTGTGCAACAAAAATAGAACTCCAGCCTGTCTCTTCATCTGAACTAAAGAGCTTATCCCTGTAAAGCCCGCTCCCCTATTGCAGCATGTTCACCGCAAAGCCATGGATACTCATTGATGGGGGCAAGCCACGACCCCGCCAGGTAAGCAAGGTTGAAAGACATTCTCGCATTGCAGATTGACATGATGGGGTTTTCTATCTATCTTCGTGGAACCACGAGAACGCCGCTCGGGTGACTGCGTCGATTTCGACAAGCGACACATGTTTTGTCGAAAGGATGGCTTACAGGTTTCTGGCGCACGAAGGATATTCCTTGTTTCTTACTACCTAGATATGCGATGTAATGGAGATACAATGGGGTTTTAGGCTGGGTGCAGCTCTAGAGCTTGGGGCGGCTTAAGCTTGATCGTGGGCTTTTGCCATGGAAACCTTTTGTCATGTTGATGATGTGTGCTAGGTTAGTTGGGTAGGCAGGGAGGTGAGTAGGATGGCCAGGATAAACAGTGGCTGCATGAGCAACCCTTCGGGAAATTCTGCAGGACACTGCATTTGCTAAATCCTCCTCTCATATTGCAATATACTATCGACGCATTGTATATCTTGCAGGGAACCAGTAAAGATGAGCTGAGGTTTCGTCCCAATGACAGACGCAATCCTTGGTCACCTGGGCAGCGATAGGGATGAGGCGAGACATTGATATTGGAGACCGATTTTGGTAAGAGATTGCTATCGCACACTGTGCTTGGAAGCATGTGCAAATTCAGTTCAGTATAAGAGCATTGGATTCCCATGATCATGAAGAAGTCAAAGTCTACTCATCCTGCGTCATCTCAGCCCTTCCCTCCAGGACAATACACCTGCTACGCCCACTTGTCGATTATTGCACCTTCTGGAAAACCATCGTGATGTACACCCTACTCTACCTCGCTGTGCTATTCAGCACAGCCACCGCAGCCCCCTTCGAACTCATCTCCAAACGCCCTCTCCATGATAACCAATGGAAGCGCGACAGCACCACCAACTGCCCGGCCTACCTCCCGGACGGGGAATACGAGTTCCCGCACTACATCACCTGGATTTCGCAGCAGCAGCCTGACCGCGCTTTCGGCTCCCAGTACGAGGGCCGCGTGACGCCGGGCGACATCTCGTCCATCTTCAGCTTCGACGTGCCCGCCTCCCGCGCCGACGCCAACTGCACGCTCGAGTTCCTCTTCCCCCGCCAGGACCAGCTCTCCTCCTCCAGCTTCACGTACGAGGGCCCCGGCAACTTCCAGTTCACGGGGTACCTCGCGGGCAGCTGCCCCGGCCCCGAGACGACGTTCAATAACCAGCCGACCCCTGGCATGTTCCCGCCCTTCCCACCGATACACATGGAGCCCGGGTTCGCGTACACGCTCGATGTGGGGCCCTGCACTTTTGCGGCGGGGACGTGTGTTGCCGGAGGTGAGCCCGGAGATTTTATCTTCCCTTTTTCCTTACAAAAACTCCGAATTCCTGCCTGCCTGCTTACCTACCCCTATTTCTTTTTTTTTCCCGAAAGAGAAAGGGAAAGTGCTAATAATGGCTGCGTGCGTTAGTGACTTCGTCGATTGACACGACCTTGGAGTTCTTCCAGGACATGGATGATTGCCCGATTGGGATTTACAATACTTATAGTTACGGGCTGCCTTGTGATCCGGAGCATTGTTAGTAAGGGGGTGAGGCTTTTGGCCCTGTGGAACGGGTTGGCGGGTTTAATTTTGATATCATGGTAATGTACTTAGGTTGCTTATGAGGTATAAAGGAATGAACTAAAGGACCGGCATCAGAAGATTGAAGAATGAGTGTGTCCAGTGTTGGTTGCAGATAGATAGATCGCGGTATACTACTATACACAGAACAAGCTCAAGCCATGATAGACTTCTTGATAATAAGCTACGTGGTACCGATTCGGCCTGTCGATGCTTGGATTTGTGCTCTGGTTACGCGCCCGAGGTTCCACGGGTCTGTGCTCAAGACACTACGGACGTAAGGGATACTTCAGCGTCTCTTGAGTAGCCAAGGGGAGGAGGGGGATAACTGCCGCCGATGTCAGTAGGATATGAACTATGGGGAGCTTTCGAGGAGTTTGCTTTTTCTTTTCTCCTTCCTTTTTCTATATCCCCACATCCGTGGCTTAATCTAAGGAGCCCTGGAGTATGTGAGCCATCTATGACTGGTCGATCTATTCACATCTAGTCCTACCACCTGCCGATCTTCCTAGATTTCTATGTGTGGCTGTTCGTTGATGTTCTTTTGCAACCAACAGCAAGCCAAGACCGACAAAGAGAATAGTATAAGGGGACATATGTAGGTATGAACAGACGCCTCACAATCTATTTTGAGTGCTCGTGATACAAGCCAACTCCCCTCTACGTAGAGGCTTTACCCCTTTTTACGCCATAAATTTCAGCTTCGAGAAACGAGGAAACGAGGATGGTCACTCGGTTGCTATGGGCCGTGATAATTAGAGGTTCGTTCTCTGAGACAAATCGACAGTGTACATGAATGAGGCTGACAGCTTCCACAGCGGGTCTCACGATCGCGGATTCATGCACAACCTCGACGATTTCTCTCCAGGCGCAGCCCACAAACGACGCCGGCCAGATCTCTCTAGAGATAACAGGCTGCAGCAACAACATCTCGAGCTTCCCCAACCTGCACACCGTCGCCCGGGTAAATCTGTACCGGAACTCGTTCTCCGAGCTCAACCTCGCCGCCCTCCACATCACAGACCAGATCCACATCGCCGACAACCCCAACCTCGAGAGGCTAGTCCTGCCCGATCCGCGTCCCGGCCAGACGATCTCCCTCCCGCCGACAGGCACGGATGCGCCGGCGTGGACAGACGTCGAGATCGTCGATAACCCGCGGCTGAGCACCGATGGCATCGTGTACCAGGGTAGCAGCGCCAACTTCTGGGCGTGGGGCGCCCGCAACCTGTCTAGCTTTGTGCTGTCGGGCGGGAACTTCCACTCGGATTTCTTGTGAGTCGAGTATCCACCCGTTTTTCCATCATCATCATCCCAACCCACCTACCAGCCAGCCAGTCAGTCAGCCAGACCCTGTCGTCTTGCTGTGGTGTCGTCGAACCACTCTATCTATAGATTAGTAGATACTGAGGACCTTGCTAACGATAAGACCTAGCTACCCTTCCGCGGGCCAGCCGGACATGAGCCATGTATACGTGACCACCAGCCTGGTCGTGAACTCGACGGATCCGACGTACGACTGTGGCTACTTGAACGCGTTGAGGTATAATGGGCTGTTCAAGGGGAACTACACGTGCCAGGGCAGAACGGTTGAGCCTAGCAGTCCGGCGTATAGCCTCTCGAGCTCTCGGAACTCGCTCTTGGGCGTGTTGGCGGCGATGGTTTGCTTCGTTAATTTGCTATGATGTGATGGTGCGAGAACGGTATATAGTCCCAACTCTTGACTAAATTTCTAAGAAGAACTGGGATACCTATACCACAATAGGCCGTCATCCAGAAAGTATTTGCTGTAGCTTATTCAGCGTATTTGCCCGCGGCGGGGAAGCGCTCAGCGAGACATGCTCCGCCTCAGCAAGGTGTATCGCGAACATGCCTTCCTTCCTTCATGGCAGACACCATATCGCGCTGCTCGCTATCACCGACATACACCATATCCCCCTGCATCAATCCCCAAAATACTTCAACACCCTAGCAAACAGCCCGCCCGTCTTCGCCACGCCAAACCGGTTCGTCGGCGCGATGAAGTCAACGTACCCGCCAATGTCGAGCCTCTGCACCGTCCTCTCCTGCGCATCCTGCGGGCCCTCAGTCAGTCACGACCACGATTCTTCTTCCCCATATCTTTGAGCGTCGACAATAGGTAAGCTCAAGGCACCGCACTTCGGTTCGAGAGATTGGCTTAGCGGCGCTTCGCACAGCTCCTGGATCTCGGCCGTGAAGCCGCTGTCGCTGTCGCTGTCGTGGGGGGGACCTCGAAATGCGCCAGCACGGCGGGAAAACTTGCCGCGCCGGTAGTCAGTCAGTCGAACGAGGTCTTACCGTCTGAGAAGGCATCTGCGGGGGTTTTTTTTTTTTTTTTTTGCCTAAGAACGTTCGCGTACATTACCTCCGTCTTTAGCGATGTGGCGGGGATGTTGTGTCGCGCAGAGATAACGCCGAGGACTTTGGTCAACGGCGTTTCCGGAGCCGCGGCGGAATTCGTGCAGGGTGTCGTCGAGGTCGAAGCCGACCCGGGATCGCCCCGCAAACACGGCCTGTAGCTGGGTGGTGGACTCTTGCCAGCAGCGCATGTATTGACGGCCTACCTGCTCCCCAATTTTCGGTTTTCTCCATGTTGGATGGGAGTCCGTGGTATGGTGTGTCTATCTCGGTGGATGCGAATATTTGCTCTGAGAACGGTACGCCCCAATGTTGGCAAATGTGCTGGACTCCCTCCCGCGGGGCTTGGGTGAGTTTTTCGTAGAGGAGGCTTGATGCAGTGTTTGCAGGAGCGCGGCTTAGCAATGGGAACATCGTGGTATAATATTTGATCAAACTCTTGGGATCCCCCCATCCTATCTGTTTCCAATCGTCGAATACTCGAATGGAATCACGAATTAATATAATTGGTCGAGCCCTTGCATACGGCGAGGGGGTAAAGAGCATCTCATGCTTGTCATCCCGTGGTATCATCAATGCTAAGCTCTTTCGTGCATATTAGAAAGGGCTTTCCTGAATCTCTCACATTGGTGAAGGCGCTATGGTGGGACAGGTCTTCTAGACTGAGGTATTGAGGGGCAGAAGCGTCTGTAACTGCGCAGAGTGGATGATTTTGGAAGATTGTCATGAGAAATGTAGATCCGCCGTGAGGACAGGTGACGATGAACCGAACTTGTGGTTCACCGTCGGGTGGTTGCATTTCATACATTTCGTTTCGTTTGCCGATTGCCGATTGCACAAATAGCTGGGAGTTACATGCACGCGTGAGACGGAAGGAATGATTGAATACCGTGTTTTTATATCAGTTACATTTGACTCCGGGCTGAGATGCATTCATTGGTCCATAATCCGGTGCTCCGTCGGCTACCGATGGTCAGTAGCGGCGGACTTATCAACTACCGTACTCTGGCTCCGTTCCGGGCAGTCCGGATCTCCATGTAGTTAGAAGGTATCTATTTAATTACTGACCCTAACCTAGCCACTACTGGCAGCGCAGATCGGAGAGCATAAGTGGGCAACGCCTAGCCCAAGTTGCCCTTGGCTAAGAAGGCTAAGAAGCATTGATTGCAACGTCTGGGAGCATAGCCGAGAGCGGCTAAACTAACTCCCTAACCCTCTAAGGCAGGCCAGGATTTTGATGAACAATCTTGAAATACTGAATGAAGAAGTTGGCCTTAACGGTACCTGGTCGAGATGATAAGAATGGAAACCAGTACCTGAACTAGTCCCTACGAAACACTAGGCTTCATCTTGGCCATGCTTTATACGACATTCGCACATCCTTGCTGCCAAGTCGCGTCATACTACTAGTAATCGTATCTACACGACACGCAGCATATATAAGTTGTCCGAAAGTCCCGTTATTGTTGTAGAGCTGGCTTCGTAAAGGTGTCTCTCTTTGATTACACCGTTGAAAGTTTTTTTTTTTCATATTCATTGTCCAAACATGCGTACTTCCACTCTTTTGGCCGTCGCTTCGGCGCCCCTTGTGGCATTGGCCACTCCCCTTCTCGCGCCCCGGCAAAACACTACAACGTTCTGCACACGGATCGACCCGCCCCCTACCGCAGCGGAGGCCGAAAAGAGGTTCAACGAGTTCGCCAACTTCTTCCTGGTCGAGAAAGATATCTACAGGGCCTTCGATTACATCCTGCCGGAATACATTGTAGGTCTTGAAAGCTACCTAGGAGATACTAGGTAGCATGCTGTTCGATGGGTACACGTTGGCTAACTAGGACGCCCGATAGAACCACAACCCTCTGGCTGAAGATGGGGCGCAGAATGCCTTGGACCTCCTGAGCCCGTTCTGGGGAACCCAGAACATCACGGTGCTCCGAACCAAATTCGGGGGCGAGATGACCTGGCTCAACTACCAGAGCGCGTTTGGCGAAATTGTGGACCGCTTTCGTTGGGAATCCGGTTGTATCATTGAGCACGTACGTATTTGAAAACGCCCTGTTCCCTCATGCTAAACGGCAATGCTAATTAATAACCTGAATAGTGGGATCAAGGAGAAGTGTTCCCGGCCGATGCTTGTAAGAGAGGCCTCTGATCGCCATAGAGAATTGCCAAATAATGACCAGACTTATAGAGTTCGCGAGACATTCCAAGAATTATTAGACACCTACACTAGGTAGTTCGTTATTAATATGATTAAACACAATTCCACAAATGAAGCCCCTCATAAAACGCCGCGTGATAGTAAACAAGGTAATCGAAATTAATGGGCCATTAATTCTACCGGCTCCTTTTGGGTCGCCATCTCCTGTACATTTTGTATCTCCCGTTCACCTTTTTTTATCTCGCCAACATCATCACCGCCTACGGTTGAATTGCCCAGGGTGGAACGTCGTTTTCGTCTGCCAAATAGGTATCCTATCGCTATCGCACCGAGAATTGCGAAGATGCCCACCGACACACCAACGCCAATGCCCACTTTAGCACCAATACTAAGATCACTCGCAGTGGAAGATGTGCCACTGTTCGGGGGAGGTTCTGTGCTTGTCATAGTCGGTATCGATGTTGGCATGGGCAGTACACTTGCTGTTGTGATGGAGGCACTTATTGTAGTCGTGACACTGCCCGCGGAATTTGTTGGAGGCCACTCAGGGTCATCCTTGCCTCTCCATACGATGAGCCCTTTGGCAAGAACGATATTACCAAGCGCATAGAAAGTGGTGGTTGTACCAACCGTAGATGGAATGCTGGAGTCGCCAATGTAGGATATGACGTGCACTACAAAGGAACTATCAGAGGGCAAAGCGGAACCACAAGCATTGGGATCTGATAGGCCATCTCGTCCGCCGCGGCAAGTGAATCCACTGCGGGCGATACACTCATTAGTAGGTGGATTCTTGTAGTCGTGATACCTTCGTAACATCAATAGTGTGGAAAGGAGATGGGTACTAGAACGCGAAAGGGGAATATGACTTGGATAATACTTAAACCGCTTCAATATCCAGAGCGTGAGTAGCCTTGTGGGAGTGGGGGGAGGGGGGGTTGAGAGGTGTAGGAAGAAAACATTGAGCGTAATCTCAGGTCTTAATATATCAATCCTCCTTTTACATATGTCCCTTTTTCTTCTTCTTTGTTCCGTTCTGAGAATCTTTCCTATATGCTGTCGCTACTAGTAACTTTGTGAGGTGTGATAACCACATACCTAGGACAGCATGTTGCCGCTGTAGCACTCGAAGTAGTTCCTCCGGTCACACCAACTCTGCATGCATAAGGATAACCTTGCAAACATATGCCAGGGGAATAATATTCAAGGTCGTAAGGATCATAGCTCGATGGAAAGCAATCATTAATGGTTCCTTGCTGGAGCCAAGTATATATACCATCGACTGCAACGTGTTTGACGAGCAGCCAACGCCGCTAGGCGTGTATATCGTAGTGAGGGCACCGAGGATCGCCATGCTGATATTGTGATTACAGGACGTCACTGGAACTTAATAGTCGTACATACTAGGTAGGCAGTGAGCTGAGATGTATGAATAAACTTTCTAGAAAAGAGGGAAAAGGAAAAAAGGAAATTGACCATAGGTGACCTAGAACCTACCTATTGTATATCTACCTATCCACCTACTCACCCCCTGTGGCTGAACTTAGGAGTACATAGCCCTTTCTTAGCGAGGTATATGAACCCAGGTTCATACATAGTAAGAGAGACTATATCACCTACCACGAGATTGGGCATAATGTGCTTTTATCGAAGCGGCACAACATGTGAAGACGAAACGAATTCAGGTAAGCCCCCAACCCTGCCCTGCCCTGTTTTCGTTATTGGTATTGGTAAGCTGAGGCTTTCCGAAGAATGGGGGCTATTATAGGTTGAAGGTTGGCTACTGGTGAATTAGTGATTGATGTTCAAGTGATAGCGAGAGTAAGTTGAGCCATACCTTCTGAAGCGATGTGAATAATATCAATATCCGTATATCAAGGAACACTCGTCGGGATTCAGAGCTGCGCAGCCGCTTACCTAGTAGTAGGGACAATATCAACACAAACATGAAAGATAAACGGTGACCGAGCCCACGGCATGTTTCAGACTGAACCGTGACTGGCTGGTTGGCTACTCAGGTACCAGTCCTTTGGGGCTTTCCGTCTATTTCATACGTCGTTGGTGAAGATCGAGTCTGACTGTCTTACTAAGGTCTCACTTGCTTGGATGTGTCAAGCCCATTTAAGCTCTTAAGACTGCGGGAGGAACCTGTTCACAACCTCTGGCCGTTTGTGTTACGCGTCATACCTACTCCACCTACATAAAATGGGTATGGGAATGAAGGCACAACAGCTCGTAAGTAAGGACTTTGTGTCACCTTCAGCCTTCCCTGGCAGACGCTGAAATACACAGCACGTATGAGAATTGGAAAGCATTTCCCCCATCACCATATATCGATCCTTAGGCAAGTAATGGTGTAAATCCGAGCAAATTCTTCAGTCTAAACCCGAGCGGAAATGAACAATCCGATGTCTCTTCCCGTGATCCTCGGGAAAGGATAAGGATAAGGGTAGAAGACTAACCTGGCGATCCTGTCCGAGACGAAAACGCTCGGCTTGGCACCCGTAGATACACCGAAGACTTCTAGTTCCGAGTTCCGCGGCCTCGAAAAACTGAAGAAAAGAACCCCGGAATATTTCTCCATCCCCAGACTTTAGCGCGATCAGCACCAGAGCTAAACTTCCCCACTCCCCGGATTATTTTGCGGGTGCCTCAGGTATTGGCAATTTGGCACCGGGGTAAGGCTCGTTGGAGTAGCGATTGGCGCCGCCATCATAGTTTTTTCGTGGCTCTCTTAGGGTTGGAGATGGAGATGGTAGATGGAGAAAGGGAACATCGCTCGTTTTGTTCTCGGGCTCGTCATAACACCAACCGACGGCTATCATTCCCGGCATCGTAGAGGCAGCAGGAAATTCCTCCACAAACCATGTTGTATTGGGCTCTTAGGCATAAGTATCTGATGATAATTTGTTTATTTTCTTATGTAATTGGAACCGAGGTCCTGAGCATGAACATTGGTGAAATACCAGGTACTACCCTAACCCAGACTCCCAGAGAAGAAGGTTGGAGAGGATGTATCAAAGAGTATGGAGAGTTGTCAAAGAGCCCACTCTTGGAAAAATAAAAAAATAAAAAGGTCTTGAATACATCCATGCTATAGGGCGTCGCACTTTCCACCTGTATTTAACATCACTTCAGATCAAAGTGGAAAAGCTTAGAGGTGCAATATTGGTGCCTAGTGGATGGTATGTACCTACCTACAGGACCATAGAGATGCATGGAAGTATGCATGGAACAAACCTTGAAGATAACCTTTGGAACCTTACTATGTACCTAGGTTAGGGTACATAGTAGGTACAGATAAGAATAACTATTAGGGCAATGCTTATTAAGCGCGCGGCCTTTATAAGAGAATTAAAATTTACCGGCGGTCAATGGGAATCAAATCGAAATCTAGACATTCAATGTTTCTTCTTCACAATGCTTGTATCATATTAACGTTGACGCAGCCTGGCGGCGTGTGCATGTTCAACAGCTTAACCGAGACTGGGAAAGGTACCAGGATTGGTGTCTAGATACATTATGTACGCCGTTCCAGCAACCAATCTTGGCCCTCTGCCCTTGTTCTCCTCCTTCTCCTCGTCTATTATGTCGATTGGGAGCTCGGGTTGGGCAGGTACTTGCATAAGGCGACAAGGGAGGGGATCATTCTCTCTCAACCTGCATTTCTTGATCAACCTTACATAGTAGCCATTGTACCCTACCAGCCTACCTAATATCCTCCTCACCAATGGCCCAGCGATCTTTACCTGAACGCACGGGGCTCTTTGCAAACGCGGAGATTCAGCCTATGCGCGTCATATCTCTCCAATCAACCAAGGCTCGACAGTAGACTCGGTAGCATTGGCACCATGAAAACTTTAGTAATAGGTAGCCGAGTTAAGAAAAGTACACGGTAGGCAGACAGACAAGTATAAGAAGAAAGACTTCATCCCCTCTCACTTCCCCCAAATCTTTCTAAGGGTCAGGTGGTTTTACCTTCCTTTGTCGCCGACTCTCGACTTCCCCGCCCCCCAAAGGTATAAGACAGGAGGTGTGAAGGTGTCGAGCTGCAAATAATTAATAGGTCATTAAGAATAAGACGAAAGAGACGAAAGAAACGAAAGAAGAATACAGGAAAAGGAAAAGAAACAGAAGAAATAAGTCAATAAGTAAACAGCCATCATGGTGGGCTGGTACTCCCTCGGAGTCGCCTTATTCGCCGCCATTGGCACATTTCTATTCGTACGTCCCATCTCATCTTCCCATCCAACCACCTTATTGAGATATACATGATTATGCTGACCACACTTTTGGCAATAGGGGTTTGATACCGGCATTGCTACAACCAGTAAGTTTAGAGAGATTCCCCCTCAGAATCATTCCAACTATCCATCCCAAACTCAGCCCTATCTACCAATCTCATAAACCCGACTTGGCATAAGCGCTATAAACAAGCTAACAAATGCTTAGCCATCGCCCACGAAAGCTGGATCGTTTATATGAACCACCCCTCCAATGGCCTCACCGGTGCCGTCGTCGCCGTGTACATCGCGGGTGAAGCCGTTGGCGCCATAGGACAAAGCTTTCTCGGTGACCGACTCGGCCGCATCCGCTTCATGCAGCTCCTCTGCATCATCGTGACGATCGGGACCACCATCCAAACCGCCTCCGTCAACATCGGGATGTTCCTGGCTGGGCGCGCGATCGCCGGCGTCGCGGTCGGCGCCATGGTCGCAACCGTCCCCATCTACCTGAGCGAGATCTCTGCGCCGCAACACCGGGGTCTCATCGGCGGCATCTCAGGTTGCGGCATCTCCTTCGGCACCATGATGTCCAACTGGGTCGGCTTCGCATGCTCCTACGCCCCCTACGGCGCCGCCCAGTGGCGCCTACCCCTCGCCATCCAGATCCCCTGGGGCATCATCATGTTCGCGGGGCTCGCGACCTTCATGCCGGGGTCGCCGCGACAACTCTTGCGTAGCGGGGACGTCGAGGGCGCGCGTCGCGAGTTCGCGAGAGTTCGGCGGGACTTACAACAGCACGAGGTGCACGAGGAGTTTGCGCTGATGCACGCGCAGATCGAGTTCGAGATGGCGCGCGAGGTGAAGTCGTACCGGGAGATCTTCCGCTTGTTCGGGCGCCGCGCTTTTGTGTCGATCGCCGTCCAGACCATGACCAGTCTCACGGGCATCAACGTCATCCAGTACTACCAGACCACCCTCTACAAGTCCCTGGGCATCCCGCAGACGACGATCCTCGCGCTCGCCGGCGTCTATGGCACCGTCGCCTTCGTCTCCAACTGCGTCACCACGCGCTTCCTGACGGACCAGTGGGGCCGCCGCAAGATGATCCTCACAGGGATGAGCGGGCTCGCGCTCGTAATGGTGTACTCGGCCTTGATGCAGCGGTTCTTCCAAAATAGCGACAACGCCGTCGGCAAAGGTTTTGCCGTCCTGGGTATTTATCTGTACGTCGCGCTGTACTACGCTATGATCAACAGCACCACTTGGCTGTACGGCGCCGAGGTCCTGCCCATCGACCTGCGCAGCAAGGTCATGGGCTTCGCGGCCGCCAGCCACTTCGTCGTCAACGTCGGCATCACGGAGGCCGGGCCCAGCGCGTTCGCGAACATCCACGAGAACTATTACTTTGTCTTTATCGGGTGCACGCTGGTCTTCTTCATCATCGCGTACCGCTACTTCCCGGAGACGAGACACAAGACGCTGGAGGAGATCGCGCAGGCGTTTGGCGATAAGGTGGTGCTGGTGGATGAGGGCCAGGTGAACAGGGAGAGGGAGCTGGCGGTGCTGGCGATGGGGGATGTGGAGAATAAAGGCCAAGTGGCGGCTTCGACGAGCTCGTCGGCTCGGCCTAGTCAGGCTTCTTAGTTGAGGAGGTACCTAGGTAGGTAGGTAGCCTGTCACATATGCAGTATTGTTAATGTTGGGTATTCTAAATCTAAATCATTATATCGTAACCCCTTTGTTGGATATATGTACATCGCATGTGCGTGAAAATAGCCAAAAGCAACTGTTCAAGCCAGTGTTGTGCTTTCATGTACCAACCAACCAGGCAGGCAGGTATCCATCGCCCAACTACGCGCTGATATCTCAGACTAATATCCGCCTATCCATCCCTATATCCATGCCCCAAAGTACCAAAAAGTATACACGTCTAAGAAGCGACCCATATTTTAGTCCACCTTCTTCGCCACCACGCTCTTCGCCTTTTGCACTTCTGCAGATTCCTTGCCAGGATTCTGACGCTTCGGTGAAGTCAAGTAAAGCTACCACACAACACATCAGTAAGTTCCTCGGTTAGGTACCTAGTTCGGGGTAGACAGGACTCACATATAACTCGACGCCTATAAAGTGAATAACAAACGCCGCCCACCCCGCCATGCCAAAACTCACATTGACCGCGGACGCAACCTGGACGCGATCGCCGTTGAAGACGTTCACGGGCACTTTTATGTGTAAGTCGGGATCCTGCCCGGAGAAAAAGGGGGCGCAGGCCGGGTACAGCGCCATGGTTGCGTTCTCGCCCTTGAGGATGAAGTCGATCTTGCCGCAGGGCTGCTGGCTGTGGTAGCCGCCGAGCAGGGACATGGCTATGACGCTGGCGACGACGAGAATTCGGAGGGTGATGATGGAGCCGGCCTGTGTATGGTGGTTTGTGTTAGCAATTAGGTACCTAATAGAAAGCCATGTACAGTTTGTCGACCAAGTGAGTGAGTGAAAAAAAAAAAACTGGTGATACCTAGGGGGGGGGGACTCACATAAGCCCAAGCCCGCAGCATCCAATCGCGATGCCTCTGTATCTGCCTGCGCCTGGCACACACACACCCCCGGGCCAGCGCCCACAGGAACGCCGTCGACAGCGCAACCCCAACCGACACCGTCGCGACCCCGCCATTCATCGCGCGCGGCGCAATCACCACCGAGCTCACCGCGCCGCAAACCGACAGGACCACAACAACCCACCCGCTGGCCCTATGGAACGCGAGCGCTCTCCGGCGCGCGAGCGGGACGAACTGCACGCACGCGAGCAGCGCCGCCGGCAGGATGGTCGCGAGGTGCACTATGATCCCCCATTGGTACCGGGTGCCGGGCTGCAGGTAGACCCAGCACTCGCCGGGGGAGGCGGCGTCGGTGCTGCTGCCGCCGCGGGAGGGGGAGGAGCCGCAGAAGACGCCGTGGAAGTCGAGGTAGGGCAGGCGGAAGAGGGTGAAGAGGAAGAGGCGCCCGGCGAGGAGGAGGAAGAGCCAGAAGTTGTAGCCGTGGGTGAAGCCGATGGTGAGGTAGAGGCGCTGCAGGAGGGGCTTGGAGGGGGGGTGGGCTGGCGCGGTCATTGTGTAGGTATGTATGTACTGGGTAGGTAGGTATTTAGGGTAGATATGTACACCTAGGTACGAAAGGTAGTACCTCTTATAAGAATTGACCAGTAGCTTTTCAGTAAGATGCCCGTTCAGCTCCCGGCCGAGAGACGTCGCGTCCTTTAGGGGTTGTCCCGAGGCCGTTGCATACTAGTAGTCTGGTGAGCCAATAGGGTTGGTTATCGTCGAATGGATCGGGGTAAGAAATAATACTAATAAGACTAATAAGAATCCCACCTTTAACTCGGATTAATATTTTTTTAAATCTTTTCTTCTTCTTCTACTTCCATCCTTCCGAGGCAACCATATTATGGTCATTCAGCTGAAACATTTCATTAGCCACCGTCCCAGCCTTCTTCTTCTTCTAGTCATTTACATAAGGCTGCTTACTACTGTAGGATCATTTGTTGAGCCGTCATAATTAAGGACCAGGACCTTCTCCGTTTGAATTCCTCTTATGGACTGCAAACTGTCGCCACGACTCGATCACGACCATGGGACAGATGCTCGATAGCAAGCCTATATGTGCTAGAATAATTATTCTACAAGTGCATCTGCCAGTACACTCCAGCACATTGCGGCACTCGGTGGGCCCATTAAAGGGCTTATCTACCAACGCGCGCATCTATCCATTAATGGTCCTTGAGTTGTGGTTCAGGTGAGACCTGTTTCCGTTGCAGGATATAAACGGGAGTCCCGTTTGATAACTGCCCCTGAGTAGTTGGACTCTAATGTCTCAACAACTCTGGAGCATTTCAATGGTTAGGTACAGTATATTCGCCACCATAAATAGCGATTTCGGAAACATTTCAAGCGATTTCTCACAATAGAACTGGCATTTGTGAAGTCATACACACACCTCCATAATATGGCCTTGCTCTCAACATACATACGTGGAGCTACCCAGGTAGGTATGAACCTGGCATTAATAATGCATCCAATGTATGTACTATGTACCCCTACCCATCGTCTAGACCCGTCAATGTTTTTTTGACTCATCGTGACCCTTGACCGCTTTCCGACGCCCTTGATCTGACGCGCCGATGGTGCCCCGGCAAACCCACCCGCAGCCGAACGAATCAACTCCAGAGCTTCCATCATCTACGCGCATACCACACCATCGTATCTATACTTAAATCCGACAGATAACCATATCCAAAATTTACTAGGTGAACCTACAACCGTGCATTCCGCTATCGCTTTATTCCCAGATTTGTTTCCAGCCTTGGCTCGCGCCCTGCATGTGGAATTTTTCTCGCAGCGTTTGCGGACATATTTTACCTGTGACCACGGTCGTACTCTTTGTGAAAACGTCGATGAACACTCTCTTTCCTTCTTCTTCTTCTTCTTCTCGTAGTGATCTAGATTTGACTGTCGTGTATCCCATTTCCCTCAAATTTGCGTAAGTAGGTAGGAGAAGCAACCATGCATCTCAAATCTCTGCCCCACAAGCCCCCGGGCTACATGCTCGCCGCCATCCTCTGTTCGCTGGGCGGCTTCCTGTTCGGCATCGACACCGGCATCATCGGTCCCGTCACCGTCATGGACGACTTCAAGCAGTACGTCGGCAACCCGTCCCCCACAATCCACGGCCTCGTCGTCTCCTCTATCCTTATCCCCGCCGCGTTCTCGTCCTTCTTCGCGGGCAGAGTGGCGGACATGCTGGGCCGGCCCCGCGGAATCGCCATCGGCTCGTTTATCTTCGGCGTCGGCGCGGCGCTTGAGGGTGCGTCCACGCACATTGCCATGTTTATCGTGGGACGGGTCGTCGAGGGGATCGGCGAGGGTCTTTACCTGAGCGTGCTAGTTGTGTAAGTTCATCCCGTACATAGTAGTACCTACCTAGGTACTTGCCTATCTGAGCACACGCCCGTGAACTAACTCCTCGCCCCACAGCTACATCTGCGAGATCTCACCCCCGAGACACCGCGGCGCCCTGACCACGGGCCCACAGTTACTAACCACCCTCGGCCTCGTGACCGGCTTCTTCACCTGCTACGGCACCGCCACCATCACCTCGTCCTCATCATCGCCATCCATGTCCTGGCGCCTGCCCTTCATCCTGCTCGCCGCGTACTCCCTCGCCTTCAGCACCGCGATCCTCATCTGGCTGCCCCCGTCCCCGCGCTGGCTCACGCTCCGGGGCCGCGCCGGCGAGGCCGCCGCCGCGTGGGAGAAGCTCGACGTGCCCGCCGCGGACCGCGAGAAGATCCTCGAGCAGTGCGAGACGCCGGCTGCCGTGGTCGCGGAGAGCACCGCCGGCGCCCTCCCCGAGGCGAGCAGGGTCCCGAGCATCGGCAACGTTGCGGCGGTCGCGGCCGCGTCGCTGAAGGAGAAGAAGGCGAAGCTGCTCGACGTGTTCGCGTCGGATGCGCGGCCGCAGCTGCTGTTGGCGGTCTTCCTCATGGCCATGCAGCAGCTGAGCGGGATCGATGGTGTTCTATATGTAAGCCCACTAACAACCCCCCCTTTCCCTTATAAAAGAAAGAAAACCAAAAAAAAAAAAAAAAAAAAAAAAAAAACCGGTCATAGCTAATCAAACCAGTACGCCCCCCTCCTCTTCTCCCAAGCCGGCCTCTCCACCACCTCCTCCACCTTCCTCGCCTCCGGCGTGTCCGCCATCCTCATCTTCAGCGTCACCATCCCCGCCACCCTCCTGGCCGACCGCTGGGGCCGCCGCCTCAACACCATCCTCGGCGGCCTCGGCATGGCCGCCACCATGTTCCTCATGGGCTCCCTCTACGCCTCCGGCTCCGTGCACGGCGGCGAGGGCGCCGGCCGCTGGGTCGTCATCGCCGCCATCTACGTGTTCGCCGCCCTGTACTGCGTCACCTGGGCCGTCGGCGTCAAGATCTACGCCGCCGAGATCCAGCCCCAGCGCACGAGGGCCAGCGCCACGAGCCTCGCCCACGCGGCCAACTGGCTCGCCAACTTCCTCGTCGCGCTCGTCACCCCGACGCTGCTGGCCACCGCGAGCTACGCGGCGTATTTTTTGTTTGGAGGCTGTGCGGCGCTCACGGCGGGCGTGTGCTGGCTGTATATGCCCGAGACGAGGGGGCTGAGTCTGGGGGAGATTGATGATGCGTTTCGGGAGAGGAAGAAGGGGGGTAGTGGGAGTGGGGGTGGTGGGTGGAAAGGGCTGGTGAGCACGGTGGTGAGGAGGACGGTCTTGAGGAGGAGGATGCCGGCGGCTGTGGAGGTTTGATGTCGTTTTGGATGCCTATGCGTGCTTTGCCGTTCATTGCCTTTCAATGTTAGTCGGTACTGCAGGTACCTGTGATTTCGGTCGTTATTCGATTTTAACTCCCTGGTCTGGGCTTGTAGTGAGATCTAGGGTGGAATACGACGCTGCAATGTAGATGAGTTCGAATGCCATTCATTCCAAGATACCTACCTCATACCTACCCAATCCTCCAGACATCTTATAACTTGCGTGGCTCTTATCTCATCATGATGTCGGCCCTCGAAAACAAGCAATTGCACACTGCGTCTCGATCGTTGGATCTAATCAAAATGTATTCCCCATGTCCAAGTAATTTTAAGATTGTCCTTGCGCCACATATCATACCCATCTCTGTAACTAGCAAGTCGGCAGTCAATGATCTGCGACAGGACAATAGAACCGCGGCAAACAAAGCAAGCAAACAGTTAACATCAAACCCGCGGGCGGAGCGAGGGCAGCCTATTATACATAGATATTTACATACATTCATATTGATAATAATTTACAGACACGTCACAAAAGTTACAAATATAAAGACTCCATCTTGGGGAAATCGTATAGAATCCTGTCTGATGCAGCTAACTCCTACTGCTATATCCATGACAGTGGCGTAAAATGGGTGTGTGATGGATGTGTGTACGTGTTTCTCTCGCTTTCCGCTGAAGACCGGGGGGGACTTTTGTTTATGTACATGACAACTGGAGTTTGGGCGAGCCGTCTGGGGGATGCATGCCCTGTCACATCCTCGTGTTCAGCGTGCCTACAATTGTGACTCATCCCATGCCTAGCCCGCTCTCCTATCTCCTCGCTCAAGGCTTCTACTCGTCCTTCGTCTCTCCATCCAGTTATATGCAAGTATTCATGCCAAGTATTCATCGGTAAGTAAAAGCAATAGAAAAAAACAGCCAATAAAAAGGTATGGGAAGACCAATGACAGAGATAGGAGAAAAAAAGGTGAAAAGCATTGCCCGATACTTGGAGGGTGGATATCCATGGGCATCCCTCCTCAAACAAAACGCCCCAATGCACTTAGCAATACGCCACGCGTCTTCCCATATGCCCCCCCCACCCCCCTGGCTGTGGTCTAGAAGGGAAAGAAGGAAAACAAATAAAGCGGTATCCCGTCGAATAGGGTATAAAAATAGGGATAGTAAAGAATTAATAAAACATCACCTCTTAGGAAATAAGAGGCGGCAAATCTGGTAGAATCATGAGAAACTCTTTCCGTGAAGTTCTTTTTGTTCACATGCTCGTCTCTAACGCTCCATGCTCTCGGGGCTCATCATGCCAGTGTCATCCTTATCTGCCTGGCTGTTGTTACCTTGGCTATCAGCACGCTCCATGGGAGGGGCAACAGGAAGAGATGCACCACCATTGGCCGAGCCAGTCCCGTTCGGTACAGATATGCTCTTAGACTTCTTCGGACCACCTTTCTCCGGACTATTGTTCGCAGCCTTGCTAGCTTCAGCTGCCTGGGCCTCGAGCTTCTTCTTCTTTTTGTTGATGGCATTCTGCTCCTTTGGAGGCCGCTTCTGTGGAGATACGATCTTGCCGGTAGCACCGAGTCGGGGTCGAGGTCGTCGCTGTTTCACAGGCAGGTCTTCATCCTCCACCAAAGGTGAGTCGCCATTAGCGTGCAACTTAGCGAGGAAGAAGTTCTTGACGAGGCCAATCTGCTCCTGGATATTCTCCTTGGTGACAGGATCCGGAGGCGCCAGGTCTTCGAAGAGAACCGTGTCGGAAGACCCTTGTGTCTGGCTTTGGGCCTGATATTGGTTACGCACTCTGGATTGGAGAAGATGGAGGGGAACAGAGAGCACACCGCCCATCTCTCCAGCAAGGCCAAGTTCCTTGAATCCAAAGAAGTCTTCACCAAGCTCCTCCGCAAAGTCACCTCCAATAAACTGCTCACTCCCATCATCAAATGCGGCTGCCCCGTCCTGGGTAGCGTCGGTAACGGCAGGACGTAGAAGATCACCTAGATGAGATTTCATGCGATCGTGAATACCAGTGAGTTTGTGGCCAAGCCTTTCAATCTCGTCTTTGGCATAGCTCTCCAGTGCTTCAACCGAGTAACCGCTTTCAGAGAGAGTATGCAGTATAGCCTCCTCGGCGTTATAACGAGGCTGAGCGGTATAGCCGCGTTGCATTAACTCCAAGCAAGGGTCCATCATTTCAATCTCAGTGTATGATTTGAAAGACTTGATGACCTTGCCAAAGTAGTCGGCGGCAATGTCGGTAATGGTGTCCATCGCCGAGGGCTGAAGCTCTTCAAAGCCGGCATGATAAAACAGTTTCGCAACAGACCGTTGCAGAGCAGCTCGGCAGACTTGTGGTGCCATAACAATGTCATCGGCACTAGACACGACGTGCGGCTCAGCATCGGCCTCGTGGAACGGTTCGGGATTATATTTGGGAAATTGATTCGCGTACACCTAGAGGATATTAGCCACAATCACATATGTGTAGTGCGAGGAAGATACATACCTGGGTCTGAAGTTGCATCTGTTTAATGACGCCAATTTTCGAGCAGACCTTCCTCGTCTCCTGCATCTGTCGAATATTGGCATCAAACTTCTGGGTTAGGCTGCTCTTGGGAGCCGTGAACAATCCCGGTGGTATGGTACGAAGATAATCCTCATGTTGATTGATGACCTGACCTTCGTTGTCCTCGATCCACTGAAGCTTTGGTGGGATGTCGGGGATCATGCTCTGGGGATCATAATAATCGGGGATGACTTTCTCCTCGTCCTCCTCCATGCCCTCTGCCAATGTCTCAGTTGCCTTGGCATCCTTGCTGGCACCAGATGACGAATCTTCTTCAGTCTGACCACCTATGCGGAAGTAGGCTTCTGCCTGCTGTCGGCTACGCATATATCGACGCATGCCCGCTTTGGTCCGAAGCAAGGCAGGCTCATCAACATTCAACCTTCTATCCTTGAATAACTGATATCGTGCCTTGGTGATCAAGGCCCGATCTTTCTTGGTCACTTGCTTCCAGATCTTGTACTCCTCGTCCTCATACGTCTGGGCGGCCTCGTTCAGCGCCTGTCCCAGAGCCATACCATTCAACTCAGGCCCGTCGATGTCCATAGCATCCACATTGCTACCTACTCCCGAATGGCCGTTGAGTCCACTAGGTGTCATGGAGCCACCGATAGGCGGTGTTGCGAAGCCATTACTCCCATCGAGTTCGGATCCTTCTCGGTGAGCTTTTGCGAGTAGGCCATTGAGTTGGAGCACGGGCTTCTGCTCCCCATTGGGCGTGCTCTCTTTCTGGTCCGAGTGAGTTTTCCTTGACTTCGTCCCCTTTGCTCCGCCAGCAATTCGACCACGAGACGACATTATCGGCTCATCGTCTGAATCATCGCCGCCGTCATCATCGCCGCCATTCTGCTTGCGCCTCTCCTCAGCCTCCACTTCGGCACGTGGGCGGATGACGAGATCGGGAATCAACGGTATGAGCTTTTCGGCTTCCTTGCGCATGCCGTTGGCCATGCGTCTCAAGGGGTGGTTCATGTCCTGGTTGTAACGTAGGCAGTTGTCCCATATTAGGTTAAGGTCCGTGACAAAGTCGGTCTTGGACTTGTAATTCAATGCCTTGAGCTTCTTGGTCATTGTTCCGAGATCCATAGGCTGTTTGATGACTTGCGACGATATTAGTGGACGTAACGAAGCGAAGTGACCGCGCAAAAAAACTTACAATTATAATAATCCGGAGCATCCTTCTTATTTACTCTCTGAAGGAATGGAGTGGAGTATTCGGTATGCGCCTTGAGCTCCGTCAAGACTTTTTCTACAGCTTCGTAGAGCTCCTCCTGGTTGACATTCTCCTCACTGGCCCACTTGCTCCGATTTTTGCGGACTTCGTTCATTAACGAGCGCAGCTCTGCGTCTGATGCGCGCACCATGTCGCGCTTCATATCTATGCGCGCAATGAGATGCTTAAGGGTGAGACTTGACGCGCCTAGGTTGGCACTGCTAAGAGAACCGTGATTTTCGCCAGAGGTGCCTCCATTCGCGTTGTTGCTGGTATTTTTGTCCATTTCGGCCTGCAATTGCTTCTCGGACTCCTCTAGTTGCTGCTGTTCTAGCATAGCTGCACGATCGTTCTCTAGGGTATAAAAGATAGTATGGAAACTGCGCTTGGCAGCTTCCTCGGTGTATTTTCGCGCCTCTTCTAGCTGTTTGCGCGCGTCTTCGGAATTGCTCGCTTGGGCCTGCGACGCTTGCGATCGCTGAGAGCCATCATCCCTTGGCTTTCCAGGTGATAATGCAGAGGGTATAGGAGAGCTCCCCGACTTGGAGGGAGATGGGAGGGCTTTAGACGCGGTGGCGGCCGCGGATTTAGATTGTAAAGAGTTGATGTGAGGGGCATTGGGTATTCTCTCGTCTTCCTCCTCTTCGTCTTCATCATCGTCATCACCGTAGTCGTCTTCGTCAATAATTCTCTTAACTCGCTTAGCAGGACGTTCTTGAATAGCGGAATGATCGGTAGTCGGAGGCGGGGCGGAAGGACTACGAGGTCGCAGCCACAACGCTATTACATCATGGTTAATTGAACCGTCAGGTGCGAACATAAGCGCAATCTTTTCCTCAGCCTGGCGATATGATTCGTCCAACTGGGCTTGCACACTTTCCTCATCAGCATCTGATGCCTCAGGCACCGACGCGGCGGAATTATCCATGTTATCGTTAGATCGCGAAGGACCATCAACAATTTGACGAAAGGGACGTTTCCCAATGACATGGTTTTCCTGTTTTGGAGGTGGTGGCCAAGTGTTTTGGCCGTTCATGATGGACATGATATGTTGCCTTTGACGGGCGTGTTAAAGTGATAGGGTAGTGGCGGTAGCCATGCGGGTAGAAAAGACGGTCGCGTCGATTCGGAAATAGGGCTTCGGGAAGGCCCTAAATTGGCATTGGAATAACGAGCGACATCGAAATAGATGGAAGAAGTGATTTTTATGAAAGAGTTGATAAATATGGTGATGAGACGATGGATCGAGTAGAGGGTGATTTCGCGTATGTTTAAAGAATGAGGTCTAGTGAAGTGAGGTTTTGGAGAGTGAATCCTTGGCAGCTGGTTCGCTACAAACTTCAAGGTTCACTGTAATGCGCTATGTATTGTATGGGGCTGGTACTTTGGTACGTGCCGTTGCCCTTGGTACAGTTGGTACAGTTGGTACAGTTGATACAGTTAGTAATATGCAGTGCAATTGAACTGCTGATCCTCAAAGGTTTAAAAATCTATATAGTTATCCTGAAGTATTGATGTATTGAATGTTCAAGTTGTTAGAAACAATTGAACGTTGAACATTTCATTGCCCAGGTGAATACTTTTTTTTTAAGAATTTAAAAATTTAGAAGTATCAATCACTACAAAACAATCACTTAAGTGCTGTAATTGATCGTACCGTCCGCTAATCGATAGCTGCTTTAGCGCCTAGAAACTTGTACATGTTGATATTTATCAGGTACGACAAAGAATCGTCAGAAAATACACAGCATTTATCACTTAGACACACTACAATTCTCCACAAAGAATGATAGAATATATAAATATCTTCTCACTAATACAAAAGAATGATACAAAGTAGTACTACGCTTTACTATTATTTTTAAACAGTTTCTTTCAACGTGCATCCCCCTCCAGATAACTCCAGGGCTTGTACTTGGTCGAGACTAAAATGGCAAGCAAGATGTACCCAGATACAACACTCAGTCCCCGCAAGCAGCCAATTTACACCCCCATAAAATCGAATGATCTACATAGTTACTGTAGAGTATGTTAGAGTCACGTGAACTTGGAAGCCTTGTGGGAAAGCCACAGACATTAGTATTGATTACTTGCACAGCCACATGCTTAAGCCTTGAGCCTGTGTTGCAACGTAACTCGGAAGATATACTACATAGACATGATATGTACCTGATGTATGTAGGTGGATACATTTTTGAACATCAATAACATTGAATATTGAACAAATCTTTTATATGGATCTTAACATAATACCAGTAATAACCAAATTCCCAAGCGCCAATCATTAAATTGACGTCAGAACTGTGGAGAGAATATTCGCGGAGGTAGGTACCTACGTATAGTGGAGAAGCGTACCTAAATAACCCCACTTACCAGGCAGTCGGGCGGTCAGCTGCAGATAATACGTTAGGTTAAATAAGGTAAGGTGGGTAACAACGGGAAGAGAAAAGATTAGGTTAGGTTAGGTAATTCTGTTATATACCTGACACTTATTTAGGTTTAACATTGAATGTTGGGGCTCACTGGGCAAGCAGGTAAGGTACAGCACCAGTGATGAGTCGGTACCTGCCCTACATATCCCTACATATCTCTAACCTACATATCTCTACATATCTCTACAAGTCCAAACTCTAGACAACATTTGAACTCTGAAGCATCAACACCTGACTGGAGCAGTGAGGAAAGAAAGAAAGAAGAAGAAGAAAAAGATCCTAGCTTAGCTTGACAACATTAGAACTCGCCCTCATCTGTTTGACTCCCAAACCAAACCTCGATCATCGTTACACATTAAACAAAGACGGAAGGATACGAGCCATTGAAGTTTTCGTCTCTCGACGCTCGGATTCACAGTACACATACCAACCTATACATAACAATCCTAAACAATCCAATCCTACTAGTAATCGACAATCCGTCTCATTCGAAATCATGAACACGCAGACCTTTGCAGTGTAAATACCTATCCTTTACTTAGTACTTACCTCATTGTACTCATCGTCTCGAATATGCGCATTCGTCTACCTTTTGCAGGTTCGTCCCACCTATTCCACAGCTTCTTCCTCTTTGTTGCATGGTGCAGCACGCATGCCTCCTTGGATACCCGATACCTTAAACCTCCCTGGTTCTTATGCGTCGATCTTCCAAAATAGCTTAAGCTTTACATCATAGCTCTCCTCCAGGGCTCCTACCTAGCACATATCTTGTGCCGATTTCGTACATACTGACGAATGGATCTACAGGTATCTTTTTCCTGCTATGCCTCCTTGCAGGCTACGCCGGACTCTCATCCCTTCAGCTCGACACCATCGTCAACGATAAAGTCCTCCACCTCGTGACCTTCTTCCTTCTCACCGTTGCCTTTTACTGGATTATCGATACGAACCGTCGTCGTACCCTCAATTTGACCGTCGTCGTATGCACGCTATGCCTTGGCGTTGGCTCCGAGTTCCTTCAAGGCTTTCTGCCTAATGGGCGAGACTTTGATCCATACGACATCGTTGCAAACCTCGTCGGTAGTTTGGCGGCTCTTGGTCTATGCTCCTGGTACCATCTACGAATGCTAGAACGAAAGCGACTACGTAGACAGTACAACGCTGTCCCTGGCGAAGAAGACGGAGACCTTGAACTCGGCGAAGGTCTTCTACCCCAAGAAGAGGGCGTCATGCCAGGTAATGGAAGCGATCGAGGCACCACACTGGAGGAGGAAGTGGACAACTGGGATGAGAATGCGGTAGATGCTTGGGATGAAGATGAGGCAGAAACCGATATAGGCAATACCAACGGAAAGGCACACGAACAACCCGGAGTGGAGGCGGTCGATACCAAGAAGCGAGTTGATTAGAAAGGTCTCTACGAGAATACGAGCACGATGCAACGGATGGACGGATTGAAACGATACCTTTTCCTGGGGCGTAAATAGGATCAATTAAACGGCACGGGCTTCAGTCATCTTTGACTGACTCCGGAAATCATGGCATTTGTACGAGTTAGGATGAGATTGATATAAGGTATCATGGACTGAAAAGGATTCATTTCACCCAAAAAATGGCTCTTTGACCCGAAGTAAAAATCTGTCGATGGCAACAGATGCTGCGTGATTTAGTATTTCGAAAAGGGGGCAACCATACTTACATACTAGGTAGGTATGTTACATGTCCATGGATATGTTCATCTGGATAGCACTACATACCTATCATAGAACACTACATGATTTCAAATCCCAATCCCATTCGAGATTTAGTAGGCATGCAAGTCACAGCACTGCTATATGTAAGCAGATACTACATTCAGGGATAAAATATCATTAACTAACTCATCGATACACTAGGAACTCGCCCGTTTAGTAATGGCATTAAAAGGATTTAGGGAGCACGCGATCGTCTCCATCAATGACAATTCAAGGAAAAAAAAAACCAGGCGCCTACGTCCGACGACGGAGGTCTCGGCATTTGGACTAGATGCCGCCTACTATAGTCCTAGTAGCGAAACGCGACCTCTTAACGCAAAGGGGAAGCTGCAAATCTTACATTCAAGTTCCTACTTACAAATCTAGTATAATAATATAGAGCTACATGTACTTACTTATACGGATAAGTTTTGTTAAATGTTCCGCAAACAGCCAGTTGCTTTCTTACAATAGACATTCAAGATATATATATGTCTTCTCGCACGGAAGTAAACGGACGCAATGGCGTCAAACAACCTGAGTTAAACAGGGCAGATGATGTTGAAGATGTAAGTCGAGAGGACCTGGATAGCATGACCCGTTGATCCTATATTTGATCAACTATGAACTATAACCTATCGCATCACTAACGCATATATAGCTCCTGGATGCTGTGAAGTCTCTCCTTATCCCCTTCATCCGAGATGCAGACAAGGCCGCTCCGACCCGAGCCACGGGCGAGATAGCCGCGGATGCGCAAGGAGTGCCGGGCCGCAACATCCTGGTGGACTCACACAAGCCCGAGGAGCTGGTAAAGAAGTTGCGCATAGCAATGCCAGGTGATGGCGCCGGAAAAGAAGGGCTGCTAGATGTCATCCAGACCATCCTGCGATATAGCGTCAACACGTGGGATCAGGGGTTCATGGACAAGTTGTACTCGAGTCTCAACCCTGTAAGCCACCACCTACCTCCTCCCAACTAAATCGGCGTTCGTAGCGGAAAGGCTTATCTTAACCATGTGTCTCCCTATATAGGTTGGCGTGGTATCCGACCTTGTCCTCACCGTCCTAAATACCAACGTAAGCAACCCCATCCCTTCAACCCCCTCACCAGTTTTCCCCTTAACACACAACTTAGGTCCACATCTTCAAAACCTCACCGGCCCTCACCATCATCGAAAAAACGGCCGCGCGCAAACTGGCCGGCCTCTTCGGCTTCACCGGGCCCCGTGCCGGCGGCATCACCTGCCCAGGCGGCAGCGCCTCGAACATGACCTCCCTCGTCATCGCGCGCAACACGCTCTTCCCCTCGACGCGGACCAGCGGCAACGGCAACCACCGGTTCGCGCTCTTCACCAGCGCGCACGGGCACTACTCAGTAGAGAAAGCAGCAGCAGTATGCGGTATCGGTTCCGACAGCGTGGTGAAAGTACCCGTAGACAGCGAGGGACGGATGCAGGCACCGGCGCTGGAAGCAGCGATAGCGCGGGCGAGGGAGGAGGGCAGAACGCCGCTGTACGTCAGCGCGACGGCGGGGACCACGGTGTGGGGGTCGTACGACGCATTCGCGGACCTGGCGCCCGTGTGCGCCGCCGCCGGCGTCTGGCTGCACATCGACGCCTCGTGGGGCGGGCCCGCCGTCTTCTCGCCCACCCACGCCCACAAGCTCGCCGGCTCCGCCAACGCGAACTCCATCACGGTCAACCCGCACAAGATGCTCAACGTCCCCGTCCCCTGCTCGTTCCTGCTCACCAACGACATCGCCGTGTTCCAGCGGGCGAATACCCTGCGCGCGGGTTACTTGTTCCACGATAAGCTGGCAGAAGACGAGGAAGGAGAGGAAGACAATATCTGGGACCTGGCGGACCTGACGCTGCAGTGCGGCCGCCGCGGCGACTCGCTGAACTTGGCCCTCGCGTGGATCTACTACGGCGACAGCGGCTTCGCGCGGCACGTCGACCACGCGTTCGACACCGCCGCGTACCTCGCCTCGCTCATACAGAATGCCGGCGTCTTTGCGTTATTGTCGAGCAACCCGCCGCCGTGTCTGCAGGTGTGCTTCTACTATGCGCCCGACGGCGGGGTGCTACCGGATGACAAGGAGGAGAATACGCGCAGGACGAGGGAGATGGCGCCGAGGCTGGTCGAGAGGGGGTTCATGGTTGATTATGCGCCCGGAGAGAGGGGCAGCTTTTTTAGGGTCGTGGTTAATACGCAGACGTTGAGGGGGACGGTCGAGGGGCTGGTCAGGGCGTTGGTGGAGGTGGGCAGGGAGGTTGTGCGTTTGTGAGTTGTAGAAACTTGACAAATACCTATTAGGTTAGGTAGGTATATAAGAATCAGCAAAAGGGGATTCTATTTGCCCTCTTTAGTATGGCAATTTTGTATGGCAATGGATATCCGTCCATGTAGGTCGTCATGTAGGCAGATCATCTTCCGGGGCCAAGTAGTTAGTTACTTCAAGGCTATTTTAAGGGATGCATGCCGCAAATCAGTACACATGCATGTGATCATGGCAGCAGCCAGCAGCTGGAATGTGATGTCAGGCGACCAGAGTTATACTTTATGTAGAGTCAAGACACAGGTCCAACTGGAACTTCCACTACCATTCATCGTCTATTTTACTCAACTGCTTCCTTTATGGTCTAAACCAACATCAATACCAATATTTATTAAATGATCTACTGGCTTACTCCTTGGGAGAACTTTTAGGGCTATGTCTACTCTGTGGGTGTATTCGCTATCGAACGCCCGGGCGTACTTCGTTTGGTTACATACCGGTATTCCTATGATCGAGCGTTCTTAATTTTCGTCACAGGAAAAAAAAGAAAATTACACAGGCGTTGCCCATCACACTATTATGATTGGTTGGATTACTAATTAACCAACCAAACTTGAACTATTGTAAGCCCTAGCCACTCCTTAGTATATAGTGTAAAATATTACACTGATTTTTCAACAAGCACCATTGAGCTCGCCCGGTTAGCTCAATCGGTAGAGCGTGAGACTCTTAATCTCAAGGTTGCGGGTTCGACCCCCGCATCGGGCTCAATTCCTGATGCTTCTCAGATAACTGAGATTTGCAACCAACTTTTTTTTGTGCTTTCTTCTTTTTATTGTTATCCCTTTTTTATTCCTTCGCTTTATTTTGGTATTTCTTTTTTCTCGAGATCAAGATCGATTCATTCCATTTGATGGCCCCTGTTAAATTTGTAGCTATCAAGTGCAGGTTACATACAGAGCATGTGAAAAGCTTCATAATGACAATTTATAACATAATTCTTTGCTCTTGATCGTTGCATACGTAACTTTTATCTCCCAATATACCAAATCAGGTAGGTGAGTTTCTATTTAGTAGGCAGATCCCAATTCATCACAAATCTCTCATCCATCGGAATCGGCCCTCCATAGCTCTCTTTGCAACACCAATCTCACTGGCAGCCTCAAATCCGTGAGACACGCCCGGAAACAGATGAAATTCTACCTCCACATCCGCCTCGGCCAGCCTAGCCGCGAAGAACGCACACTCAGCCCTGAACAGATCCAACCCGCCTACGTCTATGTACGTGCTCGGCAACCCTCGCAAGTCTTTAGCCCGTCCCGGTACCGCGTAAAGAGTTGTGTGGGCCCGCTCGTCGGGGTTGCCTGCTTCCTTGCCCAGGTACGCTTCCCAGCACATCTTGATGATAGGCTGTGAAAGGGACGCGAAATTCTTCAGGCCGCTGAGCTTGGCCGCGCCAGACGGCGAGACGGTGCACCTGTCGTCTAGCATGGGGTAGATCAGAATCTGCTTCGCGATCGGCGGGTTTAGGTAGCGATCGCGGGCCGCGAGCGACACGGACGCGGCAAGGGTCCCGCCGGCGCTATCGCCCATGAGACCGAGCCGTGCTGGGTCGACGCCGAGCTCTGGGCCATGCTCTGAGAGCCACACTAGACCGCTGTAACAGTCCTCCATCGGGATGGGGTACATATATTCAGGCGCGAGCCGGTAGTCGACGGCGAAAATCTGCATGCCGGATTCGGCGGCCCACTGCGCAAGCCGCGGCGCGTAGATGTCCACACTCATGGCAACCATGCCGCCGCCGTGCAGGAACAGTATCGCCGGCTGTAGCGCTTCGCGGCCGCTGCTCATCTGCTCCGCCGTGGCAAACCTCTCCATCTCGATCTCCTCACCTAATCCCATGAACCTGTGCTTCGTTCGGACGATGCTCGGCTGGGGCGGGAGTTGCGCCCACGCGAACCGGGTGAATTCCTCGTTGTACCTGCGCAGCTCGTGCGGTGTCCTGCAAGGTGGCACTTGTGCCATGTCGCCGAATGGTTCCTTCCATTTTGCGTATTCGCGGTCGAACTTCAAGGTCTGCTGCGGTCCCCCTCTTGTCGTCTTGCTACCGTCGGGTTGTGGCTGATCCAGGTCCATTGCGATCGCTGGCCCTTTCCCGGGAGACATGACTTTTGGTGTTTATTCTCTTATTGTTATTTTTCTTCTAATATATCTTGATTGTATTTGTAGTCCTAGTTGTCAATGGTAGGTATGTATATATGTATATATGTGCATCGGTGCGCGATAAGTAGGTTGGTAGATACGATTGTATTGCTTGTCCCTCATTTCCTCCGATCGCACCCCAAACTGCTGCCTCTGTGAAAAAGATCCCGGTACATACATGCATGCATGCATACCTAACACAGGCAGATAGATATATGTTTTTCCAACAAATAGCCTATTATTTCCTACGCCTTGCACGCGTTAATTCGATCCCCCACTAACCTGAAAGGGGAAGCAGAAACTACCGCACATGATTACCTACCTATATGTCAGGACTATATGTAGTATAGTAGTTAGGTATCGTGATCGTATCCAGTATGTTAGAATAGACGATGCAAGGATATACTACCGGTCATAAACATCGTAATCAAAAATCATTAATATCCAACTCTTATAGTTTTTATGCTTTCAAGTGCGCTTGGATTTGGGAGGTTTGGTGAAGTCGAGTCGAGTTCGAAGCCGAGGGACGCAAAAGCTTAGGAAGAAAGATGTAGGAAGTCGGATTAGATGCGTACGTACCTAGATAATCTAGGTTAGGTAGGTAGGGAGAGCCTCGAGTAGGTGCATACATAGGTACCTACATATTAATATACTAAGAAAGACAGAAAAAAAAAGCAAAAGAAAAGAAAAGGAAAAGGAAAATTCGTAGTCGACAGAGCCCGCCCGCACCTTTGCGCATCCCTCCTGTAGTACCTAGTGTTCTGTCAAAACATACCACTACTTAGGTACGCCAAAAGGTGAAATGGTTGATCTCTCATTAAACGTCTCCGGTTTATATCAGTATATCAGATACCTACCTTCTTTCTTTCTTTCCTCCCACCGTACTGGCTGGCCGCATGGTTGTTGCGGTGTTCATTTCACACACACACGCGTTCGCACCGCGCCGATATAGGTACATAGGAATCCATCCCCTCAAAATTAAAATTCTTAACCTAGGTACGTAGGAAGTGATAGATGCTTGTGTCCCGGTTACTTACATAACTATATGTTTTAGCTTCGGTAGGTAAGGGGGGTGGGGTGGCGAGGCTTGCGATGTTCGTGAAGCCAGTCACATTTTCAGCCTCAACTTTGGAAATAAGGCTGACATATCTGTTTACCACGTGCATAGACAATGTGGCCTGACGTGTGAGACAGCATCAAGATCGAGTGGGCTATGAGTCTGTACAACATCCTTAGAAGGAAACTGCCCAGGTGTGCTTGTGTCCCCTTGAGCAGTATCGATACCTGCAAATATTGAATACCAAGTTTACTTCGTTAGGCAGGTGACAAAGGGCACACACGCACATTCATGTCACATACTGAATAAAATTGAGTACCGGGAGACATCTCAAGTTAGACACAGCAAATAGCAGTCTTTTCCCGATTTTTTTATTATTTGTTTAGGTGTACCCCTTTTCGATAAATCCCAAGACTATTGTCAGGCTGATCGAAAAAGGTACCGTGATTAATTCCCCTATTTCCTTCGTGAATTTCTACCACTCATGTTCCCTTGAATTCCTTTTTTCAAGTCTTTATTTTAGCGTATTGTGACACTATGTTGGGATTTGTTTTTCGGATAAGACGACTCAGTCTTTCCAAGTTGTTGAAGTTGGAGGGAGATATATTCTGTAGCACACAAAGTGGTGTTAGAAACTCTCCCCGGGGCTTTCCAGAGTCCCATGAAAGGCTACTCGGAGGTGCTGCCCTAGCTTCTGATAAAGCACACATGGATGCGTATTATTGCGTCCCGGTGCGTAAATGAATGGTGCGTATGTATGTCAAGTCATAAACCATAGCCCCTCACTACACCCCCTTCCCAACCATCCCCTTCTCTTTGGTATCATCAAAAATAATTAAAAGCGATATAGTATTGGAGAACTGTCCAGACTAATCATCGCAATCGATAATTAAATAGCGTGCCGTGCCCGAAATCCCTCGGACAAAGTGAGTTGCGTCTGAAGAGAGCCGAATTGTGGTAAAACGCCAGCCCAGAAGATAAGACAAAAACCCTTGGAACGCTTTCATGCAACCCAAACCAACACCTGAGCCCTCATAGGCGCCGTGCGTGAGAAAGTCGGAGCCCTGGAATATCGGACCGATCCGCTGAAACCTTTTTAAAATGTATTCAGATGTATAATGAGACATGTACAAGCCGTATGGCTAGATATTGGCACCAGCATGGTGGGAGGTGACCAAGGCCAGTCATTGCTCGGAGCCAAAGTCGACAAAGCTCTCCCAGGCATCACCACCTGTTCCGCCAGCTGGCGTACCTAGCCGGCTATACGCGTCAGTTGGAACATCTAAGAGGCCCATTGAGTTCTCTACGGAGAAGAAATCCTCGGCTTGGCTGATACTGTCGTGGGTAGAAAATGTGTCGGTTGTTTGATCGGGGTTCATCTTGTTGTTGTCCTCGTGTGTCATGGTGTCACCTGGAAAGGGGCCGAACATTTGGTATGCAGAGGAATCGTTTCCCATGAAGTGCATTGTCATCGGGTCACTCATATCGATATTGGCCATCATCTTTACCTCGTTTGGTAGTTCGGACGTGAATGCCGATGATGATGCGGATTGCTGAGCCAGTTGGGGATCAAGGGGGAAGTTTGAAAATCCAGATGGGGCAGAATAAGGTGTGGTTTTCGTCTCAGATACATCTGCATCTGTCGTCGAAGATCCGGGTGTCAAAGCGGGTGGCGACGACATAGCAGTGATGGAGTGGGGCGTTTGGCTTCCGGTTGTAATAATAGAATCCCTCCTGTCGAATTGAGATCCCGAAGAAATAGACGGCGTTCGAGTGGCTGGTGAACTTTGGCTCGAGCTCGATGTAGACATTCGGTGCGCATAGCTGCCGTCATTGTTCATCAAAGGCGCCATGTACATGGAATTGTTTAGCTGTTGCTGATATGCCACTGCTGATGGGAACGACTCGCTGAAGAGACGGTTGACTTCATTATATCGGGCCATGGTAGCCATAGCGGCCTGTGTCGTGATATATGCATTCACGCGATGGTTCATATCGGGCGAGTTCGTTTGCAAGTGAGCGGTGAGATATTTATAGTGGCGTGGAACTTCGTCTTCCTCTTCTTCGTACATCTCTTCCTTCAGCACAATCTCCTCGCTGACCTTGAGACCTCGGCCTGTACGTCTCCGGTGGATTTCGGATGCCTGGCGAGCAGATTGCACTCTGGCCTCCAAACTTCGATCAGCGCGCCTTGATGCCGCAATGTAGGCCCTTTCCTGATTCTCTTCATGAGATCGTTCTGTCTGTATGAGGGTTAGAATATTGGTAAAATAAACCAGCATAACGGGAAACAGGCCAAACTTGCCTTTTGGGCCTTGACAGGAGGCGCATGTTCACCGGCCGGCATGGCGGAAAAATCAAAGGATCGTTTCGGCATGGATTTGATGAGTCTGTTGTATATGGTGAGGGTGATCTTGTCAATGACAAGTAGAAAATGTGGTAAACGTGCGCTGAATTCGCCGATGCGGTAACGCAGGCAATATGTTCAGCTCCAAGTAGGCTGCTCCTATATAAGTCTCTGAGAGGACACACCAACAGTGACAGATTTACAAGCTGCAGCGGGCGGGGTACCGGGCCTCGTTGGCATATGCAGCCACAAAGGCAAACGCTATATTGTAAGTTGATTGGAGTGGCTTGCAACTTCCAGCGATGATCCGTGGATGGGCAGCAATACACAGTTGACGGCGAATAGCCTGCAGGAGGTAAATTGGGTGTTGGAGTGAGTATGTGAGTTTGCTAAGTCGGCCCTTGCTCTGGGATTCCGCGTCAGGTATGTATGTATCTTAACTCTTCCTTAACACCGTCTTAGAGTGTTGTGTCGACCTTCTTTTTAGGCTGGAATGTTAATTGTTGACTTATACAAAGTCGAAGTCGTGATGATAGTAAGTATTCGATCTGAAAGCTTCTACTTTCTGTATGTATAAGAGAAGTTTGAGGGTTGTGGCTAATATGACTACCTAGTTAGGTGTTGTTCGTAACAGTATAAGAGAAACCGTAGTGAGCTTGATTGTTGTTGATAAAGGTTGAAAGGTTGATATGCGTGTGGAGAGATGTGTAGAAAGGTGTGTGTACTAGGAGGTACTGGTCAAGGTAGGTAAATGGGAATCAGGGGGAATCAAAAAAAATTAGGATATTGAAAAAGGAGAGAAAGAACAATATACATATACAGGAATGGGATTTCCCCATTTGCGGGATCGCAAAGTGATGGAAGGAAAGCTCCAGCTCCAATTGCGTAACATGGCGACCGCAACGGAAACATTCAAGTTCAATGTTGCTTCTATCAAGGTACCTACATAAGGTACATGAGGTACATGATGGAAGCCAAAGCCTTCATTGTTCGATCAAAGGATACAACAGGGATTGCCTGATGCGGGAGAATGTTCAGGTGGCGATCGATCGTGATGAGACGGTTGGAACCCAATCAGACCGTCAAAAGCCTGTGAGACGTTACAGGGATTTTACAAGGATAATACTGTCATGCCTTGATGATAGCGTTCAAAGTAGCCCCTTAAGAGGTTTAGTCTCGATAGCTGCTGGGCCTTATTCCCATAGCTCCCCATAATTTGTCTTTGTATCGCTGTACAGTACTGTAGCTCCAATGCTCCATAGGAACAGTAAGAAAGCAACCATGGGGAGCTACGTCCGCAAAGCTCTAGTTCTCTTTGACCAATTATAATAAGTAATTCTCATTTGCCAAGCTTTGGAAGCTTTTGAAGCTTCATTTTTTTTTTTTTTTTTTTTTTTAGTTTGACCATCGGGTACGTACTATGTAGTGTACGTATGCAGTACTTTGTGCTTGTAACCGTTATGGTCTTGACATGGAGTCTTGACACAAGTCTAACCACCCACAATAGATACTACATACAGTACTGAACCTACACAGGTAAACAGATGTTATTCTAATTCTATCAAATAGTTATATATACCACAATCAGTATGAGGTTTGCAATCATAGCCGGTATGGAGGAAATTCTCCAAATAGTCCAAGTACGTCAGCAACATTACACAAGCTACGTCAATGGGTAGATCTAACCGAACGTCGCCAAATGATGTAAGCCTTCGACGATCAATAGGTACGCAAACACGTTGTATTCCCAGATGCAATATGGGACCCGAGCAACGGAGGTGATTTACTTATCCTTTGGACTAGGAACACTCGAAATAGTCCCCGAACGAACATAACGGCCCAATCAGGCGCGAATAAAATTCGAGAGGATTTCCTAATATGGGCAAAATGATGTATGCGTTTAGAGGCTGAGAGGTCAACAACCCTGATTAATTTGCCACACATAACTTGAGATATTCAGCACCATGTCGTTTTTCCAACAGCGTGACAGATGCGCAACCGCTTTGCAACGAAGTTATGTAAAACGCTACAATAACGACGCAATACTTAGCTAAGCGCAACGTCAACTGACATCCACAGAATTATATGTAAATCTAAGTTGAAAACTTGTAAGTGTTCACTCAAAACACCATAAACAAGCGCCGATCTGTTTGGATAGGCAGTTTCTAAGGTTTGGTTAGTAAATTAAACCCAGCTCCGCTCCGCCCATCCGCCCATCTAGAAATAATGTCAAACTGAATGAGCCATGTGCGATAGGGTGTGAATATCACTGTACAGTACTGTGACATTTAGCTTATATGATTGGCTAGGACCTACAGTTTCTTACAGTACTAATAACACTACCTCGCACTTGGTCCATTTAACCCGACGCTATTTCTGCCAGCTCCCGCTTCCATGGGTTACTTCCGCCAACTCCACCACCGCTTTACGATGGAATAGTCCCTGTCCACCCTAAGACGTAATTAGTTAGACTTAACTGTATGATTCCTACTAGGTACATATTTTTGCTTAATGAGGCAAGAATTGATGAAGCATGAAATCAAACTACTGGGTGGTTACTTAAATCTACAACTTTTTTTTTCGTTTTATGTTTAGATATTTGAATATATTGCTCACATAATACTCAATTGTGAATGTAAATCATGCAAAATAAGTGGAAGCAAGAAACGTGGCCCCTCATCGGACCTCATTTTCATCAATGTTAAGTACCTACCTGTTACCTACCTAATATCTCATTACCGTTTCCGTTGTCATACGCGCCTTAAAGGAATTCGCATAAGATTGTGACACCCTGCTCCCGATCCACGACTGACGCATTCATTGTTACAACCGGAGCCTTTGCTACGAATCTCTTATCCAACAAGAAACCTGCTGAGAGCAGCAAGGAAACATTCGATTTTTACTTCTCCTACAGGACAGGGCTTTGTTTAGAAGCCCGTAGAAGCTCCAAGTTGAATTTCAGCCCTACGAGAGACCAATGAAGTCTCGCACGAGAAAAAAGGCATCGTGACAACGACTCCGCTAATGGCGGCAACAAGTGTATGTAAGTATGCGAGAACCGAGGTCACCGTCGGATTCATTTTCCTGGGATGGCCTTGCCAGTACTTGCCCTGTATGTACTTACCAATCGCGGTCTCATACTAGCCTCACAAGGTACAAGAGTAGGATTAAAGCCAACATTGAGCCCGTTATTAATCAGAAAACAGATTGCGCATGCACATGCGGGTGTGTGTTCCTAACCAGGGTACAGGATACAGGATACATATCTGATAGTATGGGTAGCTAGCTTGGCTCACCGTTAAGAGGGAGATTTGGGTAAGGAAGGGAAGAGGGAAGAAGAAAACCCCCCTCGATCGAAAGTGCATTTCAACGATTGCCATCATAATTTTCGATCAGTGACATCAGTCTTTGAATGCTAAGTGCGGATCCCATCTTCTATCGACCTGTTGATTGACCTGTTGACTTGAAACAGACGAACCAGAAAGGAGGAACAAAATGTCCTGTGCTTTAACCCTTTTCCTATTTGAGCAAGCTTACAGCTGTTTGGACGTGGGTTGTCTTGACTTCCCGGAACAAAAAGTCCGCAGGCTTGGGGCTCAGATAGCTTTAGATGCTACTTAGATGTCGGGCTCGGCACAGGTACTTGAGTCCTTAACAATTTTTTGAGATCTTTACCCCACTACTTCATACCCTACATGCCCTAAGTAGCACATACTGTCCATACCTACCGTTTCTAGTGTTTCTCATTGGCTCCGATTAACTAAGTTGTACTACTAGAACCTAGCTTCAATCAAGGTTTATGAGGCTTAGCATGATGTGGCGTTGTGGCTAATTTCTTCTAGCACATTTCTCGGGCCTCGACTCTTCTTATTCGGCTCTTTTCCCTCTTTGGCCCAAAAGGCCAATATACAACAACCCTGAACCTTTGACCTGACCTACGTGGTTGCGTGGCTGCGTAGCTAATCCCTCAATATGAACGAATACTTCGGCCAGATACAAGAAAAAAAGGAAGTCAAGCCTTCCGCAGAACAGACATCAGCTGATTTAAAAACAACGCTACGCAGTAGTTAGTTTGTGTTTCCCTTGCCTCTCCCCGCTGTCGATCTCCTTCCAAAATCTCAGGTATGACTCCTGACTATGGGATTTTAATCTCATTCTCTCGAATTGCCATCTACATCAACATGGTATTTATCTGCCGTACCATTTAATGCCAAGACTTTCTGATTTGTTATCGTTCTCTGCTGGAGCTCCCTCCGAGTGCTCTTTATCTTCTTCAATTATTCGATAGCAGCAAGCAATTATTGTGGTTTTATCAGTCACAAATCAATATTTCTGTTACCAAGGTAGGAAGGCGAATTTCCTTACTTGAGACAGTGCCTAAAGGTTCAACAGCGAGTCCCGCCAGGCATGAGGTGGCATATTCCTAAAAAGTCCTCGGTAATAAGGCGATCACCTGATTTTCGACCATCAAAGCAAATGCATTTCAAAGTGGTGGGTAAGCGGCACAAAGACTCAAACTACAACAGGTGTATTTTATTTGACTATATTATTGCCAAATCCATACCTACCTATATGGTAGGTACTTAGGTAGGTATGTAACAGACACGCACCTAACATGTATAGGGCTTTACTAAGAATACCTATCACGCCAACCGTCCTAGTAGACAACATTCTCAGAACACTATCTGCTAGACTTCAACCCTATTTGAACCGAGCGTGACCTACACAGGCTTCCAACTTTAGTAAACTACGTTATGAGATCCTTGGTAATATCTCTTTGGGACTTACCTCATACCGCTATCAAATCTTGCGGATATTAAGGACGTTTGTCTGGGATAGGGAAATGTGCTCACCTCCAGCTACTCCTAATGGATATTATACAGATCCCAAGTATGCGTAAGCTTATGGAAACTATGGTATCATTCGTACCTATGTCATCCCACTTTGAAGCCATATCTACCTCATATCAGAGATACCGGCTGCTCTACTGTCTAAATTAGGTTAAGACGCTTGTTGCGTACATAGTACCTAGTATGCTACAATCGTCCCAAGTCTCCTCGAACCTTGTCTTCCAAGATGTTGATATAACTAGGTACTAATCGAGTTAACGTTTCCAACAGTTTGAATTACCGAGGTATATTATCATCACAGAGTTTCGCGCGAGACCAACCCCGCCTTCTCCTAACGGCAGCAAAGGAGGTTCGATTAATCAATGGCAGCTAAGCTATCTAGTCCAGTTCTAGGCCTGGTAGAGATGGGCTTAGAGAAATATGGCGGGTATTAACGATAGAGCTTGATGGGTAAGGGCACGTGGTTATGAGCCTAGGAAAAGTAGCGCTGCTATACCCATAGCTCTCAAGGTTCTCTCAAGGTTCTCTCTCTCTCTCATGGGACCATTGATCTAACCTAGGAGTTTAGTCGTAACGTCTTAACACCGAAATTCTTCAAGCACTGCTAGACCGAAGCAACACATTACTACCCGGCATTATATACCTGCAGTAGCCCGAACTCTCTCGACTCAGTTCTACGGACGCTAAGTTCCGTTAACCTCTCAACATTTCATAGCTCTTTTGCAACTCACCTTACCTTGGTACTTTACTAAGCTATGGAATGAGCACAACATTTGAAGTTATGTACTACCTACCTCATGTAGTAGGTAAACTTGGTAAGTAGGTATACTCTTTCTTGCCAAAAATTACGAGACCTTTAGTCGCTACTCAAGCTACAAACAATATAGTCTGCTCAGACCCCCCGGTTTCATTTCGGTATCGTTATCGATCTCGACGTTAGCATCAACTTCATGAGATCGCCCTGAATAAGTCCATGGATGCTTGGTAACCTAGGTATAGATATAACATATTTTTTTAGTCTTCGAGACGGACTGCAATAGTTCGGCATTCAACATCGCCTAGCATCATGTGCCCCGACCCGTAGATTTGGTTCAGACCTGTTGCTTTATAAGCTACTTATACTAATAGGTATGTAATAATAGTATCTGTGTTCTGTGGAGCCCATGTTAGCAGCCGGCCGATCCCACGCCGTCGTTCCCCACAATGATGAATTTTGCGTTGCTAAATGTCTATCAAAGAGCATTGTGATGTTTGTTACCTCGGGTGTCCTTCGGGATTCAGGCATCATAGCTCTAATTACTAGGTAGTAGTTTCCGGCTGCAACGGAAGTGACCCTACCCGGACGTCACTCAGCCCAAACATGGCGACTACTATATCTTCATACCTAGTTGGATGACTCGCGAAGATCATTTCTCATGAACTAAGAAAGAGACGATGGCAACCCGAGGATTATTTATTCCTGGCGAGGGCCCGTTTCGAAACCATGTGCCTTTTTTCCTTAGATCGATCTATGGCATATCTAGGAACATATAATCCGGATTTAGAAATAATATGGACTTCTGCTGCTCCCCAAAGACGGGTCCGAATTTACTTTGCCTTAGCGCCCGTTGAGCGCGATGTGCGGTCAGGGTACAAAACAGCCGCATCGGATACGTGAAAATTTTACGCCTTGGATACCTACATGTACCAGGTATCGACCTAGTGAGTTGAACATCGGGAGGCGAATAATTGTGGACTATTAATTACACAGGTCACGATTTGGAATCAAATGGGTAAATTAATACGAATATACTTCGGCCTTATAACGCCCCATAACAAAAGTCATGCCCCTCCTTATAGTTAAAGGTTCTCGAGAGTTTGCGAGTAGCCACGCCACGACATCATTTCTGGATATGAGGATGGTTACATCCTACTTATGTCACTGTCCCGTGCAAGTTATAGTCCCGAGGAGTTGTCATGAGGCATCTCTAGAAATGGGGCCTCGGGGTGGCTGCCGAGGCTTCCAAGGTCGTTTGGGAAGGATACTTGGTAGGTGCCCGGATATGTGAGGTTTTCACGGGACGAGTTTACATTCTGAGAGAATGATTTATCTTAGTTTCATATTGGCAAGTGTTCTTCTTAAAAATTGTACGGCGTTGAGTTGATTCATGGATATATTCATGCGCGTCGACTACCTCAGAGCCTCAAAATTTACCCCTGAAACACTTATTCTGATGGTAAAAGCTTTATCTCTACATGCGATTCTTTTCGGCTCTTTTGTAAGGGTTTAAAATACTATTGCACAGGCCTCTTACTCATCTTTCGCTTCTAAACATGAAATGGTTCTATGAATGAAGCACTGCCCGTTGCCAGTCTTCGTCGCGTTATTAGTACACAACCCCTTTCCATTGCTGCACATTGCACACTGCACACTGCACACTGCACACTGCACACAGATACGCAGGTTACTCTTCAAGGTGAAATGACTACTCTCAATTTCTGTTGCTCTCATGCGTCCAATCGTTCGTTCAATGAACGCAATACCTAATTCTTAATCTTGTAATCTAACTTAATAACTTCTCTTAATTTCTATCGATCCTAAGCAGGCATGGAGCTAGTCTGTCTTCTGCATGAATGAATACATTAATCTCGTCCAGCTAGCCTGGAAGCATCTTGTTCTTCATCGAACGATTTCCCATCAGTCATCAGCAAGCCAGACTTTTCTTGAATTGGATTGGACTTTTCCTACAATGCTTCTTCCTCAGCGAGGCACCACCTACCTACAAGGGTCATCGACCTTGGTAGATCTCGCCCGCGACATGGCGAGTACCTACCCAGTGTAGATAGACAACTAAGTACTCGTCTTATTCTGGGTATCAGTCACTGGCTACCTTTCTCGCTTTGGTACGAAGTAACTACATTATACCCCCTCCCCCTAATTCCCATTCATCTATCTGTCTCCAGCACCCGCGGCGACATCCTGGAGTATTCGAGGACCGGCGAAGTCCTCTATTTGCTCTAAGTGATGGCTACGGCGTCGCCTCACATTGAAAGCATGGTGTTTTTTCTTTGTTTTTCTTTTTTGCTCTTCCGTATGCTGGGGTAGCTTGAGTGTTGGTTACTCTATTTTTTCTGTTTTTTAGTGCGTGTTCGCCATGTATGCTGCTGGCATCATCCATTTTGGTCTCGATCTCGGTATTCGCGACGGAGGAAACCGCAACACACAGCACAACACAGCACAACACAACACACGTGCTGTGATGTTGACATCGTCTTCGTTGAGCTGATGCGCTTGCCACCGGCCAGTGTGTGTGTGTGTGATCGGAGCTTGAGGAAGCACGCGGCGTGTTGCCACTGCTGCCGCTTGTTTGCGGGGGGGCAATTGGTCGGAAGAAAATAGCGGAAAGGGAAAGAAAGAAGCAGTGTCATGGTCGGCGATTTCTGGGTTTAGACCAGGGATAAGTCGGCGTTCTGGTTGGTGGACTTGCATAACATACCTACATACCTATGTAGAGAAAGGGGGGGGGCGACGGAAGCCCGTAATTCGAATGTGCAAGGTCCTCTAACAGCAGTTTATCGTTGGCTGAGACAAGGGCAAGTGAGCGAGTTTGCGTGTAGTTTCTGGGAAACTTGCTCGCTCCGGGTGTTTGTCTTTTGTGTTGCTGACAGAACAGAAAGCCGCTGGCTGTCGTGACGGTGAGGATATATCTATCGGTAGATGTGAGCATCGCTCGGTGTCTGGGGCGTTCAGCCGGGTCCTATTGTGAGCTGGCGAGATATATTGCCAGATAGGGTGCATTGGTGTAACGGCGATTTCGTAGGTAGGTTTTGAAGAGTGAGTTTGATTTTACACAATAAAATGGGCTGAACGTTTCGTGGGAAGAGTGGTTTATATACAAGATATGATTGCTAGGTATTTATTGCACGCCGTCCGAGAGTCCTGGAGCGGTGCAGGATCCTCACCACAGTTCACCTAGGGGTTGCGGGTGGCACTGAGATTCTTAGCTGTGTGTGTATGAAATGTGTAAATAGGGCTTTGTTGGTAAGCCTAGATAATAGTCGTAGGACTCCACAAGTAGATGGGATGAGTGTCCGGCTAACGGCTATGATCTACCTTAGGGCTGAGAGGAGGGTTTCAACGAAACTTCCAAGGCTCCCTCCCTAAGGTTGGTATGTGTGGCGCTGGTCCCTACCTGGGTAAGCAGTCGACCACAGAGCCCCCCCCCGTCATCATCCCATGCCCCTATAGTCGATTGCCCCCTCTTGTCTGTGCCTGTGCAGCTGCGTTACTGACACGAAACTAATAACTTGCTTAATGCGATGATGATCAAGAGCTTGTTCTTCCCACCGGCGAACCGCAGCCGCGCTGTAATAAGGTTGTAGTTGGATAGCCCGAAGTGTTACATGATCGCGTTGATACTCATATTCCAGGCGGCTCTACGCAACATCCAGGCCCGAGGCCCGCGGGGGACAAATGGGCTGAAGTCGCGTCTGAACTGTGGAGTATACGCAGCCTTTGGCATCAGATGATCTAGGTCTCTTTCTCGGCGAGCGGACTCAAAAGGGGGGCAAGCCGTCCTAAGGCTGATGGCTTTGGGAGAATCAGGTGTTCGTGTGCTGGTTCTGTTAACGGTCAAAAGAAATAAACGGTAACTCGTGTGAATATTTGTCGAATCTATATAAAGATAGCTTTTTGTGTCGTTAGGCTTTATCTGCTTTCTGTCCCTTAATAGCTGGCAAACGAAAGATCTGGACGCAACATTCAGCCAAAAAAGCCGCCCTCCCCGTCAGACGGGGGTGTGACAGTCACCAAGGGCACCGGAACCCGTCTCAGTCGAGGGTCAATCTTCGCCTCGTCGTCGTTGTCATCATTGACTTGGTTGAGTGGCTCGACGGGCCTGGAGTATATGAGGACTTCGGCTTCGTAGCAGTGGACGTGTAGCAGGGGACGTGGGAGTCTACCCTCAGACTGTAGAAAAGGTCGGCAGACATCGCATTCCTCAATGGGGACGTTGCCTCTTAGTAGGTCTCGTAGCACCGAAGGACCCATTCCCTTGTCATCATTGTCGTCGTTTTGCGTAGAACGATGAAAGGGGAAAGTCGATCTGCTTAGCGTATGGCCCTGAGTACCGTTGCCGACATCAGTGACGCCAGTAGGCGCGCCGCTTGCAAGCCAGCCCAGAAACAACTTCTTTTTCTTGTCCTGAGCAGCACTGATACTATGGTTTCGTATTCGTGGAGACTTGTGGTAACGTCTGAACTTATCAATGTCACTCTTAGTGTAGCGTAACTTGACGATAGCAGAACGTCGGGGCAATCGGTTTGAGGATGGTGGTGGGTAGTGCTCGCCAATCGAAGTGGCTACAGCGGCGGCGGAAGTAGAGGGGGAATGTGATTGAATTGATTTCTGTGGGTTAGGTCGATTCTCCTTTGGGAGTACGGTCATTTTGTCGTTTGGCTGACCCGCCATGTTGTCTTGAGTAATAGGGAATGGATGGAAGAAGAGGGTTTTTAGTGATAGGTTTCAGTCACCAATAGATAGGAAAGTGCTAGTAGGAAGGCCAAATACTGGGCGAGCGCGTTCGTAAAAAGCGTATGGGGATTGTATGTATGAGTTTGGTAGATCGGTGGTGTAAAGAAAGTCGAAAAGTGATTAGAGATTACCTAGGTACCTATATTTAACAGAAAAGTTCTTGCGGGAAAGTGGTGAGAAGTGCCTTAGGACCTAAGGATAAGGATTCAATAATTATAGATACCTGTAGTATATTCGTAATATTCGATAAACTACCGCGGTAAAACGACGAAGGAAGTGAAGTCTGCCTGAGGAGTGCAACTGGGTATTTTTTTTATTATACTACAAGCCTTCGCATTAACTACCCTGTTAGGTACCATATCATGAGCGACCTTCAAAGTCCCTCTTTCTCTTCTTCATGGTGTCATTGCTTTCGAATGTGCTTCCGGCGTTGTTGCCATATCCATTTTGTGGGTTATTATCCCATGTCGAATATTGTTCTGTGGATGTTTGATTTGACACAGAATCAAACTCCCTAACCCAGGAAATCCATTCCCTCCTTCTGTTCCTCCACAAATCTCCTTTCCATGCTCTCCACACACGCCTGCCTTCAAATGAATTGCGTAATTCTTGTTCATGTTGGCCGAGCTGTTCCATTATGGTTTCCTTTACATGAAAAGGGATAGATGCCTCACCCTTGGAAGGGATAGAGACAATTGAGTTTATGACCCTATTCCCATAATTGGACATAGCTAGCTGGAAACAGTGTGGTCGTAGGGCTGCAACTAGAATTTTATGAATGTTCTTTTTTCGTAATGGGGCATTTAAGGCATTGACTAGAACGTATGATGTCGGTGCCGATGAGGTTGCGAGTTGTAGGATAAGTTCCTCGGGAAGAGCGGCCAAGGAGGCTTGAATGGCGCTGGAGGGGGGCCCAGGTATGGCAAGCATGGTTGTCGTTAGTTGAGAGCCATGTGAAACCAATGCAGCTTGATTCTTAGGTAAAGGCTCCTTGTCCCTTTTGTTAGATTCAGAAGACGGCGGGATGCAAAGCTTGGGAATCAGAAACTTAGGATCTGACCCAAAAGCTTCAACCAAAGCTTTCGTCAGACTTTCCATCTCGTCTCGGGCTTGCCGTGCTTGACATCGTTCGAACAGGGTTTTGATTACATTGAACCTCGACAAGGCAACAAGTTTAGGCATTTCAGGCAAGGTCTTTTCAACAGCCGCCATCAAATCCTCCTTACTAAGCCGATTGAGAACGCGAATTGCAGGGTATGATGCAATGTCATTGCGCAGAAGACTCTGGATCCTTTCTCCGAAGACGTGTTTATAAAGAGCCTTAAATATTTTTCCGGGGCAATGGATAATGAGTGTCTCGAGTAAGCGCGAGCCGATACGATCATAAAGCATCGAATTGACAAAGTCAGAGGCAGCAGTGGTGGCATCTTTTAATGAGGCAGGAGCTTCAGGCAGAAGTCGCCATAAAAGCGTCATGTCTCCAGACTCGTCATCTGCTTTCAAGTTGAGAGTGATGTCTAGCTCTAATAAAAGCTGCAGAACAGGATTTCCGGTGGGATGTGTAGCCAACACACGGAGTTCTGTGGTACTCATACCAGCCACAGAGTCAGTGATGATCTTTTTGGCTGCTAGATTGAAAGACGTGGGGACTGCTCGAAGTTCAGAAGTCAGGTCAGTTGTGGTGTCGGAAGTCCACGGGACTGATATCTGCTCCTTCTTTTTGCTGTGGATGAGAGACTTGGTCTGTGCTTGTTCCAATGGGCGTCCGGATAGAATCATGAGAATGATTCGAAGAGTGTGAGAACCAAATTTGTCTGTGAGCAGGTAGCCAAGGTGGCCTTCGAGTTCATCTAGTGTGAGGAGGAATAGATCTTCCATGTATGGGGATGGTGTCTCGTTGGGGTCGTCCTGATCAGTGAGAGGATCATCGAGCCCTCCTCCAAGCTCTCTTGTGACAATCGGGGCAGATTGTAAGAATAGCGTCTCGCAACAATGACTTGCGAAACGATGTTGGATGAGATTTATGAAATGAGTGGCAAACTGGCCAAATAACTTCTTCTTTTGTCTCGTATTCGACATGAGGATTAGTCGTTCCATCAATCTGGAGCACGACTGGCTACATGCTAATTTGAGCTCCTTGTTCTGAGCTTCAGCAAAGACACTGGCAAGGTAGAGTTCGCGTTCTTCTTGGGAAGGGAAATCGTCAATGTCGAGTTGTTCGTCAACGGAGCGAAAGTATTCTTGTTCTTCCTCGGATAGCATGCCAAAGAACTCTCGATCGCCTGGTGGCAGGCCCCCAATTCCAGGTTGGGACTGTTCATAACCATCTTGAAAGGTAGCCTCTTGGTTGCCCGCATCATCACCATTATCATCACCACCACCTTCGGTATTGTCTAGACGTCTTCTTTTGGCATCCTTGCTTTCTTCAGCTTGTGCTTTCTCGCGGCGCTTCGTCTTTCGTTCTTCACGGATAGCTTGTCGTTTTGAACGTGGTTTCGGCATGGCAACTGTGTTGTCTGCTGTCAATCGGTGCAGATTTTGGTGGGGTGTGAGAAATCTTGGTGTTGAAAAAGATTGGCTCGTTTTTCGTTGCGCGATCTTCGAAATCTTTTTTTTGGAGCTTTGATGATAAGGCTCTTATCTTAGCGTTGTTTTCATGCAGGGTTATGGAGACATAAGCATTTAAAGCTGCAGTAGTACGATGCATGTACTATGTACTGTGTAGCATCTTGGGATAGAAATAGTACTAGGTACCTAACTATTGACTAGCTGGAGTGCTTGTAACGTGAAGTTCAATGTTGAAATTATATGTATTACCTATCAGGAACTTGTATGATGACTACTGTGATGACTACTGCGATGACTACATACCTACAAATATGTGCATATGAATTTGTATATTTATGTAAACAACTCCTAACGTAATAGGTGAATCAAGCACCCAGTCAAACACGGGTACCTAGTACATAGTAAGTAATTGTTCAATATTGAATGTTTACTAGGTATCTGTGTAACCATTAGATACTCCTGCTAGGGTAGGCCCCTAAGCTTGTCTCAGCCTTCAAGGCAGCGACTTCTTCACCCATTTCATGCAAATAAACGATAAAGATAAAGATTGAAGGGACAAAAGAAAGACAGACATTTTGACTGATATTTTATCTTTTCTAACTCTAATGTTTTCTAATTTCCATCAACTCTTTGATCCAAATGGACCTTTTTTCACTGTTATTAAACACCTGTGGTGGCCTTCTATTGGTTGCCATACTAATACCATCTCTCACTTTTTTGTCCAAGTTATGGCGTATTAGATGTCGGATGCAACATTTGCAAAAGATAGGAAAAGTGAGTATCTACCTCCCATCTCTCAGTAGTTCTTACTATGCTAACTAATATCATCGTAGCCTATGCCCGCGCATAACATCGTACTGGGCCATCTTCTTGCAGCCAAAGCTACCAGCGATGAACTTCCCCCTGGCGCTCATGGCTGTTATGTCCTTGATGGGAAAAGAGATCTACCGGCCTACTATTTTGACATATACCCCGTGACTGATCCTTTGCTTGTGATAAGGGACCCTTATATGGCCAACCAAGCTATCAACCATCCCTGGGTATCTAGTCAGAAACCTGATGGTCTTACGGAATGGTTCCACCCGATATCAGGAAATAATGGCATCAACCTTTTCACTCAAAATGGCCAGGAGTGGAAACTAGATCACAACCTATTCCTTCCCTTCTTCAATAACAGTAACCTTGATGCCAAATTGCCTACAGTTCTAAATGAGATGCTCATTTTTCGTAACATACTTCGACAAAAAGCAAAGGCCGGGAATCTCTTCCGCTTAGAGCCCCTGACACTGTCACTCATGAACGATGTCACTGGGCACATCGTGTTTAACGCCGAGCTTGCTAATCAGACGTCCAGCTCCCATCATCCCCTTTCAGATACTATGCTTCGCCAACTTGCACTGAAATTCGCCGCGAACAATGTGATGGCTAGTTTTGGTCAGCTCAATCCAGTTCGCGCTTTCAAGACGTGGAATAACAGTCGTATCTTAAACCAACATCTTCGCCTACAAATCCTTAAGCGCACAGATACATTCCGCCATGCAAAATCTCGAGACGAACAGTCGGGGTCCAGTTCGTTGCTTGACCAGGCCCTTGAGAGCTACTACTCTGAGCCTGGCCGAAATCATTCTGATCCGCTAGATCCAGATTTCATGACGATGCTATGTGCTCAGCTTCGCATGTTCTTCTTCGCCGGCTACGACTCCACTTCAAGCACAATGATCTCCTGCTGCTACATGATCTGGAAACACCCTGAAGTGCTAGCTAAGCTGCGTGCCGAGCACGATGCCGTTTTTGGCAGAAATATTGCTGCATGTCCGGGCATGATTGCCGCGAAACCGTCTATCCTCAATTCTCTTCCCTACACTCTTGCAGTAATCAAAGAAGCATTGCGACTCTTCCCTCCGGCAAATGGCATTCGAAAGAGCCACAAGGATCTCGTGCTAAAGGACCGCGATGGCAACGAGTATGCCACCGAGGGATGTCTTGTGCAGATGAACCACTATAGCATTCATCGGAATCCCAAATACTGGCCGCGCCCGACCGAATTCCTTCCCGAGCGGTTCCTCGTAGGTCCAGACGACGAGCTCTACCCCGCAAAGGGGGCATGGCGAACCTTTGAATTTGGTACTCGTAACTGTATCGGCCAAGCATTCGTTTTCAAGGAGCTGAAGGCTTTCCTGGCTATTATATGCAGAGAGTTCGACATTCAGGAGTGCTACGATGAAGTATACGCCGGGGAGAAGATAGATTTAACGAACGTCGCCCATGAGAAAGCCTACATGGTCGAACGTGGTTCTGCACATCTACGCGGCGACTTTCCGTGTAAGGTGTCGCTTAGCAACTACGTCCCTAGCGAGGCACAATGACAATGGAGTATTTAGAAGGTTATCTTCATATATACTTAGGTGGGTGTGAATAACTCATTAACAGCATTTTATTAGTCTTCATTATGACCAGCTCAGTGAATTTCAACATTGATTGCATTATATTATTCACGTCTACCTAATAACTATAGCGTATACGCGCGCTAACTACGACGCTGCCCGCGATCATGTCTCCGATGATGTGCGATGACGTGCTCTCCATGAGCTTGCGATGTGCGGAGGTCGCAAGGCAAACCTAAGCTCTATACCATCATGTCTACATATTTCCAGTTACTTACATGCCATGCCCCCCGCTCACATCATACTACCCCCAATTTGCGCAATTGCAATCAGTGATGTGCTATTGGCAGGTGACGTGGAAAATACTCTATCGGTAGCACATGAACCGATGCGCATAGCTTTCTATCTGCTTATTAAGCTAGATGGGCCATTGGCTATCTCGGAATGTGACACGAGGTATAAGATGGGGTGTCCGATGTTAGTGAGTATAAGATGCCGTTATAACTACTTACCTATCCATGACTCCCCAAGAGATACTAGTCAAATACCAAGAAATATAAAGAAGTCATACCTAAATCGAAAAGTCAAGATGCCGGGAGTAATTGTAGATCGATACGAGCACGTGCCGGTGACCAAGGAAGACCGTAAGCAAGCAAGCTTCACTGCCACGTGATCCGATTCATGACATCCATCGCTAACCAAGACTGACAGTTGACTGGGCCGATCTCATCACCCTTGACCTGAGCCTATACGAGCAGCCAGGCGGCAAGGAGGAGCTGGTGAAGCAGCTCGATCATGCTGTTCGGAAAGTTGGTAAGCTTACTTCACTCCAACGAAACCACCCTCCTTATTATGCCTGACTGCCTACCTACATATTCTAACATAACCACCACAGGCTTCTTCTACGTGAAGAACTTCAACATTTCCCAGGAGGAGGTTGACAAGCAATTCGCTCTCGGGCGCGAGTTCTACGCGCTGCCGCTAGAAGAGAAGCTGAAGTTCCACAACAAGGATGACTTGATCAGGGGCGAATACAACGGGTACCGGCCTGCAGGCCATCGGATGTAAGTGAACCACCACGAGCGCTCTGTGTTGTAGATATTTGCATACCTACCTCAGTTACCCTATATCTAACCCGGAGTCTTCTAGTCTTGGCAATGGCATCAAGGACAACGTACAGGTGTACAACATCCCCAAGTTCGACGGCTTTCACGTGCGCAAGCAACCCGCTGTTCTTGAGCATAACATTAAGGAGATTGAAGAATTCTCAAGAGTGTGTCAATCCCTTTATCACTTTCTATCACTTTCTATCCCCCTATCCCCCTTATCCACCAAAACACAACACAAGCCCCCATTTACTAACAAGCAGTCCCACAACATTAGAAATGCCACTCTGAAGTCGTCGTCAAGCTGCTCCGCCTCTTCGCCCTCCTCCTCGAGCTGCCCTCCGAAGACCAGCTCGTGCAAGACCACCAATACGACGTCAAAGGCGAAGACCACCTGCGATACATGCACTACGCGGCCCGCAGCGCCGCCGAGAACAAGCTCGTAGGCGACCTCTACGGGTCCGGACACACGGACCTGGGCACAGTAACGCTGTTATTCCGACAGCCGGTCGCCGCGCTGCAGATCCAGGACTCGGCGGGTCGGTGGCGGTGGGTGAAGCCGCAGGACGGGACGATCACGATCAACACGTGCGACGCCTTGACGGCGCTGACGGGCGGGCTGATCAAGTCGAGCGTACACCGCGTGCACGCGCCGCCGGCGGACCAGGCGCACGTTGACCGTTTGGGGGTGCTGTACTTTGCGCGGCCCAACAACCACGTTGTGCTGGATCCGATCCAGAACAGCCCACTGCTCAACCGCCTGGGCCTTACCACGAATGCGTTCACGGAGCTGGGCCAGCATCTTACGACGGAGGAGTGGGTCAAGGCGCGGCAGACGCAGCAGCAGCGCCCGCGGGTGTCGGCGAAGATATCGGATGATGGGAAGTACCATTACGAGAAGAAGGATCTGGAGATTCTGCCGGGGTTGGTTGCTGGGCACTACAACTAAGCCGGGGCGCTGAATAGATCCCCCCTCCAGCGCGATTTATACCTACTATAATGGATTTAAGATTGCGTTGAAAGTTGGCCTATATTCTAGCATCTTGTGTCAGCAAGAAATATGTACCTACCTAACCTAGTTATTTCTTTGAGATTGTACCTAGCAGCCAACTACGGGGGTGATGCAAGATGCAATAATTCTCGGCATAAAAGTGATTAATGAATGGCTTGTGACGTGGTGTATTTGTTGAAGGTATTGTTGTAGTTGTAGGAGAAGAAATAGGTTATTTATTCCGGACATCTCATTGTCATGGCTAGACTGAAGTGAAGTACTTAGGTACAAGCACCTTGAATACATTTTTCTGATTGGCTGGTGAGGGTTGCATTATGCCGAAAAGAGCATGTGCTGAACTTGGTTAGTTAGACCTGATTGGCCCACCATTTATTATGTGTGTACTACATGTAGGTACCTACATGTACTAGGTACTACTGTATGTTAGGTAGGGAGTTTATATGATTTTAAACCTCAATCTCCAGCAGTCGTGCCTGATTGCGAATCGAAGGACCTATTGTGGTGCAGTAAGGTAAATTTACTGACCGTAGTTCTAGATAGGCACTCAAGAGTATCGTTCGGTTTGAGATCTGAAACCGATTGTTCCATAATCCCATTGTCAAGCATAAAGACCGTGTTGGTGCATTTGATATATGACAAAAGAAGGACAAAAGAATACAAAGTCTTCTGTTACTATACTAATACAATTGATCAAGAACATTATATATGCGGTAGAGAATATATACTTCGCTATATATATGGTGCTGATTGGTGATTCGCTTGTCGTTTACGGCGGGTCATTCTACCTAAACGACAATATCGTAAGTAATACCATAATATCATTATAACTGCCAAGTGCTTCTAATACAAAAAGATGGCGGACCCGGACAACCGGGCTATGATGCATGCCCAAGAGCTCCGGCTTCTTTTTAATTGGGAGCCATACTACAGATTCGTTGGCCTTATAGCCTCAGGTGCTTTTGGCTCTGCGTGTCGTATACAGTATCTCGACCCTGTGACGTTGCGAATACACGACTTTTTGGTAAAAAGAGCCTTTGATGAGCATGGCCCATTAGACGCCCTTAACACTGAGCGGCATTACCTCGCAGTACGTATTTGCACAGCCTTATCTTTCCCCTTAGTTCTCAAATAAGCAGGAACTGACTTCATAATACACAGAGATTGCGTGGAGCTATGCATATTGTGCAGACCGTCCAGGATCCAGGTGCCGTTATAGACGCGAGTGAGTTTGCGGTTAATGTTCTGTATCTAGAGTGGTTAGAGCATGGCACCCTAAGAAACTTCATCTCCAAGCTCGATAGGCGACAGATAACGCGGCTGCCTAACCGTTTACTATGGAGATTTTTCTTATGCAGTAAGTCATCCCCTGAACCCATTCATCACGTATGTGATGAATACATATACCGACCTTCCACAGAACAATTTGAGCTAATACATGGGTGTAGTGATCCGAGCTTGCATTGCCATGGCTGTAAGTCACACCCTCGGCCCTGTTTTTGACTTATCCTCCACAGTTTCCTGCGGTGTGTCTGTGATTAAATACTGACCTATCTTCGAATACAGTGGCCGCCCCCAGAACAAGATATTGCGGATACATCGGTTGCCCTCGAAATGGCACAAGACACGGAGCCAACAAATATAGCACACGGCGACCTTCATGGTGACAATGGTACGCGGGAAATTATGAGCCCCCCCCCCCCTTTTTTTTTTTCTTCTTTTCTTTTCTGTTTCTTCTTCTTCCATACCTACGCAATAAGTGAAATTAAGCTAACCTGGAACAAGTTCTTCTGGGACCCGTCCTCGATGACGAAGAGCACAGAATCACACCGATTCTGAAGGTCATCGACTTTGGCATTACTGGAGAATGGGGGAAAGACGATCCTGGGTCTAGCATTGAGCCGGGCGTGGAAAACAATATCTGGAATATCGGAAAGGTAACGTAACTTTTCATTCTTTTTTTCTTTTCGTCGTCTCAATAAATACCCAGTCCAGTTTTCATCTAATTGAACCAACGGAACTAACACGCACAGCTCATGATGGCGTTGATCACCGTCGATGTGAGGATTATAGTGGGAGACAGAGGCGAGGCGGTATTCAACGCGTACCCCGGCGCGCCCGAGACGCGGACGGATGCCAACAGTCTGGTCCGGCACCCCAGGACCGGCGTCGACAACGACCTGGTCATCCTCATCTACCGCTGCATGGCCACCGACATCAAGGACCGTCCCAGCCTCCAGGAGCTGCAGGAAGCGCTGACCGCGGCCGTGGTCAACAAGACCGCGGCGTACTACGGGAAGCCGGAGGAGGAGGACGAGGCGATCATGTCGTTCTGGAAGGATCTCCTCCTCAATGCCGACTCGGACTCTGATGGGCTGAGCGATTCTGTTCCTAGTTCGCTTCTCAATGATTTCACTAATGTAGTCTAAGTAAAGTACTTAGTTAAGGCTACCTAGGTAGGTAGTAGGTAGTCTCTCAGTTATCTACAGATTCGGATGCATAGGTTCCTAAAATATACTTTTAATCAATAAGAGACTACATTACTTACATGCAATTAAAACTAACAGGAAGAGAGCTCCCTGCGGAACTTTTACCGCTATGCTAAAAGGTGAACTACTAATCGATCAACATTTCTCTCTATCTAGTCTATGCCAGTAAAGGCATCCAACAAGTAGTATCATCGCACTGTAGGTATCCATCACCACGCAACCTCACCCAGCCATCGTTCCAAATCCCCAACCAGCCGCTCCGCAACTCCAACATCGACAGCACAGTCCTGCCAGCTGCACGTGACGCTCATCTGCCCCTAGCCACCGACACCGAAAAGACCGCGGACAGCACCTCGGCGCCGAGCACGAGGTTAGCGCGGGGTATCGACCAAATTTCTTCTTCTTCTTCTTTTTCTTCTTCTCCTTGCTGCCGCGCCTCTCCATCCATCCGGGACGCCTATATTCGTCACAAGCCACGACACGTACCTCGGCTTCTTCGCCTCGCTTTTCTGCTGCGCCCGCCAGTCCCGCACGAGCTTCATGATGCCGATCGTGTCGTTCTTCACGCCCCAGGTCTAGCTTCGTCTTGATCTCTTGTCGCACTCGGGGCTGAGACCACGCCAGACTATGTACATGAGATCGGAAGGCAGGCAGGCTAAAGGGGGGGGGGGGACTGAAGGAGACGGGAGCTTGGATCGGATGGTGGCGACTACCTAGTTTCGCGTCAAACTCGGGGTCGACGAACGGATACGTAGTTGCACATTGATTCTTTTCGGTTTCAGCCACGGGTAGGCGGGGATTGTTTGAGGGGAAGAAGAGCCGGAGATCGAAGGGGGTTCGTTCTGCTCGCGAAGCCTTTGGCCTCCTTGATTGAAGACGCGAGGGAGACAAAGGCGAGGGCATGGAGGAGGCCTGTAAGCGTAGTGTGGTGCTCGCGACAGGCGCCCACTATCTTGGTGACGGCATCACTCTCTAGGTACCGCGAAGGTGCGATATTGGGTCACGTACCTACGGGGTAGTCTTGATGGCAGCCCAGGTGGCGTAGGTGGCGCTCTGGAATATTGATACTGGCTTCACTTCCTTCCAGAGAGATTTGAAGAAGAATCCTGCTGACATCGGCCAAGGCGACAGAAGTTCAGGGGGCGGGGGTAGTATACCAGAGTTATCGGGGAGGTCAAGAATCCAGGGATCTGATGCTTCCTGAAATTCACGCCCAAGAACAATTTTCTGGATGGCCGCTCTGTTTAGATTTCGAAGCAACTGTTTGTGAAATATCTGTGCGCTCATCCCATCATGGTGCGTGTGGTTCCAGACATACCTACAGTACCTCCAGGTACTCTGCTCCAACCTTGTGCAATACAATTACTCTCCAGTCGGGCTGGGTTTCCAGATGGCGAAATCTGGCATCGATTTGGGACTGTATTGAGGCTAAGTAGTGCGACTCAAGCTCATCGAAGTCCTCGTACGAGTTCTAGTCCACGTGATTGCGAAGATCAATGTGATCAAGGTGAACATATACAGGGCGCTTGGTGTATTCACCTATAACGCCGACTTGCATATGAGGTTGAGAGCGCACAACTTGAGTCTCGAGGGCTTCTCGATGAGTGAGACTTGATGGCAAGGAATAGCGGCATGCTAACAGGGTGCCTCGGTACTGGTCGAGCGTATGCATTGCCAGCTGGTAACCCTCACTGTCATCTGTCAGACTACTACTAGGTATGTATAGGGCTACATGACTTTCTATGTAGGATTGAAGGAGCTTACTGGCAGCCGAGCCTACGAATTATCTTAGCCGTCGTACCATCTTTAGTAACACGCCCCTTTCGAGGGCGGGGAAATATGGTGAGAACGGTACCTATCTAAGAGGTCTTTAACTGTAAAACGCGGGCTTTCTTTGGTATTGGTACCTAGTTTCACGATGCACCCACCTCAGTAATGTTACCAGGTTAGAGGCTTTAGATACGCGAAGGACTATAAATGATTTTATTACGTCTTCGTGCCTTAAGTTGTCGCATGCAATTCTTATAAATGTGGCGCCTGCATAGTGGATTCAAAGCTTCTAAAGTGGTTACCTAGTACCATTGATGAGAAGCTACACCATTCCGTAACGGGGTCAGATCAGGTACCTACCTAACCTAGGCACCTGGCACCCTCTTCTTGTCCACTTAGAATCATTGCTGATTCTATGTATGGTTACACTTTTGTAGGTACCCATGTAGAGTTACATTCTCTATCTCCTAGGTACCTCCATCAGGAGCGGGACGGGATTGCCCCTAACCCCTAACCCATGGCTGGCTAGATCGGGCTTCGTACGCGTACCCGAATGCATCGAAACTGAGAGATCGACCCACAAGGTTGAGATACATAAAGTGCCAGTTTCCATGTCTTGCAGTTTCCAACAGTGTAAGGATGATACGCTTGATATATCTTTCATGTCGGCAATTCCTTAAGTGAGTTTCTCTTTGTCACGAGATGGTCAGGAAAAGCCAGCTATAGGCTACTAGGTTGCCATCTTTAATTAGTTTGTGCTGCATGATATATAGACAGGATCGGATTGCAACATCTGGGGTGCAGAATCTGGGGTATAATGCCGGTAAAAGTCAACTGTATTCGGCCGGTGTGATGCTTACTGTAGTTTTGTCGCACCCCTTTCTATCTTTCATGGCTGTCGTAGTTATGAGCTTCGCGTCTGAACATAAAGGTAGGTGCCATGACTCCCGCTCGGAACCATGGCCGAACTGCTCTCTGCTGACCATACCAGACATACCACTATGCATCTACTACCAATGACTACGTTGCCTATATATCTAGCTATTCCTCTAGCCTCTTCGCTAAAGGTAGCAAGTAGACTTTCGGTGTTAGAATGGACCCCCGAGCTCATCGCCAAGGAAGACTTCTTCGAGGGAGATGTTCAAATCGTAGATGGTGGCATCCCCAGCCTCTTTAGCGACCCAACAGTAGACCTAGGGTCAAACTCCGAGACCCAGCTACTCCTACAATTCGGGTCACACAAGAATCTACGAATGGTCGGTACGGTTGCGGAAGTGTACTATCGAATCGTGGCAAACAAGAAGTCTGGGATTAGCGCGTTGGCAGACCTCAAGGGAAAGAAGATAGGGGCGATGAAGTCTACCTCATCTGAATACTTCATTCAGACGTATCTCGCTACGGTTGGACTGACACCGAAAGATTATACAATTTCCTTCGGACTTGATTGCCTCAAGGAACCATGTGGGGCCAACACATTCCCGGCCATGCTTAAAAGGGGTACCATCGACGCCATCGGGTCATGGGAACCGTCAGTACAGCTAGGTGCCGAAGCTCTCGGAGACGACGGAATCATTTTTGGAAGTAATCAGACAGTGTACCGAGAGATATACAACCTAGCTACAACCGCCGAGAAGCTCGAAGACCCGAAAAAGAGGGCAGATATCATTAATTTTTTGAAAGCCTTGAAGCAAGCTGAAAGCGTCTTTCAAAGCGACCCCGAAAAGATAATTTGTCGAGCTGCGGAGGCTGCGAAGACCAATGCCACACTGTTGAGCACGGTTTGGCCTGTTCATAGGTGGGATGTGCGTGTGCCACCCGATATGTTGGACGTGCTGGTTGACGAAGATAAGTTTGTGGCCGCGTACAGCAAACGGGAACCTCTTTCCCGGGAAACTCTCGCTGCCTTGATAGACTCAACTGTACTGAAGGAGGCCCTTGGCATTTGACTGCTGACCATCAATGTCGTTTTTAATCATTCACTCATGTACCAAAACTTGGAAGATGAGTCTTATTCGAGTGCTATATGTCTTTTCTGGACATTGTGACTCGACCTAGTAGCCATAGTTCTCAAATCATGTCGCATCTGAAGTTCGTTTGCTGCGTATTACAATCCAACCCTTTTTGAAGCTCTTAGGGGTGGATTCGGTAAACTGCATTGAACCTTACTATCCCAAGTTTGAAAATACCCACGAGCTGTGACTTCTCTATTAGACTTCCGTAAGCTGGGTATCTTTAAAATAAATTTCAAAGAATCCATTACCTGAGGGTTCCCAGTCTCTTATCTAAACCCAGAGGCAAAGAAATATTGCAGAAACCCAGTTTGAAGTCAAAGCACAGGTAACCGTTCTGACACTTAGGCTTATACGTACGATTCAAGTTGTAAATAGATTCCCATCCCTTTGCGCTCGAAGTTGGAACAAAGAAGAACAAAGAAGGACGAAAGTATAGGGTACGGCAAACCCGGTTTCTAAAGGGAATTGAACGCTACTTGGTTGAGCTTGGCTTCTCATCGCTTCTCGTACGCGACGTGTATCGGTGGTATGCGGTATAGTGACCGGAGAGAAATTAGTGTATGGCGGCGCCGGCCGAGGCTTAGCGTTCTGGACTGAAATAATTTCAGGGGTATTCGCGCGACGGCAAAACCCTATCATTCGCTCAAGACGTCTCCAATGTGATGAATGGCCGCAGTCTCCCGAACCTGGCCAGCAGTGTGCAGCGATGGCCAAGAATCCAAGAATTATGCAGAAACAAAGTTGACTTGTTTTTAACGTCAAGAGGCCTCTGAAAGCTCTGCGAGTTCGGAACATACATGCCTACCTTTTTTATAGCAAGGTGGTTCGTAGGGATAGGGAGTAAATATTTATCGCGATTGGCGATTGACGATTATTGGCGATACGAGTTACTCAACACTGTATATTCCACCACATTCTGACCCTATCTCATCTCATCCTACCTCTCTCCTTCTACTTTATCCCATCACACGCCGAAGTAGAATGACATGAAATGGTCGATGTTCATCGTACTCAACTCGGTATGGCTTACAGTAAAGTGAATCGGCCCGCGATGTTCTTGAATTTTCCTCTTGCCACGGCTTAGAGAGAGAAGATGGACGTTGATAAATGCCAATCTGAGCAAGGCAAATATGCGGTTTGGCTATTAACAGGATCAGACCATCAAAGTCGACCGATTGTTACCGAGGAGATAATATTTGGTGGCCACGTGAGTGGAATACGCCACATTGTAAACGAGAAATCTATAAGATTGAAGATGTTGATAGTATGCATATGTACATACATACATACATCACGATCTAGACCGACCTTAGCGGGGGTTGGATTTGAATACATTGGATGTTACGTCGAGTCGGAAACCCCGGAAAATGTTGGAGGAACATTGAAAGAAGTGTGTGTGGGAAAGGTTACGTGGAAAAGAATGGTATCGGCCGGTCGGGTCTGTAATCGATAACCAATTTGATTGCACAACTGTAGATTCATTTGGTAATTCTGCATAAACGAATGTGATACATGAGATATGCGAGATATCCAGCATTGTGAATGCCACTGAATGGAAGCCCTGGAGGAAATGCATGACGTACTCTATGTAAAACATACCTCCAGGGCCAACTAGCTAACCTAGTACATACCTACATACATGTACAATACCTTGACGGATAAGAATGTAAGAATCAGCCCACTCCAGTCGACCCATCCCACCCAATTTGGACCACTAAGATTACCGAGAACCCAGTGGAAACCAACTGAGATGCCGTATTCCGCCTCCAACTTTCGAACTTGAACGTTGGAGAACTTTCCCACATCTCCAGTTTCTTTTTGCCTGCCCTGTAAATGGTAGCACTATGCGATTTATTCCAGCCTATGCAGTATAACCGGCTCATTCATACCCATCCATCAGGCTATTACCACGCTATAGTGTCATAGTTGCACGTTATTCTGCAACGTTCCCAGACTCTTGGGTTCGCTTTGCTTCGCTTCGCACCGAATCCAATGACAAGTAACACATGCGCTCAATCTAAGCAGACTTGTTCACATGAAGGATTTTGGACTGCAATATCCAATGTACCCAGCTGAGTAACTGACATACAGACTTGACTTACTGACTTGTTGGATTATACAGTAGCTTGACCCAACATTGTTGCTACCTTACTACTACCTAGTAGCCTGTGACCAAGGTAGGTAATGTTATAAGTAAGTTCGTAGAGTTGACGTTGAATCATTCTCATATAAGTAGCCACCTTCATCATCAACATCTGTTTGCTTTGTCCTACTCATACATCATCCACATCATCACAAGCAACTTACACCTACACTTGTATTCACACATACCAATCATCTAGCTACTCTGAATATCCGAATTGGAATTCGAGTTTCTACTTACATATTATCCCCCTATACTCTCAGAAGAAATATTATCAACCCTAGCAAATCTAACAGCTGGTCTGCCCCCAAACGAGACAAGATGTCAGATACACGGGAAGCCGATATCAATGAGATTCGGCCATTTGGAGTGGCCCGCTCAACTATCAAAGGCGAACCACTATCCAAAGAGGAGATCGAGAAGTATAATGATTTCTTCAAGGCCAGTCTGTATCTAAGCCTGGGCATGATCTACCTCAAGGAGAACCCTCTCCTACGAGAACCCTTGAAAGCGGAACACATCAAAGCCCGTCAACTGGGTCATTTCGGATCTGCCCCCGGCCAAATATTTACCTATATGCATATGAACAGATTGATCAAGAAGTATGATCTCGATGTTCTCTTTGTTTCTGGTCCCGGCCATGGCGCCCCAGCGGTTATATCGCAGGCTTATCTAGAGGGCACTTACTCGGAGGTTTATCCTGAGAAAACCGAAGACCCCACGGGCATGCAAGTCTTCTTCAAGCAATTCAGCTTCCCCGGTGGCGTGGGATCACATGCAACCCCCGAAACCCCCGGCAGTATCCACGAAGGTGGCGAACTTGGTTATTCCATCTCGCATGCCTTCGGTACCGTGTTCGATAACCCAGATCTGATTGCTCTAACCATGGTTGGTGACGGTGAAGCTGAAACCGGCCCATTGGCTACGGCCTGGCATAGCACCAAATTCCTGAACCCCATCTGTGACGGTGCGGTGCTACCCGTCCTGCATCTAAACGGTTACAAAATCAACAACCCTACCGTCCTAGCTCGTATCTCACACAAGGAGCTAGAGCAGCTATTTTATGGCTATGGCTGGCAGCCGTACTTTGTAGAAGGTGAGGATCTGGACACGATGCACCAGGCCATGGCCGCCACCCTTGAACAATGTGTTCAGGACATCCGCAAATATCAGAAAGAGGCTCGTGACTCTGGCAAACCATTCCGTCCACGGTGGCCCATGATCGTCTTGCGAACGCCGAAGGGTTGGACTGCACCACGCAAAGTTAATGGCCACTATCTTTCAGGTTTCTGGCGTTCTCACCAAGTACCTATTACGGGTACCAGAACGAATCCCGCCGACCTTAAGGTACTGGAAGAGTGGATGCGTGGATACGAACCTGAACGCCTCTTCGGCGAAGAAGGGAGAATCTCGGCCGAACTCAAGGCTTTATGCCCCACAGGTAACAGGCGCATGAGTGCGAATCCTGTGGCTAACGGTGGGTTGCTATCGAAACCACTTAAGATGCCCAACTTTAGAGATTACGCCATCCAAGTGGACAAAGCTGGTGCAACAGTGGAGGGAAGCATGGCAAACTTCGCCAAATTCCTACGTGATATCATCAAGAACAACCAGCACAACTTCCGTTTGATGGGTCCTGATGAGACTGAGTCTAACAAACTGGCAGCCGTGTATGAAGCTGGCAAGAAGGTTTGGATGGGTGAGTATTTTGAGGAAGACGAGGACGGTGGCAATCTGTCTCCTTTCGGAAGAGTCATGGAGATTCTATCAGAGCATACTTGTGAGGGTTGGCTAGAAGGCTACCTTCTTAGCGGTAGACACGGTATGCTGAACAGCTACGAGCCTTTCATCCATGTTATCGACTCTATGGTCAACCAGGTACGTATCAAATCGTCACTGCACTCGGTTAAACTTGCTAACCTACATTATAGCACTGTAAATGGATTGAGAAGTGTCTGGAGGTTGAGTGGCGTGTCAAGGTCCCATCCTTGAACATTCTCTTAACTGCCGTCGTTTGGAGACAAGACCACAACGGCTTTACACACCAAGATCCTGGCTTCCTGGACGTCGTTTGCAACAAGAGTCCGGAAGTCGTTCGTATTTACCTGCCACCTGATGGAAACTGTCTTCTTTCAGTCATGGACCACTGCTTCCAGTCACAGAACTACGTCAACGTGGTTGTAGCAGACAAGCAACCCCACATTCAATATCTCACCATGGAGGAAGCCATCCAGCACTGTACCAAGGGTATCGGTATTTGGCCTCAGTTCTCTACAGATATAGGCGAAGAACCCGATCTCATCATGGCCAGCTGCGGAGATGTTTCTACTAGCGAGTCATTGGCCGCCATTGATCTGTTACTTCAGCACTTCCCCGACATGAAGATCCGCTGCGTCAACGTCGTCGACCTATTCAAGCTCATCCACCACACGGACCATCCTCATGGTCTCACGGACAAAGAATGGATCGCTCTATTCACGGAGAACAAACCCATCATATTCAACTTCCACTCGTACCCCTGGCTCGTCCACCGCCTTACCTACAAGCGCCCCGGTAATGCCAACATCCACGTTCGGGGTTACAAGGAGAAGGGTAATATCGATACCCCGCTTGAGCTCGCCATCCGCAACCAAACCGATCGGTTCAGTCTAGCTATGGACGCCATCGACCGCATGCCACAACTTGGCAACCGTGGCGCTGCTGCACGTGACGCGCTCAAGAGCCAACAGGTAGCTGCTGCAAGCTTCTCGTTTGAACATGGTGTCGATCCCGAGTTCTTAAGCAACTGGTCGTGGCCCCAGGAGGGCATCAAGGAAAGGCTGCAGAAGTTGAAGCTTACTAGCTGAACAGCTTAGGCAGTGTGATGATTCGGATAGATAAATGGGCGTGGGTTGGATGATTTAAAAAAGAAAATCAAAAGGCGGTGGTTATGGCTTGCATGAACGAGGAGTTGGAATTTCCATGGTTACGCATTTCTGGGTTATGGTTTATGTCTTTCATGTTACGATAGTTGATACGATATGAGATGAATATCAGAACTGGAGATTATGTTAGGTTGAAGTGGACCTGAGAACTTGATTGTCTTGGGTATGCCTGTGTGATGCTTCCAACCTTCTAGGGGCTGTAGCACATTGATAGCATCGTCCCTGACCGCATTCTCAAGGCATGGGTGGCGGTCTTTCCGGCACGTAAGGGAGGGAATAGATCTTCAACCCCAGGTACTCTAATTTTGATCTCGGCCAAGTCAGTGGGTAACGCACGTGGCAGCGACCATGCCTGAGTATTCTACTTTTGATGCTTCTTTTATTAATCTTGCGTCACAAGAAATGGGCATATCTCCTCCACAACCTCACATCACTGCCCATGCGTACATATGTGTATGAAATACTAGACAAACAAGGCCCCTGCTTACCGAAAAGCAGTGCGCACTACCAAGGGGCTACCTGGGGGTTACATGGGGGGTTAGATAGAACAAAAGACAGCTTGCACGTCGTACATGGAGCTTCATAGTCTCCGGGACATGTTAAAGATCCCCGCGCAACAACGATGTTGCTCTATCGACGTCTTGCAGATTGCGCCTCGTGGCATGCAGTTTACTTATTAGCTAGGTAGGTAGTGAGTGAGGGAAAGAAAGAGAGTGCAGATCATCGCCTTGTGTAGGCAGGCATCATTGAACGACGCTGGCACCACGTGAGGCAGGAACAAACTACCATCGTTGCTGATTCCTGAACGCCAAGCTATACATATAGATGCGTTACGTGGGTATCTATGTACATACACTAGGTTAGGTAGGTAGGTAGGTAGTTGACATAGCAGCACATTAATCCTACAGGTAAGTAAGCTTAAGGCCTGCCTAGGTACTTATCTGCCTAGCCTGCTAAAGTGCACCCGACCTCAAGCGTAGGGAGAGCATATGTACCTACTTGGCACGTCAGTCACGTTACTAGATAGGAACATTTTAGTTGATGGTTGGAAGGATTCTTGGTGGTGTGGTGCTATGTACCTACCTACGCAGTTCTCGCCAATAATCCTTCCCCCCCACGAGGCAGCTGCTGCAATTGGTCTAGTCGCGCCGTAGCGCTCATCGCGGGGCGGGCAGGTGGTCGTTGGATTTGGTTTAAGACAAGTACCAATAGGTTTTTTGTTTTGGGGGGGAGGGGGGAGTTTCTTCAATTGTGATGGCGGCTATGTTTGCGTAGGAGTTGGGTGGATTGACTTTCTGGTGAGGTGAAGTGGATTATATGTGCCCTTCGGGGATATTATAACGCTATCGTGGGTAGCTGCGGTACCTAGTAGGAAATGGGAATGGTTCTGGTGGGCTGGAATAGGTGCTGAATTGAAAGGAGGGGCTATCATCAATGATGGTGCTTTGTTGTATGCAAGCAATTGGGTTAGGGCTGGCTGGATTAAAGTCGAGTATCGTGGGGTGTGTTTGATGGTGTTTTTGATTTATGACATTCACCCTAAAAGACTACTAATTGGATACATTTTGGGCCTATAAATGAACCTTTTCGGCCGACGCTCATCTCGTTGAAACAGATTCGTTTCGAAATGGCAGTTGGGATGGCCTGGAAGATCTGCGATTGGCGCTGTCAGAATTGCCAATCACGAATGGCTCTCTGCACGTTCCCACTTCTCGCCGCACCCCGGATCTACATCTGATTTATGGAACAACATACCTACCTTACCTACCTTAGGTATGTACCTACCCAGGTCGGTATCTATCATAGACTGACTGCACTGACTGCATGTACATACATCCGTCTGTGCGGGCCAAGACATGGATTCAGAAGATTCTAAGAGGTGATTGTTTGAGTGGCCTTATATTAAAAGTATGTCTCACCAAGGTCAGACGATGCAGAATGGCAGAAATCGGAGAGTTGGGTGTGCCCGACTTTGGCACGTTGATAGGCTCGATCAGGTAGGTCGAGAGCTGGGAGATCTGCAGGAACAGGGTCACATCGGGGGGGTGCCAACGGAAGAATAATCGTCAGGGGTAGCAAGTGACAATGCTCGTTTTTCTCCTTAACTTTGGACGAACCATCATTTGTTCACCAAGTTGCTCTTTTATTATATTCTCATTATTCTCCTTCCTAACTCCTAACAATGGCTGGATGATCATCACTACTAGGTAGGCATACACATCACGTGTTGTGGCTTCGGGTACCTTACTCCTTACGGCCTTTCCCTTTTCTTTCTTTTCTTTTCTTTTCTGTTATTTTCACATGAATATTTCCGAGAGAAAACTCAAACTCGCCATCTTATGCGCCAAAAAGCCAAAAAAAGCAGAAGTGAGCTGTTTATTGGGGAGCGCTCCAACAGGTGCTTACCCGTGTCTTGTTTTGCGCTGGCAGATACGCCTCGCCGTCGTCACCACTTACTTCTCCTCAATTTGCCAACGTCTGAAAATGTTTCACGCAATCTGAAGCCCGACATCTTATATTTATGTAGGTAGGTATGTATCAACAGCAAACCTTTGCTTCTGCATCCCAGCGAAGCACCCTGCACAGGTGCTGGAGATGACGTAGCATCGGAAGCAGCACCTACTGTGATTACTCGGTGTCTAAATATAGTAAGACGGGAAGAGGTGGTGCTGTGCTGTCCCTCTCCTCTCCTCTGTTAAATCCTAAGAGCTCAGATAATATATCAGATACCTACCTACCTAGGCAGACATCCCGCCATCGCTGTTGGCACGGAACTCTATAAGCCGAGCAATGATCGGCAATGCAAGTAGTTCTAGCGAGCCTTTGGGATGCCAGGGCTTGTCGGCAATTTGCAGCTTTGGCTGCTTCTGATACTGCGGCGGGGGCGCGGGAACGGCGGTAGCCTACTATACAATTACTTGGAAGACAGGCAGGTGGTGCGACCCGGGCTTACCGGTAATCGGGAGCCATGGAGCTCCCCTCTTTGTGCCGGCCCGTCCTGGTCACCAACGCCGAGGTCTTCAACAGCAGTTGGAGTTGGAGATCGTTTGTACTACGTAGCAGGTCACTTCCACGGACTACCTGTGCCTTACGTGCAGCTTAGCTCCCTACCTGCCTACGCTAGTTGCCAATGAGGAGCTGCCCTAAGAAATACTCCGGCGATTACGTGCATCCTCCAACGTGGACATAGTCCCGCCCCGCCCTTTCCAAGTTGAGTAGTCGATATCTCCATGTATGCATCGGGAGTTCTACCAGGTACCGAAGTGGCTTCAGGTCACTCGCCTTCGATCCATGATACGTATCACCGATTTGAACTTCCGGAGGTGGAATGAGCGGCTTGTTGAGATGCCTTAAGACTTGCATGGTTACATGCTAGGCATCAACACGTTCCGGGCATAGAGAAGCACGGTGTTTACATGAAGTTAAGTTATCGTAGTATATGTACCTATTCTTTAGACCTTTAGACTGCTCGAGATGATATGACAAGATATTATCGTTTACTAGTATAAAGACTTTTGAAAACAGCTGTTGACCTCTCTTTCGAGAACCGGTAATAGAAGGATATCAATATAGATTGCAAAAATACGCCTATAGCATTTAACGGTAAAACCAAGTGCTATACCGGGTACTTGCACCCAAAGTTCAGTATGAGGGGTGTTGGGGAGGCGTGCTTCATGCAAGATGTGTACCTGTGGCGTCAAAGCCATGTATGAGCTCTGATTGGCCAGCTAACGACCTTTGGAAATTGAGTATGATAATTAAGGGAAGGTAAAGGTGTTAGAGATGTAAGAGAGAGGCGCTTCTACGGACGTTTTGCGGGCCAAAGCAGTATAGATCCCGGCTCCATGGTATCTCCTTTCTCCAACTTGGGACCGTCCTCCAGATCGAACCCCCTGTTTCTGTCAGATCCTTCGGAAATAAAGCCCTTGTCTAGTGTGGAAGGGATGAATAAACCTTACCACGTCTTTACACAGGGCATCCTTCGCCTTGCTTGCAGCAACGCCCAACTTGAGGTTAGAGACCTAGGTAGGTAGGTATCCAGATATTGTGTGCTTACCTGGTAGCTTCAGGGACATGGAGAGAATATCTTGGCTACAACGGGAAGGTCATGGTCGATCCCATGCACAGCATTCGACTTATGGGAGCTCTGAAGGCTGTATGCTACTAGGTAACAAGAGGCTCGTAACGTTTCGTGTAAGTTGAAGCATCACGGTCTATTAGGACATCGTTACGTATATATAACTCCAGACGAGGCCCAGTTCCTCGTATTGCAACAATTTTCTCTGTAGGTCGGATTCCCTTGGGGTACAAGCACGGATCTTTCGGTTACTGTCTGGAACTGTTTCTTTTCTTTTCTCGCTTGAAGCTATAGGCCACAAGCATCCATTCCTTAGTTGTGTACATGCACACCACTCCTTGCTATATCCTGTTCACTCCTTACCAAACATAAACTCCGTGCTCTACAAGACCTTTAGAGTACAATAACTCCCATCATGCGTGCTTTCTTTAACTTGGCTGTAGCTGCTGCTACGGCATTGGTCTCCCAGACTCTGGCCCTGCCCATCGTCGTGTCTCCAGGGACAGCGGGAGACTTGATCATCACAAAAGAAAATACCATCAATGGCACTGCCTCACCAAACACCGACAGCCCGGATTCTGTCGCCAACCCACTCAAAGTCTCTTTAGTTAACAATTTTGGAGGAGGACAACTAAACGCATATGTAACCGGCCAGGACCCCTCTGGGTCCCTGGTCATGCTGGGGACCGACGGCAAATGGTACCGTCCCGACCCCCAGGGCAGCTCCGTCCCGGTAGAAATCAACGCGAGCATCGCCATCCCCATGAAGGGCAAAGGCGAGGCCACCGAGTTCAACCTACCCGATTACATCAGCTCCGGACGGATATGGGTCGCCGAAGGCAAACTAAAGTTCTTCACCGTCGTGGCCGGTGACGGGTCCGCCCAGCTCGTCGAGCCCTCCGCCGCCAACCCCAAGGACCCCTCGGCGGCCGTCAACTGGGGCTTCGTCGAGCTGACCAACACCGAGAAGGGCGGCATCTACGCCAACATCTCCTTCGTCGACTTCGTCGGCCTCGTCATGGGGATGTCCCTAACCATCGGCGACGGGACCAAGCAAACCGTCAAAGGCCTCGGCCAAGGCGCCATAGACGCCATCTGCAAGGAGCTGAAGACGCAGGCGGGGACGGACAGCCAGCCGTGGGACGAGCTGTGCGTGACGGACGCAGGCGGCAAGTCGCTGCGCGTCGTCTCGCCGAACCTGTACCTCTCCACCAACGCCGCCGCCATGGAGACGTACTACGACGCCTACATCGAGCAGGTGTGGGCCAAGTACGCCTCGACGGACCTGACCATCAACACGCAGGCGGACGCGGGCAAAGTCGCGTGCCGCGTCAGCGGCGACACGCTCACGTGCGCCGGGGACAACCGCGGGTACCGCAGGCCGACCGTCGCCGACATCTGGGGGTGCAACTCGGGCGCCTTCGAGATCCGCGAGTCCGACAACGCGGTGCACCGCGCCGTGGTGCCGCGCCTGTGCGCGGCGTTCTACCGCACGACGCTGCTCGCGGAGGGGGGCGCCCTCCAGCCGTCGCTGCAGGCGGACAGCTACTACAAGGCGGACCCGACGAGCCACTACTCGCGCATCGTGCACGCGCACGAGCTTGATGGGAAGGGGTACACGTTCTCGTACGATGACGTGAACCCTGATGGCGAGAACGAGGCGGGGGTCGTCTCGGGGATGAGCCCGCAGACGCTGGAGATCACGGTTGGTGGGTTCTCTTCTTAACGTAACCTGCCTAGGTAGGTACCTGCTATCTAACCTGGTAGGTTCTAGTCAGGCAATGAAGCCTTCGATTTAAGGGACAAAGTTGCTTCATGGCGCAGACGAGTCGTGAATGATCTTCATGTTGTATATAACCTTTCCACAACCCCTTTTCACGTGTATATAAGTTTAGCTATCTAGCTGGCAACCTTGGCATTCCTTGGAGAATTTTGGGTAGCATGTGTGTGTATATATCCAACCATGTACATATTTTGATTCGAGAATGTCAATTGAATCAGTACCAACTATTCACATTACTAGGTACCTTATTTGGTGTTGACCTCACGGATGTGGTGGTGATGCTTGAATCCCCGGATACAGCTACATGGCTCTAGAAGGTGGGTGTAACCTTCCAGATACAATTGAATTGGCACCTTAGGCTAGGTAAACATGAGCTGAGTGAGATGAGCGTGACGTTACAGTCTTCGGCCCAAGTACTTTACTACTTTCATTCAATGTTCTACGAAGCTTCCAGGTTGTTATGTGAACTGCTGCTTTTCGAAATGTCCCAAGAAACTTCTGGAGAAACGCCATCGGTCAACCCAGTCCTAACTCCTGACCGTACAAGCAACAAACAAAACAAAACAAGCCAGGGGTGTAGGTACAGGGATGTCTGACGATGATTTAGCATTTGGGATGTGATCTAAGTTTGCGGATCGAAATCGCCACTAACGGGACCGACAGGACGGACGATACGATGTTTTTTTTCCTTGGTAATAGAGTTCGTGCTTGCCACGGCCCACGAGACTGTGGTCTGGATAAACGTCCCGGTTTCCTGGGATGTAGTGGTGCTCGTCAGCAAACAGGTATCGTGTTCGAATGATAGCAAAGTAGGTAAATGGCCGATCGATGTGGATATACTTTCTGATAAATGCAGGTGATCAAGATTCGACTATTGGAGTCCTGTTTCCCCCCTGGTTGTTGTACGTCATAATATGTTCGTCGTTACCAAGGAGTTGGCCACCTACGTCGATACCAATGTTATGTGATACTTCCTCGATACCTAAACTTTGAGAAAGTCGGGGGGGGGGGGGGGGGGCGGGGGGGGGTGAACTTGCACGGTTCTCGTTCTACCACGTAGTCTCCCTCGCCAGCCTCTGCAATGCCTTCAGTCCTTACCTGGAACAGCCTTTCCTTGTCTCCCCCAACCGACACTGCAGTACCCGCACTACTATTACAACCAGCCAGATCATCAGGCAAATCATAGGTACCCCTCCGTCTCCGTCCACAAAACCTCCCACGTCTCCCTATCAAGCCCGAACAGCTGATGGCCCCAGACACTCAGGGGCTTGACCACCCGCTTGAACGGCCGCAGCGCGCACACCTGCTTGATGTACGCCATCGCTAGGAGCGCGCCCTTCTCATGGCTCATCCCGTAGTCCGGGAACACCAACCCCAGCACCTCCCTTTCCCTTTCCCTTTCCCTGCCACTGCCACTGCCGCTCACCCGCCCTAGCAGCGCGGGTCCGTGGCCCGCGAGCGCTCGATCCGGTTCATCAGCCCGCCGAGCCGGCACTCGCGGCGCTGGGGGGGTGGGGGGGCGGGTGTCTGGTTCGTCGACAGCACGAGGTTTATCGCGTCGCGGCGCTGCTGCTGCTGCCACTGCGGCTTGCTGGACGCGGATCACGCCGGAGGAAGGCAGCCGGAGGTGCCCGTATAGGATGACGATGTCCCGCGAGAGGATGAGCTCCCGGACGATCCACATCCGGGACCAGTACGGGTTATTGAATATCTCGCCCATGAGCGCATGGGGACGAGAGCTCGACGCTGTGGTCCCGGCCGGCCCGCACGGAGAACTGTTGTCCGTTGAGGTAGATGGGCTCGGACGGGGGGTCTGGGCCCCAGCGGTAGGATAGGCAGACATGCTGTGGCGGACGATTGCGGATGTAGGATTGCACTGTGAGTTGGGATCGCCCGTCTTTTAGTTCAGGGTCTAAGTCGATGAGGCGAATGTGAGTTTTGGGTAGTGGCTCGTGGTGGAAGTTGAATGTCATTCATTGTGTGAGTGAGTAGTAGGCGGCTACCCTCTTGTGGCTTTTTAGATGCAGTAATATCTTGTGTGCTCCGTGAATTCTTGCTCGAACTTTTCGCTTCTTGGACAGAACCCAATACCGCTTTCTAGGTGTCGTACATAGTTGAAAGTGAGTATAGGTACGCGGGCTGCACATCTATTCGGTGCGCACCTATCTAAATATAGAAGCAATCAAAGTAGCATTGTGATCTCACAGGTTGCTATGCATGGAGGTCGAACAGTTGACGAAAAGCGATTTAATGTACTTTCTGGAGCTGGAAGAGATATTACCGCTCTACTCTCGTTACAATAGTGTGCAAGTTCATAAAAACTTGGGACGAGGGTTGAGATCCTTCATCCGCGGAATTCCCCCTTTTCCCCTCCTTTCTTCTAACTCTCCACTATTTCTGCAGGTCTCCTACTACTCTAGTATAGATATATGTGATAGCAACCACGTAAATATATTCAAGAGAAATACACGTCACTATATGCTGAGATATATTAACTGCGCGTGACCGCAATAATTATACTACCCATTACCCTAGCTTCAACAGCTGTCAGCGGTACCTCTCATCGTCTTCCACCGCCGCGTCCAGATCCACATCCTCAATCTCCTCCACTCCATCTTCTCTCTTCGCCCTTTCAATCCCGCTAATATCAGCATCCGCATCAGCATCCGCATCTGAATATTCACTCGCACTGTGCTCGTCCTCCTCTTGCTTTCTAGCCTCTTCATCTTCCTCCGTCTTCTGCTTCTTATTCGCCTCCTTACCCCCCCTCTTAACCTCCTTCCCCTTTGCACTCCTCGTCGTAAGCCCTTCCCCCTTACCTCCTGTCACCATATCCCCTACCTCATCGTCATCTTCATCCTCCTCACTAACCTCACTCTCCTCCTCCTCCTCCTCCACCGCATCACTCCCTCTCTTCTTACCATTACCACCACCACCACCCTCCTGACGACCTTGTTGTTGTTGTCCGCCCTCCTCGTCACCCCTCTCTTCCACAGTAAGCTCCGACGACTTCTTCACGACGTCGTTGCCGGAGCGCTCGATGCGGACGGCCGGGTTACCCGGCTCGCCTTTCCGCTTGATGGTGTTGCCGCGGTGCGTTTTTATCTCGACGGAGCCTTGCTCTTGCGTCTCGGCTACGGTGCCGGCGGGGGCTCCGGCGCCCCAGTTCCACGAGACTGCGGGGTAGATGCTAGGTCAGTACGGTGGCTTCCTGTTTCTCTTGGAGAGAGATTGAAGGGGGTGGGGTGTTGGTTGGTAGAGGCGGGGAGTAGGGAGTATCTCCGAAAGGTGTACGCATGGTCACATAGGTACCTTTGTCTCCTTTTTGTGGTTTCTCGACTTCGGCCATTTTCTTTTTTTGTTGTTCTCAATGTCCATGAAATGGAGAATGAGTGGAAAGTGGTGGTAAGCTTTATATGAGTATCGTGAGAGGTCCAAAGTATTAAGAGTTGACTATTCCAACCAGTATAAGCGAGCCTAGGTTCATTTCAAACGAGGAGATGCATTTGTTTAATATGACATACCTTCTTTGTCATTACAAGTGACTTCCTTTTTGCAACTTCTATGATTCATCATTGCCGAGTTCAATGTATAGGTAAACGTAATGCAAGAACTAGATTTAGTCATGCTTTGCCTACCGAGGGATCTTTACTTTAGAGTGGGCTGTAAGGCTGAGAGACAGTAAAGACGGAGCTCCATGGCATCCCTCCACGGAATAATTTTCTATATTCAATCATATGATGAAATATAGGTGTGCTTCGTATAATAGAATGGGTCGAGCAGATTCGAATTCGAAAAGCTCATTTACCCCTGTAACCTAGGTACTACTACTGTCTATGTTTCCTGTGTCGACAGTCTGTGACGACGTGTCTCGCCTAGCGCTTTGGAGGGATGCAAATGCATGACGTAGATTGCTGTAAAGGATAGATACTATATTCAAGGTCTCCCTTTTTAATGTTCAGAAAATTGCATGTCTCAACGTGTCATAGAACAGTAGCATCCACGTAGGAGTCTAATCACACGTGAATATCACTACAAGGCAGACAATAATCTCTACTAAACATCATTAGCTTATCGGCCCGTAAATATCGGTGTCCTCTTCTCTTGGAATGCCTTTAGAGCCTCATCCCGATCTTCCGTCTTCACAACGCGTTCGTACATCGCATTTTCCACCTCTTCTCTCGCCCAACTGACCGCCTGGAGCGCGGACCGGACAGCAATCGGGCCGCCTTGGCAGATCTCACTCGCCATCCTGACCGCCTCGGATAGCACCGCAGTCCGGGCTCGAGCGGGTAACCCGTCTTTTGCGGCCTGTCCGTCTACCTCGTCTACACCATCACGCTCGTCCTCAGGTAGCACTTCGACTAATCGGTCGGCGATTCCCAGGAAATACGCCTCGGGAGCGGAAACCCGACGGCCAGTGAGGATAATGTCTCGAGCGCGCGCAAGCCCAATAAGTGCTGGTAGTCGATAGGTACCGCCGGCACCGGGTATAATGCCTAGCCGCGTCTCGGGAAGACCTATCGTCGCAATCGAGGCGAGAACGCGGAAGTGCGTGCAAAGAGCAAGTTCGAGGCCGCCACCAAGAGCGATGGAAGAGATGGCCGAAATGGTAGGTACGGGAAGAGTAGAGAGGGAGGAAAACGTGCCGCGGAGGTTTGCTAGGAACTGAGATGTTCTGTAATCAATCAATTCCGCGAAATCAGCTGTGAAACGTAAAATCTAGGTGGATCACTGTGTTCTGACTCTTCTTGGGTGAAGCCCCGCCTCTCTTTTAAATCTGCGCCCGCGCAAAAGCTCGTATCGATCGCACTGGCCAGAACTAAGGCTCTCGTAGGGCCCTTTTGATCGATACCTGCCGCGCCCCCAAAAGTTTTGGGTGGTGGTATCTCTTGACCCTCTGCAGTGTATTGCGCCTGGACATCAGCTACTTCGGCCCGTAGAGCGGCGAGGAGGGCTTTCGATATGGCATTTCGTGTAGACGGTCGGTTTAGTTCGAGGATGCGAATATGACCTGAGTTCGGAGCAGGGACATTTGTGACTCGAATGAGGGGACCGGCATCGCTTGAATATAAACGGAGTAGGCGAAGGGTTGGAAAAGCCAATCGAGTATATGATCCAGGATATAGTCGAGGAGGCATTGTAATGCTTTTGTTTAATCGTGGTTAGCTATGTTGAAACATCAATTGCATTCGATATATTGACAATTAGTATAATCCAATCACCTATAGGTAATAACCTAGGTTATAGGTGTACATATACAATTGCATACAAGTCAAAATATCGATTAAAGATAGAAAGGTTGAAAGATGCATTGATGGTTGATTGCCTTTGACGTCAGAAGGAGTTCAAGCTACAACCAACCAACCCTGGCTTGGCAGCTGGGGAGCAGCTGGCCCGCCGGCTAGAAGAGGTATTCCACGGCATTATCGGGCCACATCCCGAGATCACTGACAAGAACGCGGGGGACTTTTTATTTTTTTTAAAGATCGTGCATGTACTCAGACTACGATATACGTAGTTCTGAAGCAATTCCCAACCATATAAAGTAGGATGAGCAAGGGATAAGTAAAGGTTGATCAGTACTTAGGGTTGGTTAATAGGTAGCGGTTACTTGCGGCTGCGAGGTATCACTGAATATTACCTAGCTAGTAATTATTCAGGTAGGTTCAAGCAACTTCGGAGATACGGACATCAAATGTAGGGGCTTTAAGTTTTCAGCCCTGTGTGTCTAGAATTTTGACAGGGGCTGTTGCAAACTAAGGTGAGACGACAATGTAAATTTAAGTCGAGGAAGCGTCGTAACGTGAACGATTGCCGAATGGTTATATTGACTATGAGGAGATCTAGCCAATCAGCACGAGCGGAAATTGGGTTACGTGATCTAGCTCTCATAGCACCTCCTCTCTTTCTTACAAAGGTCTTGAATATTTCTCATCGCGCTTTCTCAAACACTACTTAGGGTATACTAGGGTATACTAGGGTATACTAGGGTATATAATACAATCCATTTTTATTTCAAGTTGAATTGACCAGATCATTGAAGAATTGAAGCCGTCAATCACCTTATCTCCACCCTCTTACATCCCTTCCTTCCCAACAATGAGCAGCAACGAGGCACCAGCTTCCCACATCCCTCCAGAGGCCATCGAGTTCGCTAGCCGCCTGTATAATGCCGCGAGGGCTGGACAAATGGATGTCTTTGAACAAGCACTCCCTGCTGGTTTGCCAGCTAATCTAACTAACGAAAAGGGGGACACTCTTGTACGTAGGAGCCAATTTCATTTATTCCCCTATACTATATCTTATATCTTCTACAACTAATAACAAAACACCATCCTATAGCTCATGCTTGCGGCTTATCATGGACATGCTGATCTGGTGAAACTGCTCATCCAGCATGGCGCGGACCCAAATCGTGTAAACGATAGAGGCCAGAGCCCCTTAGCTGGTGCCATCTTCAAGAAGGAGGATGCTGTCATTGAGGTATCATTCCCATATCCGTTGTTTCCACCTCTGAGGACTATTTGATGAACTCTAATGACACTCAAACCTCCATAGGTATTGTTAGAAGGCGGTGCTGATCCAGACCATGGCTCCCCTTCCGCACTCGATTGCCTCTCTATGTTTAAGCAAGAGGAGAAATGGGGTGAAAAGTTTAACACCGCTCCAGGTAAAGGAAAGGCTGGGAAACCCGCATCTGGATAACTCATGATATATTCCTATAGTATCGTATTGTTGGCGCGTGTCTTCTCCCCTAAGGCACATGGCAAGACCTCGGGGGCCTTCAGCACTTCTCAAAGGTCTTTTCTACCACGAGTTGTAAATGTACCTACCTACCTACCTACCTACCTAGTTAATAGCCTAATGCTAGGTGTAGTATGTTGTTTCTTCAACTATACTTATACAATATTGAGTTACACTGTGCTTCATGACGGAAAACAACAAATGCCACCTAGTTAGGTAGTGCACGGTTCAAGTGATGCTCATAGGTTCCTAACTTCGACCATGTAGTCACTTTCATGACGACAAGCAGGGGCTTGTAATGATTCTCAAGAGCTGTGAGGTATATGTCAGAAGTGATTGTTACTTCTACCTATCTAGGTACCTATGCACCTGCCTTAGTGCATGTACCCTCCCAGGTGGGAAGGCAAACTTGGAACTTTATAGGTGAATCTTTCCACTTCGAAATTCAGCCCCCTAGCAACGATCGTACCTACTTGGTACTGGGTCTCTGGGCAACAAGTCAAACTAAGAGACTTTCTGACTCTTCGTATTCAGAGTCCATTCTTAATGTTAAATTGCGTATCATCAAACGTCAACAAACTAAGTATTAGGCACATAAATTCAACAATGGCGTTGGGCTTTGAGTACAAGAGAACTCTCGATATCCCGCCACTCACTTCTAAGTTCCCCAGGTCCATACTAAACCGTCGTCACATTGTAGCAGAGGACATCCGGTAACCTTTTCCATAGCCTCCAAACCGAGCTGGGTAGGATACCCCTTCCCTGAGTACCTGGTGACTATGCAAATACATACTACGCGGTATTTGACATCTGACTATCAAATTAGTTTGTTGTCGTTCAATGGCGCGTACAATTACCTCCCAAGCTAAACTCAACATCCTCAGCAAGTATACAACATTTAAGGTACTGGTTAATGCCTATTTCAACTACTCCGGCTTAGACGCTAGTTAAGTACGTTGCCTAGGTGCCCACCTACCCTAAGTAGGTAGGTATACATCGATACAGAACTATTTCCTGTAGATATATTCACCCAAGACCTCATCCTCGCTGAATTTCTGTAAACAACACTTCATATCAACAAAGACCTGCTCCTCTATAGAGTCTGGTTCAAGTTTCAGTCATCTAAGAATTTTCAGTGTACAGCTGACTATCACATCATAGAAACGGGCAGTTAGGTTAACGATACTCAAGATCAGCGTACTGGGGTCAATAACGACTAACATTGAAAGTTTACAACTATTAAATCTTTTTCACATAGAAGAACGCTTGACTTTTGTGCGAAGATGTAAACAAACCACACAGAACATATCCATGGAACGAGAACCACGGCTTGGGTACATGTACACACTTCTAGGTTGGTACATAGTAAGCATATTTTTATCGTTGAACTATGCGAATCAGTCCGCTTCTTCATTTATAGTCCATCTTTGAACGTTAAATGCCATCCAGCCTTTTCAAACTCGACTATTTGTTCGCACTAGGCGTATTTACTAGTTGATTAACACCTCCTTCCCATTAGATGGTTTCCATTACCTCTTTAAGCAGGCACACCTAGAAAATATATAAACTGGACAGGACGCTCTTCACACTTCCCATCTTTTTCATTTTCCATCAAACACTCTTACTTCTATAATACTTATATCACGGATTTTCCTCTGTTTGAAATCCATCATCCTTCCCACACGACCGTATATCCCTATACATCACTTCATACATCACTTAACACACCAAAGTCAGATACTTAGGTACTATTATTATCTCATCCTTCGGTTCCCATGGCCGCTCCTACACAGCAACATACGCGATCATTCAATGATTCCGTAACTCCAGACGTGCCTTACGGCCAGGAACGAATCGAAATGATGGCCCGCCAGGCTCTGCAGAATTTGAACAAGATGATGACACCAGAATCGTCCATCTCTCCAAACCCTCGTCCGGAACTCCCTGTCGTGCCCCTGGCAGAATCTCGGTTTTCTGCCCATCGTGGAGTTTCCGGTCATCGTAGAGTCTCCGGCCATCGACGAGTCCCCGGCCATCGTCGAGTTTCTGGGCATCGTGGGATTTCTGAGTATCGTGGGTTGACCAACCAGGCGTCTGCACGATTTCTCGCGGCTGGTCCTCCCAGACAGAACCGTCTCTCTCCCCTCGAGAGACAGGCGAGCCTACCTGTTTATCCCCCAAGCACGCCAATCGTCAACCCGGCCTCGGCGGGCAACAAGCCGTACAAGACCGCGGTGATAGCCCGTATCGTCGACCACGCGTTCTTCAGCACCCCGGGCGTGATCCCCTGGAGCCTGCGCACCATGCACCTGCCCATGTATCGGCTGCGCCTGCACCTTCCCCTGCGCGGCTGGCCCTGGGCACTGGAGACCCGCCAGTCGTTGATGGACGACGTGGTCGAGATCTACCAGCAGAGCGGCAACGCCGCGGTGAGCCGGAGCTGGAACTGGGTGCTCGAGCACGAGCTGCGCGCCGCGCTCGGCCGCTTCTTCCTCGTCGACGTCGAGAAGGCCCAGGGCGAGCGCAGAATCCGCCCGGACTACGCCGTCTACGCCCTCCTCGTGCTGCTCCCGTCGATCGACGCCTTGCTCCACGAGCTCTTCGCCATCTGCGCGGACTTCAAGCCCGTCTGGTGGGTCCACCGCCGCGAGCTGCTGCAGGCGCGCCGCGACTTCTACGAGGCGATCGACGACGACGTGCGCCGGGATATCCGTGAACGGGGCTCGAATGGTGGTGTGCCTTGAGATGTCACATCGGTATGCTTGGATAGGGCGCGCTTGTAAGTCTGGAGTCCTACCTACGGTGTGGTATGGTATCTACGTGCTAACATCCGAATGTGTTTAGTCTGGCTAGCCAAGGGTGCAGTCGAACCTGCCAATAGGGATTAGCCGTATAAGCGATATTCTGCCCGGTATACGCAGGTTTTTTTTTGTGGTGTTGTAATAGCGGTATTTTGGCCTGGTATGATATATGGAGGCTTTAGGGTAATAGCATAGTGTCACGAGGCGGATCCTAGAAGACGCAGAACAACACTGTTCTTGCGCCGGGATCCCTAATATATCCCCTATGCTATGGAAGCTACCTAGTACATATGCGTGTGAGCTGCCTTTGTTATAGATAGGTATGTGACTTGCCATGCAGCTCTGGAGGCCCTACGATATTATCGAGCAACAATATGTCGGAGCTACAACACAGCCATAAGCAGGCAGAGAAGACATATTCGCAAGGACTAGCACTAGGTGATAACATCTATCTAAAATAAAATCAGTACACCTTAGAGGCCCAACAATGGTAGGTATTAGGTGATAAGGGGTCACGTGGGTACCCTGATCCAGCACGTGTCTTAGTCATCATCTAGAAGTGGACACACACCCCACATCTTCCCCAGACCCCCCAGATCTTAGCGTTGACCCCACTGATACCTATTTAGTACGGAGACAGGACGCTACGAGAGTATTTTCCATGGCCAAATCGAACTGGCAGGTGTGAGTCGGTAGCAAGATTGGGAGCTGCTGCTTACCTACTACTAGGGAAGGCACCTAGGGTATAGAAAACCACCTGGCAGCGTCCGAGTAGGCGCTTTAGGTAACCCCCTCCAAGCTTTTGGCCTCTTGAAATGTTTAAAGTGGGTCTGGTCCTCCCCCCTATTTGATCTACAATATGTGGAGGCTAGGGGGAGAGATGGGCGAAACTTGGCGTATATAGTTACTAGGTACCTAAATGCCTATTATGCATATCGCATTGCTACTAACTAGAAGCTTATATCGTTGACAGCTTCAATGTTGTATTTGGTAGGTTGGTCACCTAGGTACCTGTAGATGTGTGTGCGTGTCAAGTACTTCCTGCCATTAAGGTTAACAGGTAGGTACCTATCAAACATAACATTCCATGAATGACACTAGAGGCCTTTAGACATCTGGTTGCTATGTCGACGCGAAAGAAATAAGCTTGCACTACTTACACCAAACGGACTGGATGCCATCCCAATTATTCTAGCGCCACGCTATTTGATAGACAGATAGCTGATAGCTGTCACGTCTGTAGACTTAAGCTTAACTCTATCTACGGGCCACGTGGGAGCTTGTTTCTTCTAGGGTAAGTGGGTGAGATGCGATAGCCCGGCGCGCGGCGGCGAACTTAGTAGTTGGTAGACTTGAAAAGGGCACATGTGAAGCGGGGACTAGGTATGTACCTAGTGGCTGGCTACTATATGTACATTCCACGATACTTCATCTGAATCAAGGTAACTTCATGGTGATAACTTACAAGTGGCGGTGCTTCTTAGAAACGTAATCCTAGTAAGATAAATCAAATTCAGCTGATTAGCCTGAATTTTCGAAAGCCGTACTAATGTTCTCGAAGTACCTAGTAGTTAGTACGTTAGGGGACGGAAAGTCTAAGTTGGTTCTTATGTACCTAATAATAGGGGCGGGCTGGTATCTGTCAAGCAAAACCTTACGAGCAATGATTATCATTTCGGCCGTGCGTTGACACGCGCTCTTCTATATTTGTAGAAAACCGAATCTTGAGACCGACACCCTAAGTACTACGACTATGACTTATCAGCCTAGTACGTAACCTGGTAAATACATCACAAGGACGGCCAAGATGATACATAATCTGAGCGGTAGGTACCCGTATGTTCTTTGGTCATTAAGCCAGTAATTCAAGAGACACGCTATAAAGCGACCTAGATAGTATCTACTAAGCCAACTAACACCATGAACTCTCACTCTCTGATCCTAAGATGTCGACTTCCCTCGGCTAATACTTTACGCCCTTTTTCCAAATCGGCACCTCACTAAAGTCTTCCACACTCCACTTCACCTTCCCCTTTTCATCCAACCAAGCACCCTCATCACTCGCCTTCAGCCCGTTCTGTTCATTTTCCGAGATCTCCACCTTGCTAGCTCCCATCGGATCCTTAGCAAGCCAGATCAGAGGCGTCTTGCTCGTCAGCGCGGGGTTAAGGTACGCGCTGCGGAGTTGCTCTTCCGAGTACTCCTGTACGTCATCTTCGTCCTCGAACGAGCCCCCTTCTTGAAGCCAGGCTCGCATAGCGTTGTACGAGGCAAAGAATTGCGGTTCGAAGAAGCGGGCGATTGGGTCTAGCACTCGCTCTGCAACAGTCTGAGGTATGTGTGCCTGTTGTCCTAGGCGCTGAATATGTGATATCGTGTTTGCCTGACCCTCCTCCGCTGATGCTAGTAGCGGTGCACCTTCATCGCCTCCTTCAGATCGGGCCGTCAAGTCGGCCGGCAAAAACTGCTCGAGCGGCGCAAGGTATTTATTCATCAGTACGTTGTATAGCACAGTTACGATGAGCAGAATCACGATTATGATAGAAGGACCTGTAGATGTCCTCATGACGAAGAGGCCGAACAAGGATAGCTCGGCAATGTAGATCCCGGTAAGGAGGTGTTGCAAGGCAAGGGTATAGGCTTGTCCCTTCGTGTCAATCTTGGGCTGGATGACGAAGAGAAGATTGTATCGGTAAGATATGTAGTATAGGGATAGTCCGGCAGCAGCAAAACCAAGTACTAGCGGTGCGATACAAGAGTAGGCGATCGCTAGATAACAGTAAGTAGACTATATCGGAGATATGGACGAGAATGATTACTCACCAATGATGGCAAAATTGGCAAACTGCACATTCCTCCCAGTTAGCATGAAATTCATCACATTCAAAAGGGGCTGTTTATTCTCACCTTTGGGTACAATTTACCCCACGCAATCCCCTTCATACTCGTATAGCTGGTAAACTTCTGTCGCGGAGTCTTATCAAAGAAGTAGTCATAGAATAGATATGAGAGAAGGTCCGAGTAGTTAAGCAGATTGTCAGCAGCAGACGTAGTGCCTTGAATAATGAAATAAGTCAAGTAGAAGTTTGACGCCTTGGGAAGCTGCCTTGCTAGAAGTTCAGGAATTGAGGTGGGATCCTTGACCCTTTTCATCAGCTCCGCGGCAACGGGTGCTGCGCCGGAGAAGACAGCAGTGACGAGGAAGACCTGTATCACCTGGAAAATGTAGTACCATTTTTGAACCTTGAGTTCAGTGGCCGTATTGGTAGGGCATCCAAACGATTTGAAAATGTCTAGTCTGGATCAGTATCTTGATTGGGGATTCGATTAGCATCGTGAGACACTTACACCTAAATATGCCTGGTACCAATTTACTGAGCCAGCTGGTAGCTAAAGGTGGTACCAGCCCAGAGAGAAGACCAATGACCGGCTCGGGTAGGTTCTTTAAGAAGCTCAACCACTCATAATTTTCGGCAAGATAACCGATGTTGGAGATTAAACCAATGAGACCGCTGGGAATGGACCAAAAGACAATTGTAGCAACGACAATCATGAGAGCAGTGCCTTCCTCGGAGATACGGCGAGCCGGTGGAGTCGTGAGGTTTTTCCATATGACTTCGTTGGGTAAAACACCAGTATAACGAGGACCAAGAGCTAGCAAGTTGCTAGATGCGACCTGCTGACATGCGCGCTGAGCTTCGGCACACGTAGTAAATTCGACGAATACTGCCGCTCCTCCATGAGTCTCGCCAATCTCGTAAGCTTTCCGTGCATCTTCAATCTCTGCGTCTTCCTCCTTGATCTTCTTACGCAGCCACTCGATGCTGTCCACATTTTCCTTCATTAGAGAAATATCAACCTTGTGTCGAGGCCGGATAGACTTCTTCACTGAGTCAGGAATGGCCTCGTAAGTTAGAATGCCGTTCGTAGTATTGGAGTTCTTGGCAAGCTTTTTCCCTGCTCTGTAAGCCCTTCGAATGAGAGACATCTCTGCGGCTTCTAACTGTTCGACTTTGGATTTACGACTCGACACCAAACTTTCTATAGCATCTATTTTCGCTACTGGCCACACGCGCAAAGCCTCTTCGCCAAAGAAACGGTGAATATTACTCTGCTCCAGGGAATCCCTCGGCGCAGATAGAAAAAGGACAGTGCGCGAAGAAAGCCGTCGCGAGACGGGCTTGGAAAGGGTCCAGGCTTGACGCAAGCCAATGAGCCAGAATCTTTCTCGTACGATAGTGAACATGACGAAACTGAAGAATACGCAGGCCATGACTGCATGAGCATAGTAATGGCTCTTCTTCTTGATATTGCCGATGCCTATCTTGTCAAGTTCGGTTGAGGAACCACCGCCAGTAGCGTTTATGGGCATGAGAATAGGCCATGTGAGACAGCAACCGACGAAACAGATGAAGATGATGGTCCGGAGGAAACGGAGATAAAGGAAAGCATCAAGTGATTCGTGATACAAGATAAATTTATCGGGAACTTGGCGCATAGTATGAACCCAATTGAAGTATGAACGGCTAGCAGAAGGGGTTCGATCTCTGTAGTGCTTATTAATAACGAGAGCTACTAGAAAATTTCTAAGAAATTCTTACTTCTCTGGTATACTTCCAATAAACGTGCGAGGGGCATAAATATTGGGATATCTATGTCGGATGAGGACGAATATAGCAACAAAAAGAAGTCCGGTAGCCCAGGTGGGAACGAAAGCCGATACAATAGCGGCAAGGGACGCGGAGCCTTTGGGCTATAACGGTAACGAGACGTTAGACATAAGATTCGCATATATAAGACCTAGGCATACTAACCTTTGCCTCCATAATACCTAGGCCAATGTTTGGTTGGCTAGGAGGATCCATTATAGCCTGGAATTCCATTCTCACTGTTTGTTAACACTCCGTGTTGAACGTCAGGTGTTAGATGGGGATGGTGATAGGGGTATGGCGTAGATGACAAACGCGAGGTGAAGCATTAAACGAAATAATGAGCATAACGAGTTTGTTACCACTATAAGAAGTATTAGGTAACTATTAGACTAGTAGGCGCTGCAAGTAGTGGAACTTGGCCAATTATGTTGGTCGTCCTCCAATCAAAAACATGAAATGGGAAAGAGAAGAACAGTCGACTGTGAAATTGAAATAATCAGCATTATTATCAGTTCGCAATGTCACGAATGATGACGTAGACGCGAAGTTCAGGTTTCATACCTAGGGTAGGTCTTGGCAAGTGTGGCTATGCACGTAGGTTGATGTGGCTGGACGTGATGTTCAGGGGCCTCAGAGCTCAGTGTTTGCCGAAGCTCACGTGACAGCAGCAAATGACTACCTAGGTACATAGCTAGGTTAGTCGAATACGGCTGCTTCTCACACTTCTCAATCTCAATATATTTTTGTCCCTCTTTCTATTAGGCTGACTGCAATCCAGTCATAAGCCATGAGCTTATTTGAAAAGGTACCAATCGGATAAATGCGACGTCTAAGCCACAAGGCAACAGTATTTCCTCTTCCATTCCATATTAACATGGCACTCCGTATACGCCGTATATGCCGTATGTGGCCGTAGTAAATCGGGATCTGCAACGCGTCTGCCACTCTCGGCCCCGCCCGTATTGCATTTACGGCGTATTCTTCCCTACAACAACAATAATTCTTGATAAATTCGGTTAGACGTAAAAGGTGTGGTATTCAGCTGCTAAGCTTCGTTTTTATGATCAGAGGATCAAAAGTATGGTTCCGATATGAGTAATAAGTCCCCAGGTAAGAAATTTAAATCACAAGGCAGAGGTACTTATATGACTCTTCCTGCCCGCCTAGAAACTCCTCGATCGTCCATTCTCGCGATTCACCCTCACACTGAATCTGTATTTCTCATTCATCAAGTTGATCATGTCATCTTTCAGGACCATACTACAACTCTCCTTCTTTGCATTATCTCTTGCTCAATTCCCTGGGATCTCAAAGTTACAATGGAGCCCTTGCAATGAGACCGAAGTCCCTAGCGAAGTTCCCATGGAATGTAGCACTCTATTGGTTCCACTGGATTATACTGAGCCTAACTCCAACCAAACACTTTTGCTTGACCTTGTGAAAGTTTCCGCACTAACTAAGCCATCAAAGGGGAGTATTCTCTTCAATTTCGGCGGCCCGGGAGAAGGTGGACGTGCCTCACTGGGTATAAAGACTCTATCTGAAGAATTGCTAGCGTAAGTAAAGGAGACCACGACTCCTATCAATAGCCATGTCGCTAATATCCTTCTAGGCTCACGGGTCGTCAATATGATCTCATTACGTTCGATCCACGGTAAGATCATGTCCCCTTTTCCTCATCATAATACCCGATGGCATTATTAACAACAACAATCAAATTGGCAGCGGCACGAGTGGCTCTAAGATACCCATGCAGTGCTTCGAAACTGAGTTCGATGCTTGGTCTTATCTGTTCTCCCAGGGACCCAGTAACCAGTCCGACGTGGAATTGGCTAGGAACTGGGCTCATGCAAACACGATGGCTTCTACCTGTCTCAAGACACAGAACCAGACCGGTAGTCTTCTTAGCTCGGCATTTGTGGCCAGAGATATGATGCAGGTAGTTGACGCGCTGGGAGAAGACGGCTTGCTTCGATACTGGGGTAGGTTAGATGAAACATCGGTGTATATCTAGTTAAACTGCTAACAACACATCTTAGGATTCTCATACGGAAGCACACTAGGTGCCACTACCGCTGCCATGTTTCCTGATAAAGTTGAAAGGATGATTCTGGATGGTGTTCAAAATCCACACGAATATTATCATTCACAGATGTACGTTATCCCATGAATATACATGCTAGGCACACTGCTTATTTTCATATGCAGCGTCTTAGAACAGTGGACCGACTCAGACAAGGCTTTCTCAGCTATCTTCACCGGCTGCGTAGCCAATCGAGAGAACTGCGCTCTAGGAAAAGGCAACAACAAGACAGCTGCTGAACTTGAGCAAGCCGTCTGGAACATGCTTGATACCGTTAAGTACCACCCGATTCCACTCGGGTCCTTCATAGTAGACTACAGCGCCTTGAAAACTCTCATAGTGAATGCTATTTACAGCAGCGCATTGTGGCCAGGGTTGGCGACAATGCTCAATGATCTACTAACAGGGAACCTGAATGAGCTCGCGCAATTGATTGAGGCAATATCACCTTCGACCACGCCTACTGTCTTTGAGCAACTCGCAACCCAACAAGCTCTCCTAGGTATCCAGTGCGGTGACAACATGGTCCGGACTGATACGTTCGCGGACTTTGTCCCGTACACCGAACGCCTTGCGGAAACGAGTAGACTCCGTAAGTGATCCATCATTCAAGCATATCGGAAAAAGCTAACCCTGATGGTCTTAGTGGGAGATGTCCCGACTTACATATACAGTGCCTGTGCTCAGTGGAAGATCGAGCCTAAGGAGAGGTACACAGGGGACTTCAACGTTAAGACCAAAAACCCGGTCTTGTTCATCGGCAACATATTTGACGGTCTCACGCCCTTGGTCTCGGCAAAAAATGTCAGCTCGACGTTTGAAGATAGTGTCGTTCTAACCGTGAACGGATGGGGTGTAAGTTTAATCCAACTCTTCGTTTTCTCCTTTAACTCCGTGTTTAAAACTTAAGCTAGTCACTAATGTTAATGTCATATCACAGCATTCATCCTTGGCTGCCCCTTCAGCTTGCACCATCCGGACGACTTCAGCATATTGGGCCGACGGTACCCTCCCCCCTGAAGGAAAGATTTGCGAGTCCGATGCTCCCTTATACTCGGCAATCACCTGGGCAGACGTGATCGCACAAGTGTATGGAAATTCTACGACTTCTGCTAAGCGACACGCAGCAGTTCTAAGCAACTCGACGGATGTTCTAGCCCCTTTTCTGGGACTGAGGGGAGTCTCCACCCTGCATGGTCTCTGAGCTTCAACGATTTCTCACATTATAAATCTCAGCTCTTTGTATTATCTGTAGCTTCTTATAAACGGTGCTGATGACAGGCCAATTTGTAATTATCAAAAGTTGTCACTGGACGTCCTATTCCTTTCAGCATTATTCTGGTTCATGTTGGTCTTAAGCAAGTCATTTAGGTTGAACATCAACAAGTCCAAATTGATCCAACCGGGTCTGATGATTCCTAAAAACAAGCCCCGGATGACCGATCATAAGGAAGAAAACGGCAGAAATGACCAGACTGCACACATTAGCCGATGCCACCCATAACCAGGATATCAAGAAAGACTTACACGCCCTCCAGCCCAATAAACAGCGGCTCGTCCGAAATCAGCGTCCCGCTATACCCCTCTCTGAGCTCCACCAGCCTATACGCACACCTCGCCAAAATCAGCACAATCGCCAGCGCCATGAAACCAAAAAACAGCCTCAGCCTCGTCCGAAACGTCAGACTAGAACCTGGTCGTCGCGCTCTGGACCGGAAGTACCGCGCGAGATAGTCGGCGAAGAAGGCGCAGAAGATGAGCATGGCGGCGACCTGCAGGCTGAGGCCGACGAGGGCCATGTCGACGCCGATTTGGCTTGTGCCGGATGAGGCGGTGGAGAGGGCGCCGCCCGCGGCTTGGAAGATCAGGCAGATGATGTCGCTGGGGATGAAGATCCAGTAGAAGAGGTTGGGGGGGAAGCGGGAGAGGGTGGGGGAGATGTTTTTTATGCTGTTTATGGTTAGGCGACCGGATTCAGGATATCTGGCAGGGAGTATATATGGTCAAAAGGGGGGAAGGGGGAGCAAAACTCACGTCGCAGCAAGCGTTACGTAAATAGCAGCGGAGTAGTAAACCGGACCGCTCGTTACGCAAACTGATCCATTCAACCATTTACCCACAAGTCAGCGTAGTCCTGCGCATCAACAACAACAACAACAACAACAACACCACTCCAAGCACGTACCAATCTGTATCATAAACGCCACAAAATTAAACGGGTTATAGTACATCGCGATCCGCGCCGCATACCCCAAGACCGCATTCACCGCACCGAGCAGCATGCACCCCATGAAGAACCACGTCTTCCACCGTATCCCGAGGTATAGGTGGATGGACGCCGAGAGGCAGTACAGGCAGAGGAAGGTGATGTTGGCCGCGAGGCTGGGCCGGTACCGGTACACGCTCAGCTCGATGGGACATGTTTCGAGCGTGCAGTTCGCGCCGGGCCCGAAGACTTTGGTGTACGGCGGGATGATGCCCGGCGGAAAGTTGATCGACATGCTGGGGGTGGTGAGTGGTGGTGAAGGATGTTAGACTCGGGTTATCGTGAGGGTGTAAGTCTGGAGTTTTACTGTTGTGAGATGAGGAGGTCTACATCTTGAACTACACCTCATACCTGTAGGGAGGTATATAACATCCCACTCAAAACTTGGCCAATCTTGTTTGTTTTGCGCAGGTTCATTACGTCTTCGAAGGGGCTGAAATACATGCCCATCCATCGTGTCAGACCAAAGTTCACTACTGCCAGATTCAGCGAATATCTCATACAAAACTATCATCAAAAAGCAGTTCATCGCACTCGCACTCGCCTACTCTACTTGTTTCTGATCGGCCTTCTCATTGGCCTTGGGCGAGCATCGGGGCAGTGACGAAAGCCTTGGCGACGAAGCGAGTGCGAGCGAGCAGGGGTGGTTTGACAGCTGTGGTTCCATTGGATCTATCCGGAAAACTCTTATCTAGATCGTCCCGTATTTTCGACGAATGGCTCTCGTTCGAAGATGCAAATCCTGCCGCTCTCTCAATGCAATACTGGGTACGTACCTACCAATACACCTAGATATTGTTTTATTTTATCAGGGTAGTTCAATTCTAGATCCTGTCTGGGTACTGTGATAGCACTCGTATAAATAACTGATCTGGATCTGGGTTGGGGTTACGAAGTCCTGTGATTTATATGGGTTATTAGGTGTGTAGGTAGCTACCTGGGTATATATCATCTACTCTTGCCACTCAGCTTCAATGATCCAACGCATGGCACCGGTAGGCTTCTTGGCTCCCACGTATCGAAAACGAGGGTCCGCTCTACGGAATAGCTCGGGCCATTCGTGCATCTCACGCTTCTGGGCATTCAGAAGCTGCTGCATTCCTATATGCAAGTTTCTGTTGCGTCATCAGCCATTCATACCGTAACAGATAGGAATATTCCTATACTATTCGCTGACTTACATTGCCCTTCGCGCATCAGCTGTGCTTAGACCTTCAAGGCCTGGAAGGATGCCCTCGTGGATAACCGCTCTAGCGCCCGGCTCTAGGGCCGGGATGAGGTTTTGGAGAATCTTGATGCAGTGTTTGTCCGCCCAATTGTGGAATATCGATCGAAAGAAGTATACGTCCGCCTGAATGGGCTGTACCGTGAAGAAGTCACTGTGGAATGGAAACTTATTAGTAGTAGTATCACCTAGCTAGGTAGAGGTACCCAAAGTTGAATTCAATCGTAGCAACTTGTTGGAACAAGGAATGACGTGAATTGGTGTAGTCGGGCTATCAGCACTTATAAAGGGGGGAGACTCCACTTGCAAACGAGGATGGAGCTATCCTATTAGCTAGTTACTCCCGCCATCCATCCCTTATTTGCCTTCTCATGTTCGTCATCGTTAGGTTGCTTAACATACATACTGAGTTAACGATGAGCGGGCAGCTTTTCCATCTCTGTGGCTGGTAGTGAAGGGCATCCATCCCCGATCGGCTCTTTGATCAGAAGTTTGAAGAAAGGTGGAACTTATATCAGACCGGTCGATGTTGTGTATAAAATGTGAGATTTAGTCAGGAGAGATATCCATCGGTGCCGCTGTTGGCATTTTTATACACAGACGACGTTACACTGTATAGATCTCCAGGGTTGCCGATTTTGAGGTCTAAGCATTGCATCTCTTCTTATGCCACGCCTAACCTAAATCACGTGGATCCCTTCTCAGTAATTATGCTTACAAGCCCAGATACCCCACGTGCATGTGGCCTAAGTTATCAAATATTCCCAGCATGGGGCGAGAGATGTAAAGCATCTTGGAGGCGGAAAATCGATAAAGATGTCACTGCTTGAACTACAACGATAGCATGGCGTCCCTTACCTCGCGTTTGATAAAAGTGCTTTCTGAAGTCATTCCCAACTACAAACCCCCTTTAAACAATGCTACGATACTATCAAAGCCCCACATTCGAAATAAGAAGTCATACTGTGATCAGCTTAAAGCTTCTTCAAATGCAGATGAAATGAACTTTTTAGCTAAGGAAGGGTACTCCAAAGATGGTTTATGCATGAATACTCTAGGTTAGCGACATATGCCACAACTCTATATGGATAGTAGCACAATCCTTCCAGTCATCCATGTGATGACACATACACACATACATACATACATACCCCAACTCTAGAAGAACTGGAAGTTGATGGATAAAAAGGCCACTTCCCAGAGTCTTTCTTCTCGTAGGTACTGACAACTAGCTAACCGTACCTACCTGCCAACATGCCTTGGTCAAAGGTGTCACACGAATTCACTCACCCCCAGCTTAGCTACGAAGCCAAACCCAACTTCCAACCCTACATCAAGATATCCGTCTTCTTCAAGAAGCTCGACTCTGTCGACTTCGACACCTTCTTCGGCCACTGGCAAACAGTCCACGCCGACCTAGCGGTAGCAACTCATGGATTCCGTAAGCATGTCGTGCGCTACGTTCAGGTAGGCCGACCCCCCTCCGCCCCTTCCACCTTCGCACTCTATGATTTGATTTTCCTTTCTTCTGTCTGCGTATGAGTATCTACATTAGCTAACGGGCCCCAGCACCACCAAACCCCCGAGATGAAGGAGCGGATACGGAGTCTCGGTGGGAATGTCCTGGACTATGACGCGTGCGCCCAAGTGTATGTCAGGGAGTGGGATGACTGGCTCACGTTCTATAAGAGCGAGGAGTATGCTGCTGCGCTGGGTGAAGATTCCCCTCTTTTCATGCAGCTACCGGTGACCTATATGGTGGGGCATGAGAATCTAGTTGTTGGTGATGCTTCGGGTCAGATGGGGGGGGATGATGGCTTGAATGTGGCCGCTTTGGTGTAGATGCGATGGCATTGTGGGGAGTAAACTGGCGAGGTGGCTTAATCTAGGTAACTAGTGGCATATATATTGCGCAAGTCATCTGAGCTAAGTAATAACGAATGTGTTTATTCAGCTATAGCTTCCTACAAATAGATCATCGTGCTATTCTCCTCGCATGATGTGTGACAAACTTGGGAAGGGTTTCAAGTCCCCAGAAGGGTTACCTAGACTTTCTACAATCGCTTCGTCCTCCTCTTCAGGGGCGAGGTTCTTGTTTGTAGTGTAGGTAGGCATCCTTCCCCAACTTGGGAGCTCTGAGCATCGAACCAAACGACCGGATAACTGGGCAGGCTTCAAAGCCACTCGATAAACACTAAGCAGTGACGAGATAGTTAGTTCCATCGAGCCATACGGTATCGCAGTCCTGGGCGTTGATTTACTTGGGCCGTGGGCTCGAAGCCAGACTACTGTCTATAATCCCAACTTGTGCATCCCGCTGGTGATCTGACCAGTCTCAGGGTAGTCGACATGCACATTGACAACCTCGACTTTAGGCTCTTTCTCTTCACGCTTGGCAAGCTCCATTTGTACGAGAGCTGGCAATCTGGCCGCTAGAACCGACTACTACCAGTCAACCAATTGCTCTTCACATGTTATGCTCAGCTTGACTTACATTGTCCGGATTCTTGTTCATAATTCTGCATCGTCTTTTGAGCCATTCAATATGCTTCTTGTCAGCCTTCTTGTTACCCCCTCGGCACTTTGGTACACGGTCTTGGCGTTGCTGGAGGTGTTTGAAAAGCTGTCGAAATTGAATTCGGTGTCTCATTTCTTCTAGTCTCCATATATCTTCTAATTGCTCCTTCGTCAACACAGGAGCAATAGGCTGTTCGGCGGGCGTTGAGTTTGGGCCAGACATATTGATTGTTCGTGGAAACTTTGGTAGGGGAATATGTGGATGGTGGCTCTAGGCCGGACCCCATTCTAGAGAGCAGAAATCGATACAGATTATATCTCAGGGGAGAACGACATATCGTAACGCCAAAAGTCACCGAGGCACATCTGAGTCACCTACTGCTAGGACATGCCTTGTTACCTACTTGGTTTTCAGTGGCTTATAAATGAAATAATACCATCAGAATGAAGTCACAGTGGATTTAGCTGATGCAGTCTTCTTCTTTCCGCACAAATCTTCACGTTACCGTGAACGAAGGTTAAACCAATGCCAAGACCTGATATTTCTTGGGGGTAACACTCCATACTAGGTAGAAATGAACATGAATATCACACCAGAAAGTCTCATATTGCCATCTAAAGTGTGGCAGGTACTGTGCACCTAGGTAGGTAGCTAAGGTAGGTATTATTTTGAACTACATATGGTCGCGCTCTCGAATTGATAGCATCGCCATTTGTGACTAAGGTGACTCGTTTCACACATACTGCAGGCCATGATGTTAAGAACGACATACATACTAGGTACTGTCACTGTCACACTGCCCAGGTACAATACATCCGGATATAATAACGTGTGGTTGAAACTAGTGGTTAGGTAAGATGATATCTCAGATTCTCAGATTTGTATGCACAATACAACTTACCTACCTGCAGCCCCAGCCGCTCGGGCCTATAACTAAATACCTAAGTTAGTTATGATGTGGTTTCATTCAGGTTCTAGATGTGACTTGAAGTAGCAAAAACAGCAAAAAAAGCAAACACAAGTCGGCTCCCGCCCTCACTCATCACCAAGCCACTCTAGGCCTATCAAAAGTCGGGGCGTGTAATCGTTGGATGACAGTTACTGAGCCGCAAAAGTACCGGGTACGCACCTAACCCAGGCATTTCAATGTTCAATGTTGCTTTTGTGTACAAGTTCCAACACTTTTGGGGTTCACCGCAAGATGAACCTCATCTATCCAATAACACGGTAGCTGCAGGATCTAATGCACAGCATGGTGGGCCATACACATGGCCATACATATGCTGAGTGGCGCAAAGCAAGTGCCTACTTACTGTAAGTGGCATACTTCATGCTTGTCTGCGCTGTGCGCACAAGATTCCCCCGCGTACCGACTACATATAACAAATGCAACCTTACGAGGCAACCTAACTAGGCAATCTAGGCGTCTTTCTTTACCCATACTAGGTAGGTATAAGTAATTGTTGTTCAAATTCAACGGATATACCCCCTCCCTATATATTCGATCCGAATGTTCGAAGCAACATTGTTTACCTACTTACAGTAAATCTGTTGGTCTCCGCCCTGTCGCTTGGATACATAGGATCAACCCAGTGCGACCGAGTTTTCGGTATGGCTAGACTAAATAAGTTCCAATGCAAACGGTTCTCTACAACCAACTCTCACTGATAACCGTACGTAAGCCAGGCAAAGCGCGTATGACATGTTCGAGGCTACAAGCTTGCCTGCATAAATAGGTAGTAAAGTATCGGGGACACGTCCGATTCCGTCCCCTTCTATTTTCATTCCTTCGATACTCTTAACCCATAAAGACAAAGTTTTTTTCATTTTTCATTTTTTCATTTTTCCAAGGCTACGATACTACCTGCGTTCCTGCCTTAGTCTCAATTGCCTTGCCATTTCGAGCTACAACCCTTCATCAATTCCAAGATTTTAAGTAACAAGTCCTACATAGTACCTTGCAATGTCATCATATTACTACAACATCCGCGAGCATGACCACGGGCTTGCCCATGACCTGGCCCGTCAACTCTCGCACGAGACACGTCATAGCGCCCACCCGACGCAGTATATCGTGAACCGGGGCAAGATGACGATGGATGACAGATCCTTCAGGCACAGCAATGCCTTCATCTACAACACGCCGGGATCAAGCCTGCGCATCGTCCCGACCCAAACCGAGTCAGTCACCAGAACCAGGTACGGCTCCTATCACTCGCCTCCGCCATCTCCTCCGCCTCAGCCTCAGCCGTACTACCTGCCCGAGCCGGGTGCGGTTGTTGGCACATGCCACGGCTGCATGGAGCGGCGAGAGATCTACTACGATGGCCACTGCCACGAGTGTGCCTCCATGCGACTGGTCTCCCCACCGCCCAGGGTAAGGCACAGGCACCGCCATACTCTCCACATCTCGACTGGACCCCCCGAGAGAAGAATGCTCGGGTGGCGCTGAGTCCTATCTGAGCTTCTCACATCACTAGCAACATCAGGCTCAACTTCAGTGGGCCACCATCATGACCATTTATGAACTTAGAGGAGCGGAGAGGGATGGAATATGATATTCTGGTGCTTCGTTCTCATATGTCTACATGGTTGCGTTGGAACAAATGACTTTCCTTGCTACACCTAGCGTTTCTTTTGTTTACTTTAGCATTATTTGACGTTTAGTTTAGCCTTCTCGGGATGAACAGCACGCGAAAGAGGGCACATAATGATCAAGTGGATTTTCTTTGTTACTTATAAAGGGGGATGTCGTTGAGAATTCTTTGTCTACGGCTAATTTATTGAATTGAAATTCGTACCTAATAGAAACTTTCTACACTCAAACTGTGATATTATGATCTTTAACAATGATATTCCAGAAGGACTAATCGCTTTCAAGTTTTACTTCATGGTCACATGTTTAACCGACGAGAATTCCACGACCCGCCCCCCTTTTCTCCCCCCTAACCCTGTTATCAAAGAATTAAATCTGGCGAGTATGCTCGTTTTGGCTGGAAGAACACGATGATTTAAGAAATGAACAGACTTAGTTTAGTATACTTTAACAAAGAAAATGTACTGAACAGGCATCAAGAGCCAAAACAATCAATTTGTGTGCGTTCACTACATGTAATTGTTTATAACCACCCACAGGAGTCGCTGAAGCGACACAAGCGGATACGCCAATTTCCGCGCCCGTCAGCTTTTCGTTGCCAGTACCTAGGTACCCAAGTGTAAAAAGAAAAAAAAAGCAGATACAAGATGGCAGACAGTCAAGCCCACAGCTTCAGCATCCAGCAGGAGTTCTTCATCGCCACCAAGCTCGACACCGCGAGCCGTCCCAAGCCTCCCCGGTTCCAAAATGCCAAGGGAAAGCCCATCCACATTCCCCAGGACGAAACAAGCCCAGCGTCCATAGCAGTCCATATAGACAGAGCGGTAGGAACGTTCATCCGGACCGCCACCAAAGGCCACAGGGGCGACCGTGTCGTTGCCTCGGCTGCTCACCTGGACAATGATACGGAGTCCTGGCACTTGCGCGACACCGTCGAGTGGTCGATAACGCAGCCCCCCGACTTCAGAATCCCCAAAGTACTAACCGAGCGGCACATGAACCACTACACATGGAAAGTCGTAGTCTTCCAATCGCCCACCTTCTGGGCGACCGAGAAGTCCTTCGCCGAGGTCCGGCGCGTGTACCAGAAGCTCTCGGACACCTTCTGGGTGCTCACGTGCCCGGGCAAGGGGATGCGCATCCGCTGCGGCCGGGGCAGGAGCTGGATGCCGCTGGGCGAGCTGCGGCGCATCGGCGCGCTGCTGTTCGCCGCCGACCCGATCCTCGCGCAGCTGCACCCGGCGCACCGCCGCAACGGCAACGCGCAGTGCCTCAGCATCCGGCACTACAGCAACCTGGCGCACGGGTGGTCCGCCGCCGCCATGGACCGGAAGCTCGGCACTCGGGGCAGGGCCGAGGAGGCGCCCGAGGAACTCGAAAACGAGAACCAGCCCGCCGTCCCCGCACCCGAGACCCCCAAGCCAACGCGGCGCGTCTTCCGCCGCGGCGAGCTCGACGGGTACACCTTCGACGCGAAGCAGTTCTCCCAAGACGCCCCCGCGGACCTCCCCGCCACCGCCACGCTCCCGGGCGCCTCCCCCGCCGCCCCCCTCGACATCGTCTCCGGCGCGCGCGAGCTGATGTCCTGCACCAGCGCGCCCACCCTCGCCGCCCTCCTCGCGCACCCCACCGCAAGCACGGCCTACAGCTTCCGCGCCTACACCGCCCCGCAGTACCGGCAAGCCTCCCCCTCCCGAGCCCCCCGCACGGTCGAGTCCCGCCAGCCGGCCGGGACCCTGCACCCGGACCTCGTCGTGCTGCAGGCGCGCGTGTTCGTGCAGCTCTGCGCGTTCGCGGGCGCCGCGCCGCTGCGGGAATTCTGGAAGCTGGTGCTGGACCTCGCGATGGGGGAGGTGTGGGGGACGGTGTACGATGTCCTGGATCTGCTGGCGGAGTGTGGGGTCGGGGACGGGGAGGTGAGGCTGGTGGAGGGGGTGATGGCGAGGCAGAGGAGGGTCGTGGTGGGGAAGGATGGGTGGAGGGTGAGCGAGAGGGAGAGGGAGAGGGAGCCGGTGGTGGTGACGCTGACGGCGGGGAGGAGGGCGTATAATCGGGTGCTTGGGGCGAGGGTTGTGGGCGTCAAGAGGGCGTATAGGCGTTGGAGGGTTAGTGAGGGGGTTGGGATATTCCGCCATGTTACGGGGAGGCAGCTTATGTTCTTCGTGCTGTTCGTGTTCGTTGTCTTGGGTTGTTGTGGTTTATTCGAATAGGGGGCATTGGAGCATATGGTATCATTGCCGGCATATGCTATGGATCTGCTACCGAGTCGGGAAATTGCAAGCACGAGGGTGAGGTGAGAAAGGCTCTAAGCTCAGGGGTTGAGGCTGTTCTGATGGGGCTGAAATGATATGGCTGGTTGGTTGGTAAAAGAATCTGTTGGTTAATTACTGGTCTACCGGTCGGTATGTGTCTAGATGCCTAGTATGTTTAGTTACTTCTGTTTCCCGAAGTTGAAATGTTTTGAACTCGTTTACTTACCGAAAAATGGTCATATGGTGTGTCTGCCTGTCTGTCTGTCTGCCCCCTATCTTTCCTCGGCACTACTAAACGGAGTCTACCGGCGAACTCACCTACCTACCTCGGTACGTAACATCCATACCTATATCTACAAACACCATCCGACCTCCGGGTCTGGTACTTACCTACCTAGGGGTACATAACAAACGGCACCAACAGCATCAAACCGTAGGACCAACACCTCTCACCGCTATCTTGCATGTACAACTCAGTTACGTCGTAAAGTGTAGCTAGCATCACAAAAAACGAACACCTACCAAGCAAACGTGGTATGCATTCCGCCTAAAGTCATATACTGAACCCCCTTAAAACCTACCTTCTCCAACTCCTTTCACTCCTGACATACTCAAGCACGGTTCGACCTTCTAGATTCTTCATAAAGTAGGGCTTGCTCATCCAACAGTAGGTCTACACTGCCGGTAAGTAGGAAGACGCAGTCGAGGCAGCGCAAGGCGAACATAGACGGGATTAGTGTACCTAGGAAATCATATTGCATCCGGGGAGGGGGTTGCCAAGGCGAACGATACGGCGAGTTCTCGGAGGGGTTTAAGCCGGATCCGGGATGTGTTGTTGGTTGGGAAACATAATGCAATTAGTTGTCAACCTTAAACCTTGAACCTTGAGCTCACATGACAGAAGGATTTACACATACGTTGAGATAATGCATCGTTGTATTACCAGGTAAGCCTCATTAATAGTTCGCGAAGAACCAGAACCCCTTTATCCCGAAACTGTTCTACCTTCTGACCGAGAAAGGTTTCCTGGGTGTGTAAAAAAGGACTACGCAATGATCTCCATGCTATGAAAATGCCGATATTAACACCTTCGACCGAAACCGAACCCGAATCAAATCAAACCAGCCAACCAACAGCAGATCATATCTTCGTCTAGGTAGTCATACACCAAAAAAAAACCTTCCCAGTGTCCCCTTTCTATTTTCATCTCCCGCTACTATCGCCCATACCTCTTACACCATGTCCCGTCGGAGGGGGTTGAGGTTCATGCTGAATTTGCTTACAGTCGGACCTGCGTATTTGCTTACAGTCGGACCCGCATATTGGTCTACCTTGGACTGTAAGCCATCCTCAATCTTAGTTTGGTACTGGTCGATCTTTCCATTAACCTTCTTGCCGACAAAAGTACGGAAGCAGCCGTACGCGCCGGTACCAGCCCAGAAGAGGGCATTCACGAGATCGACCCAGACAGCGCATTTCATGAGCGCAACGCTGGTGCCTTCGTATTTGTCATCGTCGCGCTTGAGGAAAATAACGGCAAAGGTGCCGAATAGCGCAATCCATAGAACGAAAAGGGTGAGATCCCAAGCGAAGAGACGGTGGGATTGGAATTTGCTGAATGGGTTTGGGATGGCATACACGAAACAGGTGATGCTCGAGAGGCCGGCAACAATCAAGGCGTAGACCCACGCTACCGACTGCGGATTTCCATCCTTGTGATCTCGGTTGACTCGACTGCCATACAAACCGCAAACGATGATGGCGAGTATGAATTGGATGCCACGTGCGACCCAACGCAGCCATGTTTCGTAAATGTAGACTTGCTTGGTAGCGGCACCTTTGCCGAATTTGGTGACGAAAGATTTTATGGCGGGCATTTTGCCTTTTTTTTTTTTTTTTTTTTTTTTTTTTTTTTACAAATGTTGTATGTTGTTTCGGGTCAAAATGTGTGGAAGTCGATTCGAGGCGTACGATGTGTGTCTTCCTAAAGGAAAGTGTAGATAGAAGGATAGGTAGATACCTAGAGATAGAAATGGAATTCGAAACGAACAGAATATGCTAAGCAGCAAACATAAAAGGAAACTAACAGAGAGTGAAATTATTAAGTAATTATTGAATGAGTGCAGAATGAAGCGAAGACAACCAGTGTCATCTGTGTACTGACGATGATGATGAAGAAGAGGGCATTTGTACAAGTAACTGTGTAAGAAATCATGTTGGGTATTTAAACGGCCTGACAATGAAAAGGATAGCCATTATTCAGCCAGTGAATCAGAAACAAACAAGCGCCTAATCAAGTGGAAACTTCAACCCTGATGAAACAATTTTTAGCAATTTTAGTAAAGAAGACCGACAGCCAACAAGTCTTTGTACGATGAATTCAAACAAAGAGAGTCTGGAGAATTGGAAGCTTCAAGTCTCAATGTTTCTAAATCGGGATTTCCTAATTGAAGCCCTGCCAACCAATCGAACAACGAATCCATAGTGGTCCGAGCTTCACAGTTTGTCTCCCACTGAACGCTGACAATGATATCCATTGGTTGAGAGGCTCTGTTGCGCGAGACATAGGCCTGCGATAAAGCCCGCTATAGGCGCGTAATGTGCTGTATTACCCGCCAAAGTTAGACGGTTAGCGACATCATGACCGGCGCTAAAAACGCGTGTAAGGTTAGATCCGTTACGCTGGGCTTCTTTTGACCATCTAGCTAGTAGACAATAAGGGTGGTTATAGTTACTTGGTGATTCGAAACAAATCTGACGACAACGTCTTTCCGACGACGCACGTTGTGCTATGAGAGTACACACATATATAGGTAGCGGCCCAGTATCTAACCTAGATGGTAGTAGGCACTTACGTACGCACTCGTCAAGTTTGTCAAATGTTGCTGTTACTTACTATCACATTGTTCGTCTTGATATAACTAACGAGTGATTCGCAAGATGGAATGTGTAGATAAGCACATATTCTTATCCGACTCAGACATATATGTGTAGGTAAGAAGACATTTTATCCGACTCGGAGAAACATGACGATGGGACATTACTCTTCATTACTTGCGAAGATGAGACAAGAAATCGTTTGCGATAAAGTGTGTTCAAAGTAACTACAAGTGTCGGCATCCGAGCAGCCAGGGGTTGCGATCTAATGACTAGTTGTGGAGCCCTTGGGGACGTGCTGAATTGTAGTCACATACCTCGGCATCTTGAGACCCCCATCCTAAGATTCCCCAGCTTCTCCAATTAATAGCCTACTACCCACCTTAGGAAGAGCCCTGGAGATTTTTTTTTTTTACTGCATAGTAAAAAAAGGTGACATCACCATGAGCTCCGCAGCATTCTAACCTTAGCCTCCATAACATTCACAGTAGTCAATGTTTCTTCTCCGATTTGAGAAATCTAACCTAGAATCACATGCCAATACACTTCAAGGCATGACCTTTTTCACATCAACACATGGGACTACGCTAGGTTAGACAAGTACGAGTAAGGTAGGAACGCCATACTTTTTCCCCATGAAACCTGAACCTTGGAGCCCCGGAGATTCTATTAGTCCCTCTGCTTCGGTAAAGAGCTAGGCACTACGACTAGTAGTACTAGTACCTAGCATCCGTGGGGCCAGGCAGTTTATCATTTGCCAACTGGCTACAAGCAATAAGCAATACCAGCGTGTTGAGTGGCTTACAAGTGTCTGATCTTAGGGAGCTGTAGCACTGAGTGCAGTATCTGTGGCTGTTTTCGGCCAGGGGGGGTTCCACTTAACATGGGCATACCGTGGACCTTCCAGAATTAAAGAATCACATGTCGGGTAAGGTCAATAGCATTGAAGAATATTAAAGACTCGGCAAGCTGTAATAAGCCGAGCTTACTTTTCGTCGCCTCTCGTGAAGCCTTTAGATGCTTTTTAAGTCTTCAAAGTCTTAGAAATCTTTCCAGCAATCTTCCTCACATCTTCACATCTTATATTATACCTACTTTTTATCTACGTCGCATTCCTACTCACCAATTTCTATATAGTTTATACCACCAAAATAATACACAAATACCCTTTTTATTCTGTATAGATAAGCATCTCTCATAATGTCCAAGACTTTCTCCAAAAGCGATGTTGCGTCGCACAACAAGGGCGATTCGCTATGGATTATCGTTGATGACGATGTCTACGATTTGACCAAGTTTCAAGACGACCACCCTGGTATGTTTTAAGATGCCATTTGAATTCAATTCCATTCAAATCAATTTTGCTACACCTTTGAGAATTAGCTTTCGGGATGTTCCAAACCATGCGTATCCGCACGTGTCTAAATTGAGTCGAGTTCCCAGTCAATGTCGCTAATCTAATCTTCAATGTGCAGGCGGAAAGAAGATCTTAACACGAGTCGCTGGAAAAGATGCGTCCAAGCAATTCTGGAAATATCACAACGAAGGTATCCTAAAGAAGTATAAGCCGTCACTACAAGTCGGTTCATTAGATACGAAGCCCAAAGCCGAGCCAAAACCAGAGCCATCTTCGACCCTCGCTGCACCCAAACCGACAAAGGAGACCCAGAAGGCGCTCGTCCCATCTCCTGTGCAAGAAGAAGCCGAGGCTTTGGAGCCGTATGGTGACCTAATTCCATTCGCAGATCCCAACTGGTACCAAGGGGTATGTCTCTCCCCCCCACCCAATCATGCGTGCCTCTCAATGACCTTACTAATCATCGGAGTGCAGTTCCACTCCCCCTACTTCAACGAATCCCACGCTGCGCTCCGTGCTGAAATACGCCAATGGATTGAGAATGACATCGAGCCGAATGTCACAGAATGGGACGAGAAGAAGGAGGTGCCGCGTGAGATCTTCCTCGAGGCCGGTCGTCGCGGGTATCTCGCAGGCCTGTTAGGTGTCCACTACCCGACGGAATATACCAAAAGCAGAGTCAAGTCCGTGGCACCCGAGCAGTGGGACCTGTTCCACGAAATGATCGTCACCGACGAGATGTCGCGCACCGGATCCGGCGGATTCGTCTGGAACATGATTGGCGGCTTCGGTATCGGCTGCCCACCGCTAATCAAGTTTGGCAAGAAGGCCTTAAAGGACAGAATCCTCCCCGGAATCTTGTCGGGTGAGAAGAGAATCTGCTTGGCCATCACCGAGCCCGATGCGGGCAGCGACGTCGCCAACCTGAGCTGCGAGGCCAAGCTTAGCGAGGACGGCAAGCACTACATCGTCAACGGAGAGAAGAAGTGGATCACGAATGGTATCTGGTGCGATTACTTCACCACTGCTGTACGGACAGGCGGCGAAGGCATGAATGGTGTCTCGCTACTCCTCATTGAGCGCGATGCTGGTGGCGTCAGCACAAGACGCATGGACTGCCAGGGTGTATGGTCGTCTGGTACCACATACATCACCTTCGAAGACGTGAAGGTTCCTGTTGAGAATCTGTTGGGCAAAGAAAACCAAGGCTTCAAAGGTATGCTATTTTCGACTAAAATTTTTTTTTTTTGAAAACAATAAACTAATCCAATTATAGTCATCATGACCAACTTCAACCACGAACGCATGGGCATCATCATCCAATGCCTGCGCTTCTCGCGCGTGTGCTACGAGGAGTCCGTCAAATACGCTAACAAGCGGCGCACCTTCGGCAAGAAGCTGATGGAGCACCCGGTGATTCGGATGAAGCTGGCGCACATGGCGCGCCAGATTGAGGCCTCGTACAACTGGCTCGAGAACCTCATCTACCAGTGCCAGAAGATGGGCGAGACCGAGGCCATGCTCCGCCTCGGCGGCCCCATCGCCGGCCTCAAGGCCCAGAGCACCCTCACCTTCGAGTTCTGCGCCCGCGAGGCCAGCCAGATCTTTGGCGGCCTGAGCTACTCTCGCGGCGGGCAGGGCGCGAAGGTCGAGCGCCTGTACCGTGATGTACGCGCGTATGCTATCCCCGGTGGCAGCGAGGAGATCATGTTGGACCTGAGCATGAGGCAGAGCTTGAGGGTTGCGAAGATGTCGGGGATGAAGTTGTAAACATTACAACAAAATGAGAAAGCAAGGGGGAAAGGCATGTAAATACGAAAGAAGAGATTGTAAAGGTTTTTTATTGGGTGGAGAGCATGATGCCATTATGGCTTGTACGATGGGGAAGAATTGAAGCATCAGCTTACTACTGGGAAGTACTTTGCGGTTTGCATCTGGCACGATTTGTTTTGAGGCGTTGGATTGTTGCTCAGTGCCGTGTGCCTATAGTACTATTATTTATTTATTCAAAGTTACCTACTATTTGTTACTATTGTTACCATTGTGAAGAATTTGATGTGAGGTTATGAGTGCATAATTATAGGGGGGTGGCTCGCAGAATGTTTTCCCATGCTGCACCCCTGTCAGACTGTTAGGTCGCTATGGCAGGTGTCTCATAGACTACCCCACCACCTGGCTGACACCTGAGCCAGCCCCTAATCGATTGAGCCACAGAAGGGGCAACCGCTAATTAGTCCACTAACTAAATCCTATGAATTGATATTACGGGTGGCAGTGTAAAAGCGGGACAGGTGGCAGATCTACCTGGGGTATCTAACAGCCGACAAGATTCTGACAGGGGTGTAGTATGGAAAAACATTATGTACATGATAAGTGGGTCTGTCGTAATTGTCATACAGCTGCCCGGCAGTTGCTCAGTACCCCTATTCCTAACAACCACCCAACGACCGTGTTCCTCAGGGTCTTGTTCTGGGGAACTTGCGCAGCAGTCAGTTGCCTCCCTAGGTCCCTAATGCATGTATTTTATAGATACCTACCTAAGTTACCATTTCCTACAGGTACATATACACATTATTGTCGAAAACAGTGATAGTGTTCATGAAATGTTTCCCCTTATACCACCTAGTAGGCTGATCAGGTCATTGAAATTACAAATAATTTACTAGAAGTACTTTGAGTCGGTGTGTACATACTGAATCATCTCCACGGTGTATCATGACAAGAAAAATATACTGGTGAAAGGAAGACTCAAGTTTCAACGCTCCTCCTACCACTGCCTAATATCAGGTAATCATACGCAAAAGTTGTACGCTGTGTTTCCCGTAAAGCTTGGTAGACCTTTTAAGGTTTCGGGTGATTGTCTGTTAAATATTTGATATGATTAGTTGTGTCTGTTCCTATTTACTCACTTGAGAACTACAGTAACGATACAGAGCTTGTCGATGAGGAGCACAACAAATAGAAAATACAAGCCAACAAAAAGTAGAGAACAATGTTAAGATTGCGTCCAACTCTATAAAACTTATTTCCATGGAGACTAGATTCTAGGGATTTCTCGAAAAAAAAGTCTTTGGAAGATTTTACTATAAAGAAAAGTGCGGTTGTAAGCCTAATGTAACATACAAGAGGTGATAGAGAACTTATAATGAATATGATCGCGTCGTAGTCTTTTCATTATTCAACCAAGTCCAAAAGAGTCATGCAGTCTATGAATATAACTCATTTAGACCATTTTTTAACATTGTTCATGACGATTCTATGGTGCTCTATTTCCAAATATCTGCTATGTTTACGAAGAATTCACCGTGATGATACAGACTCTGTCGTCAAACATAAAGTTTCATTTTGCTTATAGGGTAAGACTGTTTGTCTATTATAGGTTGGCAACAGCCATAGCCTTTATATAGAAAAGAGGGACTTTTCAGGGCGTTGCTTTGGCACCCAATGAGGCTGTCAACGGTAATATATTTATAAGGCATCAGTAACTCTAGTAATTCCTAGGACGTGACCACTTTTCAGCACCCTTGTGGCTACAACCTCAGGCACAATACGTTGCTGTGGAACAGAAGCGTCTACCTTGATACCTATCTACCCTCTACTAAACTCTAGAGCAACGGCATGCTATTATGCCTAACTAACGCGAGCTTCCTTACCCATATGAGAAGACGCAACCTCAGGTACGCAAATAGGTACCTAGTACTGATCGATTTCGAGTACTTAAAGCTTTTTATTTTCTGAATTTTCAATCACCCGCACTCTCTCTCCTACACCTCAACTTCCCACGCTCCATTGTTTACATTCCTCTTCCTTCTTCCTAAACTCTCCCACCCGCCGTACTTCTTCCCAGTACTTATCAAGCAACGCCTTCTACCAATAACTCAACCACTTTGCATTCTCCCGCACTCTCTCGCACTCTACCTCCTACACATCAACTTCCTACATTACATTACTTTCATTTTTCTTCCTCCATTTCAGCTTCTCTCATCCACCTTACTTTTTCGCGGTGCTCATCAATCAACGCCCTTTACCAACCGCTCAACTACTTTACAGTCCTACACCTAGGGTTACCACAAGGTCAGTCAAATTTCAATTAATCGTTTTTTTTTTGTTTTTTTTTTTTTTGTTTTTTTGCTCTCTTCTAAACGTTCATTATATACTTCCGCCCTTGACATGAACCTTCGCCGTCCATCAAATAATTCATACTAGTCGTCCAACACTGGTGCTCTTCTCATCCATCACTTCACCTTCACCTCCCCTGTCTTGATCTTTCCTTTCATCATTTCATGTCTATCATTATTCTAACTAGCAAGATTCACAGCTAGTTCCTTCTACTCCTACCTTACTACAAGACTCTTTCCTTAGTTGTAGCCTAGACTTGGGACTTGTTTGTCAATATGGCTTACCAAGGTGGCGAGCGACGAGTCGCCGACCGACAAGGTGCTCGTCGACCTGCTAACCCACAACCTACTGATGGCTTGTGGGCTGCTCATGAGGACTTACACGGCATTGAGAGATTTCGTCAATTGATAAGACGCAATGCTTACCAACCGATCACACGCTTCGCAGGAAGCCCGCCACTGAGCGTTTTGTCTTCGGTATTCAATCAACCACACAACAATGCCGACGCTCCAACCCGCTACGGCGGATCCAGTACTACGGCCACAAATTCTCCAACTGCAGAGTTTTTTGATGAGAATAGTGTCGCTGGTGAAACATGTGTTGATCAACAACCATGGGAATGGCGGCAATTCCAACCCAACTTTCCATCCCGATTCATCAGACCTCGGCCTACGAGTGTCATAGCCAATCTACACCAACAACAGCCTCATCCTCCTCCAACTCGCCCGACCCAGGCTCAACTTCCTCAAGCCGATCCTTCGCCGTCACGTCCCCTTCCAACAAATCTTCATCAGGCGGAGAACCACGTGGCTGGCACAGCTCAAAACGTGCCGGCGAATACTGGGTTCGAACCGATGAACCATTGGACCGCTTGCTTCCAAGGGCGTGTTCTGCCACCACAAGTCTTGGCTCGACAGCTCGCAGACGCTGGGATGTCCCTCAACTACGCTGGCAACCCTTACTTGGACAGAAACAGGTCGGCGAACATACCAGAAGAGCTCAGCACCTCTCTCTGGATTACCAATCTTCCCCCAGCCTGCACCCACCCGCTACTGCTCGGTGCCATCAAGGACTGTGGAAAGATATACGCCACAGTCATCAATCCGCCCGAGAATAACAGCCACACAACTTCGGCCTCCAAGCTCGTCTTCTTCGAACGCCTCGGGGCCGACAAGCTGCTGATGAAAGCCCGCGCCGGCCAATTCACCGTTGGAGGGTATGTCCCGCGGGTCCGCATGAACCGCATCCGATCCGCACCAGAAAGGCCAGGCCCACAGTGCCGGGTGCTGCACATTGAGGGCCCCAGCCACATCGTGAACGAGACCTTCCTCAACGCCTTCTTCCGCACGAAGTTTGTGTACGAGCTCGAGGCTGTTCTCACCTTGGCCACGAACGGCACCAACGCTCGACAGGAGTGGCGGTTCGGAAGCTACAGGTGCCAGGCCGAGTCGGCCCGCCAAGCCATCTCGAAAGAGAAGAACCGCCTCGACCAGACCGAAGCCGAGCGCCTGGCGTGGCGGCAGGTCTTTGTTCACTTCGGCGTCGATCCGTGCGCTTAGTGGGTTCCAGCGCGCGCTCTACACGCGCGCTGCGAGCGCTGCAGCGTGCAACATCCACGCCAGCACCATGGTGTGCCTCTTCCCTTTTGCATTACTTGCGTTGTTTTTCTGAAGTGGGATGGAGGGACCATTTTCCTGGCGTCGCTGCTACTTTGGATTTTGCTGTTTGCGTTTGCGCCTATCTAGATGTTGCTGTCTTTTCTCTAGACTAGAAATCCGACAGAGACGCACACCTATATGAATGAATCAATCAGAGCGTTCACAACAGAAAGGGAGAAGAAGTCGCTGACCCTCAGAAAGGGGCATTGATGAGCCTCTTCAATGACGTTTGGTACTTCCTGTGAGTTCTACGTTTGTCGTGAACTGTATGAGCCGTCACATATATGCCATTGCCTGCCATGTGCTGAAAGATGATCCCACACCGTCGCGCGCCTGCAAATGCCAATAGAAGCGTTGCCATTTACTGGGCTGCGGGTTCTCTTTGGCATCTATGACCATGTCCATATTAACAGCTACTCAGCAAAGAAGGGCCCAGCCAACCACACTTTTGCGCCTCTTTAACGACGTTTGGTGCTTTCTGTGCGTTTTATAATTGTTCTGTGCTACTTGGTTGCATGTCCTGTTATACGGTACCGCCGACATCGTCACAATCTGACAGTCTCAACCCAGACTTTCGGGTTGCGGGCTCCTCTTGACATCTACCTATGACCCTGTCTCTGGTAACAGCTAAAGCTCTGAAGCAGAAAATACAGCCAACTTTGTCTCTGCCCATGCCCACACCACCTAACATTCACTCCAACGGGATGAAACCAGCATAGAGGAGTTCCGCGGAGCACTACAAACCGACACTTTGACCCCCTCATCGCACTTCTCAGCTACCCACAACCACCCGAACATCGCGGGTGTGTGCAACACCAGACAAGCCCGGCCTGACACGGATGGCCCCATAGCTATCAATTCCCAAGCCGTAAGTCTACGACTTTTAGGGAAATGTTATTGGGGGCGTCGCGATCCAACGTAACATTGGGTTGCGTCGTTGGGGTGTTGTGGTGGGCCACAGCAAACTAGCTACTAGCTGTGGCCCTCCCAGCAGCCCCCATCCTGCCCTGAGCATCTCCCCGTCGACGAAGGGGAGAATGACTCCACAGAGAGCATGTTCAGTGCCTGTGGCAATGTCTTCTTGCTGCAAGAACCAGGTGCGGCTGGCTTCCTGCCTGAGCCGGCGTGATGGTGCGCCTCGCGGGTGAGAGCCGCGAGGCAGAACGTGCAAGACCATATCCACAAGCACCATAGCGCCGGTCGTTATATCACAAAAGCCAGGAAGCCAGTCGACCATGGTACTGCATCCATCGTGGCTACCGCACCATCCGCAACGCTGGATGGCGCCGTTGGTGGCTGAGCATGGTACTGCATCTATCGACGTTGCGGCGAGAGATAGTATCGTAACTGGAACTCGCTCTTGAGGGGCTATGAAGGCATGTGCCACCTCAGAGGGTGTCGTCATGCCCCTGGGGTAGGCTTTTATTGCCGATGACTTGGAAAAGAAGAAGGAGATGCGGGAGTCTTGGGCAGCTATATTCACTCCTCCTTGGCTGCTCCTGTTCAACAGTCGATTGGCACGCCTACGACTAATACTCCTCGGGACTTACATACCTAAGTTTTATGGGTCCACAATCACAAGGAGACCAACAAGTGCCATCGGCAACTACTCGGTCGACCGAAACACGTATCCTTCGACCTTCTCAGCAGTTAAGCTCTACGATTGACGAGACAGCACGCAGCGTCTGACACAAACTGCCCAGTATCTCGGGCTATGAAGGCATGTTCCGCCCCCCAAAAATCCATCCTCCTTAGGGGAAGCTTTTGTTGCCGGTGATCCAGAGAAGAAACGCGAGATGCGGGTGTCTTGGGCAGCTATCCAGTCAACAAGCTCAGACAAGTTTATTGATATGATGCCGTGGCAATCGTCAGAACAGCAAAAATCGATGAAACATACATTCGCACGGCGGTAGAAACCGTGGAGACACATGCTCCCAGAAGATGGGTGTCTGCTACTATGTAATGCGGACAAATTCATAGGACCGTAGCCGCGCATTCCGCACTACGGGACTCTGGTCGACCAGGGCCATGACGGTCTTCGGTGAACACACGCAGCGAGCCTTTGAAGGGTGCTGTCTCGGAATCTACCATTGTACGGTATGCAATATGTTCGTGTCTACGAGGCTCCTACACCCTTCGGATCAACTTACCCATGCCAATATGTTCCCCTTGTCTTCCCAAGAGAATGAGGCTGGATACTCTGACTACGAAAAAGTCCACGGGAAACAACTTGAAGGATTGCGCAAGTACCACTACCTAGGTACATGACCTCGTTGTCTGTGAGGGTTCACGAAGCATCCTGTGATTCGAAGTCTTTCATCGGGCGAGCGTCTACGGCTTGCTCTTCCTCTGTCTTCTGACGGTGTCCTCGCCTCCCCTCGGTTCCCTATCGCTACACTTCCACGGCGCTGGGAGCTGTCTCGGCGCGTCAATACCCAGAAGGTGCAAGAGGCCACTCTCTTGTTCCTGGAAGCTACAGCCGCAGAAATTATCACCAAGAAGGCTCAGGCTAGGAAAGAGGCATTCGAGGCTTTGCCTTCAACAAAGCCTTGACTACGAAGGCCGGCGCGGCAGCCCGTCGAACCGTTGCAGACTCCAAGGGCCTATTCGTCTCCTCAAGGCCCAGACCAGTAGGCACCCGGAGGTTTTAGAGCGCGACGTTTGGTGCCGCGTTAAGACCTTAAAGAAACGATCAAGAGGCGTCTCCTCGGGAAAGACTTGAGGAGGCGACTTATAGAGTTCGCCTCCTCGGGAAAGACTTGAGGAGGCGACTTATAGAGTTCGTCTCGACACGATACTTGATATTTTGTCAGGAAAGTATGGATGATATATATGGCACTCCGTTAACGCTACCTACCTTGTGCATCGCAGAAGCTTGCCAATAACTGGCGGGGTGGCGTCCTGGTGGCTGTCGCGGTGGATGGGGTTGTCTTTGCATCATTGGGTTCTAGCTGGGTGAAGAATCACCAGATGAGCAGTTGGGATGAAGGAATCGGACCAAAACAGTCTCCTACGGGATTGAGTGGCGTTTGTGGAAGAGACGACGATACTATATCGGATAGTTCATGGGGTTCAGTCTTAACTTTGAAGGCACAGGGGACTTGGAAAAGTAAAGGTTGTTATAACATGTTGTTTCGTGGGTACTTACTGAGAGGTGACAATGTGTTGCAAAGAAATAGGTGCGGTCTTCCATCTTTAAAGACAAGACATATGTATGCCTCAAGCCTGCTATACGAAGTATCAAAACGTATCACGTCTTTTCTGAAAGCCTACCTAAGTAGATACCCTCCAGAAGTCGCTATGAATTCAGCAGGGACATGAAGAGACACAGAATATAGTCATAAGTCGTTGAGCCATCTAAGTTACTACACTGTAGCTCACGTATTATCATTCAAGATTCAGTCTAAGCTATTGGGGCAGATGGCAATCGAACATTTAACTCATAAGACAAGATATTCTTAAGACAAACTACTATATTAAACTGTTGTCACATGGTATCAAGTATAATTAGTTAATAATAGTAAGACGATCGGCAGTTATTGTAAAGAGCATTGTACGGAGAAAGAGAAATGGACAAGGGCAGAGCCCCTTACGACTGATTCCTAACAAATAATCTTGCCCTCACTCTTTCGTAGTTACACTGTTAACTGTATCATTAATTAGGTACCTAACATGAATATTAGTAGTCACAAATGTTATATTCAAAACCAGCCCCTATTTACATTCTTTCCATACCACTTAACCAACAACATTATCCACAGCCCCTACTGTTGCCCTAGGACATTCTGGAGGTTACCAACCTGGAACCATCCTTAGAAACTTCGTACATGTCCCGCCTTTGCCGAGAAAGCGAATGAGGAGTTTCCACCCGCAGCCGGGTTCCCGTTAAATATCACATTATTTGTCGTACCGTTTCCTGGCATCTTATTGAGAATATTCTTGGTACCGAGCTCCTTAATGCGATCGCATAGAGCCGCTGGATCTCTCTTCCCCTCGAGGGATAGTAAATAGGCCGCCAATCCGGCGACAAGCGGGGCCGATGCTGACGTGCCATCACCAGCTTCCTATCAATCGAACACATATTAGCCTCCTATCACTACTAGGTAGGTATGTAATTTGACGCAAGGGGCAAGCACTCACCTCCGGGGCATCGGGCCATGTGCTGGACTTCCTGATCGTGGGGCCCAGAACGTTTTCGCCGGGCGCAAATATGTCCACGAGAGGGCCGTAGTTAGAAAACCAAGAGACCACGTCTTCCGAGTTGGTCGATCCGACGGTGCACACCGTGGGCACGGTACCCGGAGAGTTGTTCACGACGGCGCCGTTGTTGCCAGCCGCCACGGCGAGGAAGACGCCCCCCTCGACTAGCGCGGCTGCAGCGGCGTCCATGATGGGGGACACGGGATATGCCAGCGATATGTTGATGACATAGCCCTTAGGACAGTCCCTCTGCCTCCACTGGATCTGTCCTTGAACGTATTCCATGCCCTCGACGAAATCGGAAATGTTGCCGCGGCCCCCGAGATCGACAACTTTGACTGCGATCAAGCTCGCCTTCTTGGCAACCCCGTACGTCTTACTACCGACGAGGCCTGCCGTCCAGGTTCCGTGGCCGCTGTGTCACAAGACAGTCCGTCAGTCCCGTAACTACAAGTAACTTGGGAGTAGACGAGAAGGGGGAGTATTTGAACTCACTTCAGGTCGTTGTTAATTCCACCATCATGAGAGAAATCCTGGCCGAAAACGGCGCGGCCTTCAAAGTCTGGGTGATCTACCCAAATGCCAGTATCAAACATCCAAACGCACACGCCCTGGCCACCTGAGTCGTCGTATGTATAATCGGTGGTGTTGACGACTCGGGACGAGACGCGTGAAAGTGCCCATTTCGCATCCGCCTGCGTCGTGAAGTTGGCAAGAGGATGGACTTCGGCATCCTGCTCGATGAAATCGACCTATGCATGCGCGAGATTCGCACTCAGCACAAGCATCTAGGTTAAATATCTATCTCCCCCTCCTAGGATTCGAGATCCAAAATTTCGCTGAGATAGGTAAACTCACATCTGGATGGTCACGCAATGCCTCCAGCTCATCGTCGTTAAGCTTGGCAGTGAACCCCTGAAAGGCGGGTGAGGTATTGAACGTCTGCTGGCTGCGACTATTAATGGAGGCAAGGGCATCATCCACGGCGGTAACGGACGCGCCCCTCTTCATCTTGACAATGTATTTCTGATCGATCAGGTTTGCGGTATCGGCTTGGGTACGAAAAACCGGTGCGGGCTCGGCGCGCCTTCGGTTTGGCGCCGCACGGGCTTGGATCCCTGCCGCCAGGTAGAGCGAGGATAGTAGTAAGGAGGCGCGCATCTTGGAGGTTGATATTCAAAGTAATCAGAACAGAGACTTGGGTTCAGTGACACTCGAATCCTGACGTTCAAGTATCGTGAGCCCAGAGAGATGGCTTGGTAGGCCTTTTTATCTCTTCTCACGAGCTGTCGTTGCCACCCCGGCTTGTTCCTCCTGCCCAAACAAGCTGACGGTAGCAACATCACGAAGCTGGTCATTTCAGTTCCCCTTCACATGATGTACGATCGAAATAAGCATTACAAAGCGGCCATAGTGCCATGAGCCTCATGTTACGTTGGACGTTTTGGGGAGCTGAGTTCAAGAGGGCTTGGGTCTTGTCGGGCCGTGCCACAGTCGTGCATGCGTTCATCTCCGTCCGCCCAAATCTGGGCCTCCACGCCTGCCCTATCTAGATGTTCCGCATACAGCCCAATACAGCAGGAAGAGCAGAAACCATGGGAGGGAACACGGAGAGCCATTGGGCCTAGAGGTCACCTTCTGCTTGTATTAGCTGGCCATAGCTCCATGGCTCTAAATGGTACATGCGCGGGCATGTTGCAGGAGTCTAGATCCTATGCGAGCTTCCTCATACATGTTTACTTTCTTTCGCGTCTACACTTTCCCGTGGTAGAGACTCGAACTTCGAGTAGAATTAGCGCCGAGACGAAGGCCGCCGGTCGAAAGGTTTGGAGTCTCCGGTTTGCACATGTTGCTGGGTACGTGAGGGGCGAATTCGGTGAACCAGAAATTGATCAGAAGTGAGCTCGTCGAATGAATGAGTTATTTCTGCTATCATCTAATAGCCTTTGCTGTGAAATGATCGGGGTATATTCTTATGAGTTGATGATGTTATCAGCTCGCAAAGTCTGTTTGTTCCCATTATTACCTACACAGAGCTCCGTTTCTGAAATGCCATCCTAACAACAATGCGATGCGCTTGTGATATCTGGATTTGAAAAAAAGGCAAACTATGGGATTAGAAGCCTTCATTAAGTCAAATTCTAATCCTTGGAAGTAGTTGTCGGTATATGGGGCATGCCAGGCCTGGGGTACATATCGTCGCCATTCCTAGGCAATGCCACTTGACGCCACCCCCTTTTTTAAACTTACTATAATATGTGCATGTTGGTACTTCAATCACAGATGATAACGAGTATCTCAGTGTCATAATTGAGGCAACATAAGTTATTAGAGGCTAAATGGTCAAATTTCTATCTCGTTATGACACAAGACTCGACATCTTCTCCCTTTTCACTCCAAGCTTCACTCTTTGTTCAATTTTTTTTCTCTTCCTAGGTAATTTTGAATCAACTCTACCTTGCTTAAATATGACCACCAGTCCTATATATGTCATGACACAAGATTGTGGCCTTCTTCAATTACCCCCATGCTTGACAGGTGGCCAGAGAAACTTGAAAACTCATCATAGAACCAACCAGAATAAATGTATGTGACCTTCCAGAATAGGAGGACTCTCTCTAGAGGTCGCCTATGGCACTGAGGATGAGCCCAATATTTTACCATAGATAGGTAAGCAAGGCTACGTAATGATATCGTTCGCATATGAGACACAGCCTAGAGTCTTTATCGTGAGACTATAACACACGTCAACTAGTTTTTATGAAGACTTCGACTAATTCAGCGAATGGAATCAAACAGTTGCAGGTGCAGGTAGGTGGATACAACATGACCGAATCTGCGCCTCTGACATGTGTCCTCAATTGTAGCTAACCCACGGTAGATATACTGAACGATCCATCGCTCCATCTTTGGCAGGATGACGTTTTGCGGGGACAAATACGGCATTACAAATAAAACATGGCAGATCTTATAACGTATCTATAACTGTTATATTACGATAGATCAAAATAGGGGAACGAATCTCAGGGGTAAACTCAGCCTCAGCTCAATAAAGAAAGGATGTACAATACCGAGAAACGTCAAATACAATCATAGGTTGGAATCTTTCAACACTAACCTAATACCGTTCTCTCCAAAGAGCCTGGCCACAGCTTCGTGTAGTGCTCCGCCCAGTTCCACGCCTTATCACTCCACTTAATAATACCATCACGATGTACACCCATGTTATAGGGCTGACCGATTCAAATATGCGGGGTTTCCTTTCTGTTTATTTTTAATAGCTGATGCTTGATTGTCATCTTGAAAAAACCCCGGGTCTATTTACCTAAAGAAGTTCGTTTTAAGAACTTGGCACCCTAGGGATAGTTCCTAATACACACCTACCTCCTACATACAACCAACCTACATCTTCAAGAGAAATGGGACCCCCCATCGATTTGAAGCAGCCTATTAATATTCAAGCAGGGAATACTCTCAAATTAGAACCCGATAACAACAGTAAGATCTCAAGGGCAGCACTATCGCGAGTTTTGGGTGGTGTAATTACCGCCACAAAGTTTCCTCCAGATGCTACAGACCAGATCTTGACACGACTCTGTGGGGATATTGTCGGAAAACAGGACCCCGACGTGGCATTGGACTTCAAGTGCTGGCGTGATAGCATCAAGACACGAATAAACGATGCAGACTTAAAACAGATTGCCAACTTAGGTCTTGCCATCGCATACCTACGCGAGCTGTACAAGCAGGACGAGAATCCCTGCGAGGCCGTGAGCAGAGCCGACACCGCAGTTATATGGCAGCTGATCCGCAATGCACTCACCAGCAAGGCGGTCTCGCGACCGCTCTGTACGGCTTCGCGAAGCGCGCAGGGCTTTCTTTCCATAGCGCTTTGCAGCTTGATCAAAGACGGGAATATAGACGAGCTATTCCGACTCCACGTATGGCTACCGGACGGGCAGCGAGGCACCCGAGAAGTCGCCATCCACTCCCACCAATCCACCGTGCAGAGCTGGATTTTAGCCGGTGAAGGAATAGACCACTCGTATGAAGTCGAGCGTGTCAAAGACCCGAAACTCGCCACTCATTGCGAATACAAACTGTCCTGGAGCGACGGAAAGAACTTGGACGCCAAGTACAAGGCGCACCAGACGCATTCGACAATCGTCAACACGAAAGTGCCCGCCCGCGCAACGCTCGCAAGGATGGAGGCGCATAAACGAGGTGCAAGCTACGTGATCCCCGCCGCCAAGTACCACGTCACCGAAGTGGCGCCCGACGGGTTCCACGCCACGCTCTTCGTGTTCGACTCGCAGCGGGGATTCGTAAAAGACGCCGGCGTCCTCGGTCCCAAGGACTCGGAGAGCTTCACGCAGCAGCGCGACCCGGCCGACGTGACGGCGAAGACGCTGGCGCAGATGGTCGACGCCGTGCGGCGGTGGGAGGAGCTCATGGACGAAGGGCAGAAGCACATGCAGCGCGCGGAGTGGGAGTCCGCCTCGGCGATCTTCAGCAAGGCCTTCATGACGTGCAACCGCAACCGCAACTTCCCGAACCGCGTGTACCACGAGAACACGGTGATGCTGCGGCTCGCGCGCGTCAACCGCTGCTACGGGCGGTACGAGATCGCGAAGGAGATACTCGAGAAGCTGGTCTCCAACACGGAGGCGAACGCGCTGCACGTCGACTCCACCGGAGAGCTGGGGGTCGTGTACCGCCACCTGTCGCTCCTCACCGACGCGAAGCGCGCGTTCGCGATGCAATACGAGACGGCGAAGAAACTCAACCTCGAAGCGGACACGTGCCGCGCGATCGGCAACCTCGGCGTCGTGAACTACCAGCTCTCGCAGGACACGCACGACGAGCAGCTGCTCGACCTCGCCATCGCGCAGCTCCAGGAGCGCGTGCGCCGCGCGCAGGAGCTGCAGAGGTCGCTCTCGGACGACTCGGGGCTCATGATCAACGCGGTGAACTGGGAGATGATCGGGCTGTCGCGGCTGTCGCTGTGCCTGATCGCGCGGGGCAAGACGCGCGAGGCGACGCAGGAGGCGCGGAAGTCGCTCGCGCTCGCGCTGCGGTCGGGCGACCCGACGGTGATCGCGATGACGTACTTCTTCTACGGGCACGCGCTGATGGCGGACGGGCAGCGGGAGGAGGCCATAAAGCAGTTCGGCGTGCTGCACAACTGCACGCCGGCGATCGCGCTGTGCAAGGAGCCGTCGCGGGAGCACCGCGAGTACCTGCGCGAGCTCGTGAACGCCGGGGTGGACTTGGACGTTGTGGACGAGCATGGGTACACGGCGTTGGACTACGCCGTGTTCAACGAAGACGACGAGTCCGAGGAGCTGGTGCTCGAGGCGCTGCGGAAGGAGGTGGGGCAGGAAGGCAGCGAGGAGAGGAGGGTGGGGGCTGTGCTGCGCAAGTGCTACCGCGAGCTGTTCCAGGACAAGCTGCGGCCGGTGCTGCTCGGCGGCGATGACCCGGGGTGGATACAGACGCTGCGGAGCACGTACGCGACGGCGCTCGCCACCGACGAGGAGAAGAGGAAGCTGTTCCTGGGGTTCTCGTTCATCCCCTACGCCAAGTTCATACAGTTTGGGCGGCTCGCACGGTCCGACGATGAGATGGTGCGCCAGACGAAGCAGCATCTCGATGGGAAGGATATGATCGACAGCCCCGAGTTCATCATATTCTTTTCCTATAGGTGGATTGGGTATCGCTCCGGGTCGAATTCGCCGGATGATAAGCAGAATACGCAGTATAAGCGAATGTTGGCCGCTGTTGAGGAGTTTCTGCGGTTACATCCGTCCATCGATAGGGAAAAGCTGGGAATATGGGTGGTATGTTACGTCGGATTCTATTACCTTTCATAAGATTGAGATTTTAACTAACTTTCATTTTCACTTAGGACTACGCGTGCATTAACCAAGAAGACCCCTTACCCGGGGCACATTCTCTACCCTTAATCCTAATGCAGTGCGATGCGATTATCGGGTTAGTCGACGATGAATATCACACGAGGGCGTGGTGCTCAGTTGAGGCATTGCTGGTGCAAACGATCAAGAAATCGTACGGGATGCACTATTGGTACGAGCAAGTGAAAACAGCAGAGGGGTGGGCACTACAAGAAGGGCCGATAGACCTCGAGATTTCTATTGCGGAGAAGACTCTAAGTTTTGAGAAGGTGGACAGGCCTAAGGTCATGTTTCTCGAGAGGCAAAGTGTGCTACTAGGGTGATTGTTTAACTACGCAGCCTGTTCTATCCTGTATTAAATATCTAGAATACCTACCTACCTACGGGGCAAAATGTATCCTGTCCGTACGAATAATCTTATTGTTTTTAAGATCTAGTTATATCTAGATATTTACATGAAGCCAAGACGCGTGATGATTTCACATCTGCTACAACAATCTGATATAAAAGAAATCGATGTATTTCATTCAAAATCGAGGTGACAGAGGAATTTGTTGAGAACCCTTTGCAAAAGGGGGTGGCATTCTATCCAATGCTATGTACTATGTAAATAGGGGTTGAGCCCTACGTCACCATTCTCCACTATCACCAAGTTATATCGGGTATGTGGCGAAGCTTGCACATCCATTATCTCACCTACACACCTGCACACCTAGGCAAGCTAAAAGTTATAAACAGCAAATCATTGACCGGTAATATCCATCAGTTGCATCACAGTCCCACTATGCGCCGAGTCCTTATGCAAACCTCAACATTCCCAAGGTTGAGAGAGACTCCGCCGCTCTCTAGAATCCCCAGCCATCGCTCCGTCAGCTCACAATCACACAAAGAGGGCATTCACAGCCAGCAAGATGAACACGTAACCAGCACTGCCGAAAAAGAAAAAGTAAATGAGAAAAGGAAAACAGTGGCGGAGCTGGATGCGGAGCTGCGGCTCAAGATGTCGGGGCTCTCGGGCGATGGTGGAGCGGCAGGCGTCGAGTACGAAGACGGGCAGCCGGTGGCGATGAAGAGGAGCGTGAAGAATGTAAGTACCTCCTAGCATACCTACCTACACATATTGATCGTATTGCATCATGTTCTCATATTGTCTATTGTTCACCACTGATCATCCGGATGGTGTAGAATATGTTCCGCTACATTTAATCAATGATATCATTCCAGGCATCGTTTGTTGAATCAGTTGTTCGGTGTGAAGTTGGTTGTACCTATCTATATTGGTACCTAACAATGATGGCGAGATTTGCATAGTTACCTCAAGTTCAGCATGTCGTGAGGCTATGTAATAGATATGGGGTTCACTCACAACTGTCAAGTACCTACCTAGAAATCCCCTTTTGAAGAAATAGAGTCATACATACACGTGCATAAATCAGAATACCACAGCATCTCCAAGCCACCCGGTGGAGGTTGACCCGTATGTACCTCTGCCTTGTCCATCTAATAACCCACCGACCCCATCATTACATTACTCACCGCTTCCACCCTCCACTCCATGACGGCATCTGCAACGACGTTAGAAAGTCCCCGGTATGTAAATCAGGCGACCCCCACGCACAAAGCCGCGCATGAAAATCGCTACCTCCTGCATCCCGGGGAGAAACGGACCCGTGGGTCGGCGCGTGTGCGCAGAGGGCAGGTAGTGGCAATCTACAAACAAAAAGAAATGTTGCGCTCGCGATAGCACCTGGGCCAAGCTGTTCCCCACTGCGGCGGTGCCTCGGGGTCACAGCGGAACTTATGCTTTGAGCGGTGGCAGCGAAGTGGTTCCCTGGTCTCCGAGACGCAGACACAAGGACGAACCGCTGTCATGCCCCTGCCGACCGAACACGCAGTCGTCGATGCCTATGTAGATGGGTGCCATCGGGTCCGTGAGCCCATACTGATACCTAGGTAGTAGGTAGTAAGTACCTAGTAGTAAGAAGTAGTATAGACAGATATTCGGTAGCGAATCACACATTGTCCATCTTCGATCAACTGTTAATTCTTCATTGTTAAAATATACCACTACTTCATCGAGAAATGTATTCTTATATCATTCCAAGATACTAGCAAGACTTCAGAAGCACCATATATCATACCTGTTGATATCGTTTTTCACCCGCCCATTGTCACGAACTCCGGTTCGTGATGCAAATCCAGCAACGCCAGTTGTAAAACCAATAATCCCATCCGGATCAATAACACACATGCCGAGTTGGGCCGATATAACGTAGTACGCCCAGTATGATCTAAAGGCAAGCATTACGCCGTTCCACGAGGCTTACCCTTACCCTTAGCCTTCTCCTTCTTTTCTTCCTTTAGTTTCTTCTTCTTAGCTTCGTTCTGCTCCTCTAGTTTTCGCTTGTGCACAGCCTTCTCTTCATTTGTCTTGGGAATGACCTTGAAGAAGCCTTCTAGCCGTGCTTGCTGAGAGCTCTTGGTAGCCTTTTCCAATCGTGCGCCGCCAGCACGGACTCTGTCCTCGTTGAAGCCCTTGTCGTTCACCAAAAATTGAACGAGGCCGTCCATATCCGGCTTTTCCCACTTGAAGTCGCACAGCGGATCGTCAGCTTTGCGCACATCCGGTTCGAAAAACAGCGCTCGCGCATCCTCATAAGGCCAGTCTTCGGGCAGCGAATATTTGGGATCATTATTGATATATTCAACCACCTTCTCAAGAGACCCGTGCTGGCGGATCATCTTTAACGCTGTCGTAGGGCCGACCTTGGGAACAGGATCGAGGTAGTCGCAGCCGAGCAGGATGCAGAGATCGACGAACTTTTTTTTATTAGCACCTGTCTAAATGGTAATATTGGAAGTTCTGTGGCCTTGACTAACCTGCTTACGATCCATGTTCAACCCTTCGAGAACCTTATCGACGTGGATTTCCTGGATCGGCTCCTTTCGCTGTTCGCTGAAAGTCAAGTGGCGCAAGAGGATGGGGCTGTCAAAACACAACGTGTCCATATCCTCACTAGCTGCTGCATAGACTTTTCCTGCTCTAGCAAGAGCAGCGCATTGAGCTTCAGCTTCGGTTGGTGCGACGATGTAGGGTATGCCCATTAATTTTAGCAATTGCTGGCATTCGGCGTTGTGCTCCTTAGTGACCCGGACAGTTCGTCGTGAGAACTTCTCTATATCTTCGGCTGTACCTGTCTCCTTAGCTTCTTCAAGTCCCTCCTTCGCTTCTGCTTTGCGCTGCCCACGACGGGCTAGCTCGCCAGACTTCAGTTTCGGAGGTGCGCCATCGAAGACATAGAGTGGCTTGATGCCGTTGTCGACCATTCGTAACGTGCGATAGAACATTCCCATAAGATGGGATGTCGTGTCGCCAGATTCATTTGTTAGTTGCTGACCATCGGAGCGGACGGCGATTAGGAAGCTGTAGATGCTCATGGAACTGCTTGGGTGTTAGTCTCTACATAACTTTAAATTATGGTAACCTTAAGCAACATTTGAGCACATACGCATCCTAAAATATAAGTATTAGCATATAACCATTCATAAGTTTATTCAACGAGAGATACTCACAATTGCAACTTTACGACCAAATTGGCCCTTGATGTCACCCTCTTTGATAGCTGCAGGGGCCTCATCTTTGATAATCGAAAAAAGACTCTTGATACCCATGGTGAAGTCTCCTTCGAGATTTTCCTATACGAGTTGGACAATACTAAATGTTCAACTGGATGGGAAATCTTGTAATGGTAAAAATTGATGAAGGATGAAAAGGTACAGGTGATGTCACGATACTTAGATGCGAAACAAACGCGCTACTAACTTAATTGAAGAGAGCTGGACGCGAATGCAGACGCGCCTTCTACAGCTAATTTAAAGGTGGGGAATTGCTCACACTAGGCAGCACCCAGGCAGACATATAGTGGCCCGTGCCCTACTAACCTTCTAGAAGTTGTTACCTACCCTAGGTATTGTACCCTAGGTATTGTATCCTAGGTAGAACGCAGCCCCTAAACTTTGAAAGCAATGGATGAATCTGTTTATCTAGGTTAGGGGTTTGAGGAAAGTGCCATTAGAAATCGGAGCTGTTAAGAAGGTGCCATGTGTAGGGCATGATCAGGCCCATTAAGATCAGCCGTCTCCGACGGTCTACTAGTAACTAGTATTCATGTGCAACATTGAACAGTAGCAACCCATCTTCAATACTTCGTACAACATCCATCCATCCCACGATATTTGCCATGTTTCCGGATCAACATTTCTCAACGCATACATCAATTTACCTTCAATGTTTATATTGAGATCCATTATCAAAAGTATACATTTATATGTCCCCGCCAATGGCACAAATGATCATAATCTCCTAGAGTACATAATTTACTGACACACCAAACCCCATAGGTTAGATGGTATACCTAAACCTCGGACTTTCGTCTCCTAGCTCTGCCAGCTCCTCTTCTGACAAGTTCTCGTGGATAGGCTTAATAAGTCCTTCTGCTCTTCTCTTGTTTTCTCGAGCGAACCAGAATGACATAAATCCAAGCAAACATGCCGCCATACCTACGAGGGAAAGAGATATAGCATTTCCTAGAATATAACGGGGGCCATCGGATGAAGGATAGATGAACGAAGCCATAATACCAGCGGTATTTCCCGAGGTAAGTTGCATGCCATTAGCCGTTGTGCGTTTGCCATACCTTGGTGAATTATTCGGAAGCTGGGCTCGTTAGTTGGCATGTCAAGACCTTTTAAACTGAGCAAAAAAAAAAAAAAAAAAAAAAAGACTTACCCATGCGAGTGGCAGGCCGACGATAACGTATAAGCCGGTGGCAACGAGGAAGCAGCTTTGCCTTGTTAGCCATAGATGATTCTAAGAGTGTCTAGGTAGCGGAATGCCTTACCCAAAGTAATGTACTCCTGCAGAAGAGTCGGAAAGCAACACCCCATACCCAACCACACTAATGGCACCGAATATGACGCAGAAAATACCGCGCATCTGCTTACGATCTGACAGGAATGCAATTCCCATGTATGTCATGGCGCCAACGAAGTAACAGGGGATGGTAAGCAACTGGACCTCAGCTGTGGACCAACTTCCTAGACCGCGAATAATAGTCGGTAGGAAGGTCGAGTAGCCTGGATGAATTAACACTGTTAGTACAGATACATGACGATTTTCTGAAGTTGTTGCCCACCATAAAGCAAGGTATCGACTCCGAATTGGGCGAGGCAGAACATCCAAACCTTCCAGTCCTTAAACGCCGCAATCATGTCATCCTTGCTAAATTCCTGCGCACTTACTGTAACCCCATAATGTTGCAAGTGACGCGCATTGGCGAACCTTTTTTCCTCGGGGGTTAAGAAATAAGCATGGTCGATGTCGTTGGGCAGAAGGAAGAAGGCAACAACGCCTAGCAAGACACTCGGAAGCCCCTCAATGATAAAGATCCATCTCCATCCACTATATCCAGCAATGCCACCCATCTGGCCAATGCCATAAGCAAGGAGCCCGCCCAGAGCGCCAGCAATCGCAGCACTAACAAAAAGGTAGCCGACACGCAAAGCAAGCTCCCGTTTCGTATAGAAGAATGTCAAGTAAACGTTTAATCCAGGGAAAAGGCCAGCCTCGACAACACCAAGGACTAAGCGAATAGCAATAAGTGCGCCGTAACTATGTACGAAGCCAGTACATGTGGCTATGATGCCCCATCCACATGCGATAAATGCGATATACCGCGACGGTGTCAGGGGTTTGAGTACCAGGTTCGAAGGCACCTCAAACAATAGATCTACAGTCACCGCAGTTAGCCATTTGTCGACGAGCGAATTATCATCCTACATGAATAGGATCTCTCAAACGGGCCAACTTACACGTGACGAAGAAGATGGAGACAGCGACTTGAAACTGGTTCCCCTCCAGCCTTAGATCGCTCTCCATATTGTATAAGCGCGCATTTCCAATATTTACACTAGGGAATAATCAGCCTTCGCTTCTCGAGATGAAATATGATTGGCGCTGCAATACCGGTCTAGGAAACTAAATGTGTCTGTATAGCTTTACATTAGCGCCACTGTCATCACCAAGAACACTTCAAGGGCCATTCAGGACCTCGGCCAATAAATTTCAGATGGGTTTTCCGAGGCTATCAACTGAAAGCTGGAGTATCGGGTAACTAACAAAGTAGCATAACAAGTGGTATGATATGCTTGTCAAGTTTGCGAAGAAGCTTCTTCTCGTCTCCGCCGAGCATCGGATCCACCATGATTTCGGCGTTGACATCCTGCGGCGGATGCTTGGAGTCGGACATATCTGACATATCGGTTGCCATCTTCTTTGCAATGCGCGATCTCTTCAGTGAGACCCTGACCCCAAACGTTCTATACGAGAATTGTTTTGGTTAGTTCGACTTGGAATGAAGTCGCGAAAGGCTTGACTTTGCGCTCGAATAAGTATTTCGTAGGGATTGTGGCAAATCGTTAAGATCCACCAGCCCGGCCGGCAACGCTATTAGCTTCAAGGTTAGCTCTGCGCGATATTATCCACCGCGCTGAGTCGTACAAGAGCAGATTTTCCGTACCTAATAAATAAATTGTAATGGCCCTAACAAATTATTTCGATATTTAGCATTTCACCAAAGAAGAAGCACGATGATGGTGGTAGAGGTTTAGAAAGAAACGCGACCTCGGTTCGTCGAACTTCTTGAGCTCCAAAAGCATGCCAACGGTCAACCTATCACTTATCACTTATTTCCTCCAACTTCCCCCATGTACGGTATACCTATCATATCTCAATCCCAAGACTTGAGCTGCAGCTGAACCCTACCTACCCAGGCAGCTTGGGTAGAATGCTCTCTCACTCTAAGCATGCTAAGAATTCCAAGCTGATAACTACGAGCTTAATACGGATAGCACGGGTTAGGCTGATGCAACACACCATTCGCAGAGAGACAGAGCCCCTCAAGACAAGCCAGCGGACAAGGGGGTTTAAATGGGGGAAATCGATTATCGTCAAGAGTGGGGGATAGCTATCCCAGCAGCTATCCCAGGAACTTTCTCTAAAAGAGGAGATCAAGATAAGCTTGCAGATAATATAATCAGGCCATGTGTGCCTGTTGGTAGGTAGTAGGTACGCGTATGGGCACTATATCTACGATGTGATATATGCATGAACGATAAGCACGAATTAATTGATAAATCTCTTAGGAAACTTCCCACGGCCAAAGTTTCGTTGTCGCCAGAGGTAGCCGTGGCATTATTCTTACCATCATACCTATTATATAAGTTGATGATGAAAGCCTTTTCTACACGAAAACATATCCACCTAGCCACCTTCCTCTGGTCCATTAGGAAAAATGTGCCGCCTTTCGCCACCAACACCGACAGCAGCCGAGAGGTATAATCGCAGATTTTGTACACCGAGAATGGTGCTGGAGTATACCCCAACTGTGGCGTATAGCTGTTATCAGGGATGCGCATGATTCTTTGAACGTAGTGTGTACCTGATAGACTCTGAGTCTGGACGCTCACTGGGTCCTCAGGTTTAACATTCATTTTGATCGATCGCAATATTCTCGACGCTGCACGAGCGATAACCTTCCATACTGGTCATGTTTCCTGCCGATTTAGCTATAATGCTACTACAAGAGAGACCTCACCTCACCGATAAGTAAGATAATATGTGTGTGTTCCAGAGGCTTTATCTTTAGTTCGGGACTTAGGTGAGAGAGGGCCGCTGTTCTTAGTAAGATTTCCAAAGCTATCTTGCTACTTGCCCAGACGAACCTGGCTTGGCAACCGGCAATCAAATTCACGGCGAAATAATCGAATAAAAGGTGGAGGTAGGTAGTGGAGGGTAGTTTTTTTTTTTAGTATGACGAAGAGCTACAGCGACTTGTAGGTGACGCGAGCTCATTCGTCTAGGTATCTAGCATCTATGAGTAGTAGGTAGCAAGGCAAGCAGGCAGGCCAATAATTTCCTTTGATCCACGCATTTGGAATCTTTAGAAAACACACCGAGGACACCATTAATACATGCTAAATTACCCCCTCCTAATTGTGCTGTATTGCGTTTCGTTTGTATCGTGTCCGTCTTTCTATCCGTCTATGCCGAAACACCTTTAAGTACCCTGCCGTAATGTAGATGGGTAGAGGTAGGTCAGGTAAGGTAGACATCCCGCAATCATCTATCGGCAGGTGTATCCACCATCGATGACGATATCGGCGCCGGTGGTGTAGCTGCTCGCGTCGCTGATCAGGTACACGTAGGCGGCCTTGAGCTCCTTGGCCACGCCGGCGCGGCCGAGGGGCACCATGGAGTACCAGAGCTTGTGGGTCGCCTCGTCGATGAAGTCGGAGAGGCCGGTGTCGATGTAACCGGGGGAGATGGCGTTGACGCGGGCGTAGTCGCGCCACTCGTTGGCCAGCGAGCGGGCCATGTGGATGCAGCCCGCCTTGGCGACGTTGTAGGAGGTCTGCTCCTGGGGGTAGTTTGCGGCGTGGCCCGACATGGAGGCCGTGATGACGAAGGAGCCGTGCCCTTGCTTCTTGAAGTGCGGGCCGACGGCCTTGGCGCAGTACGCGGTGCCGTTGAGGTCGATCTGGACGACCTTGTCCCAGGCCTCGCTGGAGCTGTCGACGACGCCGCCGTCGGCGGTGGCGCCCGCGTTGGCGATGAAGCCGTCGATCTGGCCGAAGTCCTTGAGGACGTCCGCGACGAGCTTCTCGCAGTTGGCGTACACGCTGATGTCGCAGTGGTAGGCCTTCACCTTGGCGCCGTACTCCTTGATCAGCGACTCGACGTTCTTCTCGGCGCCCTCCTTGCGCGTCAGGTAGGTCAGGGCGACGGAGGCGCCCATCTCGGCGCACCCGCGCGCCGCCTCGATCCCCATCCCGGTCGGCCCGGAGGCGCCGGTGATGACGACGACCTTGTTCTTCAGGCTGAAGAGGTCGAGCAGCTTGCTGGCGGTCGGGATTTCTTGAGGCATATTTGCGGCTTTGGGGGGGTGGTTTTGTTTTTTAGGATAGGATAGGTTCGGTTAGGTAGTTAGGGGGGAGATAAGGGAGGAGGAAAAGAAAGGGTTTGAATTAGGGGTGTGTGGGTGATATTGGAAGAGGGGAGGGGGGGGGGGGTTACCCCTCCCCCGTCAACGGTGACCTACATCCTTATATAAAGGTTGAGAATGGAAAAAAAGTGAGATGAGATGCTATCGACCCTACTTACAAGTGGGTATAGGGTGGATTTAAGTGGATATGGTCAAGAGAAAGTCGACAAGTGTAGCAAACCAGGATGATGTCACTCCGCCGCCGATAGATGACCAGGTCGACCAGTTATACGTCAGCCCTCGGAAGTGGTTATGCAGGTTATTACACTAAGCACAGCGCATTATGTTGGGGTATCGATGAATTAGCTAGCAGCAGCAAGGAAGCTGCCTACATATCTAGAAATGTAGGTAAGGATATCTTTTCTCTTCTCTTCCCGTGTCTCGGGTGCCTCTCGGGTTTCCGAACGGGCCTGTGACGAAAAGCCCGGATGGGATCTCCTTGCCGAACATTAACTAGCAGTCTTGCCCATCCTCGTTTAACATGACAAAATCAAGATCCAGGAACTGAACTTGGCAGCGTAGTTGTAATTCAGAGTTTAAAAGAAGCTTTTCCGCTGCCCAGTTAGGTCAATATAGCGGACATATCCCACGTCCCAATATCCTACCTTAGGTATATCCCGCTGATCTTCTAGGTTGCAGTTGCAGTGCCTGCGGCAATAGCAGAAGTAGGTAGGATTTACCGAGCCAATGGCCAGCATTGAACCTTCATCAGCATGATCAATGTAGTAGTGTGCTGGGGGGAGGTCTCGCCGAATTTGTAACATTCTATATAGTAAGTCGACCACTTTTATTCACTTGATCGTCCAAAGCGGTGCTTACCTAGTACCTAGCAGCTACAAACTACTAGGTAGGGTCCTAATCCAGGTACTCAGCTACTAATACATATTGTACAGTATGCCAGTGATGCAGCTAAGAGTGAGAATTTAAAAATTTTAATACTCGCATACTTACATGTGTATGTATGCATCCTGGGTTGATACGTCACCCTGCATCAACAAACTACATATATCTAGGTAGCGACCTATGTACATATGTAATAGTCAAAATGCATTCTTTTTCTTGGCGTATCTACTTGTTCGCGTGCTATTCACCGACCTGAAAGCCCAGCATGCTCCCTAGTACCCTTCTAGATTAGTCCGGATGTCCTCGGCACATCTTACCCCAAATGTAACTCATAATAGTCTTTTTGATATTCAGCTTCAAGGATATACCATCACTGTATTGGTTTGCATGGCATTGAAGGTGCTAGTCAGGCATAAGGGGTGAAGGCTAGGTGACCTATATACTTGTAGCCAAGATTCGGATCATATGACCAACTCAGGATGGGTAGCTTTGCTTCTTTTCTGTCTCTTCGATGTTGCAGATATAAAACTGCCCGTGGTAATAGAACTAACAGCTATTGGTTCAGGTATATAACTAAGAAGCTTTTCAAGGAATCCAACAAAGCAGAGTAAAGCAGGTCAAGCATCAGGGATGCATACTCTCATTATCTGCCAAGGTTAGTATAGCTCCTGTGGAATCCTTCGTCAACGTTACTCAAAGTGAGTTTATAATGCCAGAAAAGACATGGTCCAAGGATCTTTGGCCAGGGTATCGCTATAATTTGAATAAGATTCCACTCTAAAGGTTACAATTCGTAGTGATTTTGAAGTGATGGACTTTTTGAGACGACTTACATATCCTGGAGTCTGAAGTATGAGTTGAGCCGAATAAACAGTAAACAGAATAAATCACGCAACTATTCCTCTACATCTATTGCTAACCAGGTACTTTTCCATGGGTTATGCCTCAATTTGAACTCTTGGGACCTAAAAGGGGCCACTTGTAGATACAACGTGCCTATCAAAATTCAATAGGAGCCTTAGGTTTTAAATATGGTGACAAGAGTGATGGTTGAGGAAAGCCAAGGACATTTGCACGACTAAATGCTATAATGATCCATTTCTGGATGCAAAGAGGGTGTTATTTGTACTTATTTGGAAGGCAACAACCCGGATCATTGTTACATCGTCGTAGGTAAGGATTGCTAGTAGTCCACAATGCGGCTCAGATGCTGGGCCGTAAGGATAGATCCTTCTGATAACCAACCAGATACTATTTTGGGATTGCTAGATCTTGGACTTTAAGATAAATCCACCAGCTCCTAGTATGAACTGCGCTGCGATGTTTTATCAGGGTCTGACCTCGCTGGTGAAAGTGGTTGGTATGCCTCAGGTGTATATGATGCCGACAGGCTGCCATTGTAACTAGTTAACCTCTAATATAACAACTTCAACCCCTATTATACCGATTACGATGCTCCCAACATCGCTGCTAATACTATTCACAGCTCGCAGTGCTTGGCTTAGGATCCAACTCCATCCCAACATCGGTGTCAGCGGCGCAGGCACTGAATACTGAAGGTGACCGAGGCTATATTCGGCCCACAGTGGCATGTCGATAAACATGCTGCGGGTACAGAATCCTGAATAATTACATTATATACCTAAGGCAGATATGTTTATATATAGGTGCGCAGATTTTCATGTGGGGGTCCCGCCGCATCAACGTACGATTATCACATACCCAGATGTTGAACCCACTTGATCTGAGAATTTTATAGAAAAGCTCCCAAGATCCCGTCGCTGAGTCTCTTGTATATCTACCTAGGCATATACCCAGTACTTCGGCCAAAGAATAAGAAAGAAAAAAAATGCCGTCACTCACGTGGATCGTCATCGCCATAACCTCCTTAGCAGCATCTACTACCGCTGCCCCAGCATCACTAGCGGAACGAACAGTATCGCCCTGCCCAGCACCCGGGAAGACGACACGCGTGTACTCGAGCGGGCTGTACACCATATTCCCGGGAACCCCCAAGTACGCCGCGCCGCCGAACAACGACCTGCACGTGCAGTACAACGCGGAAACCAAACTCGCCATCAAGCAAGTCGCCGCCTTCGGCGAGTTCCCCAAGGCGGCGAAGAAGTGCAGCCTGGGCTGGGTGCAGGACGACGCGAAGAGCGGGACCCTGGTCGTCTCCGGCGACGGGCGGCTGACGGCGCGGCAGCTGAGCGGGTTCCCGGCGTTCCCCGCGGGCGGCGAGAACGGCGTCTCGGCGCAGGACGTGCAGCGGTACGACGCGGGCAAGGTGAGGAAGGAGGCTAGCCCGGACTTTTCGGGCTGGGATAGGGAGATCAGGACGGCGGCGCACGCGGCGGCGGGGTCAAACTTCACGTGCGCGACGAACATGTACGTGCTGCTGGAGAAGTCGAACGGGACGAGTGGGAATGTGTTCATGAAGAAGACGAAGGGGTCCGGGGTGTATATCGAGTTCTCGTGCTAAATGCAAGCATGCCTACCTACCTAATATATATATCAATGAGACCACAACCCATAACATTTAAAGAGTGCGCTGTGTAGTGTCTTGCTCAAGGCCATGCCTACTTGGCATCAATATAGGTACTAGGTTGGACATTTACCTACATAATATTCCTCTTCTGATGTTTTCTATTAGTATTAATAAGAGACCCCCCAAAAAGCATCGTACCAAGCCAGGAGACCAAAATACTCACTTCAGGATTCCATCAGCCTAGCCCCTCAACCCCCCCTGAGTCTTCACCAGCAAGGTTGACACTCACCACTTACACAATACACAAAACCTATACATTAAGTCCGGTGAGCTTATCTCAAGCTGACATCTAGGACTTGTCAGGAGTCATATAGCACCTACCTACCACGAGCGGATCACATGTGTACCTACCACCAAGGCACGGCGGTGCTACAAATCTCGAGTGCGAAGCAGTCATGTCGGGGAAATAGTTAAAAAAGGCAACGTAACGCATGACAATCAGTTGGAATCACCACTCGGAACCCACGCACGCGGCTGTGTATGTGTTTGTGTTGGAGAAACCATCCGTGAAGAAGAAGAAAGTCATTCGTTGCCCTGTGAGCTGTGTACAGGAGTCATAGCCTCACCGAGGCCAGGAGGCAGGTAGGTAGCGCAAACATATAAAGCCCGAGAAACAGAATTCCACGTACCTTGATAGTTGTTGAATGTAACAGTTGGGTAACCATCCATCTAAAAATACTCTCTAAACCGGGATCTCGTAGACTTAAAACATTAGACTTAGCATGAGATGCCTACCTACTGATCACAGATAGGTACTATATATTATTACCATCAACCCAGAACCCATAGCGACCTACCCAAGCATCTCGTTCCACACATCCCCCCCGTGCCGCCGCGATGTGCAGAGGCCGCCGCGTCTTCTTCGCCTGCCTACACGAAGACCACGACGTGACGCCCCCGCGGCAAATCATCTACTGCGAGCGAGCCGAGCTCCAAAGCGACGGCACCAAGAAGCCCTGCATACCCGAACCCATACTGCCCCTCACGGGCCTCGACGACTTCGCCAGCGGACTGCTATGCACCGAGTACTGCCCGAGCTGCCAGGACAGCTCGATCGCCCACCGGCGCGCGACCGACACCTCCATGTTCGGGAGCAGCATCGACAGCCGGATGCTCGACCTCCCGCGCGACGTCACGATCGGCACGCCCTTGAGCACGATACCCGAGGAGCCAGCAGCAGCAGCACCACCACCACCACCACCACCTGAGCCGGCAAAGGACCCGTTCAAGTTCGACTGGGACATCGACAAGTACCTCGCGGGGCCCTCGTCCACCTTCTCGCCGCTCCCCGCGCCCTCGGCGCAGTCCGAGAGCGACTGGGCGAGATCGCTCCTGCCATCCTCGACATCAGCGGCTCCCGGAGCAACGACGCAGACGAGCAGCGACTGGGCGCGGTCGCTGTTCTCGTCCTCCTCCACCTCGGAACCGTCATCAGCCGTAGGGCCCAACACGTTCTCGTACGGCGCCGGCCTTTTCCTTCCGGAGGGGTCCGGGTCCTCGATTGCGACGAGGGATTTCCAGCTATTTGACGACGACGACGAGGCGGGGAGCGGCGCGCTGAAGTATCCTGGTCTTCTTGACTTGAGCTTCTTGGACGATTTGTAGGATATTGCGAAGAAAATTTGGCTAGGTAGGTACCTAGGGAAAGGGGAGTGGGGGTCTAGTTGTATCGGGATAGGATAGGGGGGATAAAGGGACAGCTTTATAGCCCCTAGTGGCTGAACAAAGGCCATGCCTGAGTATAGGCCTATGTACCTACCTACCTACCTACGTCAAGGTAGGTATTATAGAGGTTATAACAAACATGGTTTGCTCAATAGAGGCTCCCCATGGTTGTTGCGCGAGAACTTAATCTGCTTAGTGAATATATTAATTCCCTCGCGCCCCAAGGTCATCATTACTTGCCGACCACATTATTTGTATCAGTCTGTCTTACATATGCGTGTACCTTAGCGCAGTAAAGCAACGCTTCGTCGGCAAAGCTACCTGCACATAGTGTATCTCTCAGTAAGCAGAATAAGACATTATACGTATACATCACACCCCCCGAAACAACCACCAGACCACGCGCGTTTCAAACCCGCCGTGGCGGGCCCACTTATGCCAATCCCACGTCCGAGGATGATGTCCGTGGGGGCTTGTCAAGAGCCTCGTCGCTTATCTCTAACGTAGCAGTTGATATCTAGATACCTAGGTAATCAGAAGTTGGATAGGTATGAGTAGCGAGTTTTAATTCCACTGGTTTAGTTATCGAGCCGCATAGAAGAGGCTCTTCCTCTTTACTTTAATACAACATTTACTAAGAATTGAACTTACTAGCAGAAAGGGGTAAAAGGCACTGTGGCTGATAGGACACCACCGTCAAGAAAGTCTCTGACATAGCTAGAAAAGATTGAAGTCTAAGCGTTAAAGATATCGCAGATTTAAGTGAAATAGGTACAATGGTATATGGTAATCAATATCTACGGTTTTTATATATGATGCAGCTCCGTGTTTATCCATCTTTTCCTCCCCTAAACATCGTGGAGTTGTTCGCTGCCGGCAGGGGGACACCTGCGATATAGTCCAACATAGTCCGAAACTTGAGGTATATATTAATTCAATTCATTCCATAGTATCCCAGGGTTGAAGGGACCCGGAATTGGTTACGAACGAGGCTGATTAGCACACAAATACAGTCGTCTGCGCCGGCGCCAGTAGTGGGGTAAATGCTTGGGGGTGTCCTGATAACATGTTGACCAGTTCTTGAACATGATCCGCAAGATTAAAAGTTTTCCTTGCCCCAAACAAAGGAGAAACTACATTCTAATTAGCACATACTCTCCGAGTTGTTCCATAGCACATTTCTAGATTTCCAACTTACCCAGGCTCACTGTATTTGTTACAGAAAACGTGTAGCGCGCTACCCAGACCCTTTGGTCCACAGAAGAACACACCCGCCTCGGCAGGCGCATGTAGTTTTCGGATACCTCGGAAGATCATATCCCAGTTCGGTCGTCCGAAATTCGTCGGACTTCGCAATCCGGTAATGGTGTCCTTGTCGGCGTTGGCATCGTTAATCATGATGTTTGTCGCATCATCGGCCTTTATCTTCGCCGTGAGATACGTGTGAATCTCGATTCGGTTGTCGACATCTTGGGCTTCGATGGCCATGAGAAGGGAGCGGAACCACTCGAAGGAGCCGAAATCTCTGCAGATCCAGAAAAAGTACACCTTCGCAAGTCGCGTCTTCTTCTGGGGGTAATTCATGCGATACCAGATCGACTTCAGAATCGATGCGAACGGTGTGACACCAATACCAGCACCGCAGAGAACCGAGACCTCATATTTGAACACATCCTCTGACGCAGATCCAAACGGCCCGTCCACATAGACACGCGGCAGCACACGCTTGAGCGCAGGATCCACCTCGTTATTTTGATCGTCGACTCCCACAACCTTTGAAGAATCCTTGCTTTCCTTCTTTCCAAAGTCGCAGCCGAGAGCCGTAGAAACAGACCTGGTGAAGTCTCCAACCACTCTCATATGAATCGAGATGTAATCCTCTTCGGGAGCGCTTGTCAGAGTAAAAGGGTGGTATTGCCATAATGATACTTCCGGGCAGCAAAAGAAAATATACTGTCCAGCTTTGGTCTTGGTGTTTTCCTTCTTGATTTGGATTTCGCACACGTTACTCGGATGCTGGATGACCTTCGATATGTAAGTCTTGTGGCGTCCACGTAATTCACGCGCAATTCGCTCAGCCAGGTATGTGAACCCCCCAACCATCCAGTACTGCCAGAAGACACCAATGGCAGAGCTACCAATCGAGACGCAGAAGGGTGCGAAGTCGGGTTGAACCATGCAGAAAGCGCCATGGAAGGACCAGAAAAAGAAGAAGACGATAAACAAGTGATGCGTGTACCAGAATCGCTCGTAATTTGCTCGTCTGGGCTTCTCGTAAGAAGTCATGACCATTCCCGTGAGCGCAATCAGCATGACATATCCTGTCCAGCCCGGACCCGTCACCAGATTAGCGACCAAGAATCCATAGAATCCTAGGTTGTTCTGAGCGGCAACCTGGGCCAAGTTGTTCCAATGGGCTATCGTATGTACCCATGAGAAGAAGAAGATGGACCAGGCTGTAGTGATGTGGAAGGTAATGTTCTTGTCGAACTGGATAATGCCGTTAAGAGGTGTTTGTCTCGCAATCGAGATAAATGTTCTGCAGACGGGCAGTAGAATTAAGGCCACATCCACGTGAAGCACCAGTGCTGCTGATCTTGCGATCATGTAGGTTGGCCCGAGGACAGTTCTTGCTCCTTGAAGGCTATCTTTGACAGCGTAATTGACGAATCCGAAGGCAAAGACCAAAGCATGGAGAGCCATGAAAACAAATACGAAACTAGAATAATTATCAGTATGATTATTCTGCAAGAGGAACTTACAACTAGCACCCACAATCTTCGGTATCCTTCGTTGATCATCCACTTATCGAATTTTTCGCGCATCGTCAATTCCTTTTGTCGTTCCTGTGTCATCTCACCCGACAGCAACATTCTCGTCAAGGGCGTCCATCTTGACCTCTCCGATGGCTTCTCACCACCATATTGAGCGTTCCAATCCATCTCGACCAAAAATGTTCTGCAGTGTCTCGTTCGTGGGTCGTATATGCGATAGCTTCGTACGTTGAGGTGTTGACCGAGTCTTCAAAATGCCAAAATATTTTTCCACAGTTCTCCTAATCCAACACCACCAAATACCTCCTCTTATTAGATTTCTTGATTATATTCTAGTATCGCCACCCTTGGTACGTTAAAGCGGGAGTAATAATAGCTAATTCAGATCCTGCTGAACTGGCAAAAAGCCATGGAATAAAAGATGCGTTGACGGAATGGGCAAGTAGGACGGTCAAATGAATGTAAAATCGGCGTGGAAGCCTGCTATCGCAGCCGCCTGTCAGCCAACGCAAGAATCGAACAGCGCACCTACAAACCAACAAGGAGGGAAGCGTTTGGGAAGAAGCGAAAGGGAAAGAAGAGAAAGGGTTCCGAAGATCTCATGCAAGAAGCGGGAGAACGGTGGATAATATGGAAGGCCGCCAAGAATAGAAAAACATCAGGCCATTTTCCGTGGATCATACCTGGGTTACCTGGGTACAAGACGACTTGCCGGGGTCAACGCCGCTGTAGCTTCGAATATTAGGTCAATTAGGTATAAAAACCATCTAGAAACACGGGTAGTCTAGTTTTAACAAATCATAGCGAAGAGAATTAGACAGGCATGGTAGGCAAGCAGGGGCAGGAAGGGAAAAAAGATGATATGATGATGATGGGTTTGAGGGAGGAAGCGTAGGAAGAGACGAGATTGTATTGTTGTATTAGTGACTTGCGGCGGCGACAAGTGTAGGCGAGGGTCTGGGCGGCTGAGGCTTGAGACTAGGTACTAGAGACAAGCATCAGGGGGTGTTTAGCAAATGGGTCTTTCCATCAGGTCGAGAAATGGTTACAGTCTTAACGCAAAATGGTTTGAGGTCCCGAAGCAACGAAATTGGTGCTAGGTTTACTTGTGGGTTGGTAGATGTCATATTTTTTGCCTTGCATTGAAGCGACTGACATACATGCATACATACATACATACTTACATATCGTGATAAGTAACAGGTTGTAGGTGAAAGAAAAAAAAACATTCATATGGAAGCAAGAAGACTGCATTTGAAGATTCGCTGAAGACATGGATTGTATTCACCTAACATACCTAGGTTAGTAATATTCAGTACATCCTGTGGTAGACTGCTAGGTCTTCGTTCATGTCCCGTATGATACTCGGATCATACACAGGGATGTGGGCGTGGGTGTGGGTAATAGCACGGCTACCATTACGGCAACTTGTCTCGATACAGGATGGATATGAGCTGCGTAATCCTCAGCATACGCAGTCAAAACTTTTGATGCTAGAGCTTGTGTCATTTGTGTCGTTTGTATCATTTGTATCATTTGTATCGTATGGGCGGCTTTGAAGGTTGTGAGTACATCATTAACAATGTGCACTGCATCAGTGCATACCTAGGTAGTTACAACTTGAAGACTTGAAAAAAGGAAGATGAGGGAGGAGGGCGCGTTGAGGCTTGGTCTCGGAGTGAATTGTGGAAACAAGGAGGTCAAGGCTCAAATTATCATTGGCCCAATGTGACAAAAGATCCACGGCGCCTATGTCCGCCTACGCCTCAGATTGTTTCGTCAAGGGTCCTTGACACATTCGAGACTGGGGCCGCCAAGGTTCTGCAGTAAAAAGGGACAGAACATTGAAAAAGTGCAAGGGCATCAAAACGGCTAAGCGCCAGTCATCTTTTATGCAGATGCTAATTACTAAATAGTAAATACCTTTTACATGAAATAAATCATAGAGAAAATCTCCATTTATACGGGATAAGTTAATAATCTGATGCAATATTCTGTACTATGCCGTACGTCGAGATCTGATATCGGATTTAGCGTCTTGGCTAATCTTTCACATCTCGGCCACGTCGGCAGATTGACGACAAGGGAAGTCGTAATACCTAATGCCAAATAACTATGTAACTATGTAACTACGTACAAAATTTGAAAATTAAAGAACATTTTGAAGCACGCGGCTCGTGAGCAAACTCCACTTATTTGTTCCATTTTCCATCCCCTTAGTATTAAATGGAACCATTTTCATTGAGATAGGAGGTTACATAAAACTTACCTAAGGTCACTGATAGGTAACTGTTGGGTAACAAACTTACCAACTAATCAACCCCTTTCCCTTTTCTCACCATGTGAGCAATGTGAAGTTGACAATGAAGGCTCAGGAGTGCTGAGGAGTTTGTAGAGCACTCCCCAATTAACTACATAGTACCGTTCTCAGTCCTTAACTAAAGCTTACCTAGGTACATGCCTATTCGATATGTAAACATACATACCTAGATATGCACTGACAACCACGACCCAAGAACATCATGTTTTGGTATCGGTCACATGGCGTAATGTAGCCGTTCATGCTAGATAGATCCCAGAGTAGATCTCCTGGTTTAACACGACGTAGTGTGTGTAGTATGGGAAGGTATACATATATCTATCGGATCAAGTCAACAGCGAGGCCAAGGTCAATCTACGTTCTGATGAAACTATCACGAAATATGCAGTCTTGTCCCTCCCACCTCCATCATGTTGTGTTTACTAGCCCACCTAGATCTAACTCGGACCTGGAGAGGCGTTGGTCCCCACCGAATCCTACAAAACAGTAATACCCAAATGAGAACGTCATCCATATCTTCGCTGTGTTCCTATGGATTCAATCTGCCTCCTTACACCCCTTCATTCATAGGCTAATGCAAGCCCAGTGCTGCCAGTAAGTCGCAATCCCTCTCTAGAAACGCCCCATCACCGTACGATTGAGAAGGTACAAACATTTTAGGTCATCATTCGATGAGGTTGAGCGGCTAAAATAAGGGGAAGATGCAATAAGCGCTACTTCGACTCTTTCAGCCTATCCTCATTGTCTAATTAAAACACCTTCGTTCCAAATAAAAAGGATTTTATCATAGGTTGGTAGATACCTGGGCAGAGGTCAAAATGGCATTGATCGCAGTGAAATTGCTCAGGGAAGAATTAAGTCACGTCTGTCTAGAGCATATTACTAGATTCTATAGCAAGTAAACGCAGCGCGGAGAGAAGGGAAATTGTGCATTATAACAGATCCGAGGCCAATGTTTAAGGAGGATTCGAGACGCAAAGCTAGAAGTCCTCCGGACAAATGCCTGTCTTTCGTCGTAAAACCTTTTCAATCCTAGCAAGTCATTCTCAACCCTTTTCCGAAAGTCATATACTCTTGGCTCATCGCGAGGCACATAGAGCCATAGCGACGAACCACCAGACACTGGGGAAATGCAGTTCCTATTGCTTATGTTGGAAGTTTCATGAATCCTTTCCCGTATCACTATCAATAAGTGCTATGCTCACTGCTCCCTCCATCTACCTTGGATCCATGACACTCGATCGCCCATGCTCCTCGTCCTAAATAGCATATTTACGGGTCCACTCGCGGGCCGTAGCCTCGTACCTTGCGCGGTCGGTCTTGTACACGTGTGCGATCTCGGGGACAAGGGGGTCATCAGGGTTGGGGTCAGTAAGCATGGAGCAGATAGATAGGAGAACTAGCAAATATTAGAACTCAGGCTCAACATACACAGGACGGAGGAGCAAAAAGCTGGCTTACCCTTGGAGATGGTCAACGCCGGACTCCATTGGTCTCTTAGGATGTCTAAGCAGATACTGCCATTTGAGTTGATGTTGGGGTGGTAGATACGAGTCGTGAAGTTGACCTTAGGAGGCTTGAATGGGTAATCTGTCGGGAAGTGGATGGCGAGGAAGAAAACACCGCCTGAGTATGGTGAGTCACCCTATCATGGCTAGTTAGCATCATCAACTAAATTCTTTACAGGCCATTTAACCACTTCAGCCTCCAAAATGAAGGCCAAGAGATTGGGAAGGATTTAGGTATTAGGGAGAATGCTTACAGGTCCCATAATCGTCGCTTGCCAGTGAAACTATTAAAAGCGAAAAGGTCAGCAGTAGTTCATGACGCTGTGCGATATGTATGCAGACAGAAACGTCCACTACATCGCTAATCATGCCCAACTGAGAAACTCAGCGGGTAGATAGTTCAGCGCTTATTATTGTTTGGTTAAATGATGCCTACCAGGTCTTCTCCGACGGGCCCAGCAGAGCATGATGAGGGAGGGTCGCTATAATACGATACGTTAGCAAATTTCTATTCCATTCTGAATCCAGCTTATACATCCCATGATCATAACCATCAAAGTAAAGATTAATATTTTTTCAAATGAGGCTGTCATGTAAGATAGACCCCGCTCTCTATCTGCCTTTCTCAAGTTGGCCCCACCTTAGGCTCACTTAACACCAGGACAAGAGGCGGATCGTCAAACAGACGCTCGTTATGTCAGAAAAATGAAATGAGAACGAGAAGAAAAAAATTAACATACCGGCCCAGGTCTGTGAGTTCCTTATTGATGCGCTTCAACGCCATTGTGGTAGAGATCGGTTTTTTGCTGTACGTATGTTTACTTGCAGAGGCTGTTTCTCTGCTGTCGACGAAACGGCTATTTATACTTGCGGTCAGTATAGAATGCGGGAGAAATAGATGGATTTTGAAAGGCAAAGCCTAAGAAAAAAAAAAAGAAGGCAAAAGTTTTTTTTTGAAGGAAGAGAAGTTTTCAACGTACCAGAGCGGGTTTTCGGTTGAGAAGAAGTCGATCTCTATGAGGTCAGAAGGAAAGATGGCGTTAAATGTAGTTGTTTTCGGATAGGTTCGTCAAAGTTGTAGATGCTGAAAGATAGTAGCGGGGAGAAGGGGAAGTCAGGCAGGTTCTTTCAGGTGACGGAATGAATGGAAATGCAATATCTGGAAAGCACAGACCATGTCAACGGTACTAGGTCACTGGTAGTATTATGTATCATTATGTACCTATGTAGTCAGTCACAAAGCAACTTCAAGCACTGAGAGAGCACTAACCTTTGAATCTAAACATTTAAACAAGCAAGCGCTACGCACCGTTTTAATTTAATCCAATCAGAGCCTTATTCATACAAGATACTATGTATGTACATACAAATCATTGATGATTGACGCAAGTTTTGTCAGTGTGCTCCAAATCGAGTGGCTGAGAGTGGCTCAGCTACGTGTGGGTCTTACATGCATATGCACATGTGTACATGTACTATGTAATGTATCCGTACATACATAACAACATTTGAAGTTAACAAGTTAACAACCGTGGTCCATTTCTAATCCGTACCTGGTACTTTGTATATCTGGGCACTGGGCAGTGGCTCTGGGGCAGTCATAACATTATTCTGAACCTTGAGCCGAACCAATTAGACCAATGAGATAATGTTGGTGTGTTCAAATTGGGGCCCGAAGAAACGGCACCTCGAGTTTGTCTGGTAACACGACAGGCATAGGCCCCGTTGCCGCCACCACCGAGCAGAATGACCCGACTAAATTCTAGCCTAAACGTGCCTGATCTTCCTTTTTTGCTGACTCTCCTGACTCTCCTGACTCTCTTGCACTCTCCTAAGTTCTTCTTTGCCCTCAAATGATATCAATTGAATCATGCTGAATATCATCCGATTCGTCAAGACTTCTGAATAAGTGGTAGATTAGGCATTACCTTTGCTGCTGGCCCAGGTAACTGCACCAACTGCACCACACTGTACCTGCCTACTAACTACCCTAGGTATGTACAATATGTACGATATTAGGTATGTATACGACCTTAGTTACGACCTTAGTAGGTTCATAATTAGGTACGATACTTTATTCAACCTTGACAACCTTGTCAACCTTGATGGTCACTGATGACGCCGTCAGTAAAAACCGAGTATGAATATGGAATGTTTCGTACTTACTATTAAAAGTGTAGATAGATCAGTGCACAACTTATATACTGTAACGCGGTGGACAATGGACATATATAACCTAGTAGATTAAAAGCAATCACGTTCGCTCTAGGCGAATGCTTTTGATAATGTTTTTCGAGTACATACATGAAAGGGGGTGAGTAGCTCATGTACAACCCCACTAACCTTAGGTTAGTTAGTTATACATGGTGTATTTGTATGAAAAGGGTAACTATGCCATGTTTCTATTTATATGAATCACTACCGCTATCAATACAAATGCTTGGATGCTCAATAAGTAAATCATATTGTCACCCATCAGAATGACTTTATTCCAAGTTATCCCATCAACTCTACTACTACGTACACAATTTTATATACATCATTCTTGGACAGACGTCCTAGCTTAAGGTAGCCTGCCCATTCTATGTAACATGATAACCCAACATTATACAAATGCTTGCAAGCCAGTTATGGCTCTTCCGAGGATAAGACCTATACCAGTATTAGCAACAGTCGATAGCTTCAGGGGCCAATGTATCGAGTACTTACTATGTATATCACTCTGCCCTTCATACGTCTGGGTCACAAATAAGTTGGCCACGTGCCTCCCAATAGCATACTCGTCGCTTACGGCATTGCCTCCGAAAATTTCCTGCAATGCCCTCGCATTCACAAGTGCCCGATCACAATTCTGTCTTTTTATCATACTAATCATCTCTGGCGTGGCTTTCCCTTCATCCTTCAATCTACCAACCTGTATTGACGCTAGTACGCCATACGCGGCATCCGTTGCGGCATCCGCCAGTTTCTTCTGCACAAGTTGATATTTGGCAATGGGATTTTCCTTGAACTGTTTACGTTCCAAGGCATATGTCCGTGCCCGGGAGATGCAGTCTTCTAGGGCACCCATGGTTCCAAAGGAGATGCCGTACCGGGCACTATTCAGACATGTAAATGGGCCAGTTAAGCCTTCGACATCCGGAAACATATTTGCTTCCGGAACTGGGCAGTCCTCCATGTGAATCATGCCCGTAATGCTAGCCCGAAGGCCTGTCTTATTCTTGATTTTCGGCGTCTCGAGCGTACGAGGGGGGCAATCCTTCCTATCTATCAGGAACCCCCTAATCTTTCCCGTGTCTCGTAATTTTGCCCACACTAGGAGCACATCCGCAATAGGCGAGTTCGTAATCCAAGTCTTAGAACCACGGAGGAGCAGATAGCCCTTTTTGGTTGGGTGCGGCCGCGCGCTCGATTGCATGGATCCTGGATCGCTTCCATGGTTGGGCTCCGTGAGGCCGAACGCGCCCAGCAGCTTCCCCTTTGCCATTTCAGGTAGGTATTTCTCTTTTTGCTCCGCAGTGCCAAACTCATATATACCGCCCATAACCAAAGACGATTGCACAGACATGCCGGATCGGTACCCACTGTCTATTCGTTCTACAGCTCGGGTTATTAGGCCGGACGCCACAGTCGAAGCGCCGGCGCAGCCGTAGCCATGTAGATTCGCGCCGAGGAGGCCCAGTTCGCCCATTTCCCGCAGGATAGCAGGGTCATAGTGCTCAGTGCGGTGTGCCTCTTTATTTTGTATCAAGTAGTTAGTAAGTAGGTCTAGAAGAAAACAGGGGAGAAAGCAAGGCGTAGATTATATTTGATGATACTCACGTAGCACTCGCGGTAGCAATTGTTCTTGACAATACCGCTCTGCCGTCTCTGATATGGCCAGTTCCTCCTCGGTGAGCAGATTCTTGCTCCCTAATGGATCCTCCCAATCAAACGAAGACCGAGGAGCCGAGGCATAAGCTCTACAAGCTTGTTGTGGCTTCGCAAGGCCGACAACTAATGGTCTTGAGGCCCGCGATATTGGTAGACGGAACATGGCTACACTCTCAATTGAAAGGAATTGAGGTGAGCTCAACAAGACTTTTCGGGGTCGCCCATGGAGATCAATCCATGGAGGGTGTATGTAGGTATATGTATTATGTAGTTTGCATAGGTCGTTGTGGGGAAGAACAATGATGTCTCCCTTTGCGGTCTCGGCATTCCTCGGAAATAAACGTAAATAGTTTTACTAACGAGATCGGCTACGGACGGTCCACCTAGTTCAACTCTCGACTACGATAGTACAATTCTCATCGTACTTGTACATAAAATGTCATAAATACCTACCCTGGGTAACTACTTAGGTACATAAAAAGTAACCTCCTTGTCTTTTTCTAATCGTTAACTACATAACCTCAAATTGAAACATGATCAAGTCTATGTGAAATCTGCTATTACAATGTTCTCAGGCGTTCTTTCTACAAGTTGTATCTTGTGGAGAATAGAGTTTTCTTCATACATGCTACATACTGATGTACTACATTAAAGGTACATATTACTAAGAATTGTTGAACGACCATGAGGACCCAAAGGCAGCTTCTTGTTATAGAAACTATATCATTAGGCAGGAGCCTTGTAATATATGATGTATAGTAAGTAAGTAATGTAAGCAATGTAAGTAGGTAGGTGCTATGTAACATTTCAATCCTGGACCTTGAAAATGACGGACAGTTGAGCTTCATCCTTTCACTCAATCCAATGTCATGTACCTCAGACGCTCCTCTATCAACAACATCCTTTAACCTCTATCATCTATCCCTTCACCCCTATTACATAGTTCTCTCTATTTCAGTACCTAGAAAAATGCCATCCACTTTTACCAAGTGGCGATATATCCTTAAAGCCTTTAGTTTCCGTCTCCGCCGTCGTCTATCAGCCTTCTTCAAGTATCTCGGCTCCTATCTCGTAAAGCCAAAGCATGACCCTGAAGAGTCATGAAATCCTCGTTATGTCAGCAGTTAACTATGGATTCCCGCCGGTCACTACCAAACAACGCCTCTTATCGCCTAGTTCAGCAGGATACCCCTACGGCGGTCGATGTCCTCCTCATAGATGCCACTCTTACGGTTGTCAATCCGCCCCCGGCGAGCAACATCAGAAGGAGAACAGTCGAGAATTTGAGGATGAGCACTGGCTATTTTCACCCAAACCAGACCGCTTGCACTTACGGGTGGCCAGTTCCAGTCCCCCTTCCCGTTGCCAGGCGCGTCGGGCCACCGAAAATGGTAGAGATTGGCCGCTTGCACCAGTAAACCTCAATCCAGTTGAGTCCAGGTACTCTAAGTTCTGCTAGGAACATGGGACAGAAGATGACCTAATCTCCCTCTGGTTATCTGGTGTTTCTTGTCCAGACTGCTTGAATGAAGAAGCCAATTTGACGAGACAGAGCACGCCGGTTGGTCTTCGGAATTCTGAAGATAATGTCATGATCTTATCCAAGCCCACCTGCCCACGTATTGTGCTACAACCTGCCAAGCGAACCCGATCGCGTACACAGTCTCGGACGGGCCTCGATGGGCCTCTCAGTTCTAACAGCGATAGGGTTTCCAAAGCGCTGCGAGATGATCTCAGCGATTTAAAAGAGTCAAGTCGTAGTGCAGGTCAATCTGCTAGCTCTCAGAAGCTCAGATCTAATACTTCTGGGTCTATCGATTGGGAGAAGAGTTGGTATAAAAGAAAGCCTCGGCGGAAACATGATGTGTCGGAGGCGTCAAATCTTAGATTGATCTCACCTCCTAATGCCACCCATTTATTTCCAGCGGCTCATGATCACAATAATCACCAGATTAGTGATAGTAGCGATGGCGAGGATGATGTGTCAGATGGCAAGTCTTGTTCGTATCTCTCACAGCATGACGCCCAGTTTCACGCCATTCAACGAAATGGTCTTCATTCATGTCCAGAACTTCACCGACAGTTGGACGAATTTGATAGGTCATTATCAAAATTGAAGGTTAGTGCTGGTATTATGGATATTTTATATACGTTCAACTAATCCTGATTCTAGACTCGTGAAAATCAAGAGCAGACTTCTCAGTCACGCCCTGAGCTTGACCAGGGTCGACATCGACATTTTCATATTCGTAACATTGTTACTAAGCGCTTTCGGTCACTTGGCCAAAAGCTTCGGCATTCGGGCTCTTCTAACTTTTCAATCAGATCCGAATTTCCAGCGACCCCTGATAGCAGAGAACGTCGGCTCCTTGCCCGCGATTCGGCGGATATTTGGCCGTCATCCGGCGCCGAAACTCCGTTGTACAACACCCCCGAGTCTGACATTACTTTCACGCGTGCTACTGGACATCACATCGACCCTTTGGCAATAGCTGGTATGATGATTGCCACAGCAGAGCTCGATCGACTCTCATCAAGAGCAAGTCTAGACCAACTTTCTAGAACATCTGGATCTTCGACAGGTCTTTCAGGGAGTTCCCCTATCTCGTACACGCCGCTTCACAGTGGGGTTACAAGTCCTGACAACGAAACGTCTGCATCCGAGTTGGCTACCATTGATATGCCTCCCACGATGCCATTCAATACACCTGCATCGTCCGCATCACAATCTGGTATAGGGACCCCGGTGTCGAGGCCATCACAGCGGCGCGGACACAGACGGAGGGGGCAGCGGAGTCGTCTATCAGAAGTAACAACACCCGATGAAGTCGCGTCACCAGCAGAATCTGCCGAAGAATCTGTGGAAAGGCATTTTTCCATCTCTTCCCAGATTGACACACTTCCAGAATGTTCTTCCATTGCCAATGGCGGAAACGATGATAACTTGTATCCCAAGCCGTTGGCGATCAACCGGGGAGACTCTGAATCTCCAGGCAGCCCTTCGGGCCAGGCAACTCATCCCCTCCCTCTCATCGGGTCCGGTGGACCTGGGAGCCCGCAGGCCTCGGGAGACTCGAAAAAACTCAATGTCCATGAGGAGATATCTGCTCCTACTCGAGTCTCGTCGATAGGCAAAACGCCCGGGCCCACGTGTGACCAAAAGGCCGCCGAGGACGTGAAACTGTGGCCTGCTGTTAACATACCGCTCAATGTTAGGCATGCTGCCCTGTCTTCCACTGACCAGACCGACATGAAGGCACCAAGAATACCGACAGAAATGTATATTTTTCAAAGGTCGAGTGCCATTACTATGGCTGTAGATGACATGTCAACCATGACGCTTGAGACTGTCGATACGCTAGCTATGCGCGAGCCAAAGGAAAGAACAACTTCCGATTCTTGCCATCCAGATACCTGGTCAGAGTCTCAAGGCGAGCCAGGAAACTCGGATCCATTTTGTCCTCCAGACTGTCTCAAAAGCGGGCGCAGCAGCCAAGATAGCCACTTCAGGCCTTCATTTCCCACGAGGCGGCAGGGCAGTAGCGAGACTGTTCGTAGGCTAGAAGTTTTTGAGAAGCCAGTCTCTAATGGAGACGATAGTTCTCAAAAAGAATCATAGCGTAAAGATAGTACGGCCTAAGGCATGTACGGGAATAGGAATAGAGTGCTTGGTAGAGGAAGATGATAGTGTTAAGCAGTATTGAGTATACGTGAGCATCGGTGTAGTGATATATCTTTCTTTAGTATATGGCAGACCACTGTAAGGCTTATAAAATTGCATGTCTCATATATGTCATGTATACCTTTCCATGCTGCCATATTGACCACGCTCGGCGGCACCTACGGGAAGGATATCACTTTGCCACCAAAGAAAAAAAAAGCCTACTAACCTAACGAGAATCAAACAAAACCGAGGAGGTGTCCCAAGATGCCCCCTTATTTATTGTCCCTCCATGCATAGTACCAACCTACCTACTATGTACCTTTTCATAGAATAAGTACATGAAAATAGTGGTGTCTGCCTCATCTATACTCCCCTCACCCATCCGTTCCCTTCCTAATTGCCTAGGTGCCTACCTAGGTACAGCAGGTAAGCAACCAGGCTATTACTATCTAAATCCAAATCCAAATCTCGATCTAAAAGCGCCTTCACATGGTTCTGGGAATTATGGTGAGAAAAGTAACCTTGAGCCTTTCCTTTTTTTTTCTCCTTCTGTATCTTTCTCCTTATAGACTTGTTTCTCTCCCCTTTTGGTTGAAATATGGATTGTATGTAGGTGGTATGTATGTTTGACAGCAGGAAAGGACTACTACAAACGTCAAACGTATAATGATGATGATATCTTACTTTATCTATCCCCGGCTACAGGAGAGCCGCCGTTGCTCTTGCTAAGTAACATGTAGAATACGAACGAAGAACGAAGAGCGATACATTATTAGGGTCCAACCCCGTCCAGAGAGATATTAACGAACCAAGATATCCTCTCGGTTAGGACCACAACCGACCCACTTGATCTTTACGCCGACGAAGTCCTCGATGAAGGTGATGTAATCCTGGGCCTCCTTGGGGAGCTTGGCGAAGTCCTTGGTTCCCGTGGTCTTGCTGTTCCAGCCCTTCAGGGTCTTGTAAACTGGCACGACGCGAGAAAGTAGCTTTGCGCTGGCGGGGTAGGCCTTGAGGATCTCGCCGGTATCGGGGTGCTTGAAGTCCACGGCTACCTTGATTTCCGGGAAACTGTCGAGGATGTCGAGCTTGGTCAGGTTCAGGGTGTCGTAGTGATTCACGCTGTTGGAGTACTTAACCGTGACCAGGTCCAACCAACCACATCGACGTCTACGTCCAGTGGTAACGCCAAATTCGTGTCCAATCTCTTGTAGCTTTGTGCAGACTTCGCCAAAGTCTTCCGTAGGGAACGGCCCGGAGCCAACGCGGGTAGTATAGGCCTTCAAAACACCGACAACGGAGTCGACTTTTCGGTAGTCGAGGTTCAGCCCAGCCATGACGCCACCAAAAGTAGTCGAAGTTGATGTCACAAAGGGCCAGGTACCGTACGTGATATCCAACAAAGCCGATTGGGCGCCTTCGACCATGATCTTCTTGCCTTGCTGTTGAGCCTCCTCAATGTATTCGACATCGTCCACGGAAAAGGGGCGGAGTTTTTCACGGAAGTTCTGAGGGGTTAGAAGAGAACGTTGAAAGGAAAAAAAGTATTTACCTCGAGTTCTTTTATCTCCGCCTCTACGTCGTATCCGTCCAGGTCTCCGCCGAATCTTAGCTTGTAGTCTCGCTCCATAGACCTAATTCTGTCTCCGAAGGCATCATCGTCAAGTAGATCGGCGAGAAGCACAGTGCTTCTCTCAGCCTTGGAGGTGTAAGCAGGTCCGATACCTTTACCAGTTGTACCTATGTTCTGCTTGCCGAGCTGCTTCTCATGAAGACGGTCGGCTGCGGCGTGAAGATCAAGATTTAGTGCGCAGCGTGTTGAGACCTTGAGTCGGGGCTGACAGTTTGCGACGCCTTGAGCCTCAATCTTGGCGAGCTCAGAGAAGAAAGTGGGCACGTGAAGGACAACACCAGGTCCAATGATATTTGTCGTTTCCGGGTGAAGCAGTCCGGACGGCAGCATGTGGCTTTGAACTATCAGCAAGGCTGTATATAGAGGATGATGAGGGATATTCAGACAACATACAAATCATAAGATTTTCCTGCAGTGACCACGGCTTGGTAGTGAAGGAGTGTTAATAATAGTATAGTATAAGATGACATTATAAGTAGAATAGAATGAATATCTTAGGAATATCTTACTGTGACCACAATTTCTTCCTCCAGTAGCCCGAGCGCAAATCTGGACCTCAGAGCTTAGGATATCGCAAAGCTTGCCTTGGAATAAGTGAGCATGAGTTCCCGTTGCTTTATTGGGTCATGCCAAAAGCCAAAGGCCAAGCAAAAGGCATTGATGGCGGATCACAGACTCACCTTTTCCCTCACTGCATATAGGAAGAAGAAGAGACCAATTAGCAAATACTCTTTAAGAAATAGACACAGAATACGGTAGCCTTACTCTCCCCATTGAACACCTAACACGATCGTAGCCATGGTGGGTAGATTTTGTAATATTATATGGCGTGATAGGATATGATATGTGATCTTGATTTATGGTTGATACAGATACAAATTCCAAATAAATAAGAGTGAAATCTGAGAAAAGAGTCACAATAATAATTTTTTAATGTTTTCTTAGATTCTTTAGATGATGCGCGCAAAACATGGAATTGCATGGCGGGGTGGTGGGGTAATCGAACTAACGCACTAACGCACTTAACGGCGCCTACCGGGTAATCGGGCAAGGCAAGTTTTACTTTTAAGGTTGGCTGACTTATTTTTCCTTATTCCTCCAGGGCTTAATATTTCAAACTTGATGTTAGTAATAGCACTGAGGCTAGCAACATGTCGACATCGTAATACCTCTTCGGTCCTTTTTCCTTTAACAGGTGATTTGACATACGTTCTATGTGCTCACTCATCCTTCTCTCTTGTTCCCTTCTCCCTTCTTCATAACGACCTAAGGTCGATTTTAAGAAACAGAGAAAATAATACCAGGATACTCTCTGTTCAAAGCGTATACTTTGATTCATACCCTTGGGATTTAGTGGTTTCTCTATAGGCAGACAAAATGCCTACATGCTAAGCGTGCCTAGACACCTACATACCTAAGGTATATAGCTCAGGCAGGTCCAGAATCGGGACTGGCTTTCTACCTAGGTCGGTGAATTAGTTGATTTGTATCCCACGAGTTTGTTTGTCTTGAAATACATGAATTTGCCCCTTAGAAGACCAAAGAGTTTTCATGTCAAGCATGACTTCCTTATACCCTATGTAGGTACCTGTCTTCACCATAGTATGTGCTTTGCCTCTGCTATTACCCCGTCCCTATAATCAGATATAATATCGTAATATGTGGCACGCACACACAGTCTCGAGACTGCGGACGTCGTCTAATCTTCAAACAAGCCAACGCCGTGCAATGCAATATCCATACAGCATGGAAAAAGAATCCATCAGATCCACAGCAGATAGGAACCATGGTGTTCGTCACCGGTTCCCGTCATTTTTCATGCCAACCATTTCGTATTCACCCGCCCCGTCTCTTCCCCTACCTCTCCCACGGCCTCTTGAGAAGCCCATTTCTTCGTCACCAGGCTCCCCACCCGTATTTCTGTTTTCTGTCGCAGCCTGAGAGCTTCCTTCGCCGTTAGCGGCGTTCCTCCCGTTGCCCCCAAAACTGATAGGCCGTAATTCCCTCCACCGACAGCCGTAAGTGCCCCCTATTACCGTAACAACACTCGATAATATTAGCGTCGCCCACCATGCAACGTGTCGTGGAAGGAATCCAGTGTAAAATGTGACGATAACGAGATGGATGAAGTGGAGGGTAAGCGCGAAGTCGAGGACAAGCTTCGATCGACCTATAAAGGACATCATGGCTATGACTCTGTATGATTCTACTGTCAATATTACTCTCCTTACACTGGAATATCAAGGGAGACCAACACAACTCCGGCACAGCATAGCCAGACAAAGCCCAACAACCAACCCTGTGTGGTATCACCGCGCATCTCTGCCCACCCAAAAATGAGGTCCAGCTTGAATCGCGTGCCGGAGACTAAGGATGTGAACAGCATCAAAACTAGCGCCGCAGCATAGTATATACTCTGTAGTGCCGCGATCTGGCTAAGGATTCGTAGAGGGGGGAGTTCGTTCACTGCGCCGGCCCGCGGCGGCCTTCTCCTCCTAGCCATCTTCAAAGGTCTGGTGTAGATCGACGGAGGCGAAAGGGACGGAAATCGGATCTGTCGTTTTTCGAACACGCCCAATCTACCAAGTGTGGGTCGGCTTCAAAGGAAGAATGGAAAATATTATTATGAATGAGTGGACGGAAGTAAATTTTAGATTTGTTGATGATTTGTCTTGTTTCGCGTTATAAGGTACTCATGTCTATCCTAGGTACCCATGTAGGCTATTTAGGTAGGTTGTTATTAGCATAGGCAAGTTCGTTCACGTACAGACAAATATAATATTCGTGGGTGCGCAAGGTGTTCGAACTATTAGCGGATAGGAAACATTGAAACTACAACTGTTTGAGTTGTTTGAGTTGTATGAAATGGATGGATGATGGATGGATGGATGGATATCCAGATGATAAGATCGATATACCTTAGGACGTTTAAAAAAGGTATAATTATGATTACAAGTGCTCAGGTATTAAAGTGTAACCATATTCTGGTGAAGTGTTTAGAGGTTGAACTAAGTTATGCGCCTGCCTACCAATTATTCAACCATAAATGAATGGGCCCAAGATGACGGCGCACTAATACAGAATGGGGGAAGAGAAGAGAAATGGAAAAGGGTGACGCAGGGGTTCTTGCCCATTTCTTGCCCAATTGGTTAATTTTAAGCCTCTGCCACTAGGCCACATATGTATTAGTGCAGGCTTAGATCGAAGAATGATTTCAATTGAAGGTTGAACACCCCATGTTACATAATCATCATTCATTTGTTAAGCCTTGATAAGATAAACTTCAAGTTATTATACCTGCATAATAGCTCGCATAACCATCCTGAAGGTTACTGAATAACTTCAACAGTCGCAACGAACGACAAGCGCCCACCCTATAAAGACCGTTATACTATTAAGTTAAAAAACAGAAACGATCTATCATGGGCCTTTTCGGTTTCTTCGCTTCGGCCGACGAGAAGCGCAAAGAAGAAGTACGCACCGGCTCCCGCGCACCTGACAGGACAGAACGAAAACAGTGCTGGGATGCGCGCGACAACTTCTACAAGTGTCTCGACAAGCACGATGTGATCGATTCACTCAACGGAAATGGAAAAAAGATTGCCGACAAACAGTGTGCCCCAGAGAACAGAGCGTTCGAGGAGAACTGTGCCACGGCTTGGGTTCGTTATACTTGTTCTATACCTAGTTATAGGCAGATCTTGGAGCATGGCTAACTCAACCTGCTTTCTTCTAGGTCACCTACTTCAAGCGCTTCCGAGTCGCCGACTACCAAAAGAAGAAGACCTTCGAACGACTAGAGAAAGAGGGTGCCAACAAGATGGCCGGCGAACAAATTGGAGATCTGTCTGGATCGAAAAAAACATGAAATAGATAGTGGTCGCTTTAACGACTTGGAAGAAGACCATTAGGTCCATTCATGAATATATGTGTACCGTACTGTACATAAAGAGGAAACCCTAAACGATCATGGAGAAATGTACCTACTACTGGGCACGGTCTTCAGATTGAGATGGAATCTGACGGAGACCTAGCCTCGGTAGCTACCTAGGTCAGCTCCTACATCTTTTAGAGTCAGATAGCCCGAACTAGATCTCAAGATCCCCCCAAGATGTGAGGACTGGGTAGGTGTTCTCAGAGGACTCAATTTGGCTAGGTTGAAAGATTCTCTAGGAGAATTTATTACTTGCCATTCCTCAAAGCAGGTCCCCTACTCTAAACCAGAATTTGATCTTATTCTAGTATATTGGCTAAAAGCCTGGTAGCGGAGATGACCGGTTATGATGAAGAGCTAGTTATCAGAGTTTGAAGCATGAAAAGAGTGTGCTTTTCGACTGAATATTGCCGTTCATGGGATGCCATGGTTAGTAATATAATGAGACAGTTCTGAGTAGGTTACCAACTAACAGGCTACTTATCTGCATAACTGCCTTCTAGTTATGTAGATTCAATGACGATGTTCATTGGGGTTTTAAAGAGTTCATGTCCCCTAGGCGGCAATTAAAAATGCTTGTGGAGCAGACGTTTGTTCCAGCTCTTCAGAATCGGCTTCTACTTCCGGAAAATTCGACACTATGGATGTACGTACGCCTTGAAGAAGCTACGTGCATATAATTAACGGTCGAGCGATTCACATCGATTACCAGAGGCTGCGTTTGCGTGGTCCTAATGGGACACTGCCGATAGGGGTGAACCAGTAACAAGGAGATCTTGATGCTCTGCTAATAACGTGACGAACATGATCTACAAGGCGGCTGGTGCCGATAGTCCGGTATAGTTGTCTTGGCTTCGTGTGAACCAGGATAGGGAGCTAGGTATTTCGATCTTTGTAATGGTAAGATTCATGGTAGTCATTTTGCAGAACCAATGGTGCGGGTATTTATGTAAGTGTTGGTTTGCATCTGGGTACATACCCTCTAACATAACGGTGTCATAACCTCCTTACATAGTAAGTAGTATGTACTATGTAGTTAGATGCTTCTAACCTAGGCAATTATGTTGGTACATACCTATCTAGCCCCGGAGGTATTGATGGCTTTCGTAACAGCGTAAGAAACATTAAAGGAATAGGTAGGAAGATGTTCCAGTGGATCCTACATAATCCTTCAATGGGTTTTCTACCACTTTCTACCACTGTAATGTACGTCAAAAAAGATTAAAATAAAAAAAAGATTGGAATTGGAAATGTCTCGGAGTCGCGGCACAAAGACAAAGGAAAGTTGGGTGAGCAACAGAATTGAATGGGTCCAAGCATGGGTTTGGGTTACACCTGGTCGAGCTGAAGTTTTTAATTAAAAAATTGTATTGCTCTTGCCAGAGCCACGCTGCCACGCTGAACTTTAATATTACTTTCTCATTTTTCTTTGGCCCGGCGTCTTCGGTGAGTTGATACCTGGATACTTATACGCTAAGGCCAAGTCGGAATCGGAATCTCGGCAAACTCTCAACTTATTATTGTTCAACATTGAATGGCAATGGCAGCAGTGCAGCAGCTGTAATACAGCACTACAGCACTACAGCACTGAGGTTTTGCATAACATTGAAGATCGGAAATTGAAGGCCAAAGAACCCGATACTGGAAAGATGCTACAGATGTAGGGCTCGGACGTGGGGGCATATCAATAATCAAGCACGAAGAAGTCGAAAGAACAGGTCAATCACGCCGTTCACTAACTAGTAACTATTCCTATGCAATGCATTTATGACCTATGACATAAACCAATGCATCATAATGGATACTCAAATGAAGTAGATCCATAAGTAACTATCATGGATCAATCTGTCAATGTCAATATCGAAAATCGTGGCTTAGCAAACCTGACTGCTGAGCTTGGGTGCTGGGCCCAATCACGCTGTTAGCTTTGTGGGAGCCCCTGACAGCCCCTGCCGCCCTGCAGTCCTAGTATGAGCCATGATAAAATGCACCTACTGACGCTACCGTGCTGTTTACCTTACCTGCCAGCTGCTTACATAGGTACCTAAGGTACCTAACAGCTGAACTGCTGAAGTGTTTACCTAGTAATGTTGTAGGAGGATTCATTTGATATGAATTTGGTGAATACCTATGAGCATCAATACTAAGAATATTGGAGTGTAAGGTGACGCGTCGTATACCATAACCATCTTCACAAGGGAAAAAAAAGAAGGAAGCCCATCCTTTTCGACAAGACATTAATTGAGTCTTGGTGAAACTTTGTAATTTTCTGCTATTGGATATTAAAAAGCGAGATACGACCTAGCTATCAACACGTGTATGTATATCCTATATCATTATTGGCATTGCTACTGTACCTCTGTTAACCTACATACCTTGTATCGTTTTGCAAACTATCCTCTGTAGAGAATATTTATAGCCTTTCTTAAACTGTATTAGTGATAAACATGCATGGATAGATTTAGTTATGCGAGACAATTTGGAAACTTCAGGGCTTAATAATGCTCAGTGCTACTGTACCCTAGGTATAACTATACCTACATATGTATGTATTGTACCTGAATAGGTACCTGGGTAGGCTGTGGTGGCTGAGTTTTGCAAAATTGTGCAATTATTGTAAGTAGTACAGTACATACTAGAAAGGACGTTCCACTCATCGGGATCCACGTAAAACGGGCCAATTGCTTGTACCCTGGTACGTAGAATAATGATTGCACAAGCCCAAGCCCAACCCCGTATCCACGCATCTAATAGCATCCACTCACCTTGCCAACTTTCTTTGCTTTACCACGACCCACGACAAACACAATCTCGCTCGTATCTTCAGGCCTCCTCTCTATCACAATCCCCCTAACCCCTAGTCAACAGGCCGCAGAGTTACCAATTCCCAACCAACCAACTTCATCGGCAAAAACAAAATATTTGCTTCAATTCTTCCCGAATAACCTCGCGCCGCATATGCCCACTCCTTCGCCTGGTTACTGCAAACTGGCGATTGAGAGACACCGTATACGGCTTAGGTGCTTGAGGGTGCTTGAAGGTGCTTGAGGGTTTCAGGTACCAATTCGTTCGGAACTCGACTTCGAACGAAGCTTGACCTTATTTATTGGGGGTGCAATAAGAATATGCCTACATTCGTGAACGGCGAGAATATTCCTATATACCCTCCCAACGCCAACATCGTTCATATCGGAAGCCACCCACACGACCCAAACTTTCAGAAGTTGGCTAACCCCAAGGATACTCTTCTTCTTACGCCCTCGTCTACCGCAATTGACACGAATGAAAGCTTCGACGATAACCTCTCTTCGCGTTCTTCCAACAGTTCCGACCCGAGTGTGGGAATGAATGCGGATGAGCCATACCAGATGACTTCTTTGCCTAACGGCACGTCGAGTAGAGACTCGAATAATACAGCCACCACAGGTCTAGATCAGAAGTATTCTTCCAACATGAAAGGCCCTTTGTCTGGAAGAACCTCCACGGACCGGCAAGCCACCGTCAATGTTGAAAGCCAACGTAAGAGCATTTCTGAATCCCTAATCAAGAGATCCTCTGTCGACTCGTCATCCCGTAATCCTGCACCACAGCACCCTATTGAGCCATCACGAATGTCATGGAACAATAGCGACTCGCCAAACATAGATGGGCTCAATGGCAACCATGTAGCCCCTGTCTCGGATAGTTCTGCTGCCAATTTTCCTTCCGAACCTTTCCTGTCATCATCCTATCCTAACTCGGACCCGGCCCAACGCAAGTCCCCTTCACCCCAAAACTTTTCTTCGTCGCATTACCCTTCGACTAGTGCGAACGCTTCAGCCTCAACATCAGCACTTCAACCACCCACACCTGGACTAAAACATAGACATACATTAGAAGTGCCTAAAGTCCAGCCTAGTCGAGGCTCGAGAGACAGCACCGACACCGCTTACACGAGTGGTAGGTTCTCACCCACCGGCGGAGCTGGTCCATCACAGCGTCGAGGGTCTCTGAATCTAGGAAGAAAAAATACACGCTCCCTGCACTCCGATTTGCCTCGTGAAGAGATAGCACCTGACGACGACGCTTTGCGGTGGGCAGAAGCATACCGGCAGAAACGAGCGAAGAAGAAAAAGCGGGAAGACGACGATGACGATAGAGTCCTAGTGGGAACAAAGGTGGATGAGAATCACGCCAACTGGACGACCGCTTACAACATGTTGACGGGTATCCGGGTATCTGTCTCCCGTACGAACGCCAAACTCGATCGTCCCTTGACCGATGCCGACTTCGAAACTAAGCAGAAATCGACGTTTGACATGTACGTTTCTCCTACTAATTTACTCTCTGCAATTTACTAACCTCATTAGCGCGGGCAACGAGTTGGTCCCCTCGGCAAAATATGACTTCAAGTTCAAGGATTATGCGCCCTGGGTCTTTCGACATCTTCGTGCACTCTTTAGGCTAGATCCTGCCGATTACCTCATGTCGCTCACGGGGAAGTATATCCTATCCGAGCTTGGCTCTCCGGGAAAAAGTGGCAGTTTCTTTTATTTCTCCAGAGATTATAAGTATATCATCAAGACTATTCACCATGCAGAGCATAAGTTTCTCCGAAAGATACTGAAGCAATACTACGATCACGTCACGGAAAACCCGAACACGCTACTCTCCCAATTCTACGGCTTGCACCGAGTCAAGATGCCCTACGGCAAAAAGATTCACTTTGTCGTCATGAACAATCTTTTCCCTCCGCATCGAGATATCCATACCACCTTCGACCTCAAAGGCTCAACGGTGGGACGAGACTATCGAGAGGAGGAGCTAGAGAAGAACCCGCGTGCGACACTGAAAGACTTGAATTGGCTGCGACGGAAAAGACATCTCGAACTGGGAGTACAGAAGAAGCAGCTATTCTTGGAACAGCTTCAACGTGATGTTCGTCTCATGCAGAAGTTGAAGATCATGGATTACTCTCTTCTAATTGGCGTTCATGACCTGCGAAAGGGGAATGAGGAAAACCTTCGAGACAAGACTCTACAAGTATTCAACCCAGGGGGAGATAGCCCGACGGACGAGGATTTAAATCCTAGCTCTGTTCTTATGAGGACGCCGTCTAAACTTGAGAATGCGCGAAAGGCAAGGGAACTGAGGCAAATGATCAAGGCTGAACGGCCTGTGCCCGTGGGTCAGACTAGTAGTAAAATGCCAGATGAACTAGCCCAAGGTCATACCCGGGGCGGACTATTCTACAGCGACGACGGTGGTCTTCGAGCTACTCACGAGGACAATGGTCCCGGGGAGGAGGTCTATTATCTTGGGGTGATCGATTGCTTGACACACGTAAGTTTCAATTTCCCCATGCTTAATGGTGAATGCTATTGTGGCCCTCATTTTATGCTAATTTTCATTGGGAATAGTACGGAGTAATCAAGAAAATAGAGCATTTTTGGAAGGGCCTGTCCAGTGATCGCAACGAGATATCAGCTCTCCCACCCGAGGAATATGGAGAGAGGTTCATCAAATTCATGTCTGGTATCACAATGTCTCGGGAAGAAGCGGAAAGGGATGCCCTTGATCGCGAAGCCGCTGCGGCTGAGTTGGAACGCGCCGAACAAGATAACCTCGAAGCTTCCGGGGACGGTAGTGCCCCCCCTGCACCATCGTACCTACCTCCAGCTCCACCAGGTATGAGAAGCCCAAACTCGCCGGAGCCCAATCCGACTTTGGAGAAGGCGCTCAAAAAGGCTACCAAAAATGAAAAGGACGTTGCTAAGGAGGAGCAACTCCCAGATCGCAAAATAACCACAGCTATGTCTCCGGGTATGAGAACCAGCTCGCACGCTGTTCTACCAGTTGTTGAAGAGACAGCCGAAGCAAACTCGGTTGGCGAACGAAGCCGACATGATAGTGCTAGTGAATCTAGGCCGTACACACCATCGCCAACTGAGAGGCAGGATGGATTCACCAACTTGGGTCCTCACGGTATAGGAGGTAGGGGCCCACCAACACCGCCCAAGACCAGCTACGAGGAGGGGAGGAAAGGAAGTGGCAGCAGCGGTAGTGGCAAGTTTTCCTTTTTCAAGGACACAGCCGGCCGCAACAGCATGGACAAGGTGCTGCCACAAGTTCCAAGATGAATATACCCATGATGTCGAGAAACAAGTATCGACAGTCACGTCGGCGTTTTTGGGCTTGAAATGATGGGATCAAACCACATTTGATAATCACTTTGAGTATTTCGACGGTCCGAAGGGTGTAATAGGGGGAAGAGGGCGAAAGAGCTTTTAATGACAATATACCACCGGAGGAGAATGGGTCGAGGGGAACGGCTACACAGGCTAACTCTACTGGAGCAGCTGATGTCAGTCAACCACACCGATTAAAGGGGGCTAGCCAAACATTCGAGAAAAGAGGGAAAACCTCATCTAATCAAGTCGAGTCATATTCCAGTGAGCAGCCAATTCTTTCGGAGAATTTCTACCTACCTACCTACCTACCTTGCCTATTTACCAACGAGGACCAGACGGCGTTGGCAAGGACAAAAATCGTTTAGGATCGCGAGGGCGTTTCTCTTTATCCCCTCTCTCTTATCATTTGATTCCCTTTGTTGTTGTTATCATTACCGTTTGGCTGGTTCTACTGCTTTCTACCCAGAGAGGAGAGCAAGAGAGCAAGCAAGCATATTAACATTGTGTTTTACCGCAAAGACATGATACCACCATTGCATACACTGCATGAATTTGACGAAGTCTTTTATTAGTCCATTACCTTGTCTTACCTTACCTTACCTTACCTTGCCTGGCCTTTATGCTTTTATTCTGCTTCTTCTCTTTTTTTGTTATTGAAGGTTGAGAGTTTGAGGATTTGAAGAGGAAGTGTTGGTGTGTGGAGGTTGAAGAGGTGGATGTAAGGGGTGAGTAGAGGTGAGAGTGAGTGAGAGAGTGGAGGTTAGATAGATGTGTAGCATAATACAATAAAGAACGATAAGAATAAAGACTACTGACCGGTTATGTGAGCTTCCGTGTGGATGAAGGCCGCTGCTGTATAGAATGTTGAGTAGACGTGAGGAACGAGGTGGTACCTAGGCTAGGTAGGCATAGTCCTATGCCACTTTCGGTGTTGATTTTTAATGTCTGTTCGTTTGCTTGTATACCTACCTCCTATCCACACTTTGAAAACGACGTATTCAACGAGTCTTAACATTCATTAATTCTCCATTTTCATATCTACTATTTTATTGTTTCTTGCAGTTTATATTTTTTAGGTTGGTTTTATTGCTGAGGCACCCACTAGTGTATCAGCTGGTCTATCATAGTCTGTCATATGCAACATACTGCATGCTTTCGTGGTGTTGTAGATAGCATGATATCTCTCCCGCCTCCTAGGTTATCTTGGTGTTGTTCCCCCAGTAACCCCAGTACATTAACTACCCTGGTACCTATGTACATAGGTAGGCTCGCTACGAAAAAGACGCCGTCAACAAAGTAGTGCCAAGATAATCTTCAATAAGCATGCGTAGCTAGATTGGAAGCAGAAGGTGACATTGGGAGCCGGAGTTGCCCGCCCCCTTAACTAGTAGGTACCTGATAATGCAGAAATATGTACTACTAGGTAGGTAGGTAACCTGGAACTTGAATGCTAGTTATGAGAAATTCCTTCTTCGATGGCTACTAGTTACTTACAGTACCGCGGAATGGTTTCTCGCCAAGGAAAAAAAAAAGTTGCTGAAGAATCACGACTTTAGCTTGCGGGCATGATGCCGTAGCACCCACCGCCAGCCATCATGCATTGCATACATAGTACCTACATACCTGCAAGATTTGGAATTTGGCATGGTGACCCTGCCCTACCCTACCTTACTTACCTCTTTACTCGCTCCTTCGAGGCGATTGTCCAATCCCAGCAACAGCGCCACCCGAGATAAGTCGGCGCATGGGACTGCTAGGAGAAGGTTGCAGAGACTAGGACAACCCTACCTACCAGTCAGCCGTTGCAGTGTAGGTAAGTTCCTGTAGACTTGCCGATCGATGATAGATAGCTAGCTGGCTATCTTTTACTCCCCCCCTCCCCCTCCCCCTTGTGACTTTGAAGGGGGAGAAGAATATGTAGGTAAGACGGTCGACTTTACTCGAGGCGAGGAAAAGCCTGCCGACCTTAATTTTTTTTGTCTCTTCACTATACTATACTGCACCGACTACACAAATACACTGTCTAGCTGTCCACGGTTTCAAGTGACGACAATTGCTCGAAATGGCAGGCCTCCTCCCCCCAGCGAACCTCGCCCTCGACGGCGGAGCCGATCCTCGAACGCTGCCGTCCGCCTCGCAGGCAACCGATGTGGTAGGAAGCATAGCAGCCTCTTACGGCCCACAGAGCCGAAAGGTCAGCTTCGAGGAGTACATGTACTACGCGTCGATCACGCGCGCCGAGGAGCGAGAAGCCAACGCGCGGTTCGTCGCTGCGCGGGGCCCGCGGAATTTCAAGAATGTGGTTAAGGGGAGGTTCTCGACGGGGCGGAAGGAGCGTGCCTCTGCTGCTGCTGCTGCTGTCCCTGCTCAAGTGGGTAGCTCGCTCTCGGCGGGAGAAAAAGATGAGAAGGTGCCGAGAGAGGATGCGCACCAGGTCGTCGCGAGCGGGACTAGCTCTAGCTCTAACCACAGTGGAATTACGCCAGAGGAAAGGCAGACGGCGGGGAGGGCGCTGAGAACGGCGAGCTGGGGGACGGTGTTTTATCTTATTACGACGGATATTCTGGGCCCGACGGGAGCTCCGTGAGTTTACTATGATGTTCCTTTATTTTTGGGGGGTTATCTGGTTACAAGAAGCTGAGTGTGTTCCAGCTGGGCATTCGCGCAGTTGGGCTACGGGCCTGGCATCGCGCTGTACACTGTCTTCGGGGCGATGTCGTATTAGTAAGTATAGGAAAGCCAAATATGCCTATCCCTATATATACTTATATATCTATTACCACCTTACCATAGCTAACTTTAGGGGGTATGATGTTTCTAGCTCAGGCTGGATCCTCTGGAAGCTCTTCTGCGGCCTCGACTCAGACCGCTATCCGGTCCGGGGCTACGGCGACTTCTTCTTCCGCCTGTTCGGCTCGGGCGCCCGCCACTTCATCAACGTCGCGCAGGCCATCCTGCTGCTATTAAACGTCGCCGTCATCATCCTCAGCAACGGGCAGAGCATCTCGCAGATCAGCCGCGGGCCGTCGGGTGAGAGCATGGGGATTTGTTTTGTGGCGTGCATGCTTATCTTCATGGCGCTCGGGTTTTTTCTCGGGCAGATTAGGACGCTGCAAAGGCTGGGGTGGCTCGCGAATCTCTCGGTTTGGGTCTCGATTGCGCTGGTTTTGCTATGGTGAGTATAGGAGGCATATATCTTCCTGGATAGCGACGACAACTGACGGGGAGAAAAACAGCATGGGATCTGTGGGATATGGTCCCAATTACGCTGCGATAGAAACAAGCTTCGGCATGTCAGCGGACAAGCCCATCCAAACATTTGCGGGAACACCTCCGCCCGGTATGGCTACAGGGGGCGTGGGCTTCATTGCTTCTTTGAACGGGTTGAACGTGGCGGTATACGCTTACGGGGGAGCGCTACTCTTTGCCGCTCTCATGGCTGAGATGAGGTAGATATGAAACCCCCCCTTTACAAAAATTGGGGGCTTGTGCCATGGTGCTAACGTTTGACCACCTACCTAGGCATCCCTTGGACTTCTGGAAGAGCCTTCTGGTCGCAGAGATGTTCATCTACGGGGTGTACCTCTTCTTCGGGATATTCATATACTCGTACCAGGGCCAGTACACCTACAACCCCGCCGTCCAAGGCATCGCGATCTACAGCATCCAGACGGCGGGAAACATCCTGAGCCTGATCAGCAGTATCATCGCCGCGGTGCTGTACAGCAACATCGGCCTCAAGATCGTGTACGTCGAAGTGTTCCACGAGCTTCTGGGCTTCCCGGACCTGACGAAGAGGGCGGGCAAGATCTGGTGGGCGGCGCTGGTCCCTGTATACTGGGCCATCGCGTTTCTCGTGGGCGCGGCCGTGCCGCAGCTCTCGTACATCGTCGGCTTGATCGGCGCGCTCTTCATCCTCTCCTTCACCTACACCTTCCCGGCCTGGCTGGCTATCAGCTACTGGATCAAGAAGGACGCGATGGTCGAGGGCGTGGAACGGTTTGACCCGGTAACGAATACGTACAACTACGTCGATCAGGGGTGGAAAAGGTGGAGTCGCGGGTTCATGAAGAAGCCAGTTTTTAATGCATTTAACATCATTTATTTCTTGGGCGCCCTGGTGACGTGTGCGCTGGGCTGCTATAGCAGCATTGAGAGTCTGCGGCAGGCTTTTGAGAACAATATTGCTACTAGTCTGTCATGCACGCCGCCTCTATGATTTAGATATAGTTAGGTATGAGTAAGGTCGGTCGAATTTGGACTTGTTGGCAGAATTATGTTACGTGTACCATCAGCGTGAGGACAATATGCTTTGGTGGGATATTTCAGAACCAAATCGTGTGAGATAAGTAACATGATAGAGATGGAGAGAAACTCTTGCTTTGGTAGAGAAATTCTGAGAGCCTTTTGTCGTATACGAAGACGCTATAATCTATTTGATAAGTGCCTCTCCCTACCTATATAGGGGGTGGTTTGGCCAAGCTAGTATTCTGGCAATGACATATTGGCAGGTGGCCTCCAGAAAACTTTTATTATGCAAATATTCGGGAATCTCGGAATTCGAATCTGGTGATCCTAGTGTAATGTACTGCTGCTAGATAGGTCCTCGTTCGGTCATATTCATCTGAATAAGTGTAGTAGGTGATATCCAATCATTTATCATGCGCAAAATATATAAGGAGGTAGGGATAGTAATTATTTAGTAGTACCCTCTGCCATGAGCTATTCACTTCTTGGTGCCGCGAGCCTGATTTCGTATTTCTTGGACGAAATGAGATATAAAATCGGATACCCGAGAATTGTTTGGATCTCCTGACCACACATGCAGTTGTCAGGTTCTTGTCACTTGCGATACAGGTTAAGCTGTAGAGGCCTCAACTTACGGGTAGCTTCTCCTTCGCGCAACGGCGCACTCGGATCTCGTCCATGTCTATAATCGTGGACAGTTCGATGGACCCAACGGACGCCCTTTTGAAATGTCGGGGAACGTACAAGCTGTATTGGGATATATATATTAGTTGTTATGGCTCAATCTAAGCATAAAGCCAGCAGCCAAGTCAAGTCGTAGGAGGTAGATGTACATACGCTACCAACGATATAGTTCTTATAATATGAACAACATTATGATTAGTATGATAATCGTAGTAGGATGGGAGTGGAGGGATGATTTTAGCTTACCTCTACGAGCATTATCCAAGAAACCCAACTCATTGCCACATACGTTGTGTATGGTTAACGATGATGATGGCGATGGTGGCGAGATTCATTCGGATACCAGGGTGATGTGATAGTTGCTCTATCCTTCTCTTTGTTGCTGTTGATTTGATTCCTCGTGATGAGGTAAATGCTGTATGTAAAGGTTCATACTATGTAGTGTAAGGCTGTGAATTGGAGGTATCCATGGATGTAATTACATATTATACAGCTTACTGGAGGTAGACACTTACTAATTACATCAATGATAGTATTAGTAGTAACCTTTAGGTATGTAAGGTTAATAGTTGAACCCGCACGTGGCAAACGGATCATCGCGAGATCGTACCCATGGTGGAAACCCCCACCTTCTGTTTTAGCCAAACCTTAAGTCCGCTAGATCCGATTCGGTACACTCTTCGAGGTTCCAAATTCTTGGGGCTTTGAATCTTCTCTTTTTCACTGGGGCCCCAGTTACATGCGAATGCCCCTTTTAAGCCCTTCAAAGTTTGGTGATTTCGAATAGGGGTTAGATAGACCCATACTGCTGGATGTCATCGTTGATTGACCCAAGGTTCTTCTAATTGGTAGCCAATAGAATTAAAAGCCAATTAACATATTATACCAATACTTGAATTAACAGAGACAACTGGGCAAAATGCTTTCCAAGATGTTATACTCAAGCGACGACAGTACATACCTACATGTAATACCTAAGCTAGGTACAATACATAAGTACTACCTATCATGCTTCACAGACACTGAAGGTAAAATGAGTTCAATGTGCATGATCTAGCTCCAGTCTGTCGGGTATTATTCAGGAACATTTTAAGGAAAATATATTAAACAGAATGAATCTACGTATCTCAGTCTAATTAATTGATTGGGTAGCAAACTTATCGGAGTTTAGGAGGTTACTATGATGTATGTATCTCAAGACTTGGCAACATTGAAGGATCCATCGATTATTAGTGCACAATCATTTCAAATATAGTGGAGTGGATAATGGGTACCTGGACTAACGCTTAAATGGGTGTCCTAGCAACCGCGAACAAGGGGTTCATACACTAAAGCGCTATGACACGTAATATTGGGTCCATTAGTTACTGGGACCAAGCGTGTTTCTTCTGAGCAGTAATTGATCAATTGATGAATGTGTCTAGCAAACAAGGCCTCGAGGAAATGGAAAAAAAAGAAAAAAAAAACGACGGCTTCTGTTAAGGTTGGTGCAATACTTGTCGCTTTTTTTTTTTCTTTTTTTCTTTTTTTTTTCTCTTTTTTAAATCTTGAAACACCGTTCAAAAATACTATCATTGATATAAATAACCGTGCTGTACATACTTTTACCATCGTACATACATTAGGTACTGTACATAAGTAGTAGATTTATGTCCATGACTGACACGTTTAAGCTGCACGTCTCGTACATTCTAACGCCACTAGCAGTAACAACAAAAATAATAATAACAAGTGCCCCTCTACATATAGGTAATCTGGGCCAACTAACTTCAATGTTTTGTACTTTGAGTTTTCTACCACTTATCGATACGACATCCCTAAATTTTTGGTGCAAAGGGAACTTGAAGTTGAACTTGAAACCTCCCAGGTTCTAAAACTTAACCACTGCCGCAATATTGTCAGGTACTGGGTTAGGTTAACTAATACCCGTACAATACAATACAAGCAGTACATTGTACAATGATTGTAGGCGCTACCGTGGACCGTGGTACCTAAACCTTACAATTTCTAACATTTCAATGATGAAACTGGATTAAATCGCATTTTACCTTACCAAGCTATTTTCGTTATCAATAGTAGTGCCATCCAAACATTGAACATCATCATCATCGTTAATCCTCGTCATTCCTCGTCTTCATCTTCGCCCTCGATAGGTACCTAGTACATATGACATTACTTCGTATCAACAGCCTGTCATTCTTCTATACCACTTTACTGACCTTATCCGCTCACGACAAATACAATATTACATATCCTCATTTCACCTACTCTTAGCCCCCTAGGCCTCCTAGGTACATGGTACTCCTATTGGATGTGCCCGCCTAACATCCAATCTCGATACATTACGAGTCGTCGCAATGTCTGAAGACGACAGTCGCATTGACCAAAGCCTTGTTGACCCGCCCACCGGGCCTCCTGAAGTCACTGTTCAGAGGTCTGAGAGTCCAGGCGCAGACACTCCTTCGACTTGGAAGGAAAATGTGCCTCCAGTCTTGCTTCGCACCCCGCCCCAGGACAGTAGTTTTGTTGACACTACCCGTATTGATCAAGACGAAAAACACCTCGATTCCGTCACCGAGGAGCAAGAAGTGAGGGCCCACTGGGAGGATATCGAGTCTAGCTTCCTACCGCCTTTATCACCAATTCAGGTCACTAGTCCTGAGGGCGGTGTCGACGATACCTTTTTATTCGACGGCAACACTCAAAAGAAACCTCCACAACCTGCGCACTTGTCACCATCCATATCCGCCGAGCCCTCTACTTCACAAGCCCGAACCGACTCACGTCCCGATCAACGTAGCGAAGAACCCTCCAATGATATCAATACTCACTCAGAAAACCCGAAGACACCAAATCCCATCTCTCCCCGCCATAGCCCTCAACCTGCACCCCAATCCGACAACCACGATGCCACCGATATAGGCAATACAACGTCTGAGCTAGAGACTTTATCTTCTCCTCCCACCGCCATAGCCCCTCGCATATTGTCGAGGGCGGCATCAAGGGCTAGCCATCGTGCCGACGAGAATCTAGCGACTGAGAACGGTGGTCCGGATACTCATACGTCAGTGCGCAACGACTCTAGCCATCACTTAGCACCCGAAGGCACCTCTATCGCTGGAACTTCGACCCTACAAAATCAAACATCTGATCAGAATCTGAGCACCCTTTCGGGTGATTCTGGGAATACGCCAGGAAGTTCTCTGCAAATCGATAAGCGGCCTAAGTATCTGCGCAGTCGAAACGCGAGCCAGCGCTCCTCAACTTCCTCCTTTATCACGAACGATGAGATGGACAGCGATGTCACCGTTGGCTTGGGTGCTGATTATGCTTTGCAATCCGGAGGTGCTCTGCCAGCTTTTGGCTTGACGCGAAGTTCCAGCAACACCCTATCTCGCTCCGTAAGTATCGGAAGCATGGCTTCTGGCTTCGACGAAACTCCGGACCCCATCCGGCCAGACCATCTAGAACCCTTAGAAGAGGTGGAGAGCCCCATGCGTGACCGCCGCCCAGATCCACTCGCGACACCCAAGGCGAAGAGGGGCTCGCTGCTGCCTCCCACCGACACAGTCATCGCTAGACATGTCCGCAATGTGGAAGTCCCCGAGTCTCTTGCTAAGGAGTATAAGACGAAGGGTGGGCTTATCACGCCGATGCAACAACCCTATAGGAAAGTGTCTAATAGCATCGCTACGCCCGCGACTACTAGCACCACCGCGCGAGGCGGTAAAAATCTGACGCTCAAGGAACAATCCAGCACTATTGAGCGATTGTCCAAGGAAAATTTCGACCTGAAGCTGAAAGTAATGTTTCTTTCTGACCGCCTAGACAAACTCTCCGAAGAAGGTGTTAAGGAAATGATCTCGGAGAATGTCGAGCTCAGAACTTCGTTAGCTGTCATTCAGCGGGACAACAAGATCCTCCGCCGGCGAGTGAAGGAGCTAGAAAAGCGCCTTCGCGACGAGGAGGATCGCCCAAGCACCGCAAGGAGCGGGTACTCATCAGATGGTGGAACTACTCCGGCCTTTGATGCTGATGCCCAGGATCGGGAAGAGGAATTGCTCTATCTGAGAGAGCGAGTCGAGGAGTATATCACCGAGATTGAGAGGCTTAGAAATGAGAACATGTCAAACCAGGCCGAAAAGCGGAAATTGGTAGAGACTGTTAAGACAATGGGAGATCGCGCTGGTGAGCGTGTTGGGGATAGCCTCGGTCGCCAGGAGGAGGCCGATGTGTATAAGGATCTCCTCGAGCAAGAAACGGCACGTCGAGAACAAGCAGATGATGACAATCGGAGGCTTCGAGACGAAATCTTCCGATTGAAGCAAGAGATAAACGGGACAGCCCCCCCGGGTGGGGGTGGGGGTGGTGGCATGCATCACACCACGAATATCTACAATATCACCCGGAAACCTAGGCCCACGTCGCCGTCAAGGTCAAGGCCCGTCTCTGGTCTATCTGGGGAGATGGATCCAGCTAGCGTGACCAGCCAATCGGCCACTCTAGTCGAGGAACTTCGCCGTGAAAGTGAGCAACTGCGTCATGAGAATGCCGAGTTGCGAAGAGAAGTTGGGGCACAGACTTCCATGCTCACTTCAAGGAACCGTGAGAAGGAGAGGCTGTACCAAGAGATAGAAGACCTGAAACTGGCACAGCGTCGCGGGGCCCCTGCACCTTCGACCGTGGATAGCTTCCTCGATCGATCGGCGTCACGTGCAGGCGGACATGAACGGTCGACCTCCCGAGGTAGTGGTCGCACAAGGCTCACTATGGCAGTCGAAGAAGATCCGGACCGCGAAGAGTTGGAAAACAAGCTTGCCGAACATCGTGACAAGATCAATGAGCTCAAATTTGAGAAACAAGAACTTCGACGCGATTTACAGGCATCCTTGCAGGAGGTAGACGCAGCTAATGAGACTAAGAGGCAACTTGAGGAACACAACGTTGCCCTCGAAGAGGAGCTGCAAAAAACGATGAATGATCTCATACAAATCCAAGGAGAACGGGACGAGGTGCTTCAAGAGCACGCTGAGCTGGAAAATGAGTTCGACACACTACGTAGGGAAGCTCAAGAGGAAATCGATACATTGGAGGCCGAGGGTGATCAGAAGAATGAAGAGATTCAGCGCTTACAAATCGAACTACAAGACCGTTCAGAGAACTTCGATGCTCTTCAGGAAGAGATGCGCCACATGAGTGAAGCTATAGTTAGGCTCGAAGATGACCAGGAGAAGAAGATGAGAAGAATAGAACAGCTCGAACAAGACCTCACCGAGTCTAATAAGGAATCTGAGGATCTTGAAGCTAAACTCCTCGAAGCAAACGATAAGGCACAACGCCTCGGCGTTCAACAAGAATCTAGCCAGGGCGAGATCGCTTTCTTGCGCGAGGAACAGGAAGCTGATAAGATTCGAATTGGTGACCTTGAGGCTGCCCTAGCCAACGCCGAGCAGAGCATTAGAGAAGAACGCGATAGGACGAGAGAGTTAGAGCAGCGTCTCGCTAACGAGCGAAAGCAGCGCGAGATCGTGGCTACGCGCGAGAAAGAAGAGGTGCAGCAATTCGTCAACGAGCTGAACCATGAAGTGTCTACTGCTAAGGACGAGGCTAGAAGACTTCGCAAGAGCCTTACGAGTAGAGAAGTCGAAGCTACAGAATGGAAAGAACGGCTGATGGAGTTAGAGAATAACTTGCGAGAGGCATTGGGAGACCTGAATGGAACCAGGTCCAGTCTACTAAAGGTGCGTTCCCCCCATTCAAGTGGATTCCGGGCCACCCAACTAATTATCCCACAGTCTATAGCCAAACTTCAGAGAGAGCTTGAGAATACTGTTCGGGAGCTCGACACCACGAAGAATTCTTTGCTTGAGAAGGATCGTATCATCAAGCAGCGCGATTCACTTTTGGAGTCTCATGGCCTCGAATCCCGGAGGCTTGCCGAATTACTTGACAAAGAACGCCAGGGCCATCGTAACACAAAGAATCAGTTCGAAACATTCCAGCGTACGCACCAGCATGTATCACGGACTGTCACAAGCCAAGATTCACGTATACTGGAGCTTGAGACAAGCCGGGCCACGGATAAGAAGAGAATAGCACAGCTCGAAGCTTCGTTTAAGGAACAACTTCACGAACGCAATAATCTGTTGCTTGTTTTGTGGACACGTCTTTCAACCCTCTGTGGCACTGACTGGGCCCATGACAATAGTCTCATTAACGGTCGTGCCTTGCCCTCGTTAGAGTCCGTGTCTACGATGTTGCCGGGCTTCTCCAAAAACTTGATGGCCGCTGTTAAGACCATCGAGTCCATCGTCAGCAACTTCCAGTCCCGCGTCAAAACAGTTGAGCGGAACCTGTGGAAAGAATATCAATCTCTTGAAAGCAATTTCGAGGCCAAGTCCAAGAAGCTTGATCGCCTCGAGACGATTGTCCGTACCGGTATTGCGTCCGGGAACTTCGATGCTCACGCTAAATTGGCCCAGCTGGAGACTGCTTATCGAGCTCTTAAGATAGAGAATGCTACCCTTCAGCGAGCTAATGATGCTCGTACCCGTGGAGCCGGATGGTCAGGGTCTAAGAAGACTGCTAGTAGTAAAGGCTCACATGAAGACCTCATTGACGGAGGTAGTCCTTCACCATCTGTTCCAACTGGCCCTCACCGTAGGGACTCAAAAATTCCACGTACCAAGACTCATCTGGAGCCAACGACCTCCTCCGGGTCCAGAAGCAGGTCCGGCAGCATGACTCGGAGCGCCTCTACTATGGGTGCTAACGATTTGGAGCGGCTGAGCACTTCCAATGGCGACAATGCCTCCGGTAAGAATGGCGACGACAATCGGTGGATGTTCAGGTTACGAGAGCTTGAGTACAAGCTGAAGCAGGAGAGAGAAGCCAGATACATGGATCGAGTAGCAGCTCGGCAAAGGATACAAGACAGTGAGAGACAAAACAGTGAACTCACAGCCGAGTTGGTACGCACCAAAAGGAGAGGCAATGGTGAATAGAACACTACGCCTACAACTGGCAACGCGTCGCCACAGGCAACAAATGCGTGCTGCTACTAGGTAATGACTCGATCCAAGGGGAAGTATTTGGAAGGACTGGCGGGTGGGGAGGGAAGTTGACACAATACGAACCTTCAGTACATTACATCTGCACTTACGCGCGGCGCTCGGCGTTCCCATGGAACACATTCAGCAGGAGTAGGCATCTAGGGCGTTTTCTTTTCCTTTCCCCCCATCATGAAGGCTCTACAAAACATTTTCTTTGTTAGGACTTGGTATGAATGGGGGCGGAATATGGCAAAGTGCATAGTTGCGTGTTCCTCATGGTATGCTACAACAATTAACGATTTACTGCTCGATTAGTTTTATTGCCAAAGTGATGACTGTAGCTTGCTTTTCTCTCCAGTAATCTGTAGTAGGTATAAATATCACGAGCCGAGCTGAATAAACCTATTCCCAGGTAGGCACCTAGGTATCCAGGGATATGATGGATGCCTGCTGGCCCCCAATACTACTGGGTATGTCTGGAGACCTCAATTACAGCAAGGTGTGAGTACTTGCCATTAGTTAGCTGAAGTAAGAGCAAAGCGTGGCCCATAAAAATTGCCGGGGATTCCCGTGGAGAATAGGACCTACCATGAGGCCATTCTGGCAGGGCGAATATCTCTAGGGGCTTGTTGGGACAAAAGTTGCACTCAGAATCATTTCACCGTCTCTCTTTCATCTAGCATATAACTGATTCGAGAGGAATGTATCTAGTTCTAGGTAGGTACCTACCTACCTCAACTACTAGTTAATGGAGGTAGCCCTGGATCTATCTCCGTTTTTATCCTCCAGGGCCCCTAGCCTACCAAGAACTGTGGAATTTTATTAGTATACCTAGGGTGTTATTAAATAATTAAATAATAAGATAAACTTTCATATGAATTCTGGCACACCAGTTGGCCTTACACACCTGCTTCATGTTAATTCATCGGTAGGTAGGTGCCTGTTCACCAACATTGATTTTCGGCCCCGAAGTTTTTCGGTGTGAACCTGGGATAGAGGACCAGTGACAAGGGTGGTGTAGAAGTCAGCCACCACACCTCACGAAAAAGGGCTAGCAGGACTTGATGAAAGTGCAAAAAAAGTAGGTGAAATGGAGAAGGTCGAGACGAGAGTGACCCGGTTACCTAAATACCTACATATATGCGTAACATGCCCACTTAGTATGTGGTTGTGTAAAAACGCCTAGAACGTCAATCATGTGGTCAGCGGCCTAAGAATGGGTGTGGCTGTTTGTCCATTTCCATCATGCGCCAACGAGGCTTTGTCGGATACCTGACCTTGGAAAAGTCCCACACCTAAGGAGAGGGTGAGCTGAGAGGAATAATCTCGATTGTGATTGTACTTTGTAGGTACCTAGTTATAATTACACTACTATGTATATTATAAAGGAGGCAGATGACTTCCGAGGGGGAATCATGATTTCCAATTCCAATTCCCGTTGGCTTTACAGCATTGGCAAAGTCTTCCAACCTGACTAGTACTTACTCACCTAGGCTACCTAGGAGATGAACGACAAAATGCGTCAGTCCGATGTAAAGTCTGTCATTGCCGTGACTATGGGCATGGCAGTGGTACAGATTAAAACAGGACTGAAGAATGGAAAGGACCAGTTCCGACGGTTAGAACTCCAACCATTCCAACCGATCCGTTGCATTCGCTTCGAGTTTGAGTTTGAGTATCAGCTAACATGTTGGCGAAGCCTGAAGGGACAGAAGCGACCACGACCCAAACGTGGCTTTGGCCGCTCAAGGGGTTCCGAGCAACGACCTCGCACCAACAACAAGATAACGGGGTGTTTCGATGATTCTACCCGTGAGTCGGAAACATGCACAGCAACAGCAACGACTACCGCATCACCGTCACCGTTAACGCCATCTCCCGATCCAACCACCGTGGCTTTAAATACAGGAGGAGACTCAACTACCCCTCCCCTAGCCCTGCCAGAACCCGTCACCACCACGAGTACCATCTCAACAGTAGCCGAACCGCCTAAATTTACCATCCACAAGCGCGGCAAAACCTTTCCACTATCGCACAAAGAGGCGCAATCCCAGACCCGGTCTACCCTCATGGCGGCGTCCGACTCGAGAAACTTCGTCAAGATCTGGGAGCTGGAGCTGCTGCCGGACCTGGAGAAGATCCTGGACGACAACATCAAAAGAGGGTACAGCATCAACGTGCGGCGCGGCGAGCAGGCGGGCCACCGCATCATCGAGGTCCTGGCCTCGGAAGAAGTGCCCGAGAGTGTGCGGAGCTTGCTCGAGCAGAGCAAGGACCGCTACCTGAATGCTGATGGGGGGGACATGGGGGCGAGGACGACGGTGCGGACGCGCGTGGGGAGGGTGGAGTACTTGGCGGACACCAACCACCGCAACGAGGAGGAAGAAGAGGTAGAACCAACAAGCCCGCGCTCAACGCAGAGCAGCGAAAACTGGGAACCACCGATCAACACGCGGCGGTACACGAACCCCGTGATGGGCGACTCGGTCGGCCCGCCCTGGCGCGACTCCAGCGCGACCCTGGGCCCCCTTCTCCAAATGGCCTCCAAGTTCTACCGCCTGCTGAACTGGCACACCTTCGACGACGGGCGCGGGTCTCGCTGCCGCAGCTGCGAGGCCCCGAGCCCGCCATCCCTCGACGCGTTCCACCCTTCGCTGGACGACTCGAACGGACAGAGCGTGTCGCTCGGCAGGACGGTCGCGTACTCGGGGCGCATGCACAAGACGACGCGGGTCTCCCGCTCCCTCGCCGACGCCTTCCGCGCCGCGGGGTGTCATGCCAAGGAGCCGATACGCACGGTCACGGACTGGGTTTTGGTCGAGACGAGCAATGCCGGGCAGCCGAACAAAGTGCGCAAGACGGACCTGCCGTCCCAGGAGCGGTGCAACTCCTTCTCCAGAGAGATCACGCGGACGGCGGACCCGCGGCTCGGCGGTAGCGGCATTAGCAGTAGCAACACCCCGCAGTTCGTCTACTCAACCGGCCGCTCCAGCGGGCACTCCTTCGGCCAGCTGTGCGAGACCGCGTCGCGGCACAAGCTGCCGGACGGGACCAAGACGCGGAACTGGTGCGTCGAGAGCGCGCTGCCATGCCAAGCAACAGGGGAAGCTTGGGGCGACGAGCTCGGCGCGCTGGCGTGGAGCCGCGGCGGCATGGGGGTCCCCGGGGACTCGGGGGCGCCGGTGGTAGACCAGATGACGAATCGGCTGCTGGGGCAGATCTGGGGGCGCGACAAGTACGCCAAAACCACCGCGGCAGGGGCGCCGCCGATTGCGTACTTCACCGCCATGTCCGACATCTTCGACGACGTCCGCGAGCGCATGCCCGGGGCCGGGGTCCCGAGGCTTCCGGCGGGTGATGCTTCGTCGTCGTCGTCGACATCATCATCGCTACCCCTCATCTCCAGCCCCGCGGTGCCGAACCCGCTGCCGGCCGTGATCGCGGACAGAAGACTCACGCTGGCGAGCATTGACGAGGATACCGGCGAAGAAGAGTCGCAGACGCCGCAACAAGTTCCCAGACGGTCTGCGGCGAGGATGTCGAAGCGGTTGCTTGGGCGGGGAAATTTGCCTGGGTTGGAGCCGGTCCGTCGGTTCGTGTTGGTTGCGCATGCTGCGACCTTTTAAGAAGGGGGGGTCTTTTTAAAAGAGAAAGAAGAATAAGAAAAAAAAGAAGCAGAAAAAGAAAGGAAAGGAAAGAAGGGGGGCGGGGTTGGTAGACGCTCGTGATGAATTTGTATGTACCCCTTTAGTGGATTCTAGGTTCATTTCTGCTGGCGCTTGCGGATGTTATTCTCTTTTTTCTTTTTGGTGATACATGGAAAGGGGAAGCTATTAGTTAGATTGGTATCCCCAAGGGTCAGATTGATATACCATTTCCTTCTCTTTCCTTTTCCCCTACCTAAGAAGGCAGTGGTGTTACAGTACTTTCTCTAGCTACCCATCAGATCTACTATTTATATCTAGGTAGACATAATATCAAGTTAACTTGAATATCGCAACATTTTCTTAACTGTTGTATACACCAATATAGGATTATAACTAGGTAGGTATTTCGCCTACGTACCTACCTAGGTTAGTGAATTTTCAACAGCGTGAAATCAGTACACGCAACCTGATAGGTGAATCCCCATATGCGGCCAATTCAAGCGGCCAAGTTAGCCGCCATGAGTAGGCAAGAGTCAGAATAAGGCAACCGACCTACCCCAACTAAGCCGTGGCTTGCAGCAGACATTGCGGCCGCGAACTATCTAGGACTTTATAGCACCTAGATACGTACTGCACCGCCCCCAATGCGACTCTGGCGCCTGGAAAGACGGAGGCCTCTAGCAACGAGTCAGATGGTCCCTTCGGCCTTCGAGGAAGAGTTGGAAAATGCCAAAGTTTGACCTTTTACATGCAAAACACGATTTTCCCCGACTCCCAGTTAGGAACGGCAAAATTACTTACTTACGGCGAAGGGAATCCTTTTACGTCAGACAGCTACCTAGGTAGCTGTGCTATAGGTAGGTAGTTTGGTCAGACTATAGCCTGCCTGCTTACCTACCTCAATTTCCACTTAAGATTTCCAAATACACAGCAGTTTTCCAAAAGTCATTGTATGTTAGGTACGGCGGCGGCACCGCACGACTACGCCCATCATGGGTGCCCAGCCGGAACCAACAACTGCTTCGTCATCTGCCTCCTCCACCGAAAATACATGGTCTACTGGAATGGTCGTACGTAAAGATCCATATGCCAACAACAAATTACTCCCTTACCCTAGTAGCATGGAGGCATGTGTAATCGGGCGCCTGAGCAGCAACAACTTTCAGTTCGAGGACCTGCCGTTGGTGTATCCCCTTGGCCGAAGGGACTCAGTGTGGACAGAGTGTAGTAACGGAACGCTGCCATTGGGGCCAGGAGGCGTGTTGGGAAGTGGCGACGGCGGCGACAAACTTGCCGAATTTGAAGGCACCGGTTTATTTCACGGAGCACTGCCACTTTCGGCACCCGATAACCCCAGCTCACTCACGTACTCGCCTGCCTCGTCGTACCAAGGCTCCGTCTGGTCTCCCGTCCAAACGGATTTCACGCCCGAAATTAGCTGCGCAAGGTTATCACGCTCGCGCGTCCCAAGTCCTTTGCGGAACGGGACTGGGGTGTGGGCCAACGCGGATTATGACTTCACATGTGCGGGAAACCAACGTGTGTCCGAACTTCCCTGCGATATTCAACTCGAGCTCCAGTCCGGTATTGGGCGCACCCACGTTTGCCTCTGGGGTAACAACGGGCCGTGCAGCAGCGCAGGGTTCGCAACAAGGGAAGAACTTAATTGGCACGTCAAGTCCGAACACTTACTACTCTGCCCCATCCTTAGCTGTACCGAAAGCGCGTTTACGAGCAAGGCTCTTGTGGACTGCCATCTAAAATACGCCCATGGTTATGTGAAGGTGGACAAGAGCAACACACTGAAGCCAAGTAACCTGCTCAAACCCGTGGTAGAGTCGCTTGGAACATCAGATATGGGTGGTCAAAAGGGGGCGCTGACTAAAAAACCCGAGCCGGCCGAGGATAAGATTCTCAAGTTGGAAATGTCTATTGGCATTTCGAAAAAGCGATGTCGAGATCAACTAAGAACCGTTCTCGAAAAGAGAATTAAGAAGGCTAATGGTAAGGCCTCCGTGGCGCAGATATTGCTACATACCTCGTGTTATCAACTAATGGCAAAAATAGGGCAAATACTAGGCGGAACCCCAAAATCTGGCGAGAGCCCCGGAACTATCCAATACCGCACTCCTCGACTTCTAGAATCTGCAAGTTTTCCAATTGTTTGGGAGCATGGAGTCCTTCCATTCCTCGTCGAATTCATCCCAAAGTGGTGTGGCGCTGGTCATGTTATCAGTGTCATGCGTGGGAGATTGCCCAATTCTCGACGAATATCTATCATGACAAAAAGACCCGTCTCGAGGGCTCGAAGACTAGTTATCGCCGGACACGTGCGAGATTTGCTTCCAGAAACATACCGTAAACTAATTACATTTGTCTTCTCTACCGGAAAGGTAGATAGGCTTGTATGGGCACGGGGCCTCAGCAAGAATATGCCGGATGAGGTCTGTCTCCCACGTAACCCGTTTTGTTATACGAGTCCCTGTATGGGAGATAGTATTGGGACTACATTAGAAGATGGGGACGAAATTACAGCAACACTGGGGCCGTGCATAACCGTGGGTGGTGGAAGCTACTGGCTAGTCAACTTCCACCCGTTCGTTGAAGCGAGTAGGGAGACGCCCCCGGTATCCGTCGAGCACCCGTCTCCAGTAGACCGAGCAAAGTGCTTAGAAGAAAGGCATGATATGTTGAGCAGCGGCGATCTCGACTTCCAACTTGGTAACCTAACTGCCACGTCGGGCTTTGATTTGAAAACGACCCGAATATCTCACGATCCATATTGGGAAGAATGTGACAAAGAGCCCCCGCTAGTCGTTATGGACTGGGGATTGGTCTCTGCAAAAACCCGACAAGCTAACATGCTTAGAAAATTTCCCACCACCAACCATAGACGGGACACTCCCGTAATATCAATGAGTTCAATCGTGCCCGGCGCCATAGTATGCTCCACAGGACGTACCTCAGGCTTCCAACGGGGACAGGTCTGCGAAGTACCAGCATACCTTGACGGCTCAGAAAGTGGCACTGGGAAGGCATCTCGCGAATGGTATATAGAAGAACCAGAGCCTTATGACAATGAGGAGGGTTGGATTAGTGGCGGTATCGGCGTGGAGGGTGACAGCGGTGGCGCGATCATTGAGCTTGAGAGCAACGCCCTCATCGGCCAATTATGGGGCCGGAACAAGTATTACGGCCCCGGTCCGAGACATACCTTCTTCACCCCCATCTTCGACATTTTCGATGACATTCAAGAGAAGTGTAGCCAAGACCGACGGCCTCAGTTGCCACAACATCGTGATGAGGCAGATCGCTTCCCCGTTTACCCAATTTGTCGTCAGTGTTTTGACCTTCGCGAGTATCTCGAGAGCCGACGCAGTTCACGGGAATCGTTGGTATCGATGATTGGTATGCACGATGGAAGAGCGGGGGATACCGATAACGACCTGACGTCCGTTTCGGAGCTCGCAACGCCAAAAGAACAATCTGCCTTGGTTCGCCACGTAGGATCTGGTGAGAACTCATCCTTTGGTGTTGTATCTCCTGCGCCAGTTCATACATTCTATACCGTATCGCAAGCCATGTCCCCAGGCAATACAGAATTGCGAAGTCCGTATGCGCAGGCCCTGAATGACGAGGATCTTTATGATTATGAAAGGTGCCCGGATACCAGCGAGGTTTCATTAGGAAAGCGACCGGCATTGCCTACGCCAATGGAGCGAAGTGGTAGCCAACACGCAATCAAGAGGCGAAGGGTATTGTAGTCGTATATTTTAGACGATATTTTTCCGGACCTTGGGCCCTTTGATTTTCTTTCAAGCCGAAGTCTCACGCACCCGACCTCTACTTATCCGGGAAATCCCCCGCGTGCCATCTTTCTCGCGCGCTGATCTCGGCGGTTATGATTCGCCCTCGATCCCTTGTTCGCTTCCTTGCGTTTACGAGCATTTTCCGTATCTTTATCCCCTGACGAACCTGCGACATTTCCTCCTCTACCTCCGCGGCCACCACCTCCTCTGCCTCCTCCGCGGCCACCGCCACGGCCCCGATATCCTCCTCGACTGTTTTTATTTACACCGTCAATATCTGAGTCTTCTGTCCCTGACCCTGCCGGACTAGCACGCCAGGCGGTCGAGGCCAAGACAGCTTGGTCGCCACTAAAAGTGCTATATTTCATCTCCAACTGTCTCATTTGATGGGGGATTCTCGACAACATCAAGGCCCAACCCTCAATAGCCTCATCAGTCATTCCAGTTTGCTGTTTTAATTTTGTTCTGGTATCAGCTCGTCTTGTAGCTGCATCTCGGCCAAACAATTTTGGATCTGATTTGTACGCCCTGAAAAGGGCCTCTTCACTTGCATCCTTTCGTTTTAAGTCGTCGGCATCTTCCGGGTTTCCGTCGTTGACGGTTAGCCCAGCGTCTGCGGCGTCATACGTGTCATCACGTTCATCATCGTCAGCATCGAATAGAGAAAGTGCCGAGAGAATGGCGGCCTTGTTTGGAGCGGAGGATCGATCATTCAAGATATCGTCTGCTGATTTATCTGGGTTTCGCTTTCCGAAATGGATATTGGAGACATCCATTGTTAGTTGGTCAAATTCGTCGTCATCGTATACGTTGTGGCGCACAGGAACCTGTGGTGGTGTGGGCCGGGGTGCAATATTATGACTTTTCCTCCTACTTCTCTCCGGAGATCTGCGAATAGGTTAGCAAGCGTAGCCAGGTTGATAATACAGTGGGTACACAAACAGCTCTTTGCTACGATCCACAGTGGCCAAGTGAGATGGCAAGGAATCTTCAAGTAAATGTGCAACAACTTGCTCCGTATCATCCCCATATTCATCTAGGAGCTTTGAGACAAAGCCAGAACCTAAGTCCGGGAATAAGTCTTGAATCTGGGTGATTTGGCTCATGCGATGTATTCTCATTTCCCCTGGGATATCATCGTCCTCCACAGTCATGACCCCCTTTCCTTTATCGATTTTCCGTTTTACCAGCTTCTTCGGCTTGATATTGCCACCAGGTTTCCTAAACCCTTCTAATGCAGTGACCACCAATTTCCATCGCGTGGCATTCAAGCCAGATCCCTCCAAGCGGTGCTGCACCTGTTTGAGGATGGGAGTGACTGTGACCAGCTCGGCCACCATGGAGTCGTTAACATTCAACGGTCCATCCTTGTGGCTATCTGCTGCAACTTTCAGAGAGTAAAGCTGGTCAGTTAGCATAGAAAAGTTGGGCGAATCCCCTTCTGTTAAACCGACAATACACAGGTAAGTAGTTGCCACGATGACCTTCCTCAGAGGAGGGTTCATGATCTTATAGCAGTTAATGAGGCCATCGAGAAAATCACTTCCAGCCAAGAAGAAGGCGGCGGTGTCAGGTGATGCATGGATGAGATGGTTAAGTCTCTTCAGACGAGGCTCTAAGTTTTTTAGATCACCTTTGAGACCAGCATCAAGTTCAACGATAAGTGATTTCTTTAGAGCGCTCAGGGAGGTTATCACTTGTCGGTTTTGGCAAACTTGGTTGATCAAAACGGATACCCTCTTTTTCGAATACACACGGCAGAAATCGGCAAGTAACTCCCACTGAAGCACCGAAGGGGGTGGAGAGGGCGTTCGTAATAGCTTAGCAACAAGAAGGAAACATTGTCGTAACAGGAGCTTTGCTGACTCAGACGGGCCAAGTACTTGAATTCCGTTTGATGCGACTTCTTTCATGAAAGAGGAGAGAAACAACTGTAGCGATTCATCAATGCTCCTTCCCTGGGCGGAATATAGATGTGCTTCTGCCAATGTGATCCAAGTGGATAAACAGGCTTCCCATTCTTCGGGCACAAGGCGATCTCTCCATGGCGCCTCGGGAAACGGGGCAAACGGGGGTAGGGTAGTCATGGTATAAATCGTGGGGCTGCTTAGGTAGATATTACTTAATGAAGTAGGTGAAGTGAAGAATGTAAGTAGGCCAAAGTTAACACTATCGAGGCATCCATGGACATTTGTACATGGGAATGTCGACCTCTTAAATAAGGTAGGTACCTGTAGTAGGCTAAACCCGCTGGGTAGGTATGTAGGATGAGAATAAGAAATAAGTTCAAGTTGAATGAAGATTGATCCACTTTCTGCTTTCCACTTTCCACTTTCCACTTTCCACTTTATCAATCTTGGCCGAATGACTCTTGCGTTCGTCACTGCCGTTTGATACCTTAACTCATCCATACATTAATCAAGTGCCCTCTAGGTGTACACCAGTGACAGCATATGCAAGGAACTTTGAAGCAAGTAAGGAAGCTTGGGCCAATGCATACCCTAGCTAAAATCCATACTTACGATACGTAGGGCTTATCGCTATCTCAGTCTCCACTGTAACTTAGCCCTTATCCGAGCCCACACTAACAATCTGAGAATTGCAACAGAGCTCCATTATTTTTTTTCTCTAAAAGTAATAATCGCGAACTTTTTTTCCCCTCCACCCACAAACCACCACTACCACCACCAAACACCACCTTCATCACTTTGCCGAAACGTGCCAACCGTTCGAGTCGTGAAGGAATAATCACAACCCCAAACCCCAACCAAAAAAAAAAATCCATCCAAGATGTCGTACAACAAGCCCGACAAGGAGTACGCCGGCGAGCAGGCCAAGACGCACAAGATCCGCATCACGCTCACCTCCAAGAAGGTCGCCTCCCTCGAGAAGGTCTGCAGCGAGCTCATCGAGCGCGCCAAGAGCAAGGACCTCCGCGTCAAGGGCCCCGTCCGCCTCCCGACCAAGACCCTCAAGGTCACCACCCGCAAGACCCCTTGCGGTGAGGGTTCCAAGACCTGGGACTGCTACGAGCTGCGCATCCACAAGCGCCTCATCGAGTACGTTGCTTTCTCCCTCTTTGCTACTCTCTTTTTTTTTAAAAAAAAAAAAAAATCTCACCCAAGTAACTAACGAATATCTGTTCACAGTCTTAACGCGCCTACCGAGACCGTCAAGCAAATCATCGTTAACATCGAGGCCGGTGTCGAGGTCGAAGTCACCATCGCTGCCTAAGTTTGGGATATGAGCATGGCTATGGTTACGACTATGGCTGTACATGTGGGAGGTTTGGGAGGCGGTGGGCATGGAAAAGACCGAAGAGGTTTACAGATACCCGTTTCCGCCACTCAAGCCGCTCCTATCTGGATGGCTGCCTCCAGTATTGGAGATGCAGAAGCTGTTTACACCAGCTGAATACAAAGAAATTATAAGTCGATTTGCAAAGTAACCTTGAAAGCAACCCATCATATTCTTGACATTCTGCTATCCCATAATCACCAGACAAATAACGCCGCCTGTGATCTTATGCATAATCCATTAACGCCAGGGTATCTAACCAGAGTCTGTAAACGTGATCCTGTTTGACTCTACCATGCCAATTCGTCATATGTTATTTAATAGTGCTTCAAGGTGTGCACTTCTAACGTAGAAATATGCGCCAGTGAAAGCACATCTGCCCAAATCTACCAAATCCATCAAAAGTTCCATACACAATCCTCTCTCATTGGTGGCACCTCAGGCATATCTCCCTCGAATCTGCCGGTACCAGTCATGGTAGCGTATGCCGCCTTGATCTTCGCAGTGTACATAGCAGGGTCGGGTTCCGTGTCCTTGTTATAACCAGGGGGGCCATTTGGAAAGAGAATCTTCCGCCAGGTCCCATCCGCATTGGGTACTCCAGGTACAGGGGGTTCCTTTATCTCACCATCTGGCATGGCGTCTTGGTATTTGTCCTCTACTTTCCATTTGTACATCACCGGCTGTCCGTTGAATGACGTGATTCGCCCATTAGCTGTTTTGGCTATGTAGCTCTCGGGGGCTGGATGCTGTTTTGTACTATTAGGCCCGTAGGGATTAGCCCTGTTCAAAGAGGCAGCTGTGGCCTGGTGTTGCATCTGTTGGTGCTGCATCTGTTGGGCTTGGGGCTGCGGCTGTGATTGTAGCTGCGTCGGTGTCTGTTTTTGTACTTGTGCAAATGGGTTACTTGTTGCTGCCCCGAAGCCCGACGGTTGTGGTGCACCAAACGGATTCCTAGCTGGCGCGGAAAATGCCGAGGTAGAGGTAGATGGCTGGCCGAAAGGATTGTTGGTTGCCGGAATGGGGGCTGGAATAGGGGTTGGAACAGAAGCTGGTGCCGTGGTGTCCATAGGCTGAACAGAAGACATGCTTGGGACTTGCGAAAAAGGGTTGGTAACTGCTGGTTGGCCGAACGGGTTAGGATTTGACGCCGCCGGTTGTGAAAAGGGGTTCGGCGCGGGAGGGGTGGAAGATGCGGCTGGGGCACCAAAAGGATTTGGTCGCTGTCCCAAGGTCGACGGTTGTCCAAATGCGCTTTGAGTCACCTGGCCAAATCCACCTTGTCCTGAGGAGGCTGCATTGCTAAAAGGGTTCGGCTTTTGGCCTAAACTTGATGCCTGTCCAAAAGCGGGAGTATTCGCACCCATCTGAGTAGACTGGCCAAACACTGGCTTCGATGCGCCCATCGCGGATGGCTGGCCGAAGGCGCTAGAAGGCTGGGAGCCGAAGGGATTTGGTTTTTGCCCCAGGGCTGATGGCTGACCGAATGCTGATGTGGCGCCTCCGAATGGATTTGCCTGCGGAGTAGGTGCTGACGAGAATGGGTTCGAGACAAGGGGGTTTGCGAAGCTTGCCTGAGAGCCAGCAACAGCGTCTCGTCCAAACACTCCACTGGTAGCACCGTTTGGGGTACCTTGCTTGCAGATATCTATACGGTTCGGGTGGTTGTTTTCACCCTGTAGGACGAATTGGACGGCGCCATCGAGATTACTTAGGGTCGTTTGAACTTGTTGTTCAGCCTGCTGGAAAAGTGTCGTGATCTCAGACATCTAATAGCATAATCAGCAATGTGAAATCCCAGAAGAGCAAAGATAATAAAACATACCGCCTGCTCCGGATTGTTTGAACCTTTGATGTATAGCATGACCTCTTCGAGACTTTGCTCCCTCGGATATCCTCCAAACAGCTGCTGCGGAGCGTCCCTACCAGGGCCGTAGCATGACAGGATCCATGGTGGGCGTTCGGTAGTTAAATCGGACTTGATTGCCTCTTTTGTGACCTTGTAAGGGTTCTCTTGCGGAGCCCTGTTGTTTCCTCCTGAATTGTTCAGCGCGTTGAATCGGTTTGTGTTCGAATTTGAAGATCCGTAGCCTGGGGTGTGTTCGAATCGGCAAGATGCTAGATTTTCACGTCAGCTCATTCATTATTGATTGTATGTATTATGAACGATTGAAACAACATACCTCCATTTCGGCAATTTCCCTGCTGCCAGAACTTGCAGAGGGGCGCCATTGCGTATATAAATATTAATGCGTTTGTTGTTTGAATGTGAAATACCGCGAGAGTCTGAGGTATGTAGGTAAAATGTAAAATGTAGAAGAGGTGCGTCGAAGGTCGAGGTGACGGGCTTTCAGCCTTTTCAGCCTTGCAGTTGAAAACGCGATTAGATAAGGAAGACCTAATAGAAGCCCATATTTTGATTTTTGATCGATTGGTCAATCAAAAGACCAATTGAAGGTGATGATAACCTATAGGTTTAGAATAGTGAGCGTCGTATTATATGTCGTATGCCGTATGGATGTGTGTTGTATGTGTAAGTGTCGCAGACACTCGCGAAGCTTTCCGATTCAAGAACAATCTTAGAATAAACAAAAAGATTGGGTCTGGAGGACTCGGGTACCTTCAATGTTAGATCGGACCCGATTGGTACATATGTAGATTACCTTAAGCTAGGTACCTAGGGTACCTTAAGCTAGGGTAGCTTGAAAATTATGTAATCTGTGATCTAGTTACAAGCCGAACTGTGATTTGTGATGACGTAAACCTAATGTACAAGGATGCCGAAGTTAAAAGACGACGGCATTTGGAAATTGTATTGCCAACATTGAAATGAGAGAAAGTATAACGTGAGGTTAAAATGTAGTTAATTATCTTGTACAACTTATCCTAGGTACTAGGTAGTCAGATAACATCTTTTAATGACAATGGGACTGATAATTTATTTACCATTCATGTAGATCAAAGCCCACGCACGTGATTCTTTATTCACCATTCATATGTCAAAGTCCACTCACGTGATTCGGCCCCTACTCAAAGCGACTGGAGTTGCATATATTAATTGACACTTCATGCTTCTTTCACATTAATCTCCAATCCCAACCTTGGTGGTGCATCTGAAAGAGAAACTATACCTTTATCACATAATTAGTAACTACCTACCTAACCTAGGTATGTACCTAGGTAGGCAAATTCTGAATTTCTCTAAAGAAGTTTTCTACTCTCCTCGCGAGAAGATCCTACTTGATATGCCAGCCCTCGCACGAATATACTTGATCCCACATTAGCTTGGAAAAGCGTACTACATAGGTATCCTTTTCAATTACAGGTCGCCCTCCTCTTCCTATATGAGAGTAGGGAATATGAATTTGCACTCAAAGGCAAAAAGCATACGGGTTGGAAAATGAGAACATCCTTGGCGTCCTAAGTTAGCTGTTGGATATCTAACTCCGAGTCCATCTGGAAAGCATCCATTACAAACCTTGAGATAAGTAAGGGTTGTGTTGATGTATAGGCACCAGTACATGCTAGAGGCTATTCTCGTGTCCCATGAAGCCAAATTACTCGATCCTCGCAATGAAAAAAACGTCTTAGATCTCAATATAGGTACCCATTATCACGAGGTGGAACCCAGAAGATACAGACCAATATTGCTGTTGCGAGGGGATCCCTAATACTTCCCCATAGATTATGGAGGCTACATGCCTACACATGTAACATGTGTAGATATCTTTATCATAGCGAGCCCTCCAGGTAGAGCCTTGGCATCCATTACTTTTAGCCGAAATATGCGTTTATTGCGTTCTAGAAATCTTATAGTAGGTAGCTAGTTAGGTAGGCAGTGGATTGCTATGTTTCTTTCCACGGAGAAATTCTGATAGTTTGACTTACAGAATCTACCTAGTCATGAGGCATAAAGACCATGAGTGAACGCATTGGCGTAAAAATGGTGAGCCTCCAAGAAAACTTTGGTCCCAGAAGTATCAATGCAAAAATTTACATCTCACGAAACCATCGGTAGGTATAGTAGCCTATTCGTTTACTCATACATTTAAGCTTAGCACACTCACCTATTCGTTTGAATCCATAAATCCCGAGACAGGCTATGTGATCTTAACCATCGTGTGTCTACTAGGTATCGGAGTCGATGTAGTTCAAGCAAATGCCGTCCTGGACGGTGTTACCAAAGCCCGACGCGGCCTAGACCGCAAGCCACAATAGACCGGCGTTGCATTTATTTCTCGAAGAAGATATATCTCTTTCAAAGCTCGCCTAATTCAGCCCGGTCGAGACCCGTCTCCTTGTATAACGCATGTGTGATCCTTCATATTCTAATATGAGGGTAGGACTGCAGGTAACATATTGAATGATCAGATATGTTGCCGTCACGCGCTCTTGAGGTGCGATAGTGTAAGCGGCGATGCTATAGTCCTTTGTACGACTCAATGGTGCTCCGATATGATTACTCGGTCTTCCTAAGCAATACACTGAATGAAGCGGAATGACCTGAAAGTACCTATGTCGACAGCCTCGCATCTAGAGCCTAAACGGCGTTTCGAGGGGAGGGGGCTTGTTTGTGTTGGTGTCTTTGGGGGGCGTCTATCAGGTGCCTAGTCGGGTTATAATTCTGAAATAGTAGGTTGAAAATTGAAGTCAGAGAGTCAGAGACCCAAGACTAGGTATATAAGTTTCCAATTCCCACCCCTTTTGAGACGACTTGAATAACCATATCATCTCGACCAGAAAGAAATAGGCATCGACTGAGGCTCAAATCAGCCTGATTCTTCTGGATTTCGTTTACTTTACAGTAGCATCTTTCTGATATAACCTCCTTCGCCTAGCTCATTTGCTCAAGACATCTATCATCATGTCTGCTAATAAATCCAACCTTTCGGGTGGAGACTATAAGTACGATCTTGTTGTCTCTACGACCCAAGCAAGCATCAATTCGGGCTTATGGCAACATTTGAGCACCGTTGACGAACCATGGACGGAAATGTATTTCCTAGGCACCAGCGGGCGCTCCGTCTCAAGCGAAATATCGCTCAGCGAGCTTCAAAAGATTGTTGGTGATATAAACCCGTGGGATATTCCATCAGGCACAAATCGTGACAGCGATAGCCGTATTTCCAAGCTCACAACTGCCAACTTTTGGGGGGCCATCAGGATGAAGCTAGGACGACCCGGTAGAGATATCGCAGGCCTACCTCCAATTGTGAACTTTGATTCCAGCTCGGTCGTAACCTTCAATATGTTCAGCTCGGAGTTCGAATTGTTGCGGAACACCCCAGGTGCATGGATAGTAACAACGCAGCCACCGGAGAACCCATGGTACATCACCGCGCGGGTCGACATCGTTGCAGAGAATCTTGATAGAAGCCTCGATACGGCCTACTTCAATCATAACCCCGATGTTAGAGAACACCTCACGAACTCAGTAAATAGACTCAGCAATACACTAGGCGGTATGGGAATGTCCTTTAGTCTCCAGCAATTACTTTTCGACCTCGACAATGCCGCGACGAGGGGCATGCTCAATTGGGCTGGTATAAGTAAATTGGACACACTTATGACCATGGATCATATCCTGGCGCTTTGGAAACAAGCTGCTGCGAAACGTGGACAGCCGATTTTGGCCGTGCTGGCCGTGCCTCATGGTGGAAGTCTAGATGCATCCCAACTGGTATTGACCAACGTGCAGCGTCATGTTAGTCCGCTCAGGGGTACAGACGGCAAGCTGATAACGAACCCGACCCCGGAACAGATTGGATGTACTACTCTTGATTATATTTGTGCCATCAATGGAAACTCTCCCAAGCCTGCTACGACTTTTGGATGGAACTGGATGGAGCCAGATGATGCCAAACAAACAAGCGGCGTCATGTCTATCAACCGCAATGTATTAGGCAATTTCTTCATGAATCAGATTCTACGGTATTGCAAGTATGCGTGCCTTATCGGACACTGTTCCGTTACTGCCCACGCGCTCGGCGAGGTAGATTATGCGTGGCCTATAACAACAGGAGGTATACCTCAAAAGGCTATCATCAACCCTACAGGGCCTGATGTCATACATATCGAGTATACTCAAAACTCTAGCGCCAGCGACAGATCTTGGGGGACTGATGGCGAGCTGAACATGGACGCAAGCTATTTTTGCGACGTCAGTTTCATCAACGACAGGATAGTCATCCGCCAACGCCAACTCATCCACATGTATATTGAATGGGACTCCACCAGCGAGATGCTCAATGTTCTTGACAAGTCGTTGACTGATACCTATGTTCTCACCATTGATCAGAACAGCGGAGTGCATTTGACCTGGCAAAAGGAACTCCAGGTCAAAGAAGACCATTCCGAACCCGACAAGCTCAGTAAATTTGCAAATTACTTCGTCCACCTTGACGATGTTGTGAACCAAATCAGAGACTACGTCTTTTCACTTAGCAACTATAGCTTCGAAGCGATCCCCCTTGGCCAACAGGAACAATTCATTTTCCCAGAAGGTAGAGTGTTCACCTTTACCTCCCCTAGGTTTTCTGAACACCAAGACTTGGTATGCGGGGTCACGTACGTTGCCACAGACAGTGCCGAACCGCAGGCCATGGCGATGGTGCACCCAGCCATCGCGGCTGCAAACCATGACAGCCAGAAAAACCACGACAGTCAGAAACTGCTTCAAGTCATCAACGGCTCGGACACACCGCCCCTTACACTGACCTCTTCTTCGGAGCTGATGCAGAATTATCTTCAAGGTGAGATCGTGTCGCCAACTAGCAAGTTTGAAGCTTTGCAAACTGTCGACGGTCACGCCCTGCTTTTTATGACATCCACGTCCGGTACTTTCAACGTCGCCGCGGAGAAGAGTGGCATCAACGCGACAGGCTGGGAGCTCCACGACCTATCATCAGTTATTCTTCAAAAAGATTTCCCCCGCCAAGCGGATGCCGTGGTTCGTACAATTGACGTCGGCCAAAACGCCCTCAGCAACACCATTGGCCTAGCTGCGGCCATCTCGTCAGGTGGTACCGAACACCTATATTTGTCTCTCTTTAATTCCACAGTCGACGCCTCGTGGGTGTCGAAGCCGAATTGGCAGTCTTGCCCCTTTGATGCTGCCTCTGAAGGATCTGGTCCGATACACATTGCCACCATTCTCTTCGCCGAGACGGGGGATAAAGAACAATACTTGATTGTTGACATTGACCGCTCGGGATCTGGCTCAGTCAAGAACATCACGCGCTACTACATCGATCCCACCAAGTCCACTGGTCATTACTGGGTCAAGCACGACGTCCCCATTGTCATCGAACATGGTAGTTATCAAAGCTGTGTCGGCAGGAGAAAGCGTACTTACGTTGACGGGATATATACCGCGGGTTCAGTCGCGGGAGCTGCTCAATTTGTCTATGTACCCGTCGTCAACGAGTATGGAAGTGGCCCCCCTTTGCCAACTCGCCTTTACTTGCCAGGGGGGGCTAAGCCTACGGCCATTGCTACCTCCCGCAACGCTGGCTCGGCATCCGCTCTTTTGGGCACGACTGATCTATTTGCTATCAGCAGCTCAACCCTATATCGCTTTGCTGCAGATAGCCAAGGGGATGGCGCTACCGGAAAGCCATTGGTGACGAACCCTTTCCTCGGAGGAACTGAGACACTCACTGCTATGGATCATAACGGCGTAACGACGCTATGGGGCAAGAACAAAAGCAACGAGGTCTACTACCTATCATGCCCGGACACTCAGCTTGCCAACCTTGGCTCCTGGAGCACTCCCGTCCCTGTTCTCACAGGAATCGAGCGAATATCAGCGTTTCTTAATAAATCAGACGGCGGCAACACAATCTTTGCTTCCGGGGGCGGGAAGCTACACAGGCTTATCCAGTCAACCGACACAGCCGCAAAGATATGGCGTGCGCAGGAGATACGACTTCCAGCACCCGCCGACACACCCTCCGTGCGGTACAAGTCCTACACCACCACGATCCAGGTGACCGACACCAGCAAATCCCAGCCGGCCGCCGGGGCCGAGCTGACCATCGCCACCGCCACGCGTACGCCAGTATTCATCAACGGACTCTACTACCTGATCGGGCCGTCGCCAGTAAAAGTAAAAGCCGACACAATGGGCACCGTGACCGTCATCGAAGCCACCGACGACATCAACTCAGCCCAACTCAACGTGTCCACCAGCGACGGGACGAGCCGTCTCCAGATAAGCCCAATGGACAAGTCCTTCGCGAAGCTGGCCGAGCTCAACTCGGAGTCCTCGCTCCGCAGCGCAAGCTTCCCGTCCGAGACGAAGGCAGGCGGCACCCGGGGGGCGACAAGCCACACCTCGCTGGTATCTCCCTCGACTGCTCAGGGCGACGTCCAGGCTGTCGCCAGCAACGTGGGTAAACTCGGCTCCATCTATTCGAGTGTCGGCCAGGGGTCATCGTTGGCCACCGCAGACGCAGCCTCTCGGCGTGTCGTCCCGAAGGCCTTTTTCGCCGCCTCGCCGTCAAGCCTAGGCGACGATCTAGCCATCGCGGCCGGCGACCTCTACCGCTGGCTCCGATCCGGAGCGGACGCCGTGGTCGACATCCTCAAGGACGAGATCAGCGATACCTGGCACATCTTCGCCACGATCGCGGGCAAGGTGTACCGCGCCGTGCTGGACACCGCCGATGCCGTGGTCGGCGCGATCGAGTGGGTGTTCAACGCCGTCAAGACGGGGATCGAAGACATCATCCGCTACGTCGAGTTTCTCTTCGACTGGGACGATATCAGCCGATCCAAGGACGTGATGCACAACGTGGCGAAGCTGTATCTCGAGGACCAAGCGCAGGGGCTCCAGCGGGCCAGGGAAGCGTTCGACCAGCAGATGCAAGCGTTCGGGAAGACGGTTGACGAGTGGACTGGCGTCAAGGATTGGTCGTCCCTCGGCGACGCCGCAACGAAGCCCGTGGTTAGCGGCGCTGCGAACCCGGGAGATGGACAGACTGCGGGCTCGCAGCTTCTCTTGGGTCATTTTCGAGACAATGTTCACAATCTCAAAGTAACCAGTGACGTCCCGCCAGTCCGCGTCACCCAAAGCTTAGTCGACGAGCTACTAGAGGCGCTCGACGCAGAAGGCGAGGTCCTGGGCGACGCGTACGAGCAACTGAAAAAACTGGCGACAGATTTTAACTCCCTAAGCCTCGAGGACATCCTTCTACGGGTTGCGGGCATCCTTGCGCACGGCGTCCTGGGCAGCGTGCAAGTCGTGGTCGACGCACTCCTCAACATCCTCTCGACCCTCAGCAGCGCGGCCATCGGTCTCCTCGACACCAAGATCCACATCCCCGTCATCTCCGACATACTCAACGAGATCGGCGTCTGCGACATATCCATCCTCGACCTGTTCACCTGGATCGCAGCCGTGGGCTACACCGTCAGCTACAAGCTCGCGCACCACGAAGCGCCCTTCCCGGACAACAGCGAGGTGCGGGCTATAATATCAGCAACCGGCTGGGCCAGCGTCGCGACCCTCTTCCACGGGCAGCAACCATCCAAGGGTCCCTCCCTCCGCTCCCTCCCGCCGCTGTCCGAAGCGACCAAGAAATCCACCTACACCAGCTGCCACGCGTACGCCGGCGCCATCACGGTAATCGGCAGCATCGTCAGCGCGCTGGAAGCCGCGTCCGAGACCGGCGACAACATCTTCTCTTTGCCCTCCACCGTGATCGGCGTGACCTCCAGCGGTCTGCAAGGCGCCGCCAACTTCCTCGTACCTCGGGACCCCGTCCAGAACCCCGTCGTCAGCATCGTCTCCGACGTCATCTTAGGCGCCGGCCTCGTGTCGAAGCTCGTGTTCAGCGGGCCCGCGCAGAAGCAGTTCCAGGCGAAGGGGAGCAAGTTCCCGGGCCTCGCCGTGGCAGACGGGCGCGCGACGGGGGCCGTCGTCGGCGCCGTGCTCACGCTGCCCGCGCTCGTCGTCTCCGGGTGGCACTTGTACGAGCTGAGCCGGGAGCCCGAGGGGGCTGTGCGGGCGTCCGCTATCGTGGGGGAGACGACGCGGTTGGCGGGGTTCAGCGCCACGTGCATGTACGCGGGGGCCGTGAATGACCCGGACCCGCTGAGCAAGCTGGCGTTCCTCGGCGGGCTGCTGGGGAGCAACGTCGCGGTTGCGGGGCTGCAGATGGCGGAGGCGCTGATATATTAGGGGGAGTGGCATTGGATAGGGGGAATCTTGTAGTCAATGTTCCAGGGTCAGCAGTAGATACCTAAGGTTAGGCAATTGTTCATTATTACTCGTTACTCTAGATCAATATCTAGGTATTCATTTCCGTACGCACCCGTCTTGGCGGAAACCAAAAAAAATATGATGCCATAAACCCTGGCGCACTCGCGCAATTTCGTTCCCCTTCATTTTCGCCTTCCCATGATAATTGCATGTGGCGAAGACGATATAGGCATCTCACCGTACCCATCTGGCTAGATACGCCGAGCATACCTAGGTATAAGGCCGGGATGGTGGGTCCAGTACAGATGTCGCAATCGGCGCGGATCATCGCGCAAGACCCCTGCCCTGCAGGCTGCAGGAGTATTCCGATGGATGGGGGAGTACAAAGACGACGGCTGTGCCACTTACTCACACGAGTATACTCTATGGTAGGAAGAGAAAAAAATAAGCTCGTAGGTCGTGGATTTGATTTCTTCTATACAACTCCACTCCGCCCAATTACGACGAGACACCCGGGCCGTGAGATGATAGTAAAAAAAACAGGTACCTAATAGGCAAGGCATACCTACCGAGCAACCGGCGCCATGAGCATCAAATCGGATACTGTACCGGGCACCCCGCCCTCCGCTCCGCCCGGCCCAGCAGCAACACCCGCACCAGCAGCAACATCTCCTACACCAACCAAGCGAACATGGTACCACACAACCCTCTCCAACGCCTTCGTAATCGGCGCCGTCGGCTTCCTCGCCCCGGGGCTCTGGAACGCCATGAGCAACCTCGGCGCGGGCGGCGCTCAGGAACCGTACCTCGTCAACGCCGCCAACGCCCTCGTCTTCGGGATAATGGGCCTTCTGTGCCTCTTCGGCGCGCCCCTCGCAAACCGCATCGGGCTCTCGCGCACCCTCTTCCTCGGCGCCGTCGGCTACCCCGTCTACTCCGCCGGCCTGTACGCGAACAACCGGTTCGGCAACACGTGGCTCGTGCTCGTCGGCGCCGTCGCGTGCGGGTTCAGCGCCGGGCTTTTCTGGGCGAGCGAGGGCGCCGTCGCCCTGGGGTACCCGGAGCCGGGGAAGCGGGGGCGGTACCTGAACATCTGGCTGTGGTTCCGCACGGGCGGGCCCCTGGTCGGCGGCGCGATCGTGCTCGCGCTGAACCACGACGCCGGCGCCAAGGCAAAAGGAAAAGTGGGCTACGAGACGTACCTGATCTTCATCGCGCTGCAGTGCGTGGCGGCGCCCCTGGCGCTCGCGCTGTCGCCGCCGGAGAAGGTGCAGCGGGCCGACGGGTCCAAGGTCGTGATCCGGGGCGAGGGGTCGATGAGGGCGGAGGTGAGGGCGCTGTGGGTTGCGTGCAAGCGGAAGGACATCGTGCTGCTGCTGCCGATCTTCTGGGCGGCGTACTTCAACCAGTACAGCGGCAACTTCCAGTCGTACTACTTCGGCGTGCGGGCGCGCGCGCTGACGGGGTTCATCGTGAACCTGAGCTCGCTGCTGTCGTCGCAGCTCGTGAGCGCGCTGCTCGACTACAAGGAGCTGAGGGTCAAGCAGCGCATTGTGTACGGGTACTGGTGGGTTTTTCTGCTGCACGTGGTCGCCTGGACGTATGGCTGGGTTATCCAGGAGAAGTACACGCGCAACCCGCCGGCGTATGATTGGGAGGATAAGGGGTTTGTGGAGGGGTTCTTCGTGCTGCTGCTTTGGGATTTTGCTCGGCAGGCATTGCAGAATTGGCTTTGTGAGTCATGGCTTCTTATCCCTTCTATCACTCCCTACCCCTATATATTTACAGATAATCCTGGATTTCTCGTTTCATTACGGTTACTGACTCGCGTGCCACAGACTACCTCGTCGCCAGCAAGACGGATAACATCTCTGAATTGACACGGTTCTCGGGGATTCTCAGGGGCCAAGAGAGCTTTGCCCAAGCCGTTAGTTTTGGACTGAACACCCAGAAATGGGTTGGTGGGCGTGTTCCTCTAGCCGTGAATACTATCTTACTAGGTGAGCTTGAACCAGTTTAGCCTTGAATCCTCCATCATATATATCTCCGTTATTTCCGGGTGCTGACTCCATTACACAGGACTCGCGGCATTCCCTACCTGGCTCGTCATTCGCGACTTTACGCCTGTCGAGGATAGTAAGGCTGACCAGATAGAAGATGTACTTGTCGAACCTCAATCTTTGAGTGCTGAGGAAAAGGGGACGTTTGTTGTTGGGAGAATAAGCGTCGGGAGAGATGCGGCATTGTGAAGAACTTACCTCGGTATTCATACTACCTACTAGTAGTATAAGCTACCTAGGTTAGGTAGGTTGAAATCGAAATACACTAGTATAGAACTATCATATTTGATTTTATATACATGCCGTGGTAATTTTGGACTACTTACAAAGTACATACATGCATGTGACATATGTCCGTACATCGTAACTTTCATCGGATCAAATCGAGATTGTGCAAAGTAGATGGTAATATGCCAAGAATATATATATTGGCGTCATTATTATTTCTTTTATCTCTAGAATTAGGTATCTCGTGGTATCATGAAGTGCGCGCATCTCTTCTATCCCTATTAATCCATCCGCCTGCTGCTCCTGCTGCTCCTGCTGCTCCTATCGCTCCTATCGCTCCGCGAAGACGATGTCGGACTCGCCGGGCTTGCCGGACTTGAATTCCCGCTCGATGAGGCCGAGTGCATGAAGCTATCCAAAACTGTGAATTCGTCGGCGTAATCAATACTCCGCTTGTCTGTCGCGACAGGAACGTATCCAAGTTCTTCGTCCAATGTCTTGTTCTTCTTCTGGTCGCCGATTTCCACGTATTCGTATTCCCACCGGTACTTTTTCCCAGATTGCGGACGAGGCAACCAAAATTTCTTGGCCACCCAGAAAAACGAAAAGGCGATGATACCACCTCCGAGTAAATCGACTGCATAATGATGATTCAAGTACATCGTCGCCCAGCAAATCCAGCACACGTAAAATATGCAAAAGGCTTTGACCCGAGGGAAACAGAAGGTGAGGAAAAAGGCAAAGAGGATCGCATCTCCAGCATGGAGACTCGGAAATGCACCAAATGGTACAGGGGCGGTCGTAAAGCTGGTGGTGTACATGTCGATACCGAAAAGAGCATCAATTCGGGCTAAGCCGGCAGGGGAGCCCTGCATGCCATATTTCGCTGGTTCCAGGCCATGTAATCTTTCGTACCACGGCGGCGTACACGGGAAGAGAAGCTGTATCGTTACGCCCACAATATTCATCCACCCGAAGGCTTTTGCGAATATCGGAAGGGTGCCAGGCGCTGCGTAAATGAATATAATTATTGAGCAGACGAGCGGGTTGGCAAAGTGTCCAAGTCCATCTAACAAGACAAAAATTAGCTTTTCTCCCTCCGTATTTTGTATCCTCAAGTCGTTTCTAGATAGTAAAATCCCATTGGGATAAAGGGTAGCATGGAAGACAGGGTTAGATCTCGCCCATCGCGGGGTTGTCTTACATGGTAACCAAGCAAACAGGTCCAGGACAGGATTTGTCCACGACGAAAAGAAATTAGAGAAGTTCGTTCCATATAAAATATCCTCTAACGCTGGGAGAACCTTGACGAAGATACCGGGACGCACATCAAAGGGAATAAATCTGATAAATTGTTAGCAACTATGACGGTGGAATGTCTAGCCTTCCGGACTCTGCTCTTCGGTACATGAAGATGAGAGTTAGACTGTTCCGGTACCCCGAAATAAAGCGGACTTACCGGCTGGAAAAGAAATAGAGAAGATATGTCCATATAGGCCATGACGGAAGAAAGAACTGGCTGGTGATAGGCATGGAGAGAAGTACAAGGTAGGCCGAGGCGACGAGACCTTTTATGAACGGTGCCGACGGGTCAATGATCCATAAGGAGAAAATCATAAAAGTGGCTACGCCGAGTTGCTGCACATCCAGGAAGCTCCATCTCCTTGTTCTTAATATCTCGAAGGTATCTGTGATTTTGAAAGAGGTCTGCAGCGTGGCGAGGCTCTTGGTCGGGTGGGTTTCGCGCATTGGCTGTTTGGCACGGCTGGAGGCGCTTCTGCTGAACATTCGAGGTAGATTATAACGGCCGGGTATGGACTTTAACTTAGACGGGCTCAACCTCTCACGCCATCCGAGAGGGAGTTGTGTCTCCGTTTCGATGACGGTGCTTGTCTGCTGCATCGGATCCCCTCGTGCAACGTTAAGCTGATTTATATTTTATTTTATTTTTCTTTGTGCCCTTTTTTATCTTTCCCACAATGAAATACCAGTATTCGTCTATCGGCAATGGATAAAGAGCAAGGTATAGCCCAGCTCTATGCGCGCTTTGTAGTACCAATGGGCCGAGTACGTTACGGTACGGTATCCAAGAAGTCTAATAATCGAGTAACCAAGTAACCGAGATTTGCTGTTTTTAAACCAAGTAATATTTGAGGTAAGCTGTGCTACTCTTGTCCTCCCCAGAAATTATTATTCTGCTCCGATGAGCTTAAGGTATAGATGTAGAGGTTGGGAAGTTATTATCTAGAGTCGGGAGCCGAGATCAGGGTCGTCGACGACTTTGTTGATGTTCGAAGAATCACACACGAAATGCGATTCCTGGATCAAGCAACCGGAATGCGGGAGAGGGTGGGAAGGGGATGTACATGATATTTAAGAGTCCAAGGTCCCAAAAAGTAAACCCCGGCAACCCGTCTGGGATGTAGAACTGCACATGTGGGTTTTGCTTTGTTACTTGTAAAGTGGTGGAGGTATGGAAGTACTGTAACTCTGGTACAATATGTACAGTGATAATATGTACATGAAGGTAGGTCCTGGTAGGTACATGCAGGCGATAATACATGTAACTTGGAAAACGTTATGTACATTGAGACTAATGTACATACATACATGAGAATCAGATGTATGTAGCCCTGGAGCTCTCTAACCTAGGTTAGTGTATTAGATCACACCTCAAGTTGTCCGGATACAACGGGGACAGGGATTTTAGCAGCGCAAAGGCAAGACTTGGCTGATTGGCTGATTAATTTTTTTAGTTTCTCTTGTCATGGATTTTCCTCTTACAAATGCTACAAAGTTGGATGTGTGACTAATGTATCACGATACATTATGCCTCTTTCCGATTAGATCCTTTTAACTTATTGCCATATCATCGATGTATGTACAAGTACATGGCAAGTGGGACCTGGTGACTTTGTGCTTGCATGTACACTATATTATACCATGTAACTAGGTTGTACATAGTAAAGTATGTACTACGACACTGCTTTAATCATTCAATGCCATTCAAAGATTCCTACATTCAAACGTTATGCTACATGTATTTGTTCCATGTCGTGCCCAGGGCCAACGGTCGACAACGGTTGCTTATCATGGAAAGTACAAGTAATCACCACCTTTCTGACGGCATCAAACAGAGAGTGCCGTGGGAAGAACATATCCATAATAGAAGAAAGGTTGGGTTTTTCTTTTATCGGGGTGTAACCGAGGTGAGGAGACAAGTTCCACCTGTGGAACAAATTTTTTTTTCAATCTATCACCATTGAATCCATACGACATGCGACATAACATCGAAAAAAGTTTGAAATTTTCCGCTATAACTGTCGGAAAGGGTGGGTAGGTGCGGATACATGGTTACTAACTGGGCGCATCGCAAGCGCCGTACCGCAACTTTAAATTCAAGTACGGGCCGGATTAGGAGCCCTATTATACTTTATTCTCCTAGCGCTGATTAACCGAATACGTGTACGTACGCTGTGCATAACGCATAACGTTCGTACATGTGCTCTGTATACCGTAGTATGCACATATTAGTAGGCATTTGCGGGAGATAAGCCCAGGGCCTCCTTGCATTTCCTTCGCGACCTCCAGGGCTATATTTGAATAATGTTAAACCTTCCGACTGAACCTTCCGAGCCTTGAATAGTAATGCTGTGTTATTAGTCAGTTCAGCTGGTTCAGGTTATTAGATTCAACTTCAAATATTGAAGTTGTTTAATGATTGCCCATCTGCCTTGTCTGCCAAGATAAACATTGAAGTGGCTAGGCACATTCTCATCATGCATCTCTACAAACACCCAGCTACATACATAATCTAGGCCATTTGTAAAAGGTGGACTAGACAAAGGTCTTTGAAGTGACCTCGGGTTCTTCCGGCCTTACGTCCCTATTATTACATTGTTCTTGTATGTTGTCCTGTACCTCTGTTGGGAATGAAAGGAAATGCTGTATATCGCATTCAAGCACTTGCCAACCTCGCTTAAACACATCAATGTCTTGGTATAGGTTAACTATTTATGGTATGGTGATGTCTCTTGGAGGTGCACTAAGGTGCTACGTATATAGCAAGGCCTACATGTCAATAAATGTTAGGCACCACATTGATACCAATAGGTAACTGTATCAGCCCGGATCCCAAGGCTTCTTAAAAGTATTTATCCGTTGTCCCGTTAAATCATTGTTGCGGACACTACGGAATCCTTAATGGGTATCAAGATTCAAAGGAGGTGCCGGAGCGCCGGGAGTAAACTTGAAAGACTTGAGTAGAAGCGAAAATAGTGAAATAATAGTGAAATGCTAGTTTCTGTACATGTCAGAAGCTTAATCTCATCTCAGATTTGTGGTGCTCTGGTGCTCAGTCGGGTTAGTAGATTAGGTAATCGAAACCGGTAGTTCTAGCTAGCTGGCATCAGCCTTACAAGTTCCAACGGTCTAGGTAACCGTGTAGTGACCTAGTAACAAAAGGGAAATCTTGGAAGCCGTTGGAATTCCGTAGTCAGCTAAGATTTGTCGGAAAGGTCGGCACAAAATTTATACGGCGTTAAGGCATGTACCATACATACAAAACCCGCGAAGTGCGAGGTTTGCGAGGTTTGTACCCAACAGGCCAAGCCCAAGTAACAGTACCTTGTAGGCGCGATGCAACTAGTTCTTAAATAGGACATTGTTCAGATCTTGGCGCGTACCAAACCCTCTTTTACCATCTCTTCATTCTCCACTATACTGCTTAGTACTTAGGTCACAGAGCCGCGTATCACCACTAATTCCATGTTAATATCCGGATTGGATAATGAGCACGTGAGGGTCATAATATGTAGGTACTGTGAGTATTTAAACTTGTGATTATGGATTTATGCAGGAGGATCTAGGTAATTTTTAGTATATGGTCTATTGATCATGTACATAATCTAAACAACATTGAATATATGACCGTTGAGGAAGAATATTAAAGATGTAACAGGTGAGGCAAGGGAGGCCCTCGGAGTATGTTTTATCAATCAAAGTAACCGGCCAGGGGGCATAACTTTTATGAAACGTTAGTAGAGGCGAGATCGCTTGCGCGAAAAAAAAAAAAAAAAAAAGAGCTGTAACTATGTAATTATTGATGAATAAGAAATGAGGATGTAAGATGCGAGACCCATAATATTTTCGGTATCCGGCCCTCGTCCGAGACGCCGACCAAGAAATGGATGTAAAGTTGACAAAGCTGTACTGCGTAGTAATATATTTATTCACGCTACGGAGTTCGGAGTTGGTTCGTTTAATGGCTTGCTTAAATCCAGTATCACACACAACATACTTACATACATGATACAATATTTGAAAGCGAATGGAGTCGTTGGAAAGTGGCACCATGTGAAGATCTGCCCAGTACTATGATCTGAGAGATGTTACTCTCCCCGCGAATTACCGACCCCCATCCACTTTTCGGCTTTCCTTTCCTTGTTACTGTGATGTAACTCCGTTAGCTCTCAAAAGCCTCCCATTTTTCTCTTATACAATTATGTACATACATAAAATTCTATCACGCGACATACACACATAGTATGTACATAATGAAAAAGATCCGGAAGCTTTCATGCCACTATGTAATGGATTGTATGGCAACTAGGCAGTCGGGTACGCTTATCTAGCAGCCTAGTAGGCAACTAGATAATACGCGTGTGGTTTTGAATGTTCTTACTATATACAAATGGAAAAGTCTGGAAACATACAATTAATTGATGGCTAGTGCAGTCTATCTCTTGCTTCTGTCCCACGGATTCCAACATCTATGTCGTATGCAACTTGAATGTTGCAGATCTCATCCCACCTTTATCTGGAACACTCCAAAGTACCTGTACTTCACACTCTCAAGTTGAAAATCAATAAACGATTTAAGAATCTATGATATACTATGTACCTACTAAGTAGCGCCGGCACTTTCTAATGTTCTACACTAGATAATCAGATAACCTAACAACGTAACTAAAGCCCTCTTTTTTCTTTCTGTGGTTGGGACTGGGACTAAGACTGTTGCGGTGAACTGGCAGCGCTGGTCGATGAATCCACCAAACTACTTTGTATGGCTATGACGTCCGCCTACATGGCCAATCTGTGTGCTCGCTACCATGATATGTATGTCTCAGAGCTGCAAGTAGTACACAGCAGGTGAGTACTATGTCAGTACTATGTAATAAAAATACCTATGATACAGCTGATATATATATATCAAGATAGCGAGTGTGTTATAGTTATATCGTAGTCTCATTTGCCTGGGTCGCATATAAAACTAAAATTCAGAAAGAGAGACGAGCCTGATGAGGTGAAAATAAGAAAGCTGAGGCTGGCTGCTAAGAATGCTTGGTTTAGACAATCCCAATCCTACTCCATCGTCAAATCACCGATCATCTTGGATTAATAACTCCTCCCCCCCTCCTCCCCCGAAAAAAAACTGATGATCATCGCATCATGCCTGTTCCGTCTCCTAAGACATTCGGGTAAATGAAGCTCCAAACGCCCATTGACGATCCATGTGCTATTCCACCTAGCACCTACCTACAGTATCCCCTTGACCGTCGCAAGGCAGCAGAGGCAGCAGATTACTATTATTAGTAACAGATACATCTCTTTCAACCCACTATACCCACAAATATCCATAACCCCATATATTGATCCATATTTTATTTCAATACAAACGCGGTACAAAGCTGGCCGGCGTTACCAACTTGAATTTAACATAAACCTTATTTTAAATGAAGCTATTCCCATTTACGGCTCGTACGTAAATGCACTTCAACGAAGCTCTAAACCAACCTTTAAACTTTAGAAGGGGTAGTTTCCGTGGCAGCTTTGTTAATTACGTAAAAGTCAGAATGTATCTTGGTGTTAGGTTTGTAAGGGAAACAATATTTGGGGACGTTTTTGCCGGGTTGAAAGGAAGCATATTAAATGTTGAAGGAAAAAAGACGCGATCCCGGTATAACATTTGTAATATGGCATTGTGTAATTCTAAGTACTGTTGGTACAAGTGGCGTGCGCAAAGTTTGGTGGGAAAGTATGTACCTACCGAATAATTGAATTTAATTGGACATTAGAAATATGGAGCGATGGGGAAATTGGCTTGGCTGTATCTTTTTCTAATAATAGTAATCTGCTGCCTCTGCTGCCTTGCGACGGTCAAGGGGATAGGGTTTCGGATTGCACAAGTGCAAAAGTGCACTAAACAGTTCTAAACAGTTCTAAACCTGCACTTTTCAGATCAGTGTAGCACTTTTCGGGCCGAGGGCATTCCGGACCCACATATTCTTAGGATTTGGGACCCATATTTAAGATCTGAATTCAATTACCTACCTAGTTAATTCCTGATAAATATTTTGGTTGAATATACCAAACTTAATCATTTGTTTTTTTAGCTGTAATATTATCCCAGGTTTGAGCCTTTTCGCGTGTCTCTAGGGGGCGTATCGTGATAGTCGCAAAGTAATTTGTGATATCGTAGCGACAGCAAGCTTGGTATTATATTCCCTACGCATTATGAATTGAAGCTTAAGATTCAATATTAATAAGTGTACCTATCTAGGTTAGTAGTATTGTGGTGATAGTAACGGTAGTAGTAGTATATTAGGAAAAGTGGGGAAAAGTGTAAAGTGTAAAGTGCTGTTTTAAACAGCACTTTACACTATTCAGCACTATTCCGAAAAGTGCTACACTTTAGAAACCCTACTACAGTATGTACCTTGGTTAGAAGCTCTACCATACTGTTAGCTCGACAACAGCTCATCGATCGCGATTCATGTATTCCAGTTACCAGTGGCACTCTACCTACCAGAGCCCTACATGTACATATTTCTTACACTACGGCGACGTAATAATCAATGATGTATGTATCTACATACTCAAAACAGCCTCGGAACGTTAAAGTACCTTCAAGTTCTGAAGCTATTGGCCGCTAGGGCCGTTAGGTCAGTGATCCAAACAACATTAGGTTTCAGGCACTTCGACTAGAAGGGAACATTAAACTTCGCTGTTCAACGACCATCGCTGTTCCAAGTTGCGCGGGATGTAACTATTTGATGTACAATACGTATGTAGTAGCGTTATGTACCATGTTAGTTATGGACATATTATGTAGAGCACAGAGGCCAGTCGCTTGGCTCACGGCGTCTTCACATGCGACGGGCGCTTACAACTGCGCCGACCTTTACATACATACCTACATACCAACTAGTACCAAGTTACCTGGCCATATGACGATGTACACACAGACGCAGCTCATCTCCTGTAATCATCTAATATATCTAGAACAGGGCCACAATAGATGAGGCCGGCATTTCCACTCACACAATGGAAATGCCAAAACTCAAAATGTGAGCTATTATTTACAGTCATCCCTTCAATGTTGTTGCATTGCGTCCATTGTCACTGGCCTGGCTTATATTGAATTTCTGCTTACTTTCCTATCCCAAAACTAATGTGAATGCTAGCTCAATATCTCTGCTTCTCTCTTATATTGACGAGGTATCATATCACGCGCCCGATCCCCGTTTTTCTCTCTTCGTTCTCACCAAGAGAAATAAAATCATCCAGCCCTACTCATTACCTAATCGCTCTCGCAAGATGCCATTATAAATTTGAATCATGCCTCATGTCACTTTAGCGACTCAGCCCTATCGCTCCTCTTCACCATGATATTAGCATCACCGCTTTGGCTGGCTAGCTGTCCATAGCCCCTTGGACGTCTCGACGACTCGGTTCACTGCCGCACCGGGCCGCAAGCTTGGTGGTACGCCTGTACCGCCCATCTCCACGTCGCCATTCTGTGCGCTTGCGTACCCCGAGTCGCCCTTCGTCGCTTCGGCCTTGTCTAGTGGCGGAGCGCCTCGTCCAGGCTCCGTCGATTGTACCCCGTCCATGAGATGAGCGTTTGCCTGACCTTCCCGTAACTTATTGATAGCCCTCACCGTATCGATAGCCGCATGAAGTGTCTTGCGTGCGTTAAAGTTCTTCTTGACCGTTGGCAGCAAGTTTTGACCTCTGTCGCCTTCGCCGCCCAAGTTGTAACCGGCGACAAACGCGTGGGATAGGGCCTCATGTGCCGTCATGCGCGAGTTAGGGTCAACGGTGAGGCAACGGCGAATGAAATCCTTCGCATGCTCACTCACGCCGCGCCAGTATTCCGCCGGCTGAAAGCTGTAGTCGGCATTCAAAATTGCCTGCATCTCTTCAAAGTCGCTGTCGCGGTCAAAGGGTGTATAGCCGCACAGAAGAAAGTACGTGATAACGCCCATGGCCCATATATCGACGGGCTTGCCGTGACCCGTTTTCTTGAAGATTTCGGGCGCCATGTATCCGGGTGTACCGCAAGTCGTGGTTAGGACATGAAACTGCTCCTCGTCCATGATGCGCGACAAGCCGAAATCGGCAATAAGTAGGTCGGCATTGTCTTCGGGTGTGCGGAATAGGAGGTTCTCTGGCTTGAGATCACGATGCACGATACCATGGTCGTGGAGATAGGCGACAGCGGAGAGAGTAGCACGGATGAGATCGGCGGCGTCGGACTCGTAGTACGACCCTTTGCGGCAGATCCTATCAAAGAGCTCGCCCCCGAGCGCGAGGTCAGTCACGAGGTAGAGGTTGTTCATTGTCTCAAAGTAGTCGACAAGTGTCAGAATATTTTGGTGGCCCATGGAAACCTTCTTTAGTACGGCTATCTCATTTCGTACCTGTTTTTGTAAAATTGGTGGTCAGTCGTATGCGCTACCTAGGGACTAGATGTGAAATGGTAAATGTAGAGACGAACCATATGTTCTCGACCGGCCATGAGCCTTTTGTTAATGACCTTGGCAGCATAGTAGCGACCGGTGTCAATGTGAACACACTCCTTTACCACAGAATATGAACCCGCTCCTAACGTCTTTCCCACCTTGTAACGACATGGTTGTATTTGGGGGTTTGAACGAGGAGAGCCGTTGCTAGGAACTTCTGTAGTGGTAGCCATCGTGAGATTAGAGGGGGGATTGGAGTTTTGAGGCCTAGGCTATGGATTTGCGTGACTACTATGGCGGAAATAAATGATTCGAAATGGACCTGTTGTCTAGATAGATACCTAAATAGACACGAAGGCTTTTCGCAATTTTCTGCGGTTCGGTTTGGTCGAGCAAAGTCCAGCTCTGCAAACAGACCGAGACTTGATATAGGGTTAGATGTTATAAAACCAGCTGAAAGGCCGAAAGGGTATAGAGTATAGGATATCGGGTATCGGGTATCAGGAGTGAGAAAGTCCAGAGTCGTTTTATGTATAAACCATGTCCACGTGTTTCAACGCGCCAATAAATCTCACGACTAAGTCGACTAAAAGACAACTAACGAAGAAAGAGAAGAGAAGAGAAGAGAAGAGAGAAAAGGAGCTAAAGTTTGAAACAAAAGGGGTTTCTCTAAAAGAATGGATATGTGAAAAATAACAGAAAACTATCTAACCCTAGGCAAACTAGATTAGATTCGTGTTGAACGATGAGTTATGGTATGGGGATAGTGGTGCACGGTCAGCCTCGTGGTGATCCGCTTGGTACTAAAGTCAGGTACAGGCGCAGTACGTAGGAAGGATAAAAGGGCTGGACTCTGGAGACTGGAGTAACTACTGGAGTAGCTAGGCTGGATTATGGAGGGAAAATGGAGGGAAATGGAAAATAGAAATGGAAATTCAAATGGAGGGGTAGTCGCGCAATCTTTCTAGGTTCTGGGTCCTAGATCTGCAATGTAATCGTGACGCGCAAGTAGCAAGTATAGCCTATGTAACCTTCAATGTTGGAAACTACTATAGTAGATGAATATCTAGGTAGGTATAGTTCAGTATTAAGCCTTGCAAATATTTAAAATAAAATAAAAAACGAAATAAAATTCATCATTTATTGTATGTGAGAGTTTCAAATGATAGTACCAAGATACCCCAGGCAGTTACAGAAACAGAAAGGAACATTGTCGCTGGATAAGCGGCACTGCCTGCAGATTCAAGGGTCCACCTAGTTAGTGGCTGTCTCTGCCCCTCATTCCTTTAATAGACTTTAGGAAAGGGAGCTAATATGAATAATGCATTTAACGAATTATTATCACCAGAGCTTGTAAATGGGTGGGTGATGATATCTTTTAAGATACCTAATGTATATATATTATATACATGTAGCTCCGAGTCAAGGAACACGTCAATCATCAGTTATTCGTCTCGACCCACCCCTTTACGAAATGCCTTCTTAGTACTTTGCTTCTTCTTGGATTTTAGTCTATTTTCTTGGAATGACTTCTCTCTACGGCGTTTGTTGGTTAGCTACATCTGATGAAGCCTAAGGGAGTTCACTTACATAGCCTCATGCTTTTTTATCGATTCATGGCTAGTCGGATTGGGGACCTGCTGTTTGTATATACCCAACAGTTCATCCACCAGCTTAAGCCGATTATCATCTGTATTTGCGGTTCGACTCCGTTGAGTCTGGGCCTGAATAGTGATAGAGTCATTCCTTTTAGAATAGTACCTCGAATTCCGCAACGCAGATTGCAGTAGTTTTGGTAAACTCTTAGAGAGCTCCTCCATAGACCACACAGTTGTCGCCTTACTCTCAGTTCTTAGATAGCCGGTCAGCCCTGATAGGTACTCCTGGGTTAAGGGAAGTTGGGATTGCTCACTTGTTCACATGTTGCCCCCCCGGTCCACTTGACCGAGAATAAGTTGTTTGACCTTTTGGTAGGCTACTTTCGGTGAACGAAGCATGCCATTTCCTAGCTTCGGTGAGGTCTTCTTGGTCAAGAAAAGCATCATAGGCCTGATGATGGATAGTCCGTATGAGCCGTAGTGGTTTATCGTAGCCTCTAAATATAGGAAGCAGATTCAGACTTGAGGCCCAGTCCGGTACCATGGTAATTGAGTGGAAGCCCACTGGTCCCCTGGGTTTCCAACGAAACATCCTGGGCTATTTAATCCAATCATGCCATTAATAGAACATTAACTCCGTCGTATTGCCTTCAGCTTAAAGTGAGTACCATGAATAGGAGAAAATTCACCACGCCATTCACAATATCAGGTAGACGCAATTCGAGGATAAAACTTGATTGCTGATCGCTTCCAAAGAGTAGGCAGGTAAATATCTCGGAGGGAAGAGTTACTTGACAAAGATGTTACTTTAATAACACTGATGTTAGTACATACCTACGTAAGATACCAACGTACATAGTAATAGATGGATGTAGTCATGTATGATCAAATAAAAAAGACTAACCAGCCGCTTAGTTGAATATCCTAAAAGGTCTAAAAGTAGTTACCCTTGGAATTACACGGTTGGACGATGATAAGACGCTAACCTTTTATAGGTAATATTATATCTTAACCAGCACGGACCAAGTTCTTCAGCAACTTGAGCACCAATTATATACATGATACATAGATCTTTAGCGCTGTTTAGCGTAAGCTGCTAACTCATTTGCATCTGGCGTTTGCTACAGGACAATTCCTTTCTGGAAATTTTCCTTTATCTCATTTTTCCCATATCGGAGCTGATCCAGCCTTACCTTGTTTCGCCTGTTTACAAAGCCTCAACATATACACCACCTGTGTCTGCATTGATTCCCTGTTGGACTCTTTTGAATCTTTACTCATATTAATCTTTGTCATTCTTATTCCTCTCGGTCTATCTCAAGCTCTGTGAAATCAATGACATTATTGTGTTATTGTCACTAATCGCAGTCGGTAATTGACCTTTCTACCTATCCATCCACATCCACATCTCTATCTCTTCATCTCTCTATAACACCTCCCAGCTCTACCGAGATATCTAGGAACACCGTATATCGATCCATTCAGCTACCGGGAGCTATCGGGAGCTACCAGAAAAGACTTCTATGCCAACTCTCGAGTAAACAACATCTGTGTTTGCAGCTACGCTTATAATATCCCATGCGTATTACTAACCCCTTCGTGAAGGCCCTATCTCCATCTTTATTCCGTCTTCTTTCTCCCCCACCTCTGTCCTTAGTACCCAAGTCTCATATTCTTTGTTTATCGTCGAGTTAGCTTGACTTCTCATCCACTTTGATACCCCGTCTACTCGAATGGATCAACCTTGAGACGGTCTCGTGTCAAAGTCTCAACGTTCATTGAACCAAACCCTATCTACCTCGTAGCTCAAATTTGAGGTTTCTGGGAAAGCATATCTAATCCGTCTTGCCACTTCATGTTACCTGAATGACGGAAAGGTCCCCCGAAGTTCTGGCAACCGCCAACCTGATTCCAATATCTCCGGCACCTGTTCATCCATCTTCTCCTGTAGTAGTGCCAACCCTGCAAGATCAGGCCGATACATTGTCCAACATGTCGCTTTCCAGCAGCGGCCAAAACGGCCCAACATATACAGCTACTCCGGCCTCTTTGACAGCTCTGGAACAAACAGGTGCTAGGATTGAAAACGGCATGAACGCAACCAACGGCCAATATGATAGCCATGATGTCGACGAAGCTGCTAGCTCAGACAATGATAGTCTCTATGGCGATGTCGTCGGCAATGGCAAAATTGAGGGTCAGGAAGATGGCACGTCCTTAATCAAAGATAAAGATGGAAATGCCCAGCATTCTGGTCAACACGACGGTACTGCTGAGGTCCTACAAGATGTATCCAAGAACAACGAATCCACTCTTAGTTCTGATACGTCTCAGTCCCTGACTTACTACTCTGAAGCCGCCTCTCGTTCACATGACATCTCCACACATACTACCCAAGATGTACACCAACATGTTCCAATCTCGAACCCAACAGAGGCCCAACAGCCACTAAAGCCACGAGAGGAACAGTCTGTAAACGCGTCGTCAACAGATGCAGACCAGCCACCCATCACAGCCGCTACTGAGAACAGTGATCATCCATCGAGTGCTGTTAATGATGAGACTGATATCCAAAGCCTTGTCGATAAAATCATAGGAAATGCTTCTGCAGATGATACCGACCAAATCTCGACATCGCAGAGTTCTGCCCATCGTACTGCTCCCCCCCAAGCAGTCTCCCTTCCTCCTAGACCCCCGATGCCCCAACAGCCCACTCAGTCCTATGTGCGCCCAGAAGAAACTCCCAGCTATCAGCCAGCAAGCTCTTACTCCAATGCCACCATGGCTATGTCCAATATTCCACCGCCCCCGGGCACTTATCCCATTGGGGCTCCTGGAACCGCTCCAGACCGTCGTGATACTCTTCCACCTCCTCCATCTTCTTCCTATGCTACCTTCCCTGCTCATTCTCTTCCAGTAGCACATTTTGACAACTCTTATAACGTAGCCGCAACAGCAGCGCCCACACAACTCCAGACTGCTGAGCCATCCCAGCCATGGGAAACCTTTCTCCAAGAAGAACGTCAATACGTATCAGAAGCTAAATGGGATCGCTTTCCAGAGGGATCTAGACTATTCATTGGCACGTTTAGCGGAATCTTTTGCACGTCTCAGCAGCTAATATTTTCTCAGGAAACCTATCCAGCGACCGGGTTACCAAGAAAGAAGTCTTTGACATCTTCTCTGAGTTCGGACGCCTTGCACAAATTTCTCTCAAGCAGGCATATGGCTTTGTGCAGTACCACACCCTAGCGGAGGGCGAAGCTGCAATGGACCACTTACAGGGTATAGAAGTCAGAGGTCGCAAGATCCGTGAGTATTTCCACTCTGACCTAAGACTTTGTCTGATTCTAACCATGTTATAGATCTAGAATTCTCTCGTACTCAAAAGAAGGACGGAGATGGAGAGAGGCGTGGCAACAAAGGCAAAAGGGACAGCGACCGCCATGATAGCAATCGCCGACGCGACGATTATCGTCCCAGTCGACAACCCTCTCCCAAACGAGGAGGCCACCGTCAACAAATGTCTCCCAGTAGTGGCCGAGGCTATTACGATGACTATAGCCCTCGTGGCCGTTCCAGATCACCAGATTATGGAAGACGCGACTCGGACCATTACCGACGTCGAAGTCGCAGTCCTCATCGCCGCCATATATCTGAGCCAGATGTTGACATCCCCCGTCGATATGGTGGAGAAGTTCCCGACGTTCAATTCTTGTTATTGCAAGAAGTCGATCGAGACTTTGTGAGTTGGGTAGAGCGAACCTTCGTCAGCCAGGGTTTAAGGGTTCAAGTCATGTTTCTTCATCCTCATTTTCCTCGCGACGCTGTCATTCAACGTCAAGTGATGGAAGGTGTTCATGCGGTTGCTGAACTTGATTTTCGGGCGCAGCAAACCGCGACCATCTCACTACAGGTGTTTAATCGCTCTGCTGGGCGTGACAATGTTCAGTATGACCAATATCAGGATCTAGATCCCAACATTGCTGCACAGCTTGTGGCTCGTGCCAAATCGCAGGTTCCACTACAACCTCCCTATGGCGTACAGTACCCACCAGCCTACTACCCACCTCCTGCCCAACCTCCGTATTTACCACCATCTTACCCAGTGCAGCCTTACCCAAGCGCTGGCATTCCACCCCCTCCTAGCAACTCGGGCAGCTCCTTGGACAATGCCACATTGCAAAGGATCTTAGGAACTCTCCACAACCAACAAGCCCCCCCACAAAGTCACAGTTATGGTCAACCCGTGGGAGGTGCTCCAGTCGATATGAATGGGATGCTGGGTACCATGGGGAGAAGTAGCCATGTGACCGCCCCTGGACCGAATTCACACCACAGCCGAGGTTATCCGTCGGGCCCTATGAACGGCGCCCCAAATAGTGGCAGCGGTGAATCCGCACAACATGTACAGAATATCATGGCACAGCTGGCCAGATACCGCCAGTGAACTATTAACTGGTACCTATCTTGGGAGCAAGTCATTAGAAACCCCACCCAATCACAAATCTCTTTGCGTGGGTAAAGGGTGCCATGTGAACTTGGGGTTCTTAGGGTTAATACTCTTAGTACTGTACTTATAAAAGTTTATGATGGCTTGGCTTGGCCTAACTCAGCTTCTCAATGCAAACCAAGATAAATAAATACACAGAAGACAGTTAAGACACTTAAGGAAGCTGGATGCTCATTGAATCACGTGAGTCATTTATAGTACGTATTGTTTACCTACTCTCCTTTTGTGAGCCGAGTTTTAAGTCCACCAATACTCTTTTTTTTTTAAACCCGCCATATCGTACAAATATGCTATGTATATATACCAGCAAATGCATAGGTGAAAACTACTCATGATACCTATCGTGATGACTAATGCTCGTGTGACCGGGAAGCTCATATACCTTGCTATATCTTTTTGCTGTTGAACCCAACAAGCAACTCCCGGACCTTGTTCTCGGCGACAATCCCATGGCCCCACCTCTCCCTTGGCGGCGCGTGATGCTCCTTCTTCCCTCCCTTCTTTGAGTGGTTGAGCTTGGGCTGGAACTTGGGCTTCTGATGATGGTGATCATGAGGGGCCGTCTGCCGAAGCCAGTTCTCTAGCTGCGTCCGCAATTGGTCGATGGGCTGGTGCAAGACGCTGATGCCGCGCTCCTCGCACGCGAGAACCACTTCCTCGTCGACCAGCGGGTCCACGCCCCCGTTGATCCGCAGCGCGGTGTCGTCGCCGACCAGGTACTGGACCATCTTGCGCGCCTTGGTGCCGGTGAAGGGCGAGCGGAGGTGTAGTTTGTCCCACGCCGGGCTGGTGAGGCCGAGGCTCCGGCATATGTGCGCGTTGCTGAGACTCTCCTCGATTTCCTTGGCGGCGGCGGTGCCGTCTTTGAGGGAATCGAGCTTGGAGCGTAGCTGTGCGAGGCTGGCGGCGCGCCGGGCGTCGGCGGACGCGCGCATCGACTCGATCTGCTTTGGTATGCGGCAGGTGTAGGGCGTGAGGCGCGGGAAGAGGAGGACGATGAGGGGGGTGAGCTCCCCGCAGATGATGAGGAGGATCCCGAAGATGGGGAGGCGCTTGATGTCGTGGATGACGCGGTGGTAGAGGAGCGCATCAGCGCGGGTAGGGTACCCGACGGCTTCGATGTGGATGGCGGAGGCCGGGGTGGGGTCTTTGTGTCGGGTCGCGGTTAGTAAGCGGTAGTTGGTGTAGATGGCGACGATCCCGGACTTGTAGAAGGTGGTGTAGGCTTTGCCGAGCCGGAATAGATGCTTGATTAGCGAGACGGAGGGCTCGCGGACCGGTAGGTCGAGTGGGGGTGGACGGGTGGTGGCAGGGGGGTTGAGAAGGGAGGCGGGCGTGAGGGGCTCAAAGGGGCCGCCTGAGAAGACGATTTCGGGAACGGATTTGGGTGGTTCGCTGGTTTCCTTGGCAGGCGATGACGTTGTGGACGTGGATGCGAATCGTCGGTGTGGTTTTGTTAAGTAGCAGTGGTAGTAGTAGTTGTATATCGGGGCAGCAGATCTCTTCGAAATGCGACTTGCGACGAGAGGAACAATTGAATGTGTCCTCGTGCTTAAAAATTGAGATTGGACTTGCGCGATGCGCAGCCCGGTGTTCAAGAGCATCAGAAGGGGGATTTGTATCTTTTTGTTGGTTGGTAATGGATGACACCTTCTAACCTTCGTCTTAAACAAAATAAAATCGTACGACCAAGTAGGTACCTATGGATATATGGGTATGTGTTGTATGAATGGTTCGATATTGTCGCAAAGCTGTGAAGATATCCATTGGACGGAAATTGTAGAAATAATTGAAACTACGTCAGTGATTGGCTTGGCTAGTAGCTTAATTACCTGGGTGCATCCTTATCGATAATTAGTATTCAATTATCGATAAGGATTTCCAACCATAGAATGTGTGCTTATTACTCAGCATTGTAACCCCTGAATGCTAGTAGGCATACATAGGTATCCCCCTTTACGTCTCCAAGATTTCAGAGTTATGGCATTGTTTAATCATTTATCGAGATGTTACTTCGGTGTTTGATGGTAGGGGAATCATCAATAGGCTTGTTTCTCTCACAAACTTACATCTCATGCTCAAGCAAGATTATTGTGTTTACATGAATGTTTCCATAGGTAGCCAAGAGGTGTTCAAATCGGTGAATGCCTCGCTGGCGTGCATCTTTGACTGTGGGTGGAAAGCTTTTATTAAGGTCTATGTGAAGTTCTACAAAATCAAGAATTTGAAGCCATCTAGTGTAGAGGTATCGGGATTGCTGCTAGCGGCCTGTTTAGACACTGTCTAAGATCCACACCGACAGGTATATAAACGCTAACTACAGGTTAATCTAGCACATACGACCATAGGATTTGGAAAACTCGGGATCCCGTCCGCTCTCCCATAGATAAGCCAGATACCGCCAGATCAGTAGTTGGGTCGGTGACGACCAGCGAATCCCTGGTGTTGTATGTTTTTTTTTTTTTTTCAACTACCTATGTAGTAACTGATACATGGAGGAAGACCAAACTTTGGTATTCGAACTACTTATATGATTCTTGTTAAATTACCTATGAATACATACGCTTTACGATGAATAATGCCACCATGCCACCATACTGAGTCTTGAATGTGTACATTTCTTATCCATTTGATTCAAAAATAACGTTTCAAGAAAATGGGAGAGAATTCCTTAAATAGGATATCATCTCGTGGCAACATAGACCAGAGCTAGGAGTGGTTCCGTGCTTACCTTCGATGCCCATCTATTACTGTACATATAACTTGAACCCTTACCACGATTGCATTCTACCACCTCCAGAATTTGACCTTGATGAAGTGTGGGAGCTCAGATATGTGTGGCTAGTGGTATAGGAGGAGATTATCGTTATGGTTCGTTGGAGCTCTGTTGGTATTTGGTAAAGATCCGGACACTACCTCTTTCTACGGCAGGAGACGCGCGCCTTAACCAGAATGTTGTGGCTATCAAGAGCGTTATTGATGGCTTGAAATGGAGGATATCGTGGCCCTCGTCGATCTTCTTATCCTTCACTCTTCAAGCACGTGCTTGACGGCGCAGATGGGATGAAGAGTGCCACAAAGAAAATGGCGGATGTGCTGAAGTAGGTTGAGATGTTTCGGGAGTATGTCGAGGCAATCGGTAACACTTGGGCGGATGTAGAAGATCGCAACATTATCTGAATGTATACCTATTGTTGCAGTATAACTGCAACCAAGAAAAAGGAAGATGGAAGGAAGAAAGCTTGCTTTACTTCTGACTACTCTGGCGGAGTGCCAATATATGGCTATATGGCCTAGTGGAGCCTATGGTGCCTCAGGCACCTACAACACCTACCTAGGTAGTATATTTGCCCATGCTTGATGAATAGGAAACTGACCCTGCCAGTCTTCCAATCGCACCCACCGAAAGGATTGGGAAGACCAGAAAGAAATCTGAACCCAAAGTTCTTATTCTTATTACCTATCATCTAATCTAGCAAGGCCAAAAACAGTTGTTTCTTCCAGGTTAACAGATCAATGTATCAGACTTGGGAGGGCACTTTGGGGTTGCCAATCCGAGAACCCGAAGCCTCCAGTTTTGGAGCATTCTATGGTACAGTCAAGACGGCTACCTGCATACTTTATGCAAAAGGAGCGATCACCGTGTTGGCTTGGACTTGAGGAGTCGGAAGAGGAGTCTTGTTAAGGAATAAATAAACGAACCCTGTAGGCTTTTCGTAGTACCGGGTGCGGAGCAGACGTGTACAATACTTAATTTAAAGAAAGGCAATTCTCGACGATACAGCGTATGATCAACAATCAGTAACCGATAGCTACTATGAGGCTCTATCCCTATCTCTGACGACAGCAATGATTTCAGAAATAGGGGTGCTTAATCTAATGCAAGGGAAACGCAATCAGATAATTCTCAAAACCCGCAACCATTAATATCTTGCAGGAGTACTTGTTCTACTATACGTATCTATACAGACATCTGAAACTATTTCGTTAGGTCGCTTTGCGTTTTCTCGCAAGTACTTATTGCAATGATAAGGCTGTAACCCATTCCGCGTCTTATGTCCTTAGATTCCGACAAGACACATACAAACCTCTAGGACAAAGACTGGAGTTACTTGGCGAGTAATGACCTCTAATGGAGTGTTTGGGCCTTGGTACTTCCAGTTCTATGCAAGTCAATGGCAACACCAACTGTCTGTTGGCAACAAAAAAGTCATGCAGCATCTACTTTCCAGACTGTCCCACTCTTCGGTCCCGTTCGTCTCGCGGAAGAATCATGTAAGGGATTTGTATTTACCTGATCATTGGAAACTTTCGTTTGGTCCAACTATATTAGATTGTCTTATAGTATAAGTATACAGGCCATTACTCTCCACGACTTCCTACCTATAGACGTTGTTTCTATCAAATATGCTACTGAAATGGGAATTTCTACGCTGGACCTATGTCTCAGAATCCCTCTACCTATTTACTTTAACAATCTATTACTTTTTCCATACCATCTCTCTTCTAATCTCGATCGACTAATTGACATGGCTTTCTAACAAGTGTGCTGGCATTGTACGACCAGTTGACGATGATGGTTTGCTCCTACTTTCTACTATTCTTTTCGATTCTGGGCTTTTCTACAACCAAACGGATCTGGGGCCGATACCTTTGGAGTCATGAAGTGTCATGATGGTTACGAAAGAGACACCCCTGCCCACCCGGGGGCTACATACAAATATTTCCATACAAGAGTGAAATAGATATGTCGTATCTCGCCGCTGAACACCGCCAGTCCTCCCACATTCAGGATGAATGTACCTTGGTAGGATACTTGAAGCCTCTGCCCAGAGAAGCTACCTAAGAAACATTTACCACGTCATAAATGGATGATACCTACTGAAAATAACAGTAGGTGTAACGATCAGGTCTTGGAGTGTTCTCGTCAACAACCACTTCCCACACAAATATAGCCAAAGCTACAAGAACTCTTTCATGCAGCTGTCCTTCCGTTCCTTTTTCACTAAATAGATTTACACCCAAGATAGGAATGGATCATGTTTATATCTATGTCATGGTTATGGTTATGTGTGATACAATATCAACGTTTATCGCCTTGATCGAAAGCAAACACATCACGAACATCTGCCTCACTCCCTCTTTATCGTCTCTCTTGATGTATTCACCGTACAGGCTTTCTATCAGCAAACAGTACAATGATACACACTCTATATATCTGTGAAGATTTACTTGTCATCTTCCTTGTGAGAGTGAAGGAGAAACAACACGACAGTGGCGTTTCTCGGGCCCATGCAGCGGCCTTGGCCCCGTGAATCCTATTCGTGCATTTCACTTGTAAATGTTGCTATTGCGGCCTAATGCCAGACACAAACTTGGTGCCTACCTAGACACAAGAAGTGTTCGGAGGCAGTATTCACCCCGAACCTAGGGCTAGGCGAAGTTGATGGTTCACAGAACTTCCAAGGCGCAACATTCACACGTAGGAGGTGCTTTATTGGGTAGACCTAGATAGATGTTTGAGGAATCCTAAAATATATGTCAGAAGGAGAGAATAGGAAGACAATGACGATGGGGATTGAGTTATGGTAGTCAAAGACTGCCTACAAAGACTCAAAGTTTCTTGATTTTGTATAGGATACTTCTTGTTGATACTCTATCATGAAGGACATGAATGTTAAGAGCTTACTGGTTTCTCATACACGCCTCCACACAAACATGCCAATTCTCTTGAGCCATCTCTTAGATCAGGTTATTCTACAGTTCTACTTCAAATGCAACGGGGTACGTTCCTGACCTGGGGTGAGGCAAATGAGATTCTGCTGTGGTGGATTCTGCTGTGGTGGATTCTGCTGTGGACTGGTAGTACTTTGATTATATCCAATACAATTCTTTGAGCATTACATGTTAGTGCTACACCCACGCTACATTACGTGACTGTTGAGTATCGATCATTAATTCTCATTGTGGTCCTGCTAGCATATCAACAAAGTGTTCGAGTTTGTTTGGCCTTCTTCCTAGACCAGGAGCATCTAGACACTTCCACTCTAAGCCCCCTGAGAGCTTACTGACTCTTTAGGACCTAACCGTTCTTGGGCACCTGTGAGTGATGTAGGGTATGTTTCACCTTAACGATTTCTAAGAACGAGTTCGTGGTTCGTTTAGTACCTGCCTTAGGTAGGCAAATATGCCACACGACTCAACACGTAGGTTTTTCCCGTGAATAGAATGAGTCCGATCTGCCTAGATTGGAAATACTCTAACCTGCTCCTTTGGTCCTTTCAGTAATCGTACTTACCTAGTAGTCACTAAATGATGAGCCATGACGAGATGGAAAGTTAGACTTATCTGGGCAGACATTAGGAATTACTTCATAAAGAGCACTTTCAACCGTCGCTTTCTTGCTCTTTTCTTTGAAACAAAACCCCTAATGATACCTTACTCTTCATCATCTTATAACTACTACTTCCAATTCTTAAAAAAAGTAGCTGAGTGTATCGAAACCAAAGAGAGAAGCACTTGAAACTCCCGTCTTACCAGTGCCACTGCATAAACGGTCAATCACACGATATCGGCACACAGCCTTATACCCTACGTAACCTTCCACCGACACAAGAATGTCTTCTCAATATAATATTCCTGCCATGCAAAATGGGTAAGGATCACCCGAACTTCCGAATTCGAGATGTCTCGATTCAATATTAGAGTGAGAAGCTAATTGAGGAACGATGCTTTACTATACCACAGCAGCACCAATGCTCCGACCATGCAAGATATCGTCTCACAGACGGGACACAGTGGGGATGCTTCGACATATCGGTTCGACGCCTTTCTTGCCAGTCCTCCCAGCACGGTTGTCCCCTCAGATCTCCCTCCTCGAGACATCGAGGCTGCCCACAAGGCACGTGTTGAAGCTGAGCTCTCGGCAATCCTATCACGCCTTTCTTAAGCCTGCAATACCATCTTTATCCTATTGTTCGATAGGATATAAAACTGTGCGGCATAGACCTATTAGAGTTACACGATATGGGATAGCGATATCTCCCCCCTTTTAAGACTACAGAATGAGAACGGCGGATATTTCACGCATATTTTACGGATATTTCAATAATGCTTCATCTAGAATGGGATACATACCTACTTAACCGGATAGTAGGTGGTATGAACAGAAGCTACGGGAGGTTATTTATTGGGAACTGGGAATCGGCATAGGGCCATGTACCTAGGTGGTACCATGATACCATGATTTGCGATACACTATTTGGGAGTTTTCTTTTACACTAGGGGTCATAGATCGATAGATATCTTAATCCTAAACAATATACACATCCTGAACTGACGAATTGTCAAAAAAAGATTTCCTCATCGCCAACTCTGCCCCAGTTTGATGGTCTCGTTGCTGACACTCATAAATCCCCACACGAACATAACGATTCGGACCAGACGCCTCGGCCACGATGAGGCCTGCCGGGGATGTATAGTTTTCATAGAAGGGAATGAGTTCAACAAGAAGTAAGTCCAGTTCCCCTTGTATGGCCAGCTCGATTCTGTCAACTCCTTTAGGCGTGTCCGGACACAGTGCCAACAAGGTTCGGTTCGGGTCTACCATCCTATCACTAGGGTCATAATCCATCGCAATCGTGTAGTCTACATTCTTTATGCTGGCGTTTAAACTCTTGGTTCTCGTGTGTATCTTGACGAAACCTCCTTTAACAACACCGAAGGGTGCGATTTCATTCTCGAGATCAACCCCGTACTCGAGAAGTTGTACGCCATCAGTACTGGACCAGGGCTTCGGCTGACTGAAGACATACATGGAAATGCGACCGTTTACCGAAGACCAGCTCCATGATGGTGAGCCAATGGGGATGTGGCACGTGCTTTGCACATGATGTACTCTCCAGAGAAACTCGGTTCGCCAATAGTAATTCTCAGGTTCTGAAGCGTCGAGCATGAGACCGGCAAGATATTCAACCTTTTGGTTGCGCGCCCTTGCCATGGGGATGAGACTCGAGGCCAGGGCCGAAACCGCTGGCAACTTGTCCGTCGGAAACCCCAAGCCCCTTATCGTGTAGCTATCGACGACTTTAGTCCATACCTCTCTTACCGGATAGCTTCGTAACCCGGAGAGGGTGTGTACACCCTCAACCCGAGACTCGTAGCCAGTCATTACCCGAGGTTTTAGTTTTGGCTCTATGCCGCCGCAGGTAGCGTTGGCAACAGTACAGGTGAAGTGCAAATGATCAGACGAGAATATGAGAATGCGTCGGGATAGCAAGGCCTCCTGGAGTGTCCAACCCCTGAGTGTGATCGGCTCCTGAGGCTTCCAGTTATTGAAGTAATCAGACTCAGCGGTCCCCTGAACGAAGCCGAGCGTGCCCGATGAGGTTTTGGCTCGGAGCTGGATAGGGCCGATGGCATATGTAGCAGGATCTTCCTCGCGCGACGTAAGGAAGCCATCGGTGCACTTGGCTGCCGAGGCGGCGCATATCGTGACGGTGCTCTGCCCGTAGTAGAGCTCCATTCGAGAGATCTCGCGAACCTTGTCCTCGTTGTTGTCTTGGAGAATACACAGAGCATCTATCCAGAGGTACTTCAGCCCTATTTTATGGGTAAACCATGCCGCATCACGGAGGCTCTTGGGTAGCTTGGATACTTGGATACCTTTCCCAAAGTCGAGAATATTGCGCCTGGTCAGTTCCACTGGCTGTGGTCCTCCCCAACAATAGGAGAGAATAGCGAAACCGTCGAGCGCTACTGAATTTGTTTTGATAGCGGATGGCAGCCCCTTACCAACGAGCTCGACATGAAGCCCCGAGCTAGTTGAAGTTATTAATAAGAGGCGGGAAGGAATAGCCTTGGGGTCGATTGATGTTGGCCCCTCACGGGCCATCAAGTCACTCGTGGATCGCCGGCATTCATCGTGGTTGAGCTGACATGATTGAATGCAGTTGCGAGCAAAGTCGACACTGGCAACGGACGCATTGTCTAGCTCATAAGGCCGGGTACTAATGTCGGCTGACGCAGCATCACCTATTCATATGCCATGCCTTTCAGTAAGATGGGCACTAGGTAGATAAGGCAAGAGATGTAGGTAAAATACCTTCGCATGTCCATAACGACAAGGATGGGAATTTCCCAAAGAAAACATGCTGCCACTCATCATCCGATGTTTCGCGCACTAAGGGTTCAATTATCGCCGGACTAAACGGCAAGTCTTCTTTCAAATATCGCAGGCCCAAGTTCAAAATGCCCCCAGTGGCTAGAATATTACGTGTCGAAGTATTTTTCTGTAAATCATCGATGAATCCATGGAATAGTGGGCAGCCAGCCTCATCTGCACCAATTGCCTCTTCCACCCCGCAGCTGAACTGGGTGATGCTCCCAGAATGCGTGAGATCGAGGGTGATCTGTTGGCAGTATTTGCAAGTATGTGGTGCTTTGGATGTAAAAGCCATATTAGGTACCTAGGTAGGTAGATATGTGAAAGAATTTGGGCGTGCTGGGGCTCGAAGAATTCTGTTGATGCAATAGGGGTCACACTGCCTTAGGCGCCTTAGGTAGGTCTTAGGTACCTACTAGGTAACCAGGTATAATACAAGTACGTAAGACGCGCTAAGTCCCTGAACAAATGTATACCGAATATCGCAAGGCGCATGTATTAGAGCTGACTTAGCAGAAACGGATATACCTACCTAGTATTCCCGGTCCAGCCTCAATATGACTTGGTGTCTACTCAGTAGGTACATACACTGTGTAACTTATTCTGTGCCTGGGTGACATTGAATCGAGATTAGTGAGAATTTACAATCGTTCATTGAGGCAGAAGTTGTACTGATTGCGAAGCAGAATTAGAACACGAAGAATTCATCAAATACACAAATATATGAGAATGCCAACGCATTAGTTACTCCTGACATAGGATCACGTGACCACCTGTGAATCACATGACTTTGTGACTTTGTCTTGACATGATGCGACCTTAGGTACTGTTCCAGAATGCACTTTTCTCAAGTCCCTAAAAGATACACTGGAGATAATATAGTCATAAGAGAGAAGCTATATCACAGAAATCCATTACTTACTATGTGTTGAGTTAACCCGTATTAGGTACATAGGTGCCTAGGTGGGGAATAGTGGCCATGGATAATATCGTTGAAATGCTCCTTTGTCGCCCATCCGTTGAGCTTGTGTGCGAAGGCTCGACATTCTATAAAATGTTCCAGTTCAGATACATCGTACGGAGTAGTTTCGGACGTTTTTCATATGGTACATATTGTCTGTTTTCCAGAATATATAGGTATCCATCTTCTGAGTGCACAATATGAGTCCGAATATGATATTGTACCTCGATCGCAGTGTCCCGCAATCAACTCTGAGAGCCGCAATGGCATCACTAGCTAGATAACTGGTCCTAACTAGTAATTTCGACATCACCCATTGCAGAATTTGCCTTTGTTTCTCGTCTATGTTGGCAGCCATCACTCGTCGGAGATCGTCGAACTTATCGAAACTTCGATCATCCTATCCGAAAGCCACGTCTGGTTTTGGCTGAACTACCAGGTTACAAAATCCACCACAGCTTAAATTTTTGGTCTGGCGTTTGACTATCTCAGTAGGCCATTTTGTCCATATGACTCTATACACTCCATTCTAACCATATACCTCGTGCTCCTGTTGCCGTTCTTCTGCAGGTAGGTATGCACCAGCTCCATCACCCAGTGCCCCCCCCCCAATCTTCCTTATTTAGTACCTCGGCACCTAGTCACCTCAAACTCGTATAATCATGTCAACGCATAAGCTATGGAAATTGTTCCGCCTCAACTAGATCTCTTTATCAAGGTCCCAAATTGTACCTCAAGTTGTGTCAGTTACTTCGTAACAGTAAACTCAATCTGCTGCATGATTTGGTCTGTAGGACCGTCAGGCACACCATGGTGTGCCCCTCTATAAGCATGAACGACAGGTCTGTGAGTTTTGGGGACCAGCCTAGGTTGCTCGCAATCTTGGCTCTTTTGAGACGAAACTTCAGGCCCAGGAATGAAGTGGTATCCGTCGAAGGCAGTGGGCTGTGAAACAGAAATTAGTTCCGTCCAACTGTTGTTTGCCTGTTTCTTTTTCGAGCGTATATGCGCCATCATCCTGAGATATGTCTCCGAAGGAGTGAAGGCAGGCTTCTTATTACGTGACGCTTGTGTAAATAGCTGAGGGAATGCGGATAGAGAAGACACAACAATAGCTGGCACGGTAAGTCATTGTGTTAGCAAGGCCTAAAAATATGAGCGAGAAAGGTTCTCATGGGCAGAAGAAGCTATGCGGAAAGAGGGGGGTGAACACATCTCGACACGTACCGACACTTGGTTCAATTACACTCCATAGCCAAAGATATGAGTTATCAAGATTCCCGTCTGGTCTCTTCGTCACGTTGATGTCAGCGACTCGAGCGATGGCGATGGCTATGGTGATAAGTGATAGCGAGAAGAGACCAAGGATTGCAAGTTTCTTAGCCAGTCGGATCTTGGTTCTCCAGAGCAAAATCGTAGGGAGGAGCATGACTGATATGGCCTGATGTTAGACGCTCGTAACAAGAAAGTTCAAGAAAAGGGGGAATAAAGGGGGGATGGATGGAGGTGGGTACTCAGGAAATCCGTTAACACGTCTAGTGCACAATTGGCGTAGAGAGTATTGACAACGAATTTGATTGTTGGTTCAGTATTACATTCGGCCAGGATTGCTTCAAGCGGACCAATGAGGCAGCTGTACTTGACGTTGCCAATAGCACCGAGATAGCTGCCCACTGTGATGACAAACACAGGCCACCAAACCCACTTGAAGTGGTCTATACCGTTACCGAGGCGTTTGAAAAAGAACAAGAACGCTAGCTTGATGAGGAGGAGAGCGGTATAGAAGAAGAGCTCTGCAATTATCGACGCAGTGAGCCATGCTCTCATTCTTGGAAGGAAAAACTCCTGCACGTATTGCTCGATACCCGCTTGAACGCCAAGCACGTAGTACATGTCTTTTGCTCCCCACTGCCATACTGCTCCAGTGATCAAAACTAAGATGTAAGCAGAGATCGCAAACACATCATCCCAGAATAGTCGACGTGGACCTCGGAAGCGGGAAAAAAGCCGGCAGAAAAGCATTAGCCCTGACACGGCAACAGAAGTCCACACACCAGCCTTTGTCACCGTCAGTACTAGAGTTTTCAGCTATATAATGGCAAAGGAAGGTTGGAACTAACTATAAAGCCACCATAGGAAATTCCAAGGGGTACTACTCCCTCCAGGCTTTGGCGTGGAATGATGTCCATCTCGTTATGGCAGTGCTTGTTATACAGTATTGCAGAGTTGGTAATAGAGACTGTTGAACTGATTATTTACATCCCTGGAGATGTAGAAATGAGACCGGATACCTGGTTTGGATCAAAGAATTATTATATCTGTGGTAATAAGAGAACAGGTAACGACGAGTCAGAAGTGCGCCAAAACTAATTGATACTATTGGATTAGAGACGACGTTGGATAGCTCGCAAAGCATCCCAAAACTTGGCTGGGTGCCTCTTGATGTATGACATTTTGAGGCATTGAACACTTACCGAGTTAGAAGGATTCGGTGTGAGGCTGTCGTGAACAGATACAACTATGCAAGTACTACATGGGGTAGCATTGCAGGCTTACGGGCCGCTTTTCAGGGGCGTCTCGGTCCCTTTGTACTTGTACATACAATATGGACCACTAGGTAGTATATGATCACATGTATGATTTTACGTGCATTGCGCAGCATGCCTCCTATGTATCTAAAGGGTGAGATAAATGACTTTAATTGATTAGGTACCTAGGTAACACTTCCGGCGGTTGGTCATATGGACCAACGTCCTATGTGTTTACTAGTCATCTATACACCACCATCGATTCACCTTCTTGAAAAAATGAATGGCGCTCTTGGAAGGTGGCGATATGTAAGCATTGGCGCTTATGGTTGGCCTCCACGATGTTGATCTGACCTGCATAGTCTTCCGCCAACAGGTGTATTCATTATGTGCATTTCAGCACAAGGCTGCGATATTACTTTTGTAATGTTGCTTGCTAAAAACAGTAGCATGTTCATAAGCTAATATTGCCGCATTCACCCTCACAAGATGTAGGACGTAGTTCCTTCACAGGGTAACATTTCTAAACGGGTGGCATCACTAAACATAGGACGTAGAAAGGTGCTTGAAGGTAGACTTCATGTAGATGTTGACCTAACAGTTACAAAACAATTGCTCAAAGGGGCCTCAACCATTAGGCAGCCTATTACAGTAATTTTTCATGTTATATGGCAATTTCCACACCATAGGTAGGTATGTATCTTTAAATATGATGTTGTATGAGCCACTAGACTCATCAAGCTACCCCTATAGCTACCCATCTAGGCAGCCTTGTATTAGCACATCGCCAGCAAGGTTAAGAAAAAAGCAAGCTTTCTTCCATCTCCTTTCTCGTCTTTTGGTCACTGTGACCAGCAATAGATGATCACCCATCCCCTTGTCTAGAAAATCAAGCATTTCTCAACCAAGAACAACACGTCGAAACGTAAAGACCGAGAATGCTGGGAGATCTCTTTCAGGACAGGTCACTTGGCGTGACTGGCCCCCTTGTCCTCGGAGGTCTTTTATTAGCATGGCGCCTATGGGTATTTACCCTGAAGCCTTGGTTCTGGCCTTCAAAGCCGAGGGAAGTGCCTTACTGGATACCCTGTGAGTATAAGTGCTATCATAATACATGAGGAGTGGAATATAGCTAATAAAGTTACCAGTCATTGGTCAGGCCAACTGTCATGCTACTTAATCTTGATATGTCAAGTCTTACTCATTCCAGGTCATACTATCAGCTTCTTCCGGAATTATACTGAGCTAATGGAGAATGGACTGTCAGTGTATGCTTCTATTTCACATAGTGGCCCGGCTACTAACTATTACCTTTCAGAAATTCTACTGACTCCACACATGAACCCTTTGCCATCCAGCTCTTGGGGAAAAAGCTTTATATATGCTCCGATCACTCTGATGTCTCTACTGTGTTTGACGATACAGTGGGCTTTAATTTCGATAATCACTTAACTAGTCTCCTGACGAGCTTTGGTATCTCAAGCGCAGCACTCGAGCGTGCCTGGCATGTCCCTAAACCAGGAGACTGGTGCTATATACCTAACAACCCCGTGAACCCCAAACAGAAGAGCTTGATTCATTTCGTTGAGGATATTTACAGAATTCAACTTCTTCCAGGGGACCTCATGGATCAATGGAGCCGCACATTCTTGGATTCGGTACAAATTTCCTTGCGTAACATGAGGAGCTTAGAGTTTTGCACCGTACAGAAGAGCAGCAGCGTATGGTATAATGATCATAGAACGCAGCAGGTCTCACTCTACTCGCTTGTTTCTTTTTTTAGTGTGCAGGCCACTGCTCATGCCATGTTCGGATCACATCTCCATGACATCGATCCGTTAGTCGTCCAATACATGTTATCTTTTAACGAGCACGTTTGGATGATAGTGTTTCGCTGTCCCAATATCTTCGGTCTACCTGTCGATAAATATCGAAGCAAACTCATGGACATCACCAGAGCATTTGTCCAGCTTCCTAAGGAGAAGCGTAACCAGGCATCTTGGGCGATCAACAACGTCCTATATGGTATGGAGATTGTCGGAATGGACATGGAATCTAGGGCTTCTATGATACTCATGATTTTTTGGGCGTAAGTGCAGCCTCAGACTTCCAATAATGTGACAATCTCTGGCTTGCGAGACTAATCACACCTTAAGTGCGGTATCCAACGAGCATAATAGCTGTTTCTGGCTTTTGGCCCACTTATTATACGACCAGTCTCTCATGGAATTGGCAAAAGAAGAGACAGAATCGGGATGGAGCTCTGGTCAGCTGGATATCAAAAGCCTTTGCTCAAACAGTCCGAATTTGGACTCAATTTTCTATGAGGTTCTAAGACTCAATAATACGGCTGCTGCCGTCCGAGTAACATCACAGAAAACAATACTTGGGGGTAAAGAGCTACAGCCAGGCTCGACGATCGTGATGCCGTTTCGGTCGCTTCACATGAATGAAAGGGTATGGGGAGCCGACGTATCACAGTTTCAGCCGTCACGATTCCTCAGGAAGAAGTCATTGGCTAGATCCCCATCCTTTAGACCATTTGGCGGCGGAGCAACTCTATGCCCAGGGCAGACATTGGCCAGATATGAGGTGTTTGGTTTCATTGCCGTCCTCTTCCACCGTTTCCACGTAACTCTAGCCAGGACTTCTTCCGGGGAAAGGCCCCCCTTCCCACGATTAAATTCCATGACCCCATCATTCGGCCTTAATGGGCCCATGAAAGGCATGGATGTCATAGTTGATATTAAGGAGAAATAGCAGCAACACAAGACTATTCCAAGGTTTATTAGGATATACAGAGGTAGTATAGAAGCCTCCCAAGATTCTACTTATAAGCATCTCCGGGCATTTACAAGTGCACTCAGATTCAGCCAATTTTTTAGGTACATGCCTAGGGAGGTAGGCAGTTTAAAAATGCAGCCTTTATTTTCAATAAGATGGTATTCAGGTACCAGCATAACTCCGTTTTCACCCGTCACGTAAGTGATACTCTAGGAATCAAACATATGCCATCCTTAAAATGAATACAAATCCTAGTGTGTAGACAAGTGCTTCGCTATGCGAGTATGTGGTGTGTAGTGTATTGACAACTGACGCATGAGGGGTGGTCTCAGATTTTACCACTGCGCCAAACGGTGAATGATTGATCTCTCATTACCTACTGATAGGCGGGCTGATGTGCCAAGTTCCGATATCAAGGCGTTATTGTACCTAACGTACCTCTGTTGATGTACCTAATTGGCATCACTACCAACATCTATCTGGCCTTGCCTACTAGTATCATCCTTGGCATCCCTTACCATGATCTGATCGATATCACAGGTATGTACTTGAGGCGAAATTGGTACCACCCCAACCTGACCTATCCGAATCAAGATAGGTATATAGATGTAACCCTAATATGCATCTGCATCTGGGTATAACCAACTGCTATGAGATGAGTAAGCCATCCAGCCGTCTTCTCTCTGCCCATGTGCTTTTGTTTCCTGTTAAGCTAACTTTTTACACGAGTCTTCTCGACGAGTTACCATCTCCCCCTTTCTTCTCTACCAACTAGTGTGCTTTCCTTTACCGCATACAAAACCTTTCGAAACTTTTATTCTATACAGCTATGGCTCAAGACGACGTGGTAGAAGTCACAGCGCTCAGCCCTTCGAAAAAAGGCCAGCTAACTTCGTGGCGGCTCATAGCCGTGATAGGGAGCCTTTACCTCGGCGTCTTTTTGTTTGGGCTAGACGTCACCATCGTCTCAGTCGCTATCCCTCATATAACGACCGAGTTCGAATCTCTACCGGACGTAGCCTGGTACGGGTCGGCCTACATGCTGACCCTCACAGCATTTCAGCCCTTGTTTGGTAATCTATACAAATACTTCAACGCAAAGATAGTCTATGTGACATCGCTCGCTGTTTTCGAAGGTACTTGGACTTCATATCACCCGAAAGTGCGAGTCCTCTGTTGCCTTGTTGGCATGAAAGCTTACTGTTTATATCAATGATCTAGTCGGCTCTATCATCTGTGCTGCTGCACCGACATCTGCCATTTTAATCTTCGGGCGCGCATGGCTTGGTCTAGGGGGTGCCGGCCTCCTCCAGGGGGCGCTTGCTGTCATCGGCCAGACAGTCACGGTTGATAAAGTGCCACTATTTCAAGGTATTGTAGTAAGTTCGATGGCCGTCAGTGTCTGCTGCGGGCCTGTCATAGGTGGTGCACTCACACAATACATAAATTGGCGTACGTATGAACTGGTCACAAGCAAGCTAATGGTAGTATCTGTCGCTGAAGCTCTAAGTAGATTGGTGTTTTTGGATGTGAGAAATCCCAAGGTACATGAAGATGAGACCACCCCCCCTGACGATACTCATAGTAATCTTCCAGCCGGTGTATGCGCTATCACTATCGTAATCCTGTTCGTACCTCTCGAGCAGCAGGGCTCAAAGGAAGGAAACAGAAGCCTTCCCCTGAGCGAGAAGCTTCGACACATGGATTTCCTTGGACTTGTCATGTTTCTCGGAGCGATTTGCTGCCTCCTACTCGCGATGACCTGGGGTGGCCAGACATACCCTTGGGCCGACCAGAAGATCATTGGCCTTTTCGTTGGTGCCGGGTGCTTGATTCTTTGTTTCTGCTACTGGCTTGTGAGGCAGGGAGAACTTGCGCTCATTCCGGTCCGAGTCCTAAAAAAACGCTCAGTCTATGTGGGAGCATTGGCCCTCGTCGGGTTCGGTATGATTTCTGTCGTCGTGAGTAGAATTTTCAAAACAAGACATGATCAAATTCATCTTTGCTGACTGCGGCGGAAAATGAACCAATCAGTACGGGTATTACCTCCCAATCTTGTTTCAATCCGCGCAAGGGGTCTCTACAACTGAAAGCGGGATACGATATATTGCGCTTGTTGGTCCTCAGCTAGTCGCCTTAATTATTATCGGGGGAATAGTGTCGAGATGGGGATACTACGTAAGTAATACCACTCTTGCCTTAATTAGACGACTAGTGTTAGTTGATGACTTCTCTCCAAGGTCCCTTATATGATAGCCGGAAGCATCATATGTACAATTGGCGCCGGCCTTCTCACAACGATCAATCTCTCCACTCCTACCGTACAATGGGCCGCATACCTGGTGATCACCGGCCTCGGTCTCGGCATGGCGGGCCAGCTTCCATACACAGCGGTACAAGCTGTTCTTACGTATGTTTACCATAAGATGCAAGAAAGGCTCATGGCTAACTCATGGCAGGGCTGAAGATGTGGCAATTGGCAATGGTATGTTGAGGCAAACCCTTCGTGATTCTGTTATACTGTAGCGCTTGAACTCACACCATTCCTTGTGTAGCAATCAACGTGTTTTCGTTCCACCTCGCTGGGTAAGTGTATTTCACATTCCTTATCCGCATTGCCATAATTTCTCGTAGACGGCTAACTCGTGTAAAGCGCTGTTGGTACTGCGATTGGTCAAGCGCTCTTGATAGATGGTTTACGCATCGCAGTGCCGCGGTACACAGACGCCGTAACGCCAGACGCAGTGATAAACGCCGGTGCTATAGGGCTTGAGATTGTGACCACCTCTCCTGCGGTCCTCAACGCTTTGCGTGTGGCATACGTTGACGCTGTTCGTCGCACAATCATTCTAGGACTTGCAGGCATTTGCATGGTTGTACCGCTGTCGTGCGCTATGGAGTGGGTGAATATCAAGCAAGTGGCGGAGGGAAGACTTCAGGCTCTGGAATCGGGACCGTTGCCCGCCGAAAGAGAAGAGCTTAACAGTACGGTTGAGAAGTCGAGCAACTCTTAGAAGCTCTGCGGCCAACTATGATGTACTTGTATAATGTAATTATCAAACGGCGCGTCGCCATGGCCATCTGCGGGATATGCCTGTTAATTAGTATGTATCTAATTTATTATTAATTGTTTTCCTAATATAATCATGTAAGAAGCTGTGGCTGCAATCCATGTGCGAAGTAATTGTGTGAATACTGTCTGTTGCTAGATAAGCCCTTTAGGATATAGTGGTAAGCTCTCTATAGCTTAGTGGAGAACTCGCTATACTGGGAATAACTTGGCGTCGCTAACACAGTAAGAATAAAGATATACGACTATTATTAACGAATGCGGTCTTAGCCACAAACCGGCCCTGGAGTTTAGGGACTTCATAGTGGCCCGTCCACTAAAGTTCAGAAAGCCTTTAGCATTACATACCCCTAACTATAGCCCTGGAGGTATCTACAGTACTAGGCACTACCTAGTTAACCTAGGTACCTAACCTACTACATTGTAGGCTACTATGTAGGTATGAGGCTATTATATGGATTCAGGTATGCATACTGTCAGACTGTGCCGCTACGCCAAAAGGTGAATCGTTGATCTCTCATTAGTTAATTGTCTTTAGTTTATGTCAGTAAAACTATATCTGACACATGTGTACATGCATAAGGCGCTACGGGCCGTGGTTACATGTGGAGGAGCCCTCTGCATGTTATGTACGTCTGTATATACGTATTACTAGTACCAGGTAACTTCCTAGATAAAGGGGCTAGTTAAACCGATGTGCCGCGGGGTTTTATAAAGGGGGTCCATTTGCAGCAACAGCCAACTAACGACGTTAAGTCTCGGCAAATCATAAGGGTGCCTACCTATGCTTACCTCGAGATATCTAGGCAGCCTGTGTTATGCAATATCGAGGTAGGGCTGGTCTTCTTACGGTTGGGGGCTGTGGTTAGGCTGCAATATGCCAAGGTACAGATGAGCCAAGTGATGGCGTCCAATACTTATATCAGTTTAACTACTAAAAGCTAACAAAGAGTAGTACGAAGTAACCCTTACAGAAGCTGATCCCGGGAAACCCCGTTCCGACAAACAAGAGGCTCCTAGGCTCATACAAGTCACTGGAGGAAGACTCAAGGTCTGAAATTTACGCAATGGTACAATACAATATATAAGCCTCAAAGTTATGGGCTTGTCATCTTGAATGATTTGTGCCCCTATTGGTCGCAATATTAATTGGGGTAGGTACCTAGGTAGTGATTATAGCAATTAGGATGGCTTATTAGGATGCGGGAACACAAATGCCATCCTACGAAGTAGATTAGTTAGGTAGGTGATCGAGGCCGACCCAACCAACTGCTTTGGTGTATACACCTTTGCAACATCGCACGACCGTCTTAAGGGAATTGTATGTGTCGCAGTCAGATTGTTTCCGAATGCCACCTGGGCACTCTTACTGCGTTGCCCAGTTTTCCCGGTTAATGTTGGAGACCACTTCACACAGCAAGCTAGCGAATCCTAATCACACCTAGCCGGAAGCCGACGTAGCCTTGTGCTCTTAGTGGGGTGTTAGATCAGGAGCAACAACAGAAGCCGAGAACGACAGCAAAGGCGCAGTCCCTTATCCGAGGAAAGAAGGAAGAGAAGGGTGTGTGCATCATCGGAATAAGGAGTCATACGTCCAGAGCAGGCTGGGAGCTCCTATGGAGACATATAGGTGAGCACCTCACACCAACTCTATTTTGTTCCAAATGGCATTATCCGCGTCGAACTTTTCTCTGCTGCGTCTAGGACTTCACTGAAGTGACTCCATATCCTGTTTTTCATAACCATCATGCATTTTCAGCAGTCTGTGCCTGAGGATATCCGAATCCTTGCGTCCAACCTCCAGGATATCCCGACGATTGCCACACAAAGCAAACAGACTCGATCCCAGGTGGTTGCCCTCGGTCTAGTTGCGCTGTTAGCTCTGCCTATCTTGCAGGCTCTGGGAGAGTTATGCGGCTTACAGCCATTCCTAGCCACATGTACGTTACTATCTATTGAGAGGAGTGGAATGATTCTGAGTGTATGACAGGTGTATCTCTCGGCGCGGTTATAATCTGTGCGATTGTTCGTACCCAGTCGAGTATCATCTTTTACCTTCCCGCCTAACAATCCTCTAGGTAGCGATCAATGTATATCTCAGCCCTAGTGTTGTGATTCTCTAGTTGTTATTGTAGCTTAGCTGGCTGTGCTCAACCTGCTGATGGGATGAACGTAGTTCTGGGTGGAAACTAGCAAGGCCATCCTTTAGATCGGTCTCGTTATGAATAGGCCTCTGTATAACGTATGCAAAGGAAATGTGGCTACCAAAAAATATTACATTTGTTATAGCCTTGAGCATGGTGGATTGGAGGATATATGGTTATAACGGTGGAAAATAACGATCATGGCTGGGCAATTTCTGGCGTTTCTTGATGTGAGGAATCGGAAATGCTGAGAGAATTTTCAGGAAGTGTTACAAGCAGGCGAATTAAAGGTCTTTATAGAATGCGACTTTGGGAATTCACTGAACTAAAAGAGATGTATTTTATGTTGCGCTGACTCTAGAATTAATAGCTATCATGTGAAGAGAGGTATTCCTAGATACTAGTGCTTTAGGTACGAAAAAAAAATAACTGTCAAAAGGAGAGTAAAAAAGGGGGCTGTTAAGTTACTGAGGGATTCTCCTGGGTGACGGAAGGGTTAAGTCAAAACGACCCAGTAAGCTTCTTGTGAATTGCTCACGCCTCTCTTAAATAGAAGCCTTTCTTCTCATGCGAAACGGGATTTTGCCGTTTGGAGGAAGAACGCCGAATGGTGCAAATCTCATGTTTGGCAGCACTTTGCTCGTATCCGTGCCCGTCAATTCAAAATCGAACTTTGCAAGTAGCATGGCAAAGGTTAACATCATTTGATGTTTTGCAAAATGGCGTCCAGGACAAATGCGGTCCCCCCCACCATAGGGATACCAAAGGCCCAAGAGCCCATCCAAAGTAAACCGTTTCTTGGACAATGTAGTGTTTGGATCCTCAGTGGGTGCTTTCTTGTCGTGCACCCCGGAAAGTGAGGGCCGAACCCAGTCCGGATCGACTAAGAATCTTTCAGCGTCGAATTCTTCCAGAGACTTCTTAAGCGTCCTTCCAGCCCGTTCCCAGGCCTGGTGATCAAGTGCAGAGCTCCGGCTATACATAATTATGTAGCCATCTTTTGGAATATGGTAGTCCGCGACCTGAATGTCACCATACTCGGCGACTCGACTAACTACAAGAGCAGAGTAGAGACGCAGTACTTCAGCATAAGTTGATTGTAGCAAAGGCTGTGATGTCAACCCTTTGATATCAGGCTCCGTGCGTCCTTTAGTACTAGACATCAATATTTCCTTATCCAGTCGTGCCAAAAGTTTCGAGTCTTTGAGTGCTTCAAATACGAACCAAAATATGGAAGTTACGACGTTTATAGTCGCCCTAATGAAGCAATCAGTGAATGATAATCGAAAGCTAATGTATAGTATCAGGGTGAGTGGTTTGTGACTTACACAAATATCAAACCGAGATCCTCTGTTGCTCGAGCATCCGGTGTCATTTTTGAGATTTTAAGAGAGTAATGCTCTCGGGCCCTCATGAGCTTGGAGCCGAAATACGGCTCCCAATTTGGATCCTCGGGTCCGTATCTCGAGCAATCGTAATGGTTGTGTGCATGTTGGTGCCACCGTTTGATGGATTGTAGAAGTCTCCTTCGTACTCGATATGCAGTGGGGATAAGCCAACGGGGTAAGAGGTGGAGAAAGTCAGGAATGTAGTGTTGAAAAATGAAAAGGTCCTTATCAAATTCAGGGTTGAGTTTAAAAAATTCCGAACCAACCAGCGCTTCGACAGATGGTCTTATGGTAGCCTGCTGAATGAATTCGTGTAGGTCTGAGAACTCGACCCATTCGGATTGGACGTCGAAAGTATCTAGGTGACGAAGTAGGATTGACATGTATCTCCGATTCATGTCCTCAAGATAATCTGACGATAGGAATTCGCGGGAAGTATGGGTTACCAAGTAGTTGATACGATTCTCCGGGCTTGTTTTGCTCTCCTTGCGGGGCCTTAGGCCCGTACCAGAGTCATCTTCTTGGAAGAGTTGAACAGCGCTTTTTGGGAGATCAAAAAGATTTCGGAGTGCGAAAAGTGTGGTAGACTTGTTCGTTGTTCTCTTCGAAGCTCGAAATACGGCCTTGATATGTTCTGAATTCCTGTAAAGAAAAAAGCGGGATGGACCAGCCTTAAGCTGAAGTGGTGTGTCTGATTCAAACGTTTTCCTTGTAGCCATTAGCCGCCTGATGATGGCAAGCATAACAAATAGGGGTATCGGGAGTTCCTACTGTATTTTCAGAAGGAACCTAGCAGGATCCAAGAAAGCAAAGGCATGAAAGAGTCCAGGAACCCAATAGGATACGACTGGGACTTCTCGCAGAGTGCCGTGGGTGTTGCTATTCATGACTTTATGGAATTGGACGGTAGACGTAATGTACGTGATACATAAGGTCAGTACCCCTATAATCGGCCAATACACCCAGCTGTCTACATTTTCCCAGTTCCTGATCGGAAAGGCAGGATGAAGGGATGACCAGAAATTGATTACTTGGTCCTAGTATTGAGTTAGCCAGGTGGATAAGGAGAGAAATAGGTAATAGGAGAATATGGCCTACAGGTATCTCTCGGAGCTTTAGGCCATAGGAGACGTTAGAAGACCCACACGAGCCTGTGATATTGCTATACCAATCTGAAAGGGGCAAAGAATCCATCGTTGGGGATATCAATTTACGGGCAGAGATATCGAGAGGTGAGTGCGAAGAGGATATTGCGGTGATCGCTTGCTTATGGAAATGATATTTACCTAGGTAGGCAAACTATATGATGTACAGAGTATACTGTTCCTATGAAGTAAGTTGAAGTATGTTCCACTCTATAGTAACTGTTCTAAGAGAATAGGGGGCCGTCTCAAGATAGAGCTAGATCTTACTATCTACCCCACGCCCCCCTGGCGTCAAGCTATCAGACGGGCTGCAGCTGTACAAGTACCTACATAGCTGTAGCCCTCGACCAAGGCCCGTATCCCGCAATCCTATAATATTGAAGCAACTGAACATTTGGAAAGCTTCATACCTACTAGGTGATTACTAGTGTGTATTTATTGAGGCTTATGCACGACTGCGACCTTGACGTTAGCAACCAAGATCCCGCACCAGCCTAAATAACTTGGTAAGGTTACATTACATGAGGTTGCGTATGAGAATGTGACAGTCGCAAGGCTTCCAATCAGATATCAGATTGGGCAGATACTCTTATGCATGTTGGATTGATCATTGTGTAACCCTCCATGTGCGCAAGGGTCTTTCCATGCATCTTATTTCTTCTAAAAAAAGGTTACCAAGGCTGGGAATCTGTCCCGTCTGATTAGCCAAAGTCTCGTTGTTGTTGTTGTTGGTATTGCTCCGCCATCCCTACCTCCCCTTCCCCTCTACTGCTGTTCCTTTGTTTCTTCCTGCTCATACTATTAGTGACTATCTACTATTAACTTTTACCTGGTATGCTATAGCAACTCTACCCCCTATTGTTTCAATCCCAAATATCAGTTAACAACACGTAATCATCATCTGGTACATTTGATACTTCGTTAATGGCCTGGTTCTTTATGCTAGCGGCCATCGGCCTTCTACTAGTAACCGCCACCGTGACTGCTACGATAATCAGCACCGGTGTTCGTTTGCTGCAAAACTATAAGGCAGCTCGCACTATTGGTGTGCCAATTCGCATCATTCCCATTAGCCCCGTCAATCCGTTCTGGGTTCTACTGGACAGAAAGGTTCTCCCATTCTTCCGCCGCCTGCCATTTGGGCACAACAGCTTTACTCGGTATAACTGGAGAGGATGGGAGGTCGAAGATAGATATCGCTCTCACCATGAGATGGGCGATATCTGGGTCCTGGTAACGCCCTTGAGAAATTGGCTTTACGTCAATGACCCCGATGCGTTAATGTCAGTTTTCCGGCGTGGAGCTGAATTTCCCCGGCCCGTGTTTGTCACTGGTATGTGTGCCTGTCACCTTACTTGGCGTACAACATTCCTAGATAGCTAATACTACACGATCCCTAGCGGTTCTGGACGTCTTCGGACCAAACATATCTACTGTAGGCCCCCCTTAGCCCTGCATAGCTATTTATCTAGTTGAGTTGGACTAACTATGCACGCTATAGGCGGAAGGGCAACGATGGAAAACGCAGCGGAGAATAGCGACCCATTGCTTCAACGAGCAAAACAACCAAATTGTATGGACTGAGGCACTGACTTTAGCAAACGATATGCTCAGCTATTGGGCATCGAAAGACTCCATCAAGTCTTCTGCCGAAGATCTGCGTACGCTGTCCCTTCACGTACTTTCCCGTGCTGGTTTCGGCAAATCATTCAAATTTGAGGGCGCCGACGAGAGGGATCCGTTCACTAGCCCGTCAAGTAATTATAAAGAGTCCTTACAGACAATCCTTGAGAACTGCGTTCTCCTCCTTGCCCTCGGTAACAAGTTCCTCGCGAACCCCTGGCTTCCTCGCAGGTTGAGGCTTGTACACGAAGCATGGGTTTACTTCCATGACTATATGACCAATATGTACGAAGAGGAAAAGCGCACGTTGGCCGAAGGCAAGACCTCTGATCACAACCTCCTGACTTCGATGGTTCGGGCCTCGCAACAAGATAAAGAGAACGATGCAGAGGCTCCGGGTCTTACGGAAGGCGAGATCTACGGCAATATGTTCGCATTCAATTTTGCAGGCCACGACACTACAGCTAATACATTCACCTTCGCCTTGCATTTTCTGGCAGCACACCCAGATGTTCAAGACTGGATGTCGGAGGAAATTCGAAATGTTTTCGGAGACTCCGATCCATCTCAATGGGACTATCGCGCCCACTTCCCACGCCTTAAGCGCTGTCTGTCTGTCATGTATGAAACGATGCGTTTATACACTCCTGTACCTGTGCTCAAGTGGACCGGCGACCGAGAGCAGCCGCTTACCGTTGGTGGTAAGACTTTTGTTCTCCCCCCTTATACTATGGTTGCCCCCAGTTATGGCTCGATACAAACCGATCCCAAATTCTGGGGATCAGATTCTCTCGACTGGCGGCCGTCACGCTGGATTAAGTCTGCCGAAGTATCGGGAGTCACCGCCGAGTCATCTACTAGCGTCGAGGAGCTAAAAATGCCTCCGCGTGGTGCTTTTATCGGGTGGTCTGAAGGTATGCGAGACTGCGTGGGGAGGAAGTTCTCCCAGGTTGAGTTTGTGGCTACAATGGCTGTACTTTTCCGTGAGTGGAGAGTGGATCCGGTACCACTGGAAGGCGAGACAATGAATGCGGCACAGAAAAGGGTCCTCAATCTCATTGAGACAGATTCGTACCCGGTGCTACTCCTTCAAATGCTTCACCCGGAACGGGCACCTTTGCGGTGGAGGAAGGCATAGATGGGGTCATCATAGGACATTGGACTAATCTTCTCGAGTAAGGCATGAAAAGTTAAATCAAGTTGCCGTTAAATTGTGCTTTAGTTGATAATAAATAGCTTTGTGGTGGTGGATATCTTTACCTTACCGCTCTGTTACGCCTTTGATGCTCCGTACATATCATTTATATCGAAGATCTTCTCAATTATACCAATGAATTCATTTTCCACCATCAGTCTTCACGGACACTAAGTTAGGGTCACGCTTCATTTCGTCTGGAATAGGGGCGTGGGCATGACTAAAACCAATCAAAGTCACGTGAGCCATACAACCCACGATCTTTATTATACGTCTAACCAGAATAGATCATTCCCAGATTCACCTCCCCATCTCCAACTACCTACCTAGGTACCCTTATAACCTCCCCACACATATACAAATGGCCTCAAGACCACAATACACCCACGCCTAGCTCGAGCAATTCTACGCCCGTATCCAGCTCCCCCCTGCTCAGCGCCTCTACTCCATCGCGCCCCTCTCCCCCTCAGCCCAGCTGTCCTATCTTGCGCTGCTGCAGAAACACACGCTCGTGCACATCCCCTTCGAGAACCTAACGCAGCACTACTCATGGCACCGCGTCGTGAACGTGCACCCGCAGCACCTCTTCACCAAGATCGTTGCCCCGCCCAGCTGCCGCCGCGGGGGCTACTGCATGGAGGTGAACACGCTGCTGCACACCGTGCTGCTGAGCCTGGGGTGCACGGTCTTCATGGCGGGCGCGCGCGTGTACGCGCCCGAGACGGCGCGGTACGGCGGCTTCTCGCACTGCGTCAACATTGCTGTCGTGGGCGGGACCCGCCACATGCTCGACGTCGGGTTCGGCGCCAACGGCCCTACGGCCCCGCTGCCGCTGCTGGTGCCGGGCGCGGAGTACCCGCACATCAGCCTTGGCAGATCGCCTAATGCCCACCCCAACTCCAACTCCAACTCAGACGTCGACGCGGAAGCCAGCGCCAGCGCCTACATGCGACTCGTCCACGAGCCCCTCCCGCAGCAAGTCGACCAGACGTGTCGGGTGTGGGTGTACCAGCACCGGGTCGCCTCCGTAGCGCTCGACCAAGACCAAAGCAGAAGCGAGTGGGTGCCGATGTACTGCTTCGTCGACATCGAGTTCCTGCCCGAGGACATCCGGGGGATGAACCTGAGCCCGTGGAAGAGCCCGAGCTCGTTCTTCACGCACAAGGTCATGGTGGCGCGGTTTACGACCGACTTGGAAAAGGAAGAACAAGACGACGGTGGTGGTGGCCTGGAGCTGGGGCCGGGGTTATCGACGTCGTTGGACGGGGTGGCGGTGGCGGAGGGCACGGTGGACGGCGCGCTCGTGCTCTTTCACGATGCGTTGAAGTGGCGGCGTAACGGGGAGGTGAAGCTGCATATCAAGTTTGAAGACGAGGCGCAGAGGGTGGACGCGATACGCAAGTATTTCCGTATTGAGTTTGACGAGGAGGACCGGGAGGCTATCCGTGGTACGGCAGGGGAGATCAAATATTGAGGTACCTAGCTAACCTAGTGAACATATTCCCCCCCGTGCTTGAAAACATCAACTTCGCGTCGCATTAATTAGCATAGGTAGATTTGGCAATCGACGTACTCGAGCATGATTGGCGACTTAATTAGAAGAAAAGCAGTATGAGTGAGGGAAAAAGTTCTATTGAGAACAGGCTATGAATAGCAAGTAAGCCATTGTGAAGGAAATAACGCTAGTTACCTAACCATGAGTCGAAGCCCTTAAACCATTATAAGACTCGCCATGACTTCCACCCAATATTGCAGGAGTCTCCTAGAAAGTCCATCCGTATACCCGCGCTGGAAGTAAATGCTAATTTGAGGTAGCTCAAGCTATTCGTAATAGGACGGCTTCCTAGTTAGAACCAACGTTTGCGATGTTGTATGCAGGACCCCAGTGATAGTACTCATCTTCTCGCTGCTGCTCCACTCTCTTCTCCTCCTCCCGCCTCACTCTCTCCCGTTCTTGACCCTCCCACCTCTTTAATTTTTCCTCCTCCTTCCGCTTCCTCTCCTCCTTCTCCCGCCTCTCCCTCTCCTTCTCCCGCTGCTGCTGCTCCCTCTTCTCCTTATCGATCTTATACTGGACCAGCGCTTGCTTCGCCCAGACCTCCAGTCGCTCGCGTTCCGTCAGACACCACAGCACGATCTCCCGCGTCGCCAGCGTGTCCTCGAGGCAGACGTGGCCCTTCTTCTTCGACACCTGTATCGCCGCCCCCAGGAGCTCGCGGCACAGCGTCTGGAGGCCCCACTGCCGCCCTATCTTGTTACCTTTCCCGAAAACAGCTTCGCCGACGAGGATCGAGGAGTCGATGACGCGCTTGTGCACGACGCGAAGGACCTTTAGGTCGCCGTGGAGCGCGTGGCCGATTAGCACAGTGTCGGCGTCAGCGAAGCGGAAGAGACGGTCCCGCGCCTCGGGCCAGCCGTTGAGGGTCTCGCCGCGGAGGTGGGCCTCGGTCATCGCCCGCTTCGATACACCGCTATACTTAGTACGCCAGTCCTTGACAGTCTCGATCGGGTACACGAAGGAGTTGATGAGCACTGCACCCGTGAGCACGTCGACGGCGCAGAGGAGGGCGAGCTCCTCCCGGCCGCCCGCGACTCCGACCATCTCGCAGTCGATGGCGATGGCCTTGTGCTTGGCCACTCCATTATTGGTTCTGGCTGGCGTCGAGAGGAAGGTGTTGGGGTTGGCTTTGATCCGCTTTTGTTCAGCCCGGCCGCCTGTGTAGTAGCCATATTCTACCAATATGCCTTCACTATGGCAGCGTGCCGTCAATGTCTTCAGTAAACCAGGGCGAGTTCGTCTTGATGCCCATGGATATTCATCTAAGGGAGAGCTAGGTACCATAGCCACGGTTTGCGTTGGGGTGGTAGAGGCAGTGGCAACCAGCGTCACGGTATTTTGCACTGCGGGACTGGTATTTGGAGTAGCCGTAGAAGCATTTGCAGCTTGCATAAGTCTCTTAGACCGCCTAGGAATAGTTATTGTCGAAGGCGCTTGAACTGCTAGGCTACTATCTGGAATGTCTATTGGAATAAATCAATAAAATTATTCAAACACTGAGCATTGCGACGGATAATACCTACCTTTGGCAGCAGCAGCCTTCGAGGGTTTCCTTTGAGGACCTTTAGAATTGCTTAAGGAAGTACCGGAGGCGTTTCTCTGCGAATTCGTATTCGAAGCGCTGCCACGGAGAGGACGGTTGACCTTGTGTTTCGGGGCATCTTTCATGTGCTGCGTGAGAGCCTTCTCTGAAAAGAACGGTTGGTTGCACACCGCGCACCATTTTGTTTCCATGTGACCTGTTTGCTCGACATGCTCACCAAGCAATTTCCGGCTCTCAAATGGCAAATTGCAATCACACTGGAAACTTCGCGGTTTCTGGCTTTGCGCCATGATCGTTGGTTGTTGGGGAAATGCGGATAGGTAGATAGGTATGTGTTGCAGCCTCCAGTGTTAATCCACCTAGGTAGGTAGCTAGCTATCTATACGCGAATATTGAAGATGGGTACCTAGGTCGATAGTCAGTATTAACAGGTAGATATAGATCTAAGATGGATAAAAGGTTCATTCAATTTTGCTGAAGAGAAACAAAAGGTATTGTATTGGGAGGCCTACTGAGTAAGCCTTACCTAGTACCTAAGGCAGTGAAGGTGGTTGAATGTGCCACGGCGGATGGCTGAGCTGTCAAATTGGATGTTGCGCAGCAAATCAAATCGGAAGCTCAGGGGAATAGGGTACTTATGCCGGCCCCGGAGTTCAAATGTTCGAATGTTGTTAGTACACATTGTATTGCATCCTTTCACCGAACCAAACTTTTTTCAAACTTTCTACCTGATATAATAGCCAACATCTATGCCAGAGCTGGGGAAATCGTAGCCACGTTGTTGGCACTTGCCATCATTATTGATGTTCGAATGCATTGCAACATTCATGTTGGGCCAACTACCTAGGGTGCCTAGGTAGGTACAAGGTACAGGTGGACAAGGTACAGGTGGACAAGGCACCTAGGTACGTGCTTCCATATTCAACCAATTTATCATGATTGCCGAAGAGGTTCAATGTTCTTAATTCCAGTCTGATACTCACAGCAGCCTTCCCGGCTCTTACAGACCTTGTCATATGCGTACTGAGTGCTGCGTACTGAGTGCGGATTAGGCGTGATAAATAGATAACGCCTTAGCGATGTGCCCCGCGGTGATCGTCTGCGGCCGGGACTGGGCCGGAGGTGGGGCCCGTATTCAAACAATGGGTGGCATGAGTTCGCGAGGATATGTTGCATCAGACCGAGACCGCATAATTCATGATCCATGATACAATTCCTACCCACGCTAATGGTGTAACCCACATGCAGCCTACCTAGGTAACCTTGGGAAGGGTGTAATTACATCAAGTATGAGTTCGACCGAAACTCTGATAACACTGAATTTGCATTCCCTCTGAATATAGTCCCCCAAGTCCCAAGCATATTAAGTCATCATCCTCCCTTATCGCACATTGAACACCATCGTTCAATCTTACATGGTCTTGTACAAATGAAACATACAAACAATGGGAATAACGATACATGTCCATACCTCCAAAAATTTCATCTTCCAAAGAAAATACATACTAAGGAAACCCCGAGCTCTGAAATACATGTCGCTAGATAAATCACGGGTATGTCTGCTTTGCACTGAACATCGCAATGCCTTGAGCATGTCTCCCACCAAGCATGTTGCTGATTAGGAGACGATTCCCGCAATCATAGCCATCACGGCACCGTAAAGACCGACACAAATTAAAAGCTCCCAGGTACGAACAGAAACGATTCCTCCTTGGATCAAAGCCCCTAGGATACCGAGACCCACTAGTAGCACAACTGTGAGCCTGCCTAGGTACCCGGGTATAATTAAGAACGTCAAAATGGGAATAATAACGGCAATCGTGATTGCTATGGAAAGTGGAATAATTTGGGTCTCATCATACACCCCGTCGACCGTCTCAGCGATAGTGATTTCTTCTTGGCGGTAAGGAGAAATAGGCGAGACAGGGCGAGTCTTCATGGGCGATGCTTGATGGCTCAGCGGAGGGACCACGCTGAAGTCGGGACGTGGCATTGGCGTAGGAATTGGTTCATCAATCACCTCCTCCTGTTCGTCATCGCTTAGGCATACCAAGTCATCTGATGCGTCTAGGAAGTGAGTCTCGGCTTCGGACAAGGGTGCGTGGGTGGTGAGGAAGCTGCGATATTCGTGGATGTCCTCTAAGGAGGGGGTCGGCAACCCCACTGTGTCCCTGAACGACGATAGTATACGATCTAAGGGGTCAACTAGTTAAGGAAGTGATATGGTAAAGCATTATTAAGGAATTTGATGAGTATGATACTTACTATATTGATCCAACTTGAACCCAATCTTACCGAGGGTATCGGTCTTGCGCCAATACAGCTCGCCCCCAGCCATATACTCTGCTCTGCGCGAAGCAGGGAATATGCAGTTAGGCAAGCGCCTAGCCTGCGTGTCCGCGGCGTCGAGTTGATGCAGCTGCTCCTCTAATTCACATATTTCATCCTGAAGATGCAACAGCATCCTATGATTCAGGGTCTCGAATCTACGGTATATGGGCCGAAGACGAGGGCCGGCTCGATTGAACGCCGATGCAGACAAGCGGGAAGAAAGCAGCTCGTAGCCTGTGATTGGCACTCTCTCAGCCCTTGGATGAGGCGGAGGCGGTGGTTGTCCTTGGCTGGGGGCTCGTTGAGTGTGATCGATCGGTGAAAATGGAAGGTGCTGCGAAGATCCTCGTGGGGTGTCGGGAAAGGCGAAGCTTCGTTTCCTAGGTTGAGGCGCCGCTATCCGAGGCCCGACATTAGGGGGTGGGCCGCCGCCAACACCATTGTCCACGATACGTTCCGGACTTGTGCTTCGGTCGTTCTCACGGTCACCATTTTTATCCGAATTATCGTCTCTGAAGCCACTCGACGTCGAGGATGCACTGCGGGTGGATGGTGACTCAGCTTGGATAGAGGTGGGGGATCGATGGGAAGCTTCTTCAACGGACCTACGAATCGTCTCGGGTGTCACCATGGGAGAATCTGAATCCAAGAAGTTGAGAGCATTCGGTGGCCGTCCAGGAACCTTCTTTCGCTTCGTGCTTGGCCTTTCTACATTGTCGCCATTCAGAAAAGGCCTTTCCGTAGCAGTCGATCCACCCTCGGCCGAGCTATTTGACCCATGCGAACTTGGAGCAGCCGTTGCTTGACACGTTGAAGCAACTGATGGTGAGAGAACACGGGTTAGGGATTCATTTTCTGATGCCGCGTCAAGGTGGGTGCTATCCTCGGCAACACTGCCGATTCCCTGTCGAGCAATATGTATCCCCCCGGCCAAGTCTATAGCTGGGCCGCTCGGACTATATGAGGAATCGGGCACTTTGGATCCGCTAGTAAATCTCCTCTGAAGCCTATTTGGGTTTGGGTTGCTTGACCCATACTTAGTAGTGGGCTCATTTGGCCTGATATCGGTGTTCCGTCTTGGTAGGCTTCTCCTCCTGAAGGACGAAGGATATGGATAATTGGAGTGACCTCGTTGTGGACGATCCTGGCTGTCAGCCATGTTGTGGTCAGAAGCTTGCCAATGGGAAAGTCGATCAATGGCAGCCGGAACGGACGAAGAACGAGGAGGCCTTGGGAACGACATTAGTATGAATATCAACCTTGATGTTGTGACTACGAGATAGGTATCGAAAAAGTCTTAACAAACGAAGATCGTCCTTAACCCCGCGTTCGAAATAAAATAAATACAAACACGGCGTGAAACACGCATACCTCAGTGGTAATATTGGGCTGCGAGTAGCCGTCCATGAATAGGACTCAGGCAGATCCTATTTAACGTGAGTGAGTAGCCATTGGACGCGACAAATAGGCGAATGGTGGTAATCCAAGATGATGTGTACTAGGCGTTGACAAAATATCCAATTGGTAGGCAAGGCTACATGTATCACTGGCTATGGACCGTTACTTGATTGACATGTGGCTAAAACAGATAGAAGAAGATAGGCAAGGTGTATGTACAACGATGATGGATGAGCATAGTGGCTTTCTGCGACGATAGAAAGCAGACCACGAACTACGTGAGAGTTGTGTGGTCCTATGAGACGATGGAGTTGATATTAAGGAGAAATATTCAGGAAAACCTAAGAAAATATCAAGAGGAGATAAGTTCGAAAGAGAGACAGGGGATGCTAAAAAGGACATCACATCCTATGTAGATATGTACCTAACTACTACCAAGGTACTAACCTTACATATGTACTATGTAGGCAGATAGGTATCCTGCATACGTAAGGATTCACTACGGTCGTCATCGCCATCAAGTTGATCAGCCGAGGCGGTAATACATGTAGCCCCCCCTTTCAAAATGTTAGCGAGCAACATTGAAAATTTCCAACACCAGTGGGTAGTTGGCCGCATGGTGATGTCCAGATACCGGGCGGCAGATGATTGGTTGGTGGGATAAGCACATATGTCTCAGGTCTTAAGTGATGTGATGAATGTATAATGATCCAGGCCACATGTCGCTCGTGGGTATGGTGACGACCCCGAAACTTCCAAGGCTGGTATGTCTTCATCTCGTATATGGTTTGTGTTTGACATCGACATGTTTCAAGATGCTGTGATAGAAACATTAAACCTTTGTGGCAACCAATATTTGACTTTTTTTGTATATGAAGAAGCAAAACTTGTCACTTCCAGAAAGAATGAAGATTAACAGGTGATGATACATAGTGTTGAGGGGTCAGCGCTAGATTACTATCCATGTAACGTAGATAGTTCCGGCTTAACGGTTCTTCAGTGGAGCTACTCATCGCAGCTGCAGTATCAGATACCTATTTGATGCACTCTGACGCTTGGACCACTCAGCATCTCCCTGCAGTAAGGAAGCTCGGACCCTAAAGTACTGCGCTGGTTAGTCGCTAACTACCTACCTAACCAAGGCTAGTTAGTACATAATAAGTAAGTTAATTGATTCTGTAAAGAAAAGAAAAGACTGGACTGGACTGGAGCTTCAATAATTATTTCCACACTTTGAACATTCATCTTCATCGTTAGGCGTTCAAAAGGTTCAATATGCCCCGACTCAGAGTAGCAACTCTCAATAAATATCTACTCCATGGCCAATTCTCTACACGAGGTTGCCTAAGATCACAAGTCTCGCTTAGGTCTGCAATTACTCAAAATCCTCCTCCCCCAATAACTCATTGGGCTTTTCAATCTCGAACTTTACAGACTGAGTCGATTTCTGCTCAGACCAATGATGCCCCCTCTACACCTCATGTCCCACTAAGGAAGCAATTGAAAGAGGAGGCAAAAAAGCAAAAGTCCCTTAAGAAAAAGAAAAAGAAGAATGTCAATAACCAAGTGGTCGACGGTTGGGAGCTTACTGTAGGAATCGAGATTCATGCCCAACTAAACACCGCAAGGAAGCTCTTTTCACCTGCCGCTACCTCTTTTAACGATGACCCAAACTCCCACGTGGCTTATTTTGACTTGGCTACCCCTGGTAGTCAGCCTCTTTTTCAAAAAGAGACTCTTATCCCAGCTTTGAGGGCTGCTCTAGCTTTCAATTGTGACATACAAAATGTTAGCAGATTCGACAGGAAACACTATTTCCATTGGGATCAGCCGTCTGGATATCAGATTACTCAGTATTATGAACCGTTCGCGCGTGATGGAAGAATTGTGTTACAAGCTAGGGACGGAATTGCGGCGGAGGACGGCGATGGCGTGTCAATCGGGATCAAGCAAATCCAAATGGAGCAAGATACGGCCAAGACGCTTGCCCAACCCGGCGATGTGCACTGGGTTGACTTCAACCGTGTTGGAGTCCCTTTAATCGAGATCATAACTCTACCTGATATCCATCACCCAGCTACCGCTGCTGCTTTAGTTAGGAAAATCCAAATGCTCTTGAGCGCTACCGATGCGTGCGTCTCGGGTATGGAAGCTGGTGGTCTGCGCGCCGACGTCAACGTTTCCGTCCGAAGAACCGGGGATCCTTCTACGCCCCTAGGCCAACGAACTGAAATCAAGAATTTGAGCAGCTTTAAGGCTGTGGAAGATGCCATCATAGCTGAGCGGGATAGGCAGATTTCTGTTCTCGAGTCTGGTGGAAAGATAGAAAGTGAGACGCGAGGGTGGTCGATCGGGTCAACCGAGACACGCCGATTACGAGGCAAAGAAGGTGAGGTTGACTATAGATACATGCCAGACCCGGACCTTAGCCCGGTCATTATTGGTAACGACCTTATCAGTCATCTCCGCAACAGCATGGGCGAGCTTCCTGATACAGAGGTTGACGAGCTCATTGAACGTTTCAGACTTACCCCGAAAGATGCATTGTCTCTGGTAGCGCTCGATGGCGGTAAGCGTGTCGAGTACTTTTGGACGGTCTCTGACCTTCTCGCTCTACGATTTGGCTCAAACCCAAACTCGCCAGAACGCCTGCCAGTGTATCGACTTGCTGCAAATTGGATTTTACACGAGCTAGGTCGTCTGACATCAGAACGTAGCGAGGATGCCGCGCAAGACTTGGGCTTCACAGAGGACGGTCAGTCCCATCGTGTGCCTGCTCAACATATTGCCGACATTATATTCTTTCTCTCCCAACGCAGAATCACTGCAAAAATTGCCAAAGAATTATTATGGGCTGTCTTTCGCCAAAAGATACCAGATGAATATGCTACAATAGAGGCAGTGCTTGACGAAGAAAAGCTGTGGTTTAATGGGCTTACCGAGGAAGAATATGTCGAGCTCGCATGCTCCGCAGCAGAGGGGCAGGATGAGGTGTTGAAGCAATTCGTAGGGTACAAAAATTATCCTCAAGGGAAACTGATGTTCTTAGTCGGTCGAATGATCCGACTCGGAGCTGAGGAGAGGATTAATCCCAGAGAGGCTGAGAAGGTGATGAAGCGCGTACTGGAAGAAAAGCTGATTCCGGCTATCAGCAATTGAGCCTAGTCTCGAATGTTACTATTGGTCAATTAGTCTATATCCTACTATTTACCTACTTACTTAGTATCTACCATGTAATGAGATATCTATAAGAGTCAACGTCGCAATGAGTCACGCAATCCCAGCGGCCCGAGCACGACATAAAAAGTCTCTCTTCCCCAATCTTCCGAAAACATGAAATCTATAACGTTAGTCCCATTAAACCCCACAAACAAAATATCTACTTCGATATAGATATAGGCATTTGTGCTACACCACCTTCACCATGTCGTCCCAGACAACAACCCCACTTCCCCTCGTCGATCACATCGTGATCCTAATCCCACACTCCTACCTCTCCGCCCCGCCCCCCTGGTTCGCGGACCTCTTCACCTTCTACCCGGGCGGCCAGCACGCCGACGGGCTCACGGAAAACACCCTCGCGCTCCTCGCCGACGGCTCCTACATCGAGTTCATCGCCTTCGTGCCCGGCGCCGACCCCGCTCGGCGCGCCAGGCACCAGTGGGGCCGCAAGCACGAGGGCGAGGTCGTCGATTGGGCCGTCACCCTGCCACCAGGAGGCCTGGAGCAGAAGGAAAAGACGTTCCAAGCGATCCAGCAGAAGGTCCGCGACGCGGACACGGGCATCGTGTACGGCGACCTTGTGCGCGGCGGCAGGATCAGGCCCGACGGAGAGGTTCTGGAGTGGGGTGTTGCGTTCCCGAAGAAGGCAAGCGATGGCAGCCCCGTAGACCCCGGGACCGTGCCGTTCTGGTGTCTGGATGTTACGCCGAGACATCTACGGGTGCCGTATGACGGCCCGGATGATAGCGCATGGACAAAGCATCCGTCCGGCGCTGTCGGTGTCGCGGGGATCCATGTGACGCGGTCTGCAGAAACCGTGAAAAGCGCCGGTGGGGTGTACGATGTGCTACTCGGGAAGGCGAGTAGTGCAGAGGCGACAACAGGATGGAAGATAAGGACGCTGGATGGCGAGAAGGTGCACTCAGACGCTGAAGTACGTCTCGCTACGTCGAGGAAGGGCGAGGCGACGGTTAAGATCTCGTTTTTCACGGATGATATGAGCTTAGCTGGGAAGACGGTGGGCGGGAAGGTGAATGAGGAGCATGGCCTAGAGTTTTATTTGGCGCCTGCGTTTGGGAGTGAATAGATGCTCACAGGCAGACAATAGGATGACATGCCTAGGTAGATAGGTACGATATCGAATAACATAACGAAAAACGTTCCAACATTACTATTTTAGAATAAGGTTGATCGTGTGATGGTTAAAGGAGTTATGCGAAATATATACACATATAACGACAGCCAATATATACACAGATACATACCTACTAGTATACTGATTATAGATATACATGGTTAGGAACATATGTAAGTGGTGGAATTTGACCACGACAGAGCCCTCCAATGGTTATAGGTAGACGAATTCATGATAGCTTCCATCATGGATGCCTAGGCAATCATGCGGGTTGGTTAGATAATGTAGTCGACGGACCTTGGCTATTTGCCTTTACCATCTGTTGAACCATTGGGACTTGTTGATTCGGCCACGGCCCAGCCATTCCTTTGTCGCAAGAAGTTTTCGACCCTCTCATGTCTATTCAGGAAGGCTTGTTGATTCTGCCGCTTGTTCATCTCCTCGCTAATGGCTGCGTGGTGCTGATCTCTCATCTCTACAATATTCATCGAGTTTGTACTTGCTCGTCGTGCTTGCCCGAAGCTTCCAATGACTATGAAGATGCACAGCGCGCCGGCAAAAAGCTGGTTGGACATATACACCGGCTGCTGTTGCTCTTCCTTCTTTCCATCCCTTTTCTTGTACCATTCTTCCCAGTCTTCCCACGTGGCGTTCATACTGGGATTCCCAGGTTTCTCTCGCCAAGACCTGTCGGCGCTCCGGTAAAGGTTTTCCATACTCCTTATTCCAGCCCATCCTGCGCCGTATAGATCGTAAGCTCGCCGCTTTTGTGGGTCGCTTAGAATCTGATTTGCGGCAACGACCATGCGGTAGCGTTCAGTTCGGACAGCATGTGAAAGGGGGTTATTGACCGCATGGTGGTGTCGATCTGGGTGATAAATCTTAACTAGTTCATAATACTTAATTTTATTGTAAGGCGCAGTCTTGTGCTGATTGAATATCTCGTACGGCGTTGGGTGCTGCGACACAGGCCAGGAATGGTCATGAAAAGAGCTTTTCGGCTTGTTCGGCCCATCAGGCAATGTGGCATAGCATCGTTGGCGATAGAGCACAGAGCTATGCTCCTGAGTTTGAGGCCATCGTGTATTTGGATTATGGAATGACGTTAAGCCATAATAGGTATGTGGCGAAGAAAGGAAAGCGGGAAGACTGGAGCTGGAAGAAATGGCGAGGGTGGATTTCTTGAAATTCATAGTCTAGCTGAGAAGGACATTGTTCATGAAGACCTTCAATGAAGACTTCATGGCTGGGGAGTGTGAGGTATAGGATCCTTAATAAGTTGAATGGAACGGAATGGAGAATGAGGAATGAAGATATTAACTTTCAAAAGTGATGGTTCATATTGGCTCAAACTCGCTCAAAAGCCGACTTGACCGATGGTGGATGGTTCAATGTTCCTTGCAGTACGTCAATACTCTAACTATCACCGTTATCTGTTACCCGCTATCCGTTATAAGGTTAGCTTAGGTTTAAAGCACTACAAGGTTCAATCAATCGAGTCGGGATTGAGCGTTATCGCGCTACAACCCTGAGCGGTTCTCATTATCGTTCGTTCAGCCTCAACACTGCGGGGTATCTAGGTGGAGCCCTTTTGCATCCAACAAGGAAGCATTGCATCCGGTCAAAACCGGACCGGGATTATGTGGCTCGTGTAGTGGGGCCACCACTTCCCTACCTTGCCAGCCGGACCAGCTTGCCTGCTCACCTAGCTCGCTAGTGGCTCCGTGTGAACTGCCCAGTAGGGGGGGGAGTCAGGTATGACCTACCTGCACCCATTGAACCTGAGGAATCATACATTCCTATTGGACACGTTAGGAATTTGTGGAACCCTATTGGAAAACAATTTGTGGTGGGCACATCAGATCAGATTGATCAGATTAAAATCAACAACTTCTTTCCTTCCTCCCAAGGCAGACAAACTACTAAATCAATACTTACCTTTTTTTTTTTCCACGAGCCACTTCTTTACGATATCTGCCATAAAAACCAACCCATCACATCAATACTCAACTCCACACTCCTAACCTCTGCATACATTTATACATCAACACGCCTACGCGTAACCTTTACTACAAAAAAAAACCTTTGGTGGTTAGTGCATTCACCAACATTCACCAACCTTCATCCACACTCGACAATCTTTGAATGTCTATTCGAGTCCAAAGGGATTAGTGTCTTCATTATTCAAACACCTCCTCGCGAACAACTATTTGCGATAACCGTTTCCGCTTCTGAAGCAGACACCATTATTCTTGATTACCGACCCCCCCCCCTCCCTCCATCTTCCCCGTACTCTGGTAAACCCACTCATCGATTTGCTCTGCGGTGACGACTTCAGAGCCAGGGCACTTTCGACCCTCCTACTTCGTGTTATTGCCTTGCGCAATCTCATCTATATCTCGTTTTTCAAAGACGCAGATGATCCGTTGATTACAAGATTCCACAGTTAGTAACAACAAGTAAGTCTACCCATTACACAGCACAACAAGTACATGGCAAGCACAGCTCTTGCCGACTTTGCACTCGCTATTCCTTCCTCAAATGAAAACTCGGGGTTTTATATCAATGAGCTTAGTTGGTAGGAGGGCTCAGCCTTGCACAATTTGCGAAAGATATCAATACCCCCCTTCCGTTTACCTCTATTATATTCTTTTGTGTTTCGTGAGCTCATATAAGTTGCGTCTCTTAGCGTCGTTGAGGCGTTTGGGCATACCCACAGCTTCTCCGTCCTCAGAAACGACCAATCCACTTTCGAGAATTTCGAGATCCATTTCACGAACCACGACCAACCACATATTCACACAAAAACAATTATCCTACTCACGAGTTGACAAGCTGTTGTATCCGATTTCGTCCTCCTATACACCACGTCCAACAACACATGAAATAATTTGCTCTTCATAGGGCTTCACTACTTCATTCTATAATACCATCTTATACAAACGGACAGTTGTCCTGCGTATTAACTTTTATTGGTACCCTGTCTACGAAGCATTGACACGAGTCTCGGAATTTGTGAACACCGACTCGCTCTGTACCTAAAGCACTTTCGGCATTCGGAAGAATATCCTCACAGATACAATGACGGATACATTAACAGCAAAACTACTGGGAACGTCCCTCAACGATGGCCCTCAAAATGAGGATTGGAAAAAGGGTCTCAATATCCCAACACGCGATGGCAGACATCAAACAGAGGTATGTACTTAGCTTTCTTGCCCACAATCATGTTCAACACATTCACTGTACGAATTTGACCTAATTCATGTTCTAGGATGTTACAAATACGAAAGGCTTAGAATGGGAGGACTTTAACTTAAAGAGGGACCTATTGATGGGCATATTCGAAGCTGGCTTTGAGAAACCGTCTCCCATACAGGAGGAGTCGATTCCTGTAGCTCTAACAGGAAGAGACATTCTTGCCCGAGCGAAGAACGGAACGGGAAAAACAGCAGCATTTGTTGTGCCAACACTGGAGCGCATTAACCCCAAAGTCAACAAGATTCAGTGCTTGATCCTAGTGCCAACAAGAGAACTAGCCATGCAGACGTCCCAGGTCTGCAAAACTCTTGGCAAGCACCTTGGCGTTAACGTCATGGTAACTACTGGCGGCACCACCCTCCGTGATGATATTGTTCGCTTGCAGGACCCTGTCCACATAGTAGTGGGCACTCCGGGCCGTATCCTTGACCTGGCTGGTAAGAATGTTGCTGACCTCAGCGAATGCCCCATGTTTATCATGGATGAAGCCGACAAACTGTTGTCGATCGAGTTTACTCCAACCATTGAACAACTGCTCCAGTTCCACCCCAAGGATCGCCAGATCATGCTCTTTTCTGCGACTTTCCCCCTGTCTGTCAAGGACTTCTCCGACAAGAATATGAGCCGGCCTTATGAAATCAATCTAATGGACGAGCTTACTCTAAGAGGCATTACCCAGTACTATGCCTTTGTTGAAGAAAAGCAGAAAGTTCACTGCCTGAACACTCTCTTCTCTAAATTGCAGATAAACCAGTCAATCATTTTCTGCAACTCGACCAATCGAGTGGAGTTATTGGCTAAGAAGATAACAGAGCTTGGCTACTCCTGTTTCTACAGCCATGCTAAAATGGCCCAGCATGCGCGAAACCGCGTGTTCCATGACTTCCGCAACGGTGTTTGTCGTAACCTCGTATGCTCTGATCTCCTGACCCGTGGTATCGACATTCAGGCAGTCAATGTTGTAATCAACTTTGACTTCCCGAAAAACGCTGAGACCTACCTTCACCGCATTGGACGTTCGGGACGATATGGTCACCTTGGTTTGGCTATTAACCTAATCAATTGGGATGACAGATTTAACCTGTACAATATCGAGAAGGACCTTGGGACTGAGATCCAACCAATTCCAGCCACTATTGACAAGAGCCTATATGTTTACGACAATCCGGAAAGCATTCCTCGCCCGGTCAACACATATACGAAAACCATAACTTCTAACACCCAGGCCCAGTCCAATGAGGGTTCCTCTTATCAATCGGGCCACCCGTCGGCATCTCAGGGCCGAGGTCAGAATATTCTTGGTGGTCGTGGTGGCCACTTCAATGACTCTCAACCGCCCCAGTACCAGTCTAACCGTGGAATGGGTCGAGGTTCCCGTGGGGGTAATCGAGGCCGAGGAGGGGGTCGTGGTTATAACAATAACAACAACTACGGGGGACGTGGTAACGGCCGAGGACAGGGCCAACCCCCACAATAAGTCCGATCCTATTCGGACGTACATAGACTCCATAATGATACCTCGGTATCTACTGGAGTCCCGGCAGGTTTCATTCATTCCATTTGGACTGTACATATTTCTCCTGGATTCTTCTTGTTATTTGTAACATACCCATTACGACTTCTTTGCTGGTTCCTTGGTTTCTAGTCGTCTCTTGATCTCAAATGAAATTTGAGAATTCGACAGCATGAGGCCAAAGCTACTTCATGTTTCGACGAAATCAGGGACGGGAAAACACGGCGTTAGGCGTTTTTGCCAACTAGAGGAGGTGGTTGGCATCAGATCAATTTCTCGGCAGCATGGACGGCGTGCTCTAAATGACGAGAAATGACAGGTGGAGGGGATTGATACTCGTCGACATGGTGCTACACGCCTTTAACTTACACATACACTTTCGCCCGGCTTTACACTTATGTGTAAGTTTTCTCCCGTTGAAGATACAATGTCTGGAGCAGAGCAATGCTTTGACAACTATCTGAACCTAAGGAGAGATCTTAAGCACCACTAGCACCTCAACGACACAGCTGTTTGGTCGGGCTTTCTCATCTATTTCGTTATTGCACTGCATCGACTCGACTGCAGGAGCATTCATGTTTTCCATGGCGGTGGCGGTTTTGAACCCGACTGCAGGAAAATATTTCAATCTGGAGGAGGACTTGTCATCTAAGGATGTGCATTCTGATTCACCCAGTCACAATTGGCTCACATGTTTAGGAGGTGACAATGATTTCTTCATCGGCCATGCTTTTCCAGACAACATTGAAAGCCATAGATCTCCAATGGGCAGCTGACTAACTGTCACATGGTCAAGTTATTGGCAGAATCGCTACCATACCTTTGGGTTCCTTGGCATCTAGAAGGCATCTAGAAAGCATATTTGGGCCTACGAATAACCACAGGCAATTCCAAGTACTTGAGTACTGCCTTGTCTACACTTATCACACACATGGAAAGAGTTAGAGAAAAAAAGAAAAAGAAAAAAACTGGAAGGGCACGTTGGATAGACTAGATAGCTTTCATACTGGTTATATGTCCTAAGTATCTAGGCATATGGTACCAGTGAGTTACATAGTTTACTGAGCAAATTGTGGTGACTGTCAGTCACCATTTACCTTTCACTTAACTGCATTCCCATATAGGGTGACTACTTGGTACACACATGGTAGTTTTGACTATCATCATTATTACTAGGTACTATGTAGTATGTACATCTCTTATAAATAGTGGAACGTTTGTGAACATAATGGCATAGCTACTAGTGAAAAGATAGATAACATGCCTAGGTTAGATGATGGTAATTGATACCTACTCGCAATAATCATATTATATATCTACTATGTAGTATCCCATCACTGCAGGCATGTAACGCTTCAATGTTGATACCTATCATTTTAATGTCGTGTCTTTGACTGCCATGTGTATATAACTTGAATGAACATTTTGGGTACATATGCGATGTACCTGATGCTATTCGAACCATTCCCCACTAACTAAGCATAAACCAATAAAATCAATTTGGGCTTTCGGAAAAGGAGAAACTTATGTCATGAAAGACGCCAAGATCTAAAGATACATGGGTGCAGATTAGATACATCCCAGTGCGCTAGATACTAATGTAGTTAGGTTGATCAACCTTAAAATTCTCAAAGAAAAGAGCAGAGAAAAAAAAAAAAAAAAAAAAAAAAAAAGGGAATTCAACACTACATATACATACCTTCATACCTGCATAACATACATTCAAACTTATCACTTACCTACGCCTTTCACATTTTTACTTTCCACCTTTTTATAAACTTTCGGAAATATAATCCTTGGCAAGTAATCTTAATCGTTAGGATGCTTATGCGTCGACTCAGGCCCGTCTCTCATCTTCCTTCACCTTTCCAGCTTCTTTCAACTCCTAGTCTTGTCCGGTTCATCACCATGGAGAATTCTCAAACGACCCCTAGTAGGCCTCGTCGCTCGCGTGGAAGAGGCAACAAATATCAGAAATCAACCTTTCACAGTCATGGTCCTTCGCAAATGCAAACTTCTCTTGGAGGTCCTGCTCAGGCCAACGATATGGTCCCTTCAGCTTCTGTCATACCTAACAATCAGCCCAAGTTCAAAGATTTGGGGAATGAAAACCTCGTTCATCCATCATTACTCCTCACACTTGCCGAGGATCTGAAATACGAATACATGACGCCAGTTCAGGCTGCTACCATTTACCCCCTCTTAAAGGAGAACTGTGACATTCTAGCACAAGCCAAAACCGGCACGGGAAAGACAGTCGCCTTCTTGGTTCCGGCTATCCAAAGGATGCTCACCAAGAAGCTAATCCTAGGTCGGGAGGTATCTCTTTTGGTCATCTCACCAACAAGAGAGCTGGCAATGCAAATTGCCACAGAGGCACGCGCTCTCGTGCAGCGTTTCAAAGAATGCAAAGTATGCATCGCCATTGGCGGCACGAACAAGAGCACAGAAGAGAAACGCATTGCGCAAGGCTGTGATATATTGATCGCAACCCCCGGTCGATTGATAGATCACCTCGAGGGCGAAGACAGCGACGGTCGCGTAAAAGAGAAGCTACGGAAGCTTGACACGTTAGTTCTCGATGAAGCCGACAGACTTCTGGATATGGGATTTCTCTCCTCATTGAAGAGGATTATCCAGTGTTTGCCTGATAAGGCTAGTAGAGAGCGACAAAGCATGCTCTTCTCGGCCACTGTCCCCTCCCACGTTCAGAAAGTTTCCCAGTTAGTTCTAGCTCAGAATTACAAGTCCATATCTACTATACCAGTAGGCGAACCGGGTACGCATGAGCGTGTCGTTCAACACCTCGTCACAGTTCCGACTTTCTCCCAAGTGGCATCTGCATTGGTCGGTATAGTCCGCCAAGAAGGAGCACATGCGCCCCCTGGCACATTCAAAGCCATAATATTTGCACCAACAGCGCGCTTGGTGGATTTCTACCTACAAATCCTCAGCAAGACACCCGGTCTGCCGACAGTCATGGCCCTTCATTCTCGGATGTCGCAAAGTAAAAGGGGCTCAATCACGGAGCAGTTCCGAAAGTCTCAGAGCAGCATCCTCATCGCAACCGATGTCATCGCCCGAGGTATGGACTTCCCCTCCGTCACCAATGTTATCCAAGTAGGTATTCCCTCAGACAAAGAATCCTACATTCATCGACTTGGCCGAACTGCCCGTGCAGGCGCCGAGGGACGAGGTACTTTCCTCGTTACTCAACACGAGTCTTATTTCGCAACCCATACCCTGAAAGATGTCAAATTCGTGGAGACGCCCGCAGACTTGAGCGCCCACCAAGATGTCTTGCGGGCCGCCACAAATTTAGACCCCGCCATTCAAGCAAGCGCATATCAGGGCTGGCTGGGATATTACAAAAGCTACGTCAAGAACCTGCGCTGGGATAGCCAGAGACTTGTTAATGAAGCCAACGAGCTTGCGCTAAATGGCTTTGGCGCTGCTGAAGTTCCGGGCTTGCAGAAAAGCACAGTGTCCAAGATGGGGCTGAAAGGTGTTCAGGGGCTCAGAATTGTCAAGCCCCCACCACGAGACGAAGAAGGTGCCGGAAATATGAACCGGCAGAAGAGTAAGAGACCAATCAATTTGGTAGATTAATAAGCCTATATCTGTAAAGGTATTTGCCTCTATGATTAATGCGTCACATTGTATTCTCGGTTCTCGGGGTATTAGGTTCGGGTAAAAATAGAGTAGAATAGAGCATCACAACTGAATCACAGTCTTTTACTACCTTGTATCCCACCGATATAGATTTCGCCTGATGACATCCAAGTCAGAGAGGGTTTTGCTTCATGCGTCGGGACCTTTTTGGTAGGTAGGTCCTTACGCAAGATAGGCCTTGCCTCGGAAGGAAAATACTTCTTATCTTCCAGTCTTAATGACGGACCATGCCCAAGTATGGGATTATATTTCGAAGCTTGGAAAACCAAACACGACCGATGGTGCCCCCATGAAAGTTTGATGATGAAACCCATTATCACCATCGCCCGGTGTTTCGTAAATGTACGCATTGCATGTCTTAGACACATTTATTATTCACGCCACATATCTTCCTTGGTGTTTCTTCATGCTCTGACCGGTATAGGAAATCACATGCCGACTTCGTGAATAAGACAGGTACTACTACAGCGGACGATTCTCCAAACAAGGCTAGTGACGCAATTATCTTCCGTGAGATCGGGTAGTACAGGATGCTGAATGATCCAGATATCTAAGGTTCCTTCGAAGTCTTACTAGATATGGTACGAGGATAAGACAAGAGGGGGGATGTAGGTAGGTAAAAGGTATTCACCTATACCATTTTGTGAGATTGTTCCACAGTAACACAGCACAATGTGAAGAGTCGGAGAGGTGCTTCTTTTCAAGTCATCCGCCAGCTTTGTCGATGCTTGTGACACTTAACCTCACCCACTAAGGTAGTATCCACCTAAGGTGTGATTCGCATCAAGGAAAAGAAAAATTCACCGTTGTCAACGAAAACCCCCGAAGGATGGTTGGCTATTTGCTTTTTTATGAGAGGTTTGAATAAGATAGGTAAGGCGCTGTTGTTGGTAGGACAATGATGGTGTGGTGTAACTGATCCGGCTGGGTGGTTCTTGGGGACAGGGAGGTGAGGAAGTGGATTTGGCGGTGATCTATTTACCAACGCATTCATATAAAATATCCCACTTGTCGGTAACCAATGATGTGTAAGCCCAAGTTGCTTATATGAACAGTCAACATACCTAGTTTAGTCACATAGGTTTCCCAAGCCTGAGAATCTTATGAAAATGAATACAAGGGGCTATTTGCTTTCATCAAATGCTGGGACACAATACTAGGATGGCAAGAGATTAGCATGCTAATATGTAAATGGATAGCAGATCGGTATCATGTGAAGATGCTGGGTATCTAGGCCATCTAGGTTAGTGCTGTTGCTGACCATAACACCAATGCATGGCCCGTTTGCCCGGCCTCCTTCCCCCATAGTGATCCCCCGTTCTGGGATATGTGATGTTTGTTGATTTGGGCCCGCATAGAGGCGTCATTTGTGAATGGCCTTGCGGGCTTTGCTAAGTCCTGGAGAAGCATGTTGTAGCTACATGTATAGGATTCTGTCGGCGCTCCACTGATATAAGTGCTGAAGTTTCGGGTAGCCGGGGATCTTTTGATCTTGGCCTAGATTCAGTGCAGACCCGCCCTTTGGCTATCGAACCGCATGTTTCCCCAGACAGTAGTTAAGGGGGCAGTAGGCATCGTCTATGAGAATCGAACCATGCTATTCACCATGAAGGTGGTATGACCCGACGGTGAGGAGCGTCTCACTAGACTCAAAGCTGTTGACTCGGCGGGGCGAACACACTCCCTTGCTCGCTGAGTACACCCGAAATAGAACTGGTCTCCGAATCTGAATTCGACATTGTAGGGCCTAGAGTAAAAGCAAAAGGATAGAATCTGGGGTAGCTAGGTTGGATTTGGATCATGGCAGGGAGCTTATGAATTAAGAAAATAAAAGGGGAGATGGGGTAAGTGTTGTTAGGTTCGAGTTGGTTACTAACCTTGGAAATCGGCAACCTCCTCGACTGCACCCTGGCCCAAAGTGGATTGCTAATGAGTAGCTAGGGATTGGAAACAATATACAATAGAGAAGATAATGGAGGGGATGGGAAAATCAGTTGGTTCAATGTTGTACATATGGGTTACACGCATCGTATCTTGCTAACAGCCCGCTATAGATTGACACAGCGACCCGAGAAGAAGGGGTTACACTAAGTAAATGGGAATTAGCCGAGGATCTCGTTTGCAATAATAATGTAAGGTACCTATCTAGTCGTTAGTAATACTTGGTATGTGATCACGTGATACCCCTTTCCCTCACACGCAAGTTGGGCATGCATGCATAGGTACATATATGTCACTACCTGTTGCATGGCTATCTGGATGCCCGACTTATAATCTAAGGAGGTGGAACCCAATCACGTTTGTCTAGGCTACTGCATTAACCTTAACTCTGGTTCACGTGATACACGGGTTGTGCGTTTGCATTTACATGCATTTGTGAAACACTTCTGTTTGTTGATACTGTAACAACTCCATTCATTAAAATACTCCCGCTCATCACTCTCTATCACTTTCTCTCATAGATGGTAACTATCTGATACTCAAATACACTCAGTGATCATGCTGCAATTCGGAGACATTCCATTTGGCCTTGCCGCTGAGAGTGGATGCCCAGTCTGTTACCCAAAGCTGCAGCCGCAGACGCAACTGCTCCTATGTAGCGGCTGTAAAGTCGTCCATTATTGTGGAGCGGAACACCAGAAGAAGCACCGTCGCAAGCACAAGGCGGCATGCATTTCCATTCTCAACAGCCACGAAAAATTTAAGAAAGAGGATGCCATACTTCGGGCCCGGCCAAGTAATCCTTTCGAGAATGGCGTGGGCAGGTTCTGGACTTTGGCAGGGACTCAAGATTACATGAACGCTCGATTTGCAGCTGCCAACGCTCTGCTTCAGGTCAACACAATTAAAGCTGTCGAGAAGGCTTTAGCTCATTTTCAGGACATGCTGCGACTTGATCGGTCCGATAATCTAGCCATTCGAGACTTCGTTCCTGGCCTCTTACTTCGCCTGGGACGAGAGCAGGAATGCTATGACTTTCTCAAGTGGTGGGCTGTCATCGACGATGAGCACCACTACAATGGTCACTATGATTGGAGCGATGTAAGTCTGCCATATCTTGACATCCGCGGAGCCGATGCGTTTGAAGCAGTGGACGCTTTTGCTAGCAGGTTGAGTTTCAGCCAGCTTGTCATCCTTGCGCTCCTGAAGCTGCGTTTATCCCTCGACATTGAGTGTTATGATCCGCAATATATGGATTCCGAGTCATCTTGGCACCCTTGGCCCCCTTCTATCACAGAAATCATACGACCGATTGGAGAAATTGTCCCGGAGAAGGTCAAAACAATCACGAGTTCAGATGTACCGGGAATCTACAAGTCACTCAATGATCAATTTCAGGCTTTGATAGGAATGGTACACAAGAAAAACTCACTGTTTTGGGACGCTTTATTGGACGCATCGGAAGGCGAAGTATCGGCGTTTCCATCGGATCGTCCTGATGGCATTCAGGAGGTCATTTCGGCCATCCATAGGTGCAAGATGGCCTGGGAAGAAAGTTATGATGCCATCACAATGATTGGATCGGAAGTTGCCAAGTTTACTAAGGTGTACAAGGGCCCCGCTGCTGCCTCGGGTGATGTGAATACTGGAAAAGTCGCGGTAACCTCAGAGAGACGAAGAGGTTCTGGCAAAGCATTCCCATCCAAGTTTTCTGCACCCACAGCAGATACGCGACCAGACACCCTGTTCCCGCCTTCACCGACTGGTAAAGATCGAGCATATCATTTCGTCCATCGCAATAACCAGAAAAAGGCTCTCGCATATGCTGACGGAGCATGTTCAGACAATGGACAGCAGAACCCACAGGCAGCCTGGGCCACTGTTCTTCGCCCATCCATTGATGACAACATCCTTCCATGCATTGAATCAGGTCGACTAGAGCTCAAGGGCCCCTTTGGAGACGAGAGTGTGGCAACTAGCAATCGGGCAGAGCTTCGTGCAGCCATAGCCGTCTTGCGTCGCAAGGACTGGCGAGCTGATGGGTTCACTAGTGTTGTCATCGCAACCGATTCGTCTTATCTTGTCGATGGTGCCACTGGGTGGGCGAGAGGCTGGGTTACAAATGGATGGAAGACGCGAACTGGCGGGTCCGTCAAGAATAAAGACTTGTGGGAACTTTTCCTCGGCGAAGTAGAGAAGTGTAGGGAGACGGGTCTAGAAGTTGAACTTTGGAAAATCCCTAGGGAGATGAATGAAGTTGCCGACGCCGTAGCAAAGGAAACCATCTCCGTGGCGGCAATCATACCCGAATTTGAGAATATGCCGCTTGACTCATCAGCAGCTACTGCCACAACTCCAGGAGAGCCTCATGTCCTTTGCCTATGCTTGGAGTATGAGAGCATGTTCAACGATATGTATGCAAGCCTAATCTCGAGGATTACCGCCAAGGCCAAGTTGGACCGAGCCAGGACTGAAAAGGCCGCCTTGGACATGCTCACTCAGAACCCTCCGCCATCGGTGATCTTGGTCACTGATGTAGGTGTTGTGAAACACATGAAGGTTTGGGAGCGCGTCATTGATTGTCTTCGCGGAGGATCGAGGGTGGTACTTGCAGCGACCTTCAGTTCATTCGTAGATGCGGGCCAATTCAATCGTTGCTTTGCTAAGGTCGGTCTACCCTGGAAAAGAGGGGGTTACCATCGAACAGATGTCAGTCTGTGTCCCAGCGCTGTCGGTGATCGCCTAAAGGAACAGCTCCTTCCCACCTATAGTCAAAAGGCCCTTTATGTCGAGGGAGTGGCTAGATCGGATGTATGGTACATTGGTCCGAGTGATGAGGTGCCTGTGGCTTTTACGAAAGTTGGGAAAGGCATGCTCGGTTATGTAGGAGATGTGAACGGTGAAGATGGCTCTGAAGCGGTGGTACTCGCTATGCTTGGGCTGTTGAACTGAATTATGAGATACTGAAGTGAAGAAAGCTGACAGATACCTAGAGCAGTTGTTGCAGCCCTCAAATGATTGCTACCTACGGCGGGCAAATTACGACCCTGCAGGATTGCTTTGCATGCCGATGTCCAACCTACACACAGCAAACAGGACATTGACGGTATTTATAGGTAATAAAAAATAAAATTATACAAAGCATCATTAAAACCCCAATTCTAGATATATCCGCATATCTAAATTAGAGGAGCTGGCACATGTAGTAGTTACTAGCCCATCCAAAGCCTCCATTTTACCCTAAAGGGTTCCATACCAACTCTTAAACATGTGTGCAAAACACTCCAAACTCTTTGAGATTGTCCCCCTTTCCAACCAACTCACGTACATGAGCCCCTACTTAGGCTATATGCCTATATCCGATGAGTCTCTAACCATGGTCTCATAAGTACTGAACTAGTTCTTACCTACCTACCTAGGTAAGTATTGGGAAGTATAAGCACTAATAAGCGAAGCAACTGAGACAGGATCAGGATGTGAATTATAAGCAAGCATGTGACCTATGATTCGCTTTAGGGGTTTGAACGCAAGGACGGTGATGTTCTCGAAAATCGGATTTTTCACCGAAAGGTTACCTACTACAGCTTGCGTCCGTAACATATCACGAGAAGGGAAGCTCGTAGGGGAAGTGGAGACAAGATCATCATCACAATCTGCAAAAGAAAAGAGATCTAAGGGGGAAGGAACATACATACACCATCGTAACACGACATCGCTTAGGGGGCGCCATCTAAACATTTAATTCGTCGCAGCGTCGTTGTTTGCACTCCATATGGCCTCGGCGATCGAACCGAGATTTTGCGGGGAAGAAGCAAGGACAAAGCCAGCGAGGAGAGCTAAAGGGCGTGATGGAGATTATAGTTACTACCAATGCCTCGGTACCCCATATATTATCATTGTTCATGGTTGTAGGTAATCTTCTAGAACCCCAGAGTGCTCTTTGTCTAGGTTGCGTGGCCTGCCCCCCCTTGCATCTCAGGTCCTGGTTAGTTGTCCTCGTGCGTCAGATTGATACATTTCGGCCCCGGTTTGTATTACGACCCCTGAGCAGCCATGCGACCAAGGCCATGCGGTGGCGACATGATGTATACTCGATCGAAAGTGTTGGGTGATACCTAGTAGTATGTAATCCGTAGGTAGGATGCCGCGAGACAAACTTTCGTCACATATTACCATTTTCACCAGGGGGGTTGGATTGTACTAGGTTACTCAACTAGTTGTACTTGTATTTGTACTTGGGATACTCTTTTCACGGTATATAATCAATACACATGGGGGCTTTTCAGTTTTTCTTGGTGTGCCTCTATTCATTTGCCCTCGCTTGATCAAGCGGAAGGCATCACGGGACAGAGCCTCTCTTTGTTAGATGAATTTATTCCTACCTCTGTCTTGACCGCCGACCTACTCTCTCGAGAAAGGCAGGTTAGCCGTTCAGATAGTATTCACTCGAGAGCATTAGTGATCTATTCGAAAATGGCGGAGGAAACGAGGTTGAAGATCGGTGTCTCTTTCCTTCACCTTAACTGTCATGGATATCACATCTCGGACAGATATCAAGACACCCTGACCTCGTATACTCTTGCATTCCCCAAATGGCTGGTATCAGTGTTCACGTCACGTCAGCAAGAAAGGGTTCAGATACTTCACGACTTCCATGGCATCATCCACCCGGGTGAGATGCTTCTTGTATTAGGACGACCTGGCAGCGGATGCTCGACGTTTCTGAAAACTCTGGCGGGAGATGACCGTGACTTTCAGGTCCACTCAACATCAGAGGTTAACTATCAAGGTCCGTAAAGGACAAGTCCTGAAGCTTATAAACACCTTACTTACCAACAAATAATTTCCATTAGGAATATCATACAAGCAGATGCACAGAAAGTTCAAAGGAGAGCGTGTTTATGTCTCCGAGCTAGATGACCACTTCCTAGATCTGACCGTAGGACAAACCCTCGACTTTGCAGTTTCCACGCGTGACAATCAAGCAACTGGGATCGATGCATGGGATATTGCTCCAAGGCTTGGGCTGGAAAGGAATAGAGGTGGAAATGTAGCTCTTCGTGCCACAGGTCCCGCAGATAAACGCCGAACTAGCATTGTAGAAGCATATATCGGCGGTGCGCAACTACAATGCTGGGATAACTGCAGTCGTGGACTCGACAACTCCACCACCCTCCAATTAATCCAGCTGTGTCGTGAATCAGCAGAGTCACGCGGCTCCACCATTGCTATGAGTCTGTATCAACCATCAGAGGCGATGTACACGGTATATGCCCACCTCCTATCCTAATATGCCGCACATTGATCTACCATGCTAACTTGGCATAGAGCTTCGGCAAGGTTATGTTGCTATACGAGGGCCATCAGATATATTTCGGGCCAGCCAGTTCCGCCGTTGAATATTTCACCAAACTCGGGTTCGTCCAGCCAGAAGGGACGACGACGGCCGAATTTCTCACGTCTTTGACAAGCCCGTCCCAGCGTATCATAAAGGAGGATTTCGAGGGAAATGCCCCAAGGTTCCCGGAAGAGTTTGCTAGCGTGTGGAAGCGCAGCGAGCAATATAAACAACTTATTACCACAATCAATGATTTTAACAAGACGTATCTAAGTAAAGAAGATTCGGTCCAAAGGCTCCAGAGGTAATGTCAAGAAGAAATTGTCTATCCGAGACTGTATACTGATCAGATGTGTCAGACTCCGAACTAGCACCTTTCCCCTGGCGATATACCAGCAGCTCATCCTCTGCCTCCGCAGATCAGCCCAGCGCATACGTAACAATCTCACCGAGAACATCTCTACGATTTTCGTGAACATCGTCATGGGCCTTATTACCGGAAGTGTGTTCTACAAGACGGGGAACTCGGGTAACACTACAGATAGCATGCAAGAACGCGCTATTCTCCTATTCTATACTCTGATGATCAATTCTTTCACGCCGGCCGTCGAGGTTTGTATCTGCCACATGCCAGTTTGAATCTAGCTGAACTTGAACTGACTTCGGGCATAGTCCACACTCATGTGGCTGCAGCGTCCTATCCTCGAAAAGCACTCCCGATACGCCTTCTACCACCCCTTCACCGAGAGACTGGCCTCCGTATTGGGCGATATTCCAATGAACGTCATCACCACCCTGGCCTGCCACATCCCGCTGTACTTCCTATCGGGGCTGCGAAGGTCCGCCTCGGCATTCTTCACTTACTGGTTGCTCATGCTGGTGAATCTTACCACGATGTCCATGTTCTTTCGCATGATGGGCTCCGTCACCCGCACCCAGGAACAGACCCTGGCCACTGTGTCCATTATCACTCTGCTTTGTGTCATGTATGTTGGGTTCGCGGTGCCGTCCCTCTATATGGTCCCGTGGCTCGCTTGGTTCTGGCGCATTAATCCTGTAGCGTACACTTTTGAGAGCTTGATGATAAACGAGGTGTGTTTTCTATTCTCGTTCTACTTTCTCTTCCCTATTCCCTTGGAATGGCCCACTGCTAACGCCCATTATCGTCAAGTTCAATCACAACTACTTTACTTGCTCGAGATATGTTCCAGTAGGCCCGGCTTATAGGAACATCACGCCCACTGAGAGGATTTGCGCCGCTGTCGGAAGTATCTTGGGGCAACCGGGCGTGGAAGGGAGTGATTACATATTATCGGGATATGGAAACGTTACGAGTCATATGTGGCGGTGAGATTCCCAACCAACTCATAAGCTAACGTGATTGTTGGATATCTACCTATGTTGTCGATAACTAACGGTAGAGCCATCAGTAATTTCGGCATAGTCATCGCGATGATGGCCTTCTTTTGCCTCGTATACCTCGTCGCCTCTGAATACATCCCCGCCCAAAGGTCACGCGGAGAAGTATTACTTTATCATCCGGATAAGTCAAACAAGAAGAATCGCATCCTAGACTTGGAGGCTGCCGTCACGCTGTCTCCGAGCCTCGATCGCACCATTACCAGTGATAAGCCCGGCATACCTACGCATATCGATATAGTGCCGACTACACCTAGGACCTATCGCCCAGCTGCAGTCGTTTATTGGGAAGACCTCGCTTACGATATCGAGACACCAAGCGGTACGCGAAATATCTTGCAGAATGTGGATGGATGGGTAAAGCCTGGGACACTTACTGCGTTAATGGTAAGATGTTTCAGGATATGTGTGTATAGGTACCTAATCAGACTAAACTAACACTCTTTAAGGGGGTCACGGGGGCCGGAAAGACTGCTCTTCTAGATGCGCTGGCTCAGCGTGCGACTACGGGTGTGGTGGGCGGTACTATTCGTGTCAACGGCCGACCCCGAGACTCCAGCTTCCAGCGACGGACCGGATACGTGCAACGGAACGACGTCCACCTCCCTAGTGTGACAGTGCGGGAGGCATTAGAGTTCAGCGCCCTGCTAAGACAACCGCGAAATATACCAAAGGACGAGAAGATCGCATACGTGGACGATATCATACAAGAGCTAGGGATGCAGTATTATGCCGATGCAATCGTCGGCCTCCCGGGAGAGAGCCTTAACGTGGAACAGCGCAAGATACTGACGATAGCTCTGGAGCTAGTTGCCAAGCCAGATTATCTACTGTTTCTCGGTAAGTTACAACACAATATTCTATTACAAGTTGTGCTAATTTCATCATAGATGAACCAACCACGGGATTGGATAGCGAATCTGCTTGGTCCATCTGCTCGCTACTACGGAGACTGGCGGATAATGGGCAGACCGTGCTTTGCGCAATCCACGAACCTTCCGCTCAGCTATTCCACATGTTCGATCAACTCCTTTTACTCGATAAATCTGGAAAGCCGTTATATTTCGGCGACATCGGTCGAAATGCATCGTCGGTAATCAGCTATTTTGAAGAGAATGGCGCCCCTAAGCTGCAACCGAAGGGCAACCCTGCCGAGTGGATATTGGATGTTACTAGCAAGGAACCTGAAATGGGCACTCGAGATGCGCAGAATACGCAACAAGAACCAAAGCAGCAGACATGGCCCGAGAAATGGCACACGAGTCCGCAAAGACAACTCGTCGTGCAAGAAATCGCCCACCTCAAAGACAGTCTCGCGAGCTCCTCCCGCCGCGTCCTCGACTTCGCCGACTACGAATACTCCGCCTCGACCCTCAACCAGGTCCTCTTACTCTCAAAGCGCATCTGCCAGGACCAGTGGCGGGACCCGCCGTTCCTGTACTGCAAGATCCTGCTGCCGATCGGGCTGGCGCTGGTGAACGGGATCTCGTTCTACAACTGCGCGCACGAGGTGCACGGGCTCATCAGCCTCTTCTTCTCCATCTTCCTCATCCCCGCCATGTTCGGCGTCATCAGCCGCCACGTCATGCTCCGCTTCCTCAGCGGCCGGGATTTGTTTGAGGCTCGCGAGCGCGGGGCCAAGACCTATAGCTGGGTCGCGTTTGTGACGGCGAATGTGCTGGTGGAGCTGGTGCTGCATACGCTGATTTCTGTCCCGCTGTTCGCGGCGTGGTACTATCCGACGGGGCTGTTCCGTAATGGGGTCCCCGGGTTTGGGACGACGGAGAGAGGGGGGCTCGCGTTCATTCTTATGTGGCTTTTCATCATCTGGTCGAGCACGTTCTGCCAGGTGCTTGCGGCTGGGTTTCAGCTGATTGAGACGGCAGTGGAGGTAGCGACTTTATGCACGTGGCTGTCCATTGCTTTTGGAGGGTAAGTCTTTCTTTTAAGCCTCCCCCCCAAGTCCGGGCTGGTCACATACTAACGCGCTACATTTCTAGTATCCTCGTATCCGCCGAAAGCCTCCCCCACTTCTGGATCTTCATGTACTATCTCTCGCCCTTCACCTACTTCCTGGAAGGGCTAGTAGTCGTTGGTGTTGCGGACATCGAGATCAAGTGCGCGCCGACGGAGATGCTGCAGCTCGAGATCGCGCGCAACTCGACGGCCCAGACGTGCGGCGAGTACCTCCAGCCCTACGCCACCATGACCCACGGCTACGTCGCCAACCCCGACGCCACCGAGAACTGCCAGTACTGCCAGGTCTCCGGCTCGAATGCGATTCTCGCCAGCATTGGCCTCGATCCAAGTCACTCGTGGCGCAATGCGGGGATTATGGCGATTTATGTCGTTTTCAATATTGTGGCGGTTTTTGCGGTTTATTGGGCGGTGAGGGTGCCGAGGAAGAGGAGGTAGGAAGGCCGATGAGGTGTCTGTCTTTTAAAATTGGGAAAAATAAGATTGAATTTCCTTTTAGGTATCAAGCTGAAGCGTTCGCCAGGAACTAAAAGCACATTAATCCTACATATCACTAGGTACCTACCCCAGGTATATATGTCTACCACGAATTTTATCACAACAATATTGTATGTACCTATGAGTTGTTGTTTGCAGAACTCGGATTTCCACTGAATTCTAAATCCTCTGCTTGTGTACCTAGTTACCCAGTTGATAGCTTGTATTTTGTTGTATTCAGGATTTTCGTACCTACATAAATGCCTCATTTCTATATGTGATAAGTTCGTGAACACTACTCGTTAGGTAAGAGGTATCTACTTATGGAGTGTAATAACTCATGTACCCTTATCTATAAGAAATTGCATAGCTTTGAGAATAGATTCACGGCTGGAGTTAGTCTTCGTAACAAGTTGCCTCTCTCCGTCGTATAAGTCAAAAGGGGCCACAACCCCTGGAGATTATCAACAGCCCTAACATCATTCGTAGAGCATGATAGCTAGCTCCCAAGGTCTACACATTTATACATACTACTAGGTTAGGCAGGTACGCGGGGAAACTTATAAATAGAATAATTTTATACGTAGCTTAAATGCGGCAGCGATTGGGTTAGACTTACACTGTACTTGTACATCACAATGCAAATTGCACAACCCAGGTAACGAGGGCGGCGCATGCGGCGCGAGCACCGAATAACCTTCTACAACTCCCACTGATAGCTCCTGCACGTCCTCAAGGCTCCATGGCCTAGTTCTCATCATTTCATGTATCGACAATGTTGCTTCGACTTTCCCTTTAGGTAGCTGAACCTCAGGTATCTAAATGACGGTTCAGGGATCTGGGGTAACCTGAGGATTTCGAACAGCTGAAAGCAGAAGGCGTAGTAAAAATAGACTCTCCTCCATTATTGTTTATCATTTAGTATTGTGAAATGCGGGTAGAATGATGCATTGTTGTAAAAACCTCAGGTTAGCCTAGTTAGAAGCCCTTAGGCACAAGTTGGCAGGTGGTGGATATAAACATCAAAGGGACTTCTTGTATTGCTACTCGTTAAAATGACTCGGGGATATTAGCCCTAGTACTCTCCTTCTTGTGCCCATTAGATATACGCGGGATTCTTATGAGATGTCACGCGCGATTCCAAAAATGAGTTGTGGGCGCCTCCTTTTCAGCTTAGCCCTCTGCCTAGTCCCCGCTACATTCGTCGCAGCGGAAAGCGGCATTTATGATTTCTTTGCAGTAGGCGAACGATATTTTCCAGACAAAGGAGCAGACTATTGTGGTTGCGAAAGGTATTGGGATGACTTGGAAGAGAGTTATGATGAAGCAGCGGAAGTTAGTAGTTAAATCGCCCCTTATCTTTCGATGGGATAGTACTGATCGTTAAAAAGCTGGTAGACGCTGCGGTGAAATCAATGGCATATATCAAGAAGACCCCAAGACCAAAATTGGCGGGCAAAGAGCAATGGAATTGGGACCGGCAAGGGGGGCCTTTGACGAGTAAGCTTCTTCCCAGTGCTTCTTCACGTTACGCTCGTATGATCACTTACATGATCACTTATATGATAGGCTAACACTCTGCACAAGGTCTGTTCGCGATAGAGCTAGATATAGAGAACGGAGGCCCAAAGGAGAACTCAAAGCATAGGTGGGATTATGTTGAAAAGGTTAACAATCACCTGCACACAGTGTTTCTCGTTCACATGTGAGCTAATGCCTTATAGATTTATGGCGATATGAAGTATGGTTTCGATAACAAGAAAACCCGAGATAATAGGCCAAATGCGCTCTATTGTGGACAAGGAGGATTCAAGTATTACGAGCCCAATGCGAATTACCCCTTAGATCCTACCGGGAAGACAAAGGTCAAGGATAAATATCAGTTTGGGTAAGTACTTCCTCACTCATCGGTATGCGACAGTCTCTAAGACTGTTGTTCAAATGCTTGATAAATAAGGCCTAATAACGCATGTTACAGGATGGTTTACTTCAACTGGAGGAAGTTCGTACGGAACAGTGACAATGAACCGAAAGCAATCGAATATTGCGTGCCAAGCAAGAATACTATGGCCAGAACAAATGCCAAGATGAGTTTTATAATGTGGTGCTCCCTTGAGGATTGGCCAACGTTAGATGTGGAACATGTCGAGGAAGGTGAGGCCTTAGACAGGTATCAGCGACACTCTGGATCAGGAGCCTGGGTACATGAATTGTGAGTGCCATCTACATGTGCACCGATCCTCGTTCAAGATTCAGGGGTCATGGCTAACCTTATCGAATTAGGGCTCATTACTATGGTTGTTATGAAGAAACCATCTTGATAGACCGTAAGCTATTCCACTGGCTTCTTATACGCGCCGCCGCCCCACCTCCTCCTGGGTAGTACCTTTTGGTCTTGAGTAACTTCTAACGCTATCATCCACAGAACCTGCGGTCGATGAGAATGGGGCGCTCATACCAAACACAGCAACATATTACATAGCCCTGATCTTTAATCTAGTTCGCTACAAGCCTGACTTGGCTTGCAAAACCGCCGATTCTTATAAGTGGTATGCGGTAGCAATGTAGGAGCCCCACCATCCCCCTAGCCCACATTCCCAAATAAAATGTGAAAGCTGATAGTTGTTTAGTTTCCACCCAGAGTGGAATTGGTCGGACGGTAAAGCGAGAGCTTATAAGTGAGGTGTCATAGACATGCGGGACTAGGATACGGGGTATGACGACAATACCAGGAATATACTTGGCTCAGGGGTTCACTGGGAGGTAATAATGCCTAGGTGGTTCGGAATGAGGAGCGGGGTCAACCGTATTCGGTGCTTTTAATATATTTTGAACCGCCTCTGAAGCTATGAATGATAAGTTGAAGTGTCCATGTGGTGGCGTCTCAGTCCTCTTTTGATCGCTTTCCGAACCATCGCCGGACTGTGAACTTCGTGATTTTCGTAACCGGGAGAAGAGAGACGAGAGTTTCACGCCAAATCTGGATGCTGCTATACGTTTGGCAAGGGGTCTGAGTATAGGCAGACTGGCGCAAAGGATGGCTATACTTGTATGCAAGGCCGTCCAGACTTCCGTATTGGCGTAAGATAACGACCGTCTTCCTGGCTTATAAGCAAGTATAGTCTTGACTATACCGGTGATAATAGATCTGAGATGACAGTTAGTGTACTGGGTTTTAAACAGAGGACGCCTCCCTAGATAAGGGTAGGGTGTAATGGATTATACATACAGCGCACCCAGCATAAAGATTCCAGAGACGACAAGCTTCTGCCTCGGCGAATTCCGCATCCGCACCACCACGCCCACCGGCAGCGTCAAAATCCAAACATCTAGAAATATCTCGCAAATTCCCGAGCCCAGCCAGAAAACATTGAAGTTGAAGCAATGCTTGGGGTCGTTTAGAGTGTTGAACAGCCCGGCTTCTAGCGGATCACATTTCCTGAGCGCGGCGATCGTGCACCCGATCCACCAGCCGATGACGAGCGAACTTGCAGCAAATAGCTGGTACCGGAAATAAGTGCTGATAGCGAAGATCCGATGGTACATGAGTAAGATCCCCAACTTGGTGGCGCCAGCAGCCGTTAGATATAGGACGGAGCAGGTGAAGGACAGTTTGAGGTACAGATGGTCCGCGTCGGTGTAAGCATAGTTCGGGTCTTCGTTTTCCAGCACATGGATGCCATTCGGATCAGCTTTGTTGCCGATTAATACGAGGACTGCAGTTACTAAGGAAGTAATGAGAGCGACTAAGATGAGCCAGTCATCGACTTTAAGGCCCGACTTCGTGAATAGACGGGTATAGAACCGCAGTGCAACGGAGATGACGGCCAATGTGATGGCGAGCCCGTTGACGGCGTATGCAGTAGTATGTTCGTTACTGTCAGATGAACTTTGGACGGGAGCCATATTCTCATCGTTTCGGTCCTGGTTCCCGGAAACCCATGGTGCTCAACTAACGTCGAGTGCTGAGCATATAAGAATCCAGGCTCTCTATAAGAACCGTCAAGGGGTTTTTAAACCTCCGTCTCACATAATGGCTTAACATTACACGTGCATTGCAGCTACCAGGCAAAACCATAAGGTTGGGGGATCACAGCATAGCTTGGTATGTAGTAATGAAACGGAAGGGAGGAATGGCTGCGTTACACTGCAGAAGAAACAAGATCTCGGGGGGCCAATACGATCAATTATATGCATGCCAGCATTTCTAAATAAAGCATGAATCCCCAAACGGGCTGCGGGTGGGACTGGCTGACGAATATATGAAGTACGACAAACTGCCTACCTACCTAGGTAGGGTAACCTAGGATTAAACGGCCCTGAGTGCCAAGAAACGAGTTAAACGAACAGCAACAACTTTGTCTCGATCACCGAATGGATAGCTTAAGTACCATAAGCCCTAAAATTCTAGCGGCCAGGCACCCGTTTCGTTTGTAATAGTTACAATTTCCCCGGATCCACGATCGGTATCATCACAGTATGGATCCATTGGAAATACTGTGGACCACCATGCTGCGCCCCTTTTCCACCGACATAGGTAGGTAGGGCTGATAGTCAACAAATAACAAATTAGGCAAAAAGCCAGCTGAGGTTGATTCACCGCGTCTAAGGCACGCCCCGATCTACAGAGAAGCATTCTACCAAGTGTCAAGAAGCGAAACCTACTGGTAGACCGGTATATAATAATCCAGTAGGCAAGACAAGGTGGAAAGATGGGGTCGTTTCTATCTAAGAACGAATTCCCGGTCGACGGTCGGGTACGCTAGCTACCTTACTGAAACGTACACTTACTCAGCGACACTCATGTGATGGATACTAACCAAACTGTGTAGACTGTACTTATCACGGGAGGCTCAAAAGGTCTGGGGCTGAACGCTGCACGCCAGCTTGCCGAGAAAGGTGCGCACGTCATCATTGTCGCACGGGATGCGGGCCATCTGCAGCAGGGCATTGCGTTTGTTTCGGTACGATACATGTAGTTAACCCCCCGGGCCCCTGCATACCTACATGCATTGTACCTACATCTCAGCCACACCCCCAACTCACCTCGGCTGATCTACGAGATAATTCTTAGCCAGCTCATCACGAGTCGTCTTGGCAGAATCAGGTCCGCTAATTTACTTTTTTCAAAACTTCTCAGAAAGGAGCTCGATCGCCCGATGTCCAACGCTTCCACCACATCAGCGCGGACGTGACATCCGCGGCCGAGTGCGCGCGCGTCGTCGCCGAGGCCGTGGAGTGGAACCACGGGAGCCCGCCGGACATCGTCTGGTGCTGCTCCGGCAGCGCGCACCCGTCGCTGTTCGTCGACACGCCGCTGCCGCAGTTCCAGACCATGATGGACAGCAACTACTTCTCGAGCGTGTACATGGCGCACGCCGTGCTCAGCGTCTGGTTGAAGAATACGTCGTCGTTGTCGTCGTCGTCATCGTCACCAGCTAAGACGGCTGCTATCGACGATGGCACTGAGGAGAAGCAGCATGACTCTGCTGCCTCTGACGCAGAAGCAAAGCCCCCCGCGCGCCACATCATCTTCACCGGCTCCTTCGTCTCCTTCTACAGCTTCACCGGCTTCGCACCCTACGCGCCCTCCAAGGCCGCCGTCCGCTCCCTCGCCGACTCCCTCTCGCAGGAAATGAACCTCTACGCCACCGCCCTGCCCCACGAGCCTCGCGTCCGCGTGCACGCGGTGTTCCCCGCGACGATGCCGACGCAGTCGCTCGACGACGAGAACGCCGTCAAGACGGACGTGACGAAGGCGCTCGAGGAGGGGGACCAGATCCTGGACCCCGCCGAGTGTGCAAGGCGCGCGATCGCGGGGTTGGAGAGGGGGTTGGAACTCGTGCCGACGAGTGCGATTATTAGGTTGGTCATGACGAGTGTGCTGGGGGGAACGATCAGGGGAGGCTTTTGGAGGGGGTGCGTGGATACGGTGTTAGGGTGGCTGACGATGGTGGTGATGGTGTTTATACGCTGGGAGATGGATGTGAAGGTGGCGAGGTGGGGGAGGGAGAATGGGGTTAGTGGGATGAAGAAGGATAGGTAGGTGGTGGTTGTGGGATTGGGGGGGCTATGAGGAAGTTTGAAGGGGGTAAATGATGTTGACATGGAGGGGTAAGGGGCTGGAGGTAAGGGATGAAGGGATTGATGGTATGTTGAAGATGAAATAAATCGTGGTTCTCCCGAAACATAGAGACTTGATATGGTTGCGTTTACATCTACATACAGATTACTTTATTTTTACAATATTCACCATCTAATCTGGGCAAGCATATCTGCCCAGAGTTACTATGGATCCAATTTGATGTATCGGATTGGGCAGCAACTAATTAAAGCATTCAAGTCTTGTTCATGGATTGGAAGAGTCTAGTTTATTCATTGGGCCTCGACCTTTTTAATGGACTCGACAACTGACCACTCGTAGATTATTCCGTCCTCGTTGGCAACGGCCGGGCGGCCAAGTCAGTCAAACGTCCGTCGACGATAGCCACGTCGCTACCAATGACGAATATGAGGATGTACACTTGGAAGAATTGCTCCGTGGATGGCAGGGGCATATAAGTCATGCCTGCCTACCTACGTAGGTTGGTGCACTTCATTACGAAGTAGCTAGATTCGATGTTGTAAACCTTGAAGATCATGAATAAATTGATTCTCTACCTACCTCTTGTGTACATTATTGTCATAGCATGTACCTTCACTATTCTATAGTGTTATACAAAACGGACTGGTGATGATCTAGTCAACTAAGTCTATTCGACTCCTAGTTCATTTGAACAGAAAGAAACACAATTTTAAAAAAGCCCGTCATGGCTTTCTCGTTGACATCAAAGCATTACACCCTTCGCGGGTGCATTCTATCCGCGATGGTCCAAAAGATCGACACATCCTGGACACACGCGAAAATCGACCTGAACAAGCACCTCGGCAACAACGACGGCGCCTTCGACATCGACGGCGTCGGCTGGTACGACAGCGCTGAGCCTGGCTCATGCCGGCTCAAAGGCACATCCCTATGCGCCGAGCTTCGGATGAGGGATGGCGAGTATGCGCCTGAAGTTAGGATTAATCTGGACCTCTTCGTCACAAATCACGACGGAAGCCTTCGGTTTCGAAAACCGTACGAATCTCTTATACCTACACATTCACTGTGATAGCTCACGAGCCTAAGTACTAACATTTATAATAACCAGGAGCTGGTCCATCCTCGTCTCTTCAGCATGCCTAGTGCTAGAAAACGCCACCCTACGCGGCATAGTCCTCGGCCGAGACGGCCAGTACTACCCGTCGGAGATTAATCTCGACGAGCACTACGGCAACAGGGGGGGCGCTTTCGAGGTAGGAGGCGGCAGCTTCTCGCTCTCGGGGAAAGACTTCCGGCTCCAGCAGGACCCAGAGGCCGTGAAACTCGTCGCGGAGCTCATGGACTACGGTGGCGTGTACCGCTATGCGGAGATTGATCTCAGCAAGTCCATCATAAACCAAAATGGGCAGCTCGCTTTTATAAAATAGTAAGTTTACTACTACGAATATGGATTTGGACTCCTGTTCTACAATCGAACTTGGTGGAGGAGTCTGCCTACTTAGGTAGCTAACTATAACCTCCCCATAGTGACGGCTGGTTCAATAAGGACCACTGGGCATCCGTCATCACCGACGAAATCCCCGTCATAGGAAAGGCCATAGCTAGTTTGTACCATGCCGGAAGCCACGAGGTAGGCCTCCATCTCCCCTTTCTCCAAGCCTCATTCAACGGCCGTCTTAAAGTACTTCTAACAAACCAAAACCCACCAGGCGAACGCTGTGAAAGAGCTACTCTGCCAGAAGAACTCACCGCTAGCCGCAACCGGCCTCGTCCTCGGCTCTCTCATCGGCCGCGCCCTCGGCAGCCCAGCCATCGGCGCAATTCTAAGCTCCACCCTCTCGTCTCCCGCCATGCTCGCGCAGGGGCGGATCCTGAACATGATGGCGGCTCGGGACATGGGGACTTGCGGCGAGGACAAGGAAGCCGTGCTCGGGATGGCCGTCTTCGACACCCTGCGCGAGCTGTTCGCTTCCGGCGCCGGTGCGTACGCCGCCGCCCGTTTCGACGCCGTGAACGAGGCGGAGCTGAACAGTGACCGGTCGGACCACCGGTTATACGGGGTCGATTTCTGGATGCGCAGTCTGCGCGACGCGCTCCTGCAGTTGCGCCCTGTGAACGCCTTTCTGGAGGATTTCTCCATGTTCACCATGATGAAGCGGTAAGTCTCCGCTTACCTGCTCCCTCTTTTTCTTTTCTTCATCCTCTTCTCTTCTTCCCTTTTTCATCTTTATCGTCGTATTACTTTCCACAAACATCCAATTCCAAACAAAAGGCTCACACATCAATCCCCTCCCCTCCCCGGGGCCCCCCCCTACCTTTAGCGTCCTCACCCTTCTCCAAAACCAACCGGTCGAGCAATGGCACATGCCCCTGCATAACTTCGCCTCCGCCATCGAGGCCACCAAGATGCTCGGATCCAGCTACCAGGCCGAGGTGCAGCCGCCGGAGACCCTTGTGCCCGGGCAGACCTACACGATCATGTTACACGGCACGCGGCTCGCCGTCACCTGCGTCGAGGGAACCTCGCACGTGCGACTCCGCCAGTTCGGCGGGTGGGCGACGCAGCGGTTCCAGTGCGTGATGCTCAGGGAGCGGCACATGGGGTTTCTGTTCAACCCCTCTGATTCCTCTCATCCTTCTACTCAAACCGATGATGACCCTTTCACCGCCAATGAAAACGGGTCGTCCGGCGCAGGCGCAAAGGGCCGCTACCTCGGCTACGACTCCACAGGCACCCTAACGTGCAAAGCGACGCGTCAGCGTGGGTGGGAGCACGTCGGCGCCGTCGCGGACGACTCGCAGCGGCTGCCGGGCCAGGAGCAGGCGTACATGCTGTGGATGGCGCGGGGCACCGACAGCCTTGCGCCGGTGTCGCGGGTTTCCGGTGACAAGCTCAGGGTTATGCCGGCGAGCTTTACGTATTTTAGTTTCCTGAACGTGGAGTCGGCGGAATATAGTAATGTACTTAATTGCCTTGAAAGGGTAAGTGATCTGTATTAGGTAGGTAGGTAGTACTGGGGTATATGGGCTTGGGGGGGAAAGGGATGGGAACAAAATTGGAATATGGACATATTAACATTTCGGAGTTGAGTATCTGCATACAAAGCAAAGACTGGCCTTGCAGCGGAGGAAAATATGATAAAAAGTTTCGATCGCGCTGACTATTTGGTTTGACTCGCAAATTTCGTAATGTGACACATCGGTGCTACTATACCGTGGAAAATGTCTAGGTAGGTGATGTCTCATAGAGTCTCTAGTTAGCAAAGCACCTACCCTAAGAGTCAGCAGCTTTTCGCAAATATTGCTTGGTTTCGAATACGGTTAATGGCATCTTATTGATGACCTCCTATCACACGTATTACACTAAAATCAACCATGGATTTGACCAACCATGGCTATCAAGTTTCATCACGTTCAGACTTCCGCCCTTCTAAAAAAGAAGTCTCCTCGGCGCCAATGCTATGCAGTTGCGAGGCTGTGAAGCCCAAGTACCTAAATGCCCCAGGACAAACTCCGAGACGGTAAAAAAAGTCACCAAAACGCCATCATCATCAATTAACCCATTGTGGTCATGCTACTACCTAGGTTGACGTTTCCTCTTCAGCCAACCCGGCCACCGAATTGGCACTCGGTTCCCCTGCGGACGTAGAAATACGCAGATCGTCAACACACAAGTTCGAGCGCCGCAACTTATCCCTTCAGACATCGTGTCCTAGAAGCCCTTGTGCTGCACAGTGCTGTTGCGAACGCCGGGCCGGAGGTCCTTGACGTAAAATTCAAGCTTGTCACTTTCATATACGTGGCCCTTTGGGCGTCGTGCTCCCGTATAGAGGTTGTCAACCGCATGAGGGTGGAAGGTAGCGCTTTGCGTGCAGCCAAGAATATGATCCAGTCCGGGCGGGCAAGTTAAGCGGAAGATACCATAACTACAAATGATATGTCAGTTTTATCATATTTTGGCCGCATACTATGCCAGGTCGCAATGTGAAAAACAAAGAAAGGTACAAAAGACTTACGAAGGCTCGAACTTCGGAGCGCATACGATTGCTATACTCTCTGGCATCATGACCTGGTATCCAGCCTGTGTGTGCAGATCTCTGGAGCTCATAAAGCAGGTCTGGGTCGGATGGGTATGAATCCAACCAAGCATCAAGAGATCCTCGTTCATGCAATACTCCAACATGCTGCCTTCATTCTCCGTTTCGCACGTGTCTGAAGTGCACTTTTGCTCAGGGATGAGCAGACAACGCACGAACAACGCGTTGTTAACAGCGGTTCCGCACAGGATGCCGCACATCTCGAGCCCGCGCCTGGTGTTGTCTGATGCAATGGATAGAAACTTATGACGAAGTTGATTAGGGAGGAAAATGGATCGGATCGGCTCGCCATTCTCGAGATATGCTGCCGGTTTAAAAGTGAGTTTTTGTTTTACCGAGGGTGCTGGTGGTTCATCGTGTATTTTGGGAGGGGGCGTGGGGAGTTCTCGAGATATCTCGGGTGTGAGAGGTGTCTTTTTGGGCCGACTGAGCTCTTTGGCGGGGAGCTCTGGTGGAAGATTTCGAGATGTATGATCGGCTTCATATCGATAGAGATCTTCTTTCGGGGGTCGTGGTGGCTGTGGGCTCAGTGTATGTCGGGGGGGTGATTGTGGAAATTCGTACGATAAGGGCTTGGGCTTGGAGATTGATGGGTAGTTATAACCTGAACCTTGGCTGGTCACCAATGAAGGTCGAGATTCTTGTCGAGACTCTAAATCCCGGTCGATGTCGCTCCCATCTACTATTCTGCTCGTAGACTCCAGCTGCCTTCGGAAAAGCTCATCCTCCTCCACTTGTCTCTCAGCCAACTCATTGGTCCAATTATCCCAGAAACCGGCCGTACGTCGATGTGGCTCTTCCTTGCCATCTGTGCCAACTATCCTAGTGGCATTTCTGTTTGCATTCCTGCGGCGGATCTCCCTCTGGGCTAACTCAACGGCGAGTTCTTGGTGGTCTCCAGCATCGAGTAGTCGGGATGACGATGACAAGGCGGGGTCCTTGGACGCGTGCTCCTCGTAAAGTGAGGATGCCTTTGGCTTGACGTGGTCAGCTTGCTGCTTTCTGCGTATCTCCTTTCGTTTAGATTCCGAGGCTACCCAAGCTTCATATTCTCTTTGTATATAGGGCTTGATATTCTCGAGGTGGGTAGCGATGTCTGGCAGTGACTTGTTTACTTCGACCAGTGTTCTTTTTCCTTCAGAGGTTTTGGCATCCGGATGCGTAGGGAAACAGTCCATCAGCAAGGTCAAGTATCGCATATACAAGAAATAAGCCTGGGCGAGGTTGCCATCTTCCAGGTAGCTTCTGCCCTAGTGATAATAGAAGTTCAGTCAGCAAGCATTGCTAACACCAACGGTCTAGAAGGATCAGCTTACCTCTTGGTTTAAGGAATTGGCTGTTCGCAGCCATACCTTCATAGGTATTCTGGGATTCCATGCGAAGTCCTTTGCTTTGTCCGCTATTTCTTTTATGCTCAGCGGCTTGTTGGTAGCCAAGGGCGTTAGGCTAGAGGGAGCCATTTCGCATCGTGTAGGCAGGTCGCTACCTTTGCAGCTTCGCGGACTAGACTTGTTGAATGTGGTATACGGCGAAGATGTTCATTCGAGTGTTCAATGAGTCAATCAATACTGGTCATTTTTAAGAAAAGTTCACACTTTTCGGTTGCCTAAAATGAAGCTTGCGCGGCGAGTTGCGACGAATGGAAATGGTTGAAGGTGCAACTTGCGAGCTGCGAGTTGCACGTTGCAGGTTACAAGTTACGGAAGCAAAGTTCCCAAATAACTACAGTGTTAAGTTTAGTTATTTAGTTAAGTTGGAGGGGTCTGATGGGCGCCGCATTCATGCATCGCGGGGCACTTGATGGACAAGACTAACCTAATCTAGCAGTATTTACCTCAGGATACCTAGTAGGTATGTACCTTGATTATGTCATATGTAGTTATGTCGAGTTCGTGGCCCAACTTGAATGTTGCACAGTCATGTTTAATGTTACTAGGTACATATATATAGTAATTCCAGACCTCAAAGTCCTTCAAAGTTGACTGGAAATACCTCTTCATATATGTAGGTAGGTAGATGGGTTAGACTTCTACCTACCTGAATCTCATGCGCTTCACCTCATGTACACTTTCACAGATTAAGATTGACAAATAACATAATAGGCAAACGTTTGTCCACCATGAACCTCAGATAATATCTTGAGATCGATCTAGGATTCAGTGGCACACATCTCAGCCTTTGGCTGCAACTTTTCCTGGAGCGCCACTTCCACCCTGCAGGCTTGCTTGCAACTGAATTATCTCTCCTTTCTTATTCTCAATCTTCCCTTGCATCTCTTTGATCTGGTCATCTGTCCTATCGCTGTAGGGACCAACATTAGCTTGAAATTGGGAAGTAAGGAGCACAATGGATAATCCTTACAGCTCTTTGCCAATGAATTCCAATCGTCCATTGACTGTGCTTTCTGCCTCGATCTTGTCTTGCTTGAGTAAGACTGGGCCAACTAGTTTGTAAATGTTCTCCCCGTTTTTCAGACGTTCAAACTCCTATATCGTTGTAAGTGCTAGGACCCAAGGTAATGAAATTCCACACCACAAGGTTCAGCGCCAACTAACTTTCTGCACGTTTGAGTTCTCTTGTTTCTGAGCCTCAAGTTTCTGTCGGGATTGAACAGCAGTTTGTAGCTCTTGCTGCAGCTTGGTGAACTCCTCCGAAAGGCTCTGAAGCCGAGCTTGGATCTCAGCCATGACTATCTCTTTTGATTTCTCTTTATTGCCGAGGTCTCGAACTATCGATAGTGAGGTATTATCAAGGTGTGGAATATTATCACCAATTATGAGTTTTGTCTGGTGGGGTGTGTATAAAAATGAGAGTGTAAAATAAAAAGTCCAAGTTCTATCCTTAACTTAGAAGAAGCTATTTACTATGTAGTGGCACCTGGCAGCCAAATCCGACGTCTTTACATAATGCCCACATGTATGCCCACGCAAACTTGAATGCAGCGATAAATGAATCGATCTGTGGCTGCAAAGTGCTGGTTAACTTCATGTAGTGGTTTAGCTAGTGGAACTTTGAATGGAAAATGTGGCTTGAAAATTGGAATAGCGTAGTCGTGCCAACCAATCGATAAGAAAACGCTATGTCGTGCCCCTCTAAGATTACTAGGTAATAGAGCGGGAATTTTGTATGGAATACTTAGGATTGACGTGTATTTTGCTACTGCCCCAAAGTACCGCCTACATACGATAAAGATTCCGGGAAAGTCCAGATGTCGGCGGCAACAACCTAAATTACAGGTTCCAGCGCCGCCTAGCATCAGCAGCCAGCACCAGCACCAAACAAACCTCAACAATAAAAAAACAACAAAAACTACAACTATTACCATCTCAACCATTTCGACCACTACCACCACCATCACCTGCCATTAAAGTTACAAGTCACACACTCGCTCACATTTACCACCATCGTCTCCCATACTATCCCGTATCAGTCCCATATATTGCCAATTTACCTCCAGTTTAATACTCGGGCTCGGTAGCGATCAACGATGTCCAACACCGATTTTCTCAGTCGAGCAATCGACATGGTGCACCGCGCCGTCGAGGCCGACAAGGATACCCAATACGAGAAGGCCTACCAGCTGTACTACCAATCGCTCGAGCTGTTCATGCTAGCCCTAAAATGGGAAAAGAACCCAAAGTCCAAGGAGATGATCCGCCAAAAGACGGCCGAGTATATGGACCGCGCCGAGAAGCTCAAAGCCCACCTTTCCGATTCCGACGCCAAGCGTAAGAAGCCTGGCCTGGTTGGTGCCAATGGCTCAACCACCGGCGGCACAGGCAAGGGGAAACAAAATGGCGAGGATGGAGGTATCGATGAGGATAGCAAAAAACTAAGGAATGCCCTTGCTGGTGCGATTCTCCAGGATCGACCAAACGTAAAATGGGATGATGTTGTAGGTCTGGATGGCGCAAAAGAGGCTTTGAAAGAAGCGGTATTGTTGCCCATCAAGTTTCCCAACCTATTCTACGGGAAGCGCAAGCCGTGGAAGGGTATTCTACTATATGGCCCTCCTGGTACGGGTAAGAGTTACCTAGCAAAGGCCGTAGCTACAGAGGCCAAGAGTACGTTCTTCAGTGTAAGCAGTAGTGACTTGGTGAGCAAATGGATGGGTGAAAGTGAAAGGTATGGTTTTTTGAATTTCCTACGTGCCATCAAGGATTATAGGCTAACATCGATGTGGTATACAGGTTAGTCAAGCAGCTATTCGCAATGGCACGAGAAAACAAACCCTCCATCATCTTCATCGACGAAGTTGATGCCCTCTGCGGTCCCCGAGGCGAAGGCGAATCGGAAGCTTCTCGACGAATAAAAACCGAAATGCTAGTACAGATGGACGGTGTCGGGAAAGATTCGACGGGTGTACTAGTGCTAGGCGCAACCAATATCCCGTGGCAGTTAGATGCCGCTATTCGAAGACGATTCCAGCGAAGAGTACACATCAGTCTACCCGATTTGGCTGCGAGAACAACTATGTTCAAGCTTGCTGTCGGGGACACCGCCACCACATTAAAGAATGAAGACTACCGCACATGCGCAGAACTTGCTGCGGGTTACTCTGGCAGTGATATCACTATTGCTGTTCAAGATGCTCTCATGCAACCAATACGAAAGATTCAGCAGGCGACACACTTCAAAGAGGTACCTATTTCTTCAGTTTTCGCATACCACCACTTGTTATACGTTGTCACTAATATTTAATTTGAAACAGGTACCCAAAGATGGCAAAGTATTCGTAACACCGTGCTCACCAGGAGATGCCGGTGCCAAGGAAATGACATGGGACGACGTCGACTCCGAGCTACTCCTCGAGCCACTGGTGGACCTCAAGGACTTCGTCAAGGCCATCAAGTCAGCAAGGCCGACAGTCTCAGAAGAGGACCTCAATCGTAATGCGGAATGGACCAAGGAGTTTGGAAGCGAAGGAAACTAAAAATTTCCTTTCCTCCCTCCCTCCCTCCCCAAGCTACCTAAACCTAAAGAGAAATGATGGAAGGAAATACCACATGGAGAGCGCAACGGCATCAGTAGGCGTTTTTTTGGGTGACTTTTTGTACTTGACTTGACAGACATCAGTGGTTGTTTGAACTTTGCTTACTGGGGGGCAGGGGCGTTCCCCCACCCCTTTTTATAATCATGGCTAGGTACATACGAACTAGGTAGATACTAGATACCGATGGAAGGTAGCTATTGCCATGCCAGATTCAATATCCAATGCTCGTTTAGTCGACGGAACATAATAGTGCGTGCCGGTGCTAGATATGGAGTGCAGGGACGAGAGACATATGATCGTGGCAACGGGAAGATTGCCGCTTCGCTTCCCCGTGGATTTGCTATTCGCAGGGTTGCTCTACGATGACATTGCTTTCTGTTCGAAGATGAGGGGGTCATGAACATCACTCGACTCAAGACTTGAAAACTTTTCATTGTTAACGTTACGTATGTAGGTACATGGAAAGCAAGTTAACCAAGCACATGCCTTTTTTACCGTAGATAACTTTCATAAGTTGTCGCCCCTTCAGATTTCTTGCGGTGTTCGGACACTAAAGTCAGCATTGCTCAATATACCTCGAATTCCGAGACTGGGATTGAAGGGTTTAGTAAAAACGCATAACATAGACAAAGATGCAAATCTCATCTTCATAATCACAACATCAAATATATCATTGAACAGCAGTGACTTGCGATTGATTGCGAGATAGAAATAAGTACGGGTATGATCCTACCATTTTTATACAGAGCCACACCTCGAAGCGAGAATTAGAAAAAGAGAAGAACACCTGAATTTCCGAAACGCCTAAACCGATGCCTTGGGACCAACGTTGAAGCCTTCACACACATTGTAAGCGAAAGGGTAAGCTATCCCCTTATTCGTCTGCGTGCTTCTTCTTCTTCTTCTTCTTTTTCTCGCCGTCAGCTTCCGGTTCTGCTATCTCGTGCACATCGCTGTGCTTTCGTTTCTTGTCCTTCTTCCCTTCCTTCTTCTCCTTCTTATCCTTAGACTTCTTCTCTTTCTTGGGCGTCTCGGTGCTTGCGCTTGGCGGCATGTCGATCATCTCCGTATCGATAGCCAAACTCTTGCCATCCGCGAGGATATCAGCCATGGCCTTGTCCTATTCATGGGTTAGCATTTAAATAAGAATCTCATCGTAAGTCAGGTAAACTCACCATCGCATCAACATTCTTCGTCGGCTTCTTGCCAGTAGCGTAGAACTCCAAACGGTCCTCAACCTGTTGCTTTAACGCATTGCCAAACGTCTTGGAGGGCTGTTCGGCAAAGTTGTCAATTCGACTGGCAATACTGCACTTGTTGGCGAGGTATCTTGAAATGCGACCCTTGTCTTTCTGGCCCGCGCGCCCGATGAACGAGCTGTGGTAGATGAGCCCGAACTTAGGGGTGTTGCCCTTGGTCTTGAGAGCTCGGAAAAGAGCCTTCTCAGCTCCTAAAATCTGGAGCGTGGAGGCGGGGTACTTGGATAAGTTCGTTAAAGAACCAGCCTTCTGGATCAGACGAGCTGCGACGACTTCGCCAATAAGCGCAGCCAAATTAGGAGCCACAGTGCTCATCTTCTCAACCAGGTAGCTATAGAGCGTTCGTCGGTACTCGGCAAGTCTAACAACCTTGCCTGCGAATGTGGAGATGTTGGCCATGTCCACGTGTGATAGTTCTCGTCCCATGGAAATCTTAGCCTTGTTGATAATTTCTTGAGCCTTCTCTTCATCGTCGTCAACTAGAGCGGCAATCTCATGAAGCTTGTCATCTGACAAGGTTGACTTGTCACCGATGAAAAGAGCCAAGCGCGCATAAGCCAGGTTGTCGGAAGCGATGCTATATAGCTCAGGGAAATGCCATCCGTACCATTCTCGAACCTTTTGGGAGAACAAGTTGATGCCCTTGTCGAGGTTGTCCAGAGTAGCAATAGCTCTGATGATATGGTTGTCGTTCTTGTGAACGTTGAACTTTACCTTTCCACGAGAGTAGGCATGGCCGAGACCAAGCTGGGCCCTTTCCACGTCACCGTCCTGGAGACCCTTAAGTAACTTCTCCGCGTGAAGGCGAATGCCTCGTAACAAATCGGCAACGACTTCGGAAGTATCACCCGTCTCGCATTCAACACCGGGGAATTCAGCCTTGATAGAACCAGCCAAGTTCTTGTCAGCGACACCAAGAACGATCTTGCTCTTCTTGGACTGGGGTAGGTTCAGTTCGAGATTGGACTTGAGATAGTCTGAGAGAATGCCCTCGGAGACGAGGTTAATATTCTCGAGTGCGTCGGCGGCATTTCTAGCAACATTGAATGTCAGCTTTCAATTTATATCATCTCTCCTGTAGGACAGAGAATTAAATGTACCTCCAAGGCGCAAAGCTGACCAATTGCACCATCTTTCCAAATTTTGCAAGGTCTTGACCAGCCTTTTGGACTTCCTTCAGGTGTAAACCAACAGTATCCTGCTGATGAACGACCTTGAAGACCGCATAGCCCACAGCGGACTCATGCAGCAAGAAGTCTATTTGAGTCATCTTGCCAGTTGTTGGTACTTTTTGGCAGATTAGCGCATGAGATGTTGAAGTGGTGGGCGTGTTGTGATGAATTGAAAAGAGTTGAAACTTTAGCAGCAAGAAAAAAAAAAAAGATCCAAATTTTTCTTAGCTCCAAAAGCTCTAGGTCCGGGTCTCCACTAAGAGGTACGTACTAAAATAGTTGGGTGGAGCGGCAAAAGTTCGGTAAATTACCCTAGGTAGTAGACACGCATGACTAAGCAGGTAAAGTTGTGAAACTTCAGGAACTACACCTTATATGGTTCGTCTGAAGATTGTCAAACAGTAAACTTTCTCTTAGTACCACACATTTGTCCATACATTTACATACCTAGAAGTGTATCTAATGGTAGTACATATCATGTAACCTAGTGCAATAATCGTACCTAGTACCTAGTACTACATGTCTCGGATAAGTACTAGGTATGCTTCAATGTTGTATTATACATTACATGCTCGTCTCCAATTCAATACAACCTTAGGTACTTACAAACTCCAAGCTTTCGACCTTGTTCCTCTTCCTAGACTTGAATAATCACTCACATTAATAACTAGTAGCCTATTTGAAAAGATTCAATCAATAGAAAGCAAAGCGAGCCACTTTTGCTGACGCTATCTTGACCTGGAATTCGCGCTTGGTCTCCACTAAAACCGGTCCGCTTAGACGTGCGCCGATGCAGCGACCGGGCAGCCGAGATTTGTAAGACGGATAAAACATAAAACAGGACTCGGGACTTGGCGACGCATAGGGCTGACTAAGTACCAGCACTTAGTGCTATATTAAGTCGTAGAAACATTCAACCGAATCTGCCGCCGGAATTCCACTACTGGATAAGGTGACATCGCGGTTTTGCAGCTTGATATCCATGGATTGAAGATCCTTCGGTCCCTATTTTTGGCCGAATTTCTGCGAGGACCTTAGTCATGATGTAATGGAAGCTCGCCGATATGTCGGAGAGAGCCTTGTCTCGCGCTTTGTGTCGCGTTTAGATAAGTGCCTTGGTAGGTATAAAATAAGTATATATAATAACTCTGTCTATCAAGGCATATGCTCTTTTGGTATTGTTGATTACTGATCGTTACACCTTCACTCAATACTTCTATACCCATCAATCAACACCACAATGTCTACCAGTATCGCCAACAAGGCAGCCGCGGGTGTCCCATTCTACACTCCCGCTCAAGAACCACCATCCGGGACAGCTTTAGATCCTCAACCAGATGGCGCAGCTATTCCCAAGTTATTTACTCCCCTCAAAGTCCGTGGTGTGACTTTTCAGAATCGTATCATGCTATCCCCACTATGCCAATATTCCGCCGATAATGGCTCTCACACTCCCTGGCATACCACTCACCTCGGTGGTATCATCCAGCGCGGGGTAAGTTACACCTTTCACTGCTGGCGTCACTCAGTTTCACAAGTGTCTAAAAATGCTAAACGGAATGTCTTATATAGCCAGGCCTCGCTTTCATAGAAGCCACCGCAGTCCAATCCAATGGGCGGATCACGCCCGAGGACTCTGGGCTGTGGCTCGATGATCATATCAAGCCATTAAGCCAGCACGTGCTATTTGCGCACTCGCAGGGCCAAAAGATTGGTATCCAGCTTGGACACGCTGGCCGCAAGGCCTCCACCGTCGCACCATGGTTGAGCCGAGGTGCCGTAGCCACAGCGGATGTTGGTGGCTGGCCCGACGATGTGGTGGCCCCGAGTGCCGTCGCCTTCGACGCAAATCACCCGAACCCGCGTGCTCTGTCACTTGAGGAAATCGCGCAGCTGAAGAAGGACTTCGTCGCCGCCGCTCACCGTGCCGTAAAAGCGGGCTTCGACGTTATCGAGGTGCACGGCGCACACGGGTACCTCTTGCACAGTTTCATGTCACCGGCCTCGAACTTCCGTACCGACGCGTACGGCGGCAGCTTCGAGAACCGTGTTCGTCTCATCTTAGAGGTTGTGGATGAACTCCGCAAGGCCATACCGGAGGACATGCCACTATTCGTGCGCCTCAGTGCTACGGATTGGCTCGAGGAAGTGGAATCGTTCACCGGTGACAGCTGGAAGCTGAGCGACACGGTTAAACTGGCTACTCTGCTCGCTGAGCGCGGTGTCGATGTCTTGGATGTCTCGAGTGGTGGAAACCACCCCCAGCAGAAGATTAAGGGCGGACCCGGCTACCAAGCACCGTTCTCCAAGGCTGTGAAGCGCGCCGTTGGCGATAAGATGCTTGTCGCTACAGTGGGCAGCATCACGTCCGGGAAACAGGCTGACGACTTGCTCGTGGGTGGAACTGGGGAGGATGATACCCCGATAGATATTGCCTTGGTAGGGCGCATGTTCCAAAAGAACCCTGGGCTCGTCTGGGCCTGGGCTGAGGAGGTATGTTACCTTGATAAAAGCGCTGCCTACCTATATCACGTGCTGACACTTTATTTATAGCTACACACTGCGATTTATGTTGCGCACCAGATCGGATGGGGATTCGGCGGTAGAGGTCTCAAGCGTAAACAAGTTACGCAGCACGAGGACCATGGCGCCTTACCGAAATAGAACATACAAGTGTGGAGAAAGTTAAACTTCTATATATGCGTAGGTATCCAGGCAGTTAGGTATTATACTGAATAGATAGGTGCTATACACTCACATTTCGATTCTAGGGGGCGATCATGTCTCTGACCAAGTACGAAGTAAGGAGTATAATGTAGGCCCAACAATCACTTGGAGTCGTAACGTAATCACGTTGATCATTCTTACATGCAGTTAGGCTTACATGCATGTCGATTAGACTGTATCGGTCGAGTGTCACACATCGCATGTTCCGACTTAGGCAATCTCTACTAACCTAGGTAGTTAGGGCTATACCCATGGGAGGGAATCTGTATGGTGGTAAGAGTTCGTAACATCATTGACAGTATGGCAGCGTGAAGTTCTATCATATACTAACCTAACCCCTTAACACTCCTGTTATAGGTAAGAGTTAGCGATGCGGCCTGTTGAAAGTTTAAGAACGTTACAGGAAGTGATCTACTTAGCCAAAGCACGGAAGTTCACCTGAAGGTCTGGGATCGTAGTCAGGACCATATTGCTTCTATCTACCTAGGCATCTCAAGGTGATTGGCATGCTTACTTCCCTTTCGGTAAGTTGTTGGTTCTGTGAATACGACCATAGGGATGATAGGGGAGCAACTATAATCACGCCTTATTAAGGTCGGATTTTTACAATCGATTGAGCTATCCCTCTAGACTAATTATTGGGTTTTCATTGAAAACCCTGTGTGCATTTCCTCTCTGGGTTTGGCACATATGGAAACTGCACGTTCTTCGAAATCCTTAGTATAGAGGACAATGCGCTAAAATCCAGGACTTCCTGGATTTCAAGATAGGTACCTACATATTCAGTTCTTAGAATTTGATAGTTAATCTGCTGTTCTATGTTACAACTGGGTACCTGGGTAGGTGCCCCTCATCCCTTGTTTTCAGGGGCAGTATTGGCAATAGGCGGCTATAACCCAGATACCGCTTAAAGACTATTAACAGCCTTCGCATGATCATACACCAGCGCCTGAGCCTCCTCATCGTCCAAGTAAATCGTAAATCCGTCGTTATGATTTCTCCCATACGAGTATCCCGAAAATCCGAACTGCCAAAACATGTCAGACATGCCCTCCTCAAGCATAATTCTCTGCCAACCCCCCTCAACCTCCAATCTCGTCGCATTAGCAGCCGGGACGCCGTTCTGCTCTCTCGCCTCCGGCGTCATCCACCCGTACTCCTCGTGCACGACCGGCTTGCCCGCCGTCCTGCCCGCCTCCGCGTGGTCCCGGATCCACTGGTCGGCCCACGCGACCGTCTTCGTCCACCAGTCCGGGTACGAGTGGAACACGCCGAAGTCGATGTTCGGCAGCGCGATGTTCGCGTCGAAGTCCCCGCCGTCCGCGCCGTTGTACGCCCAGTCGTCCGACGCCCGGTTGAAGCCGCCCTCGCCGCCCCACGTGACGAGGTGGTCCGGGTCGAGGCTCTTTACGAAGGTGCTCATTTCGTCGATCCAGGAGGTTAGGGTTGAGGTTGTGCAGGTGCCGCTGACGGGGAGATTGCGCACGCTGTCGGCGCCGCAGCGCGGCTCGTTTGCCAGCTCCCAGGCCATGATGGTGGGGGAGTCGCGGTACCGCGTGATGAATTGCTCGATGTACTGCTTGAAGGCGTCCTTGATCGTTGGTAGGCGGTAGAACTATGGGCTGATTAGCATTTCACATAGAAAGAAGCTGAGAGACAACAATGTCATCCTAACATGTGGGGTCTAAACTAACATCGTCGTGGTACTTCCCACCGAGGTTAATGGTGTAAACGTCCATCCCGCCATAATCGGCCCAATTGTTAGTGAACGCGACGATAAGCTTAATGCCGACCCTCGTCGCCGCATCTACCACCTTGTCAAACTCGGTTAGGTCGATAGTGGAAACACCATTCTCCCATTGCTGGAATACCGCGTTTGTCGCCCCTGCACCCTCGCCGCCATACTGAGGGAGACCTTGAGGGTCGTATGTGACGTTCTTGTCGTTGAAACCCCACGTGCGGAAGACTTTTAACCCGGCATCTTTGGCGGCAGCGAGCCCAAGTTCCACGTCTGTCGCGTTCTATAGTCGTAGTTAGATATTGCGGCCGATAAATAGGAGAAGGGGGGTAGTCACATACGCTATCGAATGGGAAGTAGTATGCATTGCTTCCAGCAAAATTGAAATCTTTCCCGTCAAGTTGAAACTTGTCCCCTTTCACTGTGACGAAACCCTCGGGGGCTCCTCGATGCAGATTGTTGAAAAGGGGGTTAGCTTGTGCTATGCCCATGAGCAGGACGAGTGAGAGAAGGCGGGATACCGCGAAGGCCATTATGATCAACTTGGTCATTTAGGTATTTCCTCAAACAGGTATTAAGTGGAATATTAACACATCTTTAGGGAGAACATGTTCCTCAGGTCGAGCATACCGAGCTACGTTCTTATTCATTTTGCTACCAATGTGTTGTGACTTCGTTTCCCCAACTTGTATAGTTCCTAATCAGGAAATACGGAAGTCTCCGAGCCGCATGGCCAGGGTCCTGCTAATTGAGCCTCTTGGTAGCATTGGCGAACACTAGGTTACAACGTGGAAGTAAAGATCGGCGTAGGGAATCGTTTCTGTAGATGCTGTGGTAATAGCTCTATGAGTTATGCTTCGGAAGATGTTGCAGCTAAACTGCAACCAAGAAACGGGAAAAGAGAAGGAGGAAAGAAAGCTTAATTCCTAACTACGCTGGCGCAGTGCCAACATATAAGGCAGCTCTAGCCTAGTGGGGCTAGAGCACCTGCAAGGGAAGACTACATTAGGTAGACTTCGCGCCAACATGAAGACACCTACCTACCTAGTATCTATCACACCATCTAAGAGGTAGGTCTAGAAAGATTGCTCTGAAGGCTTTATTTTCATGTCTTTTGGGTTTTTGATGATCGGTGGGTACCTAGGTATAGTAAGCTATTCGCAGCAAAGGCACAACTAAAGCCGGGCTGTATACCGGCACTTAACTACCCATCAACCTTACCTTCAGAGTCAACGTCAAATTTCTCTCGGTTAGATTTCAGATATCCAGGCCTGGTAACTTCCTTCCTTGGAGCTATCTTGAAAGTGGAGATTCTTTTGTGGTGTATACAGGATGTGAAAGGTTAGTGTGATGATTAGGTGCATTTGTGCTATTAATACACCAGAATATGCTGAATCTTCGATGAAGCAACCACCAAGGACTACGATACCCAGGCATACAGGATTCAAACATCTTATCTAATATTATTCATTGGCTCATGCCGCTCAAATGGTTAGATGCCAAGGTGCGATGGATCTTGTAGGTCTCCATTCAGACTACGGCAAAGCTTTTTATGGGGCGGTAAGCAAGCTGCTATAGGTGCTTATATTCATCTGACATCTTGATAAAGGATTCGTATATTTAACAATGATTAAAAACTTATGTGTTGGTAAGTTTCGTATACTGGTGCCTATGCCTTTAGCGCTTTAAAGCGGCCAACTCACTTGGGTTCACTGGTGTGGCACATGTCCTACCTGTAGCATTTCACACCTGTCACTCATTAGCCAACAACCTATGTTCTTTCTATGTACCTGTTGGGCTTTGCCGTACGTGCCATGAGCCAATGTTCTGCACTACTTTAAGGGTGGCAGGCCCTCTTCGTTCGACTGCATATGGTAGTCTTTTTCATGGGACTGTGCCGTAACAACTGGATATTTAAAAATAACCAAGCTCGAGCGAATCGGTCATCTTGGCTTGTTGCAACTAGGCACCATCTTATTCTCATTTACCTTAGCCCTATGCGCATTTTATTCTTTAGACTTCGTTCCTCTCATCTCATGTTTTAATGTCTAACTAGGTATCCTCTTGGTGGTCAAGACTATCTAGCTCAAATCAGATCTAGTCGTTTGATTACCATAGCTAGTAGGCAACGATGGCGGTTGAAATACCCTCAGACGCCAGTTCCCATTCATTGGACAAAAATTCGGATCCGAATTTAAGTAGCGATCAAGGTGATGTCGAGCTCTCCAATGGCCAGATCTCGGCATCTGGTGATCAAGAAGCTACGGTCTACGTCCAAGGTCCTAGATTCTGGCTTATTACTATATGGTTGGCCATACCTAACCAAAGCTTCGATGTCATACGAGAACCTTGCTAATTATCTTGTTAGCATAGTAATAATGATGTTCCTGACCAACTTTGAAGTTCCTGTTATTGTCACGGCCTTAGTATCAATCACCGATGATCTAGGGGGCTTCAGCATCGTGGGGTGGGTTGTCGCAAGTTACTTGTTGGGCTACGTAGGTATGTCACTAACATATCTAACCCCTTTTCACTTAGACTCTCTTCATTTAACTGGTTGTCACTTACACGCGCATAGCTGTCATCGTCATATTTGCAAAGTTCAGCGATATATTTAGCCGAAAGACTGTCTTTTTACTCTCCATTATGCTCTTCATCGTTTTTTCTGCAGCGTGTGCCGCCGCGCAGACCATGATACAACTGTTAGTTTGCCCACCGCCTTGGAACTACCGTAATGCTAAGTCCATCCAAGTATCATATTTCGAGCGCTTCAAGGGGTGGGTGGTGGCGGATCCTTTTCGCTCTGTACAATCCTTATCATTGAGCTTGTCCCTCCAGAGAAAACTCCCAAATTCGTTTCCAATATCTCCCTATCCAACGCCCTTGCGTTACTACTAGGGCCTATTATCGGTGGTGCCATTGCTTCCAACACTACTTGGAGATGGATCTTTATCATCAAGTAAGACTGCTGCTATTTCTTTATTCTGACTCTAGAGTTTGCTAACATATAACTCAACAGCGTTCCACTAGGGGTACCTGCGTTCCTGTTGGCATTATTTGCTATCCCGAAAGACTTCCCCAACCATACTCGACCAAGTCTCGAGGCAAAGAACACCGGCGTTTCTTTAGGAAATAGGCTCAGGCGTATTGATATCCCAGGCACAGTTCTGATTCTGTTCGCCACGCTTGCCTTGACAGCCGCTTTCGAAGAAGCAGACAAGAAGTTTCCATGGAAATCAGCATATGTCATCACCTTATTGACAGTGTCAGGGCTCCTCTGGATATCTCTGATTTTCTGGGAGCGCCATGTCACACTCTCCAATGGTGTTCGAGAACCAATTCTACCTTGGAGATTCGTGTTGAACCGCCAGATGATAGGCATACTGCTGTAAGGCTTATCCCATACTACGATCTTCTCGACCTTTCATGCCACTGTAGCTAACAAAGCCAAGAAACTTCGTCTTTCTAGGGGGGCCCACTATCATCGGCATGTTTCTTATCCCACAAAGATTCCAGTTAGCCTATGGCACTTCTAGTCTCAACGCAGGCCTCGCGCTGATACCTTTTGGGGTGGTCATAGCAGTCGGCTCCATTTTCGCTTCGATTGTCTGCGGGAAGTTCAAGGTTCCACCGCTGTACATGATGCTGGTAGGATCTGGTCTTCAGGTACTTGGATTCGCCCTCTTGGGCACGCTACCCGCGACTCTGGATATCCCTCCCCGAATTTACGGGTTCGAGGTCATTGCTGGCTGGGGCTGTGGGATTAACTTCACATTACTATTCGTAGTAATCCAATTCGTGAATGAGAAACGTGACAACGGTAAGTCTGCAAGCTGAATACTGGTCTGCGGGCAACAAAATTTGCTAATACATCTTATAGCTGTCGCCATGGGGGCCGCAGCCCAGTTTAGGATGATGGGTAGCGCCATGATATTAGCCATTTCGACGTCGGTGTTCAACACCTATGCACGTCCCCAGTTGGAATCCCTCGTAGGGGTTTCGGATGCGGATATATTGCCTCGCCTTCTGCCAACATTGCCCCAAGAACTTCAAAACCAAGTACGATACGTCCTGGCCGAGGCATACAATCGGCAGACTCTTGTCTTGTGTGCTTCATCAGCGATGCAGATACCTGTTACACTATTTATGTGGAAAAAGAAACAGCTTACTATATAAAGAAGTTAATCAGCACTTGGCCCGGTGTTAAGTAGCCTGGCGGTATTAGAACTGATAGTCGACCAAGGTAGTGCTGTTGGGATCTGATTCCACCGCTAAACCAAATAGTGAATGATTTATCATTTATTATCTCCATGGCTGTCTTCAGCTTATGTCAGTATATCTGACAGTTGGCTATGCCCAAAATCCTAACATATTTATTGTATTCTTTTTGAAGGCTTCTGTTGTTCAGACTAGAAAATACCCAGATATGCAAACTATATTGTAGAAGTATATAGAAATAAGGATGCCTTATTAGTCTATATGCGTGTGAGTTACTGCTTTCATGGGTTACATGTATACAAGTATCTATTTCGTTTGGTAGCCCGGTAAAGTTCGGAGGTATTTTGATTAGATAACATTCGGAGGTCCGGTGTAATGTGGTAGAGATGGACCCATAAGGGCGGCCCCACAAGGCTTGAATCAGGATCCGTTTATCGTGCTTTATCGATTAGCTAGGTACATAGTTAGCAGTACCTACGTAATAAGCGCCAAGATTTCGCTGCAAGACAGGGTAAGCGACTTGCTCCGCACCAGAAAATTTAGGAACCAGCTAAAAATCAGATCTAGTATGTACCTAGGTAGTTAAATGCACCCAATCAACTCGCTGCAAAATCGATTTATTAGTGGTAAGTGCAACGACCCCAAAAAGCAAGTTACGTTTTACCTCTTTAAGCGTTGGTGCGTAAATGCCGGCGACCGACTTTTTTTTTTTTTTTTATCTTAGCTCTTTTTTTTTCCTTCTAAATCGATATTTTCCTCCCCTCCAATATTCACATTTGCAATAATCGTTACAGTTGTAACCGTTGCCACTATTTACGTTTACACCAACAACAGCCACCAAACACTCATCTAACCTCGATACCGTCTTGTTGACTCGATACTGCCTAGAGACATCACTTCGGTGATTGAATAGTGCCATGGAGGACTCTACCTTAAAGGTTGGTTTCTCTCCAAAGCCCAACCTACATGTCGCATTCATTTGAATATTGGTAACCAACAATGCCAAATCATAGGAGCGCCTCCTTAACTCTCAGAAGTCTTTCGATGGACTTCTCTCCTTAATACCCGCCAAGATGTATTACGGGGATGACACCTCCGTAAGTCGCTCTCTGAGACACCATTGTAGACTTCATGCCCGCATCGCTCATCACCATCCTTTTATAGGATCAATGGAAACGAAAGAAGCAGACCAAGCAAGAAGCTTCCGCTGCTCGGCGCAATAAGCTCGACCCAGATAGCGCATTAAACCGAAGCGTTAAAGAAGTCATGGATGAGCAAGCACAGAAGAAGCGAAAGCGAGATCAGATGCAAGATGGCGATGACGATGCTTGGTCTGATGTCGATGGTGTTGAAGCTGAGAAGCCAGGCGAAGGATTGAAAAAGAAGATATCCAAAGATGCCAAGAAGAAACAGAAGAAGGCCGACGAAGAAGCCGAAGAACTAGGCGAAAAGGAGCGAAGAAAGGAGGAGAAGAAGGCGGCACGGAAGGAGAGGAAGGCTGAGCGCCAGCAGCTAAGAGAAGAAGAGGCCGCCTTTGAACGACAAACCATCAAGGGTGTAAACAAGATTAAGTTAGGCCCCAGGCAGGTCATACCCGACTCTACACCGAACAGCAATGCTACACTCAAAGCTACCGGTAGTATCGAAATCGAAGAAGACTTAGAGGACGAAACTGGGCCTACAGAAATGAAGGAACTCGACGTCACTGGTCTCGATGATGCTGCTGAGGTAGAACAAAACTCAGCATCGGCCCCATCTCCCTCATCCGACCCCCAATCACCTGTCTTCGACACCAACGGTACACCAGCCGACTCAATTGGTCAAGCTGCCAGCACTTCATCTATATCTTCTACCACTGCCCTAGAAAAGCCCAAGCATATCAAGATCCCTTCTGACACCACTGCTCTTCGCGAGCGTCTCGCGGCAAGGATACAGGCTCTTCGGGATGCGCGAAAGGCCGATGTAGACGGAAAGCCTATTCGTACGCGCCAAGAACTAATTGAGGCACGACGACAGAAGCAAGCTGAGCGAAAAGCACATAAGAAGGAGCTCAGACAGAAGGCCAAGGTAGAGGCAGACCAGAAACGTGAAGAGGCTCTGGCGTCTGCTCGCAACTCCCCAGGCAGCATCCTCAGCCCTGCTATTGACCTGGAAGAGCACAACTTCTCGTTCGGTCGCGTAGGGTTTGGCGATGGTGTCCAGCTATCACATGATCTCTCACATGTTCTAAACAGTGGTAAGAAGAAGGGCCCGCTGGATCCAAAAACAGCTCTTCAGAAGCTGGAGAACCAGAAGAAGAGATTACAAGATATGAACGAGGAAAAACGAAAAGATGTGGAAGACAAGGAGCTTTGGCTTACTGCCCGTAAACGTGCAGAAGGCGAGAAGGTCAGGGATGATGAGAAGTTACTCAAGAAGGCCGTCAAGCGCAAGGAGTCTGCTAAGAAGAAGAGCGACAAGGAATGGTCAGCGCGAAAGGACGGCGTCGCCAAGTCCATGAAGGACAGACAGAAGAAGAGAGAAGAGAACCTTCGTAAACGACGAGATGAGAAGTCAACGGGCAAAGGAGGCAAGAAGAAGGGCGCAAAAAAGACTAAAGGCCGAGCAGGGTTCGAAGGTTCCTTTATCGGTGGCGGCAAGAAGAAATGAGTAGCAAATTTTCAGTTATTCTCAGGGGAAGGAACTCATCCGTTCGGGTTTCTTCTCGTAGGTGTACGAACTGCCTGTGTAAGCATCGACGTAATGTACATAAGGGAGTCTTTTCGGACGAATTGGTGGCATTGGACATTTCTATGTTTCTCTTTGCTCGGGGGTCTTCATGTGCTTAGCATCCCTTGTATATGAAGTTTAATATTCCCCAAACCTGCCAAGGTCAACCGCGATTTTTCTGTCATAAACATCTGGAACGTGAGCTTTCTAAGCAGCTTCCAACAGTCTTGAAGCTGACGAACCTAAAAGTCATTTTCTGAATACATATAATCTTTATCTTTTTTCATCGCGATCCAGCTCAAGACCGTGGTCTCCCGTACCCCACTAGTCAAACATGATGCGCATATTCCATATTGCCTCATTGCCGATTTGGTAACCTTGCGCATCATAACGATGATCAACAGAACCGTCTTTTTGTTTGTGTCCGGGTTATAGCCCCCACCAGCAAAAGCCTCTGTTATACAATTTATGTGATGTTTATGTTAGCAATGAGGTTTATTCTTCCCGAAACCCACATTTATCGCAAGTCCTGCTGAATTTTACAATATTCTTGTGGGCACAGATGAACAGATTCTGTGTAACAGTCTATTTCTTCCACGATCGGGTAGGTTTATCACATGCATGGTTTCCCCATGCTTCTCTTGCTCGCAAGAAAAAAGATTTTGGTCGAATTGAGGATCCAATGCCTCCTTTAATCTTCGTGAGGCTCGATGGGCATGGAAGTAGCCATGTACCTAAGGTTAGGCCATTTATTTATGATACGGAATCAATGAAACTCTCCAGACTCGGATAGATATATTCCCTGATAAAGTGACTGGCTTTGTTACACACATTACCTCCTTAGATGGATTTGGACAAATTCCAAAACAGGAAGGAAAAGCACTCGGGAATGAAAGAGTCTTGTATCAGTTCGCTTACAGGGAATCCACGACATTAGTAGGACCCGAGTATGCACGTTTAGAATGCAGGCGACCATATCCGTATGGTTAGGAACGGCATTATAAGTAATATCAAGCAAAGACGGTTGATAAAGGTAGGTATCATCCTTATCACATTTCTTAACCACTCTACGGATAATCAAATTCACAGCCGCGGATACTCGAATTTGGGACAAAGGGATGTTTTGAATGCCTCTGTAACTGAGGCGAGCGAGGAAAATAACCTTAATCTAGACTCTTACCCACGTGGCATCCATCACCTTAACGGCTAAGAATAGAGTTGATGTCTGGCCCAGATGAACTGCATGGGTCCCTTGAAAAATCAAAAATGATGAATACCTACTATGCACCTACATACCGATATTATTCATGTTATGCCAAGACCAAACCAATGTATAGCGGTGATCTAATAGCCCCTTGAGAAAGATAAGACACTCTCATCCCTTCGCCCCCTTTTCAGGCCAAAGCTTGGCACATATCTAACGACATCTTCAACGTCAGGTTGTGCCAACTTTCTCTCAGATTTATCATGGCTGTATAGTCTCTCAGCATCACGGCGACTATACTTCTTAGGTACTACGATAAGCTCTTATTTAATTTTTACTTGCTGAGATAGGTACCAAGATACTCTTACGTCACGGACCGACCCGAGCAGCTGGTAAATGAACGCCATAACACTTAGGGTTGAGTAACCAGGAACGATAGCAAGCACATTCCCTGCAGGTTTGTACACAAGCAATCCACCGACCAGTTAACCTAATACCTAACATATCGAGCCCGGAAGCGCTCCTAGACGTCCTAACCCTGCAGCCCTTGAGGATACTTATTTCAACATCCAGCCTACAGAGTGCCTACATAGGGTGTTGGTTCAGGCCCAGCTACGCGGGATTTTGACTGGTCCTGAAACTAACGGGGAACTCTTCCGCTGAGAACGACCGTCCGGATGTGTGTAACGAAATGACTGGTAAAATTTCTCTACTATCCCCCTTCCCAAGGGGGAACTGGGGCGGGGAAGGCGGTTTTGGTCATCCTCGACAAGGTTTGCACTTGCTCGCGAGATTATCTCTCTTTATTTCCGCATCGAGATTGCGGAATGTTTTCGAATGCTTGCTTGCACACGAGGTTGCCTTGGCGGGCAGAGGCTGGGTAGGTACTGTATATAGTGCCTCCTCCATGTATGTGTGTTAGCCCGCGCAACCGCTAACCCTACCCTTTTCTTTCTGCAAAAGTCCAAACCGGGAGGGACACACCAAAGAAAGTAAACCCACGGAGGCTCGATATATTTTTGCAACAGGGAGATACCCAGGATAAGGCCGCCCGAACCTGGGCCGCGGGAAGGTTTCCGATCTGTCAACTCCAGGGGAGAACGTGTGAGAGAAAAAAAAGACTTCTGCCGGAATTATATTACAATTCCCAGGCGCGGCGTATCGTCGCCGTGATGAGCGGCTTTCCCTAGGTATGATTATGATATAAGCCTCTTCCTGTTCCACGAGAGACTACCTTGAAGTGGGAGAGAAGTTAGTTTTGGAAACTGGGGAAATTTTTGAAACGTCATATTCAGACCAAATTCTGCGTCTACGGGTTTATATAACTCTAGTGGGAACTCCATATACACACACCGGCGGGCTTGGAAAATACCTATCTATTCTACCAGTCATAACTGGAACACTTGAGGCTAAGAGTCGACCTCAATGTCCGACGCCCTACATGAGCCCGGGCTGCCTCCTTTGCAGGGGGTGGGCCTCGCTGTATTCGTCACATCGGTTGCGCTAGTCGCACTATCAACCTTGGTCGTAGGTCTCAGAGTCTACATACGGTGGCTTGAGAAGTCGATATGGTGGGACGATGCTCTGATGCTCAGTGGACTAGTCAGTTACCTGCCCACTCAAAGCAACGATCGTCTCACAACTCTGACAATATGTGTGATAGATCTTATACATCGGCGACGTCTACCTTTCTTGCAAAGCGACACATGCCGGCCTCGGCCTCCGAAACATATATCTAACACAGGCCCTGCAGACCGAGGCGAAGATGTACATGACGATATGGACGATCGCCTACACGGCGTGTCTCGTCTTGGTCAAGAGCTCCATCTGCATGACCATGCTGCGGCTCACTGTGTCCATGAAGCACACCCGCTTCTCAGTCCATGCCCTGCTGTTCTTCTGTGTTGCCAACTTTTTCATTTTGTTCGTGGGGACACTGGCCCAGTGCCGCCCGGTCGCGGCGAACTGGGACCGCCAACTATTCGTTGACGGCAAAGCCTGGTGTGGGAGTGATAGGGCGAGAATGGGGATCTCATACGCGTCCACTGTCTTGACGATTGCCACCGATGTAGGATGCGCAATATTACCAGCGGTCATCCTATGGAGTACCCGGCTTAAAGTGAGGACGAAGCTTTTAGTCAGCCTGCTTTTGTCGTTTGGTTCTCTGTAAGTTAGATTCCCGTCAGCTTCATTTTTCGCGAGCTCCTTCCTAACGCGATTATAGAGCTTCCGTTTGCACCATGATCCGCTCTCCGTATATCAAGTACTACCAGGCCGAGGATCTTGTCTGTAAGTACCTAGCACACGAACACATCTACCCACTTCCTCCCACGATAGTTCCCTCACTAACCACAACCTCCCCCTCCCCGCCATAGACTGGATCGGCTACGTGATCCTCTGGTCCAACATCGAAACCGCCATCGGCCTGGTCGCCGGCTCGATCCCCGTGCTGCAGAAGCTGATCATGGGGTACACGAAGAAGCCGAACTGCAGCGGCGGCGGCGACGTGCCGCACATCATCCCCGGCCTCGTCACCTTCGGCAGCTCCCCCCTGGCCGCCAAGTCCCGCAGCCAGCGCGTCTTCCACAACCCCACCGACACGGGGTTTAGTGTCGCGTCGGTGCACGCGAGCAGGCGGTCCCACGAGTGGGAGAGGCTCGAGGATGACTCGAGTGGGAGTGGGATACGTGCCGATTTCACGTATGAGGTCGAGTTGTCGAGGGTCCAGACGGCGAAGTTGCCGTAGATGGGGGGAAGAGGGTTGAGATTTTCTAGGTTAGGTATTTAGGCACAGGATAGGTAGGCATTCGGGTACGAGGATACAGGATCGTACGTGGGCAGGTCAGGGCTGGGAATTAATGATTGGGAACGATGTACGGGGTAGCAGGGCCGTCTACCTAGGTTAGACTGACGGCATTGGCTAGCTACCAGGCAGGTACATCACGAGCGCCGTGGTTGGAAAAGAATACATTGTTTATGTTTGGTATTAATACTCTATACCTACCTATTCCTGGCTAAAAAATGTTCCATTGCTTTCCCCTCTTAAGTACATGCTATGCTATATATATATGTATGTAGGTATCTTTAGGTATCTTTCGTTTTACCATCCCTTTCCTCCACTTCCTAGGTACCTATGCTATGCTACAGTCGTATCCACGACCCCCACTCTATTGTAATTCGAGTACGTCGTCGTGTCGTCCGGGTCTCCCTGCCACTCGTACTCGACGATCTCCACCGCGTCCCCATTGTCCTCGACGCAGTATATCCTCCTCGCGCGATTCGCCGCCATCTTATTCCTCGCCAGACACCCCGCCAGGCTCTGCACCGGCGCGCTGACCGTCGTCCACGCGTCGTCCTTGAAATACGTCAGCTGCACGCCGTCGTCCGCCGCGTCCGGGTCCATCGTCAGCACCTGGAAGCCGAGCGGGTCGCTCCACCCGCTGCTCGTCTCGTTGAAGCCCGTCGAGAAGGCGGCGATCGCCGTCTCGGGGCCGACGTCGCGGCCGAGCGAGTGCCCGACGTACCGCCCGTCGCCGTTGACGATCTGCGACAGCCCGCTGGTGGTGGAGCGGTAGAATATGTCCATGCTGCGGTGCCCGTCGACGGTGTCGGCCGCCGCGTGCGCGAGCGCGAGGGAGCTGTTCTCCGCCGGCGGCGACAGGTCCACTTGGATCACGCTGTTCGTGCTGTACCACCCCGTCGACGCGTTCTGGAAGTTCGCCTCCCGGATTCCGCCGGACGTCTGCCAGTACAGGTACGTGTACTGGTTGCACAGGTCGCACTGCTTGCCGTACGAGATGAGCGAGGAGCCGGCGGTCGAGATGTAGTTGTTGCCGGCGGCGGAGTCGACCCAGTTTGCGGTAGGTAGGGACGAGTCCGTCTTGACGCCACGGGTGCTGTTGTAGGTCAAGGCCTTGATGGTGGAGAGGCCGCCGCTATCTGGTAGTTGCCAGTATACGTGAAGATCGCGGCTCTAAAAGGATGTTAGTGGCTGGATGCTTCAAGTAAAGTCTTCATCGAGGTTATGTTTTCTTACCGAATCGGTGTATCGAAATACGTCAAAGGACAACGCAGTCCCTTTCCGTACGCTATCGAAACCTAGGTTGTTGGTTGAGCCGTCTACTATGGCGGAAACGACCCATTGCTTATTTGACGAGTTCCATGCGGACATATAGATCCCCCTATTGTTCAATTGGTAGACGACCAAGTAGTTTTCGTACCCCATTCCGTCCGTAAAGTTTCCAGTCGCGAGATTGGTGTTGGCATATACCAACTTTTCAGTATCTGCTGTGCTTGTCGAAGTGTTATCCCCTGAGCTGGACGCGGACGCCGCATTATTTTTACTCGTCATCACACCCGCAACAACACCGGCCACGATAGCGATGACAATGACTATCGCCGCGACGATTAAGCACCAAAATACTTTTCGTTTTAGCCCGCATGTCCTCGGTTCTTTTGTTGATGCCGCCCCCGCGGCCACCTTCTCCGGATCTGCTACATTTACCGCTTCTGGGGGGGTGTGATCGACCGGGCGAGGTACGTCGGCCTTGGGGAGATAATTGCCCCCAACGACCTCTGGATAGTTGAGGTGTGCGTCCGCCTGATGGTTCACCTCTGGCAACGGCGAGGCATAGGCGTTCTCTGAATATTGATGTGGTATTTGGCCAGGGCTGACAACCTCCAGAGTACTATAATCCGCCATGTTATCAGCTAGGTACTTGTCCGTCGATCCATTCATGATTGCTGAAGAGAGGGCGGACCAAGCTTACCTTGGCCTCGCCTTTCAAAAAGAGAAGAAGAAAAAAAAGAATAATGATGACTGTGAAAAAGGAACGAAACGAGTGGAAGAAGAGAAAGAGAAGAATTGATCTTCTTTTTTTTTCAAAAATAGCCAGTCAACACAACCTTAACCAAAAAGACATTGGATTCTCTATCAGCCCTGTAACGAATAACTAGGTAACTAGATAAAAAGGTAGACCAAGCAGACCAAGTAACAGGGAGTGTGTAGATTCTAGCGGCCGGGAATTTTACTGCATAGCAGGTAAGTCGCAAGTTGTACCAGGTACATTGGCACGCATTCATGATTCCTTCCCGTCAGGACCAGCTATTTGCGCGAATCGAAATGTAGAATGAAACATGGATAGTCCATGTCGCGAATCCATTTTAGGCAGTAATTCTCGATTTTACACCAGTAAATAGTAACTTAATACCAGTCCCGCATTAGCACTTCTTACTTGCAGGGCATTTGCTGGATGCCTGGGATGCCAAGCCCATGCTCCCACCCGTTTATAAATTCAGCTGGGGTGGAGCGTGTGCTGGGTAGTTACTGGGTAGCTGGGGTCCCTGTAAGCTGAAAGTGTCGCGTGCTGAGGTTGAAGTTTAATGTTGAAGTTAAGGGCTTTAACAGTTAAGGATCACTTACCTAGGTTAGGTACTTCAAAGTTCATACTGATTTTATTTTATTTTATTTTTTTTTATTTCAAACATTGTGTCGCTCATCACACCAAATCAAATGTTCATCCCCTACATCTAATACCTACTAAAGTACTACATATGTAAGGTTAGGTGTATTATGTATGTATATAGTATTTTATACATCTCACACAGAACGAACACACATCACAGCACACGGAGAACCAAACGATTCATGCATATGGAAGAAGATCACACGAGTCCTTGGTTAGAATGGTCAGAATAACGCCCGCTATTACCTAAGTCCGCAAGCCGGGAAATATGAACTGGGCCTTTGAATCTAACCACTTGACTATCCTTACCAAAAGGGGGCTCCTATGTCAGCTTGACTAGCCTTACGAGGCAGCAGCTAATAATGTAGTTACTCGCTATCCACCTGTCGACTTACTTTTACAGTAAACCTTGGCCATAACGATTCGGTAGACAACGATATTTTTGTATAACGATATAATTTTGGGAACATTGCAATTTTGTATGGGAAATAACGATATTTTAACCTTAGCGATATATCGTTAATTTTTTGACCGCCACCACCAAGATCGTTATGGACCATGTGTAAAAAACCGTTTATTTTGATAAAATTTTGGTGGAATAAGTGGAATTTTGCGTTTGGTAGCCAATTGGACTGCCCTTTTTTCAGGTAAATCTAATCACCGCCACGATATCTAATCGCCGAAAAATTGGCTTACTGCATAATATCTATTGTACAATATTTTTCATAAAATAGTAAGTACCTTTTCCAATAAAATGGCAGTAAAGGTACAACGGCATTACACGGACCATGACAGTGGGTCCATTTCTACATAACGATATCTCTCTATAACGAATTAAGGGTGGTGTTTTTTCCATATCGTTATGGCCAAGGTTTACTGTACATGCATTTCAAACATTACATCCACATATCACTCAATTTTGTATCAGACAGGACCGTGTATCGGCTATTCTGCCGTTATGCTACTAAGGTTAGTGTACCTAGTCTACCTAGGCTATGTATAACTCACAACACATCCACTTTGATCTTGGCCTCATCGGCAGACTCTTCCAAGATCGTAACAGTAACACCCCAATCTGCGAACGTAAAAGTATCCGTCCCCTTCAGACTCAATGGCGCATCATTTAGTTCATCATCCGCACAGCCTCCCGAATCCGGTGTGACGTCTAACACCCGCACCGGGCCTTCACCCGTAGCAACCGTCGTCGATACCACGTAGAGGAGGACCCCCGTGGCACACGATGCCGCGTCCAGAGCGTTCGCCGTACGATACTCGGCCACCAGCGCGTTGGTGCTGCTATGCTTGACCACCACTGCCTTAGCCCCTCCAGCCTTCTCCAGCGGCGTCAGCGTATGCGTGGTCGAGCCCTTCGCAGCCACGCACTCGACCTGCTCGTCCTTCAACCACCCCAACCGCCACTTATCCCACGCGAAGAAATCCGGGCTCGGCCCGCTAATCAGCCCCATCAGGTCCCAGCCCCCGATGTACTGCCCCGTCGGGCCGCCGTCCAGCGGGTAGTAGTCGGGCATGCACATCGTGTGGCCCGTCTCGTGGTTGAGCGTGAGGTACCCCCAGTCCATGAACGCGTCCACGCCGATGGTGACGGCCTTCTTGGCGACGAAGACGCCGTCGTGCGTCGTGACGTTGCTGTTGAACGTCGGCGAGAACGCGATGTCGGCCGCGTTGGCCGTCGGGATCACGTACAGCACGTCGGTCGGCGGGATCGTGGCCCCGTACGCCAGCAGCGCGTCCTGGATGTACTTCTGGTGCGCCTCGAACGTCAGCCCGCGCGCGAACCCGTACGACACCGCCGTGTCCGGCATCCGGTGGAAGCCCCCCGACGTGTCGGCGGTGACGTTCAGCGACAGCGCCCCGTACGACGCCGTCGCGAACCAGTCTGCCGCGGCGGGCAGGAAGAAGTCGTGCAGGCTTTGCGCCGTCTCGTCGGCTTGCTGGTCGCTGAAGTCGATGAACAGCATGAAGGCGCGCAGCGTGCCCGTGCTGGGCGCGCAGTTGAACTCGTATCCGAAGCCGGCGCTGAGATAGACGTCCGAGTTCGCGGCGAGCTTGCAGGCGGAGACGTCGGCTCGTGGTTGTGGTTGGGAGGCGGATGTAATCGTCGCGTGCCATAGCAGCCCCTGCGCGGCAACGCGCAGCAGCCGTGTAATGCTAGCCATTTCGAACTCGCTCGGTCTTTCCAAGACTTATGTTTAAAGGTAAAGTAATACCAAGAAGAGTAAATGTCTTGCGACGTGCTGAGCTCCTATTTATATAAGAACGCAGTCTACGCCTGTAAGTACCCTTGACGACTAGGTCGGAATACGAGTTTGGGAGATCACTTGGCTTCATTTACCCGGTACTCATTGGGGCCTAGGCTAATTATGCGCGCCTAAGAAGATACGCCTCGTATCGTAGCAATAGCTTCGGTTTTTCTAGAAGAATACGACTACAATCCACATTAAAAGCGTGAGATGTCTCTTGCGGTGAAGAATTCATGTTCTAGAAGACTTGTCAGGTACTACTAATAGTAGAGGCAGAACGCATCACTCAACAGCACATCTCCGTGAAGATCTGTATAATCAGATAAACAATGCGGATTCATGTTGACGAAAATGAAACAAAATAATTTAAATGTCATGTCGGTCGCTAATTCATGCCATCGTCCGCTACAGATCGTCCGCATAAATCCTCAACCTACTCATTTGCCATCCACGGGCCAAGAAATACTCTTCAGCAGGTAGCAGGGAATACAGAGCGGGGTTTCAGATCCCAACACTAGTTAGTAGAAGTTGAAGACTTTCATGCTGCCAAACGGGTTTCTCTGTCCCTCCCCGCCATCCAAGTTCCGCCGCACGAACCTGATCCCGACGATGATGTACCACGCGGCCGCGACTGTGACGTAGGCATCCTGTATGATATACTGCAAGGCCTCGCGCTCGACGAAGACGTCACCGCCAAGTGCCTGCTCGCTCGTGAAAAAGTTCCCGCCGAACAACGCGTTGCTAGCCTGTCGCGAGCCGATGCTGGTCACCAGTGCCAGGGCTAGAGTGCAGGTGCTGAGGAGTATAGTGATCAGCATGGCGGCCTTGTACCGGCGCTTCTTCGAGGTGCCTGCCAAGCCAACGGCTAGCATCACGTTGCTGATGATGAAGAGGACGACGGAGATGACGGGCAGCTCCCCGTTGAACACGTCCGCTTGTAGGTGCTGGGCGATGGGTAGGAGTGAGTCCAGGGCATCCTGAAGCGCGGGCTTGGTGTCGTTGGATAAGTCGAGCTTGTCGCAGAACCACTCGTTGAGATCGCCGGGGTCGGAGCCCCGCATGTTCATCACGCAGGATGTGGTATAATCGGAGGAGGAGTTGCGACTGTCCTGGGAAGGGGGGGTTGCGGTGTTGGAGATGGACACACAGCCACCTATTACCGTATCGTTGCTGTTAACTACGCCAGTTTCCATGAAGATGAAGTGCACTTTGTGTCTGTTACTCACCAAAGTACCCTACCCGAAGTTGGATGTCGTAGGTCTTGTTTACATGGAGCTCGGTTAGGTAGAGGTGGCTAATGGGCGGAGTTTGGGATACGGAGCCAGCGACGGTGAAGACTATCCTACGTCAGCAAGATGCATATAAGTAGGTACTTAGGGAGGGAAGTTGAAGATTACCTCCAAGGATAGTGACGAAAATGAAGACTAGCACGGCAATGCAGGCAACAATGAGGTTCTTGCATGCTTGGCGTTCTGGGGAATTACGTGTCAGCTGTTTTGGTTTTTGAAGAGAAGGTGGTATGAGTTGATATGATACCTACTCACTTTGATGGTTGCTGTTTTGGTAGCTATCTTCCATTGGTCCTGGCATTGTTTCAATGTTATTGATGATGATGATGACTAGAACAGGTACTTCAATTAAGCGTGGTTGAGTACCTTGTCATTTGCCTCGCTACGGCGAGTATGTTTATATATTTATGAAGATACCTGGAGACCACGCGCACAACACCAAGGGAACGTCCTCATTGCAGACTCCATCACTAAGGCTCTGTATTTTCACGAATATATGATTCCCCGGGTTACAGTGGTATCACACTTAAGTTTCTATTTTTACCACATATAGTTTGCTTAACTGTTCGTTGAACGAATCCGTAGACGACAACACGGCTAGCACAGCCTCGACTAAGGTCTACAAGATGTTGAAATGTTTGCATTGGTTGACGAGATAATAAGAGTCACCAACACTTGTGTCCAGGTTTAAATCTAGAGATCTTTTTGACGACGCCGAGCCATCAGTATATCTACTAAAGAAGGCTTTGAGGCTCTGCACGAATATCTCATTTCCATGAGACATAGCTGTGAGCCCAGGCTTCAGTCTATGACAACCGAGCCAGGTAACGACCGTTACACTACAGCCGCCGCAAGTATCCGGTGTTGATCAGGTGTAGGGCAAGTATGACTACCTAGTACGCGATGTTTAGCTAATGCAACCTTGTGGCACGCTGAAGGATTGAGTTGTCTTCGCGGATCTAGGCTCACCTTGTGTTTTGCGCAGTTGGTGTTGACTGATGTTGTAGTAAAGTTCACGCTTCGGCCTTTTCGGGGGTTTGTCACATCAACTATGAATCTAGTCCTACTTTGCGAAACGTAAACAACGGTTCATGTTGGTAAACCTACCTAGGTATTGAGGCGGAGTTTCAGCAAACTTGCTAGGCTTGCAATGTGGGAGTTGTGCTTCAAAGCGGGCAAAGTAAACGAGGGGCGGCTTGAAAGGCCTGCTAGCATTTCATTTCAATGGCCAATATTGGTGGAAATTGTCAGTAGAAAAAAGAATATATTGATGTGATTTATTGAAGATGGACGTATCAAATGTTATATCTCGATGCTCATGTTGACTCAATACGTACCTAGGTATATATAACGAGCGTGTAATTCTAGAAATGCTTTAATCAGTAATGACGCTGTATCATTGACGGCCAAGTATCCATTCCATCCATTCAGAGCATTTAAAATGATAACTAGTACATCTCAAGGTGGAATCGGAGACCCTTCATGATAATGATAAATGTACAAAGTAGGAGGGAGGGACTGATCCCTGTATTTCTTATCTCTAGGTGCGGACGGGCAACATTGAAATCCTCCGATACTTAGGTATAGCTCCGAGATTATGCACAATGAAACATTCTGCATATGTAGTTGAACCCAGTTGAACGTATAAGTGCTTAATTCACCCCGCAACACTACTTTCTTACCTAGGTACCTACCTAGGCCTGCCTACTCTTAAGAATCAATAAATCAGGGTTACCGTGAGTGAAGACAACCTCAAGATGGCTGTTGAAGAAGTGCCTACCATCACGATTCCCGTAATCGACATATCCGGCGACGTCGCCAACAACCTATCGCTCCGACCCCAAATCGCGCGAGACCTAAACGCCGCCTGCCGCTCCCCGGGCTTTTTCCAGATCGTCGGACACGACGTGCCAGCCTCTCTGCAGACGCGGGTTTTCAACACAATCGCGCAGTTCTACGCTCTGCCGCCGGCGAAAAAGCTGGCGCTGCGCCGCGAGCTCTCGGGGCGGGGCTACGAAGCCATCGGGTCGCAGACCTTGGACGAGTTCCCAGATCGCAAAGAGGGGTTCATGATCGGCCCCGAACTTCCGCCTGGCGACGGGTTCTTGGAGGGCCCGAACTTGTGGCCCGAGGAAAGCGATTGTCCTGGGTTTCGGGCTACGATGGAGGAGTACTTCGCTGCCATGCGCAGATTAAGTGTTAGGATGTTTCGCTTGTTGGCGACTAGTTTGGACCTCGATGTGCACTACTTTGACGAGTTCGTGGATAGCCGAGACTGTCAGAGACTATCCTTTTTCATTTGTGAATAGTCGACGTGGACTAACATAGTTGATGTCGCTTTAGCTATCTCAATGTGTCGCGCCCATAAATACCCCCCAGCTGACACTGCAATGGCGAAGAAGTCGCGCGGGGTAGGCGCCCATACCGATTTCGGGGCCATGACGCTGCTCCTTCAAGATGACCGTGAGATTCCCTCTACATGCACCTTGTTTACTGTCATCGCTAACATCAACGCTACTAGTGGGAGGCCTGGAAGTTCTCCACAGGCCTACCGAGACTTGGCATAGTGTGCCATGCATCAAGGGCGCCTATGTCGTCAACATCGGCGACATGATGGAAAGGTGGACAAACGGCCGCTACACGTCAACAGTACACCGCGTAGCATCGCCAGTGTCGAGCAAAGATAGATACAGTGTTGCGTTCTTCAATGAGGGCCGGTTGAAGCAGGTCATCGACTGCATCCCAACGTGCCTGGAGCTCAATGAGGGGGCGCCGATATACCCGCCTGTAACGGTGGAAGCCCACTTACGCAAACGATATGAAGACAGCTATAAGGGGAATCCGATCAAAGGCTAAGTTCGACGCGCGTTTTATGTCACGAGCTGGAACCTAGAAGACGCAGAACAACGTCGTTGTTGCATGGGGATCTCTAACGTCTCCCTCGGGCTATGGAGTCTAGGAATGGAGGCTACATATACATTCATGCTGTCTTTGTTCCATGTGGCGCCTATGTAGTCTTGGGTAGGCCCTTGACAGTTTGTATAATTGTGATGTTTGCAATGATGGGAACGAGGATAACAAGTGAGCATCTTGTAAGCACGCAAGTATCCTCCATTTTCATTCTAAAGCGTAATACTGTGTACCCCCGTGATTATACATTCGTTCGAGATAGCAGTTGTGCTGGGTTAGACAGAAGAATTGTACCCACAAATGCCAAATACTGAGGGCATCACGTGGACCTTTGTACCTCTGTACAATGTAACCGATAAGTAAATCACATGACTTCACTCTCACGATTCCCATCCTCCGGCTCCGACTTGTCGCAAGCCCGCGAGCCCCACTATATAAACCCCTTTTCCCAATGATGCCGGGCAGGACCCACAATTCCCGCGCACGCATATCTTCTGGTTACTGATCATTCTTATAAGTATCTAGATGTTCAAGTAGTTTCCGATTTAGTAAATAGATAGCATAATGGCCCTGGGAACAATTTATTTGTTTTACGACTGATTATTGTTCTCTGTATTGGTTACCTGATAGCGAGTGTAAGGGGGTACAAGCAGTGAAGACGATTTTAAATCAGAACTTGAATAATAAACGAAAAGAAGAGACTTAGAGTTTTTCCTCTTCGAGGATTAATTATGTAGGTACATGAGCAACGTTTAGCTAGGAAATAGATAGCCACTGCTGTGACTACCGGTATCCGTCTCCTGGTATTGAGAGTAAATCTTCCTCGCGTTTTACCACCTTGCAGATGCGTCAATATTCCCGGCCATGCAAATCGCAGTAATCCGCCACCTTCAGTAAAGCCAGTTCATTCTCCCATTTCCTTCATTATCTTCCAAATCGTCCAGAGAACACGTGCATATACGTGTCCATGAATCCACCTATGGTACGGTGCCATGCTTTCCCTGATCCTCAGCTGGAACCTATCATGCTGCGCGCCTATTTCCCCATTTTTCTTCCCAGCTATTGAGCTCGAACTCTTTCCATGGATTGTAGTATAACTCGATGAACTTTTCCGTCAGTTGAGGTCCACGGTGCTTGGGTTCTTGTCCGATGCTTCGAAGAAGGCGGCTCAGGTCGAAGTCTGGGCGCCAATCACCAACAGTCCACAAGATCTTGCCTTCGTCCTGGGCTTTACTGTACTCCGGTCCGAGCAAGCACTGGCCCATGGCTCTGGCTGCGCAGCCGCGCTTGATGTACCAGACGCCCCACATAGTTGTACTATACATCGTTTCGCCGTTGCTAAGTAACAGACCCGAGGGAATACTTGCGACTAGCGTGGCCGTTTTGAGGTCCCTCATTTGTAGACAGGCGCGTCCGAAAGACTCTAGTAGCGGCACCAGAGCATCGTCGTTCGGGACCACCTCACAACGATGCATAGCGAAGTCCATTTCACGGTGTTCCGGGAGTGAAAACCCGCTGGCCGCCAATCTATCCTCTTCTGCGCTGTAACCGTATCCTGGAGGCATTTGCGTAAGCAGAGGGGGAAGGATTCTAGGATCATCGTCTATCGGCTCTTTATTTCGGAAATAGCTTCCTCCGGATGGTCGTCTGATGGGAATCATCAACTGGAGATGTTCCAAGTTGTACCAGTAGGGCACCGATAAAGCCCGACTTTGGCTGGGCAAGAATAGTGCGTCATCCATGCACAAGTTGAAATCAACTTCCTTCAGGCGCTTAGAGTTCGCCACCACTGTTCCAATTGCAGCTGATAATGGATCTGCGGGTGCGTTATTGGGGAACAGGCTTCTGGCGCCCCAAACTGGATTCCAGGAAACCCCGTTGTAGGTGTTCAATCTAAAGTACTCCAGTCTGGAAAGTGTTGACATGTTGTTCAAAATCGCCTCAGCGAGTTCTTTTCGGTATGACTGACGAAACTCAATGTAGCGTATTTCACTGTCCTTCAGAGCCACGGCCAACCTTTGAAGGTTTGGTAGTTTCTTCACCATTCCGAAAGCTGAACTTGGACTGATTTTTCTTGTTATAGCCCAAATTCGGAATGATGATACCACGGGTAGAGATGGCAATGCGGAAAGGCGCTGAAGAAGTAGGTACGAGTAATGGAATCGCCATGCTTGAAGGTCGAGGCCGTATGTAGTCTGGTCAGGTTTCTTGATGTTGATGGTATCGCCTCCGACGCAGTACAAGGGGTCTGAGTGCCGCAAAAACTTGTGGTCCGAGGTAGAATACACATCTCGGATCTCTAGCGTAAAAGTGCCGTCCTTGAAGACGTTCCAGTCCTTGAGAATTTGGAACAGACCGTGGATTGCAACCGTAAAGGATTCATTGTTAACGTTTCGCTCGTCCTCACGTTCGAAACGGCCACGCTCCCAGTCTTGGTACGTGGGCAACAATACGATATACTCAATCTTTTTGACATATCGACGGCGATCACCGCGAACAACTTGTTTGAAGCGGTTTAGGTTGGTACTTCTCAGGAGAATGTCTTGGAACGTTTGACGTTCAATAGCAAGCTGCCATTTGCGTGAAATGGTGGCCAGCTTTGGACGCTCAACATCCGGGCCATCCAGTGATGCGGCGATCCTGTCGTAGATATCGTACGGCAGTTTATCCATGCTGACTGTTGAAATTGAAACCACGATCTGACTGAAATCTGTAATTTCTTTTAAGGAAGAGAAAGTAAAGTGTTGTAGTAAATGATGGTAGAGAAGGGAAAAGTTTCGAATGATGTGCACTATTCAATTAGGTAGTTCTTTCTAAAGTTAGTGGGTAAAGTGTAGCGTGTTGGTTTGAGTTGCTGATTTGTTTTTTGTATTTATATCCGTGTTGTTTTTAGTATGTACTATTGAAGCTTTCAGTACATATACGCATACCTGATTGTAAATTACTCATATATGAATAAAATTGGTTGAGCAGAATATGCAGGCACTGTTGACATTGGCTTTGAGGGAAGGAGTATTGTGTTGTCTGTAGGTACCAAACATTGGATTCTAAGATGCTGGAGGCCACACAGTCACTGAACTTATAGAGAAAAGCTGCTGTTACGAGGTCGATTAATATCTACCTAGGTACACTGCTTCCTCAAAGCGTAAAATGAGAAACTCTAGGTACCTACCTACATGTCACTAATTGGAGCTTGTTAAGACTTGTTAGACGTATTGGCATAAAGAAAGTGCTTAAGCAAAAGACCAATAACGAAAGATCAATCATCCGCCCTTTGGCCCCTTTGGCCTGGCAGTAAAATCTGACAAGACCTATCATAAGTGCGGCTCCCCTGTCATGCAGCCATGATACCACGGAACCATGCAATCGCGGACGTTCGTACACATCGAAAACTCTCCATCGCCAATTTCCCCGCTCGACCAAAATCAAGAAGAGCCTGGCGTCAGTAGCAGTCCGTTTTACCTATTTGCCTACCTATACTAAGCAAATAGCTCAAATCATAGAGTACCTAGTGACTAAGGTGAACTATATTTGCGACAACACTGACTATGGCCGAACCAGAAGTCACCAGAGCAAACATGTCACCGCCTACAGGCGAGCAGTCCCATTCCACACAGACTGTAGACTCAGGTATCCCGGACCGAACTCTCGTTGTCCGTCCCCACGCTCATAGCACCAGCTTCCTCACAAGATTTTGCTATCACATCCTCGGCGCCGGATTCGCATTCTTACTAAGCCCCTTTGAATTCATGTGGCCCAACTATGCACCGCTTGAACCAACAGGCTATGAGGCACGCACGAGGAGAGTACTGAGAGCCACACCGTGTGTTCGCATTGAATAAGCGCGGAGTTTCTTTTCGCTTGACACGTTCGTAGCTTAATTGACGGACACGACGACTTGCCCTGGAAGCTGCGCATAGAGCTGCACGAGCAGATCTACGATGACAGGGTAGATCTGGCCAAGAGGCTTTTGGGGCATAGGTACCGATACTCAGAGGATGAAGACTGGGATGGCGGGAGGTCAGTTTTGGAGTGTATACGTGGATTGTGATGTTGACCAGCAGAGCTTGGAAAAGCCTTCGATGAGTGATACCCTTACGTGATAGAAATGCTAGGTAATTATAGATGCTATTTCTTATTCCAAAATCGTTCTACAGTGGACCGTAAGAGATACACGGGAGCAAGTTGGCTGCTGAAATGAGTGTCTAGGGACTGCTCTTAAGAACAGTAAATGGAGTCGCGGCGAGAAAATGTATATAATCTAGGCATGCGCTGGATGTACAGCCTCGGAGCGCGTTGCATCACACTAACCTACAACTGTGACATCCATTGGGCGACTTCTATTTCTACTGTTGTTTCCGGAAAGAGAAAGCCAGATAGGGGTTAATTCTAACTAGGCTACAAGGCCATCAAAGAAATAAACCGGATAGGCATGATCGTAGACCTGTCGCACGTCTCGCACCAGACCATGCGAGACGTGCCTAGCGTGACAGAAGGCCCCGTAGTCTTCTCGCACTTAGGCGCGTATGGCGTGACGCCGCATCTGCGAAACGTGCCTGACGACGTGCTCCGAGCCGTGAAGCGCAACGGTGGTATCGCGATGGCCATCTTTGTGAACCGCTTCATCAAATCGGGAGACCCCGATCAAGCGACGATCTACGATGTGGTCGACCACATCTGGCACATCGCCGAAGTGTGCGGCTGGGAGTGCGTCGGGGTTGGTAGCGATTTCTCCGGGACGCGGTTCGTGCCCGTGGGGCTGGAAGATGTTTCCAAGTATCCTGATCTTGTGGAACTCCAGATGGAGCGTGGCGCCACCGACGAGCAGGTCCGGCTATTTGCAGGAGAGAACATTTTACGCGTATGATCGAATATCGAACAGAGGGCACGTGAGATCCAAGCTACTGGAAGAAGGCCAGTGGAAGACGAATACGAAGGGAGGGAGTGGTCAAAGGGGTTGAAAGACTCGCCTTGGACGTTGAGAGGGAGTGCGGATAAGCCTAAAGTTGACGAAGGAGCACAGCCACTCAAAAACGTATAAACACAATGATTTCCAAGGTTGGTACCTAGGGAGATAGTGATGGATATTTAGGTAGGCACGAGGCGGGTGCCCCGACGCCGCCCCCCCCTAGAGCCTCATACGGTTTTCAAGTTTCACCCTTTCTACATTGACTACCTGCAGTAAAACTCCGATATTACCAGATACTTTATGGCATTAGTGTCAATTTTGTAAGCGTAGTTTATGCCTTGGGGACCTAAGTTAACGACGAAAGACATAGTTTAGGTGATGTTATCCAGTAACCAAAGGATCCATGTTGTGTAAGTATTGATCCAACAGCCCCTATTAATTGAATTAGTAAGCTGCTCGCCTTAGGTATTACATAAACCTCGTTCTCGCATACTCACCCAATCTATGCTTTCAGACCCGTCAATCATCTGCGACATGGCGCCAGCATACGGTAGCTCCGAGTTATTCGATAGATCCGTGTCTCTAAGCGACGCATCATTCGATAGAAGAAGAAGACCAGCATCATTCTCCGCCACCTTTCTTATCATCAGATCCAGCGCAAGTGCTGCGATGTGTGCTTCAGGAGATGCTGCACTGCTGATAACCCATATCCGCTGAGACTCCTGGAGGGCTCTGTATTCTCGAGCAGCAAGCTGCTGTAGATCCGTGCTTTCCGGCAAGTTTTGCTGTGGAGATCTCATGCGGACGGATAGATCCAGGCATATCACTACAGCGGCCAAGAGGAAATCGTGTACAGGGAGTGAAAGGAACATCCACCGGTCCTCGCACAGCCGCCCACCCGGTGAGCATGCTTTATGTATGTCGACTTGGCGAGTGACAATCTTGAGAGCTGCCTCGGCGCAAGCGCGCCTAGAGAATTCAAATTCGGAACTTTGCGGTTCGTAGTTGATGTATCGTCGATGAAGAATGATGAGCCCCTTGAGGTAGAGGAGCTCGATTGTGCATCGATTCCATATAAGACAAGGGTGATCTATGAAGGAATGGTTCACATCTCGTCCTTTCAACTGCTCTGGTATTCTACCATAAACGTCTTCCATTTCAGTGTCCAGTTCAATTGTTTTGCTGTAGGCTGGCACCGTGAGCGACTGCGTGTTCGCAACGATCTTCTTGAAGACACCCATCACACTAGCCTTGACTATCGTGTATAAAACAGGCGTGTTCTCAGAAAGAGGCTTCGACGGTGGAAGAGCTTTCATATCAACATTGAGATCGGAGTATTCCAAATTGCGCGGTATCTCCGTGTCGCAAAACTCGGTGGGGATCATGCTCGGGAACCCCATCTGGTAGGACATCAGCGCATCAATCTGGAATATGTTGAGCCATACCCGTCGCCTCATTTCACCATCGAAGGGAGAGATGCCGGCGAGTTTACTTGGGTCACGGTGGTACCCCATTCGAAATGCTAACCGGATGATAGTGCCCATCTCGAACCACAGATCGACAGAGCGGCCATTGTTGCTGAAGAAACAGCTCTGAAGATGTATTATAAACGCCTCGAGTGCGTGTTCGTTAGCGGTAGCGTACTGCCCAAGAACAAGACAGTCCACCGTTCTCTGATGTAGTATGCTTATTGGGGGGATCGACCCATCAGGCTCCGGTATGTTCGATATCCGACGCAAGCTTGCTGTTATGGTGAGTACGGAGAACAGTAGAGCTATCCAAAGGGGTGGTGTCGTCGACGGAGAATCCCAGAAGGCAGCGTACTATAGGTTCTGTGAGGAGAGGTTATGGTCAAGCTGTGAAGCGAAGCGTACCTCATTTTGGAATTTAGCTGGATGCACGATCCCTTTACAAGATAGAATGGGTCAGTCACCCCTCATAAAGAGTTTTGGGAGTCGTCATCTCACCAAGAACCATGAACCGAGAGTTAAAATACCAAGAGAGCAGCATGTCGCATATTGGTTGGGAAGGCAATGAACTTAGAACTTCCTCCAGAGTCAAGTGGCGGTTCAAGTTGAACAAAAAGCTGGCGTCTGATACTGCGCGATCCACACCAAAGCCAGTCTCATTTTGTGGTAAAGGCCGATTTGATACGGATAAATGTTCCTTGACTTCTTTGATATCGTCCAAAATCGATAGCCAATGACTGGGGTCGATATAGTTCACTTGACCATCTTCACTCTCTTGAAGATAGGGGGATTCAGGGGTAAGCGCATTTGCTCCTCCACTTACACTGGGAGATGCCGAATCTTGGTTTGCAGGTCTGCTATCGTGCTCGGATGATGGGATGATAGTATGGCTACCCTTGGCTGAATTTGGGGCAAGTCGCCGAGGCTGAAGAACGGCATCACCTGATAGGAATGATGAGACCAGAGTTTCAAGACTATCCAGTCTGTCTTTCATTTTGCGTGGCTTTGGTGTTCCATGCTTATTTCTGTTGGCATTAGTCGCATAGTTACAAAGCGAGGCCTTATCACGCCTTATGCAGGTATCACATGGTAAGCCGCGATTGCACTTTATTCTGTAAATTCGTGTTAGAAATGTGGTTAAGCCATGAGGTTCGGGGACATGGAAACTTACCTTCGAGTTCGGCATGGTTCGCAAGAAACAGGGGGGCGATTTCTTTTTTCCACCTGTCGGTGGCTGTGATCAATGGTAGTCATTGAAGAGTACCTAGGTAGCTGGATTGTTCGTTTCTCGAAGACCGCTTTGTATGCGATGGCCAGAGGGATTCGTCAGTCAAATAATAATCGCAGTCGAACCGAACCTAGGGCTGACAATCCTAGGACGGGAATGTTATATGCGCTGATGGAAACAAGGGCAAAAACGTCAGCTTGGGTGGCTACATACGAAATCCGTCATAGGTAAATAGGGGATGGGTGCGGAGATAATAACTCCGCTTTGTTAGTGTATAAGAATAGATCCAGTGTATTAACCCCGGCCCAATCAGCCTCCTGTACCAATGTCTAGGAGAGGTTGATGTCAATAGATGATATACTGTCAATTGAAGGACATATTAAACCCGCCTTCGTGGATTTATCATCATCTTGAGCTGTTTGGAAAAGCTACAGATATAAAATGGCATTTCAGTGTCGGAAGAAAAGAAGAAAAATCATGCCTACATCAAACAAGCTTCTTCACTCCGCCACACATACCTTCAAGAGAAAGTAACTGCCAAAAATACAACATTTCGTCATGTCTGCCTTCTACGGAGTTACTTCCGTCCTCTATTCGAACCTTCTCGTGAAGCTTCCAGTCCCAACTGGAAACTCTGAGTTACCGAAGCAGATATTCATCGTTACCGGCGCTAACACCGGCCTCGGATTCGAGGCCAGCCTTCACCTGGCGCGGCTTGGCGTCGGAAAGCTGATAATGGCGGTGCGAACCCCATCCAAAGGTGAAGATGCAAGGCAGAGGATCCTTGACTTGACCAGGAGACCAGAAACATCTATCGAAGTCTGGCCCCTCGACATGGACAGATATGACTCCGTCAAGGCGTTCGCTGCTCGCGCCTCTGAGCTCCCACGTCTCGATGGCGTGTTGGCTAACGCGGGCATCATGACCAACACTTTCAGCTGGAGTGAGGACATCGAAAAGACTCTCAACGTCAATGTCGTTAGCACATGCTTATTATACCTGCTCCTCTTGCCAAAGATGCACGAATCCAGTCAGAAAACAGGATACTCCTGTCGCTATGTGATCCCGAACAGCGCGCTGCACTATTCAGCGCCCACTGCAGAGCTAGATCCCAAGCAACATAGCATCCTCAACCGCCTAAACGATCCGGAGAAAGCCGACATGGCTGGCCGATACCCTCTGAGCAAGCTACTCATGATCTACGCCGTGCGCGAATTCGCCGAGAGGTCTAAATCGTCGGAGAAGGGATCGTGCATCATCAACACGACGAATCCGAGCTTCTGCAAGTCTAACCTGGCCAACGAATTCCAAGCATCTGGCGGCTTTAAAGTATTCGAGAAGGTCGTAGCTCGCACCTCCGAGGAAGGTAGTCGCGTTCTAGTTCATGGCTTGTTGGCTGGTCGAGAAACTAATGGGCAATACTTGTCTAACTGTCGCGTTGAAACGTAAGTGGCTCGGTACCCCTGAACAAGTTGATATTATACTTACTTATTCTTGAAGCCCTTCGTGTCACGTCACTGGGAAATGGGGTCAACAGGTCCAGAAGAAGTTCTTTGGCGAGCTGATCGAGAAGCTAGAAAGTATTCAACCTGGAATTTCCTTGCACATGTAATATAAATACGTTCATTAAAGAACGTCATTGACCTAGGTCTCTGTATCGAGCCAGTCACATTTATTCCTGGGTGGAAATATGGAGTATACGGAGCAGATAGTTGAATGAAGGAGTGGGATACAAGATATGTACCTATACACTGTGAGAAGGTTATGAGCTTGTTGTTTGGTTGGGGATATCCGGTGGCTGCTTATCTTCATCTTCCTACCTATGAACAAGCACTTTTTGCTCTAGCTGCAGAAAACACACCCCTGGTACCCCAGGCATCTATTGCCATCCCAAACATACGTATGTATGTGCCATTTGCTTTTCATTTTAGCTGCATTTTGGCAACCCATATTCAAAAGCCTCACTAATACGAAGATGGGAAGACGCACAACCTTCCTCCATCCGTTACAAGCACATTCCCATTGATGTAAGCACCAGCCCTGCTCACGAGGAAGAGAATCGCACCAGCCATGTCTTCCCCGTCCCCGAATCGCTGCTCGGGAACAACGCTCTTAGGCCATTCCTTGCCCTTGTTGCCCTCCTCTAGGAACGTGGTCATTTCACTCGGATAGACTGTAGCTTTTTGTTAGAAAAATGCAAGCTCAACAATGAAACCCATTTATGAGTGCACTTACATCCAGGAACGATGACATTGGACCGGATGCTGAACTGTACGAGGTTCGAAGCAAACATCTTCATCATGTGGATGACGCCGGCCTTGGAGGAGCTGTAGCCAAAGCCCGTGAGGTGCATTCGACTGAATCCACTGATGCTTGACGTGGCGATGACCTGGCTCTTCTGCTTCAGGTTACCACGCTTGTTCCCTTCGTCGAGCAGCTCCAAGAATGCGGTGATAGTATTGAAAACCCCCATACAATTCACCGCATAAGTCTGCGTGAATTCGGCCTCGTCCCAGCAGTCTCTGACGTTCTGGACAAACTCCGTCACGCTCGGGTTTTGGGGCATATTAGCACCGGTCACAGGTCCGGTGATGCCTGAGTTTGCTATCAAAACGTTGATGTAGCCCTCGGCGGATTTGATCTCCGCGGCGGCACGCTCAACATCGGCTTTGCTAGTTACATCGCCCTGGATGATGCGGATGTTTCCGTGCTTCTATGTTACGTCGTGGCAGGTTAGTTGTGGAGCTAATACGAGAATCCCACTCGCCGGGGGGAAAGACGTACAGCGGTGCTCGCAGCTTTTTCTAGCACCTCCTTGCGACGGCCGATTATGTAGACAGTGGCACCATTGGCTTCCAGAGCCTGCGCGTACATAAGACCAATTCCTGCATTCAAGTTCATTAGAATAGGTATTCTGAAAACCCTAGGGGCTAGATCAATCTACCAGTCCCTCCTCCCGATATGACAGCGACAAGACCCTTGACGCCAAAGAGATCGCCAGCATCTACAGCAGCGGAAGCCATTGTTAAGTTTATTATTTAGGTAGGCGGTTGCCAATATTGTGTATTAGTGTAAATGATCCCGGAATACCTCGTATAGTGAATACAAGATGCCTACCAAGTATGATCTAGTAAAGAGGGAGGTAGAGGACGATCAGATACCTTATATACACCTACCTACCTAGGTACCATGGTAAGTATTCAACGTCTTACGAACTTAATCGGACTTAAGTAGGAGGAACTCCGCGAGCTCTAAAAGATTACGCCATCCAGCCAACCCCGATCCGAGGTCGTCTCACCCGAGCCGCTGGCGTGATAATGGCTGGTCGATTATTTACTTACACAAAAACACTTCAATTGCTCAAGAAACTCTGCGTAGTACATCTTGTAATTGGAGAGGCAACAAACCTTTACCTACTGCAAGATCACATAGATTGAAATACGACCTACCAATCTCAGCACTACCACCTAAACTCCAAGGTTAGGGATGTATTTACATCCATAGTACCCCGCAGCGCCATGTCGGTCTTGGAAGGTCCATCGCGGGCAAAATGCGACGCCAGATCAAGACGATACGACTTCGTCTGAAATAGCCATGAGTACCCGGAACCAGGTTAAGATGGCACGTTCTAGAGATCCGGCTATATTATGTGCATGCATGCCTAGGTAGCTATCATGCATTATATATAGCTTCCCAGGGCACTATTCGCGAGCCCTAGGGAATTCCAGTTCTTTCTAATTCTTTTTTTTTCTTACAAAAAAGGATTAAAGGAGAAGAAAAGAAGAAAAGAGGATCCAACATCTCACCATGTTGTTGCGCGCCAGGGGCCTCCTCGCCCTAACCATCTTCTCCCTCCTCCTCCCCAGCGCCACCTGCCAAAACGACGACCTGGGCGTCAAAAACGGCTATACCACGCTCAAAACCGCCAACTTCAACGTCAAGCTCGTGCGCGACGCGCAGGTTCTCGCGTCGCTGACCCCCGCGGGGGACACGTTCGACTTCCTGCCCTTCGACCTGCTCTCGGCGCGCGCGGGCAACGGGCAGTACCACTGGGGCGACATCACCTTCCGGTACCGCGTTGCCGGCGACGACAACGGCACCTGGATCGACGGGGACTCCGCCGCGGCGCGGAAACCGGTCGCTGCTCTCCCTATCACCAGCAGCAGCAGCAGTAACGGATCCCTAGCCGCCGCAAACCTATCCCCCACCCTGCCCACCTCCAGCCCCCTGAACGTGACGCGCGAATGGCTCGACGTCGCCGGGGACCTCGCTCTGCGCTTCACCCTCACCAACGCGCACCCCTCCGCCGCCCTCGAGCTCGGCAGCCTCGGCTTCCCCGCCGAGTTCAACAGCATCTTCACTCGCCGCGCCGTGGGCGCCACCCAGCGGCTCTGCTCGCTCTCCGACCCGTACATCGGCATGCACGCGGGCTACATCCGCGCGGCGCCCGTGCGCGGGACGGGCTCCGCCCTCGTCGTGACGCCGCTGAACGCCAACTCGCCCCTCGAAGCGTACCGCAACCTCGACGAGCCTGTGTACGAGGCGACGGGGTACGGCAGCCAGACGTTCGAGGGCTTCTACGAGTGGCAGGTGCACAGCGGCGCCTGGGCTGAGCACGAGTGGTCCAGCGCGCAGCCGTGGAACGCGCCGTCGTCGCGGACGCTGGGGCCGGGCGAGGCGGTGCAGTTCGGCGTGCGGTTCTCGCTTGCGAGGGGCGGGGTAAGGGACCTCGACGTGGCGGTGCGGCGGACGGGGACGCCGGTCGCGGTGGGCGTGCCGGGGTACATCATTCCGGTAGGCTCCTCGGCGCAGCTATTTTTACAGGCGGATGCGCGCGTGCTGGCGGTGTCGAGCGAGCCGGTGGAGTCGTTGGCGTTCAGCGAGTTGGGGCAGGGGCAGGGCGTGCTCGTCACGCCGTCGCCGGATTTCTGGGGCCGCGCGAGGGTGACGGTTGAGTACGAGGATGGGAAAGTGCAGACGGTGCATTATTTTGTCACGAAGCCGGCGGCGCAGGCGATAGGGGATTTGGGGAGGTTTCTTACGACGGAGCAGTGGTTTGACGATACCTCGGACCCGTTTGGGCGCGCGTACTCGGTCATGAGCTATGATTACGAGACGCGGTCGATCGTGACGCAAGACCCGCGGGTGTGGATCGCTGGGCTTAGCGATGAAGGGGGCGTTGGGGCGTATCTCGCCGCGATGGCAAAACAAGTCATCCAGCCCGATGCCGAGGAGGTCTCGAAGCTCGAGATGTTTGTTGATCGGGTCCTCTGGGGTACGATTCAGACGAAAGATTTCGCGGTGCGGAAAAGTATCTTTTACTACGAGCCCACAGCCGTTCCGAAATACACGTACAACACCAGCATAGACTGGACGAGCTGGACATCCTGGAGCCAAGAGGATGCATATGGGATCGGCCGTGCATATGACTACGTGCATGTTGCGGCAGCGTACTGGTCCCTGTACCGCGTTGGGAGGGCCTATCCCGAGCTTCTGAACAGCCACGACTGGAAATGGTACCTCAACCAGGCCTACAGCACCGTCATTCGCTGCACGCAGTCTGATGTAACATACAAGGAACTGGGCTTGATGGGTGAAACGGTATTCGGGGAGATACTTACTGATCTCACTCGGGAGGGACTGACATCCGAGGCTAATACGCTGACGAAAGCCATGAGATCCCGAGCAACGCAGTGGGACTCCGAAGAAGTTCCGTACGGAAGTGAGATGGCATGGGACTCGACCGGGCAGGAGGGTGTCTACTATTGGGCGAAGTAAGTTCTCAGTCATTATGCATACGGTATGTATTACATTCATATTAACAGAGCATATGTAGACATTTCGGCTTCACCAAGACGGTAACGAAAACTATAAACAGTGTTCTCGGTTATACGCCAACAGTGCCTCACTGGGGCTGGAATGGCAACGCGCGCAGGTACTGGGATAATATGTAAGATCTTACTCACCTTTCCATTTTCCCCCTCTTTTTATCCCCTTTAAATCTGACAACCCATTATCCTTTAGCTATGGCGGGAAGCTCCAGCGCATAGAGCGACAAATCCACCACTACGGCTCCGCACTAAACTCCCTCGTCCTTCTCTCCGCCTTCCGCAGCAACCCATCGGACCCGTACCTCCTCCAAGTCGGGTACGGAGGATCCAGCGGACCTCTATCCAGCATCAACGAAGACGGGTTCGCCTCAGCGTCTTTCCACTCCTGGCCCGATACGTTGAGGTGGGACGGGTACAGCGGCGACTACGGCCCCGGCTTTTTGGGAATGGTGCTCGGGTCTGGGACGTTTGTCGCGCGACACGATACTTTTGGGCTCCTCGCTTACGGCGGCACTTTGTTGTCTTCTGCGGAGGACAAGGTCAGCGTCCAGGTTACGGCTCCTGTTAGCCGCCGTGTATTCATCGGGCCACTAGGCGTGACAATTACACTGGACGCGGGTAATATTCAGGATTTTACATACGAAAGTACATCGGGTGCGATTTCACTCACCCTAGTGCAGTTGTCAAATACCCCAAAGGCTGTGGCTACGGTATTGTGGATTGAGACGAATGACTCTTCTATATACAGTGTCTCGGAACCGGTGGCGGTTCGAGAGCGCTTAGGCTGGCAAATACCGCTCTCAGCTGATGGTCAAGTTGTTGTTCAATTAAGACGGGGTTAGCATAGGGAATTCACAACATTGTTTATATCATACCTCTAATATTTACCTAGGCATTTAATTAATAATCACTAGAGCTGTATTGGCTCTCGAAACCTTACCTAACGTTATGGGGCCATATGGCATTCTCTCTTCATGTGTAGTACTAGAGTCAAGGGAGACATAGTTGAAGCACGACTTGAGCGGGACACAATCAACTCTTCTCAATACACGGATTGTTCTGACCACGTCTATTAACAACGCCAATTTTTGCGTCTTACGTACAGTGGTATCAGTGAAGTCGTGAGGATTTATTTGCATCACTCCTCCGGGCCATCCATGCCGGGCCCAGGGCCACCTTGTCGTCCCATCTGGCGAGCCTTGAGCATCTCGTCACAGAGTAAGAGATTCGAGGCGATGCTCGACGAGGAAGCGACACAGTTCCGCAAAACTCTGAAAGAGTCATAGACACCTTCTTGTGTCGGATCCATGGGCTGTCCAGAGATCAAGTCCAATCCAACAATGTTTCCATCGGCATTCTCATCCTGGAGGGAAGCAACTGTGTTCACGTTAGTAAAAAAGGCATCAGAAACGGGACAGATTAGCGCGAAATAACACTTACGTGCGTCCTGAATATCGTGACCGGCGTTTGCTGCGAGTGTCTTGGGAATGATCAAGAGCGCATCTGCAAATGCATCAACACCCCACTTGGCCTTGCCCTTAACCGTCTTCTTGAAAGCGTCGCTCTTCAAGTGGGCCGCGCAAGAAACCTGGTAAGCACCACCACCGGGAACTACACTCTTGTCCACGATCATGTTGAATACGCTCCGCAGGCCATCGCGGACGGCATCCGTGATTTGCGTAATGGTGTGGGCATTCGGGCCCTTGATCATGAGTGTTACAGACTTGGGGTCTTTGACATCTTCGATGAACGTGTACTTCTCCTCGCCCAGTTGTTGCTCGTACACCAAACCGGCCCAGCCAAGGATATCCGGACTCAGATCCTCGACACTGTTCTGTGCAGTACCACCACAGATGAGCTGTAATCTCTCCATGTTTCTTCTCTTAGCTCTTCGCAGGGCAAAAATGCCGTTCTTGGCTAGCACGTCCAGAGACAAGGGATCGATACCCTTCTGGTTGATCACGACAAAGCTCTTCTTTGGGTCGTTTCCACAAACTTCCTTTTTCAAGTCGACAATCTTCTTCAGCTTAGCATCGACGAATCTACGCTCGCTCTCAACTAACTTGTCCCGCTGATCGGCGCTGGAATAGAAAAAGCTCGAGTTGATTTCCGACTTTTCGTACTCCAAACTCACGTTCATGGTCAGGATAAAAGCGTTCTCTACCCTTTTTGGCATGTCAGGATGTCGAGCGCCGTGGTCTAGGGCCAGGCCTCGGATCAGTTGGGTATCTGAGGCGGTACGGTGTTGCATCTTCATGATCTCTATCATGTGAAGATCTGGTTTCGCGGGAGCTTGGTAGATAGATAGGACGGCATCGACGATAGCAGGGGTGAGCTTTTCGGCGAGGTTCGCGTTAAGTTTAGTTGATAGTGAAGTTCGAGCGACCGATATGAGGAGTTCCCTATCAACTTCCTTGGGCAACTTGAAGGTATCCAAGAACTATAAGTGGCAAGTAAGACGACATGTTCCGCAAGAGTTCCGCAAGGAGAGGATGTATATGCGCCATACCTTCAATGATTCATTCTTTGCGATCTCAAATCCCTCGGTTATGATTCGAGGGTGCAGGCCTTCGGCAATGTATCGTTCTGCCTGCTTCAGAAGTTCTCCTACCAACAAAACCACAGATGTTGTACCGTCTCCGCAGATATCGTCTTGGGCGGTTGCAGCCCTGGCGATCATGACGGCGGTAGGGTTCTGTATTTGCATCTCTCTCAGTAGCACGTTTCCATCCTTGGTCAATTTGATCTATTCCATAAATGTTAGTTCAAAGGAGTTTGGATCATTAGGCTCTTTTCGTGAAGACTTCGTACCTGTCCAGAACCATCCACTAACCTACGACAGGAATTAGCTTCTCTCTATCATTCATCAGATTATATATGTGAGGAGGGATACAAACATCTTGATAGTTCCTAGAGGACCTAGGTTGGACTTGAGAACCTCTTGTAAGCCTTCACCTGCGCTGATGTTGACTTTCAAAGCTTCACCCCGCCGCTTTCCTACGAGTCAGTATTACAATTTATTTAGGAAAGGACTGCTAGATGAACATACCCGAGATTCGGCCTTAGGGTTGAGAAGCTGTGCAGCAGACATGATGAATTAATAAGATATGTCTGGCTAGAGGTGTGGTTGTGTTTGGTATTTAGTTGGAAATTGTTGATATCGAGGGGTACAACGTGGGAATTCTATAATTCCAAACGTTTATTGAGATGAGAAGCTCAAAGTGGGTCCGCCAGCATCTTCGACTTTTTTTCCTGTAGTAGCCCTGTTATTAGATTGTCTAGCCCCTGTAGCCTTAGATAAGCGTTGCCTGACGGGCCGACAAAGTTGCATCGATCAATTAATTGTCATTTTTGATCCCCCGCTCTTCTTATCACATCACCTTATCAAAGCACGTACCACCTCACCTCTATTCAATGTTTCTACTAGCCGATCTTGATTGGAATTCTTTCAAGTTCGTTATTACGACGCAAAGCCTAACCTCACGTACAACACAATAGGGGGCGCGTTCTTTTTTTACATGCAGTTTTATTGTAGTTTTTGCATTTTTTGTCATAAGACTCTTTCGGTATTTACCACCCTTGATTTGTCCACCACACTCATACAATGTCGGTATTGATACCAAGATCAATCTATTCAAAGGAACTCATCCCACGTGAATAAGTCAAAGTCATACCACGCCTGTGAGCAATGCACCTCAGGCCATCCCATTGTCGGCCACCGTTCCAAACATCGTCACCACCTGCCATTGCTCCTGGGTTATGTTTAGACAGAACGGTTGATGGGTAGCACTTCTCAAAAAGGATAACTGGGCGGATACTAGGCATTCCAGCAATCAGTGTGCGTACTAGTTCATGGCCTCGATCCAAGGCTCGCCGCTGGTCGTCAAGCCCAAATCTCTTGCCAGTGTACAATTCTTCCGAGACCAATTTGTCCATCTTTTGTAAGTAGCTTTGGAGCCACTGCTCCTCGAACAAGAACTTCAATTCGGCTTCCCACTCGCGGCGAAGATGTCTGAGTAGACATGAAGGGCGCTTGTGGACCTGCTGCTGCTTATTTTGAGAGCCAAGGAGAAATCTCATGTTCTGGAAGACGGGCCGGAGCAGTGTGGGAAGTCGAGGGTCGTCCAAGTCCAATACGGCCATGGTGTCCTCACCATATATATCAAGCTCTTCACCCCATTGGTCGCCGCCCCATTGGACTTTCAACATGGAGAGCCGGAAGGCCTTCACCTTGTCGAATCGGCCCTGGTCCACGACTTGCGTGAAATGTTTGCTCAGCTGGTCACCTCGATATCGATCTTCCAATACCTCCAAAACGTTCAGGATGATAGTGCTGTTGTCCAGGCAGCTACCCCAACCATCGAAACAGCCGAAACTCATGATGCTCGGCAGGTATAGTATATCGCGTCGGCGGTTGAACCATTCGCAATGAATTGGCATGCCCTTGTAACTAACAAACCTCAAACCGACACCCCATCTTTGTACAATCTCCTTGGATTCTTCGCAGGCTGGATAGAAGGCCGGAATATGCACCGACTTGTAAATGTGGCTGTATTTTTCGTACATTTGTGGTGACATCAAGCAGATGATCCGTGGCGGCGGCAGAAGCATTTCCCATATTTCTTGGCGCAGTTCGTATGGAAGGTGCCAAAAATTGGGCAATCTTGTCGGCGGAGCCGGGTCGACGAGCTCTTCATGGATCGCTCTCGGCTCCGGTCTGAGAGGATCATGGAGGCCAACAGTTTGCGGGTCGTTCAAATCAATGCGATTAGGTCTAAGCACCCACGCCGATGTTGTCTCTCGAATCACTACCCGAGAGTAATAACCAGGTATATCCATTATGCTTTTGGTACACCATGGATAAGGCAATGGTACCGTTGTCAGTTAGAATGGTAAAATGGACGATAACAACTTTTAGTCGAGGAGGGGAAAGGTCTTGGGTGCTTTTGAAGTACGTTGGGAACAATGAGTATGACAGATTGTAGGGGAGGGCCCTTTATTATTTCCAATAAAGCGCATTGATGAGCATCGTTGGTCATTGTTGGTGAGTGGTGAAGGGTAAGTATTGAATGACAACAATGAGATTATTATGTACCTAGTGAATCAGTGATTTAGTGATTGACAGGTACATAATCGGTACATATACGGTACATATATGAACGCTACTACACCTGTGTACATGTAGGTACATATGTAGTAGGTGCGTGCATATGAGGTGGTTGAGAGGTTTAATTTGGCTTAAATCAAAATGCCCACGCCTGAAGGGATTAAGGTTTGGACAATGGCAACGGCGGTGGTGATGGTTTTCTAAGAAACAACATTTGACCATTGAAAGCGACATCTGGATGCGAGTCCACATTGATCAATCTATTCCTGTAGTACATAGGTGTGTACCTGATAACTTGTACCTGACAACTTGAAATCGCCATTGTTGAACTACATAAACATCCGCCACTGTATAATATGCATATGCAAACTACCCACCTATATAATATACTTTATATATTATTCATACTGTATCATCGTACAAATGTGATGTGTTGTTGCGAGATCTATCATTCAAAGCTTGAATATGTTCAAATGTTGAAAATCAATTACATATATGCGTCTAAGCATAAATATAGCTACGTTATAGTTAGTGCAATAATATTGCCTTGAAGTAACTTGAACTATCACCACTAACCTAAGTTAGTGCAGTCAGAGTGTGGGTATTTCGTACATCTACCCTGTAGTTATCCAAGTTACCTACGAATAGTTAACATTGACACACCCGGTAGAGTCGGTACCAGCAACCAGCAACCACATGTCCCAAGCACAGTCCAGTCCAACCGAGTCCAGCGATCGAACGATCGAATCCTGATAGTTACTTATAATTAGTTAATTACCAACCTTCCTCAACTTGTCAGCTCAACTCCCGCATTTCTTTTTTTTCTTCTCAAATGTTTTGAATACCGGTACCTATAAAAAGTCCTACGATGCATTTGATGCAGTTCTACACCTCGGCGTGTATGCTTTTCGCATTCACCGCCGCCAACAGCCATAATAATGCTATTATCCCCCAACATGTGAAGCAAGTAAAGCAAGTCGCAATCATCGGTTAGTTCCTTTCAGCTGCTTTCATTATCCCTGACGTTCAGCTTAAATTTGGCCAATTACACCAATTACTTTTATGAAGCATTCCATAAGTTACCTGTCTCCTCTTGTTAGTTGCAATGATAGGCCCTCGTAAAGTAGCTGCGAATATATATAATGATCACATTACATTCAATCTCATGCTTCCTTTACTAACACAATAAACAGGTGCCGGTGCCGCAGGCTCCTCCGCCGCCTACCACATCCGCAAGTTTGCGGCAGAAGACGGTGTAGATGTGAACATCACCATCTTTGAGAAAACAGCCCACATCGGCGGTCGTACGTTGACGGTAAACGTCTACGACGACCCGCTCAACCCCGTCGAGTTAGGTGCCTCGATCTTCATCGAGGCCAACCACATTCTGCGCAACGCCACCAAGAACTTCAACCTCGGCACTCAGGACCCAGGTTCGGATGAAAAGGGTGTTCTGGGCATCTGGGACGGAGACAAATTCGTCTACACCCAGGACTCTGAGTCCTCGAACTGGTGGAATCTCGCCAAGCTGTTTTGGAAGTACGGCACGGCGCCCTATTACATCTATCGCCTCGTCCAGAACACGGTCGCCACCTTCCTCAAGCTCTACCAGCCGCCCTACTTTCCATTCAGATCTCTGTCTGCGACGGCGTTTGAGCTCGGCCTTGTGAAAGTCACGGGCGTGACTGGGCAGCAGTTCCTCGCGGAGAGCAAGCTTGATGGCGCATTTGCGCATGACATCGTGCAGGCGAGCACCCGAGTCAACTATGCTTCCAACCTACCTTTCATCCACGGCCTTGGCACTATGGTAAGCCTAATTGAAACATCCATTCGATACCTGCTTATTAGTACAAGAATCATGCAAACTAATGTGTCATATCAGGTTGCCATGGCCCCTGAAGGTGCAATGGCTGTGACAGGGGGCAACTGGCAGATCTTCTCGAATATGGTCACCGACTCCAAGGCCTACGTCGCCTTGAACTCGACTGTATCCTCAATCTCCAAAGAGTCCAGCAGCGACCCTGACTCAACCTCGCCAAAGTACACCATCAAGACCAAAACCACCGGCACCACCAGCACCATAAACGCTGAAGCCCACCCCGTCACCTTCGACGACGTCGTCATCGCAGCGCCCTACCAATTCAGCGGCATCAGCTCCAACGCCGACGTGATCCCCCACCCTGTCGACGAGATCCCCTACGTGACTCTGCACGTGACCCTCTTCGCCTCTCCCTTACGCTTCAGCCCAGAGTTCTTCCACCTCGACCCCAACGCCACCGTGCCCTCTTCTGTGCTAACCACTCTCGGCGAGAACGACGAGGCCAAGTCGGGCCCCGACGCCGTCGGCAGCGCCGGCTTCTTCTCCGCGAGCCTCGTGAAGACCGTCACGAGCCCGAAGACCGGCGGCAAGGAGTACGTGTACAAGATCTTCTCGCCCGACAAAGTGAAGCCGGAGTTTCTGTCCCGGCTGCTCGGCGCAGAGGTCCCGGATACCTTCACCATCTCAACGCCTTCCGATGCTGCTGCTGACCCCGTCTCGTGGTACCACCCCACGGTCTTCCACCCGTACCCCCAGAAGTTGCCCCGCGTCACGTTCCAGGACCCGGTGCTGGGCGATGGCTTGTACTACACGTCTGGCATCGAGAGCTTCATCTCGACGATGGAGACGAGCGCGCTGATGGGCATGAATGTCGCGCGGCTCATCGTGGACGACTATCTAGGGATATCTCACAATGGTGAGGGCGAGGGCGAGGGCGAGGGTGAGAATAAGGAGAATGCCAAGGTTGTAGATAGCGAACGGGAGAATGTTCGGGAGCACGTGGAAGGAAAGCAGAAAATATTAGAAAACAGTGGCCGACCATTCCCGGATGTGGACGAACTCTAGTGGGTTTCCCTTCTTGGGATCATTACGCTGGTTAATATAGGCTACTACTAATGAGACATGACATGATATCCGCGCCCATTCTTTTTCTTTAATGCCCGCGCTGAGCTTCCACGTCGCCATTCTGAGCTTCTACATTCCCATTCTGGCCCATGCTATCCCCATTTTCGTTACTTCGAGATCGCCAATAATCACTCCAGGGTGATTTCATGACTGCACGCTCTTCTTGTTCTGTCTTGCCACCAGCAGCCCGTCTTCGACGCCTCTGTTCGAGCCATGCAAGCTTGGCGTCCCTCATGCGGCGATGAGAGCTGTCATCTATGTCAGAGTAGAATTTATTGCTCCCATTTTCGAAATTGAGCCAATGCTCGTACAGACCAAAGCGCACCAGAAACCGAATGGTCAGCCACTTCCAGAGGTAGAAGGCCCCTTCACGGATCCAGTCGCCAAATGCAATGAGTAACGTGATGAATATGACTCCAGCAGAAATGGAGACTAAGGGCTCAAGTTAGTTTCTTGAAGCTATAAGTAAAACGGGGCAATTCTCTTACACATGTACACTAATTCGAAGTGTAATGAGGTGTTATCAGAAGTGATAGCGGTATTATTCATCCCAAAAACACTGGACATGAATGAAAGTGGGAGCTGGAGGGGGGTTAGTGAGCAGTTTAGCTTAGTGCCTACATACCTATGTATATAGGTAGGTAAGGTGCATTGCCAAAATGAAGGTTAACGTACGAAAACGATTGTCACGAGTGTAAACATCATAATAGATCGGCCTTGCTTGATTGTCTCATCCGACTGCTTGACGGCTTGCCACGCTTGGACAACACTAGCCTGCTGTTGCTTCAATGCCAATAAATCCTTGACCTAAACTTCACATTAACTTCCTTTCGTTCAACTGGGTATCGTCGTGCGCACTTACACTCTCGGCGGTGTTTTCTGCACTACGGCGCAATTCTTTGAGTTCATCGATTCGTCCCCTGACGCCTTTCAAGCGTTCGTCGGCATTAAGCTTAAACCAGTTGTAGTCATCTCGCTTTTTCCTTAACTCGGGGTCATCTTTCTTCTTTTCTTCAATGGCTTCCCACAGGGTCCGTAGATGGGCAGGCTTCCGGTCAGACTTGTTCCAATGATATCTACTTATCATCGCCCTTCTCTGATCGTTACTGAAGTATCCAAAGGGGTCAAGTATGGTTTCGGCTTTCGCGATGAACGATATCAGTGTCTTTTCCTGGGTCTTGAAAATGTGAATCATGATATCTAGTTCCTCCATAATGTCATTTATCTCTCGCTCGAGTTTTCCTTCGGGGTTGATATCGAGAAGTGCCACGTGAAGTCCGGAGGCATTGCCTTCTCTGGACCTGTAAACTTCGCTCGCATCGTCTGTCCAGCGCCATAGTTTTTCAAACGCTCCAGTTTGTTTCTGCATCTATTGAGCTCTGTTAACACAATGTCTGAAGTCTAAGTGGGTACTATATAGGTACTTACAACTCTACCAATGGCTTTTGAGAAAGCATCAAGCACTTGCGGCAGTCGATCCCCTGTCTTGGTTCTGTCAAAGAGTGTATTGGAACACTCGTCAATGATAACAAGAGCAAGATCGAAAACAGTACGGATTTGGTCTGGGCTGCTGTCTTGAAAATGAACCCTGATTGATTTATGGACACCTGATGCATCTTGCTTGTTGGCGCCATATCGTTTTGGAAAGCAGGTAATAATCGTTCTTGCATCTAATATCCACATCCAGAGTTGGTCGGTCATTACGATTCGGGATAGTTTCCGTGCTGTCATCGTGCATTCCTCACACCGCTGTTTAATACCGAATTCCTCATGTTTCGGCCAGTGATTTTTGTTGTGGTCGTATCTATGGAGAGATTCGGGTTTGGTAGTGGTGTGCCGGTATACAACTTGATCCCTATCCCTTTTATCTGTTGAAGTAAGGGTCCAGTAATAAGCCTGATCCAGAGTGCGACGTGGGTGTAGGGGAGGATCTTGGCACAAATATTTCCGAAGTAGTGTCTTGTCTCTGTAATTTGACATGCCTTCATAAAGTCTTGCGGCGTCGACAAAACACTGACCTAGAGCCGTTGTGACTTCAACACGGCCATTACTATCGGTAGGGGGAAATTTCTCAACAGTAAGCGGACGTTTTGGGTCCTTCTCGAAAAATGTCGGCAATCGTTTGATCAAGGCTGCCACTCGTTTGATCGATATTCCTAGTTAGCGTTAGCTATCATTAGCAGTGACAATATTTCATCCGCTTAGACTCGCTTACGGCGATGAATCTTGCTTGGTTCTTCCCTTGCCTTCTTTTCATCAATGGGAACATCTTCTTTGTTTGCAAGGGTTATGCGTCCAATCTCCGCAGCGAACTGCTGGCTTTTCCTGGAGGTATCCCAATGAAGGTATGGCATCTACAAATGAGATGAGCAATGCCAAAATTATGTGCGTAGAGACAACCTACGAAAAGAACCATATTGGTCGGAAATTTATCTTCCTCCTTAGGATCTAAAACATTGTTACAATATATATCGACCGAAGAGTTTAGAGGCATCACATACCTGATGATATCGTCTCACAGAGGGGTCGCATGTGCCTTGCGTGTGGTGGGTTGTGTTGCTCGCCACCATGCATCTGGCTGCGCCAGTATTGGTCTCGAAGGATCATGTATGTTCTGGATCTCTTTTGGCGCAACAACTCGCGGTTGGTTTCAAGGTAATTTGGAGGCTCTTCACCGAAGTATCGACCGATCGCACACTTATACGCAACTGGTTAATGTTTAGTTTATCTCGATGATAGAATACTTACCTCAGCCCACTAGATCAATGTTAGCATTGTGTAATGCTTTTCACGTGTAATCCAACTTACACTCATATTATTTGAGGGTATATGAAAATACGTCAGATGGTCTCCAGTGGTATTGTGTGTTTTGCGGAGAATATTATCATCGCCTCGGTCTTCTAGCAAGTTCTTTAGGGGCATTTTCTGGTTCGGGAACTGATTCCACCCCTTTCTTTGAGGAACCTCTAGATCGACACCTCTGCCGCTCTCGAAGTGTATGATAGGTACGTTAATGTCATTTTCGAGTTCGTAATGTTTAGGAGACTCCGGCTCACTACTCGCTGCGTTCGTGCTGTTGGGCGTGCTCGTTTGAGAAACCGAATTGTGCCCGACCAAGCTACTTGCTACATTCATGCTCTCAGGTGTGCTATCTTGAGAAATTGAATTGTTCTCGGTCCAGCTACTTGTTGCGTTCATGATGTTGGGTGTGCTTTCTTGAGAAGCCGAGTTATTCCTGGTCAAACTACTCACTGCGTTCATGCAATCAGATATGCTCTGTCGAGGACTTGGAATGTTCTCGGTTGGGCGAGAGCTGTTTATGTGCTTCGTGGTTCGCCATGCAGTAATGCTTTTGCTCAGTTTCTCCACGAGGTGTTTGTCGTCTGGATCGTTGAATATAATTTCACGAAGTAAACGAATTCGCTCGGCTTCTTTCTCGCAGTTTGTTTTCCAAGTACGCTTCTTGTTATTCACGAATTCTTCTGCCTCCGAATCAGTCCGACCAAAATGTTCTTTTTGATGAGTGATCTCCCATTCCCAGATTTGGTCATCTTCGAAAAAATTCTTTCTTTCGGATATCTTAATACATCCATGGTAATGGAGCAAATGATCTGTGATGTTATTTCCGTGTTCTTCAGAAGATGGGCAGGATACCTTCGTAAAGTGTTTGTTTACTCTAGAGTAGTCCATCTTGGGACCAGAAGAATATTTTCCACATATGACATATGAATCAGGATGAACAATGTTGGAAGGTATGTGCTTGCCGAGAGTATGAAAATGCCACGAAAGGGTTATAAGTCGAGGGCAAAAGCCTTGAATCTACATTGATAGAACAACATGGCTAGCGCTCAAGTTGCGGGCAGTTATACTGTCGCCGTGTTCGGGGCTCAGCTGTGTCAATGTCAATCAAGCCCCCCACTACACGAGAAAATGTGTGCTGGAAGTTTGTTGAAGTTTAATGGCGACATGGCGCCAAGATAACTCGAAATATCCAATCAATACTCGAATTCGAAAAGTGGCAATTAATCTATTGAATGCAAGTTTATGGATGAGGAAACCACTGCAGCTAAGGAGGTAGCTGAGACAGAATTGCTGCAGTCATGCTTATCATAGCTGACAGGACAAAAGAGAAGATTGGCCAATGGAATTATCAGAGGGATATTTGAGTAGTTACTACCTAGTAGGTACTTATGCTATCTCCAAATGCAGCGGAATAATAGTGGGCGTATTGAGAGGATGTCCCTTTAGTTGGAAGGAATGCATATATTAATGCGGCTGAAATGATGTTAACCTGGTCTGACATTTGGGGTCCGAGGTCTGGGGTTCGATGTGATTGTCGCCGCTTACGGACACACCGAATGTGAATGTGGCTTTCCTAGGTCGCTGTACCTTTTTTCGGTTGGTGCTCTTATTGGATTGTGGACGCCGTGTATCTCGTTGAGATCATGAAGTTTAGTGGAATGATGTGTGCTAGCAACCAGTTACTGTTTCTGTTAAGGTACTACTACATGTAGCCTGGGTAACACATTGATAGTATTACTTATCCTCCACGAGCCATTACATCTATTCTCATAGCTGACGCGATTGCCGAAACATACTCGTAATAGTGCCCTGGGGAGTTTCAACACTGCCAACGGCCTGAAAGCCAAATTTGGCATACAGCCGAACGCCCTCTGGTGCTGCGAGAACATATGCACATCGTCCATACTGATCAATTTCTTTACATATTCGCTCCATCATCATTGAGCCAATGCCTTGTCGTTGATGGTTCGGGCTTACTGCCATAAATGTCAAGCCTAGATAGGTAAGAAGATATTTCAGTAGATAGCTGTAAGTTGTGATATAATTCAACTTACGGCATATATTATCAAGATCTTTCAGCACCCGTTCACGTTCTGCCCTTAAAGCTTTTGATATAGTGATCCAAGCATCTACATCCAGTGTTTCCGGCACCCAGGTTTTCTTCTTTGGCTTTTCCTTCTTTGGCTCTTTATCTATCTCATGATTGATCACTTCTTCACTCTTCCGACTGATAACCGTCCAACCGCAGAATCCGACTGGAGTGCCATCAGTGGATAGTACTTTCAAAAACCTTTCCCATCGCTCTTGAAATGCATCTTGCAACATATCGACATTCCACCGAGTTATTTCATCCATTTGCACCTCAGTTATCGTGCCGGAATGAGGAAACATCGTTCGATATAAGGGTCCATTCTGGTTTGCAGGTACTTCAACATAGCGAGCAATACTTTCTGCGTCGGAGACATCGACGACATCACATATACTAAGGGACATTTGTGACATTGTACTCTATTGCAGAGGTGGTGTTCCGTTCTTTCTTTCTTTCTTCCTTTCTGGGCGTTGAAACAAATGAAAGAGACTGGTAAGATAAACGATTTTAGAACAGTCGTATGAGGCATCGGAACCTATTTTGATTCTTACTGTAGTTGTATGATTCTTGTAGGTATCATTTTAGTATTTTACCCCACTCTACAACCATGAACCACGAAAAAAGGGGGCCAATCAAGATTGTTTAACGCCTCTAAATAGTTGGGCTGAACATCCTAACCACACACCAAATGTTTAACTTCTAACAGACCTGCAGCTACCAACATGCATCCATGCCATAGGCCTCCTCCCATTACAAGTATGGATAGCTTCATCTGCTATTGTGACTACACTAACTATGCAGTGGCTAACAGCAATTGCGTACCTACACAACAGCAGGTGTCAAGCTCTTTCGTTTAACTATCCTAGGTAGGTAGAATTATATTACCACTCCTTCTCCAACACGTTACGGCCCTCCGCATTTGCGTGAAGATGTTGGAAAAACCTACCTAGTAGGAAAACCAACACCGAGGGTTTATGTTACCTACTTCGCTCCATAGAACTGTCCAAATAACTTGCCGAAGAAACAACCGTAAATGTAGAAATCCTAGCCTCCATCGTATTATACTTGTACTATGCATTCAAGGTTTATTAAGGCAAAATTTCCCTCTAACCTAGGTGTTCACTTTTAACTAAAATAATTATATTTATCTGTTGTATTTTCTTTATACAATGCTCGTATGGTATGGACCTTATGAAATTCAACTATAAACTCTCGTGCTCATCACTGTCGTTGGCAGTGTTAGTAATAAGGGTGATGGTGTGATAGTTGGGTTGGTATTGTTAGGTTTGTTATCTTAAGCTCAGTACGGTTCGGATCAGACGAACAGACTATGCCAGTCTACGCCATGAACACCTCATAATATACCTTAGGTATCAGTATCAATGTATGTTACATACATGGCAACTTTAATGTTGTTGTTGCTTTGTTTAACGTGATGAGTGCTAGTCACGTGCTATTACCTGACATTCTGCTCTCAAGTAGTTAGTACCAGCTGTTCCCAGCTGTTCCCAGCTGGTAGTTAGTGAGGTCATTTCATTACAAATCCCGTTGAAAAGAAATATGGGGAAGATTACCGTACTACGGATTTAAAGTGGGTAGTTATAGGGGACTCTGGGGTTCATAGTTTCCTTCGGGTTAAACAGGGGTTAAAAATAAGTTTCGCCCGATGATTTGGAAAAAGAATGATTTGAATTACTTAACTCCGAGGGAAATCCGCCACGACTTAATCTGTTCATCAACATGCTGACAAAATGTTCTCCGTCGACATCCACCGCGATGGACAATGACACCGTCTCATGCTACTGAGAATCAGTTGCGAAATGCGGCATTGCAACGACAGTTGTCAGGATCGCTGTCCGAAACCACGCGGCCATTGTACATACCCCGTCGTTTACGTGAAAGACAAAAGTCCCGTTCTCTCGATATCGGTAGGTACGTAGGTAAGTTGTATAAAATGAGCAGCAACTCGCGCGGATGTGCTTCTACTATGGCTGGTATACTAGGCCCTTCTTCCGCCTTGCTTCTACGTTGTAGTATTCCATCATGAAGTTATCTCAAGTGCTTTCGACAATATCACTATTAGCCGGTAGGGCAACTTCATTCCCCGCAAATATACGCTCCTCGATGGGACCCAGTTCCAAATGGATGACTCTTCCTCCCGTCGGTGGCGGCTTTGCAATCCAGGAGCATGGAACGACTGCAACTGATACGCACCTCTATGTTCTGGGCGGCATCCCTCCCAACTCGAGTCTCGCCGCTGGCCCAATCCCGGCGACGAATACGTTCATGGCCTACTCATTTGAGACCAACAGTTGGCAGAACCTTACTGCACTTCCACAGCCTTTCAATCACATCAACGCTGCCGCGGTCAATGGGAAGATCTACGTTCTTGGTGGGCTTACAGGAGATGGAGTAGATGGTATATGGCACTCTACACCCAACAGTTTCGTCTACGACATCACTGGGGAGACATGGACGCCTCTACCTCCTCTGCCTGACGGCCAGGCCCGTGGCTCTGCTGCCATTGGAATCTCTGGCAGCACCATATACCTCGCTGGAGGGATGGAGCGCCTCCAGGTTGGACCAGGTGGTCTTCAATCATCGCTCGACATCGTGAGCGCGTATGACACCGCAACGGGGACTTGGACAACGTTGCCGAGCCTTCCGGCACCACGGGATCATGTCGGGGGCGCCATCATAGGGCGAACGTTTTGGGTTGTGGGAGGTCGTGATCACGGGCAAACGAACGTACGCAACACAACGTGGACTCTCGATCTTGACGCGCCTTTGGAGGGATGGAAGGCTCATGCTGAGATGCCCACTGCCCGCGGTGGACTTGCGATGGGCGTCGTTGGTGATTACATTGCCACGTTTGGCGGCGAAGGCAACCCGGATCCAGCCTCGAACGGGGTATACAACGAAACAGAGGTTTACAACATCAAGACGGATACATGGTACAGGCTACCTGCAATGCTACACCCCAGACATGGCACGATGGCAGCTTCCGTGCATGGTCGTATATACATCCCCGGGGGCGGTATTGTCCAGGGCGCAGGACCTGTGGATACTTTTGAGTCTTTCGAACTGTATCCATAGTTTGCTACTCTGGGGTCCAGACTCTAGAGTCTGGACGTCGGCCTAGTGTATTCCATGGAAAGTTATCTCGGAGCGAAGGCGGCATTGCCCGCCAAGTCTAAAAAAAGGGAGAGAACACATGATGTTTTGTTCTAGAAGGGGGTGGGGATTCATGTTACGTAGGGCTACCTGCTCGTGCCTAGGAAGTATATATCTGTTGCAGGTGCCTCAGGCACCATAGGCTCCACTAGAGCCATTTGTTGGCACTCCGCCATTGTAGTTAGGAATCAAGCAAGCTTTCTTCCTTTCCTCTTCTTCCTTTTCGGTTGCAGCAAAGCTGCAACAATATCTCATTTTTAAAATAACCGCATACGACTCCACTCACCCTTCCGGCGTATCCTGTCCATCTTTGATCGTCATGGACCATATCGGTCGGTTCTTCTGCTGAGGCTTGGCAACGCGTACTATCTATTATGAGAATGTTAGGTCAGCGGGATACCCCACAAATCACCGCCCGCCAACGCCCTTAAAGTCGATAACTTTAAGACGGTCTCGGGCTAAGCAGTATCCCTTTGAACGTTACAAGGCAACATAGGCAACAAAGTTACTAAAAATAAACAAGGATACAACCAAGCCAAATTACCCACCGTCCCATAAATCTAATATCCAATAAAATCTAATTATTCTGCAGGTACATAATTTACCACTTAATTTTGCGTATGCCACTTGTACCAACAGTACTTAGAATTACACATAGCTACATTACAAGTGCCACATCGAGATCGTGGCTTAATGTTTACCATACTTTCTGGCATCAGCACGCTTTATGAGCTTGACAGGAAGATGGATTCTTATTTGAAGATTGTAAGTGATTAGTGAGTTTGCTATGCAAAAAGGATGGGAGATCGCGTACCTTGGGGTTTCGCGTGCCTTGGGGTTTCGCGTGCCTTGGGGTCTTGCGATGGGATTTCCATTGGATCAAAACGCGTACCAACTTCAGAATCAAGAGGAGCTTTCGAACGACGCGTAGCTGGATCAATATCGTCAACTTAGATGGCAGCCGGGCACAGCTGCGCCGGCGTATCGGGTGTACTAGATGCCGGATTAATATATTTACCGGCCAACTTTGTATCGCGTTGTATTTGAAGTAAAATTGGATCAATATATGGGGTTGTGGGTAAATGTGGATATAGTGGATTAAAAGAGATGTATTAGGGTTTATTTTTAGTAGTTTTGTTGCCTATGTTGCCTTGTAACGTTCAAAGGGATAGACTCGGTAATTCAAGTTTAGTATGTTGTCTAATGAACGAAATGATCGGTGTTGGGCAAGTTGCTAGATAGAAAAGGCGGGGGAATTCGAAGAGTACCTAACTGTTCACTATACACAGAAAGAACCAGCCCCAGGATGCAGAAGAAGGGAGTGGTTCAAAGATCTGATCTGATATCAATACCACCCACCATGCATAGGTAACTTCCAAGGCTTCCATCTACTGCTAATTTGTTGTTTGGGTACAGCCCAAGCATTCGGATGTTATGTAGGGCCCGAGGGGATGGGGCTTACCCCTTACATACCCGTGGTCTATCAGCCAAGCCATATGCTCGGAGATGTGATGATTTAAGCTCTAGATGCATAATACTTAATACTACACTGCATACAACACTGCCTGGGAGTGTATAATTACAATTGATGTGATTGGTGTTCTTCAAAACTGGTCTTAACATACGCGTATTTAGTTCGCAGGCTGCCCAGAGCTTCTATAATCCCAATAGGCATCGGGCATTTGTTCCAGGTAAGGACGTCCTTGAAATAGGGTTGTTTCATGACTGCCGAACGGCAGTGAGAAGGCTAGGGGGCTGCTAATGGTATTCTATTGATGAAGATCCTTCCCCATATTTTCGTACCGACTTCACACGTATTCGGAAAAACGCTTCGTATCTCGTACTAAGTTTCGTACCAATTTCGTATATCGCTCGCATATCGATCTCGCACTTCCAGGGCCTTGCAATACCCAACCGCGGGATAGTAATATCGCACGTCCTATTGGTTGTTTGTTTTGCTTCTACGTTTTCTAGTATAGCCAAGCAACGACGATCATCAAACCTGATATCGCTTTACATCTACGTAGTATGGAGCCTATGGGCTGTGCTTGCAAGCTCTCTCGGTCAAGGTAAGAAGGTAGCGAACTTTATGATTGCGTTTTTCATGCCTCGTCTTTCATATGTGTTTGCATAACAAAGGTACCTCGTAAGCTTCGTAAGGGTAAGACGAGATGTTGGAGATTCTTGGAGTTATATAAAGACTTTACTTGCACTCTACAACAAGAACAAATATCAAGCAAGATCAGCACCTTACCCCTTAATCGCTATTACTAGTATCTAATTAACCAACCGTCAAAAACTATCTATATATCTACCCATCTAGTAATCATGATGAGACTCACGCCGTTTCTTGTTGCTGCCGGCGTTGCGCTAGCCAACCCCGATCCTCCCTGCAAGGGACTCTGGAAAGCTCCTGGGCCAAACGACTGTATATATGCCTACAAGATACCGAATCCCCTATTCGAAGTCACTAACATGATGTAGTCCGAGGTCCTTGCCCAATGTTGAACACATTGGCGAACCACCAATTCCTCCCGCACGATGGCCGAAACCTCACGGAGACAGCGATCATCGATGCCGTGACCTCAGCACTGAACTTCAATGCGTCACTCGGCACTATCTTGTTCGAGAACGCCCTCATCGCCAACCCAGAGCCAAATGCCACATTCTTCACTCTGTGAGACGACCCCTTTTATCCTGGCCCCTGGCTCTCCGTCAAGAAATCGCGTTGCTAATAATTTCCAATAGGGACCAACTGAACGTACACAACCTCCTAGAGCACGACTCTAGCTTAAGGTAAGCAAGCCCCTTACTACCATTCCGCCTTTCACATAACAGCATAGTCCATATTAACCAATCTCTTGAAAATAGTCGTTCAGATGCCTACTGGGGCAACGGCCACATCTTTAACCAGACCGCCTTTGACCAGAGCCGCGCCTACTGGACCAACGACCTCATCACCGCCGACCAGCTCGCCAACGCCAAGGTGGCCCGCCAAATTCACTCCAAGTCGTTCAACCCGACCTACACCTTTACGCATACCATGGAGGAGTTCAGTCTCGGCGAGCTGACCGCGCTCATCGTCGGCTTTGGCGACAAGGAGGCTGCTACCACGAACCGCACGTTCGTGGAGTACTTCTTCCGTAAGTCCCCCCCCCCCCCCCCCCCCCCCCCCACCCCTTACCCCTTGACAGTGATGTGGTCGAGGCTAATCATGGTGCCGTACAGAGAACGAACGCCTCCCCGAGGAGCTAGGATGGCACAAGATGAGCTCGGTCGTCAACTTGGAGGACATCCTGCGACTGAACGAGATCATCCGAAACGCGACGAGCCTGTTCACGACGGCTACGCCGATCATTGGGCGCCGCGACTTCCACTCGGGATTACTAAGATAGATAGATGTATTAAAAAAAGGGGGGGAGGGCTGTACACGATTGGCCCCGTTTTAACGAACAATCTTATGAAATATATGGCGAAAGGGAAGGAGGATGGGTGAAATAGTCTGTTCTTGGAAACGATCTCATGGCGAGCTTCACGGCAATAGGGACTTATCTTATTCGGGTAGATGGGTGGGGTGGGGTGGGGAGGCACTTCCCCCTTTTCGAGGACGGTCAGTGGTGGGGCTGCTGTAAATACATAGGTGTGGCTTTCACTTCTTGGACAAAACTATCTATATCGAGCGACGGGCGTTATTTGTGCACTTTGATTGAGAGTTTATAGACTGCTGTATTGATGGGTATTGCTATGTACATACCTAACTAGAACACGTAATAACGCACAATTGTTACTTTCCGCTTTACCTGGCCAGTTGTTCAATGAAATTAGAGATATGCCATGTAACGGACTATTACCAAAACGTATCCGTATGTGAAAATGGGTTATACCTGGCTTCATAGGGTGCATGACTTTTTATTAAGAAGATCAAAAGCCCCCGCCAGCACCACGCGCTCACACTTCCCGCCCAGCAGCGCAGCCTCGTCGGCCAGGCTTTGGTGGAGGACAGGCACGACCTCGCGGAGGCCGACGGCCTGCAGCTCCTCGTTCGCGGCGAAGTCGCGCACGTCCCAGACGTCGAACCATTGCGGTAGGGTATCAGGGAGGCTGGCGCACTTGCGCGGAAGCACCCAGCGGAAGGAGGGGAATGCGTCGGCGAGGGTGCGGTTGCGGGAGTCGCGCCAGTGGCCTAGGGCGGCGACGAAGCTGCGGGTGTTGTCGCAGCGGCCGTGGAGGAAGACGACGGTGTGGGTGTGTGGTTTCGTGGGGTTTATGGTGATGAAGGGTATATTTGTGGATGGAAGCCATGATGAAAGAGGATACGTTTGTCTGCCGAATACTGCGTGTATATCGAGTTGGGCTGGACTGTATACTTACTTTCCTCATCTAGGTATTTAATAGAAACCTGCTATGTAGTTTAGTAGGTAAGGGGGGAGGGATATGGCTTCATTCAAGGAATGGCTCAGGGGCCTAGGTAGGCACAGAACTAACCGCCTAAAGAACCAACGGCCATACAGTAGCCAGGTGTCTGTCAGCCTGTAAGCGCCAGAGCGGATAGGGGTTCCTGTTACTCTATAGAAAATAGCCTTGTGAGTCACTGGGTTACATAGCACTGAGGCTGTAACTGATGATATGGTGGGTGCGGGGTATAAACCTGAACTATTTCAACACCCTACAGCGCATAGATATACTAAACGTTCCAGTGTATACAACTTATACAACTTATGCATACAGCAATTCTTCAGCAACCTAGATCGCATCTTTACTTGCCCAGGCCTCCAATTCAACATTCATCTCCTTAGAATAGTCCCCAAATTCACTAAATACTTTGTGTATCATGTCATTATGTCGTCGCGACCATCTAAATCCCTCCTGCATCGCTTTTGTATATTCCCAATACTCGGGATAGTATCCTGCAGTCTCCCAATCCACAATAGCCGACACGTTCCAGGTCACAGTTCCGTCCGAATGTACAGTCTTATCAGCTAATATATTTCGCGCATTGAGATCCGCGTGTGTGAAGAAAATATTGTGTCCCCGACGAGCGGGATCATCTGAATATCGTAGTACCTGACTAAATTCTGCCTCGTCCGCAAAGGGTCCAACAGGGTCTGCGTGACGGATGCGGTAATCCCTGCATGCTTCGCCAAGCGTGTTGCATATGGGAAAGTCTGATTTTGGGCACCGGGGAATGTTTCTCAGCTGAGCTATGTAATTCTTGAGCTGATTTGCAATTCGTTCCAGGTCACTTTCGGACAGAACATTTTGACAGCGCCATAGCGGAAACCCAGGGACTCTCGTCATGAGAAGATAAGCCGTAGGACCGGAGAAAGACAATGGGTTATTCGAATATTCTTGCTCGAAAACAACGTCAAGCGCTTCCGGAACTGGGATGGCAGTATGCCGGTGAACCATTCTTAGTGCGTTGAACTCATTGCGAGCGAGGTCGGCTGATCCTCTGTAATGCTTCAAGTACAGCCCAAACGGCAGTCTCTGGACTGTATCGGTGCCATCATACCAAGGCATTCCGTATAATCGTTCCCCAATCCTTTGCAACATTTCGTAACATATCATCCTAAATTTAGATGGGAGCCAACGCCAAACTGTGAAGAAAGCACCCTTCCAGAGGTTCGAAAACCCCAAAGAATTTTGCCGTCGAAGACCAATAAATGAAGTCGAAGATTGCTTCTTATGGGATAGCTTTTTAGAAATGTTGACAAGTTGAATGCTTTCGCACAGTCGAGCGTGGGAGCCGACGAAACGGGGGTCAACATTGACGATGTGTGACCGTGAGTGGTCACCTAACAACGGATACATGCCGTCAACCTCGATTGGTTCCTCGAGCCCGACTTCGACATGTTTTAACTCATACTATGGCAGGCTATTAGAAACGCAATGATAATCCGAGCTCCAAGTCACAACTTACCTCGATTAGAGAAGAGTGAGACCTGTTTAGCCTAATAAGCCCCGAAGCAAAGGCTCTAGCCGCAGACATCCGGATTAGCCAGTGATTGTGATAAGGCGTTGTCACATCTCTGGGACTTTTAACATAAGATAACCACCAAGCCCAGTAAGGCGGCCCAAAGAACGCACCGAGCATGTCTTGGACGCTAGGCCTCTAAGAGAAACCATCAGCTTTATGATGAAAATGTCTAGGTAGTTTTGAGTGAGGGTGAAAATAAGCACCTTCTCTGCATTCCAACCATATGGAACTGGAAGAATGGGTGCGACGATCAATGGATCATAGAGCGTGCCAGCCTTCCCGGTCACACAACACTTCCCCCCATCTCGTTTAATGATATCCTGCTGTTCAGTGGTATCAGGTTGTGGTGGAGGACAGCCATTTTGGGTAACTATGATCGTTAAAAATGGGTTGTAGATAGAGCAGGTTGAGGAATTTCTCAACTTACTGGACTCGATGATATAATACCAATCGGCCACCAGCGAAGAACCCTCGCCGAATTCGAGCCTATTCTTCACGTAACGTGCGGCTAACAAGGGGTTGAGAGCCTCTTGGACATACGACTTCAACAACGGGCCTGATGGATGTGGCAGCCTAGTGTCCTCAATAAGTGACAGTGTGCTCTTTACTTCATCGGCAGTGATGGCCATGTTGAAATCTGTTAGTTGGAAAGGAATGGACAGTGATAGTGACACTTACACATAATAATTATAAGGAAATCTAAGCTCACAATGACTAAGCTAAGTTATACACATGTGCAAATGAAAATGATAAAAAATGCATGGATGAATTGGCGCCAAGAACGTTTGGCGCCGCTAATGGCTCTTCTCGCGCGCTATGCGATGTGACTAGGCCCCGAATCCCTTCGCGGAAACCAATCATATCTTACTCCTTGTTTCTCATAGAGAATTATGGTAGAATGCTGGTTGTTGATTAAAAATGTATATCTGATTCGGCCCGCAGTCTTCGACGGATAGATCCGAAACGTGCACCATTTGGTTGAACGACCAACTAATTTGTTGTTATGTACAACTCGATCTAATTTACAAACCGGATTAATGGCCACTCCGAGCATCTCAAGAACCCGACGGTTGTTGATCGGATTGAATAGATGCGTTGGGTGGACGATTAGGCCGAACAACAGAAAACCCCCTCTCCGTTACGGTTGGCTCCCTCGATATCCTTCCCCACAAGTTTGCTGGAGAAAAGGACCGCGGTGAAGACCTGGGTGTAGGTGGCTGTAAAGTATCATTTGAGATTCTTTCCGTTGGCGCAGGCCTCGGTATCCCGTAGTATAGGTCTGATTCGCGAAAGGAGTAGTCAGTCCATCGCGGATGCAAGCACCTGGTGTCGGTGCTGCTGGTGTTTACCTCTGAGGGCGACGAGGATCTATTCGAGTTAGAAGAGCTGGCCCCAAGCGACGACTCTGACCGTTCCGTGGAACTGTCGTCTACAAATGGTTCAGTACTGATTGAGGATGACCGTACTGCGTTCTGTTGGCCGGGATAGTCAATTGAAGGTATTTGGGAGTGTCGCGGCGGTCGATAATAGTTTGGACTTGAAATCGAAGCGGAACTGTGTGGTGAGTGATTTGTTACGGTCCGTTTTGATTGTCGTGTAGCGCCTGCATCTCTAGATATATCATCTCTAACAGAACCATCAACAGATGGATCTTGCGTAGATTCTCGATCTGGCAAGTTAATTCTTAAACCTTGTCGCCGACGAAGCTGGTTCAGACTGTAGACCTGTTTTACATTGTTAGCTTGGGTATAGGTCTTACGGTTTAAAGATACTGGTCAATGTACCTCAGGAGTAGGTTTGCTCCACCACTCAGTCAACGCCTTTCCCAGGTCTATAACAGCTGGAGCAAAGAAGCCGAGTATCAACACACACATGTGTATAGACAAGTTTATATAGCCAATAGCACTTCGCGCGTTATCCGATGCTACTCCAGGCACGAACGCTACCATATTGGCCAAGCTGGTAAGTCGAGCGACAGCGGATACTGTTCCGATGGAGAATAGGCTGTAAGCCTGGAACTGTACGTTGCAGGCAAGCAGAATAAGCTCACAGGCTCCTAGGACAGCTAGTTGTGCCAGGCCGGAGATCTGGAGACCCCCGATAGCAACACCGCGGATGAAGACTAACACAAAGAGAGCTACCACGAATGACTTGTGCTTTTTCCCAGAAGTATCTGACGCTGGCAATTGTCGGTATCGGTTCCGATTGTCGAATATTAAAACGCCTAGACTTCGCGTCGGAATTTGTAACAGTAGCCACGCAAATGCCATAATAATGGCACCTATGAGGAGAAAGGCGAGAGAGATGTGATAGGCGGGAAGATAAGACACACAGTCAATTTGATAGAATGAAAGTGCTATTAGGGGCAACATGAAGTAGGAAAGAATGATGTGTAGGGTCCGCACGAACGTACGGCGTAAACCTGTGTCTGAATTGGGAGGTCGTTTCAATAGCCGATAGACCTCCAGACAGACTGCCGAAACGAATGCGATAAACACGATGAGGATTACCATATTTAACCAAGTGTCCATGGTCATCGGAGCGCCGACGATCTGCGTCATCAACTCCAATCCAAACGTACCACCATACGTGCCATTAATTTCGTAGATTCCATCGTTAATGCCGTGGTAAGTGAACCCGTGCGTGATCAAACCATCCGCGAAGAGTGACGTCCATCCCAGGCGGCTCACAGCTGGTTGATAGAAGCCAGGATAGAAGATGCTCAGACCTCCTGTGAGAAAGATAAATTGAAGATACTGCAAACAGTCGGCAAATCCCGGGAGCAATGGTTGCGGAGCATCTTCCGTTGAGGCAGAACTGTCGCGTACTGACCTAACGACGCCAACACATAGAACGAAAATGAGGATACACGATGGAGTAAACCGCAGTGCGGCTTTAATTGGGGGGCTCAACTCGGGGGTGACATTGGCCTGCATGCAGCCTCTTTCTTCAGCATCGAGCCCAGCTAAATGGATCGTGACGTGGAAGGTGGAAAGGGGATGAAAAGCTTCTCTGTCGTCAGCTGCCGTAAGGCTCAAGCGAGATTTATTCCACGGTGGCGGGAATGTGTGACAATTTCTATCAATAGTAGGATGATGAACACTCGAGTCTCCTAGCATATCAAGGGCGATGTCCATGGTTGTTATCTCGGTAACCCAACGCTCACATTCGTCTATCTCAAGCAAGCGGCTAATAGTGAAAGAAAAGCGGTCATGTGTCCCGTTGATATGCACCAGACTGGACGATAGACTTGCTTCTTCGGTGATGCCATGAAGGCCAGGGGTGTAATCATCGCAGTCTTTCCACTGCACGTAAGCTCCCGACACGCATTTAGCAAGAAGCGCGAACAAACCGACGCGTCCTCTCATGCTGTCGGTCAACCCGCCGTAGCAGTTAGTTTGTACACTTCCACTCTATACCTAGGGTATTTCATATTTGATGAAGAGCTCTGTTCGTGTGTGCCCAGCGTTTGTTGGAGATTGGTTGACGTTGAATTTGAATTTGATAAGAACTCCTATCGTAGCATGGTAAGGTCAACAGTGTTGCGTTGAAAGATGAAAGGTGAAAGATAAGAAACTAGGGTCACAATATTTAAGCTTTCGGCACAGATCTGGAAGTTAAGAGAGTCCAACCCCTGCATAAGCGTGCTGTTTGATACAACGTTCCACCCACACTACTACCTAGGTACCTAGGTACTCACCCACTATTGACACTAAATTAGAATTGGGGTCCCTGAATTCATGATGATCGGTCCACTTCTATAGATCTCTCCACTGTTACAATTCATTTAGGCACATACTGGACAACCCCAACCAATCAGGTATAAGGGATTCTTGAGGCCTCTCAGAGTTAGTTAACTTATTATCACTAGGGTAACATTAGCATTGAAAAAATGCATAGTGACGTTTACTAGCATACGACTGCGCCTTGTTCAACTTTTGAATACTTATGTATTAATTAATACTAGTCGGCTATATCTAGGAGTGATGTCATGAACCTCGAAAGTTGCCCAACCTTAGATCTATTTGTCTCGGGAGAGTAATTATATCAAGCGAAAACTCAGGGTTAGGGTTGGGGTCCAGGGTTAATGAGCCCGAATCGTTAATCATCAATTTCATTGTACTCGCTCCACTCCTTTCCACTCCAAAATTTCTGCCCACCCCTGAACGAGTGCTCAATCTTCTCCTTGGCCAATGCTTGCATCCTCGCCTCAAAGTCGGACATACTAGCTTTCGTAACCCCTTCTCTGGCAATGGTATGTGCCAGGTCGGCAGCATTCCGCATAGCTGTGTCGCCACCAGCGCCACCTATAGGGCTCATCGCATGTGCTGCATCGCCGATGAGAGTGACGCGCCCAGTCTGGCCGGTCGAGCTCATCTCAATGTTAGGCTTGCTCGAGAAGACAGGTATGCAGGCGGATAGATCGAACGCTGCTGATTCTATCAACAACTTCAGTGTAGGATGCCATGTCTTGGACACTTTCTCTAGAAATGCCTTCTTTTCCTCGTCTGCTCTCGGCAAGCCGTCTGAATACTGGAAAGGGGCTGTGCAAATAACCCAGTATACGTAATCTGGAATGTCAGGCAATTTGCCTCTCGGCTCTAGCCGTGCGCTTTCTGACCATGTCATTGGCTCGGCAATCATCTGCACATTGCTCTCGTGGTCCACGTACATGCACCAAGTGAGTACATCGGGCGATAATGATTTCCTCAGATCCTCCGTCAATGGAGTCCGGCTCCACGAGACCCACCGCTCCAAGTCAAGCAGTTTGCGATTCGGTTGGAGTTGTTTGCGCACGCGGCTCCTAACGCCATCCGCGCCAACCAGCAAACGCCCGCTCGCGATCGAGCCATCCGTAAACTTGACCTCAACATGCCCATCGACGACCTCGTACGACTCAAACTCCATGTCGTACTTGATAGCCTCATCTATATGCAGGGAGGTCAATGCGCGCAGCCACGTCCTGTCGACGGGCATCGAATCTCCTACCGGAGTCGGGTTCGCAAACTCAAGCTTCCGGCTATCCACGTATCGCGGCTCGAAGCGAGCATTATCCGAAGCGGTGCGCTGGAGCAAGTCTTGTAGCTGAGGCGATAAAACGCTGGTTAGGGCCGCCTTGCCGTCCCCCGATATGCGGAAACGGTGGCCTTGTAAGCCGCGTGACTGCGGATGCCGCTCGAAAAGGCGGAACGGGATGGAGTGGAGACGCAGGCCTTGGGCTAGCGTGAGGCCGGCGATGCCGGCGCCGATGATTAAGACAGGTTGGTCGGATGTGATGTTTGATGGCATGTTTAAGTAGTTGAGAATATTATAATATATATCGAGTATGATGACTTACTCTACGGTGAAGTATAATAAATTAGCTCACTTAGCTCTCCGTTTACCTATGACGGATACTTCACGCCGTGATATAGGTCACTGATACCCGATAGAATGTACGCAGATCGGGGGTTTAAAATCAAGCGTGCAAATAAAATGTCTACGAGATATCATAGCTCTCAAAGTTTTCTGAAAAATTAAAAACCAATCGGGAATAAGTGACATATATATGGTCAAAGCAGCGGGCGGTGTAAGCAACTTGGTTATGAATGCTGTCGTAATCCAAATGTGACCGAGAATACTGTCAAATAGGGGCACTTGATGGACACCCCTAACACTAGTAAACTGATTACTAAAAATCGAAATATGACAAACCTGGTTCGCTTCATCTATCTGCCAATTGAATACCTCGACTAGTTGGAAGCTATGAGAAGTGCTTACTTATTTACTTGCCTGGGTAGGTAGTTCCTAGACATGCGTCTGACTGTGGGCCTCTTCATTGGTAACTGACTCTTGGTAAGCGTGGGTTGGGTATTAGATACCTGGGGATCTAAAAAAAACACTCTTGCAGGGATATATATAGATCGTCACACGATTCTACGGTAATAGCATATGCATATTCCACACGCTGCTTCACTTCTTCAGTTGCTTAAACAGCTGTATCACGTGACTACCATGGACATCAGCTAGATATCATCACGTGACACCCCTGAGTGAGCCTCTACACGTGTAAAGCTTGACATATCAGCGATCAGGGCCAATGAATCTATATACCTTTATGAGCGAGGTAGGCCAGGTACTTCATACAAGACTAGATACTCTTTGCTTAGAATAAGGTCGGAGGGGGCTGCTAGGTCTGGCGTATAGAGTTGGGCCTCGTAGTCACCACTATACCTAGTAGTAAATATCATTGAATGCATTGCCATCTGTGGTACAAGCCTGAGGAGCATTTGGAGCTAAGTTGTAGTTCTATCTCTACCTGTAGTACGTACCGAATAAAAAAAAAGTGCCTGATTCCTAAGGGTGCAAATGTAGCCCCACGCATATCACAAACCCCCCCCCCCCCCGGCCATACAATTTTCCCCTCCTGACAGCCCCCCGAAGTTAAACTTATAGGTCCCCGTAAAGTAGTATCTATCACTTCCTGAGTAGAAATTCGAAAGGGTTTCTACCTATGTTGGCGCAGTTGGAAAGCGCGAACACCACCACCGAGCCAAGTGCGGGTTCAGAAAGAACACCACTGTAAGTGCCCAAAGGTGCGGGTTCGATCCGCCTTTCAACTTTTTGATTTTTTTTCCTTTTTCTTTTTTTTTTCTTTTTTCTTTCCAATCAACCACCCCCTCGTTTCTTCTATTCAACTCTTCATTTTTAAAAAAATGATTTTTTACCTTCAATTGTTTCCTTTCCTTCTAAGTGCCTTATTAGTATCCAGGCATGTATTCATAACTAGCAGTTCATACTCAAGGCATCTGCCATTTGATCATTCTCCTATGCTAAGCAGACATTTCCCCTCAGGGGAGTGTTTCTATCGGAAACCACTGACTAAACCGGCCCTCTGGGTCGTATTGCTTCTTGAGGACCTTCAGTCTAGGCAAACTTGCACCATAAATCGTGGATGAACTTTCATCTCCGAACCCGTTATTAATGTATCTTCTCACAAGTCATTAACCATGCACCATATAGGTCTGCAAAAGGATGGAACTTACGTGCTATGATGCGCCAAACCATCAGCAGCTTGCCACAACGCCCTTGCGCTCGTCCCGTACGTTAACGCTGTCTCATCGAATGCAGCATCCGTGTACGATGCGGTAAACGAGGCGAACAGGTAGACAGAATCGCGAAACGGATACGACGAGCTGGACACAGGAAGCTGGCGGGCCTTGTCCATCGGGTAAGCAGTGAGCAGCACTGAGCTGCGCTCAGCTCCGGGCTCCTGACCAAGCCTCACCCAAACATCATACACAGCGTGCCAGGAGGCCGGATCGAGATGCAACATCCCAACCCCCCAGGTAGGTTTGCGTCCACCTTTGATACATGCCATCTTAGTACCAGCATTCCACTCCGTATACTGTACTATCTTGGTTGCATCCACTACAGGTCCAATGGCAATCAATGAACTGAATGCGCTTCGGCCGGCTGCCTCCGTACCGTGATAGAAAACGCTGACGATGATAGACGGTGTTCCGTTGCTGGCCAGAATCCACGTCATAGAAAGGGCCATTTGCGATGTCAAGGCCAGTTCCGAAATAGCCCCAAGTACCAAGTCAAGTTGCGCGGGGGTGTAGATGAGGGCACCTTGCCAAGCCTCGAGCGAACTACTGCTCTCCACAGGATAGGATCTAAGCACCGCCGATGCCACGATACCAAAGTTCGGCGCCGCTCCTCGCAGGGCCCAGAATAAATCGGGCGATGAAGACTCGGTCACCTTTCTAAGCGAGCCGTCCGCCAAGATGACGTTCATCGACACGACGTTGTCCACGCCAAGTCCGTACTCGCCAGTCAAAAAGCCGATTCCGCCGCCGAGAATGGCCCCTAGAGCCCCCACGCAGTCACATGTCCCAGTCGTCACGAGGGCGCTGTTTTGAGACGCAGATGCGATCACGTCTGATATTAAGGCGCCGCCGCCGATAGTAACAAGCTTTCTATCTACACTGAAGGTGACGGAGCGGAGCAAGTCGAGGGCAATGATTATGCCTGTTTGGTCAATGGTGAATGTGGTCGCCCAGCCGTTGCCTCCACTCTGGGCAAGGAATGGAATATCGTTATCAACGGCCCATTTTACCTAAGAGTCTCATTAGATCTAGTAACCACCTAGGTTGTGATAGCTTTTTCAGGCTTTGATTATCTCTAAGAGAAGTACAATACCGTTGTCTGCAAGTCCTGCTCGGTCGCGGGATGGACTACAATTTGTGGTTGCGGAGCTTTGAACTCGCTCCATCTAGGCACCGTTGTGATATTCCCGATGTAGGAACCAGGGGTGAGAATCCTTTCGAGCGAACTCACGTCCAAGCCGTAAACACAACTGCTCGCCATCAAAGCTCACGCGAATAGAAGAAGGACGGGCTTTACGATAGATGAACGCTCTAACATAGACGGATGTAAGTGAACTTATCACTGGTCACTTCTATTAGCACAGGTAGAAGGGCTGAGAAGTTACATTCTATGAATTAGAGCTGCAGTGTCTTATATACATAAGGGTGCTTATGAAGCTGAAATGTGAGTCCCCGCTTGCCAGCTCCTGATTTACGGATATAAATCTCACTTTTCTCCCCTATTGGAATATCCCAACCCCATCTGGCGTCAGCATCTTTCGTCAGGTAAAAATGCCATCACCATTTAGTTTCTTTGGCTCTGTGTAAAATGACTCTTGATTACTGCGGTCGCTGCTTTACCTTGAATATTTGAAGATCTAGTTGAAAAGGGACACACTTACCCGTGAAGCCCCCTGATCAAAAGCAACAATACAGCAGACGGAGCAACTTGATAACCGTTAGTCTCACAGAATCAATTAAATGTCATATTTTGAGTCTACTAGATTTCCACAGCCAAGCTAAACTGAATCATTCCTATCCGATAGAACGCCTACACCGTCTTCGTACCAATCCAGAGTGGATTCGAAGTGCAAGTTAGCAAGTTTCCTGCGCGGGCGCATGTTGCCTGTACATATCCAATACCGATAGCATCAAATGTAGATCTACACTAACTGTCAGCAAATTTCTTTATCACAAAGACATCTTATAGCTGTCGTTATCACTTACGCGTCGCTACAATCCCAATGCTGAGACACGGTGAGTATGTCTGTTTGCGGATCAAAATGGAACGCTGCCGTCGTCGTCGAGTCTCCTTCTGTCGTTGGCTTGCAAGTTCCGTCAAACGTGCTGTCGTCTGTGGCCGATGGTGTGCAGTCAAAGACATCCGTGTTGGCCATGTTCTTCAACGTGAAAGATGGGCCCGTATCTCCGCTGATGGACGTTGATCCGGGAGCCATTTCGTACTGGCGTTGCCATTTCTCAAGCTGCCATGACTGGTATCTTCCGGAGTTATCCGCGCATGAGTCTGCTTCTGCTCGAGCGGGGCCCCCTTTAGTCGTGATAGTCACGCCAGTGCCTGCCAGCATACAGCTATCGCTGCCTTCGGTTGCTGTCGTACAGTTCATGTCCAGTTTTACCGATCCGGTCGCCAGGGCATCGGAACTATAACATTGTTCTTGGTCAGCAAATTCTAAACCCATTAGTAAGGTGCACCAATGCTTACCCTTCCACATCCGAGCAGGGAAACGTATGCGATAGGTACATGGTGCGATTCTTCCAGTCCACAGCAAACGCGACTGCGGTATCGTACGTCGGACCATTCCCAGCCCAGATACAATCGCCCCATATGATATTCCCGTCTTCATACCAGCCCGCCCATGATTCTGGCCATTCTGCGACGCACTCGAAAAATGTCCCCTGGGCGCTGTTACCGGGAGCTATGCTAAACGCGACCGTCGCAGTACCGGTGCCCTCGCCGGACTCTGCTCCATCGTATCGGCCGGCGCCCACTTTCCACGGGTACGTTGAAGCGTCCGTAGTGGCTCCGCACACTCGATCGGCACTTGCCCTCAACGTGAGCAAGAGTGCCGTGGTAAAACCTATGAGATTAGTCCGCATCATGATATTCCCCTAGATATGCTTTGAATTTTCGTCGTATTGTTGGGTTTGTGTTCAGGTCTCTTGTTCAGGGGTGAGAGATGTCTTGATCGACGGGTGACAAATAGTCAGATCTGACTGCTAGTTATACCGAACACAACCAAGTGCCGGATGTTTTAGACCACTACATGGTAATATGGATGAGTACGCTGGGAAATTGATTCCAATCTTCCGTTTGGTTCCTTGACGCAAGTGTCCGTTGGCATCTGAAGCAGCCAATCATCTCAACGTGTATATATAACCGCCTGGGTAGGGAGATAAGGGTAATTAACCATATTCTTGGTATATATGTTACGATAACAACTGTTTTCTCTTGGATTCCAGCTCTGCGTGTCGTATATGTCATGTCAACGATATAACATCGTAGGAACTTTGCACTTGGAAGACACAGATTCGCACCGATATAACTTAATAATTAGCATCCCACCGCGACTAGGTATTGGTATTTCGAAAAGCGTCGAATCGGTATAGACAATACGTGCAGCGTGATAAGGCAAGATGCCTCCCCTACCTACATACGTAGAGTGGATATCTGCCGGGTAAATTCAGAGCTCGGCGGTATCACCCACACCAATATAGCTCCAGATTAGGTAGACTCCTAAGAAGACTAACCATGGGAAGAGACAGGCCGGGATTATATTTCAAGAGAAGCCGGGTTTTGTATATAGGATATACGATGTAGAGTGTCATGCGGGTAACAGTCCCCCTAAATAGTTAGCTACTTGTCATCTTCAGCCCTTGTATCACGACCATTTTCCTTTCGTGAAGTTAGCAGATTGTCACTCAAGATACCATTCTCAAGATGCAGTGGAAGACCGTTGCCCTCGCGCTCCTCGCGCAGGGCGTAGCCGCCCAACAGATGATCCGCTTCGGGTGCTCGCAGCTCGTGATCGAGCGGCTCGACCCCCTCGTGAACCCAGGAGTGACGCCGTCGCCGCACGTCCACCAGATCGTCGGCGGCAACTCCTTCAACGCCAGCATGGACCCCGCCGACCTCGACCTCGTGCGAGACTCGACTTGCACAAGCTGCACCTACTCGGAGGACTTCTCCAACTACTGGACCGCGGTCCTCTACTTCCGCGCCCGGAACGGAACCTACAAGCGCGTGCCCCAGTTCCCCAACGTCGGGCTCCGCGCCGACGGCGGCATCACGGTCTACTACATCCCGCCGTACGACGGCAAGACGACCGTGACGGCCTTCAAGCCCGGCTTCCGGATGCTCGTCGGTGACGCGGGGCTGCGCAAGGCGGAGGGCATGCAGCGCCAGCTGTGCCACCGCTGCTACACCACCGTCGATGGTGCCGGGCCTGCCGGTTCCTCGGGCGGTGCGCCCTGCACCGGATCCGACACGCAGAGCTTGCCGCCTGAGCCATGCAAGGGCGGCATTCGGACCACCATCACCTTCCCGACATGCTGGGATGGCATAAACTTGGATAGCCCGGACCACAAGTCCCACGTCGCTTACCCGAAGCAGGGTTCCTTCGAGTCTGTCGGCACATGCCCTGAAACCCACCCCATCAGATTGCCCCAGCTGATGTACGAGGTCATGTGGGATGTGAGTACCGATCATTGATTTGTCTGCATTTTTCGCCGAAAAAAAAAACAGGTACTAATACGCGTATCCCACACAGACAACACAATTCAACGACCCCGAACTCTGGCCCGAAGATGGGTCTCAGCCCTTCTACTGGAGCACCGACGACGGGTAAGCAACCCCCCACCCCCCTTATTTTTCTTTCCTCTCCGCATTATTCATCCAAGTAAGCAATAAACTAAAATCCATAATTCACAGAACCGGCTTCTCCCAACACGGCGACTACATCTTCGGCTGGAAAGACGACTCGCTGCAGCGCGCCCTCGACGCGCGGTGCAACAATGCCGTGTGTGCGCAGCTAAAGGTGCAGAGCTCGGAGGACGCGCTCAGGTGCACCAAGGCGCAGACGGCTGTGGAGGATGTGGATGGATGTGAGTTGAGATCGTTCTTACAATTATCTGCACGATAGGATGAATGCGTGCCTACTTGGTCTGGATGCTTGGCTAACTTGTTTCACAGGGCTGGAGAAAATCCCGGGTGCCATGTAGGTTGGACAGGTGGTTCGATGAAGCGAGGCTGTTGCACCGTCACGTAGAGATTGTTTACCTAAATTTATATTACGGTAATGGGGCAGCGCTGTGAGTTAAGGGGAGTTGGTTATTGTTTCATTCTAGTAATGAAAATGCGTAGCTCTACGGTATCTAGCTGTATAAATCCCTACCAGTACCTCTTGCCACGTGCCCCCTTTTCTCCATCCACAACAAGGAGCCATTCTCGACACCCACCTCCATTTCAGGGACGAATTTGACGATTCGATTTCTTCTTGCCCCTCTGGAGGTACCGCTTGCCACTGGGTGTAGGCTCGCCCCAATAGAAACTGAAACACCCTGCCGTCTCGTCATCGTCATCATCAGAATAGTAGTAGTATTGCCTTCTATCATCATACTGATCCGGAAGAGCTCCTTTCCTCGGCGCGACAGCGGCTGTTGACTGTGACGCAGAAACGTTTTGTTCGCCAGGCACGGAAGGCGGCAGGCCTGCTTGCTGTGCTGCCCAGTTCGCGGTGTAGCCCGTTATTGGTGCTACTTGGGGCTTTGCTGCTTCGGCTCCACGGGCTGGCTGCTGCCGGAGCTCTTCTTCGGAGATGGGTTGTTGTTGCGCAGGTGCGCTACCGCATCCCTGTGAGTTGTTATGATAAGGGGTATGGTGTGAACTACGTTGGTCACTACTATGGCCAGTGTTACCACTGCCATGAGGGCTCCTATGATTATCGCCATGGTGATTAGTGTGCTGAGAAGGGCGAGGTAGAGATGAATCTGAAAGTGTGCTAGCGGTTGCTGCTGATGTACTATTATCGCGTTTAGGTTCGTAAACAATATAAGGAGCCTTGTCTTTCCCTTTACGACGTTCCATGTACATGTCCTTTGATGGATCACGATTTTTGTGATGCCCGTGACACCTGTGGGATGAGGTCTTAGCTATCAAAGAATTATTTTTATGTGTTTATAAAGGAATATTTGGGACATAAGTATTCCATTACTCAGTGTAAACAATGAGATGGATACATGATTGTAATTTTGTTTTTATATGTTTAGATGTTTGCAGTAGTAAAGTGATGGAAGAAACCCCAGGAGATCAATCATTGTTGTAAAGGCCCCTGGTGAAGTAGGGAGTCCAGTCATGTTTGGATGGTAGTTGTAGCATTGAACTATGCATGTCGTGAGTGGGTGTCCCACCGTCAAGTCGACTAGCACAGGTAACCTCTCTTCAAGTAATCACAGAAGGACGGAAGTTTGGGGTGTTTAGTGGGATTTGACGCCGGCAAAGATCAAAACATAGCTAGAGATACATCGACCTCTCTTATAGACACAATGAAAAGCTGTATCCCTTAATCTCAGAGGTGCCTAGGTCCCCAACTTATGTTTGTTGAAGTATGACTACTACCGTTACGCGTCTAAGTACATGCCTCGTAGCGGCCTAACGGTTCCCTGCCGTATACTAGGTAATCAAAAAGGCAGAAGTAACCTTCTACTCCATGTCAATAATCCAACTCACGATACGTACATATTATGACAGATTATAATTAGCTAGCTCGGACGAGGCTTCGTGTTTCATAGATATGATTGAGTACTATACAATCCCGTCATGAAGAAAACTTCTGGTCACAATACTAGTGACAAATAAAATTCGCCGGAATTTAACGCCCATGTGCACATGTGCCCCTTAGAAAAGATTGAACAGTGGCATGGCTCTTCCATAGAAGTTGAATTTGTGTGTATGGAAAGCTGCTTGTTAATAAACAACTCGAAGTATCCATTCATAGAATAGACACATAGATGTTGTTCCGTAGGTACTATTTACCTAGGTTATGAATTTGACATAATCAGATTGCGATTGTTATTAGGGGGTTATTGCAAGCCCAACTTAAATATTTGGTATAAAAAAGGGGTTGTTCTAACTTGGTATCTTGGGTATCTGGGTACCTACCCATGCATTCAATTAATCGCATGTAAACCTTGGAATACTGCAATGCGGCATCAACAAATCCCTGGGTGTACCAGGTAACAACTACCTGGTTGTCTACCTAGGTAGCGTATGATATCCGCAGGCCATGCCTTGAATAGTACACAATTCCCAACTCCATGAAAATGCAAGGTCGTGAACATAGAAAGGCGAGCAATGCCACCGGCACTATATGTAAGTACGTAACCTTTTTCCAGACCCAAGCACATTCATTTCCTAAATGTTGCACTCTTTCCAGTCTTCTCACCATGCATCCTCCGTGCAGCCTTGGGGCCATCGATTGTCATGCCATAGGGGTTGAATTTCGCCCCTTGTGGAGTGCCATTAGCCCTCTTAGCATTGAGGACAGACTTCGCCTTACTGTAATCAAAAGGCTCCTGATCCTCATTAGACCCCTTTTCTGACGTTTCCGTAGCCTCGCCGGAGTTCTTAGCGTTGGCGCGCTTGGCTAACTTCTTTGCTCTCCGTTCCTTAGCAGTAGCCTTCCTACGTGCGTTCTTCTCTCTCCTCTTTGCCTTTTTCTCGTCACTGCCTATATCAAGCGAAATTTCATCTGCATCAAGAGAAGCACCTGAGCGGGGATCGGGTTTGACTGGTGTCTCATTGACCTCCCCTACCTCAGACCCAGAATTGGACTCAGACTCAGACTCCGATTCAGATTCGGGCACCTTACGCTTCAAACCGGCTTTGAGAGTAAATTCGGTATCGATTAGTGGCTCAGAGGCGCCCGACTTTAGTTGGGATGATTGCGGGTTCTCGGCAAGGGGGATAACCGACTTATCATCTTCTATGACTCGGTGGCTTAGCCGAAGCTCAGTTTCATTCAAGAATTTGCCTGACTTCATGAAATGAGCCCATGGGAGTTCAAATTGCACAGTGCTTGAGATTGTCGAGTTAGGCCGCTCCTCCCATCGACTACTAATTGAAAGCTTGCCCCATAGCTTGGAGGTTTGAGAGACGAGGTCCTGCGTTTCTAATGTTGCTGCCTCGCTGCTCTTTGGCTTGGGGAAGACGACATTTGCAACATGCCCGATAGCCATCGTCGGCGTCGTCTGGCTACGGATCACATCCGTGACACTGGGCCCATTTGCGGCTTCAGCCTTGGCCTTATTAATGATGCCAGACAGTTTGAAAGCATCGCGCTTGGCAATGTAAGAGGTGGGGTCCACGAGGCTATGGAGAGCTTTAGGGTCCGGAGGGATACGTCGGGATATATCAAAGAGAACCTGGTTGCTCATTACAAACAACGCACTTTCATCCTCCCGACGGGCCATTTCATCCCGCCATTTATGAACAGCTCGAAATACGGCGAACTGCTCTTTGGATAGCCTTCCAGAAGAGTTTCTGATGAGTAGATTATACCACCCAAAGGCACCCTGGCCGGTTTCCGAGTCGTAGACACACGTCTCGTATCGTCGGAGAGATGTCTCCTTGGATTTGTCAAGTACTTGGCGAATGGGATCCTTTTCCACTCCTTCCGAGGATAGCTTGAGTAACTCGTTGCGCATCATATCATAGATGTAGAGTAGATAGTGAGTATCCGAGCGCGCATAGTAGAACATCTCTTCGGGTAATGGTCGTATTCGCCAATCGGCCAACTGATATTTTTTATCCGCATCGAAGTCGATGAATCGTTTGAGCAAGTACGCGAGACTCCTGCTAGGATACTCAAGCGCTACTGCTGCTTCGAAGGTATCGAACAATCCGACGATGTAGAGGCCACAGTCTCGTTGGAGCCAGATGATATCCATGAAAGAGCCATGAAGCACCTATAAAATCTTGAGAATAGAGTTAAAAACAGCTAGGCATGTTAGACTGACCTTGATGATATTCGGGTCAGCAAAGACCTCATTCAAAACCTCCAGCTTGTGACGCCATGGCTGTAAGGTATCCACAATCCAGTCCTTCTCGCGCGTACTAATTTGCATCAACGACATTAGGCCTGCGTACGTTCTGAAATCGTGGTGTTCGGTGTCGATGGCAATCTCTTTCGCCTCCTTGAGTTCCTGGAGCATCTCTAGGACCCCTTCAAAGGTATCCACGTAGGTAGCGGTTGTGGTTTCGACTGGTTGGTATTTTATGGGCTCCGTATCCTGGAAGACTGTATTTGGATATTCAAGGGAGGTAATTTCGGCCTCGTATGGATGTTTATATCTGTCTTATTGTTAGCTTCCAATATTAGTGCTAATAATCCGCCCCCCCCGTCGCTACGCTGCGAGCTTTATTTTCCATCCCCAATAGCTAAGGAAAAGACTTCAATATGCAAGGAAATGGATTGACCGTACTGGGTTTTGTTGTTGTCATCTTGAAATGTCACGAGACTTTCTTCAAGAGGAACAAGGGCGTGTGGCTTGATAGTGAGAAGAGGTTTCCAAGGTGAAGGGCTAAGATTGTTTGGTTTAACTTCGAATGCGTTTTGAGGTTTGATGATGTTTGCGCGGCGCATAGAACTTTCTAGCATCGTTGATCTAGGTTTCTTTGCGGGAGGCCCTGTCTGGTCTGTTGGCGCAACCCTCCTCTTGATCAAGCCGGTGTACTCGTCCAAATGGGTATCGGCCTTCTCCAGGAGAGTGTCTACCACGTCGACGATGCGCGTCCAATGTACATCGATATCGTCGCCATCTTCAAGTTTTGGTGTCTTTAGTTCAGTGCCCTTCGTTGAAGAAGTAAGGAGGCTTGTGGCTAAGGAGAGGAGGCGCGCAGAGGTATCGTCAAGCTGCTCTTCGGCATCGGGATTACTAGATCGGTGAAAGTTTAGATCTTCAGCAGCTATCTGATTCGTAAGTCGAGTGGTGGCGACAAGAGCAGATTGAATCTTCTCCTGGATGGATTTGAAATCCTGAGAGGAATCCATGATGTATGCGCACCACCAACTTTGTTGATTTTAGTTGGTGATGGTTTAGAGAGAGATTGATTTAAGAGAATCGCTGCAAGTTCAAAGTTAACGATTTTAGAAAAAAATTAACTATCTGGGTATGAACTAAGAATGCAAAAGGTCCACACAATAGTTAAAGCCCAGGGTGTGTTAATCTAATCGGCGTGATTCCCGCTGTGGGGTTGTACTCCGTAGGTACTGGTAGGCAATGGTAGCTCTGTAATCTGCGCGAGCAGGTACTTAATAAGTACCTGAATGAGAAGGATATAGGGGACGCTAAGATAACGATAACCAAGTTAGCATGTTAATAAGTATCTCATTGGAGCGCGTTGGCTGCTAGTTATAAAAAGCTCCCCATCTTAATAAATCCAAATTACGCCTACAAATGTACAACTTGTTGTAGGGGTTGCGTCTATGAGAATCAAAGAACTTCACATTTCACACCACAAGACCACAGCTTGATCTTAAATAATTCAACATGTCCGCCTCCCTTGCACCCGAGTGCAATGAAGTCAAAGAGTAAGCACATAGCTCCAATGTCAAATATCGTCTTTCTTTATTTAGGCAGCTAGTTAGTACCTACGTTGTATAAGCTAATACTCATTGTACTCATTGCAGGCGATACGATACTTGCTTTCTTAAGTGGTATAGTGAAAGTACGTTGCCGTTGATATTAATACAGACATCAAGTACTGCTTCATTTACTTACAACACTACAGAGTATTTGCGAGGCAAAGGAAAAGCAGACGATAATGAATGTGCCCAACTATTCAAAAATTATCAGAGTTGTCTCAAGGCAAGTCACCCCTTCACGCACAAGCCCACCCATTAATCGAGCATGTAACCCTAGATCATCGTGCATGGTTTTATACTTAGCTAACTTCCACAGGTTGCTCTAAAAGAACGGGGTATAGATAAACTCCTGGATGAAGCACGAGAAGATACTAAAGAGAGTGATGACCTCCACATGAAGAGAAAATGATGGCAAATAAGTGCCGAGGTTCCGAATAGTCAACGCCACTCACTGGCTACAGTAATCACGCCGACCTCACGACAATCACAACTTCTAGTTAATGCGGTTACTTTAGGTAACCCATGATCCAAACCTCTCACTTATCCATGGGTTAGTTCATAACAAGAAGAATGCTATCAGGCAGTCATAACGCTCAATTATAGCTCAACTCAACCATAACTAATTCACGTAAGTGCCCACCGAAGTAGTTAAGCTCCAAGGAGTCATCACTAATGGCCATAGCCCACAAACACTCTTCAACATTTGCAATGTTAGCCAAAATACTGAGCTTCTTATAAACATAGTATTTATAATTTACAATATTTTGTGTTTATATCTCTAATTTTTAAATTATTTCTCATGAGCTTATTCATAAAACTTTGCCGTTTCCACAGGCTGCGCATTCTCAACCGTGGCAAAGCCTAGCTTTCCAACATCGCCGTTTTGTTCAACATTACCAATCATAACCTTGACCTTCTGCAGTAACTTCGCCCTTTCTGTAACATCGAGTCCACTACCACCGGGAGGACACTCAAAGTAGGGATTGTCATATGTCTGGCTTACCACGGAATCGAATCTGTCGGGAGCAAGCGTTTTCATGCCACAAGTGATGCCGATGATGCCAACGAAAGACATTACCATGGAAGACAAGAACAGTAGGATAAGCCACACAGTACTTGGATTGTACACCTCTTCGAATTTGGTGGAAGAAGCATTGGTATTGGCACCTATGAACGGAACATTGCGGAAGGTTCCCAGTAGGCCATCCGGTATATCGCCCGTGGCGGGAATGTTAGGATGGCCGAAATCCGGTGCATTGTACCCAGTCAAGCCAGTCGCAGGAATATGGTCCGGCCCGTAGGTGGAGATATCAGTGGATAATTCTCCAGCAAAGGCCGACCCAGACATCCAGAGCTGGATGAGGCTGTTCAGGAGCATAGAGGCGCGTGCGGCGAACATGGCCGGTGCCACTGCTCCAAGATCGACCAATTGCTGGATGTCACCAAGACTCTTTGCGAGAAGAGGTAGGCGGCTGGAATCACTGATGAAATACTCGGAAGCGCTCGACCACAGGCCACCAGTGCCATGTTGACTCGCAAGAGTGATTTCGTCTAACACAACCTTGGCCCAATAATCGAAGACTGTGTAATTTGCATTGCGATGATCTGTGGTTGATGGTCGGATGTGTGTAGTAGCGCAGTTTCCTTCTGTGCAATGTATCCTTGCCTCGACCAGCTCCTGCTTTACAATGCAGTCAGATGTCACGATTCGGTTATCTGGAGTAGGCGAGAGAAAGCGTATGGTATTAGCAACGGAGAATTTCGGATCTTGTTGTTCCGTTAAGTTTGGCGCGCGTTCGCCGATGAAGAAAGCTGCTCGGTCCGACCAGAGAGTCTTTCGCTCAGGAAAAAGTTCAATGTCATTAGATGCGGACGTGTTAAGGGCGCAGGTGATACAGGTGATGTTAAATCCGTTCAGCGGTGGTGATGTATTGTTCTTATTAACATAGCTTACTTTTGGACAGGTCAGGGACACATAGGACGTTTCAACCGAGAAATCTGCTGTGCCCGCTTTTGGAAGTCCGACGATGGGAAGGCCAAAGAGACTTGCATACGACTCCACGTCATGCTGACCCGAAGCGTCAAGCCAACCATCACTATCGGACGAAGATTTGTTCAACTTATCAATCCGAGGAATCTTGATATTCCCCCACGCGTCTCGAGAGCCTCTTTTGTTGCTCAGCGTTTGCATAAGAGCAGCTGAATAAGCCTCTATGATTGTGCTTGGACGTCCAGAGTTGAGAGCATCAGACTGCGCAATACTCCACTCTCCCACATATACCTGTCCGAGAGGCCCGCTATCGACATAGCGAAGAGGTACGGTTGTATCGGTTGTGTGGTTCACCTTGGTAAGAGCACGAAGCGATGCCTGACTTCCTACTGGAGATAAGACCCACAGGAGAAGCAGGAAGGTGGAAATAACACTAAAGTTTCGGAAAACGAGCTGGTTTTGAACTGCATCGGAAACGGTCTTCGTGCTTAGAAGGCACCGAAGCGTCTTTTCGACCTCAGTTACTTGGTTAGAGACATCAAGCCTGGAGATCCTCATACAATGGATAAGACTTACACCCAACTCAACACCACGCTCTGCTTTTAAGCGTCCGATCAAAGTCAATGCTCTCCCGACAACAGATGCGAAAACAATAGGGAATATAGTCGGAGCCTGGATCAGGGTCAGCATCTTATCCGGGAACGGAACTTAATTTGATGGTGCTATACAAGTCCGGAGGCCACTTCAACCCCTAATCCAAAGCCACTACCGATGGGCTTGCCTTTAAGGGTTAAAACGGCAATAGCCAATACTGCAATACAGTTAGTTCTATGAGGATAGCAAGCAGTGATTATTGTTCACATGCCTAGAAAAATAAAAGACACGGCAACTATTATAATATCCCAGATGTGCTGCAGTATACTCCACAAGGTCCATTGCGGTACAGCTTTCAATTCAGTAGGCCAGCCTACGAGATAGACTTGGGATTTGCCATCCAAGCTCTCTGCACTAGAGGTCGTTCTCAACCTAGATGGATTTTGAGGCAGCCAATGTGAGCTCGAAGGATTGGGGTTACGATCAATTTGATCGCATATCATGTGGTCGTGCTGCATGGGTTGTGTAATATACGACATTATGGTACCAATGATGGCAAAAGACAATGAAACAAATTAACATCAAGAAAAGAAAGGACGACTATAACCCAGACCCAACGAAAAAAGAAAAATCAAAACCCCGAAAGCCTGATATCTTGACAATCTTGACAGAGCACAACCAACAACACATCGTCAACGTAAGGGGGGGAGGGGGCACGGTTTTGTATAATTACTGCAGCCTACAGGACCTGGCAAACATACTACCATTACTATGTATTAGCCAGCCTTGACTGCCTAGAATGCGCGCTGCCAGTGTCAGATTCTGTACTTATATAATTAGTTCAACTACCTACCAAGGTGTTTCCAATTGCTGATGCGCCGCAAAAACCGCCCCCATTTTACCTATCTCATACCGTAGCCGCCGGCCGAGCAGAAGCGTCAATAAAAACCCATGATTCGACAAGAGCAAAGCTTGAGACATAGATCCACATAAGCGAGATGCAAGTTTAGTAATAAGGGTAGTTACATTAGATAGGCAGTTATATAAACGCGCCCCATTATTGAAAATATCCGAGTATTTACATCGAATCGGGGGAGAATCTCCTAATCCAAATGCTTGAAGGGGACCTTTGCGCGCTTAATGTTTGCCCGCTAAATGTCTACTGGTAAATAGACCTAGGGTAGGTACCTAGGTTATGCATGAATCAATTGTTAAAGACCCGCTTTGTTATTGTTTGAGTTGAGGGAGGTCCAATGAGAAAATGGTATTCGGAGTAAATAATATGCACATTGAATACGAAGCTATTGTCAATGCCCTATATATGCTTAAGGGGCTATTTCTTCGCGATAAATATGATGAAAGATTACATATCTGATCGCTTGGGTTTGATGGCTGTGGTGGAGTTTATGCACTTTATCATAAAACGATATAAGACGTAGTGTATTTTTTTCGTGGTAGTAGGTGAATATAAGAATAGCGACAACGCTGAGGATAAACATGATGATCGAATAGGGAGGTTGGCTGGGAAATGTAATTATGCAACTACCCTAACCCATTGCTATCTACAGGTCAACCATGTAAGGGATGTAAGGGAGAGGAGACACCAATTTCGGCTCTTCAAGAACGCGTCTAGCAGGGTATAGAGAGTTGGCTCAAGAGCTTTCTAATTCATCGTTACTAACCTAGTAGTAATCAACTATTGAATTTCGTTCAATATTCAGAGCACCAACATATTCTCATTGAACGAAGCAAACACGTCCCGCTCGCAATACAAAGAACTGGAAACGATAGCCCCCCCAGGGCCCCCACCCCCCTAATTCCTAATTCGTAGGGGCCAGAATGATACTGACGGTTTAGATTCCCAGCCGCAATCAGCGCTATCCCAGATTCATCGAATTTACGTCATAGTCGCCATTTTGCGATTTTTACAAGTCTATCATCAAGAAGGACATTTCCTTGCTCACAACCAACAGATCAGCCATCTGGAAACCCATTTGGGGGTGGCTCGGGCATGAGATAAGGGGGTTATATCTAATCAAGCCTTTTACACGGGAGCGATGCTGTGATGAGAGAGGTAAGCATGACGAAGAGCGCCTTCGATATAGCCAGTACAAGACCCTGGCTGGGCATAAAATTACCTGGGTCGAAGTGATCTTGTATATGCTCACTGGAGTTTAGAACAAGTTCCTGAAAGAGAGACCCGAAAGCCTACCTATTTAATGCATTAAGTAGAGATCTTCAGCTGGCCTAAGTGAACGGGGTGCTTTGTGAAAGGCGTCTTCTATATGACTACATGAGAGACAAGTGGTGTATGATGACAGTAAGATGCAGCCCTACGATATTGATGATAGAATGTGTGGAACTGTATGCATGCACTACCGGTAATAATGGCCACTAAAGCAGGCCACTTTTAAAATCAAGCAGGTTACATCCTTCACATGTAGAACTTGAAACTAATAAATCTCAATGTTCAAATTGGAATTTGGAACATTGCCATGTGAACTTAGGTGATACCCAGGGTGAGTCATCCGTAAAATGTGGCGCTGGACCCCACTGCAGTGCCACTCCCCTCTATGTGGCTGCACCAGTGACAAGACTCTGGACTGAGATGAGCTGCTGCCCATTGGCCCCACTTTAGGTTACCCAGACAGCCCAGGCACAAAAAAGGAAAGCAACACTTGAATTGGAGGTCTTGTTATGACGCATGCTTTTTCTTTTTCTTTTTGCTCTTTCCTCTATTCACCAAACAACATTTAGACATTTTGAACATAAAAACATCATACATCATAATCGAAAATAACCAATCCAACAAGCAACATAAATTTTGGTACTTGACTTTTAACCCTTAGCCTCCAACTTGTGACCAGATCCTTGTTCTCTGCCTTTTTAGTCGCTATCCCCCACCTTCCATGAACTATTTACCCAATCTACTATTTATTTACACATCTGAACCCTTGACCAACTTTTCTTCTTCCTCCCTGAAGTCTCCTTGGTGATACCAACAATCTGAAATCTTCATCTGGACAACATGTTTGTCCTCAAAAATGGTAAGAAGCACCCCTTATCGACAGTAATGCCTAAGATGACACTTCAGTCAAGACCGTGAATTGTATTTTGCGGGCCAACGACCAACCAAATGGTGCTTTGGGAACCACATTACTATCATAGATGGATCTATCACATCCCCCCCTCCCTTCATATATGCCAACTCAAATCATCCCCAATTATCACATATCAAATACGATATGAACAACTAGCTAATGTTTTCGTAAATAGTGGGCAAACTAATCTTTGGGAGCAGCAGCCAGGAATCTATGATCGAGCTGCCCCAAGGCCAACTCTACCTTGTCCGACCCTTATCACCCAAAGGGTATTCTGAATTGATTTTCAAAGACTCTACCGCTCGCATCCGTCGCACCGGCCAAGACTACCAATACCAGCTCGTTATCCAGAGAGTTTATGAGGAAGGCGAGGCTGAGTTGCTAGAGGACTCGGAAGGTGAAGACGAAGACCTTAATGCACTAGCTGCCGAGAAGGACGAGAAGACGTTCCTACTTGACGAAGCTCTTCATTTCCGTGTTGAAAACAGAGAAAGCTCGCAAAAGGTGCTTGCTTGGAAAGATTTGAGCGGCGACGTTGGCGACGTGTACGAGTTCGTCTGCGACCCTTCGATCAAGTCTGCGCAAGTTGAGGCTTTTGAGCGCATCGCGAGAGAGTGCCAATACGAGCGCAAGTATCGAAAGCCACACTCCACTGCCTCTGAAGCCGACCTTCAGCAGTTTGATTTCGAAGAACAGCCTATCCCACAGGCGAGCCCCATTCACAGCCCAACTTTAGCACGCTCCATCGATTCATCCGACGCCATGTTCCAGTTAAAGAACGAGGCGAATGCCGGTATCAAGCGCGATAGTACGCTATCTGCGTCTTCAGTTCTCGCGGAACCGGAACCGGAGGCCTATGAGGATGATGCCCAAAGTCAAGCCGATACACGATCGGGTAAGCAGGCTGGCCCCCCAAAGGCACCAGCCCAACCCGAGCCGCTGGAGGTATTTGCAATGGAAATTGGTGAACTCCACTTCTTTGATTTTCCTTCAGGGGCCTTCGTTCTCCAAGATACAGCGGTTACTGCTCAGGTATCAGATATTGGCAACTGGAACTACTGGTTGCATATCGCCAGCAACGACCGCCAGTGGCTTGGCATTCCCGTAGTTGCGGACATCAACCCTGTCTTCAACTTCGAATTCCTCTCCTTCATCTTTAACCAATTCACCGAGGACGGTTCTGCGTACTCGTGGTTGTTGAGATTTAAAGACAATAAGACGCTCGAAAGATTTCAGGATGGTTTGATGAGGGCACTATGGGAACAGCTGAATGAAGTGAAGTGGAATAAGATCAAAGAGCAAGAGCGTCAATACGTCATGGATGCATTTGAGGATCTAAACATGAAGGATGCTCCAATCGAGGAGGAGGAAGAGGAGGAGCCGGAAGTTGAAGAAGCTGAGGATGATGCGCCGCAAAGCGAGCATTATGACAGCGACGAAGAGGAAGAAGACGTTGAAACAGGACCTAAGGACACTTATACTAACTCTGCTCTTGCTGTTGGATACAAACACGACCGCTCGTTCGTCGTTCGAGGCCCCAAGATCGGCGTGTTTAAACATACACCTAAGAATCACCTGGAATTCACGACCAATATTTCCAAGGTTGAGACTCCCAAGGGCGCTTCTTTCGTCCCCAAGAAGGTCATGCTCCACAACGAAGATCGTAATCTAATCTTACAGAACGATACAGACCCCAACAAGTTGTATCGTATGGATCTCGAGTACGGAAAGGTTGTCGACGAGTGGAATGTTCATGACGACATCCCGGTTGTGACTTTTGCGCCGGAAAACAAATTTGCGCAGATGACCCATGAACCAACCTTCCTAGGTATCTCTCGTAATGCTCTATTCCGTGTCGACCCTCGTCTATCAGGCACCAAGCTTGTCGACTCCCAGCTCAAGCAATACGTGTCAAAGAACGACTTCTCTTCCATATCTACGACAGAAAAGGGATATGTAGCCGTCGCCTCGAATAAGGGTGATATTCGTCTTTTCGATCGTTTGGGCATTAATGCAAAGACTGTTATTCCAGCACTTGGAGAGCCTATTATTGGTCTTGATGTGTCTGCAGACGGACGCTGGGTACTAGGAACCTGCCGTACATACCTGCTTCTCATTGATGCACTCCAGAAGGATGGCAAAAACAGTGGCAAGCTAGGTTTCGAGAAGCCGTTCGCTGCGGATTCGAAACCTCAACCTCGCCGTCTCGCCTTAACCCCTGAGCATATCGCCCAATTCCATCATGAAACTGGTAAGGGTGTGTCGTTTACACCTGCACGATTCAATACTAGCAAGACAAACGAGGAGTCGTCCATCATCACTGCTACAGGCCCGTACATCATCGATTGGAACCTTGATAAGGTCCTTCGTGGTTCCAAGGCCCCGTATATCATCAAACGCTACGAGGACAACGTCAAAGCAGACGACTTCAAGTTTGGCACTGACCAGAATGTCATTGTCACCCTACCTAACTGGGTGAACATGGTCGGAAAGCAGTCTCTCAAGCGGCCCACGAGAGAAAGCATCGCGGGAGACTTTCAACGGTTGGGTACACCAAGACGAAGCTCGGCACGAATTGGCACACGAGAGAGTGGAAGGTACAAGCTCGGCAAGGAAGACGTAGTCAACTCACCCTTTTAGTCAAATATTCTACGAATGCGTCGACTTGATATCGAGCTATCGCGAATGGCTATGCGAGTTACCTTTATGCCCTCTTTTTCTTTAATTTTCTTTGTTGCGATGAGGTCACAGCTTGTCGTGTTGTAAGCCAGCTTGCGCTCTTCTTACGATACATACCCCCCAGGCGTTCAAGGCAAGGCAAGGAGAGGTGTTGATTCATTCACACGGAGCCAGCCATTTAGGCTTAGGATGAGATACCTGGGTCGTTTTTTCACATGATATTCATGATTTCACCTACTAAGTAGTCTAACCTAGATAGGTACTAGATAGTTAGATAGGAACTTATTCAATCCTCAGCTTATTGCTGCTTAACAGTCCATGATTCAATAGTGCCATCCTATACCAAATACCGAGCCTCGCCTCTTGTCTAATATCTACTCATAGATATTCGAGATATTTTAAGCTTTATGATAGACCGATCCCGTATGCCCGAAATTAGAAGGTATTGCATGCCCACACCGTCTATTGTGATAATACCTATGAACTAGGATTGGCATGTGAACAATTTGAACGCGTTAAGCTTGTAAATGTCTCGCTCTGGGCGATTAACTTATTTATATGAAGTTCCTGCAGCATGTTATCATACCTACAATGACAACTACAACCCAACTACGCATGTAGCATCGAATATCTAACTGATGGAGCGGAATGGATTGCAGATAAATTAGAACCCATCCCACTCAGGATTTCTCACTCTTCTTTCTTTCCGGCTCATGATGTGTGCGTGTGGTTCTAGATAACAAATGGTCTTGGCCACGGCACATGGAAATTAAACTCCTTAGGTAGGTAGATACCTGGGTATAGACAGAAACAAAAAAGAGAAGGAACATATCGGTGTTGGAACGTCTTCAACATAATTTTGGTCAGGATCCAGTCATGCTAACCTAGAAACCTTTTCGTTTCCCGGAACAATTCCAGTCCCAAACGATCGCTCCCGATGGCGTAAAAGATCTGACGGGCCGCATTCAGCCAAAAGTCGCATGGCAGCCAACGTAACAGCCGTACGACGTAGACATCCATCCAACGTAGCTCAAGCAGGTCCATGTACCGAAGTTGGGGGCATGCTAGCTTATTATAGCTATTTATTTTCGGAGAGTAAGTAGAAATCTCACGATGTAGTGTTGAGGTGTAACGCTTTGTCAATATTACTCCCCCCCTTTTTTTCTATCTACCTAGGTTACCTAGGTAGTTAAGGACCCACCTACCCTAGGTAGGTAGCTGCTGGTAAGGCGGGATTTGGAGATAGAGCACACGTTCTGGGACTCGTTGACGTCGATCCTTCTCGTCATGATGCCTCCGTCACATGCTTCACGCGTCTGGCTGCGTGGCTCAATGCAACTACAACTACACGCCCCAAGAATGCTCCGCACGACCGCCGACCTGGTTCGACCAAGTTTCCCCCTTTAGGGTATGGTGACAGGGCCAGGAGCCCGGGTGAATGGTGGCATGTTGCGAGCTTCGATGATCTTCATCTCTTTTGTAAGGGAGCAAGGCGTGCGAAGAGATCTTTTACGATGACTAGATGTAACATTATTACCTAGAGAGTTGTCTACAAATACCGAGGAGGTAGGTAGGTAAAGAAATTAATCAGAGGAAAGCATTTATGTGTCATATTTCCACGTTTTTGTGCTAGGTAGCATGTCTATGTGGGAGTAGCAGATCATTCTCCTCCTCTCTTTAATACCTAATTTTCACGTTCGGTTTTCTTATTGGACTCGCCCAACCCCCCTTTCACGATGGCTATTCTCCCCCCCACAGCGCTCTTGCTCGCAGCGGCGCAGATGATCCTCCCGTTCGTCAGCGGGATCCCCAACTGTCCGTACCCGGGTCCCGTATTCCCGAAGCCCACCAACCTCGCGTCGTCCGAGGTGATGAAGGCCGCAGTCGCAGACCTAACCGCGATCTTCGACGCGCGGGGCACGGACCCAGCCAACAACCCGAACGGCACATCCTGGTCCATCCAGGTGTTCTCTGCCTCGGACGCCGACGACGGCGGAGATCCCGTCTGGAGCCACTACCACACGGCGACGGACCTGCTATCGGCCACCACGCCGGGCGTAAAGAGCGTGGACGGCGACACGGTGTACCGGATCGGTAGCGTCACTAAGATCTTCACCATCCTGACCTTCTTGAGCGAGGCGGGCGATATATACTGGAACACGCCTGTGACGCAGTGGGTGCCTGAGCTCGAGCTGCTGGCGGGGAAGGCCCAGTACGACCCCATCATGAACGTGGACTGGGACCAGATCACGCTGCAGGATCTGGCGAGCCATATGGCGGGTATCGTAAGAGATTGTGAGTATTTCTTTTCATTGCCGTATATATAGTTCGAAAGGGAGGCTCCAAGAACAGAACTGAAGAAACCGAATGAGTTTGGGGGATCATAAGGGGGGGGAAAGAAAAATAAGAGTTCAAGAAAAGAGAACGCTAGGCTAAGACCAAGAAACGAAACCGTTAGATGCTCTTCAGGGGGAATTGACACAGGAGCACAACCAAACTGTCCTGCGAGCCCAGGGATTCCCCTCGGCACCTGGGAACATGACACCAACATGCGGCGAGTTTCTCAAATGTACACGCGCGCGTAAGTCACATACATGTCATACCTACATCAAAGCCCACAAGAGCAATTCTCTAACACGAAGATCAACAGAATTCTTCACCGGCCTAGCGAACGTTCCCCCGTCCTTTCAACCCTCCTGGACGACGGGTTACTCGAACATGGGGTACCAGATCCTCGCGTACGCGCTCGAGGCGATCGCGCAGAAGAAGTTCGGCACGATGCTGCAGCAGAACGTCATCGACAAGCTGGGCCTCAACCGCACCTTCTACCAGAAGCCGGCCGACGACTCGATTGGCATCATCCCGCAGGGCAACGAGGCCGGGTGGTCGTGGAGTATTGGTGAGGGTAGTCCGTAAGTTAACCCCCACCCCCACCCCCCCTTTTCTTTTTCCTTTCAATCTTAATCGTCCCCTGACCCCCCCCTCACACTAATTCATGCTCGCCCTAAACTTATGTTCGCTTCTTCTTCACCTCTTACCCGCTACCCCCCTTCCCTCGGCTAACCAAGCCAAATTAATTGGCGTGGCACAGAACCGGCAACATGTACTCCTCGGCCTCGGACCTGTCGCGCCTGGGCCGCGGCATCCTGCGACACACGCTGCTGCCGGCCGCGCAGACGCGGCGGTGGCTGAAGCCCGTCGGCCTCACCGCCGACATCCACGAGGGCGTCAGCTCGCCGTGGGGCATCCGGCGCATCCCGCTGGCGGACGGCAGCCGCGTCGTCGACGCGTACTCGAAGGCGGGGTCCATAAACCTGTACATGTCCCTGCTGGTCCTGCTGCCCGACTACGACGCGGGCATCTCGGTGCTGCTGGCGGGCGCGTGGCCGGGCAACGCGAACTGGGACATCGCCGACGCCGTCGGCTCCGTGCTGGTCCCGGCGCTGGAGGAGGCGGCGCGCGCGCAGGCCGACGCCACGTACGCGGGCACTTACAGCGACGCCGACGCCAACAACAACAGCACGCTGGTCCTGACGACCGACCGCGCGCGCCCCGGCCTCGGCGTCGAGCGCTGGACGAGCAACGGGACGGACATGATCGCCGTCGCGGTGCGGTACACCCTAAACTACAACGTGACGGCGCCCGCGATCCGGCTGTACCCGACCGGCCTCGAGTCCGAGCCGTCCGCCGAGGACGGGACGCGGAAGGTGGCGTTCAAGGCCGTGGTAGAGAACCTGGACCTGGCGGACCACGCGAACGACATGTTCTCGACGAACTGCGGCACGTGGGTGAGCCAGACGAGCGCGGTGTACGCGGACATGCCGCTGGACCAGTTCGTCTTCACGGTCGATGGGGCAGGGGCAGGGGCAGGGGCAGGGGGGAGGGCGGTCGGCGTGGAGCCGTTGGCGCTGCGGTCGACGTTGGTGAAGAGCTAGCCTAGGTACCTAGCTATCGCAAGATATACCCTATTGTTTATTATTTAGGTACAATACCTACGTGGTAGAGTACTGGCGACCTAGGCACGTGGGCACGTAGGCAGGTATTGATACCTAATTAATAATCCTCTCCACCCCCTTTTTCTTTAAATCGTCCGCTGCCATGGATGGATACCTAGCAAGAATTGTATTTTCTATTTGCGTAGGTAGGTTAGATACTTAGGTTAGTAATACTCGACGTCTCTGACCTTGATTTAGTTGCATCCTATAATCCCGTTCATGTGCCGATGAATCCTGCTTGTCAAATTAATAGCGGATAAGTATAGGGGTCTGGTAGAGCATGATACTTCATCATTAACCTCTTCCTAAGTGAACTATCCTTCACACGCAGATGATAAAACCACAGGGATTGGAAATTGTAGTCATCGTCACCTGAACGAGAAAAGAGAATTGTATAGGCTCATGAAAAATTTATGCACAGGTCTACGAACCGGGATCCGAAAGCTCCATAACCGATACCGACCTACCAACCCCGAACTCCAACCTAAGACTCGTTTGAATCGTATGCATTCACTTTTGTTCATTATTTGCAAATCATGCCCCCTTCTAACAAGAATATTCCCATCGTCAATTCATCACTCCTTATTTCGACAAGCCTAGACCAGCACCAGAGGGGGCTGCAGATCTGGTAGCTTCCTTGACACTTTCGAAAACGCCCGACAACGCACGGCCAACCTCGTTACTGAGCATCGGCCTCGCGTCTGGTCCAACTTTGCTATCAACACCATGGCTGTGGGCGCTGTCGACCTTGGTTAATTCATTAACAAAGCTTTGCCCCCACCACGCCGACGTGTATTTGAAAACGTATCGCTCCAACTTGCGGAAATTGGCCTCGCGCATTTCAGGCGACATGGTGACAGCGTCATGGATCGCGTTCGCTAGCTCTTCCGTGTTCCAGGGGTTCACAATCAAGCTTCCATTCAGGGATTGTGCGGCTCCCGTAAATTCGGAGAGGATCATGACGCCGTGACGATTTTGTTGAGTTGCGATGTATTCGTATGAGACGAGGTTCATTCCATCTCGAGTGGAACTAACAAGACAGACATCCGAGACAGCATACAGAGCGCAAAGCTCGTCGAACTGAACACTTTGGTGCAAAAAGTGGATTGGCATAAACTCCACGGTCCCGAATTTGCCATTAATCCTCCCCACCAGTTCGTTGACGACCGCTCTTAGGTTCTGATATTCTTCAACATCTTGTCTGGAAGGGACGGCCACCTGGACAAGCACAATTTTGCCGATCCACTCTGGGTGCTCAGTAAGAAACACCTCGAGTGCGTGTAACTTCTGAGGAACACCCTTGATATAGTCAAGCCGATCAACACCCACGATCAACTTGACGCCCTCAAACTTGCGGGACAAGCTTGCAATGCGCTCCTGTACCTTTGGCTTTTTCAGACCCTCGACAAACTTGTCTGGGTCAATGCCAATTGGAAATGCCCCGACCGTCACAAATTTTCCTCTATATTCCACACCATTCGGGGTGGTGGGTGCTTCAAGAATGCGCGAGCAGGAACTTAGGAAGTGGCGGGCGTAATCGTAGGTATGGAAGCCGATCAAGTCGCACTGTAGCAGACCTTCGAGTAAGGCTTCGCGAACAGGCAGGATACGGTAGATTTCACTGCTGGGGAATGGCGTATGCAGGAAGAAGCCAATCTTAACGTCCTTTCGGTCGCGTAGCTCATTGCGCAGCATTTCGGGCAAAAGCATCAAATGATAATCATGTACCCAGATCAGGTCGCCGTCTTGGACATCTTTTATAACTGTCTTGGCAAACAGTCTGTTGACCTCCTTGTAGGCAGCCCATGCGTGTTCGTCGAACGTGATCTCGCCAGGATGGTAGTGGAATAAGGGCCAAAGAATGGAATCTGCAATCCCATCATTGCATTAATAAGAGAAATCATTGTGAATGTAGGTATGGATATAGGGGGAAAAAATAAAAAGAAAAGGGGGAAGGAAACGTACTGGAAAATCCATTGTAATGTCTGTCTGCAAGTTCGTCGTCAACGAATATGGGATGGGCGTTATACTGTTCCTTGAGTTGTTGCTTCATGGTTGGGATTTCGGCTTCGGGGATTTCCAAACCTGGCCAACCGTACCACTGGAAACTTGTCGTTTTGCTTAGACCGCTCAGACCAGTAACCAGACCCCCGGAAGACATGGAGAAATCATAACTCCCTTCCTCTTTCCTCTTTATCGTGATAGGAAGTCGGTTGGATATGAGTAGCAACCTACGGTCGCTAGTCGTGGAAGATTCGCTCCCATCGGTAGGTGCCATATTGACTGGTCCGTAGGTAGGTAGGTAGGTAGGTAGGTAGGTAGGTAGGTATGTTGGAAGTTCTGAAATTATTAAGCGGTTTATAAGATTTGCCAGATCTTTGCCAGTCGTAACACTGACGAACAGTGGAACAATAGTGGGTTTTCTGTATTTAGATCCCTTAAGGAAAATATTTTGGTCCGAAAGGTTTGGTTCAAAATACTTAGGTACGCAGGAAGCTAAGGTATCCTTGGGTAAGAGGAGAGGCACAACAAGGCTTGATAATAAGAAGATGGCAAATAGCAATTGTTTGGCTATAGCCGTGGTAGTGTGGCAATATGGTGGTAGTGTGGTAATGTGAAGTCGACTTATGATCTCAAGAATGATGGTCGATACATCCAGGAGAAATAATACCACGGGTGGTGATCAACTGGTATGATTCGCTCGAAGACCACGGTGGTGTTAATTTCACGATGTGAGATTGATTGGTGACAGGAGATGGATGTCAGTTGGTGATATGATTTGATAGGAACAAAGAGGAGGAGAAAGTGTGAACACCTGAAGGTGTGATTAATATTTAATATCCCAGGTACCTACCTACCTATAATGTCACTGTATGTACTGTACAGTTACCTATATGTATCCATGGATATATGTATGTATGTGTTATACCTCAAGGCTACAGTTGCTACATAGTAGTACAGGTATTTAGGTTAGGAGGTTCAATGTTGTTTGAATCGTTCCAGTCAATGTTAATGTTAATGTTAATGTTAATGTTAGGTAATGTTTGTGATGCAATCGAGATGCAAAAGCAGCGAAATCCCTCAAGAGAATTAATTCCTTGCCCCGCTATGCCCCACTATGCGCTGCCCCTCCATTCAGGGCTAAGGGAACTAAGGAGCTTTGGTCCGTTACGCCTTAGCCAACTACGTAATTCTATACCTTTTTTCAGCGGGGCAATGTGGAGATATTCGGGAGCAGGGGAGTCAGTTTAGCTGAAGTTCAAGGTCATTGATGTCTCTTTCAGCAATATTATCGCGCAACTGCATAATATCATGCATGTCTTTAAATGTTGGTTGGAATCACACGTGTAGAAAAGCGGCCCAGGTGGAATGACCTTCTAGATCGGAGCGTTTGACCTTGTCTCCACCTTAAACCCTGCTTAAGCCCTGTAAACACCCACTTAGTTAGATTACCCATACAAATTGTGTGCTGATCATATCTTAAAGTATGAGTATCCTAGGTAATTACATATACGGCGTAGTACTGTACCTATTATTGCTATCGGGCCCTAAAACCTTAAATCTAGAGCCTTCTCGGGCCGTAAAACGCCGGTTTCGAATTGATATTTAGATTAATAAGCCGGTTATTTGGATGGCACGTGATCACCCTTAAGGCCAACATACAATCGCTTAACGTCTTAATTATTTAATATCTAACCTAAACGTTTAAAACATATAGCTATAATAATGCAACCGGTATCAATTAAAAGAGAATTTAATTATTAATTAAATGATATAAGTCAAATATGAATGCGATACTTGGTTGCAAAGTTATTTAGATATATATATCGTGAGATATTATGTAACAATTGATCATGTGACATCTTATCATGAGACAACTTATCATGTGACACCCTTAGGCGATCGTGTGCAGGCTCTTAGGGTGGCTTCAAGGGTGATCACGTGCGCCCGCCCTCCCAGCTAGCTTATTTACTTGAATAACTTTACGACCAGATATCTCACCAATTGGAGACCGGTATCAATCGATTCGTAATTCAATGCGCTTTCAATTGATACCGGTTGCACTTATATAGCTATATATTTGAAGAACGTATTTAAGATAAAAGAATTAATTCAAAAGGTTTGATGTACGTAATACAGTGTATATAACCATTCATAATTCATATTTTAAGATATGATCGCCATACAATTTGCTTGGGTAATCTAACTAAGTGGGTTTTTACAGGGTTTAAGATGGAGACAAGGTCAAACGCTCCGATCTAGAAGGTCATTCCACCTGGGCCGTAGAAAAGTACTACTAGTACTACTAGTACTAGCCTATGTACATATGTAGGTAAAAACACAGAGAGATAAAAAGGGCCCTAATTTAATCTGTCGCAAGAAGAACAAGAAATGCAGGACCAATGTACGTGTATATCACCTACATACCTAGGTATGTAATATTATACCTTGTCTTAGAAGGCGATGGAATCAGTATTTAGGTCTAGATGGGTCTCTGGCTTAAGCCATGATAGCTCTTGTCGATCAAGGAACATTAAATCCCAAATCTACCTACTTACATATTAGGTACATATCTGTCTCAGCTGCACATTTGATAGGTATTGGTAACGGTAAGATCTTCGACTATATATGTAGTAGTTCTAACGCAATTAGAATCTTACATGTGATATACACATATAGTAGATGCATTATACATACTACCTACCTAGTTACATGTATCTAGGTAGACACTCATACGCATCTATCAAGGGCCTACTAGATTAGGTATGTATGGCTCTAGCCAGGTCTTATTCTTCTCGAAGCTACTAGTAGATATATAGGTACACTATTTGTTACCCGACGACTTTGGACATCCAATGTTCGATTCGGCCCTTAAATACACGAGGTAAGAGTGGTGACGGGCATGTATTAAAAAGGTACATACCTAACTTAGACGTTCTCACAGACCTCCATGCCATGTAGTTAATGCGTGCTATGTAATACGAACCATCTGAGGCATCTAGTATCCGGACCTAATGTTCCGTACCTAGTAGGACCGTCTTAACACACAGGTTTGTCAGATCAAAGTCATGTGATTCAAAGGACCAAAGCTTACATGTGTAGTACTTATAGTAGTTACCTAACCAAGGTAGGTACATGATAATTTATCTTTCTACAATACGTATCTCATCACATTCAAGCCACCAATTCCTTGCATGACAGAGGGTGTGATTTAGAGACCTACGTGTAGCAGACGTAACACAAAGCAGATATACACACGCGTGCTCTTTCGATTCGTTCATACGATCATCTTGAAGCTAACAAAATGCAGCCTCACCTATAAACTGTCCTAACAATGTAACCTGGGCGCAGCCTATAAGCAAGTTCAAGACTTGGAGAAGCCTTTACTGAACCTTATTGTTAAGCACAAAAGTATGGACGTTTAATGGATAGGTAGGTAGGTAGGTAGGTAGATAGGTAGGTACATATGTAACTAGGTATTTGTATGGCTCTGTGAGGGGCTGAATATATGTGGATGTCTATCTGCCCAGATACCAGATATTAGGTACATGTATAAAAAGGTAGATGCTTCACGCGAATTTCATTGCCTGATACCCTAAATGATGCCACCTTGTTCGTATCCCGGGAAATGTGTTCACAATGAATCAAACAGAAAGAAGGGCGAAAGCACGCATGCTCGTGCAAAGGATCGCTTGTGAGCATGGCTACCTTGGCGAGGAAGTCTACGCAAGGATGCCTACAGACATACGCTGCATGGTGGAGGAGGCACTGAAAAAGAAGGATCGTATGATTGGAAAAAGCGTTGTAACGTATGTGAGCGTTTTTTATAACGCTTGTTCTTTATTTCTAATTGCTAACGTTCAACAAGCTTGGCCAAAAATCTTTACTCGAAAGATGTTAGATTCCTCTTCGAGTTACTCCAAAACGCCGATGACAACAAATTCCTTGATGCCACATCTTCAGGCGCTGTACCTTACGTGTCTTTCAACATTCATCAAGATCGTATTATTGTTGAATGTAACGAGGATGGGTTCACTGAGACTAATATTCAAGCAATATGTGCCGTCGGCGAAAGCTCCAAGACTGGTGCCCAAGGCTACATTGGCGAAAAGGGCATTGGCTTCAAGTCAGTGTTTAAGGTAGCTTGGAAAGTCCATATTCAGTCTGGTGACTATTCCTTTACTTTCACGCATCGAAAAGGGGACTCGGGGATGGGAATGATCTCTCCAGAGTGGCTAGACACGAATGAAGCACTAGCAAAGCCCCTAACAAGAACGACCCTTTTTTTGCACGATGAGGGAAACCTTTCACAGCGCCAGAACATCCTAGCCGAATTAGATGATCTTCGGCCTACAATGCTCTTGTTCTTGAACAACCTGAAAATAATTGAGGTACACGTGTACGACGAAGATGGAAACGAGACTTGGTCATCTATTTTGACGAAAAAACCATTCTCTGGAGGGTTCAATGTACTCGAGAAGACCCACACTGAGAAGGATAAGACTACATGTATAGAACAGATGTATCATGTGGTAGAAACGGTTGCATCAAACCTTCCTCCAAATGAGAACAGGGAGTACACAGCCCAGGAGGAATCTTCGAGAGCGTACAGCAAGGCCAAAGTGATACTGGCATTTCCACTTTCCAAAGGATTAGAACCAGTCATGGAATCGCAGGAGTTGTTTGCGTTCTTACCCGTCTGTCGAGTTGGATTCAATGTAAGTCCCTGTTTGACCCATGCTATCTGGAGAGACCAAGGCCTAACCATCGTGATAGTTTATCATCCACAGTGACTTCTGTACCCAGGCAAATAGAGAAAATATCGTAACGACATCCCCCCGAAATATTCGCCTCTTAGACGCATTAGCAGATGCGTTCATTGTTTCGATGAGGGGGTTGTGTCAATTTGATAGTCTACGGTTTAAGTGGATGAGATATCTTCCGAAATTGGTTGATGATTCAAGGGATCCATTCTGGAAAATACTCGTTGATAAGATCAAAGTCGGTATTTCCGAGGAAGAACTACTCATTCTGGACGATGGCTCGACTTTACGACGAATAGCACAGGTGAAACAACTCAGGAGAAAGCACCGTGACAAAGAAGGCAACCCTTTATTTGCGGATCTCGATGAAGCCTGCTATATCTCCCCTTCTTACCAACCTTCTGATCTTGCCATCCTCAAAGACTACGGACTTGCCTATCTTTCACAGGATATGCTTCTTGACAGAGTCAAAAAAGACTTATATTGTAGTAACTCTAGGTACAAGTCTCCTTGGTCTAACGATGACTGGCACAAACGTGTATCGAGGTTACTAATACCCCCAATTGAAACGCCAACGTTATGTCGTATATTCTTGGAAAGAACTATATTTCTAGAACTCGTTCCCTTAACCGATGGGCAATGGGTTAGTGCGGCTAATGTAGATGTACACTTTTCATCTACATGGGATTCTTTCCCAATTCCTGGAGACCTCGGTTATCGTCTAGTCAGCCCCCTAGCAGAGATGCTGCAAGCCCGGCAGAACCTATTCACACACCTTGGAGTCCATACTGCCTTGGCGAAAGACGTCAGCGACAAGATCTTTGACAAAAACTCAAACTCAGAGAAAATAGACTTCCAGATCTCGTTGTCACATCTCAGATTTCTCTATATGGCCCACAGCGAGGGTGAGCCTCAATATAATTCAATGATGCTATGTGACACCAATGGGCAATCATATCGACAGACATCCAATCGGTTCTACAACCTGGGATTCCTATGGAAACTAGTGAAGAAGGCACGGACAGTTCCGGATTGGGATAATGTTCATTTCTTGAACGAAGGATACTTCACAGATCCCCCAAATAAACCGATCCTAAAGGCCCAAAACCACCCAACGTGGGAAGACTGGCTACGGGAAGCTATGTGTGTACACGAGTACTCGCCGCTCATTGATGAATGGACAGATGGTTCTGAAAATCTTTGGAAACTTTCTGAAGAATGCCAATTTGTGGCTGAGCATCTCCCTTCTGACCTGCTAAACTTCCTCGAATATAATTGGGGTCGAAAGTCACAGATCACAACCGACGAAGAAAGGCAATGTTTAGGAAATCTGGATGTACGTTGTCGAGGCGGCGAATCTAGAGCTCTTTCAAGCACATACCTTCCCCTTCCTATACTACTAGCCAAGCGGGACGAATTCATGCGACAAGGAGAGTTCTTTCCTTTTCTCGACATCGATGGCAATCTGGGTGAAATATCAAAATGGAGCTTTTTGCAAACACTTGGAGTAGGAGGTCATGCCGACCTTCGCTTCTACCTTCACATCCTGAGTGGGATCCAAGCAAAGAATTTTGGTGGCATCTATGAGCCTTCCCGTGTCATACATCTATACCTACGGATACATGAAGAGTCTTCGCATTCCAGCAACATCGGCCTACGAAAAGCAAGACGAACTACGGTATAGTAAGTATATACCGACCTAGCCTATCAATATTTATAGCCCTACCATGTTAATGATTGACATAGTGACTTCTTCAAAGATGAAAGTGGTGTGTTCATACCTTTCTCGGAGACGAGGAACTGTAGCTGGGTTTCACCGACTAGTTGTGTACTCGATGGTCCGGTTGATATGCGCATTTCTCACCCTATCCTCTCGATATATCGTGATTCCTTTCCAACCTTGGATCTCGATTTCGCTCAGCTCAAGAAATTCTTCAGTGTTACTTTGAAGGTCCCTAATTGTTCTAATTCGAATATTGTGGCCGAACTCGAAAACATGAGCCGAGAAAATTGTCAGGAATTTGATCGAATCCTCAATATGTATAGATATCTTAAGGGGCAAAACGCTTCCAGCAAAAACAGTACGAAACTGAAGTATAAAGCCTTTTAAATTGAAAAGCTATCTTTGAACCTAACACAATATGCTAACAATATGATAGAGAATCCTTCGAGCAAGGTGCTCTGACTTTCGTGGGAACAGACTTGCATAAGGGCTGGTATAAGCCATCTCAGTGTCTCTGGTCTAGTTCAACAGCGATTCGAGGCAGAGTGAACCTGAGAAGCGTGTATGAAAGCAATATGGAGAACTTCTTTGTCAACACCATTGGAGTGAGCCGGCTCGATGCCAATGTTGTTTATCAGGACTTGCTGGAATTAAATCCAAGGGAGGCTGCCGTAGACGACGTCAAAGATCTTCTTCGTACAATGAGCTCTCAGATTGAAATCAAAAGCCCGGAATCTTCAGCTGCGGAATTATTCCAACGCCCCATTCTACCGGTCAGAGATGTTAATGGCCGAGTTACCCTCCGGTCATCAGACACCGATTTTGTGATTATTGACCGCAAGAGGCTTGGCGATATCTTTCACGATAGCGTCAAAATGCTCGATTTCAGCTTCAGTGAAGTCTGCCACCTACACCCTCTCATAAGATGGGCCGCACTTGAGGACCGGTATATATCACGACTGGTCAAAGAGACCTCAGTTCTAGAATTAGGTGCCAGAACCCACATCTCAGATCCGAGGCAAGATATTAAGAAGAAAGCATATAGTCTATTCCGGTATGGCTACCAACCTCAACCTTACCTCAATGCAGAACACTGCTTAGCTTCGTCCTGCTAACAAGTTTTTATGCAGAATCGCAGTTCATTACAAGAGCCCTCGAGTAGAGGGGGATGGCAGGGAGTTCTACCACTTTCTTCGGGCCATCAAAACCTGGGAGGTTAATAGAATATCGACGACTCTTGTGCTTTCGGCCAATGGAGAAGAAGTAACTAAAGAGGTTAGCACCGGTGAAGTTCACATCGATGATACTAACGGCTTGGACATTTATGTCCCGCATGACGAAACCTTACGATATACCTCGTATCTTTCCACTCTCCCGAAACGCCTCGCAAAGTGGATCATGACTGGTCCTACACCAAGTGTCTCTGATCATTTTGATGAAACTGCTGGAAGACACATCCAGGGCGTTTTATCTGCCAATTCGTCAGCTGTTGAAGATCATCTGCTGTCAAACGAAGGCATAATTGAAGTCTCTATACCACGAGAAACAGAAGAAGACGTCTCTACCTACCAAGTGGTAACAGAAGAATATAACAATGACGATGTATTCAATGATGCAGATTCCTCCTGGTCAAACCTGGTGGGATCCTCTACTACTATAGGAAGAGCAACCCGGCTATACAAGAAGCTTTTAATACAGGTCGCGTCAGCCGCAAAAAGGAGCCGCATTCTTGCTGACACCCTTGACCTTTCAACCCTTTCTGAAGCATTGTCTAGCGAGGATTCCACTGATAGCGAAACCTTTGGCGAATTCAATCTCTTCCGTCCCAATACAGAGATGGAACGGAATAGGAGAGTTGGAGCCGCGGGCGAGCTCTTTGTAAGTCATTTATCTAGGTACCTATGTGCCGATGAAAATCATTTGGCCAACATGAAAGCTTACATGACGTCCAGGTGTTTGTGATTCTCAGCTACATGAACCCACGTCTCCGTCGCTTCGACCGGGACAACTGGACGAGCACCATCCGAGGTTATGCGACGAGCCATCCCGATTTTGCGGACATGGGAACCTGGCTAGGAATCGAGACTTCGGACCTTGAGTACGAAGACGTGGACGGCACACTGACAGAAGCGCTCGTGAACAAGGCGTACCTGCCGAGTAGCTGGAGCAATCGCCGCCCACACTACTACATTGAAGTCAAGACGACTTCCGGCACCTGGGACACGCCCTTCTATATGAGCCACGGCCAGCACGCCTCCATTCAGCGCCTTTCTACGGAGAACTCGGTATACGTCATCTTCCGCGTCTTCAATCTGTATACCCCCAATATCGGCGTCAATATCTATGTGGACCCCGCTCGTCTGGCCAGAGAAGGGCGCTTGAACTTCTCGGCTGACTCGTGGACTGTGACTCCCCTTGCCAAGTCATGAAGCATTACTGAAGATATTGCAGGAGGATGGTAAGTATATTATCATAGGTTACTAAGGTACGGGAGGGGCTTTTCCTAAACTAGGCACCTGGCAGAGACAGCTTAATGTAGGCAGAGGCTTAGGCACTGCATGATATTCCGAGATATTCCCTACTAGGTAGGCATTGAGTTAAATTTGACAATTCATTCATTTCTTCATACTTCATTAAACCACTTCGCCTTATACCTATCTACCCAGGTAGGTACATATATGTATAAGCGAAAATGCCTCCCGGCAATATCTAGTAACCCAGTATAGTGTTCGCCAGCGAAACCACGTTCCTCGCCCCATCGCTATCGGTCGCGGCCGGGACCAGCCTCTCAAACCCGAACGCTCGCAGCCCTTCGTCGGCGCTATTCGAGCGAAGGAACGACTCCGTTGGTCGGTTCACGTGGTGAGACTCGCCCTGCCCGCCGGGGAAATCCGGGCCAGGGGTTCCGTTTAGGAAGGCATGCTTCTGGCGGAGGACATATTTGGCGTTTGATTCTGTGACGGGACATACGGGGATGTACAGCACGCTGGAATCGGCGGTGCCGGTATGCACCTTGTCGACGGAGTGTATAGCTGGTTGAAATCCGTTAGCTCTTCATTCAATACTAGGCAAACCAGGGCTACTTACTATCACAATGCCACACCACATAATCGCCCGGCTTTATGCGTGGAACATGTACCATGGTATGTTCGAGATCCAGATGCGGGTGAAGAACCGCACTCAGCTCCTGTCCATGGCCAGGGGTAGCTCCCTGCAAGTCACTCGTCATCTCGGAGCCAGCAAACTGCCAGTTCTCAGCTGCGAGATACCCTTCCGACGACGTCTGACCGACGTCCCTGATGGGGCGGAAGAACGGGCGAAGCAGCACGTACGCCGTTGAGAGCTTGACCGCGGGGTTCACCATCAGCGTTCCCTCAAACGGGTTCGTGGTGCTCATGCTCAGCCAGCCTTGGAACATGCGGAACATGGAGCAGGCGCCCAGGCCGTTGTAGTTGTCGATGACGGCGGGCACCCGCGTGCTGGCGTCCCACGGGTCGTAGTCTTCCCACGTCCCCTGGAATATCTTGTCGTAGACCCCGCCGCGCCCGTAGCCGTGCAGCTCCCACCTCTCCACGCTGCCTCCATCGATGTGGGGTCCTAGTGCAAAAGTGGCGTCGCCGGGCTGTCTGATGCGGAGCCGGTCGGCATACGCCAGGGGCTGCGATGTGGATATGGCACTGTTGGGATCGGACGTGTGCCATAAGTTCATAAAGGCCCTTTGGACGCGCAGCAGGTTCGAGTGAGCCCTGGCGCGGAGTTGAGGCGCAGACCAGTATAACTCGTAGACCTGCGGGTTGTCGGGCGGGAACGCTTGTTCTCAAGTTAGCAGATAAGATATACGTAGAGATATATATGTGTAAGCTTCACGTGGGCATCTCTCCTGTCGTCACCTCACCTTTTGTGTGAGGATTCTGCCTCACATACTCCTCAATCTCGCTCTTAAATGAACGGGCTTCCTCTTCGGGAAGCACGCCCCTAATAACAGCAACACCCCTTTTCTTCACTTCGTCGCCGAGCCGGTTCAGATCGGTGTCGAAGTCCTGGTAGTCGAGGCTAGGAACAACGCGAGGTCCTTCTCTAGCGATCGTTTGGTTCTCACGCTTGAGCTCCGCAAGAAGCCTGTTCCAGCTCTTCACCACGCGGTCTTCGTGGCCACCCACCAGGGTCCTTTTGAGCTCAAGAAATCGCTGGGGGAGAGGCGTGGTTGGGCCTCCGGATAGAGATACGAACGCATCAGCAATGTTTCCTTCCCTTTTCGTCTGGGTCTGGGTTGCGGCCATCATGACCGACCGTGCCTGGAAGGCAGTGGTCGGTAGATGTCGAGAGAGAGCACGCATCTTGGGACTGGGCGTAGTCGGTCAAGGCCAAGATAGTAACTAGTCGCTGAAGGTAGACATATAAGACATATATGATGCGGTTACCAACATAACCAACTAACCTAGGCAATTGCGTACCTAGGTAGGAATATATATAAGATGGAGATGCGAGGAGACCGGCATCGACTTACACTTACACGTTACTATGAGTTACGGAACTACCCATTTAGGTTTCTGCGTAGTAGTAGATCAAGGCAGCTTTTCGGTCTTTCATCATACAATGTTCACGGTCATATTTACTTCTAAGCGCATATTGGATAGGTACTAGGTAAGTGCCTACATAGTGCCTAGTTGCCATGTGAGCGTTTAGGGGGGGTCAGGGGGTTTGAAATCCGGGGCTACGAAGTACATAAAGTGGGGTATGTCGAGGGATCCACCTTGGGGTCTCCGATGCGGAATTACTGTTTTCAGTTTGACCGACTTCTTTCACCTCATTTCACCTCATTTCACCTCTTTTCAACCTTCTTCAGCTCCCCTTCTACTTTTGTCTCTTTTAGTCTTCTACGTCTCTTGACGCGTGATGTGTGTGGGTATAGTTCGTCGGTTGCTCTCGGACTACTAATAACTTAGTACTAAGTAGGCAGTCCCTCCTCCGACTTCAGAGCTTTGTAATCAATACTCCGTGTTTATGTGAATGTTTTCGGAACTTCATCGTTCACACTACCTAAACACCTTACCATCTTTACGTGTGCCGATCTATTACATTGCCTATGTAGGTTCTCATCGGAGACTCCCGAATATCTTTATTCTTCCGCAATTCTCCGCTTCGTCGGAAGATGCTGTGGCACAGGCTTCGGCTTCCCAGTATCCTCTAAGTAGGATTCGAACCGATCTGTCGGAGTTAACGTTTCTAGGGTTTAGCCGCCAGTTATGGTCAGGTTTGTAGAATCCGACTCAACGGGCTTGCCCCTGAAGAGGAAGCAGGTTGCGCAGGCCTGTGCGAGATGTCGGCGAAGGAAGAAGAGATGTTCCCATAACTTGGATGGCCGTACCAATCTCAACGAGCCTCCTATTCACAGCACGCCTAATTCTATACCTAGAGCAACCGAGGCGGCACCTCAAGCACCTCAGGCTTCGCCTAATCCCCAAGCTCTTCCGCAGCTCGACAATCTCCCGGAAAGAAGCGACTCCCGAAGCGCGTCCAGATTTGTTGGCTATCTGAGTCCCGAAGCTATTCTCATGGAAGCCACCAGCTTATGCGCACAGCGTGATTTGTCTGTCGGGGGTGGCCTTGGGATATGGAAATCCAGAGCTCCTGATTTGGCTAATTCGAATAGCCCCGGTCCCCTAACATCTCCCCCTCGACACATCTTACAAAATATGCTCAAGGCATATGTATGGAGCCACTGTGTTGTCTGCTGTCCTTCACCGTCAGATTATGCCGTGCTCCTTCGTATATATCTCGAGAAGCTAGACCCCATTTTCCCTATCCTCAACTGTCACCTGACAAATACCTCTCGGGACGAGATAGGGGAGAAGGTATTACAGCAGATTGTCAGCCTTGCCGCTGCCGCTGACCCAGAGGCTACTCGCCATCTTCGTCTAACCCCCGACGGTCCTCTGCTCTCTCGCCATGACTTTAGCAGTTCCCTATCAAATTCCATTCAAACGATTATCGATGCTGGACTTATTACGGATCGGGTCTTCTTAACTCGCATACTAGCTGCTTTGTCACTATACATGCAGCCGAGTAGTCCAGAGGAAGCCGATGTTCCGGCATTCCTGAATAGTCATGCAGTTCACCAAATGCACACCTTGGGACTGCAGATGGCTGCGGAAGACAGTGATTCGAATACTCGCACCCTATTTTGTTCAGTTTGGGCGTTAGACCGCCTCAACAGTGCCTTCTATGGCCGGGCCTGCCTGATCCATGAAAGGGACGTAGGATGGAATATCGATGATTGCATTTCCAGACAGTCACCCCCTTTTCGGCTATTGCTGATGATCATCGGTCTCCTCGATAAAGTCATCGGCTTGTACCGCCCCGGAAACAGACAGGAGAAGGATTTTATCACCGAGCTGCCAATCTTTGAGCAGATGATTATAGATGCGGGAGCAGCTCGAATATCCAACCCATGTTTAGGTATGTACATACCCAGTTAGCATCCGATCTACGTGGGTTAGAAGGGAAGAGTGTTGATGGTTTTTAGCCTCTCTTGAAATATTCTACCACTCAGTCGCCATACTCTCAAGCCAGTCGCCGTCCGAGAACCGGTCCACAGCTCTTCCAGCCCCGTCCACAAATAGCCGTCGATCGTTGGCAGCCGATCGAATTACTCTAATCGTGGGGCATGAGTTTGCTGGGCAGTTATCCTATCTACCCATCATCCCTTACGGCGTCTGCTTGTCGCTTAGCGTCTCATACCGCAAGATGCGCTATAGTAACATCCCGATGTTTAGGAACAGAGGCAAACAAGCCTTTATAGCGAACACTTCGCTGCTGAAATCGCTAGGCGATACGTTCTGGACAGCAAAAGCTATGGTGGCCATGGCCGAACAAGTTATTCAAGAAATGGACAAGGCCGTCGCATCGATAACGCAAGAAAATGGGCTTGCGCATGCTTCCAGAAAAGACAAGCCTCCGCCACAATCAGACAGCGAACCGCCTGCCTCCGGAACGGATGGTAGTGAAACTGTTGACTGTGTCGTCCAGGGAAATCCCGATCTATCAATCCTCGACACCGTCCCTGATCTAGATGTTTTTGGCTATTTCGACCCGACTTTCAACCTGGATGCCGTAGATGCTGCTTTGGAGGGCAATCTCGATTTCGGAACTTCCTCAAATTGGTTCGACTGGCAACAGTTATGGGGATAAGTTCACCGACGTATTTAGATGAATGGCTGCTTAGTCGATTTTGCAGCGAACAAAATGAGTTGCCCTCATCTGTATGTCTATCTCAGGCAGCAAATCCACATGGATATTGTCCGAGGTATGTTCACCTACCTAATACACACACTATACATATTTGCCCCTATCCGCATCTACTTATTTCTAATTGTTCTTCTAGACTCATCTTTTATCGTAATGCTATTACAAGCTAAATACGCGGAGAGAACTCCCCTTGACTTAATTAGCTACTTAAACGCTTGCCTAGCATCAGTCGAAGTCATGGAGCAAGGAACTAACTGAATTGAGGGTTATGCATATCCTCGAACTTATAAGATGATACCAAGCGTACACCTCTGAAGAGTCCATATTCCTTTACATCTGAACCTACCATTTCAACCTTTAAACTTTAAGGTCTATCTCGTATTCGTACGCAGTAGGTAGACAAGAATACAACAAACCCCGCATGGCTCCACGCCCCTTTAAGCAGTTTGCCACCGTCGTGCGGATCCAATACATTTATCTCCTAACGTATATCTTACGTAGTGGCCTATTCAACTACAGCTATATACGGTACTTGGCTTAAACTAACGAGTTGGGTATCAACATACTTACATACATCATGCCGGCCCGCCCACCTTTTACCATACCTAACTACCTCCTTACCTAAGTATGTAACCTAATAAACTTCATACGGTTTTCTTACGATAGGGGCTGGTCTGTATTTCCATCTGTAACCACGTGCACTCAGTCCCCAATAATTCTACCAGCACGTACCCCCTTTTGAAGCAGTTCCCCGGCTTAGGTAAGCCAATACGCAACCATGGCAGCGCCGACGACTATCATGATGAGCCTCCCCCAAATCGCCAAAATGATCGACCACTCCTTACTGCACCCAACCCTGACGGATAGGGAGATCCACGCCGGTCTCGAGATAGCCAAACGATACAAAGTCGCGGCCGCCTGCGTGAAGCCGTACAGCGTGCCCGTAGCCATGGACGTGCTAGCCGACTCCGGCGTGCTCATCTGCGCGGTCGTCGGCTTCCCGCACGGGAACAGCACGACCGCCATCAAGATCCTCGAGGCCGAGGAGGCCGTCAAAGCGGGCGCGCAGGAGATCGACATGGTGGTCAACGTGGGCAAGGTGCTGGGTGGCGACTGGGAGTACGCGACGAACGAGATACGCGCGGTCAACGACGTGGTCGCGAAGCAGCACGGCGCGGCGCTCAAGGTCATCTTCGAGAACGACTTCCTGCACGACGAGCACATCGTCCACCTCTGCCGCATCTGCACCTCGCTGCCCGTCGCCTTCATCAAAACGTCCACGGGCTTCGGGTTTGTCAAGCAGCAGCCCAGCGGCCTGTACGCGTCCAGGGGTGCCACGGCGCCGCATCTAAAGCTGATGATGGCGAATGTGGGGCCCAATGTCCAGGTCAAGGCCGCTGGTGGGATTAGGTCGCTGGAGGCGGTTATGGTGGCGATGTCGCTGGGGGTCTCGAGGATCGGCACGTCGTCTACGGTGGCGATCATGCAGGAGGCGGCTTTGAGGGGCGTGGAGAATACGCCGAAGGAGTTTGCGTTGATGTCGACGGAAAAATTGAAGGGGGTAAAATAAATGCGACTTGCTATCTTACCTATCTGGCCCCCCCTATTTAGGTCTTATTCGAAATGTTGCACCACAAGCGCATGAGTTTCCATAGGTCACAAGAAGTCTGCTATCAAATCCATGAACCGTGCCTATTTTATTTTAAATCTTCTATTCCCGCAACAATGCTACCCAGCTTCCGACAATGACCTCGATCCGCACACACATCCCCTCTTCTTCCTCTCCCCTTTTTCATATCTACTTCTTTGCCCCTTCAAGTAAACGGGGTACCTGTATACACGTTCCCCCCCCCCCCAACCCCATTCCTTTAAGCAAAGTTCCAGCCTGCAATATAGTGGGTGAGGTAGTCAGCCTTGCCCACGGGCACACCTTCCTTCCTCAAGATGTCGTACAGAGTGGTGACGTGGAAGTAGATGGTTGGGAGCAAGTAGAAGTACGCATCTGTAGCAGGTGAAAAAGAAAGAAGGGAATGGTTAGCGACTGAGAACAAATCATTGGGTATATACTTAAGATTAAGGTGGGTTATGTATGTGCGGCCTGCGCGATTCTGAGGCAAGGCACTTTGGATGATGATGATGATGATATTGGGGGTGGGGCGGGAGGGGGGTATGGTTCAACGTACTAGAGGAAGTGTTAGCATGTGTATATTCGCCGATTGAAAGTTCAAAATAACAACAATAAACCACATAGAGTCAAAAAGACCAAAAAGAAAAAAGACAAAAAAAAAAGGGGGGGGGGGGGGGGGGGGAGGAGAAAAGAAAACATACCAGTCCTTCGCCGACACATCCGCGCTCTTCTCATACATCGACACCTGCACGACCTCCTCCTCCTTCCCATCGACGTGCTCGGGGAGCACCTTCCGCAGCGCCTCCAGCGTCTCCTCCAGCTGGGCGCGGCTCTCCTCGACGGAGTACTCCTTGTACTCGAGGGCGGCGACGAGGTCGTCGCGGGTGGTCAGCAGCTGGATGCCCTTGCGCGCGAACAGCACCGTGATGGTGACCTGCGCCGACAGCGGCAGCATGTCGTCGACGAGGCGCGCGGAGAAGAGCGAGGAGAAGGGGGTCCCCTTCGCCTTGGCGTGGGCCTCGGCCTTGTCGAGGAGGGTCGATGTGGTTTGCAGGGACTTGATCAGCACGGGGATTACGGTGGCGTGGAAGGAGACCATGGTTGCGGTTGTTGATGGGTGTGGATGGGTAAGTGTAAGTGTAAGTTTGTGTGTAAGTGTTAGTGCAAGTTTGGATAGATTGATAGGTCTTATAAGAGCTATGTAATTGTCGATGAGTCGCAAGTTTAGATATTTTTTCTTCAGCCAAGGTCTATCCATCCTACCTACTACTTATACATCCAGAGCCCCCCCCCCCTCCCCATATGATCTACGCGATCGTGACAAATCCATGATGACCCTATTCGGGGGCATTCTGTCCTGCAAGGTACCTAGGTAATAGGTACCTATCATATCATTAACCTAACCTTACATATGTACCCTTTCCATCCCACCTTAACCTATCATCAAGCTCCACATTTCCCCTGCCTGCCTGCCTGCCTGCCTACCTTACACTAGGTTACACTACTTAACCTGCCTAGCATAGAAAGCAACTACCTTTCTACGCTTTTCTCCCAATCAACCCATTACCAATGATGATCCAAAGACGGAGCAAAAGCAATCCGGCTAGCGGGCCCAGAATCATCGGTAATGCGGCCAACCAAAAAAAAAAGAAAAAAAAAAAAAAGTTAATGATGGCGGTGTCGATATTACGTATGTACCTATCCTATTTCTAAGCTAAAGCTTACTAATCTACCCGCCCCCAGCTCTCTCCGTTTTCTACACTAACTAGATAAAAATCTCCTATTCGCCAATCTGGGGTAAAAAATTGTCTCAAATCATTTTACACTACTGTTACATATGATAGGGTAGGTACCTAGGTATGTACGTACCGAGGCGTTTTACATCTTGGTCGCCATTGATGAGCCCCCTTAATTAAGATCTACTTATATCTAGGTTACATGGAACGCTTAATAATACGATATGTAGATAGAAGCTTCCAAAGGTTACATGTATGGTAGTGGACAACAAATGGAAAGGAAAAGGCCATTTATTTAGATTTTCTTTTTTCTTTTTCTTTTTCTTTCTTTTTTTCTATTTTGCTATAGAAAATCTCTATAAGCAGTAGTTAATACCTAAATGAAATATGTAAAGCAAGATGAACAACTGTAAACAGGAAAAACGCTATCATCCATATGTACCTAGTACTCCATCCTTCCGCGTAAGGTATTGTAATTTGTACCATTTCATTTTCAATCGCCGAGATGTGCCTAGCCATGCCCGTCCATATCTCACTATTATACACCAGCCAACCTCATTTTCCTCCATGGTAATATGTACCCGGGATATGGATTTCTGAAAGGAGAGTTTTTTTAAGATCGCGGCTGATTAATTGGCCCGCATCTTATTCTTAGTCTTTTGTGACCCAGAGCCAGGTAACAGGCTTCTCTCTGGGGCGACCAGTGCGAGTGCGGTCCCAGCCTAAGCTTTTCAAGCTCTTGCCCATCATATCCGCATCGTCCCCGGTGAATGTGGTACCCTTGTACCACTTGCCGTTTCCACCTTGAACCACTTCCGTGATTCTGTTCTTTCGGGGGTCGGCGTTCTGGGCCCCAAAACCCGTCATCAAGTCCGCAAGCGTTACCTTGACTGGAACCTGGTATGCGTTGAAGTCGAACGACGAGCTTGAAGGAAGTCTCCAGGGCGCAGTCGCCGACTTGATCACGTGGATCTTTGTGTGCTCGTCGTGGAAGAAGAAGTAGTTATAGCCGGGCTCGCAGTTAAAGCCGCCCGTCGAGTTGCTGAAGTTCAAAGCCGGCGTGTCGGCACTGACAACAGGATGGGCGGTAGGGAATCGAGCCGGCTGGCCAGGGAATGTAGGGACTGGGTGGTTAAACCCGTTCTGGGGGACCACATAGGTTGGGCCCTGGCTGATGGGTCCGGGGAAAGTGAAGGGGCCCCTGTTCATGGGGTAGCCGGGCGGCGGCGGCACTCCAGCAGGTAGAGCAGTGTTTACAGCCGGTCGGGCATTAGGGCTCTGGTCCACGCCGTAGCGCGGGTTCCAGCCGTTACCGAATGGCTGAGCAGACATTGTTGGGCGATATATATGGTTAGCGTGTGGATATGTTCGGTGTGTAGGGAAGCTTCCAGTGGCTTCCGTGTGTCGATCTGTGCTATAGCTTTCGGAACTATCTAAATCGTTATTGTCTTGCACTTCGCTATCGGTTTCGTAGAAAGTGTCGTGCTCCGATCCTGTACTATCACTGTCGTAGTAATAGCTATCGCTGTCCTCGGTACTCTCAGTTCGTGTAGTAGTATCTTGTTAAACACAAAAGTTAGCAATGTGGAACGAAGAAGCGAAAATGATAATTTACTCCTAGCAGAAGGGAAGAATAGCTGAGAGCAAATTTTTAATGGTCAGTGCTTCTAAAAGGACATAGTAACTTACCAGGCGCGTTGGCGGGATCCGATAGCCTGTTACCGTGGTGACTGATAAATACTTCTATGTTCCAGAGTTCGCGGTCCCTAGAGTCGTAAAAGGAACCTATGACCAGCCAGGCTAAGGCGTGCAGAGATGGCTGAAACCAGAGATATTGTCCGATGACAAGTTTTGCGGCAGGCCAGGGCAACTCAACGTCCACCAAAGCTCGCCGAGAATCCAGCTTGAAAGGTATTGGATGTATGGAAATAATATATGAGACTTGGTATCGAATCCGATGTGCGATGGAGAAAGAAAGGAAAAGGTCATGTCGGGGAATGTAGTAATGCTTATATAGTAAATAGAAACTAGACTTGGCCCCACGTGGGTGTTATGAATAGAGGAATATGGCTAGCCTGAGTAGAGGTTTGCCCATACTAACCCCTTTTTTTCCGTGGAAAATTCAGGTCATCGGGGAGGACAGTAGGATAAAGGTATAAGCCAACATCACTCCCATGTGATATATGGAGATGCGCGATGCTTGTTTACTAGTCGGCAGTGGTGAAACCATGATAGAGGAGCCTCCAGTGCGCAATCACAAAGCCAGGTGTAGGGCAGATGACTAGTGTCTATAGTCACCCAGGTAACCATCCCTTTCCCGTGCAGTCGTCGAAGCAATCATCTCTTGCAGAGTCTTGACCAACTGGTCGTCATAGCCAGTGTCAATAAATACCCGCTACGAATTAGAACATCAGATGCAATGCGAATTGCCGTCATGAGTCAAGTTAGGTACTGTATAAATAAATAGGCATGATGCATTAGGGCGTCGGCACGGGATGGAATGCTAGGTTAGGCATCTAGGAATCATCTGAGATCCATGGAACCTAGGCACAGTAAACCTTTAATAGCGACTGTGTACGGAATGCGTGTAGATGATGTTCCAGCTCAGGGTTGGCCCTTGGACCCCTAGACCTAAGATAGGAGTAACGGTGTTGTCTTAACAAGAATGCGGCTCTGCAAAATCTTTCGACATTCCATGATTAGGCCAACTCGGGTTTAACCCAATGGACGCTAAGTGTGGACTCGTTGAGATGGTGTAAGGTGTAGCAAACTAGACCATCTGCGGTGGCCAATGCATGGGGAAGCGTATACCTCCAACCCCACGATGCCGGTATCCCTCTGAAGAGCCCGAGAGTTTTCTATCTCTTTTAGCTATGGATTTTTCTTTTCCTTCCTAGAATTGGTTTGTTAACCTTAAATCTAGGGTGGACACAAGGTCGGGACAGGATATCCACATAGAAGTTTGCTAGACAACTAAAACTTTACTGTATAATGGATAGGGAATAGACAGTGCTTACAGGATTTTTCCATATAGGTAGTACGCATATGCCAAGTACCCATATTAAAGCCCAAGAAGACTTTCTTGGAAATGTGAAAAGCCATTGACGGGTGCCTAGCGAGCACGCATCGCCTCTGAGAATAATTCCGCCTTTCCTAATCTCGGCTTCAATCCATGACGTTGACCTCCTCTTGAACCATTCGGACAGCGCCGCCCTTTTTGGTCTCCTCGGGTTCAGTCTTGGTCCTTCTTTGCTTCTCGACTTCATTTACGAGTCCTTTCAGATAGACATCAGCCTGTACTGTTGCACTGTACGCACCGGCGGTCCAACTCCACACATTCCTTCTCTGCGGGTCGGCCCCAGCGGCAAGTAAGGTTCGGAGAACAAGGAGGTTACCGTTACTGCTAGCGAAATGCAAGGCAGTATTCCCATCGAGGTCGGCATTCCGAACAGCGCTTTGTGCGCCACCTGGCACATAGGTGAGAAGAATCTGTAGCGCGGTATCATGACCACCCATGCTGGCCTCCATAATAGCATCTCTACCCCGTATATCACGACGTAGGATAGAAGGTGGGTCGGTCTCGGAGAGGAACAAAACAACTTCCGTGTGACCGGCGGATGCGGCTAGCATCAAAGCGGTCTGATGATCGTCATTGAGGGCGGGGGTGGGACGCTCATGGCCAAGCGCTACCAAAACCTTGCAAACCTGGAGATGACCGAGACTCGCGGCAAGATGGAGGCTCGAGTTGGAAAGACCGGTGGCCGAGTGATCCGGGTTGTGTACCAGGTCCGGATGTGATTTGACGATGCGTCGAACAAGTAGCGCATCGTTGCTATGGACGGCCCGCCGTAGCCGCTTCGATGGCTCAATCCTGTTCATGTATATGTGTGAGCTTAGCGCATTAGAGGAAGAATATAAGAATATGTTCCTCAGCTTCTTACATAGTTCTAGTAGTGTCTATAAAAAGTGCCAAAGACGGGTGATACCCTGGTCGGGGCCTACCACGCCGCCGACCTGGCCTTCTGAGGATGGTTGCCAACCTAGGGTTATCGGCGTATTAACCTCCACTGAACAGTTGCTAACTAAGTAAGTGCCTAGTAGGATTTTAGGTGTAGAAGTAATAGTGGATGTCCAATTTTCTAAATGATATATTATGACAACTTAGGAAATCATAAGAGTGCAAAGTTTGTAAGTAGGAAGAGATCGTCAGATGTGTCGTTGGTTGTTGTACAGTTTACAGTTACAAACGTGACGATGTCGCGATTTAGGAAGGCACGGAAGGTACGGACAAGCACCAACCAACCAACTGACGTCGTCCCCCAAGGCTCCAAGGGTCCTCCAAGGCTGTCTGTCCCTCAATCAAAGTTTCAAGGTTCTGCAGGGGCTTAGCGCTTAACCTTACGTATGTACAATAGCAGCCCCGCTTGCAGATAGCCCATATTACTATCAATTTCGATACTTGAGATGAAAGTAACTTTATTAGAGATGCAGAGGCTGGTGTGACTTACCCCACACGTACCTTGGAAGGTCGAGCTCAATCACAGTACATACACCCGCGGGTATCCGATAAGTTTAGTACGGCGTAGTACTCTGTAGGGTCCGTGCAGTGAGTTGTTCCAAAGACCAACCCTTTGTTATATGCATATCGATAAAACTACATGACTATAAAGGACGGGTTTGTGTAAAAGATCCCAATCTTCAATATTATTATCATTGCCTACATGCCGCCGAAACAGATATCATCCATCTACTTACTTACATAGTAGGTAACTGACAGGAGATGAATTGGCATCAGGTACTCTATACAAATGAATATGATGTCACAATCATAACCAGGCCGTCGAGACTACCTAGTCATCGTCTGCGTGGGAAAGTCAAGCTTGGATAATCTTTCAGGTTCATACATACTAGTAGTAGTAGGCCTCGACAGGGTATCCCGATAGCCATGATGTACCGTGTCGCGGCTCCCGCGATCCAGTGAATCTTATGACAGGTAATTAATGCATGGAATCACGCTTGCGACATCCATGGAAGGGTTGTCAAATGCTTAATTGGTTGTCACTTGGTATAGGTACTAAGCGATTGCACACCAACATGTAAACCTACCCAGGCAGACGAGTATCAAACACTAACCCAATGGGCAATCCGTGAATGTTCGGCGGTTTTCAAGCCCCCCGAAAGCGGGCGAGTGGAGCGGCTGAATTGCATCGGGGCCATCCATTCGACGTTGGCTTCTTCAGCTCTGCTACCCCGGATCCGGAGTATCGAGAGGGGAGGAGGAGAATGATAAAAAAAGCTTAACCTCTTCCCAGTTAGCAATCTACGTAGTTGGCCATGATGACGCCCGTCCCAGGATTTATCTAGCGAGCGAGGGGTGGAGGGGGAGGGGGGAGGGACCGCCTCGGTGAGAGCCAACGGAAATCAGTGACTAAACCCATCGCGTTGAAAACGGGCGCTGATTTCTATTACTTAAAAAGATGCCGTATCTAGACGGCACTAAAGGGAAATGAAGAAAGGCTACGGTAAGTTATGTGTCATGAGTGGAAAATCCGGTAATAGGCTAAGGAAAAGACAGCCCTGGAGCCGAGGAAATTCTCGGGTGGACGCGGCCCTTCTCGACCGGACAAGGTCACCGTGGGATCCGTGTTACTTTTACGTTTACTCGCCTTTTTTTGGTCTATGGAAGTTATAATGGAACATCATTATGCACTGCACCTTTAATGGTTCTTTATGCTTCAAAAATGTACGAAATGAACTGACTTATTCGGGCGCGAAGCATCCGCTCCGACGATCGGGGGACGGGAGAGAAAAAGGAGAACGAGAAAGATAGATACCGGTAGATAACAAGACAAGATTGAATTATATATTCATTCACCTCCATACCTATAAATTATCTATCTTGTTACTGACCTACCCCTTTTGTGTTTTCCGTATATTTATTGGATGTTTAAGGGGTCCTATCGGATCGGGGCTGATTAGTTGGTTAGTATTTGTGATTCTTTGCTATTATCCATGGATCCTCTCTGTATTATACGTATAAGCCACTTGTGTAAGACCCCCCCCCTCCTAACTGTGTGTTATGCGGCGTTTTGCATTTCGCATTTCAAGGGCATGGCTACCACTAACAGCTAGTCGCCGGTAGTTCCATCTTAACCTTGGAATCCATCTGAACCCCCACCAAGCACCACAAGCGGTATCCAGCTTACTTAGCCTTTAGAGGGAGGTAGTCGCGGTGAGGCGGGTATCAAAGGCTGCGAAAAGAGTAATGGAGTCACAGTAGTTTCCTTGTCATGTGCTAGGCTAGTTTTTTCTTCCTATTTCTTTTTTCAAAAAAATAAAATAAAATAAAAACTGAGATATCTAAGATTCTGAGCATCTCTTATTGACCCATTGTTACCTTCTTACGAAACACCTACAAGCAACCTATTTGCCTATATAATACGTACCCGCTTGTCGAGCTTGTCGAGCTTGTCTTTCAATCTGCCAGCCACTACTCCTAGACACGAAATAATTACATCATTAGATCATTGGTAGGCAAACTTAATCACCACCAGATACGCTGCTATTTCACTTGACTTTCTCGCTAACAGGCGCTCCGACCAGAAGACTTATCCTTACCTACCCCAGAATCTTACCTATCTCCATCTACAGAAACCAGTTGCCCACCATGAACACTTCCATGGTCAAGTCCCGGTTCCTCTCTCACCCAGAGGACCTCGGTGTCGTAGCCGTTGGCTTCTCCGGTGGCCAGGTAAGACACACTGCCCTCTCCCTTCCCTCGACCTCTTAGAGAGCAAAGAACAAAAACTCATCATCGCTTTTCTCTTGTAGTGCAAGCCCGGTGTTGACGCCGCACCCTCCGCTCTCATCGAGTCTGGTCTCCTCACCCAACTGCGAGACGAGCTCAACTACAAGCTCCATGGCCACGACACGGTACACTCGTACACGGACCTCGTCCCGAAGGAAGACCCCCCCTTCCGGGGCATGAAGAACCCCAAGGCCGTCAGCAGCGTGACCGAGCGCCTCTGCGACCAGGTCTACGAGCACGCCAAGGAGGGCCGCATGGTCCTGACCCTCGGCGGCGACCACTCCATCGCCATCGGCACCATCGCCGGGACCGCCAAGGCCATCCGCGAGAGACTGAACCGCGAGATCGCCGTCATCTGGGTCGACGCGCACACCGACATCAACACCCCCGAGACGAGCGACTCTGGCAACGTCCACGGCATGCCCGTCAGCTTCGTCACCGGACTCGCCAAAGAGGAGAAGCCCGAGTACTTCGGCTGGCTGAAGCCCGAGAACCTCCTCAACATCAAGAAGCTCGTCTACATCGGCCTCCGCGACGTCGACCCCGGTGAGAAGCGAATCCTGCGCGAGAACGGCATCAAGGCGTTCAGCATGTTCGACGTGGACCGGTAAGGACAACCCCCCTGTTTCTTTATTTCTTTCTTTGTTTCTTTCTTTCCTCCTATTTATTTTATAAATTTTTATAATATACTAACGGCGCATCGATTGTAGATATGGAATCGGACGCGTCGTCGAGATGGCGCTCGCACACATCGGTGCCGACACCCCCATCCACCTATCCTTCGACGTCGACGCGCTCGACCCGATGTGGGCGCCCAGCACAGGTACGCCCGTTCGTGGCGGCCTTACACTGCGCGAGGGCGACTACATCTGCGAGAGCGTGCACCTGACGGGCAGCCTCGTGGCTATGGACCTCGTCGAGGTGAACCCGAGCCTCGCGCCCGAGATCGACTTCGGCGCGCACGAGACCGTCCGCGCGGGCTGTTCGCTGGTGCGATGCGCGCTGGGCGAGTCGCTGTTGTAAAGTTTTTTTGGGGGGGGGTATCTTGTCCTTTACCTTTCTTTTATTTGAAATTAGGAGTCATAGGCGGGCCCATGCTTGGGAAAAGGAGATGAACATTTGCTGTACGAGGGCGTAATAACTCGTTTGGTTAGAATCAACCAACCAGGAAGGCAATGCAAGCTTTTTTTTTTCGGGTTATAGTTATTATAATGGGCTTGTAGACTAGGTAGACGGGTTGTCAATATTTAGATGATGAATACATACACGCTGATATACGTGACGGGGTTGCCATAAAGAGATGAGTGTGCATAGATAGGTGCATAGATAGGTGCCTAGGATTCGTCGGAGAAGAGGAAGATAAAAAAGTCGTGTGGTTGGGCAAAGGATAGCGAGTTAGTATCATGATGAGTCTTGGCGCAAACACCCCCCCCTGGGAAGATCACTTGCAATAGTTTCTACCACGCCTCTTAGTCGTTACCTACCTAAATGCAATGATACCTACTATGCCAACCACCGTAGTTTTTTATCACACAATACTCAGTGATACGGGATGATGGAATGGCTGTTGTTCTTCAAACAACCCAATCTAGCTACGCATTATATGTCATTAGCAGGTAAACTACGAAGTAATTGTCTTCCAATAACTATCGTTCTTATCACTCGAAAACGCTTCTCGATTTCTTTGTCAGACCGCATTGTTCATGCCGCCCTGCACAACATTACCCCTGACTACCTAACCTAGGTATTTAGCATCGTGGTACTTTAAGCATTGTAGATCAGGATCTGTTGCCCTAGTGTTCGAGTCTCGAGTAGCAATAACACAATAGTTACCTACCAACCCCAACTATTAAACGGGGCCTTGCCTACTTTGTGCCCTATCTAGGTCCCGCTTGAGCGCTTCCCTTGAGTCTTTACGGTGGGATACCTACCCCCCCCCCCCCCCCCCCCCCTTCCCCCATAAACCACTCAGCGCGTACCTGATTATCTTATATAATAATACATACCAATTCATGTTGACCTGACCACGTCGAACATCTGAAAGTTTGTCGATTAGGTATTGTACATGATACCTACATAATATTGGGACAGCTAGCTGTGCACTAGCACACACCTGAGGTTTCGGTCCGTTGATCTTGCTTGTTCCCTTCGATAACCATTGACGATTAACGAACAACGAAGACGAGACGCGCAAAACCACGTAGTCAATCTCTCGACTCTCGACCTTTACCTTGCGCAACTCACTCCCTCCCCGTCTGACAGCGCATTATCCACCTCTCCCCCCAAAAAGGTGTGTGGATTGCGCTTTTTAGTCCGCGGGGGGAAGGCTTACGTTACGGCACCTTGCATCTGCATACTGAGCCAACCCAACCCAGCTAGCGAACCAGCCAGCCAACCAACCAAAAAAGTTCGAGGCTTGGATTGGGATTGGAGATTTCTCGATCGAAACCCAGCAGCAGCGCCGAAGGAGCAGAAATCAAGGCACGCAAGGCACTGAGTTGGCAGTTCGCAGTCATTCTGCTTCGTCACGCATATTTTTTTTATTCTTCAATCCTTATTTTTAAGGCGGAGGAATCCGTTATCATTCAGCAGTTAAATGAGTTAAGAGTTTACGAGGTGTTGAGAAGAAAAAGAAAAGAAATTTGAGGAATCAATTGACACGACCATACAAACGAACGAACGAGTAAACGAACATACGAGCAAACGAACGGCCCAAGTATCGCTACAGGCCTATACGCCCTACCCTATTCGATCAAACCCATTGCCGGCGACGCTGCTACCGCAGTTTTCAATCCCCATACCGGATTCCGTAACACCCGACCGGACGGGAGGTATCGCGTCTGTAACTAATGTAGATAGACATTTGCAGTCGAGCGTAATATCTACACCCTACTTGCGCATGTAACAGACGAGCAGCACGCCGACACCACCACCATCACTACCCCTAATACTGCCGACCACCACACCTCGCCCCAGCGAACCTCAACCTCCGGGAACAACAACCACCACCACCAAAAAAAAAACGGCAACCGACAAGGACAGCACCACCCACTCCGCCAACCTCTCCACCATGGCCGCCGCATCGCTCCGCACGGGGTCGGGGCACGGGTCCACCGTCTTCGAGCGCCGCATCGCCCGCATCCACCGGTACCACTGGCCCGCGGCGCAGCTGAACCTGTGGATGTTCGTCATGCTCGCCGCCTCGTGCTGCATCATCGGCATCCTCGCCACCTTCATCGGGATCCAGCAGCAGCTGCTGCTGAACATACCTTGGTGAGTTTGCGCTCCTCCCCCCTCCCCCCCTCCTCCTCGTCCACACCTTTCCCATCTTCCCAACCTTTTAGTTTTAGGGGTATATTTATCAACTCTCAACTCAAACTCAAACTCAGCTAATACTACTTTCCCCCACCAGGTACTTCCCGTACTTCATAACCGTCGCCGCCCTGACCATCGTCTTCATCGCCTCCCTCCTGTGGCTGATCGCGCAGCGGCGGCTGCTCCCCTCCATCGTCATCCTGGGCTCCTTCATGTTCTTCGTGCTGTGGCTGGTCGGGCTCATCGTCGTCAGCATCGAGCTGTGGGGGCCCGTCGGCTCCGTGAGCTCCAACTGCAACCTGCTGGTCTGGAGCACGGACCCGACGGGGAACAACCAGGGCACGCTGGCTTGGCTGGAGCAGAGGAGCATATGTGAGTTTGATTTGGGTTTTTTTTTTTTTTTTTTTTTTTTTTTTTGGCTTCCGGGACTTGTGTTGATTTGGGAGGATTCTCTTCCCCCCCACCCCCCACCCCTTTGCTTGATGTACATATGGTGGGTTCATTGCTAATATGTTGTCGACAGGTCAATCGTGGCAGGCTGTCTTCGCGTTCGGTCTGATCGGATGCATATTTTTGCTGTGGATCATAGTCATGGCGGTACAGGTGTTTTATGACGATGCTTGATCTCGTCCCATATTTACCTAACCTACCTACACATAAACACCACCTCACCTCTTCTACAGCAGCAGCAGCAGTAGTAGTAGTAGCTGTGGGCTGTGTGCAAATATGCGCGTGTATATACCTCCGCGGAGGACTGACGGGGGATAGATATCCAGGGGAATGAGAAAAGATAACGATATGAGTAGACGCGAACGTGGTAACGAAGCCGTTGAGTTACGCAGACGCGGATGGATGAGTGTGGTAATGGGCACTAGGAAGGGGGTTGGAGTCACGCATGACGATTTTCGCATGCATACACGGCGTCACGGGATGGAGTTACAGGCACTTACTTGCCTGAACATTTTCCATCAGTCACGATATCCATCGTTTTATCCTGCTAAGAGAAGCAGATCATTGGTACGACACATCACATTGAGCAAAGGGTAACTCGGCCATTTTCTTTTTGGCTGTTTTTTACCAAATAAATCTCATTAGATTAATAAAAATGTATAAAAAGAAGCACTTTGGCTTTCTAATTTAGGTATGGGAGTCATTCCCCTAATTATGTCTGGCCTGTTTAAAACTTCATATCATCGTCGGTGTATGTGTGCACCTGGGCAGTGACATCACCATCCATTAACTCCTATTCCACCACACGTCTAGTTGGAGTACTTGGGATCGACCTTTTTCCTATGCGCCGACTTGTATTAGCATCTGATGTCTAGACAGGACCACCCAAAGACGTTACTCTCTAAGGTGAAAATAGAAGACTTACCCAGTAGCCTTCTCGTACAATCCGCGGACCGTGTCGGTCCCAGACTCGAGTTGCTGGTCAGACACCTTGTTGCCTTGCTTTTTGTTCATGAAACCGGCGACTAGAGACACAGTAAGTATTTAGATGTAGGGTGGTGCGCGAGTAATAATAATATGGAGTGCGGTTGGCTTGGCTTACTCTTGTCTCCGTAGTCCTTCTTCTCTCCAGTGGGCTGTGTGTTGGCAGTGTTTCCTGAGCTGCTGCCACCGGCGAACTTCTTGAGGGCATCCATGTTTGTGTGAGTGTGTTTGTGAGAGCGAATGGCTTTGATTATTGATTTGGGACTTTGTTTTATAGTAATGTAGGTATAGTAATTTGGCAGTATGAGAAATACTAAAAAGAAACCATTGAAAGTAAACGTAATTCAATCATCCTTATATACCTCCCTCCATATCCTGAAAGTCTAGCTTCGACCTTAGCTCTGTTCCAAGCTTCACCGGATTCGGTGTGATGACGTGCATCGCGAAGCCCACAACGTAATTCGGGAGGCCTTATCGATCTCGATCCATTTTGATTGGAGATCAGACACACATATTTATTAGCTCAGCCGGTTTTTCCCATTCTTTTTCTAAGGATTCACAGGGGCACTAAACTCCCAGATCTCTTATACTCTCCAATGATTCCAATCTCCATACAGATGTATACTTACCACACTACGTCATACGCATTACCTTACCCCCCTTACCCCCCTTACCTCGTATACGCCTCGGATACCCCTGGATACAGCAAATGCACATGCAAACTTGAATATTATAAGTGACACCCAGCAAGTTTGGCTTCGCCGAATTGCCGGCCTTTATTATGCCCCCCAATTATAGGATATCAGGATATCAATCAACTGCGTCTGTTCCAACATCTTTTGCATTCATCAAGACCACGCATCTAACCTACATACCCACATACCTTGCTATGCAGGTCTATGTAGGTTTAGGTCCTTATGATTTGCTACCAAAAGTGATATGATAAGCTGGAATCCTCCATATTTGCCTTATAAAACAAAGCCATCCAACGCCGGATTCCCAGAGCCAATAGGCTACATGCTCGAATTCATCTGCCCCGTGCCCGATGCCGGATGCCGACATTTCCATGCCACACCCTACCAAAACGCCGTCCTCATATGGTATATAGACGAAGTTATACACTGCAGCTCGTCATCTAGGGTATGTATCAGACTTAAACCGCCCCAATTCTCTGGACGTTTCTTCTTGTTCAAGACAACAAATCATCCACCCACCCCATCTTTTCTCTTCGGTCGTCCGCGATTCGGGCGTATTCGAGTAGGAGTCGCAGCACGTAGACTTGCATGTCTTCTTTCCTGAGAACTTTCTCAGCCCATGCTTTACCATCTGATGCAATCTTCTCGGCTTCTTTGTCATGGCCCGGGACGCTGTCCTCGTATCCAAGGAAGTACTCCATAATACCATAGAAGTCGCCGAATCGGTTATCCATCGGCACGAAGTGTTTCCAAGCCACCAGACGGCTATCGTGCCACTCACGCCACAGCGTACTCTTGATCGGTAGACTCGTGCTTCTTAAAAATCCCAAATATCGGCCTGAGAAAGAGTTGCCATCGATATCGGGAAGATACTTGTAGTAGAACTGAGTAGTTAATTTTAGCCCCATCACCGTCTCGAAGTATTTGTTCGTGTAAATGCAGCGTCCCTCTTCTTGCTTGGGTTCCACGTTAGGATCACAGAACAAGTCAGTAAAGCCTACGTCCGACCATTGTGACACCCACTCGCCTAGGCGCTTGTCTTTTTGCGCCGCCAGATTATAAGTCGAACTAGGTAGTTGGAAGTTAGCTGGGGGCTCCACATCCTCTTCGGCGCGCGAAAGCTTCGTTCCGTTGTTCATTGCGACAAATCGGTGTCGCTGGAACCCCTTCCAATTCGATTCGTTGTTGCGGCCGCCTGTAGCCACACCGCGCCATATTAAAGGATCAATTTTGGTATCCCAGGGTGGCCCATGGTCGCCTCCCCCCGTAAACCGTTCTTCTTCTTTCCAGTACATAGCAGCGGGGAGAAGGATCTCATTGTTAGTGGCGAGCTTGCTACCTCCAAACATTGGAAAGAGAACTTTGGTGGCAGCTGTGGTCAAGGGCCGGATGAAGATTCCTTCTAGCCCCTGTAGGTCAGGCTGATGACAGAACTCTGATGATAGCGTCGAATTAGACACATAGCCCTGATATTGGTGTGGGGTTGCCCATGAGGGGGAAAAGTTGGGCGTGGTATCAAAAGAAGTCATGGCAGGTTGTTTGCGAGCCGGGCTGTCGGGGGGGCATCCTCGACGGGCGATTAGCCAATACGGATCTATTGAGAGTTAACACCATGCAAGCTATTTATCAGAATAGGAATAATCTGGGGTAAAACGTACTAGTGTCTTCCCACCCCTTATCAACGACATTCGTGGACTTGGCTTCATCCTTGGCGGCGGGTTTGGGTAATTTTTGGAAATCTGAGACAGTGGACTTAATGGGACTAAGTAATCGCGATTGCTTTTCCTTCTTCATATAGGCGTTGATATCCTCCCATGGAACGACAAGTCGAGGTTCGTCCATGGCATTCAAAGCAATATCCATGTCAGGTAGCAGGTGTTCGATGGTCTGAATCATATCTAGCCAGATCTGAGTCCAAAACCAATCGCTTTCGGCGCTCGCATTACCGTTGCGCACACTGATCACCATTTCGTACCCTCTAGCCTCGTCGCGAATGCTGGCAGGGTCTAGACCCCAAAAGGGGTTCAGATCATGATGAATCTGGTCGAAAAAATCCTCGACAATGATAGCCTTCTTCCCTTTGGCAAATTCGTACCACTTGTCGAATCCAGGGGGTGGGTGGCGACCGCGTCGTGTGCGATAAGCGTGGGCGGCTTCGGCCAGCGTTTTCGATTCTTTGGATAGCATACCATTGAAGTCTTTTTCGGCAACCTTGATCAAGTCGTCAATAGGATGTGGTGGTGCTGCAGTGTTAGGTTTGGGTGGAACAGGTTGAGCGGCGGCGGGTTTCGCGTCGGGGACAGGTTTGCTTTCGTCATCTTGATTTTCGTGGACGGGCTTTTGTATGCTCGGCGGCGGATTTTGGGCGGGTGGATTGACAGGGTCCGGTACGTTATGCTCGTAGGGAGATGATGACGGCGATTTCGAGGAGTCAAGCTCAGGTGTCAGGTGGCTATCCACAACTTGCGAATCTCGTGGTCGGTTTGAGAGATAGTAAAAAATACATATTACGAGGAAGGCAGGGAATATATATCGCAAGAGGTGAGAGGGCCGCCTAGGGGGGAAAGCGGGCGAGCGCATTATCGAGAGCGACGGCGGCCTCCAGAAGACGGGGCGCCCAAGCGTCGACTTGACTTCAAAGATGAGACGAAGCGTCTCAAAGATTATAAATCGAATGCAACGGCGCAAATTAGGGTTGAGGGAACGGGGAGGCGTTCTGTCTGGGCCGAAGTCAAAAAGGGTCGGTACCTAGCGGTAAATGGTATCGAATTCGAAACTTTGATATTTTAGTGAATTGAAATGATTGGACCTTGAGATGTCAAGCATGGGAGAAATAATGAACGTGGGTTACAACATTGAAGTTGAAAGGGGAAGAGAAGTATGTTCACGAATAACAGAATAAAACACGTAGGTAGATACAGGGAGGGGAGTGAGTATAACTTGAAGTGAGTGTGAAAAGGTGAGAATGAGATTGTAAATGAAGAGGAAGGACGGGGGATTCAAATCGTACGAGTAGCAAAGAAAATTAGTGTGATCGATCGAAATAATTAGAGTGCAGTAGTTAGGTAGATAGGGAGAGGAGTCACTAAAAAAAAAAGGAAAATCAAAAAGGCCAACTAACTTATTATTTCATCTCATGACGAACACAGATCGTACCTCGGTACAGAATTGTACAAATTATGGTTAAGTTGTCATCAAAACATTGAATCACTTTCCAAAAAAAAAAAAGTTTGCTCAACGTGTAAACCAAAAAGCGAAGTCGAAAAATAAAGAAGGGATGAGAGATAAAAAGGATAAAGATTGGAGGTTACTAACAGCAGGCCTGGACCTGACAGACTTGAGAAACCTGATAGCCTGGAGATGATTGGGGCAAATGAGATTGTAGGATTTGGTACCTAGCAGTAGTAATGTTTGGTGCGTAGTAGGTACTTGTACCTACGCTCCAGGGTTAGGTTGTAGCTGGGATCTGGGGGGGCCTGCCACCTGGGGGATGTGCTGTACAGCCTGTACCAGTGACGGATCGGTGGCCTAAAGCACTAACCTTAGGTTACCACATGGATGATGGATGTATTCAGGAAACGTGTATCCCAGGTAGTTAAATTGAATCCCAGTTCCCTGGACCGAGCTGAGCTGAGGACCCGCTACTATGTATGTATGAGAAAGTATGTATGTAGACGGCGTGAACGGCGGCCTAAGTAGTAAGCGATTAGTATATATTTACCTATATCAGGAGTGGTTTGTTTGCTTCAATCTTGTTGGTTGGTTATATTAATATATTTCAAAGTAATCTAACTATCAATTTATTTCTTTAAACATTCTTACAAATATTGCTTACCAACTAATATGGCAACTGTTCGCCAAGGTGTCATAAACATAAATTTGCTAGGTTAAGTATTATGTTCCGCGCTGCTGCATTCTGTTGCATGTGTTCAACGGGCCGATCAGATGTAAGTTGTCAAACCTACTCTACTTCCATACATTGGCATACATGGCTACCTAGGTATTCCACATACGTCGGTATGTATGAACCCAGTCCGGCGGGAAGCGAATGCTTCTAACTACATAAGTATCCAACCTCCCGCCGTGGCTACCACCACCCATCGTCGTCTGATCGCCATCGGATGCACAATCACTTACTTTAAATAGTAGTAGTGAGTTACAGAACTCCCTTATGACGATCTTGGTGCAGGGGGTTAAATGGAGATTCGCCATTACCTATGCCAAACCCTACATACCTACATTCGCGACAACTTTTTCCCATTTCTTTTCTGAGTCTTCTCTACCAAGGCTTCTAAACAGACAAACTGCGAATATACATATTAATAATACAATACATAACTAACCTACATATATCATATATGAGATAAAACTGATGTTCGTATTCCTTACCAAGTAGGAAAGTCGGTAATGACGCTAGCTAGCGCTGAGCTAACCCCGCGCTAACACCATACATCTCCAATGCAACCCTGGATATCCTTGCTCCCAATAAATAACGACATTCCAGTTCCGATTCCAGAACCCCCCGTTAGGATGACTCGCTAACAAAAGTAGCGAAATCGCAATTAGATGGTGATCATAGATGGGGATCGGAAACTTGCCTGTTTGTAGTTAACGTTATCCCATAAAATAACACAAGAAAATGGGAAAAAATGGAAAAAATGGAAAACATGGAAAACATGAAAAAAGAAGAACGTGGCATTTCCCAGGGGCAATGTAGATTATTAACGAAATCCAAACCGAGGCTAACTAGTTAACTATTATCCAAGCCTTTCAATGTCATATCAATTAATCCCAAATGAAGTGCATAAGTGGAGTCCAATTCTTGCCCTGGTGTGACAGTTGACTATGTAAAGAAGGTGCATATATTAATAGTACCTAGCAACACAATGGCAAAAGATAAACGGGAGGAGTTCATGCTGCAAGACACATGTCTAATCCAACGTCTCCTTCTATACTTGGCCACGATGCATTCTGTGCAGGGTCAATACGATATAAGCTGCCTAGGGTCCTCATCATCAATGGCGCCATGTGTAAGCCAGCTGACAAACAACTTGGCTTGGCTACATATCTATTCAACAGAGGATACCTAACAAAAGTCCATATAACCTACCTTAGGTAGGTAGGTAGATACACCGTATAACCAACTCCTAGTTTGGAAGTCTTCAATTAAAAGAACATTTCTCAACCACAGAATGCATCTTCCTTGCAAGTGAAAGTCGGCTATTGAAACCACCCTATGCTGATAACTAATGAGACAATAGCAGCACGAAAACGACGTTACCGTTACTTCTGTCACCTACTAAACTTGTCTCTCAGGATAGCTTAATTCTCGGAGAAGGGGGAGGTAAGTTTTTCTTTTTCTTTATCTCTCTTGTAATATACAGGTCTATATCTATAACCGGATGCTATTCCAACACCTGCGATTGTATCCATGGATATTCATCCTCTACAAAACAAATGTAGATCGGTGGTATCGTCTTTGATAACAGCGAAGTGTATTTCCTGGCTAGTCATTCCTTATGCTGCCTTAACCTAGTGCCTGTGTAGTATAGTGGGCATCATTGTCCGTTGCCTACCTACCTAGCCTAGGTAGGTACTAGGTGTGCTTCGCTTTTGCGTAGTCACTCATTTAGTCCAGTATACAATTCATTCATCTCATCACAACCCTTATCATAACTACTTCTCGGTGTATAGACCGTCCATATCAGCTTCCTCGTCGCATGTGCGAGCGATGAGTTCATGAAACGTCGGACGGAATGGCCACTCTGACCAAATTTCTAGAAACTCCTCCCATTGTCGTGCATTCAACATTCTAGCAGTCAACTGTGAATGTGGTGTGTTCGTAAGCAACCCGCCTCGTTTGACGTCCCTGAGGCTGGTCCAGCGTGGCATGATGTATGCCGAGAAACCCGGCATAATATTATCCAGGGTCTTGTCCAAGGGTAAAATGCTTTGGGACATGATCGCAGACAGCAAGAGCTCGAAACAATCACCTACTCGAGTAGAGTTAGGGCCCTTCTGCCGTAATAGGGGATGAACCGCCTTTGGCTGGATGTCGAGGAGGCTGATTGGAACATTTGGGTAGAACTCTTCGGGTTGAATAACCATTCTATCGTACGCGCGGCGGTCATAGAACATCACCGGAGGATCTTGCCGGTAAATATGGAGACCGTCCTTGTAGGTGATGAATTGGGCGACGAATCCGGAAGGGTTTTTCATCAACTCAGCCTCCCATTCATCCTCGCGTTTCTTAAGCTCCTCCGGGGAAGCTTTGCCCTCCTTGTGGAGTTTGTTAATGGCATCTAGGCCAGCTATGAGCTGTTGCATTCGTTGATGTTTTCTATGTTCCCAATTGGCCCTCCATCTGTATGAGCGCATCTTCCTATAGGTAGCCGAGTCCTTATCGAAGATCTCCTTTTCGTGTTGTGCTTCGAGCGTAGCTAATTCGTCTAGAAAACTTCTCTTGAACGCGGGGGGTGTCACTCCGGGCTCTATTTTCTCCTTGGATCTAGACGCCGCTTTCGCTTCGATTAAAGCGTCAGAAGATCTCTCTGCCGGCATCTTGATCCCCTGAGCCCGCATTCGCTTCCATGTGGCAAGGTCACTGGCGGCATCGGTGATGCTGTCACGCATAAACCAGGTCGAATCCATTGCCTCCTGGCCGCACACTTCCCGCACCCAATCGCAGGAGAGCTCGGTTTCAATTGACAGCTTCTTGCGTTTCTGCAACACCTTGGGAAGAATGCCAAACTTATCGTCAGGTCGGGTCCATATAAGCATGCGGACGAGCCCATATTTTTGATACAAAGCGCCGGTTCGTATGGCGTCGATGAACTGATATAAGACCAAATGTGCCACGGATTCAAATTTGAGGAATCTCCTTTTAGGATGGAAGGCGATGTTTGCGGTGATCAGCAGTGTATCATTTCTCTCGCCAAGTTTATCCGGGTCAGGAACTTTTTGGTGGGGCAGATATTTGGGCGAAAGAACATCATTGAGGTCTCGCCACACGAGCCCGGATGCTGGGACAAGCGTGGTATTGGGTTTGTCGAGGAGAGGTTGGAGAAAAGGTTTGTATAGTGTATCGTCTGGTTCCATTAGTATATGGGATCGCGGTTTGAGGAAGTTATGTAACGTCTCGCTCCAGAGTCCGGCGCCGGGATAAATGTCAAGGAGGTCACATCCTTTATGCCGTTCAAGTCCAGGACCGATATATGAGATAATGTCCTTGCATACACTTTCATTGACGATATTAATTCTCGCCTTGTCACCGATTGACCTAATTTTCTTTTCCTCTGCGGTCCAGAAACCCTTTTTATTTGGACCCCATAGTCCTGTAGCAGCAAGCCTCTCGGCCAGCTCGTATTCCACTTTAAAGTCGCCCTTTTCTGGAGTCCTGTAGGTGCCATGTTTCCGCTCGGGTGTAGCATTGGTAGTAGTGCTGACCTGTTTACAAAGGACTAAGGAAGAAGGGCGAGTGAAGACATTCAGCCGTACATTCCGGCCGACAGCGAACATGGGAAATGAGCGGTGGTGAAAAGAACTGAACCATATAATGTTACAATTCAATCAATACGTCAATAGCCCAATATGCTGCATGCGGCTGAGATATGTTGCTTTGCCTTTTTTTTATTCGTTTTGTTTGATGTTTCTCTCTTTTTTTTTCTTTTTTTATTTAAATTTCTTTGCTCTTTTTTTCCATGCTCAATTCAAAATAATTTTCTGCCCTTGTTGACCGCATAAATCTTGGGCATCGGGTACATGCATTTAAGTGCTGTACATATGCACATACGCACAAACAGTATGACATACATGTCAGTTTAGTATGCGTTATGCACGTCCTCTGATATCGTCAGGCACTAGCAGATATTAACCATGCAGGGGTCCAAAGCTTAAATGGGATCCATTTTGGTCCATAGGGCTAAGTACCCATGTATATATCATATACAGTAGGTATGTACCTCCAGTACCTCCCGTACCTAGTAGTATGTACTACATAGTACAATTATGTAACATACATAACTGATTGAACTCTCCATCCTGTAGATTCAATGCCTTCCCTCCTAGTTACCTACCTGGCAACTTATAAGTAATAATCATAAGTAATAATCAGTATAGTACCTATACTTATAGGATAAATGATTCAATTTCGATGTATACACACCGTCTAAGGCGAGATATCGAAGTTGTAAGCGACAGACAGAAAGTCTATGTGCCCCTATCATGAGGCTTACCAGCTATTCTCACTGTATATAAAGTCAAATACAACTATGTTGAGGTACGGTAGTAGCACGTGTTGTGTGAATAGTTGGATAATGCATATAGTTGTTCAGTCAATGGCTTAGCGCACCACTCATTGGCACCAGAGCCTTCATTCATGTAAAGCCGACGATAGGGTTAGCACTGTTAAATCCAAAGCCTCAGTAAGATCACTCAACTTCGTCAGACAGTACTGTGCCAAGTTCATCTTCGATCTACGCTATTCAAAGGTCTATTACGAAAACTGGCCGTTACCTAGGCAGCTTGAATGGTTACCTAGACCCAACACCTACTATATCTACTATGTCGAAGGTATGGCTTATCAACGGTGCCAACTGCACAGAGTGTTGAATGCCTCGGACATGTCTCCTGAATATCTATATAAACATCCCAATCCTCCCAGCCAAGACGAACTTCGCTACAGCTTTCCTTACTCCAAACTCAAGGGAAACTATAAGCTCTAAGGTTACCTGCCTATCTACCCAGTCTCATTTACCATACTAAACGAAGACTCCTCACTTCTACATCAATACTCATACAACCCAAACTTCACACCAACACTCATCCAACACTTACTTCTCACCAACATAATCATCAATCACCATGCTCGTCAACGCCCGAGTCATCTTGGCTTCAGCCTGCCTACTCTCACCCACCTTGGGCCGAGTCCGAGCCCAAGAGACCGAAGTCTCTTGGCTCCGAGAGGCCACCAAGAACAACGACGAATCTCAGTCGAAGAATGAGGTCTATGATCCCGCCAACAACAATATCAGCGAAGTCAGAACCGCTGAGGGCCTGTAAGTTTCTACCTATGATCACACATCAAACAGCAGCTGCTAACCATGTATGCCTACATTTAGTGATATCTCCAAGGCTATAGCCGCCATCGACGCTGAGATAGATAAGCGCGTATCAATTGGAAAGGGCTGGCCGTTCTGGACTTACCCCAGCGATGACGACGATGATGACAAGAAAGACAATGGCACGGCATCTCACGGCATCAGTATTGGCAAGAGAGACTTGTCTCTCCCATTGTCTGCCGCCATCGGCCTGGCCGTCATGGCTGCGTTGCTCTAGGCGATAGGAGTTGTGGGCTATCTAGGAACTGAACGACATTGGTGTTGGCATTGGAGGTTCATCATTTATTTGGGTCTTGTGACAACCTGTAACCAACAACAGCTAGGCAGTCACCAATTTTCCCTAAATACTCCCCAGCGGGTTCATCAATAGAGCCCAATGTACCACTCTCCTTAAATAATTACTATATCTGCTCTTCTAAGTGACATGTGATTTCGAATTTAGATGTTGCGTAGCTCAACTAAGAAGTGAATATGATACTTTAGAATGCTCTACTGTTCTATGAATAGTGGCATATAGAACCACTTCAAGCTGTCTGGGCGTACGAGATGTCCAAGACTGGATTGTTTAGTACCATATCATAATGACGCCCCCTAAAATTATTGCCACGAGGCGTGCCAAGACAATCTAAATCAACCTTCAAGCGTACTCCTCACCGCCTCCCAAGTCTGTCTGTACAAGTCAATCTCCAAGTCCGACATACTCAGCGTGTGCAGAAGCGGCCACAGCGTCGAAGCCGAAATCATACTCGTCTGCATACTGCTCCACATCGTGCTCATCGTCGCCATAGAACTGCCCAGACTCCCCACCCTCTGTAGACACATCTCCGTCTCGTAGGCAAACCGCTGTATGCGCTCCCTCTCATTATAGCGCTCGTCCCGCTCTACGTACAGCCCCTTGATGCGGTTGATCAGGTCGTTGAGAACATGGTACAAAGCACCGACTATGTTAGGAAGTACGGTCAGCTCTACCCTAGGTTAATGAAATGCTGGGTCAGGACTTGGAACTCACTGGGATTCGACATCATCCGCTGCTTTTCTTCCTCGGCTTCCTGTATCTGTCGCTGGATATTCTCCAGCGTGATATAGAGCTCAGCGACCCGAGCTACGAGATTATCGTACAGGTTCGAGGTCATGTTATGCACTCTGTGAATGCTGCTGTAGCATCGATCAACCTTCGATCTTCCATCTTCTAGTCTGCGTAGGCAGAGATCATTGATCAGTTTCACAACACCCTTTAGTAGCTGTCTGTCGCTTCATTGAGACTCACGAGTTGATCCTTATTTCGCAGAACCTTTCCCACGCGGCTTCTTCGAGCGGCATGGATGGAATATCAGGCTGCTGCTCGGCGAATCTGCGCAATGCGTACAGGGCATCGGCCTGTGAGGGTATCGACTCTGCCGCGATCGTTTGCACGATATCGTCGCATCGCATAGCCATATCACCTGATCCGGCGTCCCTGAGTTGAACCTGTTAGTAAGAACGTATAGCTAACCCTTAGGAGGGCATCCATCTACCTGAGGTTGGAAGCAGCCCTGGAGTATTCGTTGACGATAATATCAAGTTCCGATCGTCGGGGGTACGCGCCTCTAACCGCTGGAGCACTGAATATCTCGCGGCACATGGTACGACCTATGCCCTGCATTGCTCCATCGGCAACAGCAGCCATGGACTTCACATCCGGTAATGGCTCTGCATATTTAGCTACTGCCGGCCCGTTCACCATCATGCTCATCATCATCGTCTTGAGCGGAGGCGCTGACTCTGTGTCGGCGAGTTTGGCGCCTGTGATGATGCTGATGTATAAGTCTGCAGCTGTGGAGACATTGTTCCATGATTCCAACGTCATGGCCAACATCTCTGGGGTGAAAAGATTTGGGTCCGACCTAGAGTGGGTACAGGTCAGTAATAAGCAATGCACAGAGGGTAGCAGTGCCGACTCACCAAGCAAGATAATTGTCTTTGACGTCTGACAGGCCTTCCGTCATGCCCTCCCAAGCCTTTCCAATCGCCTCAAACATAAGAGCGATCTCTGCAAATGCTGGAATGAGGGATTCGAGCTGGGTTTTGCTTTTCTTCGCACTTTCTATTCCTGCCTTTAGATTCGAGATTACACTAGGTTAGGCACAGGAGATGTTAGCAGGGAGAAGGACGGGAAGATTCTGAAGTGGTTTTCGGACTTACTCGGATATATTAGAAGCTTTAATTGCCATTACGATACACTCGTAGAGGGCAACGCCAGCGTGAGCCCCGAGTTCAAGCGCGACGGGCACGGCACCCATGCACAGAGCGACGCCTGCCCCTATTAAGAAACCAAGGGCAAGGATTCCAGAAATGATCGCGGTGGCTTTCTCAACTAATATCAATATTAGTATTAGGTGAGTGTGCTCAAGATGATGTGGAGATAGGGGAAGTATACAAGCATATTCCTTCTCTGCTTCGTAGAGAGCATGCTCTTGAGCAGCAATTTGCTTGACTACCTCGCCGAGGTTAGTCTGTAAAAGGTCGAGGAGATCCGCGAATTCCATCTTCAAATCGTTGGTCTCCTTGGCGAGGGCCTTTGCCTTCTGACCATATTTCTGCAACGGGGTTTAGTGACATCCTTATGCTATTACACTATGCTCTGCTCGTGTCTTACCATGACAAGTCCTGTATTGATCTGCAAGAACTGATCAAGTGTCATCTGGTCAGGCTTCCCTATAAGGGGTAGTAAACTCTGTATAAGAAGTCAGTATTGAGTAGCTGAAAGGGGCGTCGTACTAACCTTCGACAGGCGTCCATAGGCACTGATTTCCCCGACGATAGGGACACTTCGTTCTTGCAGTGCTTCATATTTCGTCTGCAGCCTTAATACTTGCTGATAGAGGCTGATGTCATTGCCAGTGCGGTCCTTGACTTTGAGAGCACTAGATCCGTGTATGAGCATGAGCATAACAATATTTATGAACACAACGACTGACTTGACATAGGGGAGGGTCAAGAAGTTGGTCAATGCCTCATTGATCTTGCCTTTCTTCGAACCAATGTCTACCAACAATGTCTCCAGGTATGAAGGGGGCCCGAACTTGTCGTTGACCTTTTGCTGATCTGCGCTGTTATTCATTGTGATGTCTTGAATGGTTGTAGGAATGGATGAAGATTATGTTCTGAATTGGTGCCGAATGGATATAGGTACACAATGAATGAATGAGAAGGTGGAAGATATGATGCTCTTTAAGATTATACCAATCCCGAGTAGAGTCCCTCCCTCCCGCTAACCTTCAAGACAATGCACATGCCAGTTCAATCCATTGCTTCAGTATACGAGTACGGTGATCCCGATTCTTGTCTAACCTTAGCTATCTCCCTCCGCCCTCAGCCGCATAGTATTCAGCCGATGCCTACCTATCCTTTGCCCGATCACAACAGGGATGTGGTCAGCTGTCATATATCACTCTGGCATATACCTATCACATCTCGAACTTGCATAGCGGCCCGCACCAAGCATCCCCTGGCGAGCTGAAGTGTTTAGAGGGCCTAGAAAAGCTGGCCATGCAATATACAAGCCACACCCCGAAGCTAGATCTAGATCTAGATCATTTGCACGATGCACTATTCCCTTTATTACCTAACCCACAGCTAGCAAGGTATGTCGGCGCGTTCCGGGTGTGCCAGATTCGGTATCGTGAGCATCATTCCTCATTTCTTTTTCTTTCTCCAATTACTCAACCACCCAACCACTCCTCTATCTCCATGCCTACCTCAGCTCCTACAGTTGCAGCTACTTATCCTCAAGCCCAATCATGTCGCGATTTAAACCCCCAAAGAAGCTACAGGCCGGGCGCTGAGGTCCAGATTCAGCACAGACATTCTTGATGTAGTCAAGTGGTTCGATGCTGTTCCAGAACTCGCGGCTGAATTAAAGTGGCATTCCTGAGGGTACGGCAACTCCCTCTTGCTGAGGCAGTTGTTTGTCGTAGTAGTGACACATGTCTACCAAGCCAGCTGACAACTTGGAATGTATCAAGATTTGAGTGCCTACCTCGGTAGGAATTGTGCCTGCCCTTCCGAAGGACTCGAGGCATATCGAAGATTGAAGGGCTGGGTCCGAATGACCTTGTCGACTAAGAAAAGTATTTAGTCAAACGCAGCCCTACGTCCTTTCGAAGTGTTTCTATTATTCAAAGCAGCTCAATTCCTTTGACCTTAGCGATCAGCATCCTCATTTTTCAGCAAATTATTTTATCAAGTTTCTACAGCGAACATACTCGCGATAATGTCATCTACAGCACCCCAGACCGATGATGTCAGCCGACCTCCGGTGGAGAGTGTTGAAGATGTCGCGACTTTGCTTGGCGCACCGGCAAACCTCAGCAGTCTTCTCTCGAACTCTGCCAAAGTGTACAAGACTGTGACCGCCAGTGCCATCAGTATCCTGGAAAAGACTGCAGTCGATCTGAATGCATTCGCGAGCGCGGACCCGGAGGACAAGAGCACAGGCATGCGCCAGCTCATCGAGACAGTGAAGGCCGACTTCAACCGATTCGCCGACAGAGAGGTTGATCTCTGCAAGAATCTCAAGTCATATAGCATCTTGCTCAACACCTTGGTACCGAGACTTGGAGTTTCCGTGTAAGTACTATATCCCCTTTAACCTGCCTGCTGGGCAGACCTCTCTCCCTGCAGATCGACTCGATATGGCAATGGAGTGCTAACATAGTCAAAGACTTGCAAAAACTGTGAATGTTCGGGTTGAAGCTTTCCGCAAAGAAATGAATGCGGATGCAGACGAGCGTGCGGCTCGTGCAGCCCAGGTAAGAGATTGCCTGCCTACCTCTTCCAAATCCCTCGATGCCTACCTAAGTCATTGTTACTAACCCCTAAACACTAGATTCTCAAGCACGTTGACACTCTCGACGCTCGCATAACCGAGGCGGCATTCAGAGTAGCAGTGCTAGGCCAACAAGCCGACGCAATGGACGAGCAGCTGCGGCACCAGAATGTAGGGCGAATCCTCATCAACGCCCTCAAAGCCCTCTTTTGCCTGGTAGACGACGAAGACGGCGCCCTGACACAGCTGTCCATCATCTTGGGTATCGCGAAGAGCTTTCTGCAGGGCGACTTCGACATGTTGTTCAAGAATAAGAAGGAGATGCAAGCCTTCATCGACAAAGTCAAGGCCCTGCAGGCCACCCTCGAGGCGGTCAAGCAGTCCATGAAATCGATGTCTGGGGGCATGAAGACCTCAGTTAGTGCCAATGCCGCCCTTATTCGTGTCTGGGACATCATCGCGGAGAACACTGCCTCTCTCCGCACCAGTGCCGAGGAGACTGTTGGCGCGCCCGATCAACTCAAGATCAAAGTTAGTTGGCAGAAGGCGCAAAGTGCGGCAGACGAAGCAATCAATACAATCACAGGGGGCGCAACCCTTTCAAACACCTGGTCTACTGAGCTCAGGGCCGCCACGAGCAGCGTGGCACAATCTTCTGTTCCGTTTCCCACATCGCGAGCGGAATTGGAGCTCTTCACCCTGGCTGGAGACGTAGGTGTCGATCAGTAAGCAATTCTGATGGATCGAATGGCTGAGGCCGAACTAGATAGCTAACGACGTGCTTAGTATGCTAGTCGAGCCCAAGAAATACAACGCATTAACTCACCTAGCACAAGTACCCCAGATCACCGAGAAATACTTCACGGTGTTCTCAAATATGGCTGCAAATTCAGCAGATTCAGCCTCCGATGACTCGCAGAAAAAGATAGAGGAGATCATGAAGCAGCTTGGGTAAATACGCATATCCCAGCACTCATTGACTATGTCGCGCCAGTTACTAACAGGTGCCTCTAGCCCGCCAGCCACAGAGAGTATCAAAGAACAGCTGAACACACTCGCTGGAGATTGCAACCAGGTCAAGAACACCTTCTCCAACATTCTCCAGGTCCCCTTTCTCCAGAACCTGAGCATCCTCAACCCGTTCAAAGTCGGAAATTCCGAGGAGAAGGATTCTATCAACATGCGTGAGGTTGTGCAGCGCTACAAAGATGTAAGTACAAGTTCACATAAGGTATCCATATCGTCCTAGGTTGGCTGACCAGCACCAGAAATACGACAGCCTGCAAGACAAGACTGTGGTGGCGGTAAAGGGTCTCATCGCCTATTCCACCATCCAGATTGCACTGCTGCCCCGCGTGGAACTCGACGCCGAGAAAGCGGCCAACCTGAAGGTCGGCGATGGCAAACTGTCCGTAGATAATTACTACAAGGCTTGCAGCAACGCGATCAGCAGTCATCTGGCGAAGGCAACCGAGATACGTCAGGAACATACCAGGTTCCTGAATGAGTGGCAGAAGGCGCAGACCAACATTGTGCAGAGGATTAACGAGTGCAAGGCCGTAAGTCAAGTCCAGTCTCTTCCGTCATTGCCATGTATGCTCTTGGCCACTAACGTTTGATATCCCACCAGACGGCCGCGGACCTGAAAAAGCGCATCCAGGAGAAGAACGACGAGTATCGGCACAAGACCATTTTCGGTATTCTCGAGATCATAGGAGGTCTGGCATGCTTTGCGATTGGCTTCTGCCTGCCTTTCATGGCCCCTATTGGTGAGTCTCTACTGCAAATATCCCTCATACCGAAATAAGTTACTTAAGCGATACAATTGCAGCATGGGGTGTTGGAGTTTCCTTAATTGGTGTGGGAATCCAAGAGTTGGTTGACCGCGGCTTGGTGAGTAGATATAACTTGTCTGAGTAGGAACCTTGGAGGTCACTAACATTAATATCCAGATCGACGATGCGATAGCAGAGTTGACAAGCCAGTTCAACGCTGCCACCTCTGCAGCGAATCAACTGGAGATGTGAGTTTCTTATATATCTACCTCTCTTAATATTGCCCCCCCCCCCCCCCCCCCCCCCCTAAACAAGCAGCTGGGCAAAAATAAATGGCTAACCCCCTTAACAGACTCAAAACGCCCTTCCAAGCCGTCGAGTCCAAGATCCAAAATCTCGTGGGCATTTGGAACGGCATCGAAGACTCCCTCATGAAGATCAACATGAACGTTTCCACGCTCCAAGGCGCCGAGCCCGGCGTCATTGAGAACATTTGGAGCGCCCTTCTCCCAGTGGTAAAGTCACATTCACATCTCCATCCATTAGACCGAACCTATACAGTTCTTCATGGCTGACATTGACCGTAGAATACCAAGAACTGGCAGGACTGCAAGAATATGTGTACGCAGTATGTCAATGCCATTGCTTGATGAGCTTTTTTCGGGAGGGGACAGGATTAGCTTTTGGATATATAGGTAGCTACCTAATCTAGGCAGGTGCCTAGGGAGGTAAAGATGAAAGGTGGCATCATGAAGCAATAATGAAGGTATTAGGACAAGGGATTAAATGGATGGAGTTGGAGCCATCTAGTTTAGGAAAGACTGCAAGACCTTATAGTTACCTAGTAGGTACCTAATTAACGTGTGGTACTTAGGCGACATTCGCGAGACGATGTGCAGACAATGATTGACTTCCGTAATTAAATAAACTAGGATACATTGACTACCTAGTAGTTACTGGATAGTAGGGTGTAGCCTTCAACGACTATGCTCAAGACTCAGTCAACACCACTGGTCTGAAACCACCCGTCCTCTCCATCATTATTGCCTAGGTATTGAGAGCCCAGATCCATCGACTGACGCCGAAGATGCAAATGCAATCCAGGTATCTTCTTACCCCCCACATGCCTATCCATCCGTCCCCCCAGGCGGTCCTTTCATTCATCCGGTACCTCCCTAGTACCTAGGTGGTTAGGGGGTGAAGTGTATCAAGACCGCAAGTTCACAAGGTTATTAGGTACAAGAGCAAAGCAACTGAGAAAAGCAGGAAAGAAATCAAGGGTATCAATTAAAAGCAAAGTGTCATGGCAGCTATAAGATCTCGAGTGAAATGCGGCGAATGTCTCGAGCTGCAATTGGGGGGTTTGGTTGTCTTGTGACAATCCACCCTACCAGTCCATCTCCCCTTTCTCCTCCCCCTCATCAAGTACCGTTATCTGCCACCAGGATGAAAATAAATAAAAAAAAGTAAAAAGACGAAAAAGAGATCCAGCTAGCATACACCGGACCTAGCATCATGTTTCTCGAGACTCATAGGCAGAGCGAGAGCTTGGAGTATAAAGACGCAGTAGTCACGGGCGACATCCGCGCCCATATAAGTAATATTCATTTGAACTTTCGCGGTCCTCTCAGGTACGATCCGAAAGCAACTTCATTGTGATCAAGTCGTGTGGGGCTGGCTGCTCGACAACCTAATTGACGGGAGGCTTGACGTCCTGGGCTGCTAGCTCTTTCTCTTCCTCTCCCTTCATCTTCGAAGCACGTCGTCGTCGCTTGCGACCCATGTTGCCGGTATTGGCCTGGTTGGCGACGTCGGCCTGGTTGGCGACGTCAGCCTGGATGGCGGCATCGGCAAGGTAGTCGCGGTAGGCCTGGTTGACGTGATCGACGTGATTGGTGACGTTAGCCTCCTTGATTGCACACACGTACTTGGTGCCCTCGGTAATCGTGATCCAGTAGGCAATGGTGCGAATCATGCCCCATACAGTGTTGTCCATCAGGTCGTCAGGATGGCGTACGGGGAACTGTATGCCGGATACTGAGGTCTCTTGGTGGGTCTTAAAGGCCTGGGTATAGAAGGCGACAGCGTTCTTCAACGTCTGGTGGGTGGCTTTCTTCAGGGGTAAGTAAGGCCATGGGCCTGTCTGCCACATCACCTTCCAGAAATATTCACTCATATCGTTGCCGTCATATAACTGGATTCCAATTTTGAATAGTTTGGTGATGCCAAGGATATGGTCTCTTATGATGTTGGTTTTGTCCTCGCCCAGCAGGAGAGCTTCTGCCATGGCTATGGCGTCTTGTCCCTCTGGCAGCTGGCAGTTGCGGAAGTCGAATCCGCGCACTCCAGTCAACAATTCGACGCAATCTTTCGCTGTCCATTGAGGTACATTGGCCTTGGGTAGTAGCTGGTGTCCCACTAGGACGTGATTGGAACCCTGATCATTCGGAAGGCCGGCCATATTTCCTTAGTTTACCGACAGATATGTTTTAGAATGTCGGCCAGGTGAAGGGAGTTGGCTTCGAAACGTGTCTTCCAATGAGACGATTAATTCACTAAGAATGCCTGGATGGACATTTTTTTCTCTCCTAGAGCCTTCGTACTATAGGTCAGTTATCAAATGGACGATAGCAAAAGAAACAGAATCAGGAAACAAGTAAAGAGGATTGGAAATTAGAAACTATTGACGGGAGGGTGTTATGTATAAATTACGTACCAGGGAGTTGTTGAAATGAGATATGTGTGTGCAAATCAGAACAGAAAGATCGTACTTTTATGAATGAATCGAGATGAATCTGTACTATTCACTTTGTTCCGACGCAATGTGCGCTATCGATGTACGTGTCAGGCGGCTAAACCGACAGACTTCACTACGTCGGCGTTCGATCTGATGAAGTTCAAAATTGTTAGTTAAGAATTCCTTCTGTCTTGAACAGGAGGTGGTGAAGGTAATGGTGTTAGAAAGAGGAAAAGAGACGTTGAGATAAAAAACGGAAGTGTTGCTCAACCTAACCTAGGATTGGCGATATAAAATATGAACACGAAAAGAATAGAAAGCGGATCAATATACTAACATACCTTTCTTGATCAAATACGAAATAGAGGAGTGTGAGGTGAAGGTTATGATTGTTGAGTGGATGTATGTGCGGACGGTTGGGTTCGCAAAGAAGAAAAGAAAGAACGTTGTGTTGTATTGTGTTGTGTAAATTTTAATGGGACAGTCTCTGGGTGTTGGTGGGTGGGAGGTATTTATATTATTTCATTGTTCTACTACCATATACCTATATAACTGAGGCTTCCGGCGCTCCTTCCTTACTTGATATCAATGCTAAAAGATCCATGGATAGCTTAGATGTGTACTTAAGTGACATAGTTAGCTAGAGCTTTATGAGCGACGCGGGCATGCCTAGATCATATACGTATTCTCGCCCTGACTCCATGTACTGTACCTAATAGCAGTCACTAGACACTCATTTCCGCAATGAATGTTTATTCTTAGTAGCAAACTCTCGTTCCTGCCCATGAAGAGAAGAGATACGAGGCTTGAAGATGCAGTTGCAATGCTGAAAGAAGGGGGATGGAACAAGTTACACTGTGAAATCAACAGTTTACCGTATCATACATGGTCGGTACCTACAACAGCTGACCCATAATTGAGCCCTAGGTGCTTGCCTAGTACCTATAAGTAGGTACCTATCTACATATGACTGGTACCTCCAGGGCTGTTAGCAAATTTACTGGGCCCTGGTAACCAGATACCAAGGAAATAAATTCAGGTAAACAACGTGACTTCCTAGAAATATGTACATACATATCACCCTTACGGCCTTCATATCGTTATCAACTTCAAGTGCTAGTCCAGGGGTTTAGTCCCGGAGCATACCTATTGTCTGTAGATACCTAGATAGGTTCAATTTTATTCCCTTAGACGTTAACAAGAATATGTTACTAGTAATGTATAATACCCAATGTAGGTATTTAACGTCCATACTACATAAGTCGTCTTAGATGAGGTGCTCTGATGGGTATCACGTGATGTTAAATCCAATCTTGTCACGTGTTACCCCTTCAGCAACCATACCAAAGTAGATAGCTTACTTCCTCACTTACTTAGGTCATCTTTTCCTTTATCTTGATGTTATCCAGACTATTTGACGTCTGCCCTACTCATAAGTCTTCATAAAACATAACACTAAAAGAGCAAGCCTGTACTTCAGCACATCAATAATTGAAAGGATTGAATTGTTATTGAGCTAATGTTAGTCATGAATGACAAATATTGGAATACCTACCCTACCATGAAAAGCATCGCTTCTACCTACCTACTTATTCAATAAAAACTCCGCTTGCCAAATCATTTCCTTAACGATCTGAAGACTAAGCCCCCCTTATTCCAATTGCCAACAAGCTTGTTCTTGAAACGTCGGAATCGGATCATTAAGCGTGTATCCTCCTCCCTCCTCTTTGGCGAGATACGAGATGACTCAGATGATACTGATGGCCTGATCTGATCTGTATTCTTCTCCGAATCTGATCCCATTTCGTTATTAATACGATTTCTGGCAGACGGAATATTGGAATATTCGAACTGACCATTGTACTTGATCAACTCTCCACCAGACTTGATATCATTATCGTCGTTAATATAGGCGACGGAGCTGTTGCTAAGTGATAAGATATGAGGGCTCAATGCTGTGCTTTCCATAGAGAGTTGAGCAACAGGGCTAACAGGGCTCTTCAATTTTCTAAGTTTAGATGAGCTTCCATCCTCCTCGGGTTCAGTCTCCACCGCCTGGACCGTTTTGCAATAGCCGTCTTTCAGGATATATCCCCATCTCCATTTCATTAAGTCACCTTCCATCGGCGGGTCCCAATATGTCTGGAGATAGGTCTTCCGATTCCATTCATCTATAACACGCTGAAGATAGTACTTGGTGTGGATCGCTTCCTCAAAATCGAGCGGTATGGGATACCGCTGTGCAGCTTCCCTTGACTTGGCATAGAAGTGTATGATATGGGGGAGGTATTTCTGTGCAACTGATTGGTCATGGTGATATTGACGAATCATAGCTAGATTCTTCTTAACGTCCCGCCAGAATGTCTCTGTACCCAGCCATCCGGGCCCACGCCGACTATACACGCCGTTGCAACATTTGAAGAGATCCCATATACCACTTTGAATCTCTAAGTCTGTGGCATCTTGGATGTATCTATTGCGACTCCCGAGGAGAACTACATTCTAGGCATAGGCCGGGACCTCGATCCGTAGGAACTGGGTGCTGTAGAATAAGTACCGTAGACACGTGACTTTGTCGAAGATGGCTCTCTCGACGGGACATTGGCGGGGCAGTTCGAAGAGAGGCTCGACACTTCGGATAGGCTGTCCTGTTGGATATACAGACGAAAGGGTAAACATGCTGGCTAGACAGTCTTATACACGGGCAAGCATTGCACGAATCCCTGGATACCTAGTTAATATGGTATTGATGGAGTTAAGAGGATACAAATTGTGAGTAAAAGAATCGTGATGCTCCTAGGAATAAGGAGTCCATGTGTTCGTACAGGAGGGATACAAAAGAAAGCACAAAACCGGAAGAGAGAGGAGTCCAGTTTTGAATGAATGGCAGAAGGTTGCTATGGAATCTAGGTTGCTCTTGCCTCATCTTAGATATTATGTAGATACGAAGTACATACGCAACTTCGCAACTTCTGTTATTAATTTGATGAGTTGAAAGTTACATGTCGTTATGGTACAAGTTGGTACTAGGTAGAAAAGTTTTGCACCCTTGCTAAGTACCATGTAGCGGGAACTAGGGGGAAGGAGCGGCCCTACAGAGTGTAAAGCCCTTAAAGATGAGTTGCACAGGCGCGTGCAGTCCCCATTCCCCGCAAAAAGCCACTAAGCCTAGACCGCACACCATGGCAAAACTTTCCATTCCATTTTCCATTCCTTTTTATTTCCTATTTCCTTCTCACCCTCCACCAATCTTTATCACTTCAATCAATTACTCAGTGAAACAACCTAAACAACTCGAAAAGAACACACAAGTACAAGAACGGTCCAAAAAAATAATACACAAATTAAAGATCCAACTCGTTTACTGGAAAAAAAAAAGACAGAAAAAAACGGAGGATACATGCAATTAACTACTCAGTCAATCAATGGAATCTGAAAATCCCCTTTCACCATCAACAAGTCAGAACCGGCCCAGAGAGGTCCACACCAAGCACCTCACCGAGCTCGAACGCTTTCGCGTGCGGACCCTCTACTATGACGCCGCCATGAGCAAGAAGCGCATCTCCGAGGTCACCAACTACTCTCTCAGCCAAATCCGCACCGCTATTCGTGCTAAGTCCGCTGCTGTACCGCCGCGTTCTGGCCGTCCGAAAAAGGGTACTTGGCCCCCCTTTTCTCATCCCCTTCAACCAAAGTTCTTTATTTTATTTTTACTCCGTAGACATAGGGAAACGAAGTTAGATATGAGAAGAAACCTAAAGCTGACTCTTCATCAGAACGTGATGTCCAATCACCCGCGGATGCGGACGGTGCTGGCTCATCTGCTCAAGGGACGCCCGCAAAAAAATCCAGCACCTCTACCTCTGCAAAGGCTCCACAAGCACCAACCAAGAAGAAGCGTAAATCCAGGGCCAAGATATCTCTCTTCAGCCAGCTCCCTCCTTCCGTACGGCAGTACATATGGTACCTCGTGCTCACCCTCCCCCCACCCTCCACTTCCACTTCCCCTTCTCTCTTACCTCCCTCCCCAACCCCATCCTCCGCCCTCTCCCTCCCCTTCTGGCTCACCCCTCTCGCGCACCCTCCCCACCTCCTCGCCGGCGTCTTCCCCGAGCACTGGGCCACCTGCATCCCGCTGTACCAGACGGTACGCCAACAACGGGCCCGCGTCCTCGGCGCCGTGAACCGCGAGGCGCGCCGCGTCGTCCTCGACACCCTGACCCCCGTGTGGTGCGAGTCCGGGCAGCGCTGCCTCGGCGCCTCCGTCCCCGTCGTCTGGCTCGACACCCTCCACGACAACCTGTACTACCGCGACAGCGGCGCCGTCGACGACCTCGGCGCTCTGCTCGAGAAAGCACGAGCGGCGGTGCTGCCGCCGCTACCGCCGCCGCCGCGGGTCATCGGTCCGTCGACGCCGAACCGGGGGGCCCCTGCTGGCGGTATCAAGATCATCAGCGGTCCTAGGTTCCAATAGTACCTACCTAGCAGAAGTATCATGCCTACCTACCTACTTAGTAGTGACGTCAAAAGAGTGAACGCGAAGTGCTATCTACTGCTACATGTAGAGGCAGGCATCTTACTACTAAGTCGTGGGAACCCATTGTACACACATGTACTTTTATGTGAATATTCGCCGTATTCCATTGCATCTACGGATTCTTTCTTATTTCAGGTAGCGAATGGCTTTCAGGGTTGCATTGTTTACTACCTGCCTAGGTTAGGTACCTACTAGGTAGAGTACCTAGCTAACCTACTACGCAATCTACCTTGACTCGAGTACCTAGGGGCATGATCAACAACAATTATTCATTCAGCATCTGCAGTCTTCAGAACACTTCTACAAGAAAGTTTGCATCCACGATCCATATGATTGATTTCGTCAACTACCTAATGCATGTACCTCTTTGCCTAATTGCTTGTCTGCCTGCCTAAGTACACATTCAAGGGTTGGGGGGTGCTGTGCTAGTACCACAAATTCATTTCGCGAAGACTCCTCCGCAATGCAAACCGCATAGTCATGATCCGCCGACAATATCACCTGGTTCGGGGGTATATGTAAGGAGGCCAACATATTGGATATTTCACACCCATCCTAATCCAAAGCAAACCGGACTTTCCCCTAAGGCCGCACCGGTTCAGTCGATTGTACTGGGTCGCACTCCACACCCTCGATCATCTCGATATCCTCACTAGCACCTGTAGCATTCTGGGGCTCAGGCTTGGGACGTGGGGGGATATCGACTAGCTCGTCTTTCATCTCATCTCGGACGTAGGCAACATAGTAAGGGTCGCCGGTCTCGTTCAGGTCGTTCAGAACAGCTTCTGTGCCACGGCTATCTTCCGTGACTGTCTCGTCGTTGAATCGATACCAGATGTTGCGTTCGAAATCTCGAATCCACACCCAATAATGACCGGCAGATGTGCCGCCCCGATGACAAATCACAGCGTGAATGCTGTACTTCTCTTTCGACAATCCCTCAAACGCGGCTTGTTCCTTTTGCCGTAGCTCAAGTAACTCTTCTTGATGCATCTCGTCAAATGGCTTGCGGGTCTCCCACAAAATGTCACTGAACTTGTCCGTGATCGAATGGCCTGTCGGTGATGGAGCCTTACTCATTTTCCTCGAAAGGGCAGACTCTGGAAAGTCTGGAAGCTTTCGCTTTTTGGTCAAGTTCACATCCTCAGCAAAAGCTTGCCGTAAATCAGTTTCATTAGAGGCGTCTTCAAGTGCTGCTGTGGCCATATTAGCCAACTCTTCGGCATCTGTGTGATTATACTCTTTATAGTCAGGATATGTGGCCTTATTGTGTGAAGTATTGGGATCAACAGTCGCCTCTATAGATTGTATAGGGGCGTTCGGAGTATTGTTAGCAGATTTACCCCCGAGCTCCTTCAGGCGTTCCTTAATCGCCCAAGTCCTTTTGCGAGCAAGCCAAGCATCCGATCCCTTCTCGGCATCCACGTAACGATCAAGAAAGAGTATCTCTGGAATGATGACAGGGTTCATGTTTTTCCCCTTTGGTGTGCTACGTTGGATGCAGATATGCACAATTGGCGGCAGTGTCTTGATGCTACTATACCGAGCGCGATTACCATCATCGAACGGTTCGTACGAGAAGTATCGATCTAGAGCTTCGAATAACGTGCATTTCACGTTAGACCTCATAACCGAGCTATTGCCTGTTCCTTCCGAGGGTACGTCGGCTTCTTCTGGGTATGCCGTTATCCATCGTTCTGGGACAATTTCGACATTCAAAGGACTTTCTTCTAAAGCAGAAGCTAGTCTGTCAGTTAAGTCCCGCCTCTTCGTCTTAACGGTATAATTTACGATCGTGGTGAAGAATGTCTTCGTAATGGCATCGGCTTGTAAGTCGGGCTTCTCTGGCATTGGGCCATCGGCACGGATTGCTCGCATCAAGTGTTCGAGTATATTACCGATGATTTCTCCCACATCCTGTTGTGACGTTCCTGAGCGATCAGAATGCTCCAGTCGACGTGATACCTGTGCGATTCTCTCCTCGAGAGACCAAGGCACGGCAGAGTCATCCATTTTTACATCATCTTTTATTTCCTCGACAACAGCTGGTTTCTTGTCTACCGTTTCTAATTGGACGTATGACATTGGCGTGTCCTCAACTTCGTCTACTAATGTTTGCGAGCTCCGGGAACTAGCCGTTTCTAAGCTTTCGTTCACTGATTCAACTGTGATGTTAACCGTGTCTTCAGGTCTTTTCTGAACTGCATTACCATCTGCTTCTGAAACGGCCGGTGCAGCTGGTGATGGGCGGGCTGGCAATGGCGGAGGTTTGCTCTGGGATTCTTGTTCAAGAATGTCCCTAGCAGAAGAGAGTGCGGTATTTGCAAGCTTTTGTGAAGGCTGAGCAGCGGACTCTCTCGTCGTTTGCAACTCAGAGAATAAGCTCTGAAGCATCTCCACGACTAGACATAGATCAGCGCTTTTTCATATAAATAATGAAATATGAACATCCTGCGGATACTTACATTGCCTAGCAACAATAGCTTCTTCAAGGCTAACAGTGGTACCATTCCCACCCGTTCGGCGTTGCCGAACCACGTCCTCGTCAAGCTCAAGTTTGACCTGATCATAATTGAGAACTAGGTCACGCACAACCCTGACGCTGTAGAAATATTGGAGGAGACTATTCAGATAGCAGGTGTTGCCGATGTTTCTCAGTCCAGGAGGGTTGTCCATAGAGGTTGCTGAGTTTGATTCAAGTTGCGATGGCAGTAACGGTAACCCTCCAGTAGCACCTACAAATTCGGCCAGTTGCCTCAGTTCTCTTGCTTCTTCCGGCATATCCTGCTGGCTCTTGAGTTCAGATAGCACCATGATAGCTTCGACAACCTTATTGCGATCGACGCTTATATCCTAATATATCAATCAGAGGAAAGTTGATAGCCTTATTGGGTCTGAATAACTCACTTGTACTAACTGATCAACAAAGCCACGAATAATCTCGGCAGTATAGTTCGGTTCCACATTCAGGACTTTTGCTGCGGAAGATATACTCATCCTTCCCGAGCTATTAGACGCGGTATCTTCTGTCTTTGCTAGTGCCGCCAGGTCGATTTGGCTCACAATATCTTCTCCTAGATGATTGCCGATAACCTCAAGATGTTGTTGAGCAATGGCCTTGAAGTCATCGGTTGGGTTAGATCTAGCCATGACATAGTACATCTCCAGAAACCATGCAGATGCCTGAATATCTTTCGTTGAGGATCCGAAAAACTGCAAAGCCTCTTGTAGCTTTATGTTGGCAGGTGTTCCACCATCAAACTGAGATTTGTATATGATGATTTCGGTCGATGCATCATCGTTCCGGTTACGAATGCAGCGGAGTCCAGCATCCAAGTACAAGTCACGGTCTCTAGGGCGTAATTTAGCTAGGGTTATAGCCGACCAACTGAACAGTAAAGGCTGATAGTCTCCAAGGCAGCCTAACAAGGCCAAGTCTTGCTCCGCGGTGGAAGATGTATAAACCATATCAACTTCATAGTTTGGGAAATCTCCTTGAAAGGCCTGTAGTAGCCAATCCCAGGCAGGGCTTGTGTGTGACCCGGTGAGAATATCAAGCTCTACTTGAGCATCTTCCATACGAGCTCTCAGGGTTCGAACGAACGTCGGCTTCTGTTGATCGGATGGACAGGTAATAAACCAACACGGCTCGCCGGTCTCGGCATCCTCTCCCTCGTGGAACCCGACAAATTTGAGAAGATCTTCAAAGTCATTGCCAATGCTGACAAGGAATCTCTTGTTACGTTTATTAATTTTCAGTTGCTTCTGACTGTTATTCTGCAATGCATCGTGGAGGTATGTGCGGAGTATGGAGTCCGCCCGAGCCATAGCGTCGGTAAAGTCGACATAGCGTTCCGGGTCATTAGCCCGGGCAACTGCCAAGTTACGCGCAGTTCGTTTCGGGTCACTGAACTTTATCACATGCTCCAAGGAGATCCTGGGCAGTATGCTAAAGATCTCGATGTTGAAGAAGCATTCATCTACTCCGCAGATGTAACGAATATGGCCAACAGTGTCATTGTAGGAGTCCTTCTCAGATCCAGTATTATAAGTAGACGTACGGCAAGGAAGTAGCATGTGATGAAGATGGTCCCCAACGTTTTGTCGAGACTGTTGGAAGTCGCTTTTCACGTGAAAGTGATAGCGACATCGGGCACACACCGTGGACACGAAGGACACGTGCTGCTCACGGAAGGACTGGGATGAGACCAAAAGCATTTCATGGCTGCCACAATTAGATGACAAGCAAAGCTCCTCTAGACGACATCCAAGGAAATGACGGAATAGACGGGGAGATGTGAGGGCTTCTGCTTTAGTCAGTATGGCTCATATATGGATGCTGCGGTAACAGGGGATTCAGGAGACTGAGTAGGCACACGCACGTTGAGGATCCGTGTCGTTCTGTACTTTATGTCTAGCCGCCGACTGTAGTTGACGGAGCTCGGCCACATCGGCCAAGTCATACAGGGACGTCATCTTAACCGTAGTCTTGTGCTAGTATAAGTTCCAAAGGTTAGCATGGTGATACATAAAGTCTTGATATGGAAACTCATCATCAGAAATGCCGATGATAACATGTGCAAGCCCTCGTCTGATATAAGTTATAGAGACGACGATAGCCACAATAATCGGAGGGGTACGTCATAATTCAGATAAGAATCAAAGAATAGAGGCGAAATACTTAAAACAATAGGGATAGATAGATGGATGAATGGGCAGCATAGAGAATGAGATATTTCAAACCTTGGAAGTTTAGACTAAGCAACGTTTAGCGTTTTCGCAGTATTTCTCATGATTGGGCGACTAGGTAAGGATCAAATGACATCGATCATCTATTTTATAAGAGGATACATTAGCCTCTAAGCGCAATGTTGAAGATGCATGCCGACTACATAGGTATGTATGTAGCATAGCAGTATATAAGGCGGGGTGTGGATAGACATGAATATGTGTAGGTATTTTAGACATGGATGAACAAGGATGAGCACTACCTACCTGATGATAGGTAGGGTAATAGTAGTTAGTATAGTACCTACTAGGTTAAGTTACCAACTATCGTATACCATGTATGGCAATTCTGAAGCTCCCCGGATGCAACCGATTGCTGGGTCTACCTAAGATCTGAATAGTAACGAAAAGTGATCACGAAAGGCAATCAAAAAGGAAAGTCAACAGATAAGATTCAGGCGGGATACTCCGGATGATAGTGGGTGATATGTTAAGTAGTGAAAGATATTCCCTTAGTAAGACGAGGGAACGGACGATGGAGATGGATAAATGAAAAGTTGTTGATGAGTTTTGCATGTGGTTTTATTTTTTAAGACAAACAAGGCTGATGGGCTTTCAAGTCAAAGAAAGGATTGATACGGGCAGGTAGGTACCTTGGGCTATTGTGTTGCTGCGCTCAAGTGCTGCTGTCATGTGCGCTGCCACTGCATGTATGTACCTAACATCATTTGAACTTGTATGTTGGCGGAAGGCGTACAGTGTGTAGGTAGTAACTATTAATTAGGTAGATAGGGTAACTACTTCAATGTTGATTTAACATTTGAACCTGTAAAATTTAAATACCTAAGGTAGGTGGTAAGGTACCTGTACCTAGTAGTTATCGCGGGGCTTCAATTATTTGAATGTTTCAGCAACATCAATCAATGACTGAACACCATCAATTTCCAATTGCCCCGCCACGGACTATACTACTTCCGCCAATCTCAGCAGTTACATAGTACTAGGTACCTAGTACTAAGTTAGGTAGTACAACTTAAACTCAGGCACCTAGTAACTACGTATCATCAGCCAATAGGTACAATTTCGGTTAATTGCCTAGACCTTAATGAGCCAGTCAAGTTTGATTCAATTGCGCAAGTTTGCAAAGCTCAAAAGCTTGGAACCCCATCAATCCCCCAACTCCCTCATTCTTAATTCTTCCCTTATCATCACGACTTTTACTGATATATAACAATCTCATACTCCCCATTACCTCCCCATTACCCCATTACAAATCAAATAAGCCTCTTTGGAGCTCGAGGGACAAAATGGCGGATTCGGAGGAGCCCACCTTCCACCAACATGATGCTCTCCGTTCCGGCATGAAAGGCGCGATGTTGGGCGGAGGTGCTGGCTTCGCCATGTCAGCTGTTCAGAACTCGCTCGCCAGGCGCAATCTAGGCGCCTTTGGTGTCTTTACCAGGACAGGGAGCACAATTGCTATATTTAGTACGTTCCCATAACATGTTTGGATACCAACAATCTTGTCGCCGGCTAGAGCGGCTATAGCTTCAGCTACCTCATGAAACCTTCGAACCAACAAGGGCTAATACAACTGTCTCTTCACAGCTGCCGTTGGCGCTGTATACGGCTTTGGTAAGGATGCAGCCGCCAACCTACGAGAGAAAGATGACACATTAAATGTGACAATCGCTTCTTTTTTTAGCGGAGCAACCATTGGCTTAAAATGTATGTTATAATCGCCTTTGACTTTGATCTTCTTGTTAACACAATATACACTACACTCTGTACCCTATACATTATACCCTATGCTAACCTCTTCCTTCCAAATAGCTGGTCGTATGCCGCATATTCTCGGTCTCGGTGCGGCTTTCTCCATCGTCATGTCGACCTTTGAATATACAGGCGCCAGTCTGCGTGGTAGTCGCCGCGCTGAGATCCTTGAAATGGAAGAGTATGACCGCAAGGAGTATTTGCGCAAGAACCGCCGGCGACCTATCGAGGAGACAATCGCAAATATCGGAGAGGGCAGAGGTACGAATACATGACTTAACCTTTACCTAAGCATATTGTGGCGCCTTATGAAACGAGTATCTAACGATAAGTTATCTATAGGGATCAAGCCTCCGGGCTACGAAGAGCGCAGACGAGAGCGCTTGAAGGAGAAGTATGGCGTTGAGATCAACCCCGTCTCGGCGAGCCCATAATAAACAAATACTACTAAGCAAGGGTCGGGATTGTAATTACCTACCTAACTCATATTCCCCAAACGCCAGCAGTTCCCCCAGCTCCTCTTAACTTACACCAGCCATCTACAACGGCAACACCATCCGTACTATACGATCTCATCCACTCTTAGGGCAAGGGCAGAAAGGTCCACATGCTAGGAGGTACAAAACAAACTTGTACATAAACAAGAAATCAGATTTTTCCAATGTTCTCTTCATTGACGAACTAGCAATTCCTTCCCGCATATTGCTTCTCCCTCCTAAACACCAACCAAAGCTACACATGTAGGTAATCTCTCAAATAAGAGCTTCTGAAGACATTGTGGTAAGCATGCTTTCCCTCTTCCCCCTTCTGCCTACCTACCTACACCTTCCCGCAATGCCAGATATCGAAATGATGAAATTTAAGAGGCTGTTTATGACTCGTGTTTCACGAGCATGATTCATCATACTCACCACATTGTTCTATATATTTTCCTGATACGATCTCTGGCATTGCAATTCTGCTACTTACGATCATCAAACATGCATTCAATACCATCTTCAGTTGCAGTTTTTCAACTAACAAGGGCATTCTTCTAGGTCGTCTATGATTCACGTGCTTTACACCAACGAACAAATGCCTGTCTCACTCATTTGATTATGCTTGTACTAATAGTTAAACCGACTGGCCTTTCTTTTGCATTGCATTACCACCTGCCTATCTGTCTGTTCTATTTTATCATGCCTTTGTAATCTGTCGAGTCTGTTTATTTTAGACACAATCATAGTAGCAGCTACCTACCCTAGGTATTAAAAAAGGTAGCTGTTCAATCCTAGTATTCAGGATATGCATTCGTTCCCTAGAAACGCCTACCTAAACCTAATTGAACCCAATATCCTCTTCTCTTTGAGAAAACACAGCGCACAAGATGAGTAGGTACTCTATATATACAAGCCTGGCTTCCTTGCAAGGAAGGAAATAATGTAGGTAGTATGGACGAACCATATAATATCGTCTCTTCTTACTTATTATAACACCATCTTTGATGGCACCATTGCTGAAGTTGCAGTATTAAACATGGCCCTTAAATCCGTCGTGATAACTGGCGACTCCAAGCCATAATGCTAGAATAAACGTGACCTTCTAACGAAATTTTTTGAAATCGCATCCGTACTTTCATCTTTTAGACAACCTACCATGATATAGGATCATTGTATGTGAATCGTCGATTAATAGTAATTTTGCAGATCCGGGCCGGGAGCGCCCATGGGACGCGATTGCGTGGAAGTGTTTCCGGGAGCTTGCCATTGCGTTTGTTGTTGTGGGAAGGGTTGGCCATAGGTTGGCGGTGGTGGCAGAGGGTATTGAGAAGGCGGCGGGGGGCCGCCAGATGACAAGTTGGGAAAGCTGTCATCATAGGATACAGCTGACGGACCAAACCCTCCCTGGTTGCTGTCTCGCCGGTCTACGTCGTCTAGAGACCGATAACCATGAACTCCCTTGCCGCCTCTACCGGGGCCTTTGAAGTTTCCTCTGCTACCGCCGCCACGGCCACCTCGAGGGGCGCCACCGCCTCTATAGCCACCACGGCCGCGGTTATCAGCTCCTCCTCGTCCCTGGTGAGTTGGATTATGATAATCACGACCGCTGTTGCCAAAGTTTCCGTTACTTTGGCGTGGCTGTCGATCGTCCTCTTTGTAGTATTTCCGCTTGTTGTTGACCTTAGATTGATATACACCATCTCTTCGGTCTTCATACTCGTCCGTCTCTTTTTCTTGACGCTCAGTCTCAATGCGGAGCATCACCTTTTCACCCACTGTTGTCTCGAACATGAAGGTTTTATCAAGAGGAATCGGCTGCCAATTGCGGATTCTGTTCACCTCCGGTGGGCGGGCCCCTCTTCTCAAACCCAGCACAACAGCCGGCGATGGATTATCGGTGTGGTACTGCGCGTTAGCAGGAACAGGTCTTACACGCGCTGCCCAGAGATTATTCTGAAAGGAGCCAATATCAACGGCTTCCCACATCATCTTGGAACCCATGCCCCCTATTTTATCCAATATGTTTTTCGGGCAAGGTCGCGGAGTGATAAGTATAGTGTTAGCAAGATACTTCATGTCGACGAGGTCCGATACCATTGTTTGTAGAGTGCTGACGAGTCGCGCAGAGTCAGCCGATTCGACCATGTAGCTAGTGAAATAGACGGTCTTCTTGATAGCCATGCGCTTCCCTCGGTTTCCCTGTTCTTGGACCAGAGCGTTGTGAACGTTAATAAGGTGTTGTACTTCTGCTACTTCGACAACAGGATCAAGAGTAGCAGAAAGCTCGGCAACTGGAATGACCTCGGCGACAAGGGGATTTCTTCTCTGGCTGACCCTCTGTTTGTTGTGGTCGGCCAAAAAGTCGCGAAACCCTTCAACATGTCTTGGACGATCTTCGTAGATGCGTATCTCCTTAGTTCCTCTATAGGTTGACAACAGGGCTCTGATGAAAACTTGCTTAAAGTCCATGGTGTTCGCAAAGGTCTCGCCATTGGGACCAACAAACGGCTTTAGCCCCATCATGTGGAATTCTAGGCCCTTGCTTGCAACGATTCGCTTAATCAGTTGGGAGAACCCTTGTTCGGAACGTCCCGTTAGCAAAACGCAGAGGGCATCCTCCTGCTGCATACTCAGCCGAACCAACTCGACAATCTTCTCGTTCCACCAGCCCTCCCAGGCGCGCTTCTCTTCATGTTCAACGCCTTCGCCGGTCGCAGCCAGTATTCTCGAATCGTGCCACCAGCCGCCGTTGATGAATATGTCGGGTCGTCCTAGTTGGCCAATTGTCGAGGCATTCCATAGTTTAGGGTTCGGGAGAGGTGTTTGGAATACTGCGATTACGGCACAGTTAGTTACCAATGAAGAGATGCGTGTAGGCATGAATGATGCTTACAGGTATTATCGAAGTCGTAGACGTGAATAGTACTAATTCGATCGATAGCTGAAATATTAAATCAGCATAAAATTATATCGTAACACGTTTGCGGATTAGACCGTTGACATACGAGGTAACTTTTTGTCTAGAATAGACCATCTGCTGAGGGCCGTGATGGTATTGCCGTTAACAGCACGATTTGCAAGGTCGGGCGCCATGATTCGGCATAGCAATAAACGAGCGGGAACGATAAGTTTGCGCCACGGGAACATACACTTATGATGCCGATTGCATATTGGTTTAGAGTATGGATTCGAGGGCAGAATAGATCGTTAAGTAATGGATGATGAAGAAATGGAAGAAGAAGCGAGAATGGAGAAGGTGGGAGGGAAGAATTTAGATTGTATATAATTGAAGCTGTCGCGCCTTCTATCATGGATGATACATGTAGATGTCTCTTCCCTCTAGCGCACCTGCTTGCAAACCAAGAAAGGATTCGTGATTGCTTGTAGCTAATGTTGTTGTGGGTCCGTCACAGTGTAATTACATATGTACTTAAAAGTTAAGTTACAATAGTACAATGTTACATAGGTGCCTAAGGCCTGTCTGTAACTTATCATTTTCTTATCGCAGTTGATAGTTACGTCATATCTCATACTACCCTTAAATCGCACGTTCAAGACTAAAGTGCTAGCGTACATGTAGGACACCTGCAATGTACATAGGACACATGCATATGTGCAATATAAGGTACCTACAATCACAGTAATTGAACTTATCGAGAACATGGCCACCCGTAACGCCATAACCCTTATCCAAAAGTCCAAAGCCTCCTCACCGGAAATCCTGCAACTGCGCTGCCACATCCGACCCGGCGCTAGCAAGGTACGCGAAGGCGTCGCCGCTGTAACGGACGAGTCCGTCGAGCTGTGCGTGTCCGCACCACCGCAAGATGGGAAAGCCAATAAAGCCGTGATTGAGATACTAAGCGAAGTAAGTGAACGGGTACCTACCGCGAACCTATACGTGTATACTACAAAGGTATACACGTGCATATAGCATGTCTCTCTAAGACACTTATTTAATACTTGAAAGAATAAAAGGGGCAGCAAGTACATAATTAACACCCACCCCTCCAGATCCTAGACATCGCAAAATCAGACCTGCAAATCACCCACGGGATGAAGAGCCGGGACAAGACCATAGCCGTCGCCAGCGCCTGCTTCCGGCGGGCGAAGGATACGCAGAGTAGCAGTGGTGAGGACATAGTAGCTCTGGTCAAGGAGAAGCTTCTCAGTCAACAATCCGACGCATGAGATACGAATAGAAAAGGTGCACTGGCAAAAAATATATAAAAATCTTTGCTATTGTGAATTCGTCTCGGCTTTATAAACTCCTAACAAGCCTACCAAAAACTCCCTGCCCATGCCCATGCCCATTGCCATGATATAGACTCATTATTGCAGGCCCAACCGGCCATAAAAAAAAGCGAGGCCAAGGAATTCACACTCATAAGCTTTTGAAAACGGAAAAGGGGAAAGGGGTAGTGGGCATTTGAGCCTGGCTCAAAACTCCATACTCTCTCCCTCTTCCCTTTCGCGCTTAACCTTGGGTTCCTTTTCATCCCTCATAAGAGCCACCACGAAGTTACGGAAGTAATCGACGTATGGCTTCAGGCTCGTCTTCTCCCAGTCCTGCAGATTCTTCCCTTTCTCCTCTCCGGCGACACCTCCTTCATGATCCTCGTTCTTAATATTGGAAAATGAGTCAATCTCGTCCGCCAGGCCCTGCACTGTGGGCACGCTCAGGGGATCAAAATCCTCCAACTTCCTCGTGTCAATAGGCACACACACCCTTCCCGTACCGGGATGCACAACGAACGGCGACTTCAGCAAATGATTCAGTTTCTTGCTAACCTCAATATCGAGGCGTGGATATGTGTACTCGAGGACGACATCCTGCTTAGCTTCGAGCAACGCTTTGGTATCCAGGTTTTTACTGGCACCGGACTTAGCCAGCGAGTCGATATCAGCCCACTTGGAGGTACTCGAGCGACCTGGCGACGAGTCCCATTTCTTGCGTAAGCTATCGTTGAGTGCCTTGTTTGGTAGAAGCGAGAGCAGATGTTCAGCACGCTCAGATGAAGACCAAGGGTCTTGCGCTTCGAGAACGTCTGTTTGGAAATGTGGCGCTAGGATTTCTAGGCTTCGGCTTTATAGAGTGTGTTAGTGGTCATTTGGCTCGTCGTAGGGGGAAGTTAGATAGAGGGTAGAGGAATATGAGTTAGAGAGACGTACCTTAAATGAGGATGTAACGGCCTCCACAGATTAACTTTCTTCCCACTCTGTGCGCCACCGCGAATGACTTCAAGGTATCCTGCAATAGCCCTACGCTTTTGATCATCCATCGAGCGCGCCTTTTTATCACATACCCAAGCGTGGGCTCCTCTTCGACCAGAATACACCCACAGAATATGCTTAAAGCCGAAATCTTCACGTAGTGCCACATCCAAGACTTTAATCGCCATCGTCATGAATTGCCAGCAGAGATTGCAGATATTGGCCTTGTCGCAGCATGTCCGAATATCATCGTAGTCAGTCAAATCGATATCGAAGCACAGTTCCTTCGCTAGCGGCTTGAACGCGCTTGTGTTCCGCAGCATCTTGCGCTCCCGAGGATTTGTGCTGTACACGGGGCCGATTTCGAAACGGGTGGGCAGTAACCGGACAACATCTTTGCGGAGTCTGGAATGATTTATGGTAAGTTACTTATTGCCTAACTGGTAAGACAGAAGGGCGTGGTTCATGTATCTTACGTGTCGGCACCAGTGTATGATTGGTAACGTTGGTAGACTTCTTTTGCCTGCGCCTCAAACTGCAGCGTGAAGGCAAATTCGCGGTGGACGAAATCATTGGTGTTTGTAGTAACTGGGCTATGGTTGAGCCACTGGAAGAGGTAGCGCCAGGGAAAGAAGCGCTGGTAAAATATGCGTAAAAGTTCGGGATTCGACGAGGCTGCTGGCGCCGGTGCTTCACTAAAAACTCGAGTCAAAACCGGTTCCTATATCCAGGTTATTTGTCTACAAGCTTACCTGGGTAGATCTGGAGCCTCGGGGGAACTCGAGAAATAATCTTTCACTGGTCGTGAACTAGGAAACTCTTCGTCGGATTCAGCATCTGCAGCATCTGCGAACAAGTCCTCCAATTTCACTTCCTTCTTCTCTTCCCCATCAGTGGCGGGGACATCAGCGGCATTGGCTTCTGTCATTGCGACATCGTTGTCCGCATTCTGCTGACTGTTATCGTTCGGGATGGGAGCATCTGCCATAATTGCTTCAGCGGCGTTGTTGGTATCGTTGTGGCTATCGGCCTTTGGAGACACAGAATGGGGCATGCTACAAGAATTGATCTATTATCAACTGACAGCTGGTATAAAATTAATGCAGATGATGGTTGTAGAGGGGCAGTGGATTACAAAATAGTTTAATTGAAAGTTAATCAAGTCGCGTTGTGGCGCGTCTAAGCTTCGCGTTACTTGCATATCCTACAATATTTCGTGTAAACCGTTACCTAATGCTGTACATTTTAGCCCGTTTTTTAAGCTACCCCTGACTATTACTATTAGTCTAAAGGGGAACAATCCATTCAAAGTTAATAGTTACATGTGAAAATATTGAACCTCTTTATCAACTCCCGTCAATTTCTACAAAGCAGTAATATTTTTGAACTACCAACTAGTTTGATTAACTTTGGATTTCTATTTTTAGGCCTTTGTTTACTACTCAAAGCCTTCTTCGTAGATAGCTCTAGTTCAAGTTGTAACTAGACACCTACTTAGTACCTAACAGAGTACAGATGGATGAATGATATAGAAAACTACAAAATCATTCATCGTCATCGTCATCATCCTCTTCCTCACTTTCCTCGTCGGCGTTCTCGAGCCATTCAACGAGAGCATTGCACTTCTCCCGTACCCCTGACATCAAACCATCCTCTTTGCTCCTGTCATCCTCCCACCAACCCAGAATGCCCTCTTCTTCGAGAATATCAAGGTCATACATCTGCTGCAGCATAGCAGCAAGAAGGTTTCCAGCTCTCACCACTTCAATCAACTTTGAGCTATTCACGCATGCTTTCTGTACCGCTAGCGCGAATTCAACCTGCTCTGAAACAGAATGATCGCCAACGCCCACCTCTGTCACGAAATTCGTGGCTCCTGCCTGCGAGGTAAGGACCTGTTTAGCCGCTTTAGTTGGCTCCAAAGCCCCGGTTTCGGCATTCATGAGCTCAACAGCGCGACGAACAAAGGCTGTTGCGACGGCCTTGCGCATTGCCGTGTCGGATGCATTATTAGCGAGTCGTAGTGACATGAACTCCAGCTTTTCAGAGTCAAAGTTTCCCGATATTTCGCGGAGAACGTCCAATAATCCATGTACCGCATCAGAGTGGAATGAAGAGTAATTGGGGGCGCCTGAATCGTCCGAGGCAAAGGAAGAAAGACGTGATCTCGAGTTCATCTGACTAGTTGTCCCTGATACCGGACCCGAATCATCTGACATATACTCATCATCTCCAATGGTCGAGACAGATGAGTCAGAGAGGTCAAGGTCTTCGAGGGAATATACAAGCGACTTCTGTAAATTAGCAGGGTCTTCAGGATCTGCTTCATCATCTTCTGGGTCTTCAAACACAGCCCCTTTGCCTTCGCTACCGACGGCTTTGGGCTGTGATGATATGCGCTGTCCGTTATATGAGAGAAGGGAGAGCATTGTAGCAGCTTTGACATCCACTTTCTCGCCCAGGTGAACCCCAAATGAGACCAGAGCGCCCTCGTGAACAACAGCTTCTTTTCCTACAACTCCCCTTTCTGCAATAATTGCATGCTCTATCACAGCACCGTCATGAATTGTAGTGGCATCCCAAATATAACTGTCAGTAATCCGCACGTTGCTGCCAATTTTACAATTTCGGCCAATGATGCTGTTTTGTATCGTGCTCTGGGGCCCGATATGGGTATCTTTGCCGATTATCACGTCGAATACTTCACTTCCAGATGATATTTCCACATCGTCCTCTTGGTGGACGTTATCGCCTTGTAGTGTGTATGTGTGCCCCGGTAAGAGATTGCAGTCAGGGGTGAAGGGATAAGTCCAGCCCCTCAATACGTCTCGACTGATGGCATCGTACATCTGAAGATTTCTAGCGCGTGCGCTGTATCCCTCGTTGACTATTTCCGTGTGTACCATCTTCCCATTTAGTTCCCAATCTTTCAAAACGCCGTGCAGGAAGTTTGCGCGAGGGAGTTCGTAATCAAAGCTTTCGGACCACAAAGCGAGCACGTCCGGTGTGCAAATGTCAATCTCGGCATCGATTAGGTCTGTCCGTGCCTCGGCTTCACGGTTCTCAAGTATAGTCGGGTCAAGAGTGACGTAGTGATCTGATTGTAATGGATGTATCTCCTCATAATGCAAGCATCTCTTCGCATTCGGGTCAATGATGAAGGCGGGTGTCAATCCCTTGACTTTGGTGTTATGTTCCCCTTCGCCAGCTTCTCGTAGCACTATAGTCATGCAAGAGTCTCGATTTGCTTCTCTACGAGCCCTGTGTGCTTCCAGAGCTTTGTCGAGAGAGAGATTGGCAATGAGGTCACCATGTACCAAAATGAAATCTCCGCCAATGATATTGCGCTTGTCCAAATCTCGAAGAAAGTCACCTATAGAGCGGGCATCGGCGACACGTATGAAGTCAATATTCGAAAAGGGACAGGATCGAGCAGTAGGAGACCATCGAGAGTCATGGATATATCTCTCGATCTGATCGTGATGGGCACCACAATATATGAAGAGTTCCTGCACGCCATTCATTGCGAGGAATTCGAGGGTGTACTCGATAAGAGGTGTATTCGCAAGGGGGAGTAGACACTAGAATATGAGTTAGGATCAATGGCCAATGCCATGAAGGAAAGGAAACTTGAACTGAACCTACTCTTGGCTTCTCTAGTGAAAAGGGCTGGAACCTCGTTTGAAAAGAGTCGGCTATAAGCTATGAGACGAAATTAGCAAGTATCAAATTAGCCATCCACCCTCATGTTATACTTGAAGCTATCGCGCAGTGCCCCGCGACGTGATATGCGAGATGCGAAATGCTTAAGACTTGGCATATAGACAATACATACCACTGCTTGAAGAACATCTTCCCGTTTATCGTCACCTCCTGGCTTGGCAGATTTCTTGCCTTTAGCGGCGGGACCGCCTCGGGCAGATTTATTTTGAGACATAATGATGCGACGTGATGTATCGCATGTAGATATGTGAATGAGTAAATGCGCAGATCAACATATGAACTTTGGAGGGGACACTTTTTACAGCTAAAAGCTATGAGTCAAAAAAACGATAAAGTTCATGGAGGGGCAGTATGGATAAAAGTATATACCTGATATAAGAGTATTCTACTTGGTAATGTAATATTGATGTCTTTGTGATATCCTTATAACAGAGTACATATACTTTAATAACTTTAATTGTCCCCCCTGGGCCCCTGTGCACGTGCTGCAAGACTTTAATGTTTTGTCTTCAATTCAGAATAACTAACTTCAAGTACTTAAGCATTGAACAGACATATACGTATAGTGTATTATCATAATATAGATTCAGATAGCCTACATAGCAATGACAGCCATATATCTATAGATACGAGAACAACAGCTAGTCGGGATTTTTCAAATATTATATCATAGGTTAGGTACTTTTAGGATATTATTTTACGTTCAAGTCATCCATTACTACACTATGTACTATCACCTACATGTACATACCTACTTAAGCACTTCATGCATGTGGTTCAGCATGGGTCCTCCTAGGAGTGCCTAGTACCAGAATGGTCTAGACCAGCCGACGCAGGGGCGGCAAGGGTGGGCTGACGTCGAATGACTGCCGTGGAACAGACTGCAGTCTAGACTACTCTCGGGGTTCTAGAATAAATCGAACATGAACTTCATCAACAAACCCCCAGCTGCAGAAACGAAACAGCCTGACCGTCACCTTACCAGGCTTGCAGCTTGCCTACATGTAGGTAGTTATGTACGTACCTGTGTGTTGCTATACGTGGGATTGTCTTTCATCTTGATCTTGATTCACAAACCGTCGTATTGGTTTCATGTTCGAGTCCTTCTGCCTAGCCCTAATAACTTTGGACGGCAATAAGATGCAATACGAGGTAGGTACCTATCTATTAGTGTATGTATTGCTTCCTTTAATGCTCGTAAAGCTCATTGTAATTCATTGTAATCGAGTTGGTCATGGCCCGTCTCGGCTACCTACTTACTTGCAGTAGTTCGACATAATCAAGATGATATTGATTGAGGTGGAAAGTACTTCATCCTGCGACAGACCGACTATCAGACAGCATTACAATACATAATACCGAACGTGTAGGGAGACAAGGAGTATATAGAAGAAGAAGTCCAAGTGTACGTCAAAAGGAATCCAGGGGTAGTTAGGGGAAGTTTGCTGATTTTATAGATCTGCACCGAGTTTTCACATTTTCGGGGATTCCCCATCCTTCCCGAAGCCTAGAGCCCAAATAGAACATCAGAATCTTAATATACGTTATGTATAGCACTGGGAACATTTGAATTCATTAGTACAATACATCACAATACATGTGTACTTACATGGGGCGTTCTGGTTCCCTGGAATTGGGTTGTCTAGATCAGCAGATCATGTCACCAGCCGTTGGGATGATGGAGACAGATCCCTTCTATTCCTGCTATCGTTGGATGGATTCATTGCCGCTTAACGACGGGTGGTTATAGAGGTGGGTTCGATCAGATTCTAGGCTGAGCTTGTGCGTCTCTCGCTACATCATCTTTGCGGCTCAGTCGGCCCATCTCATCGTTTTTGTCTCTTTTTTGTAGCATTTACACGTTACTGACTGGGCTGCTAGGTAGTTAGTTGATGGAGATGAATAAAGGTTGCGGTTTTTGTATGGTTAGTCCGTGTGGTGGGCGTGGTGCGTGTGGTGCGTTCTAGAATACAATCCATCTAGGATTCTAGGTACATAATAATAACCTTAAGTCTGACCGATTAAAGAGTCCAGGATGATTTGATTTTTCATGTTTCAATGAAGTTTAATGTTGATTATTCCTTGAATGTAAATTAAACTCTTCCGGGAATCTTGTTTGCTCATCGGTCTTTTGCTCATTCCTTTTTTTTATTCTTTACTCTTTCCTGTTTCCTCCTTGCATTCATTCATACCTTCCTTCAGTATTTCTTTTTTGAAACTTCAAGAACTAAAACTTGAACTTACTAAATCTGTATTAGGTACCAAATTCAACTTTAACTTCTTCCCTTCAACCTTTAACTAAAAACTTGAAGCTGTTTAACCTCGGTCTCATTTGTGGCTACTACATACACTTTAACAACTGCCTATAATTAAAGACGACATCGATTATACGTGGTTAGCCCGCACCCATGAGAGCGAAAAGACAATTCCCGGATTTAGTTAATGCATTAAAGGTTACTGATGTTTGCTTGTTCAATGTAGTTTGTTATGTCAGCATTGAGCACTGTCTTTTTCTTGTTTCGTTCTTACGGCTTCAATCATACTGTAGCCTGAACATAATCAACTTCTCACTTTCCAACTTTCCAACCTTCCAACAGAACGCCGACCGAACCGATGTTAGCACATAACTGCTAAGGTACACTATATATATGGCTTTTACATTGCCTTCCTCTGTTCGATAGGACCATTCAAAAAGATACCTCTCATCTATGTCTGCTCGTCCCCATGACAAACGGATATCATCTTAGGATAAGAGGGCTACCACGTTATGCTTTAATCCTGAGTCACACACACATTCGATATGGTAATGAACATCACAAATATCTTTCATACAGAAATAGTCATGGGCACATGCTATCCAAACCACATGGGAACGCCCATGTACCCAATCTAAGCTCAAGAATCCGGCGTCCCCTTTGGGGAATACTCCCCGGGCTCCTTTGTATTGATACATATGAAGCTGCAGCTCCAGAAAACATTCAATGGGTATTCCATGATCTATCAGAGCTCTACTTTGCTCTTCCTGCGCTATACAGATTCAATACGGCAAGCCACTTCAACGATGATGCTTTCCACGCATGGTATATGCAAAAGTACCGATATTAGTGGTACCACGGTATCCTACCTCGCCAAGTATCGATTTCCGAGTGGCAACGACGGACGGAACCGAATGACCAAACATGCTGACAATATATACATACAGGTTGGAATCTAGGTATGGGTCGAGATCGGAATCGGTTGAGGATGAGGTCATTGATTATAACTACCCTGTGTTGTGTATAATCGCTGTCGCTTCTCGGGTGGCCCTTCTGAGCGTTGCATATTCTCGGACATCCTTTGCGAGGGGGGAATATTCATTTGTGGTATCATCGTATTCGCATACTGCGGTTTTTGCGTTCCGCCCGGGGTCAGTACCATTTGGGAGCCGCTACCTGCGCCGAGATACCCTTGATCTTGAGCCAATGTCGGCGAGGCGTGCGGCATTTGGCTAGGAGAGTGCCATGAAGCGCTCGTGGCCGGCGATTGTATTGGAGTGGTATCAAATTTGGTAACGGGTCCCGACGACGCTGCCGAGAGCGGGGCCATCCCCATTCCTTGATTCGAGTACGGACCTGGTGTTGGTGGCTGGCCAGGAGCTCCATTCGGATACATCGATTCCATCATGCTCTCTGGGGGAGGATTTCGCAGGAGGTTGACGAGGTGTTTCCTTAATTTTCCAATCATTCCTTCTTTGGTGAAAGGTTTGGCCAGAACATCTCGCATGCCTTAACTTGATGTTAGCACTCACAGCAGAGATGAGGGGTGAAAGGCCTCTACTTACCCCAATGGAAATACATCTCAAGATCCTGCTGATTGATATTAGACGTCATGGCAATGATAGGCGTATTCGGCTGCACCTCGCGGATCATAGCCGTTGCCGAGACGCCATCAAGCTGGGGCATGATAATATCCATGAAAATCAGATCATAGTAGTGATGCTTGGCGTTGACTTTATTCACAGCTTCTAGACCATCGCGCTATTTCAGAATGTTAGCCATATATTCACACTTCACACAGGAATCGAATATTACGGTTACGCACTGCAACCTCTACACCACAATCATACTGTGCAAGGAATTTTGAGCCGATTCGAGCACATGTCCTATCATCTTCTACTAGAAGCACAACGGGTTTCTTCGATCCCCACGCTGAACCGCTTTGTGGTGCACCTCCTGGTGGGGTCTGGGAATGCATCGGTGGTTGATTAAACTCTTGGCCCGGGCCCATTGCATTATCCTGCATAGGTCTGTTGTATGGAAGATTGTTAATATGCTCAGCAGCAAAAGGGTCGATGCCTATCGTCTGGCCGACCGGATACACAAGGTGCCGCATATCATTAAGAGGGTCATGCAAGAAGGGGTTGACGCCGCCGCCGCCTACGCCAGGCGGTCCCATCATTCCGGAAGATCCAGCGGACTCGGGGGAACCACCTGCTTGGTGTAATTGGACTGACATTCGATTCAAATCTCGATCCGCGACGTGGTCTACCTGAAGGCCGTTAAGAATATCACGGGCACGGCGTAGTTCGAGAGGCGACTCAGAGCCGTCCGATAAAAGACCTGTGTTGGAAGCATACGAAGAAGACGAATTATTCGAGTTTCGGGTTTCTCTCCTTTCCTGCTCAACTTTATTCAAATGGTTGATTAGCTCGTTGTGCACCTGGTTTTGCGCGCGAACTAGTTTCTGGAGGTGGAGTATTTCATCTACGAAAATTTTGTTCGCGTTTATAATTTCGTGATACGATTCTTGAAGTTGCTGAACCTGTTGCTGCGTTGCGGCTAGTGTCTCACTGAGGACAATGACCTGTTGGTTAGAGACCCCAAACTGTTCCTCGGGGGCCTGAGCCTTTCGAGGTGCTGGCGCTTTTCGTCGAATATTGTCCAAGTTGTCTTTCCTGTCGGCTCGAAACTCGGGGTGCTTGAACTCCCAGGCCTGCTGTCTGGTCAGCTTCCCCATGATCTGTCTATTGTGTTATCACCTGGATAATATTTACAGATGCACCATATGGCGATTGCCCATTCTCCTCATTATGCCTGACTTTGTGGAAGTCGTATTTATTGAGTTGTCGAACGAAGCTTGCAAAGTTGCTATGCTTGAAATGCTTGGGCAGTATCGTCTTGGTGAATTTCTCATTCTGCAAGCCGAGGTCAATGTCTATGAAGCTACGAGAGGGAAGCACAAGCTCGCAAAAATTACCTCGAGAACGACGAAGCTGTCGCCTTCGTTGCCCCACCTCACCACCTCACTGTAGGCTGGATCTTCCAGCATCCTAGGAAAAAAGAAAAGCTGGTTAGCATAATTGAATTAAAAGAGCTACCAAGATGCACGACAGCCCGGCAGTTCAAAGAAGGATATAATGTACTTGTATAACTTGCGAACCTATGGTATGTGATGTTAGCGGATTGCATATGCGACAATGCGCGGCAATTCGGTATCTGGGTTATGGGGTCCATCGTGTTCAAAACTCACAAAGTCGCTCGAGTTGTTGCCGGCGCCCTGCGCCATGGAAGCCATGTCGCCTTCCGGCATGATAGGCGATTGGCCTGGAGCCTAAAGGATCGCCTCGCTAGCCTTGGCTCAGAGGTAAAGTAAGGTATTTATCGGCACGCGCGCGTAAAAAAAATAGGTGGTTGTTGGGATGACGGATGAATTGAGACAAAAATGCTCTTGGACGCTTGGGACGGTGGCACGACGAGGAGAAGGTGAGGGAGGTGGGAAAAGCGTGGATGAAGACGGCTTAAGTTGGCACTAGATCTCGAGCAACGGTTGACTTTGCTTTTATTTCACGTATTACGTAGTCGTATATGGTATCGTGTAGTATCGTATAGTATAGTATAGTATCGTGTTCGTAGTTTCGAGATGGTTTATATGTATATATATATATATATATTATATTTCCGTTCTGGGTATGCGTCGAGTCGCTCGAGGATTCGACGTCTATGCGCTGTCCGTTTTTTTTGTATCTGTGCTCCCTAGTAGACGCAATCCAACGCGATGGCAGTGACGAGTTTTTGGTATTTTGCAATGGAGCTTCTTCTTCTTCTTCTTCTTCTTCTTCTAATTCTTCTTCTCTTTTTAATCTTTCTTTTATGCGGGCGTTCAGACTCCGACGAAATAGATGGACAATGCCAAGGACAAGGAAGCGAGACGGGCAAAAAAAAAAAAAAAAAAACTAGGTATGTATGTGTAGGTAGGTTATTGATCTTGTATGATCTGTATACTACATAAGTAGATAGCGTAGTTTAATGGTTGCCCCCCCGTGTGATGTAGAGCAAGCAAAATAGTAACTGAGGGCGGTGTCCGCCGTGTGATTTAGGTTGTGTTACTCAATTGGCGGGAGCGATTTCCTGGACTCGGTACCTAGGAGTAATAGTTTGAATACAAAAAAACCATGACGAGCTGAGCCGAACTGGGAAATACTTGAAAATGAAATTGAATGGATAGGACAGGACAGGGTTGGTTAGTTAGAGGTGTGTGTGTGTGTGTGTGTGTGTGTGTGGATGAGCGGAACTCGGGTCAAGCACCTCTTCTTCTCTCTTTTTTTTTTCTTCTTCTTATCTTCTTTTTTGATTTTATTTTTTACTGGGGTTGATTTGGCTGGTTAAAGCTAGCTTTGCGAGGTTGCAGCATGTAATAAGAATAATGTTGTTAATAATAACAATAATAAGAATAATAAAAAGGTGAGAATGCTTCTCAAGTCCAATAACCTACCTACATACATACATAAGGTAGATTACATAGGTAGATAAATATTGGGGCGTTCTGGGAGAAATCCTGGAACGGAGAAGGGTGGATTTAGGTAGTGTGGATAGGATAGACAAGAATACGACAAGGTAGATGGATGTATGTAGGTATGTAGTATGTATGTAAAGGCGCACATACCACATAAAACTACCACATAAATCTACTACATACCTACCTAACTACCTGCTACCACATGTAGACGAGAGACAGCATGACAGGACAAGACGGCAGCTCGGGGGACGTTTGTTGGTTGAATGGTGTGGATAGGGAGAATGAAAGACACTGGAGACATTTGCTTAAGGTAACGCAACTTGACATCAGATCAGATCAGCTCTTCTCTTGATCTTCCCTATCTTTTGATCTTCCATCCTCTCTTTTCTCTCACTCGCTCTAGCTTAGCTCTGCTCTGGTCCCCCTCTGCTCCCGCCCCGTCTCCTCTCCTCTCCTCTCCTACCCTACTACTACGGGAAATCCATCCCCAAGCACCCAAAAGCACCCAAGCAAAAGCGTGACGGCATAGGGTCATCCTCCTGCAACCTGGAAAGTCATTCATTGATGGAGTTGGTGTGGACCCCTGTCATCTCATCCTATCTTTTATTAACTAGACTCTTTGGTTGGAGAAAAGCTCAATGTTTCTTTGTATTTTTGTACTACTTCCCTTTATAGGCTAAGTGTCTCTTCTTGTATCCCGCTATTTGACTCTCAACTCCCCCGCCCCTTTTTATTATTTTATTATTATTAACTATCATTATCTTGATTCTTTCATATATACCAAGGTATTTATATCTCTTATTTTATCTCTTATTTCTTACCTGCATATGTAGTACATGGTTAGGCACTCTACCATTTTTATAGTAGGTCTCTATAACACATCTGCCAGCAGCAAAAACCTCTTATACCCCAGAGCAGGCATGGTCGTATCGTACAGAATATTGTGCAATGCTGCATACATACATGCATACATACATATACGTCGTACATGTATTATGTATGTATGTAGTTACATATAAGCAAATACATAATAGGTATTGAAGGACGGCCTTGTTACGCGGACTGCGGGGAAATTCCGTCAAATCAGCACAGACATGAATATCAATACAAGCAGATATCTACCTGGATACTAGATATTATCATCATAATTATAGTAATGGATATCTTGATGTCGGTAGTATCTACATACAAAGCTGTCAATCACCAACTGGGGCCAAGTTCGTCACGAAGCTACAGGTCATTTGTAATAGCCCCTCATCGCTTACCTATTATAATAGGAATTACTCGAGGGTGTTGAGAGGGATGTACAAGCGCAGAGATATTGTGATATCAAACCCCCTATCGTTCGTCGTTCGCACGAAATTGTTACCACATCGCGAGTCACGAGCTGCGCGACTCATGATCCTCCTCCTTCCTCCTCCTCCACCACCCTCCCTCCCTCCCTCCCTCTCTCCGTGGATGTCTGGCACACGTACCCAACCTATCTAAACCTATGTATCTAGAGAGCGTTGCTACCAACACAAAGGGAAGGCTGCTAAGAATAACAAAACGACAATATACTCCCCCCGACATAAGCAGAGCCTTCGGGCTCAACAACCCCGGCTCGCCGAGGTCATATAGGTAATTATTAAAACATGCAGACGTTGTAATGTATGTACGTATATACGCTGTTCTTTTCCATATTTAGCCAGTCATTAAAAGTTTAAACTGCTCGTCGTTGTTATATAGGAATGGGTTGTAAGCAACCATGGAATAAACTAATATCCACTCTACATATCTAGGTACCCTAGGTGCTTACCATGAATGAAAGAATTAGATAGATGAAAGACGGCATAAGGGCTTTTTTCGCGGCCGAATCAGAAGTACAGAAAAGACATCGATGGCGCCGTGGTGATAGTACTTGCGTACCTAGTCAGGGCTGCATTATATAGTACCTACTCAGTTTTCCCCTACACATTCGTACTTACATACCTAACCTAGGTATAACTACATGTCTATTACCAGACAGGCGATGGTCGAATTTCTAGAGCTAGGGAGCCCTTCTAGGTAATAAGGCGTCCCGTCCCGTCATATGTCTGGGTACCTACCTACCAGCCTACAATAATAGATGTCTGAGCAAGCGGTCCAGACGCGCCGATTGTCCTTTTCTTGGGGGACCCAGGAACGTGGTCCTTGGGGAAACAAAACGCCCCCCCGCCGGCCGAGACTACCGTTCTCTTGCTAGGTACTAGGGAGACAGGTATGGCACATACATACCTAACCTAGATGATAGATGATAGGTGATAGGTAGGTATGTAAGCTGGGCTGACTACCTAGGTACTTGTATCGTCCCAAGGGGTAGCTTAACCGATGCTATCATCGTCATCAATCCCATCTATGGCTTATGGCTTTGTGCTACCCACGATGCAAGAAATGACGAGCGCCATCTTGGATCGATCTCGTCCGGGTTTTTTTTGGTTTCTTCTTTTCTTTCTTTTTTTAAAAGCTTATTCTTACTCTCATTTCATCTGCCCGCAGCATGTGGGGGGCGCCGCCGTATGCATCCATAGGTAAGTAGGTAAGGTAATTAGGTATCAACCCACCAAAGAGACGGGAGTATCTCCGAACCAGAGGGGGCGTGCCTTATCCCGGCTGAAGCTGACAATGCTCATACCTTGCCCAGGTGCCTAACCTACTGTACTGGCATCAACGGCATCTTAGGTAATTACCTGCCTATTCACCTACTTTGATTACTGATATGTGGCTGTCCGAAAAGACAGCATCTCCGCCGCGCTGAAGCTGGAAATCAAATGTATGTAGGTAGGTAGAAAGATATGTCCCGTGTCTTCCTCGTTCCACCGGAGTCCCCGTCGCTAACTACCGACATACATGCAGCAGCCAATTCTTTTCACTTTGCTTATTATTTCATTTTCTCCCTCTCACTAGGCAAAAGCTTTTTTTTTTCTTCTTCCATCGGCCGAGACAGCAAGCACTTGTTTAGCTTCTTTTTTCCCCTGGGCAGAAAACGGTATGGTTTGCTTCGTCAGCTTTCCCCTTTGGTAATAACTAGCAAGGAGGGATATGTTCGAACCCCAGAAAAAAAAAGCCAGGCGCTCGCTCGCGCCCGCCGCAATCTCCCCTAGTCTATACGTGTGCCGCCAAGTTGGGATTTCGCAAGAACCCGGGTCCCGTAAAGAGAAGAACAAGAAGGGGAAAAAAAAAATTAACCGGCTAGTTTAGCTTGAATGCTTAATGCTTGCGTGAACAAGCATCAAAATTTCAACCACAATCCGCGGCACCAGTCTCCTTTATGAATAGGTACCTAACCTAGGTTATACTACTAGGTAGGCTTAAGCGAGCTTCCCGCAACAGGAATGCTACAGCACCTAACCTGTATCTGCCTAAGGTCCCTACTATTTTAAGAGCTTAACTTCGGGCCAAGCTACCTGTGTACAGCTTAGCCCAAGATATCGTGAACGGAGTTATCGCCGCTAAGGGCAAACGGCGGCGCGCCGCTTAGGTCTTCCGGAAAGGCTTATGTTTAATTGCTAATCCGCTATGGCCCGTTTGGGAATAAAGATTCATATTATGTTCATGATAATACACTACGATTCATACACGTAGGCTACATACCGTGCAGTAACTAACGTGTCTTTTATGTACCTAGTACATACATATAGGAGCTAGGTGATAGGATAACTATACCGACTAAGCGCGCGTGGGGGATGGGAAAGGGGTAGGTAAATATTTCAGAGCTGACCAGTCGGGTCACTTTGCTGTGTGTAGTATTCGGCGGGTCTAAGCGAGGAAGCCAATGACTGCTTACATCTAGCTACTTACATCGACATACATACCTAGGTACATATTTTACCAGCATACCTGACCTGTAAGCCTCGATTTCTTCAATGTCTCGCTAGCCGCTAACTACTGAACCGAGGTAGGTATCTAATGTGGTAAATGAGAAATGGTTCCTCGTTCAATAGTTTGCCCAAATGTTACGGCCCAGGTGGAATGACCTTCTAGATCGGAGCGTTTAACCTTGTCTCCATCTTAAACCTTGTAAAAGCCCACTTAGTTATATTATCTAAACAAATTGTATAGCGATTATATCTTAAAATATAAATTATGAATGGTTAAATATAGAGTTTTGCTATCCGCACCCTTAAAAATTGCTATCGGAGGCTTATCCGCACCCTAGTACATAAGAAATTAGCGTTCAAGCGCCGTTGGTCCGAGCTCTCCAGCTAGCTTCAATCAAAAGATCCAACACAATTTCCAATAATTTCCAACTGAATAATCGGATTCAAGTGCATCTAGCACCATTAGAACCGTCTCGATTAGAGCTTCCAAACGATATATGTTTCAAATTGACGCGACGAGTAATTGTAAAGTTATTCAGAAAAGAGTGAAATAGACGCTTTGCCGCTAGTGTAGCGCTAGCCGGCACTACGTGATGCACGGACCACTTCAACCTGCACCATTTTCAAGGTGCTTCTTGATCTTTGAATTCAAATAACTTCGTAACCACCGATCGCATCAATCTGAAACATATATCATTTGGACCGTCTAATTGAGCTGACTCGAACGATACAAGATGCACTTCAATTAAAGTCTTGAATTGGAAGTTATGTTGGATCTTTTGACGGAAGCTAGCTGAGGCGCTCGGACCAACGGCATTCGAACGCTAGTTCCAGATGTACTAGGGTGCGAATAAGCCTCCGATAGCAATTTTTAAGGGTGCGGATAGCAAAACTCTAAATATATTGTATTATGTTTATTAAACCTTTTAAATTAATTTTTTTATTTTAAATAAATTTTTTAAATATATAACTATAAAGGTGTAACCGGTATTAATTAAGAGTGTTGCTATCCGTACTCCTATTTTTTGCTATCAGGGCCTTATTCGCACTCCTATACATCCCCTAAAACTTTAAATCCGGGCCTAATCTAGCGCCCCTAGCGCCCCCAGCTGCCCACATCAATTGAATCCGAATAACTCTCTGAAACATATAGCCACAAACATGCAACCAAATTCAATTGAAAGCGCATTCAATTCTGAATCGATTGATATAGGCTTCGAATTGAGGCAATACGTGGTTGCAAAGTTATTCAAGAAAGTAGGTGGTAAGCCGGGCGGCACGTGACTAACCTTAAAGCTACACTAAGAGCTCTTGGTGCCACGCTAAGGGCCCTTAGAGCCGCCTAGGAGCCCTAGAGCCGCTCGGGCCACGCTAAGGAGTGTCACGTGACTGCTGTCGAGACAAATACCAACATAACTCTTCGACCACGTATCGCCTCAAACTGCAGCTGGTATCAATCAATCGGTAATTGAATTCTCTTTCAATTGAATCCGGTTGCATCCTGGTGTGACATGTGGTTGGAAAGTTATTCAAGGTTGAAACTGTTGAATAAGGTTTGGGTCTAAGGGCTCTAAGGGCTCTAAGGGCGCTAAGGGCCCTTAGTGTGGCCCTAAGGGCTGTCACGTGCTTTCCTGGCTGCCACCTACTTTCTTGAATAACTTTGCGACCGAGTATCGCCTCAATTTGAGACCTATATCAATCAATCGGTAATTGAATGCGCTTTCAATTGAATTTGGTTGCACGGTTGTGGCTATATGTTTCAGAGAGCTATTTGGATTCAATTGATGTGGGCAGCTGGGGGCGCTAGGGGCGCTAGATTAGGCCTGGATTTAAGGTTTAAGGGATGTATGGGATGTATAGAAGTACGAATAAAGCCCCAATAGCAAAAAATAGGAGTACGGATAGCAACACTCTTAATTAAAAGCGTATTAAATTATAAATCGATTAATACCGGTTTTAAATTAAGGAAATATTTAATTGTAAAGTTATTTAAGTAAATAAGTTAATTAAGCAAGCAGGCGCACGTGATTATCTTTAAAACTACCTTAAAAGCTTGCATATAATCACTTAAAGGTGTTATATAATAAGTTATTTTATAATAAAATATTATATAATTAATTATTATATAATATCTTACGATATATATATTTAAATAACTTTATAACTAAGTATTACATTTATATTTAATTTATATTATTTAATTAATAATTAAATTTTTTTTTAATTAATATCAATTATATTATTATAATTATATGTTTTAAACGTTTAAGTTAAATATTAAATAATTAAAACGTTAAGCGATTATATATTAACCTTAAAGGTGATTATATGTTATCTAAATAACCGGCTTATTAATTTAAATATTAATTTAAAACCGGCGTTTTACGGCCTGAAAAGGCTTTAAATTTAAGGTTTTAAGGCCCGATAATAATAATAGGTATAGTATTACGCCGTATATATAATTACCTAGGATACTCATACTTTAAGATATGATTAACATATAATTTGTATGGGTAATCTAACTAAGTGGGTGTTTATAAGGCTTAAGCAGGGTTTAAGGTGGAGACAAGGTCAAACGCTCCGATCTAAAAGGTCATTCCACCTGGGCCGAAATGTTGCACCCCCGATCTCATTTGGTGGCTTAGATTCTAAGATCTATCTATGTAGGTAGGCACTCGTGCCAGATCTATTGTCCGGGGCAAAAATGCAAAAATGCAGAAAATACTTTCATAATGTCCTCGTGGCCTGACCATATCCAGAGAAGAAAGAAATAAAGAAGAAAAAAGGACCCGAATTCACCGGCCAAGCTAGTTAGCTAACTTCGATCTAACTAAACGTGGCCTTCCCCCTCGGCTATTTATCCGTTTCTTGAGAGAAGTTTTACCTTCATACATGAGTGAGGCAAGCTAGGTACATTAGCCGACCTTGCGCCAACAACGTCTACGAGGCGTTAGCCAGCCCTATTGAGAATGTTCCTGCGGGTTGAGCTCAATATTCGGCCGCGCCGGCACTATTCTGACTACAACTCATGCATATACGATTCGAGTCAACCCTTTTTACACACTTTTTACACACTTTCTACTATGTAAAATCTCAGCAGTTGCGGATATCGAGCTCCGCTCTCAGATGCAATGCAGTGAGATAAACGAGAAAACACTATGGATGTCTTGACATCTCGGTTTCGACTCTGCGAATGCGAACGAACCTCGGTTTGTCGTTTAAGTGAATTACCGACGAAACCTTTGAGCTGTTCTATTTATGGACTGCCGTTCAATATGCCATGTACTAGGTAGGTTTGAAAGAGTCAGAAGGACGTGTCGTAGGTTCGTTCAGCTTTTGTTCTTTGCATACATAGGTTACATAGGTAGCAGATGAATAAAAGTGGCGTCTTTTCTTTCTCACCCCCAATATTCATCGCACGCCAACCTCTCTTTATCCCGGAAAGTGTGCTCCATCGCGAGGAAACGGCCTAGGAATACCGGATTGCGTACCACAGGACTTAATAAGAAGATTTATGCAGGGACTAGTGAATGGTAGATGAAAAGACCAAAGTTCCAAATTAGCCGGTTCGTCACAAAATAAAGAAATAATACTAAAACCCCCTTGCCGCGAACGCGCCAGGTACATACTAACCGCCGTCCCGCCATAAGGAAACGTGAACACGACACAGCTCTAGGTAACCTACTCTAGGACATTGAATATTCAGTCCTTCTCTTTGGTTGGCTCCTCAATCCAAACTTAGAACTACTACCTAGGTATGTATGCAAAGATGGGAAAGGGTTGCCCTACCTTACCCTACATACATACTAGGTACATACATTCACTCATACATTCATATAACGTGCCTACCATTCCCTACCTAGGTACCAAGATAAGATATATTGCCTCCATGCTACTGTGCTGTGTCTTAAAATAGCTTCTGCGGATATATAATCACGCCCGCTTGCATTTGTCCAACGGCAGCCATAACCGGCAACCGGCAGTCTCTGGTTTGTAGGCTAGAAAAGGAATTCATTTCGAAGGGGGGTTTTTTTTCGGGGCTCCTCCGAGGAGAGGAGAGGAGAGGAGAGCTTATCCAGACTCACGCAACCCCGTGACCGAACTAACTATCTATCTACGCTCAGTGTCATGTTCCCTAGGTAAGTCATTGTTGGGACGAGACGCGGCTCGGTTACGAACCGTGCCCCTAAGTAGGTACCTAACCTAGGTTGTATGTAGGTATACATAAGCCCTACGATCATATCATGCGGCTCTTTGGGTCGTACTACGTGTCTTACATTGATGTACTACATAGTTACCTACTAGGTTAAACACGTTCCCTTTGGTTAATACCTCCAGGTTACTTAGGTATTTAACTAGCAGACCCTTAGTCGGTGCCAGTTTTTATGCCAAATGTAGATCGATATGCCGATACTAAAAGTCAGCCGCGAAAAAGGGACGGACGTTGCTAACCACATGAAGAATGCTCGTCGGGGTGCCGAACATATGTAATCACCGGCACGCGCTGACACTGTAGCATGTGTGTAAGAAGATATTCCCGTATTCGGCATATGATGGTTTTCGGGTTGCTCGTCAAAAAAGAGAGGGTTTCGTGAAAAAGCTGTGGCGAATACGCACGCATCTACGGTCAAGGAAGCTATTTTGTGGTCTGATGATGACCTGTCCATCCCAGATTGTGAGCTTGGATTATCTACATTTTCACTACTTGCAACAGGACTTGAACAATATTGACGATTCGTGATAATTGCTTTACCATCTTGGCTATCAGATAGATTAGTTACCCAGCTAGCTAATAGTTATTACAATAATTCTCCGAAGATGCCATAGCATCTTCAGCTGGGTACGTTCCGATCAGTGCCCATTATCTCCAGCTGGCATATCTAGGTGGGTATCTAGGTAGGTATTCATAAGATATTCATAATCAGGGTGCAAATACATGCCACTCGGGCAGTCTTCGACACGACGTCCAGCCCAGAGTTTTTCGGTCTCTGCTCTGTAGCTGCTGTCTGCCCAAAAGCAAGAACCCCCAAACCTTGAACAGTCAGCCAGCTTCTCTCACACCTCCTCAAGGCTCCTCCTCACCACGCGCCACCCGGTCCCCCCTCTCCCTCCTAATCTCCCTCTCCCTCCTCCTCCGCATCGTCTCCGCCATCTCCTCTCGCCGCTTAATCCTCTCCCGCCAGCCCATCTGCTCCTCCCGGCGCAGCCACCGCCGCTCGACCGCCTCCTGGCGTCTGATGCGCTCCTCCCTCTCCTGCTCAAAGCGCCGCGCGACCGCCTTCGCCGGGCTCAGTGAGGAGGCGTTGGACTCGGTCTTCTCGTCGTCGTCGTCGTCGTCGCTGTTGTTGCAGGCAGCGTCGGACGCCTCTGCAGCAGCAGCAGCAGCAGCAGGCACGCGCCCAGTCCCGGCCGACGACGCGCACCCCCTCTCGTGCTTCCACCGCATCCCCGGCAGCGCGCCCCAGCGCTCGTCCCAGATGTGGCGGTCGATCCAGCGGCGGCGCACGCGCGAGTACGCGCGCGAGTTGACCGTCACCGGGAATGTGGCGTCGCCCCTGCTGTGGTGGCGCGCGAGCAGGTGCTCCCGCTCGTTGTGCACCTGGTACAGGAACTGGTGGATCGGCCGCGAGGCCTCGTGGTGCTTCGCGATCTTGTCCTGCCACTTGCTGCGGAAGCGGGCGCCGGTGGGGTTGGGTTGGTCTGGGGGGGGCTTGGGGAGCTCGGATCTGGAGGTAGGAGAGGTAGGTTGTTAGTAAGTAGGCTGTATGTTTGAGGAAGTGAATTGTGTGTGAGAATATCCGTTTGAAAGGGGGGGGGGGAAGAATAGGGGGCCGGAGAGGGAAAAGGTAAAGAAAGGTAAGACTTACTCTAGGGATTCTTCGTGCTTCCATGGGTCGTCAAGGCACGGGCGGCCCTTTTGCTCCCACTCTTTCTTCCAGATCCCCTGCTCATTCCACTGTGCTTTCACTTCTTGCACCGCCTGATTGTAAAGGTAGCCGCCCGTGATGGTAGCGGTGACGTTCAAGTCCTTGTCTGTTCGCCCCTTAGACCTGGGGTCCGCATCCCAGATGCGGCCCATCTCCTCCTGAACCAGGTCATCGAACTGTTGCGCCGGTGTTGACTTGTCGTGCCATGATTGCTCGAGCTCTTCACGTCGGGAATCGCTGGGCCCGGCTTTTGCGTCTCTTTCGCTATGGTCACTCATTTTGTATTTTTATTATGATAAAAAGTTTTCTTACTATAGTGTCTGATAAGCTGCCACTGGTGCAGCGGTGGACGGACTATTTATTAAGGAGAGTATCTAGATATTTAATAGTAGCAATGTTGTGTGAAGATGTATGGAATATTATAGTTTTACATCAGAAGCAATGTTCGGGAATATTCCTGGCAATCTATATGTTTCTATATATACTATCTCGACGAGCTGCCTTTGTTATCACATACAACATCTTTGACCAGCGAGTATGGACTCGACTCTCCTGTCCCGTGATATACTCAGCAGCCTTTGTTATCCAACAACCGCAAGGTTGGTACCCATACTACTTCGATCAACTACACGTTTGTTGATCGGATACGGAGAAGCGTTCGTTTGTTTTCTGCATCGTTTCTATATTATAATTATGGAGAAAAAAACCTGCTGCTCGAGAACGACGAATATGAGATGTGATATCGCATTTTGCTCTATCTAATTCGCTAGTTTGCCTGATCATACAGTTACTAATTACATATGGACCGTACGGGGGACATGCTCTTCTCTTTGAAGGGCCTTAATTCTCGAGCTCGACATATTATATCACATGATGCCAATAAGGACTGGTCGTCGACGAGATATTATGGAGAGCGTTGTCTCAACTTTAATGCCTATGCTGTCAGTAAGGATGATTATAAAATCTCCACGATCGCGCTTCTAGGTAGTAGCAGATCGCAGTCTGATATTTATGTCAGAAGCGACGATGACATTTCTTCTGTTCATTGTGCCTTTATCGCCAACCACAGATCAGGAGTCATAATCGTTGAGGTAAGCACAGTCCCCTTTTCCTTTTCTTTGTTTCCTTCCCCCTTCCCCACCGTATTATGGTGTCTTAAGGGCTTTTTGTTAGTTTCAGGGGTAACCATTTGATAGCAGTAACGAATCCCGAAAACGAACAATGACGGTCTCAAATTTGCGTCTCCATTTCGAAATACTAACTATTTGTTTTACAGGATAGATCCGGGGGAAACACTCGAATATATCAAGACGTTGATTCCAAGAAGAACATGGTCGACACCAGCCGTCGACTTCCGCGAATTGCCGTAATGAGGAACTACAACACCGTTATTTGTCTCGGCAAACCCGAAAACGAAGCCAGATTCGAGATCAAGTGGAACGTAGAAATCGCCGACATCAAGAATGTCATCGCGTCACGGGTCGCGGCCGCTCACCCGTCTGTACGGGCAAAAGGTATGATTGTCTTCCCGGGCCAGACACCGGCGACAGGAACGCACCATATCCGGCACTGCACGGTCCAGAAGCTCGGGTGCGGTGCTTTCGGTCAAGTCTTCAAGACGGTCGACGCGGTTTCAGGGGATTTCATAGCTGTCAAGATGTTAAAGGGTCCGTCCAACCAGAACGATCCACGCTGGAGACAGCTCATACGACTCACGCGGGACCGCGAAGTCGGGCTTGTATCTCAACTCAACTGTCCTTACATTGTGCAGTATCTCGGCTCGCAGGGATGGTCCTCTGGAAACGTTCAGATATTCATGCCTATGAAGGCCGGGACCCTGCACGACCTGGGTGAACGGCAGCAGTCTCCTGAACAAATGGCCGATATCGCACATGCGGCCCTTCTCCAGATGCTCGCAGCGATCGACTTCCTGGAGCTCAACGGGCTCGTCCACCGCGACCTGAAGCCGGACAACATCCTGTACGATGTAGACCGCCAGGGCCGGTACAATTTTCAACTGGCAGATTTCGGCCAGGCCAACCTGGCGTCGAAGGCGAAGTCCATGGCCGGGACGATCGTCTACATGGCGCCCGAGGTGCACGACAACACTTTCGCGCAGACTTCCAAGGTGGATGTCTGGTCTCTGTTCCTAACCATGGCATGGTTCTTCAACGAGGGCCAATTCCGCGACAAACTTGAGTCGAGCAGGATGCTCACCAACCAAGAAACTTGCAGGATAGCCCTGGAGGTCGCGATTGGTAGCCATAGCATGTATTTCATGCGCGACATGGCCATCTACGAGCCCAAATACCGTGCCTCGGCCGCCCAGATGCTGACCTCGTTGGATAGAAACAATATGATCTCTTCTCAACCGGCTCGACGTCTCCCATCGAATCATTTCGATATGTGGATGAGTCTCGTTACTTCAGGGCGTAGTCAATGCAGTCAAGCTGTCATGAGCCTGCTACACCCTCACGGGTGGCATTATTAAGTGCTCGGTTGTAGGTATTCTGGTAAGTCGTGAACATTCTATAGGTGCCCTCGTGGGCGGCGTTTATAGGTACCTAGGTATAATTGGTATAATTCGGGGGCTGGGATACGATATGGACATCTGCCTACTGGGTTTATACTAGGCAATTAAAGAAACGGTACCATTGGGAGTCGGCTACTGCCTGGATATACATATATTACCTATATACGACGTCTAATTCGTTTAGTTTGTTTATATGTTTAGTCCAGTTTGTTTAGTATAAAGAAGTTGTTTAGCTTAGTTAGTTTAATGAGAAGATTCATTCTGATCTGAAGGATTCCAAGGTTGGCTTTTTCTTGAACGCTGGTCTTCGGGGCTACCCCTTTTAATATATTCCTACCTAGGTTTGCTACTAGGCAGTGGCTACTATCAATTTCCCGCACAAAGAAAGGGTTCTTGTATTTAGGTAGTTATACATATAGTACTATGTAGAGGTGACTCGTATATTCCCCGCTTCCATTCATCGTAGATGCGTAGGCCTTAATGGTGGCTGATACATATAACAATGAAATTGGCATTAACAGATGCTTTGTTGAACACACTCGATGGATCACCTTGGATACGCTTAATATGAAGTAACAAGGGCCACATCCTAAATACTATAGGAGTGCGACGGGAGAGTAACGCAGCTTTTTGAACTTGATAGCTACCTATACATCCATCTGGAACTTTTCGCATTTTGAGCACCAAGGTAGCTTGTAGATCATACAAACAAAGGGGTGTTCCGACCAATCTATGGGTCTGCTGTAACTGAACGATAGATGCTTGCCTACCTACCCCTAGTACCTTGTAAGTAGATTAGTATGTAGGTAGTAACTCCATCTCGGTCAGTTGATGCCCTCATTGCCATTGCTAGGTGCTGCTACTTCTTCCGTCTCAACCGGTGGCGCCGACCATCGTTGTTGGTTGAGCGAGTTCTTTTGAAGGCCATCCTCAGAATTATCTCCTTCTACTTCTACAACGCTTAGAGGCTTCTTTGATTCAACCGCCTTGCTAGCCTCATCAGCGACCGTATCTTCTCCCGGCTTATCCTCTTTCGTGGCTTCTTTCGGTTCTTCTTGCCCTTTCTGGCCCGCTTCAAGAGAATCCTCATCCTCCTTCAGTTTACCTCCTTTCCTTGTAGGAATCACCTTCATAAAGGCGGTCCCCCAGTCGCCTGTCTCCAGCCATTGAAGGATGATCTCCATGACATGGTTTGTAGCGAGAACATGACGACTCTGCATAACCATAAATTCGCCAATGGGCAGCTTTGCCGTTCGAACCTTTTTTTGTCGGGCGATTTTGTAGCATAGGCCCTTTTCACGATTCTTGTCTATTATGCCACCGATGACATAGGAGGTATTGGGTTCAAGACGGTCCAACGTATAGGGGGAATCGGCGGTGAGGTAAACAATGGACTTGTCAACATCCTCGGCTTCGGGTTCCGGAACAGGAGCATTCTTCTTCTGCTTCTTGTTGCCGTTATTGGTTTCTGTGAAGGAAACCGAGTCTCCCTCTTTGCCTTGTGCAAGTAGCTCTATGACCTCACCGCCAGCAGGGCCCTTCATCAACTCTTGAGCCTCAGCAGCGGCTTCGACAAAGTCACCTTCTACGAACTGAACATTCCTCCAGTGTTTGTGCTGATTCTGAAGTATGGTCTCATGCCTCTCCTTCATCTGACCGCCGTAGGAGCTGACGAACATGTGAACGGGAAAGTGAGCGTTCCTATTATCAGAGTAACATCTGGTGACCTGATTTGCCAACGAGACCAATTCCTTCTCCATCATTTTCTCCTCAAACTGGCAGTCGATAATGACTGATATTGGGACCTTGACGGGGGAATTGGCTTGGCGCTTAGAGGCGTTTTTGAGTACGGGCTCTCTTCCTTCAGCCAGAGCAGCGGCAATCTCAGTCTCCATCTGTTTTTGTTTTCGGTGCTGCTTATTGTGACGTTTTTCTTTACGTACAACCTTTTTGTCTTTCTTCCTCTCTTCCATAATCTTTCGGCGCTTTAATTTTCGTTGTTGGTTCTTAGATAGCTTGGGTGCATCGACGTCGACATCGGCATCAGCCCCGGCGTCGGCGTCGGCCTCTTTGGAGTCTCCATTGCTGATACCATTGCCATTGCCATTGGTATTACTGTGGCCGTCATCTTCCATTTCACAATCGTCCTCAGCTGGTCGTTTTAAACCTCGCTCCTCTAACACTGGCTTTTCGGTAGAAGTGGGAGGCTTGGTTTCCTTCGTTTGGTCTAGAGTTCCTGGATTTCCTGGATTTCCTGGATTTCCTGGATTTCCTGGATTTCCTGGATTTCCTGGATTCTCTATATTTTCTAGAGCTTGTATCTCCGAATTGACTGGCGCATCTGTATCCATCATGCCTCCATCCGCCTCGGCAACTTTTGGATCCTCCGCCATAGTTCTTAGTAAATCAATAATCAATTGCCAATGAATATTGCTTATTAAATGGTAACTGTAGAAGATAGAGATTTGTGGAATAATATTCGAACGATTGGATTGGTAAATGGTGGTAATAGTTAAATGGTACTTTGAATTGTTGGTGGAATGAGAGTTGCAATTCTTTTCCTTTTTTCCTTTTTTTTTTTTTTTCTTTTCTATTTCAATCCTATGTACATGTAGAGCTCGGCGGATCCCTGCTTGGCTCTAGGCTAGTTAGTACCCCGCGGTAGCTAACATTAAAGCCTAGCGTGGTTTAGGCGGGTCTAGGCGGCTGGGCAGTGATCCCGGTCCATTTTTAGCGCGTCTTGTCGCGTCTCTCAGCTTTAATTGATTTCTCTTTGGACGCGATTCGAACTTTGATTCTATCACTTAACTATACTTACATATGGTAGCATGCAGCATAGGACTTTTTACACCAAATTTTAAGCTCCAGTCTCCTAATATATGTAACATCCCTTAAGTCGAGTAGCTTGAAACCATATATTCGAATATTCACCAGATAGGCAGCTTATCCATCATGTCGTCCCGACCAGAGTTGAAGGTATGTGATATTCTAGAGCTCCAGGGCTTTGGAGCCCCAAAATCCTCCGCAGAGCTATGAACTCACAATCTTAGGTCGACGATGAACATGGCTTTATTCGATATTTCAAGTCTCTGCCTGTCGTAGGCGATGAGACCGTACGCATTTTCGATCGTGGCGACTGGTATACCGCTCACGGCCAAGATGCCAACTTCATCTCTAGAGCCGTTTACAAAACTACATCCGTTGTGCGACAACTTGGCAGAAACGATGCCAGCGGCCTTCCATCGGTCACTATGACTGTCACTGTCTTTCGACAATTCTTACGAGAAGCCCTTTTCAAACTGGGAAAGCGAGTCGAGATATATGCAAGCAGTGGCGGCCGAATGAACTGGAAGATTGTCAAGCAAGCATCCCCTGGTAATCTGCAAGATGTCGAGGATGAGCTCGGCGGTCAGTTCGAATCTGCACCTATGATACTGGCTGTTAAGATTGTGGCTAAAGCGACAGAGGCCAGGAGCGTTGGTGTCTGCTTTGCCGATGCCAGCGTCCGGGAGCTCGGTGTTAGCGAATTCCTGGATAACGATTTATATTCCAATTTCGAGGCTCTCCTTATCCAACTTGGTGTTAAGGAATGTCTTATCCAGATTGACAAGGCTGAGAAGATGAAGGATCCAGAGCTGGCCAAGCTCCGACAAATAATCGATAATTGTGGTGTTGCCATAGCCGAGAGACCTGCTGGCGACTTTGGAACCAAAGATATCGAACAGGATCTTGCTCGATTGCTCAAAGATGAGCGATCCGCAACCCTACTTCCCCAAACCGATCTGAAATTGGCTATGGGCTCGGCCGCAGCGTTAATAAAATACCTGAGTGTCCTGCAAGACCCGTCCAATTTCGGACAATACCAATTATATCAGCATGATCTGTCTCACTTTATGAAATTAGATGCGGCTGCGCTCAAGGCTCTGAACTTGATGCCCGGAGTAAAGGATGGCTCCAAGACTATGAGCTTGTTTGGTTTGCTGAATCATTGCAGAACTCCAGTTGGTAGCAGGTTACTTGCCCAATGGCTCAAGCAACCCCTGATGAACAAGGACGAAATTGAGAAGCGCCAGCAGTTAGTGGAGGCTTTCGTGAACGACACCGAGTTACGGCAGACGATGCAGGAAGAACACTTAAAATCCGTACCGGATCTATATCGCTTAGCGAAGCGATTCCAACGAAATAAGGCCAATCTCGAGGATGTTGTTAGGGCATATCAAGTGGTCATTCGCTTACCTGGATTTCTAGGAACCCTTGAGGGAGTGATGGATGAGAAATATAAGGATCCGTTAGACGAGGCCTATACCAACAAAATGCGGGAGCTTTCGGACAGTCTCGGAAAGCTCGCAGACATGGTCGAAACCACGGTCGATTTGGATGCACTTGATAACCACGAGTTTATCATCAAGCCAGAGTTTGACGATAACTTACGCATCGTGCGAAGGAAACTCGACAAGCTTAGATCCAACATGGACAGCGAATTTCAGAAAGCCGCAGACGACCTAAGCCAAGAGGAAAACAAGAAGATATTCCTCGAGAACCACAAAACTCATGGCTGGTGCATGCGATTAACCCGTACTGAAGCTGGCTGCATTCGTAACAACTCCCGATACCAAGAGTGCTCGACGCAGAAGAATGGCGTGTACTTCACCACCAAACTGCTACAAACTTATCGTCGCGAGTTTGACCAGCTGTCTCAGACTTATAACAGAACTCAGAAAGGCTTGGTCAACGAAGTGGTCAGTGTCGCCGCATCCTATTGCCCCGTGTTGGAGCAACTCGCCGGCATCCTCGCGCATCTCGATGTCATCGTCTCATTCGCGCATTGCTCCGTCCATGCACCCACCTCTTACGTTCGCCCTACCATCCACCCTCGTGGCGAGGGCTCCACCATCCTCAAAGAGGCCCGTCATCCGTGCATGGAGATGCAGGACGACATCCAATTTATTACCAATGACGTTGAGCTCCGCCGTGACGAATCCTCCTTCCTCATCATAACAGGTCCCAACATGGGCGGAAAGTCTACGTACATTCGACAAATCGGCGTTATTGCGCTGATGGCGCAGGTCGGTTGCTTTGTGCCTTGCACCGAGGCAGAACTCACCATATTCGACTCCATACTGGCGCGCGTCGGCGCCAGCGACTCTCAGCTCAAGGGCGTATCCACATTCATGGCCGAGATGCTGGAGACCGCCAACATCCTCAAGTCGGCCACAGCCGAGTCGCTCATCATCATTGACGAGCTGGGTCGGGGTACCTCGACCTACGACGGCTTCGGCCTGGCGTGGGCCATCAGCGAGCACATCATCAAGGAGATCGGGTGCTCCGCCATGTTCGCCACGCACTTCCACGAGCTCACCGCCCTCGCGGACCAGTACGCGCAAGTCAAGAACCTGCACGTCACGGCGCACATCTCCTCGGCCAACACCCAAGCCGTCGACAAGCGCGAGGTCACGCTCCTGTACAAGGTCGAGCCGGGCGTCTGCGACCAGTCCTTCGGCATCCACGTCGCCGAGCTCGTCCAGTTCCCCGAGAAAGTAATCAAGATGGCGAAGCGAAAAGCCGATGAACTAGAGGATTTCACATCGAAGCACGAGGATGGGCTGGGGTTGCAGAAGTACACTAAAGAGGATGTCGAGGAGGGAAGCGCGAGGCTGAAGGATGTGCTGGTGAAGTGGAAAGACGAGGTCAAGGGGGGGAGCTTGACGAAGGAGGAGATGGTGAAGAGGCTGAGGCTGCTGGTCAAGGCGGATGAGAAGCTACTGGCGAACCCGTTTTTCACGTCGGTCAAGGCTTTGTGAAGGGGGTGATGTGTGCAGAAGGGTAACGTGCCTCGCGTGTATGAACCTGGCTTGGTTTTGGTCTGGCGTTCGGGTGTCATGTAGATATGTAAGGTGGGAATGGGGGGGATAAATAGGTGATGCATAGATAATCATCTAGGTTAGGTACATACCTAACCTAGGCGGGTACTTGGACCGCTTGGTACATAGATTGGCTTGCTTGCTCGCTGTCTACATGGTAGACTGACTACATGTAGGGATTAATGCTAGGTATTGCACTGAGATGCTGCGATAAAAATGTACCTACCTACCCAGGTAGAAAAGGGGTAATCAAGAATAGGTAACTTGGAAGTGTTGGTCTTGAATAGGTAGTTGCTTAAGTGTGTTGTACATACCTTCCTAATACTTACTGGGCTTTACGTGTGACATAAAGCGTAAGAACCTGGGAAGTTTCGCGTTCCACAAACACGAATCTCGACTCATCTTCTGACTGGGTATGAGTTCCGTACCTAAGTAGAAAAAAAATTAAGAACGAGGACTTTTTATTCATAATAGCAAGGAGGCGGCGTTTCTTCTTTTTCTTCTCCAACTACATATATACAATCATCACCTCATTTCTCTTTAGGTAGCTAGGCTAGACATGTCCCTCCTATTCATATCGTTAAGGCCGGACTGGATACCTAATCTAGCTAAGCTAGAACCTTGTCGGCCATGCTGACTATACGACGGTTAATAAATCTATCAACTTACTCTACTCTATACCGCCGGTAGGAAAGGAAAGGGTAGTTACCATCGGTTCCCGTGTTATCGGGCTCGACATGAACGGACTCGACCTTGCCGTCCTTGATGACGAGAGCGTAGCGCTTGGAGCGCTTGTTGCCGAAGATGGCGGTGCCGTCGAATTCTACGTCCAGGGCCTTGGTGAACGCGCCGGAGGGATCGGCTAGGAAGCGGATCTACATGGGCGTTAGTACTTTAAGCGGTCACATATGGTATGGTATCAACTGATAAATTTGCTTGCGAGACTAGGTAGGGAGGGACTCACTCCGGATGCGTGTGTAGGATCAAGTTGATCGCCCCATGCTTTCATGCTGTTTGTTGTTCGTTAGCTCAGTTCGTAGGTATGTATCCAAATTAGGCTCATCCATCTGTCTGGGATAGCCACCAACATGGGCTCGCTCCCCTCTACATTCTTGGTTGAAATTTCCTTCAACGCATCCCATCGCTTTCTCATTTTTTAAGTTTTTTAGTCTCATTATTCTCCCCTACTCGTCAACTTACCCCCCCCCCCAAAAAAAAAAAAAAAAAAAGTCCAACCCAAAATAAAAAAGAGGAAGAGACAAGACTCACACAAAAGCATCATTAACACTAACCACAAACACACTCCCCTTCTCCTTGAGCTTCGGATGCTGGATGTAACTCGGCACATGCTTCTGCGAGCAAGCGCCCGAGAACGCCGCGGGAACACCGACAATAACACCATCGGCCGTCGCGAACTCGTGCGCCAGGTTCACCTTGTTGCCGGGCGTGTCCTCGTGCAGCACCGCGAGGTCCGGCACCGCCTCGCCCACCTTGACCAGCGCGCGCGGCGTGCTGTGGAAGGGGCGGCGCATCATCATTGGCGCGCCGGCGGTGGCCATGCGCGGGGATGGGGAGGCAAGAGCCGCGATGGGCGTGCGGCGGATGGATGCGCGGAAGGCCATTTTTTTGATTTTGATTCTGGACGTTCCCTTTTTGTTAGGGTTAGGTACAGGATATAAAGCTATGGGGAAGATGTGGAAAGAGGTACCTAAAGTTAGTATATAATAAAATGCAATTGGTAATGGTGGGAATGGGAAAGAAGCTTGGGAGGAGAGTTTTAAGAAGGAGGAAAGATAATTGCTTCGAATCAAGAGAGTTCCCGGATATTGTAACAGGTATACAGTACTTGCTAAGTTAACTACTACCTAGTACATGTAGGTAACCTTAGGTAGGTACATACAATTGCCATGCGGGAAAGAGCTTCTATGTAGCCAACTATGACGTTGGCTGGAGCACTTGCGCCGTTTCTGCGCACCGTGACGTTACGTACCTAGCGTCATGTAGGTAATAGGTATTTCTACTACGCAACACCCTAATTCAGCCGTTACTTGTCCACCGCTAATCGCACTGTCTTATATTACCCGTACGTACCCCCTTTTCGTTACCATCATTGATACATACATATCTCTAAGTAGGCATTCAACCATGATTGAGGACAAGTATGAGTCAAAAGTTATCATTCGGCTAAGTCAATGATCTAGCCTACTAGACATTGGTGCCTATAGCCTCAAGAGTTGTTGAGATGCATACATCACTGTAGTTAGTTGTCAATTTGAGAGTGGTGAGTGACCAGCACACAAACTGCATAGTATCTACCTACCTACTACTAGGTATGTAGGCACTATGTAAATATCACACGTTCTCTCTATGTAGTCGTGAGACGCAAGCAAAAGTGCACAGCCTGAGTAAAGATAAATTGGCAATCGCACAAATGATATCGCACCCTCAAAACTCCGATCATGCTCACGTCTATCTATTGCCGTTACAATACAATTTATCCGCGAGTGCTGATACTGCCAACCCCAGACCCCGTGCTCTTCAAATCTACGTTAAAGGTCCACCGCCCTGGAAAAGGAGACAAAGAATTAGTTAGACTTGAAAGTAACTAAAAACAAAAAAAAGTTATAGTACAAATTTCCACTCACCGTTTGCGAGGTTCTCTGCCGTATCCTCCAACAGGATCACCCGACGGCGATTACAATATGACGTCTTGTCCATGATATCCCCCTTGAGCTTGCTCTCCGATAGCTCCGAGATCGGCTTCTCGAACATCTCCGACAATGCCTCAACGGCGAGTTCGAGGTCCTTTTGATTATCTTCGAATATCGAGGTGAGATTATTTCGGGCGAGGTAGAAGGCGAAGGCGTAAGTCCACTTGAGCGTCTGGCGACATGTTTGCAATGCCTGTGACGCTGAGTTCAAGTACTGTACTTCAATCCAGGACATGCCCGACGCAGTCTGCAGCTGAACCATCTTCTTCTCCGTCTTCTGGTATATGTCCTTGTCCAGACGTGCCGACTGCTCGTGGTTGGCGTATCGGTTATAGTAGTGTAGATAACGTTCCAAGGACACCCGTGACCTAGCCTGCGCGTCGCGTGCTTCAGTTCCGCTTCTTTCCTCAAAACGGTTGCAGTTGTACCAGCTCGTACCATGTTCAGACCACAACCCCATGCACATCCAGCAGAACTCGTGCTTACACTTGCGACAGGTCATATGGTTGCAACCTCCGTTCTTCTCTATTGTCGAGTTGCATTTCGGGCATTCCTTAGTATTCGCCGAGATCCAATTGGCCGTCTCACTATCATCGGCACACTTCTTAAGCCACCTCTTCACAAGCTCGCAAGGTGCCGGCTGGTGGTCGTTGAGTATGCAGCCAAAGCAAAACCGATTGCCACATTCGCAGACCACGGTTGGCACAACTTTGTCCAGATCCTTCTTCTTGACAGCGCACTCGACAGCGTTTTCACAGTCGGGTGCTGGACACCACTTAAGTATATCCTTGTCTTCAACATAGGTCCGGTTCAAAAGTTCTTGGTATCGGTGGGCCAACTGGGGCGTGACTAGCAAATCCAGTGACCGGGCATCAATAATTCGTTGGCAGCTTTCGGCAGGGCATCGGATGCGAGCTGCCTCGCCTTCCTCGCGAATTTTCTGTGTTAGATACTGCAAGTAGCAATCGACGCAGTACCGGTGACCACATTTCATAGCAAAGCTCTGTAACCCCTCTTCGTCCTCGCAACAGATGTCACACATGAAACCGGGTATGACCTCTAATTTAGGAGGCCCACTCGAACTGGGCCCTAGACCTGCCTCCTCCAGGACTTTGGCTGGGTTGTCTAGATAATCCTCATTCAGCCGTTCCTTGTTCCATCGAAAATGGCGTAGTAAGATGGCGGCGTCCTCCTTTCTCATTTCTAAAATCAGGTTTACTTCATTTATCATCTCTTCTTGCTGGAGCTGAATAGCTTGAGGATCGTAGACCTTGTAACTCATGTCGAACGAGGTACCCTTCTTCTTATCAGACTTATTGGATGGATCATCGGGTAGATCGTCTGGTTCGTCGTCAAAAACATCGTAGTCTGTGGTCGTCAAGTAAATTTTGTTAGTTGCGAATGCATTAATTCGGAGGTTGAAACATATTATTACTCAGCAATTTTGAGAAGGAAATGGAATAGGCAACATGACAAGAAAAATAAGAAACAAGCCTAAAGAGGTGACGTAAAGAAAGGAGAACCTACCCTCAACGCCCGACAAGTCATCGTTATCTGTATCGTCTTGCATCCCATCATCCCCGCTAGAGATGGTTGAGACAAAGTCTTCGTCAGAATCCATACCGGTAATCGGAGTCGGGGGTGCTGGGTGGGTGGTAGCAGCTGAGGCGACGGCTCGCTTACTAGGAAGCGCTTCGCCGGTGTCTGTAGATATCCTCGCCTCAGCGGCTTTCCGCTTCCTCGTTGTGGGAGGAATCTTGTCGGTTGGGGGTGTTGGCTCGGGGGAATGCTCGCCGTCGACGAGCCTCGGTCTGTCGAGTATTGGTAGTTGCTTTAGGGCACGACGTGCAATCGTAGAACAAGCTTGCTTTCAGTTGATTGCTTTCCTGCTCTTTGACTTGCTTGCTTGGGCCTCCTCGGGGCGTAACAGGTAGACTGAATTAACGCAAGGTTCCGTGTGATGGTTTATATGATCGATGGTGTGACTGTGGCGTCTTGAAAATTATAAGTACACACAATCAAGTTCCGTGACCCTCGAGGTTATCTTATGCCGATGTGGAGAGTATGAAGGACAAGAGAGGAGGTACGATCATCTATACGACGGAATGGAAGAACGAGGCTCTTGTCAGCAAGGTAGGAATGGGGAGGTAAGGGAAGAGGGGTTAATAAAATGGTGAAGGGGGGAATTCGTGGAGAGTTGATATCGCATGCAGGACAAAAAGTGAGAGGAAAGCTGACGACGATGAAAAATGTTGGTACTGTGGTAACAGTATATGTAGTACCTAGCAGTATGTAAGCACAGTGCTCAAGTTAGTCACTACTACTAATTACTGCTAGTATTGCTATTATTACCTCTTAATATTCTGTCATGGAAAATAGCGTGGACTCATAAGAAAGGATTTGTGATGTGATATGGTTATGTTGAGAGAAATGGGATTAAAACAACCAAGTTGTTCTTACCTAAATGGCCTAGTTAGGCAGGCTTGCCATGTGTTTCGACTCAGATTTGGATTTGGGAGGAGAAGGAGGCTGGAGGATTTGAATGTTCCGATCTCATTAATAAAATGCCCCCAGTGCCCCCTCCCCCTAAAATAAAATCCTATGTCAGCGGTTGTTGGCACCGTTATCCGTTATAGCTAACCTTGCTAACCTCAGGCAGTTGCAGGCAGTTGCAGGCAGTTGCAGGCCGTAAATGGTAACTTCAAGGTTCAAGTAACTTTGTACTATGTAATTGACTGAAAAGTGGCTTAGAAAAGATGTTGGCGGCAACCGGTGGACCATGTGCAGCTGATACCTAAACCAACCAACCCCTGGCATCAACTTGTCGCATGCTAGGTAGGTACGGGTGGGCAAGGTGGGCTTTACTTCGGCGATCGTAGTTTTGCGACGTTGCGAGGTTACACAATCCACTATCTACTGCGTAGTATTGCCTCCAGTGCTGCTGCCAGACAGTTCAAATAGGTGCCAAACAGGTCACAAATAGGTACATACCTACCTAGAATAGTGGCTTAGTGACTTGGTGCCAGTGGTGGGTCCCCCAAGTCACCAGATCCTCCTACTAGCGTACCTGCCTACTAGGTACTTAAGGTAACCACGGCAGACAGCGGGTTTCTGACGCAATAACTGGTCAAACATTGAATGATTCAATATTCAGAATCAAGTCATCCATGTATGTATGTATGTTAAATGTGTTTCTTCAATGTACTATGTACACCGGCAACACCTCGGATTCGTTTCGTCTCTAAGAAAAAAGTAAAATTACATAATCACTATCTGTATACAGTATCAATTTAACATTACATACAGTGACAGTATAATTCCAGCACCATGTAGAATTAATTACATGGACCATCAACTAACTTATTACCTCAGCTATTAGCAAACCGAACACTCTTCCATCCGGTTCAGTCAGTATTATCACCATATGACTTCATACAGATATATAAATTTCAATAAAATTTCAACAATTTACCCATCGATTCATCAATCGATTGTTCCATATTCTACTTACAACATTCATTATGATAACCTCCGGCTACTTTCACAAAATGAGACATGTAAATGGCGGGAAAGGTTATGATGATTATTCATTGATTAATACGTTCAAGAGGCATTAACAACTCGGTCACTATTCGTTGTTCATCAGAAAACAATACATATTGGTATCCGTATAGTCCCTGGATTCCCCATTGCCGAAGTCAGACACCTATACGGTCCTGTAGCCTACAAAGTCCATGGATGCCTTTACTCCGTAACCTTTGCTGTCAAAACTCCGGCGCTATGCTGATGTAACCGCCATCCGAAACCATAGCTCCCATACCCAGAGCTAGTATGGGCAGCCGAGTGTACCACTTTGCTCTGATTATATCCTTTCCTGAACAAAGAGGAACCTTGCCAAATCCGGCCTTGTGCCTCTCCCCTTGGACTTCTTGGTCCCCATATTCTCTTGTTCTTCCTCATTTTCCTCGCTCTCTGGCATCATCATGTCTTCACTGCCTACCGGTCGGTTTAGTGCCTCCACCTCTGCCATGTCGACAGGCGGTAAAGGCACAAATGCGGGATTAATCGGCAGAGATTCTAGGCTGCGTCTTCCTAGACTAGATCGCTTCTGTGGTCGCGGCGCCGTGAAACTTGGGGTTGATGGCTGCTTGTTGCGGCCTAGAGCCTGGGAGCTGAGTCTTTGAAGCGGCGTCATACGAGGTGTCGTCATTGGGGTCCTTCCAGACGTGGACGGCTGTGTGGATGATGAAGATGGCAAAAACGATGTAATGGAGGAAGTAGGCGTCTCGATAAGAGAGCTTCTCATGGAAGAGGTGGAGCTGCTCTGTCTACGTGACTGGTCGCGTTTATACGTCGGCAAGTTGGATGTAGCGCTCGCTTCGTAGGCAAATTGCTTGATAATGCTGGGCGTGCTGGGACACGCGTTGTCTTGTTCTGAGACAGTGGTTCCAGAAGACTCTCCTTCAATTTCCTCTTTGTCGTCCTTAGATATTTCGGAACCTGTCGACGAGTGAGGCTCCTGATAAACCATCACTTCCTTCTGGTCCTTTGACGAAGTACCCCATTCACCAATGTCTGGCAAATCCTTCAAAGCTTCCTCGATTGAGTCATCCGACATGATATACCCTTCCGATTTCCTGCCACTAACGCCCCCTTTTTTACCAGACGGGAAGAATTTGCTTCTATTCTTGCCAGGGCTAAGTTCCGAACTAGCATCGTCGCATAATCGCGCCTTCTTAGGCGGTCGAACCGGCTGGGTGGCTCCGGCATTTACTGGATTGCTCGCAATGTTGAGTCTTGGCCCTAGGGTTTGACGTCGTGATCCGGATGCTAGAGAATGTCCGTCATTACTGAGAAGGTTAGAAATTGGCTCAGTTCGACGTCGTAAAGTGCGAGACGAGCCCTCAGAGCGACGGATGTATGCACGCGACCCAGTAGATGAGGCAAGGTCAGTCTCGTCAATGTATGGTCTTGGCAATGGGTATACAATAGGTCGATTGCCGTTTTCAGTTAAGTTAGACAGTCGTACGGGGTCAACAGAAAAGCAATTAGGCTCCATTTCGCCCAGGGGAATTCGGTGGTGACCCTTGAAGTAGGAGTCGATTGGCTTCTCTGGGGGTTCTCGGGCGGCTTGCGTTTGGGGTCCGGCACGAGTAGATCCCGATGCAGTACGCTTTCTAGGCGACGACGTGGTTGTAAGGACTATCTTTTGCTTCGTGATTGGGTTCACATCCCCGGTTGCGATTCCTCTGGCAACTTCTGGCTCCATGGATGGCCCGATGAAGGGGAGTTCTTCTACTTTGATGTCAGAACCGGGCTCGGTAAAATGGACCAGCTCGTTTGCTTTAGGGCAAAAGACCCATGAGTAGAGGAAAGTCTTTTCGGCTTGGTCGAAGAGAGTTAGGTAATCGGTAGGAACGCGATATTTCCCATCGAATCGCAGCATGCGGATCACTCGCTCAGGCGTCTTGTGCTTTCGCATCATTCTGTGTGCCGTCTTCAGCCCTAGGCTATTAATGCTATCTAGGTAATCGCAGCCACTGAATATAGCCATCTGTCGAAACTGAGCGTCAGTCCAACCCGTGAAAGACACCTCTCGGCAAGCGCAGAAATCTCTCCGATTGATTTCAATGCAGTTGCCGTACTGGTCTAATTTGGTCAAAAGTCGCTTCGCTCCGAAGACCAGCAAGTCTGAGTCTTCGGAAAGAATGCCACTAATGAGACCTTGACGTTCCAAATAGACAAGTTGTGGATCGGCTTCATAAGGTGCGACTACATAGGGTACGCCAGCCTTCTTGAGTTCTTCGATTAGGTGGCGAGCCATCTCAGGAGTAACATCAACGGCTTTCTGTAACTCGACATGCGCCTGGGATGGTTTGCCAGCCTTCAAGAGCTCGAGGCCCGTCTTCTTACACTCCTCTCGGCGCTTGGCTCGTGATGCTTCGGTTGAGCCTTTGCTGGGCAAAAAACCACCGTCGAAGACCATGTAAGGAGTTATGCCAAAGTGTTTGAGCATGCGAACACGGCTCATGGCAAAGTCGACGTATCTAAAGTATGACATGTGAGATCGAGAGCTTTTATCTATTTTCATATCTTACCCGATGACAAGTGAGAGCTGGTTATGGTACTTACTTCCGAGTCGGCTTGTCTTGGGCGAGGTCAATGGCACAAGGTACGGCCCCTCGGTGTAGCCAGCCGTAGGCATCTACACCGAAGGTCTCACCACTGTACTTCTTGAGTTCGGTGGGTCGCTGTATGGATTTGAGTAGTGGGAGCAGCCCTGCATACATGAGTATTCTGAAGCGTCAGGACTTCATAGTGGGTCCATTGACTTACCTTGGATACCCATCTTGAAGAAGACGAAGAAGGACTCTTCTTCGGTGCCGGAATTGCGGTGGTAAACGTTAGATGCTTGTAGCCATACAACAGAACTCGTCTTGATCAGTATTTACTCTGGCGAATGGCCAGCGAAGTTGAAGGGGTAAATCCAGTCAAATCCAGTGAAGAGTAGTGATTTTACTGGAGTCCGGCGCTTTCTCAGAAGGCTGAATTGTAACCAGGTAAGTACCTAGGTAGTCAATCGGCCGAAGTAGTGGTGGTGTGTGAGTTACAAATACGGTAAAGAAGGTAAACAAGTAGAGATAAACATGGGATTAAAACGGACTTTTAAGAAGGTGGCGTGGGTAGTGGGATGTCAATGTGGATGAGGAAAGTTGAAGGTATTAAAGATAAAGGGTCAAGGAAGACGTCAGGTTAGAATTGGCACGCTCGAGTGATGTTAAGTTAGAAGTTCTGAAGGCTGTACCTACAGTCTGCAGAGTATGAAATAGGAATAGAAACGCGTTTACGATGGATCCAATGTGGTGCACTGGTACCTACCTACAATGGTACTAGTAGTACAATGGTACTAGTAGTACAATGGTAGGCACTAATCAATCGATAAGAAATTCTTACATGTTGAACCGCGTCGTGGAGCAACCATTTGCACTAAAGGGCCACACCGCGACTTCTTTTAGTCTTTTTTAGTGGGTTTGGTTAGGCTAGCAGGTAGGCAGCTGCTAGTGGGCTGGGACGAGAAACGTGGGGCTAACCAATCAAGTGAATGAACTAAGCTAACAAGATCCTAGTCGAGGCTAATACACACTGTACATAGCTAGTACTTGACAGCTGATTGCATATCAAATCTACTCTCGTGAAGTTACTAAAGCACAGGCATTTACACCGTGTGCCTAACAATCACCATGTACCAATTAAGCAACAATTTGAATGGAGCAACATTGAAGCTACATAGCATTTTAGCCTCAACTTCCATGTTGCCCCGCCAGGAATAAGTCCCCTTTTCTAGAAAGATGGAAAGATCAATCAATCATTGATGAAAGATTCCATAGTCTAGCCCCACCAATTCTTCCAGCCAACAAAATTTCACATGTTCCACTCCAAGAAACTTTGAAGAAAGTGAGAAGATTGAAACCTACGACGTACAACGTTCGCAAACTTCATCGCTTTACCCACCCAGTACCAATCTCATAAAACTCCCCCCCCAAAAAAAGAAAAGAAAAGAAGATGGCCAAGACACTTGAAAGAACTCGTAAGGCCATTGCGAAAAAGAAGGGTCCCATTGAATCTTTAAACAAATTTTCCCGAGATTCTAAGAGACTACATCGAGCGCAAGTTCGAGATGAGAAGCTTGAAAAACTCGCTTCTTCAAGAAAGAAGAGTGATAAGCCCTACAGTATGTCATCCGTGCCACCATACCTATCATACCTACCTACCTACCTACCTACCTACCTACCCTAGGTATCTATGTGGACACCCAATAAATTAACTCGTGTGTTCTATGTGGATAGTTGAACGAGCCACTTTCTTCCGTGAAGCGCTGAAGCAAAATGGAAACCAACCCCTTCAGATAGACGTCATTCAAGAGCTCATCAAGACGTCAGTATAAATTTCTTGCCATCTCTCAAGTTCTATAGCCTACAGTCAACTAACCTGACACCCAGTTTTGTACATCAGTATGATGAAGAGTTAAGCGAAATAAAGAAGGTGCGGCGTCCAGGACGTCCTGCCAGCACCAGGGAAGATCTGCTAAAGGTGAAGATCGATAAACTTGAAAAGGAACACCAGAATGGCTTCCGTCAGTGCATCTATAACCTCTCGACAGAAGTCCATTTAACTAATGTGTTTAGTACTCCCGATACTTGATGATGACGAAAATGCCACGCTACTAAGCCGCTGGGAAGGTAATTGGTCCTATCTTACTACTCTCAAATGGGCGAGGTTATCTTCCGCCGGAGGCATCAAACCTTCCAGTTTTCCCCCAAGAGGGGAGCATTAAAAATATTTACCCAGCAATCACGTGTTTGCAAGCTTGAGCCTGTAGAGAGGCGTGTAACCATTGTATGTGCCCTCGGTTGATGTTTCTATGTCCGTCGTAGAGCAGACGGGGTCTTACGTACGGACGTAGGAAGTTTCCGAGACTACATGTAGGTCAGGGAGGTGGCCCCGTTTGGCCGTTGGTTCGCAAACCCGCGGTTACCTACAGCTCTGGCGCACATCAGCTGCAAACTCCGCAACCAGCCACACCTGCCGGTTTTCATTCCCAGGTTTTTAAATGAATAGATGGGTATAGGCGAAACAATGTCGGTTAGTCTCGGACCCGGTTCACCCATGTCCATGGCTCACAACGGCGATGTGCGTTTAAAGCTCATCGGCAAGGTTGCGGCGCATGCTTGAACCCGTACCGTGCCAGAGGACGTCAGGCACGCACGCAGGTACGCAGATAGGCAGACAAGCAAGCAGGCAAGGCAGGTGGAACTATCCTCGACGGTATTTTTGTGTACCCAGGGCTAGTCTGGACGAAAGTGCCACTACAGAGTTAAATCGCGATCGCTTGCAACCCGAGTGCATTGTTTGCCGTACCTGTTTTTAGAACTTAGGCACCTACCTACCTAGTCGTTGCACGTGTGAGGGGAGTGGGTAGCCGAAGTTGTGGGTAGCCGAAGTTCAAAAGATGGCCGTGGTTGAACAATAATTGCCTGCACCCCGGATCCGAGACTTTAAAAAGAAGCCGCAAAGCCCTACCAGCTCCCGAACCCCACAGCGTTTCGAGCTACGGTCTTAGATAAACGAGATCGTCCCATCCGCAGTTAATAAACGTGTGACATTTCACAGCCTCCTACACGCTCGTCCCGGCGCGGCTACATGCTCAGTGCCTTGTGTCCTTCCATTTCATGCTTTTTTTAAAAAGAATGAATAGTGCTGCTGCTATGATTTGTGGTACTTCCATCAAACTTGATGTCTATTAATCTCAGCTGGGAATCTCGAGGCGATTGGTCCAGCGGGGCTTGTATAGTAATAGGTATAGAAGTTTTTTTTCCCTCGCTCCTTCAGGTACCCGATTGGCTTGGCTAGAGGCGTCGCAGCGACAGTCCTGAGATATGTCATACGATGCAGCAATCACAGCATTGTAGGTCGTCGAACATTTTTCCACGTGTGGGCTACTTCAAGCGTCATATAAGATGGAAGTTTGGCGGACTTCAGCATAGAATAAAATGACAATGACGATCTCTACTTCATCTGATAATCTTCTCATTGAGCCTTGTTGCAAGTCATCGATCTTTTACATCTTTATGCCACCCCAGTATGTAGATCCAACTCCCAAGCCTAGCTTGTGCATGTGTGTAGCTAACAGCGGCTTAGAAATGTGTCAATACGTCACGCACCTAAGAGCCTGTCACTGCGGCCACGAGGAAACAGTGCTCATCTCGGAGAAATCGTGCAAGACAGCTCGTCAAAGCGGCATGTTTGGAAGTTGTGGAACTGGCGTCAACAGTGCATCCAACAAAACTCAGTACCAGTGCTGGAAATGTAAGGAAGGAATCCAATCGATCCCGCGGATGCGGACACGGACTCGGACACGGCCTTGGCGGACTGCAGTATCATGAAGCCGACTACCAGCAGCATAAGAATAAAAGCATTTATCGGTTGACAAGAGTTTTTAGCTAGAGATTATCTTAGTAGTCTTTGAAATCTGATACATACTGCCTATAGAAAAGCGTCTGTAACCCTTGGTGACTACCTAGGCTAGACTATGTAGGTACCTTCGGAAGAGAGGGATCGAGAGGATGGCCTCTATAAGAGTTGACACTAACTATCTTCTTGCTTGTTTCGATTGCCATTATTAGCCAAGGTTGGCATAAAAATAATGTTGAGATTCTAGGCCGTATGACTAGAATTCATCTCCCTCTCCAACATACATAGTCACTTACATATATATTTATTACCTATGTTAAGACTTTGTTGTTGAGAAATCTCACAGTGCGGCGCATCTTGACGCACACTATGTAGTGACCTAGGTACATCATAAATGTACCTAGTAGTTCAAATTGAAGTTTTGTGCCCCTCATTTGTGGTCCGTGCATGGCGATTACTAGATATCTAGGTATCCACATTAGCTAGATAGGTCATCTAATCAGTTCCGATAACAATTAACTATGTTGGAAAAAAAAGAAAAAAAAAAAAAAGAGTAAAATTTTTGGAGCTTCTCAAAACTTTCAAAAAGACTTCAAGTTATTTTTTAATAACTCTCCAGATAACTAACCCATTTTCCACCCTTCTTTAAGTTTTTCAATCCTTACCTCTACCAATTCATAGCCTTAATATCACATCTTTCATAATCTTTTAAAGATGATGATGTCTATGCGAGCCGTCGCGCGCTCTGCGCCCCGCACCTTCACCCGCCTCAGTGCAACCACCCTCCGACAATCCAGAGTAGCGCAAACAAGCTCTCTACTCAAGTCTTCATGGACACCTCTCAGATCCTCGCAGCAATTTGCGTCCGCCTTTTCCACGTCACAGCTACGACAGAAGCAACAGTCGTCAGAAGTTGATGAGGAGCTGTCGGTTAAGCTGGAGAGCGAGATTCAGCTTGAAAGCGAGATGAGAGATAGTGAACTGCCCGCCAGCGTCAAGGACTTCCTAGACAACAGCCCCTTTGAGCTTAAGGACGTCCCTGGAAAGGAAGATGTTGTTTTGACGAGGAAGCTCGGCAATGAGACGTGAGTGTTTCCCTCCCCGATTCCCTTTTTGAATTCTCTTTTATAGTGAAAGAAGGGCAGAGAAAAAAAAGAAAAGAAAAACACCTACTAATGATCTCATATTAGCATCACCGTTACCTTCTCCATTTCTGACCTCACCAACTACGAGAACAGCGAAGATTTCGGTGACGATGCTCTTGGTGACGAAGACGCCGATTCGCCCGAGAACCAACGCGCGTCGGAGGAGGCCGAGGCCGAAGAGGGTCTCGAGGGCGACGATGATCAAGTACCACCCACACCGTGCCGACTTAACGTTGTAGTCGAGAAGCCGGGCAAGGGTGCGCTGAACATCGAGGCCATTGCCCAAGGTGGCCAGGTCATCGTCGATAACTTCTACTACTTCAAGGACCCCAAGCTGGCCCACGGCGAGTCCGCCGAGATCAGCCACGCCGCCCAGGAACTCTACCCCGGCCCACCTTTCGGCAGCCTCGATGAGGACCTCCAACTCCTCATGGAGCGCTACCTCGAGGAGCGTGGTATCACCCAGGCTCTCGCCGTCTTCGTTCCTGACTACATGGACATCAAGGAGCAGCGCGAGTACCAGACCTGGCTCAAGGACATCAAGAGCTTTATCGATGCTAAATAGAGCACGGTTCAGCCAGGGAGGGGGCTTCAGTTAGATGCGTATGAGAAAAGGCGAGAGTGAGGAAGGGAGTTTGGGGATATGAAGGCGGAAAAGAAAAAAGAGACGAAACGGAAGCATCTATGATGACGATGCATTATGAGGATCTACTAAGGTATCCTTGTGTAAACTTTTCCACACTCCACATGTATAACAATACGGACCATGACCACCAATGAATGAAACTTTTACGTATTCCAAGATGGTGTTTTGAGAATTGATGTCTAAACATTCTTCTTATTTGTTCCAGGGCGTTATCTGATGCTCCCTAATTTCTCGGCCTGAGTCGAACGCTCCTTCGTCACTAAGCGAATCATCAAAACGCTAAGGTTTACTTGTGAGTGCTATCATTACCCGAATAAATACCTAACCTAGTATATATGCTGTACTCAGCGCAATCGAGGTATATCCAACGAAGAAACCTATATCCTTGATAAAAAATAAGGGGGGGTGGGCAACGATGCCTAGACTTCCAAGGTTGTGAGCTTTTCACTCATACTTACTTAGGTAGGCATGTCCGCTTAGTTAGTTTAGTGCATTGAAGCAAGAAATAATCTCCAAAGGATCGTAGGACAAGAAAAGGGGAAGGGAAAGGATGAACAAAAAGGCCTGCCTCCGGATCGCATTGGAAACTCAATTGAAATCCAGCTTTGTGGTCGACGATGTTATTGGTGCTTGTTTTGCTTTATATGTCTAACTTCGTGGTCCATGTATGGCTATTTCTTTTTTAAATACCTAGGGTAGGTCTGAATACGATTTCCCGGTGAGCATAGCTGATGCCCCTTTCCAAGGCAAACTGGGAGTTGTGTGTAACATGGCTTACTTAAGTGCGTATCTGGGTATCTAGGTGGGTACCTACCTGGTACGCATACATAAATACAGCGCCGGGTAAGATTCTCTATGGCTGGCTAAACCATCTCACTCGCTTTCGTGGCAAAGCAGTCGCCCTCCACGGCGAGGCTCGACAACCTCTGCAGCGTCCTACCCTTCCCAACCACGTCTTTGAGGTTTTACGGGCTCCAGTATCCGATACCTCTTCACTAATACGTGTATTAGTCCTGGCTTTCATTTTTCAACGTACTAATACCTCGTCACTTGTAGCTCTCGGTCGAAGGCTGCTACGTATCTGTAGAGCCACAAGTTAGTATGAGTAATCTTGCATAAGGCCGACGATTGCTATCTGGGGAGAAGACTTTGAGATATCAGCTTAGTCGAGACTAACGGCTTACATCTAGTTCTTAGGGGTTTCAGTTCACGCAAGTCCCCGTATAACTTCACTTCCTGCTAGAACTGAGAATATTTGCCTCAAACCGCTTAAGATTGCCTAGTGATCTGATACTTACACCCCGCCTAGATAGGTACCTATATAGCACAAAAGTTCGTTGCCAACGATGTCTCCAAGCATCTATACCTATTGGAGAAGGCCTATTTACCATATAACAAGAGATCAAAGAACTAGAAAAACGAAGCTTCCCCATGATACGCAAGGGAGAGATGCCTCGGATGGGCAAAGAGGCACAGTTAAGTATGTATCTATGCCAACGATGCGCGAACGCTTTCACTTATTGTCACTACTTAAGTTCAGGTACCTTTGAACAACTTACGTGTAGACTGCCTGGCAAGAAGAGCAGTGCATGGATAAGGTGAAATGCTCGAGCTTAACGATACGGACTAGCATACAGAAGATGCCTAGACAAGAGGCGAGCTCGCGATAGAGCCAGTAGTAGCAGCAGTACCTAATAACCTGAACCGGATCTCCCTCTTCCTATATCAGCCAAAATACCCAATTCCCAAACCAGAGCCTTTCCGTTTTCTCTCTCGTCTCTCCTAGGACTGCTCAACGGTGATCTGCGCCGCACCACTACTCTGGTACCCCTCAGTCGCAAGGATCTGGTAGTTGTGGGTGCCGAGCTTGAGCCCGGCCTTCTCCCACGCATCGAAGTGGTTCTGCATCGTGACGGAGCCGCCGACGCGCTTCTGCTGGCGGACGGACCAGAACTGGTAGAACGTGGCGGTGCCGTCGATGCTGGGCTGGTTGACGCGCTGCGTGCGGTAGACGTCGTAGACGCTGCCGTCGCTCTCGACGCTGCCCAGCTTCTGCGCGCCGCTCGACGGGTTGTACGTGCCGAACGACTCGACGACGTAGTACTCGATCAGCGGGCTGCGCGTCCACCCGTACACCGACAGGTAGCTGTTCACGCTCGCGCCGTTCCACGTCCCGTTGTACGTCACCACGCGCGCCGCCCCCGGGTTCCACCCCTTGCCTGCCACGAAGTTCCCCACGTTCGACCACGTCACGTCGTACGACCCCGCCGCGCCGTTGTTGTACGTCACGGACCCCGCCCCGTCCGTCCAGAACGAGTAGAAGAACCCGTTGTTGGTCCCCGTGCCGGCCGGCGTCGACCGCGTGATCAGGTCGAGCGGGGAGGCGAGGGCGGCCGCGGCCGCGGTGAGGGCGGCGAGGAGGGATGAGCTGAGCATGGCGGTTTTTTTTTTTGGGTGGGGGGGGAGGGATGGTTGGTTGATCGACAGCGGGATTATGATTCCTGAGCTTAGGTTTAGGAGGGGGGAATCTGTTGGATAGGTAGGGTTCCTTGGTTTTCTTGACCTTGGGGTGAGGAGAAGAAGAAAAGGAGAAGAAAAAAAACAGGAAACCCCTGATCGCCGACGCGGGGAATCAGAAACGGTTATATACTGTTATTTCCAGGCTCACAAAAAGATCAGATGGGGTTCTGCCAGCCAAAGAGAGGGAGAGAGAGAGAGAAAGAGAAACACCCGCTTCTAGAAAGGGGAATTCTTGCGTCCGTTCCTGGTCTCCGAGAGCATGGGCAAATGTGCTACGCAGGAATATTGCCAATGGGCCTATGCCGATCATCGTGGGGAAAAGGGTCTATTTTGCCGACGGTAGGTAAATATCTCTAACCAGATGGAGGTGGGGGCCGGGATGTTGAGCATTGAGCATTGAAGGCGTGAACATGATGATGGCCTGCTAGGTGGGTAGGTAAGTAGGTAGATGGCATTTTGCCGGCCGGTTAAATGTGGTGTAGGCCGCGACCCCCTGGCCTTGGACGACGCGCCACGATGGCGGTTTCATGTTATATGCTATATACAACCTCCCCGCGATCTAGGCGTCTCACAGATCGCCCTGGTTGGTTCATGCGGCTGCGAATGTTAATATAATGTAATATTGAGGGATGGTAAATATCGGCCTTGCTGTGGTAACCCGGCTTTTACCGGTTCTATTGCGAAAGTAGCCTATGGCGATAGAACTGACGACGAAGACATCAGTGTTGAGGTGAGAGGATGTGGTAGAATGGGTGAGCATGAGGACTTTGGGGGTTTTTTTCTTTTTCTTTTTCGCGGATAATTTCGTTTTGTTTCGAGTGTTCGTATTCGCCTCTACAGCCTAGAGTATACTCACTACCCCTTTTCCCTTTGATAGACTAGGATGTAAGGCCTAACTGAGTAACCTCTATGCCAAAACGATAGACATTTGTTTAGTAAGAGGGGGATCTTGTAGCAAGATACATCACAAGATGTCAGGCAATTGAGCCGATCTGGTTAGGTTCGGCTCTTGACCATCCTCCGTTTAAGCTCCATGTCACTACTTGGTAAGGTACTGTACTCATTATTCAGTATAATGCATGAATTACCTTCTTGTAGCGTTACACTTGTAGTCAGAAGGTTAAGGAGTCTTTATACACGTGACAGCATGGAAGCGATCTGATAACGGAGTAATGACCCATTCCGGTCCCCGGCCGACGCACTCTTACACACGCGGAATCGGTACGGCAAGACGGGTAGGTTACATATTAGATCCAATTATCCGATTGACCGCCCCCGGAGAATTCAAAGCCTCAGGGATTGTGGCGCCAGCCGGATGACGGACATTGCTCCCCCCCCCCCCCCCCCCCCCCCAATCGATGACGGATGGGTTCATGGCGATAGATAGCCGTGCGGGAAACCAAACCTGAAGCGAAAGGGTTTGGTACTAGGTAGACTACTTACATACATACACACTGGGTACTTACACGCGTAATACACACCTAGGTAAGTACATGTAGGTAGGTAAAAGGCGAAATGAGGCTTAGATGTACTGTGGACGCGTCAAATCACCCGAGTCTTATCCTTTTGTTCTTATGGGATTTTAACATTTGCCTATACGACAAGGCCGAGGAATCATGGAGCCGTGAAGGAAAAAAAAAAATGGAGTCAGGGGATGCAAAGGTACGGGGAGGGAGGGGTGGAGAGAGGAGGAGGGAGATAGATGACCAGGTTTGGTATAATATAACAAATGGTTAGTTACTAATTTAGGTACGATGACGGACGGGGACGGGGGACGGGGATAGTGAGGGTTAGACGGGGACGCGCCTGTGCTTTTTTTTTCTTTTTCTTCATCTGATGATTGATTCTCCATTTAAAAAAGAAGATGAGATAGAAAGAAGAAGAAGAAGAAGAAGAAGAATGGAAAAGAAAGATTTTGAACAAGACAAGAATAAAAAGTTGGGGACTTCTAAATAATGCTTGTTGCTTTCAATGCTTGTGTTGTTTCTTCTTTATCCCAGATTCCCAGGAACTAACTAGCCGCTCGGAACTATCCGTACAAGAGAGATGTGATATTAATTTTTGTAAGGAAGTGAGAGCACCAGGGGGCAGAAACGGCAGAAACGAAAAGCGTAATGTTCTCGAAACACACCGCACAAATTGTCAGTGGACGGCACAGACATGCATGAAAAATGCATCGTCCTGAACGCTGCGCACGTACATCTGTATGCGCGGCTCTCCCCAGTTCTTTAGGGACAGGGGGGGTTGAAAGGGAAGGGGAGCTGGGAAGGGGGGGTCTTGTTTGTTCGGGTTTGGAAAAAAGGCAACGAACGTTTGGCCATGTTGCCATATTGCCATGATATTGCAATACTACTTACACTATGTCTGCTGCCATGGATGGGGCTGAGCTCTCTTAGCAGAAAATAGTGTAATGTCTACACAACTAGAATGGGATTGATACCTAATACCTCTCTCTCTCTACCTTACACTACTGTATGTATTTCAACTTACATTTCAAATGGGAAATCATTTTGCGGAGACTTCTCTCCACCTAGAAGATGGACCATATCGAGCGCAATTTTGGAATTGAACTTTTGCACAGCAGAGTGCCCGGGTACGATCACGAGCGAAGAGAGAAAGAGGACCCTCTCTCTCTCTCTCCCCCTCCTTCTTTTCTCCATTACTCCATTTCTCCATCTCCCATCTCCCTTCTACCCACCCCTGGCTTATTATAGTACCACACGTTGATGCATCGTAATCAGCGAGATTGATGGACAGCGGTGAACAGAGAAAATGCGAGATAAAATTTGCTGAGCAGCACAGCGCTGATTGATGGGCGGATCCCCCTCTCCCTCTCCCCCATGTATGATACAGTACCGTGTATCCCGTGCGGCGTGCCGCTTACCTAGGTAAGGTACCTAGGCATCGATCTCGCCCTAGTGCATTGTGGGTAGGTAGGCTACATGCTGCTAACTACCTAGGTATGCAAGAACAAAATCCGAGTCGGAGCCGGGGCTTGGGTACACTAGGCATCATGATCAGATGTTCGGGAAGGGATTGCCGACGCTGGTATTAGAGCCCACGTGGGTTGTAAAGTGACATGTATTATGTTATGTAGGTAACCTTGAAGGGATCGTCGAAACCAAACCCCGTCAGAAAGGAATGGGCGGGCTAAGGCCAAAAACCATGTCGTCGACACTGACTCGACGGAGCATCGGGCGGTCAAGGCGGGATGATGAGTAAGGGTAGGTACGTAGTGTAGTAGATATGAGGTAGTTAAGTGTGTATGTATGTGATGTAGGTAACTAAGCCATCTAGACTGAGGCACAAATATTTTTTCTTAGAGTATAATAGTAGAATGGGACATATAATAAAGTAAGTATTAATAGATTCAACATTTAGGATTCGTATTATACACTATGTATAAGAAATATACCTAACTTAAGAAGGTTGACGAATGGGATTCATGCCGATGAACATGGCTTACCTTACAACGCCGCCTCTCTCCACATTCCGCGTATAAAATTCCAAGAGCATGCACATTGTATTAGTTATATCCACCTGCCATGTATAAATGCGGAAGAGACAAGACCTCAACAGAGAGCAAAGGTGCCTGACGCAAGCCACATCTACGGGGTATTACGGGGTATCAACCCCAATTACAGCCATTTCTCCGGGGAGCTAGTTGCTCTGGCAGTCTGGTATTAAACTGGTTTCTAACTAGCACTTTGAGGCCAGTTAATAATACTCTTGATATTAGTTATAATACCAGTTCAGTAATCAAGTAGGTACGTACCGAGGCGTTCATACTCTTGTCTACTAGCTCTACTCCAAAGGGCTCCTATCCGTTGGTAGTGCCGCTTAGGTTCGTGCTAGTATAATAGTAATATAGTAGCCAGCCAGCTAACTAACTGTTATTGTATTTGTTAACCTATTACTACCTACACTAGGTAGTCTCGCGGCAGTTCTGGTCTTGGTTGTCACGTCTGAAAGCGGGAATAATGCACGAACCCGTATAAAATATATCTGAATTCCCGTACCTATAATACCCCCTATTAAACTTAAGCCCTTTCGCTCAGATTTGCACGGACTGCATATCCGTCGTATTTTGCTTAACGGTCGTGTGATTGGAACTCTAGGCATCCGTCAAAACCTCTCAAGTAGGTAATTATGGTATTAATTACCTAGGTAAAGAGATAACTAACCTTAGTTAAAAAGAGAGACGAAAAGAAAAAGAGAGAAGAAAATTGGTCATGGGCCAAGGCTGAAAGAGATCTCCCTCCCCCCTCAAAAGAACGGGTATTCAGATTGATGTCATCGTGGTTCCTCCGTACGTAAAGATTTTCCTGTGCCACAGACCAGCAGCGGCGAGCTGCATTATGTACATTTGTCATTTGTAAACTGGGCTGCTGGGTCAGACAGAGGTGGCCAAGGTCGAAAGAGCGGATTTCTGTCATTTTTCTGAAACTTGCCGTGTACACCTGCATGTAGTTATGTGATTGTCATCACTTTTTTGGGGGAGGGGATTTTGTATTTTGGATTTTCGGATCGGAACGAACTAGTGGAGCAGAAACAGATTATAAAAAAAAAGCAGTCGTAAAATAATACCTGTCTCTTTTTTTTTTTACCCTCTCCTCTTTTCTCTTCTCTTACTTACCTACTTGGGTAGGTGTCGTTGCAGATCGATGGAATAGGAAATCGGACAACTTGCATATCTACCTAGCAGCCGCCTAGGTATGTATGTAGTATACCTAGCTCCCACATGCTGGCCAAGAGTTGGAAACAGGAACATGAGAAAGGTTGCTGCATAGCTACTGGGGACTTTATACTGGGTATGTATGCATTTGCTGCGATCCTTATCTAAAACCTAGTCCATCCTACGAATGCCATAGGGCTGTCAGATGTACGTATACTTTTATAGATCGATGGATCGGCCGCTGGTTGTAGTCGGACGGGAAATAACGGTCAGACTTTTCTGTTTGATGAACAAGGTCGAAGAATTGAAAGAATGAAGATATGTCACCATGTCACCCTCCATCATCAACTCTACCACGCTTTTTTCTTATTTGCTTCAGGGTTTTCTTTGACACTAAAGCATGACATATAGTAAATTACCCGCTTTGCATATTTGATAAACAGTCCGTAATCAAAGATGATGTCGTGCAATTCGTGAAGTCTGCTACTACTGTGTAGTATGTACATCACATCAGGTAGGCTAGGTACATAGGTAGCCATGTAAGTAACCTCATGTTGGTAAAGGCAACCTTGAAAAGTAGTATATGTAGCTATCTACATGTTTACACATTTACACATTTACATATTTACTGCATATCTATTATCAACAACCATTCCGAACTGAACCTATCTGAACGGCGGCCCGGGCCGTGGCGCACACTTCGTTTGTGAGATGCGATGAAATAATGCATCCCGTTTGCGCGCGCGCAGGTTACGTACATACATCTACATACTAACTATTACCAAAGGTAACTAAGCTAAACACGCTAAATACTAATGTGATGTAGGTACGTAGGTAGGGTATGTAGGTACAACTACCTAGTAAACCCAGGTAATGGGCCCTGATGGCAGGTATGTTGTATGGATGTATACATATATGTATCCATTTCTATCCTTTCCTTCACTTGTGATTCGGTACGTAATGGGTAGTTCTTCTTGGCGCCCAGAAAAGGGGTCTGTTCTGTCTGCTCTGGAGTAGAATACGGGATATCCGCGGTTCGTCGCCCCCTTCACTTGGGAAGTTTGGTACTAACCATGTACAGCAGTGCTGGGAATAGAAAACAGCATGGCTTGCTGGTTATGCACAAAGCTACCTAGATAGGTAAGTGAACTACTACGTACTGGGTACTGTGCCCTAGTAGATTCCTTTCAAGATACCTAGTAGAACCTCCAGGGAGTCCAGGGTTGGTAAGGACCTTGTTCAGACCTAATAGTAGTTTGTAGATTGATGTGACATGTCACAATGAAAGTAGGGAGCAACAAGGGACTTATACTGGGGGTCGGCTGAGTCCGACCTCGGGTACGACAGCCGACAAAGTGACAACCAATGCGATGTACATCCTCTAACCTACCTGGTAGCCATCTAATAGCCATGCTGGTAAGATGTAGTCATGCCCTAGCTTAGTACACTACTACAACGTAGGTAGTATGAGTTGCTACCCAAAATGTACGCATTCACTACGGAAATGAGAAGCAAGTAGATCATCGACATGGTTACAAGGATCAAGGCATTAGATAATTACATTATAGTGATTGCAGCCTCATCATTAATTAACCTATGATCCTGTCAATCCACCTCGTCCATCCGCTGTCTGCGCATAACAGCCTCATCGAGTCAACCGACAAGCTCACAAAAAGTTCTTGTTTCATCGAATCTGCCTTGGCTGGGAGTATGAGCGCCGTACCAAGGTTCCACGATCCGTGAGCCCTTCGAATCGCGTCCGCTCTAGCCACGGGCACCCCCGGAATGCTCCATTCAACATCCGCCCCAAAATGCCGCCATGTATTAAAGGCTAACACTTCAGACATCCGTGGGTCATAGTTGACTCCTACTAAGCGTGGGTCCGGCGCTTCTGATAGCATAGCAAGCCGCCGGCTCACATATTCCTGATCGACCGCATCAATTGACGCTTTGATTAGTGGAACGAGACGCGCAAGTTCGTTATCGTCCGTACACGCCGCTGTTAGTTGACCCATCGATGCTTTCGTCACTGCTGGCAAAGCTGCGTTGCCAAAGTAGTTTTCTGTCGCACCTTGGAAAGCCCTCGTCCTCCAATTCACTGAGTTCCATAACATGGCGACTCGTCTCGGCTGCACTCCAGGTAAATACTTCTCAGCCGTAACCCGAGATCTGGTGATATGCGCAAAAGCGAGGGCGGCCAAGCTAGTATAGGCCGACGGAGGGTCTGTTGTGCCGTTTCGTGACTGAATGAGTTCTCGAAGTTCTTGTAGTTTTTGATTCGTGAAGACAAATATCTTGCCAACCTTCTCAATCCGTGCCATAGACATTCCCGTCTTCAGTAATCGTGGTTGCGTCGGTCCGCTAAGGTCGCCTAACATCGTATATTCCGGACACCTTGCCAATAAGCCTCTAAACGTAGAAACGTCGTGCATGTGTATCGGGCCTCTGCGCCCGCGAGTGTTTATGATGGGAAAGGTCTGGTCAGAAGGTAAGTTAATGGGGGTATTTCGAGTTTGCGCGGCAAAACACTCTAGAAAGACGCGTAGGGAGCCGCCATCTACGAGTCCGTGATGTAAGAATATGGAAAGTAACAGCCCGCCGGGCGGAAACTCTGCTTGTACTTTTGATACTGGTATCGATTCGAGATTGGAGCTCATACTTCCGGAGGCGCCAAATCGAGAGTGAACGAATGTGCCTGGCGGAAACCCATCGTCTCTTAATCGTGAATATTCCCTCTGACATGATTCGCTCGCGGGAAGGACTTGGAAAGGTATGTCTTGTAGTGGGGACCGATGAAGCGATACACTACCACTATTGCTACTGGCCTGCAGCCGTCCGGCGAACACGGGCCGTTCTCGTGCTAAACGTTTTAAAGCCGATTCGATATGGTGAATTGCATCTTGTCGGCGATGGTTATCGCACGGAAAGCAGAGCACAACACATATGTAGACTCGAGGTGCACTTTGGTTCCACACTGAGAGTGGTTCTTGCCAACCAAGATGGTCTTCCTTATCCAGCATTGGCAATGGTTGACGCACTGCAGGAAGAGAGCGTGTGCGCCTCCTAGTACCATTGGAGAGGGGTTTGATCGGCCGATTTTGTAGGTCACGACGACGTTGTCGTGGTATTAAGTCTTCGCCAATCGGTGACCGCCTTTTACGCATCGTGGACGGACAACTTGCGTGCGAAGGCATAAGCGACCAGGCTCAAAGGCGCTAGCCTCTGGAGAGCAATAGGGGGCAAGAGTATTTGGTGTGGTACGTGCGGGTAAGATTCTTTCTACAGGTAGTTATTAGGGCGTGTACTGTTCCAAAGGCCTAGGGGTGGTTAAGAGGTTATGGTGGTGGTTGGTGATGTATTGTTGGTGGTATTGGTATTGGTATTGTATGGGTATTGGTGCTTTCGTCGATGAAGTCTCTCATCATGGTTACACAGCATTGGGAAGCCCAAGACATGATATGATATCTTCTGACTAGGAACTGTCGAAAATTAGGAGGGGCGATTAGCGAGGGCGAGAGCTAAGGTTGCGAGAGATGAAGATCTCAGCAAGTTGCAAGGGTCCCAAGATCAAATTGCAAGGCCAGGTAATAAGAACCAGAGGAAGCCTGTCAGAAACCCATAAGTCGTTTCCACTGTTTCCAAAGACGTCAATGTTGGGCTGATTATTCCAGAAAAGGTTGGCTGCAGATGCTACCCCTCGTCACTCCACGTTGACTGTTGACCGCGTATGATTACCGTCAACAATCCCCTGCCCTAGTGCCTAGTGGGAGCCGATGGCGCTAGGTGAATCCATAAAACCCATCAGATATGGTGTTGGCCTGGTCAGAGCCGCGGCGCTATCGCCTGCAGGCTCCCCATGCGTCCTCCCAAGGGTTCGGCAAGGTCATCTGGCCTGGGCGCCGGACTAGATTTCCGTTTGCAGGCCGTAATGAAGCTCAGAAACTAGGATGAAGCTCAGAGACTAGGATGCCAACAACGCCTTTCCGGGCAAATGGTTCCCACCCTGTCAAAACATCGTCTAAGAAGATGCGTTTCCACTTTCGGAAACGTATCTTGGTTAGCTGGTTCATGCTGTCGGTGCCGCTGCTCTGTTTCAGCCCGGGGCCGATTAAGAGGTCTGAGTGCTCTTGGAACCAGGCGTGGAATTTATCACGATGCGTACTATCTAATCCCAGCTTGTCCTGCTTGAGTCGGAACATTTTCACGGCGTAGTCATTGGCAACGCTACGCACGGGGTTCCCGAAATCCAGGTAGACGGTATGCAAGTAAGAGAGCTTGAGCAAAGGTTCAAGCTTGTCACGGTACAGATAAGTGAAGCATACGCTAGGCAAGAGGATCTTCCTTACGAAGTACAGATTGTGCCAAGATTGGCTGTAGATTGCAGCCAAGGGAGGCGGCCAAGCAACGGCGCGACACGATCGGATAAAACGAGGCGGCTTCCACTCAGGTGTGCACGCCATCTCTTCCAGCAAACTAGTATCAAGTATGAAGACGTCAACAACCGCGTTGACATGCCCTCTCTTCGCACCGTTACGGGCCTTAAACAGCAAGTATCGGCTGACAGCCTCGTGGCGTGATTCTCGGTTCACCTGGAAGATGGCAAAGGTGGATTTCGGCAGCGGGAAGCCATCAAGCTGAAGGCTAAGATAAGGAGCACGATAGGCCAATGACCAGACGCAAGGCGGTCCTGATTCATAGACCATGTCGACAGCATACCGCCAGATGACAAGCCGAACCTCGGTAGGAAAAGATGAGAAACGGTCCATGGTTGGTGGATGGGAATTCAATGACCAATGATGAAGTCTCAATGGTGATCAATGGTTCAGTGATGAGTTGGCCGTCAACGAAAGAAAAGGCGGATCGACGATGAAATGCATTTGAGGGTGTGTGTGAGAGTGTGTGTAAGTGTAAAGTGTTTGTAAGTAATGTGTAGGTACTGTGTGTATTGTATGCACAAGCAGATTCTGTCATAAATGAGATAACGTCGGCTTGGTTGTGTATTATTATTTTTGGTTATTTCTTTATTTTTTGATTCTTGTTTGCTTTTTCTTCTTTTTTTTCTTTAGCAATTGGACGCCAATATGCGTAAGAAGTGATAGTTAGGTACTTACTTACGTGATATGTAGGCATTTAGTGGCAACTACAGTACATAGAAAAAAGCAAAGTGAATAGTTTGACTTTCTTGATTTAATTGCAGATGATGTTCAATTTGAAGTTTGTAAGGTTGATGATAGTTTAATTGTTGTATGTATCCATACACTTTGTAATCCATAATACAGGGTATGTAGGTAGTAGGTATTATGTACTATGTACATACCATGCAACTACCAGTTGACTACTGCATGTAACATCAATGATTGAATGTACAATACACATGACTGCATGTACTATGTATTAGGTAGTAGCGACACTGGACATCAGGGCAATTAGGGCAATCAGGGCATGTAGTACCTAATAACTACCTATACATAATAGTAGATTTCGTTCCGGCTTTTGGTGGGGGCGGGGGTTAATTAAGTCAAATATTTAAGATCGAGTGGATTGGAAGTCATCCGCTTCTTCCGTCTTTGAACTTCTCTCTCCCCTCCCCCCTTTTAACCCTGAGGGGGGTTCATCAGGTTCCCTTTTCGCCTTCCACCCTGGCGCGAACCTAGCGTGTCTAGCCTAGCAGTTCTTTGCAGCCTAGCCAACTAGTCAACTAGCCGATACCCCTTGCTTGATATCTTCGCAATGAGTGGTCTGCTATGCTTCAAGGTTCTAGATTTGATCCATTGACTATTAAAGCCCATATCCCAGGGTACAGTACATGACAGTACCTATTCGTAGCTGTTTGTTTGCTCAATTACTGAGTACCTACTAGGTATCTACATACTACAGCAGATTAGTGTAGTCGTTCACCTGGCAAGCGCCACACTCATCGTTACACAGGTTTCACAGCATCTACTATTAGCGTAGGCTAAGAAAGATGTCAAGTTACACAAATCAGGCAACCGAAGTTCACCCCAGGCCTGAGGCCACCCGATACCGACACAAGGGTTAAGAGCGTTACAAGGGTGACTTCCAAAAGGGGTAATTTTCGATATTACCCTCCAATAGTACGTACCTACCTATTTTATCTCCCTTGAACATTGAAGTTACATACATCCGTACCTTCAACACTCCAACATTGATGTACAGTATGTAATATCCATGTATCGTTGACTTATTTATCACAAGCCACCCAAGCATCGACCAGCATCAACAAGCATCAACAAGCATCAAACGTACAGTATCTAATGTTACCTCCGACCATCGTCCGCAGTTCACCATAAGCTTACCTAGGTACTTTGCATGTGAGTGTGAGTGTACCTAGGTAGGTATGTAAGTATTGACGTACGGGATATAGATATATTAGGCCCGCAGGTAATGATGACATTATCAAAATACCACTTCCGTTCTCGGTAATCTTCTTCTCTTGGACTCTTGCGCGTCTAGGCTCGGTTCCGTTTGGACCAAGTTAGATGTCCAAGTTGGAGAGGGTTGCGTTGTAGGTGTGTGTATGGCTTCGCTGATGTTGCAGATCCACTGATACCGTGGCCATATCCCGGAGAAGGGGGAAGACGGGCGCCTGACCCGTCCTGTCGGAACTGGGCTGACATACCGGGGAACTGTGTACATGCTCGCTCACCCAGTAAGCATACATGTACCTGGACAGGTACCTACTGCACCATACTGTACTTATCAAGGTGGCTGACCAACTGTCTTATCTTGTTGTCGTCACAGATAACTCCACGTCGAGTTCAGCTCATGTTGTGATCTTGGTCTACCGCTTCTTCATTATATCTTCTATGATTGCTTACGTGAGGTCCTTACCGTGCCGTCACGAACCGGATCATCCAATGACGAACCTTCGGGAGACACAATGCTTATTCCGGGACTGGAGTTATCTTATAAGCATGAGGCGACAGTCGAACGTGTAACACCCAGCAAGTCTTCATAGGTTCGGGGAATAACTTCCAAATCAATTGTCTTACCAAAATCTCACACAAACTGCCAGCTGTGTTGGTCCTTCTGGGTGGAAATGCAGTATCGTATGGGCATATGCCTGTCCAGAGGGGCCGGTGGCGTCAACGATATGCTTCCTGTGTGCTATTTAAGCCAAACAGCTGCACAGAGATTTATATCCGGTTTCACTGCAGATTTCCCCGGTCAAGACAGCTAAGCACAGTGTTGGCCAACCCGCCACTTCATTGAAAACACCAATATATTAAAGCGCCTGCTATGCAGAAATGGATCGGCAGTAGGTGGGTACTTGGATCTAGGGCCGTGCCGTCAACCCACTCCCTAAGCTCGAACGAATGCGAATATCGGGGCCCGACTATTACCTTACTCGCTCATCGTTTAGGTGAAACCGGCCGAGAACCATCCAACTAACGATGATGGACACGTTACTAGAGCTTCGTGGTACCTGGGAGGATCCTCAATGAGCTATATGTGTCGCTTAAACCCCACATCGTCTTGCTTTTGACATATAAAGCACGGCTCGCTTACAATCAAGCCGCCAACCCGCGACCTGCAAGTTACACCGGACCGATGTGTTATTGCATGATTCTTCCAACACGGGACTTATAATGATGTGCTGCATTACCGAGCACCACAATCTCAGGGTGACATTCATGGCATGCACTAATAGTTCGGTACACCTCAATGGTAAAGCACTCACATTTCAGCCATATATGGTGAAATGATAAGTGATAGGTGCCTACTAGGCATACTAGGTGTTATTAACCAATAGTGTGTCGATGATCGAGAACTATACCGTTACACCGGTTGACAAAAGCAGCTTTACGCTATAATCTCAATTCACCGGTCAAGGCCAGGTCAAGGTATATAGTCTGTCCTATACCTAAAACAAACGACCGGTGTAAACAACAACCGGGCTCGGTTTTCCATCACGGAGGATATCAGCTTGAGACTTACCTGAAGGCAAAAATTATACAAAAGTACTCTTACCAGAAGTTTCCACGAACCCGAGAAATCACGTCATCACAATGATTTAGCCATGAAATTTACTGTTTATATTTTTCCACTCACTTGCAGAGTGCGGCTCTTATATCGAATGGCTTTATCAGTGAAAGCAGCCAGCCATGGCATTCAAATTGGATCAACCCGTGTTACGATACCGACCAAGCGGTGAGGAGTCGCACGGGGAGCTCTGCCCAGGGGCATACTTGGAGCCTCACTCACATGCTATCAAGACAACGTCACGAGCCATAGTTATGACACAAGGCAACTAAGCGTTGCTTGCGATGGTCTTAATACAGGATATATACCTACTAATGTGCTTAGCTTCGGCTATGATATCTACTCTAAATGAACGACCGCAAAGCGACGGAACTGGCGTATGCCCCCGAGAACCAAGCGGCCCATCCCTCTTTACATCTTGGGTTTGTTGTTTGGAAACAAAGGGTCTAAATGTTGAGTGGGTAGATGTCCATATCATCTGGAAGGCGAATACAGGGACGTATATTGCTGCCTCCTTTTCCTTCGACATTTGAGGGAAAGGAAACGACGTCTACCTGTATGAATTTGCTGATTTAGTGCTGTAGCAGTGGGGAAAATGTGAACGGAGCTTGCTTCCCGGACTACTACCAACATACGGCCTATATTCTATTCTTGGAGTCCACAAGATTCTCACTAAACTCGTTCTGGAAATCGGGATATGCTGCAGGGTTTGACTCACAGTGACATCCAACACATACCTAGTGGCAAGAGGCATCGAGGCAAAGTATCAAGGGTATACCCGGGACTACATAAGGGGGCTGCATCGAACAAGGCCAGCGTCTATAGCCTCCGGGGAGACGTTACATATCCCCGCACGATAACGATGTTGTTCTGCGTGTTTTACGTTCCGCCTCGTGAAGGAATAGTTATAGCGATGGACTTTAATACATTGACTGCTACGAGATGAAATCCATAAGTTTCATGGCTTGTCCCGTGATTAGAGGTCTTGCATCAGGTGATAGAAAAAGGCATGCAGCAGCTCAGCAGCTAAGCAGAAGATAGGGGTTATAGTGTGAATAATGACTGTATTGAGGCCTAGGTACCTTCTATTCTAAATCAGAGAGGAGAGGATATGCCGCCCCCCTTCCGTTGTCTAGCAGTTAGGCAGAGGCCAAAGCTAGCTCTCCCTGCGGCTTCCGAGAAGAAGATACAGAACAACCATTGCTATTATTACCCACGCAAGGAGCTTTGAAGCCCCCCGGAGACTACATGCACATGATAGCCCCTTTGTTCTAGTTAGCCCTTAGGTAGACCCTTGATATCGACGAAGAGCCGTACGAGGAGTTTCTTAGTTTTGCCAGAGTATCTCTTTCCAAAGAGTTTAAAGATACAGTAGATGAACATTCACAACACTCACATGCGTGATTTCACCTGCCATACTGAATGAGTGATGAGAGAACCTTAGCTTTGTTCATGTGTGATACTGTCTAATAAGTACGCAGGTGATAAGTTCGAGAATTGGAAGATGATGGATTTCCCCCCTTTTGAGTGGGGGAAGAGGGAATTGAAAGAAATATCACAAACCTACCTAGGTACCTAGGTAATTTCTGACAAAGAGATCGAGAAGCTTTTATGTCAGTCATTAACCTGGACATCTCTAGTCTTTTGGGCTTGATTGGGAATGCAATATTGAGCTCTACTTAGCTGTGTTTCGTCTAGAATAGAACTTACACATGCCAGATGACAGCGTCCTATGTAGGTAACTATGATTTCTATAGGTAGTAGTCCCGCGACTATTTCTTTGGCAGAGTTGCAAAAAAAAAAAGTATTCTTTTGATAAGGAATCGATATTCATAGAATAGATCTAGGCATCGCAATGATTTAAATTGGGAGAATGTATTTTTCTATGAAGAATGCTTTGTCCCGAATAAAATTATTGGGATGCATGGATTTATTCCATCGAGTTTAGAATGACTCTCACGGATGGGGGGTTCCCGCTACGGTACCTATATATCAATACATACCTACCGGTTAGTAGTCTCCGGGCAGATATTGACATAGACACCTCCGCCCAGCAGCGATGTTCTGCGTCTTCTAGGTTCTGCCTCGTGGCATCACATACTAGGTACCTAGGTATGGTATAGAAGATTGTTGGGATAATTCTGCACCCTTTAAAGGATTAACCTAGAAGCATTTGCTGCGCGGTAGAGTCTGGAAGACGTAGAATATCATCGTCGTTGCGCGGGAAGATCTAATATGTCCTTGGAGACTATGGAGGCTATAAAGGTATATATGTAGCTCTCTTAGGTTCTAGGTTAGCTACACCTAGGTAGACCTTTGGCAGTATCTGTTTGATACTCGCTTCATGCCCAATACTAATAGGATCTTGTGCGAGGTAACGTATTTGTATACATAGGTAGCATATATAGATTTTGAATGGTACATGAAAATCTCACATAGCCTTCCCAAGGATAATTTGCAACGATGGTCTATCACAGCATAGAGATAGGAGATAATATATAATGAGATGCCAAGGTTACCCAGGGGGGCAGTGTCTCCTTTTCATACCTAGCTGTAGTGGCCCTAGCGACTAGAGTTGTAGTCTTTGAAGATGTAAGCATAACCCAACATGTTATTCAAATAGGACCAGACATGACATCAATCATCAGCCTTAACCACGTTGCTCAACCATGCGTCATGCCCGAGACTGATTCCTAAGGTTGGAATTGTATATACAATTAATTAGCTGAACGTCTCAAGCTGACTAACATATATTCAAGTACCTAGGTTTACGCTCCTCCCAACTCGCACTTTGAGCTGGTGACTGCCCCTGACTACCGGGCACTTATAGTTACGCAATTGCTGTCCCCCGCCCACCCCGACTTCCCATCACGAGGCTCACCTCCGTCCTAACGTACTTAATACTTTCTAACCTTTGTATAGGTAGGCACGCTTGTCTTGTACTAATTGCTACTCATACCATCAGTGTACCTACGTAGGTATGAAGAAGTAGAATTTCACTAACCTAGAAGCTACCATCAATTACCCCTGAGCCCGAGACACCCCCTTTAGTTCTTTTGACGCGATATATACCTACATACCTACTATACTAACTTACCTAACCTTGAGTACTTAGCAAAAGCCAATTCAAAGTTCGACTAATTCTACACGAGCTACCAAGGCCATGAAACCACCTAACCTAGTACTACCTATAGTATTTTTCCATTCCTCCCTAACACACCCTTCTTCGACCCACGACGTCATCTCGTATTATTCTCGGTTCCCCCCCCTGCATGCATGTGCTATATATTCCACCCCACACCCCGACCAGATCTTGCTCGCTTGCTGTCTTTTATTAACTACCTACCTAGGTACCTATCTGCCGTCAGATCATCATGCAGTGAGAATCTAACCTACCAACTAACTACCTAGCCTAGACAACGCCTTACCAAGAACGGCAGGAATCTCACGCAAACATATACGAACCCATCCCTGTATTTTGTTCCATGCTGTAACATTATCTCACCCTTCAAGGGCTCGTCACGTTATGTAAGGTTGATAAGTGCCCAGGTGGTGATGTAACCTTGTTGTATATGTAAGCTTAAGTACTACCTACCTATATATCTACTCACTATGTATATCTGGTTTTATCACAATGGATTACAGCAAATTGGCACGACTAATAAGTCAAGATCAAACGTTACGTTAGATTGTGTTTCATCTGAATTATTATTTCTTTATACAGAGAAGTGTGATGCAACATGTGGCATCATCTTGGGGGTCTTGCTCTATCTGCGGGCCTTTTTCATCATCATGGGTATCAACCATCGCGAGCCAGTCAATAAAACAAACCGTGGCTTGACCTTATACCTCCTCATGCATGCTATTTGTGATCGGGAATTAGTGAGTAACGACGCCTCAGGCGTATGTACGATGCAACCCTATTCAGCCGTTCAATGTCCCCTTTATGCCCCTGACCAATGCAATTCCATGATAGCCTTGACCCTATGTACTCCAAAGCCGGAACACCTTTGCGTCGCAAAGTAAAAAAAAAAGAGCTCCTCCCATATTCACGCACTATTAATTTTTCTCTTCAAAGACTCGGCGAGAAGCGTTGGATGTCGGCTGGAACGCCATGCTGTGCTACCAAGTAGCCAGGAGGGGGATTGGTACTTTTATAGCACCAGCTCCGGATCCTTCGGCGAAAACCACCCTTCCAACATTTCATGCCTCTCCCGATTGCTTGCGGATTCGTCGTCATTGCGCTTCTCGGGGCGGTCAACACCACATCTCTATTGCGGCAATAAAACACCCTTCTCATCGCGTGGTAGCATGACCTTGCCCACGATCTTCTCCGTAAGAGTCGCGCACCAGGGATCGACATACCCTGTCCATAGCATTGCGGCACCATAATTCAGAGGGATCCAGAACGGCAGGGCGATCATGAGACGCCATCCACTGGGGAACATAAGTTTGCCCTGAATGACTTCACCTCTATCGTTTGTGATAGGCGGAGGCACGTGGATACCATAAACCATCCAACAGAGAACGCTTCGGAGAAGGGGGCCATGCAGAAGGTAAACCGCAAACGATTGCTTGCCGAACCAGAGGAGATATTTGCTTGACAGTATGTCACGTAACGCAGGGCTGAAGTGTAGACCCAGTGTGATTAATTCAAGACCAATCCCGGAACCGAAGCGAGGAAAATCTGCATCCTTAGGCAAGATGTGCTTCATTACGTTGTATTGATATTGCGACCACGTTGCCCATTCTGGATGCCCTTCAGGATAGGAGGCAATGTAGAGACCAAGAACTAAGAAGACCAAAGCTAGGACGCGGGAGAGCTTTGCTCGGCGTACAAGCCATTCGGTGGCAGGAGCGTGGTTTTGCAAGTCGCAGAGGAAAACACCCCAGAAGAACTGCATACCGAATGCGGCTGTAATAGTTAGATGGGGGTATCATAGTTAAGGGGGGTTTGGTAACCTACAATCAGCACCCATCCAGAAATAGGCGAAAACCATCAAGCTCAAGACCATCCTAAAGCATGGTTGGATGTAGGCAGTGGCGATGATAAATATGTACACCTCCATACTTCCCTTCAGCAAGGGCAATAATGTCCATTGATTGCCATCGTAGGCATTTTGTCCCCTTGTCCAAGTCGAAATGATATTCTCAACCAAGTGCTTTATCGATTGAAATACAGTCGCCTGGCGGTCGGGTGCGGTCTTACCACACCACCAACAATCGCTCTGCTTTGCAATGAGAAACATTCCCAAATTCGCCATGATCCAGATAATGACAGTTGCGAGAGCGCAAGGAATAACCAATCGAGGGACACGGCGGAGGGCGGACTTGGACACGGAAGTAAATGCAACGTCTTGGTTGTTTTGTCGGTACAATTTGAGAGACTTGAGAGCGCAAACATAGCCAGTAACGAAAGAGAATATAGAAACACCGATGCGACCTTGAACGAGGATTCGGAGGAAGGGCAGCTGCATAGGTCGGGGCTTTGCGCCCTCGTGGGAGACCGGGAGGAATAGCTCGCCATCGAAAGATCGAGCAATGTGAGTTAAGACAACGAGCGTCGAAGCAAAGCCACGTAGGCCCTATATAATCGCGAACGAGGTTAGTTTTACATGTTCATGACTTAAGTTTAAATAGAGAGCCTTCTGCCCCTCAAATTTCTTCCCCGTAAACTTTTGGTGCTGGGCTCCATGGCTGCCGCCTCGTCCCTCCAGAGTATGCCTCGCGCGTCGCGTGAACTCTTTTCATCATCTTCTCCATCTTCTTCTTTTTTTCATCTGTGCAATTTCCATCATGAAAACAGCGGTAGGTAATATGGCGATATAGGCACGTCCTGTTCATAAACTGGCGAATCCTCCAACCACCTCCAAGTCGCACACCATCGACACACATAAGAAAAGAGCGCATAACTTACATCAACCCACTTTACATTTCCTTCCCTTCCGATAGCCATTGTGGCAAGCTGTTGCGCGAGATCGAAGTGTTACGTTGCGCCAACTTGGTTATATCATCCCTTGTTAAACAGTGTTGAGTTTGAGATAGATGTTGGTGTTGTATAGGCAGAAATTGAATGTGAGAGCCGCAGTTCGTAGGGAGCAAACAACTTCGAGGATGCTGCTGGTTCTTCGTGGTGTGTAGTGGGGGGATATCTGGATTTGATCTGACTTTAAGTGGCTAAGAAGAGGGAGCTATTTTGGAATGTTATGGTTCGGATTTTTTTGATGGATGCGGGTAGCAGTAGTTAAGGGAACTGCGGGACGCGGAATACGGAATACGGGACGGGACTAGGGTCGAGAGGGTATTTGATGTCTCGGGGTTGATTAAACGGGACGACTATGCGTTTACAAGGCGATATCTAGATCGAAAAGATCGAAAGGGACAACCGGGCCAACGATCTTGATAGAGTAGGTACCGTACGTAGTGATATTAGATATCTGGATAGATTGATACTATTCGTATAGAGGGTACATGCGCTGCAGACACACACATACGCATTCGCACCGAGATGTTCAGTACTGGTAGGGGAACCAAGGTATAGAACCAAAGAGGTGAGAACGACGCGCTAAGGAAAAAAGAGAACAATCGAGAACAATTAAAAAAGAACGGGAAGGACAGGATTAGAAGTTAGTTCTCACACGACATACATATGGAAGAAGCACAAAAAAAGGAAAGAAAGCGGGCAAGGGGGAGCAGGAGGATTTATTTTTTCCCTTTTCCCTTAACTGAATGACAAAATAGTACATGTACAGTCAATGTAGGGGAATGTAGGGGATAAAAAAAATTAAAAAATTAAAAGAGGATATAATAAGGGGTCGACGATTTGAATATACTTGGCAAACAGGATGGAATTGATCTGATTGACTGATGGATGCATCATTCCCCCCACCATATAGTTGAGATAACCTACCTAGGAGAACGGCGGCTTGGCGAGAATTTAGTACACTAGCAGACTAGCAAATGGGCAGGGATCATGTAGAAATCAAGTAAATCCTTGTAGCCCTTGTGGCCTTGCTAGGTGCTAAAAGTGCATCATTGACAATTAACTTTTTCCAACTTGGCGATTTCCTGAGATTTCGTTGCTTTCATTTCATTCAATGTTGTTTCCCTTTACACTGAAAGTTTATGTGTACCTACCTAGGTATCTTTAACATTAACTTCAATGCTGTTTTATTAGAGACTGTTATCAATGATGTACAACTATATGAATTGATATGATAGATACACCATGATACTACTACTCCAGATGTAAGGGCATGTTACGTACCATCAAAAACAAGAAAGCACAAGGGGGGCTATTAAAGAGCTAGACTAGGCTACAAACGGTATCATTCTCGGTACCAAATAAGCTAATTGCTAATTTTGTGGGGGAATGATGCTGTTGATACATGGCCCTGGTGCACTATGTATAACAGCCCCACTGTATTTAGTGCATGCCTAGGTACTTTAATGCACGGTAACTACCAGACGCTAGTTGGCAATACTCAAGGCTAAAATCCCGTTGTTGTGAACATGCAGCTCTTTGTGCAAGATGCCCACTAGTTATGATCATTATATCATTGTATGTACCAACACATACCTACATATGCTGAGCAACAGTGAGTAATACACACATGATCAATGATCCATTACCATCTATATTATGTAGATAAGAGATATTATGTGTGTATGTAACTTATATGTAACTTACGGGTACATCTGCTGTGCACCCCGTTTCTCCTGTTGTACCTTATGTTATGTGCCTCCCCGTTCCCCGGATAATCGGCATTGGCAAGAGGCAAGTAACGTCCACAGTCTGTGTAAAAGGACTTGGCATTGCAACCACCAAAATGCTTGGCCTTCTTCAATTCTCATCTGTTTCCCTTTCTTCAAATGCTCGTGCTACATAGGATTATGTGTGTAACAGCCACGGCCACGTTGTACTACATAGCAGCATAGCACCATAGCAGCATAGCAGCATAGGAGACCCGACCTGACCATCACTGTCCTCCTGCCAAGTCATGATCGCATCTTGTATGCAAGTATCGTATCGTCTATCAGCCACCTCCTCCCCGTTCCTCACGTTCCTGACGCTCCCACCGCTTCCAACCGAGTCCGAACAATTCGTGTCACGGCCAAGACTCAATCCAATCCACATTCTTTAACTTCCAACATTCTTTCACCCTCACTCTGCGCATCCGGTATCAGAGCATGATCCTATCGCCCAGTTGAGATGTGAGATGCAAGGTTCGTTTGGAGGGTGAAATAAAATAATATCATGATTTGTTTCGTCAATCTCCCCCAATTTGCGAGTATACAACGCCACGACCAATGATAATACTCCTCGTTATGCATACCTCTTAGGCTCTTACCAGGCCTTGGTCATATGATTGTCGACTTAAGCTTCCTAATCCTCAGAGGGTAGGTATTACTATGTACTAGGGCTGCTAGGCTAATGACATAATACCGACCGTTATTTTGAGATTTACCAGCGATCTTCAAATGCTGTCTAAATACCGGAGAACCAAATGTTTCACTCTCGAAGCTGGGCAGTCTGACCGTCCAAGTTTACTGGTCCATATTCAATGGGCTTCTGACGCGATGCTCATATGAATTTGGTATAGGTGCCTACGTAGCAGCTCCCTAGGTAAGTAGGTGCCTACCTACTACTATACTAAAATTGCTATAGCGCATAGGTGGCGGCCGCATCTATTACCTACCTCGGTACCGCTAGGTAGCCTGAGATACATATTAATTCGAGACCCATGCAGGAAGTTGGTCCTTTGCTCTAGCTCAAACAGGCGATTTATATCTACTAAGTAATTCCCGACTCCCGAAGTCCGATTTTATCTCAATTCGTACTAAGCTATTATGAGTAAGTGCGAATATCTGCCTAGTAACTTGCACGGCATCACGAACACCCACTAAGAATATGTAGGAAACGAAAATCCTGCGTATGTATGGCGCGGAAGCTTGACCCTATATTATTATCTGCCATGTCAACCGTCTTGGCAGTGTTTGCCAATGTGACATGGCGGGCGAGTAGGTACCAGACGCACGGGCCGGGGGGCGTCATCGGTCAGATACCTACCTCCAAAGGCTTACCTATCGACTCATGAGTCTCATTGACCTGCTCATTGAAAATATATTGATATTTGTTAGGTAAACCCTTGAATCAATATGCTGGCTTTGCGTGTGGCGTGTGGCGAGGCTGTCAATGCGACATCAAACATTGAATTATCCGATGTCCATTTAACTAATAACACCCAACGTCTCTTAAACAGGTTAGGTTAGATCGAAAGCTACTGTGCTAGCCTCTAGGGACTGGTTGTTTCCATAAATGGCCCGGGGATGATTAGAAAAGAAACGAAAGCCTAGCCCAAAGTACCGATTTTGCTGCTGACGTGGCTATCAATTTCCTTTTGACCTTTGAGATTAGATGGGCTCCTATTTTAAGACTAAGGAGAAGAGACTAACCAACAGGTAGAGGCTAGAGCACCATATTAGCACGATCACGGCCCCGCTAAATTTAGTCGTACCGAAGGTATCACCCCCACGCACTATGAATTCCTATGAATTAAGACGACCGGAGTTCGGCTTGATCTCCACCTGGAAACTGTAGATGTCCCGAGGGGCAGGTTTATCAAGATTCACCTGTCCCAAGTTTATGTTCAGCGAGCCAGCCAAGCAGCCAAGCATACAAACAAGCATATGCTGTAACAGAATATGTGGATGATTACACGGTCGTTATAACCGCTCACGGCAAACCGGCACGGACAGAACGGCACCGATATCTCCAGATCTGCATTATCCATATAAAGCTCGAAGCACCGCCAAGGGCCAAGAAAATAGAAAAGGCTCGAAGCACAGCACCGTCAACTTATGATTAGAAATATTCTCAGCTCGGATAAACGTTTAATATTCTAGAACATCACATGTATTTTCGGACGCTCAAGCAATCAAGAAGTCAAGTTGTCGAGGAAGTCGAGACTCGCTGGAAGCGGTAATCTTGGGGATCATACAACCTACACGTAAGCAGAGCGTTTCGAAACTTCAGGATCACCCGGCCGCGGAATTCCCTTGAAACGAGGTCTAATGGAATCAGACCCGGCCTACACTAACCTCCAGCTCTTCGATACGCCGGATACCACCCGTGTACATGTATGCCTAAGTACTTGAGTTGCATATAACCGAACCTCGCGTTTTTGGTTATATTCATATTCATCATCTCCTCGAAGCCCTCAGCTCTATGCACATATGTCTGAGGAAGCTGACCGCGGATTGCTCTTTTCTTTGGAACCTCTGCTTCTCGTACATGATCTACTATAGGTTAACCGTGAGATGTAACATCGCGTATTTAGGATGACGCGGCAAGCTGAGATACCCTAACTGTAAGTGGGGTGACTAAGCGCGCCAAACACGAACATCTGTAAAGGATTCAGATATTCGAAGAGGCTGCTCAATCACAGCCTGATACATACTCAGCATACTAATCACGGTGCTTCTGTCATTCACTGCGGTCCATTGAGTACTACGGTAGATAGGGTCAGTATTGTCCAACAGCTGTCCGGTGGCTTGGGACGAGCTTCCACCAATTTTACTATTGTGGTCTTCATTTAAGAGTCAACGTACAGTTATGCGTCGGGTTTCAGCCGCTTTTCGCTCTTGCCTCGTGTCACATTGCAACGTTGTAAACGACCTAGGCTTTATTAATTTAGGTATGTATTGTACCTATATAAAAAAAAAATTCACAAATGAATAAAGGTACCGCATACACTTGACATTGTCATAATATTGCTTGAATTGCTGTAGATAAGAACCGAGAGAAGGAATCACGGATAACTAACTACTACCTACATATGCAAGCCAGCTTGGTCGGTTTGGTTGAGTAGCAGAGTCTATTATCTGCTGATTAGTGCAAACCCGACGTCCTTGAAGCTTCGTCATTAGGTACGCGAGACTAATATTGACTGCTAGTTTCTAGTCAGCAGAGGCCTTGCCGAGTTTGCCGTTTAACGTTGTAAAGGCAATGCTCATACCTAATACCTTGTAGCCCCTTATTCATGTACTTGTACCGATCACGACTGAGTACCTGAGCTCAACCTCATGGAGCTATGTAAGTAAGTAACTCGCAATGTTCGATATCTCCCCTGGGCATCCCCGCTATCATGCTCGCCGACTGCACTACAGACCACCAGGTTTATTTAGGGGCTGTGCTGTAATATTTGAACATTGTATCCATTTGCTCAGTTACTAGGTATTATCTCAAACAGACGCCATCTCAGGGGATCCCGGCTTCCTCGGATCTGGGGGGGCAGACGCGTGGAATTTATGATGGCGCCATCGGAGCTTATATCATAAGCTAGTCAATCGCATCGCAACCGACGAAGACGACAAAGATGTGCGGATTAATACGGAGTAGGTACAATACAGCTTGTGATCAAGCATGCAGGTGTGTGAGCCTTGGAGCCTACAGTAGCGTGTGTAGCTTTCTCTTGCTCTCAGCTCGGCCCACTACCAGTTGTAGATGAGGATGTGTTAAGCTTTGTATCCCGTATGCAACGCTGGATCATAGTCGCTAATTTCCGTTCACGCCGCACAAGCACATGTCGATGCCGCTTCTGACACGTGCCGCGCCGCGTACATGCGTTCCACAAGACCTCCCTCTTCGAGACATATCAACTCCTTTTGGCCCCCGGCGATATGCAGCAAGAAACCCTTCCCATTACATCTTTTTACGACGGGTTCGCAAGAAGTGTTATGCGAGGCACGTATGTATCCATTGCTGCTAGCAGACATATCAGCTTCAGCTTGCTAACCTAGGTGGGTTGTCTATACATCCTGTAAAGGATCATTATCAGCGGCATTCGTCTCTCGCTAAGCATCGACTTTTCATTGGTTGCTAAGGCATCTCTTCCACGACTTTTGAATGCTCAGCGGAAGCCGGTCGTGCGCTAGGATGGCCGATCCGGGGCTCGCCAATTCTTATGTACTAGACGATGAGCTAAAGATTGACCCGAGGGTATAGGTGCATATTCACATCGCAATCGGTTCATATTCGTTCATTTTCATCACTGGATATTAGTGTTCGAAATGACTTCATTTTTCTCTTGTTCGCCTGCTATACGATGGGGGGCTCCGCAATTTGGCAAAAATACGCACTCGAAACCCAGACGGAATACAACATCTTGGCATTAGGTACCTATCTGATGGTTTTGCCAATTCCGTCGTATCATTGTTCTCCGGGAGTCGGGCAATGTGGTGAACAGTGAGCGGGTGAACCGCCCTAACTAGGGAAACAAACAAGCGAACAAACAAACAGATCCATAGGCTTTTGGAGTCCTCTCGGCCAAGACAATTGTCTCCATGGGTGGCGGTGTAGAGAATGGGCCACCTCGACAACGTCGTGTTTTTTTTGTTTTTTTTTTCCCTTTACTATCTTTTCTATCTGCTTGCCTTAGGGTAACTACAACGTAGAAGGAGGCGAAATTTGACAGTAAAGTTACGGCCAGGTATAAATATGTGGAAACGATCGGCGCGAGGGATAACGAAAAAAAAATACGAATTCCGCCCATTTCCCCGTGATTTGCAAACTAAATAACTCTACACTAGGTAGGTAGGTATTATCTCATTAATGGCTACCTACCTAGGTTAGTACGGTAGAATGTGCACCGAAATATTACCTGGACCAAAAATACTGATGCCTAGGTTAGGTAGGTTTAAGAAAGAGAATTTCGGCACTATGGCATTACCAAGACTGCTCGATACTACAGCAATCAACGACGTTACCTATCTATTGAAGCACATTGGCTATGATTCATGCCAGGGCTCAGTACACTAGCTGGGATATATATCGAAAGGCCAAGAGACCTTTTTTTAGTCCATCTTAGATTATCTGCCGAGGCTTGGCTTCTATCTCGATGTGAGCTGCCCCGGGCTTCCTCCCACATGGCGTATTCGGATATGCTGTTGGTTGATAGTCCCCACAGCCGTGCGACTGGACTGCCCGATGGCAGTCTAAGCAGACTTGGATGTGAAAGATAACGGGAGTGGTCGTTGTGTCTTGGATATTCGAGAACCTGAGGGAAGCATGAAGCCCGATTATAGCCTGCACTAATACTCATATCAGCCAAAGTTGGTACATATCACAGCTGAGGTTCGAAGCCGTACGTCATGTATGTACATATAGGACTTAAACGCGTCGTGAGGAGGGGCCACGGCAATTTACCTACCGCCATAGCCTTTTGAGAGAGATTATTGCTCCCAGAATTGTTTGTATTTCCTTCTTTCAACGATCACTCTGGACTTTGTTAGGTAGGATTGCTGAACCACCCTCGTCAAGCACATCACTTCATACCTAGCCATCTCTTCCCCTAATACATCGAGCTAGGACATCACAACAAATTGCGCATTGTTGTTCAGAAGCCACCTGCGATGAGAGGCTGTTTTACAAGGCGCGGTACGGTGATCTGGGACAGTCGCGAATTTGACTGTGTACGGCCGTGCCGACTTGAACTTACTTACATGCATACGTAGTGAAAAGTTATAGTACTATCATATTACAAGAGAAATGGAGACAAGAACAAAGAGAGAGAACAAAGAAAGAAATGGCCGTAATTGCGGATTTCCTGCTACATACATAGCCTCGCTCATTAATTAGTAAGGGAAAGCGTCTCGACGCAATAACCCGAGGAGACTTTTGTCATATATCTCTAATAAGAGCGTGTTTTAGATTATCCCAGTTGTGATCTATGATACCTACCTCACATAGTCATTGCATCTGAGCCATCCATCATACGTACGTACCTACCTAGGTTAGGCGCCTAGGCACTCGATAAAAGAAGTTTTGTAGCGAGCTCACCAGAATGCATCTGGGTAGGTTTTCCTACATACCTAGGTAACCTACGTATCTTCGCCAATGAAGGAATAAGAGGGGAGGAGGAAACAACACGAACCTATGGACCAAGCTTGCCCATGGTTGATGAGGGCGGCTGAACGGAAGATGAGTCGGCAGCGGTGAACACAAGACAGGGCCTGAACCAGAGAGGTGGTTGCTTAGACGTCAATGACGTCTGAAAGGTTGTCTCACTGTCCACTACCTAGTATGTATCGTGATGAAGGGAGAATGGTGGTGTTGATGGTACTTGCCTAACCTAGTATGTGGTATGTCTGGCCAATGTGGATGATGCATGGTACTTCGCCAGGTGCATACATACCCCCAACATAGGTGGGCAGTGAATTTCTCCTCATAAGAATCATAATGTGGGTGAAGGCATGAATAACCGTAGTATATGGGGAAAGGGGGGGGCAGTTGTGGTTAGCATCGAAGTTCTTTGCGCTAGAAACCATTCAGGTCTGGTGAGTAGGTTAAGATGTTGAGATCACTTATGCTCGCCAATAAGACAAAGATCACCCAGGTAACCTTGATCAACTTGATCCAAAGCTTCAGGACTTCTCGTCGGCCTCACGTCTCACACAATTTGACTTAAGGGTAGTATACAAAAGCCCCGCCTACCCTCATCCCTAGGTACCAAGGTAGGTGTCCCACAAGGCCATGCGCATCACATGATAATGATATTTGTAACTTTCACGACAGCAAAGATGGGAGATATGCCCATGCAATTACAACAGAGCAATGCATGAAAGTGACTAGCGAATATACAGAGGTACCTAGGTATGCGTATAATACAATTTCATCCTATGGAGGTTGATTTCATTCTCATTATCGTAGGCCGCTCACCTCATGGTGAGGCGAGTAGCTCGTCCTGACGAACAATAGTTGCATATGCTTTTTTCCTTTTCCATTTTCCTTTTCCGATTCCTTTCCAGTTTCTTACAAGCTTCCCTTAACCTTGCCCTCGGCTTCCTTCGCCGCACCCTTGGCACTGCCCTTCAATTCTTCTGCCTTGCCCTTCACCTCACCACGGATCTCCTCGGCGGATCCTTTTATCTTTCCGGTGTCTGCCTCACCCTTGACCTTTGACGCGAGGTTGGCTGTTGAGAAAGTATGGATTAGCTCAGTACCTCGGGTATATCATATGTTGCCGTTGCGTATGCTTTTCGAGGGGGTCACTTACCACCGGCATTGATACCGTCGACCAACTTGTCTGAGACCTTGCGGTCGACCTCTTTTAGCGTGTCCTTGGCAGCCTCTGTGACGGTCTTTTGCGCAGCTATGGTCGTGCTGAAGTATCTTGGGGCCGCAGCTACTGTGACCCTGGAAGTCAGAGCTAGACGGCGCGCGGCGACTTGTGTGATGGTCGACATTTTTCTTGTTTGCGAGTTTGATCTGGCTGATTCGTTGGAATTGTTGATGATTTGATTGGATTGCTTGTGAAGTTGCTGTAATTGGGAGAAAATATTATGAAACTTTATTTGCTTGGAAGGTTACAGGATTAATGATATTATTTATCTGTTGGAAGTCCCAAAAAGAAGATCGAGTTGAGAAAAGCTGCTACTTCCATATTACATAGTTCATCATATATGGTGATGTCATACTTGTGTTCGCCAAACTTACGAGTACTAAACATATTACCTAAAGGGGTAATAGTGCGTGGGCTGGAAGCTCATTCGGGTGCTCGACAGCTGTCAGACAAGTAAGTTTCAGTGGATAGTGACGTCTTGGATTCTCTAATAAGGGACGTGACGACATGCTGCATTTGCATTTACATTCAATTTTCAATGTTGGTGTATGTACATACCTCTTAATAAGTATACATTACACGATGTACTGTTATGTAATCATGCATGTACACTTGACTTCAACTATCATTGATATATGTGTTACCATCGACATATTCTAGATAGGGGGGAAACCCCTTAACCCACCCCAAACAAGAAGAACGAAAGAAAATAGAAATTAAAATAAATAAATAAAAAGGAGCAAGAAAGGAGCCTTTGAATAAAAAAAGTGTCTATACTATTCCGGATAGGAAAGAGAAATCCATTATTCTTATTAGCACCTATCATGCCTTTGTTGCAACACAGCTTTTCCGGGAGCGGCCAAAACCTATGAGATTTCTTGCTGCGGATGTAGCTGAAAGGAGTAGATGGCTTATTTTATGTCTTATTTCACCCCCTTAGGAGGCATAGATATTGTTTAGTACTAGATAATACCACCTACTAACATCTACTAAAATTCTAAACATCTACCTAGGTTAGGTAGATTATCAATCATCATGACCACGAATTTCTCTGAATATGTTCAACTGGTCACTTTACAGTTTGATTGGCTCCGTAGGTTTGGGAGGCGTTTGGATTGGGACAGAGAAACGATTGATCAGCAAAGGTTCCATTGGCGCACTCTACAATTACCCAGGGCCGCACCACGGATGTGGGGAGGGCAAAGAGGACTATGGAATCCTCAATTATTTACTGGAGGTAGCAGTGGGAATCCCATGGCCCACGCTCCTGCTGAAATATGGAACAGGGTAATGGACGCTGCACAATACTTCGAGGTGAACCCCGGATTGCATTATCAGAAGCCCCTAGGCTTTGGAGGCCGTAAGTGAGCCTCAAACACAACTTCTATCTCGTAACTGACCAAGTCATGACTGACTCGAACTTGTTTTAAGAGGGAGTAATACTTCAATACAAATTTAAAACCCCAGACGGCTTCTCAAAAGATATTGTCATCAAAATCCCAGTTAAGGAGTGGACTGATGATAACGTCCGCAAGGAAATAGAGGCTACCAGAGTAAGTAAATCGTTACCCCTTCCTTTACCTGCCTACCTAGGTAGATATGTATCAGTAGCATGTACTGATACGAAGAGCAGAAATACAAAGGGGCTGCACACTGCTCTCAACTGTTGGAAAACTGGGAGGTTGGCCAAGCACCGCTTGCTCCCTATCGTCAACGGATGTCCCAATACAACATGGACACGTCTGAGGAGGAGATCTCCAGCGGCGACGAAAGCCTGGCCGGGGATTCTGTATATCCGATTAAAAAGTTTCGATGGCTTCGATCGGCGTGGGAACAAGCGATGAGAGAACGGAGATGGGCCGAAAGGAGGGCGGCCTGGCCCAAAAATCTCGGTGGTCGAACGGATTTCCTGATTCTGGAATTCATGGAAGGGACCAGTCTTGATGGATTGCTTCGCAAGGCGACGAAGCACGGGAGACAACGTGTAAAGTTTCCTAACAGAGTGTTGTGGGCAATATGGCTATGCTGTAAGCTGGAACACCACCACCACACCCACGACGACATGGTTCTTAGGTACGTTTGGCTAATATGGGGTAGTGGTACGCGGCATCACCGCATTAAAATATCCCCCACGAAAATTCCACCCTCGGCGCCCTACCGCGGCTAGGCCTTGGCGGGGTCCAGGTCGGCCTGATTTGTTGGAAGGTATCCCGCATGTGACCAAGAGATGGAGAGCAAAAAACACTGTTCATTTTGACTTGGACCCCTCCAATTGTTCGTATCTATCTCCCCTAACACTTGTTTTTGGAGGTGACTAACATGGGTACCTATCCATAGTCTTTATGGACAAGATAGACTTTCCAAAAGTCGGACCGCCACAAGCAGGGCCGGGAGTCAATGGAGATGCGGCTGCGGAACATGCTTATTTCCCTAGAATAAGGGTGTGTCAATGACCCCCTGTTTGTTGTTGTTCTCAACGGACCCGGTGTCCAAGCTAACTGGCTATCTAGCTGGCGGACTTTGGCATAACAAAACCCGTAAAGCCAAACAAGCGAAAGTCAGTACAGTACCTATTACACTTTAAACTACTTATACCGAAGAAACACCCCCGCTAACAGAGGCATTGCCATCCAGCTCATATTATTTCTATAATCGGAAAAACGGAAAACATCGCTACCTCGCGCCTGTAAGTTCTAGTCTCCTCTCCTTTCCATCAATATCAACAATTCGTACCCCTATCTACTTACATAAGTACTTTGGTACTGCCTAGAAGGCAAAAGATGTATCTCATATACAGCGAGCTAACAAATGACTTTGCAGGAGCAATTTTGCGGAGAGTGGGATAGTATTGACATGGACCCAGCTGGACCGGGGGTGGCCCAGCAAGACGTAGCCGGGAACTTCGGCCCGCCGATGAATGTATGGGGTATAGCCATTGTGAGTAAACAGTCTTCTTCTTCTTCTTCCCATAATCACGTATTCGATGAAGAAGAAGTAATAGTCGCTAACAAACCTACTCAGACCATGTGGGCAGTCATCACGCAGACGGTGCCTCCCTCACCACCGCAGCCCCAAATACCGCCCAACGTCCAGGTCCCCGCCGGCCTGATGGACGTCGACGCCTACCTGAGGGACCATCACCCCAACGAGCCGATATCGTACTGCGTGGGCCTCATGTCGCCCGGGAACCTGTGGGAGTACGTGGACGAGGATCTGAGACGCACGATCTACCAGTGCATGTACCACAAGCAACGCCTCCGCCCCACGGTGGAGACGCTGCTGCCGCAGGCGATGGAAGGTGCGCTCAGGCAGTTTGATGGCGAGGATGACGAGACTATCAAGCAGTTTGTAAATGAGCTGGTGTTCGATGCGCCGACGGAAGCATAGGTGCCTGGGTAGGTAGCATCGATGTTTTTTTTTTCGATCACATTATCGAAAAGGGGGGGGATGGGAGAGGATAGGTATATACAGTGTAGTATTCGAGCTCATCACATAGCCAGAGAAAAATCTCGCGCGTTGTAAATTATCAGTTACTAGTATAGAATTCAAGATCATCTAATGTTTTACCGGACTGAAGCGTTGATATGAGTTAGATACCTAACCTAGTACATAGGTGTTCAGGTAGGTATCCACCGAGCCAAATTCAAGCGAAAATCGGGTAACTTTGCTTGCGTGCTTATGAGATACATACACTAACTTACCTACCAGCCAAACCTTAGGTTACTGAACTACCCAGTACCTAGGAAAACCACAAATAGCCGTAAGATCTGTGTATCGAAATGATCTTCGTTGCTGAAAATCACGAGGGGGGGGACGGGGTTCGCTGACTAGGTAGGTAGCACAGGCCACCGCCTAAGAGTCTTGCCTTGCGTCGATCATCAATGCCGATCCCGAGCGTTAGCATGGTAGCTGACTAACCTAGCTGACAAGAGGGAAAGGGAAGGGGGAGATGTACAATACATAGGAAGGGGATTCGGGGCCTTGGTGCCTACTTATAATATTTGTTGGGTCGAGAGAGGAAGAAATCGACATTCGCATAGTTACTCGGAAGGTATGAGGTGAGCTTACACGGATGACGGCATGTTAGTACCTGGTTACTAGGTTAGAATGAAGGCAATGCAGATTACCCACTCATGTTGGTTCCTGAACTTGTTGGACCAAGCTTATTAGTGCGGCTGTCGATCAGGAAGCTTGACTGACTCGATCTCAGGGGTTAAAGCGATTAGGCTTCCAGGCTACGGAGGCGGCATGGGAGTTAGTTGGATTGGGAGGAGTATGGAGCTTGAGAAATGTACTGTGGGATGCTATTAGTTGAATAACCTGGATAACTAGATGATGACTTCGAAAAATCTATCATTGACCTGTATAGGTGACCTAAACGATTGATCGCGCGAAGGATATCAGTTGATGTTACGATCGACTTTTACTTTCTGGGTTTAGGATAAATTTGAACATGGAATTGTAGATATTTAAGAATAGAACAAACACCCTTTTATCTCTCTAGGATATCTATAACTGGGGTGATATCCTGCACGATTGTTTTGATTTTTATTGGCCTGTTATATGATAGGGCGGAGAATCCGACGATATCGTGAATGCAGCATGTCAATCATTGAGGCACATAACGCAGGCACTTACCAATTGAAGGATGGGGGCTAATCCTGTGGGCTGACGATCAACCCGTGCTGTGCTTGGTGCCTGGTTCGTTCTTTACCTGTATTCTTTGCTGTGTATTAAAAACGTTGCTTACATAGGTACGCATGGGGAAAGAACATGACCAAATTAATACACATTGCGGCTCAGTAGCCAGTGAACGTAGCTTGTAGGATGGCACTGCTGCATAATGTGTTGGTTGGAACCTGCTTGTCTACTTACTGGGCACTTAGTTTACGGCACATACGACGGCTTGATGATCCTAAAATATATACCTGCTAGTTTTTTATCCTGTAAATGGTCTCGATTGTACAAATATGCGTATCTCGACGAGTTGGTCAATCTGGCATACGCTTCATCTGTGGATACCTTCAAATTCACTCAACATCCAATGATTAGTACCTAACCTAGGTAGGTAGGGATTCTATATTATCTCATAGTACACTAGAACAATAACCTTAGGCAAGTACCTATCGAACATTAAGAAGTAGTTAAGCTCTATTGATGTCATTGATATTGCTACCTCACAGTAGCTTAGATCGATATGAACAATCCCGCCTAGTGCTAGCCATTGCCGTCTCCAGTATTCCCCTGACGCGAGTCAGAAATGTGTACTACGTAAAAATGCTAAGGTAGGGACGATCTACTAAGTGTAGATCAAGACGGGGGGCTACGATCCTTTAGGAGATCCTCCCGTAGGGGTCCATAGCCATGTGCGTCCGCATCATGAAGAGTGATGCGCATATCCTCCGCTACTGTTATCACTGCCTGTGCTATGTTTATTTCATGATAGTGGGGGGATGTGAGTAGAGGATTTTCTAGGATGAAGCTGGGACATAAATAATCACCATATCCCTTTCCCTTCGGATGGGTAGTTAAGACTTGAATCATATCATCGTCTCATCAGCATACAAGCCAAGTCTATCTCACCAACTCTACTCAAACTTCACCATCAGATTATATCGACCAACACCGTCAAAATGAAGACCTTCACGACTCTAGCTTCCCTCATGCTCGGCCTCTGCCTCACCGGCGTCCAAGCCAGTCTCCCCTACGAGGTCGACAACGTGGAGTGGCGTACGTACCTCCCTCCCTTCTTCCAAGCACCCACCCATCTAGCGTTTTAAACAACAAGACATACTTTAGTACTAACACATCAACACAGGACGATCGCCTCCCCCCGCCGCCATCGAGGCCAAGCTCCCCCATCCCACCGGCACCTACCCCGCCAGCAAGCCGTTCCCGCACCACACCGGAGGTCCTCACCACACCATGAAGTTCGTCACCAAGACCGGCACCGGCCACGCCTACCCGACGGGCCACCTGAACAAGCCGACGCTGCAGAAGTGCAACGACGTGTCGGAGTGCAAGAACCTCGTCTGCCCCACGGTATTGGACGCGAAGAAGTCGTGCGCGCCGCTGCTGGAGAGGGGGCATAGGGAGCATGGCAAGGATGTTGAGAAGTAAGTTGCCACCGCACCTGAGGAGCCTTTAATTAGGTAGGCATGAAACTTGACATAGGTAACTAACGGAATGATACTTAGGGTCTGCAAGTGCACCTTTTCCAGAAACCATGGCAGGCCTCCCTTCAGCACGAAGGAGTACAGCAACGGCACAAATGAGTCCTAAAGCGATGACATGGCTACTTACTTAGGTAACCTACCTATATGACTTGTTTTTTTGGGAACTGAAATAAAAACTTGGGGGGGCTTTGAAACTTGTATATAAGGGCGATTGGTGTTGAGGGTAGATTTACTTGTAATTCTGATACCTACCAGAATGAGAGAAATATAAAAGATTCATGGGAGTTTCACATACTCCGTTATTTTTTAGCTGGCCCACCATCTGTATCTGTATCTATATGTTGCAGGTGCCTTAGGCATCCTTAGCCATATGGCCTTTATGGCCATATATTGGCATTCCACCATCCGTAGTTTGGGAATAAAGCAAGCTTTTTTCCTTTCCTTTTTTTTTTTTGCTTGTAGTTGTATTGTAATAGGTTATGAGCTTTGTGCCGTTTGAAAAGCGTCGATTTGATGCTAAAAGATATTAGATAATTAAAAAAAATATTATAAAATATTATTTCCCTCAATTTTTATAAAACCAAGGTTAAACCAACGAAATATAAGTAAGAAACCTATCCAGTGTGAAACCAAATTAAAAGATAAGGTTATTAAGGAAAAAGCCTAAAAAAGTATTAAGGTTAAGTATCGTGTTTATTTATTTTGAAAAGAGCTTATCGAATAAAATTTAAACAAGGCTATTAAAATATTTAAAATAATAATACAACGGGTAAAATCCTAAAATAATAAACCTTTTAACCATTAATAATAACAAAAAATTAACGATAAAATATAACATTGTATAAGTATTAAAATTAATTAAGAAATTTGCCAAAATAGCGAAAGGTTTACTACATTTCCCACCAATTTCATTACTTTTTAACGAGTATGGATTGAAAGAATGGAAAAAATTAATATGTTAATATTGCTAATATTATGGATTTAATGGATTTATTAATGGTACACGATAAGCGTTTTCATAAAGAACATCCGATGAAGTGAAACAAAAATATCGTAAGGAAAGAGTTTATTATATGGCTTTATTAATAAGTTTATTACACAATCTAAACGTGATTACTTAATTAGAAATAGCTGGTTAGGAAGATGAAGAAGATAATCTTAAAGTGGTTTACAATTTGGTATTAAAAATAATATTTAAAGTTTTTAAATAATTAATATTCCAATTATATTATTAATTAAAAAACCTTACTTTTAAAGATAAAATGATTTTACATGATTATATAATTAAATTCAAAAAAGTGTTTAACAGATTTAAACAATTAAATCTTAATTTATTTAAAATTATAAAAATATTTAATATAATAAAAGTTATTAAGGAATGATATTTAAATTAATATCGATTCTTAAAATGGGATTATTAAAAAAAAATCCTAATTTAGCAATTATTCCTAAAAGAATTCACACAAAAAATAAATAATAAAGATTTAATAATAACCACATTTTTATTTAAACCGTTAAACTTAAACATTAAAAGGGATAAATCATTAAAATTAAAAAAAAAATAACTTATCGATTATATAATATATAAAAAGAAATATTATCCAACCCAACAATGGTATACTCAATGTAAGAAATGCTATATGGAAAAAATTAAAAAATGTTACGTTTTTTATCCAAAGCTAAAGCCAGCTTTAAAAGGCAAAGCAATAATTAAACCAAAAAAAGGTAAAACATCTAAAAACTCATTAAATATTAATATTAAAACCTTATTATACGGATAAGTAAATAACGACTTCTTATTAGTAAATATCTTTTTAGCTATAGTTGTAAATTTTAATTAAATTAGAAATTTTTTTTAAGATGTGTACGTTAATAATTTAAATTATATAAACCATATGTTTAATAACCTTAAATAATTTAAAACTTATTAACCTTTCTTAGTATTATTAGGTATAATAGTTTTAAATAATAATAAAGTTAAAGCTTTAAGTTATAATATAATAATAATAAAGGTTTATTAAAGTAACGAGGATATAATTAATTTATAACTTTTAAATATAAATTACTATTTAAAAATGCTTATAAATTTAATAAGTACGAGATAATTAAAAAACAACGGTATTATATTTAATGAAATAATAAATATTTTACGTTTAAAGGATTTAATAACTTAAGAAGTGGTAAAGATTAAGTAGTTATAAAAACTAAAAATATTTTAATTATCTAAAATCCCTAATAATTAATATAAATCTTAAACCACCTTTATAACGGTTAATATTAACTTAATGTATAAACGTTTAATGCATGTAAACTTTTTAAGAATTAAATTAACTTGTGAAAGATGTGAATTAAAATTAAAAATCTTATTTAAACCAAAATTTTACAATATATATACACAAACAAAGGCAAAAAAACTTATTCGAAAAGCATTTTTAATCCTAACACTATAACCTTTTTAAGTTATTTATATAAATGTTTTATCCCATAATTAGAAAGGTTATATAAGCTTTAAATATTTATATATATTTATAAATAAATATAATAATTACCGATAAGTAAAGTTCTTAAGAAATAAGGAAGTGATTTACTAATTAATATTTAATTTCCAAAAAAAAATTAAACTTTAAATTAAACTTAAAATCCAAATCTTTCACCTTAATAAAGGAAAAGAATTCCTAGGAAAAAAAGGAGTTATAAAAAATAAATTTAAAAAAGCTAATATATAATTTAAAATAATAATTAATTACACACTAAAGTAAAACAAATAAGCTAAAAAAACTAACAATTTGGTAATTACTTTAACAAGGGCTGTTATAATTAAATTTAAACTACTAATATTCCTTTAACCATAAACTAAAAAAATAGCTGTTATAATTATAAATTTATTTTTTATAAAGGCTAATGAGAATTATAAATCCCTTTATAACTATCTTTACAACTATCTTAAACTTTTTAAAGAAGTAAAAAAAAAATATCTATTAAATCTATGAATTTTTAAAGCAATTATTTAAGTATAAAAGAAATAAATTCCACGTAAAAAAAAGCAAATATCTTAAACAATTAAAAACTATATAATAAAATATAAGGATAAATAATTAAAAATATATAAGATTTAAGTGCTATAGCTTAACTAAATTATTCCTGTAAAAAATATTAAATTTAACGAAAAAGGACGTTACAATAAAAATAAGTTAAAAAATCTAAAATATAAAATTATCTTAACTAATTTAAATTTAATGGAGTTAAATAAATTTAAAGCTAAAATTAGCTTTAAAGAATTTAAAACTTAAAATTACTTAAAAAATATAAAGTTTAATTCATAAGTGTAATAATAAGAAAAACCGATAATATTTTTAATATAATAATAATTAAATTACGATAGTTTTAAATTTACCCATAAACCAAGCCTTAAACTAAATCATAAACTAAGCCTTAAATTAAGTTATAAATTAAGTCTTAAATTAAGTCGATTATTAATACCGATACCACTAATAATTATACCTATTATTTTACTAAAGATAACCTTAAAAATTACTTTAATATTTAATATTATATCGGAAATTACCCTAAAAGTTACTCCAGCTTTAACTTATATATTAATTTAAATGCTTAAAAAAATTATACCTATTATAATTCTTAAAGAACTTTTAAGAGTATAATTTAAAAATTAAAATGAAAGTGATAACTTTTAAAACGTAATATAAAACATAATTAAAAATAATAATATAAATAAAAATCTAATCTTAGATATAATAATGGTTTAAATTAATTTTAATTTTAACGAAAATTACGAAAATTAAGAAGAGATTTTTTAAAAAAGCTAAAATCTAAAAAAAAAGCTTAATAAAGGAAATAATAAAGTTAAATAAGCTAAAGAAAATTAAGAAAATAAAGAAGAAAATATTAATTTTAACGATTATAAAAATTTAACTAACAAAAAAAAGGACGAAAAAAAAGAAAACAAAGAAAATTAATTATAATAATAAATAAAGGATATATATATTATTAAATAGATTTAATTTTTCTTTTAATTTTTCGTTTAACTTTTTTAGCTTTTTTAGCCTTTTTAACCAATATAAACTTAACGGCTATTTTAATTACTACTTTAACCCTTAAAACCTTTATAATTAAAACGATTTTTTAAAGAGAAAAAAGCTCTAATATTTTATAACAAATCAAGCTTTATAAAAGGAAAAGGAAAGTCTTTTTTTGTGTTAATAAAGTTTGGAGTTTATTACCGTTACGAAAGCTAAATTAAGAAGAATTTACCAGCTTATACCTTAATAGGTATTAAAGTTAAATAAACCATAACTCCATTATTAGTTAAATTACTTAAATAAACTAAAAATAATTTAAAAATATGGGAACAGTGGAAACCAACATTTGATAAACAATTTAATAATCTTATGAAACAAAAAATCTTTAAACTAATTAATCTTCCTTTGGGAGAGAAACCACTACCAACCAAATAAGTTTTAAACCAAAAATTTAACAAAAAAGGTGAATTTATACGCAATCAAGTAAAATTAATTGTATGTGGCAACTTTAAGATTAACAATTCCTAAGCAATTGTTAGGACATGGCCATGGACGTGGATGTGGCCATGGACGTGGATAGCCACTCCCGTGGCTATCCATGGCTACTGCCATGTGGGCATCCCCATGGTTGCTGCTGCCACAGCTGGCTGAACCTTATCTGTGTATATATAGCCAGCCTGAGACGCTAGGAGCTCAGCTCTCTTCTTCTCTTCTATATATTCTCATTTGACTGATTGTTTGACCTTTTGAGTCCCATCATCTGGTAGCATCTCTTGCTACGGTTGGAAGACCTCCAACCCCCATACCATCCCGGTTCATCCGAAGGGTGAGCAATATGCTCACCCAGAAAATCCTCAGACCTCTTGGTTGTTGAAGGGTCAATCAACAACCCCATCCTTATTCATTGCCCATATCCTTATTGATTGCCCAACCATGGGCCCCATCCTTATTCATTGCCCATATCGTTATTCATCCATGGACCCCATCCTTATTCATTGATCAACCATGGATCCCATCCTTATCCATTGACCACATCTTTATTCATGGACCAACCATGACCCCATCCTTATTCATTGACCATATCTCTTATCCATTGCCATATGGATACCTACGCACCTGGGACAACTCTTATATCATTTATCCATTGCCGTCCAACTACCTTTCTTCAATCCGACCGACCCCTATAGATATATCAATCTGTTTCAGCATATCCGGCGCCGGTCCGACACCCACCGAGCGCAACGAATGCTCTCCCTGGCCAGGAGACGATTCGTGGCTGGAACCATCCTTATCACTTCAATTCTCGGTCGCTCCAACCGACGAGATCCTTCAACTCTCGGTCCCCCCAACCGACGAGATCAACCTTCAATTCTCGGTCACCCCAGCCGACGAGACCCTCCAGCACAACAGCCATTCAACATGGCTGTCCTGGAACCACTATTCCCCTTATATCCTTATCCCTATATATCAGCAGAGCCGCAACAGCCTCAACGCACAGGCCATCAGCAGAGCCTCAGGGCAACCCAACACTACCCCAACCACCTAGGGCTTAAGCACATGTATCCTACTAGGAGGACTGTCTGGAGTCGCTTCAATTATTGAAGCAGCACGGGTCAGCTTAGAGATTACTATCAAGGATCAACACACATGTGTATTAGATAACGTGGACGTTATCCTTTCCATTGAAAGGGGGGTGATGTTAGGACATGGCCATGGACGTGGATGTGGCCATGGACGTGGATAGCCACTCCCGTGGCTATCCATGGCTACTGCCATGTGGGCATCCCCATGGTTGCTGCTGCCACAGCTGGCTGAACCTTATCTGTGTATATATAGCCAGCCTGAGACGCTAGGAGCTCAGCTCTCTTCTTCTCTTCTATATATTCTCTATTAATTGATTGTTTTAACCTTTTAAGTCCCATCAGCAATTCAGAACGTTTACGCTGCAATTGCAAACTTAATTACAATTAAAATCTTCTTTACCCTAATAATAACTCTTAACTTTAAATGTTTACAATTTAACATTATTACTACGTTTTTAAACAGTATAATTCCAAAAAAAACCAAAATTTATACCAAATAAGCAGTTGGTTATAGAAATGGAACAAACCAAATATAAAAGCTTAAACAAACACTTTATAGCTTAAAACAAGCTCCGATTTAATGGTTTAAAAACATATTAAAGGCAATAAAAAAAATAAAGTTTAAAAACATATCTACGAAGTATTATTTATTTAAGAACAAAAAATTGGAAGTCCTTATATTAATATATATTAACGACTTATTAATTATAGGTAACACACTTAAAATTATCAAGAAAATAAAAACCGATTTAAACGATATTTTTAAACTTAATAAAATAAGTAAAATAGCTAAATTTGTTAGATTTAAAATTAAACAAAATAAGAAATTACGTTAAATATTCCTTAATTAATTTAAATTTACCAGAAAAATTCTCTTAAAATATAATATTAAAACATTAAAAAAAACAAAATCGCCATAAAAATCTAATATTATAATCCCATTAACATAAAAAAAGATTACTAAACTTAAACATATCGAATACATTAAAAAAATAAGATCTTTAAATTAATTATCTATTAAAACCCGCCTAAACATAACCAAAACTATATTAACCCTTATAAAAGCCAACGCAAAACCTAATAAGATTTATTTTAAATTAAAAAAACACCTATAAAAATATATTAATACCACATAAAACTTCGGAATAACGCTAGGTAATAAATATAATCTTAAAAACTTAAAGTTGACAATCTAAGTAAATACTATTTTTATAAACTATCTAAAATCAAAAAAATTAATGGGAGCTTATTTAATAACCTTAACAAAAAGCTTTATACATTAGAGTTTAAAGAAATAATCATTAGTTGTATTAAATAATATAGAAACAAAATTTATTAATCTATCTCCAACAAAACTATCGGGAATATGGATATTAAAACTTTTTTAAGAGTTAAGATATCCCCAACTAAAGCCTTTACTACTTTTCTTAAATTTAGTTAACGCAATTATTACAGCTCTCAATCCCCTAAATATAATAAGAATCTGCCATATCAATACCCGGTATAAATAAATTATTAATAAAATTCAACGTAAAAATATTAAAATCCAACACGTTGGAACCAAAAAAATAATGGCAAATAAACTAACCAAACCACTAATAAAAGAAAAACACAAGGCCTTTATCCGATTAATAAGTTTAAAAAAATGCGAATAAAAAAAATAAACCTATAAATATTACTTCAAAAAATTAAAAAAAAAAAACGATTATTATTTTAAAAAAAAATAGAAAATTATACTTTAATTACCTAACTACATAACTTCAAAACCACCCACCGACAATAAATATAACAATAACTACATGGCTTTATGCCAACAGAAATATATTACAAGTGTTTTAGGTATCCTTAGCCATATAGCCCTTATGGCCATATATTGGCACTCCGCCATCCGTAATTTAGGAATAAAACAAGCTTTCTTCCTTTCCTCTTTCTTCTTCTTGCTTGTAGTTATACTGCAACACTATATCTGTATCTGTACGTGTTGTAAGAATAGATGGCCGTATATTATCAAACTGCCCAGGTACCTACGTTAAAGCGTTCTTCGACACCCTGAGGCGACATGGCAACTCAAAAGTTTTCAGCACAGGTGGGTGGTCTCAATTGGCTTACCGAACTTCCTACCAAGTTTAGACTAAAACCGAGATGTATGCTTCTGGCACAGGAAGCATTGTTAGGCAGACGACTATCTCAACCTGGGTGGATTCGATCAGAAGGATCGAGTCGCGATAGACATCTAAAAGTACCTATCCACAATGAAAATTTCTCTAGGCTATCTTTTACTAGGGGACAGCCACAGAGCCCGGTGAAGGATAAGGGGTGTAGCTTTCTTTTTTTGTATAGTCTTTGGATTAGTTTTCAACAGTTATTTATGGGTCTCTATAGGATTCCTTTTCTATTCGTACCTCACACAGGAGTAAAAAATGAAGTAGGGCGAAGCATGTCTAAGTATGTCTATGGATTAGCCCCCCCTATTCCATCTACGATAGCCATGGTACCTAGGTAGGTATCCGCACTTTTGATATTCGTTCACGTCATTACCTACCTACCTATCAAACCACTTCCCCCATATCCGTCTCCGTCTTCCCTTCATGGTCACTGACCACCGCGACCTGTGCTTCTTCATTAATAGCAAACAGGTCCTCCTCCTCCTCAAGTTCATTCTTGACCTTAAACAAAATAACCGGCAGCGCTATCAAAAGCGACCCCCCAAGCAGCGCCCAGCACGAGACCAGCATATTCACGTAGGGCGTGCCGAGGTTATCGAGGCGCCAGGCGATCGCCGCGCCCGCGGACTGGATACCCTTGTAGAAGCCGGCGAAGTTGGCCAGCTTGCGCGCGTTGTTGGTGAGGGACCCCATCGACCAGTACACGAACGCCTGCCAGGCCGCGTCGTACAGCCCGTACGACATGTACAGGAACATGTGCCCGATGTATCCGGCATCCTCCCAGTCCATCGGCGTAAACCCCTTTCCTGCTGTCACTTCTTCGCGCTTGTAGCCGTGCTGCAGGTAGTAGCTGCTGCCCCAGAGCGCCATCGTCAGTGAAAATAAGAAGAGCCACATGATCCGCGCCCGCGTCGTGCGCTTGACCCACGGTCTGTCGAGGCAGTGTCCGATGACGACGGCGCTCGCGACCTCCACGACGTAGTAGAGCGTGTTGTTGAGGGCGCGGGTGCGGGTGTTGAACTCGGCGCCGTTGACGTCGTTGAAGATGTACGTATAGAACCAGTTGGAGGCGAAGAACATGGGGAAGAAGAGCACGATGTAGGTATCCGTTCGGAACGTCTTGCACAGCCACAGCAGCTCCGTCTGCCACGACGGGTTCTTCGCGAGGATGATACGCGAGCCGTCCTCGCGGACTACCTTCCGCGCGTCGGCTAGCGTCCACGTGAGAGCCGTGCCGAGCACGGTTGAGATGAGGTATCCGATGTATGTTCCGTCAGAGACGGTTTTGTTCTCCTTGACGTGGATGTTTTGGCCTAGGGGAATCTGCAATAGGGGTTAGAAAATCTTGTATGCATGCACGAATGGCGCACGTGGGCTAGTAGCTAGGGTTCTTACAAAACTCCCCACGACCGCTCCCATGCTGAAGATCATCCAGAAGCAGCCCGTGTATCGACCCTTGGATTCCCTCGGGGGGTACGACATGATGATCGTGTCTGCGGCAGTCCACAGCAGCGCGCCGGAAAGCCCTAGATAAGCCCCGGAAAACACCATGAACCCGTAGTTCTTGGTGTGGCTGTAGCACAGAAGGGCGGCGATGTAGACGCAGTAGCCAAGACCCCCGAGGCATAGGGTGGTCTTTATGCCCAGCACGTTTATTATGGCGCCTGCGAAGAAGCCAACGGCCGAGAAGGTGGCGTAGAGCGCCATGTTGGCATCATTGGTTGCGGTGTGGTCTATCTGACCACTGCCCCCTATTCCCGTCAGGGAATTGAACATTCCCGGGAGAAGGAAGAATGCGAACGCCACAATGATGACTTGGACGAGCGGCGATGAGTACCTAGGCACCCGGAAAGGGCTGGCCTTTGATTCTGGACGCTCGTCATCGCTGATAATCTGTTCACGTACATTTGACTCCTTTTTTTCAAGGGGTGGCGGTAGGTCCACTCGTAGAGCCCCCATAGAAGGGGCAGCTTCTATCCTGTCAGTAGAATTTGGCATTTTCAATGACAGCGAGATGAAGAAGTGAAGTTGCGAGGACGTGCAAAATAGTGGGAGTGCTCATACAACAAAAGCCACTTATAGCTTAAAAGTATACCTAATGCCTAACCTTCCGGTTAGACCTCCGGTGTGTCTAGCCAATGCAGACTTTTTCAGGCTTTTCAGATCCACTACCCACCAGACAGATGTAACGCTAACCTACACCGACTCTGCCCTACAGCCCCGAATGTGAGTTGAATCCTATATATCGACTATTTCATTCGCCGCATAGCTGGCATATCTAATGGGCCCTTTTTCCCAGCTAGTCGGGGCATGCGGCATGCCCAACCTGGGCACGTTTCATTGTCTCACGATACGCGGAGCCGCTGGGTGCTGATCTAGGTGGGCAAGGTGGACACTTCCGGCTCCGGAGTCCTACTTCTCACCTATGAGTCGTGATTATGCGTGTGATGGACACGACGGTGCTGGCAGGAGAAGCGGCACCGACAAGGGGAATTTGCACCGGGGCGCGCAGTGCTCATGCATGAACCCTGGGCTAGCTTCTAAACCCAATTTTGCACACTGCATGACGGCTCGGCATATTGTAGGCGATCTATGTGGTTGATGGTTCGGCCATCCAGGGATGCAAATATGCACCATCGAGGCTTAAGTGACGAGCTGCGACTCGGCGAGGTAAAGTTTTTTACATGATTTTACGTGCAGCTCGTACTTTGTGGGAGTCCTAGATATAGTTGCAGCTGTGGGGTAAGTCAAGTCTCAATTCAAAGCTGACATGATAATTACTATAAATGAATGTGGTGATTCGTTCCATCACTGCAATTTGCCGTCCTTTTGACATGTGTCACTGAATGATGTTCCTACCTCTGGAAGTAGGATTTGACTGATGGAGGGGCATCGCAATACCAGGGGATATATATCGTGCTCGGTGAGACTCCCGAGAGGGACGAGTAATAAATTATAGGAAGGACCTCACATTTCTTATGCGCAGCCTATCGTCCATGAGACGAAGAGCGATGAAGTGATGTTCCGTACTTGTATAAATAAAAAAGTATGAGGGGAAGATACTATCAATGATGTAATTAGGGGTAGAGATTATGGGATGTGTAACGTTGAAGACCCCTCCCCCTTTTTCTAAGACTTCGACGACGTACCTTCCTTAAATTGAATAACGCGGTGCGGTGCGATTAGGATTATTAGTCTACGTACGTACTTGGGTATTTGTCTATCTTTCTATCCGAGTAAATTCCCCTTTTTCAATCTTATATCCTGATTGTGTCCTGCCTGTCCGTGGGCTTTGATAGCCGGCCCGTCCCAGAAAGAAAAAAGCATTGCGCATAAATCTGTTGATCACTTAAATAACATCGGCGTGTCCAAAATGGTACGCGTGTAGGTACCTAACCAAATTACGCTTCGACAACATCGCGGAACCAAACATGATCGAGGGCTTCCTGCGCCGTGATTCTCCTCCTGGGATCGAATCGTGTCATTTTCCTGATGAGATCCTTAAAGTCGGGGTCGAGGTTATCGCTCTTCCAGAGCGAAAATGGCCTGCGAGGGTTCTCCGCGCCGAATGAATCGCCCATGCGTCGGAGCTCGCGTACCAGAGGGTGCTTTCGACCCAAGTACTCGATAAAGGCTTCAAAATCATTCCACTCGGCGAAAGTGGAAATTTGCCTTTCCAGTATGGCCTTGGTAAGATCGGCGTTGGGCTCGCTGTCGACGCGGAATATAACCATTCTGAGGCGCATGAAAATAAACTGTTTCTGGGTGATTAGCAATCAAAAATCCATCAAAAGACGTATGCCAAGATCATCCACGTACCACTAGTGCCAGTGAAAATATGTCAGAGGGCTTGCCGACGGCGCCTTGCATGTGCGCTTCTGGACTCCGCCAGAATTGATTACCCACACGAAGCCCACTCAGAGCCTGTCCGGGTGGGATATGAGTGGAATCTTCCAAGTCGGAAAGCTGGACTCGATCTACCATAACCCCTTCTGAGGTTTCCTTGTAGTCGATCATGATATTATTTGCCTTGATGTCTAGGGGGATTCGCGTCAGCATGTTAAGTCCGACGGTTAAGTCCGACAAAGAAATCCAAGTAAGAAATCTAAACAAGGAACCCACCTAAATGAGCAATATTTTGGTCGTGCAGAGTAGCAAGCCCTCGGAGCGTGTCCCGAAGTATACGTTTCTGCACATTGACGGATAGATCATTGAAGGCGAAGTTGAGTAAATGATCCGTCATGTATTCGTTGACAAACATTTTCTGGTCCGGAACGGTGTCTCTCAAGGCTCTGAGATAAGGCGAGTGGTTGAATCTCAGCTGTAGAGGAAGAGCATAGTTGTATTCATTTTCGAATAAGCTCTTCAAGACAAACATCTTCTCGTTTGCTCTATTGAAGGGTTAAACCGGGATCCCCGCGATATAATCATCTCACATTTTAGCTTACCTAGCCAGATAGACCTGGCGGTCTTGTCTGTCCTGCAGAACATTTTCGATGGTGTATTCGCGTCCGGAATACCCTTTCAAAATGACACCAGGCTCGAATTGTTGATGATGAGCTAGAGTGACGGTGCTGGCCTTGCGAATGCCGCTTCCGTAGTGATGTCCGGAGGTGCGATAAGTTGAGGTGGTAGATAAGCGAGCACGGCCAAGTCTTGAAAGGGGTTTGAGCACGGTGAAAGCGGTTGAAGAGACGGCGCTGCCGCGCATGATATCTTGATAATAGGGAAAGTGTTTTGAGATGATATGATAGGATATGATAGGTTAAATGAATAAATAGAGACTGAAGTAAATAAAGAGGCGGAGATAATAAAGATCAGGTTGATTCTAAAGTCTAAAGTTAAAACAATTGCTTACTAGGAAAAGTTGTAAAAGTCAAAACAACGCAAGTTGTAAATGTCGCAGTTGAATGCACACCGAGTTTATTATTGAACGGCCTCAACGAAAGTCCCAAGACCCTGGACCTGACTAATTAAATAATTTACAGGGCTGTTGCAGGGTACAGCATGAGATGTACAGGGTATTGCAAGGGTATTACCTAGTAAGTGTTCTAGGCTGTTGGCATATGGGTATCCACAAATGACTCACGTGGCCAAGTGGAAGGTCTTAAATTCATAATAAAATGTATAAATTTTGGATAAATAAAATTTCGAACGCGGGAGGCGACAAATACAGTAACAATTTTGCAGCCTTTGTCAAATAGCCCGACTTCGCTTCTACAGTTGTGGATCTCATTGAAATGCACACTAAATTGGAATACTACCCATCTATGCCGCCCGCGATCGTATCTAGCTAGGTGTAGCTACCGCAAAGAGCTTAAATTAGCTTGACACGCCAGTCTGCCGGTCTGGACTTCCCGAGGACCTGGAAACTTGTTACAAATCGATGTCACCAAGATGGTGGATACCCACACAAGTTGTGTTGTTAACTTGTGGTGTTTTCTATTCTTCAGTTTTAACTTCTCCAATTCACAATTTCTCATGATGTCAAAACTTATGTTCAGTTACATGAACTCACCAACAATATTCATCACAGGTTGTAGTTGTAAGAACATAAACGCCCAGAGTTTATCTTGGCATTCACCTAGATTAGGTTGGTATGCTCATGTCTCAAGCATATGCCTCATCACATTGCATGCGAATGCGATATTTAAAATCCTCCGTCAACTAACAGGATAACGCTACGACATAACTATTTTGAATGTTTGCATACCTCGCGGCCTTATACTACCAGACATATACACACAAACACAATTATCGAATATGCATTGGGCAGCTCTTTTGATATAACCACATTTTGACGAAGTCTAGATTCAGCACTATCTTGGTTGTTCCAACATAACCCCAGCATCATCACTCGCTATCATCATCACCATCATCATCCATCACGCAACCAGTCCACCCATGCCACAAAGCCGGATATAAATAGAACAAAAGGATTTATTTCCACTGCTCCAACCAACCACACTCGTGATCGTACCTAGCGAGGCGCTACTTAGTCATTCATCGTATAGGGAACTAAGAAACGTCTAGGTTGGGTACCTATAGTATTAGTACCTATCTAGATTCTAGATACCTAAGTCATAAGCATGGCTAACAATGAAGCTTTTTGCCTTTTCGTTATCTGCGGCTCTGAAATCCCAACGAAACGAATCTACCCCTCATTTATCTAACCATCCCCCCCCTTTCTCTAACAGTTAAGGAAAAGAATATCCCGCAGTACTCACTCACCAAGTGGGACTGTCCACGCCATCCTCCTTCGGCACACCATCCCGCGGTGGAGGAGGACCGTGGTACCGGAAGGGAACACCGGTGGGATATCCCGTGGGGCGAAGGTGATGGTGAGCAGTGGGGTGGGGGAAGGTAGGTATGGCGAGACTAGTCCAAGGCAAGCCGCCGCTAGCGTGCGGGAACGCGTACGGGCCGTGGTTTGCCGGTGCGCGCTTCTGGATACTTCCATCGGTGCTCTCATCGGTACTGGTGCTGGTGACGGTAGCGGTGGCAGTGGGAACTAGCGTGCTGGGCGAAGACGAGTGTTGTTTGCCCTTGCCCTCACCATCACCGTCGCCATGTTTAGGAGGATGTCTGATGCCGCCGCTTGGGTGCGCGACGCCACCATCTTGCCCCTTTTTATCATCACCGCCTAAGACGGAATAGCCAGTCGGGCGTGGGAAGTATTGGCCCGTTGGGTGTAGAGAATGAAGGCGCAACGGAGGAATGAAGCCACCAGTGCCGTAAATCACGGGCGGCTTCCCTTCTTCGCCTCCCTTCTGGCCGTCACCCGTCGAAGGTACATTAGTGGGATATGATGTCCCGGTACCGGTGTGGTGATGACTCTTATGGTGGCGTGTCTTGTGGTGGTCTGTGGGATACGGAACGCCGCTTTGGTCGCCGTCTTTGATCCACGGTCCCCACGAAAAGTGTGGCTTACCGGTGCCATGCGCGATGTAGCCGCCTGTCGGGTGCGGGTGCGGGTACCCGGTATGAGCTGCCGTTGGCGTAGTAGGGGGAGGGCTATCCGCAATATACACAGGACTTGCCAAACTGCCTTGGAGCGAGGCAGCCGCCACTAAAATAGCAGTAAACGAGCGCATGGTGAGAAAAGTATGAATCGCCTTGAGTACGTTAAAGAATGGGACTGGGCAAATAATCCGCTGTGTGTCGTCTTCCAGGCAAGTTTCCACCGATCGACGAACCTAAACCTCCGTCGTTGATATGAGTTGCTTTCTGGCTAATAGTGAAGAATTTCCGAGATGGAATAGAGGGCCAAGCCCGTCCCCTTATATGCTTCCCGTTTCTTCTTTGGCTTTACATAGTGTACTAGGTGAAGTGGCTACTGCAGATCCTGCTGTGCCTTGACCTGGGGGCAGCCCTTGTTGCCGTGCTGACCTCATTGCCTTCGTAGATCGACGCACAATGGACTACGCTAGATTTGACATAAGCCGTTGTACGTACCACGGCTTGAACGATCCAGATATGTACGACCCATGCACAGCCAATTGGTCACCGAGCCAAACGGTGCGGCGGCACCTACCTCACTGACTATCGTGGTTGATGGTTTTCCGTCTATGTACAGCCTCCAAGTTGTTCAGCTCTTACGCGTCACCCGGTGCCGACCATGCCTATTCCAGGGCTTGTGGCTGTTAGGTACCTGTCATACTGGTACTAAGGATTACCTCATCCTTTATAGATCGGCAGTTTTCTACGCTCATTGAATCGGTTTATGTGATATTATCTTGGGAAAATACAGCTAACGTTGTTGCGAAGTTGACCTGTTTCGCTGTCATACGAATCCTATCAGAATCATCTAACCTCATAATTTTTTTTATATACCTGATTACTCCTTATTGTTGATGCGTGGGAGTTGATTTGGTTCCACTAGGATTCTGGCGAACCAGGCTCTTCCCTTACCTGGTTAGAAGTTCTTATTCAGCGAAGAGGCACAGAAGAGGGGTTGTACGCCAGATCTTGCAACTTGGCATCATCTAGTGCGAGTATAAAGAAAAGATTTTCATACATATTAAGCACCTATATGCTTTGTTCCTGAATACTGGCTCTAGTCTTTCTTTGGAAGTTACACGGCTATAGGTGTGCGATCCTGCGACTAATATGTGAGGTTGCTTAGTCCATCCGCCGAACATCATGCCCCCAAAGAGGTTAAGCCTGTGCTCATTATAGCACCGAATAGGATTTGTTTCATGCTATTTAAAGCTATAAGATTTTATATAGATCAGCCTATCCTGGTGCCCATCTGGCGATCTATAGCACTCGAATATCATCTAGATTACTGTCACCCACCATAGGTACATAGCATGTTTTGGAATAGTTGATAGGAGGCTGACTTTGGAGATACTGCCGTACACTTCCACGGCAGGAGGCTAGTAGCTCAGGGTACCTGAATATATGTCGTTGAGATAGGCAGGTAGGCACTTAACCCAGAACGGTCGAATACGCGTACGGCACGGGACGCAACAACAAAACAAGCTTTTTCTTTGGGACGGGAATTGAACCTTGGCATGTGCCCCTCGGGAATGATTTATTTACATAAGTGAAGTGAAGATATCGCAAAAGGTGGGTAGCTCTCAGAGACCCATTGTGAGCAGTTTTTCTGATGGCGACATCTGGAGGACTTCGAAAGGAGAAAATATTGGAAGCATGTGCGTACGACGATATCCACAGGCATGCAGCCATCATGTGCAGCATGGACAGGGGCAAATCGGGTACATGCCGCAGTTGTAACGTCATATACATATTTGGTGGCGTCAACCGCTTACGAGCATATACATATCAGACGTGAAAAGTCCGTTCCTTGGAATAAAAATAATAAAAATAATCAAACACCTTAGACATCTAGATACCTGATCTGTAATTGGTTGGTTTAGGGGATAGGTAGGTACATATGTATAGAGGCCTTCTTCTTGAACCACATGCATGTACCTAGCTAGAGGTTTAAGCTTTTAAGAGAAGTCTAAATAGAAGGGAACTTAAAACGGGCAGATGTGTGCGTGCTCAACTAAATATTGATAAGGGCTGAATAATTCATTAGGTACCTAGGTATCTGCTATCTACATCTACGGCCGAGAAATGAGTATCACATCTTCGTTGCACATGTAAGCCCCTGCCGTGCAAGTCGTGGATGCTGCATCTAGCATTTCTAGGCAAGTACTTACCTACCTATCTACCTAGGTAGCTAGAAATGAGCCGTCTTCCATATACCCTATGCGATTCTACTAATCATTCTAGAGGTGTACTACCTAACTTTGAACTTTGAAGGATCCTTTCGAAAAGGAACCCAACCCCAACGCCAGCCAAATTCCTTCCGACTTAACCCCATCTGTCCCCAGTCTACAGGCAGGCAAATGTATACATCGTTGCCTTCAGGATTCATTTGCCTGGCCTCTGGCACTCCTAAGCTTTGCCGAGTCCATGTTAGCATACACACTAGGTATCTATTCTTGGCATGTTGAGCCTCTGACGACATCCCATCTTAAGCATCCACGAAGCCTCTGCTAGCTCGCTTGAAGACCTTATCTATAGGGCCCCTTGATATTACTAGTCAGGCCAACTGTCGACTGGAATCCGAACGTCGGCACCTTCACCGACTGCTTAGAAAGAGTGCCGACACGTACGGAAGCTTAGTACGTGTCGATCACCGAGATGTTTCGGAAGAAAACATCAAAATAGGCACTAAGTAATGAAAATTCAACATCAAATAATATATGTATCGAAGAGATTGATATACAAATACACTTCCAGGTAACAATGTACAATAACAAGGAAGGAGTTATATCCCCGCCTCCAGACTTATCAAACAGCCTCCTTGTGAGTCCGTAACCTCACATGCACTGGCATCCCATCTTTCGGATGCACGGTACCAGAACCGATGCTATAGAGTCGCTGACCGTCCACAATATGCGACGGTGTTGCATTAACGCCCCTAAAGGTAGATTGAAGTCAGCAAACACAATTCTATCATATTATACAAATATGTAGGTAGGTAAGTAAACTCACATCTTCCTATCCCACTCATCCCACGCCTCCTCAATATCGAAATCGCGCGCAATCAGCACAGCTACCAGCTTCAGCTCGATCATCGCCAGCTCAATGCCAACGCAATTCCGTGGGCCGAGCGAAAACGGCATCCACGCTTCCTTGACAGCAACGTACAGCGGCTCTCCCTCAACCGCCAGCCACCGCTCGGGCAGGAACTCGTCTGGCCGCGGCCAGTAATCGGGGTGTCGCTGGATCCGGAGCGCGGACAGCCAGGGCCCGAATCCTGCCGTGGGATACCGCATCGGCGACCCAGGGACCGTGAGCGCGTACCCTGGCACGCTGTCGCCGTCGCGCACGGTGGCGGCCAGCGGGTGCAGGCGCAGGGTTTCTTTGATGACGCCCAGCGTGTAGGGCAGCGCGTTCAGGACGTGCGGGGACGCGGTCAATATCCCCGTCACTTGTTCCGTGTCGGGCCCTAGCACAAAGTCGTGCTCGGCGCGCAGTTTTTCCAGACAGGAAGGGTGGTCCTGCAAAAGCTTGACCATGAAGCAGATGGTGGCGGAGGTGGTATCGTGGCCCGCGAAGATGAAGGCCTTGAGGTTCGCGATGACGCGCTGGATGAACTCGGCGTCGGGCTTGGACTGCGACGACTTGTGAGCGTTGTCGGTGTTGGTGGCGACGTACTTCATTGCGAGGTCTAGGATCGTCTTTTTCTTCTGATTAGCGCTGCTTTTGATGCCGTTGCTGCTGCCGCTACAGCCCTGCGCCTGTAGCTTCTTCTCTACGTGCGGGAGCAGGACTTTTCTCATGGCTGCGTTGTTTCGCCGGATGGCGGCGTGGTGCCATGGCATCTTTCCGAAATTAAGGGCCCGGGAGGCGCTGGAGACCATGCCCATATACCCGATTTGATCCTTCAGCGCTGCTTTTAGTGGACCGTCTGTCGTGTGCGACTGTTCGTGCAGCCGCAGATCTCTAAATTCGTGCGTGTTAGTGTGCCTATGCAAGTGGGGGTACCTATCTACGTATGTGGGTATCGTTGGAGAGATGGTGTGCTGTGGCTTACATGGCTGCTCTGACGATGATATCAAAAGTGAGGTTGGTGGTCTTTTCTTCGAGCTTAAAGACGGGTCCCCATTGACCGTCTTTCCCTGCAGAATTCTTTAATATGTTGATGAATACCTGGGCCTCTTCCAGGAGCTCCGGGAGCATGGCGGACAGGTTCCGTGGGCTGAAGCCGGGGCTAAATCTCGATCGCCATCTTTTCCAATCTTCTCCTTCCGCAGCTACCATATCCTTGCAGTCCGTCAACGGCTCCATGAACTCACGAACCGAACACGCTTTGACAAAACTCGGGGCCTGGGTGAACTGAACGGCAGCAATAGGATCCACAACCATCATAAGCGAGTCCGCCACCGGCCAGAGGTCCAAATAAACTACCGGCGGCAGTCGTTCCAGGTCCGGGAAGTACCGCTTGAAGTTCGCGTTGATCCAGCCGTGAAACACATAAATATTTACATCTGGCGGATGGGCCTTACGAAAGTCGGCAAAGATAGGGATATGGCCCCACAGTAGGGAATGAGGGAGTATAGGCTTTTAAATCGGTCAGCGAAACCGACGAATCTCACGATAAGAACCATGCTCAAAGACAAACATACTATCCCCTGGGCCTTCAAAGACCTCACCCTCGCCCGTTCGGTGTATCCCCTGTATAATATCCTCGCTACAAGTGCTGCCACCAGAACGCAGAGGCCCTGCAGGAGCAATCGCACCCCGCCGGTTTGCATGATGCCGTGCATGATGCCGTGCATCTCTCCCATTAACACGTGATAACCCAAACGAAACCGGGTACGCCTTTTGCAAGTAGTAAATGAATCGTCGGCTCTACCCAAGGAGTAACTCGGAACTCCAGCGCTATAAATACTAAATTCCTTACCTACTGAGGCAACGACATCGGTAGGCAAGGTAGGTAGGTTATGCTTGGTATGCACTCTTTTACGGATAGATCGGTTTGGTTATGGCGACGTCATTGAAACTCGAGATCGAGCTTGGGAGAGATGTTGCTTAAGAACCATTTTCGTTTACCGACCAACACGGATACGCCCTTCATCATCCTTCCTCATATCCAATCATGCGCAGGTCACAATAATATTACGGGATTAATGCGTTACAAATCATGAGAGCAAAAGACCGAGACGAACCAAGAGATGCCAATTACCCAAATTACTAGTTTAGGCAGCTAGGATACTGGACTGTTACCAACGTGGATGGGTTGGAGATAGATCACTACCTTAACTGGTTATGTGCTTCTTGGTAATTTTCGGGTTGCCGGGGATCGCAGGTAGCCCTTCAACCGACAGGTATATCATTAGCCCTCCGGATTGCTTGCAACTAAGAAATCTCACGACTAGGCACTTACAAGAGTCAATATCCTCGGTGACAGTTCTGTTAATTTTGCACCTGTTCTGATCGGCGATTGACTGCGTGGTCAGAGTAGGGCAGTTGACATAGCAGGGAGTATCCATGGTTCTCTGCAGAGTATCACCCTAAAATCAGTCATGTTTATTAGTATTAGATGCTATACTGACTCAATGCGAAATAGAATCTGGTAGGGTGGTAGGTAGGGAGGTAGTATCTTAACGGACCTTCCAGCCAAAAAGGTAATCTCCGTGACTGCCGTACCCGGTGCTGCAAGCCCCCGGTTAGCAAATTGGTTAGTTTATAAGGACTCGAAACAAAGCTAGGCAAGGGAGCCAGGAACTTACTGATCACCCATACTCCAGACGAAAGGCTGCGATCCATCTTCAGGCCACTCATTCGGGTCGTTGAACGCACGCGTGTCCCAAACCGTTTCGTACATGAGCTCGGGAACGGGCACCGGGTGGCTCTCGGGGCATGGGCCTTGCGAGTCGAAGGTCCCGGTCGCCGGGTACGTCATATGCGACATGTGATCCGGAGTGTCCAGGTTCTTACCATCCCAGCAACTAGTACGCGCGTTCTATTAGAAAGCTGCCCCTTGATTGAGGTTGACGCCTATACTTGACCGAACTTACGTTGGGAAGCGGACGTTTGCCATGATGCCGGCTGGGCACGGCTTGGTGGGGAGGTTCTTGGTCTCGGGGAATCGCGTGCCCATGTCCTGCAAGCAGGTATACGTAACCTGCCGGTATCGGCTGGCATCAGCGGCAGTTCGTGCAAGGGCATCGCCTATAAGCATTCGGAATCCCTAAACGAGTTAACTCTACTGATCCTTTTTTTTATTTTAATCTTTTTGGTTGCTACTAAGAAGTCACGAAAACTTACAGGCTTAAAGGCCGTGACCTTGGACCGCTGCTGGTAATCGGCGAGCCCGTTCTGCATATAATATACAGTCATGCCGCCACCAGCGCCGTCGAAGCCAGCGTTGGCTCGGATCGGAACACGCTTGAAGGTGCCGTTACGAGCCCGGAAGAAAAGGACGGCTGTCCAATAATTCGAAGTATCCTCCGTGTACTGGCACGTTGTGCAAGTCGACTCGCCAGGCATGTCTTTGGCAGGGTCCATGGTCGCGTTGAGTGAGTTCTGCGCCGAATTAGCCTTGAGCTCTATGCTCTATGGCGTCGGTCTATCTTACGCCGCCGATTATCTGGTGCAGATGGGGAGAGGGCGCCATGCCCGGATTGACTAGAGGGTCGATACGATCTATTACGAGCTGCGAACAGGAAAATCGAATCAATGCCTGTGAGGGCGCGGCGAATGCCAGCGCAATGAGCGAGGCTAGCTGCATTTCGTGCTTCCAACTTTAGGTCGGTTACTAGACAACTTAGTAATCGATCCTGGTAGCGATAGGGATGATGAACGTAAGCGACAACTACCTAGTACCTATAGGATGAGGATTGCGGCGATCTTGACGAGCTATATCTGACTGAACATTGGCATGAAGGCTAGGCTACCGAGACTTATCAACCAACCGAACTACCTACCTAGTACTTAACATGCATGAATCCTACGAGAAATGGTATGAAATGGCAGAAAATGTGCAGTTAATTGCTGGTTCGGCGCTTCTCTAATACAGGGGAATGGGAACACTAGCATCGTTACCCTACTATGATACTACCATCTGCCGGTGGATATTTTCCATTTCGCCAATATACTAACTTGAATATTTCGAACTCAATACACCATATTAGCCAGGATTGGGGTTAGGAGTCTTGGCAATAGCCTCATAATAGCCGGCCGACGAGGTTGAGAAAAACCGGGCCAATGGTATGACGTACATAGTTCCTTTACCCCTAGAAGAGTCAGGAACATTTGGATTGAGAACATGGGCTGTTATCTACTTACCCAGGTACCTGAAAATGGGTCTCACAAGCTTTCATCCACCTTCATCGTGAAGTGTTGAATGCAGTTGCGCAAAAGTTGCCTTAAATCTTAGGAGTTGAGCTTAAACCGTAACCCAACCCTAACCCACGTCCCTTACACCAAGCACTCCCAAAGCGCGGTAGTGACAAGAATATGCTTTCAAGTAGGATGAATTCAACAATTTCCAAATAATAAGCTTCATCTGCAATGGCCCATGTTACCTTAGTTCCTCAGCGTAGGTTTGTTCTACGAGATCTGCACGGGAGATGGTTGAAAAGAGGTCTTTTACCCCGTGATGTCACCTAAAATATTTCAACTCTGCGACTTTCATTCATCTATGTACGTCGCGAACATACTCTTTAGCAACTCCCTGGCGGTGAAGAAGGGAAAACATGTCTACGAGAATCAGACTTCGGCGCGCGATCTTGCTGTTGACCACAGCCTACCTACTACCCCTTTCCGCCGCCCAAAACACAGGCCTAGACACCTGCACGTCCGTCCACATCCTCCTCTCCCGCGGCTACAACGAGCCGTACCCCGGCCGCCAGGGCAAGCTCGTCCAGGCCATCTGCTCGGGTCTCGGCAACAGCAGCTGCGACTACGAGGACATCGTGTACAACAACGCCTTCGGCGCGGAGTACTGCGGCGCAGTGGTAGCGGGCCGGCGCGCGGGGGTTGCCCAGATCACGGCGTATAATAGGAGGTGTCCGGACACGAAGCTGGTGCTCAGCGGATATTCGCAGGGCGCGCATGTTTTGGGCGATATACTTGGTGGTGGTGGTGGTGGTGGAGGAGGGGGAGGGGAGGTGTTTATGCAGGGGTGCACGACGCCCAAGGCTGCTGGGTTAGAGCGGGATGCGGCCCCGGGGAGGATGGGTAAGTTGAGCTGATGATGCGCCCCGTCCTGTCTAAGTTGCGAGGGTGTTACGTTGAGTGGGATGTGCCAGCGTTGACTGATGCATCGTCGTGTATAGTTGCCGCGGCCCTCCTGTTCGGCGATATCCGCCACACCGCTAACCAGCCGTACAACACGCTCGGGGGCGCGGGTATTGATGGCGTATATCCGCGATCAGACGAACTGCTAAAGGGGCTGAATAGCTTCGCCAGCGTATTGAGGGATTGGTGCGAGGAGGGCGATCCGGTTTGTGCGTTTGGGGGTGGCAGGAAGACTTATAATGTCCAGATGCACTTGAATTATTTCAATCGCTACTCTGGTGATGCGGCGGATTGGGTTAAGTCGAGTATGTAAATCCTGAAGTGGCCCCCCTTTTCGCACACACCCTGATTTTTCTGGGCGGAGAGGTTGAGGAGTTGAGTAGGTACTAACGCTTGTTGTTGCAGTGTTCAATCGGACCCGTGAGTCTACATCACCCTTGTCGGCAACTCCTACTTCCAGTTCCACGGAATCTCCTACCGGCCAAGGGAGCGGTGCCATGGCTGTTGGATGTTCCAGGAGTTTGGTTTTTGTAGCCGGGCTGATACTGTTTCTTCGCTTTAACTGAGCATTAAGCATTTATCACGCATATGGTCCATAACTTAAGAATATTAAAATATCGTAGTCTCTTTAATGCACAGGCTTGGCCTACCTAGGTACCCTTGAGGCTAGCATATCTGTTTAGCATATATCCTTTTCCCTCTTTTCAACCACCGACGCAACTGCCATCGCTTCTGTACCAGTGCAAACGTAGCTCTTGAACTTCCGTGCAGGAACCTTGGCCTCGAATATCTCATTGATCTCCTCCAGCGTCCTATCTCGGGTTTCGGGTATGAAGAAGAACGTGAAGATGAACAGTATCGCATTGGATGCAAACCAAATATATCTGTAGCTTCAACGTTAGGGGGTATCCATGATAAGAGACAGGGGTATCACAACGAACCCGTATTTTGCGCTCCAGCCCAAGCTAGCCGGGTTGATGAAGTATGGCGCAGTGAAGACACCCAGCCAGTTTCCGAGGAAGTTGAGCGCGGTTGCTAAGCCGAAGGTGTGTGCTCGAAGATGGTTGCTGACATATTCGCCTCCCATGAGCCAGGCGTAGGGTGCTTCTGAAGTTAGCCAGAACCCAGTCATACCTAGTATGTATTAAATACAAATGGGGGTAGGGCATTGCTCTTCCATCTTACCATAAGCGACGTAGAAGAAGGTGAACAACGATATGAACGCGATGACCACCTTTGCGGCTTCCACAGTCCCTGGCGCCACGGTCCATGAGATGGCAAACGCGAGCTGACATAGACCACATGCTCCGACACCAGAGAGGACGATAACCCGACGATCGATATAGCGAACGATGAACAGGCTAGCGAGGACGCCGATCAGACCCATACAGGTGACCATCGTGGAGTACGAGAAAGCCTCGCTGACTCCGGCCGTGGTGAGGAAGTAAGTAGTATAGATATTTATCCAGCTCGAGCCGTTGGCGCAGTGGAAGCAGATGATGGCGATGCAGAGAAGCGATCGGCGTCGGTTAGTGCCTCGCCACATCTCCACCCACATATTCTTCCCATTGTGCAGTTCCATCTGCTCCACCGTCGAAGTCCGGATCTCGTTGAACTCGGCCTGGAGCTCGCTCTCCTTGATGTGCCTGTGGCGGAGCCTTCGGAGCGCCGCTTCGGCTTCTGCACCCCTTCCCTGCGTCATAAGCCATCTGGGGCTCTCGGGGAAGAAGAAAAGGGCGACTCCTTGAATGGTTGGAGCGACGAAGAAAACGGCGAGCGGTATGCGGTAGGATTCCATCCCGGGCATGTTGTGCGTCCCGTAGTCTATGGCGGCCCCGATGATGGAGCCGATGGATAGCTGGCTCTGGTAAACGGCGAATGCGATGCCCCTGAGGTGAGCGGGTGCTGCCTCGTTGATGTACACCTGTGCAAATGTGAGGAACCATCCGACGGAGACTCCTGTCGCCTGTTAACTGTGCACATTACCTAATACTCGATTGTCAACTTACCAAGAACTAGGCGGGCAAAATAGAGCGCCCCCAAATTGGTCGTGCCGATCATAACAGCCGTCGCGAAACAGTTCAAGAGCGAGGCCATCCATAGCCCGTGCCGTCGACCGAACTTAGAGCTAAACGGGCCAACCGAGAGTGAGCCAACGAACGTTCCTATAGTCATCAAAGAGGAAATAAGCTGTTGAACAGTCGGATCTATAGCCCATTTCCCGGCCACGTCGTCATAGTAGCCGAATACTTTCAAGAAACCTGGCATGGCCATGAACCCGCCAACTAAGGCATAGTCAAGACCATACTGGAAGCTTGAGATGGTAACGATGAAACAGATCCCGAGACACTTGAGGTGGCTCCGGACGTCTAGCTGTAGCGGATTCGCCGATATGACGGCTCCCCCAGCCATGTTGGGCCAGCACTCTTCTCTAGAGTTTGTAATTGGTGATTGTTGGTTGGCCGGCTGGTGTTTCCTAAAGAATCATAGAAGATAGGTAACGACGAAAGAGGCATCTCTAAGGAAGAATTTATTTCCCCAGAATACACTACTTCTCATGCATATCCCATGTTAAATTGTTCAGCTGAGAGCGGAATACAATATCCAAGATGTAGGGGTCCCCGCGTCTGAACCGGAATAGCTACCTAGTACCCTAGAGTAGGGATTTGGCCATCCCCCATTCTCCACTTCCCCAGATGCCAGAGAGTTGGGATATCATGGGTGCATGACTCCAGAAGCTTGGTGGCATACTAGGCAGCATTCCCCGTTTGCGCTTGTGGCAAGTTGGAGACCGTTTCTCTTTCTCCGAAATTCATCGACCGGCAATTCTCAATATCGTCCATAGGTATCTAGGTGCATATTCAAAGCCAGGCATGATAACCCGAGAGCAACAGTTGGAGAACTTTCCTTGATTCATTGGACGGCAGTTCCTTCGATGGTGATAAGTTTACCCGGAACTACAGCACGGCTCTTTCTCCGCAGACGATGATATAGATAAATAAATGACTGCATTGTATACGGTCGACAACCGAGTTCATGCGGAGATTGATAAAAACCTGGCTTTTCTTGTCAAATCAACCCTCACCTCCTGTAGCAACGGATCATACATCAGATATATATAACGATTTAAGGCTATAACGTCTGTCCATCTTGCATATTACAACAATGGTGTCCGTACCCACGGCAAAGCTCAGGCGCGAGCCCCTAAAGAAGGGAAACTCCATCGACCACCTCGCCTACGTCGACGTCACTCCCATCATCGGCCGCGAGTACCCGCACGCTAAACTCAAGGATATGCTCCAAGCCCCCAACGCAGAGGAGCAGTTGCGCGATCTTGCGATAACCATCTGCGAGCGCGGCGTGGCCTTCTTCCGCGAGCCGCAAGATGACCTCACCATCGAGGAACAGAAGTACATCACTGATATGTTGGGGAAGCTGACCGGGCGGCCGGCGGAGAACGGCCTTCATGTGCACCCGTTGTATAACGACCCCAACAACATCCCCATGGCGGATGGGACGACGGATGAAAACATGCAAGTTTTAAAAAATCTGGATAAGACTCATTTGGCGCCGTAAGCCATTCATAAGAAAGAAGAGTTGCTAACCATATCCAAAGCTACGTGATCAACGCGGAGGCCGCCAAGAAGCTATACGCAACGATGAAGAACCGCCCCGGCGCAAACAACGAGCCCCGAGACTTGGCCCGGGAATGGCACAGCGACAGTATGCACACGAGTGAAAACAACTTGATCTCCTTGGCCGTAATAGACTAACCACGCTTTTTTTTCTTCTTCCCCACAGGCCTCTTCGAAACCTGCCCCTCCGACTTCTCCTTCCTACGCATGGAATCCACGCCCCCCACGGGCGGCGACACCCTCTGGGCCTCGGGCTACGAGCTCTACGACCGGCTCTCGCCCGCCTTCCAAGCGCTCCTCGAGGGCCTGACCGCGACCTGCGCACAGCCGGTGTTCCGGTCGGCGTGCGAGGCGGGCGGGTACCCCGTGATGACGCCGCGCGGGTCGCCGCTGAACGCCGGGTACGCGTTTGCGCCGTCGCACCCGGTGGTCCGCACGCACCCGGTGACGGGGTGGAAGTCCGTGTTCGCGGGCGTGGGCCTGCACGTGAGCAGGATCGATGGCGTGCACGCGTACGAGGATCACATGATTCGCGAGTATGTGATGCGGCTTATCACGAGGAACCATGATTGTGTTGCGCGGATGCACTGGACGAGGGGCGCGTGTGCGGTCTGGAGTAATGTGTGCACGCTGCATGCTGCTACTGTGAGTGTTTCTCTCCCCCCTTTTTTTTTTGGCACGGCCTCTGAGAAATGATTTTTTGTTTTGCGTCTGCTTCTCTTCTTCACCACGTTCTAACTCGGGTGGTAACAGCCCGATACACATCTCGTCGAGGGCAACAGGACCGGTGTCCGCGCTTCGGGTATAGGGGAGGTGCCGTATCTAGACCCTGCAAGCACAGGGAGACGGGAGGGGCTGGGTCTGCCCCGATACTAGGGATTCTCTGTACCTATCTACCACTCGGGACTACTGACACGAAGTGCATATGAAGATGGTATTTACGTAAAGGTTTCCGGGAAATGCATCCAAGAGCTATAGTGGAACCAGACTAGGATACCCCAAATCTCAGATCGCGTGAACTGGGGCGATGATCATCTGCATGAGAAATACCTGTAGTTTAGTTGGCAATTGTTGCAGGTGCCTCAGGCACCATTAGGCTCCACTAGAGCCATATGGCCCTTATGGCCATATGTTGGCACTCCGCCATTGCAGTTAGGAATAAAGCAAGCTTTCTTCCTTTCCTCTTCTTCTTGGTTGCAGCAATAGCTGCAACAGTAATCCATGGACATGATTCGTTGCGTTAACATCTGGAAAGGTGATTCCCAAGGCTACTTGCCACTAATACAACTCATTCTATCCCACGCTTTTAAGCGAGGCCTTGAATAACGTACCTAACATGGCATTCCCAACTTCCCCTATCCAGGAGACAACACTCCAGAATCCATACGCATGGGGATTGTACTTATAATGTTCTGGCTATCATTAGATTTCACTAGGTAGGTAGTTAATCTGTCTGCTTCTAAAATTCCTACATAAATTTCATGTTTCTCGTGTACATGCTCCATTAACAACTAGGTATCATTGAAATTCCAATCCTTCAATGCTGAGTTCCCGTCACGACTCCCACTTGATGACACGTCGAATTGCTCAAGCTCCAAAAGACCATCATTGCAAAAAAAAAAAAAAAAAAGTTGCACAACACCGAGAAAGCCGCCACATAAAGAAGCATCATACCCGAACCTTGCCTAGCAGGAACTCTTCCTCCACTCATTTTCAAACCACTTCGCAATGCCCTCCTGCATCCACCGCTCGAGATCCGATCTCGGCGCGATGGCATACTCCAAGATAGGGAGTTGGCCACAATACTCACAACAAGGCCGTGCTTTCCCTCGGGGGTTGAACTTGGCGCTTCTGAGCCAGCTCCTGATGGTGTCTTGGTATGGTGCGAAATCATAGTCGCCGTTCGACTCCGTGGCCCGCAAGGCGCCGCGAGCCATGAAACGCTCTGCCGTGCTGGGGCTGAGAGAGCGGTGGCCTTCGACGAAGGTACAGCCTGCTTTTGAGGTAGCTGAGTACTTGACCTGCGGCTTCACGAAGTGCTCTGGATAGCCGCCGTGGGAAGATATCGTCGCGTACACACTATCTTTTGGGTCGGTGCTGCGGCCTCGATGTTCTTTGATCGTAAGGTCGCCTTGGACAACTAGGTGAGTGTTAAGACTGTGATGACTGTGCGGTTCTAGACGGTCGGGCGCATGGGTCGACCCGTGTGTGCCAGCTTGAGTGGTAGGGCCGATCGAGTTGGTGTTGACCCAACGCCAACCATCTTTGCGGAGCTTTTTCTCGTGCCATCCGCTGGGTTTACCGTTAACGTATTGGAAGTCCATTGTACTGTAGGTAGTCGTTATGAAAGTTCGTGAGAATTGGTGAGGGTGGATGATCTTGTTGATACTTATTTGGATAGGTATGGTTGGTTGGATGGTGTCTTGCGATTCTGGCTTTCTTCCCTCCTGCTTACAGACTCGTACCTACCTAGATATATATACCAGACCCCGAGTATCCAGTCCAAGAGATACATCTAACTCGACCGAGAAAGTTCCGTTCGATCAACCCATACCACACATTGTTCGAGAAAGCTACGAGCCAGACTCGAAGGCTCTTTGATGCTATCCCGTATACCAACCCAGTATGAAATTGAATTAGACATAGACCAGACGGTCCTAGTCGAAACTTGCATACTGCACTGATCATCTTCCAAGATTCAAGCCCACCGCTCTACAATAGCATTGGTGGAAATTCTGAGACATCGGGTGACTCGCCTCTACCAACACCTTCCATTGCTTGCGAACAAAAGCTTTGAGGAATTGTATGAGACAATTCATTGATGATCTCCCAGCTAGATGGGAAAGAAACTATCCGAACCTCGCCTGAGTCCAGTACTAGACATCTGCCCTTATTGTATCATCATCGTGGATGGGGATGCTATAAGTCATGGTATCCATGACAGGAAGAAGATAATGGCCCACTAGGAAAACTTGAAAGATTGATACTTTATTTGCGTTAGGATATGTGGTGGGTGACCACTACCTGTAGCTGGTGATAGCTGTGACACACCTAGTTGAATCCCTTTCGAGTTTTCTTACTTGAGTAGGTGGAACTCGAAAGGGTCATGAGAACAATAGTATTATGATTATTCAACTAAACCGTGAATGCCTGTCAATATAGATTGGAGATACCCTTACCAAACAAAGGAGAAAATAGAAAAGATGCGCTGATTAAGAATATTTTGGACAGAAAACTACCCCCCTCCCCCCTTTTCCACCTCACTCCACCACCCTTACCCAAAAGCCTCAAACCGCTCAACCTCCGCCTCATCTCGCGCCACATGCCTGACCGTCCAGCTCCACAAATCATCCTGCTTCTTCTCATCGTAACTACCCTCGCTCGACATAATCTCCTTGCGTCCCTCGAAGTACTTCCCCCCTCCCCCCTCCTCCATAGTAGCCAACCAAGCAAGCGACGCCCCCGACTCCCCCGGCGTGTGTATGTTCTCCGTGTACACGCACTTCAGCACCGGCACCACGCGCGGCAGCACCTTCCACCACAAGAAATTCATCAGGGGGGGGTACTCGCGCGCGAGCCCCGTGCCGGGCATAAGACCCGGATCGAACGCCGCAACCACCACCCCGCGGTCGGGAACGCTTTGCCCAAGCCGCCTGTGCGCCGCGTACGTCCACAGTATGTTCGCGAGCTTGCTGTTGGCGTAGTGGCGGCGGCCATCCCCGTTCGCTATGGATGGGGGCGGGTGCGCGAGATCCTCGGCGGAGGTGTACAGGGCGTCCGGGAGGCCGCTTTTCATGGCGGGGTCGTGGGTCCCGCTGGAGGTTAGGACGACGCGGGCGTGGGGGGCGAGGTGGGGGCAGAGGAGGTGGAAGAGGAGGGCGTGGCCGATGTGGTTGATGGCGAAGGTGGATTCGATGCCCTCGGGTGTCGTGGTGAGCTTGCCCGGGAACTGGAGGCCGGCGTTTAGGAGGAGGGCTTGGATGGGGGGGTGGTTCTTGGATGTCCAGTTTTTCGAAAATGTGCGGACGCTGTTAGGGTCTGCGAGGTCTATGGGTAGGAAGATGGTGTTGTTTTGCTTTAGGAGCTGGTTGATTTTGCTGGCGGCGTGTTCACGATTGCTTCGGGATGAGATGACGATTAGCCAGTCTGGGTGTTGGCGAGCAATCTCGGTCGCTGCGTGAAAACCTAGGTTGATGGTGCCGCCGGTGACGATGGCAGAACGGGTGTAAGACATTTTGGAGGAATTGGCCAAGACAAGAAAATAGAGTAAGCCAAGTACCTGAGCTGAGTATCTACGTTGGTAAGTGGTACTATGATCTAATAGAAGTCAGCGGGGGTATATTGAGAAGTTAATGAACGCAATATATATTATTTCATTTCATTGAATTCAACATATCTCGAAGCATATTATAATACGTACGTATCATCACCATCCGCGTACGGTAAACCTCGCTATGCCGGCCGGGCTCCGCGGGCAGCCAAGTCCCGGAGTTTGCGAGACCCACTCATTTCGCACCCATCTGGCGGGCGAATCCGGAAATCCGTCTCTCCTATTCCCGACTATAATTCCTCTGCTGTGCCACATCGTCCTCTATTAATCAGTTTCCACCGATTACTCAATTGCTGCGCATCCGGAGCGTGCGGGGCCCGGTAAGACGACCCTCTTCTTCTATTATGTCCAGCGCTTCTTTGCAGACATTGTCGGCCATGTTGTTCTTTTCTCTCGGGATTTGGCGGTAGGAAGTGTAGTGGCCCATCATCTGGCACCGACGATCGAGCTCAGCAGCGGCCTGGATAAGGTCCATATTCGCCACATCCTTATTCTTCGCGGTCTTCCACCCATTGAGCGACCACCTCTCAAGCCACTCCGTCATGCACCCGACCGCGTAGGCGGAGTCGGAGTGGATGTGGATATTCAGAGATACCTTTTTTTTGCCCTTGTACTTGTCCAGGGCCGTCTCCAGAGCAAGAAAGATGGCTAGAAGCTCGGCTCTTTGGTTTGTGGCTGGGAAGTCTGTGTTTGACAATTCTTCTCGCTTGACTTCGTAGCGGTTCTTGGTGACTCTGAGACATGAGGCAGAAGCTCCAATCGCATTGGATATGCCGCTGCTGCGACATCCGCCGTCAACCCAGAACTCCATAAGGCGACTACCTACACGACGGATGTGCGACATCATGCGTTGAATAGTATGGTTCCAATTAGATGGGGGTTATGGCCTGGGAAAAGGTTGATTAGGACTGCCCTGACTAGGTGTCCGCCTAGATAGTTAAGCTAGCAGATGCTGCTAACCTAGGTAGTTCTGGGGATATCAGGAACGACTGATGTTGAGGTGATCCTGGTGAAGAATGGAATCTGAGAAGTTGAAGACTGGCCGGGACTTTGAGGGAGTATGTACTATGTACCAAGTGTGCCCCTTTCAAATCTTGTCTTGATGTAATTGTAATAGGAAGTTGTACACTGCAGACCTTGAGCGTTCCTACTACATATGTAGATTTGATACTATAGTAAGTTTTACCATAGAGTAAGTTTTATTGGCTCTTTTTTAATTTTTTTCAACGTTCTTGAAGGGGATTTATTTAAACAATTTGATTGGCTGGTTTCATGAGTAATAGAGACTAATTACACAAGTAACCGTGTTTGCTACCCGCCTGTTACTAGAGGGGCAAAGTTCAACGTGCAAGTTGTTACTGCAGACAAGTACCTAGGTTACATGTATCTCAAGACTCAACCTTGGAAACATTCTTCATTGTTCTTGTTTGTAATTTTGCTAAGGAGTAAGATCTATTTACTTGGTGTATTTCAATTTCAAGTCATTTATCAATTTCACCAATCTTCTAACTGGTTGCATTGCATCTTACTGGCATAGGTATTGCGTCATTTGTTAGGAGACAAATTTTGTACAAGTTCAACTTTGGTATCACGCACTAACTGATAAAAATGTGCATTATCCATTATCGATAATCATAAAAAACCACCAACACAGATGCTTCAAGTGTCTATCTTTTACGTCTTTTTTACCGCTTCAATACCCGACATCATCTCCTATATCGGCCTATGTAATAATCTCACCTCGAATATTTATAACCTATGATATAACATACAACAACATATACCCCAAAATATATCAGTAAACAAATCATATATATACTTTTACCTAGGTGAACAATTAGTCCAAAGCTGCAACCCTATCAACAACACCTCTTCAATTAACTTTAACCCCACCTACCCACCTACCACGCGAGGGGCATCGCATCACATCGCAGACAATGGGTGACGCAGCCCAAGACCTCGACACCAAAGGCGGCGCCCTCGACACCGCGAAGGACCTTCTCGCCGGCGCCGCGGGCGGCGTCGCACAAGTCCTCATCGGCCAACCCTTCGACATCGTCAAAGTGCGCCTGCAGACCAGTTCCGCCTACAGCTCCGCCCTCAACGCCGCCACCTCCATCTACGCCAAAGAGGGCCCGCTCGCCTTCTACAAGGGCACGCTGACGCCGCTCATCGGCATCGGCGCGTGCGTCTCCATCCAGTTCGGCGCCTTCGGCTACGCGCGGCGGTACTTCGAGGCCGCCAACCAGGCCAACGCAGGATCTTCCTCCTCCTCGCTAGCCAAGGACTTGAGCTACGGCCAGTACTTCGCCGCCGGCGCCTTCGCCGGCGTCGCCAACTCCGTCATCTCCGGCCCCATCGAGCACGTGCGCATCCGGCTGCAGACCCAGCCCCACGGCGCCGGACGCCTGTACTCCGGGCCCCTCGACTGCGTGCGCCAGCTAACCACGCGCGGCGGCGGCGTGTTCCGGGGCCTGTACCGCGGGGAAGCGGTGACGATCTGGCGCGAGGCCTTCGCGTACGGGACGTGGTTCCTCGCGTTCGAGTACCTGATGAACGCGGACGCCGCGCGCAACAAGATACGGCGACAGGACGTGCCGAGCTACAAGGTGGCGCTGTACGGGGGCTTGGCGGGCGAGGCGCTGTGGCTGGCGAGCTACCCGTTCGACGTCGTCAAGAGCAAGATGCAGACGGATGGGCTCAGCGGCAAGGACGTGCGGTACAAGACGATGCGCGACTGCTTCGCGCAGACGTGGAGGGCCGAGGGCGCGAGGGGGTTCTGGAAGGGGATTGCGCCGACGCTGTTGAGGGCTATGCCGGTTAGTGCGGGTACGTTTGCTGTTGTGGAGGCTACGATGCGGGCTCTTTCGTAAGAGGAAGAGAGATGGGGAGGAAAGGAAGAAAAGAAGGAAGAAAATAAATATTCGTATCGAACCGTAATTGAGGGACCGGAAGAGCTTGGACTACGCGGGCTGGATCATGTAGAGGCAGGCGTTGGAGGTTCATTCAACTACAGATGAGGAAATGCATGGGATAGATTCTACTGAGAGCAATTCAACATATTAGAGGTGGCCCGGCAAGGGGGCAAAAAATTGCCATATATTCAAGGACTTTATGACTGCCATGATGGAATTTGTTATTCGCTATTCTCCACCCGTCTCTGCAAAATCTTTCTGGCATTGGCCGGGGTAAGAGATCCCAAGCCCAGCTCGGCCAGCAGCTTCTTAGCTTCGGTGTTATCCGTGAATATACGATCGCTGGCTTGCTGGAGGGATATTTCTTCACCACTTGCTTCCAGGGGAAGATTCAATAACATGGCACCATCTAGCAATGCACCTAATGCGGCTGACCCGTCTAGGATGTGCTGGTCGATGACCGAAGTGATGGTCTCTAGATCCCTCATAAATTGAGCAGCGCCGAGCGTTGTAAAACTCTGAGCCATGAGAATGCTCGACCAGAGGATATCTTGTAGTTTATCCAGTGCTTCTCGCCATACTCGACGATAGACAGCCGTGCTCAGGGTAGTGGCGAGGAAATTGAGGTTTCGCTTCAGTATCTATAACGGTATTAGCAAGAGTTCGAGGACATAGGGGTTTTTAGCAAGTACTGTTAAGGGTTCGTCTAGCTCAGGGGTAATAGAAAGCTGGGACGTGTCGGCTAAACAGGGTTAGCAAGGCGATATAGAACTTATTAGAACACCAAGTTTACCATGGGTATTATCGCTGATGGTAGACCATTGGGTCTTGGCCACGTAAGGGCGGAATGCCTTCTGGTGAGAGTCAATTAACGCCGCAACCAGATATTCCTCGGCATTTTTGCGACGATGGGTGTAGGCAGCTATGGTCTCGTCAAATAAGATGCCACCATCGCCATCGGAACCGACCACTGCGGAGGTTCTATCTTTCACATTTTCGTAACTCATTCCACTGGCAATATCGCCCTCACCATCCGCTCGCTTTGCCCTTGTCTGAAGCTGCTCCCACAATGTTACGAAGAACTTCCCGGTTGTTAGCGGATCAACATGCGACGTAATTTCTATGCATGTTGAGCCTTACCTCTTCGTTGCTCCAGTCTTTCAATGTAGCGATGATATGGTCAGAGCTCCCCAAAACTTTACAGAGCGTTTCGAACGCACCGGTGCCTTCCAGGGCAGCCGCTTGTTCCCTCGTGACTCCATGGAGAGTGCGGCCTAAGGTGGAGTTGATCGTGTAGTAAGTGTCGAGTGAGTCCTTAAATCGATCGTGGTAGTCGTCTAGAATATCCAGTTGGATGTCGATAAGAAATCGCAATCTATGGGAAAATCTACGAACTCGCTGGTATTGGATGGTAACAGACTTCAATAAGTCGGTCACCCTCACAGCGCCGAATGTAGGCTTCATCTTGCCATGGCCACTATAGTCATAGTCAATATTTCGCGCATCGGGAGAGTTCATAATGACATGATAGCGCTCAAGAGCAAATTCTTTCTCTGCCTTGAACCAATCCTCAAAATGTTTCTCCAACACCTCTGACATTAAGCCGGCCCAGCCTTCTTCAGGGTCACCCCCATCATAATTGAATCTAGAGCGGATCTCATCATCCAAATCCATGAGCTGCACCATAAGACTACTCAAGAATTGTGGGTTCTGGAGCCCATGTTGAACCATAGCATCGATTTTCTCTCGCATGACAGGCAGTAACGCGGTGATCAGAGCGCAAGCGGGATCCATGTAGACTGACAAGTCTCTAACTTTCGTCTCGTAAAACCGTGATGCCATGATGTAGCCCACATTCTCTCGAAAGAAGCTTTCCCACTTGTCAATCAGCGACAGGAATTGCGGTATGCAGAAAGTTCCAAAGGCCTGGGGAGTGCTGGTCGCGTTGTTGCCCATGAACTGGAAACGAAACCACTGGACAAATGGCTTTACCATGGCTTCGAAGGGCAGTAGCGCAACAACTTTCTCAGAGTACAGCACCTCGGGAACCTGCAGATCGATGAGCTTTTCGAAGCACTGCAGCCATTCGGCATCCATCTCGGCGTTCGGATCTACCCCCTGCGGCCAATTGCGATTCTTCAGAACCTGTTCCAGCTCTTTAGACATGGTACTCTTCATCTCATCCCACAGATCCTCCGTGACCTTTTCTGTATAATTCACCAAATGTATGGCGGCCCCGTCAGCCGCTCCTTGTAGCTCTCTCAATCGCACGCTGAGCTGCTTAAGTGTTGAATAGGGCTGTAATGCAGCTTTGGGACTCTGTGGCAGATAGGAGCGGGCCTCCAGCCGCAAGGTTTCAATATCTTGCAGTAGCGTAACATATTGGTAGGCAAGGTCGACCTTGTGAAGCTGCTTCATAGGCTGTTCGAGACGTCGGATGGCTTCTTCGGGTGCGTTGGACTCGGCGACGATTTTTAAGCGTACATCGATGCTCTCCTGAAGCTTCTGGAACTCCTCTATTGACCGAGCAACTCCTCCTTGGCGATCCCGAGCCGCCTGGCGTACATCTTGTAGCTCTTTAGTAGCATGGTCGAGTTGGGCTTGGAGCTGAGTACGTTGAAGTTCAACGCTCGCGATTAAGCTATCGAGACCCTCGAGGTCGGTAGGGGACTGTAGCTTATCGTCGAGATAATCCTCCAGACGGATATCCGGTTCCATGGAGTGAAAGTGCGCCGGTGCTTTTACAGCCATGGTTATTGTCGGTCTATATCATGACAGGTGTGAGGAAGGGATGCGGTTTATGTGGTTGTACATGTAATTGTACATGTAATTATTCGTCAAAATGACATATTGCTAAAACGACCACGATCCACATTTTAAGCTACAGTTTACTAGGTAATGCAAACCATTGGGCTTGACATCACGTGATCTGGATAAAGCACAATAAATAAGCTTCCAAGTCAGCACCCTTTTTAATAAGCTACACAATGTACACATGCACCCTGTAAGTGTAAGATCTCAGGTTCAATGTTTCTTTTTCAATAAAGGTAGATTCGACTCTTTTCTAAATGATATCATGATTCAGGAATGTCTCTAGCCGCAGAGCCAGTGAACTTTGGTTCCACTATCTCCAACGTCGATCGATTATCATATGAACCGGCTAAGCCCTATGTGAGATGACGACACACATATTCGTGGTTCAGTGAACTCAAACGCAAGATCAATTCTTCGGGAGCCAATGAGAAGCAAGTTGGTTATCTTGGATAGTGAGGGTTTATTGCCTGGAATGTGACAAAGAAGATCATGCCACTGAGGATATCAATGCCACCCCATCTCATGTCTCGCAGATAACCTTTTACATTATACCACTCGGAACGGAGCCAAGGCTCGATATCTATGTCTCAATGTAGACCCATCTTCTACACTCAGGAGTACCTTCACTCTGTGATCACTCAACTTGGTCCACGAGCAAGCCTAAAATCTATATCAAAATGCCTTTGGTAATGGTCAAGGAAGACCGTCGAAGGTCATTTGGAATTGGGGGAGCCGGCAATATCCGTAGGTGTCCTGCTTCTTCCAGTAGGTGTCTGGCAAGCTTCTAGCTAACCATGATATGAAATTAGGAACAAGAGAAGAAGCTATCGTACCCGACCCAATACCAGGTGATGACAATCTCAAACGCCGCAGGAGCAGTCTTATGAGCTTAGGTTCAACCTCGGGCGAAAGCGGAGAGTCCAAATCATCCAAGCTCTCTGGACGCCTAAGACGCATGTTCAGTTCCCGTACGGAATCGATACCTGAAGGCACCAAGTAAAAGAACACCAGTGGTAGGTTATATCGATTGTTTCCACTCACTTAGTTTCACTGTTTGAAATAGCCCATCTAACAGAGGAAAAATATGAATCCTTTCCAGTATACCAAGCTACTCATCGATTACATAAAGCAGATGTTTACATAACGTATCGAAAATAGGGATTTTGTTTATCGGTAAGATCCTGAAAGGCAAGCTTAGCTCTCTCAGCTTCGTCTTCCACCACCGACAATTCCTTCTTTCGGTTCTCGTATCGCAAAACCATGAAGAGACCCACCGAGGCGATAATAGTGATACAGTAACTAGATAACGACAACAAATTAGTTTGGGACAAGAGACGAGTTACTCTGGAGGTTATAAACGAACCATATAATGAGCCCAAGCCAGAGTTCTGGGTAATGGGCGGCTTTGGTTTGGCTCTTGATCAACTGGGGGCCAACGATGTTTCCTAGCATATATCGCGTTAGTAACAAGATGGGCTACATGCCCCAACAAGATTGGAATTTGAAGATTCTTACCAACACAATAGGCGACGAATATAGTCGCCGAGGTAAAGCTCTTCTTCGTGTGTCCAGCGACGTTAGACATGCCAATGGTAATGATCAAACTAACCACCCCGCCAAATGTCCCCGTGATTGTGTAGCCGATCACTGGCGCTGCAGCGTGGAACGTCCACTGGCTCTTCCAGATGATGGCGCATCCTGCGATAACAGGCAGACAGCAGATAATTAACATCAGGATGCGAATATCCGGGTAGCGTGACCCAAGCCAGCCAGTGAGTAGGATAACGATTAAGCATAGACCCCCTAGTGGGAACTGGAAGACGATGGACTCCAGGGTGCTCCAACCAAACGTCGACACGATCAAGGGGCCAAATCCAGACACAGCACCGTTGACGGTGTAAGCAGACGCCATCATGATAGCAATCAGCCATATCTTAACGTCCAGCACCCCCTCCCTCAGCTGCGACACCTTGAACGTATTACACCGCACGCCAGTCTGCCCATAGCGCAGCCGCTCGACCGCCGCAAACCGTTCTGGCTCCGTCAAGAACCACGCCGTAACCGGCGAGCTGGGCATTGCGAAGCAGAACAAGCCAAACATAAAAGTAAGGCACCCAGCGAGGAGGTAAATATACTGCCAGCGCCTCAGCCCGCCCCCCGTAATCTGCGCAAACCCGTAGTTCAGCGCGCCGCCGATAATCGTCCACAGCCCCGTGGACGAGAACCACCAACTCTGGCGCAGCGACTGCTCCTGCTGCGTGTAGTACCCGCTGACGATGCACATGAAGCCCGTCGGGATGACGCTCTCGACGAAGCCGAGGCAGAAGCGCTGCGCGTAGAGCCCCTGGTACGAGGTCACGGCCGCGGTCAGCATGCACGTCAGTGACCACAGCACAACGATGATGCCGAGCACGCGCCCCGTCGCGAAGCGCTGCAAGGCGTACGACATCGGGTACAGGCCGGCCAGCATCCCGAAGTAGAAGATCGAGGTCGCCCAGCTGAGCCGAGAGGTGTCGACGGCGGAGGGGTTCCGCGGGTCCGGGACGCTGAGGTGGAGATCGGCGGTCATTCCGAATAGAGCTGCGGAGCCTAAGATTGCCTGGAGGTAGATGTGAGTATAAGTCCCGAGTTGCCATAGTTAGGGGTGGTGTAATTCACCTTATCATAATACACGAGTCCATCTTATCAGTGTTAGTCGTGATACTCTAAGGTTTGTTAAAAGAGTAAGGGAGGACAAATCAAAATAAACTTACAACCGACAGTCATGGCAGGAATCAAGAACCAATCGATTTTTCGGACGGCGCGACGGACAACATCGGGGTCTACGGCGTGGCGCTCTTCTCCCACCATCGCAATAGCAACATCTTTGTCGCCAACTATATCTGCAGCGGGTGGTTGCGACGCCGCAACGGTGTTGGGCTCTTGAGGATGTATTCCCTTCTCCATGATACCATATTATACATATACCTACCCAGATATATAGATGTAAATAGTTGGATGAGGTAATAAAATTTACTAGTCTTATAATCTCGTCTCTATCCGACTTATTAGAGGCCGTTTCGGTGCTATGTATTGTACGGCCTAGTATGGACGGTAGTCAAAAGGCCAAGACACTATAACGGCCCCCATACCGATTTGCATAGGGCCGTTCTAAGCCCTGCTTAGGTGCTTTGGGCTGCTAGATCAATAGGTAGCCCGCGAGCCTAAAACGAAACAGCATATTGTACATAGTTACAATCTGTCGTTAAGATCTTCACGAATGGATAACACATGTAAAAAGGCAACATTATGTACTAGGTAAACATTACGAGAAAGCAGTTGTATAGGTGCCTAGGTATGAAAGGGCGTGTATTCCAGAACTCATTACGTACCTAGTACTGAGTACAATAGCACTGTCCTTGATGTCAGTGGCCACCACGAAACACTGCCCAGAGAGCTCAGTGAAGATCGCACCAATGATAAGAGCCTTAGGCCCCCTCATTAATAGAGGCAACCTGATATGGCAGCAATAATTTACCCCTCGTGTGCTTGGAGCATCTTCTTTGCCAAATACCTACCTAATAACTAAACTCTACTCTTCCAATCTTTACCAACCTCCCAACATGGAAGACGAGAAAACAAAATTACTAGATAAAGAAGAGCTTCACGCCAAGCCCCGGTGGCAGCGTCGTGGAAATCGACGATGGAGCATCGTTTTGATCCTAGGGCTAGCGTTAGCAGCAATCCTACTATCACAAGTAACGGACATCATCTCGATACCCTCCTCCCTGAGCCACCACCGGAAAAAGTTCAACTTGTATGAGCACCTAGGCCACCGCTCCCCCATCTTCGTCCCCCCCAACACGCCCGCATCACTCCACTCAGGCACACCACCAGACTGCACCGTCTCCAAAGCCTTCCTCATCCACCGCCACGGCAGCCGGCACCCGCACGCCTCCGAGCTCGCCGTCGTCGACCACCTATCCTCCTACATCGCCACGCACCGCACCCTGTTCTCGCACCCGCGCGCCCATCCCCCGCACTCCTGGGCCTTCCTCGCGCAGGGCAGCTGGGACGGCTCCTTCTTCCACACGGACCACCTGACCGCCTCGGGGCGCAAGCAGCTGTTCGACCACGGCGTCGCGCTGCGCCTGCACCACCCATCGCTGTACACCGACAGCCACGTGGTGGCCGGCGACGAGGACCGCGTGGTCGAGTCCGCGCGCTGGTTCATGGACGGGTACTACGGGCGCGCGTCGAACGCGACGGCGTCGCTGCGCGTCGTCGGCGAGGGCGCCGACACCGTCAGCTGGATCACGCCGCACGCGTCGTGCCCGCGGTGGAGCGAGCGGCTCGGCGAGGACGTGCTGCCGCGCTGGCGCGAGGTCTATCTGCCGCCCATCGCGGCGCGCATTAACCGTGCGCTTGGCAAGGCGTACCCGGGGGTTGGGTTTACGGCCGAGCACGTGCAGGGCATGTTCTACGCGTGCGCGTACGGGACGGCGGTGCAGGGGATCGGGTCGTCGCCGTGGTGCGAGGTGTTCCTGCCGAGGGAGATCCTGGAGAACGAGTACGAGTCCGACCTGCTCATGCGCGGGTTCGCCGGGTACGGGCTACCGGGCGACATGGGCGCTGTGCTGGGGAGTCTGCTGGTCGGCAATGTGACGGCCTTTCTGCAGAGCGGGGAAGCCCCGAATCTTTCGTTGGGCTTTGGCCACGACAAGACGATTGCGATGGGGTTGACGGCGCTGGGGCTTGCGTTTGATAAGGCTTACCCGGTTGAGGGACCGGTGGACCCGAAGAGGGCGTGGAGAGCGGCGAAACAGATGCCGTTTGCGGCGTCCATGTTCTGGAAGAGGTTGGAGTGCAAGCATAAGGACAGGATCCAGCTGGTATTGGACGGCGCGAATTTCGGGTTAGGGCCGACTGGTTGTAAGACCGATAAGTACGGGACGTGTGCGTTAGAGGATTTTGTCAGCACGGGTAAAGTGCAAGCGGCGCTCAACTTTAGGCATGGCGACGATCGGTGGAGAGAAGCCTGTTTGGTCTAAACGTCGGAGTTTATCACCTTTCCAATGGTATAACGTGGGTTTCCTAAGGGTATTGCCACTATCTACATGTAGTCTAGGTAGGAAAACTTTCAGGGGCTGTTGCATGATACTTGTTGGACACAGCCATGGGTTTCATTCGTTCATGGGGCATATCTACTACGTACCGACCGAGCCTCTGATGTACTTTGTAATGATAAGAGAATACGAACAGATTGAAAGTAAAAAGGGAAAACAAACAAGAGAGAATTACCGGAAAAAAACAAAAAAAAACATACAACACCGGGGATTCGCTGGTCGTCACCGACCCAACTACTGATCCGGCGGTACTTGGCTTATCTATGGGAGAGCGGACGGGATCCCGAGTTTTCCAAGTCCTATGGCCGTATGTACTAATTCCATAGGGTATTGTAGTTTATATACCTACCTTGGTTATGTACCTTAGGTTAGGCAGATGCGAATGCTTCCCGTACATATGTAGTTGGGCAGTCCCCCCTTTCCACTTATTTTCTTAGTCACATGTTAGTCACGTCCTCAACGACGAGCAATCCTGCTCTGCCGCGAAGGATTCCTTAGTCTCTGCCGTTCTCCCTCAAAGCTTGTTAAAAGCTTGTTTACATGCCGGCCTAGTAGGCGCATAAGAGACGATGAAGGGGGTGGTGTGATGTAAATTCGAGCAGTCGTCTTGTCCCCGATAGGTATAATATCGTGGAAGCCTAGCTCACCCTGCACGACGAAGCACATTGATTCGAACGCTTATTGGACACTAACTGGATATCTAAGATTGAATGCATCTAGGATGTACGCCATAATGCTTAATATAGCCTTAGTTGATTCTCAGCCCATGTCAGCCGCAGAAGTGTGCCCCACCACACCTAGCTGAGGGAGTGTGAGGTATCATGGCAGTAGGTACTGAAGTTGCCTATTTAGACTGTATATATTCCCGGCCGTCTTGGCTTTCCGTTCATTCGGCAAGTATGGGGATACGGATACTCTTTCTACTGTCGCCATGGCGTACCGTTCTTGGTTTTCGTATGGCATCAGCCGCCCATACCCCTTAAGATGGTTTACCCCAGTGGTCTGCGTAGGTGCTGTAATAGCGATTGCGCTCGTTTCGTTCATCAACGTAGCGGCCACGGGTTACGAACTCGTACCGACTTCGACCCCCGATCCAAATGGTACAGAGTCGAACAGCTTGTGGTTTTCTAAATGGCCGTCATACTTGGTGGGAGCTCAGGCTTCTTGCGATCCAACGACCATACCGATCCAAAACACCATTTACACCGACAAGAAGGCGTTCCCGTACACGCTAGGCAGGGTCTGGCAGACGGGAGGAGACGGTGTCCACACCTACCAGGGATCACTGATATACAAAAACAATCCCATCCAAAGCTGTAACATAACCAAAGTCCAGATTCAATTTGAAGGGCCAGATCGGACAGCTGGGCAACTTGAAATCATCACGGTGGGCGGAACTGTAACCACGACGACAGAGTGCTACATAGACGCCGGCTCGCCCAGCGGCCGCACGTACTTCCAGCTCATCGCAACATACGACGCCATCCCGCCGCCCAATCTCGGGTCTACCACGTTCCTCACCCTCAACAAAACGACCGAGCCTAGCATGTTCTGGGGCTACTCGATGCTGAACGTGTACTGGCGCACCGTGATGCAAGATTTCTTCAACGAGAACATGAAGCGAACCCCTCCCCCCTTTTTCAAGGGCACCCTGAGCCTGCACCGCAACACCACTCTCCCCGGCACCATCGAAGAGCAGGTCACCAGCCCCGAGTTCTTGTTCGTTCGGGCCTGCTATTTCATCCCGCTGAACTCCACCGGCGTCGCGTACCTGCAGAGCAGCTACTGCAACACAAGCTCGATCACCGAGCTAGCCGCGAGCACGCCGGCCTTCGAGCGGCCGCTCCCGGGAATATGGCGCTCCGTCGGGACGCTCGGCAAGTCGATGTGGTTCACCGTGCTTGCGGACCTCGGCCGCAACGACGCCTTGATGCCCAACATGCTCGCGCAGCCCGACCTCCTCGCGAACCTGACCGCCAACCTAACACAGGCGAACCTAACCCTATCCCATCACTTCCGCCAGTTCGACTTCGACAGCAACATCTTCCTGCAGTCTTTCGACCCCTCGCAGCCCCTCGCCGTCCCGCTGAAGGTGAACCAGTCCGTGCTGACGACCGACTACCTGTGCCAGGTGCCGCAGCTGAAGTCCGGGGGCAACCTGTTCGTGTCCGTGCTGGTGGCGGACCTCGCGATCCTGCAGGGGATCTGGGCGGCGTTCACGTTCCTGGTCGGCTGGTTCTGGGTCAAGAATGGGGAGGAGGCGGAGTCATGCGCGGTTTGCGCAGCTGCTGCCGAGAGGCCGAGGAGCGAGGAAACGATTAGGGGGGGTTACAAGTCGGTTGCGAAGAATGATTCGGAGATGGAAGTCTCGGAAAACCCGAGGTCTATTTCGCCTTGACGGCTGGATATGCCGGTAGGGCGGGGTTGCTGACGGGGTATAGAAATGATTGGTGTATTGCATCCGCTAAGATGGGTGGTAACTCTTGAAATAAACATTCGATGTAAGGATAATGGCCTAGCTACTGAGTAGCTAGGAGGGTGAGATACTGAAAAGCAACATGGGCGAATATACGATTGTAGTAAGACTACTTAGGTACTGACCTATATTCATCTCTATTCCAGTTCCGATCATCCTCGCAACGTCTATAACACGTGTAGGTATAACACAGTATGATAAGACACCTCTATGCCTATTAGCCTTACTGAGCTTTCACAGAAATAATCACTGGAGAGAGAAACCTAATACGTGTCTAGCAAAGCTTACTCTGTGCGGAGTAGTTCTTGCATAGGCATTCACCCAGATTTACCGAAGTCAGATGGGCAAGTAGACAGTCCTGAACACCGACCGCAGCGCCGAGGGTATCGGGCCGCCTATGGCCATAGTCTCTAAGGAGAAGTGACACTGCATCCTCGCCACGATGCGCAATACCGCCAGACTCGAGGGTGCTTAGCTGGTATAATAGGTAGGCACATGTGACACCAATTGTGAGTAGAAACAACTTGAGGAGATTAGAGAACCTCGCCGAGCTTGGGTCGCGTGCTAAGGTATTAAGGTGTTATTGACAGCGGTGATGGCATTGATAACGTGGAATTTGCAAAAAGAAAGCTAAACGATAGGGGTACGAAGAACCTGCATAAGGGTGTTATCCAATACTAGAACAGTCAGTGCTTGTAAACACATTGAGTTAGACATAATCGTCGACTACATATCCGGGAGCCCCTAGGTATGCATGTACGTATTAGCTTACTGACTAGGTAGACATGTAGTAAGTGCTTTTACGCACAATCAGACAAGATACTATATGGCCATGTCTTATCGTCGATATAGTCAATAGGCTACCCGTTAGGACCTTAAAGACCGACTTATGTACATACTAGTGTACCCGCCGAGAAAGTTCAATTCTTACCTAGTCTTGAAGCCGAATTTCTTACTCGCCTAGATGCAAGCGATATCAACGAATTCGCATACGAACAGCCGCGAATGAAGCTGACGAACCTAGCTCGGATAGAAGCGTCATGGAAGCTAAATGCGTGAGTTTGATTGACGGCCTGTCATCCGAACTTATTTGCGGGGAGAGGCAAGTCTAATGCCCACCTCGGCCACAACCGCTGAACGTTGCGTTGCCACGAACGGACAGACAAGGTTAGAGTTGACAGTTGACAATGACCGGCCCGGCAAGCTTGACGTTTCTGAACTCTAACCCTAATTCCAAAAGGGGGTCGGCTGGAGATGGAGAAGATAAAGAAGCGCAACTCGCACATTTCTAGACTTGGGCAACTTATTCGAACCCCATTCATTGGTGATCAATGTCAGTAATCAAACACAACATGGCGGGAAAAGTAACCCTCGCAAACGTGGATGACATCCCCGAGCTCGTCGAGATTTTCTGGGAAGCCTTCGCCGGGCCTGGGGAAATCGTGTTCCCGCAAACAGACGGCGGTCGCAAATGGCTCCAGAGGAGTTTTGAGAACTTCTTGGGACAAAAGTCTTACTACAAGCCTGAGTCAAAGGTGGCCATTGTCAGGAACCTAAACAGTCAGGATGAGTCCCAGGTCATTGTTTCCAGAACACGTTATTGATACAGAGCCATAGGTAGAGCGGTCGCGCTCGCTATCATTCACGTGGTGCGACCGGGCCAGAGCATTACCGGGAACTCCTGGAGGACGAGATGGGCAAAGGGCGATGACATCCCCGGGGTAAGCGAAGAGAAGCTCGCCGAGTTTTTCGAGCCCCTCGGCCGAGCTCACAACCTTGTCGTAGGAAAAGAGGGACATGTTTGTAAGTCAATTCTCAAGCCGATGATGTATTAGATTTGGTACCGACTTAAGCATCTCCAGTTATCGAGCTCGTTATGACGAAGTCGACTAGCCGAGGTAGAGGATACGCCTCAGCGCTCGTCGGCTGGGCCACGAACCTCGCGGACGAACTGGACATTCCAACCTATCTGGACGCCGGGATACGAGGTCTCGGGATCTGCGATCGGTGTGGATTCAAGGCCCAAGATATCGAAATGAAGTATGGTGGGCCACCTCCTTGTACACCGATGCTGCGGTCAAGAAAGCAGCAGTGACATATACAGGAGATAGGCGTTTTCGGGTTCGGCTTGGTTTAGAGTGGCTATTGTTTTTTTCTGGCCTGGAAAGTTATAAGGGGAGAATCTGGGAACGTTAGGAGAATTTTAAGTGTTCGGTCCGTTGATTTGACCAGTGCCAAGTCAAGCTCATCATTGTTCTTTTTAGGGGTTCATATGCACCCCACAAAGATCGCCGGGTTTAGACCTCAATCGATAAGGGGCTTGCCGATTGATGCGACATTTGATCGTGATAGTTTCCAATTGGTCATATACATATTTCCCTTCCATTTCTTCTATTTCGTGGCATGTTGGTACATGTGAGGAGTTTCTCTTAAGCGACGTGCTTGATTTTTTTGTTCATTTTTTAGGTGAACCTCGTGATAGTAAATGATGTTAATGAAGATAATAAGGCTTACGGGAGTCTAGACTCGCATTAATAGTGTATTATTCCACTGATGAGGGGCAAGCTGAGGTACCAGGTACCTAGCACCACATGCGCCTGCTATATTTGAAGCGGAACTGCGGGACGAGTGACACCGCTGAACTCTAATAATTATACAGACATGATGCATCCATGTAATAGCCCCTTGAATCCTTTTTGCTTGGCAGGTAGTATTTATGTAAGCACCTAGTTACCTAGGATATGTACAAGAATAGTTAACTTGAAGAAAAGCCTCCACCTATCAGCACTAAAATAAAACACGCGAATGCTACTTCCCACTTCACAACTTCAATGTTCTTCTTCATAACAGCTTCTATGTTCGTACTTGGAAGTCGCCAAGAGTAAGAAAGCCTCCTTAAATCCTTGTCATTTCCTTGGCTTTCCTCAACAGACCCAATCATGGAAGCTGCCAAGGATCACTATAGCCTAGACAGGCAACATCTATCTATCCGATCAGCGTGATTGCTGTAGTTATTTCTTGTCTGTCGGACTCTGTCCTGTACAGTTTGTACTTTGGACCCTGGACACTTTCCCAAGTTCCGTTTCTATTATTTCATATTTCATCCGTAGGACGAGACGATGCGGCACGGCACGGCACTTTCTATGGATGCTTGCTGGTAGTATTTGGTAGTAGTTCACTAATTCATATCTGTTCACTGATTCATTTATTTTACTTAATTTTTCCGACTGTCACGTCTTTTTTGGTTTTTGGTTTTTGGGTGATATCCAAGTTGCTTTGCTTGTTTGCCTTTTCTCTCCTTTCTTGATTTGTGTCTGCCTCCTCAAGCTAGGCAGTGAGTATTATTCCTTTTCTAGTTGAACTGCTTTGGCCCCGGTCGAGCGCAAGCTCGTGCTTGCTCTAACCCATATATAAAGTACATGGTTTTGTCGAAAATGGTTGGATTAAGTCTTGGTTGATAGTCGCTTGGCTGTTCTTGTTTGCTCTTGGGGACGAGGTGTCAGCTTGGAAATTGTCGCATCTTCTTGCCCCGCCTCCCAATCGCTCAGAGCTTCAGTCAATAAGCAGCGACTCCCAATATACATAAAAAACCAAGCGTGATTGCGGTAATAGCAATCATGCTGCGCCTACGAAGATATCGCTACTACGTCTTCTTCGCTGCCTTCGTCGTATTTCTCCTATATCGTGTCACCTCGAACAGCCATCAGTGGGAACCTCCTATTCCACACAAACCCGCACCGAAGCCACTCTCCGAGCAAGGCTATGTCCAGGACTACAAGCAGAAATCTCCTAGCCAGGATAAGGATAGTAGTAGATTCACAGGAGACAATGATCCATCCCAACAATTGCCAGTGATGGCGGGCAAAGAGCCTAGCGAGGTTAAGATTCCGAGCTTGAAACCCGCCATTGCCGAAGATGTCCCAGCCAAACTCGATCATGCTACCCCGACTACGACAACAAGTTCAGACGGTGAGACCAAGGTGCTTGAGTACGACCAAGACGATGCTGCTAAGACCGTCACCGCTGCGCTGATCGATATACCGGACAAGAACGTTAACCCAGGCGCAAAAGGCATTGGGAAAGGGGTCCATGAAAAGCCAGCCGTGCAAAAGCCCGAGACCGATACCACAACTGCAATCCATTGGACGAAGTTACCCGAGCACTTCCCTGTTCCCAGGGATAAAATCATCCCGCTCCCGACCGGGAAACCTGTCACCATACCAACAGTGCAGCACGCGTTCACCAAAGAGTCGCCCGAAGCCCAAGAGAAGCGCCTCGGTCGCCTTGCAAAAGTGAAGGCGGAGATGGTGCGCGGCTGGAAAGGGTACATGACTCATGCCAAAGGACACGATGAGCTACGTCCCGTTTCTATGAAATTTCGGGATCCTTTCTGCGGTTGGGCTGCGACCCTGGTCGACGCACTGGATACCTTATGGATCATGGGTATGAAGGATGAATTTGAAGAGGCACTTGTTGAAGTTGAAAAGATCGATTTCACGACCTCTTCCCGCTCAGAGATTCCTGTTTTCGAGACGACAATTCGGTATCTTGGCGGTCTAATAGCAGCTTACGACGTAAGTGGGGGTAAAACTGGCGGATACCACATACTCCTCGACAAGGCCCGCGAGCTTGCTGAAATTTTGATGGGTGTTTTCGACACACCAAACCGCATGCCAATTTTGTATTATAATTGGAAACCTGCCGTTGCAAAGCTTCCAAAGAGGGCTCAATCCGGGGTCAGCGTCGCCGAGCTAGGCTCTCTTTCCATGGAATTCACGCGGCTTGCACAAATAACGGGAGAAGATAAGTACTACGATGCCGTAGCACGTATTACCGACGCCTTTTACGAGTGGCAGGAGCGTGGAACCTCGATTCCTGGAATTTTCCCGGAGCATGTAGATGCAAGCGGCTGTAACAAAACTGTGGAGACTGTCGAGCCAGATGATGGGTCCGATGCAAATTTTACTAAGAGAAGCGAATCGAGCGAAACTAAGGCCGACGAGGACAAGTTCGAGGCTTTGGGTAGACGCGAGGTGGGAACACCCAATGATGACGGCACTAAAAAGGTCAAGATTATTCAAGATGGCGAAGAGATGTATGCACCATCAGAGACAACGGCGCCCCCTAAGCATAGCGCAGGCCAACGTGAGACGACGACGACGACGACGACGACAAAGGACAAGAGCAGCACTGCGTTAGATCCCGAGTCTAAGAAGTTGATGGAAGGTTGCACTCCCCAGGGACTCACTCCAGGTTCGTGGACGTGGAGAGAGCAATACAGCATGGGTGGAAGTCAAGATAGCACTTACGAGTATTTCCCTAAACAATGGCTGCTCCTCGGGGGGCTCGAACCTAAGTACAAGACTCTCCACGCCAAGGTCAGTGCAGCTGTCAAAAAATGGCTATTGTACCGTCCCATGGTTCCCGATGATCGGGATATCCTGTTCTCCTCCAAGATTGTCACGGAAGGCAACCCGGAAACTGATGCCGTAGTCGAGTGGGAAATAACCCATCTCACTTGCTTCATCGGTGGCATGTTTGGTATGGGCGGAAAGATCTTTGATGTACCCGAGGATGTTGAGATCGGGAAGAAACTTACTGACGGCTGCGTATGGGCATACGAAAACACCCCAAGCGGCATCATGCCCGAGGGTGGTACTGTGGTGCCCTGTGCCGAAGCTAATAACTGCCACTGGAACGAAACTCTGTACTATCAGTACTTAGACCCCCTATACGACAGCCACGATGAACAAATGGTGGAATATGAAAAGCAGATGAAAGAATACAAGACCAAAAAAGCACAGAAGGCTAAGATGAAGGGACATGACAACCTTGGCGCGGGAGCTAAGAAAACCACCGTTAAGATAGGGGTTGATCCGGTTTCTCGAGATGATGCCAATTCGGAGCTTCGGCAAGCGGTTACTGCTAGTAGGGATGGCAAAGAAAGCACTGGGATGCACAAGAGAGCTCCTCCAATGCTCAGTACTTCAGCCGACAGCGATACTGGTGGCCATACCATTACAGACGACGATCCTACTCAAATCCCTCTTCAAGAGGTAGAGGAAGAAACAGACGAGTTGCTGCAGGAACCGACGCGCCCAATGTCTCATGAGGAGTATGTCAAAGAACGCATCGAGTATGATAACCTCCCGCCTGGATTTGTCAGTGCCAACTTCCATGCGTATATCCTTCGGTAAGTGGGTTCCATATGACGGTCGGAACAAAGCATATCCCTAAGCTATGCGATCTGAAGCCAAACTAACATGTCCACCTCGTAGGCCCGAAGCTATTGAATCTGTCTGGTACATGTACCGCATCACAGGCGATACTACCTGGCAAGACAAGGGATGGAAGATGTTCAATGCCATCGTCAGCCAGACCCGGACGGAGGCCGGTAATAGCGCTATTGATAATGTCTTGCTGCCAGATTCCAAGAAAAACGACGAGATGGAGAGTTTTTGGCTTGCCGAAACACTGAAATATTTCTATCTATTGTAAGTGCGGCGTTGAGGTGATTCGAGAATAAACAGCCCAGTCCAGAAATGCTAACAAGTCTCGCAGGTACTCGGAACCGGACCTGATTAGCTTAGATGATTGGGTGTTGAACACAGAGGCGCACCCTTTCAAGAGACCTGTTTAAAAACCACACGATGGGCGAAAGCTCCGATGAATAAATCCAAATAGAAGGATTAATATATTTTGACATACACACATTACATATGAACCCAGGTTTTAGATAAGAGAGGACCGAGATAGGTCCGGTCCGCAGTGGCGATTCGAGATTCTCTGGCGGTATTTATGCTGGCGGGAACCGTAGCCCTCCACGTAACCAGCAAGGGTTAGGCGTCGTCATCGCATCCACCACACATATATGCTTCCCTACTTACCTTACCTACAACATTATGACATAGATAACTAACCCAGTTATATCCAAAAACCCCATATTTTATCTTAAGACATGCCGGCGCACTAGGATTTGAAGATCGCATGGGAGCGATAAGAAACTTAAACGCTACTACTTGGAAAGCCTCATAGGGATAGGCGGTTTTAACCTATTCCGAATGTCTTAGTTAATTAGTCGTGCTTGGAGTTCTTGGGGGATCGGATAGAAACGGCCTTAGGGAAAAATAATAACCTATACCAAATTCAGACACCGATGAAATGCATTATCATGATCATTCTCACGGAATCTCACCTTTTTGTGGATGTAGTTATCTAAGGTTTCTGTAATATTTTAACTATTGTTTAGCGTGTAAGTGATTGATGTGCTATGACGAGAGTTAAACCGGTCACAAGTTCACAACATTGAACGGAAGAAAGGAAGAAGCTTTAGTGTCCGAAACTACGTATAGAGGTGCCCTATCTACACTACTATTTACATACTACATAGTACACCAAGAAACCGTAATCCTTTTAGTTTCGGTAAGCGAAGACCATTAAATAGGTAGATACACTTTCAAAGATAACGTCCCCCGGCCGATCCACCATCGATTTAATCCCCGTGGAGTATTCAATCCACCCCGTAAGTTACATACCTTACTCTTACACAACACCTCATTGGTTTATTTACCAATGTAATAGCCAGACAAAGAGTCTGACACAAAGACAGAGAGAGAGTGGGACTTCTTTTTTAAACCAGGATCCCAGGATTCCAGAATTTCTTCCTTTCCCCCCCGGTGCCCACCACGCTACCTAAACCAGGTACATACCCCTCAAGAGGCAAATCGCAGACCGCGAGCGATCCTCTGGAGTCTGGATACTAGGTAGTAATCAATTTACGGAAGGCCGAACCCTTTTTTCGTGGTTCCAAGGTTACCCGCTAGACTCCATCAGGACGAGGAGGAACGAGAAGCCTGTAACGTAATACCACCCATTTAAATAACAACGAGACACCGGCCATGATAAGAACTTCTGTTCTGGTTGATACATGTTATGTTGTTGTTTTCCGATCGTGAACAGCACGCGCCGTCTCGCTTCCTTCACACAATTTCCCTTGGAGTCGGTCGGTCCTAGCCGGTCTTCTTCCTCTGTGTACCGACAAAGGAAAAAACGCACCTACTTAAGACACTTACAAGGGTAGCTATCATCGCCTAGCTCCTCTGTGCGTGTCGGTATAATCTGTAGGAAATACAAGGCTTTGCTTTGGAAGGAAGAAAAAGACGAAGGAAAATTGAGGCCAAACATTCGTCAGACGCTAAAGAAAGGAAATGGGTCACGACAACGAAGACGCAGCCAACATGGCGGATAAGGAGAATGGGCAGAAAGAGTTTGATCGCACCGTCTCCCACGAGGCTGGGGATGTGAACGGCAGCCATCAGCTCGAGCGAGGACTCAAGAGTCGGCATATCCAATTCCTTGCTCTCGGAGGCGCGTAAGTTGCATCTACAATCTTTCATCTTACGCTACCCATCAAGCTACCCTATATAGTTTGGTAGCTCTATTTACATACCTGCCTAGCGCTAACTAAATGACGCTTTTATAGTATTGGAACCGGCCTATTCATCGGCTCGGGCCAGATTTTAGCTACCACCGGGCCGGCGCCGCTATTCATGGCCTACCTGTCTCTAATGGCTATAGTCTGGGTCATTATGAACGACCTGGCCGAAATGGTCACGTTTTTGCCCATGAAGGGCATTTCCATCCCGTATTTTGTTGGGCGTTTTGTAGAGCCTAGTCTCGCGTTTGCTGTACGTAATATCCAGATCCGTTTCTTTTCATTTCTATCTCCTTTCGGGAGTCAATAATTCCGGAAATTAAACTAGTGGAGGAAAGGGGGTGGGGGCATGCTCGACTCTACGGGACATAGAGCGAAGAGGGAATCGCTAACTGTTAATACTGCAGACGGGATGGAATTACTGGTACGCCTACGCGATGCTTCTCGCCGCCGAGTGCACCGCCGGTGCTATAATCCTGCAGTACTGGACCCATGCCGTCCCCGTCGCCGTCTGGATCGCGATCCAGCTCATCGTCGTGCTGCTCCTTAACATCGTTGCCGTGTCCTTCTTCGGCGAGGCCGAGTTCTGGTTTGCCAGCATCAAGCTCATAACCATCATGGGCCTCATCATCCTCGGCATCGTCCTATTCTTCGGCGGCGGCCCCAACCACGACCCGCTGTACTTCTCGTACTGGAACGAGCCTGGAGCCTTCGTGCCATACCTGGTCGGCGGCAACACCGGCCGCTTCCTCGCATATTGGACGGCCTTCGTCCGCGCCGGCTTCTCCTTCGTAACGTCGCCCGAGCTCATCGCGCTATCCGCAGGCGAGACCGTGGCACCGCGCCGTAACATCCCCAAGGCCGCGCGCCGCTTCGTCTGGCGTCTTGCGCTTTTCTACGGGCTCGGCTCCCTCGTCATCGGCGTCATAGTTCCCAACGACGATAACCAGCTGCTCACCGGCGACTCCAACGCCTCCGCCAGCCCCTACGTCATCGGCATCGCGCGCGCGGGAATCAAGGGCCTCAACCACGTCATCAACGCCGCCGTGCTGACATCCGCCTGGTCCGCCGGAAACGCCTTCTGCTACTCGGGCTCGCGCGTGCTGTACTCGATGGCGGTGAACGGGCAGGCGCCAAAGCTGTTCGCGCGAACGACGCGGCGCGGCGTGCCGTGGGTCGCCGTCGTGTTCACCCTACTCATCGGGTGCCTCTCCTTCCTCAACGTGTCCAACTCGGGCGCGCTCGTCTTCCAGTGGTTCACCAACATCTCCACCATCTCGGGCTTCATCGCCTGGATCGTCATCATGATCACCTACCTCCGCTTCCGCAAGGCCATGGCCCACCACGGCCTCCTCGACTCCCTCCCCTTCCGCAGCCCCTGCCAGCCCTACGCCACCTACGTCGTCCTGTTTCTTCTCGTCCTCCTCACCCTCACCAACGGGTTCCAGGTCTTCTTCCCGTCGCAGTGGTCCGTCTCGGGGTTCCTCGCGGCGTATATCACGATTCCGATCTTTCTCGCGCTGTATGTCGTGCATAAGATCGTGTGCAGGACGCCGTTTGCGATCAGGACGGAGATGGTGGACGCGTGGAGCGGAAAGAAGGAGATGGACGATATGTGTGCGGCGGACGAGGAGCCGGTGCCGAGGAATTGGGTGCAGAGGGTGTGGTTTTGGCTTGCCTGATTTGGATGTTTCTGGATTTTGGATTTTGGATTTGGACTGGCATGGCAAGGGATTGGATCAGATGAAATAGATGTACCTACATATATATGAATGTGCACATGCGGGAAAAGATCATGATCATTTTCAATGTTGTTTTTCTCGGCAGTGAATACCTAAGTACCTAGATACCCAGTAGACAGTAAGTATTAAAGCTTCGCTGAATTGAGGGTTCTCTGATATATTTAAAATTAAATTCCCTACTGTTCTACCTGTAGCTCGCCCAGTTGTTAGTTTTGAAGGAATACCTCATCCTGACTGACTAGCTGGTTTTGTAGATGGAGAGGGTTGTTTTTATGTAAATACCTACCAAAAAAGCTAAAGCTAAATCTTATTTAACGGGTTATCAGGTTATTATGTCTTTCTCTTTGTCTCAACATGTTAGAGATGAGCTTTTATTATTAACTAAATTTATTGATTACCTTGCCTTGGGTGTGGTAAAATTGAGAGAGAGAGCTTCAACAAGACCTAATCTTACATACAAACCATTGAGGTTGGCGACGAGAGGAAGATGATACTACATAGGTAACTACTATCTATGTACTGCTAGAATCCAAAAGCGCTTCTCCTTCAAGTTGATAACCAACAACACTCCGCATATCGAAATCTATCTAGGTAGGTAGGTTAGATGGCAATAAAGCGAGGAAAGATGTATGGCTCACATCTGCGGATGATAGAACTCTTTCTTCTATGCATAGGTACCTATGCGTTGTTTTCCTCTGCATGAGGTGAGGTGAGGTGACATTGGGTAGCAGGTACATACATAGTAGATACACTTTAATGCATGTACCTACAAAGGCAGTGAGGGGTGCGTGTTGACACAGATAGTAGGTATGCGATTAAAGCCAGACCTATGTACATACCTTCAACTCACGGGGATGGAGACACACATGTAAGTATGATGGAATTCAGATAGGTATACGAATGGTGCGTATAATATACACAATATATCAAGAGCAAGCAAGTTTCCAGTATTTCGCATCTCCATTAACCACATTCACTCACGACCATTAAAAATCCCAAGATGCCGTAAATCATCAACTACATAGGTACCTACATATCACACAAGAAAGAATCCCAAAGTCAACAGCCCCAACGCTAAACCTAAGCGACTTCCGCGCGGCGCATTTACAGCTGCACCTCCGGTATTAGTTGGCGAGCTGGGGCTGGACTCTGTCGCGGTTGACCCTGGCCCTGATCCTGTTTCGGTCGCTGAACTGCCACCACCACTACTCCCGCTACTGCTAGACGGCGCAACATACGTAGCCGCCACCGTGACCTCCGCCAAACTAACCCCGCTCGCAGCCGTGTTCGCAAGGAAGCACACAGGCGTGCCGCTCGCGCCGTACGTCGGAGTCGGCCACCCCCAGAGATCATTCGTCACGGTAGCGCTAGGATCACTACTACTCGACGGCGGCGCGGGCGCATAGGTGACAGAGTACGGCAGCGCGCGCGACGCATTGGTGGCCGCGAGGCTGGCGAGCGGCGTGCCCTGGGCCCCCGCCGCGCAGGCGGTGCGCGGGGTCGGCGTGAAGTCGAGCGCCACGGACTGGGTGCCGGAGACGCCGCAGCAGATCAGGTCGGCGAGGCGCACGGGGGCGTCGGGGGAGAGGCTCCAGCCGGGCTGCGTGGGGAGTGAGGAGCTGTTGGTGTAGAGGTCTAGCGAGGTGTCGACGATGACGCCGTTGCAGCAGATGGATTGGAAGTCAGCGGCTGCGATGGTGGTGGTGGGGGCGTCGGGTTGGTAGGCCTGCGGACAGCGGAGGCCGAAGAGAGAGGAGCGTCGTAGGGCGGGGATGATGCACCATTGCGGTATGTCGCCTGCTGGGAGGGATGTGGTGATGGATGACATTGTTGCTTGGTACTGTGTGTGAGTCTTCAAAAATGGAAGCTTGAGCTTGATGGCTGTATGATTAGGTAGTTCACGATACTGCGTAAATTAGATACTACATAGCTGTAAATATAACTATTGGTGGTGCATAACGAAGGAGCGGTAAGATGCTCTAGACTGCCTGCCCAGATGACACTGCCTAGATGCTATACGGGGTGATATCGCATTAGGCAGGTGTTAAGCACATTGCCACTGTAGCTCTTCATACTTCGTAGCTACACCAAATCACATCTAGGGCTCTGCGCATGGTGAAGCCGACTGGCTGAAATGAATCTGGATGATGATGGTAGAATAGTACTATGTAAGTAGGGGTAACTACTATGCATCCATCGACTTAATAGAAAGATTGGGATCCTTCAATGAGTGCTCTTTTTGCACTTATCAAAGAGGGTACGTTGTTTAGCATGCAAGCTGTGTCATAATTCATTGAGCTGAGTGAGCCTTCAAGGTTCCCAGGCCTGTAGAATTTCCAAAGGGAACAAACACTGAAACAGTGCGCGCGTAGTTTGTGGCACCTGCCACCTCCAATACCTGTGTGAAAGGATGACCTGCTAAGAATGCACTGTGACAATGCGGTACTACACTAGGTAACATTAGGCAGGAACCATCCACTCGCTTTGTAGCCAATCAAAAAAATCAACAAGCAATGTCCTGGATCCACTTACTGATTGTGCAGTCTGTTGGACCCACCCAGGATTCCTATAAATACCTGGCCTTCCTCCCAGCTTTTACCTTTTTTTTCTTCTTTTCTTCTTCATACTTACCTTGTTCAAAGGACCCTCGCTCAAGCATGAGGGTTCTTATGGAGGGATACCTGCATTGCACATCGCGGAGTTGCCCTCCATCTATTATCCCTCGTGGATCGTAGTGGGCGGAATTTTTGTTCTCTTCAAACCAAAACTTTTGGATTCTCTTTTCGTTGTGTCCGATGTCTAGCCGCATCGCCATGAGGAAGATTGCTCTTCGAACGAATTTGACCCTACTATCGTTTTGTGCCTATAAAATTATTGAACGCAATTGTTGTGTCGTTGTCTTTAGGCGAGAACGACGCTTTGGAGGTAAAGCAGGCTTACTGTTTCACCTTGAATTTCATTTGGGCAGTAATTTGCAAGCTGTCCCTCGAAAGTAACGAGGCATTTTACTCATCTGGGAAAATCGTAAACCACAACATGCTACAGTACCTAACGTAGAGTAGCGAATGCTTAGATCAGTGGTAATTCAACCTACATTGGCACAGAGTACGCTGTACAGAACCCGCGATTATCTGAAAAAATTGAGTACTAATTTGAACGGCGAACTGTGATCTATTCACAACTCTCCATTTACAAGTCGCGATTGCTTTCATGAAATAAACAGCGTTGCATAATCACATTTCAAAGAGCACAAAGCATGATTAAGTTGTATTGCAAGCGCAAAAATTCCATTCTTCTAATACAAGATCCTATACACAACTCATAGGATTGAATATGCGCGATCCTAGCAGTGAACACTGCCCTAGCCAATCGCCAAGACCATTCGTTGCCCGACCAACAGGAAACATCATCAGAGTCTCACATCTACATCTGTCTTCGTTCCATCATTACTGACCCTCATATATGTGTTATCCATTGGTGTTTGTTTTATTCGTCTCCATCCAGCATCATGTCTCGATTCGTTCGTTCGTTCCCTTTCCAACCCCAATTCCACTCATTCACTACCCTTAAAACGTAAACCAACACATACCTGCCGCCGGCCGGTCTGTTCTGGTCGTTTCGTATGTAATCGTCCAAAGGATGAATTTGGTTCGAACAAAAAACCCAATCGTGACATGATATAATAGAGGGGGGGGGAAGCAGAGGGGAGCAAATAAAACACAAGACTGAAAAAAAAAATCATTAATATCGCCGAGGGTGCCTCCCTTTCTTTGCTTAAACTCCGGTTCCCAGATGCTTTGACCAAATATCAACGACAAGAAATTTCGTTGGCACTTAGTCCACGGCCGGATTTGCCCCCCATATACACATATCCGTCGTTTCCGTATTTTATCCACCCCAAATTGATTTTTTTTTTACCCGCAACCTTTCGTGTGTTTTTCTTTCTTCATTAAAAGCAGGCAGACATTGGTTGGAGAGCCAACTTAATCTGCTAGTTGCGAGAGCACCCGGATACTCAATATCATGACGAGCAGACCGATCGTGACAATGATGAGCAGCGTGAAGCTGAACCAGCCCATGACCATGGCGCTCGTGCCGATCCCGGATAACACGCTGCCGTTGCCGAAGTCTTGCGCTATAATGGACGCGGCCACAGACGCCGTGTGCTGCCACAGCACCGAGACGAGGACGAAGATGGAGGCGATGAAGATGATTGCGAGCGCGATCTGCGACACGGGTCTGCTGGGGAAAGGCTTGATCTCGCGGTCAGAGCCTTCGCTGTCCTCCTCCTCGTGCCAGCCGGGGAAAGTGGCCAAGAGCAGGAAGCAGACGAAGGCGAAGATGATGGCGATGATGATGAGGTAGGGGAACACGATCATGTCCTTGAACTGGCTGGCGAGCCAGATAAGGTTCAGCGGGTCTTGGTCGACCGCCACCTCGTTGGCAAGGGCCGTGGCATTGTTGCTGCATAGCCAGGCGCCGCCGTCCGGGTTGATGCAGATGCCGAAGTAGCCGACGCGCGCCTGCAGGTGGGCGGACCCGACAATGTTGCTGATGGCTTGATTTACATTATAATCAACCTGCGACGTGTCGGGAACAGCGGTGTACTTCTCGTAGTAGATAGAAAGAAGGAAGATGTCGGGGATCAAGGGTGAGGAGGATGAGCAACCTGCTAGTAAGAGCGCTGTGGGACAGAGGAAGAGAGTATGTTAGTATGGAGTTGCGATCTGGAATTGGGAGGGTGAGGAATGTGAGTACATACATAATAATATTATCGACACTGCTATTAAAATCATCAAGACATGGTGGTATCCTAGGAACGGTATGAACCCTATGGCGTGCTGATTAGTTCTTGCTCATTCTTGCGAGGAGACAGCAGTTACTTACGATACCAGCCGACTTGAAATCCTTCAGGCATTTTGTCTGTTTGTTATATTCCCAATATTCCCGAGGTATTTAATTCCTCTCTCCACTCCCGTCCTCCCGGGGAGCGACGGTGTGGTAAGGGTAATATCGGACAGCAGCAGCGCTGGAATGCGACGAGGGGTCGGGCGTGGATGAGACGGCCGAGATGGAATGCGCAAGCAAAGCTAATCTCGAGAATCTCACGAACGTCGTGCTGCTGGAATGTGGTACGTGCTACCGATCGACTCTGGTCGCCAATACGTATATAAAGGCAGTCGTCGTCGAAATCACTGTTCGTCGAAGCTACCTAGAGAAGCGACACTTTTGGTTCTTGTCAGATCAAATCTGTTGAACAGGCACGGGGATATGCGGGTTGTAGTGGAAGAGGTAGTAGAGGTATGTAGAGGTAGATAGAGAGAGAAGGTAGAGAGGTGATATGCGGTATAGATTGGTATGGTGTGATAGGTATTGTAACTTAGAAGTTCAATGAGTTTCCTTCTGGACAACAGCCCTTTGCCCTTCTAGAAATCCAAATGGGGAAGAAGTATAGAATTGTGTCAAGAGACACGATTTCAGTTGGCAAGCTTCTAGCACTTCTTTCCCTCTTTTTTTGCCCTTCGATATTGCAATTATGCTCGAAATAGAAGAGGTTGGTTGATCAGATCGGATGTACGATGAAAAATGCGGTGCAAAAAAAAAGGTAGCAGCAGAGAATACACAATTGGTCCTGCCACCAGAATTTTTCGTGGTGATAACGGTCAAAAAACCAGGTTCCCAGGTTCTCAAGTAAATAAAAGATGTGGCTGGTCGTTGCTGGAGGGATGCCGCCAGCGCAAGCCCCAAGACAATCTACGGGGCTAAAGGACCCCGCCAACCCTGATGCGGATTAGATCGGTTCAGCTTTCTTGGTGTTGGTTGGCTAAAACCACTAAAGCACCGAAAGGTACCTGAATAGCCACCAGTAACACGATCAGTCCCTGCATTAATGCAGCAGATGTTATTAAGTCGGAGCCAATCAAGACTAACGCCATGCAGCTCAAATGACGTGTACCGCCCACATCATCAGGCTACTGCTTGTTGCCGAATCTCCGTGTAAATAATTGGCTGGTAATGTATTTGTGCACGGCCGCTAGGTAAGTATGTTACTGTATGTAACACATTTTTAATATTTTATGCATTTGCATATGAACATCAATTGAATGGAAGGCACTTCTACAAATATCGAACATCAAAATATCGAATTTCTAACTTTTGGGATCCATTTCATTTATCTCGTCTGCCTCCTCACATTTGGACTTGGTCGCTTAAATTGATTCTCAAATAAATCTTGGATCACTCTTCCCCGCAATCCACGAACTCGGTTTAGCTATTAATATCTAGTACTAGTCCTAAGCTCGGTGCACTCAGTGCCACTCACGAGTCACTGCACTGATGATATTCGAACAGTGAACTCACTCAATCAAGAAATGGTTCAATACAGAGCACCGACACCATAACCACCTCGATTTCAATTTTGTCAATCATCTACTCCTCCTATTCTCCACACTCTGTCATCGAACCGACGATCATGAAAATCTACCATGTACATACTTGGAATATCGCGACCATCACTTCAAACTCGATGCAATTTGTGGTCAGTGGAGATCTAGAATCTCATGTTGACCGTGCTCTTTTATGGATCTGATCTATCCGTTTTTAGCTTCATCCATCAGATTCCATCCAACCTACTGCTTGATCTTATGTATGTTTATGCACAGTGGCCGATTAAATACAATAACGGTATTTAGCTCCATATACAACGTGAATACATATTCATACCGTCTCATTATCATCGATCTGCTATCGTTCCAGCGGGCCACAGTCTAAGCCCAAGCATCAAACCATCTGATCGCCTGAAAGAAAGCCTCTTCCTTCCCAAACTTCTGCTTCGGGTCTGAGATGTTTGCACGTACGCCAAATCCGTGTTGAGTGCCACCGTATAATGCCAACGAGTAGGGATGTCCAGTCTCTAGAAGCAACGCTTCGATCGCAGATCTCCTTTCGGGAGGTGTCATGTCATCCGCATCTGGATGATCAATTTAGCAACTAGCATTCATATTGAGAGCAAAACAAAGAAAGTTACCGACCTGCCGCCGCAATACTAGCCGGACCCGTGATGGCAGAGATCTCGGCATCTTCTAGCAGACTTGGATGTGCAGCGAAGCCCACATCCACGCCTTTCCCTTCGGCCAGGACGCGGAACGTGTATCGGCCACCGAAACAATAGCCGGTCGCAACAACTTTCTTTACTCCGAGCTCGGTCCGCAAGAAATCAATCGCTGTTGCGATGATTGGATCAGTTACCTCAGGGCTATGGTCGGCGAGGAACTTGACCACGTCAAAGTCCGGCTGTCCATTGATATCCCCTGGAGCTGGGGTCCCATTAAACATATCCGGCGCAACAGTGAGGTAACCGGCGCGTCCGAAGCTGTCGGCGAGCCTTGAGTGATGTTAGGCAAGAACCTCCGAATTAACCATGAGAATACGCACAACTTGTTCTCCGCCAATTGAATGCCGAACACATCTGTGAGGTATAGCACGCCTACTTCCGACGTGTTACCCGTGACGTACATATTGACTGCATCAACGTCAGCCTCCCGTCCTTAAACTTTGCACTCGTTAGTTGCCCATGCCTTCCTGATAAACCTGCTCCTTTCCAACAGGGTCGCCCGTGTGAGCAATAACGGAACCACCCGTAACAGGGCAGTCTTCCTGTGCGCCGGCTAAAGAGCCGATGCTCATAAGAGCAAGTAGATAGGTGAAACTGAGCATCGTTGAAGTTTTTGCGGGAGAATAATACGCTGTAATGTTGAAGTGAAATCCCAGCAAGTTTATCCACCAAAGAGATCAGGATTCCGTTCGATTTATGTACTGAGATGCATAATGCGATCTCCAAAATATCATAAGCGCCAAGCGATAAAGTTCGATAGCTCCCCTCTTAAGCCAGCCAAGCTAGGGTAGTGGATGTGGAGAATCGTTGCAGATACCTGATTTGGCAGTTGGGATTTACAACGGTAGATTTCCAAGGTAGCTGTCGGCTAATTGTAGAGTCGCAGGAGCTTTTTTTACGGGGCATATACGCGCGTCTGAATGTCTTGGTTTGTCTTCAGTCGGAAATACCTCCCTGACATTGAATATCGCCTAAGATATGAAGCTCAAGATTCCAAGCTGAATCAAATGTGCTTACTACCAAGCAGAGGCCACGAGGTCCCACCCTGACCGGCTTGCATGGGCATATCGAAGATGGGGAAGGCGTTTGCTATAATGGACGCCTCTACCGAAAAGCAAATCATAGTCCCGGTTTTGATATCAACATTCCGTTATACCAAGGACGAGCATTGCTGCCGAATCATGTCGTAGCGCTATTACCGGCTTTTCCACGTAGGATATGGTGTATCTACCTCGCCTGTGCATTAAAGACTTACGGCCGAAGACTTAGTAGGTCATGATAATCGCGGCAGCGATCCATGCTACAAGTATTGCAACGATATGTCCGATCACGAAGCAAGCCCATGCGTAAACGCCTGCCATATAATCGGGAAAATCGAGGCTCCGGGTGTAAAACATAAGTTGAAGGTAGTAATCATGTTCTAGGATGAATTCGACATACATCTGAAAGAATGTACGCCTGGGTGGAGGTATCTGTCTCTGTTATCGAACACCATGTTAGCTGTACACCCCCTCCTCGGACTTTACGGCATTCACAATCAAGGTCGATGCTCATATGGCTTTAATGCTCTGCGAACGATTAAGCAGCACCTCGCCACGTACCTGAAGAATCCTAAATATATCGTAGGCCAAGATATTGGCCTCCCAGTACTGCAAGCCGCAGTGCGTGGCGAACGCCTCCCGAAACTCCAAGATCGAAGCCCTGTGCAGCTCTATCCCCCTCCAGAAAAAGTTGTCGGCCGTGTCGGGATTGAGGCCCCGGTAGAAGAGATAGGTTCGGAACCAATCCCGGACAACGGCAGGCGATGCTTGTAGTCCGGGACAGCTAGCGGTGAGCTCGGTGCGTACTACAGAGGGAATTTGAGTTTCCATCATAGCATGATTGATGGATGGGGAGGTCGGCGGCGTGGTATCGATAGGGCTGTTCATATCGAGTAGTATTGAATTCTGTCGCTTCAGGGCACGATTGGTCTAGTCGTTAAGCATGCATTAGATCAGTACATTGGTAAGGAAGTGTAGTGAGATGTACTAGATCGCAACAAAGCCACTCCTTTGAAAGTCAATTTTCGCAGGCTTTGTCACTACTTCGTTGTGACGTATCGAAAAATCGTATGGCTTAACTTTCTCCCCCTTTGTTACCTTATGGTCTGTTCAAATGTCCCCTGAATCCGGCAATTGAAACCCTATTTTGGGCAAAAAGAAACACGATGCGCAATACTGGTGATAACTCACAGAAGACTAGAAATTTCTAGGTATCAAAGTTACCCCTTATTAGCCTGATTAGACACTCTAGCAAAGATACTTTTTATTAGGCCAAGTATGGAGGATAAAATCATAATCAGCTGTGTTTACATAGAGTTGCTCTATACCTACTCATACATACTATCTATCTAAACCCACCTTCTGTTAAATAGGAGGAGGGCATGTTTGACGGTGCTGTCACTTATCACATCTTGCTTGTACTTTAGGTCAGTGCTTGTTCTGTTGATCTTGGGGCATGGGACGAATAAATATTCTTACCGGGGAATGAAAAGAAGCCCCTTGATCCACCGAGTGTTCATAAGGGACCACCACACCTTGCAAGGTTAAAAATGGCCCTCTATTCCAAGGTTTCTAGTTGAGTCTTTGTCAAGAGCCTCTTATAACTCTGTTGGAGTCTTTTGTTTTCTATCGTATCGTGTCTGGGGAGGGCACCTTTGAAACTTGTTATGATACACATAGAAACAAGAGCTTTGTGTGTCTACAATGCGACAAGATCACGCACATACTTTGGTTTACACGCTATATATACTAGAGCTATGCTGGGGAATCTCTTTTATAGGACGCAGGTTTGGTTGAAGTCTAGGTACGCAGCGTACCTTAACAACTATTGAAATGGCGGAATCTCCAATTGAAACACTACCCAGTAAAAGAAAGGCCGATGAGATTGTTGATGACGAAGTTGAGGAAGATGAGGAAGGGGAGACAACCGATTCTCCGTTAGAACCAGAGTTTAAAAAGGTCAAGACAGAAGATCAGCCAGAAGACAAGCCAGAAGGTGACCCTGCTGTAGCCGTTGACGACAAGCGATGGAATGCCGATATGGAAATGCCAAAAGAAAAGTCAAGGCCTCACTTCCTCGGAGAGTCTGATGCACGCCGTAGATCTGGCAGTGGCACGGTGGACGACCCCCTTATTGTGTGGTTAGGGAAGATGCCCAAGGACTCCGAAATCAAGGAGGCCAACGAGGATATTGCACGACGAACTGCCCTAGAGCTCGGGTTAATCACCCACGTATATATCCGGTGCGCCGCACAGTCCAGTAAGTTTGTTGACAGAGATGGAAAGCGCATTCCCATCTGGAATCCGGATACTATTGCATTCCAGCACGAAACCAAGGAAGCCGACCCCCATCTATCTCTGGCCTTCGGCACGAACTCGACAAGTCTCGTTTTATACGGCTACGTAAACGTCACCGTTGATGAGGAGGGAAAGCCAATCGACTTCGCCACCTCTCGCATCGAGGACCATGTTGTCGACGGGGACGACAGGATACTGGAGATTTTCGAGTACGAAGCGACGCAGCAAGACTGTGCACCTTACTGCTCTAAGCATGTTAGTCGCGAGAAGTTGATCAACACTTGCCCGCTTGCACAAGCTCGCGGCTGTCCTCGTCACGACATGGATGGGTTGCTAGACCACTGGTGCCCCCGAGCGCACTGGAGAACGGAAATATACGGCGACCACTACTGCCCGTGCTTGCACGATATATCGGACCTCGAAGATCACTACTGCCCTTGCCATCATGATCGGCTGCGGTGGATGGAGAATCGGAATTGCCCGCATAAGATTTCTTGGAATGCACGATTAACTCATTATTGCCCACATTATCCAGTTTAGACTGAAATCCTGAATAGATGATGGTGGCAGTGAATGCAATATTTTAATAGAAAGTTAGATAATTAGGTACCTATGTAGGTTGTTAACATCCATAGCAAGACACAAAAATCCTCAATAGCCTTGAAATAGTAGTACATATGAGTGAATAGCGGTGGTGGCTGGCTTGTTTGGCTTCCGGACCACCGTAAGCCATTGACACGGCCCCACACCCGTAAAATTACCCAAAAGAGAAAGAGTACGGCCTGTGCTTTCTTGTCTCCACACCGGGCTCTAGCCGAATTGGGACAAATACGAAGGAGGTGTGCTTCGGCGGTGCGCGAGATTTAATTTATTGATTTTACATATAAAGCCGTTTGGTATTTCTTGTATTATGCCTAGTTATCTGTTGGCTTCACATTTCACATCGGTTTATTAGGATGTAGTTTTACTGATTTTCTTTTTCTCTTTTCCATCTTTACGAGGACTTGATCACTACTACGGACCTACGGGCTCTCCTCACGACACAACCTCAAAATCAGCTGTAGCCCTCAGGGCTGCAACGCCCTCCGTTATCAAACACTCCGCTGCGCTCGATAAGACTAATAATCAAGGGTCACTATGGATTCTCACCCACAAGATGCACAAGATGTAGAAAAGAATGAGCATCGTCCGAACACCACTGCCGAAACGGACGACAAGCAGGAGTATCCCCCCTTTTGGCAGCTAGTTCTCCTAACTACCGCTCTCTGCATGGCTATGCTTCTCGTCTCCTTGGTCAGTCCCTATCCCTACCCCCCAGCACAGCGCTCAACCATCCCACTGAGACCCACACCTTTGCTAACCCTCTCCTATTCCTATTCAGGACGGCACCATCCTCGCCACCGCCATCCCCCGCATCACCAACCAATTCGACTCGCTCGACGACGTTGCCTGGTACGGGAGTTCGTACCTCTTCGCCGTGTGCGCTCTGCAACTGATGTACGGCAAGTTCTACGCTATGTACTCCGTCAAATGGGTGTTCTTGGCTGGCGTCGTCATCTTCGAGATCGGCTCCCTTATCGCTGGCGTTTCCCCCTCCTCGGCTGTTCTTATCGCTGGAAGGGCTATTTCTGGCATGGGCGCTGCGGGGATATTCGCCGGCGCTATTATCATCCTCGCGAGTGCGGTCCCATTGAGGCAACGCCCGGTTTATACTGGGCTGTTGGCTAGCATGCACGGTGTTGCGAGCGTGGCTGGTCCTCTGTAAGCAATCACTCCCCCCTGTCACTATTGCTGTTTTGACTAACTGACTTTCGTGATAGTATAGGAGGCGCGTTCACCGACCACGTAACATGGCGATGGTGCTTTTACATCAACTTACCGCTGGGGGGGACCACCATTCTGTTCCTGATCCTCTTCCTGCCAGACAAGCCGCCAACAAAGCCCAGCTTATCCTGGAAAGAACAGATCAAGCAATTCGATCTCCCCGGCACATTCTTCCTCATCCCCTCCGTCATCTGCCTCCTCCTCGCTCTACAATGGGGCGGCGCCCAGTACCCCTGGCACGACGCCCGCGTCATCACCCTATTCATCGTGTCCGGCGTACTGGCCACCATCTTCTGGTGCGTCGAGCTGTGGCAGCAAGACCGCGCCACCGTCCCCCTGCGCATCCTAAAGAACAAGAACATTGTAGGCGGCGTCTGGTACGGCGTGTGCGTCGGCGCCGCCCTCTTCATCTTCACGTACTACCTGCCGATCTGGTTCCAGGCCGTCAAGGGCGTGTCCGCCACCACCTCCGGGCTGATGAACCTGCCCAGCATTTTGGGACTGGTCGTCTTCTCCATGATAGGCGGCGCCCTCGCCTCGGCGCTGGGCACGTTCACCCCGCTGCTCCTCGCGTCCTCCGCCCTCACTGCCGTGGGCGCGGGCCTCCTCAGCACGCTGCAGGTCGACTCGGCGATGGGCTACTGGTTCGGGTACCAGGTCCTGCTCGCAGCGGGCGCGGGCCTCGGCGCGCAGAACGTGATGCTCGTCGCGCAGGTCGCGGTGCCGGCCGCCGACATGGCGATGGCGACGTCCATCCTGTCGTTCACGCAGACGCTCGCGTCGTCCGTCTTCCTCGCCGTCGCCCAGACCGTCTTCCAGAACCGGCTCGTCGGGAACCTCGCTGCGAGCGCCCCTGAAATTGATTCGTCGTTTGTGGTCAACGCGGGCGCGACTGCGATGGGGGATGTTGTACCGCCGGAGCTGCAGAGGGCCGTGCTGGAGGCGTATAATAGTGCGATCATGCAGACGTTCTATGTCGCGGTTGCGGTCAGTGCGTTGTCGATTTTGGGGCCGGTTTTTATGGATTGGTTGTCGTTGAAGCAGCAGGAGAAAGATACGCCTGATGGGACGATAGAGTAGAGGGGGCTTCTGTGGATGCTGGAGCGGCTGGGGCTGGATCGAAAGATGATAGGTGGTGTTATAAGTGTAGGTAGGTATGTTTGCATGGAGTTATACGATAGATAAAGGAGGAAACGGCATATATATGGGTATTTTCTTTGGTATTGCACTTTTGCGATTTTCTTGTTCTCCTTTGGCTTTATCGTCGGGAGTCACTAGTTTAATTAATATCATAATAAGTTGATCTCATTTGATGGATGCATAAGTCTCTGGCGGTGGTACTAGATCTTACCTACATTCCTATTCAGTTATCAACAATAGGGGCACATTTGTTCTCTTAATTGGGTCGTGTTGTGACATCGAACCAGGTAATTGTGATTGTGTATTATGGATATTTTTGATCTTCTTTTTCGCTCGAGTCTTTATTGCGTATTGACCACACCTGCTTCACAATAATCCCTTGCGAGTCTGGCGGTAATGACGGTGATTGTATGCTGTCCCGATTGCCCGTGCTGATAATCGTCCTTATTCCCGTCTCGAGTCCCAAGCGAAAGTCGGGCATCGCGTCCGAGTCGCTTTGCAGTGATCTCCCATCATCCTGCGTCTCCGTTTTTCGTGATCGCTCACCATCCAAGCAGTTGAGCTCCGTCTCACTCCCGTCTGCACCAATACCAAATATATTTCTTGACCCATTTGTCTTCAACGCACCACTCTTGTCTCTGGTGTGCCGTGAAAAGGGGTTGGAACCAGGAAGATACTTCTTTGGCGGAGTGAGCGATTCTTTCTTCGTGCTCTGGAAGTGATGTGATATTCGCCGTACTAATGGAGCTAGGCAAATAAGAGATGAGCAGATAAGGCCCGACGCCGACTCTGCCTCTCCCCAGGCTGCGACGGCTACCAGGTCATATGAAAAGTCGATTGTAAGTCTGGCGAAGAACACCAAACGACATATCGATATGATGCAAGTGCTACGAAACGAGTAGGAGTGTAAGTACCTATTCGTGCGGCAAGCGAAAAGGGGGAAAGTCGAAGCACTTACAAGAAGCCCAGAGTAAAAACTCCCATTACTGCCCACCTCTTCCCCCGTTTTAGATTCAACCGCCATACGACAGGAATCGGTAATAGAAGTACGATGACATCGGTAACGATGTTGCCGACCGAGTTCATCCACCCAATAAGGTTACCGTCCAGACAATGGCCTCCAGCCGAGCGATCCCAGTACGCGCGAATTGGAGTGCACGAAAATATAAGGATAAACTCCTGTGAAATGACCCAACCACCAACTATGGCCATTATACCAATATAAAATAAGCGATAATAGGGAACTTCCTGTATCAACCGGTAATACTGGAAGAATAAACTGAATTTTATAAACATCAACGTGGTGTTATAGCTGATCGTCACTGCGTAGAATACCTATCGCGAACAAAGTCAGTACATATTGACTCCATAGCAAAGGCCCTGGAATCATCGTCAAATCATACTTTGAAGAATTCAATGGCCTCGGCCTCATCTGTCATGTCGTAGTAATGAGCTCCCAGCCCATATTTTGTCTGCACACATTGTAATATGCCGTTCGTGATCATTCCAATCTAATAAGCCGTGGTTAGACATCCTTGATTCTTGGTAAAGATTGTACCGATCCTAGTTTATGCAGTATGTAGGGTCCTGCAGGCGTGGCTTACCATGCCGGCAAATGCCAAATAGTCATCTATCCAGAGCCTTCTTAAGACGAAATGCCTGGTATATAATCGAAGGCATACTGCCGCCGTTGCAAGAATCATGCATAGCACTACGGCCAATATGGTGTCACTGGAGCGATTGTCGTGTGGGAGGTCTTCGAATGCCAAGATGGCCGGTTGGCCGCTCATTCTCGTCGCCTAGCCCTCTGGGCTTGTCCGAAGAGTAATTGATAACCCCGAATACCTGGTTGAACGGTTTTCCACAGCATGAGGTTCCAACGTCATTTAAATTATATATTATCGACAAACGTACATGACGAAGTGTGGGGGAGGAGGAAACGAAGAGAGAAACAAAGATAACCAGCAGCGAGCTTCTCACTTTCCATGTGGAGTACTCCCATATAAGTTTGAGATCATACTCCTAGTCTCCCCACAACTTCATACGTGTAGTATTGCACTAGGATCGACGAAGCCGTTAATTCGGGGCTTTCGGGGGTCGTTGTTATTGGGGGGAGAGGCACAGACATACAGTAGGTGGTAATATGCAGTAAAAACGGTGATTAGTCCCCGGAACGATCTTAAGGTCACCTACCGCGCGATGGGAAAGGAGATTTTTTAGTGTAGGGGGACACCATCGTGAAAAAAAGCGGCTAATATGCGAATGCTTGGCTGGCACCTGAACCTGGTATTGCTGCAAGCACGCACGACAAACCATACCCTTTTCTGCTTCTCTGGGATAAGCCGGCCGATCTTTAAGAAGCTAGGCTGGGATGAACGATATCTGCGACGATGTCTAACGACTCTAGCCTTCTTAGCTGAGTTTATGGTGGGCTCGAGTTTTGCGAGTCTAGTCTTCTTTCGTGTGCGCAAGTCCTTCCTTTATTAGAGAATACCCATTTGAGAAACGGGACCAGGGTTGCCAGAACGACGATCCCAACGATCTTATTCGTCGTTATCTTACTTTGCCATGGGAGTTGGGCACGGTATCCCCGGGAATAACATTTGTCAGGGAGGTTGACGATGCGCATTAACACTAACGCAGCTCACAACTAGGCATTCTATGGAGATTCACTATTTCAATGTACGGGGCACATGTTACATATCATATGAAATTTATAATATTCTAACATCTTCTGCATCTATGTAGGCAAGTTTCTCTATTCAATAAATATGTATTAGTTATATCGTATATCTCTATCTTGGCTGCACAGAATTGGGTTACCGGAGGTCACAACGTTTCAACCCCCCCCGTCACATTCTACGAAACAAAATGTGTTGCATTGGGAGTGATGAGGTTCTTGGTCCGATGTCGACCCCTATAAAAACCGGGATTAAACCTGTTTCTAGAAACAGAACGATAGACGGCACTGCAACCAAGGGGCAAAGTACGTTACAGGAGACTTCTTTCGTCGGTAGCTCTTTATTTACCTACCTATTTAGGTATACATCGTATCTAAGTATGCATCGTATCTAAGTATTGCCCCTACCCAAGTACTTACCTCATCGTCGCCTAGTCTTCGTACATAAATGTTATAACCTGTCAAATCCTACGATCGCTAAGGCTGAACTTCCCCACGTGGTATAGTGTTGACAGCGGATCGTTCACATAATGTGCATACATACCATTTGACAATCCATCTGACAATCAATCAGCCTGTGCCAGGTTTCCAGTCTGAACTCCATTAAATAAATGACAAAAGCCATTGGTCTTAAGGGTCCTGTATGATAGTATCCACGCTGCGCTTTGATCTCTCTAGTGGATAACGCTTACTCTCAGCTCCCCTTGACGGCCTTGTCTTCTTAAATAGCACCTTGTCTTTTTATTAGTCTTTTGTCGTAAAAAGTCCGAAGAAGCTCTGAGGCACAGAAAATCAAGTCTCAAATGGGGATCGTCGAGTCATGCATTTTCAGCTTTTGTAATGCGCAAGAACCTAACCTGCTATGCAAGTAGCTCATAACTAATAGCTAATAGAAGTGTATCCCAAAACACTGCCAATCTAATAGTCAACACACCTAGTAATTAATAGTACCTGCAGCTGACTCGCATGCCGCATGTTTCAGAAATAGATTCCCACTCATCGCTTGTCCTACGATACCAAGCCTCCAAAATGTAGTTAGTGTTATCCTATCTTTAACTGGTTCATAAAAAGGGGTAACAAAGGCCTGAAGTTCTACAGCTATCATGATTCCGGAAGCTCATGCCATCGTAACTAGACTCTTCTCTATATCAATCCTTTTTATAACACCATCGATCATTGGCGCTATCTCAACTTGCTGCGGTATCTGTAATATTCCCACCATGATAGGCCCGTGTTTATTCAGTCGGCGGAGTTAAACCCGAAACGGGAAATGGATCGCGTGGGCCCCTAATACCGTGTAGACTTTCCCATGCCTTATCAACGTGATATAGCAGGGATAACTAAACGTTATCGTGCTCGATTCAATAACTATCACCGTCCTCAGACATCGTGCGAAGCGTTCTTGCTCCAGGATCGAATTCTTTCGCCATACTATTAGTTATTTCGGAGTCAGCTCCATACCTATCCATAGCTTGGGAGGATCGTGCACGCCCACCCAATAAAATATGAAAGGCACGGGAATAAACAGAGTAGCTAGGCCGCCCAGTAGCGAATTACCCGGACCAACCCCGAGCGAGCGGAATAGCGATTGCGCCTAGTACATAAACCCCATTTCGTTAGTGAGAGGAAATATAGAGCGAAAAGCGTACTTTGCTCCTTACAAAAAGCGGAAAGGTCGCGCCAAAAGAAGCACGGAACAACGCACTCCCCGCAAAGATGGACGCAGCGTACCGGGAGTACGTGATGCCCATGTAGTTGAACAGGGAGTTGAACAAGGTAACGACACCAATGGAGAACAAGCCGGAGCCAACGATGGGCACAATCCAGTGAACGCCTACTCGTGAAGTCCAGCCGAACCAAAATAGACATATCGGCAGTGCGAAGCACCCGATAAAAGTCGGCGGCAGAAACATCTCCGGCTTGAATTGCCCCGACATCATCTTAGGGAGCAGGCGCCGCTTGATCCACAGGAGAAACAGAGGCACGGAGATAGCGGCGAAGACCAATATTCCAATAAACACCAGGCCCTGCTGCCCGGAACTAAACCCGTAGATGCCGCCAAACACAATCGGGAACGACTCGAACCAGAGGAAGAGTAGCCCGTAGAGCAGGCCGGAGTACAGATCCATGAGCAGAACGATCGGCTCGAGGAAAGTCAGCGTGAACGCCCTGGCCAGCATCACGAGCGTGTCCCTCGCGGTATGGTGTGCACCATCGATCTCCGACTGGCTCCGCAAGCGCTCGTTGCCAGTCGCCTTCCGCAGCCGCCTCGCCCGGTTGTAGAGGATGTTGGCGGCGCTGGTCTCGGGGAGGCAGAAGAACATGCCGCCCAGCACGAGCGCGCACAGCAGCGTGAACACCCAGACCGTCCAGCGCCAGCCCATCGCCGGCGCGAGGAACCCGCCGACGAGGGGGCCGAACACGGGGCCCAGAACCCCCGCCGACGACCAGATGCAGATCAGGTACGGCACCGTGGTCGGCGGGTAGATGTCGGTGATGGTGCCGCCGCCGGTGGACAGGCAGGGGCTGCCGCAGAAGCCGGTCGCCCAGCGGAAGACGAGGAAGACGGCGGCGTTGGGCGCGAGGCCGACGGGCAGCTGGAGGAGGATGAAGGCCAGCAGCGTCCAGAAGAAGATGCGGCTGCGCCCGAGCTTGGGCAGCTCGGAGAGGGGCGACCAGAGCATGGGGCCGATGCCGTAGCCGCTAGTTTGGGGGGGGGGTTGCGATGTCAGCGACATTCCCATAACGGGGAAGAAGAAAAGGGGGCTACTTTACAGGGTGAAGAGTGAGAGGCCTAGGATTGCCACAGTCTCGTTGACGCCAAACTCCTGCATGAGGAGGGCTTCGCCGGGGACGTAGATGGAGCTCGCGATATACACTGCGAAGTTTAGAATGCACATTTGAAAGGCAATCAAGTGTTTCAGAGCCCCGGGCCAGTTTTGGGGGTTCTTTTGTGCAAGGTGTTGAGTGGTTAGCAGTAGCGTCGAGGACGGATTGAAGAAAAGGGGGCGGGGGGTGAAGCAGGGGAATATTCTACCTCGGGATCATCTTCGCCGTACCAGTCAACCAAGAGGGCATCTTGGCCAATACCGTTATCTGTGGTCGCTTGTTTGCACGGAAAATCATCCAAGACCTCCTTATCTGATCCGTGGGCCGGGTCGTTATTGTTGTCGCTTCGTTTGCGGGTGTCTGGCCTGTCTTGTCGGACTACCCTCTTCCACAGGGAGGGATCAACCTCGTCAGGATACCGGAAGAGTTTACCGCGCGAAAGAAGCCGCATCAGCTGGCCGAAAATGGTGCTTTGAGTGTGAAATACCATTTTAAACAAGGTCGGGTTGAAATAACGTAGGTTAGTTGAAGAAGAAATTATTTTCTAAGGACTTTTTGAACTTCTTACTGTTCTTCACCATTTATCGTGTATTGCCATCAGGAGCTTTGTCGCTGACCTATGGTTCGATCTGTGCTTGATGAGTGTATGCAAGCTGGACGGGGATAACGCTGGGGCCGGGCACAAAGTCCGGGTTCTAACGAATATCATTCAGTGAAGTCAATGGTAGATTATAATATACTTCACGGTTCTTATGAAAGGCAACTTATTAAGAAAAGGCAGTCTCAATTTATTCGAAGTAGGATTGAACAGGCTGCCGCCCTAGGCCTGACGGCAGTCCGTGAACTAACTGGCTGCACCCCCTCAACGACCTGCACTCATGACCAACTAGAAAATATCCGAAGCTTCCATCACTCATAGGCCTCATAAAGCTCTTTGTAGGTACTCCTGTCCCTTCATGCCCCTAGAAACATCGCAATCGCGAGGAAGAACAGCGCATATTGTTGTGACGCCAATGAAAGGCGGCGACCTTCTGACTTGAGATCAAAGGTTACCGTAGGTATCCGGACGCAGTCTGGTGGTGTAGTGGCTCGGCTGTCGAAGCATTTTAAAGCTCCATTGTCGTTCATAATGAGGCTATCTGCCGTTATGTCAGTTCCTCTTCCACCATTTATGTTTCTGGGGCACGAATACTTACTGGTGTTTACACTTGAGCATGTACGATGATGATGCCTTCTCTTTCCAGTGCACTCGCATACAAGTGTTGCATTGACAAGATTGCAACCAAGATAAAGGCATCCGTCTTGGAATGCGCCCCTGGAAGTATCTATTAGCTACCTAGTATATCAATCCGTGGACCGAGGATAGAAGTCAATTAGCGAGAAGAATGGATATATCTTGCTTACCCCTGCTTTGGTATGACAACTCTGCCATCAACACCATAGCACTGATTTAGGTTAAGGATGCTGCATTGAGGTGTTGCAGATGGCCCTTTGCAGTATGACCTCATGCTGATGCTGTCATTCACTACGACAATAGTCGAGTTCTGGCAGTCCTTCGTGTAGCCGCCATCTGCTTCCACCTTGAAGGCGAAGGCGAAGGCGAAGGTGACGAGAAGGGAAATTTGGTTAATCTTCATCGTGAGGGTCGCTGTAGCTGGTGAGGCGGATTAGAAACCGAACAGAGACTGAATATGTGTTAGAAAGGTTTTAAGGTTGAACTGCTACCTCCTTTATAAGATGGGTACATGTAAATGTAGTAGGTTAGTCTTTCAACCTTAGGAACAATGATGTTGGACGTCGTGCTCGGCTGGTTGGCTGGTTGGCTGGTTGGCTGATTGGTATATTTAACCTCTGGCAAGAGGGAAGGACCTGTCTTCACAACCTCCCAAGGGCTATGCTACGTGTAGAGCTCCCGAGAAGAGGAGAGAGAGACAGAGAGAGAACGTTGCACCAGTGTGGAATAAAGGAGATAAGAAAGATAGTAAAGAGAGAGATACCGGGTGTTATACTGATATGCCCGTCTGATTGCTTCACCTGTCGTACTCCACTGGTACGTAGTAGTAAGAGTTAAAGAATTTTTATTGGTTTTCAAGGGAAAGTTGATACTTTGTTGAGAAGATCGAAAGAAAGTGTGGTTTATATTTTGTACCTAGGGAACGGCTAGTTCATGAAGTAACTTCGAAAGGCTCTCGAATCATCAGCAATTTGGTAGGTACCTTCCTTATGTACTTAGGTTACTAGGTTAATATTACAATACATCCACGTATACCTAGGTCATTACAATGAGTCCTATTTGTGATGGCTAACTTGTGACAATGTGAGGTTACGAAGTTGGACTGATGCTTTCAATATAACCCACGACCCTCACTTGCATTGGTCTAACAATCACGGTGAGTTTGTGTGTAATAACTTGGAAGTTAGTCAGAACATGACAATGGCCAAGGCCTGACCTGGATAATGTCTTTGACCAACTACTTAGATAGGTATTGATAACTGTCAAAGCGGACAAAGAAAACTGACACGTTCAAAGAAGTTGAATGCTTCTATTCACTGCCTTGTTCTGTTCAGTCATGAGTATTTAAAGCCCTGGCAATGTAGCTCTGGAAAGTCTTAGGTATCCATAAAGATTCAGTGCGATATTTCTGCTAAGATGGCTCCCTTATCTCTCTACCTCACTCCCACACTTATTCAGGTGGCACTTGGTATACCCCTATTTCCTATCCACAGTCTCCCTGGACGGGAAACCACTGGAAATTTGACGATAGACAGTTGGTTGGAAAAGCGCCAGGAGCCAGGAGAGGAGCCAGGAACATATATGAACACTGCGGCTATCGTTGGTCTCATTGCTGGCTGTATCGTTATCTTGGTGTTGGTAATTTTACTCTTTTCGTGTGGCTGGTGCAAAAGATATCCAGGTGTTCGGAGAAGGCCTTAGTTAACTCACACAATTACTACGGTGGTGTCTAGGTGTCTAGTATGCAGAGCATAGTAGCTCATTTGACATTATGTGGGACAAAATACTTAGCTAACATATAGTTATGGGGGAGAGCGTAGTGAGGTGAGCTTCGAATAGAAATATCAGCTTCATAACTGTTGTAACTTACAAAATATTCTGTCGTGAATCTTGCTTAGACACATTTTGGATTAACAAACCGAAGGTTAGCCATAAAGTTAGTCATAATCTGAATAGTGATTTGATTTCTACATATGATTGCTTACATATTGGTTCTTTGAGCGCGGTGTTCTGAACTTTCTAGCGAATGGGGTTACTTATAGGGTAACTAGAATGCTGCAGACGTTTGGTATATAAGCTTCAACAACACTATAATCTAGCACATACGACCATAGGATTCGGAAAACTCGGGATCCCGTCCGCTCTCCCATAGATAAGCCGAATACCGCCAGATCAGTAGTTGGGTCGGTGACGACCAGCGAATCCCTGGTGTTGTATGTTTTTTTTGGTTCATTTTTTAGCCCCCCTTTTAACCTTAGGGGCTAATGCTTCGCACTACTTTTCAAAAGCAATGGGGCGCAACATTCAGCCTAGGCACCTACATAGCTACCTAGGTGACCTAGTAGCCCTGGAAGTTATAGGAGGCTAGCAGGAACACCTAGGTATCCATGGGTGCATAGTGTTGTCGACCACGTCTATTATAGACCTATGTACGTAGAGTCTAGGTGGTAAGATGGAATAATATACCTAAAAATGAACGAATCTCTAATATACTTGCACTCCCACGAACGACAAGTCTGGCATTGACTTTTATGTTCGGCGCGCTGTATATGGCAACTTTCTGCTTCTAAATGTTCATACTCAATATATTGAGCTGTAATTCGATGCTGAAGCTGTCTGAGTCATCATCTAGGACTTGATAGATATCTACCCAACTGTTGCAGCTTCTGCTGCAACCAAGAAGAAGAGGAAAGGAAGAAATCTTGCTTTATTCCTAACTACAGTGGCGGGGTGCCAACATATGGCCATATGGGCCATATGGCTCTAGTGGAGCCTATGGTGCCTGAGGCACCTGCAACAGTGTCCAGCTTCAAACGACTCAAATTGAGAAGAATCACGCTATCAACCCATTCTCAAGCACCTCCTATGATATCCCTCGCCGCCTTCTTCGATATCATAAACGTCGGCAGAACCGGGAAAGCCCCCGGCGGCCTGGGAAACACCGAGGCATCGACAACCCTTAGCCCCTTGACCCCCTTAACCCGGAACCTGGAGTCCACCACCGCCAACGGATCCGCCACGTCCCCCATCGCGCACGTCCCCGTCGCGTGGTGCGAGTACGCCTGGAGCTTCAGGTACTCCTTGACGTCCTCGTCCGCGCAGCCGGACGCGTCGCCGGCGCACGGGTGCAGCTCGTCGAAGGGCGCCAGGCCCGAGCTCTCCGGTAGCAGTAGCCCCTTCACCCGCTGCGCGAACTTGACGGCTTCCAGCATCGCCTGCAGATCCTTCTCGCTGTCGCCCTCGAAGAAGCGGAAGTTGATCTCGGGCGGCTCGAAGGGGTCGGTCGAGCGCAGGGTGACGGATCCACGGTTGGAGCTCCGCGGGTCCATGTGCACGAACGCCATGGTTAGTGTTTGGGGGCCGTAGCTGTCGGGGTACCCGGGCCAGAAGCCTTCGAATGCTGTGTTCAAGGGCCTGGAGGGTTTTCAACCGATGAGATTAGCGCTGCGACTTTTGCTTCCGCGACGGACGAGAAGATTGACTCACCAGAGGAAAATATCCCGATTCGCATCCGACGCCGAGGTTTTCAGCTGCACAACATAGGGGCCATTCAATCCCTCAAACGGCTTCGCCGCCATCGACAACACGCCACCCTCGTAATTATCTCCCAGGTTCGCGCCGACGCCCGGCAGGTCAGCCACCACCGAGATATTGAGCTTCTCGAGCTCCTCCGCCGGCCCGACGCCATTGAGCTTCAAAATCTGCGGGGTGTTGAAAGTGCCGCCGGCAATAATAAGCTCCTTCCCGACCCAGGCGAAGCCAGCCGTTGTGTTCCGGCTCGGATCGTACCGCGGGTCCGCTTTGTAGGCGCTGGGGCCGGTCACCCAGTCGACGGCCATCACGGCGGGCTGCTCGGTTTCCTGCAGCTGGTCCCATTGGATGTTGGTGAGGAAGGAGTTCAGCTGCACGGTTAGGGGTAGGTCCGGGTTCTCCTTGAACGCCTGCTTGATGTAGTTCGCGGGGCTGAACCGGTGGCCGGCGGCGTCGGTGTGCCCGGCGATCCCGAATATGCCCGTCATTTGGTCGCGGTCCGGCTCGGGCCCATTGATGTCCCTGCTCACGAGCATCCGGAGGTCGGCGTCGGATATGGCGGATCCGTTCGCGTTTCCCACCGGGTCAGATGCGGCGGCGATCGCTCTGAGCAGTGTTGTCCCGTCGGTGGCGTTTCCGGGCCAGGAGCCAGGCGCTTGATTGCTGTCTAACCACCCGGAGAAGCCATGTCCAGCGGTGCCATTGGCTAGGTAGTGACAGTTTTCGATTTCCTCGAGAATCTTCCGCATCTCAGGAGCCCTCCATGACTCGTCGCCGGTGATTTCCGCAATGTGATTCCAGTTGTCGTCGCTCGGTAGGTGCAGCACGGCAGCATTGTGCATAGCGCAGCCACCCAGGACTGCTGCGCGGGGGTAGTATATGCCGAGCTGCTCGGCGCCGTCAGGGGGCTCTCGTCCGACGTAGAACGACCCATTGGTGGTGCGCCATGTCATGTGTTCGTACTGCAGCTCCCTCTCCGGGTCGTCGGAGTGCTTCACGAAGAAATCCCATCTGGTTCTGGGGTCGTTGCTGGCCTCCACAAATCGGCTGGTGTCCTGGTACAGTGGGTCTTCGGAGAGGTCGGAGCCAGCCTCTAGCAGCAGCGTTATAGCTCCGGATTTCGCGAGTTCCACTGCCAGCGGCCCACCCCCTGGCCCCGAACCTACCACGATATAGTCGAATTTTGTGTTTTGGGCTGCCGCATAGTTTGTTTTTGATACTAGGGCCAATAGCCATAATGGAAGGGATTTTAGCATGGCTACAGTTCTACCTGTGCATTAATAATGGATCGGGACTCTGCGATGATCCACTAGACAGACTACCATCTCAATATTGGGGAAAGCTACCCACGTTTTATTTACATCTTTGCTGATTTATTTGCGGTCATCTATACTATCCCCTCCTTGCTACACGATGGATATATCACCTTAACCAAGCCAATCGTAGAGATAGCATATAACAGTATCCCATTTCAAGTGTTACTTGTCGTCGCAAATTCATTTGTGATATATTAATGGAGCGGAAAAGATGAACGGTGCCTAGGTAGTCTTAGCTTCGATGTCCAGATTCTTAGCATATGCCAAATATCGATGTGACCAGCGATAACATAAAAACGTACTAACCTTAGCCTGCTAGTAACCACATTTAGCCGCGGTACTTGATTCTGCCGAACAAAGCAATCCGTTTGGAGTTTTCGGTGGGCGCGGAGCGGAGTTTGACACTTTTTACCGGATCAAAATAGATCCTCTTGAGCCCACCTAAGTCGCATACATGGCCTACGTAGTGTCTTGAAATTAGAGGTCCATGGCTACTGATATGCTGGATGTGAGACAGCATGTGGCAGTGTGGTCGTCGTCCATGGAAGAACAAAGCCCCTGTCGCAGAAGGATTTGTAAACAGGACTGGCCCCCCTCCCCTTTTTCTGCGAGTTTCGGGATCTCTTACTAACTAAACTCCACTCAAGTGGCTCCATATCGAAATCCTTTAGCGTTTGGCTTTTAGTTCGATGCCGAGAAGCAGTGTAACTCCTTCTAGCTATGTATGTAACATTCAACGTACACTGCCCTCGAACATTCGACAGACCGGGGTCGTCATAGTTTAATCCATGACGTTGAGGTGAATAACTGATGCAACGGAGCTTTAGAAAGCTGCCGAACCAAACTGAAAATATTTATAACTACTTACTTACTCCCCCCTCGATTCGTGATTTACCAAGCCATTGAACTATTAAATAACCCATCAAGCCAGCTGATCTTTTATTATAACCAAGTACATACTCCACCCTAATCATATCACAATATAGCAAACATGGCACCTACAAGCACGAAGCAATGGTCTGTCGGAGGAACGGATAAGGGTTTCGACGGCCTATCATTTGTCGAAGCCGAGATTCCGAAACTGGGAGAGAACGATGTTCTCGTCAAGCTACACGCCGCTTCGCTAAACTACCGAGATCTCATCATCCCTCTCGGCAAATATCCCTTTCCCGCCAAATTCCCTGTGATCGCGGGGTCTGACGGCGCAGGAGAGATTCTAGAGGTTGGAGCTAAAGTTTCCAAATGGAAGAAGGGCGACAAGGTTGTCACTCTGTTCAACCAAGGCCACCAATATGGCCCCGTGCACAATGCCATGATGGCGACTGGCCTAGGTGGTGCTGTAGATGGCACGTTACGCCAGTATGGTACCTTTAACGAGAATGGTTTGGTTCGAGCGCCCAGCAATCTTAGCTATGAGGAGGCCTGCACCCTGACGTGCGCCGCCCTGACGAGCTGGAATGCTCTTTACGGATTAAAGCAGGTGAAGCCAGGACAGACGGTGGTCGTTCAAGGAACGGGAGGTGTCAGCATCTTTGCTCTCCAGGTACGTTTTCTTATTACCTCCACCACTATCGCAAACACATGACCCCCCTCTTACCTCGGCATGATGTAAACTTACCCTCTTTCAATAGTTGGCAAAGGCTGCGGGGGCCAAGGTGATCGCAACCACATCGACCAAGGAGAAGGAAGAGACGCTGAAGAAGCTGGGTGCGGATCACGTCATCAACTATAAGGAGGACCCCAACTGGGGTGAGACAGCCAAGAAGCTCACGGGTGGCGTGGGTGCCGACCACGTTATCGAGGTGGGTGGCGCGAACACGGCCGAGCAGAGTCTCAAGGCGATCAAGTACGAGGGCATCATCAGCATCATCGGGTTCCTCGGTGGCGCCAAGGTGAACGCGAGCATCATCGAGTGTCTCGTCAGGATATGCACGACCCGTGGTGTCTACGTTGGCTCCAGGGAGCAGATGGAGGACCTGGTGGCGGCTATTGAGGCCAATGACATTCACCCCGTCATCGACAAAACGATCTTCAGCTTCGATAAGTTGAAGGAGGCTTATCAATATATGGTAAGTTAATAACCTTCCTACTCTCTAGAGTTATATTTCGAAGTCCGCCGTACTAATACCTTCTCTCTTTTTCCTTTTAATAGTGGGAGCAGAAGCATTTCGGCAAGGTGGTCATCAAAATAGAATAAATGCCCAATCTACCAGGCCGAGCAGGTACCACTCTAGTAACTTAGATAAATAAATACTCGATTGATACTCACCTATACTATACATGAGTCATGATTGTTGTACCTGGATGAATATTGTTGTTTGCGTTGGAAACGACCGCTGACTCAGGAGTCAAAAGGGGTTCGTATAACGTCCCCGCCTTTCCGCGATAGTTCATGCCGACGAACCCCGCGTCCTAACCTTAGGTGTTGTGTTGTACCTCCTGGCCGACATCACACCTCACTCTGTTTCCATGAATTACTATATAAAGGAGCAAGTATTTCCAAGCTCCCGCGGACTTAATGTAATCATATGTGATACTGAAACACTGAATAATATCGAATAATATTAAACACATGCCTATGAAAGTACTGCGAAGTAACCAGAAAACCTACATATAGAGCTCACTTCTCGGCCTTCCTTCCGAAAATCGGCGTCTCGGTTACGCCGCATCGCATTTCTGGTTTTCATTTTCTTTCAGGTAGGACTGAACGATTTATAAAATCTTCCGACTGGCATATACGTATGCGATACGAAATAAAGGGGACAACGACAACTACCCCGCGCTAAGTGCCTAACCTAACGGTTACACGACGTAGCTAATAAACCCCCTATTCACGACCCAGGTCACACAATGGCGCCCACCGTCCTCCTCATCGGGACCCTCAGCCACACGAACGCAGAATGGGAGGCCCTGCGCAGCAAGTACACGCTCCTTGAGTTCCGCACGGGGACGCGGGCGCAGTTCCTCGAGAACTGCCGGAACGGCACCTACGCCGCCGTGCGCGGGTGCTACCGCTCCAACGCCTCGAACCCTATCACGGGGGCCTTCGACGCGGAACTCGTCTCCGCGCTCCCGCCGTCCTGGAGCTTCATCGCGCACAATGGCGCCGGGTACGACAACATCGACGTGGATGCGTGCAGCGCTCGCAGGATCGCCGTCTCTTCTACCCCCGGCGCCGTCGACGACTCCACGGCCGACACCGCGGTGTTCTTGATGCTGGGAGCCCTGCGCCAGGCCCACGAGCCGCTGGCTGCGCTGCGCGAGGGCCGGTGGAAGGGCGACGCGCGGCTGGGCCACGACCCTCGCGGAAAGGTTCTCGGGATCCTGGGCATGGGCGGGATTGGGCGCGCGCTAGCCCACCGCGCCCGCAGCTTCGGCATGCGCGTCATCTACCACAACCGCCGGCAACTAGCCGACCCGGCGCTGGAGCAGGGCGCGCAGTACGTGTCCTTCGAGGAGCTGCTCGCGCAGGCCGATGTGTTCTCGCTGAACCTCGCGCTGAACGCGAGCACGCGGCACATCATCGCCGCGCCGGAGCTGGCGAAGATGAAGAAGGGGGTCGTGGTCGTGAACACGGCGCGCGGCGCGCTGATCAACGAGGCGGATCTGGTGGCGGCGCTGGAGGCGGGCCAGGTGGCGGCGGTGGGGCTCGATGTTTTCGAGAATGAGCCGGAGGTGCATCCGGGGCTGGTGAGGAGCGATCGCGCGTTCTTGCTGCCGCATATGGGGACGAGCACGTTCGAGACGCAGCGGGATATGGAGCTGCTCGCGTTGAGGAACTTGCAGACGGCGGTTGATGAGGGGAAGATGCTGACGTTGGTTAGGGAGCAGAAGGGCTTGGAGTGGGCGCCAAAGGAGGCGGTGGCGAAGGCGGATTGGTAGGATGCGGAGGATAGATGTAGGTAAAATGACATGGAATTAATAAAAATATGATATATAGAATATGTGGTGAATATTTGTGTATTCATTCATTCCCATCCATGTAATGGAGAGTGGCATTTCACCCACCACCACCGCCAATACCATTACCCTTAGGCGGACAGTATATATACTTTAATTAGAACACATCCTGTCACGTACGACCATAGGACTTGGAAAACTCGGGATCCCGTCCGCTCTCCCATAGATAAGCCAAGTACCGCCAGATCAGTAGTTGGGTCGGTGACGACCAGCGAATCCCTGGTGTTGTACGTTTATTTCCTTTTTTTCTTTTTTCTTTTCTCTTTGGTCTCCATTTATTTCTCTTTTTTGATTTCTACTTCTGACAGGATGGTAGCAGCCGTAAATCCTTAGACGCTCTGGTGGTCTTTTGCCTCCCTTGACGGTGAGGCACGCTTTAGGTCGCTCGCTCGCCCTAATGCGAGTCTGGTACTGCTGGTTTCCGGTTACCCGGTATAATCCTTTTTACTACAGCATCATGCCATATTCCCCCTGTGTTTTTCCAGAATTCGTACTAAGTACTTATCACAAACCAGTTATGGCAGTTACAGCCGTTATTCCTACTTAATCATAGACTCATTTTTGGAAAGCCTAGAACCGATAATTGGGAAACTGTCGATCATGTTACCGATTAGCATGGCAAGGTATCTTGGAATCATCTGTGCCACACGATTTAGAAGGCTTGGGCGGGTTTGGTGACCTAACCACCCACCTATCAGCGTTGCCTCTAGCTGCAATACATCTGCTTCCCCAGACCCGACTCCAAGTGTCTTATCAGTTCCCCTCACGACGCCAAATCAGGGGCCCCTACACATTCCCTAGCTATTGGGGGAAGCGTGATGTAACTCAGCATATCCAGGTACGATAGATACGAGGAGGTACCTTATAAAATGAAAGACATCTATAGATTATGTAGAGTTAACAGTATTCTACTCAACTTTCAAGTAAAACAGAAAGAGGAGAACAAATGAAGAATGCCGACTCTTGAACGTATCCTCATCGCGAACCGCGGTGAAATCGCCGTGCGATGCATCAACGCATGCAAGAAGCTCTCTATCACAGCTACTACCATCTTCACAGCAGCTGATGCGGCTTCACTTCACGTCCGCCTCGCGGATAAGAGTGTGTTGCTAGAGGGAGAAGGACCCCAGGCCTATACTGATGTGTAGGTCATGCCCACCACACTTCGCCCCCTTTTTTTCTCTTACAACAACCTTGCACATCTAGCTAACTCGGAGTGAATAAAGCGATGCGATCCTAAGCATATGCAAGAAGCAAGGCATCCAGGCCATCTTCCCAGGCTATGGATTTCTCAGTGAAAATGTCGACTTTGCGCGTCGGGTCCACGAAGCCGGTATGGTCTTCATCGGGCCCGATAGTGAGTCCATCCACAAGATGGGCTTGAAACACATAGCGAGAGATCTGGCCATCGCAGCAGACGTCCCCGTCATCCAAGGTTCCGGATTACTCGGAAATGCGGAAGAGGCTCTTAATAAAGCACGGGATATGGGATTTCCTGTAGGTGTCATTCATACACTCACGTATTCACCTCTTTAAAGTTTCGACTCAAAGAATTATTCCCTGATTTTACATTGACGTTTATATGTGTTTGCCTAGATCATGCTTAAAGCGTCCGGTGGCGGCGGCGGAATGGGTCAGCAGGTGTGCTGGTCCGAAAGCGAAGTCACATCAGCGTTTGCAAACGTGGAAAGCCGGTCCAAACAACTATTCCACGATACCGGAGTGTTCATGGAAAAGTACTATCCCACAAGTCACCACATCGAAGTTCAAGTCTTTGGCAATGGATCCGAAGTGATAGACTTTGGTGAGCGAGAATGCAGCATTCAGAGACGCCGCCAGAAGGTGTGTGTGAACATTCTCAGAAGATGTCACCTATGCTAATATTCTCTTAGGTCATAGAAGAATGTCCAAGCCCCTTTTTAGCGGACAAGCCTGACCTTCGCAAACGCCTCATCGCCTGTGCCGTGATGCTAGCGAAGTCCATCAACTATCGCTCAGCTGGAACGGTAGAGTTCCTGGTTGACGACGAAACAGGCAATTTCTTTTTCTTGGAGATGAACACACGTTTGCAGGTCGAGCATGGCATTACCGAGCTTTGCTACGGTGTCGACCTTGTAAGCCTGATGCTGCAACAGGCTAGTTATCAGTTCGCCGGAGAAACCGGCATCTCCTCTAGCGAGATGTCGGAACTTCTAACGAAGACCCCGAACGGCACGGCGATTGAGGCTAGAGTGTGCTGTGAAAATCCGGCTGATTCGTTCATGCCTAGTTCGGGTCATGTCCAGTCTGTCGCTTGGCCCGATGAGCAAACTCGGATAGATACGTGGATACAGCTTGGGACTTTCGTAAGCCCCTATTTCGGTGGGTGAAGCTTATACTTATTCGCTTGCTGTAACTCCTCTGACATATCATGCCGCAGACTCGTTGGTGGCCAAAATTATGGTATATCGCCCTACACGGGAAGCCTCCATTTCGGCGATGCAGGATGCATTGAGCAAATCAGAAATTGGCGGACTGACGACGAACTTGTCATTTTTGGGCGCAATCTTTGCTTCGGAGGGTGAGCAGTGCAAGTCGTCCACTATAGGAGGCTATATTCACGACTAACTTACCTTTAATACAGCATTCTCCAGTGGGAAAACTCTCACAACATTCTTGGATACTCAGTTTACGTATCAACCTACGGGGATCCAGATCATTACACCAGGAGCTTTCACTACCGTACAACAGGCTCGGCCGCGAACGAGGAAAGGTTATGGGGTGCCAATAAGCGGTCCGATGGACGACTTATCTGCATCCAGTATGGCCCCTTCCCTTACCCCTTATTTCCAAGCCCACCGCCAATCTGTAATTAGATCTTTGTTAACTCTCGCGCAGTTGCAAACCTACTTGTCGGCAATCCAAAGGATATAGAGTGCCTCGAAATCACCGCAATAGGCCCCGAGCTGCACTTCTACAGCCCAAGCGTCATTGCTATTGCTGGCTCCCCGTTCTCTGTCGAGGTAGACGGAAAGCCAACGGATATGTGGTCCAGAATTGTGGTGAAGGCGAAACAGACACTCAAGATAGGAGCGTCCGCCAGTCCAGGGGGTCGATGCTATCTCGCTATCCAGGGAGGGCTTCCAGGCGTGTAAGTGCTTCAGAGATGCAATTCACCATGCAACTAGCTAACCTTTGTAACAATAGGCCAGAATGGCTCGGATCCAAGTCCACTACACCAAGTTTAGCACTGGGGGGCATTCAAGTAAGTGCAAAGACTAGAAGCACGCAGTCCTGTACGATAGAGTCGCTAAAAACATCGTAAGGGTCGAACACTCCGACGCGGAGACCATCTCGATGCGAAAAGTCTCCAGCATTCTGATCTACCCACACCATACACTCTCGATCCAAAACTGGTTCCTCCCGTCAATGCCGAAAGCATCTACGTGATGCACGGCCCCCACGACTCCGACGACCTCATAACCGCCGCTGGCCGAAACACCATTTACTCGAGCGAGTGGGAAGTAGACTACAACTGCAACCGAACCGGCGTCCGTCTGATCGGTCCTCAGATTGAATGGGCGCGCACAGACGGGGAAGAAGGCGGCAGCCATCCGAGCAACGTGGTCGACTACCCCTATCCCGCTCCAGGGGGCGTGAACTGGACCGGCGACAGTCCTGTGATATTCCCGCAGGATGCGCCCGGGCTAGGCGGTTTCGTGTGCTCCTCCACCGTGGTCTCGGCCGACATGTTCAAGCTAGGGAAGCTCAAGCCCGGAGACAAGACTAAGTTGTTCCCAATATCCTACGAGTCTTCCCGCGAGTTGGCACAGGGGAAGGCAAGGTTCCTTGCCGCTGTGGAAAAGCACATATCTAGCGGTACTCTGGATATCGAGGATCCCTTGTCGCTGCTCAGGGTAGAAAAGGGGAAGCCAGATACAGATGCCATATTAAAGGTCATTCCAGGTAGTGGTTCAGGACCCACGATAACATTACGTCACGTACGCTGTTTTTGTCTCCCTATCCTTAGTAAAAGTTCTCTCACTGACATTCGCGCCACAACTGTACGTAGGGTGGCGACCGATTCATCATCATCAACGTGAGCTCTCAGAAAGTCGGCCTGGACACTTCAATTGCCTCCAATCTTCTAGCCAGAGCAATCGAAGGCTTCAACGTTCCGGGTACCTTTGTGCATGTGAACATCAACTGTAAGTACCTACAAATTCCAAGTCCCATATCGTACCTACCTACAAAAGCTAATACCATTCTCTACAGCTATCATGGTAGAATACGAACCCGACCAAATCACCCAACCCTCCGTCGTCCTCCTGATCTCCAACTCCCACCGCCAAAGCAGCGCCTTCGAAAAGCCCCTCCCAACCCGGCACATCACCCTCCCGATCGTCTTCAACCACCCCTCCATCCACGCCGCCGAGCTCCGATACCAAACCCTGCAGCGCGACCAGGCCGTCTACGTCCCGGACAACGTGTCCTACGTGGCAGACAACAACGGCCTCCCCTCACGCACCGCCGTCTTCGACGTCCTGCGGCAAACCAAGTTCCTCGTCGTCGCCGTCGGCTTCATGACCGGCCTCCCCCTCCTCTGGCCCCTCAACCCCGCCGCGCGCCTCACCTCGCAGAAGTACAACCCGACGCGCATCGCCACGCCGCCCGGCACCGTCGGCCTCGGCGGCGGGCTCTTCTGCGTGTACCCGACGGAGCAGCCGGGCGGGTACATGATGCTGGCGCGGTCGGTGCCCGTGTGGGACACCTACGCGCTGCGCCCCGGGTTCCGCGCGCGCGGCACGCCGTGGCTGTGCGAGCCCTTCGACATCGTCGAGTTCGCCGAGGTCACGCTCGACGAGTACGCCGACGCGTGCCGCCGCTTCGACGCGGGCACGTACGACATCGCGGTGCGGCAGACGACGTTCGACGTGCGCGCCGAGCTGGAGCGGGAGCGGCTTGGCAGCGAGATGCCCGAGGCGGTGGAGTTCCGCGCGAAGCAGGCGGTTGCGGCGGAGAGGACGAGGCTGCGCGAGGAAGGGCTGTATGCGGAGTGGCAGCGCCGGGTGGAGAAGGACCGCCCGAGCGCGCCGGTGTCGGTTGAGGACAAGCCGGGGGTTAAGGTGGCGTCGCCGCAGATTGGGAAGGTGTGGAAGGTTTTGGTGGAGAAGGGTGAAAGGGTTGGTAAGGGGAAGGCGCTGGTGGTGCTGGAGGCGATGAAGTTGGAGATCGAGGTGCTAGCGGAGGAGGCGCATGATGGGTTGGTGGTGGAGGAGGTGCTGGTGCAGGAGGGAACGTTGGTGTCGCCGGGTACATCGCTCGTTTTGCTTGGGAACCCTACTTGATAACGTAGTTGAGCATGCAGTATAAGGTTGTTTCAAGGTAGAAGGTATATATGTAAGCGGTAATTGATACATTTCTTCTGTGTATGTGGTAATGGATCCATCTACCCCTTATTTTGAACATTAAATCTTCAGGGGGTGATATCTTTGGACCTTAGGTACAACCCTGGAGGTACGGAGCAGCTATTTACAGCGCTGTTAAATCCAGTCAGCGCTCTAAAGGATTGACTTTTAGCGTGGTGGGCCGGCTACTATAGGCCTTGGGAATTTCCCCTTCAAGCTGCATGCAGCGTATGTAGATAAGAGCCTACCAATAACCAGACCGGGCAATGGGTGATCGAAGGATACCTGTGACGTGTCGGCTTTGCAGGCTGCGGGGTTGACATATATATAGAGAAGAAAGAATATATTATTCTCAATTCCGACAAATACCTATGAGTTGATACCTACTCTCAACTCCGTCGTCTGCAACTCAACTCCGATAGCAAAACCCGGAAACCTAGAAGTCTTTAACCATGGGTCAAATAGACGGGTGGGAGATCAATTGTGACATGGGAGAGGGATTTGGAAGATGGAAGATGGTAAGTGCCTAACCAGTACCTACCTACCAGTATAGCAACCATCCACCCCTACTACTAGGCACGCTACGATGCTCTCTTTGAAGATTGAAAAAGCTCACATGACAAAGGGCCCCGACGAAGAATTGATGAAACATGTCGACGTCGCCAATGTCGCCTGCGGCTTCCACGCCGGCGACCCCTCCACCATGGTGCGAACTGTGCGTCTCGCCAAGCAGCACGGCATCCGCGTCGGCGCGCACCCAGGGATGCCGGATCTCCTGGGCTTCGGGCGGCGGCGGATGGCCATTGCGCCCGAGGACATGTACGCCGCGGTGCTGTACCAGGTCGGCGCCTTGTCCGGCATACTCGCCGCGGAGGGCATGCCGCTGAACCACGTGAAGCCGCACGGGGAGCTGTACTTCTTCGTCCAGCGGGACGCGGCGATCCGCGACGCCGTGCTGCGGGCCGTGCGCACTTTCAACGTGCCCATCTATGGCCTGCCGACGCCGCAAATGGTCGCGGACTGCGAGCGCGTCGGGGTGGAGCTGATCCCGGAGTTCTACACTGACATCGACTACGACAGCCGGGGCGCGCTCGTGCCGGTGGCGGAGAGTGTTCCGGTGTCGCCGCAGATGATCAGAGACCGCATCCTCATGATTGCCATCACGGGACAAGCTAGATCCGCGACGGGAACAACAGTGGACATACCGTTGGGTATGGGCGGGTTCAGCATATGCATCCACTCGGACTTGCCGGGTGCGTTGGAAAACGCGAAAGCGGCCAGAGCGGCTGTCAATGAGGTTAAGAAGGGGATACGTATTAGTATATACTAAGTACCTAGGTAGATACCTGCCTAGATAGCTATTAAGTCCCTAACCATAGTGTGTTCATATTGTATTGTACCTATTGACAGCATCTAAGTAGGTAACCTACTTATTTGGATGATGAAGAAGACGATCAGCGACAATGGCATGAATCACGAAAGAATATACCTTAGGTAATCACCAACATATGATTGTTTGCAGCAGTCTTTAGGTACCTACTCAACATATTTATTTCATTTATTTATTGCATCCCCCGAAGAACTCAAACATCTACATACCTGATACCAAGCCAAACCAAGCCAACGAAATCCAAAAAGGGACAAGCTCGCCCCTTAACCCTGCGCCGTCGACTTAGCCAGCGGCTTCAGCCCCTCCTCAATATACGCGCTGGACCTCCAGCCCGACCAGTCATGCGTCAGCAAGCCCCAGCTCTCCTCGAAGTCCTGGGTGCCCGAGCGGATGTAGTAGCTCCCGGCGATGACCCAGATGAACCAGCCGGCCTTCTGCTCGGCGAGGTACTCGGCGATGCAGGTGGAGTAGATGCCGCGGTACGCGGTGCCGGTCATGTCGAAGCCGAACTCGGTCAGCAGCACCGGGAACACGTTGACGGCCTTGGAGTCCTCGGCGTGCAGGGCTTGGAACCCGTTGTTGTACAGCGAGCTCTTGAGGCTGTCGCAGCTGCCGGCGCTGTTCGCGTAGTTGTGGATCTCGATCACGAGCTTGTTGTCGTAGCCGCCGAAGTCCGTCTTGCTGAACTTGCCGCTGCCGGGGGACAGCGCGGTCCCCTGCACGACGGGCGTCATGTAGGTGTCGTAGTCCAGGCCGGACAGGAAGATCAGCAGGTCCGGGTTCGCCTTGTTGATGGCCTCGGTGCCCTTCTTGACGTTGGTGTACCACGTCTCCCAGTTGTAGGTGGCGCTGAGCGTCGGGTTGTTGTCTGTCTTGCGCAGCTCGTTGCGCAGAGACATGGAGGTCAGTGCGGGCCAGTTCTTGCCGTGGTTGGCCATGTAGGTGAGGCCTCGGACCCAGTTGTCCACGTCTGCGTTGAATGTTAGCTGCCTAGCCCCTTGAATAAAGTAAAAAGTCTGGGCGAAAAGGGGGGGAGATGGATGTCTCCGCCCATCTTCACGTACTGTAGTCCCTGTCACCGAACCAAGTGTTTCCATCATTGCTCGAACAACACCACGCTCCTTTCGACATATGGTTGTCCAAGTGCACAAAGATGTTCTGCTTCAAGCACTCCGCCGCAACGGCGTCGAAGACCTGTAGCCGGGTTGTAGAGTCGTTGAAAGAAGGGTTCTTCGCCAGGAACTCGGCATACACTTTAGGCCCGTTGGTCGAGCCGAGCGCCTTGGTGAACGAGTCCTTCACGGTCGTGTCCTTGCCCCCATTGGCGTAGATATCGTCGATTAGCTGGATGGCATAGGTCAGACGAATGGCGTTCATGCCCGTGCTCTTGATCTTGGACACGATGGTCTCGATGGACTGGTACCGCAGGCCGTCGGGGATCATGACTTCTCCGTGGCCAGGCCAGTTGGCGCCGGCGTAGACGACATTGTCGCCGCGGGAGTTCTTCATGTCACGGCCGGAGGTGACAAGTGGGCCATACGGCCAGCTGTCGGCACGTGCTTCGACATTGGCCGTCACCTTCAACGGCGAGGCCGATGTGAAAGATGAGAGCAGGCCGCCGCTCAAGGCGAGCAGCGACACGAGAGACGATCGGATTCCTGAGTGCATCGTGATGAGATGATAGGATAGATGAGATGGCACAGCAACAAACAATCCCTGAGGAGACGATCCTATCTGTCACTTGCTGCAAGGTACGAGGTGTTCCGTGGGAGGTATGTAACATATATACCTAAGATCGCCAAGCTGCCATCCATCGCAAATTGCCTCCGTGCAATGCATTACCTCTTCTGGGCCCCTAGGTGGTACCCGGGAAATATTGATGATTTGCCTCTTACCAACTTACCAACCTACCACAACATCTCGTGAAATTGGGGTATAGGCGTACAAGGTTGGGTCCCTTTACGAGGTTTTGGACGAACCAGGGGCACGACCAAGCTTTTTGGGGACTTCGTGGAAACATCTTGCCGAGCGGCCGACTTTTCACCACCTCTCATATTGCCCACTTGTTAGAGCCCCTTTGAGCCCTATGGAAGAAGCATACATATAATAGGTATGTGTGCCCAATAGACAGACACATATGTAACCTGTGATCACGGCCTATGGTAGCATCCATAAAGGGGGCAGAGCGGGCTTAGTTACTCGAGGGGGAGTTAGTAAGTGTGGGGGAACTGGGGGTATCGTCTAATACGTCCAACGCCAAGCAGACGCTGGGCCTCCGATGGGCGAGCATAAAAGAACATATTCCCGCCGTCTTCATCCAGATTGCCGGCAATTTTGTCCCCACATCGACGGGACCAGCCAGTAGCAGCGACGCTGGGCCAGAACTGATTCGACCATCTGACGATCATAGGCTGCTTAGCTTCCCAAGTTGTGCTGGGCGATGGCCCGTTGCCGTTTTCTCCCATTGGCTCGCAAGAGATTTAAGCATGAATGTTCAAGACTTGCAGAGGGGAGCTAGTCAACTTATAAACAATAAGAGTGCCAATGACACGTTAGCACGGGTTCCAAATATATTCGTATTGTAGAACATGTGCATCTTGGCTACCGTGATTTTCCACTTCTTGTCTTGGGTGATTGCCATAAGCTGGGTTTTTTACGAGTAAACACATACAACACGTTACTTTTCAACATCTACAACCCTTTCCACGCTTTTACTATGGTTACCTAGGCGCCTAGACATCCAACACGCAAATGGATCGATCGATATCGATCAATCAAGCCCTTTTCCTAAACTCAACCATCGGGCCATCCTTCATGCTCGTGAACTGATCAATCAGCTGGAACTCATCCACGCGCTGCCGTCCCCACTCCAGATCCGGGCTCCCCTCCGCAGGGTCGAAGCCCGCCGCCTTGCGCAGGTCATACATGAACAGGACTCTCGCCAACGTCGTCATCATCTCCACATACGCCAGGCCTTTTCCAATGCATCCTCTAGGCCCCACCGAGAAGGGACAGAAGGCGCTCTGCGCGAGCGCCACGTCCTGCTCCGTCACGACGTCCTCGCCGCCACCGGCGCTGAAAGTCTTGCGCGCGCCAACAACCCAGCGCTCGGGGATGTACGAGAAGGGGCGCGGGTAGTAGGCGGGGTTGTGCTGGACGGTGTAGTGCGGGGTGCCGACGACTGTGCCCTCGGGGAGGGGCTCGCCGTCGATCGTGATGCCGCCCTTCAGAACCTCGCGCGGGAGAATGCCGCCGACGGAGGGTGACATGCGCATGGCCTCGTCGATGCAGGCGCGGAGATAAGCGCACGAGTTGAGCGCTTGGCCCTGGCAGATCTCCTCGGCGTTGCTGAATCTGGCGCGCACCTCTTCGGTTGCCTTTTGCAGCGCGGCTGCGTTGCGCACGATGTAGAATAATGTTGCCGCCATTGCCGTCGATGTCGTGTCGCTTCCCGCGATGATGCTGTAGAAAAGGGTTAGCGAGATGTATCTCATCATGCGCATTACCTGCCTCGATATACATACAGTAAGTTTGATTCCCCCCACAACTCAGGCGTTGCGAATCCCATTCCAGTTTCGGGGTCTCGCGCCTTGAGCAGATGGTAAAAGAAGTCACGGCGATCGGTGTCGTCGCCTAGCTTTGTACGTTCCGTCAACTGGGCTTTGCTGTACGCCATGTACTTTTCTCGGCCGGTCGCGATCTTATGGAACAGAACTTTGTCGAGATGGAGCTTGCCCACGAGCGGCATAGTTCCGCACTGGTACAATTAGCAAGCCAGTATGAAGGTATGGACAGAGAGAGATACTTACAATAGAGTGCCTAGTAGTAGCCATCGACACCAAGTCAAGCGCATATCGGTTATCTGGTCGTTCTAGCATATGGAATGCTTTGCCGAAGCACAGGTCGCCGAGAATATCCATAGCGAGGTAGTTGCACCAATCGGCCATGTTCTTAGGTACAGTCCATCCCTTCTGTTCTTCGCTGGCACCGAGCCCGATCTGCTCGCAGAATGATCGCACGTTGGCTAGAATATACTTCTCCATCTCCTTGATCGCACTATCAGAGAACGCCTGCGATAACACTCTCCTCTTTCGAGCGTGCATGGTCTTGTCTCGCGTGTTGTGCGTGTTCGGTGCCGGGTGGACGAATGCATCGTAGAACTCGGCTTTGCGCACGTTGGACTTGAAGCCATATATGTCTTTCAAAGCCGCATTCGAGTTGAAGGAGACGCTGTTTGGGCCGAATCTTACTACCTTGCCTAGGAGAGTAGATGTTAGTCGACTAGGAGCCGGTAAGTTTTCACACATTCATTCATATCGCTTACCATATTTCTCGTGTAGCCGCCAGAATTCCAGGTGGCGATCCCCTTTCCAGGCATGATATAGTTGGTAGGCGTCGGTGATCTTGGCCAGCAAAGGGCCAGGGTACTTGGCCAGCGGGTGGAAGAACACTCGGTAGACAGCAAGTCCAACAGCCTATTACACCAATTACAGTTAATTTACCGAACTTGATTGATTGGAAGTATGTGATTCGTGAGCTGCTCACATAGATCAGTCCCAGTGCGGATACACCAGACACAAGATATGCCAGATGAGAAAATGTCTCAGCCATTGTCCTTCCACACCTATGCTACCTATATAAAAGTAGGTTGGAGTATCGCTTCTACAGGTTGAGCTTGTAACAACGGCAGCGGCTCTGTGCTTGATAGCTAAGTATGGCTAGGATACCTATCGAGGTGATATGGCTATCATTTGATGTTTTAGCAATTCATGATGTAAATTCATGTGCTCGACTCCAACGGCATTTTGTAGGCATCTTGTAGACATCCTGTCACATTCACTTTGGTAGGAATTATAGAGAGTTCAGAGTTCAAGTCCTCGGCTTTTCGCGGCAGCCTTAAGTTTAAAGCCAGAACGGCGAACGCGGAATGGCAGCGTCCCCGGGCGTCCACTCGCACCCACTTACGTTCACCGGCGTCGACTCAAAATTCCCTCTGACGTCGTCTACTTGCCTAATCGGGAAGTTCCTGATCAGCGCGGTTACCAGCGGAACCTTAAGAGCCTCTCTCTGCCTTTCTGCGGTATTAGTTAGGTAAATTTGTAGATCCAGGCTCGCTCACATACCAACGAACCAACCAGACTGACACGAATGTAAGCACATTGACCGTCACAAGGTCAAGATTACGGCGTACAACTTGTTTCGAGTACCCACTTTGGCTCCGGAAAATACGGTCGTTAATTAATTTGTATCTGCCGAATCTTATCTCTGATAACCGTCTTATGCCGCTGCAGGAGTTTCTGGAAAAGGGTATATCTAGGCAGGGACCTACCTATGTGAGCATTCCGAGTTTGATATATGATAAGGTAGACCCTTCATCTCCTTCACTTTAGTTGTTGGGTGATGATGACATTGACATAGTTGTTCATTTTGGTTTGATTTGTCTTCGACTTCTTCGATTATCGACGGCCCCTTATCAATCAACAAACAGCACCTACGCGACCAAACTCTACCCGAAGGTGCCGAACCCTCCAACACCGAGTCAGGTGCTCATCTCCGTGATACATTTCATTTTCTTCGTGTTCCACGGTGTAGTCGCCCGCTAGTATCACTAGTATCATACATATTAATCATCTGCCATTGTAAAATTGCAGAAGGTTGAAGGGAGAGAAGGCTTACTTCAAGTTTATCATTCATACTTTTCTTCTAATAGGAATTGTGTAGAATTGTGAGTTGTGCATGTGGGACTGCAAGTGGAACAAGTAACGACTCGCTATTTCTGTCAAAGCTTGTTTCTCTACCTTACGATAAGAAGCAAGTGTCACGAGAACTTGAAACATGCAGACCTACATGCAGACCTAGATGCACTATATCATATAGGTTAAGGTACCTATGGTTGGTCCTGAAATACTTACACCTGCATGTTATATGTCTCATCCTTTGTCAACTTCTTGCATAGAAAAGTCAAAGGATTCAACTCTGCCTCCGCCTTTGACCGCCATCGCGTCTTAAAATAGATTCGGGTATTGACATTCGGGTATCGAGTCTAGAATTATACATGCATTAGATAAGCATCTGGTAGCATAAACCCAATTTGATGGACTGATGTTCACGGTTCAAGTTGCAATAACTTACAACTTAACTAACTACAACCTTGGAAGCATCAATAATTGAACTTACAGGGTTCAATGTTAGATAGCCTAAGTACCTTCACACCAAAAAAGTACCTGCCCTATTTGTCTCGTTGCTCATCCGGTACCTACCGTCGTACAGTTTGTTCAGTGGGGACCCCTAGCAACTTTAATTATTGTACATATGTGTAACGTCAGGGACCAATTAGAGATCAAAGTTAAGCAATTAGATCTTCAGGGGTCTCGTTGATGCGCCCGCACTAGTTAATTGGCCACTAATTGGCGCCTTTTTCTCTGTACCTTCCAATCGCTTCACCAGCCCTTCTTCCCTCTTTTCCTCCTTCTAACCCTTCTAACCCTTCTAACCTAACCCCCTTTTGGTTGAAACGGTTGTGTATCATGGGCAGTGCCTCCTTACAGTTCCTCCTTGTACAGTTGTAGCAGTTAAGTTGTCTAGCGTTGCCGTAGCGTGCGTAGCGTAAGGTTTAGTTGAGGGTAAAGGCAAGGAAAGGGTACTTACCAGTTGGGACTCATTTGGACTCATCTGGACTCACTTGTACTCACTTGCTTCTTTCTTCCTTCTTTACTCTTTTGCTTTACAACACGAGACGACGACAGCGCCATTCAACTGATTTATTGGTTTAGCCATTCATTCATTAATCCAAACCTTCATTCTTTTTTTCCATACCCTTGCGGCGACAATCCTTTTTATATACCAACTACAGTTACTTTCATTTCCACCTTGACCCGCTAGTATTGGCAAACGCAAACAAACACGAGCAAATACGGACCATACTCGCATCCACAAGTCGCCGTAACCACGTTCTTTACTACTCGGCAGCATCCGAGAATCAGAATCAACAATACCATTGATTGACTTTACACTTGGGGAATGAAGACGACAGTCGAAACAGGCGACAGCTGGGACAGGATTCATTCGTTACTAGACCAACTACACTCCAAAAATAATACCAGTCCATTCCCTCGCACGTTACAACTGAGCCCATCACACGATGAGCCCTCTACCAGTTGACGAAACGACCGCGGCCCGGTTCGCTCGAGGTGTCATCCACTTCCTCAACACACGTGAGACCGACCCGGACAAATGTCACCCGTCGCCTAACATCGATCTGTGCGAGAAACCCGCCGCGGCCAGCAAGTCGAGCGAGATAGTCATTGGAACGCTGGCGTAAGTTTTCTTCTTTTACCGCTTAGTCTATCTTCCGACCTCCATACCCCCCCTGCTGCCAATAAAAGAGGCCCCGCCCCGAAATAATACAATTGCCGAAGTGCTAAACATATACCCAAACCAAACAGCGGCCTCCTGGTCTTCTCAACCCTCGCCACCCTCACCTTCCTGCACATCCGCCGCCAGCGCCGCGATGCGAAGGAATTTCCCAAGAGCATCCAAGAGCTCGACGACTACGGCCTCGCGCCACCGTCGCCGTCCCACGCCCCCTCCAAGCCCAAATCCGCCTATCAGAAGCCCAGCGTGGACGCCGTCGACGACCACGACTCGCCCCCGAAGCACCGCCGCGGCGACTCTCTGCAGAACCTCGCGCGCTCTTTGCGCGGAAACCCCGACGCGTACCGCTCCAGGCCTGATGATACGTCCCATGATATGAAGCCCGTGGAGCCGCTGAGCCAGTTATAGGTATGACCGGATCGCGGCCTATGGGCGAAAGGCGGTGGGGGAGGTGTACGCAAAGAAGCGAGTAGGAGTGTAATGATGACAGGGGAAGGGGGAGGAAGAAAGTGAACGAAAGTTTATTTTAAAAAAAAAGCCGAAATACCAGGACAGCATGAGGATAGGGGTAGTGTAAGAGCAGAAATGCCAACCAGAGGACAGGGGAGGATCGGAGACGAGAGGAGAGAAGAGGGGCGGAGAGGAAGATGTGATACCCAATCGTTAAGACTTCTAACTTTAGGTGCCGAGCGAAAATAGCAAGGCAAGCAAGGATACCTACCCACGTCAGTGTTTTTGAGAGATCGATAGGAAAACAATGTGATGAGAAGATTAAATGACAGGTTACATGGTTGGGGGGCTGTATATGTAGAGAAAGAAACAGAAAGAAAGAAAATACGAAAGAAGGAAGGAAGGGGAGTGAGCAAGCAGGAGAGAAATCAATATTCAATTTTCAACCACCAGAACCTAGGCCTTATTCATGATTGATTTTCCCTCTCCCCCCTTCTCTATTGAACTATGATGACCTCGAGAGTCACGAGGTCATACTTTTAAATAACCAAAAAAAAAACCCCCCCGAAACTCTAGCAAAATGAAACAACGAGAAAAAAAAACATACAACACCGGGGATTCGCTGGTCGTCACCGACCCAACTACTGATCCGGCGGTATCCGGCTTATCTATGGGAGAGCGGACGGGATCCCGAGTTTTCCGGATCCTATGGCCGTATGTGCTAGTTCGATGGGGGTATTGCGGTTTATGTATTGTATTGTACATACCCTATCCTAATCCGCCTAAGGGTACAGTATCTAGGAGTAGTGCTGGTGGTGGTGGTGGTGGTGGGACTGGGGATTGGGGATTGGGGACTGGCCCCCCTTTTCTTTTCTTTTCTTTTGCTTGGTCGTCCTACTGTAGGTACGAACGAACTATGTAGGGAGGTAGGTAGGTAGGTACATAGGTAAGCTCAACGCAGGAAAAGAAAAGAAAAAGAATGGATGGATGCTTTGGTTGTTGCGTAGGTACTGTAGGTATCACATTAGGTAGGTAGGTAGGAAAGTAGGTCGGTGGATAGGTACCTACCTACCTAGCCAAGCAACTCCGTTGTAGTAAGTCGCAGCATTGTTGAAAGGTGTGTACCTAGGTTAGTAGGTAGGTAGCGGCCAAACGAATTCTTACGGATGTCAAACGCAAGGATTCCTACATGTAGGATTTAATATGAAAGTGACCCGTAGTAAGGGGGTAAAGAGTGAGTATTGCTTCGTTGTGGAAGGATGCCATCTTATACTACTATACTACTAGGTATGGTCTCTACTCCCATGTCACCAGTAGCTCGTCCGGGGCTGTTTTCACAAATCATTCATGACAAAGGTTAATAGCCACCTAAGTCGGTAGATTGGTACGTGAAGGACTCAATAGATCGAGACCGGTACCTAAACGCAATGCTTACAAGACGATCCCGGTGGACTATCACCAACATTGAATGCAATGAGCTAAATTGAAAAAAAAAATATTGGGCTAATGGCTGATTTGACTCCCGAATTCATGATTCGTCACTAAATAGCGTCAACTTTTTAGATAATACCTCAGGGGTTTAGGACGAAATAAAACCACCTCTGGAGCCCGCTTTGCATTGCCCGTAGAGGCCGTATCGCATAATCTACATTTATACATATCCTGTAAATTTTTTGGGCTACATTTGTACATCATCGCCGATGCTGATCTTCTGATACCTAAACGCCGCGCTCCTAGTACGTGTGAAGCTGAGCCTCGGCCTCTCGTACCTCATCGAGGCATCCCGCGATAGACTTCCTCTACAATCCATTGTTCGCTCGTAGCCTATCCTGTCGGGGCTAATTAACGCCTGTTTCTCGGTGGCCTGAATCAAAACAACTAGCTCAACCCAAGCTTCAACATAGAATTCATTACCCCAACTCTTGCTCAACTTTCCAAACCAGTATAAATACTCAATTGGTTTAGTAACAGAGTCCACTTAGGGCTCTTGAGACTTTGTAAAGCTCCAAAGAGACTGTCGCGCGAGGGGAGAGCATTAGGTGGGATGCTAGCAGGATTATTCGGGTCTCTGGCCTTTTCGCTCAGCCTCCTCAAAGCAGAGACACCGCATGTGATAATGTAGAGAATATCTACATCTTCTCTCGGTTGCGTCCTAGCATTACCGGGTACACGAGGTGTTGGCTCTGCCTGTGAACACAGAGTTCGAATGAGCCTAAAGAGGTTCTGCGCAAATCCTTCACCAGACGAAAGCCAAGCCTGCGTAACCCCGGACTCAAACCCAGGAGCAAGTTGGGCAATGATATCCGCTGCAAGGAGGCCCTGCATGAGTAAGGCCTTGCGTGATTCAACGAATGAGGGGAGATTTGCTGGGCGGCTCTCTTTATTTTGGTCCGGTATAGGAGAGATTGCGAGCCCAAATGTTCGAGTAAGGAGGTCGTAGGGAGGTGAGGCAGAAGCGTCGGCGGCGAATATGATCTTATAGTATGATCTATTCGGCTCATCACGTGCCAGAAGCTTGGCTAAAGAGTCGACGGCATGCGGAAGATAATAATGCACCAAAGGCTCATATGACGAGAAGACAACCCTCTCAGCTGCTATCGATGGTGGCGGCGATGGAGCAAATGCCAACAGGAACTGAAGAAGACATAGGGCTTGCTCTCGTCCGGATATCTCTATAGATCCAGCTATGTTGGAGAGTAACACTATCACGTCTTTCATGAAATCTAATGTGTTTTTCGGGGACCGTAATAAGTTCTCATGCGTACCCAGCGAACGTATCACGCCACACAGGAATTTAACAATGATCTCATCAGCGAGGATGGGCTGGTTGACTTCCGCAAAAGAGAAATTTCGCAAAATTGTTGTTATGGCGAGTAGCCGATCTGCGGCATGCTCCAGCTCATAATCTGCATCTCCAAAAACGTGTGTTTTACGCAGCCCCATTGCTTCAAGGCGGCAGGTTCGTATGACATCTTCATACGGAGATAAATCTATCTCGTCAGAGATTGGATCAGCCTTCTCGACCAGTAGATCGACTTGCTCTTCAGCACAATCTATGAGAGATTCTACTAAATCGTCACAAGCTCTCAGTTCGATTATCAAACCCGGTAAGTATTCTGCGTGTCGTGATATCGTGCCGAGGGTGTCGAGAGCTAGTCGAACTTCCCCATGTATACCGCACTGAATGCTTTTTGTGAGGGCATGAATGTCGATATTGCCGAGTTCTTGCGGTCCCGGTACATCGGGCCTCCATGTCTCCAAATCATCACCTAGCTTCTGCATTGATTTCAAATTGAAACCACCAAAAATGTCTTCCATCATCTCGCGAGAACAAGGCACATATTCGTTAGGATTAGATGAAAATGGGCCCGGGAAGGGCAAGGTTGCGGTACCATTCGTGTGGGCATTATCCGGCTGACTTGGAGGTGGTATAGAAATACTACCAGCTTTGCCAGTTGGTGCTGGCGACGGTACTGGGAATTCACCGGACGATTTCCTAGTATCAATGTTTCTCGGTATATTCCTCATGTGGGCTTGGCTGGCACTGGCCTGGGGTTGATTGGGTCGAGGTGGTTGTGGCGAAGGAGAAAACCCATTGACATTCACCTGTTGTATTACCGGTGTCATTTGTTTAACAGGCGTTTGCGCATGTGGTTGGTGAATCTGAGGCGGTCCAGGGTGTATATGTTGACTGGGTGCTGGCGGGCCTACCCTTGGGGATGGGCCATGTCCGCCATGTCCAGGCATACCAGATTGCGCCGTCACTTGTTGCTTCATCTGCTGATTCCGCTGCTGCATTGCCCAGGCTTCCTCGAACTTCAATAAGTTCCGCTCGTATACGCTTCTTACCTGATGCGGCGCTGATGGAATTTGCTGTGCACTAAATCCAACCGACGCAGCGACTTGAATCCAAAGGTTATTCATGGTGACGTTCCGGTATCCACCAAATTTTGAAACATTTTGAAAAAGCTGAAGCAGATGCAATGGCCGGCCTTCAATGATAGGGTTGGTGTCCAAGGGAAGTTGCTTCATGTTCATGTACGCTGTTAGATTCTTAAGAAATCCTTCTGGGTTGTTAGGTCGCGCCACCTGCGGTAAATGCTGATTCTGCATAGCGCCAGGGGGCATTTGTCCATTCTGCATTGGCATTCCTTGCTTTGGCATCATGCCCCGACCTTGAGACATATTCTGAGCTTGCATTTGCGCAGCCATTGGCATACCGCCTTGTTGAAGTTGTTGTTGTAAACGCATCTGATATAACATCTTCTGATCTAATCCGCCGCGACCTTGCGCCGCCTGCATTTGCTGCTGCATGTGCATCTGCTGCATCTGTTGCATTTGGTGCATCTGTTGAGGGGTGATCATCTGGCCTGGGTGCATCTGAGGCATCTGCTGTGGCATTTGGTTGACTGGCTGAGGCATCATCTGTTGACCCATAGGATTCTGGGCTGAGGGTGGCCTAGCCGGCGAATGGCCAGGCGTATAACCCGGATTAAAACCTTGGGGGAAGTTTTGCGGATTCATAAACATGCCTGGCTGGGGCGTGTTGCCATGATCAGATGGGACTGGTGATGCTTGAGGGCCGAAGTGTTGTTGCGATGCTGGTGAGAAAGGATGGGGCGACGCGGTATTGACGCGTTGTGGTACGCTACCCGGTCGTAATTGGCTGCCTGCCATTACAGGCGACGGCGACGCGTTGGCTGAGCCATTGGATTGTAAATGAGGATAATGTTGAGGTTGGCCGTGATTCTGAGGCTGCATCGCATTCGGCTGGAAGCCCTGAAACGAGGATTGCTGTGGAGTGTCGGCGCGCGATGTCGGTAACATATTGGGATTTTGTCGCGGCGACGCGCCAATGCTATCTTCTCTAGGGCGAGGCCGTTTTGACGGGATGACGGGGTTGGTTTGATACGCGGGATTCGGGAAAGAAGGCGACACATTGCGCATCGGGCTATTATGCATGGCGGCCATCTGTTGATGATTGAACTGGCCAGTAGTAACCGGATTGAACTGAGCAGTATTGGCCATAAAGGCAGATGGATCCATCATACCTCCCGGTGCGCCGCCCATTCCTCCTCCAGCTCCCATATTATTCGGATCGTTCATATGTGGAAAGCCGTTGCCATTGTGGTTTTGGACGGCAGCGGCCTCGTTCATCCAAGAGCTCATGACGGATGAAGTCGCAAATGGGAACCCATCTGACTATGTGCAAAAAATGTCAGCAATTTAATTGAACTGCGATGAGTAGATTAAATTAAAATAGATATAAATGAAGATGAATAGTGTTACGAGTGACGAATGTCGCGATGGATGAAAAAAAAAAAAAAAAGTCGCGTCGCGAAATTCGATTAGAGAATTTTGGAGGGTGAACAGCCGCAGTGCGATCGGGTGGGAAATGGGTTGGTAGTTGGTTACGGGTTGAATGGGGTCGCGGATTGTGGTTGGGGAGGAGGGATAAGGGCGAGGATCAGGAATAGGAAATAGAGGAAATAGTAGGTGACAGAAGGCCAAAATCACAACTTCCAGGGCCTAGGCAGCCCCCTAGTTTCCTCTGGGCAGTTCCCCAATCATAGGTGCTATGAGCACTACAAATTGGTGGTAGTGTGTGCTGAATTTGGGATTTGGGGCTGGGGAGTCGAGCTTTTCGCCAGCAAGGTTCCTTTTCAACAGCCATACATATGGCATAGTGTGCGGACTGTGCAGCTATACTGTACACGAAGGTACATATACGCGATTTATGCTCCACATGCAGTCTGCATAACATTGCGATAAGGAATAAAACTGTAGCGATAACGGTATAACTTGTGATGGGCACAAATAGGAAAGGCGAACATGAAGGGAAGACGGAAGGGCAAAAGGTTCCCAAAGGTTCCCAAAGTGAAATGTCTATCAGCACAACGCGCCCGTATCCACTTGGGAAGTTGGATATGCCGAGCCATAGTTCGGAGGTCTTACAACAAATAATACGGAATGACGGGATGGGAAACACAAGGCAGTAGTCAGGTATGTGCGGCCGGCATCAGGTATGTCCATCGCCCTGTCGCCATGTGTGCTAGTAACGGCAACCGATCGCTTCGATGCAGCACTGGCCGCATCAACCTCCGATACTTGAAGGATGCCGACCGAAAGTTCCAAGGTTCCAAGGTTGTGACGGGGACAAGCTTTGAGTGGCAGTGTATGTATCTGGACACACACATACACGCGCACACATACACGCACACACCATACTATACATACCATATACAGTATATACACGATAACCCAAACAGCTTCTGAATGGGAAACCAAAGGAACCAAAGGAAGCCAGTAGGTTGGTATGGATAGCGACAATAGACTTGGGGTGGGCTTGAAGGGAAACAACAAAGACAATAAGATATAAGAGATAACAGGGTCTTACCTATCTAAGCTAAAACTAACGGTGATTGACAACGTCTTTCACTTTCGCTTCACCCGGTGTTTGCTGCGCGAGGATGGGTGGAAAAGCGGTAGTAAGGGAAGAGGCACTTGACTTTTTGGCGAGTTGGCCCGGTCTGTCTGGGCTAAGGTTCCAAGTTGTGGGCTAAAAGGCAGGCCAGGAGCTTGGACTTGGGAGCTTCCAAGGTTTGGGGGGGGGGCTGATAGCTGAGAACTGGGTGATGGGATTGAAAGGGGGACTCAGAACTCAGGACTCTTTTGCTTTCTTTCTCCTGTCTGGGTTTGTCTGGCGTGTCTGGTAGGCGTGGGCTGGGTAAGCTGGTAAGGTGTCGGTAGGTCAAGAAATTTCTGACTGTTTTGGCCCTTCAATCCGAGAGGAGCGAAATGCGAAAATGGGGCTGTACAGTACTACTTGACCCACCCACGCTAGACTTAGATAGGAATAGATGAGAAACGATGAGAAATCATGCGTTCGTGGATGCGCGATTAGAAATTGCTAAGGAGAAGAAAGGGGAGAAAATGATGAAAGTTGATAGGTCGTGAGTAGTTGCCTAATGACCCACTCTATTCACCCATGACGTTACAATATTGGTGGGATTTAAGTGGGAATCAGGAAATAGTGAATTGATAAAAAAAGAAGTACCTACCACCAGAAATGAACTCAGAAAAAGAAACAATAAAAGAGAAAGTGACTTGCACTAGCAACCCGAATATTGCCCGGATAAATTCAATGTTCGATTCAATGTTCGAACCAATTGAACCAATTGAACCAATTCATTTTCATTTTCATGGGTGACTAACCCAATCTCATCCGCCTTTTGACATTTGTCATTTCCAAGAAAAGAAAAGCGCAAAAAGAATTGATACGAAACGAAACTTGTAACTTGGAAAAAAGCATCAAATGCTATTCTTCAATAACTTACCTTCAATCGTCCACCATGCATTAACTTACCTCTTCATCTAATCGCAGTGGCCACGAAATGTTGATCGTAAAATGGCGTACACAAGAAAAAAGAAATAAGAAAAGGGGACAAAAATGAAAGCAAAAGGACCTGCATGTTGTTGAAACAAACGTTAAGCCGGTAACGTAATATGCAATGAAGGAAAAAGGATAATGATATCCGATCCAAGATGGGTCAAGAATGTCAACCCGAAAGAAGCCCAATCACATTGATTGGGAATTTTTGATAATAAGGAATCAAAGGGAGGTAAGCTCGCTTCAAGATCGGGTCGAAATAGTTGGGTGCCTCCACGGACTTCCAACTCCTGAAGAAAGTCCAGTCTTGCATCATCTTCAATAACGAACGGCCTTGGAGAACGGAACGGAGCTTCCGCTTATATTGTATTCCAACTTAAGAGATACTTGCTCTCAACAACAACGACCGGTCCCTTCAAATGTTATTCAGCTTTCCAGGGAATCAATAGGCTAGTTGTCTAGTGCCGTAGACTTGTTCTCAGCCGATATCAACGCCTTGGAAATTCCAGATACCGAACCGACAAGCTAGAATACCAGTGAATAGGTATGTGCTACCCATTTGATAAAGCGAGCACGGATTGCTTCGATGTCGATCCATAGACCCCCATGAGAAGAATAGGCACAAACATGTTTCATATCAGCTACAGTGGTAGCTGGCTTGACGACTGGTAAACGAACGGCATCCCGTGGTCCGGACTCCTAAAATATTTTCAGCATGATCTGGTGCCTTGCAATAGCAAACGCTTCTCGAAGTCATGTCAGAATTCCGTCCTCGTCGTGGTTGATGATGCCTAATAGATGACGTGAGTAACCTCGCGGACACTCAAGTCCATGGGAACCAAAGTGCGTCGTTGAGGCAGCTTTATATCAAATCCATCCCCCGAGAGGAAATCAGATGCGAAGACGTGGCTGTCTGCAGGGCTGAGTAGGAGGTATGTACATGTGCTGACATCCCACTCTGCATGCAAAGTACGGAGTACTTCGTGAGCGATCCGTTCTCAGTGGCTGCATACGGGGACCAATGGCAAGGCTCCGGTGACCCATTGGTACGGGTTGCAAGGGTAGGTAAGGTTAGATAGACAATGAATGCGGTGGTCCGTCAAGACCAACCCAAAAGGCAGGCAGATTGGTATCATCTGCAAAGAGGCCAGATGGATTTGTTGGAGAGACTCCGTAGTTCCTGTCTGTCGATCAATAGTGGTAGGATGAATGTCCCAATCCGCTCGCTTGCTTGCTTCATTCCTTCAGACAGACCACAAGCAACAGCAAGAAACAAGACGCTGGTAATCTTCCGAGTGTTGGTTAGGCTATACGTTTCGGGTGCTTGTGTAACAGAGGAATGAAGTGAGAAATGTGCAATCCCTCCCCCCATGTACCGCGAATGAACAATGAACTTTGAAACCCTCCACTAGGTAGAACGATTTGTGTACAGCGCGAGTGGATGGGATGGGTGTAAGTGTAAGTGGTGCTGCTTGACTCGGGTCCCACCGGTTGGTCGTCGCCAAGTTGAAAATCAAATCTTTGGTTCATGAACCAAGAAAATTACCGGGGAACAAAGGGAAGAAAAGCCCAAGAGGAAAACATCATCAGTTGATTTGATTCGATTCCATTCCGTCAGTCAGGACGAATTAATCTCCATCGAGTTTCCTGTTGTAAAGATTCCATTGGGGTGTGGTGCCCTTGGTGTCTTTGGGTTGTCTGATGACTGATCCTGGTAGCTTTTTCCCTGGCGGAGACACCCATCCCGGTCAAAAGATTTCGTAGTTGGTCATGGCCCGTTTGCGCAACGTTGGGTGCCCATACGTACAGCATTTCTCGATCAGTTCTTGTCCGAACAAAAGCTGTGCCAGCGAGGGGAAAGACCAGTTTTAGTAGCTTCATGACTCTGGTTTCATTGGAAAAGAATCGCAAAGAAAAAAAAGAAATGAGTAACTCTCCTCATATATTTGCTGGTGCTAGTATTTCCTCCCCATTGCTGAGGTAAATGCTCGTCCAAAATAGGTACGCACAGTCTTGAATCCGCAACAGTACCGTTTTGGGGTATTTCCGTATAAGTGGGAAAACAAGCTTGCCATCGCGACAGAACAACAACTACCGCATAGCTCAGAGAATGACAGGAAAACAAATGAGAAGAAAAATGTAGAAGGATGGAAAGGTGTGAGAGAAGGGAAAATGAAAAATAGAGGGAAGAGGAGAGAAGAAGAAGAGAAGAGAGACGGTCACAAGGGAACTGGCAAGGGGTGGCAGATGGGCCTTCTGGGTACGGTAGGGCGAGAGGAAAACGGAGAGGGCCTGAGGGAAAATCGGTTACAAGACAGTACCTTACCTACCTCATCTCATTACATGTACCTGGATCGTTGTTATTACCTATTACCTACTACCTATCTGTCTATCCAACTGGATCGTCAAGCCCAGTTCTTTCAATTATCTATTTCTTCTGTGGTTTCTCTTCTCTATTCTCTCATTCATGATGGACACTCTCCGATACGGATCCTTTTCCTCATCCTCATTTACCTTGCCCATCGCTCACTACTGCATGATCGTGTCTTGTGGGTTATCAGTCTAGTACCGAAATTCTCCGCAGGTGCGCCGATGTGCCAATGGAAAACGGTTGTGCTTTTTTTTTTTTTTTTTTGTGTAGTGCCAAAGTCTGGGACAGCCCGAATTCGTCAGAAGCTTTTCCCTCCGCTTGGTCGTCATTCTTGAGAATACGTACATACATACCTAGAAATGCGGATAAGCTTCCTCTGTTTATTAGCAAAGAGACCAGGCTTAATCTTAATTCCAAGAGACAAACCAAGCCAGACCGGCCAGAAGATTCATACTATTTGGCAACCAATTAAAGCTTGTTTTTCCCACCGACTCGACGAGCGAGCCATCCTATTATGTCCCCAACGTCTCTCTCCAACGGCGATGGTATCGAGACCGACCATGAATTCAGCAGCGTACCTACACACATGGACCATACGTGCCTAACCTACCTAGGCTACTACTACATGTATTGACCTCCTTATGCACCGTTTTGTGATGTACCCAGGTATGTACAATGCTCAATCAATACTTTAGTAATGAGGTTTGTGAAGGTTAACTAAATCTTACTTTTTCGATGTTTGATTTGATTTGGCCTGGTTGGAACTGG